GAATACACCACTACCTTCACTACCACTGATGCTGATGGAAACCCAGAAACTGAAACCGGTGTCGTCATCATTACTACCGATTCTGCTGGTGACTTAACTACTACTACTGACATCTTAGGTGACTGTCCAGAATGTACTGACTATACTACTACTTTTGCCACCACTTTACCAGATGGCTCTGTTTCCACTGCTACCGGTGAAGTTATTGTTACTACTGATTCTGCTGGTGATTTAACTACCACCACTGACATCTTAGGTGATTGTCCAGAATGTACTGAATACACTACCACCTTCGCCACTTCCCTTGCTGGTAGTGATGTTACTGAAACTGGTATTGTTATTGTTACCACTGATCCTAATGGTGATTTAACTACCACCACTGAAATCATTGGTGGAATTTCAACCACTGTCGTTACTATCACTTCATGTTCAGACAACAAATGCACTGAAGTTCCAGTCACCACTGGTGTTACCACCGTTTGTGATGAAACCACTTCATACACCACTTACTGCCCATTAACTGACGAACCAGAAACTGTTACTGCTTTATCTACCACTGTCGTTACTATCACTTCATGTGACGATGGTAAATGTACCGAAGTTCCAGTCACTACCGGTTTAACTACTGTTTGTGATGAAACCACTTCATACACCACTTACTGCCCATTAACTGATGAAACTACCACCTCAACTGAATATCAAACCACTGTTATTACTATCACTTCATGTGATGATGGTAAATGTACTGAAGTTCCTGTCACCACTGGTTTAACTACCGTTTGTGAAGATTCAACTACTTACACTACTTATTGTCCATTAACTGAAGAAGACACTACCATCACCACCTCAATCCAAACTACCTTATACACTACTCCATATGCCAATGGATCTGAAACCACCACTGTACCAGTTTCAAGTGGTTCAAATTCTACTGTTGAAGTCACTACTTACGAAGCTTTCGCTAACGTCTTCTCCGTTTCATTAGGTGCCATCTTCGCTGGTATCTTCATCGTATTTAACATTTAGATAACTTAGAGTCTTCATGAGATATTTGATAATCCTCTCTTTCGATAAGAGAAGGAGATATCCTGGTTCTATTTTTTATTTTCTTTTTCGGTTTAAAATCACTCAATTTTCATAATTTAATTCACATTCAAGTTTTCAACATTTCTTTAATATCTAAATCACCTTTATGCTTTCCTGATTAAATTGCGTTTTCGTCAAAAAATGTGATTATTTTCAATTCGTTTGATTATATTGTTTCTTTTAATAGCGAGGGTTCATTTATTGTTCATAACTATTTACATTATTCATTCTTGTCTGAAGGATTAACTCCTTTATTTGGCCATATTGACGGTATTTTGATAATTTTGTAATGTGGTTCGACACATCTCTCAACAAACCATTGTCTTAATCTACCCTCAATCAACGATGAAATTTTAGGAACGTCTTCTAATTTCGCTCTGGAACCAATCAAGGATTTGATTGTGAATTCTAACCTATAATCGGGAGAAAATTCCAACATCAATGCAATATTCGAATTCACTTCCGGTTTTATAACTTCAACGGTCGAAGTTGAGTTAAAGATTGGTGTCAGTTTTTGAAATTCTTTTCTTGGGGATCCTGAAGTACTAGACATGGATCTAGCCAGTTTCAACGTCTCAGGTTTTAGTCTTGATTCTTTTTCCTCAGGTTCAGGCGTGACATCCTTTGCTATGACTTCGTATTCAGGATCGTTGGGATTTATTAAGGATATCGAAAGACATCCTGAAAACCTCACAAGTGTGACCGATAGTTTGATTGGTAGAGCAGCAGTCATGGGTTTAGGATAATTAATCAATAACCTCGTTTCCACACCCAAAGTGATAGTGTCAGACAAATCAATGTCAATTTTAGCTTGCAATCTTCCCAAATTTTCAGGACTCTGGACTATCCTACAATTGGACAAAATAGGGAAATCATCACCGATATCGATTTCAGAAATCTTGATGGAATCCAAATAATCAGGAAAGTCCAGTTTTAAAAGATAATCATTCAATGAATGGAAAATATTATCAGCAATCAAAGCTTCATTTCTAGCTTGATTAATGAATTGGGCAATCAAGACATTGAACCAATCTAAACTTTCAGATGAATGGTTACTAACATCATAATAGGTTTTTTCCAAGATTGAGTTAATAACATTTTCGTTGTTTTCATCATCAAATCTCTCATTACCATTATTGTTGTGTAAACTTTTTTTATTCTCCCGTTTTTTGATAACCCCCGAGACTTCTTTATTATTCACACTGGTAGGCACATGTGATGCATCTTGAAATACGAAGAACTTTACAAAAATTGCAATGACTACAATAACACTTAATTGACCAACAATCAAACCTTGAGTAAAACTCAAAGTGTTACTACCTGAAGTGGAAGATAGCACCGATTCTTTGGACAATAATTCTTTCTGTTGTTGAAGAAACAAATCCTGTTGACTTTTCAATTCCTCTTGCAATTGTAGCAATACATCAACTCCGTTTGATTCTATTACCTCATTACCCATACTTAGAGTTCGCGATAAAATTTGGCAACTATTCATGAGGTTTAAGTCCGAAGTACAATAATTAAGGAAATAAGATTAAAAGCTATAAACAATACGAAAGACATTAAGTGTAACATTAATTTAATTTTTTCCTGCTGACAGGAACTTTAAGTTTTCTAGATTTCAAAGATTCCAGATCTTTTAAATTTTTAACAGCTCTTCTTGGTGATTTGTTGGTAATCAAGGTTGTATCACTTTCGTGAGTACTTGAATCATCATCATTCAAATCATCCCTCTTGATCCAGTTAGTGACATTAGCGAAAATTGATTTACCATTTAATTCTTTATTAGCATTACCAATATATTTGGCAGCAAATTCTGCCATTGGTGATAAATTTCCATCATTCTTCAATTTCTTCAATCTTGGTGATGGGATTGGTCTTGTATCATGATCATCTGAATCACTGATAGACAAAAAGTCCGATAAATGGAAATCTGATTTCTTCCCTCTCAAAAATTCTCTTACTTCAAAATATAAGTCTTTTGAAACATTATTAAAATTCGTAGTATTTTTAACCCAGTAAGTTCTAAAATCACTAATGTGCTTTTTCAAATCCAATTCATTTTTCTTCAACCAACTAACATTAAGGTCTTTTCTAGTAGCACCTCTTGCAAAGTTTCTCATTAAATATTTGTCATAGTCTCTTATGATTTTTGTTATGATATCAGATGTTGAAATACCTTCAGTTCTTTGGGTTGTGAGGAACATTCCCATTTCTTTGATAGGTTTATAAATATCATCGCTATCGGTGGAGGCATATGGTAAGTCATCATGTGCAACATAATCAATTTTATGCTCAAGTAAAAATTCTGGGGTTACACACCAAGGTGCACCAGGGATAACTTCATCAACCCATTTACAGTGCATTAAAGTATCACATCGTTGTTGGTCAGTTAAAACGGTTAAACCCTTACGTTTATGAGTTTCAATATCTGAAGGGATACCACAAACCAATTCGGTGTTTGGAAAGGCTTTTTTAGCTTGTTCCAATTGTTTCATATGACCCAAATGAAATAAATCAAACACTCCGTCAGCATATATTCTAATTGGCCTATCAGTTGGTGGTAAATTGAATTTGTAACCTGTTGGTCTAAATTTTCTTAAATCTTCGGGTAATTCTTCATCTAATTTCTTTTCATTTTGTAAGAATTTTTCATGTTCTTCATCCAAAATTTTTCTTTTCTTCAAATTCTGTTCGATTAACACCGATGCGTCAGTATCACTACCATCTTCACTCTCATGATTCGAATCTGATGTATCATTATGGATATGTCTCTTTCTTTTACCAAAAAAAGATGAAAGTTTTGGTGCTATTGATTCCACTGAAATTGATCTAGTGAGAGGACTTTGACTCTTTGATTTCGGTATACGTTTGTTACTTTCACTCATTTTTATCTTTGAAGTTTATAAATTATCCCAATTGCGGATGTTAATTACAAAAACGGTTGGGTTAGGTGCAGATTGTGAAAAGTCAACTCACAAAAAATTTTCCTCAGCAATTTTAAGTGCGATTTAGAGTGTCTCAGTTTTCGTTGCTTGACCCTGAGTTTTTTTATTTTTCCAATTTACAACCGAATCTTTAGCTTATATACCAAACCTTATCGTTGATTTGATACCGGGGATTGATATATTTGATTATAGAAGCATACATATTCCAACAACTCAGACATCGTCATCTGATATTTTGAGGCTGAATTTATTCAGGGGTACATATTGCAGCATCGATTTTAAAAAATCTACCATTTGCCATTGATAGATACGATATCGTAAATCCAAATCGGGAAAACTTGCTGACACATTAGGTAGTGAACCATTGAGATTTTTATCAGTGAAATATCACCACATCTTAAGAGTTCGAAAGATTCTATTTATACAATCGTTTAATAGAGGGTCGCGTGTAGAATGGGAAGATCTTATTCAGTTTCTGATCTTAAATTTATTAAACCTTCAACCCTTTACTCATGGTTTAAAGGTGGGAGTCCCGGTAAATTTGCCGTGGTAGATGTAAGAGATTCCGATTATGTCGGAGGTCACATCAAAGGGTGTTATCATTATCCCGCAGGTAATTTTGAAGAGACTTTACCAGACTTGAGGAAAAGATTGATGCAAGATGGTGTACAAGACGTGATATTCCATTGTGCATTATCACAGGTTAGAGGTCCATCATCAACTTTGAGGTTTTTAAGATCTTTAAATGATGTCAAAGACCCTAAGCAGATCGAATTCTTCAATCAATTGAGTGTTTGGGTTTTGAATGGAGGTTTTACCAAATGGCAGGAGAAGTATGGGGATGACAAATCTGTAACCGAAGGTTACGATAAGGAGATTTGGCAAATTTAATAATTTCATAGTGTAAATATTTTGTAATAGTTTAACGATTAATTTGATTTTCTCTTGGACAACGTTGTCTTGGCCATGAAGTCATGGATTCACAGGGTTTCAAAATTTCTTGTTTTACCGTCATTCTTGTAATAAGGAGGGCTGGTAGTATTACTTTGATAGTATATTTGGTGGCAGTGATATCGCGCTGTTATCACCGTGATGTTTACAGTACTAAAAATAACCCTCATTGCCCCAGAAAATAAATGTTACACGCGAAATTTATACCACTGAAGGAGGGCCTGATGGGTGTTACGAGAATTATAGTTTGAGTCCAGATTTAACTTACCCAGTGAAACTCGTTTTTCGCTTGTAAGTCTAAGCTTTTAAGTGTAAGAAAAGTGGCGGTTGCAGAGTGCCTGTAAGGTAAATAGAATTCGCATCATTATTTATAGATATTATTTTTTGCAGCAATTCCTTAAATACGTACAACTTCCTATTGAAAAAAAATTTAACAATGCAATCGATAATAGCGTACACCCTTTGGTTTACATATACTTTAGCAGCTACTTCGTCGTTATGTAATCCTTTATCTGCAACGAACTGTCCTGCTGAAACTGCTTTAGCTACTGATATAAGTCTTGACTTTAAAAGTGAATCAAGTTATTTTGATATAGCAAGTACTGAATCCGGAGTTGAATATGGCGATGATGGTTTGTCATTGACCTTGAGCAAGAGATTTGATAATCCTTCTTTGAAATCTGCTTTCTATATAATGTTTGGAAGAGTTGAGGTGTCATTAAAAGCTGGTAAAGGTCAAGGTATAGTTTCATCGTTTTACTTACAGAGTAATGATTTAGATGAAATTGATATAGAATTGGTTGGTGGTGATACTACTCAATGGCAATCAAACTATTTCGTTAAAGGTAGTGTTGAAACTTACGATAGAGGTGAATTTCATGATACCTCTAGTGCTCCTCAAGATGATTATCATAACTATACTATCGACTGGACCAATGAAAGGATTATTTGGTATTTCGACGGTACAGCTGTGAGAACTTTAACCAATGATTCTTCTCAAGGTTTCCCTCAAAGTCCTATGTATTTAATGACTGGTATTTGGGCCGGTGGTGATCCTTCAAATGCTCCAGGTACTATCGAATGGGCTGGAGGAGAAACCGATTATTCTAAAGCTCCTTTTGCTATGTATATCAATAGCTTGAAGATCTCCGATTACTCCTCGGGTGAGTCATATTCTTATGGTGATCAATCAGGTAAATGGACTTCGATCGAAGCAAAAAATGGTAAAGTTTTAGGAAGATTAAATGATGCCGAAATTGACCCTGAGGTCAATAGCGATTCTTCAAGTAGTTCTGAAAGTTCAGACTCAAGTTCCAGCTCCAGTTCCAGTTCCAGTTCAAGTTCTAGTTCAAGTTCGGGTTCTAGTTTGAGTTCGAGTTCAAGCTCAAGCTCAAGCTCAAGTTCAAGTCTTTCAACCTCCAGTATTTCTGGTTCCTCCGATTCTAGCGCAGAAGTTTCGCTCTCCAGTTCAAGTGATACCCCAGGGACTTCAAGCACAGAGGTTGAAGAACCGGCTACTTCGAGTCTGTCAAGAACATCCTTATCAAGTACAACAAGAGAATCCGAATCTTCTTCAAGCTCCAGGTCTGCCAGTATTTCAGCTTCAGAAGATTCCAGTGGATCTAAAAATTTCTCATCTATATTATCCTATATAGCTATTCTTGTATCGATTCTTTCGTAAATTAATATAAATTACATTCTATGAACTTTTGACTAAATCAAACTTGGACCATTATATGTGTTGTTAGCATACAAAGGTTGTTGTTGGAAATTTTGGGTAGGCTGTTCTTGGAATGGTTGAAAAGCTTGAGCGGGTTGTTGTTGGAAAGGCTGGCCGTTCTGAGTGGTTTGTTGTTGTTGGAAAGGTTGGAAGCTCTGAGTAGGTTGTTGTTGGAAAGGTTGAAAGTTTTGAGTAGGTTGTTGTTGGAAAGGTTGAAAGTTTTGAGTGGTTTGTTGCTGGAAAGGTTGGAAAGGTTGAGTTTGTTGCTGTTGCAATGGTTGTTGTCCAGTCATTTGAAGTTCCATTTTTGCGTTATTTAAATACTGTTGTTTTTGTTGTTCTTGTTGTGTTTGGGGGAATACAGGGACTGTAGGTAAGTTTTCTAAACCTCCAGCAGTCGGCTGAGGACGAATTTGTTGAGGTTGAACATTAGCTGCAGAATTGAATAAACTACTTGTGGTCTCTGAGACTTTAAATGGATTGGACCCAGTCGCTGTAGCCTTGATAGGTTCAGGTTTAGATCCATTATTAAAACTCAAAGCTGTGGTATTACTACCCGAAGAAAACCTAGTATTACCGAAAGGGTTAGTTGATTGTGGGTTGATGGGTTGAGGGCTTGTTCCATTACTCATTGAAAATGGATTGGTATTTGATCTATTCAATCCAAAAGTATTCTGTTGAGTTAATTGAGGATTACTTTGTTGAAGCTGTTGTTGGTCAAATGGTTGAGGCTGTTGGGGTTGCATGAATGGTTGAGGTTGTTGTTGGCCGAATGGTTGAGTTTGCTGTGGTTGAATAAATTGCTGAGTTTGTTGTTGTTGCATGAATGGTTGAACTTGGGATTGAACTTGATTATCATTGACGTTTTGTAAGAAGGGATTGTTACCAGTTGCTTGGGATTGTTGGACTTGAGGTCCATAACCACCAAATCCGTTTCCAGTAAATGCAGGATTCAATGATGGTTGAGTTGGTTGTTGGAACACTTGAGGTTGGTTACCAAAGGGTGAATTCAGTTGAATTTGTTGGCCCTGAGCAATAGATGGCATAGTGAAAACTTCTCCAGTATGAGTCACAATGCTATTGGCAAAAGGTTGTTGCATAACTTGTTCCCAAGGATTATAAGTTTGCTGGACAACTAAGGAATTAGCTCTTTGTGGTTGAACTTGAGCTTGTTGTTGGGATGGTGGTTGTGATTCTTGAGGTTTAGTCAAAAGATTTGGAACTTTCGTAGGACTAGCCTTACCTTCTTTTTTCAATTGTTTTTCAATTAAATATTGTCTTCTATTGGCATCAAAATTTGGATCATCCAAGTACTCTTCTAATGACGAAGTCAAAGCAGTTGGAGCATGTTTTATGGTTGGAACATGCAATTTAGTAGAATGCTCTAAATGTTTGGCTACCCTAAGATAATCAATTACGTATTTGGTTTGATCCACGAATTTCTTATAGATTTTAAGAGCTCTTTCAGCATCAACTTTTGACATTTCGAAATAATGCTCTAAAAGATTAATCACACCTTCGTTCAATTCTTGGAATAAAGATAATAAATCATTAACTAATAATCTAAAAGAAGTCAATAAGATATCATTATTAATATCATTTTCCATGAAGTTATTCTTTAATAAAGCATCAATTTGCTTTTGAACGCTTTCACTTTCTCTTAATAAACCCTTTTCAACAGTCAAAGATCTCAATCTTCCACCTTGTTGATCGGTGCTATTATTAGATCTCTCATCTCTTACATAATCAACTTTAGTTTGTTGATACTGTTTAACTCTTGTTTGTAGATATTTTGCATATTTAAGAATGAATTTGACATCATTATTGAAGCCTGAACCTCTTGAAACTGTAGCTTGATCCAAATTTAATAAATGGGGCATCTTTTCTCCAATATATTTCAAAGTATAATCTTTATCACCTTCTCTGATCATGATATGAATGACAATTAATGATTTGTAAACCACAGACCAAGCGCTATCTTGGAGCCTTGTCTGTAACGTCCTCATAATAGTACCAAAATTTTCAATTTCAGTACTATGATGGACTGAAGTTGCCAATAAAATTGGTTCAATGTATTTCAGTTTTGGAGCGGCCACTTTGATTTTAGTAGCTCCTTTGACAATTTTTTCATAAGTCGTCATGATATGTATTTATTCTCTTATGCTGGGAGTAATTGGAAAGGAACTGTTAATGATGGAATGGATCGGAAGATAGGTTTGTTATCTTATATGAGATTTCGAGAATGATTTTTCCACAAGTGCCTTGACTGCGAACAATTAGGGGAATTTGATCCATTTTGATTTTATGCAATGAATGTCATTGTTTTTGAAACAAAATGATTACAGAGTTTCTCTACAGCTTATTTATGGGCTAACAGTAGTGGTCTTCAAAGTATTGAATTACTATTTACAAAAAATTCTATATTACATTTATTTCTTTTTCATTCCACCTCTCTTTTCCAAGAAATCTTTGGCTTCATTAACTTTGGTGGCTAAAAATGGAGAACCACCTTTATCTGGATGATTAGACAACATCAATTTTCTATGTTGTTCCTTTAATTTGAGTTGAGATAAGTTTGATTCTTTTAAATTCAAAATTTGTAAAGCTTCTTTGGCAGTCATTTTTTGTCCAAAAGCTCCTTTGACAAAGGTTTTACCGTTATAGCCAGGTTGTTTGGATTTGATTAATCCTGAAGCGGCATAGGCAAATCCGAATAAACCTATACCTGTGATCCATGGATGATCACCCATCCAATTGGTGGCTTGATCGAAATACCATTCAGCGCTTCCTTCAGGAGCCTGTTTACGTTGTAATTGTCCGGTATAGTATTGTTGTGCTTGGTCGACGGTCTGTTGTTGGTCTCCAGGTATTGATAATACTGGTGGTTGCATATTATTTTGTGACATCTTTAATCACTGAAAAATTTTTGAGAGTGAGAAAAGAATAATGTGGATGGGTTTAGGTCACGTGATCAAATAAAGATTGAATCGAAAATGGATTTTGAAGAATGAATGTGAAAAAGGGTATAGTTGGATAGGTTGTGGTGAAGTTTGGAAGACCGGAAGGGTATTGGACACGAAATATGAATTTTGTCCCATCTGATTGTCTAGAAGAATTGACCAAATTTTGTTTGGTCAACAATATCCAAATGAACTACCGAAATGTTCCAAACTGAATTCGGTGACGTCTATTAGTGGTTTGACGTCGTCTCTCATCCTCTTGTCCCCATTCACATTGAATATCACCAGAATGGACGCCAAATCCTAATACGCATTGTTTACAAAATATAGATCAGTGTGAGAAATCTAACATGGACCAGGTCCTTATACCAATTGATGACCTTCTAAACTTGGTGGGTAACACCATAGATAGAGAGTTGGAAATTACATACAAGGACGAGGTGTTAACTCATTTCATACAGAATTATGTCCCCGATTCTTTAGGTGCATTTATCTCCCATGATGATATAATAATAAGTAACGAAATAGATTCCATACCTGAAGATGCCAAGTACTATCAATTGATGATAATTATCAAAAGCAAAGGTCAAATTACAGACGTTAAACAAATAGAAACATTAATAATCCCCATAAATAATTCCGAAGATAATGATATATTCGATAAGATACGATCCATCATTAATTTTGGTTTGATACCGATATTTGAATCCTCCAGTTTGAAAAGAAATGTCGACTCAGATTCTTTCATCAATGTTACAAGAAAGAAATTCAACGAACTTTCATTGTCTTTACAGAACTTGCAAGAGAAAATTCAAGTTCCAGATCTTTTACTATCAGTTCATCCTATGATAAAACAATATGAGACCAAAGTGGATGTATTCGAAGAGGAATTGTTGAATGATTCGAAGATCTTGAATGAGGTGACATCAATTGTTAATGGTTGGATCAAGCAGATCCAAGCCATTACTAATTTGTCCAGTGATATCAATTCTCAAGTATCCATTAGTGACGAGATTCAATTTTGGACTTCTTTGGATATCTCCTTGACATCCTTAGCAGACCAATTGAATTCGGTTCAAATCCAAAATTCGATAAACCTTTTAAATAATGCTAAAAGATTCCATGTTATTTTGAGTTTCAATAATGACACTAACTTGGCAGAGAAAGATTTAGAGACCAAACTCAATCTTTCGCTATTAAAAGACTTGCCCATAACGGAATTAACTTCTGTAAACTCCAAGGATCCCGACTGTTTTGAAAATTTGGAACTTCTGATATCGAATGTCTTCACTCATTTGAAGAAATTAAGAACCGTTACCAATTTTCCTTTGGAGAAAGCTTTGTTGATCATTGAATTGTTCTTGAAAGATGTCGAAGCAAAATTCAATGACTTGCTTTCAAACATGGAATTATTGACTTTAAGACTTGATGACTTCATCACTTTGAATGAAACAAGTATAGCCAATATTTTCAACACCATTGACCTTAATGTGAAGTATATGATTAATTTGATAAGGGAATTAACTAGGAAACGTCATGAGAAGTTCATTTTAGTAAGAATAGATCAAGAACCTATCAATAAATTGAAGTCAAAAATCGATCTGTTGAAAGATTTCAGATTGAAACATGAGAACCTTCTATTTGTTATACGAAACTTCCTCAGAGATTTTGACCAAGAATCTAAACTTTTAGAAGAATATAACAGATTATCATCATTGAATCCCTTTGATAATTCCAAACATGGTCAAGTGATGTGGACTTCTAGTGAAATTTTCTATAATACCATTCATAATGATATTCAGAATTCGATAACTTTGAAATTGAATAAACTATTTGCCAAATGTGATACCATCCAAGATTATTCAATTGTGGCAGAAAAGTATAAATACCTTGCTGTGGAAAATACCTTCAATATACTGGTTTTAACTAAAGAGGATTTGAGAATGAAGATTTTAGAGAAAGCCAGAGATGAAATTAGTGAAATAATACGCTTTGATACCCAATATGGCGACAAGTTATTGAAAGATTTTTCAATGTTCATCACGTTGAATGAAAGTTCGGACGGTTCAGAAGTGAAGGCTACAATGGCCAGAATTTTAGGTATTCGAGATAAGTTGACATTTTACGAAGATAATCTCATTACTTTGGTAGGGGATGAATGGTTTAAATATTCCATTGGAAATAAAGTGGCTGAACAAATCACCGGTTTGAAACTGAAGTTCGACCCTGAGGTAGTGTTTACTGACTTTTTGGATTCTCTAGTGGCTTTCACCAGTGAGAATAAGATAGAAATCAGAGGCAAAGTCTTGAAATCCATTGAAACCAATGGAGAAAATGACGTTGTACTCAATTATGATAATAAATTCATTGCTTATAAGGAGATTTTACTTCATTTTGTTTCGTTGGGTTTCAAAGTACCTCCAAATTTATTGTTGGAATTTCAAAAGATCAGTTCCCTTTTGCCTATTGTCAATAATTTGAAGGAAAACTTCTTTATTATTAAGAATTTGTTCTTGAACGTCTTGAAGAAACCATATGGGCAAAAATTTGAGTTCTTAATTGAAGAAGACAAATCGTCTATTGAACAGTATCTTAATCTCATTAAAGATCTCAACTGGGAGTATCTTTCCCAAGCTTTGGAGTTACGTGATGTTGAAACTGACGATAGCTTGATCGAAATCAAATCGTATCAAACGGTAATGGGATTCCAACAGCTGATTGAAAAGTTGAATATCAAATTGCTGACAATATCCAAACTTCATTATTACTTAGAGAGAGAAATTTATCAACAATTGAAAGCTTGTAAATATAATTATGATGAAATTTCTTCCATTATAAGTGACTTGAAAACCAAAGTGTCGGGAATTTACACATTCGAGAATATCTCTGGGTTATGCAAATTGATAGATGAAGAGATTATGGATATTTTAAATGAAAGAATGGAGAGAGAATTACTCAGGTTCATGGATGAGATTTCTTTGGACAGCTCAGTTCAGGGCCAATATGCTGTTGAAGTATCCATTATTTCAGGATATCAAAATATTATGATGGAGCCTAAGATCGATGATTTGAAAGCTACGATGATCAACAAGATTAATCAAATTATTTCTATTGTCTGTCGTCAAAAGTCATTACTGGAAAATAATTGCACTGTAGTGAATGAACTGGTTTCAAAAGCACTTCTGAAGGCAATTATGGATCAACAACTTGTAATTGATGAGGTTTATAACCATTTCAACAAATGGCAGACAGTCAATAGCTTAATAAGTTTGAATTTAGATTCTGAAGATGATATTACGAAATTCTCATTCGATGATTCTTTGAATCATTGGTATGATTCCATTAGTAGAGTATTGTCATTGAGATCAATGTTTTACAATAATAAAGTCATGTTCGGTAATGTTTTGGTGGATTTGACAAACATTCAAACCCGAATGTCTTTCAGATTTGACAACTTCCAGAGATCAATAATCAAAAAGTTTGCTGATATCTTCCAGAAAGCTATCCATGATTTTGATGATGTTATAATAAATGCAACTAAACTATTGTCGTTCAACACAATGGATTCTGCCAATTTTATTCTCAATTTGAGTAAATTCATTGAAACGAAGGAAGCATTTGGTGGAAGCTGGAAACAGAACCACGATTTATTGGTAGATAGTTCCAAAATGCTCCAAAAATTTGGTTTTGTATTCCCCACGAATTGGACTTTTGTAGAACAAATTGATAATAATCTTTCGGTAATTGAATCCATCATCAATAAGAAACAATCAATAATTGAAGAGAATTTCGAATTCATTAAATCAAGAATCATCGGTCAAACAAATGAGTTATCAGAGACTATCCTTAGATTCAAAGACGATTGGTACAGTAAAAGGCCGATATCTGGAGATGCTAATCCAACGATGATTTTGAATTCATTGAAGAACTTTGAGTCAACATGTAATGGATACATTTCAACTAAAGAGAGTTTGATGATGATATCAGAGTATTTCAAGATTGAAATCCCCGATATAGAGATCCAGGTCCTTCTTGATGTTCAAGAGGAGATCAAAAACTTCCACCAAGTATGGTCTTCAATCAATGCTTTGAATGGCCAGATTCAATCCTTCAAGAAGTTGAAATGGTCAGAGGTAAAACCGAGGGATATCAGAATCAAGTTGGAAAACTTATTGGAGGAAAGTAGGTCCTTACCCATAAAGGTTCGTCAATACGCTGCATTTGACGATATTCAACAAAACGCTAAAGATCTCATGAAACAGAATAAATATTTGATAGACTTGAAGAATGAGAACTTGAAAGACCGTCATTGGAAGAAATTATTATCGTCCATTGGATATCAAGGTAAGTCATTCCAGCTCTTCAATTTGGGAGATATTTGGGATCTCAATTTACCTGCTCATGAAGCTATCATCAAAAGCATTATCTCTCAAGCCAATAATGAACATACACTTCAAGAAAATATAGGAAAAATCAAGGGAAAATGGCAGTCTTTGACATTTGACATGTTTAATTTCAATTCAAGAGTGAAATTAATCAAGTCCTGGGACTTTTTGTTCGAGACTTGTAGTCAAGATTTGAATGAATTGGAAAGTATGAGAAATTCTGCCAGCTACCATGCCTTTGAGCAAGATGTAAACCATTTGGAGTTCAAATTGAATTCATTCTATGTACTTTTGGATATATGGATTGAAGTTCAAAGACAATGGGTTTATCTTGAAGGAGTATTTGAAGCTAGGAACAATATAGCCAATATCTTACCATTAGAATCATCACGATTCAACAATTTTACTTACGAATTCTTAGATCTTATGAAGAAAGTAAGTAAGATAGAGTTGGCCATAGACGTGTTACTCATTGGTGACATAGAGACGACTCTTGAACGATTGTTGGATAATTTTTCCAAACTTCGTAGATCACTAGCTGAGTTTTTGGATAAACAACGAGAGCAATTTGCTAGGTTCTACTTCATTGGAAATGATGACTTATTGGAACTCATTGGTAGTGGGAATGATTTCATTAAAATAAATTTCCATATCAACAAGCTATTCTATGGGGTCAGTAACGTCGGCTACGATACTGACAGATCATCGATAGTATTCATAGAAAGTAATGATGGGGAAAAAGTTCATCTTGAGACACCTGTTTCGTTGATTAAGTTCCCCAATCTTCTCGAATGGTTAAAACAATTAGATCTTGAGATTAAGCTCACATTATCCAGTTTAATTAAAACCAACATCCAACCAATAAGACAATTCTACCAATCACCTTCTAGGGAAATTATCCTCAAACTTATGGATGACCTTCCTTCTCAGGTAGTGTCAGTTTGTACTCAAATTGTTTTCACAGAATTCAGAACCGATAGACAATTGAAAGTGGAAGACATTCAAGAAATTATTGTTTTGTTGGGAGATATCCCATCCACCTCAGCTCTCGGAAGGAAAAAGGTAGAGAGCTTGATGATAGAATTAATTCACCAGAAGGATGTCTTTGAACAATTCGGGACTGCCAATGCTGAGAGAGTTTTAGCCACTGAACTTTGTTACAAATACGATATGAATTCCTCCGACCCCCTCAAAGCTTTGAAAGTCCAACAATTAGAATATGTTTTTGATTACGGATTCGAGTATTTAGGAATTCCTGCAAAATTGGTATACACACCTTTGATAAGTAAATGTTTTGCAGCCATGACCCAAGCTTTGGGCCAGAAACTTGGAGGTTCGCCCTTTGGTCCTGCTGGTACGGGAAAAACCGAAACTATCAAAGCTTTGGGTGGGTATTTGGGTAGAATGGTAACAGTATTCTGCTGTGATGAAACTTTCGATTATCAATCGATGTCAAGAATTTTTCTTGGGATCTGTAAATTAGGATGTTGGGGATGTTTTGACGAGTTTAACAGATTAGATGAGAAGCTTCTTTCAGCTGTGTCCTCACAAATTGAAAGTATTGAGTACGGATTGAAACATTCTACATCTATTATCGAGGTCTCTGGTCAACACATAAATGTTAATTCGGACGCTGGAATCTTTATTACTATGAATCCAGGTTATGTGGGAAGAAATCAATTACCTGAGAATTTGAAGAAACTTTTTAGAAGCTTCTCTATGGAAAGACCCGATAAAGATATCATCGTTGATGTTATCTTAGCTTCCCAAGGTTTCAAAAACTCCAGAAGTTTGGCACAGGTGATAGTGCCCTTCTTCCAAGAGCTTGAAGACAAAACATCCAACCAAAGCCATTATGACTTTGGTCTTAGAGCTCTTAAAAGTATGCTTAACAATTGTGGGAAATTGAAACGGTCCGTTGATAATGTGGAAGAGGTTCTGATTATTGTCCAAAGTATTGATGAGACCACACTTCCTAAACTCATAAAGGAAGATGAGATTGTGTTCAATGAGCTCAGAAACAAATTCTTCTACGATGTGGAGGCCATCAACTTTGACGATGAGGAGTTGATGAGTCTTCTCAAAGTCCATTGTGAGAATAATGGGTTGGCCTTTACTCCTGCTTTCAAGAAAAAGGTTCTCCAATTGAATAAATTACAAACGAATCACCATGGGATCATGTTGGTGGGTGAGTCTGGCTCAGGGAAAACAACTTGCTGGAAGCTGCTATTGAAAGTTCTTGAAGCAAAGACTCAAGTTGAACATGTGAACTATGTTATCGATGCTAAAGTTATGAAAAAGGAATCCTTGTATGGGTCTTTTGATCCTGTAACAAGAGAATGGAAGGATGGGTTATTGACTGACATTCTCCGTAGAATCAATGGTAACTTAAGAGGGGAAATGAACAAAGTCTCATGGATAGTATTTGACGGAGACATTGATCCTGAATGGGCAGAGAATTTAAATTCTGTTTTGGATGATAACAAGATCTTAACTTCGCCGAATGGGGAGAGAATTGAAGTTCACAACAACGTGAAGATAATCTTCGAAACTGACAATTTGAAAACCACCACTCCCGCTACCATCAGTAGATGTGGTATGGTATGGTTTGAAAAAGACATTTTGGATGACTACTCTGTGTTCGAATCGTTGTTGTTCGGTATGGAGCTTGTTCCTGTTATTGAAGATAGTGATAGTGATGTGGAGATTCTCCAGATACAAAAATCTTTCGTTGGATTTGTAAAAGAATTTATCAACCCAGAGACTTTGGAACATATCATCAACGAAACCTTGAAAATCGAACATATCATGGACTTCAATATTCACAGGTACCTCAACTCCTTCAATGATTTCTTAAGATCTTATTGTCGTAAGTATTTACACTATCAAATCGAAAGTGATAAAAAGACTATGTTGACCGATAAATTTGTTGGAGTATCAGTGTTGTTATCATTAATATGGTCCTTTTCCGGTGATAGTCCTCTTGACCAAAGAGAATTGTTTGCTACCGTTATATCGAACCATCAGTGTTTCAAAAACTTGAATATTCCTAGTGTGAATCTTATCGACTATGACATAGATATTGAGACTGGGGAATGGATCAGTTGGTCGAATAAGGTGAAATTTACTGACTTAGAACCTCACAAGGTGGCTGAACCCAACACTGTGGTGAGTACCACCGATACTGTTAGACATGAAAGCTTGATCCGTTCAGTTTTGAATGAGCATAAAACGTTGTTACTTTGTGGACCTCCAGGATCTGGTAAAACCATGACTTTCTTGGAAGTGTTGAAGGCTTCACCTAAACTTGATGTTTTGCAATTGAATTTTTCCAAAGATTCTTCACCAAAATCTTTGATGAACTCCTTAACCCAATACTGTGAATATCAAAAATCTTCCAATGGTACTATATTCACACCAAAGGTTTCAGGCAAATGGGTAGTGGTATTTTGTGATGAAATCAATTTACCCGGTGTGGATAAGTACGGCAGTCAAAAGGTTATATCTTTGATGAGACAGATGATTGAATGGAAGGGATTTTGGCATGATAAGGATATGCAATGGGTAACCATGAAGAACATTCAATTTGTAGGAGCATGTAATTCACCTAAAGATCCTGGTCGTCAGAAATTATCCGACAGGTTCTTGAGACATGTGACGCTATTAATGGTAGATTACCCTGGGAGATCTTCACTAGAACAGATTTATGGATCATTTAACTCAGCAGTGATGAAATGTGCCCCTGATTTGAAGGGCTACACCAATTCTGTTACCAAGGCAATGATCGATATCTATTGTCGAACAAAAGATCATTTAACACCTCAATCCTATGCCCATTATATCTATTCTCCTAGAGAATTGACCAGATGGACAAGAGGTTTGTTAGAAGCCATAAAAGTGACCACATATACTGAATTAGGAAAATTTCTCAGGTTATGGTATCACGAAGGATTGAGATTATTCCACGACAGGCTTGTTACTGACGATGATAGGAAATGGACAAAAGATCTTTTCAAGGAAGTTATCAGTGAAACTTTCCCATTCTCCGAACTAGAAGACATAATGAAGGAACCAGTAATGTTTTCCGATTGGCTCTCACAAAGTTATGAAGCTATTGAACGTCCAGAACTTTACAGGTTCATCAATCAAAGACTTGCTACTTTTAGTGAAGAAGAGATTGATGTTGAATTAGTGCTTCATGAATCTTTCTTGACTCATGCCTTGAGAATAGATAGGGTTTTGAGACAACCACAGGGACATATGATCCTTGTAGGAGCTTCTACCAGTGGTAAAACTACACTCACCAAATTTGTATCCTGGATGAATGGTTTAAAGACGGTGCAGTTAGATGTCCACAGTAAATTCGATATCCATGAGTTTGATAAGTGTTTGAGAGACATTTTAATAAGATGTGCCAAAGGGGAGTCCATTTGTTACATTATTGATGAGTCCAGTATAATTGAAACATCGTTCATTGAACGAATGAATACCTTATTGGCCAATTCTGAAGTTCCAGGATTATTCGAAGGTGACGATTTCAAAAGTCTTATGAATATCTGCCTAGAAGAATCTCAAAACCAAGGTCTTTTACTCGATTCAAATGATGAGTTATATAAATGGTTCACTCAACAAATTTCCACCAATTTACATGTGGTGTTTACCATCACCGAGTTGAAGGATTCTAATCGTATCCAAGTGATATCTTCACCCGCCTTGTTCAATAGGTGTGTATTAAGTTATATGGGAGACTGGTCTCCAGAGACATTATTCGAAGTTGGATCTAAAAAGATTGAGGAATTACCTGTTGATGCAAACAATTATGAGATTCCTGCAAATTATGAGTCTTTTAGGAGATTAAGTAGTTTCAGAGACATTTTGGTGGACTGTGTGATATTCATCCACAGATCTATTGAAAAAACAGGAAATTATCCTGGAAAATTCCTTCAGTTGATCGATGAGTTCATTTCAAGATTCAACACTCACCAATCTGAAATGGAAGAAGTCCAAAGACATACTACCAATGGGTTGAATAAATTGAGAGAAACGGTTCTTCAAGTGGCTCGATTGAAAGAGGAATTATCCCATAAGAAGAAAGAACTCACGAAGAAAGATTTGGAAGCAGGAGAAATGCTTAATGTTATGCTTTCAGAACAAAATGAAGCTGAAAGAAAACAAGAGTTTTCCATAACAGCTCAAGAGGAATTGAATAAACAAGAAATCGAAATCGAAGAACGGAAAAAGCATGTAATGAAGGATCTTGCTGAGATCGAGCCAACGATTTTAGAGGCTAAGAAAGGAGTACAGAATATCAAAAAACAACATCTCACAGAGATCAGAAGTATGACCAATCCTCCTGCTGGGGTTAAAATGACCATGGAATCAGTATGTATATTGGTTGGCTATCAAGTTTCTTCCTGGAAAGATGTTCAACTTGCTATCAGAAGGGACGATTTTATTCCTAGTATTGTTAATTACAATAATGAAGAACAATTGACTCCTGCGATCAGAAATTATATGGAAGAAACGTATCTTTCAAGACCAGATTATAATTTCGAAGCCGTCAACAGAGCTAGTAAATCATGTGGACCTCTTTTAACTTGGACAAAAGCCCAATTAACCTATTCTTCAGTATTACAAAGTATAGGGCCATTAAGAGAAGAGGTTAAGATATTGGAGAACGGAGCTAGGAAGACAAGAGCTCAATTGAATGCTTTGAAACAAATGGTAGAAGATTTGAATGCCAGTATTTCCAAATACAAGAAAGATTATAGTTCTTTGATCAGAGAAACCGAAAGCATAAAGATGGAAATGGAGTCAGTTGAGGCCAAGGTTGAAAAAAGTATGAAATTGATGAATAATTTGACGTTGGAGAAGGATAGATGGAAGCAGACAACGATGAAGTTTGCTGAAACCAACGAAAGAATTATTGGTAATTCACTTTTGGGGTCAGCTTTCATGGTTTATTGTGGAGAGTTTGACCAAAGAGATAGGGAGTCATTATTAAATCAGTGGAAGGGCCAATTAGACAAATGTTCAATCAAGTATGATAATGCTCTCTCAGTGGTGAATTTATTGCCTTCCGAATTAGGAAATTCAACTGAATCAAGCGAATTTGTGGGCGAGGACTTGGATGAATTGGTGGTGGAAAATAAAATCATCATTGGAACTTCCAAGATACCTTTAATAATTGATCCTTCCTTACAAATGATTTCTCTGACTGATACATTCATCAAAACAAAGAAATTGGTAGTAACTAGTTTTTTGAACGAATCTTTCATCAAAGATTTGGAAAATGCTATAAGATTCGGAGGGTCTATCTTGATCAAGGATAGCGAGTACTATAATCCTATAATGGATTCAATCTTGAGACATGAGATCCAAAAGAATGGTGGTAGACTTTTGATAAAGGTCGGTGATCATATGATTGATTTTGATCCTCATTTCGAATTATATCTCCATACAGCAGACTCAGCTATTAAATTGTCACCATTCATCAAGTCCAGAGTTTCGGTAGTGAATTTCTCCGTAAGTGTCAGAAATCTTGAGAACCAAGTTCTTAACTTGGCATTAAGAGTTACGAAACCTGACATCGAAACACGTAGGAGTAATCTTATAAAGTTGAAGTCTGAATATAAGGGAAGGTTGAAAACTTTAGAATTGAAACTTCTTGATTCTATCAGTGAGACCACTGGAAGTATTTTGGATGATAACAGGGTGATAGAGTATCTCGATCAATTGAAGGAAGAGTCGCATACCATCGATGAACAAATGAAAGAATCAGATATCATTCTTGAAACTATAGAACAAGTTAGAAACGGATATAATGAAGCAGCTACCCATTCATCACTGATATTTGAGATCTTGAAAGCTTTTAGTAAGTTCAGCACTTTCTATAGGTTTTCTTATAACGACTTCACTGATATCTTTGCGAATACTTTGAAGATTTCCGATACTTCTGATGTTAATAAGCTTATAATGGACTTATACAAAGAAGTATATGCAGTGATTTCACCGTCATTAATGGGAACCCATAAAGTTGTTTTAGGAGTATTATTGGCGTGTCTGTATTATAAACAAGACATTGGAGATCATTTCAAACAATTCTTTGAAGGTATTATTTCTATCATTGTGAATGAACGGTATACTGACTTGGGGCCAAACTTCGATAAAATCTTTATTCAAGATGTCAGTTTAGAGAATTTGGAACTGAAAGTTCATGAAAACATACAAGATCAAGTTATCTCGAAAATTTCAGCCTTGGTTTTGTCTTTGAGAGCCGGAACATTGAATGCTTTAGAATTTTCAAATGGCTTGAAGGAATTCTGCTCACTCCTCTTCTCAGGAACCGGTGCTTATAGTTCTAAATATTCTATTGGGGATTTTGTGTCTCATAAGGTAACCAAAGGTAAAACCTTCATTCTAGCGTCCAAGCAAGGGTTCGATGCCACTTTCAAAATAGAACAATTGGCTAGAGCTCAAAATCAAAGACTTCAAATCATTTCTTTAGGTTCGAAAGAAGGTACAGAGTTAGTCAAGAAAGAAATACAATCGATTTCAGGTAGGGGTGATTGGTTATTGATCCAAAATATTCAAATGTCACCAGAATGGTTGAACCATCTTGAAAAAATCATCAATGAATTGACTGGTGATTCCAACTTTAGATTGTTCTTAACCACCAATCTTAATTGTTCAATTCCTACAACCTTGATTGAGAATTCTCAGGTGTTGGTATTTGAAAATGAACCAACTTTAAAGAGCATAATGTTGGAAACTTTTAAATTCTACGATGAATCAATATTGACCCAGAAAACACCTGAATTTAGATATATCTATTTCTTACTATGTTGGTATCATAGTTTGATCTTAGCTCGATTAAGATACGTTCCTGTTTCATTCACGAAGATCCACGATATCAATGAATCAGATTTCCAAGCTTGCTTGATGGCCATCGACAGTATGGTACACCAGGGAGGTAAAACCAATATCTCACCTGAAGATATTCCTTGGGATAAAATTAGCTTGGTAGTAGGAGAGTTATGTTATGGAGGAAAAATCGACAATAGTGAAGATTTGAAATATTTCATTGATTTGAGTAGTCGATTATTCTGTCTCCAATCATTCTCACCTGACTTCAACCTTATAAAGAACCCTTTCACTAATAATAATAAAGCATTACTCAAACCAGATGGTATTTCCATCAACACGTATTATCAATGGATCCATGATTTGCCCAACGACATTCCTTTCTCCTGGATTGAACTTGATAATAACACCCAAGATACGGTGATTTTAAACGAACAACTAATGATCTGTAAAGACATCTTATGTAATATAGTAATATAGTAATATAGAGAATTTTTGTAACTGAAAATTATGTATTAGGATACATACATATTCCACATTATAATTTACAATGCTTTTTATATATAATTATTGGAAATCCCATTGATTTTTAAGTTTATAATAAATTTGAAATAATTTATTCATCATCTTCTTCTAAAGTTTGAGCAGCAATACGATCTAAATCTCTTTGACCGTTTTCAGAGATTTTTCTACCACCTTTTGGAGAAATTTCTAAGACACCAATTTTTTCTAATGATTGTAAAACTTTTCTGTTAACGGAACCTGAAGCATCAGCGTGTCTGTGTGGTCTGAAACCTCTGTTAATAGCACCACCGTATAATTTGTTTAATTTACCAACACCAACTTGTTTTCTTAAGTAGATGTGTCTAGCAACTGAAGCAGCTCTTTTGTAGAACCAAGTTTCAGCTTCTTGTGGTGGTAATTCATTACCAGCTGAGGTTTTAACAATATCAACGTAACCTGGAACTTCTAATTTACCTTGACGTTGTAAAAATTGAGCATAAGCATTAATGAAATCTTGAGCTGGGACGTCTCTAAATATTTGTTAGTATTATGGAGTTTTAATGTTTAGGGTTAAAAAGAAGGTTTTTCATTGTTGGAAGGATGAATGGTTTCTTTGATTTTTAACTTCAATATATAAACTTTGGAGTCTAATTTTTCATATGATAGATTCATTCTACGATAATTATCCCATTATCATAGTTTTAAAAGGTCTACTAAAATTTTTCACTGTTCTCATCTGGGTCACAAATCATAGGGTAAAAATGATATTCTTGATGATTCTAACCTCTGGTGATACTCATACAATATAGTTCATGATCCAATTAATGATCTGCCTTCAATATTTAACACTGTTTCAATAGTACTTACCTAACTGATACACCGGCCATTTTGTCTAATAAAATTATTTGATTTTTTTTTTTCGCTTTGAATGAGAAAAATTAACAGTGAAGGATTTTGGCATTTCTGAAAATTCTCACTGATGAAAAAAACAGTCACAGTCGCACGTGAGAGAAAAGTGAGAGTTGGATTTTTTTGCAGCCATTTCAAATATCCTGTTGCAATCTACTTAAACTAAGTAACTTACTTCTTCCTGATGATAGAATTAATGGTGTTTGATCAGAAATGGTATTTACAGGTCTTGGACTTATCCCACGAGTGTATTGTTCCAATTCTAATAATGATGCTTCAGCCATCCAGAAGTTATCGGAAACTTCATTAGGCGAACTATGATCGAATCTAAACTTAATGTCATTATTTTCATAAACCACTTGTGCTGATGTGGGCCTTCTAAATTTGGGCGAATTGAAAGTCAGACTTCCCCAAGGTTGGAACAGTTGGATTTTCTTTCTATCACCACTTGTGATGGCGTCTCTAATATGATCTCGTAATACAGTTTCTTCTCTTGTAGACCAACATTGTTCAATAGCCACATGCTTCAAATAAACATCATAAGATTTTAGATGACTTACAAAGTGGGTGATCAATCTTAATGCTGTTAAATCGGATTGTGACAGAGGATCTCCATATTGTAAGGAAATATTCGAAACTCCAAGAAGTTGTATCATCAAACAAATTTTATGTCTTAAAGTACGACCAAAATCAGGGAGTATTAAAGTTGGATGAACTATCATGAAAGTGAATTCTTTCCTTGGGATATAATTTGGAATTGGTTCTCCTGAGAATTTCAAATAACTAATGATCCCCACATCAATTGTCAATAGTTTCAAATTAGTAGATTTACATAAACTTGAAACGAACCAATTGCCACAATAAGAACTTTCTTCTATCGATTCATCAGCCCAGTAATCACTACGAGAAAAGAAATCCTCTCTGATACTTCGTTTAACTACCCTAATGCTTAACTTATCGAGATTTTTACCACACATGTCGTCAATCAATTCTAAGAAAGATGTATGAACGATGCAGGAGTCTCTACTGACGAATAAATTACACTCTTTGATAGTACATTTTCCTTTGAAGATGGTGGAGAGTTCCTTCAAATGGTATTTTTCTATTTCGTTGAAATCAATAAATAGATCTAATCTTCTCACTAAAGGGATAATATCTTTTACCAGATCAAGGTTTATGATGTTCAAAGACAAGTAAGTGAGATTTGAAGGAATGTTCTTAAGCAATAATAGTTTTTGATCACTGGTAGGAGTACCATATGTCTCATTGAAGGTAGAATCAAGAACCTTTAATGTCTTTACATTTGGGAAATATTTCATGTCCTCACTGAACAATTCCCTACCTCCTTCAATATACTCCACGAAGTTATTCATACTGAAACTGTCATAACGACTTTTGAATGATTCATCAGCTCTATAACTTTTCCTAGCCAACTCAGAATTTGAACATTCTCGAAATCCTCTCTCTAAAACTTCTCTTATCAATTGTCTATGATATTCCTTCTCTTTAGAATTTCTTCTAGAACCGGCTGCAGGAGGAGTTGAAAGAATAGCGTCAGTTTGATCCTTTCTAACCAAACTAACGTGAGTAAATATACAGCTCCCTAGAAGTTTCCTTAGGAAAATACATGTGGTGGATAATGATATTATGTCTTTAAAATGAGGCAAGTATTTGTTTACTACGAAAACAGAAACATCAGCAGCCTCACAACCCAATTTATTGGCATTGAGTTTGATTTGACCTCCCCCGAGATGAAGTATGATTTCATAGATGGTTTCCAACGGGAGATCCAACAAAGATGGGCTTTGTCTTGAACTCATGATCCTTAGTGATTTCGCACTGATAAGATAAACCCGATGGACTTGAAGACTTCACAAAAAGATAAGAGCAAAAGGTTAAGAGAAACTTCTACTTTACAAATGTAAATGATTAACTATAAAATATAAGAATCTAATTAGATTAGACTTTGAAACCTCTTGATCTTCTTCTACCTCTAGCTCTTTCGAATTTTCTACCTTTTGACATAACTTTTGGAGCTTTGTTTTTGTGTGGACCGAAACCAAAGTGTCTAACAGCTTCTCTTGAGTTTCTTGGACCTCTTAAGATTAAAGTGTTTTGACCTTTTGGAGCTCTTAAAGCTAATTGATCTAAAGTGATAGCTTCACCACCATTTTTTAAGATGGTAGCTTTAGCACCAGCAGTGAATCTTAAAGCAGCAACAGTAGTTTTTGGGAATTCTAATAATCTGTTATCATCGGTAACGGTACCAACAACAACAATGGTTTTATCAGCAGCACCTTTTTGTTTTAAAGCTCTTGAGATTCTTGAGACTGAAACTGGAGGTCTGTTAATTTTTGATAAGAATAATTGTCTTAAGATAACTTTGTTGAAAGCAGCATCAGTACGACCTATTAATAGTTAGTATAAATTTCTTTCTGCTCAGAAGACGCACAATAAGTCAAAAATGACTTGCACTCGCAGAATAAGCATCTTGTAAAAAATTTTCAGACCAGCTGAATTTTTAACAAAAGCTCATCTAAAATGGTACTTGAGGACTGAAGCTTGAACATTTAAATTGTACTTATAATTCGATTGAATCAAATCATTATTGAGTGAATTATATAATTTGTCAATATCTTCATTGACTATATTTATCGACTCTTTCGAATTTAAATCTATTATTCAAGCTTCTTTGTCAACTTCTAAAGTACTCATTATAATTTGTGAATATCCTACAAGGTTATTGACAACTTATTGATACATCTTCTGTGGAAATTTTTCAAAGATTAGTTTTGGGTAGAAACTAATATCTTTGATTGTTTCATATATACATACGAGCTAAGAATGAATATAATTTGACTAAAAGTTTTAAGTAAACATTGTCAGATTTTGGAGCTTCTCTGTGACCAGATCTTTCGTGTTGTTTAGTAAAATGATCTCTACCCATGTTTAATTAAGTTACACTGAAAAAAAATTTTATTAGTTTTTCAGTGCGGTATAACATTGGGATGGGAAGAAAGTCGTGGGGTGGTGAATATTTCTTGAGATTTCCAACAGTCACTTCGATGAGACTAGGGGTAGAGCCCTAAACACATGATAAATCAGGTGAAAAGTCAGGTGTTGTTAGATCATGGTAGGTTATCATTAAATGCGAAAAGTATCACACCAAATAACTGAAGGATTGTATTGAAATGCCACAAATAACACCAATTAAAGGGTTTATAAATACTCCGGTGACGAAGAAGGTGGTGATTTTCAGTACCATAATTACAATTCTCGTGTCGATATTTCAGATTAAATATTTGTTCACTTTATCGATTGATCCTTTGATATTGGAGTACAATCAATTCTGGAGAATACTTACTTTCCAATTGTCGGTAATCAATGAATCAGATTACTTATTAACTATGATCTTATGGTTTCATTTCAAGAATTTGGAAAGATTCTATGGATCTCAGAAATATTTATCATTGATATTGATCTTATCGATTTATAATGGTGTGGTGACATTCCTTATTATGAGTTTAGGTCAATTATTAATCAATTTTATTGATTATTTCATTTTGACTACCTTCAAGTTAAACGGATATACATATTTCACCACCATATTGAATTCAATTGTTCCAGGACCAATAGGGATCTTAAGTTCCTTATATATCTGTTTTGGAACATACATCCCAATTTCTTATCAATTCAAAATCTTACTTTCGAACCCTTTCAAGAATAATCAAGAGAATCACAGTAATAGCAAGGAATTATTATTAACTGATCATTTCCAAATCCATATTTTATACACTTTATTATTATTCAATAATGGGTTTAAATCATTTGTTCCTTCATTGATTGGATTATTTATTGGGAAATTATATACCAGTGAATTATTGCCAGGGTCAAAATCTTGGTTATTGCCAACGACATTATTTAAAATCTTCATTAACCCTTTCAAGATTCTTAATAATATAATAAACCTTATTAGAAGAAGATTCAATGGGTATCAATCAATAAACCAAATCATTGATGATGAAGACCAAAATGAAGAAAGTAATGAACGAGAAGAAATAGTTGACGATATGAGAAATAATGAAAGCGAAATAAGAGCTGAAACCCCAGTAAGACCTTTAGCAAGTCAATTTTTAGACACTTTTAGAACTCGAGGGGATTAACTATGATTTTATATATTAATGTGCATGATTAGATTTTAAGATTCTTAGTACCTTCTTCAACTTTATTTCTTCTTCTTTCCACATCCCAATTGTATAATCTGGCAGTGTTTACTTCCATGGTAGTAATATTCTCTTTCAAAAAGACCAAATCTTCTTTGATGATTTCGACGTTTTCCAAGTTTTTCTTCAATCTATCATCTAAAAGTTCAATGGCTTCATCTAATGGATATTCCAACATAACTTCCGCTCCCAACCATAAATATACAGATTTCAAATTTTCGGTATTGATGGTAGCTTCAGTATATAAGGAATCATTCAATTCATAATTGGTTTCTATTATTTTGGATTCATCATCATCATCGTTATCTTGTTTTTCTTTCAAATGGTTGATAATTTCTAAGTTCTTTTCAATGTCAGGTCTTTTGGAGTCTAAATCTGCCAATTGATTTCTTTTGGACAATTCCATATATTTATATTGTTGCAAACGATCTTGGAATGCTTTCATGACATCATCGAAATCTGTTTCTGCATCTTTGACAAACTTTTCTACTTTATCAATGAAGGGAGCTTCAGGAATACCACGAGGATTGGTCTTATCTGTTTTTAGTAGATCCATGTTGGTGATGATTTTTGGTGGATTTCGCATTTTTCACTTCAAGAGTAGAGTTCTTGATACAGAGACATTACACATTATTGAGAGAATATTTGGAGATGAGAAATATGAAAAAAATCAACATTTATGATTTAAAGATTTAATGTCTGCTTCATTTTGAGCTTTTCTGGTTTCTAAGACATTCAATGCTGATTCGGCAGCTTTTACCCCTGATAAAACCATAGCACCAAATGTTGGACCCATTCTATTGGATCCATCGATTTCAGCTAATTCCATACCAGTAACCACCAAACCGGGGATTACTTCTCTAGTACCTTTAACAATAGCATCTTCAGCGGTATTCATGTCTAATCCTCTCATATGACCCAATTCGATTTGGGATAATTGGGACATTCTTTTGGCAGTTCCAGCTCCAAAAGGACCATCATGACCACTGGCTGAAATAACAACGTTACAATTGATGGTGTTAGGATCCATACATGATTGAGTGTCATGGTTTAATGAAACTAAGGTCCAATTGGTGACAACCCCAGTTAATCTTAACCCTGATTCGTCTTGTCTAGTGATAACATCTTCAACAGCAGTAGCATTGAATAATTTGATGTTAGGGAATTCTAAAACTTTAGATAATAAGGTGGACATGAAATAAGCTGCATGTTTAACAACGACATAATCTCCTTCGTCATCATACTTGAGTCCTAAATCATCTAAGAATAAGTGTCCTGGTTTACGTACGACCATGGCACTGAATAATTGTCCCCCTAACCAACAACCTCCACCAGGACTGACACTGGCTTCGATAATAGCTACTTTCAAATCAGGTCTATTCTTACCTAAGATGTAAGCTGCTGATAATCCTGCTGATCCAGCACCAATGATGACAATGTCAGATTCAGTATACTTATCCAAATCAGCGAAATAACGTCTAGTCATTGCTCTAGAAACAGTCGACTCTCTAATAGGATTAAACTTGAAGGTCTCCCAATCAGCAAAACTTGCTTCCTTGGTTTTGGAAGTGAACTTAACTGAAGTTGGAGTCTTTTGAGTCGTTTGAGTTTGAATTGTTGTAGGTGCCATTTTTAATGATAAATTTATGGATATTTCACCCGTTTAAATAGTTTTTCATTATCAACTATTAATCCTTATAACAGCATATCTTGTTATAAGCCTAAAGAGGGGATACGGAAGCAATTGAATTTGACTTTCTAATTATGTAGATTTGAAATGGCTGCAAATTTTCTCACGGCCCTCTAAACGCATACAACTACAAAATGCTTTGTTCAAGATATTAAGGGGATACCCCGGGAGAGGAGTATGACTAATGTGTGTATTGTACATAGACTATCTACAGTCTTTTTAAACTCAATTTGAGTTTAATTTTTGGTTTAGGTGGATTTTCAGGTTCATCAGGTTCATTAGAGGGTTCCAGTTTTGGAACATTAATTTTGATACGTTTGATATCTGATTTTTCTTCTATGTCTAAGTTGTGTTTACCGTTAGTTGGAGGATTTGATTCTTCAGGGAGTTCAGTATCAACCGGTTCAGGTTTCTTGGTTTCTTTTAAAGGTTCAGAATTTTTTGAGGTCTCTGGTTTGACAACACTATCGTCAGCAGATGTGGCCATAGTATCTTTAAAGGGATCTTTAGAAATCATAACCTTCTTTTGTTTCAACAAAATCCTAACGAATCTATGGGGTTTGTCAACAATTGGAATTGTTACAAATGTACCATTAACAACAACCCCATTAGAGCCAACAGTAAAGGTTGATCTGATAGGATCTTTGGCGACAATTCCTTTCAAGTTTCTTCTACCAAGAGTGAATTTCACTGTTGTACCAGTTTTCGTTACCAAGGATGTTTGCACTGGGGGAGGAGGGGGAGGGGCCACTTCTTTAGCAGGTTTCACAGGAGGTGGTTTGACAGGTGATTTAGCTGCTGGCACTTTCACTGTGGGAGCCCTCATAGCTGGAGCTCTCATAGGACGAGGAGGTTCTGGTTGAGTATTATTCAATTTGACCTTTAATTTTGGCTTGTTCAAAATAATCTTGGGGTGTAATTGAATCTTGAATCTTCCTTGTCTTTTAATGACAATTTTCCCATCACCCAAATACTTAAGAACAATCTTCTTAGTCAAATCTTTAGTCTCAACACTTGGAATAGGCAAGTCCACAATAAGTGAGTCAATTTCCTTGTAAAGAATCTGACTGATGGTGAATAACAATCTCCTGTTATATAAACTCAACAATGAAGAATGTAATAATTCCCACATGACATATTGTAGGCCTTTCCCGATACCGAAATTTCTTCTCAAAAGTTGAATAGTTCCTTTGAAAGAAGTCCTGGCCAACAAATCACGTCTTCCTCCTATTGAAATGATATCTCCATCAACTGGTCTAATATCGAGGAGTTTTTCGAGAGTCTTGAATTCCTCATCATCAAGAGTTGAACAAGTTCCCTGAATGGCAGCGATTTTGATGGCTTCAACCAAGATTTCGATCAATTTTGACCTGAAACTGTGATTTTCAAAAGTGAACAAACAAGTTTTGAGGTAATATTTCATGATGGAAACATTTTTCAACCCACCAAGAATCAACAAACCTTTGAAAGCTTGTAATCTGATATTAGGATGATACTTGTTCGATGATAAGAAGATCAATTCTTCCAACGGTAAGTCGGTAATACCGAAGAATGCTAACCTAACTCTCTGTTTTAAACATGTAGTGGAGATAATGTGATGATAAGAAGGTACCCATTCATCTAATTTCTGTTGTCTTTCGATTTCTGAGACTACAAGCTTATTGAACTCATGTTCACTATCTTCATCATCTTCGATCTCATCTTCAGGATTGATCTTGACATTGTTTACAGGAGTAGCTTCCTTGGATATGATACTATCAGTCAAGCTTTCAATCATGGAACTTATGTATAAGGAATCTTGGAACATGTTATTCGAATTCTCATTATAAATAACCATGTTCAAGATAACATCCTTAGCAGCTGCTGGGACGTGTCCCTCATCATCTCTGATAGAAGCAAAGATATTGGCAAACGATTTCTGGATTAAAAATGATGGTAAATCACTGAAATCATTAGCTAAAGGAATTGTACTGTTGGGGAAACAAAATAGTTTTTGGTAAACCCTGATCAAGTATGGTAAACCGATGAAATTATTTTCAGGACGGGAAAAGCTTGCCAAAGCTTGGGCTGCACCTATTCTAACACCATAGTAATATCTTGAGTCCATAATGGTTCTAATCAAGGTGGTACAATATGGAATTATAGGATTTTTCAGTCTTCCAAAGAAATTCACAGCTTCAAACTGTGCTTCAACATCTCTATCATATTGTAATTGGGAAGTGAACATATAATCAGGTTGTCCCACATTGATTTTAGCTATCCATTCGAAATCGGTATCTACACGAATCCATTCAAAGGCATTATTATACAATTCTTCATCATCGATGGGAGCCCATTCCACCAATTTCCATGAAGTAAGTTCAGAATCACTTTGTATGATATCACCAAATCTACTATAAGTTCCACCTTCAGCAGCTTCTTCCTTATGTTTCTTCATTCTTCTGAATTTGGAATTATAGTTGATATCGATTTTGACATAACTTTCTTTCAAATCCACCACATGCTCATAAGGAGTCCCATCAGCTTCATGAACTCTGATAGTTAAAGGACCTATGAAAGCAGGTTGGACAGGGAATTTGGGTTCGTCATCCAATAAGGCCACAGAACTATCGACAAAATTGTCCAAATTAGGAACATGATTTTTGGCTTCTTGGATTTGGACTTGTCTAACAGCAACTTCAATCATCCCTCTTTTTCTATTAAATCTTTGAGAAACATTGAATGTAGGACACCCAGCACCGAAAATCCATTGTTTGAAGAATGTCTCCAAACGATTTCTATTGACCTTTTCACAAACATATTGGAAATGTTGAGTGGACAAAGTATTATTGACCAACTCTCCTGACATTGCTTGTAAGAACAATTTAGGTAACACTCTATGAAGACCAAACGATTTGTCTGACTTGGTCATGGTCTTATCAAGAATGTTCAAGATCAAGGGGGATTTCAATTTGATGAAATCAAGATCATTTTCCGAAATAGGGAATCTGAAAAACCATTGAGCTACTGGCTTTTTACCAACATCAAGCTGGACACATTTATCTATATCTTTCTTAATTCTGAATCTTGTTTCGTTAGCTCCCATTAAAACTTTGAGAAATTGGTAGGTCATGAACCCTGCTATGGCGATGGTACACCATAAATCATTAAATTGTTGTGGTGTAATATTGATTCCACTCCATTGACTGGCAATGGCATTAATTACCAATGGGGTGATAGTATAAGCTGGTTCGATCAAATTCGAAGGGTACAATAACTTCGAATCGAAAATAGTTATCCCAGCAAAGTTCCCAATTGGGTAAAGATTATCTTTAACGAAGATCATGGTATATGAGTTAAAAGGGAAAGAACCAAACTCTTTCAGGAAGTACTTTATGGCCATTTTTGTAGCTATGCAGGTATTTTTGGCCATATCTATTTGATCAGGAGTACAATAGACCTTAACAGGACATGAAACTTCTTCATTAGTTTCTTCCGCCATATCATTATCATCTTGTTCTTCAACAAATTCAGGTAAGTCTACTGGTTGGAAACAACCAATAGTCCATCCAACATGATGTGCACAAACAGGATTATAAATTGACCATGAAACAGTTTTCTTGGATAAATCTGTTGGATGAGGAACTTCTTTTGTATCTACAAAATCTCCTGTAGCTACCATTAAATCCTGAGATTCATCATCATCATCATCATAATCGTCATCATCACTACTTTCATCTTCTGGAGCTACGGTTTCACCCTTTTGTTTAGCATCATCTCTTCTTTTCAATTTTTCTTCTCTTCTACGTCTCTTATATTCCAACTTCCTAGATTCTATGGCTTCTTTAGTTCCAATGATGATAGGATGTCCAATATCTTTAACAGTTCTTGGGGTATTGACTTCAATTGTCCAAGTATTTTTCTCCCATAAATTGTCTATACAAGGAACCCAAGAAGATGAAGAAATATTATATTCGGAGTTGACAGTATAAGCATGCCAATTGGTTTTGACCTCCAGATCAGTGATGAAATTAATCCCATTTTTAGGATTCTTAACCTCGTATTCGATGATAACTTGAATTGGAGTATAATAATCCGTATGGGTATTCCTAGATTTCAAATGCATTGGAGTAACTGTGTTTGGTTGTGATGATGGAGTGTTAAAGGAGTTTCGATCAGTTAAATGTAATTTCAAATTGTCTGGTAAGATAATAGTCAATTCTTCAGTATTACCATGATGTAGTTCATGTTTCTCTTGTCTTGGATCCTCATTAACTTCTCCAAATATATAATCAATCTTTTGTCTGAGTAAATGATGTTGATGAATGGTGAGATCTTTATTATACAAATCGAACAAATTGATGACTTTCTTTTCAATGGAATCTTCAAATATGGTATCATCATTGATATATAACAAATCTTTGTGGATGAAATTGGCTTTACGATTATTTACAAGGATTTCTTTAATTTGCATTTCCCTACAATCCAACTTAATCGACCTCAAATGACTACTGGTGGGGATTACTGTGATCTCTGTTAATCCATCAATGGTGTTATTGGGTAAATCTACATCGATATTGACTCTTTGGTGACCAATCTTAAGATTCTGTGTCAGAAGGTTTATATTTCTTCCTTTGGATGCTTTATAGGTTCTTGGGGTGAAAGCTTGTGATGTATTGGTGGATAAACCTGAATGTAGATCAAGATTCATGGCAACAGGTGGCATTGTTAAACAAGATAGATTGATGATGGGATCTATCAGGAATAAAAAAACTTAGCCAGGACTTTCAACTGTTGAGAGTTTCGCGATAAATTTTGTTCATCTCGAGTTATTTGGTTTTAACAATCTATTTACTATTTATAGTGGTAAATATTATCCTTTAAAGCCCATTCAATATCAATGACCGAAGGTGATAAATTGAAGGTGGGTAAAGCATAATATTCTTTATTTACAAGAATGATAGGAGTTCCAGGAGTAATTTTTTTTGGGACTTTCCTATCACCAAATTGATCAATAAGTAATTTTCTATGAAGTTTAGGTTCATAAGGTAAGATTTCGATATCATTAATGTCTTGATGTTGTGCTTTGAAGTATAACCAGTATCTCCTATCGAAAAGTATCCATTGGTGTAAATGGGATGAGTTGAAAGATTGTTTGATTTCAGAAACATCTAGTCTAATGATAGGTTGACGAGTGAATTTGATGTGTATGAGATCTTGGTGTTTCTTGATATCCATAAGAACGTTAAGGTATGTGAATTTTGCTGAAGGTTTATCGCTAGCGATAAAATCAAGTAATCTAGGAATGAAATTATTGAGTATTTTGGAGAATGACCAATGATAATTTTTAGAAGGTGAAATAGGGTACATGAGTTCATAGAAGAATCTTCCGAGAACCAAAGGTCCATTATCATTAATATCCGAAGGTTCCATTGATAGTTTGATCATTGAATGTTCAGGTAAGATTTCAATATTAGATTCCAATTTGGTATTCAAATATTCAACTTGTTTATGGGCATAATGTGCCAAATCCACTGCTTGATTGTATCCTGAGGTTAAGCTGGCTCTATCTATCAACTTAAGATCACTATCGGGGTTGACCTCTAATTTCTTAGGAATATAATCATTGAGCAAATACCTATATAAATTCCTATCAGTTAAACTTATATCTTTATTAGTATGATCTTCAAACCATGTGACTCCGTTATCTTCACAGGTAGCTATGATATCTTTCTTACTATAATCCAATAACGGCCTTATAACCGATATCGGAGGATGAGCTGTGAATGGACTGGTGGCTTGTAAAGGTATGAGACTGTTTCGTTTTAAACCAGTTAAACCAAAGACAGTTGAATTCTGTTGAACCCTTTGCATGTAAGTTTCTAATTGATCATCGAAATTATGAGCTACAAGTAAAGCCAGAATATCAAGTTTATTACAAGTGGACTGGAAACCTTCATAACGTTTCATTCGAGCTACTTCTTCAAAATTGGATATATTTCCTGAAGACAAATTACCATAGTTTAAAGTATGAATATGATGATCAATACCCCATTCCAGTACCATTGAACCTATAGATTTAGCTTCTTCAGTTGAACCATCTCTATATCTATGGTCAACAGTTATAGCAGAAATTTGCAACTTTGGATGATAAATCTCACGATATTTCGTTAATAAGTAAGCTAAACAAACACTATCCACCCCACCCAGTAAAGCTATCATTAATTTATCGGGTATTACGGAGTTTCCAAAGCATTGTCTTAGCAGATGACCAAAAGATTCCAATGCAATCATTACCCTGGGGGATTAGGTCCTTTATGGTAGTAGAAGATGCGACTTTTAGTCCCACAGTTTATGGCCTAACTATACCGGCGGTCGTGTATATATTCGCAGAAAATTTTCAATCAAAAAAAATTAGTCAGAGGATTGTATCTGTTAAATCACCAGGTTTGAATTAATAACAGTGTCATTAATATTGAAAAATAGAGAATAATGGCAGAACAAGAATCTGGGAGTCAATTTTATAACTTTCCTAAAGAGGAATTAAAAGTTATCGAACAATGGGATGAAGTTGATGCTTTTAAGAGACAATTAGAATTAACTAAAGACTTACCAACGTTTTCATTTTATGATGGACCACCTTTTGCCACTGGAACTCCTCATTATGGACATCTTTTAACATCCACCGTTAAGGATATTATCCCAAGATATGCTTCAATGAATGGACATTATGTTGAAAGAAGATTTGGTTGGGATACTCATGGATTACCAGTTGAACATGAAATTGACAAAAAATTAGGTATTACTGGTAAAGAAGATGTTATGAAGTTAGGAATTGAAAATTATAACAACGAATGTCGTTCTATTGTTATGAGATATGCTGATGATTGGAGAAAAACTATTAGAAGAATGGGTAGATGGATTGATATGGATAATGATTATAAGACTTTATATCCTGAATTTATGGAATCAGTATGGTGGGTTTTTAAACAATTATTTGATAAAAATTCTGTTTATAGAGGTTTAAGAGTTATGCCTTATTCAACTGGTTGTACTACCCCATTATCAAATTTTGAAGCTCAACAAAATTATAAAGATGTTAATGATCCGGCTGTTACTATTGCTTTCCAAATTCAAGGATCTGATGATACTTATTTGGTTGCTTGGACTACTACTCCTTGGACTTTACCTTCAAACATTGCCCTTTGTGTAAATCCAGATTTTGAATATGTTAAAATCTTTGATGAAGAAAAACAAAAATACTTCATTTTATTAGAAAGTTTATTGAAAACTTTATATAAGAAACCAGCAGCTGCTAAATTTAAAGTTGTTGAAAAGATAAAGGGTAAAGATTTAGAAGGTATTAAATATGTACCATTATTCAATTATTTCTATGAAGAATTTAAAGATCATGGGTTCAGAGTTATTACTGCTGATTTTGTTACTGATGATTCAGGTACTGGTATTGTTCATCAAGCTCCAGCTTTTGGGGAAGTTGATTTTGAAGCTACTACTAAAGCTGGTATTATCAATGAATATAGAACTCCTCCAAATCCTGTTGATGATAGAGGTTGTTTCACTTCTCAAGTTAAAGATTTTGAAGGATTATATGTTAAAGATGCTGATAAAGTTATTATTAAGAAATTAACTGAAACTGGTAATTTATTGGTTAATAGTCAAATTAAGCATAGTTATCCATTCTGTTGGAGATCAGATACTCCTTTATTATATAGAACTGTTCCTGCTTGGTTTGTTCGTGTTGGGGAAATCATCCCTGATATGTTAAATAATGTTGAAAGAACTACTTGGGTTCCTTCTAACATTAAAGAAAAAAGATTCAGTAATTGGATTGCTAATGCTAGAGATTGGAATGTTTCAAGAAATCGTTATTGGGGTACTCCAATCCCAATTTGGGTTAGTGAAGATTATGAAGAAATGGTTTGTATTGGAAGTGTTGAAGAATTAAAGAAATTATCTGGAAGAGATGATATTACTGACCTTCATCGTGAAAGTATTGATAATATTGAAATTCCTTCTCAAAAGGGTAAAGGTACTTTGAAAAGAATTGAAGAAGTTTTCGATTGTTGGTTCGAATCCGGTTCAATGCCTTATGCTTCAAAACATTATCCAATGGAAAATAAAGATATTTTCCATAAAGGTTATCCTGCCAATTTCATTAGTGAAGGTTTAGATCAAACTAGAGGTTGGTTTTATACTTTAACTGTTTTAGGTACTCATTTATTTAATACTGCTCCTTATCAAAATGTTATTGTTACTGGTATTGTTTTAGCTGGTGATGGTAAAAAGATGTCTAAACGTTTAAAGAATTATCCTGATCCTTCAGCTGTTCTTGATAATTATGGTGCTGATGCTTTGAGATTATATTTAATTAACTCTCCAGTTTTAAGAGCTGAATCATTAAAATTCAAGGAAGAAGGTGTTAGAGAAGTTGTTTCTTCTGTTTTATTACCTTGGTATAATTCTTATAAATTCTTTAAAGATTCTGCTGATATCTTTAAGAAAGATAATGGTGAAGATTTCATTTATGATGAAAAATTGGTTTCATCCAATGTTATGGATAAATGGTTAATGGCTTCCATTCAATCATTGATTCAATTCATTCACACTGAAATGGGTGCTTACAGATTATATACTGTTGTACCTAAATTATTATCATTAATTGATGATTTAACTAATTGGTATATCAGATTTAATCGTCGTAGAATCAAAGGTTATTCTACTGAAGGTGTTGAAGATACTAAAATGGGTCTTAATACTTTAGTTGAAGCTTTATTAACTTTATCAAGAGCTATGGCTCCTTTCACTCCTTACTTGGCTGATGGTATTTATCAAAAATTAAAACCTTACTTTGCTGAACAATTCTTAGGTTCATTGTGTGTTAATCCTAAACATGATGATTTCAGATCAGTTCATTTCTTATCTTATCCAAGTGTTAGAGAAGAATTCTTTAATGAAAAGATTGAAACTGCTGTTTCAAGAATGCAAAAAGTTATTGATTTAGGTAGAAATATCAGAGAAAAGAAGATGATTTCTTTAAAAACTCCTTTGAAAGAATTAGTTATATTACATTCTGATAAACAATACTTGGAAGATATTAAATCTTTAGAAAATTATATTGTTGAAGAATTAAATGTTAGAAAAGTCACTATCACTTCAGATGAAGCCAAATATGGAGTTGAATATACTGTGGTTGCTGATTGGCCAATCTTAGGTAAGAAATTAAAGAAAGATGCTAAAAAAGTTAAAGCTGCTTTACCTAATGTTACTTCAGCTGAAGTTCAAGAATTTGCTAAATCAGGTAAACTTACTGTTGATGGTATTGATTTAGTTTCTGAAGATTTACAAGTTCTTAGAGGATTACCTGAAAGTGAAATCGCTGAAGGTCATGAATCTAGATCTTTCCAAGATGTATTGATTATCTTAGATACTAAATTATATCCTGAATTACAAAATGAAGGGTTAGCTAGAGAATTAATCAACAGAATCCAAAGATTACGTAAAAAGGCTGGTTTAAATACTACTGATGAAGTTAAAGTCGAATATAAATTGGTTAAAGATACTATTAACTTAAAGACCATCATCCAAGAACAAGAAGAAATCTTACTTAAATCCACCAAGAGACCAGTTTGTGAATTCACTGAATCTCATGATTCAAAGGTTATTATTGATGAAGAGCAAAGTATTAACGATACTGTGTTCCAATTAAGATTATTGAATCTTTAGATATATATAATATAAATTAGTACTAGTTTTCTACTCTGAAGTGGTCACTTTGGGATGACCTTGAAGGGGCGACCCTTTACCTGTGACTCTGAACTGGATTAATGTCTCCAAATACTTAATCCAGCTCCTCCTATAATACTTAAACATCCATTGATATCTCCACTATCACAACATCCCGTATCAGCAACTGTGGTATATCTTGCTTCCAAACACTTCAACCCATCTTCGTATTCCCATAATCTGACTATTTGATCCACTGACGTGGTGACTATTCTCTTACCATAGCCAGAAATTGAAGTGATGGTAGCAGAAGCCCCATCTTTTACGAATGATTTAAGTTCCCATGTGATGATATCATCAAATTTCAATTCTGATAAGATCAAGGCATTATCATCACCTCCAGTGATCACTTTAACATGATCTGGTTCTTCAAACACCTTCAAGGCTTTAACACTGCTTTGGTGTAATTGTTGCTTGATGATAGGTTTTCCTAATTGGGTAATTTTTCTCTCTATCAAATCATCTATTCTCCAAATAGCTATATGACCATCGGTAGCTCCCGTTAATATATACATCTTGTTATTTCTTTGAAGAATATTGACGTTCAACAAACAACAGTTGGTATAGAACCCATCAATGAGGAGTTGGAAAGATTTGGCTTGTTGGTCAAATTGCCAAACTTTGATTTGGGAATCGGAATAAACTGTAACGATGAGGAACCCTTTATCATTGGATAAAAAGGCAAAGTCCATGATTCTCAAATCAGGAATTGATGTACTAGGTTTCAATGATGCATATTGGTTGATGATAGGTGTGCCATCATACAATTGACCGATTTTCCAAATGAAGAATTCCTCATTGGCTGCCGAACTACATAAATATTCATTGGTGATGAATTTAATATCTTGCATACCTGAAATATGGTTATTCATACACCAGGAATACTTGACAGTCCCATCTTCAAACAATTTCCCGAGTCTCACCACAGTATCTTCCGATGCTGTAACGATTAACTTGGACCCATCTTTGGTTTCAGGAGATAATGCAAGTCCTCTGATCTCTCTACCATGAGTTCCATCATATATAAGTCCATAATCAGCAAACCTTTCTCTATGTCTGACAATGGTGATGGTGGATTTGTTCAAATAAACGAACTTGTAGTTTTCTCCTACAAATAAGTCCCAGAATCGATGAGATCCTCCACATAACTCCTTGGTGATTTCCAATTGCTTAGTTTCGTTCCAAACATAGAAATAAGTTGATCTGAACCCATAAAGAATCAAATCACCATCTTTAAAGAATCCTCCTTCGATAAAACCTCGAGAGAGTTTGTTTTGCATGTTAATTTCTACGGTAACGGAGTCTTCATTAGCTTTAATGGTACCGACCATATAGATTCCATCCCTTACAGTGATCATGAATTCTACACTACCTTTTTGACTTTGAAGAATGGTGCTACTGGTGATAGTATCACCAGCAGTGAGTTTCTTGAAGATATGTGCTTTTCCTTCGTTCAAATCATAGACCATCATTGTGACGTGTCTGGAGAAGATTATAAGCCAATTATTTACAGGATCATATTTTATAGAAGTGGCAGTGAATCTGGACTGTTGTGGTTGATCAATAGTGAACTTCTCAACTAACAGCACACCTCCATCAGTGGAGAACTTTTTCACTTGGAAGGGGATTTTAGGGTTGGGGATATCACTCATAACAAAGAATTCTTTCCCTGGTGAGATAAGTAAGTTAGTAACAGTGCTTCCTTGAAACTCGTCATTATCAAACCATGTCTTTTCAACAGTTTTTCCGAATTGAAGAAGAAGTATTTTACCATTTTGTGAGCTTATCATTACACTATTGGACTCCGGGACTTGTTTAAGAATAGCCTTTGGACCTAGGACTTGAATTTCATCATCGGATAAAACCACAACACTCCATTTCTCGTCAAATATCAACACTTTACCAGTGGTGGTAATGGCTACGAGATTTGAACTATCCAACTCAACAAAGGACTTAATAGCTTCGTTCTTAGCAAGAGTAAATTCAGCATCGTTGGCTATTTCTTCAATGGTATAAGTCCTGGAGTCTTTATTCAAAATACCTAAATCATGAACTCTGACTCTTCCATCAGCACCACCAGTAACAGCGATATTATGATTAGTATCGATATCACCTGACCAAACATGTTTCCCTAAATGACAATCATCTATAACTTCAAGTTGGCGCAAGGTATCAGTGTTGTTATACTCCCACATACGGGTGGTACAATCTTCTCCCATACTGATGATATTGGTACCGTTGAAGAATTCCAAATTCCATATTCTTGACCCATGGCCCCATCCTTCACTCAAAAGGTCACCTTGGAAATTGTAAAGCTTTATAGTTCTATCATCAGAACAAGAAGCAATGTACTTGAAGTCTTTGTCTACTTTGACACAAAAGATCGATCCCTTATGGTCGGTTAAAGTGTGTATGATTTCCTTGGTATCCAAGTCCCAAATAATCACACCATCCATTACCGTACCAGCTGAAACAACTGTTCTGTTTTCACCTACACGGATTGAACCACTGTATAAGATGGACTTTTCGTTGCAATGGATCTTATCCATCAATTCAAATGTACGTAAATCAATCTTGTAAATGACATTATGGGAAGTGAGTAGCACCAATGTGTTTTCATCCAAAAATTCTCCTGTAATGATCCATTCGTTGATGGCTTTCTCCACGATTGGTTTTTCATCTTCTATGACTGAGAATGATCTTCCTCCTAACACTAAAATCTTATTAAACCCAGTTGAAATGCCATGGATCTTGTTTCTGGTAAAAATCTGTTGAGAACTAATTAAAGATATCTCATCTGATGTACGAAATTTCCGCAAAATAGGACCATATCCACAAAGAATGGTATCTTGATAAATCTTCAACGAAGTGACAGGTCCATAATGTTGTAAAGGAGTGAACAAGGACTCATTATTGTCCGATTCTGACACCATCTTTGGAAGTTTTTTGGGAGATGAGAGAGAGATGGGTGCGACATTTTTAATATATGGGTGTACCGGTCTATAAATTTTTTATTATACACTTATGCTTAGAATTGATCATAATCAGGTTCAGGAGGTGAAGACTTACCTAACTTTTTCATCTCCATACCATAATTCTTACAAAATTTGGTAGATTCATCCAAGGCACAATTTACCACCACTTCATCGTAACCGAATCCAGTATCTTCTGTCAAAATAGAAGTTCTGAATATGACGTGGGATAATAAATTCTTAATATGGATGATGTTGTTGGTAGCATCAGCAACAGATAAAGATAAGGTTAAGAAATCCTGACCGTTCTTCATTTCCCAATTAGAGATCCCATTGGAGATCAAAACATTTGCATCTTTAGAAGCACATTGGATATGAGGATTTGTCCATCCATATACTTCAACGTCTAATGATGTGAATGATGATAAATGACTGATTTTATATTTATCATCAGCTTCTTTAGTGATGACTGCCAAGTTTGGACGATACATATCTTTACCACATCCACATCCTTTAATATGAGCTCTTGGGAAACCTATCCATATTTCCCTATCAGGTAATTTAACAGACTTATCTTTGACAATATCTCTGAGATTTATCATTTCTGTACCTCCTCTTAAAGGTCCAACTTCATCTTTTGACAGATCGAGTAATCTTTTATATTCGTAATCACATGATGAAGTTCCTTCGGTGAAACTGTTTAAATTACATCTTAAGATTTCTAAATTTGACCATCTGTAAATGAAGTAAACATATCTATCATAACCATAATCTTTTCTTTCTTCGTATTTTAACATCGGAGTCCAATTTTTTTGAACTTCTGCTCTATCGTGATCAGTGATTCTTAATTCTACTGCTTGATTATAAGCCAAATTCTGAGTTTCCACGTCTGATACACCATCAACATTGGTTTTACCTCTTTGGAAACGGAATGGCCATGAAAGGAACATTGATCTATAATAACCGAATTTTACCTTCATGGATTCTTTATCATTCAAATTCTGTTCGATGACTTTACGATGGTATGCGTTGAAAATGATCAAAGGTTCTTTCTTACCGAATTCATTTGTAATTAAAAATAACCTAGGATCTTCAGTACCATAGTAAACCTTCTCCACGAGGGAAGGATGGTGGTAGAAAGGAACGGGCAAGAAACAAGGAAATTTCAAATTTCTCATGACATTTTCGTTATTTTCATCATTAACGAAATTAACCAACTCAACGTTCTTTAACTCTACCCAGTTTTCATCATATACTTGAGCATAGGTGAAACTGAATAACTGTTTTCTTTTATGACCTTTCATAGAATACATAACTCTGGAAATCATGAGATGGACACCATAATCCTCCAACCACACTGAAGAACCTGCAAATTTATACCAATGTTTGTTCAAAGTTCCTACTTTGATTTGCATAGGAATGTCTTCTTTGAAGTAGGGCTGGAACTCCTTGAAAGTGGGATCATTCTCTAACTGGTCACTGAATACTTTAACCATAGTTTCCAAGTCACTTTCAAATTCAACACTTTCACTAATATCCACGTGAAGTCTTTGTTTGTTGGTTTGACAATCTTCGCCTTTGTATTCATATAACAAAATCTCTTTATCATGATAAGGTTGATCCTTAAGTAACTGATTATCCCATTTACTCGTACCAGGATATCTGAAAATGTTACTCTCTATGGACTCATGGTTATTCAGAAGGTTAAAGAAGATATCATAATGTTTGGACAAATCTGAAGAACTAGACAACTGAAAATTCTTCGGATAAATGATATTCTTGATATGAGGGAATAAATGTACATCGTACGATGAGGTGTATTTCATGTGAAACATGGCACCTAAGAAGGTCATCACCATGACAAGGGATACCCCAACCCCAATAGTTGTCTTCTTTATCTTCATTATTTGTTTTGGAAGAATTATCCCTCACAAGACCAATATATTTTTTTACCTTCCTTTAGGAATATTTTTCATGGTTACGAGCGTTTGAGAGGCTTAGATTTGAAATAGCCTGGATTGCTAATGAGGTAATAGGATAAGGGGGTAAGTTGGTGGATTAGGGGTAGACAAAAGGTATGATTGCGTTTACATCTGATAGGCTGGGAGGGGGTGTATAAAGGGATTAAATATTAAACGTGGGTGAGGTAATTTGTGTGTATGGAGGGGGAGATAAGAGATTTTTCATCGATTACGCACAGCAACAGTACACGAATTTGACACAATCGGGCTGTAAGGGCAAGAATAAATTTAGGGAGTGGCTGCCTTTTTGACAGGTCAGGGGCAGATTTAAAGTTTAAAATAGATGTTACGATAAAAATAGCATATGTGTGGGTGAGAGAATGGCGTGAGGATCTGAAACGAGATTTAGTGACCTTGAGATGAGACAAGGACCTGAAACGAGTGTCTAAGAATGTGGTCTGAGACTGAGATGACTAAAAGTCTAATATGAGCTAAATATGAATTCGAGCCTTGGATGGAGCAGAGCCTTGGATGAATCAGAGGAGATGAATCAGAGGAGATGAATCAGAGGAGATGAATAGAGAAGGGTAAAAAAAGATGAATAGAAAAGATGAATAAAGGAGAATCAAAAAAAAAAAAGAATCAAGATATCCTGATAATGTCAATTCATTTACTTATTCAACAATTTGTTTAATTGAGTCAATGACAGAATCTTCCAATGAAATGAATTCTCCTAACTTTTCTTTGGTTTTAGTATTATCAACTTGGGCTATTTTATCGGTTTTTTCCTTTCCACTACCTGGAGTTCCAACGATAATTTTTCCTTTTAATGATGGGATCTTTTCATTGATGATATCAACAATGTCTTGAGTAGCGAATCTAGAAGTAACTAATAAGTATCTGAAGTTGGTGACATCGCTTTCAAAACCATGTAAATGAGCTCTAGCAACATCTCTTACATCAACGAATCCACCAATTGATTGAGGAACTTTGGATTCATCGGTACCTGCCTTAACAATAGCATTTAATACTTCAGATGAGGTATTTAAAGTTGATCTAACACCGGATTTGAAAGCTTGAGGACCAAAAACGAATGACGGATTAACACAATTTAATGTGAAATTTGGTTTTTCGGTTTCTAAAAATTCCCAAGCGGCTCTTTCAGCAAATGTTTTAGAAGCTCTGTAACCAAGGTTTGGAAATTTCAAGGCTTTTTCTAAATCGGCTGGGTTCCAACTTTCTTCAGTTAAGATCATTTCTCTTGGAGCTTCAGGACTTCCATCTGGTGGAGCAACAGCGGCATAACTTGAGGTTACTACAACTTTAGTAATTTGTGGACCATATTCTTTAATTGATTTCAAAGCATTTTTAGTACCTTCAATAGCTGGTTTTAATAAATCCTTTTCAACATCAGTAGTGTTGAAATGGAATGGTGAAGCTGTATGTAAGAAAACAGTTACTTCAGGATGTTTTTTCAATGATTCGTCAAAAGCTCCTGGAGTCACAATATCTTCAACAATTTCATATTCGAATAAATCACTTCCTAAATCTTTCTTTAATTGTTCACCTTTTTCAGCTGATCTGACTGATCCAATGACATTGTACTTTTTAGCAACCAATTGTGAAACAATATGTTGGGCAATGAAACCTGTAGCCCCTGAAACGTAAACTGAAACCATTTTTAAATTCAATTGATATTAAACTGTGAAAGAAATCGACAATTGTAAAGATTTCCACAGTTTTATGTGATTCGTTATCGCGTATATTTCCTGATTAATATCGGGTCGATGTTTTACCGCATATGGTATTTTCCGTGTTCAAATTGAGCATGTTGCAAAAAATCAAACCTGTAATAATCTTTACTAATTAGGGATAGTATATGCATGTAGAAATTCAATGATCTGCATGCTTAAATTGTAAAATGAATTGATCTGCATGGATTGATCAACCTGTAAAAGCATTTCATGTACCTCACATTTACGTAAATGGAGAGTTAATCTTACAGAATAACCTGTAAAAATATGTACATTTGACTGCAAACTACCAGCAGAGGTTTTCTTCATCAATTTCGTTGATCCAATCGTTCAATGGATCGTTCTCTTCTTGGATGTGAACATGAACATCTGAACTAACTCCAAGGTCGTCGAAGTCACTGTTCAAAAATACAGTCAACCCCATATCTTTGTTATCGAAATTTTCGAAATCAGGATCACTCATCAATCCATCCTCATCAAGATCTTCTATAAGATCATAAATGTCATTGAATTGGGATTGTTGGGATTCTCTTTCGATGAATTCCAACATACAATTACTAATGGCTAGTTTCCTATAGTTCATGCCCTTGACATTATTCATGTTTGGCAGTTCTTTGGCCGTGTTTCCATGAACTTTGAATATATTGTTTGGCTGTTGAGATTCGATCATATTCAATCTTATCAATTGCTGTCTTCTTTCAGCCATACATTTAATTTCGGTCGAAGCCTTAATCATTTCCCTCTTGATGTAATTTTTACACCCATGAACTATCGAATGTTTACCTACTCTTTTCAATAACTCCATATCGTGACCATAAGAGGCCAATATGTGGTTCAATGCTCTTTCTGAAGGTCCGAAAGTTCTAAAAACTTCCATTGACTCGTCATAGAAATCATTGTATTGAAATCTTTTAGGTTTGAGACAGGGTCTGAACTTGAGACTTATTCTAAATAGCTCACGAAGCACGAAAGATTCAGAAGGAACTGTTCTTAATTTCAAACATTTATTGAAATCAGTCAGATATGGCAGCTGAATAGGATTGTATGAATCAGAAGTTTCTGCCTTTCTCTTTACCCTAGCTTTTATTTTGTCATCCAGAACATTGATTTCATCTATACTTTTTCCAAAAAACATCCACCAGTCATACTTTTCCTCTTCAGCAAGCTCACCATCATATTCTTGATGCCAAAATTCAGCCGCATTTTCTTCTTGAATGCTGTGACTTTGTGGTTTGAGCTTGCTTCCATGCATTCCATTACCTGTAAAGCCCTCGATATTTCCACTATAAGTGTTTTCGATGGCTGGATCGGTGAAATGGACAAATTCCAAGCTCGATGTGTATGGCTTCATCATTAAACTTTTGGCTGCAAAAATTCGCACATTTTACCTTCACAGCATATCACAATTTATGGGAACTTTAAGATATGGCAACTATAACATATAGTTCCTTAGAGATGAGACTATGGTAGGAGTAAATAACGCTTGTATTTAACCAAAAGACTGAGCTAGGCACACAAAAAGTCTTCACACAGAGATGTTCCAAACATCATTTTTATTTCTATATATAAGATTAAACTTCTTCATCAAGAGCATTCAATAAATCACCTTTATTGATAACAAATCCTTCAATAGCAGCCATAGCAGCATATAATCTATTTTCACCTTCTTGGAATACAACGGAATTTTCACCATAAAAGACATCATCATTCACTTCTTCAGGATGTCTTGGTAAACAATGCATGAATTTCCAGTTTTCATTGACACCACCGGCTTTCAACATTTCATTAGTGATTTGGTAGTTTTCAAATTGTTTCAACTTATCGAGCTTTTCAGATTCTTGTCCCATTGAAATCCAAGTATCAGTAACAATGATATTTGAGTTTTTTAAGGCTACCAAAGGATCGTGAACGATTTCAAAGGTAACGTCATTTTTTTTAGCTAATTCAACAGCTTGTGCTTCAATATCTTTATCAAAAGTGATTGATTTTGGTACGGAAATGGATACATTAATTCCCGATTTGATAGCTCCAATACATAAATCATTAATAACATTATTAGCATCCCCAATCCAGGTCAACTTTAAACCTTTGGTCTCACCAAAAGTTTCTTTGATAGTCAATAAATCAGCAATGATTTGTAAAGGATGATATTTATCACATAAGGAGTTGATAACTGGAACTGAAGATGAATTACATAAATCCACTATTTGTTGATGACTATCAACTCTGGCAAATATACATGAAGTCATTGAAGATATGATCTTTGAGGTGTCGTAGATACTTTCATTGACCCCCAATTGAATATCATCTTTACCTAAGAACATTGGTGTAGCCCCAAAATATGAAGCAGCACCTTCAGTACTAACTCTGGTTCTGGTTGATCTTTTAGTGAATAACATGGTGACAATCTTACCCATCAATCTTTGGAATTGTTTAAAAGGAGCAGGTTCACCTGTTTTCACTTGGGTTTTGAAAGCTTGAGCTCTTGAGACTAAAGCTGATAATTCTTCATTGGTTAATTGTCCAATATTTACTAAATGTTTTGGTCCGGCCTTCATGGATAAATTCTTAACACCACTAAATACTTGAGTTCTGATCATTATGGATAATTTTGGGAGATACGGCAGTTTATATATTTGGATTTATGACTCACCAATTAGGAAACTTGAAAGTTTACCGCGATGTTGAATCAGAAAAGTTTTATTGGTAAGGACACTTCTGGGTGCAAAACACGGGTGAGTCAAGAAGGTGCCGTGTGGGTTGAAGATAGTGAAATAAGTTCAATAATAAGTGACTCTTAGGAAGATATAATCAAAGGAAAGTGGTTGGTTTCAAAAACCTGTGCAAATTGTCCCTGAACTAAGAATATATGAGGTTTGAGTTTAATTGAGAGAGAATTTATCTGGCTATGAACATTGTCAAATATAGTGGAAAGAGCTCATTTACTCTTCCCTATTATATCATGAGTGAATCCATAACTTTGACTCACTAACTGATCAATCAAATGGGTAGTTCCGACCCGGAACAATCTAACGTTGATGACATAAGAGTTTATACATTGTCCTGGAACACGACAACCAGATTTTGTTTCAACACTAAAATTCCGAGCCCTTCAAGAGACAATAAGTCGGCTAGAGGATTAGAGCATCAGAATACTTGAATTAATTACTTTCTACATCTTTACATTACTTCAAAAAACCCATCAGATTCATATCATTAACAGCCTGCTGCTATACCTTCAATATATCATCCACAAGTCTAGCCTTCTTGTCAGCAAGACTAATCAATTGTTGTTTTTGTACATCGAATTCTACCATCTTACTTTGCTTACTAACTTTCAACAGAGTCATAAGTTTTTCCAATCTGTCAATTTCTTGTGCCACTGTCAATGGCTCGATGATTCTTACCACATCTTCATCATCACTACTTATTTGCAAATCATACTTATCATCATCAATATCATTACCTTCAACTATCACATCATCAATATTCATTTCCAAATCATCAGCAATGAGATTATCATGTTTCTCTTCTTCATCTTCTTCACTGTATTCATTGGTCACTTGATCCAAGAACGTCTTTCGAGATAATTCTGCCCCTAGATCCATTTGAGGGACATACTTCTTGGGAGCAAAATAACTTTCTTCCGATTCAGGGACAATAATATCTCCTTCATTGAAATCATTGATGTCTTTTCCCTCCATAAACTCCTGACCTTCATCAATGCCTCCATCGGGATGTCCTCGCTGACTTTCTACTGGGGGTTTCATCCATTTCAGTATGTTGCTGGATTTGGAAGTATTCTTAACAAACAGCGGTTTTTTAGTCTTATAGACCATTGGCCCTTCTCCATCATTTAAATCATTACTATCTCGTCTAACTTTCTTCAGTTTCCCCTTGATTTGTTTCTTCTTAAAAAGAGGTTTTCTACTATCACCAACTTCCATTCTCAGAATTTCGCATCTCATCACCATGAGTCTATCAACTAAGGCCAATGAGCTCCACAGCAAAATGACAGAACATTCGCTGGATACGTTGTTCAAAGAAGACGAACTTATGTCATTCATTGGAACATCATCAGCTTCAGACTTGTTACAATACACTCAAGAGTTACTTAATAATAATTTGATCAAAATTTTAAAACAAGGTGATGCGTTGATGTTCCAAGCGATCGCCACCAATGAAGCCAACAAAATCTCAAATATGGCTGAAGACGAAGCCATGATATACTCATATATAGAATCTTCAGGTAGAGAAGGTATTTGGACCAAAACTATAAAAGCTAAGACCAATTTACATCAACATATTGTCATGAGATGCTTGAAATCCCTTGAAAATCAAAGATATATCAAATCCATCAAATCAGTTAAACATCCTACAAGAAAGATCTATATGTTGTATAACTTACAGCCTTCGATCGATGTAACTGGGGGTCCATGGTTCACCGATAGTGAATTAGACAGTGAGTTTATTGATAGTTTAACCACAGTTATTTGGAGATTCATTGCCAACAAGACATATCCATCAGCTTTCCAGTCCCCTAGTCAGAATATCAATCCATTACAAGCATCTTATCCTCATAACTATACAGGTTATGTGGATATTAACAATATAATGGACTTTATTATATCGAGTAAGATCACCAATATTGAATTGGCCCCCAACGATATAAGATCTTTATGTGATGTGTTGGTGTATGAAGATAAACTAGAGAGTATTGAACTGGCTGACCAGTACAAAGCTACTTGGCAAAGTATCGTTGATGGTGGATTCGTCAATATCGATAATGACCAGGAATTTTCCATCTTCAACAACAAATCTGAAAATGTTATTGACGAAGAAGAAGACGATCTCGTTTATTTCGACTCCTGGGTTCTCCATTGATCCCATGTAACCATGATCTTTCCCTTAATGTATATATAAAGTTAAGTTTCGCGATCACTCTCAGGGCATGTCATTGAGTTACAAGAAACCCAGAAACGACAGCCGGTCTACCAGTCCACAAGTGGCACAGGCTGAGTTGCCTGCTACTCCAACTGGCTCCAATTCACCAGTGATTAAGAATGATTCCACCAGGAAAGTTTCATCTCGAAGAAAAGCCCTTCAAGAATTTTATCATCTTCAAAAACAACAGAATCAAGAAGTTCCAACCATAGAGGTTCAGAGTGAAGCCCCACAAACCACCGATAGAAAACAATCAATAACCAATGGTATAGATTTCGATGACGCTGAAAGTTTCAAGGCGTATGTCAAAAATACACCCATTGAAGATATTCTTAAACTTCGAAATACTATTACTGGAGACTTGAATTCCCATGATCTGGAGAAGAAAGCTATAATTTATGACAACTATTACGAACTTATCAAACTTAATGACACATTGAAGAATATTTCCAACCCCAAGCCGACAAACATTATGGATACCCTGGAGAAACTTGATCATAACGCCATATTAACTACTTTGAAAGAGCTAGAGACATTTGTCGACGACAATAAAGTGTTTAACAATCCTTTCCCAAAGGTTTTGGATGAATTGCAAAAAGACTATGATGGTGCTGATATGGCATCAACAGCCAGCGTGGATGGGATAATTGAATCCGATAATATTGCAGATTCCATAGATAGAACACAATTAATCAAAGAAGTGAATTTACTTCTTTCGGGCCCCATCCAGAGTAACGATAAAGTCTCCCAGAAAATAGAGTCAATGATCAAGAGTCTCAAACCATCAGATGAGTTACTTATCAACCAATTAAAGTCTATACAAGCTAGTTTATAATATATCGTCAACATTATGATTTTTGAATTTTTTCGTAGATCTGTCAACCGAACGGTATTCGATCCTAGACCCAATGAGAGTGAAGGAGACATATGTATGTTCCTTCAGCTCTGTGGTGTTAGGTAACGGTATATCGAATGAGAATAACGTATACCTCTTAGGAATGATCCTCAACCCACCTACTTGTTTAGAGGGTGGAGCGTCTGGATCTTCATCTCGAGGGAGACATAGAATGAACGAATATTGAGTATCATATGCCACTATTCCTTCTACACCTACGAAATTCTTATTCCTGGACTCCAACACTCTCATGAAACATCCCGTATATTCGGCACTGGCCAATTTCGAAAGCATAGCTTGCTTTGCAGGGATTTTACTTTCAGGACTTTTGACATCAGGGAATACTAAATTCTGTGCATACTTTTCCCATAGACTTCTCATGGGCATGAAATCTTCGAATAATGGGATCTTATAATGGTTTAAAACTTTTACCACATTAAAAGGTTTTCCGGCACTATCCCCTGGGTTTTTTGATCTTTTATGTTCCTGAACCTTCTTTATCACTTTCTTCTGACTATTAATTGTGGATTTCAAAAACTCTCGTACCTCTAATCGGGTGTTAATCTTACGTTTATTGAATTGTTCATCATCAATAGTATCATCTCTATGTAATAATGACTTTGTTTTTGGTGTTTCATCGTGTCCCGTAGGCAAAAGAACCAATGTAGGTCTTTGGGATCCGGTTAAGGAGTACCTTGTCTCCAAAAGTTCTTCTATCCTCTCTTGATCGTCATAACTCCGCGTTAATAAGTGCTTCTCTAGTTCAGTCTTCATCGCATCAGGAAATGCGAAAATTCAATGTTAAGAAGACTTGGTGATGTCAAGTTGATACGGAGAATCTCCAACGTACCGTTTCATGATGATCTAACTGCCGCCGATGATGACTTATTTGGACTCGAAGACTTTAAACATTATAAGGAAAGTCCTGAAATGACTCGAAAAAGACTTCAACTCGAAGATTCTTTGCAGCCACGCCAACCTGAACAGGTAAAGTCCACATCTTCCCTCGAACTGGCAGCTTTACGTAAAGAGCCAATGATATTCATTTCTAAACTAACAGACCCTTACCTTAACCTTGCTATTGAAGATTATGTGTATAATAAAATGGCTCCTGAACCACAAAACAATAGATTGATGTTTTATGTCAATAAACCATGTGTGGTTATTGGGAAAAACCAGAACCCATGGAAAGAGGTCAACCTTCCCTTACTTAATTCCTTGCATATACCGATGCTCAGAAGACGGTCCGGTGGAGGAACGGTTGTTCATGATTCGGGGAATGTGAATTTCTCGTTCATGACCACCAAGAGTGAATTTAGTCGATTCAAATTCGTCAATTTGGTGGTAGATGCCATCAATAACTGGGGGAAATGTAAGTACCAGTTGGAAGTAAGTAGCCGTGGAGATATCACCACTGTCACCCAACCAGATGGTATCAATTACAAGATTAGTGGATCTGCCTATAAATTATCCAGAGGTAAATCTTACCACCATGGGACGATGTTGCTCAACCTGAGATTAGATATTTTGGGGAAGTTATTGAGTAATTCACCAGAGAAGAACGGTATCGTTAGTGATACCATCTCGATCGATTCTGTTAGATCAAAAGTCGCCAATATTGAGATACAAAGTGATGAATTCAAAGCATTGGTTTCTGAAGCTTTCAAACAGCAGTATGGAGTCAAAGCACAACTAAATAAAGAAGAAAAGCTACAAAACTCGTTATTGGGATTGGAAGATTTCATGGAAGCCAAAGAAGTAGAGATCTTCACCATTGAGAAAAATACTGAAATCAATGAAGAGATCCTTACCACGGCAGAAGAGTTGAAAAATTGGAATTGGAAGTTCGGAAATACTCCTAAATTTACTCATCAGTTCACCAATGACAAGTATGACCTTAAGGTCAAATTCATCATTGGTAAAAATGCAATTGTTGAAGATTTTGAACTTGAGCTTCCATCCTCGAGTTCCCACTCCGAAATCAAGGCCAGCTTTGATTTCCTTAGGTACGCTATAGATCAGAACGAACTCAAACCTGCTGAAGAGAGATTAAAATACAAAGGGAGTGATATTGCTGGATTCATCACTCATGACGAAATTAGTGACTGGATAGGTGAATCTATTGATGGTACTATATAGCTTGTAAATACATACATCATGAAGATGGTCCTTTCAATCCATGGTTACCCTTATATTGAGGGCATTCAGGAGCAGTCCAACCTTCTAAGACCTCTTCCTCAATAGAGTAAATTTCAACTCCTAAAGGTCTGCAACAATCAGTCATAGTTTGAGCATTATCATCTGTTTCTCCCCATCCCCATTGAGATAAATCTCCTCCAGGACAAGCACTGATAGCTACTAACAAGTCTTGTTCGGCAAACATCTCGAAATAATCGTCTTTGGTAGCAGGACAAGCTTCCATGAAATATTGATCATTTTCAGTTAATCCCGTGATTTGGAACACATTCAAAACATCATGGACATCAAATTCCGTCAAGCCATAAGGTAAAATAGCTCTGGTTAAGTTAGAGTGACAATGTAAGTCATTATCTTCACCACTGATCAATTTATCGACATAAGGATCACATCTAGTTCCTAAAGTATCGTGAGCTCTACCACCCCATTCATCGTGTCTTGCGTTCAAACTGTCGCCAGTAATTGTCACCAAAGGTCTCAAATAAGGTAAGTTGGACCATAATCTATCATAAGTAGAAACATGAGCTGAATGTAATTGTCTGGTTCTAGCAGCCCAGAATCTTTCTCTAGGATTGTGTAAGTTCCAGATGTTTAAATCCAAAACTTGAGGTCCTTCAGGAGTGGTTAACCTAAAAACTGACTTAGCAGGGACTTGGAAAGCAATTCCTGATCTTGGTGGACATCTGTATTCCTTGACTAAAGTCTTCTTACTATTGGCGATTTTATCGTAGAATTCTTTATCAGCGTAAAGTTTTGACCCAGGGTGGGGATAATACGCAGGAATGGGTTTGGGTAAGCCATAGGTGGTCTTTTCCGCTGTTTGTGAAGATGCTGCAGTGTCAACCATTGATGAATTTATTTGATTTAACCGGTCAAGCTTGAGATCTTGTCCACTTAGGGTAATGTTACCCGACGCGCAATTTACTTTTTTGCAGCCACTGGATGGAATACCACCAACTGGTAGGAAATTAAAACCATAGTTTAAGAAGTGGTTTCAGCTGGGTTTAGTAAAAGATTAAGGTGAGGTATCCATAAGTTTCAGCACATAAGTTTCGGATCCTGGATTTTCTATCCAACGATTTCACATAAGACTGGTCAAACGATATCAATCATTCCAATAAATAACCCCAAAACAGTACTACGGAGATCTGAAACCGTATCATCAAACAAACCATACATTGTTTCAGTCTTTTGCCACATACTTCCACCACCCCCACTATATTTACCCCTACATTTGGCGGACCTGATTCCACGTCCCTCCATCCTCCCGCAACATCTCGGGAAATTTTCCCAAACGAGCACTTTTTGTGGAGACAAAGGAATCCGACCTCCTCAAGTATGGGTGTACTGGTGTGGACTTTTATTGATAGTTTCTTGTTTTTCACAAGGAAACCTTACTCCATAACAATTATCCACGGAACAAGCGTATATATAAAGATACAATTGTGCCAATAACTTGATCCACAATGTTGAGAACTATCCGTTACTTCAGTTCCTCCTCCGTTTCGAAGGTTAACTATGGGTTTATTGGTTTAGGTCAAATGGGCCAACATATGGCTAGACATATATATGATAAGTTGGAAAACGATAAATTATATGTTTATGATGTTTCACAAGATGCTACCAACACTTTCATACAATCAGTAACATCATCAAATTCTGCCAATAGTGGTAAAATCAATCAATTATCATCCATCAGTGATTTCATTAAAAGTGGTGATGAGCAATTGGACTATATCATTACTATGGTTCCTGAAGGTAAACACGTCAAGGCAGTCATTGAAGAGTTGGTAAGTGTTACTAAAAAAGGTTCACCTTCCAAGAAAACCACATTCCTTGATTCTTCAACCATCGATATTCCTACATCGATTGAGATCCATAAATATGTCAAATCAGAAATCCCCGAGTTCGATTTTGTTGATGCTCCTGTGAGTGGTGGTGTTGCTGGTGCTAAGAAAGGTACTTTGTCATTCATGTTATCCCGAGCCGATGACGAATCCATTACTTCAGAATTAAGATCTCTTCTCAATAAAATGGCGAAGAATATTTTCCCTTGTGGAAGTAATCATGGTACTGGTTTGGCTGCTAAGTTATCTAACAACTACCTTTTGGCTGTCACTAACTTAGCTGTAGCAGACTCTTTCCAATTAGCCAAATCTTTCGGACTTGATTTACACAAATATGCCAAATTAGTATCAGTATCCACTGGAAAATCATGGGCTTCAGTTGATAATTGTCCTATTCCAGATGTTTACAGTGATATTCCAAGTAATAATGGTTATAAAGGAGGTTTTGTTACCAAATTGACCCGTAAAGATCTCGTTTTAGCTACTGCCAGTGCAGCAAAAAACGGAAGATTCTTGTATTTAGGAGATATTGGGAAATTCTGGTATGACAAAGCTTGTGAAGAAGAGAGTATCGCTAGTAGAGATTTGGCCGTTTTATACGAATGGCTTGAAGGTATCGATGAAGAGAAAGGTAATGCCTTGTTAAAAGAACATAAGTAAGAGGTTAGTTGAATAAATATTCTTATATTAACTCTATTATGGGTGGTGAACCACCTTTCTCTTCTTTCTTATTTGTCTACTTACCTTCTTTTCTTCCTGCTTTCTCTTCTTCTCTTTTCATCTCTTCTATTTACTTCTCCCCCTTCTCTTTCGTCTAACTTTGATCTTCTAGTTTTGATCTTCTTCTTTAATATCATCAACTTTCAAATTGGGTCTTTCACTGGCACCGAAAGAAAATGCTTTATAGTGTTTCATATTCATATTGTTCTTCAAATAATCACCTCCTAAATCACCTCCATCCATAAAATCAACAATACTGGGTCTATGGGTAGAACTCATTCTTCGAGAACTATCAAACAACATTGACCCAACCGACGCCGTTCTAGTATTAGGAGGACCGAAATTAGTAACTAATGATTGAGTGGATGAACTCAATAATGGGATCTTTTGTCCCATGTATAAATCATTAGACATTTCAGAACCTATAGAACCTCTACGAGATGAGCTTTCAACACTTGATTGATCATCGTTCAATCTGAGTGATTCACTTATCTTTTTTGGACTTTCTACTGGGCTAAGAGGTTTAGGACTAGCTTGGGGACTTAAATTCCGTGGGCTTGCCATGGGGCTCAATTCTTTTCGGGGACTGGCCATAGGACTTAATCCATTTCTTGGACTAGCCAAAGGACTCACCACAGGACTCAACCCATTTCTAGGACTAACAGCTCTTGGTATGAGTTCAGGAGATCCTATCATATCGACTATATCTTCTTCACTTTCCCCTTCCATTTTAGGACTCAAAGGATCATCTTTATCGAGAACTGATCTATCATTGATGGATAATGAAGGAACGGAAGCTGTTTCTTCTTTTTCATCTTTATTACTCGAGTCATAGGATTTCCTTTCAGGTAAACTGATCTTACTGTCTTTCTTCAGATCGTTTGAACTTTGACTCTTCTTTGAAACCACTGAATTTCTTTTACTGTTGACATTACTAAAACTATGGGTCAATAAATCTCTGATGGATATGTCACTATTAGCAACATTACTAATAGGATTAGTAGCTGTGGTAGACCTAGAACGTGTGGAAAGTGGTGTTAAATTGCTGTTCACCGAATCATTAGGCTTGATAGATGAAACGTTAGATCCACTGTCCTCTTCTTCATATGCTGGTGGAGGCACGTCTGCTGGTAGTTCCGGAGGTGGAGTGTCAGCATCAAATGGAGGTGGATTGAATGAAGGACGTCTCAAAACATGGATAGGTCTCATGGTTGGAGAACTTATTGGTGAAAAACTACCTGGATGAGGAGTTGCTTGAGGAGATGTTAATTGAGATCTTGAATCATTTAAGTCCGGCTTATATAGGTTTGCTTCTAGATGCATATCATGATCTCTCTCCAATGGTTCATCATTATTATTACTACTGTTCAAACGATAGAATCGTTCATTCGAAGTTATGGCTTCTAATTCGTTTTCGGTCTTACTCTTTTGAGAACTCAAACTATTGGACCTATTCAATGCTGAAAACAACTTGCCCATGGTATGGGTAGTATCGATAGGCGTAACACCTGGCGATAATGGTGGAGATCCTGGAGTATATTCAGGTAAGAATGAATTGTCTGGTAACTGATCATCGTATGCTGGTAATAAGGTATTTCCATGTGCTGCTAAAGTAGATAAAACATGAATAGGTGAATCGATAGAAATCTCATAATGTTTCCTCTTATTATCGTTTTCAGGATCAATCTTTGAGATTCTCAAACAAAGCTTTATCCAATGATGAGATTGAATATCTTCGAATGACGTATCCGGATGTAATACATGGTTAGCCTTACCATTCAATGTCCTTGGAACGAACAATTGAAATTCTAATTCTCGTGGTAAAAGCTCATCATTCTCATCACCATATTCTCCATTATCTTTCCTCGACAATAATGACTTCCCCTTCTTAGCCTTATGTTCTAACAATAAATATTTCTTAGAGGGTTCCATTCTGTGGACCTTTTTGTTCTGACAATAATATTCTAAGTTTTCTGTTAAGTAAACTCTGATTCTGTGTAATGCTACTTTCCCCCATAATGGTACGAATCTGAAAGCTAAAGGGAGGTAAGAATCCAAGATGATAGATTTACCTCCAATAACAATGTCATATCGTAATTGATCTTCCCAGTCTCTGGTAATAACAATAGGTTCATTCTCTTCAAGATTCAGTTCAGATGGAGTCCTTACTAATGTTATTGGAAGTTTTCCTGACAAATTGGTACTGAATACACCTGCTCGTATAACGGTGGCTTCGAGATGGTAATCTACGTCTCCAAAAGTCACATGGGTGGTCTCAGGTAATGAAGGATGCAACGGATGTTCAAAATTGTAAATATAATCCCCTGGAGGAAAAGTTCCTGGTTTACCGATCTCACTTTCAGCAGTATTGACAGCTGCCAAATCGGGAAACGAGTCAACGGGGTTTAAACCTGGGGATGCCGTTTTCTTATTGGTACCAATGTTTCGGAAAAGGAAACTCCCAGTAGTCCCACTATTGGAATTTAATGCCTCAAGGTTCCCCAAAGATGAAGAATGGGTTCTATTACCACTATCGTTTAAATTCAAATGAGAAATATCTCTGTCTATATGCTTCGGTAACTCACTATAAAGGTCGGCACCACCATTGATTGAGTTCAATGGATTGGACATGGAATAAAATGGCCATGTATGATTGATAATATCAATATCTTCGGCGAAAACGTTCTTTTTGGGAGGTATACCCTCGGGCCAATCAGTACGTTGATGTCCTTGGAAACTCAAAGCAATGGATTTAACTTTACTAGGTTTCAACACTCTTAAAAACAAGCATCCTCTTAACATCACAGGCTGCCTTTCGCTATATTCATTAGCATCAAACCCCTGAAAGAATAATGTCTTCTCAGTAGGGATAATATATAATTGCATGGAAGCAGTGGAAGCTATAGGTTTTTCCGGTAATTGGGGGATTAAAGATCCTTCACCAGTACCTGAAGCATTGGTATTTACTGGTTCCAATTGTTGAGCCGTGAATAGCGGCGAATTGGGAGGTAAATAACTCATGAGACCGCTATCAAGGTGTCCAATGAAATTGATATAATCAGGTAAAAATCAACAGAAAACCCTTAATTTGTACTTTTTAACACTTCTATGATATTCTACACCACCTATTTGATCTTCAAAGCTGGTTAAAACGTTATGAATTGGATTATTCTATGGGTATTTGTTTGCTGAAAAAAAATCTAATCTCCTATCTGTGAGATTAAGGGAATCAACATCAACGCACGAAATTCCGCACTACTTTATCTCATCGGTCTCAGATGATAGTCAGGCCATTCACCCGATGTTGCACCATAACTCCACGACGGATATCTATTAGGCAACTTACGTCGAAATTTTATGATAATGACAAGTATTGTGGCCTTAAAACTCCTTATGGTTGGTTTGCCATACCTAGAAATCTTTATGCTAGACAATGGACTGAATCCTCCATACAAACTTTAATCTCACAAACCTACGGTGACTCCGTTGATTCCGTACCATCCAAGGATATTCAGAAGATTATTGATGACTGGGCATCGTCGACAACACTCAAACAGAAACCTCCAGCTGAGAAATATGTGGATGTTGAAGCAGCCAAAGTTGAGCACAAGATCAATGAGGATATAAAGGAACTTCGTAATGAAAAGGTTAGAGCTCGATATTCAAAGAACAAAATAACCGACATGGCCCAGTTTAAGAAGGATAAACAAATTGTGTTCAAACATATCTTCGAAACAGGAGAAATCCCACCAAATTTCGATCCTTTAATGATTAATCTTTATAATGCCAGAAACCATTTCTGCAATAAATTTCATAACCAACCAGGGTTTTCCTTGAAACAATGGGCCGATGTAGATACCACAGAAAGAGAAAAACTCCGCATAGACTTTATTGATCTTTTAAAACAAGGACAGATGTATAAAAAGGGGAAATTGGTACCATTGAAAGGAAATTTCCATGCTCTGTCAATGAAACTCAAGGCTAAATCCAAGGCAGAGAAGGGATCAATGGAGACCATGGAATAAGAAACGGAAACAAATAAATAATGTATATAAATGTATATAGTCTAAATATCATGCAATTGCTGGAGAATCTTCATCATTTTCATCATAATCTTTGAGATCAAACACTTCGAATTTATCATCATCTATCAGGGGTTGAAGGGTTGATAAGTCAATATGAAATTTGTTTCTGATGAGCTCTTTCACTGATTGCCATTGTTGATTGATCATACCGTTCATTTTCATTTTCCCACAACAATCTTCGTTCCATTTCTCATGGTAAATGTCTCTGACAAAATTCTCCAAAATACCAATGAAGTTCTTCGTGTCCACAGCACTGTTCAAAGAAACAGTATCTTCGACATATTCCTCGGGTAACTGTTCTAACTGAGCTTTGAACACCTTCAAAAACTTCAAGTTAAAATGCTTATTATCTGAAAAGCTCTTACTCATAGAGATGAGTTTCAAAAGATTCATCCATTGTAACCCCGAACAGAAGTTTCCGATGATCACAAACATCAAGAAACTCAATTGCAACTCTCCCAACAACAAATCAGTGTCGGATCCATACAATTCTTCAATATACCATGATTTATCGAGGTAATCAGCACTAATTTCTTCCACAGATGCATTTGGTCTATTTTTCTTGAACTGGATGATGGTGTATTTCAACTCTTCTTGTTTAGGATCTTCATAGTGCCTGGAACTGTCTTTTTGTTGTAATTGATCAAGGAGAATCATATTCTCTTCCCTTGATGGAGTGACAGTATTGATTTCGTCAGTATATTTCATGCTGATGTACGGTAAAAACTCTTGGACTAATTCCATATCCAAACAATTGATTAAAGTCGTCCACTGAGTTTGATCCTCGGGGTATTCAATGGTGTGGTTATAAATATCTCCTAAGGAAGAAATATATTTGGAGTAATTTAAGCTCTCCAAGTTATTATTTTCATCCACAAGATGAAACTTTTCAATCCTAGGGTCCCAAACAAGAAATATGACATCATCCTGGCAATCTATCCAACTACCATACCGTATACTTGTTTGTGTAGCTTCAATGGAATTTTCAGTACTCACTGTGGGTAAGGAATAATGAAGATAATGTAAGCCCCGAGGAATATTCTTGATACCTTTGAGTAATTGATTTATACTGAAAAACTTGGTATCAATCCCCACTAGCCAATTGGAGGTCTCTGGCGGTATATCTTTGAAGATAACCGTAGTGTTGGGAGGTTTATTCATTGATTGCAAAATTGCGCGGTGATGAGAAGAAGAGGTAAAGTCTGTGTTAGTTCATGGTGGTAGAGTGAGAAGACTTAACAGTTGTAAGGAGTCTGAGGCGTTTACTTGCTATATCAAAATCATGCTGTTTGTTCCACAAGCAACCGTCCTATAAGGTTGACCACAGACTCGGTCAATGTCGTCATGTCGCAATATCGTGTATTCCTAAAATAGAATAACTTATGTCTTTCTTCAACTGATAAGTTCGATACTTTGCCTTTGTCTCCCAAGCAACGAATTTTCAATGTCATTGTCTATGTCGAATTCCGAGAATTCGGTGGAAATCTCATCTTTTAACGATTCAAATCCTTCATCAATTAATCGAGCTATCATAAACCTATCGATGAAACCAGCCATCAGTGGGTTACTATTGGACTTATAGATGATTAGATAATTCAAATACATCTTCTCAAACACATCAATCAATAATCGAACAGAAGTTTTGTCATTCATGATGATGAAGGATTTCTCTGGATTCAATTCGATATTGATCATTTCTCCATACCTCTGTTCTAGTCTGATTTGTTGTGATAAGATCTCAGAAGGTGCTTCCGACACCTGGAAACTGATCATCGTGTCGTTAGGGTGATTCAAATAGTTCAAAGCTGTGAGGATCTTGGTCTTGTGAATATAGCCCAAACAAATTGGAAGTGATTCATTCGCTATTACAGGGTATCCTTCATGAGTGTCGTCATTCAAGAATTGATGGATTTGCCCTATAGTATAAGGTCGTGTGGGTACAATCTGTAAACACTTGGTGCTAGATAATGGAACCATGATCCGGGAAACATTAATATCAGGTAATTTATTCTTTACCGTTGATGTGGAGGTTGAATAGTTGCACAATCCATTCCCTTTATCACTATTATAATCGGTGTGGTTTTCTCTGTTGAAGTTGTTTTTCAACCATGTGTCATAGATGTTCTCGTTACTAAGATAATCATTAACAAATTTAGAAACCATTACTCCCATCATGATAGGTAAAACATATGTCACCGCACCCGTCAATTCAAACAATATCACCACCACACACATAGTTAATTTGGTGATCCCTGTCATGAAAGCTCCAGCACCTATAACGGCATACGATGAAGGTGAAACCAAACAAGAATTGGCAGTACATAAATCTATAGCTGAAAAGATATGGTTCTGAATCCAACTCGAAAGGATTCCCACAAATCTCCCGCACACAGCTCCAATAACCAATGATGGCATAAGCACACCCCCAGGTAAAATGGTTCCAAAAGTGTAAGCTGTCAATAAAAATGCTTGAATGGCTATATAGCCTAATTTGAGTAGCGTTATCCAATCTGAAGCAGAGCACATGAAATTGGTGGAGTTGGTATCATCATCCTGTGGGTCTGCTGGACAAGCCTTGAACAAAATCTTCAAAAATGCTGATAATGGTAATCTTGTCATTGTCAAAGGGTAGTTCAAAATCGACGTAAGAAGGAATATTCCCATGATCTCTACGTAATTTCCCTTATCAGGACTCAAACCCAAAAGTTCACAAACCTTGTACTGAAGATTCTTCCTGAAATTCTTAGATTGGAATTTGGTATACAATTTGGTGAAATAATGACCATAGAAAGCTCCCATGACACCCAAACCAGTGAATGGAATGACCTCCATAAGAAACCAACTGACATTACCAAACTCAACTGAGAACAAGTCTCCTTCATTGAAGTCTTCTCCTTCAGTGAATAAACGGAATCCAACCAAAATAAGCAATCCCACAGCAGAACTGATGAAAGAATTCCACATAATTTTAGTCGGTATAAAGTAACTAGGAATACACTCTAACACAAAAAGAACACCTCCTACAGGTGAATTGAATGCTAAAGAGATCCCTGTGGCTGTTGCTGCTGATAATAATTCTCTTCTTACGGCTTCATTATTGGATTCGCCGAAAATCACCGTATACAACACATTAAGTATACAACATGAAACATGAACTAAAGGACCTTCTTTCCCCAACCAAAATCCACTACTAACCATCAATACCAACCCCAAGATCTTGAAACATAAGGTTTTAAACCCCAAATATGAAGTGAGATCATAATTAAACCCTTGAATAATCTCCTTAATTTCAGGTATACCTGACTGCAGAATGTATAAATTCTTTTCTGCTATGTACACTGTTATCACCACCATCACCGAACCCAATAAGATATATAATGGGAAGTTCACCAATATGGAACTAATTGTACTTGACGAATTGAATAAGATATCTGACCAATTGGACCAATCTTCCACTGGACATGACAGATAAGGATTAAGCAATGACCATTTATCCAACTTACTGAGACAAATACCTTTACGTAAGTCATTAAGCCACACAGAAGTTAAATCCACTACTGTGACCAAATACCCCGATACCACCGCCGTTAAGATGATACTCAACCATTTCTTCGACACAAACTTTGAGTCCTTCGGTATGGCCATGGTTTCAGTATACCAGTCAATAAAAGTATTATTTTCATAAGTTTTAGGATTTATGGCCGTTTGAGTAGTTGAATCATTCAAATCATATCGAAGAATAGGAAAATCATCCTCATCATAAGATAATTTTGATCCTTTTTGTGGTTGGAAATATGACATTATCAATTGTTCGTAGCTGTAAGAATGGAATTGTTTGTTCCTACCAAAGTAAACCACCAAAACTACAACCTAACTTGGAGTGGTTAACCTTATGGTAAGTGCGCGGATTTTTTTTCTCATCAACCAAAGATGTCTTTCTTAAATAGAAGTACTACTAGTACGACTTCTACAGCTTCAGCTGCTACAGGTCAAGAGTTGGCCAATGATATCACTGTAAATAATGCCCCTGAGGATTCAATCAGTGATTTATCATTCTCACCAACTCAAGATTTGTTAGCAGCCGCTAGTTGGGATAAGAAAGTTAGAATCTATGAAATTGATGCCAATAGTGGACAAAATCAAGGTAGAGCATTATATGAACATGAAGGGCCAGTATTTTCAGCACAATGGTCATTGGATGGACAAAGAGTTATCAGTGGAGGGGCAGATAAACAAGTTAAAATCTTTGATCTAGCGAGTCAACAACAACAACAAATCGGTATTCATGATGCACCTGTTAAGAGTGTTAGATATGTTGAATGTGGACCCACCAACACCCAAGTAGTTGTATCAGCCTCATGGGACAAGACATTGAAATATTGGGATACTAGAAGTCCTCAACCAATATCTACCATAACATTACCTGAAAGAGCTTATACTATGGATGCATCACAAAAATTATTGGTTGTAGGATGTGCTGATAGACATTTAGCCATTATAGATTTAAACAATCCTCAACAAATCTTCAAAACATCAATATCACCATTAAAATGGCAAACAAGAGTTGTTAGTTGTTATCCTCAAGGTAATGGATTTGCTATAGGGTCCATTGAAGGAAGATGTGCTTTCCAATATATTGATGATAGTGAACAAAATAAATTTGGATTTTCTTTCAGATGTCATCGTAAAACTCCAAATAACACTACATCAGCTTTAAGATCATCATCAGAATCTCATATTTATGCTGTCAATGATATTGTATTCCATCCAGTCTACGGAACTTTCAGTACAGCAGGAAGTGATGGAACTTTCTGTTATTGGGATAAAGATGCTAGACAAAGATTAAAGAGTTTCCCCGAATTAAATTGTTCAATTACTACTACAGCTTTTAATAAAACCGGGAATATATTTGCTTATGCTTTAAGTTATGACTGGGCTCAAGGTCATCAAGGTAATAGAAGTGATTATCCTACACAGATCAAACTTCATGCTACTAATGATAATGAAATTAAACAAAAGAAGAAGAGATAATGTATGTTTAGTTAAAAATCTCTAATAGAAACCTAATAATTGCGGGACAAAAAATCCCCGGTTGTTGCCGCCACCACCTCTCCCTAACTGGTACCGCGTTTATAGCAATTTTTGGTAAAGCCACTGGCGAAAACTTTTCAGATCTTCGAGGAAGAAAAAAAAATTTCAATAACCAACAACCTAAGCGGTACCATATGGTCTATCCCCAGCGTGAAATTATCAGTGAGCCTTTCGTTGATCAGTTAGAAGTGATCAACAAAGGGTTGGCCGACTTACAAAACCAACCTATGAATTATTATAGGAAAAAATACCCTGTAAGGAAATATGGAGTATATAATTACCAACAACATCAACCTGGTCAAATAGGTGTTCAACAAGTTGGTATACAACAACAAATCACCACCAATCAAATGGGAGGTGTAGGTCAAGTCAATAATGTTTCACAAATCCCTGTAATGCAACCCCAACCATCAATTTTCAGTAATCAACCTTATGGATTTGACTATAAATCCATTTATGGAGATGAAACTGTTGGTGGTCAACTTAATCAAGGTGTTAGTCAAGGAGTTAATGTCAATCAAGGAGTTACTGTCAATCAATCATTAAATGGTAGTAATGGCTCACTTAATGGAAATAACACTGGTATGGCCAATAATAATGGGTCTAATTCTAATGTAGTCTCCAACACAACAGAGTCATACCCAGTATTTGATCCATTTAGCAGTAATTACTCAGGAATCAACTTATCCAATGATTTACAAAGTAACTTATTGAACTTTAAACAAACCAACAATATTTGGGGAAATTCAAATTCCACTACTGTTAGTGATGCTACAGTTTGGGGTTAGGGGAGACATTTTATAATAATTTAAAGGAAAGGGTGTTAAAATAAAAAAGTTTGGAACTGTCATAGTTAAAATTTTGGTGTGTAATTAAAAGAGAAAAAAGTTAGAGTCATAGATCGGTAGTGTAATATTTTTGGTACATAAAATTGTACTCATACAACAGGGAAAGGATATTGTAGTTTATTCATGGTTTTGTTTTTAACTGAAAAAAGTTGGTAAGGAACGGTTTTAAGTTTGCTTAATACATAATATTTCAAAAAAAACAACCCTCTTCGGTATTGTAGGTACTCTTAGTGCGATGAGGAAGGATACATTGCCTTTTTGGGAAGTCAACCCTCAAAATTTGGACACTTTTTTCTCATAAAAAATTGTCAAAAATCTCGATATCTAACAGTAATTGGGGACAATAAAGTTAGTTTTCTATAGTTTAAAATAGTTTTTATTGGAAGTTATTGATTCCTTTAGATTCTAATCCCCAAAATATCCTACTGAAGAAGTTTTAGGCTGGGAATTATCGTCTGTTTTCGTTAAGTTTGAAACGTTTGATAAATAATCATAACCCTCACCACCTGGACTTTTAATTGATAGTTTTTTTTCAGGTAGTTAATTTCCTTTTAACTTGAGGTATTGATATAGGGAATATTGTCATTATCAAACCCAATTGTCTTTTGTATTCGTCCATTGATTATCTGGTACAAAAGGGTTCTCACAAGTGGGATTAATAAATTTGGTGATATTAAAATCCACAAATTTATCATTAGATAACCATTTTTGAGTGAACTAAAGCCAATAAAAGTAATCAATTAATCATAAAATTCATTAAAATCCATTAAAACTTAGAGTTTTCCTCCAAAAAAGTTGAAAAAACCCCCCATTTGAAAATGAACCAAAATCAAAATTCAAATAGAGATAAGAAGAAATTGGATTCATCTTCAAGTATTTCTGATTCTTCAGCAACTAATCCAAAACAGTTGTTAAACACATACATTTATGATTTCTTAGTCAAGAATAAATTACCTCAAACAGCTAAAACATTTGTTAATGAAGCAGATATTTCATCACAAGATGAAAATAATCAGAATTCTGGTAATTCTAATCCATCACCTACATCACCAGGTTTTTTACAATATCAAAAAGATAATAATTTACCTATAGTTAAGGTGACAATGGATGCACCACAAAGTTTCTTATTTGAATGGTGGCAAGTATTTTGGGATGTTTTCCAAGCTAAAAACAACAACAAACAATCAACTCAAGCTGCTATGCAATATTATCAATTGCAACTCATGAAACAACGTCAACAATTAGATGCTTCAACCATGAATATGATGAATGTTGTTAATTATCAAGGTAATGGTACAGGTACTGTTAACCCAATGCAATCTCAACAACAACGATTGATGATGCAATATATGAGACAACAGCAACAAAATGGACAACCTCCACCACCAGGACCTCCTCAACAACCTTCAAATCAACCAGCAAATGGTCAAAATCCAAATGGTCAACAAATGTATATGATGCAGAATCTCCCTCAAAATGGTATACAACAGCATGCACAGAATCAAATGAACAATTTGAGATTACAAGCAGCTGCACAAAAGCAAAATGATGGTAATTCTCCAAATCCTAATATTAGACCACCAAATAATCAAAATTTCCCTCCTCAAAATGGACAACCAGGGAATTTCCCTCCACCAAATGGTCCAGTTATGAGAACCACCAAAGAAATTGAGGATTCTAATCAACCTGCTAATCATAGTAGAAATGCTAATGCTTTACAAGATTATCAAATGCAATTGATGTTATTAGAAAAGCAAAACAAAAAGAGATTAGACATTGCTAGAAATAGTGGTAATGAAGGTAATATGATGACTTCAATGAATAACAATATGTTACCACCAAATCAACAACAATTACAACAAGCATTAAATAATGGCATGACAAGTAATATTAATAATTTACCGATGAATGGATTACCTCCACAAAATATTATTCCTAATAATATTAACACTAAACCTTCACCAGCTACTGGTCCATCACCTGTTATTGGTAATAAACCTTCACCTACCAACGCTAATGGTAAAAAGAAGAAAGAACCAGCTAAAAGAGGTAGAAAACCTAGTGTGGCTAATAATGGTAATAATTCAAATGTTGGTACACCAATCAGTGCACCAACCCCATCTCATTTGAAGAAAGAAATTTCAACTCCTTTAACTCCTACCTCCGAAACTCCTAATGAAAATGGGAAGAGAAAGAGGAAAAATGAATCACCTAAAAAGAATGGCAAGTTCAAAAAGGAAAGTATTAAGGAAGAAAATGAAGAGAAAAATGAAGATATTCAACCTGAAGAGTCTCATAATTATCAAGAGATTAATAATGATCCAATGTTTTCAATGGATGTGTTGGAGAGTAATTCCAATGATAATTTATTCAATCAAAATGGTATTGATGATATTGAATTTGATTTCAATATGTTTTTGGACGGGAACGTTAATGACGACATCACCAATTTCAATTGGGGTGATGGTATTGAAGGGGAATAGGGACTTTTTTTTATATATATGTATTCACTGAATTGTAACAATATGGGAAGTGTAATTTAATATACAGTAATTGGTGGTGTTCTCTTTGATGGACCTCTTCCAAAGGTATCGTTAATTTGACGATTATTGGTCCTTCTTCTCTGAACTAATGATAGGGTGCCATAAAGATTTATTATTCCAAACAGAAACCAACACCAGGGCTAAAATGGTCACCAACACTCCTGAACTGATTGGCGTGGATGGGAAAGTCAACCAACACCATTCATGAATGAACCAAACAGGAATACTTACCAAGAAAGGCCATCCGGTCATTGATAATAAGTAAGGTAATTGCCAACAATACCATGAAAGGAATTGATAATGTAATGAACGACAACAAAGTATCCCCACGACATTGGTAGTGGATAATATTAACAAGATAAGCTTTGGTCCGGTTTTTCTGTCAATGATCAAATTCTTAGGGGAAATGGTTCCTTTCAATTTGAACATATCTTTGAATAACTGAGAAACTGGTTTACCGGTGATTTGAGGTGATAAGTATCTGGTGAATACGAACGCCAACAACAAGGACAAATGGGCCAATAATAATCCATTACTGAAGTTATCTGATAAAAAGATGTCTTCAGGAACAAATCTCCAGTTGACAGTCCATTCGTATAAAAATTTCCTGTCAAACTTGAAAGCGTTGGTGATATAAGTCCATCTTAAATACTTGGCAGTTTCATCATTGAACATTGGAAGTAAAAAATCCCATCCTACCATAACTTGAATGAAAGGGATCACAGCCAAAGCTCCTAAAGTAGCTAACATATTTTCATTGTTTAAAAAATATAACACTATGATAAATCCTGGTAAATAAAGTAAAGCATTCATTTTCACTGAAATACCTAAACTGAAGATATCACTGGCCACACAACTTCCAATAAATGTATAAACAGGTCCCAATTGTTTATGCCAATAAGCCAATTGTTGTAAAACCAATACCACACCTACCATAGCAAAAGTTGTCCAACAATCATTGAATAATCTAAGAATATAAATAGATACTAATCTTTTTGAACATAATAACAATCCTACTGTCCATGGCGGTGCGTCACTATAAGTCAACATGGCCATGATGGTGGTAAATATCATCAAATAACTGAATAATGCTTGAGCACTTAGGATATCTTCACCTCCATTAGTTAACCATGAAATAAACTGATATACTTGAACAAATCCTGCAGGGTAAACAATTGGGCCGGTATCACCTTGAATAACACTATAATCTAACTCTCCTTCGTTGACTAAAGCGATTTGTTGCATATAGGTCTTGAAATCGATCTCAGTATAAGGCACCGATGAGATAACGATTTTTGATATAATTGACATCAAAAAAATCACAATGGGTCCAACAATTGTCTTTCCTCTGGGATCAAAAAGGATAACGTTGATTCCATCCTTGATATCTCCCAATACATTGGCCAAAGTGAATGGTGGTAATTCCTTATCTTCAGCCATCGTTGACATCTCGCGAAAGTTTACTGTGATAGAAAAGGTCAACTCCGTCACCCATAGAATGGGGCACACAAACCCTAAAAACTGTTCATTATCTATATAGTCATGGATTTAGATGATTTCTTCTTTAATATTCTAAGAACATCTCTTCTACGTCTTTTACATTCTCTGGTAACTTCACCTCTCATTTTCCAGAACCATTGCTCATAAGGAGTTTCGTTGTCATCACCATCTTCAACTTCTTCTCCTTCATTTTCTCCTGGTAACTTAACTTTCTCCCCATCATAACCAAGTCTACTTAATTGTGATTGAGTTTGTAAAAACGGGGAGTCGTCGTGGAACCAAAAGAGTCCTGATTTGGCAATTGGTTTTTCTATAATGGGCACATCCTTCTTTAATTGTTTCAAAACAAGTTTCTGGTCTTCTTCGTCAACTCCTTTGGTTTCGTCTATATCTTCGTCTTCAATTCCGATATTGAAGGTTTTTTCTTGAGGGTTGAATAAACTTCTTAAAGCTTCGGTGTTGTTAGGTTGGCCGAAAGTAGGCATGAATTCAGGTTCGGAGTCGCTTTCTTCGTTTTGTTCGGCTTGTTCTTGTTCTTCGGCTTGTTCTTGTTCTTCGTCTTGTTCTTCAGTTTGTTCTTTGCTTTCTTCATCATCATCTTCTTCACTTTCATCACTTTCTTCTTGTTCACTTTCTTCACTTACTTCTTCTTCACCCTCTTGTTCGTACGTCTCACTTCCTTCTTCAATTTGCTCGATCTTTCTTCCTTCTTCACCTTCCTGTTCTCTATGCGATTCATCATACTCCTTCATAATACTCTCAGTACTATATTGCTGTCCCAAACTATCGAAATCCAATTCATTTCCTTCATCATCTTCATCATAATGAACCTCTCCTTGAGGTCTTTGTACTTCGTTTTTGTATCTCTCGATAGCTTTTTTGTCATAAACCAAATCCATGTCACTATCCTTGATCTCCCCTTCGACTTCATAATCAAACCTAACTGTTTTCTTTCTCCCTTTTTGGTCAACCACTACTTCGTCTTCATCTTCACCATCAATTTCTGCTGGTTTATCAAAGTCATAAGACCCAAGCATGGATGATAAAACAGCCAACGACTTATCCTTGTCATTAACCCCTTCCTCTGGCTCATTGACTACATGAGTTTCAACATCCTTACCATAATTTTTAGCCTGCACTCCATTAATACTACAAATAAATCTTTCAATCACATGATCATCACCACTCTTCCACTGTCCATTAACATATTTCCACGTGAGATCATTCAAGGTCTTATTCTTTTCCATCCCCCATAATTTTGTCTTATAAGATTTGAATTGTTTCAAAGTTCCATTAACTAAAATTCTTAAAGTTTGAGCTTTCAAAGCGGTTTTTGTTCTTGGAGTTTTCCTTATTCTTCCTCTTATTACATCACCACCTCCTGAAATCATTGAATTGGATTGATCATAATATTTCTTGGGTTGAGTTAAAGATCCATAAGATTTAGAACCTATCAAAGTTTGAGTTGGTGCTGAATTCTTCACGTTACCTGATACGTTGTTGAAGGTATGTGCACTTTTATTGTACCCATTAGGTAAAGACATTTGAATAGACTCTTTAGTTATGGAATTTAAATGGGTCTTAGTACTGGCATCAATGATTCTTCTTTGTCTTTCCCATTGAACTCTATCGGTATCACGAGATTTCACTTCTCTTTTATTATCTTCTTCCCATTGGGTCTTAAAATCAGCCTTGGCTTTGGATATAGTCAACTTAAGACCCATAAATAATACATTATGTAAGGATTTTTTCAATTTTTCATAATTATCTTTGGTGATATTGAGAGTTATGAAACCAAAATGATGAGTATTGGAAGGCTTGGTTCTGATTTCCAAAGGTTTGATGATTTCTCCATACTTAACTAACCTGGAGTTCAAGCTGGAAGGATTCTCTGCTAAATTATTGGAGATATTTCCAATATGGATTCTTGTTTCCATAGCGATGAGATGCAAAATCGCGAAGTAATGAGTATTGATGATAAAGTGAATGAAGCTTGGGAACGAGCCAAACAATTGTACGAGACTAAGCCGAGTGAAAGACAAAGAGCTACTTTTGAATTTGATATTCCTGAAGGTTTGAAAGAGGTCATCGAAAATAATGAGAAGAAGGAAGAATTGAATGAGGAATTGAAACAAGTCATAATGCAGGCATTTTGGGTTGGTTATTATAAGGGATTTGATGTGAGTAGTTTCGATAGGTGATGGGAGTGAATGTCACTGTGAATATCAGATCAGAGGAATAGAGTAGGATATGAGAGCGTCAGATCAATGTGGGTGTGTATGAGAATACCAGGATATCAACCTATCAGGCTGGGTACGGTGGAATATAAAGCCGTCAGAGTCATTCTGTTGCTATCAGCTAATCAATGGGCTCGTCAATTTATCAATCGCCTTCAGTCTATTGATCAACCTCTCATAGTATTACCCAAATGCCACTTACCAGAGTATCTTAAAGAGTAGAGTACCATCACACCACAACTATAAATATATTCACTCTAAGTGGCAGCCCATAAATCTTTCAAACCCATAACTGATGTGATAGATCCTGCTAAACCAACATCTCCTTCGGTGAAATGTAAGTAATTTAATGAGTTCAAAGCAATAAACATATCTAATAAATCCCAAACTAATTTTCTCTTAGCTTTGAAAATCTTTCCCTTGACATCTTCAACGTCAACTTTTTCATCTTTATTATTCAATTTGGTGATATTGATCTTATACGATCTTAAAGAATTTATAACCCCAGCGATAAGTCCAAGTAACCAAAATCTTGAGGCCCAAGTAGAGGCATTGGAGAATTTGCTCTTATTGACTAATCCTAACATCTTTAAGAATATGAAAGCATCAATGGTCAAGTAACCAGCATAACCTAAGTTTCTTACGACAGTGGTTTTTTGTAAAATTGGATCCATTAACTTATTATCGAAAGTTTTGGAGGCAGTTTCTAAATGATGTAAAGGCTTCAAGAATCTCATACCTTTTCTTAAGAAAGTAACTTGACTTTTCAATTCTTTAAACATGTTGACAGTGTCAGTACTGAAACCCATTCTATAAGAATAGTAAGTTAAAAATCTAGATAAGTAAGCAACTAATCTATAAAGTTTCTCCCTCTTAGGAGTTGTATCTAAGAATCTTAAGATCTTATCATAATAAGGATGATAAATAACAGCATCAACAACCATGTTAAGTGAATTGAATTAAATGCCGGTGATTTGAGGGTATTTAAATGGAGCGTGAAAAGTTGGGGTTAGAAAAATACCGAGGATCCATTCATCCAGGGTCGCGTGAGTTACGCCCGGTAAAAGGGAGTCTGGAGTTAGGAAGTCGGGAGCGGTGAGACTAAAATAGTGAGAGTATCCCTGGAAGTGGTAGCATTGATTCAATAGGATGGAACTGAAATTAAAGAGAGCAATGAAGGTGTGATCACGTGATTTCATGTTGATTTATTTTTGATAGGTATTGTTCATATTGACACAACTGATTATTCTGACTTCATTTCCAATTCTGTCAACATCTTCCAAGCTTCACCATCTTCCAAGCTTCACCATATTCCAAGCTTCACCATCTTCCAAGCTTCATCTTCACTGTCACATGATCTCTCACCTGTCTCATCATCTTGCGACATTCTTGCGACATCACGACACCTCCATTAGATCCACAGATTCGCGTTACAAAAATAAACAATATGAATAAAGAGAACGAAGACCCCCATCAAGGCAATAAGACCATGCCTATCATGGGATCCCATCGTAACTCCTTGAAGTTGAACCGTCGTGTAAGTTTCGCTCCTGAAGTTACGTTACATAAGTTTGATTTCATCCCCAGAAGAGAGACAATCGGCTACTTACCTTCTCACCATTCTAGTGACAGTTTTAGTGATAACGTTAGTGATAGCGTTGAAACAGTTAATGAAACCCATTCACAACCATCTGAAACTGCTGATGTGGACAAAGATGAAGAGTCTGACATTGAAATCACAGAATCGTTTACCAAAGTCAAATTACATTCTCCTAGAAAGTTCCTATCACCCAGTAAATACAAGATAATCACTTCTGTAGGGGATGACAGTGATTTGGATACGTTACCGAAGATATCCATCGAGAATATTGAAGAAGATATGGAATTCACCGAACCAATTGGATTCTCAGAGAAAGTGAAAGATATGGAGGTGGGTCAAGTACAAAGAGTGGAAGAAGATATGGAGTTTACTCAACCTGTGAATATCCAGTCCAATGTTGAGAAGGTGATTGAGCAAGTTCAAGAAAGTATTGATGATGAGCCTGAAGAAATGGAGTTTACCCAACCTGTAAGTCTTCAAGCAGTAACTGAGGAAGCTGGTATCAGAAATGTAGAAGAAGAGATGGAATTCACACAACCTATTCTGAAAAATTCGGTCGAACACATAGAAAGCATTCCTGAAGAAGATGAGATGGAATTCACACAACCTATTTCTAAAGACCAAGTAATGCAATCAAGTCAACCAGTTTCTCAAAACGAAGATATGGAATTCACACAACCTGTTAATTCTATTCAGGTTGCACAACCCTTACAAGAGACTAGTCAAGAAGAGATGGAATTCACTCAACCAGTACAAATCAAAGACTTTGTCACTCCTAGAACCTCCATGCATAGTGTTTCATCAAAAGAAACGACTCCCCATTTCCCTGACGTTCAAATTCCAATACCTCAGGAATTCTCCAATAAGAGATTGAGTGATTTTGAAGAAGAGAAGGATTACAAATTGAGGAAAATAGAAGAAGAGAAACAAGAAAAAGAGAGGGAACAGATAGAACAGAAAAGGCAAAGAATCGAGAGAGAACAAGAAAGGCATAGAATTGAAAGACAAGAAAGAGAAGAAAGGCAAAGAATTGAAAGAGAAGAAAGGCATAGAATTGAAAGACAAGAAAGAGAAGAAAGACAAAGAAAAGAAAGACAAGAAAGAGAAGAAAAACAAAGAAAGGAAAGAGAAGAAAAACAAAGACAAGAAAGAGAAAGAGAACAAGAGAAACAAAGAGTCGAACAAGAAAGAAAAGATAAAGAAAATCTCATTAATCATGTCATTACCTCCAAAATCCCTCTTGCTGATATTACCAACGAATCAGTTGATGAAATTGATGATCCTAATTATACCAATGTAACTTTAACTCAATTCTTAAACGACTTAGGTATTCAATTCTTAGATGATTTGCAAATGAACTATTATGAAAAACCATCAAATGTTTCCACTGAAGACATAACTTTCAATGATTATGTCAAAGGGACTGGAAAATTATCTATCTTCTCATTATTGAAGTTTAGTAATGAAGAGATGGCTAAATCCATTGAACAAGGGAAAACTCTTTTCAAAGAATTAGATGAATCAATATTAACCAACAATCCAAAGTTCTTCAAAGATTTCTATTCTTCCAGTGAAGAAGAAAAATCTTCAATGACTACAGCATTCTTATTAACTAAAGAGTTTAGTCGATTGAAAGCTAAAAAGATTTTTTGTAATTGGAGAATTCAATTGATTGAGAAGTTAATTATGGATTTAAATACCAAGATTGAAGATTTAACCAATGATAAAGTGATTCTTCTAAGTAACTTGACCATTATAAATGAAGAATATAATGAAAATTTCCAAAAATATGAACTTTTGAATCAAAGATATCTCAAGTTGAAAGCCATTGAAAAGGCTTATAACAATTACTCTTTAGAAGAAAGACAAGAGATCAAAAGTCAAATTTTAGAGTACAAACAAGATATCATCAATAAGAATGAGAACATTCAACAATCGACGGAGAAGATCAAAGAAATCGATGATAAAATTCTTCATCAAAAGAGTTCAATTGACCATTTAAAGCAAGAAATCATCCAAAAACAAAAGTTAATGGAAGATAATAAGATTTATGAAATCAATGAGATCAAATCATTGAATTTGAAATTCAAATTGTTACAAAAAATCACCTCAATTGAATATTTAAGTAAAACAGACCAATTCATATCATTCAACTTCAATGATTTCAAGATCGAAATCAATTTCGAAAACAATAATGAAATTAGGTTATCATTGTTGAAGAATAATTATTTAAACGAATGGTTATCGCACATTGTTATCAAACAATTCAATAAAATAACAGGCTTGAACTTCTTTGATAAGTGTAGGAAATTGAAGGAAATCATTGATAATGTCAAAAAGATTGATTTGGATATTTATAAGATTTCTTGTAAATTCCCAATCATCAATGAAAGTAATGAAGACATTTCATTTACCATCAAATACTTTAAAGGAGCAGTTAAAATTAATGTTAAAATTGATATTGAGGGTATAGATTATTCCAATGTTAAAGTATCTGTGAAATCAGGTGAGACAAAGGTAGTGGAAGAGCTTAAAGGATGTTATAGAGGAAATGGATTATTGGAAAGTGTATAATATGTAGAATAGACGAGAAATTTTAGTGATTAGATCTATGACGGAGTAAGATGGAGGGTCAGTGGGTGGATAGAGAAGTGCACCTATTTGTATGGTGGAATGGCCCGTTCAGTTTACTTACATAAATTGAGATAAAACCAAATTCTAGTGAGCGCAGTACTAAAACATGGCACTATGTTCGCACCTCATCTAGCACCTCATCCAGCACCACCCTACCATATCTGCGACACCTCAATTCGCATCTTTAGATGCCTTCGCATATCGTCGACATGGAACTCTATCAAGACGAAACCAAGAACTTAGATGTTCCCTTAAGTAATGGAGAGATCGTTTCCATTAACTTAATCGATGAATTACCTGAGGATTCTAATGAACTTATCAGTTTCTTGGAAAATGAACAATGTCCTGGGAAATATTGGATCTCCATTTCTCAGGCTTATTGTAACATCAACAAACTTGATGAAGGGAAATCAATAATTGAACAAGCTTTACTGAAGAATTTCTCCACCAATGAAATCCAACAATTTGAAAGATACTTAGCTTGGTTGAATTTGAAGTTGGCTAAGAAAGGTATTGATAAAATTGATAATTTAACTAAAGTGAAAAATTTCATTGAATCAATTCAAGACTTTGAAGTAAATGATAATAACTTACAAGTATTATTAATCAAAGCTACATACTATTTATTCAATAATCAAGAAACCCAAGCTTTAAAAGAATTTGAAAAAATCTTAACTATTGATGAAACCAATTGTTTTGCAATGTTAGGTAAAGCTGAAATACTAATGAAACATAAAAAAGATTATGGAAGTATTCTTAAATTATATCAACAAGTGTTATTATTGAATCCAATAATCAAACCAGATCCTAGAATTGGGATTGGTTTATGTTTTTGGTATTTAAAGGATCATAAAATGGCTATTAGAAGTTGGGAAAGAAGTTTACAGTTGGATGGAAATAACTTAAATGTTAAGATTTTATTAAACTTATCGAAATTTAATGATACTTTCAACCATTCATTATCTGATAAAGAATTCAAAGCTAATTATAATCATTGTTTAAAGACATTAAAGTCCAATTATGATGTTGATAATGAGAATCCCGTGATCTTATTGACTTTTGTATCATATTATTTCACTAAGAAGAATTATGAGTTGGTAGAAAAAATCTGTAATAAAATTATTGGTAAAGTAACTTCACAAACGGTTGAAGGATTGAATAATTATCAAAAGAATTTACTTTCTCAAGCTTCTTTTTGGTTAGGAAGATGTTATTATAATAAACAAGATTTCATTCAAAGTCAAAGATTATTCCATGAATCCATAAGATTCGATGATGATAACTTATTAAGTAAATTGGGTTTAGGTCAATCACAAATTAGTAGAAATTTAATTCAAGAAGCTATCAATACATTTGAAAATTTGATGAAGAAGTATCCTAAAAACTTGGAAATCAATTATTGTCTTGGATTATTATATTCAAGATCTAAATCAAAGAAGAGATTAGAATCTTCTATTAGTATTTTAGAAAGATATATTAATTTATGTCAAAATAGAGGTATAAATACTAATGATGAAGATGAAGATTCAATGACTTTGGATAAAGAACCTATAATTTTGAATGCTTATTTGATTTTAAGTAAACTTTATGAATCTAAGGATATTAACCAATCATTGAATTATTTGAATAAAGCTGTTGAATCAAGAAAAGCCATTAATAAGGATATTCCTTTGGAAATTTATAATAATATCGGAGTTTTCAATTTCAATAAAGGCAATAATGAACTTGCTGTAAAGAATTTCCAACTTGCTTTAGATAATTTGAATACTATTGGTATCAAAAGATTCGATAAACAACCGGAACAAATTGAAGATTTGGTTAAAGATTTGAAAATTGTTTTGGATTATAATTTAGCCAGATCTTTAGAATCTTCTGATAAAGACCAAAGTTTAACTATTTATGAAAACATCTCCAAATCATCACCAAATTACTTTTCTTCAAAATTAAGATCATTATTCTTAAACCTTGTTTCCACCAATAACTTAACCGTTGAACAAGTCAAAGAAGAAATTGAAATTATCTTGAATTTAAGTCCAGAAAATCTTGAAATAAGATCATTCTATTCATGGTTTATCAAGACTTTCGGTAAAAAGATTGGTTTGAAAACTGATGATGATACTGAACATCAAAAGGAAACTTTAGTTAGTTATAATTCTCATGATTGTTATGCTTTAGTATCATTAGCTAACATTTATTGTATCATGGCCAAAGAATTGAAATCTTCTGATGATAAACGTAAGAAATATTACATTAGAGCTATTGAATTATTTACTAAAGTATTATCAATTGATTCAAAAAACGTTTATGGAGCTCAAGGTTTAGCTTTGGTTTATATTGAAAATGGTGAATTACTTAAAGGTTTGGATATTCTTAGAAAGATTAGAGATTCTTTGAATGAACTTTCAATTTATTTGAATTTAGGTCATGTGTTATTGGAATTGAAACAATACACCAAGGCCATTGAAAACTATGAAATCGCTTTGAATAAATTTTCAAACAATGATAGTAATATCCTTACATTTTTAGGTAAAGCTTGGTTATTAAGAGGTATGAATGATAAAAGTTTACAATTCTTAAACAAAAGTTTGGATTATAGTAAACAATCATTAACTACTTCTTCTGGTAATAGTAAAACCATCAATTCGCTTAAATTCAATATTTCATACGTTCAATATCAAATAGCTGATTACTTAATCAAATTACCTGTTAGTGAAAGAAAAATTAGAGATATAGAATTTGGTATTAAAGAAATCAATGAAGGTATTGAAATCTTAAACGAATTATCATCAGATGATGAAAAGAATAGTCCTTATTCTAAGACCGATTTGAAAACTAGAACTAATTTGGGTAATACCTTATTGAATAGATTAAATCAATCGTTACAAGAAACCAAAGATTTCAATGAAGCTATTGATGATAAATTACAAAAAGCTTTGGAAGTAAGACAACAAGAATTAGCTAAACAACAAGAACTTGAAGAAGCTAGACAATTAGAAAAAGCTAAACTTGAAGAAGAAACTGCCAAAGAAAGAATTAAATTACAAGAACAAGCTCAACAATGGGCTGAAGAAAAAGCTTTAGTGGTTGAAGATGATGATAAACTCTTTGATGAAGAAGTTAAAGATGAAGAAAAGAAGAAATCCGATGGAAAGAAGAAGAAAGGTAAAAAGGGTCGTAGAAAGAAAGATGTTATTGAAGATAGTGAAGAAGAAGCTGAAGAACCTGAAGAACCTGAGGCTGAAGAACCTGAACCTCAAACTCAACCTGAGGAACCCCAAGATGATGAAATCGACCCCGATTTACAAAAACCTAAAAAGAAATTCAAATCAGATGAATTTGTCCGTGATAGTGACGATGATGATGATTTATTTTAATGTGTACTAAAAAATATGTAATCTTTATTAAATCTACTCTTTCAACCAATTCTTCATTTGTCGATTACTTTCACTAGCAATTTTGAAAAGTCTCTTTTCGAACTCATCTAATGATAACATAAACCTGCTATTCATTTGTTTGGAACTATTATTGGCATAACTATAAATCTCTAAAGATCTTTCTTTGATCATTTGTTTGATAATCTCACTTAATTCTTCATCACTGAAAAACGAACAGTACTTTTCTGCCATTTTGTAGTAATTCGGTAAAATTGAATGAACGTCTAATGCTACAGGATCAGTACGAATAGCGTTCCGTACTTTAACATTCAAACTTTCAGGTTCTAATAACAGTATAAATGGTGTTCCATCAGGTGCTTCTAAATGTGCCAATTGTTCTGCCAACCAGAGAGGTAGTTCGACTTTTGTACCTTCATTGATTGGCTTACCGGGATTCCCTTCTAGGTATCCTAATCCTGGTACCGTTATGTTGAATATACTTGGGACTTTCTCTCCTGTAGCTAAAATATCATCTATATCATAATAATCTACCATCACGTGTTTTTTACCTGGTCAAAGTCAATTTGGCTGAATGGAAAATTTGGGAATAATCTTATGGTACTAGTAAAACGATCGAATGTGTTCAATTATGTAAACTTACAAAGCCAATGTATAATAATGGAAGGTGTTTGGTTGTATAACAATAGATCTCAGAAATCAGATTTCGCGAATAGCTTATCGCAAAATTTTCCAGATGCCAGTTAAACTGTACAGTGAAGAAGCCACCTTTGATGGTGATGCTGATAGTAAAATCAACTATAATGATGCTATAGATTATTGGTCATCCGTACCAGCATCAGTGAATGGTGTTTTGGGAGGTTATGGTGAACAAACATCTGTTCCAAAGGCAGATATTATAGGATCAAGCACATTTATAAGGAAATTATCATCAAGAATGCCTTGTGAAGGACCTAAATTAACTATTGATATGGGTGCTGGGATAGGTAGAATCACCAGAGACTTCTTATGGAAAATCAGTGATACTGTAGATTTACTTGAACCAGTGAAACCATTTGTTGCTCAAATGGAGAACGAATTAAAAGAAGTAAAGAATAGAGGTAAGTTAGGTGATATTTATGATATTGGAATGCAAGAATGGCAATGTGCTCCAGAAAAACTCGGTCAATATTGGCTTGTTTGGTGTCAATGGTGTGTAGGACAATTACCTGACGATGAATTAGTTCAATTCTGGATTACATGTAAAAAAGCTTTAAAACCTGATGGAACATTAATTGTTAAGGAAAATATTGCTCCTGTTGATGATATTTTCGATGAAACTGATTCTTCAGTTACCAGAACTGATGAAAAATTCAGATCGTTATTCATAAAAGCAGGTTATAAATTGATCGCTTCTGATGTTCAAAAAGGATTACCTAGAGAATTATACCCTGTAAGAATGTACTGTTTGAAACCGATATAGAACGTAATAATATAAATTTAAATACATAAGATCAAACCTCAAGTCCGGTCTTAGATTGAATCTCTAACTAATGTAACATAATTAACTTGGTCTATTTTTACTTGGTTCCAATGGGAATCCTAAAGCTATGATCCCATTTATGGCAATCAAAGCACCACAAACGAATAATGGAGCTGATGATGAAGTATCAGAATAATAGGCAATAATAGGCGAAAAAATTTGTCCAAATCGGGTAATCATGATACAACAAGCATTTCCAGTAGCTCTTGCCATAGCAGGCATGGTTTCAGGACTGAAAGCATAAAGACATCCAAAATAGATATATAAAGCGCAATAAGCTGCTGATGATAATGCTACATTCTGAGCATGATTCTTAATTTGAGTATAACCAAAGAAGAAAGCTGATGAGGCAATAGCACCAATGAAAAGAACCCCTCTACGACCTAATACTGGTACGTAGAAAAGTAAAAGCCAAGCAATAATGGGTCCACCAATTGAACAAACATTTGAAATAACATTATCTCTGTACACTCCATAAACAGTATCAGCAGAAATATTCACCCCTCTAGTAGCTAAATATGTTGGTAAGAAAGCATAGAAAATTGGATAACAAATACCTAAAATCAACCATGATAAGAACAATAATGAAGTATGTCTGATCATAGTTTTATTGGAAAATAACACTGATAAATGTTCACCCATCAATTTCAAAGTTCCTTTAACTGATTGATTTTTTCTATAATCTTCATTAGCAGTGATTTCTCCACATGCTTGTAATTTTTCCAAAGTTAACGACATAGGTCTGTTGTATTTATCAGCAATGTTCTTTAAACTTTGATAAGCTTCTTCATCTCTAGAGTTGGAAACCAAGAATTTAGGAGTTTCTTCTAAACTAATAACTGTAACTCTAGCAACTGCTAATACTAAAACAATGGCTCCATTAACATACCAGGTATATCTCCAACCTCTATTATCAGCAGAATCACAATTTTCAGGACCTTCACAACTATTATTTGGTAAGAAAGCCCAAGCAATTAAAACAGCTACTGATTGTCCAATCCCCCAGAATGCTGCTAACAAAGTAACCAAACTTTGTAAATTATTTTTAAATGGTAAAAATTCCAAGAAACAAACAGTATCCAAAACCAAATTACCTCCGAAACATAAACTTGATAACGCTACAAATAAACAATAAGTAGCTAAACTATTCATAGCTCCTGTTATAATACAAAATAATCCCGATAAGAATAATGAGATATTGAAAGCTAACCTTCTACCGATTAAATCAGCTGAAAATCCAAATAAACAAGCACCTGCAATACCTCCGATTACCATAGCTTCATTAGATATTGGGAAATCTTGACCAAATTGAAAATTTATATATTGTCTGACAGAACTTTCAATCATCAACAATTGAGAATCTGTAGCATACCCCATACCATTTAAGAATAATAATTTTAAATGGTAAGGTGTGAACCCAATCTCATCAATAGCATCTTGAACTAACTTCATCTTCTTATTCAATACCACATCACTGGATTGAAGATCTGAAATATCAGTTGTAGAAGTTGAAGATGCTGACTTTATACTAGCAATAGGTGATTTTTCGATATCTTGAACCATGTTTGATATAAAGGTAATTGAAAAATCTAGGTAGGTTTTTTTTTCGAGTTAGATTGTCGTGCTTTTAAGTAAAACGTAAAATGCTTCGAAAAAGGAAAGAAAGTTTTCAAAATGTGAAAAAATTAATATTTCTGGGGGTCCGATAACGACGTCATCGCATCTTTACTTATTTAGTGTATTTTACCCCTGATTTTTTTATGGTAATATTATACTCTAAATGATTGTTAGAGATAAGGTTTGATTGCAGTGGATGTAGGATTATCGTTATTGCTTAGAGGATTTTTTTAGAAGTTAAAATGAAAGTATTTTTGGATTCAGTCCGACATTGACGAAATTGCTCAACTGTATATAACGTGCCATGGAATATAATGCCACAGTTGAATTGGTTCAAAGAAAAAATAACGAACTCAAGGATTTGTGAAGAGTTGGTTAAGCCATGGGAAGTTTTGGTCTGGATCGTTTTTTTTTTCTTTTGCATTGGGAATTCACCATATCGTAGATTAAGGGGAATCATTACTAAAACGGGAAAGTTCTGAAAATGGAACACTATCGCAATTGATAAGATAAGGCAAATGTTGAGTATTTGTGCCTTTGTTGATATCTTTCTGACAAGTGAACCGTTGATTCTTCAATAGATTTATCCGATATACTGGTGGGGTCTGATGCACCAAAACTTAAATCCTATTGCGGGACTTCTCGATTCATTCCTTCTTACGACTGTGGCTTAAGGGCTCAGGTTCTTTTGAACTATTGTCATGAATGTTGACTTGCAGAATAGAGTTCGTGGTTGAGGGGTGAGTCAATGGTGATATCATTTATATGGTCTTTTATCTGAAATAATGTTTTTACCTGATATGGATTGTCTTCACATTGATTATTCATTATCACAAATTCTGCCCGGACACGACACTCGTGATATGGAAAAATGAGACTTACCCGGCTCGAGATTACTCATAGATCTAATCTGGTGATTGGAGCTGAACAATTCACACTTTCAACACCATGACTGGGATTAGCACAGATTTGATTCATTCGTCGGAATCGAACTACATTGATGTCACACCACCTATCAATATCACCACCACTTATAAATATTCAGATGATCCTGAAAAATTAGTTAAAGCGGTAGATAGAACAGGTCCTGATTATTTCCATAATGATAATTGGACTTATTCCAGATTAACCCATCAAAATTCTGAATTAATTGAAAATTTGTTAGAATCTTTGTTAGAAGGGAAAGTTGTGGTTTATAATTCAGGACTTGCTGCTTTCAATGCTGCTTTAACTCATATTAATCCTAAAACCGTTATCATAGGTCAAGCTTATCATGGATGTCATGCTATTCTTGAAATCTGGAAGAGAAATTTTGATTTGAAGGTATTGGATATCAACGTTTTAGACAATTTCGAAAAATTACAACCGGGAGATTTAGTTCATTTGGAAACTCCTGTTAATCCTTTAGGAACAAGTTTCGATATTGAATTTTATGCTAAGAAAGCTCATGAAAAGGGTGCTTTATTAATGGTAGATGCCACTTTTGCTCCACCTCCTTTACAACGTCCTTTTAATCATGGTGCTGATCTAATCATGCATTCAGCTACTAAGTATTTCGGGGGACATTCAGATTTATTAGCTGGGTTATTAGTTACCAAAGATGAAGAAGTTAGACAAAAGTTATTTTATGACAGATTATTATTAGGAACCAACATTGGAAATTTGGAAAGTTCTTTATTGGTAAGAAGTTTGAAAACTTATGAATTAAGAATTCTTCGTCAAAGTGATAATTGTACAAAATTGGTTGCTTACTTAAACTCCAATAAAGAGAAATTCCCTAATTTGAAAGAAGTTTTCCATTCTTCTTTACAATCAGATGAATACATTAAAACCCAATTATCTGGACATTCACCAACTTTTTCTATTACTTTACAATCTGAAGATTTAGCTAAGAGATTCCCATCCAAATTGAAATATTTCTATCATGCAACTTCTTTAGGTGGTGTTGAAAGTTTAATTGAGTGGAGAGCTATCAGTGATCCTACTGTTGACACTGCTTTACTTAGAGTTTCCGTAGGTGTTGAAAATGTCGAAGATTTAATTGATGATTTCACTCAAGCACTTACTAGTTCATAATACATTTAAATATATAGAGGTTTTCATAATCATAATTTTAAATCCTTGGTCAAATTTTCCATCACCTCTTCCGTGCTAAGACCATGCTTGGCTTGTTTATAATTAGCACCAACCAAGAAAAATCCCTTACTTCCATCTTGTTTGGCTTTCCATTGTTTATATCCATCGTACATCCATCCGTATGGAGGTAAAGGGCCGACTCTATTTTTCTCTACATCTTGGATGAATTTTGTTCTGATACATCTTGCAGGTTTACCTGAGATTAAATCAGTCATTATTGTCGGGAGGTCGCTATTGGAGATCATCTCCTTATTGGCCAAAGACTCGTCAGTAGTTAAAAAAGCTGTACCCAATTGTACTGCACTAGCACCTTGATCAAGATAATATTGAATGGTGGTAGTATCTACTATCCCACCAGCAGGAATTACAAAACAGTCAGGATTCATACTCTTCACTTGCTTGAACAAAGCATCAGTGGATAACAATTCATCGTATTCAGAGAAAACACCACGATGGCCACCAGCTTCGTATCCTTGTAACACTAATCCATCTGCGGATTGACTTAAACAATATTTGGCTTCTTCAACCGACGTAACAGTTGCAAAGACCAAGATTCCTGACTTCTTTAACTGTTCAATTGTTTTGCTACTAGGCAAGCCAAAATGAAAACTCACCACCAAAGGTTTAAAATCAATCAAATTGGTCAAAAATGAATTAAACTGGGGAAATGTTTCAAATTCTTTGAACGAAACGTTCCCGTTCTTTACAATCTTTTCTCCATGATACAATTTCTTCCAATTAGAAACCATTTCGTCATTGACTACGTTGTCTACGCCATGAGCGAAAAAGTTGACATTGACTTTATTGGTATTGTATTTGAGTTTGAAGTCATTAAGGGAATCAATAGCCGATTGAATGTTAGATCCGAATGGTAAAGATCCTAATCCACCGAATTGAGTAACTTTGGAACACATCTCAGCAGTACTCACTCCGGCCATAGGAGCCTGGATAATGGGGAACTTAATCCCGAGGGATTGTAAGCTACTGAAAGATTTCATCGGGTTTTTGATTGCGATTTCAAATCAGTATTTATAGAAATCTGAGGAATTTGGGGACAAGAGGATCAAAGGAATGATTTTATGGACTTAAGGAAAACCTGAAATCACCAATCTGATTTAGGTAGGAGTTTCATTAGGAGTATTCAAATGCTTTGCATTTATTCGATATATACATAAACTATAAGTTAGATGAAAATGGATACTATAATACAATTCTGAAGCTTTTTACGTCATCAAAAATCATTCTAACATCTATTTTCTACCCATAAATTGACCAGATTGACCCATTTTTTGCATATGTTCACCAACTTGGACATTGGTTTCGAAATATTTGGAAACACATTTATCTAAGCATAAACTTTCTTGTTTAGATAATTCACCATCGTTGTAGTTTTTAGCAATACATTTGTTGTGACATTTATCGACTAATTGGTTGAACATGTTAGTAACCATGTCTAATTCTGCTTCAGCAGCTTTGATCTTTTGTTCTGATGAAACTGAACTACCTCCAAAACCGAACATAATGAGTTGAAAATTTTTATTCGCACTTGCGATTTGGTTTGAGATTTCATGATGTGTGGAGTTGGGAGTTTGAGGATGGTGGATTGAGCGATGTGTTGATGGGTGTGATGGAGATATTTTATGGGAGGTTTATAGTGTAGTAGAAGGGAAAGTTTGGAACTGAGCCTTGAGGAGCCAGAAGAAATGATAGAATGGTCAAGATCATGTGATTGCTCGCGTGATTTTCATGTGATGTATTGAATTCACAAGTCAAGGTCTATGAACATAGGAGTTGATTCACCACTGTGTGTATATTGAAGTTCATGGCAATCTTGTGACTCTAATTAATTGGTTCATCAGGTAATTTTTCTTATTTCATTTATTTTGATATTTTTTGCAACTTTTACTTCTCTTGTGTTACATTCTATATCAAAAATGAAACAAAAAATCGAAATATTGAAAAGATTAAACCACTTGAAGAGAGAAACTGGCTCAAATCAATTCATCTCAGGACACCAACCAAATTAATTTTCACATAAACAACTTCAAATTTGAAAACTTCATGGCCCAGATGAATCACTATGGAAATTTCGATACGGGAAAATCTGCCCTCGAAATTCATGCAAGGTTCAGGCAGTACATAAATCTGACTACGGCCCTACACTTTCTTTGGCGTGGTTTGAAAACCCAATTTGGAAGAGAAATAAACGTCGCTTTATTATCATAAAATAAGCTTGACGTCACTTAAACCTTGACGCCGCTGTTACATCTACCCAAGAGTGTTCTCCTTGCGTACAATGGGCAGCAATGCACGTTGAAGCCAATGTTCTCATATTTTACCTTCCACCTCCAACTTACTTTCACTAAAGAGTATATACATATTTCTTCCACGTATAAGAACCCAGAGTGTGAAACAATAACCAAGATCTCTTTCCGACACTTACTTCCTATTAATTACGGATCCTACGCCTTAAACCCTAAATCCTTACCCTTTCATGGCACTGATAAAGTAAAGCCTCCGACAAGTAAGTTTCGTAAAAGCAAGAGAATCACGTGCCAATTTCGTAGTGGACGGGTGACTTCGGTTGATTTCGCTCGGGAAAATTGCCTCTTCGCTACTTTTCTTGTATGTGCCGAAACTCAAAAAAAAAATAACAACAATGTATCTTTACTTATCACGAATTTGACATGCCCGTAGGGCGCACTTACGGTCGTAACTTATTAGTCCCTTAATTACCACGAAAAACTGCTTTTGCTTAAATCTGCTAACGGTTTAAATGATAGATCACTTGATGGGTAAATACGAAAGGTAATGATGTTGATCGATTTCTTTGACTAAATAATAATTTACGACATACATTAAAAGTGTCGGAAGGTCACATAGCCTACTTTTTTTACGACATGTAACCTCTAATAGATTGCCCATGTCGTAAGTGTCCGAATATCGTAAATTTAGGGTGAATTTTGAAATTCAGTTAGTATAACCGTTAACCTAACCAGGTTAAAATCGGTCGTTTCACCGATGTTTTCAAATTCCTCTCCCACGTAACAACTTAGGCATTCAATTATTAAAAGCAACCTTGGTTAGATACGTTGCTTTTAGCGCAAATTGTGGCTAATGGGAATGCATGGAAAAACATCGCCGTATCGATGAGATCTCCCCATGGGTGGTTAAATACCTCACAAAAAAAAAGGGAAACTGGTAGCTCCCCCCTTTCAATGTCTGGTTGAACTATATCTAAATGGCTTCGTTCAAAAACAAATTTAAGGATAATCCGAAAGTTAATTAAAAATTTCATAGGTGAGGCTATAATGTTGAGGGAAATTATAACCCTCACAACTTCGACTACGCATGACGTTTGACTACCTATCGTATATACCCCCTGACAGCTCTCCCAAACCTCATCCCATCATCATCCACTCTACACCTAACTAACCATAGATCAAAAGAGATCCATCTAAACTTTCAAAAGTATCTCCCTCCAAATTGTCCTTCGATACGATTTTGGTTGCTTCGACATTCGTATTTCTAAAAAACGATTTTTTCCAAAAAATTTTTTAAGGTACCATTTCTCAAAAAAATTCCCTTCAACAAAAATTGACAACGAACAAATAACAGAAAACAACGTTGGACAACCTTGGGATTATTTTCGGATAACTCACTTATTATAGATTTTACAACATTAGATTATTAAATATTTCATAAATCATTCAAATACTTTTCAAAAGAAAATCGAAAATCCACCCCTTTAAAGTCAAACAATTATCTCCTAATCATTCCCTTAACTTTTTAAGAAATTAAATCACTTTAAAAGTATCCAAGTCATGAATTACGATACTGATAAATCGTTCAAGAAAGCATTACAGTCGGCATCAAACCCCCAATTTCAACTAAATTCAAAAAAGAAGAATACTAGAAGGAAGCACCGAAATAGTCATTTGGGTTGTGGGACTTGTAAAAAGAGAAGAATCAAGTGTGATGAGAACTTACCCAGTTGTTTGAATTGTTTAAAAGGTAAATTACATTGTGCTTATTTGAATTTAGATTCAAATGCTAGAAATGCTTTAAGAATGGCGCAATATAATCAAAATTTAAGAAATGATAAATTTGAAGATTCCAATGATAAATCTTCATCGGATAATTCTCCCAATCCAAATCCAAATTCAAAGAATCCAACAAATTCAAATTCATCGACAAATCTTAGTGGTTCAGTGGGGACTAATAATGTAACTCCTCAACTTACCGACCCACAACAACATTTAATGGCTCCTGGAACGAATAATAATAATAATCAAAATGTTTATCCTGTAGTACAGATTCCATATCCAGTATATTCTAATGTTAATGGGGTACCTATGGTCCAAACTGTACCACAAATGGTAACGGTTCCTTTACCATTATTACAATCTCAATTAATGAATCAACAGATAATGCAAGGTCAAGTAGCTGCAGCTGCAGCTGCAGGTAATCAGGGCCCTCCACAAATGAATAATGTTCCTCAAGTATCTCAAATACCGATTCAACATCAACATCAACAACCTCCTCATCAAGGTTCTCAATATGGTATGAATCCGGTTATGATGGGTAATCAATTTCCTGTTAATATGGTACCTATGGGAGTTAATATGCCAATGGTTATACCAAATGTGCAAAAATCTCCTAAACCACAAACTAATGATCAACTTCAGCCCCAAATTCCAAATCAAGCTTCTAATCAAACATCTAACCAGAATTCAAATAGTACGACGCCCGTTACACTTCAGAGTAATACTGTTCAGATAAATAATGATGCTCAAATCAAACAATCCTTGTCATCAACTACGTTGCCGGCATTAAATTCTAATGTTGTATCATTACCGGTTCCAATATCAACTCCTATGAGTGAATCAAATTCATCAGATCCTTCAGCCAACATATCGGCCAACATTTCAAGAGCTTCCGTTCACGAAGATGATGTGAAATTACCTCCGATTGTTAATAATGATAAGATTCCAAAAATTTCAAAGTTATTGTCATAAATGTATTATATATTCATTGTTGCCTCTAAATTCTATACTACCAAAACGGTAGGTGAATTCCTCCAAAAGAAAATGTCGTTTGGTTAGGAGAAAAATTTTTAATGTCACAAATTTCACATTTTCACTTACGGTGTCGTATCGCACTAAAATTACCGGGTAATCGTATATTCAAGGCACATTCGGAACAACTCATATGATGGTTTTCCAATTTAATTAAGGATCTATTGAAGATGATTGGCAATATTATTAATTTACTGTTGAACTTCAGTGGAGTTCTCAATTACCTTCACATGATGTCGTTGCCAGTCCTCACCTCGGTCAATAATTGTCGCGGAGTTATTCTGCAGCGATAATGATGAAATTTATTTCGCAGATCTCTATTTGCCTGAGTTGAGATCGATTTTTGAACTATAAATAACCTTTGACTATGACAGAGTGGTCCCTAGTTGGCCAATACGTAATGAAACTGACATGTCTTGATTTATACCACAAAACTTAATACTTTAAATCAAATAATTTCTGAAAAATTCTGGATCAAACAGTCCCTGTGGAAGATCTTGTGTGATTTGTTTAGTGCATCGGTTAACTAACAATCGGGGATAAATTACTCAGTCTGGAAATTTAGGGCAATTTAGATGTCTTGAATGTAAGGAACCTCAGAGATATGTAGAAGTATGTATTATACGTAAGCAGACAATCCCACGAGAATAATACGAAGTGGTTTCAGTTAAAAGGCTTTTTGAAGTGAAAGGCAAACTAAACTTCAAACCAAAAATTTATTTTTAACTTTATCAGTTCTAACTATACGGAAAATAATATTACAACTCTAAATGAAGACAGCCATTTGAAAGAAATACTGAAGACCACCGTTTGAAAGAAAACGAAGAGCAGTATTTGAAACAATATGTATTTTTCTATGAAGTTAAAAGCACCAATTTATATAAAAATGTCGAATTTTTTTTTGTGTTTTTGAATTTTTCTAAATCTAGATTAATAAAGCAGCTAAGACAACAGCAAATAATAAAGATAATGGTTTTAATGATGAACCAGCATTGACATCAGCTGGAGCAACTTCTGGAGCTGAGTATGAACCATTTGAAGCAGCAGCAGCTTCAACAGATGGTGATGATAAAGTGATGAATGAAGTAACTTCAGTAGTTAAAGTACTTAAAGATTCTTCACAACCATTGTCAGAACATGAAGTGATGGTAACAACTGAGGTTTTTGGTACAACAGTAGTAACTTCACCTGATTCAACAACTTTAGCACCTTCAGTGGTGATTGATGATTCTTCAGCAGCGGCAGTGGTTAATGGACAGTAAGTAGTGTAAATAGTGGTTTCATCTGAAACAGTAGTTAAACCGGTGGTAACAGCTTTTTCTTGACATTTGTTATCAGAACATGAAGTGATAGTAACAATAGTAGTTTGGATGTCAGAAACGGTAGTAGCGTTAACAGCTTCGGCAGCAAGGGTAGTTAATGGCTCTGATGATGAAACATCTGATGGAACAGTACCGGAGTTAATGATTGAAGTGATAGTAGTGTATTCACCGTTTGATAAGGTAGTGATTAAGATATCTTCATCACCAGTGACAACAGCACCGCTTGATTCAGTAGTAGTGAAACCAGTAGTGTATTCGGTACAGCCAGTACATTCAGCTGATGAACCAGCATCAGATGAGACAGCAGCAGAAGAAGAAGCAGAAGCACCACCGTTGTTACCTAAATCAACACCATCAGATGAAGCAGAAGCAGAAGCAGAAGCATCAGATGAGGCAGAAGCGTCTGAAGCAGTAGATGAAGCAGCTGAGGTAATTTCTGAAGATGAAGCATCAGTAGCAGATGATGAAGCATCGGATGAAGTGGCAGCAGATGAGGAAGCGTCAGATGAAGTAGCGGCAGAAGAAGAAGCATCAGATGAAGTAGCAGCAGAAGAAGATTCAGTTGATGATTCAGTTGATGATTCAGTTGATGATTGAGTAACAGATGAAATAGTTGAAGTAGCTAAAGTGCTAGTTTCGAAATCAGACATGGTAGATGATGGGACTAATGAAGAACCTTCAGTTGGGGTATCTGGGATGGCTAAACAAGCTGGACAAGTTGATGGTCTTTCAGTGTTAACTGGAGCACCGTTATATTTAATACCACCGTTAATAACACCGTTAATACCTTTACCGTAATCAGCACTAATTCTTTCGAATTTAGATTCATCGTAACCAGTACCAATGTTGAAACTGAAAGTAGTGATACCATCAGAAATTTTTAAAATACCTTCACCATTGTATGAGTAAGAGTTGATTGGAACAGACATACCAATGACGTTATCATCACCAAAACCGACAACGTTATAAGTTTTGTCAGAACCCCAAGCATCAGCTCTGATAGAACCAGTAGTATCAGTGAAGATTAAAGTTTGATCTTCAACTGAGTATAAAGTGTAAGCTAACCAAACAGTAGAATCTTTACCAATATCGATACAACCGTTACCAACAATTTTGTTAGCTTGTCTGTAAGCAGTGTTTTGTAAACAGATAGCACCATTGTTAGTGATTGATTGTAAATCATAACCTAAGTTTAACCAACCTAAAGATCTGTAATCTTGGTAAGCGTGGATTAAACCATCATTGTTCCAGTCTTGGGAAGTAATGGCTAAAGTTGGAACACCAGCATCACCAGCATCAGCTAACCAGATTTTACCTTGGTTATCGAATTGTGAAGCAGTGAATGAGTAGAAAGCAGTGAAATCAGTACCTCTTGAGTCAACAACAACAATACCATCGGAACCAACTGTGAATTCGTTTTTGAAAAGGGCACCTTGGGAAACAGTTAAACCATCGAAATCTGGTTCAGCTTTGATGTATAAACCACCATCAACTTTTAAGTTACCGTTAAAGTAAGTGTGATCGTTGTTGATGATTGACCAGTCAGCACCGGCAGCAACATAAGCACCTTGCCATTCAGTATCAATTGAACCTCTGGTAATAGTATCGGAAGTAATATCAATAGTTAAAGCTTTGGCAATTAAGGCTAAAGTTGGTAATAAAGTATTGTATCTCATCTTTAAATGTGTGTGTAGTATTAATCAATTGGAATATAAGCGAGTGACTAAAGTATTAAACTTTGAATTGATTGATAATGTTTTGAACTTAGGAAATTCATCACCTATTTATAATTTTTGAAAGCTATAATTGAAGAATCATGGCTCCAAGTTATTACTCAAAATTCCTGATCACGTAGGATGCCAATACACCAATTTTCCAAAGATTTCCAACCATTAAACAATAGAATTATATTTGAATAATGAAAAAATTCCTGTATTTACAACCATTTTTTTAAACAGGGATCTGAAGGATGTACATTTTCAGAAAAAATGAATTCCCTACGAAAATTTTCAACATTTCACCAATTCCTATTGTGAAAATAGTGTTAACAATAGAACTGAGAATGGTGATTTGGGTGCAAAAACTATGCGACTTTACGAGTTTTGAGATGTGAGATTTCCTATTTAGGATAAAACCTTCGCTAAATCGAAAAAATTTATCTAAATCTGGATAAATCCAGTGGCTTGAAAAATCTCGATATTCGAGTGTCAAAGAGCAGAGGGATGATGCAAAGGGTTCACGATTCTAATTTAGGTGAAAATATTGCAGGAACACTAGCGTAAATTACTTAGCAATGTCAATAACGTGATGAATTTTGATGGGTGAAATTCAATGTTACTTTAGTATTTAGTCACTTTTAAACAACATTGGAGGTGGGTTAAGATGAAGTTGTCATGTAGTAATTACAATGTTGACATCAATTCAGGAAAACAAATGTCAAATAGGGTAAGTAAATTCTCTTTCAAATTAAACTTTTAAACGAGATTATGTGATACCTAATTTTTTAACTAGCTTAATTAGTCGAGTCAAGTCTAACCACGATGTAAGACGATGTGCATCATTTTCGAAATGAAAAACCCCTACTTTTATTTGAAGCGATCCTGTTGGATGATAATTTGCAGCCCGCTATTTTTAGGTAGGAGAATTTGGGTCGTGCGAGTTTCCGTTTTAGGAATAATTACACGAATTTAACACCCCAATTGATCGGAACAATAGGACGATTAGTGGACTGGTAGAACTATAAACGGTATGAATAGGTTCAAATTTAGACGACTGGTACTATTGTGATTTGGATCTTTTAAAATGGTGAAGAATTTTTTATGAATTAAACTTTGAAAATTCCGTTATTTGCACTATCTAGGAAATTTAATACCTTTCTTCGGTTGAAGTTTACTGTAATTTACCACGAAGGCGTGCTGGTTTCGGAGCAAGAGATTTAAAGTCCTATGGTGAGTATTGTTCAAATTATAAACGGTAGTGTAATAAGATTATTTTTTTTAGGTGTAATTATAGGCTAATAGTTCATAGTGGTATTTTAGCCTAATTAGATCTCTAAGTTCGTAACTTACAAGTGCTAACACTACCAGAGGTTTTGGTAATTGAAATTGGCATTAAGAATTGGTTACTAGAGGCGAGTCAAGATTCGGAACCTATGGAGTAATCTACAACTGGGTAAAGGTAGTGTGAAGTAGTATTCCAGGTTGAACCTGAAAATCTTAGATCTGCAATTTGATGAGTATGACATGATCAGATGAAGATTTAAACTTATTGTTAAATTAAATCCGCCGATCGAAGAGGTTAGTATCGAGGATTTCGAATAACTCCTTCCTACTCCTCAGTAGAGGTAAACATTGGAGAAGGTAAACAAAACAAGAGATGGATAACATAAGCTTGTTGTGTCTCCTAGAGTTTACTGTAGGTGAGTTCGAGATTTGTGTCAATTCCTATGGGTGAACAACAAAACAGATGGACTACACTGTGGGAAGTTATCATTTGAGACAAATGACATTAGTGCTGTCACACTTGGTACTGTCACACTTGGTACTGTCACACTTGGTACTGTCACACTTGGTACTGTCAAACTGTGAGTCGTCACACTAAAAGCTGTCACACCTTAAGTTAACACAGGGTTGTCACACTAAATTAACACTTACCATACCTAGAGGTGTCAGATTACAACTTCGTTACAAGAATAAGATTCAATATCCATTAACTTATATCCTAAGCAGGAGCACCAGTGGCAGCAGCTTTCTTCTTAATTTTCTTATCATCAATTTGTTCAACTTTCACTTCATTTAAACCTTTTTCCTTCAATAAGTTTTCAATGAAAACTTTAGCTTCATCACTTAAATCCCCTTGAACTAAGATCTCATCTTTCTTATCAGCAGTTTTAGATATTGAACAACCAGTAGCAAATTTTGATGAAAAAGTTTTACTTAATTTCTTCAATTCGATATCGAAAACTTCTAAACCTGTGATTGATATTATATGTTTACGTTTATTTCTTTCAATTCTTTTGATAGTAACTTTACTTTGTAACTTCTTAGCCAATTCTCTTTCGACTCTTGCTTCTTCTTTTTGTTGTTTTTTCAATAAATCTTTTGATATTTTTTCTTCCTTCTCTAAACTTAAAGTTGAAGTAGCATTAGCTAAAGCTTCATCACTGTATAATTGATTGAATAATTCACTATTGTTCTCACTCAACCATTGCTTACATCTATTAAAACTTAATCCGAATTCGCAATATTCTGGAGGGAAACTACAAATTCCACAATATAATATATTTTTGGCATTCATCGTGGTTAACTATGACAATAAGATAAAGAAGTAGGTTTTATGTATTCTATTCTAAAAAGATCAAATTGTGATCGCAGATGGAGAAATTTCTCACAGGTCTCAAATTTTCCAATTCGATGCATTTTTCCAATGATTTAGTGAATAAGATTTTATCATCGAATTTTTCATAAATAATACTCAAATAGTACCAAATTTCGATAGAATTCTTTCCTATTGGCCAAACATTGGTGAAATTTTCTAATAAATTCTTTAATCTGATAATTCCACTATTATAATCCTTAAGTGAGATGAATAATGAATTACTTAAAGAATCATCAACTAAGAAAAGTTTGGAAATTCCTAACAAATTTTCTAAATAATCGACTTTATTAAATTGACTGGTCTCATCTAATTTCTCTAATGATTTTTCAAATTCTTGTAATGATAAGAATTTACTTTGTTTAGAAGTTAAATAACCTAATTGAATGAATGTTCGGATATTTGGTTTATGAATATTTTCAGCTTCAATGATACATAATTCACTTTCTTCATATAATTCCATTTTGAAATAAATCTTTGATGTCCATAACCAAATTTGTTGTAAGATCTTTTTCCCTTCATCAGTGAGGGATTCATGATGATTGATAGATTTCAATTCATTATCATTTTTATGGATTTTACTGATTTTTTTGATATTATCTTTGGCTAATTGTTTCTTTGTAGTAGGAGAATCTTTAAGATTCTTAGGATCAATAAAACTTGGTCTATGACTCCATTTTGAGTCAATCAAATAAGTACCTCCATTGTTAATTTGTTCATCAAATTTGACATTGAATAATTCATAGAAAAGTATAAAGACATCACTCAAGAACTCCATTATATAAGGAGTATCATAAATCAATTCCAAAATGGATAATTGAGTTAATTTCAATTGTAAGATTTGATATTTGATATCTATAGGGATCTCAAATTCATCATTCTTACACTTAACAATATAAATCCCCGCGATATTCAATCCATTATTTATGAATTTTTCACTATCTTTAACATTATCAATACTGGTGTTCAATGATAACAAATTCCAAGTTTCAAAACTTTCAGGATATTTCTTCAATATGAATTTACACAATTTTGTACTGGATTTTATATCATTCAAATATGCTAATACTAAAGCATAGTTAAATAAGTATAATAAGTTACCTGTAGAATTAACAATTAAACTGTTTTTATAATATAACAATAAGTTCTTTTCATTTTTCGAGCCAATTTGATTATTTGGTGTTTCATAGATTAATTTAAAATATTCAAATAATCCTAATGAGTACCAACTTTTGGATATAAGTTCAATCAAGTCACTTCTATCATTCAAAAGAATATTTATATTATATTTCTTGTATAAGAAAGATAATTTATCTGAAGTTTTTTCAATCTCCATAGGGAAATCATCATCATAATTCAAATTACAATCATCTTTTAGGATATTTAAATACCTTTTGAACTTATCAGTGAAGGTTATCAATTGAGGTAAAATCTTATTCATCTTTAAATATTTGAATTTACTCAATTTAATGGAATTTATAGGATTGAATGACATTAGACAAATAGAATAGATTTCAATGATACTTATAATATCAAAAATTTCTCCCTTATTGATCTCTTCATCTTTCTCAATATAACTTATATAAGTCTTGAAAGCAGAAAATGCTTCATCAAATTCATTCAATTCTACCAATACTTTGATATAATTGGCCAACACCGTCTTACTTTGATATGTCTTTTTAAATAACTTAATAAAATAGTTCTTACTGCTTTTAGGATTGATCATCTTTTTACCTTTCATGGTAGAATATAAATTATTGATAAAATCATCAATTTGTGAATCTTCTTCATTAGCATTGGGGAAATAATTATTTGTATCATGGAGTTCATGAACAATTATATCGTTCAAGTATTTACTATATTCGATTTTGAATTGTTTGGTTATTATCTTATTAACATTAATATCAAGTTTCATATTGATTAAGTAATTACAATATCTGATGAAAGAATTTTCATTTTGTTTGAATTTCAACAGTAAAACATCCTGGAAATTGATTTGTCTTTCACCATGATTACTAATAGTTAAACTTAAGTACTTGAACATGATTTCTAACCAATAATTTCCAGCAATTTCACTCTTATTGAAAGGTTTCTGTTTATCATATAAATAATCAATCCATAATTTATATCCTTCTTTACCTTCACCATTTCCATATCCATAAGCTCCAAAATCTAATCCTATCAAAACATTATATCTACAAACAAGGTAGTTCAAGAATCGGTTACAATTATAACTCAATTTCAGTGAAACAAAGTTATTATCCACAGTGATGGAATTTAAGATTTCAAACACAATATCGTTTTGGGAATTCAAATAATACAAATGTCCTAACAATACGTTACAGTATAATTTTTCATAATACTGCTTGTTAACGTCATTATAGTTACTGTTGATATTCTCTGCATAATTAATCAATTGAGTGATTTTTTCAATGGTGGTTTCGTTACTTCCATAAACTCGGGCTGGTACTAATTCACTACCATCAAATTCATTCTGAATGAGTAATTGTAATTGATAATCAATGAAAACTAATTGTTGAAAGAAATCTTGACTATCTTGAAACTGAAGAATATCTTTGGGGAAACATCCTAAATTCAAGGTTTTCAAGATATTATCATTCACTTCGTCGATTCTCATTTTTTCTATGGTTTTACTGATTCACTGAACTCTTCTATCTGTTCCTTCAATGCCTTCAATTCCTTACCGATGTTTCTAGGTATGGTATTTGTTGGAGTAAATCACTGTGAAAATTGAGTATTTTTCGAGATTCTCCAACCTTCGTGTGATTTTGTTCGCGACCTGAAAGACGGATTTGTATTTCTATAAACAGTGATTAACATCTCTCAAAGATCTTATACAATCCCGGTAAGTTGGCTATTTGGTTGATATCTCCTGAAAGTGATTTTGGAGGTTTGAAGCCTTTCAAAAGAGGAAATATCTCATCCTCGAGCTTTTTACTAATAGCTTCTCGGATCTCTTCATTTTCCTCTTCCTTCTCCGGAACATACAACAACGATATTTCTTGCATTATACCTTGAAGGCACTTCCTTTCATTCTCATAATCAATGGAATTACCTAGTCTATAGATAAAGTAAGGTAATTTTGTCAAGCTGGGACTCAAAGTTTTGATTATCATTGGCAATGATACTAAATAATAGGAATTGTCTTGTTGGACTATTTTGATCAGGAAATACTCTTCAAACATTTCTTTCATCTTAACTATTGTTTCTATGATTTCATTCTGGTCTTTTAATCCTTGACGCTGTTCATATAACGGGGCCAAGATGTCCTGTAACTTTAAGGGTTTGGTCAACTCAAATTCTCCATAATTACAAAACTCTTCTAGGGCCGCCTGATAATAAAATTCATACAATATGGCACCATAATCACAAAGATAAAGATTAACATCGTGTTGTATGCAACATAATCTTTTGGTTTCATCTGCAACCCCAACGAAAGAGAAACTCTTTAGTATAGCACCCAAATCTTCACTATATGCTTCTTCTACTTCTTTCTTGAGATCAGCTATACTGTCTAACCCCACCTTGATCCTTTTCTTGTTGTTCGTTCTTATTTCGTCATCGAATTCGATTTCAAGTTGAGTTTCTTCAAGTTCAATTTCTACAGTGTCATTGACTGAAGATGTTGAAATTTGTGGTTGTTCAAATTGTTTCAATTTGGATATGGACGAAGGTGGATCAACGATGGTCGTCTCATAGGTTTGATCTCCAGTCTCAGATTGTGAATGATCTGAGTCTTCTTCCACGAACAATTGAGGACTCAGAGTTTCAGTTTGAGTAACTGCTTCTTTAGTATTATCCTCTTCTTGTTCATTGTACATGGTCTCAGGGGAAACCCAAATGGCTGGCTCTTCTTCAAGTACCTCATCTGTGTGTATTACACCTTCCTGTATATCATCTACCGTGTCATGTTCTTTTGTTTCCTCTGGTTCATATTCTTCCGGATTGTATTCATATGCTTCTTGTGCCTGTTCTTCAGGTTCATGTTCTTCAGATTCATGTTCTTCAGGTTCATGTTCTTCAGGTTCATTTTCTTCGGATTCATAATTTTCTTCTACCAGTTCTTCTTGTTCCTCTGGCACCTCTTCTTGCGTTATCTTGGTCGATTCCACATTCTCCACTTCATTCATCTCGGTCTCTTCCATCTCAACTTCTTCTACCTCTGGGCCCTGACTTTCTCCGGATAAAACTTCCCTTAGATCCGTGTATCCCCTTCGTGGTCTCCGTCCATTCGAAAGCAACTCACTCAACTTTGGCTGACTGGCGTCAATTCTAACCAACTTGTTCTCCTGCCTATATTTCTTCTGTGAACCTTCAGACAGTTGAGAGTCTTCTCTATCTCTCTTGAAACCTGTCAAAGCTTGGGATTTGAAAGTCCTGGAAGCATCCACTTTTGATAAGTTCGAATGAATCTCTGTTGTAATAATCTCTATTATCTCTTCCTCATTCAAGAATCTAACTTCTCTTTTAGTAGGATGAACATTCACATCCAATATTTGAGGATTCAATTCCAAGCTTAAGTATACGAATGAAGAATATCCTTTCGGTAAGAAAAACAGGTAAACAGAATTAATGGCTCTCTTCAAAGGCTCACAACTTACCAATCTATGATTTATGAAGAATATCGATTGCATTCGTTTACGATAATTGAAATTACAATTGGTGATTACCCCCTTCACATTCACCAATCCCAAGCTGTCATGATGTTCATGACCATCTATATCAATATCTAATAGCTCTTTGGCACATTCAGAACCATAAACTGTTCGTATCCTCTCTTTCAAAGGTAAATTTGGTCTGGTGATTAATCCAAACTGACTTTCGCCATGTTTCTTGAGACTGAGCCCTACTCCTCCAGTATGAACGGCGTACTTCCCGACAACATCCAAAATCTTCAAATACTCATCGTTCTTGGATCGTATAGACTTTAACCTGGAAGGAACATTATAAAACAAATCTTCAACAATGATTTGAGTACCATCCTTCCCAGCAATCGGTTTGGGGTCAACGTTTTGTCCCTTGAAATTGGGACCTGCTAGTTTCCCATTAAGATAATATGCCTTGTAAGCCAATGGAGTTCCACTATTCTTAGCCTTAGTTATCACTGACAATCTTGCAATATGAGAGATGGAAGCTAAAGCTTCACCTCTGAAACCATAAGTGGCTATGGACTCTAAATCTTCAAACTTCGATAACTTCAGGGTGGCAAATCTTTCACATAACAATCCAAGGTCTTCTTTGTTAATACCATCACCATTATCGGTGATTTGTAATAATTTCAATCCTCCATCTTTAACTAGTATATCGATCATGGAAGAATTGGCATCGATAGAATTCTCCAACATTTCTTTCAATGCATTGGCTGGTTGAACAATAATCTCTCCAGCTGCTATCTTATTGACCACGGATTCTTCTAACTTCACAATCCTTGACATGTTCTCATCCAATCTCAAGCCGCTTTATGTATCAAGACGCGCATCAGATCACTTCCAAGTATCACCACCATCACCACGAAACTTTCCACTAAACATCCCTCAAATCTATGACTTCAGAGGCAGAAATACGATCTTCCGATTCTTCTATTGATGAAAATGTTGAAAATGGGACGGGGGGTTCAACTAGTCAAAGAAGAATGGCTAAAGTACCTACCAATATAATGGTACAAGATTATGATAAATACAGAAAACATTTAAAAGAATCAGGACTTTTGGCATTTAAAGGTGAAGGAACGACGGCATTACTTGAAAATTTACATGAATTACAAGGGTTGTATGATAACTACCACAAAACTTCAAGTATGACGGTCCATTTTAGTGATGCACAAGCATTAAACGATACTTCAAATTATGCTGCTGTCAATGCTAAAAACTTGAAGTTGGGAGATATGGGAACTAGTCTCACCACTAAAGAGTTCACTCATCGTTTGTCAGAGTTCTTATTCGATAGTCTGTTGGGTAATGGAGCATCCCTTGATAATGAACCAGATCTCACCACAGAGGAGAGGTTCAATCAATTTGACTGGTTAAAGTTGGGGTTGCTTTTCTACAATACCAGTTCGAAACCAATCCCCATGGAGTTCTTAAATGGGCCTTTGGAAACTGAAAAGAAGGTACGAAACAGAAGAAAAGCTGTAGATGATACGAGAGGTATCAAGAATACCACCACAGCAGAACAACTTGATGTTGACGACTTGGAGTATGACGAACAAAACACTGCACATTTAGTAAGAGAGATTTACCGTACGGTTGACCAAAAACAATCTGATGATGGTGCAGTGAATTTTTTCAAGTTCTTTATTGATCCGAATTCGTTCTCTCAATCAGTAGAAAACCTATTCCTCACCAGTTTTCTAATCAGAGATGCAAGATTAAAACTCACAGTAATAGATGATGTCCCTATGGTATCTAAGGTGGATAATGAAGAGTTCAGAAAGGTAATGAGAAGTGATAAGCTGAAAACCGATACCAGTCACCACATAGCATCATTTGATTATGAAACTTGGCAGGAACTAGTTCAGCAATATAACATAACAGAAAGTTATCTTGGTCATAGAGACATCGAAGGAGAAGCGTTCGATGAAGCTGATGAAGATAGTTCTGATGAAGATGAAGAGATAGAAGATTACGGAACCTTTCAGAATGGCCATCAAGTTGATGATTCTCCTGGTCAAGAATTTGATCAAGAATCTGAAGAAGACTCGGACCAAGACTCTGACGAGCAAGACTCTGACGAGCAAGACTCTGAAGAAGAAGCTCCTGTCAATGTAAAAAGAAGAAAATTAAATCTGTAAACTATTGTACACTATATACATACTATTTATTCATCAACCTCTTGATTTCTGATTCCTCCATGTCTATCCATCCATCGACATCCAAAAGTTTGTTCATGGGCCATTTCCTGATTGGGAGAACATTCAAGTCGGTACGTTTATGTAAAGTCTCCAAGATCTCGATTCCTGCAACTCCGATCATTACAGCATTATCTGTGCAAAGTCTAACATCAGGAAAATGGAACTGGAAGTCTTCTTCATTGCCTAAAAGATTAAGTCTTAATTCTTCCTGGAGCAAGTCCCGGAATATTCTGTTAGATGCAACTCCACCTGAAAGAACAAGACTTCTTACTCCTTCAAATTTCTTGTCTCCCTTCACTATCTTTCCTTTGATACCATCCTCTCTGATCCCATGTTTCAAGAGAGATATGTTGACTCTATCGATGATATGTTGGAATATGAGTTTCTGGGTCTTATAGGCGATAAACTGTTTGGATCTTTCTGTCAACTCATTGCTGCTCTTGAAATGTTGGATGCTGCTTAAAAATGGAGCAAAGGAAAAAGTCAAAGTATCGGGTATCACAGGATTATGGGGCCCTCTTAGAGGTTTTTTCAACTTGAACTCAAACTCATTATCTCTTGTTTCAGTGGATATGTTCAGAAACTCATTCGCCAATTCGGGAGGTATACTATTTACATATTTTTCGAGTTCTTTACCTAACAAGTTCCCTTCAATGCCTAACTCTCGGGCACATTTATCGATTGAATCCCCTACAGCTATATCTGACGTCTCTATGATGATTTCATGATCAGATATGGATTTCAGCAATAACAACATGGTGTGGCCTCCACTACAAAGTAAACTTAAAAACGGATACTCTGGAGGTTTGATATTAGGTCTTTCTGATTCTGGTAATTGTGAAATAAGTACATGGCCCAACATATGATGGACTCCTATCATAGGTTTGTTCCAACCAATGGATAATCCTTTGGCTATTTGTAAACTTGCAGATAACGAACCTACCATTCCTGGACCTCTAGTACAACAAATAACGTCAGGAGGATTTGATTGTAGTCCGTGCCTTCCACTAAATTCCAAAATCATATTCCCTATTTCCTGTTGATGGAATTCTTGGGCTTTGGTAGGAACTATACCTCCAGTTGCTTGAGAATTCAACGTCCTCTTCATCTCATCTATGATAATAGGTGATTTCCCTTTCAGTTTTTCCAAAAGTGCTAAACAACTATCATCACATGATGACTCTATGGCCAAAACTCTATAGAATCTCCTTAATCTGAAGCTTCTCCCACCGCCTGACCGTGCTACCACAACTCTTAGTGACAGTATCATATCATACTAATTATAGATTCACAATTGGTTCAAAATACCTTTCGCAGCTTTTTTCATCCATCGAGAAATCTTTCACATATTTACCTATCGTGAATATTCAAATTTCTCGACTTAATAATTGACATATTGTGGAAGTATAACGAGATTTGGTGATTTAACCAACCCATTAGACTAATCCGTTTCTTTCCAGGTGAATTTCCCGACATTTTCAATTACATTTTTCAAACTTTCATTACGTATAAAAATTGATAGATTTATAAATCATTAAATACCCATGACACCGTCGGTTCCCCTAGGTTATCCTCATCCTAAAGATGAAGCACATATAGAATTACAACGAGATGATTCCAAACCTTCAGAATTTTCCGATTTATCACCAATTTTCCATTGTATGTTGGCTGGAGGTCTTGGTGGTATGGTAGGTGATAGTTCAATGCATTCATTAGATACCGTTAAAACAAGACAACAAGGATTACTGCATAACATCAAATACAAAAATATGGTGCCAGCATATATAACTATTTTTAAAGAAGAAGGTTTCTTTAGAGGTCTTTATGGTGGTTATACTCCAGCCATTTTAGGTTCTATTCCTTCAACCAGTGCATTTTTTGGAGTATATGAATTTAGTAAGAGGAAAATGATCAATGACTTCCATTTGAATGAAACTTTTTCTTATTTTATTGCAGGGATTTTAGGTGATTTAGCATCTAGTGTTTTTTATGTTCCATCAGAAGTATTGAAAACTAGACTTCAATTACAAGGTAGATATAATAATCCTTATACCAAAGGTAGTGGTTATAACTATAATGGTTTAATCGATGCTATAAAGACCATAGCCAGAAATGAAGGTCCTCGTACATTTGTATTTGGATACAAAGAAACTTTATTTAGAGATTTACCCTTTAGTGCATTACAATTTGCATTTTATGAAAGATTTAGACAAATCGCCATGTCATATAATCAAACTGATGATTTACCTATATCGGCAGAATTATTAACTGGTGCTTCAGCAGGTGGTTTAGCAGGTATCATTACAACTCCTTTAGATGTAATTAAAACAAGAATTCAAACTGCCACTGAAACAAACCCTGCAAATAAAATTTCAACCATCAGAGCTTTATCTTTGATTTATAAAAATGAAGGTTTGCTCGGGATGTTTAGTGGAGTAGGTCCAAGGTTTATTTGGACTGGTATTCAATCATCAATTATGCTTTTATTATATCAAATCTCTTTGAAAGAATTTGATGATTTATTAGGTAAAGGGAATGTTTTGGATTAGTGTATCATAGATTAGACGATAAGATTGTACATAGATATATATTTATTTTATTCTATTTATTCTATTTATTTGTAGGTTTCGCAAGATGGTGAATGTGGAAGATTTGTAGAAATCACCAAAAGACTCAATACCAGAAATTAAATTTTTTGCAGGAGTTCAGGGCCACAGAAGATGAGCAATGCAATATCCAAGTAATTTTTAATCATATTTCAGGTGGATAGAACGATTAATCTTGGTGGAAACAACAAAAATCAAAAATAGCTATTTTTAGCCTCATAATTCAATTCTGTGAAATTCTGCCAGAACAACTCCTGGTAGCTTAGCTGGTTTAAAGCGCGAGACTGTAAAGTTCTACCTCAGTTATCTTGAGATCGGGTGTTCGACTCACCCCCGGGAGATGTTTTTTTTTTAAATCTTTTTTACCACTTTATATACTTAAGGATTGTTTGACACCTAATATAGCTGTTGCAAGTACTCAGAACAAACTCTTTGGTCGCAATAGAGGAAAAAGTTAACTTTCTCACCAAATCATTGATTCCATTTTGGGTTAATCTCATTTCTCAATCTCATCTCAAAAAAAAATCAAGATGCCATCAAGAAACTCCATTAATAAACCAAAAGATAAGATCTTGAAGAATAGTCATGCCTCCACCATAGGTAAACGTAGATCTAATAGAGTCAGATTATCCACCAGATCATCTCATGGTCGTTATAATGACAACACCTTACCAACTCCAAGAGACTCAAAAGCTGTAGCTTTATACACTGGAAAGATACCTATTACTACTGAATTAACTACCAAAACTTTATCTAATAAGAAAGCTAAAAAATTAGCTAGAAATCAAAAATATAATGAAAAGAGAAAGGAATTATTAACCAAAGATATTGATTCAAAGATGGAAGTTGAAGATGAAAAGAAAGTTAAAGAAAGTGAAGCTGAAAAATTAAGAGTCTTATTATGGAATAGCATTAAAAGTAATGATTTACTGTTATTCAAAAAACAGCCAGATACTGAAGGTACTACTATCGGAGTTCAATCATTTTAATTCTTACGATAGACGATGGTGGAAAAATATTTCCTGGGAAAGGGAAAACATTCAAGAGTGGAAAAATATTCCCTTGAAGGTTAATTTCCAATTTTAAGCATGAAAGGTTTTTGTACATTAATATAAACTACTGTTCCAATAGACCTCTTTCTTTCAAATTTTCAGAAACATGATCTCTTAAAAATTGAATCATCTCTTTAGGATCAACAGCTTTAAATACTGAAGTTCCTGCAACAATAACGTTGGCACCAGCTTTAGCAGCAATAGGAACGGTTTCTTTACCTAAACCACCGTCAACTTGGATGTTTAAATTTGGGTATTTTGATCTTAAATCTTCAACTTTTGACATCATATCAGGCATGAATTTTTGACCACCAAATCCTGGTTCAACAGTCATGACTAAAGCCATATCTAAATCTTGAGCTAATGGATATAAAACATCAACCGGAGTACCTGGTTTAACAGCACAAGCAGCTTTCATACCGTGTTCTTTAATTAATTTCACTAAAGCTACAGGATCTTTGGTTGCTTCATAATGGAAAGTATATTGATCACCACCAGCTTGAGCAATTTCAGGGACCCATTTTTCAGGTTCAGAAACCATCATATGACAATCAAAGAAACTCTTCTTGTCAGATTTTGGAATTTCACTTCTTAAACTGGAGATGATAGGTAAACCTAATGAAATATTTGGAACAAAATGTCCATCCATAACATCAATGTGTAACCAATCGGCACCAGCATCGTATGCTTTATGACAATCACACCCTAAATTGGCAAAATTGGCTGCTAAAATTGAAGGAGCAATGATTGGTTTAACCATGATAAATCAAATGTAAATTTGAGATTTTGGCAATTGAGATTACGGACTTCACTTGACCCAAACACTTTGCGAAAATGATCCGTACAAAAGACACTAAAAATCTAGTTGAATACGAGGTTTCAATGAACGATTAGCATGGCATGAACTCTATCTTTATATTGGTGTAATAATTATTAATATAACATCAATATTGAGAGATTTCCCTATAACTCACCCAATAATGATCTGAAAAGTTCCAAAATAACTTGAATAGATTCAATAATTCAACAATATTGTCCTTAAACACTCAAATAGTCAAAAATTCTTCTCAACCTGAAAAAACTCTGGAGGTGCTTCGCCTATGATAACCTGAAATCAAATTGTGCGGGTTCAACCATGTCAGAAATAGGAGCTTCACATAAAGAACAAATCTTAGAAGCCGCCAGAAGAAATAACACGGAATTATTGTTACAAATCAAATCAGAATTAAGTAATGATGATGTCAAATTATCGGAATTAATCAATACCACCAAAGAAATCATAACTAATAACTCACCTTTACATTTAGCATGTCAATTAGGAAATTGGGAATTCATCGATATCGTGTTAGATATTGAAGGAGTTGAAATCGATCCAAAAAATAGAGCCGGAGAAACTCCATTACATTTGGCTGTGAAGTACACCAACGAAGAACCAGAACATGGATACTTTATGATAGATAATTTGATTGATGCTGGATCAGACCCCAGAATTCTTGATGATTCTAAGTTGAAACCTATCAATTATATTAAAGATAATGCCAAATTAAAGGAATTATTAGAAAGTGCCGAATATGCCATTTCATTGGAACATCAAATCGATATTGAAGAACAAGAGGATGAAGAAGATGATGGACCTTCCGATTCAGATTCAGATAACTAGATTAAGTTTATATAGAAAAATCATCAATACCAGTACATACCCAATTTTCCAAATGGTTCTTTGCTTTCTCTATCACTTTTCGTCTTTCTTGTGAATTCTTAAACTCTATATATGTCGTATAGGTTTGGAGATCAAGTAACTTGGAGGCATCTTGGATCATCCGGTGATTACATAAGATGCTTTCACCTCCTTTCTTGGGTGGTTTGTTTTTTACATAGCTACCAATCTTTACACCGTTGTTGAGAACATGAATTGTAGGTTCACAATTATCTATATAGACTAACGAATTGGGGGAAGGAACAGTACCTTCAGCCTTGTGGAATGGATAATTGTCTTCTTCATATGTTAGAATTTCTAAATCATGTATGCTTATGGCGAACCTGTCCTTGAAACATCGAGCTAAATCATCCCTATGAAATTTATCTGATCTTAATACCAAATAATCAAGGAAAATGGGATCGAAAAGTTCACTGGTGACAGAATTGTTTAAACCTGTCGATTGTTTGATACATAGTTTATCAGAACATGACTTACTTAAAGTCTCTACAGAATCCAGACGTCCTGGTTTGGTACGAACAATACCCAATTTATCAAAATGACTTCGACCTCTGATTACTTTCCTTCTTTTTGTTTCTGGGGTTTCATCTTTCCATGGGGTGTTATCTTGTTTAGACAGTATCAAGTAATTCATAGAAGCATCTCCACAAGGTGGTTCGCTAATGAATAAAGCCAATTTGATATCATCCTTAAATTTAAACTTCTGCGTATCAGTTCTCACCACCATTTCGCCATCTTTAAGACACTCCTCGATCAAAAATCTATTAAACGATCGTATACATAGTATCTCTGCATGCATATCATGGACCATAAGTCCTTGGGAGTATGTTCGAACCTTTTCAGGTAAAGATTTAACACCTGTAGTCAAACATAGAGGTATCACCTCATTATCTTTAATCATCACCATTGAAGCTAACACCGTCCATTCTTTGACCCCATTTGACCGCACAGAAGGTTTACCTGCCTTCGAATTGAGCTTTAGGAACTTATCCACCACCACATCAGCAATTCGTTGACCTAGATGGTCATCACCAGAACCAGAGATCATAGGAACCCGCACGAAAACAGTAAAATTTTAACTATATAACCTGAATTAAACAACCAACGTATAAATTAGAAGTAACGTTACACAACGGAACTTTGATAATAACTTAGAGAATTGATCTCCTCCTTTGGAAATCATGACTTATTTTTTTTTTAATGGAAAACACCTAACGCTTTCTCCTTAATAACGCACCTATCAACCCAACACCTACAGCTAAAACACCTCCAGCAATTCCGAGAGAAATCAACCCTTCTCTAGTAATTCTATCTTCAATGACACTTTTCATAGCAATACCTTGACTATTCTCTGGTTCAATCTTTAATAATTCTTCGATAAATTGTCTAGCACTAGCATAATCACCTAACTTTAATGATCCCATAGATAAGTAATATAAGCAATCTTTCCTAATTTCAGGAGCATCTTTATATAATTGTTTTAGTATATCAACTCCTTCTTGTTGATACCTATGACCCTTACACTTAATAAGACCCCAAGCATAATTGAATAATGATTGAGATGAAGGATTAGGTTTCTCTGATTCCACCTGATTTCTCAATACATTTAATCTTTCGATAGGAATGGTATGCTCCACATCTTTTAAAGCAGGATAAAGTAAGTTTGACATTTCTTATGATTCTATAAACGTTCCCCAATTACAATATCCAACAAGTTCTGGGTTCGGTTACACAAAAAATCCTGAGGTTTTTAAAAAAACTGATGATGATAAAGGGAACTTGAAAAAATACGCGACTTTATTACACCAGTGATGTCAGTGGTTGAAGGTATTATGACTTTGGTTGTTGACCAGAATAGTGGTGATAACAATATCAGAAGAAGAGCAGAACTAAGTTTCAATCAATGGGTTAATCAAGATCCTTCACAAGTTGCTCATGTTTTAATTGACTCATCTTTAAGTGATTATTCTGTAGATATAGTACAATCTTGTTTATTACATTTAAGAAGACTTGTACCTAAATATTGGTCAATTGGATTTGAATCTTTCACAGGTACGGCTATAAATCAAGAGTTGAAAGCTTTAATCAGACAAAATTTGGTGAAATTAGTTACTTCAACTGGTGATTCAAAAATTAGAAATAGTGCTTCTTATGTTATTGTACAAATAGCCGTTGCTGATTACCCTGATGAATGGTCAGATTTGTTGTATGTACTTTATGAACATACTAAGGATCATACCAATACAAATGCCATGATGGGTGGACTTCAAGTTTTGAATGATCTTTTTGATGATCTCGTAACTGAAGAACAATTTTGGAATGGAGGTATAGGTTCACAACTTATAAATCATTTGATGGAGATTTTATCAGAACCTCAATTGTCATCCGATGTTAAATCATCTGCCATTGCATTATATAAAAGTGTCTTGAATACTTTACAGAGTCCTGAAGCTTTTAATGATAGTACCAGAAAACAATCTGTCTACCAACACATAAAACAATCAGCCGAATTGAATCAACGGTTATTAACCGATTCAGTGAATAATTCCACTGTTGGCATTAATGAGAATAAATATAGAACGGCCATCTATTCGGTGTTATCGGCTTTAATAGGGAGTTTCAATAAAATCATTTCCAAGGATTTGAAAATATCTATTTTGAATACTTTGGTAGCTGATTTTTATCATCTTTTACCTATTTACTTAAGTGTTGGGAACAATTCAGATGATGTACCGCAACCATTCAATGATAGTTTCAGAGAACTTACCAGCCTTATTAATGAATTACTTGGAGTTTTGAGCTTAATTCAGCATTCAATCAAAATTGGAGACCTTTGGAATGATCAAGATTACGAAAGTTTCATCAAAAATATCATCAAAGTTACAGCTTTGAACAGTGAATTGATCGAAACTTATGAAGCAGATATTAATGAGTTCATTAATGATGTCACGGGATTGTCAGGATTCGTTAATGTTCGAGACTCCATAAGTGAATTATTACTTGAACTCAATACTCTTGATTCCCAAAAGACATTCAAAATTATGTCTCTGATCATTTTATCCAATGATTACAGTCAATGGACTTATGCTGAATCTTGTGTATATTTATTAGAAAGCATTTGTCAAAATGAAGATAGCGAGCTCAACATTGATGAAACAGCATTATCGAAATTGTTAGAAAGTATATGTGCATTAGTAAGGTACGATAATAATCCAAACCATCATCCATTATTGACCTCAAGAGTATTCTTATGTTTACCCAAATTTTTAGAGAAATTCGAAACTTCTTTGAATAGTAAAGTTGTGGTAAATACCTTCCTCATGATGATTGAATTTGTTGGTCAAATACCTGAAGAAAATAGTGAGTATAATTTTGTTAGAGCTTCTTGTTTAATCAGTTGTTCCAGTTATTTCAACTTGCTCAATTTAGGTGAACTTTTGTCCGATGATAATAAGAAGAATTCCATTCAATTGTCGATATTCAAATTGATTATGAATTTATTGTTCGAAAGTGAAGAAGATGCACTTGTGGTGTTATTAGAAGCGTTAACTGTTTCTATTGATATCGATCCTGCCTTTGCTGCCCATTGTTCTATTTATGATGGCTTGACAGTGATTGATTTAGTATTACAAATCTCATTCAAGAACCCTGGTAATGTTCAAATAACTGTTGAATCATCTAATTGTTTGACTTCTTTATTAAAGAATTTATCCCTCGATCAATACATTAATTGTTGTGAAAAATCCTTACCAACAATTTTGAATATCATAAATCTGTCCTTAGGTGATAATTCTGTAGAATATTCACCTAAATTGGATCTTAGTTTGGACCTTCTTAATATTATCGTTGAATCAGTTCCTGCCACCAATAACGAGAAAGTTCTTCCTTCACAAATCTTCAACTATGTCTTTCCAATTTTGAAGAAATTGTTACTATCAGCCTCTGATGACCAATTATTACAAAGTGGTGGGGCTGTTTTCAATAGTCTTTTACAATATGGAACTCATTGTTTCGCTGAATACAAAGATGAAAATGGTGAGAGTGGTATGAATTCTTTATTATATATTGTTCATAAATTCTTATCACCAGAATTGAGTGATCGTGCTGCTTTGAATAGTGGGAACATTGTTACTTCCTTGGTCAATAAATTCCAACAACAATTAGGTGATGAATTCTTATCACAAATCTTGAAAGCTACAGCTGAAAGATTGGTCATAGCTAAAGAGATAGTCACTATTGAAAATTTGATTATGTTATTCTGCAATTTAGTATTATTATCACCTGAATCCATGATTGACTTCCTTTCATCCAATGTTGTTTTGAAAGATCCAAAATCTGGTGAGAATAAACCTGGTTTGGATTTAATCTTGCCTATTTGGTTCCAATCTTTCGAAGTTACTCGTGGATATGAAAAGATTAAACAAAATGCTTTAGCATTAGCTAAAATCTATTCTTTAGGCGATAAAAGAATTGAATCATTGATTGTCAATGGTGATATCATTCCTTATGATGGTAACAAGATCTTAACAAGGTCCATGACTAAATCCATGCCTGAAAAATATACTCGAATTTCAGCATCTATGAAAATTATCAAATTACTTGTAGGAGAATTAGATTTCCAGTGTCAACAACCTAATGAAAAAGACTTTTTACCAGAAGAAACCGTCGATGATGATGAAGATGATGAAGGAGGTTGGGAAGATTTGGAGGATATCGGGGTTCCTAACTATGAAAAATTAAAATCTTACGTTGAAGATGAAGAGGAACAGGAATCCCCTCTTGATGATGGTTTGAAGAGTTTACTTGTTCAATTCTTCAAAGAATGTGTTTCCAAGAACTTAGGAGGGTTCCAAGCATTCTACGATCAACTTTCTGACGACGAAAAGAGAATTCTTACAGAGAATGTGTTTTTTTAATTATACATTAACCGTTTTTATAATAATACATACATAACATTCATTCATTCATTCATATCTCGTGTCTCTCGTTGCAGTGATTAAACTATATCGAATAAAACTTCAGTTGAGGCTACAGTTTTCTCAATGGGTACTTGTCTGTAGTAGATATCAACTTCAGGTAAAGGATAAGCAGCTGTTTGGTTCTTTTGAGCAATGGTTCTATTGGTACTAGAAACCTTATCATGCAGCCATAAATGTTCTTCTCTGAAATGTCTGAAATATTTCTTCAACTGTTGGACATCTTTAGAAGTAGATCTCTTAAGGGTTAAAGTTTCATGACAAACAGGACATTCGCAACTATGATCATAATGAGTTCCATGTAATACTGTCTTGTAGTTTCTAGGAGCTGGGAAAGTGCCAGTAGTGTTAATCCCATGGACAAAAGACAAGTGTTGAGTATAACTTGAACTCTTTAATGAGATAAAGTTAGGTTGTACACAATAAGGACACAATCCTTGTCTAGACTCATTATCTTGACTGCCATTACTTTTAACATGATATCTTACGATTTCAGGAGAATAAAATTGTTTTTCACCTGATTGGGGCTCATAAGAATAATCAATAGGAGGTTTTGAAATGGGTGTAGCTCTTCTCAACTCTTCAATATATTCCTTACCTCTGATGATCCACTTTCTGGACAAAGTAAGGGCTTGCAAGTTTCTATTAGTAGGAACTTCAATATATGAATCGTTAATGATTCTGTATTGGAAAGAACCGACTGGAGGATAATTAATAATTGGGTAGCCTTGTTTGGACTTGATAGTTTTGTTGATGGTTGTATGAAACCCAACATAACTATTGTTTCTGGAATCAGGAGTAATAGGAAATCCTACTGAATCAGATCTTTCAGTTCTTTGATTGGGGATTTGCAACACATTTCCTCTAGAACCTGTGGTAGCAGGTGGAGATGGAAATGGTGTACTGGAAGCTCTTGGTTGGGCCAATGGTTGGGCAAAGGGATGAGCCATTGCTGTATGAGTATCAATTCCAGTTACTAATTGTTCAGTCAAATCAAAATCAAACTCTTGAAATGAACTGAAGTTGGAGGATTGTGAACTTTGCTCAAATGGATTTTGTGTATCAATATTAAGCATTTGTTCATTAAAGGATTGAAGCTCTTCAAAACCCAGAAAACTATTGAAGTCATCTTGAGTTAAAACCTTTGACTCAACATATGTGGTTGCCAATACCGGATCATTCTCTGGTGTCTTCAATAACATTGAAGCATTACTAGCATATTGAGGTCCATCTGATTCTAATGTTGAAAACTTATCTCCATTAGAAGCGCTAATAAATCCATCCCAGAAGTCATCTGTCATTCCAAGCAGTTCGATTCCCATGTAATCATCTTGATCATAAGTTGATGGTAAAGGGTGATAAGTCATTATTGTTTTGAATACAGAATTTCAAGGGGATTTTACCAGAATTTATAGTTTTTCTGAAGAGCTATAGTTACCTTATACCATCTATACCCCAGGTGTCAAGAAGCAGGTACAAGTACCTTAAGTATACGAATGTGTCTAAAAATACATTATAACTTCTCAAAAAGTTTTTGCAGCCATTTCTTGAAAAAAATAAAAAAACCATTTTCTTGCATTAAAACTACTGTATTAAGTACTAATAAAAGATCAGACAGTCATTTTTACCTATCAAGGACGATATCTTTATTCCCAGTTCCAATTAGGTCAATGTAACTGATGTAACATCAATTAAAAGGGTAGGTAGAAAAGGAAAATCTCTTTCGGGAATCTCGTAAAAGTTTCCCTCAGACACCTATATCAAAAACAATAGGAAACAAAAAAATCTAGGGCAAGAAGGAAGCTAAAATACAATGGAATCAGAGGAACTGTAGATTTAAGGCAAGTGTAAGTCTATTTTAAGAAACACACTTATCGGAGTTTTGACCCGATTTCTCTCAAAACTTCGATAGGTCAACATATAAAAATATGGCATTTTCGGACATATCAATGCATTGGAATCAAGCTATTGAAGCTCTAGTCCAAACTTAGAGCCACCGAACCAGTCTTCAAGGTAGGCAATTTGCAACCATTTTCGCGATGCCCTCATCGCACAGAAATCTGTATGAACATTAGGTTTCTACACACTATCAAATCAACCGCTAAAATGTTCGAGACCAAGATATTAAAAGTTGACGTCAATGCTGTGATGTTCAAGAAAGGTGAAGATATGCCTACAATAACAGATGAAGAAACTCTTGCCAACATCAAGATAGCAGCCAAAGAATTAAAAGATACCAATAACCCTATCGGATTTCCTACTGAAACCGTTTATGGACTTGGAGGTTCTGCATTACAAGATGATTCTGTGAAAAATATTTACAAAGCCAAAAATAGACCAGCCGATAATCCTTTGATCGTGCATGTATCATCCATAGAACAATTAAAGAGGAAACTCTTACCTCAAGATTACGAAATACCCCCAATTTATCATCAGCTAATTGAAAATTTATGGCCAGGCCCATTAACTATATTGTTACCTGTCGGAGAGGATTCTCCCATTTCAACTTTAGTGACAGCCAATCAAGATACTTTTGCTGTAAGATTACCCTCACATCCAATTGCTAGAGCCTTAATAGCTTTAAGTGACACTCCTGTAGCAGCACCATCAGCAAATGCATCAACAAGACCAAGTCCAACTTTGGCTAGTCATGTTTACCATGATTTACAAGGGAAAATACCATATATCCTCGATGGAGGAGCGTGCGATGTAGGATTGGAATCGACTGTAGTTGATGGATTATCCAATCCTCCGTTGATGTTGAGACCAGGTGGTTATTCATTAGAAGATATAAGAAAGAACGGGGGTGACCAATGGTCAAACATTGTGCATGTTAAAAAAGTTGCAGGCAAAAATGAAGCTGTTAGAACCCCAGGAATGAAATATAGACATTATTCTCCTACAGCCAAGGTAGTTTTATTCTTGAACTGTGGTGATGGAATAGAAGCCATGGGAAAGTACATAAAGAGCAATAATTTGGAGCCAACCACCAAAATAGCGTTATTGAAATCCAAATCATTTGTTTCTGCTAAAGAACTTAATAATTTAATAACCATAGAGAGAGATTTGGGTACTAAAGGAACAGAAATCTCCCATAACCTATTTGCAGCTTTGAGAGAAGTTGATGAAATGGGCGTGGACGTTATTTTTGTTGAAGGTGTAGATGAAACTGAAGAAGGGTTAGCTATCATGAATAGATTAAGTAAAGCCGCATTAATCACTATTGATGGAAGTGTATAACCGTTCTAACCGAAAACCAGACCCCAAAGCTTATCACCACGATCACAAATCAACATTTGCTCCCATAACTTATTATCCATTCCCAATTCATCACCATTTTTCCTATAATCTCTTCAATAGCTTTCTTTTTTTAATGTACAGTCACGTGACCCATCAGCCTCTAAATCGCGGTCGTTGTCAAGAAATTTTTTCGTAGTCAAAGCCGTAGACAAGAGTGGTGATTGATTCAGTGTTTTAATCCAAGTGATTTATCTTGCTTAACCAATTGATAAATTATTGAATTCATTCTCAGATTATAAATTTTATTTATCATCTAGTTTGAACATTAATCCGTCAAAAAACTCCGAAGTTTCCATTTGAAAACTTTTCAAACTACGACATTAGATCTATACCTACGGACATGAGTGAAAATCCCTTTGAACCTAAAGCCAGTTTATTAAATCAGAAATCCAATTCAGTTTCTGGTAAATTCTGTCAATTGACTGTAGAAGAGACAGCTAATGAATTACAGACAGATTTAAATTTAGGTTTATGTAATAACCAAGATATATTAAATAGAAGATCCATTCACGGACCTAACGAATTAAGTGAAGATGAAGAAGAGAATGTGTTTTTGAAATTCATCTCCAAGTTCTATGAAGACCCTTTAATCTTATTATTAATAGGTTCAGCCTTCATAAGTTTCTGGATGAAGAATATTGATGATGCGGTGTCTATTTCTTTAGCTATCTTGATTGTTGTTACTGTTGGATTTGTTCAAGAACATAGATCAGAGAAATCTTTAGAAGCTTTGAACAAATTAGTACCAGCTGAAGCTCATTTAGTTAGAAATGGTAATAATTCAACTGTATTGGCCTCAACTTTAGTTCCAGGAGATATTGTCAATTTCACTCAAGGTGACAGAATTCCTGCTGATATCAGATTAGTTAATGCTGTTCATTTATCTATCGATGAAAGTAACTTAACTGGAGAAAATAGACCAGTTAAGAAGTATACTGAAAAAGTCATATATAATGGTAATGATGATATTGTTCCAATTACCGCAAGAAGTTCAATTGCATTTATGGGTACTTTAGTTAGGGATGGTCATGGTTCAGGAATTGTTGTTTCCACTGGTGCTAAGACCGAATTTGGTACTGTTTTCGAAATGATGTCAGAAATTGAAAAACCCAAAACTCCTTTACAACAAGCTATGGACAAATTAGGTAAAGATTTATCTATTTTCAGTTTTGGTATTATCGGAGTTATCTTCTTGATTGGGATCATCCAAGGAAGTAAATGGTTAGATATGTTCCAAATCTCTGTTTCTTTAGCTGTTGCTGCTATTCCTGAAGGTTTACCAATTATTGTTACAGTCACTTTAGCTTTAGGTGTTTTGAGAATGGCTAAAAGAAAAGCTATTGTTAAGAGATTACCAAGTGTTGAAACTTTAGGTTCCGTTAATGTCATTTGTTCAGATAAAACCGGTACTTTAACTCAAAATCATATGACTGTCACTAAAATGTGGTCTTACGATTATACTGGAAGTTTCAACAGTCCTTATTTAGTGGTTGAAAAATTGAATGATAATCTTTTAAAGAACGAAGTAAGTGATAATTTAACTAAAGTGTTAGAAATTGGGAACATATGTAATAATGGTAAATTTTCAAGCGAACAAGAGAAATATGTTGGTAATCCAAGTGATATCGCCTTATTAGAAGCTTTACCTCATTTCGAATTAGAAGATGGTAGAAACACCAAAGAAAGAATTTACGAGTTACCTTTCTCATCAAGAAGAAAATACATGTCAGTGATTGTTCATTCAGGAGATTTATCTAAAGCTGAAACCATGGCTAAAGGTGCCACTGAAAGAATTTTGGATGTTTGTACTAAATATTATGATGCTACTGGTCAACCTAAGCCTATTACTGATGAAATCAAACAAGAAATATTATCCAAATCTCATGATTTAGCTATGGATGGTTTAAGAGTGTTAGCTTTCGCCAAAAGTTCTACTAAAGTATCAGAAAAATTAGACGTTAATGCTGAAAATTTACCTTCAGATTTGATCTTCTGTGGTTTAGTAGGAATGAAAGATCCTCCAAGACCTAATGTGAGTAAATCCATCTCCTTATTGATGAAAGGAGGTGTTCAAGTTATCATGATTACTGGAGATTCCCCTACCACTGCTATAAATATCGCCAAACAAATCGGTATGCCAATTATTAACGATAAATCGGTGTTGACCGGTGATCAAATAGATAGTTTAAGTGAAGAAGCTTTAGCTGAAACTATTCATAACGTTTCTGTGTTTGCTAGAACCACCCCTGAACATAAGGTAACTATTGTTAAAGCATTCCAAAGAAGAGGTGACATCGTTGCCATGACTGGTGATGGAGTTAATGATGCTCCAGCATTGAAATTAGCTGATATTGGTATTGCTATGGGTAAAAATGGTACTGATGTTGCCAAGGAAGCTGCTGATATGGTTTTAACTGATGATGATTTCTCAACTATCTTAAATGCCATTGAAGAAGGTAAAGGTATTTTCTACAATATTCAAAATTTCATCACTTTCCAATTATCTACTTCCATCGCTGCTTTATCATTAATCGCTATTTCTACCTTCCTTGGATTCCCAAATCCTTTAAATGCCATGCAAATTTTATGGATCAATATCCTTATGGATGGTCCACCAGCTCAATCTTTAGGTGTTGAACCTGTTGATCATGAAGTTATGAATAAACCTCCTAGAAGAAGAAACGATAAAATTTTAACTCAAGCTTTAATAAAGAGAGTATTACAATCAGCTGCCATGATTATTTTGGGTACTCTTTACATCTTTGTTAAAGAAATGACTGATAATGAAATTACTGCCAGAGATACTACCATGACCTTCACCTGTTTTGTTTTATTCGACATGTTTAATGCTTTAGCTTGTCGTCATCATTCTAAATCCATTTTCCACATCGGTATGGATAATAATATGTTCAACTTAGCAGTTATGGGATCATTAATTGGTCAATTATGTGCTATATATGTACCATTTTTCCAAGGTATTTTCCAAACTGAAGCACTTTATTTCAGTGATTTGGTTCAATTAGTATGTTTATGTAGCACTGTATTTATTGGAGATGAGATCAGAAAGTATTATCAACGTAAGAAGTTACCTTTCGTTCATAGTTATGGTGTATAGAATTAGATAATTAAGAAGTATTTGCAATTCTACGACATTTGCGACATTATGCGATCTATCAAAGTGAAAGGATTTGTGAGGTTTGGGATGCGATGAGTGATAAGACTAATACTGCAAATTCTTTGAAGGAAAGAGAGAAAAGGAAAAGGCAGGTCCTTAAACCAATTCTTGATAATCCTTTCACAACAGTGAATTGGCCATTTGTAGAACCACAAAAAGCAGAAATCATTTTAGAGCATTTATGTCTCATTTTGAACCAAATATCAACTTATAAGAATAATGTGAAAAATTCAACTAAACCTCCTCCGCCACCAGAAGTAATGAACAAGACCATTTTAGGGTTCAATGAAATCACCTCAGCATTGGAAAAACAAGCAAAAAGCGAACATGATACTACAATAAATTACGTTTTAGTGTGTAAGTATGATCTCCAACCAAGTATATTGACTCAACACTTCCCTGTCCTTACTTATACTGCTTCAAAAGGTAGCAACACTAGTATAAAATTAGTTCAATTACCGAGAGGAAGTCTTGAAAAGATTTCTGATGCAGTAGGTGAAAACGTAGGTATAATAGGACTTATGAATGGAATACCTCATAGTGAAGCTTTGATGGAAGTGTTAAATCTGATAGATGATGTAAACGTTCCATATTTGGAAACTGAAGAATTCCAAAAGTTACAAATCAAGTTCATATCAACCTCAATGCCAATTGGAGTACCCAAAAATGATCAGAAACAAAAGAAGAAGGTTGAAAAAGTTATTAAGAAGTAAATAGTTCGTTGAGGTATTGGTACTAAACAGCGACACACTATACCGCGGTAATGGACGTAAAAGTTCGCGGTGAGTCCTAAAACCTCCATCTCAATCTCAAAATCTGAAAATAAACGCGTTATGACAAAGGAAAGATCTTTAACTCTTGAATTACCTTGGGTTGAAAAATACCGTCCTCATAAACTTAATGATATCGTAGGTAACGAAGAGACAGTAGAAAGGTTGAAATTGATTGCTCAAGATGGGAACATACCCCATATGATTATTTCAGGGTTACCAGGGATCGGTAAAACTACTTCCATTCACTGTTTAGCCATGGAATTATTAGGTAAAGATTTATATCAACAAGCAACCTTGGAATTGAATGCTTCTGATGATAGAGGTATTGATGTTGTACGTAATAGAATCAAACAATTTGCTCAAACTAAAATTCAATTACCTCCTGGTAGACATAAAATCATCATATTGGATGAAGCTGATTCTATGACCCCTGGAGCTCAACAAGCTTTAAGAAGAACAATGGAAATTTACTCCAACACCACCAGATTTGCATTTGCATGTAATCAATCATCAAAAATCATCGAACCTTTACAATCTCGTTGTGCCATACTAAGATATAATAAATTGAGTGATGAAGAAGTTTTGACTAGATTACTCGAAGTTACCAAACTTGAAAATGTTCAGTACAATACTGAAGGTTTACAAGCTTTGATTTTCACAGCGGAAGGAGATATGAGACAAGCTATTAATAATTTACAAAGTACAGTAGCGGGTTTTGGATTTGTTAATGATGTCAATGTTTTCAAAATTGTCGATCAACCACATCCTTTGGTAGTAAAGAAAATGTTAAAATGTTGTGTTGACGGTAAGATCGATGATGCTATAGACTTATTAGATAGTTTGTGGAAGAAAGGTTACTCTGCCATTGATATTGTTACCTCAGCTTTCAGAGTATCGAAGACTTTGCCCGATGTCAATGAAGTGAAAAGATTGGATATGATTAAAGAAATAGGATTTGTTCATATGAGAGTGTTGGAAGGGGTTAGTACATATTTACAATTATGTGGATTATTAGCTAAAATATGTGATCTTTAAATATACGAGATTTCTGTAAGAGATTGTTCTCTTTTGGGAAAGGTGTGCTGATCCATGCATGAAATATCCGAAACTTTTCTTTTCTGTATTAAACTACGTATTCTACTATCGGTGTCCCAAAGTAATGGTCTACTTCCTGTAGGCATCACAAAGTAATTGAAAGTGATTTATGTTATCTTGTACCAAATCATTCTCTTGATCGTTATCATTTTTCAAAATATTGACTATTAAGAAGTAATTATTGAATAAGAAGATTTCTTTGTCTGATTGATTCTTAAACTGGTTGGTTATCTTGGTGATTGTATTTTCGAAATCGTTCCTTAACCTCAGTAAAGAATTAACAATTGGTTCACCAGTGATATTCTCAGAATTACATAATTTCAATAATCCCGATAAATACTGTCCATATTGTTGAGTTATGATTGTAGGAGCCAAGTTGTTATTAGTCAATCTGATGATAGATTTCTTCAAAGACTCACTGTTTAAATCAATAATCTTGGAGAAATGAGGCCAAAGTTCAAAATATAACGAATTTATATGATCCTCTAAAACAGGAATATGGAATTTATTATGCAATTGATTAGAATAGGTTTGAATCATTCTGATCATCAATAATACCCCGAATGCATCACAACTACCAATGGTGGTGGAAGCAGCACTTCCCGTCGGTAAACGATTATATGATTGGGAAATGGTTCTATTGTTGAAAAGTAATGGTTGATGAGTTATTAACCAAGAAACAAAATCTTTACCAATTTTATAAATATCTTCAAACACTACCAATGACCAGTCTTTCTTGAAGGGCTCTTTTTCATCAATACTTTTAGGCATCTCCACTAAATGTAATTTTTCATCACTCTGGTAGAAGAATTCTACAACGAAAACATACTCTACCATGACATTATCTATCAAAGCTTGGAACCATTGGTTGAAGATAAATTCTATCCAATAACCAAAAGGTGTCGTTTCGGCAATTTGTGCTGGCATTGAATGATCATTTTGTGATAAGATTTCTAATCTCTTATCTATAGAACCAAGATATTCATTGAAAGTCAATTTTGTTTGAGGAAATCCATTCGAATTGGGATTTGGACTGGTAGAACTGGCTACAGATGAAGGGATCCAGTTCTTCAATGCAAAATATGCTTTCTCCTCGCTATGATTCAATACCATGGTGGTGTCAACATATCGTATATGGAGTTTTTGTAAAGCATACAAGTATTTGGAGAATTTGGAAGTGTAATACCATTTCATAGTAAACAAATAAGCCAATTGCAATTGTGAAGCTAACTTGGGTTGGTATTTATCTAAAAATGGCCATATATCTTTAACAAGTAACAATTTTTGTTGAAGTGCTTGGGAAGATTGAGAATTTGATGATCTTAATAGTTTGATTTGTTTGATCATATGATCACGTATAGACTCTATAGCTTTGGCTATCAATACATGTAATCCATCTTTCAATTGTTTGAAAGCAATCGAACCTTTATACAATTCAATTAGTTGTGGGTCGAGAGTTTCATCTTCAATGGAATCAATGAGTTGAGTTTTATCATTGATGAACCTTAAATTCTCTAGCCAGTCTTCATTTATCGGACTGTTCATTATAGACTGCACTATATCAGGAGGAATTATCAAATCTAGAATGATAGGGTTTAATTTATCACTGACATTGGAGTGATTTTGAAGATTCTTAGACAAGTCTGTCGATTTGGCATGTAAATCTATCAAACTCTCCGATAACTTACTCAATTCGTCGTTCAAAGTAGTTAAAACTGTCTCTATAGGTTGTAATCGTTGTTGGTATTGATTGAGATTGGTTTGATATTGACTGAATTTATCGATAAAGTATGTGATTTCTCCATCGGTAAGGTTCAAGGAATTATCAGGAATTGTCCGTATCTTTTCAAGGATCAAATCTTTAGGATAAGTTCCATGGAGGAACTGTATAAGGTTTTCAAAGTCTTCGACATTCTCACTATTATGTGAATCAATTGAGCCATTTTTTTCATCGGATGGAGATATGACGGTATTACTTCCATCGTCTTCGCCGAATCCATCGCCTGCTTGCTTCGGCTTTGGCTGTTCTATTGGTGGAAGTATCTGTTTCAATACATTCATTTGGTCCAGATCGCGATTTTTTATGCGAGGGCTGATGATAAACCCAGTATCCACATCACAGGTAATAACAGCATCGGACCCACTATCACGAAACTTATACAATGCTACTCCTTCACAACTTGAAATCATAAATGCTCCAGCTACACCCAATACTGTACTATCTATCAAGGCGGGACCTGGTAGTGGTAAGACATATACCTTAGCTAGACGTATTTCGCAACTTATACTTGATGGTATTGATCCTAGTGAAATCCTTGTGCTATCCATGGCTAACAGATCGGTCAATAGTTTAAGCAAAAGTCTTCAAGTACAATTAGGGGACTCTTTACAGTCTAAGCCCATTGATATTTGTACTTTTCATTCATTTTGCAGTAAGATTCTTGATACCTATGGTGATAAGTATTTACCAGGACGTAGAGCTTTGATGAATGATTCTCAATGGCTTTTCCTCTCAAGATTAGTGTCTAACCATAACCTTCATCTTGATGGAATTAAAAGTAAGAATTTGACCAGTGATAAATTTGTTAAGATCATGAAAGATATCAGACGTGGGGGTGATATTGAACATGTTGCCCAACAATACGGAGTTTCTCAAGATTTCATAGAAGCAGTGTTACGTTTCTTAGAAGAAAATGGAATCATAAGGTACGGTGATCTCATATCACTTGCTTGTAAGATCATCAATGCTTCTAAGAAAGATGAATTGATTCCTCAATTAGTCAACTATAAAGCCATAATTGTTGATGAATTCCAAGACATGTATGAGGATTTACTAGAAGTGATCGATGTCGTTGTCAACTATCCCAGTAATGGAGATGGTAAGCATTTGACTGTAGCAGGAGATCCCAATCAAAGTATTTATGAATTTTTAGGTTCGAATCCTAAATTGATGGATTCCCTTGATGTTCATTTTGGGTTACCTGTCCACGAACTACACATCAAGGAATCTTTTCGATGCACACCAGAGATTCTAGATTTATCCAAAACCCTCGTGCCGAACACTTCATTGATCACCCAATTGCATTCAACTAAACCTTCGGGCCATTTACCTGTACTCAAAAAGATTTCCAACCCATCTCAAGAAATTAACTTCATAGTGGAAGAAATCGTCAGATTGTGTTATTTGTCTGGTGGTGGTATCAATTTGAATGACATTTTGATCTTATCCAGGACTAATTCCCAAATTGATGACATCAGTAGACAACTATCAGAAAATTATGGAATTTCCACTAATAAACTCACCAGTTCAATTAGTTGGAATAAATCAAAAGTAAGCATATTCTTATCAATGCTAGCAGTACTTGATAATTCTTACAATCATCAAATATCCTTGTTGTATTTGTTGCTGATAATCGATAGATCTCAATTGAGGATCTGTAAAATATTTAATATCTCCAAGGGAAAGAAACTAGAGGATCTCGTACACTCTAAGGAGTTGAGAGTCATATACAAGAGGAAGCAGGATATAATACCGAAGTTCAAAAACTTGATTGAAGCTTTCAAAACAGAGAAACAGAAACATTTGACCTCACCTCAAGATGTGGTGGATTCGTTATTCAATATCACTTCCAGTGGATTAATGGATTACCTCAATGACGATTGTGAAAATCTAGAGACTAGAAAGAGACTTCTGGTTGATCTCAAAGCTTTCCAAAGCTCCCTTGAAATATCATTCATTAATTATAATACCGACCAACCTTCAGAGTCTTTCATATCTTACTTTCTCAAGAATTATAATGAGGATATTACCATGGACTCTCCAACAGCTGTGAATTTGTCAACCATCCACACTGCTAAAGGATTAGAGTCTAAAGTAGTTTTCATTTTAGGAACCTCAATGTTTCAACATGGCCCTTGGGATTTTATCTTAAAGGGACAATTAACTGATGATTCCAACAATAGATTGTTCTATGTGGCATTAACTAGAGGTAAAGATTTAGTGTATATTACTACTACTTTGGACATTAGTGATATATTACATGACGATAAATTTACAACATTGATGCCTAAACGGGATGTAATCAGATCTGTGGGTGTGAATCTGGCTAAACTTCAACAAGGTGAACATTTATATGGGAAATTTAAAAGAGAATACCACACCACAGCAAAAATTCCCATTTATTCCCGGTTTGATGGTTTCATACCAACAAGCAAGATCCCATTGAAACGGTATGGGAGTTATGATATTTCTCATAATTGTGTCAAGGCCATCATTAGATCTTTGCATAAACTCCCACGATTCTAAGTCAATTTAGATAACAAATCAAGAACTGAGGGGGTATTACCTTCATTTGTCTCATGATCGGTATCTTCATGATCAGTTCTTTCAAACTCACTTAAATCACTAAAATCATCATCACTTTTAATGATCTTGATCACTTCCAAATTATCTCGATCATATTCTTTAATCTCCACATTATCACTGAATGCAACACTCTTTCTTCTCTTACGACCCTTTTTGGGTTTCTTAGGTAATGGCTCTACAGATTGAGATGTAAATTTTGGTGACTCAGTATCAGAATCACTATCATAAGTTGGTGCCACAAACTCATCTTCACTATTGGCACTAGTATAATCACTGTAACTATAACCACTGAAATCTTCGGGATCTTGTCCTTGTAATTGATTCCTTGTTTGATGAAGTTTTGATAATTTATCCTTAACTATGGATTTCTTATATTCATCAGCATTCAACCCATTTTCCAAAGAATTAACGAGTTGTTTCAAAGTATCAACAATTTTCTTTTTAGATTTCTTAACCTGGTCGAAAGTATCCAAGGTGGTTTTACATAAATCTTCTAAATCATTAAGTTTAGTAATATGCTCGTTAGTTTCAGGTAAATCTGTGGTACTGGGGTCATGAGGTAAATAGTTCATGGATTGGATCCCCACCTCGTTTAATGTGGTTTGACTCTTATCTGTGAGTTGATTCAAATGAACGAATAAGTTATTGACTTCGAGTATTTCACTTACGATTTCTGAAGGGGTGGAAGGAGTAGTGACAGGGGTTGGTGGTAAGGGTATAGCCGGTAAATTTAATGGTTTTGTAGGTAATTTAGGTTCCTTAGAAGGTTTTGGAGTTGCTGTCAAAGCTTGTTTCATGGCATTTAAATCATTAGCGGTAAATACAGATCTTGTTTCCCATACATTTACTAACCTTTCAACTTTTGGTTTAATCCTATCATCCAATTTTACCATCACTTCACTGATAACTTGTGGTATTACTGTAGCAAAAACCTTCAATATTTCTAATTTCTGCTTATGTTTCAGTTGTTGGACCACATCATTACAAAGGTATAATAATGATAGAATCTTATTTGAAGGAGCCAGTAAAGTGAATTTTTTCCAAATTTCACAAATTTCTGAAATGTGACGATGATGGAAGAGCACCCATTGACTTATGGAAACGATAGAATCCTGAGTTTCTTGTAAGTTCTCGAGTTTCTTTACAAACCCACCTTCTGTAAAAGACATGATGAGAAAGTTTCGCGATTATGGTTCAAACTAGGAGAGCGGTAAGTAAGAGTAATACTCGATTAACCAGACAACCTAGTGGAAAAGTAGCCACCAAAGGAGCTAAGGCTAGTACCACCACTACCAAAGTAAATAACACCTCGATAGATGGTGGGAATACTACTCTCAGCACTCCTAGTGGTAGGATAGATAAAACAACAACAACCCCCATCAAAGTAAGGAAAAGAAGAAATAGAATAACAGAAACTGAAATATTGAAAAGCAGTAATGAAGAATTGATCGATATAATCAACGATTTAACAAATACCCATCAAGATGAAATTTTCCAACAATATAAAACCACCAATGAACAAAGAGTAGCCTCGCTTGAACAACAAATTGATGATTTGAAGACTCAATTACAACAAAAGGATGATCTCATTGATTCTTTACGTGATAATAACGTATTGCCTAGTTCTAGGCCTAATTCCACTTCAGATAACCTTTATATAAGTCCTATCAGAAAGAATAAAAAGGTTCAAGATGAAGTTATTCATGAAGATGAAGTACAAAAAGAGTTTACTACTATTGGAATCGTCATTGAAATGTTTGAACTTTTAACTAGTATAAAAATAACTGATTGTTCTGAAGATGATGATAAATTATATTTTGATATATTACAATCCTCAATAAGTGATAAATATGAAAAGTTAACTATTGAATATAGAATAATAATAATGAAAAAACTAACTGTTAGTGAAGTTGAATATATCCCATTATTTATGACCCATGAAAATAACGAAAAGATCATTGAGATATTACCTGATTATTTATGTGACAAGTTAACTTTCCCTCATCATAGTTTGAGTCAATTTTGTTCCAAGATCACCAGAGCTTTGAATAGAGTCAAAAGGTGATCAATCTAAGAGTGAATGACAACTTCAATACCAACAGAATTTCGTACCACCATCATTTTGGTATCCAAACATTCTCATACTCAGAGAATTTCATGCCATAGTTATAAAAAATTGTATATTAAATGTACTTTTTAAGGAGATAAAATGATTTTCCCATCTTTCTTAACAACCTTATACTTTTTGAAAGATGACTTTTCGGATTTTGGTAATTTGTTTAATAGATCTTTCAAGGTTATTGAATCAGATAAAAGTTCTGAAAGTTTTGAAGGTTTCTCTTTCTTTGACTTTTCTTTCTTATCTTTCTTATCTTTCTTTTCTTTCTTTTCTACTTTGGTTTCTTTGGTTTCGACTTTTTCAACTGGCTTGTCTACTTTTTCCACGGTCTTCTGTGGTTGTGGTCCTTTCTTCTTTGGTTTATATAAAGATTTTTCATACTTCTCTGATTCAGTAATACAACTGGTATGTTTGTCCCAGTCGAAATTATAGAAAGTCACGCTACAATCTATACAGGTGAAACAAGCTCCGTGACATTGTCTGGTATGTTGAGTCAACTTCTTTTTGACTACAGTGTCATTACACACTTCACAACTGAATGAGACCATTTGCGATGAGATGAGTGAGATTGAGGGTAGATAATAATGATATGGTTGGGACATTATGGGTGAGTATAGAGGTACAACAACGTTATACCTCCAATGGAAGTAGAATATTTCAATGATATTAGGTACATATGTATATTATAGTGATTACAGAGTGACAATGGCAGTAGAGATAAGAGAATCAGTCCTGAATTTACAACTTTTACCCTTCATACCCGTGCATTACTATTTACAGACCTACCAAACAGGTTCATCTTCCTTCTTTCTCTTCACTCTGATCATTTCATAATCAAAGTCATCATTACCTTCTTTCAATTTCTTCTTATCTTCTCTTTGTTTCAAATCATCCATGGTGAAACCTTGTAATTTATACCAATCTTTCTTCTTATCAACAGATCTTTTGTTTTCAATCATATTCAACATTTCAGATTCATTCATTTGATAATGTTTCAAATCATATTTCTCCCATTTGATAGCAGTAAAGTTAGACAAATAAACTGATCCCACAACTATTGATAACATGAACGGTAAACCAAAATATAAGAAATGATTCTTCTTAATGAGAAGTTGAATCCTTCCTGAGATGGTTTTATTATAAGCTTCTTGAGCTTTTTTACCTCTAAATATATTACTTCCCAAATATACCATTCAATTTCGATCTTAAGTTTTTCGCTTTCTCTCAAAATGTTTCTTACTCTCAGACATCACGTGCTTCGGGAAGAAAAATCTCCCGTAAATGTTTAAGGCCGTGGCGCAAACGTTAAATCGGGGGTGCGAAAAATCGGGGGTGTAAGTTAGGGGGTGTAGGGGTGTCATCTAGGGGGTGCAACCAACATTGCAGGAATCAAGAGCAAGCCAGTACACCAGATGGTTTTTTTTTTGAAGATAAATTATCAAACATTAAAGGAACCACATTCAATAATCACAGAGGATTGAAATTAAATACATCGTTGAACTATTAACATGGTAACAGACAGAAACCGACCATTAAATCACCAAAATCATTTGTCCTTAACGCTAAATCTTCAACAACATTCCCACCGGTGTGAGGTCGTTGGAAAAAAAATTTAAAAATCGTCCATTTCTCACTTCTCAAATTTCACAAAAAACTGGATGTCAGTGTATAATCAACAAGTTACAATTAAACAACAGCATCAACAACGATTAAATGAATTGTTGGATGCTGTTAAACAAGAGTTTGAATTTACATTAAATGAAGCATCCAATTTTAAACAAGTTAAAGATGACTATGATTTAAAGTATAATCAACAAATCAATGAAATGCAACAAATTAGAACAACAGTTTATGAATTAGAAATGGCTCATAGAAAGATCAAAGAAGCTTATGAAGAAGAAATCTTAAGATTAAAGACGGAATTAGAAAATAGACTGAAAAATCCAGGAATTATGAATCAACCACCAACTCAAGGGTATCAACCTCCACAAATTCAATCACAACCTCCAGTTCCAAGTCAAACTTCACAACCTCCACAACCTTCACAGCCAGCTCAACCACCATCCATTCAACAAGTGGCTCCAGCTCAAACTCAACCAACTACCATACCACCAGTTAATGCGGTAGCACCAATTAATGGATCAATTAACCCAAATTTACAAATAATTGATCAAAGTCAATATATTGTTAATCCAAGTCAAAAATCTTTACACATTAAAGAAATTCCACCATTCTTATCTGATTTAGATATTTCAAAAGCTAACCCAGATTTTAAGAAACAATTACCTGATTATTATGTATTATATAACCCAGCATTCAAAAGAAATTTGGATGTTGAATTAGTTCATTCATTAAATCATTCATCAGTCGTTTGTTGTGTGAGATTTTCTAAAAATGGGGAATTTATTGCTACTGGATGTAATAAAACTACTCAAGTTTTTGATGTTAAAACTGGTGAATTAGTTGCTAAATTAACTGATGATAATAATTCTAATGGTGTTAATGATGATTCAAATAAAGATAAAGATTCAAATCCTAATGGAGATTTATATATTAGATCAGCTTGTTTCTCACCTGATGGAAAATTCTTAGCCACTGGAGCTGAAGATAAATTGATTAGAATTTGGGATTTAACAACTAAAAGAATCATTAAAATTTTAAGAGGACATGAACAAGATATTTATTCATTAGATTTTTTCCCTGATGGTAATAGATTAGTTAGTGGTAGTGGTGACAGAACAGTAAGAATCTGGGATTTAAGATCATCTCAATGTTCTTTAACTTTATCAATTGAAGATGGGGTTACTACTGTTGCCGTATCACCTGATGGACAATTAATTGCTGCTGGTTCATTAGATAGAACTGTCAGAGTTTGGGATTCAAATACTGGTTTCTTAGTTGAAAGATTGGATTCTGGTAACGAACAAGGTAATGGACATGAAGATTCAGTTTATTCCGTTTCATTCTCAACCAACGGTAAACAAATTGCTTCTGGTTCATTAGATAGAACAGTTAAATTATGGAATTTACAAGGTAAATCTGATTCCATTGGTAATAAAAAATCAAGTTGTGATGCTACATTCATAGGTCATAAAGATTTTGTGTTATCAGTTTGTCCAACTGCTAATAATGAATTTATTTTATCAGGTTCAAAAGATAGAGGTGTTATATTTTGGGATAGAGAAAGTGGTAATCCATTATTGATGTTACAAGGTCATAGAAATTCCGTTATTGCTATAGCAGTTTCTTTGGATAGTGGTGAAAATGAAGGTTATTTTGCTACTGGTTCTGGGGATTGTAAAGCAAGATTATGGAAATGGACTTTAAAAAAATAGGTTTGTAGTATATGTATTCTTGACTCTCACTTTTTTTTTTCCGTGCGGCGCGCACTATTTAGTAGAAGTGAAAAATCTATCGCGATCGTTTAAAACACTTTCAACAAATGCATAAAGTTTCCGTAACAGCTCCAGTTAATATCGCTACTTTAAAGTACTGGGGGAAAAGAGATACTTCATTGAATTTACCAACAAATTCTTCAATTTCTGTAACATTATCACAAGATGATTTAAGGACTTTAACTACTGTTGGTGCAAGTGATGATTTCAAGGAAGATAAATTATGGATTAATGGTAAAGAACAAAATTTAGATACTCCAAGAACTCAATCATGTCTTGCTGATTTACGTAGTTTAAGAAAACAATTAGAACAAGAATTATCATCTCAAGGTAAAGATTTCAAACCTTTATCATCAATGAAATTACATATTGTATCGGAGAATAACTTCCCAACAGCTGCTGGTTTAGCTTCAAGTGCTGCAGGATTTGCTGCTTTAGTATTTGGTATTGCCAAATTATTTGAATTACCTCAAGATAATAGTGAAATCTCCAAAATTGCTCGTAAAGGTTCAGGTTCTGCTTGTAGATCATTATTTGGAGGTTATGTTGGATGGGAAATGGGTAAACTTGGAGATGGAAGTGATTCGAAAGCCGTTCAAATTGCTGAAGAAGATCATTGGGATATGAAAGCTTTAATTTGTGTAGTTTCTGATGCTAAAAAAGAAGTCCCTTCAACTAGTGGTATGCAATTAACTGTTAAGACTTCAGATTTATTCCCTATTAGAATTAATGATGTTGTACCAAAACGTTATAATGAAATGGTTGAAACCATCAAACAAAAAGATTTCGAAAAATTCGCTGAATTAACTATGAAAGATAGTAATTCTTTCCATGCTACATGTTTAGATTCTTACCCACCAATCTTTTATTTAACTGATACTTCAAAGAAAATCATTTCTGCTATTCATGAATTAAATAGTCAAGGTACCGTTGTAGCTTATACATTTGATGCTGGTCCAAATGCTGTTTTATATTATCAACCAAAAGATGAAGAAAAAGTTAAAGCTTTCTTAGAACCTTACTTAGGCCATTTGAATGAATGGAAAGATGGTAAAGGTGATGATGAAAAGAAATTGGACGGTGTATCCAAATTAATCTGGACAAGTGTTGGAGGAAGTCCAAAAATCGTTGATGATTGTTTAATTGGTGATAATGGTGAACCATTATAAGTAGATAGAGTTTGTATTTGATAACCTTTTAATATAATCATCCCAATGTAGAAATTTCGCACTTGATGTTCTTGACACCATTGAAATGTTGGAAGACTGGCTCTATTAGAGTCATTCCTAGAGTGAACAGTGTAGGATATTCAAGGATTAATGGTATCAAACCATTGAACGTCGGTAGGAGCCGTTGTTTCACTACCTCACGAATTAATTTCAATAAACCATTACAATCCAAACAAGAGGTTGAAGAAGTTAAAGACTTTAAACACATAGAACAGAAGACATTACTGAAGAAGATACTTCTGGAAAACATTTACACAGTACCTAATTTCCTTACTATGTCAAGAATTTTAACTACACCTATCATCACATATTATATATCAACCCATCAAGTTACCCCAGCAATGATACTTTTCACCGTTTCTTGTATAACTGATTTCCTTGATGGATTCATAGCACGTAGGTATAAGTCATTCACAGTTCTAGGTTCAATCTTAGACCCCATAGCGGATAAATTATTAATGGGATGTTGTACAATTGCTTTATTATACCTGAAAGTAATGAACCCTGTAATTGGAGGGTTGTTCATAGCTAAAGATTTCATGTTACTATTAATGGGTATTTATTATAGATATACAACATTACCTCCGCCAAAGATATGGTCAAGATTTATCAATTTATCAATTCCAACGGTAAAAGTTGAACCAAATATGATAAGTAAAGTGAATACAGGATTTCAAATGGTTTATATAGGATGTTTGGTTTACTTGGAGATGATCAACCAAGTTCCAGGAGTTAATGAGTTCTTGGGCAATTTTGAATATCTTGTAGGTTTCACTACTTTAATCAGTGCATTTTCATATATCTTCTCCAAGAAATCCATTAAATCCTTATAGTTTCACTTAACATTTGATAAGTTTTGTAGTATTTTGGATGCTTCATAGTTAAGACTTGTAACATTTTAACATGATTCCCTTCATCATAGGGAAATGTGTTGTAAATAAGAATTAACATTTTAATATGCTCATTAGATTTCTTCCCAAGCTCAACTATGATTGAACTCTGAAAGGTTCTACTGAATTCTCCATCGATAGAATTCAATTGGAAAATGAATTGATAGTACATTGACTCTAAATCTTCAATATTCGAAGGATTATGATAGATCATTTTGAGACATGCAAGTAAATGATTGATAGTTTTCCTAAAATTCAATTTTTGTTGGATTCTAAGTTTAATTATGGGTAAGCAATGGTTTAGAACAATAGGAATATCGGAGTTTTTGTTCTGAAAACACTTGACTAAAGTTTTTAAAGCTTTGGAGTAATCGTTACCGCTAGGATCGATAACACCTTTTCTTCTACGTCTGCCTCTTCTTGGTCTATTACTCTTACATAACAAATCACTGGTATCGTAATGGTTCACTTGTTGAACAGTGGCAGCATATCGATAATGGTCGATGCTCAATGACTTATTCTTCAAAATAGATATGATCAACTCCATAATTCGCAACTTCTCAGTCCAGGTCTTCCTTTAACTCTACCTGTCTAGTTCTTAATCGGACCCAGATTCTTCTTCTAATGAAGTTACCAAAGTAATATTTCCCCTTCCAATGATGAGAATTGAAATAGAATCGGGAATAAATCCATCCTTGATCATCAACATCATTTATCATTAAAATATACCAAGTTTTCCAATGCCAAACCCAATTCAAATCTGGTAAAGGATAATTATTAATGGAATTGTTGATGAGTTTCAAGTTTTTACCATTAATTAATTGATAATTTGATGGATCGAAAGGTAACAAAGAATTCTTGGAAAATAAAGGAATGCCAAAAAATTTCATTCCTCGTTGATTTTCAATGATAATATCATATTTGTATTCCAAATCATCATCACGTTCACCTCTACCTGACAATTTCTGCTTCAAAATATCATTCAAATGTTCATCATCTATTAATCTTTTCAATTCATTCAATTGAGGTAAATTAAGGAATCTCAAATTGATTGATTTATCAATAAGTTCCTCCATCTATTAGGAATGCATACGTAAGGTGATAAATCCGGTGAGATTGTTGTTCAACTGTGCGTTGTTGATGTAATGGATATCTTAAGCTGGGCCCGGAGTGATTGTTAAATTCTCACGCTTTTCGACAAATTAGGATAAAAAGTATATTGCTGTTTTATTGGCATTGGAATACTGGCGGATTTTTCCGATGTAAGATGAATTACAGAGATATATGGTGAATTAAGGCGTGAGAGACCACTAATAAATCTGGAAAAATCTTCAACGATCTTGACCAATGCTGACCCGTGCAGACCGAACTTGACCGATGCTGTTCGATGCTGACCGATGCTGGCCCTATTTTCAAAACATCACCAACAATTAAACCAGGACGACGCTCCAACCCAATCTTATTTTTTCACTTTTTAACCCTGATTTCACAAAATAATCGATAAATGGAAAATGTCCTAAGAAAATAAGCCGGCTTACCTAAGTCATCACTCTCTCAAAATTAATGGAAATGTGGAAATCTCAACGTAGAGCGAATGATGTAACTATCTAACTACATATAATTCCGATGTACCTGACGTCGATGGTACCGATTTAGCCCACTGTCTCTGAATTGGGTACCCATAAGCTAATGTTATTCACTAATGAATTTTTAATTGTTCCCCAACAATCATCTTCGACTGCGATAAACAATATAACCCAACACACATTTTTATTCTACACGTGATGGTAAGACATATTTATTATTTATGCAGCTTTAAACACCATTATCGTAGTGGTAGGAAAATAACATATTTTTAACTTTTAGGGTTAAACTACGGAATTTTTACTTGGCCAAGTTTCCCAACCATTTGAGGTTACATTTTAGAAAGCCTTTACCTGAGACAATCTTATTTAGCAATTCGTATAATTGTTGCTCGAACACTAAAACTGTCTGTCTGAGATTAATGATACCCTTGGACCCAAATTTCAGTTGTCATGAATTTCAAATGTTTCAACCAAGCCTTCTATCTCTTAAAGTTTATATTTGGCCATTTTTTGACCCTTTTTTTTTCACTGGTTCGATCAGACAGACACTCAATTCTCATGCATAATCCCTGAGACTCAGAAATTTTTTTTTTCTCATATACAATTAGTAATTATCATGGACTATGAATTTAAGGATAAGTCATTGAATTTGGCAGCTAGTAATAGTACTAACCAACAAAATTCTCATCCGCAATCACATAGTTCACAATCAAGTCATCCTCATTTCAATTTTTTACAGAATTTTGAGTTCAGTAATTATCCAATGACCAATCCTCCGTTATTCGATCAATCGATGTTTTTATATCAGGATGGTCAACAACCTCCAAGGAGAAGAATATCCATATCCAATGGTCAAATTGGTCAAATTGTTAATCATGAAGCCATTTACGATGACTTTGATAGTCAAGACTTTGATATCGACAAAGAATTAAATCTGTTAAGCGGTCAACAATCACAATCAACCGCTCAAACAACTGCACAGCCTACAGGAGTGATACCTCCACCTTCTGTTCCTCCAAGTTCACTACCTCCACCCCAATCAACTACACAAATACCCGTTAATGCACCACCTATTACTCCTCAATCAGGTGTAACTTCATCAAATCCTTCAAATAATTCATCAAATATTCCTTCTGTACCTGCAATACCACCTGCAGGAGGTTTCCAACCAAAAGTCGATCATTCACATTTCGCCGGGGTACCACCACCTGATCATCAACTTATTTATAATAATGAAGTTATTTATAATCCTCATAATGGTCCTGTACCGGGTACAGCTGCTTGGAAGAAAGATAGATTATTGGAAAGGAACAGAATAGCTGCTTCTAAATGTAGAAAACGGAAGAAACAAGCTCAACAACAATTGGTTGATGATTTAAATGATTTGAAATCTGAAAATAGATTATTACAAGAGAAACTTAATAATTATGAAAATTTATTAGACGTTTTCAAAGATTTTTATATCAAATCAAGTAATTTGGAAGTCAATAACTTTAAGAAATTTGATTTCTTATCGGATGCTTTAAAATCTAAGAATTATGATGAAATGTTAGAAGTTATTCAAAAGTATAAATGACCATTTTTTTATTGTACACAGTAATATATTTATAGCGTAGGGACTGCTATTCTCTAAGTTCCATAGTAACTGAAGTCGGTCAACCGTTGGCATGGGACTTTTCCCATACCTCCTTGAGTTATCTCCAACACCACGACATCCACTGGGAATATGTCGCGTAAGGTGTCGCCTATACTTTAAGATCAAATCGCGAAAAGTTTTCCACCAAGATGTCATTAAAGTTACCAACAGCCCCCAATGCTGGGTTATTCAAACAAGGATATCAATCATACTCTGCCACCGATGGTGCTATAATTAGAAACATCGAAGCTGTCAGGGAAATCTCCAAGATTGTGGAAACTTCAATGGGTCCAAGTGGAAGAAACAAAATTATCGTCAATAAGTTAGGTAAAACTTTCATTACTAATGATGCTGCCACTATGATCAATGAATTAGAAATCGTTCACCCTGCAGTTAAAATCTTAATCATGGCTTCTAAACAACAAGAATTCGAAATGGGTGATAATACCAATTTTGTCATTATTTTAGCAGGGGAATTATTAAACATTGCTGAAAAATTATTAACTTTAGGTTTGAATGTTAGTGAAATCATTTCTGGGTATAAATTAGCTAATAATTATGCTTTAGAACAATTAGATAATTTAGTTATCAATAAAGTTGAAGATTTCACCGATTCAAAAGAATTATATAAAATCATTAAATCAGTAGTTTCATCAAAACAATTAGGTTTAGAATCTATTATTTCCAAATTAATTATTCAAGCTGTTCAATTGATTTTAAACCCTAAAAACCCTAGATCTTTTAATGTTGATTCCATTAGAGTAGTTAAAATTATGGGTTCAAGTTTATCAAATTCTGAAGTCATTAAAGGAATGGTATTCCCAAGAGAACCTGAAGGTTCAATTAAAACCATCAAGGAAAGATCTAAAGTAGTGGTTTTCTCATGTCCTATTGAAGTTTCATCTACTGAAACTAAATCAACTGTTTTATTACATAATGCTAAAGAAATGTTAGAATTCTCTCAAGGTGAAGAACAACAATTAGATCAAATGTGTAAAGAAATTAGTGATAGTGGAGTTAAAGTTATCATTGCTGGGGCTTCAGTAAGTGAATTAGCATTACATTATTTCAATAAATATAAGATATTGGTATTAAAAGTACCATCAAAATTTGATGTTAGAAGAATTTGTCAAGTTTGTGGTGCTACCCCATTACCAAGATTAGGGGCTCCAATGGTTGATGAAATGGGAGAAATCGATTATATCGAAACCAGAGAAATCGGTGGTGATAGAGTTACTATCTTTAAACAAATTGATTCTATTTCAAGAACTGCTACTATTATATTGAGAGGAGCTACACAAAATAATTTAGATGATGTTGAAAGATGTATTGATGATGGTGTTAATGCTATAAAAGGATTAATCAAAAACACTAATTTAGTACCAGGAGCTGGAGCTACAGAAATTGAATTGGTTAAATTAATTAATAAATATGGTGAATCAACTCCTGGTTTATCCCAATTAGCCATCAAAAATTATGCTAAATGTTTTGAAATCATTCCAAAGATCTTAGCTGAAACTTCTGGTTTAAATTCAACTGAAATCTTATCAAAATTATATTCTATTCATTCATTAGATGATAATTCAGGTTTAAATATTGGGATAAATATCGAAGATGGTGATGCTTTAATTAATGTTGATGATGAAGTTATTTATGATTTGGCTGAATGTAAGAAACATGCTATAAATTTAGCTACTGAAGCTGCTATTACTATTTTATCAATTGATCAAATTATTATGGCAAAGAGAGCAGGAGGTCCTGTAATGCCAACCAAACCAACTGCTCAAAATTGGGATCAAGATGATTAGATTATTCTGTATATATATATACCTATACGTTCTCATGCTCTACGCTAATGCTTTCTATTTACTAACACCTTTCCCAGCTTGAATAAATGCTTTAACTTTATTTTCATCTTTAACTCCATCTGTTTCAACACCTCCACTTACATCGAATCCAAGAAGATTGGGGAATCCTAAACTTCTGACATTATCGGAATCAAGCCCTCCAGCGAGAATAAATCTTCCAGGTAATTCTCGTACAATAGACCAGTCTAATTTGTTCCCAGTACCTCCCATTTCTCCATCGAGTAATGGTAATAAGAATCCATTACCTTGGTACTTCCCATTAAATATTCCTTGTAAGGTGGTATTTATCAACTCTATATCATCAGGAATAACGTATCTTGGTATGACCACTTTCCCATGTTTAGAAAGTTCATTTATATAGGCTAACTTATCTTCTTTACCATGAAGTTGAATGATATCTATTCCGGTGGTGGAACTGATATCCAAGATCTCTTCGATATTTTGATTTCTGAACACTCCAACGGTAAAGGGACCATGATCAATTATCAAGCTTTGTATTCTCTCTAGCATATCATTTGCAGTAGAGAATTGTTCTTTCTTCACGATCTCTAGAACATCATTGATGGAGACTTTTCTATTCTTTTTCACTTCGTCCACGATTCTTTTGGCTTCGTTCAAGTCGATACTCCTTTTAACTCCTCTCAACATGATCATACCTATCAAATCCACATCATTTTCTATAGCTACTTGAGCTATTTCAAGACTTTTGATCCCACAGACTTTGACTAACATCTAGTTCGCGGTGAGTAATCTGTTGCACATTTTTGTATGCAAATTCATCTCCAGTTAGAGATGCTGAGGTTCGTGCCCAGCTAGAGATGCTGAGGTATTGTTTCAAGTACTTGACTTGGAACAGAGAAGTCACTAAATAATTCTTTGTTCATGTATTTTCTTATCATAATTTTCCTATGTTGGAAGTTACCTCTTTAGGCATAGTTGATTTGCTCTCATAAACTATAAGTCTCGGTATCAATATCAACACCAAAATCCCCAATGTTTTCTCCATAATCATTAACCCAATCATTTCTGGAGGTTCTAGAACGTGGGTCGAGTTTCTTTCGAAGTTTCGTGATATTTCGAAGATCTTGACCAGAAAAGGAATTCACATCAACTTCTTCATCGGGTGGGAAACTATTCCCACCATCTGGAGGCCATGGTAACGATAATTGATCAAGTTCATAGAACTCTGTGACTTCAAATTTCACTCCTGTTCCTGGAGGTTTTACAGGAAGTAACCATAAAAATGGATTATTGAACCATGAATAGATATTGGAAAATATTCCCAAATCATATGGAAAGATTATATCATCAATAGTGAATTCTTCAGGTACTACCAGTTCATCATATGTATCGTTATCTTGATTTGAATCCCTCAAATCATCCATCTCGAATTGTTCATCTACTAATCTATCCTCTTCTCCTTCTTCTTCTCCTTCTTCTTCCATCCTTTCCTCATAATATCTCGTGGGTAAATTACAAGATGTCAATTTTGGTAATTGTTTCCCATATAAGTCTTGATAATTCTTACGAATCTGTAACCATAATCTATTGGTATAAAATTGACTATCAATTCTTTCCCATTCCCAAACCTCAATCTGAGTCATTCCCTTAAATATCCAATTGCTTACACATCTAAACCATAAAAGGAAAATCGAGATGAATACAAAGATATCTAAAGGAAAGAATACTATTACGGAGACTAATTGCCATTTATTGATCAAATAAGAAGGTAAATTCCGATCATGATAAAAATCTAATGCTTTACAGCCTAATTCCCACCCACACCAGGTGGTCATGAACATTATCATACCCAAGAATTTCATGAATTCAATCATATTATTATGACCCACACAATTATAAGTCCATGGACAATGATGGTCCATCTTAAGAACACATTTCCCACATTGTTTACAATGATGAGCTCTAGGAGGTTTATAATTGTCACATTTATGACAATATCTCTTCCATTGACCTTCTTCGGGGGTGAAGTTCTTCGGAGGTGACCCTGGTGGTGTGACAATCGCTAGAACATAACATATCCATAGATAACTTAAACAGATTTCATAGATGATTTGAACAGTGGTTGATTTCTCTCGTATTATATTATAATGAGTCCCATAACCAATTGATCCAATTAGAAGACAAGGTACCTAGACGTTAGTATGAATTCTAGACCCATAAACCCCGTGAAGGTGGCAATACACGTACTATTACGCCTACTAAGGGCCATTTCAAATGTGCCATAAGTCGCACCTCAGATATTCTCAGATTTAGTGGCGATAATGGTATGTACTTCCATCGATGGAAACCATCTTCAAACCCTCCATAATACAATGTTTACTAACAAATATAGAGTTCTATTGGTACAGGATACGATTTATCCAATTCTGTGTTCTCACCAGGTATGTTTTATAAAAATTTAATGAAGAGATTGAATCAATTCAATATCGACAGAATTGAGACAGTCAATAAAGTTAATTTGAAATACTAACAATTTAGATGGAAGAAATTTTCAAGTTGAATATGCTATGAAAGCAGTCGAAAATGGAGGTACTTCAATTGGTATCAAATGTAAAGATGGAATAGTTTTGGCCTGTGAAAAGATTATAAATTCCAAATTATTGGTTCCAGGAAAGAATAAACGTATTCAAACCATCGACAATCATATTGGAGTTGTATATTCTGGATTATTACCTGATGGAAGACATTTTGTTAATCGTGGAAGAGATGAAGCTCAAAGTTTCAAATCAATTTATAAGAATTCTATTCCTGTACCTTATTTAATGGATAGATTAGGAATTTATGTTCAAAATTATACTTGTTACAATTCAGTTAGACCATTTGGAATTGTTTCAATTGTTGGAGGAATTGATGAAAATGGTCCTCATTTATATATGATTGAACCAAGTGGTAGTTATTGGGGTTATAGTGGAGCAGCTACCGGAAAAGGAAGACAAACAGCTAAGTCAGAATTAGAAAAATTAGATTTTGAAAATTTAACTGTTGCTGAAGCTGTTAAAATAGCTGGTAAAATAATCAATCAAGCTCATGAAGATAATAAAGATAAAGATTATGAATTAGAAATTAGTTGGTGTTCTTATGATACTAAAGGTAAACATGAATTCATTCCTGATGATTTATTACAAGAAGTTCTTAAATTATCTCAAGAAGACGACGATGAAGATGATGAAATGGAATCTTAAATATAAAGTATTTTGATATTTGATCTCTACAGAAAAATTGGTACTAAATGGTGCGAATTGATACCATTTGGTACCAGGTGGTTTCCCCCAAAATTACTCGGTAGATAACTCATCCCGCGATTTGTTTACCTCGTCTACGCGATACATAAACATCTATCTACATCATGTCTCAGTTCATAGCTGATGACTTACAAGACGATAACCAAACTCATTATGGTAATCATAAGGATTCTTTCAGTAGTGTATCCAGTCCCTTCATTACAAATCCCGAGGAAATCTCGTTTACTTATGATAAAGATATACTAGATCATGATGTATTAGATACTGAAGGTATGGATAAAAGTATAGCTGATCTTCAAGATTCCCTTGCTAATATGAAAATCAAAACTGCCAGTATGAAGAATCTCCAACGACGTCAACAGGAAGAAGATGAAACTATGGATTCGGCCAAATATGATGAAACTCAAGCTCAATTCGATAGAGATATAGATATTGATGAAAAGAGTGAAATCTCTAGAATATCGAAATTATCATCTCGATCAAAGTCCAGTCCCATATCTTCAACTCCTTGGAGGCAATTGAGATCTTCGTCATCGACTTCATATAACTTACCTCCAATACCCAATTTGAAATTCGATATAAATTTAAATTCTGCTGGTCAAGATAGTTCTAACACAAATGTCATCAATGAACTCAATAAACAATTAACCGGGTACAAGATTCAGATCAAGTTTTTCAAACAGTTTCTTCAAAAACTCATAGCCAACAAAGAAGATGTAGATTTGAGTGAATTAAATAGAATAGAAAACATGTCCAACTTATCTCCTATGAAAGGTAATGGTGATTATATGAGATTAGAAAGAGATTTCAAGGCTTTAGAAAGAGAACATCAAGAATTAAATGAGAATTATGATGAAGTATTCAAACTCAATGAAGACTTATATTTGAATATAGAAAGTTTCCAACATGAAATTCAACAAAAGGAGAGAGTTATAAATGAATTAAATAGTGAAATATTAACTTGTCATCAACTTTTGAATGAAATTCTTCAAAAAATGATGAATTTACCTGAATCTGGAATATCAATGAAGACTTTTGATGAAGGATTGGAGATTAAATTACAAGTATTAAAGCTTGAATTGAATAAAAAGACAATACATCGATTAGAAGAGAAAAACCTCAATTCAAGAGACCTTTCAAGAGAATCTTTTGATGCTTTTAAAGATTCATTTTCTGATTCTACGAAGATTCCCGATAAAGAGAATGAGATAAATCATTATATAAAGACTGTTCATGATTTAATGACCACATTAGAACAATTGAAATATGATTTTAATACCCAAAAGGAGCTCACAACAAAAATAGAGAATGAATTAAACTTCGAAATCGAGAAATCTTCCAAGATAAAGAACAATTATGATTTGATAAAGAAGAATTTTGAACTTTTCAGTAATAAACTTAATGATAAATTAAACACGAAATTATCCAACAATTTACAATTGGAGAATTTGACCAAACAAATAACAGCTTTAACTAAACAAGTATCCACATTAACTCGAGAGAATGATCAAATTTCCATTGAAAAAGATACCATAGTTAAAGATAATGCTCGTTTAAATGATACCAATACCAAGTTGAATACCAAATTCGAAACTTATCAAAAAGTCATTGATGACTTACAATCAGAGATCAATGATTTCAAAAACCTTCATAATAACTCTTCATACACAGAATTGAATGAAGAACTTCTACAGAGTCATAAAGACTTTAATAATTTACAAATAGAATATAATGACTTACATGATAAGTATGTACAATTAAAGACAGATTCTTCCAATACAGTATCGGAATTAACCAATCAATTGAAAAGCAAAAATGATGAAACTACTCAAATGAAATCTGATTATTTAGTTTATAGAAACTTGAAAACTGATCTTGATTTATCAGTAGAGAAACAACGAATCTTAAAAGCTGAGAATATTAGACTTAGTTATAAAATAGAATCTTTAACTAATGATAAGATAGCCTTACAAACAACCATTCAAAATCTTACTGATAAAGTCACCACTTTAACTAATTCACCATCTAAATCAGAAGAGGAAATTAATCGAAGAACCAATATTTTAGAATATCAAATAACTGAACTATTACAATTTGATTTATTGAAATTCCAAAGATTAATGAAATCTTTCAATAAAATAGCTGATGATAGTTCTTTAAAAGAACCTCTGAGGAAAATCACTTATATGAATAATAAGTTGTTACCCAGTAACTCATCAACTGATTCCAATTTAAGTGAAATTGATTTCACTGATATGTCGAATATTAAAGAATACCATAAATCAGTGTTTGATTATTTCATCAGAGCAGTAGATGTTATAGTTAATGATCATGTTAAATTATTATTATCACAAAATGAAAGTGAAGTAAAGAATTCCGATTATGTGAATAAACTTCATAAAAGAATCGATGAATTAAACAAAATCAACGATGAAATATCTAAGAGTTCTATTGACACCGAAAGTGAAATCAATGATTCTATATCATCCCCTAGATCAAAACTTCGAATTGATGAGTTAACTAATCGTTGGAAAGCTGAAAGAGAAGCTAGAGTATATGAAAATAATGAAGCTAATAAGAGATTAAAGGAATTAGAATTAGAGAATTCTCGTTTAAGAGAACAATTAAGTAGTTAATTTCTTTTGACCCCTGGATTGCCCCTACTCTTTACGTTATATCTCTAAGTTTGATATTTTCTCGCACCCGTACACCAGATCTTCTGTTGATTAGTTTAACATCGAACTCGCGAAAATTTTTCAACTATGTCTTACAGTGAACTTGAACAAGAGATCAGATTAGATGATATTGACTTCTCTGATTTAGAAGCTCAATACTCTGTATCTGCCGACTTCGGATTAGATAATTATATTGTTGTTGACGGAGCTCCAGTTACTACCGAAAACAAAGTACCAGTTTTAACTAAAGTTTTAAAGAAATTATTAAGTACTGCAGGTGAATTAGCTGATGGAGAAGATGGATTCCATATGCCAGTTGAAGATGGTGAAACTAAAGGTTTCTTATTCGCTCAATATAAAGAACCAGAATCTGCCAGAAGAGCCATCAAACAATTAAATGGTAAACAATTAGATAAGAAACATAGATTATTAGTTAATGCTTTAACTGATGTTGAAAAATATGGTTTAGAAGGTAATATTCCTGAATCTTTTGTTGAACCAGAAATCCCACCTTTCAAAGAACATGGTTACTTAAAAGATTGGTTACAAGATGAACAAGGTAGAGATCAAGCTTTATTACACTTTTCTGAAACCGTTGGAATTTATTGGAACAAGAAGAAGAATGATCCAGAACCAGTTATCGAACCAAGAAAAGGATTCACTTCTAAATATGCCAAATTTTCTCCAAAAGGTACTTATTTATGTTCAATTCATCCTCAAGGGGTTCAAACTTGGGGTGGACCAGAATTCCAAAGTATGCAAAAATTCATTCATAATCAAGTCAGATTAATTGATTTCTCTCCAAATGAAAATTATTTAGTTACTTTATCACCTGTTGGAATTCAATTACCTGAAAATCCTGCTGAAAGAGAACATTTTCCTTTCAAAGAAGAAAGTATCGATCATAAATTAGTTGTTTGGAATTTAAAAACTGGTGAACCAGCCAGAACTTTTGCTTTACCACCTCATTTAGAAGGACAAAAGGAAATGCCTTGGCCTTTAGTTAAATGGTCTTTTGATGATAAATATTGTGCTAGACAAGGACCAAATGCTATTGCCATTTATGAAACTCCTTCATTCCAATTATTAAATAAAAAATTAGTTGAAGTTGATTCAATTGTTGATTTCGAATGGGCTCCTTCTGGTGTTCAACTTTCAGGTTCTAAGAGTGAAACCGGTGACCATGTTTTATCTTACTGGACTCCTGAAAGTAGTAATCAAACTGCTAGAGTTGCTTTAATGCAAATTCCTTCAACTAATATTTTGAGAACTATCAATTTATTCCAAGTTAGTGATTGTAAAATGCATTGGCATGATGAATCTAAATACTTATGTGTTAAAGTTGATCGTCATACTAAATCAGGTAAAACTATCTTCTCCAATTTAGAATTTTTCAAAACTACTGAAAGAGATATTCCTGTTGAAAAATTAGAATTGAAAGATGTTGTCATCAATTTCGCTTGGGAACCAAGATCAAATAGATTCATCACTATTTCAAGATTAGATGATGGTAATAACAATCCATCCATTCCAAAGAATACCATTTCTTTCTACACTCATGAAGAAACTAATAAAGGTAAAGCTACCTCATCAAAATATAAATGTTTCCAAAAAGTTGAAGATAAATTCTCCAATAACATTCTTTGGGCTCCAAAAGGTAGATTTGTTGTTATTGCTAACATTGGTAAATCTAACGGAGAAATTGAATTCTATGATTGTTCATTTGAAGATGATAATAAAGCTAATAACAAAACTAACAATAATAATGTTAAATTATTAAAATCAGAAAAATATGGTGGTATGACCAATATCTCATGGGATCCATCAGGTAGATTTGTTAGTGCTTGGTCATCATCATGGATTCATAATATTGAAAATGGTTATAAATTATTTGAATTCACGGGTAATCTTTTAAGAGATGATACTATTGATCAATTCAGAGAATTTATTTGGAGACCAAGACCTGCTTCATTATTATCAGCTGCTGATAGAAAGAAAGTTAGAAAGAACTTACGTGAATACAGTGCTCAATTCGATGAAGCTGATGCTATGGAAGCTGATGCTGCTACTAGAGAAGCTATCTTATTACGTCGTAGATTATTAGAAGAATGGAGATCTTATAGATCTAAATATGCTAATCAAGCTTCAGAAAAGAATGAAGTTCAAGCTGAAATCATCGAAGAAATCAAAGAAGAAATCATCGAAGAAAGAGAAGAAGTCATTGAATAGATCTAATAAATATATATATACATTATTTCTTAACTGCTTTAGTTTGTAATTGTAATCCATGCCATTGAGCTATTTCATCTTTTAATACTTCATTGACTAATCTGTGTTGTTTGATCATAGGAATACCTTTGAATTTTTCACTTTCTATCGATATAGCAAACATTGATCCACAACCTCCTGAAACATCTTTAACTTCAAGATTCTCTGGTGAAAATTCTTGTTTTAAAATATCAAAGATTTTCAATTCATATGAGTCCATAGGTACATCTGAATAAAATCTCATGGATATTCCTTTATTAGCGAACCCTTTCAAGTCTCCAATAATCCCTTGAGGTGCTCTGGCCCTTATAACACCTCTTCCAATCACTCTCAACATGTTAGTAATGATGTAAGAAAATTTTCGCGAGTTATGGATCTAAAAGATACGGTAAGAGTGATTGTTTGTGGAGATGATTCTGTAGGTAAATCCACTCTTATAGCCACATTGGTGAAAGGTGAATATATTCATAACATGCAAAATGTATTGCCACCAATCACAATATCTCATGAAGATTATTCCGAAAGTTTGATCGATGTTATTTCCAGTACTAAAAGTGATTATAATGAACCTTTAACTGATAGAAGAGTTTCAAAATACATTCCTAGAAAGACAGTGATCATTGATACTTCTCCTTCAGATACAGTGAATTTCCAAAAGGAATTGAAAAGAAGTGATGTCATTTGGTTAGTTTATTCTGATCATTATACTTATGAAAGAATCTCTTTGCATTGGGTTCCTATGCTTAGATCGATGGGGGTTAACTTACCCATAGTTTTATGTGCAAATAAATCCGATCTCTTGGATGATTCCACAAACATGAAGGCACAAACTTCAGATGAATTCTTACCACTTTTAAATGAGTTCAAAGAAATTGAAGCTTGTGTGAGGTGTAGTGCCAAACTTAATGATAATGTTGTTGAAGCATTTTATTTATGTCAAAGGGCTATTACTCATCCAATATCACCGATTTTTGATTCCAAAGAAGGTAATTTGAAACCTTCGGCCATAGCTGCTTTGAAAAGAGTGTTCTTTCTTTGTGATAAGGATTTAGATGGATATTTGAATTTTGATGAATTTTGTGATTTACATATGAAGGCTTTCGATAAAAGAGCTACTGAAAGTGAATACAGGGATGTTATTAAGAACATTGATCGGATAATCTATCCTGAACCAACTGCTGATGGTAAGAGTAGAGGAATTTCTGAAGATGGTTTCATTTTATTAAACAAATTGTACGCTGAGAGGGGTCGTCATGAAACAACTTGGGGTATTTTGAGATCCTTTGGATATACCAACTCATTATCATTGAATGATAAATTCTTGTATCCCAAAATCGATGTCAATCCTGATTCCAGTGTGGAGTTGAGTCCTACAGGATATAGATTCATGGTAGATTTGTTTGTCAAATTCGATAAAGATAATGATGGAGGTTTGAACGAAAAAGAGCTCAAAAACTTATTCTATCCTACTCCAGGAATCCCAAAATTATGGAAAGAATGTCAATTCCCTTCATCAATTGTTTGTAATGAATATGGATACGTTACTCTACAAGGATGGTTGGCTCAATGGAATTTGACTACCTTTTTAGACTATAAAACCACCCTCGAATATCTTGCTTATTTAGGTTTTGATGAAGGTAATTCTATCAAAGCTTTAAAGATCACTAAACCTAGAAAGAAGCGTCAAAAACAAGGCAAGATTTATCGTCAACCAATTTATGATAGAAATGTGTTTAATTGTTTCCTTCTAGGAGGTCCTCAAAGTGGTAAGACTTCTTTCTTGGAAGCTTTCTTGAAAGGATCTTATAGTGACGTTTACTCTCCTACTATTCAACCACGAATTTGTGCTAAGGATATTGAATTAAGAGGTGGGAAACAATGTTATTTGATACTAGAAGAATTAGGAGAACTCGAACCAGCTATTCTTACCAATAAATCACGTCTTGATCAGTGTGATGTTATCTGCTACTGTTATGATTCCTCAGATCCTACATCATTTCAATATTTGATCGATTTACGAGAAAAGTATCAAGAATTTTTAAGTGAAATTCCTTGTGTGTTTGTGGCATTGAAAGCAGATTTAGATAAACAACAACAAAGATCCGACGTTCAACCCGAAACTTATACGAATGACCTTTTACTCAATTCTCCATTACACATATCATCAGCTTGGACAACTTCTTTGAATGAATTATTCATTCAATTGGTTGATGCCGCCACTTTACCCAGTCTGGCTACTGCTGGCTTAGAAAAGGAACCCGAGCCTTTCCTTGATGAAAACTATAAACACCTTCTCTTAGCTGGAGGTACTTTAAGTGTAATGACGTTGGTTAGTTTATGGATTTGGAAAAGTTCCTTACAGAGTTCACGATAATGTTTATGATTAATGTATTTCATGTATATACGAGTTATGTCTATTGGACAACTACTAACTGTGTCCCATCCTCGTCTAGTTCATAGGCTGTTTAGCCTCTCTTTGTCTCTCTGAATCTCTCTTCATATTGTCTAATCTCTACGACAGATGTCGCGGTTATCATCACGACATCAACTCATCTCAAAAATTTTCAAATAGAGTATCATGTCTGATAAAGAATATAAACCAGTAACAGTGGATAAACCTATCCCTAATACCTTTGACTTGGGTAATCTCGCTACATTCGACCCTAATCCCCTTGATAATACCAAATTAAATAACGAAGAAGAAAAGGAAAAACATTTAACTGAAGTTACAAGGGATAATGTACAATTATTGATCAATCAAATTTTATCATTACCACTCAAGACCACCACAGATACACATGGATCATCTACTGGACAAGATTCAACTATGACATTAGTTCAATTACCTGAGCCAACCACATTATTACCAAGAGAAAAATCTATACCTAAAGAAAAACCATTAACGAGATGGCAACAATTTGCTCTTAGAAAAGGTATCAGATCTAAGGCCAAAGATGGTAAAATGGTTTATGATGAAGAAACTGGTGAATGGGTTCCTAAATGGGGTTATAAAGGTAAAAATAAAGAAATGGATAATCAATGGTTGGTAGAATTAAATGCTAATACCAAAAATACTGAAGAAGAATTGATCGATCCAAGAACTTTAAAGAGAGCTGAAAGAAAGAAATTAATCAAGAAGAATGAATTACAACACAAACGTAATTTAAAAAATCGTGCTTAGATATGAACGACCAAAATGATGAGGTTACAATACACCATAATCAACAATTTATGATTTATATTATCAAAGTAATTTGTGTAAGTGTTGGCCAAAGCTTAAGATCTATAGGTTTTCGGTGATAACTCGAAGCTAATAGACCTTAATGCTTTTTATGTACTGCCTCTGTTTTACGACTTATGTACAATATACAATGTCTCAAAAATCTCAACATATGAAACCATGAGTGAATTTAACTCTGATGAATATCTCCCTACCATCGATGTATGTAATTATTGAAATGATGGTTCAATACCCAATTGAACTCTGTGGTCAGCTATCTTGTTACTAACGATTTTCTAGGCAATTTTGAGTGTAGCTGATCTAGATAAAGTCTCAGTTAAGAATATCAGAAGGGCCCTTCAAGAATTGTTTGTAGTGGATTTGGAACCTCATAAAGCTCACATCAATGAAGTTATTGTTAATAGATACAATCGTTTGGTGGAAGAAAAAGATAATAAGTCAGAATTGGAGAGAAGAAAAGAAATTGAACGTAAAGATGCCATTTTAGCCAGGAAACTACAAAAAGAGCATGGTATTGGTTTAAGAAAGAAACCTAGAGTTCCTTCGAAGAAAAGAACTCTTGATACCGAGGCTAAGCCAAATCCTCTTAAACAAATCATGTTCATGGCCAGTGATACGTTGAGAGACATTATAGGGATTGACAAGACTTCAAGGCCCCAAGTGGTTAAATTATTATGGGCTTATATCAAAGAGAATAAACTTCAGGATCCTAACGACGGGAGAATAATTCTTTGTGATGAAAGTTTAGAACGATTGTTCAAGAAGAAAACTGTCACTGCATTCCTGATGAATAAATATTTAAGTGATCATTTAACTAGAGAAGATGAATCAATGGTTCAAAAATCTTCTAACGGGGACCAACCTAAGCCAAGTGTTAAAAGTGAAGACCAAGTCCCTGATTCTGAATCTGAGTCTGAAGCTGAGTAAGGTCCATTTGCCGAGTAAGGTCAAGAAGCCAAATAAGACTCATGATCTAGAAATAATCCAAATGCTTGATGTCAAATCGAACGATAACGCTCTTTTCTTTGTATAAAACTGTTTATTTTAATGTACCAATAATGTTGACTCGTTCTAACCTCTCGTTACTATCCAAAAATTGGTACCTGCTTAGTTAAGTCCCATACCGTTGTTTATACACTCTCACTGTTTACTTCGCACAAATCAAGGTTAGTAAGACAGCTTTACCAGATGCTGCTGATTAGACCTACCGATTCTTTGACGTCCACTAGGACACAAAGTCTATCATCCACAACCATCCTTAATCAAGATGAAATATATAGCAAAGTGGACAAGATCAAATTATATGAATGCATACTAAAGATTCTCATACTCGAATATATTAATGAAGCTAGATTTAAAACTCCTATAATTGATGAGACCACCGAATCCAAGAACTCCTTGACTACCCAAGTGTCACCCAAGAAGAATAGAGCCTCGAGGATTTATGGTTTAGAGAGTAATGACAAACTTTCGTCATCAGTTTACAACAATCTCGAACAATACCTTAATCTAGTGGCTATGAAGAAAAGAGGTTCGAAGTTAGATGACAACACCAGAAGATCATTCTTAAGGTTTTATAGTGAATTGTTAGACCCTAAAATCAAAGAAGACTTGAAAACCAACAATTCACTCGATTATTTGTTGATGAAATTCACTTCATGTGCTAACAAAGAAGTTACCAAATTAGGTAATTTTCCCCCATCAGACATCAGTAACATAGTTTTCAAACAGTGTAATGAGTTTGTACTGTACTTGATTCAGATTGTAGAAAAGGAAAAGAATGCAGAATTGATCATTAAGAAATTGAATGAACATAGAGATTCTTTAAAACCAAAACCTTCAACTCCTTCAATCTCCAATAATTCAAATTCTTCCAATGTTAAATACTTGAAACCTTCTTATAATGTCAAGGATATGGACAAAGGATTAATTGAATTGTTGGTGAAACTATTCAAAGTCGATAACACCAAATTACAACAAGATATTTTCAAATTTAAAGATTTGGCTCAAGAGAAACAATTGCATAATGACATTAAACAGATTCTTTTCTATCTTGATAAGGATCTAGGACAATATAATCCCAGATCCTTTGTTGAGGAAGAATATTATCAACAATGGAAGTCAAGAGAACAAGCAGGCTGTGAATATTTGACCAATAAATATCAAATACCTGCCGCTATGAAATTAATGCTGATACCGAAATTACCTCCTGGTGAAGATTTCTATGTTTTACCCCCCAGTTCTATGACGAGAGCCTTTTTCACTATTTTAGTCAAATTGTGTCTAGAATTACAACAATCAGATACTTATGGGACTCCTGATAAACCACTTATAACCAAACAATCAGTGTCTTTAATAAATTTATGTGGTAAATTCTGGAGAATTGATTATCCTACCAAAGCAGCTTGTGTTTTCACAGCCAGTCATTTAGCAGGAATATTAAGAGACCCATTATATCCCGTCAATGACGTCAAAGATTTGGCACCAGTTGATATTGAAAATTCCACTCAAGTTCTTCATTATTGTAAAACAATCATAGAAGATCAGGGGAAATTGTCATGGGAAGATAAAGATTCTTGGTCAACAAAAGATCGAGATGAATGGACTAAGAATCTAACATTCAGTTATAATTCTACCATGTACTCCATTAAAGAAAGTTTACAAATAATCTTTAGTAAGGTAACCAAACCTAAATTTGGTCCTGTCCTAGTGTTCTTAGGTGATTATATCGAATCTGATGTTCTCTTTACTAATGTTGAACAATCAGGGTTGGTGAAGAAATGGGAAAAGAAATTATCCAAAACATTGTTAAGAGTAGCAGAGTTGAGATATGCTGAATTATTAGAAAATTTACCTCGTGACAATTCTTTGAATATTCTTCATGTTTTAGACATCAGTGATAGTATTGTAGGTGACATAAAATCTTTGCAAAAGAAATACAAGAACCCTTTACTTGGGTTTCTTAACGTATCCAAGACGGTTGGTGCTGTTATGACTTCAATGTTTGCGGTAGATTCCAAGAATATTCTTAAACATATTGAAACTTATAGTAGGAAGAAAGGGGAATTCATTCATTATGGAGATTCCTTGGAAGCTTATAAATCACTTTCTGAGATCAGAAGTATTTACAATCAAGTAACATTAACCGATACCCCTTTTAAATTTAATTTGGAGAAGTTCTTTTTCCCTAGCTTGAATGATTGGGTCACAGAAAGTAGTACCAAGATCTTAAATATCGTTAATGAGGCTATTAAGAGTGATAAATTTGAGCCTATAGATCTTGAAAATGATGATAAGAAGTTCAGTACATCAGTTCTTGATATTTTCAGTCTTATAAAACAGTTTTTATCTATTTTAGACAAATTGAACTGGGAGAACCATTATCAATTATCTAAAGTTTACACATTATTGTTGAAATCTATATCTGATGGAGTTTTGAAGTATACCAATAGTATCACCGAAAAGATTATTCATGAACTTAATGAGGAAGAACAAAAGAAACTCACTGAAATGAACAATGACAAACGTAAAAGTGGTGGAGGATGGTTTGATGAAATGAAGAATGTGGTTAATAACATTCAAATCTCCAGTAAGATTGAAACTGAAGAACCTTATAATTTCAGACCGGAAACTTGTGTGGGTTTGAACAATTTGAGTGCCATGATGCAACAATTAACTCAATTGGAAGACATTTTAGATCCTGAAATGATTCTGTCCACTGTAAAAAGTCATGAACCTAATCGTCAAAATTATTTCACCAGTCATATATTTTCCATTCGTTTGATTAAAGCAGAAAACATAGCCAGTGGTTCATCCTCCAACTTAAGACCTTACGTCTCATTATTAGACACTTCAGTTAGGAAAACCATTGGTAAAACCAGAACCATCAACAACACTTCTAATCCTGAATGGGATGAAGAATTTGAGGTCACTCTCCTGCCTAATGCCAACCTTAATTTGTCCATCACCGTATGGGATGAGAAATTAGGAAGTCATTCAGTGTGTGGTAGAGCCATCCTTCAATTAGATCCTCGAAGGTTCAAACATGATGGGATTCCTCAAGAAATCTTATTAGATCTTGATACTCAAGGAAGATTATTCATTGAAGTTGCTGTAGAAAGTGAAAGGGTTGATGCAATTTTCGTTATGGGACGAGCTCATAGAGCATTATTAAGATCTCAAGAAAGATGTATAAAACTTATAGTAGAGAAATTTTCACGTTTCATCCATTTATGTTTCTCCCGGAATAATTTGAAATCGATTTGTGGGAATAATGGACATATTAAACCTACGCAAAGTCAAATGGATGATGCCATGATGCCATTGTATGATTATTTGAATTCTAATCTTCAAGTTTTGGCTCAATATTTAACCAATGATTTATTAATGAAGGTAATGATAGCTGCTTGGATAGTCGTTGTATCAAGTGCTGATGACCTTTTGTTACCAAAATTAGTATCGGCCAAAACCTTCAAAATATCTAATCTTGGATCGAAATTATCATCTAAAACAAATTCTCAATCGTCTAACAATGGTTGGCAATCAGCCGTTACCTCAGCCATGGCTAATGTTACTAATTCGATGGGGATCAGTGGGTTTGGGAAACAATTGACTCATAATGAATTAGAAACTGTCTTCTCATGGTTGAATTTCCTTTGTTTTGATTTCTTCCATAATGATGGGAATGGACCTCCTGTTAAGGATTTGAAAAATGAAAGCTATCAAGCATTGTTATTGTTACCAGTATACTATGATCGAGATATTGATTATTTAAAACAAGAAGTCGAAAGATTATCACCAGCATTTGTTAAATCTTTAAGAGATCGGAATAACTTCGATAACAGCAATTTCAATGAAAAGGGTAGACCAAGAAGTCTTAGTAGAGCAAGTACAATGGCTAGAAATAAAACTATAATGGCCAATGCTACTTCAAAGGCAAGAGCTAAAGCTAAAATGGAAGAATTGGAAGCAAGACAAGATCCTGTTGCTGCTCAAGCATCAGCAGAAGATATCATTTTAAGACTACTTTTAATTCGAGATGAAAAATCATTCGTTGCTAGAAGATTAGATCAAAGAGAGAAATTGGCTCATAGTATTGCTACTGAACGACTCGCTAGAGCAGCAGCTGAAGGAAAATTTTCAAGGTAACATTACATAGAAACATAAAATATACATTAGCAATACAATTAAAAAATTATGACATGGTTTCATTGACAGTATTATCGTCAGCCGTAGTATCGTTGGCATCTTGTTGAATAGTAGTGTCATTATGATCTTGAACAACAGTGACATCCGCATCAATGGTCATATCAGGATGTGATTTCTTATCGATGACTTTAGGTTCAGGATCCTTCATAACAATATCTTTAGATTCTTCCTCTTCTACGTCATCGGCTTCATCTCCAACTACGGTATCTTTGAATTCTTTCAAACCTTTAGTAAATAAAGCTTGGATTTTATTATCATAAACTTCACTATTAGCTCCATCTTTTAAAGTCAGTTTCCAGCCAATTTCTTCATCTTCGATGAATTTTTTCAAGAAAGATAACTTATCATCTCTTGATTTATTATCTTCAATAGGATGTTCGTAAATAGTGTTAGCAGTGAATTCATCATGTCCATCAGGTTCATAGAATAATCTGTAAGAATTTTCACAAATTGAAACTTTCAAGTTAGAATCAACAAATCCATTACATTGATCTTCTTCAATCTGTTCAATGAAATCTTTTGAAAATGGCATATTAATCTTTGAAGCAGAAACTCCCTCAGTTGGATGTGACATAACATAACTTGTAACATAATAATTATAATGTTCTTCAGCAGTTTTGTGATCATTCAACGTAAGATCATCTAAGCTAACAAATTGAATATTAACAACATCTTCCTTTTCTTTGTAAACTATCTTAAACATGTTTTCATCATTTGACATTAAACCTCTAACATTCATACGATATAAGATTTGATCTTTGGCAGTAGAAATTGGAGTATTTCTATCATTTTCAAATAATAATACCATTTCTGAAGTTTTACCATCAGTTATCATAGTATGCATATGTTTGATCATTGCACTTACAACTTTATCAATAGTATAAATCTTATAAGCTTTATTTCTATAAGCTTGACGAATTGATTCTTCAAACCATTGATGATCTAATTCTCCTTCGATTAATCTTTCACTAAGTGATAAAACTTGTTGATAACAATCTTTTTTACCAGAAATCTCTACATTTAATTCTTTAAATTGACGACTTAATAAGTTTAAATCTTTGGCAAATTGTGGATAAGTTCTTGCTTCGATTTCTTTGGCAACTTCATCATTCATACTTTTAACTTCTTCTAATCTTTCATATAAGATTCTTAAATGACGGAAAAATACGTAAATTGTAGTATTACAAAAGAAATTGTAAATATCTCTTTTATCTAATGAAGTTTCATTATCTTTTAAGGAGAATTTTCTACCAGTAGTGGTAATCCATAACTCACTAGATTTCTCAACTTCGTTAATAATATCAAGATCTTCAGAATCACTTGATGGAACATCTTCTTTTCTGGTTTGTTTTTTCAAAACATTACGTAATAAATCATCTTCTCTTTGACGTTTTCTTGATTCTCCCATTGATGAAGATTCTTCAGAGGATTCAATTGGAGTTTCGACTTCAATTGGTTCTTCTTTACTTTCAAATTCTTTACCAAAGAATAATGAAACGAAATGTTTAAAGAATTGACTTAATTTTTCACGATCATTGGTTGAATAATTGGATGATTTACTGATGAAAACTTCACTTAATCTCAAAATATCACTGATAATATCAAAATCATTGAATTTATAATTCAATTGTTCTTGAGGTTTTGGTGTTAAAGGATATAATCTTTTATTGTGTTGTTCAATTTTAACAGTACTGATCTCTGAGACCAATTGTTTAGCAGTCAACAATTTCTTATCACTTTGTTTAAAAGTTAAACCTAAATGATCTAAAGATTTGTAGAATACTTTTTGTTCCATCTCTCTCCAAACTTTATTCCATTCTCTTTGAGCTCTTCTCCATTCTTCATCTTTTTGCTTTAATCTTTTTAATACAATAGGAACCGCGATAGCTGGACTTTCATGTAATGCATCGATAACTTCAAATCCTTTATCTTTATCATAGATTTTTCTAATGACTTTTTTGTAGATAGTTACTGAAGTATGACCTAAACCTGGAGGTAATTTGAAATTAGCTTTTTGTTCAGGAGTCATATTAGCGATTCTATTAGCAATAGTTTCTAAAGTTTGGATAGTTCTCAAATTGGCTTCCATATGATAATCATATTCTAATCTTTCTTCTTCAATTCTGAATAAAATTTCTTCATATTGATTCTTTCTATGAGCAATAAATCCTGAATCTTCCGATGCCCAAGTTGGATGTCCAACCCATTCATCATTTAATACTTCCCAACACATTTCGTCTCTACCTGAACATGGCATATAAGTCTCAGATTTTGGTAATTCTCTATAAGAAGGACCATTAGCTTTACATAATGATAATTCTAATTGATGTTTCTTGAAATGAATATCTTCAATATGTAAAGGTTTATCATCGAATCCAATAAACATTTTAAACCAATTGATTAAATCTTCATTTTGTTCACCTAAAAATGATTCAACTCTTTCAACAACTTGACTCTTATCAATGACTTCTTGAGTATATAAACTCAAAATCTTTAAGAAATCATTATAAGTTTGTTTGTTACCAATAGCCTTTTTAACTTTATCGAAAAAGTTCATTTCTTCAACAATTGATGAAGCTTTACCTAAATATGAATTAGGTACTGGTTCAGGTATTCCTGGAACTAAAGTTGGATTAGTGATGGTAGTAATACCATTTTTAGTTGATACTTGAGAGCCAGGTTTGATTTTTGGTTGAATATCAGATCTCATTGAAGAATATTGAGCTTCATTATTATAATTGTTTTCATAATTATATCCTTCACCCATCTTCTTATTCATATCATATTCATAGCCAGGATATTTTGGTTGTTGATATTGACTAGCCATTTGATGATTCCAATCTTGATGAACATTTTCATTATTAGGAATTTCATAAGGATTTGAATAAGCAGGATTTTGTTGTTGGAAATTTCCAACTGGTGGTAATTGTGAAAATGTACCATCAGTATTACCAGAAGTTGTTGCAGCACTCATTGATCCATTAGTTGTTGAGCCTGAAGTATCAGGTAAAAATTGTTTAAAATCATCCAATAAATCTGGGGAATTTGAAAATAATAATGTAACTTGTTCATAGACTTCACCAATTGGTTTTTGTTCTCTTTGATAAGTTTGTAAAATTTCCAAAAATTGCTTATAAATATCTGGTTGATTAGCAAATCTAGTTTTGATCTTATTGACATATGTTATAGCATGATTCATTTGATCACTATTACCCTCTTGATTATTAGGACCTTGAGCCAAAATTTGTCCACCTTGATGTTGAGCTGCTTGAGCTTGTTGATCATATTGTAATTGTTGAGCTTGGGCTGCTTGAGCTGCTTGAGCTGCTTCAGCTGCTTGAGCTTGTTGTTGTTCATTCCAACTTTCACTATAATTCATACCTGATTTAACAGTAGTTGTACCAGCAGGGGTATGAACTTTAATAGTACTATTATTTGATGGATCTAATGAACATTCAATTCTATAACCTGGGGGTAAAAATGTATTAAATCCTTGAATCAAATTAGGATGTCCCTTGAATAAATTAGACACTCTATCGATAACTCCCGGAGTATCAATAGTTTGAGATTTGAAATCTTTCATAATATCTAAGAAATTATTATAAACATCAGCTTGATTATAAAATTGAATTTTAACTTGATCTAAATAAGATAAAGCATCTTTGACATTTAAAGGACGATAAACCTGAGATGTTGTTGATCTATTAGGAACATTTTGATTCATTCCAGCAATGGCCGAATATTGAGTTAAATTCTCATGACTTGGAATATGACTTGCTGGTTGTCCAAGAACTGGTTGCATTGGAATTGTTTGATTTGATGGAGAAGAATTTGGTTGATTTTGTGGTGATTGACTTTGTCCATTAGTTTGATTAGTTTCTGGACTTTGTGAATTTGTTGGTTGAGTTTCTAATGTTTGTCTTACTTGATTTGGTTGGGGTTGTGCTTGTGGTTGTGCTTGACCACCTACTTGAATTCCATTAATTCTATCATCGTTGGTATTTATACTTGGGATGTTAAAACTATGATTTTGGTGGTTTCCTAGGTTTTGTAGACTAGGTAAAGGATAGAATTTTTGTCCTCCTAAAGTTGTTAGTATTTATATTTGACTTAAAGTAAAAAAAATTTAACATACCTGTTTCTAAAGTAGCTGGAGGTGGTAATACTGGAGGATTTTGACGTCCACTAGATGTTTGTTAGTAATCATTCAGTTTGAGTATGGTGATTATTATGGAATAATCAACCGTAATAATTAATTACGAAATCCTTTTAGATTTTAGTTAATGGGTGGCATTAAGTCATCTAAAGTATTCCATAATCAATTTTCATTAAAACATACTTAAAATTCTGACCCAAAGGAAGTTTCTGACTCCCCCAAGGATCTTGATTTGACATTTGATATTAAATTTATCAATTAATTGGTGAATTTAAAAAAAACTCGTTATCAATTAATATGGTGAATTGAAACTTTTTAGTACTTGAAAAATTCTAATATAAAAACGTTTCAAAATCTCCCAAAGTATGTTAGAATATTTTTGTGTGAATCAAAAAAGTATGTTGAGATTTCTTTATGGAATAAATCTTTCTATAGAAAATTAATTTCCTTTTAAAATCTTAAAACTTCCTCTTTCAAACTCGGGTTGAGTATGAGATTATCATCACAAAACTGAGTTGTGTCGACTCGCACGACATTATTACCCTGTGGAGACATTGATACTGTCCAATAAAGTTCTGTGTCCGGGTAAATCACGCGTCCGGGTTAGGAAATATTATTAGTATGCGGGTAACTTTGAGTAACTTGCGGGTAAGTAGTTTATCAGATGTCCGGGTAAATAATCTCGAGTGCGAAAGTTTGAAAATTTTCGAGACATAAACTTGAACACCACCCATAATGAATGCCCCAGATAGATTTGAATTATTTATATTACCTGATGGTGTTGATAAGCTTAAGATCACCCCTGACACAAAAGTTCCTAATGCAGCTTTGATCAAGATAGAAAGAGAAGATCATACTTTAGCCAATTTATTAAGAGCACAATTATTAAAAGACGAAAGAGTTTTATTCGCTGCTTACAAGATTGAACATCCATTATTTGCCAATTTCATATTAAGAATTCAAACTGAAGATGATTATACTCCAAAGGAAGCCTTAGCCAATGCATGTCAACGTTTAATGGATGAATTAACTTTGATTAAATCCAAATTTAGAGAAGAATGGAACTTGAAATCTTTGATTAATGAATAGATGACTTTGTAATATAGTAATGAATATGATATTTGAATTTTTTTAGATGTGGGAGATTGGAAGTGGTTTCCGATAGGGTTTTTATGTGATCCCAAGTGAATTAGTCTCTTTGTACTAAGTTTTGGTATGATTTAATCTCTTTGAACTATGGTTATTGCCTTCAAGATATTAGGATTTCTCTCAGATATAGCCATAGAGTCTCTGGTGAAGGTTTCATATCCACTGGTATTTTTCCTGGTTTTATGTTTTTTTTATCATTTCAATAAATTCTGTGAATTTCACAAAAATTGATGGTTCAGAATCCTACAAAGCGTATGAAAATTCAATCAAAAAAAAAAAGTTGCAAAGATAAGATCAATTCAGAGAGGAGCCAGTTACATTATTAATTATTTATTTGGTATTACATGTATGCTTTTTCTTGAATAGCTTCTTTTATAATTGAGATTTTATCTAAACAATCTGGTAAATGAACTGAAGGGAAATCACCGTGTCTTAAAATATGCAATAATGGATGAGTTTGGGTGATTCTATTTGGTGATATGTGAGTTATTAATAAACCATTATTGGATATAACGATTTTATGATGATCTTTAAAATTAAATTGGAAATTACCATTAGTCATTTCAAACATTATGAATTCACTAGTTCTTGTATAACGTCTTAAGAATACTATTTCCTTCCTTTGTTGTAAATCACTAACTTTTGATAAATTACTATTCATATATTTGGCAAAGAAATCCACGATTTCTAATTGTCTTTTATATTTGTTTGGATAGTTGGAAATATTATTTTCAATACATGTCCAACCTTCATCTTCCATTAATAATAATTCTAAGAATTGATCATCATTAGTTAATTTTAATAATGTATTATTATCATTGAATAAAACTCCAATGTCATCATTATTTAATTGGTAACTGAATCCATATTTATTACTGTAATCAACCCATTTACTAATTAAAGTTGGGTTTTCATAATTTGTTATTTCAAATTCTCTGGTATTATCATGAAGTCCATTCATAACTATACTTTCCATTTTTCTGATATTTGTATAAGTTTTCATAGTAGTTGAATTTAAATTTACAATAGAATTCTGGAAATTTGAATTAAACTGGATTTTCTTCTTGGTTGAATAAACATTAGCATCAACTTCTTTATATTTTAATTTAGTATCATTAGGTGATAAAGATTTTGGTAAGACAGTTCTTGATTCACTTTGTAAATCAGTTTTCAAAATTTCAACTGGATTTTTAGCTTTTGGTGTATAAATTCCACTATTAGCTTTAATTAAATTGAAATTAATAGCTGATTGACCTTTTGAAAGTAAATCTAAACCTTCAGGCTGTTTAGTTAATGAAACTTCATTGATTTTATCAGGGAATGTACCTTTGAACCAATTGTAATTTAAAATTTCATTGATGGAAGGTCTTTTAATTGGATTAGTTTCTAATAAATCTCTGATTAAATGTTTAGCATCTTCACTTATTGGTTTATCTATTGGGAAATCATAATCTGATTTTTTAATTCTTTCGTAAATAATTTGAACATCTTTACTTTGGAATGGTGGTTTACCAACTAATAAAGCATACATCATAATACCAATAGCCCAAATATCAACTTCAAATGAATGTCCACCATTATTTTTACCTCCTAAAACTTCAGGAGCAATATAATTAGGTGTACCACAAATAGTGTATTTTCTTGAATCATTTGATGGTAAAATTGAAGCTAAACCAAAATCACCAATTTTTAAATTCATTTGGGGATCAAAGAAGATATTACCTAATTTTAAATCTCTATGAATAACTCTTCTGGAATGTAAATATTTAACTGCACCAATTATTTGTACCATGAAAAATCTAACTTCTGGTTCAGTTAATCTTTTTCTAGTTTTTAATAATTCCACTAATGATTGATTTGGACATATTTCTAATAATATATAAACATTAATATCATCTTCGAAACAATCAATGAAATTAACAATATTTGGATGATTTAAAGATTTATGAATCTTTATTTCTGATAATAATTTAGTTTTTGTCTTTTCATTCTTAATTGATGCTTTTGCAACAGTTTTAGCAGCATAAATTTGACCACTTGAATCTTTCATTTGGAAACAACGAGCAAATCCTCCTTCTCCTAAGAATAATCCTCTTTTATAATCTCTACCATTTCTTGTTCTAACAACTGAAGGTGGAGTTTTACATAATGCTGATAATTTTTCCTTTTTCTTCTTTTTTTGTAAATTTTGTTGTTGTTGTTGAACAGCTTGTGGAGGTTGAATTGATGGTACTTCATAAAAATCTTTAGATTTTTTTAGTTTGATAGGTGTGATATTATTTGATCTGGCATTGATTTGTCCATTATTTAATGGTTGTAATGGCTGTGTACGAACTGACATGGTTAAAAAAATTTTCAATTTGTGGTTTTGATTCTCAAATTAAATAATGATTATATATGTAAACGTCTATAATCAAGCAGTCAATGAACTCTAACAACCAAGGAATAGAAATTCTTAAAATGAAATGCTTTTGTCTATAAAGAAGTTAGAAAGATTCCTTCTATGAAAAACAGAATTTAAAAATTTCGACAATTAGATTTTATTATAAGAGTTTCTTAACTATAGATGAATAGACTTAATTTGATTACCCAATTAGTTAGTAGATATAACAACTTTCTGTTCCAGGCACTATTATTGTTACTCGATTCATGCGGTGTTATTTATTATTTGGTTCAAAACGGTTAAAAAATATAGGTTTAACCTAAACACTGGCTGCTTGATTTGACTGCGAAAAAAACATCAAGATGTTTAGAATCTTTCCCAAATAAGTAATTTTCTTTATCGCATAAATAAATTATGAAACATTTCATCGGTGGCTTACGTAAGGAATTTATTAGTTCGATGGGAAGTATTGTGTTAAATGTTATAGATGCAGGGATTATGTATATACGATCTAAATTAAGTAATTTTGTTCATGGGTTCATTTTTATACAATAACAGGGCATTAAGATAGAAGGTAAACATATGATGTTATTAGGTACCATAAGTTGCTAATGATAGTTCAATTTATATGAGCGTAATCAGGGTGTTCTTTGTACCGGTCATTTAGTTTCGGGGTATGCATAGACGGAAATATATTGTTTGCTTCAATTTATCGTCAAATTGTATTAAATTGGATTAAAAGGGTAAGATGAGTGGGATGATCAGGGGTCATTTATTGAAATTCATATCTATTGTATGTCGATCTTTAGAAGTATTTTTAGTGACTGAAGACAATTGAATTTGTAACGGCTGCCTAAACTTAGATGGAAACCTTTCGAGTGCCAATGTCTTGGCTTTCAATCACCAGAACCAGCAGAAATACCTGGAATACAGCTTCTGCTAGCACAATTAACTCACAGTTATCAATGCATGTCCAGAAGCTCTGACTAAATGTCAAATCTTCTCCTAATTCAACAATCTCAACAATCTCATAAATCTCATCAGTCTTTAGGGTCTCATCTGTTCAGAAGACGCGATTATAGACCTCGCGAATTTTTCAAAAATATATACTTGTTAACATGGACTCTGATGATGATATTCCAATCAAACAAAGAAACAAAAGAGTGATTTCAGATGACGAAGATGATGTTCCTCTTTCTCAGATCACCAAGAAGGTCAAAACAGAGGAGGATGAAAGTTTTAGTCCCCAAAAACCTAAAACTAAGACTAAAAAGGCATCTAAACCTAAAAAAGAGAAAGATGGGACCGCTGAAAAGGTGAAAAAACCCAAAAAAGCTAAATCCGATGAAAATTCAAATAAATCAACCACTAAGAAAGACAAAAATTCAGAAAAGGTGAAAAAGGAAGTCAAAAAAGAAGCCAAAAAGGAAGATTCTCCCACCCCAACTCAAGAAGATGATGAGGGTTATAAATGGTGGGAACAACAGGATGATTTGGATGGTGAAATAAAATGGGAAAGTTTAGAACATAATGGAGTTATGTTTCCTCCAGAATACGAACCTTTACCATCTCATGTTAAATTATATTATGATGGGAAGCCAGTAAAGTTATCTAAGGAAGCAGAGGAAGTTGCTGGATTTTTTGCTGCATTAATTGAAACTGACCATGGGAAGAATCCTGTTTTCCAAAAGAATTTCTTCAATGATTTTTTGAAAGTTATCGAAGAAACTAATGGTAGTGATATTAGAATCGTTGAATTCGAAAAATGTGATTTTACTAAAATGTATGCTTACTTTGAAAAATTGAAAGAAGAAAAGAAAAACTTATCAAAAGATGAAAAGAAAGAAATGAAGTTAGAAAAGGAAAAGATAGAAGAACCTTATAAAACATGTCTTTTGAATGGTAGAAAAGAAAAAATCGGTAATTTCAGAATTGAACCTCCAGGTTTATTCAGAGGTAGAGGTGCTCATCCTAAGACTGGTAAATTGAAGAGAAGAGTCTATCCTGAAGATGTTACTTTGAATTTAAGTGAAGGTATACCAGTTCCACCACCTCCTGAAGGACATAATTGGGGGGACATTAAACATGATAATACTGTAACTTGGTTAGCTATGTGGAGAGAAAATATCGCTGATTCTTTCAAATATGTCAGATTTGCTAACAATTCATCCATTAAAGGATTATCTGACTTTAAGAAATTCGAAACTGCCAGACAATTGAAAAATCATATTGATGAAATAAGAGAAGATTATACCAAATTGTTAAAATCTGATTTAATGCAAGATAGACAAATGGCTACAGCTACTTACCTTATTGATGTTTTCGCTTTGAGAGCAGGTGGTGAAAAAGGTGATGATGAAGCTGATACTGTTGGTTGTTGTTCTTTACGTTATGAACATATAACATTAACTCCACCTAATAAAGTTATTTTCGATTTCTTAGGTAAAGATTCTATTAGATTTTATCAAGAAGTTGAAGTAGATAAACAAGTTTTCAAGAATTTGAAGATTTTTAAGAAAGCTCCAAAACAACCCGGTGATGATTTATTTGATAGAATTAATCCTTCTTTATTGAATAAAAAATTCCAATTTTATATGAAAGGTTTAACAGCTAAAGTGTTCCGTACTTATAATGCTTCTAAAACCATGCAAGATCAATTAGATTTGATTAAAAATGAAGGTACAGTTGCAGAAAAAGTTGTTAGATTCAATGCAGCTAATAGGACAGTAGCTATCTTATGTAACCATCAAAGGACAGTTAGTAAAACTCATGGAAATTCAATTCAAAAAATCAATGACAAATTGAAAGAATTGTTATGGCAAAAGATTCGTTTGAAGAAATTAATCTTGGAAATGGAACCTAAATTGAAGAAGATAGATAAGAAGTATTTTGAAGAAATCGAAGATTTTAGCAAAGAGGATGAAATGGTGATTCATGAAAAAATCATCGAAAGAACCATCGATCAAATCAATAAGAAGTTCGCCAGAGACAATGAAAAATTGAAATTAGAACAAAAACCTCTTTTAACTAACAAGGATTTGAAAGAAAGGTTGGAAAAGGCTGACGAATTGAAGAAAGAATTCAAACAAGAATTGAAAACTGGTAAAGTACAAATGAAGAAAACTGCCACTGTTGAAAAATTGAAACAACAAATCGAAACCATTGAAAACAGATATTTAACCACTAGTTTCCAATTGAAAGATAAAGAAGATAATTCCGAAGTTTCATTGGGTACTTCAAAAATGAATTATATTGATCCTAGATTAACCGTTGTATTTGCAAAGAAATTTGACGTTCCAATTGAAAAATTATTCACCAAGACATTAAGAGAAAAATTCACTTGGGCCATTGAAAGTGCTGATGAAAACTGGAGATTCTAGAAAACGACCGACAATAAACACTCTATTAAAGACGTAATTTTATATATAGTGTATATTAATGTATACTAATCAACTTACCATCCAACTGGATAAGAGTTTTAAGTGATTAAAATTTTTAGGTGAACCTTCCATTCCCCATGAGAAATATCTGAAATACCAGAAACATCCAATAGTTAACAAATAACTTATTCCAAATAATGTCCAAGTAACATATTTGTTACATTTTTTGTAAATAAAAGTTTCCATAATGAAACCAGAGATGAATATAGCAAAATATTGTGCTGGTACATAATGATGGAGATATGTAACTCTTCCCATCATTATGAATGGTACATAATGGAACACCCAACCCATGAAAGGTAAAAATGCTTGAATTATCAATTTGTTGAAATGACTATCGAAGATTCCATTGAAATTCAACTTTTGTCTTTGCCATCTCCATAATTGAACCATAAAATAAAGAGTTATGACGGCAATGTTGAAAGTACTAAACCAAGTCACAAAAGGGTTCCCCATTAAGAAGAATTTGACAGATGTAGCGGACCAGGAATTCATTCTTAAACCGATTCTTAAAATGGGCCATTCCCACCATTTACTGGATAATCTATCGAATTTATTTCCATCAGGAACTAAAGCATTATTTGAAGCCATCATACCATAATTGACTAAAATAAACTCTCTCCAGAATTTAGGTTTGGGTGGAACGTATTTCTGTTGTAAAGGAGGTAAATATTCATTTTCATGATCTTCAACATTCCACCAAGTACTCTTATCATTTGCTAAATAGGTTTTCTTACAGATAACTTCTCCTTGTTGGAAACCCCATGCTGGATAAGATTTACCAGTAGTTGCTAAATAACAACCCAAGACTTTGTGTCTTAATCTAAAGTTTGTCAGGATAGGATGAATCTCATCTTCAGCTTCATTAGCAAATATTGGTGATGGTGATTTCCCATGTTCTTGAATTTCAATCACCCAATCGTCCTTGTTGTCACTTTGATCTAAATTGGCATAACAAGAAACTTCATAATGAGAAGAAGTTACGAATGAAGGGATTTTATGGGAATGTAATAAACAGTTTCGATTGTTATGAACCAATCTAACAGTATCACCATGTTTAACTAATCTATCATATTCAACGGTAGTTTTATTATCAGCCTGTAAAGTAGCAAAATGATTCCTTAAACCGGTTTCAAAATCAAACTCAAAAGAAAATTCATTATTAGAATCCTTATAACCATAAGTAGTGACTTGAGTTTGTTGAGAACCTTCAGGGTAAGTATGAGCATGAGAATGTAATAAATTTGGTGATAATCCTTGAGATCTTAAGGTAACTAAAGATCCGTACCCAACAGATCTAGGTCCATATTTGATTTTGGTACCATTTAAAGAAGCTTGAAGTAATGAAGAAATTGAACCATCACCTGGACCTGAGTTGGTTAAAACACTGAAATGAACCTTGAATGAAGCTACATATATTATGAAAGGAATGACAATCAAAGTAACAATTCTAATTAACCAATGGTTCAAATATGATGAAAATTTGATAGGATATTTCTTACTTCTTAATTGATAGGTTTTGATCAATAAATCATAAACAGTATAAAGACCAATAACAGCGGTGACTAAAATACCTACCCATTTGACTGAACATACACATCCAATGGAGAAACCGGTGGCAATCATCCACCTTATACCTTCACCACTTAAAATTTTATCTTGTAATCTCAAATTATGGATACTTACAAGGCAGTAAAAACATAATACAGTGAAGAATAATAACATAGAATCCAATAAAATGAATTTGGATAATGTCAATGAAAGCATTTCAAATACAACTTGTAAACTTATAAACCAAATAGTGAATTGACTATAACCTAATTTGACAGCAGTCCTATAAGCAATAGGAGTACATAGAATCCCAAACATACAATTGAAAGCTCTCATTAATACATAATTACAATCATCGGGGTATGACAAACTACTGGAAAATTTGAAATGTCCATTATAACCTGCCAACCAACCTGATAAACCTACCAATAATTTACCTAAAGGAGGATGAACATCGAAATAAAATTCATGTTTTAAATAATAAGAACCGAATTTACCAAAATGGGCTTCATCCCAAACTACAGATTGACTTAAATCAATTCTCCATAATCGTACAAATGCTGATATGGCAGTTAAAATCAATGGATTAATATAGTTGATGAAAAGTTGACTTAAATCGGTTTTATCATTCAATTTCAATGTGGAAGTTTTGTTAATGATATCATCTAGTTCAGAATCGGTATCTTGAGTGGCAAGAGGTTTCCTTCTCTTCAATTCATAGGTTTCATTGTATTGTGAAGAACCAGTAGAACTCATTATGAAACTTGTTCTGTTCGCGGATGGAGAGTCTGATTTAGACCCTGAGACATAGGCCGCGTCACATAAAAGAGTGAAAATATAGAGATATGGAAAGGGGATTAAACAATGTTAACGAATGGTAATCGATGGTTAGGGGAGGTCAATATGAAGCTTTGAGATGAGATAATTCTCGGAGTTAGGTAAGATCATCGGATCTAATAGTTTGCTATGAATCAAATCACACCATTTATGTCTAGAACGAATTCAAAAGCTCTACTGAGCCGTAACTTGCCCAAACTTCTCTAAACTCTCACATATACTATAATTTTAGAACGGTATCCACAAAACTTCTCTAAAAAACACCAACTTCCCTCAAATAACTATCACCAAACCTCAACTTATGACCAGTCAAATCATTCGATGTGAAACTTTCCAAACGCGAAAAAATTTAGACGAATACCATAATGGGGGAAGATAAAGACAAGCCCAATGATATTAGGGACCAGTTGTCTGACATCCAGAATAGATTATTCAGTTTGGGGTCTAAGACAAAATCACCCCAAAAGAAATTAAGTAGTCCTAAAATCAATGAAAGAGATAGAATAGATCATGGACTAGAACAAAGAGATCATAGAGACAAAAGATCACCAAGACCTAATCTTGATACCAGTTTGATGCCTTCCACCCCTTCTTTAGGACCCGAAGCTAAAGGTAATGATATGAACTATGTTGTGGGATTAAGTCAGAATTTAGTTTCGGAGTGTAGAAGATTAAATGGTGAAAATCAAAAATTGAAAACTAGATTGAAAGCTGGTAATGAAGAAATGGATAATTTAAAACAACAAATTTTAATGTTACAGAGTAGAAGAGAAGCTCAAGTTAATAATGAGAGTGATTTGAAAGATAAAAATTGGGAATTAGAATCGAAAATTTTGGTTTTGAATGAAAAGATTCAAGAAATATCCGTTTCTAAAGATAAATTAGTATCTTTAACCAAAGACCAAGATTTGAAAATAAGCAATTATCAAAAGATAAACGAAGACCTTCAAGTTAAATATAATAATTATTTCGCTACCAATGAAAAATTGAAGGCCAATCATAATAAAGAATTAACATTATTGAATGACAGAATCCAAGAATTGAATGATGAAAATGATCAATTGACTGAAAAACTTAATAGTAAGACCATTTCTAAAGACGAAGATGACATTAGAATGTTAGAGCCACCTAGATTGATACCTCAAGCCATTGAAGAAGGTGATGATGACGAAGAAATTGATTTTGATAGTTTAATGGTGGATACTAATCCTCATGAAATTTCTAATATCGAAGGTAATAATCCTGCATTGGAAATAGAAACTTTGAAAGCATCTTTAATTCATTCCAATCAAACTATTGCTAAATTAAGATCGAGTTTATTGAAGTATAAAGCTGAAATAACTAAAGAATCACCTAATAAGAAAGGAGGTAAGAAATTGAAAACCAAAGAACTTGCATCTAACAGGAACTCAACTTTGCTTTCATCAATTTCACCATCAAAAAGGAATTCAGCTTCAATTTCACCATCAAAGAGAAATTCCAAATTCATGGTTTTAGATAATGAAAGTCAAGAATTTCCAACTGAAGATGGTCAATGGGAAGATTTTATTGGTGATGATTTAGATCCTTCAAAATCCAAGAGATTCTCCATGATTAATAGTACTACAATCAATGATTCAGAAGATTCTCCAAAACATCATAAAGAAGTTAATATGGTACAAGCTACAGGTGATCACACTATGCCTTATTTGATTCAATCAGATTCCGATTCTGATGGTGATGATACCGCAGCTGCCAAATCTATTTTATCAAGAGATTTATTGGATACCGAAGTTCAACCAAAGAAACAAATTGAAGATTATGCTAGAGATAATAATTTAATTTTAATACCTTTTGAAAAATATGAAGAGTTATTATCTAATGATGTTGGATCAATCAGTGATGAGAAATTCAAAGATTTAGCTAAATCCAAAGGATATTTGGCTCTCACCACCAAAGAAGTTGATTTACTTAATGATGAATTAGAAATGAAGAAGAAATTACAATCAAAAGGATTAGTTACCATCGATCAACAACACTATGAAAGTTTGAAATCAACTCAAAAGGAAAATGAATCATTGAAACTGATTAAAGAATCTTATGAATCACCTTCTTTAGATTATCTTCAACAATCATGTGATGGAATGGGATATAAAGCAATTAAAATCCAAGAATTCGAAGACATGACTGATCTTATACAAGATCCTTCCGAACATTATTTGATTGAAAATTGTAAACGGAAAAACCTTGTTGCCATTTCTAATGATAAGTTTAAACATTTCACTAAGATTGAAATCGATCATGATAAACCTTCAATTGAATATATCAAAACTCAAGCCAATAATCTTGGATTGATTGTTGCATCATCAACAGTTTATGACCAATTAACTAAGAATGCTAACACTCCATCCATTGAACACTTATCATCAAAAGCTAAAGATCTTAATATGGTTGTAATTGATGAGAATCATCATAAGAAACTTTTAAATCCTCAATTACCAGATTTAGTCAACCATGCTGATAATCATGACCATAAGTTAATAACCAACGATAAGTACAAAGAATTAAACCAATTAGCTAATGAACCATCTATTGATCATTTACGTAACAAATTAATTACTCATAAACATACCATGTTACCATTAGATGACTATGATAAATTAGTAGAATCATCAGAAAGACCATCAGTTGAACAAATCACTGAAAGAGCTAAGAATTTAGGATATTCAATTATTAAAATCAAAGAATTACAAGATTTGGAAAAATCAGCTAAAGATCCAAGTCTTAATCAAATAAAAGTTCAAGCTGAAAAATTGGGTTTGGTGACATTACCACGTAAAGATTATACTGAATTGTATAGGTCAGCTCATGATCCAAGTATTGAAGAATTAGAAACTAAGATTAAATCCAAAGGATTTGAAGTCATTAATACCCAAGAGTTAGAAAGATTAACTCACTTAGAAGCTGACCCTTCATTAGACTTCATCAAATCTAAGATTCCAACTTCCCATAAACTCTTAACTGTAGAGAAATTGGATCAATTGAATTCAGCCATTGACAAACCAAGTGTTGATTATTTGAAAGATAAAGCCAATGATTTAGAATTTGATTTGATATCACAAGAAGACCATCAACAATTATTGAAAACAGCTCATGATCCCGAATTAGATCATTTGGTCAAATTGGCTAATGGTAAAGATCATACCCTAATAACTTCAGAATCTCATAGAGATTTACTTCAAACTGTAAATAGTCCTTCCTTTGACCATGTTGAATCCAAGGCCAAATCTCTTGGTTATTCAGTAATTGAACAAGATAAATTGAATCAATTACAGAAAGATTTGGATTCTCCTACCAAAGAATATCTTCAACTTAAAGCTACTAAATTCGATTGTTTGTTGATTGATGATTCAAGTTATAATGAATTGAAGAGAAAGGTTGAACAACCAACAATTGAAGAATTAACTTCACTGGCTGAAAAACTCGGTTATGTGACTGTGGATTCCCAAAAATTCAATAAACTCACCAAAGATGCCAATACTCCTTCGGTAGACCACTTACATGATAAATCTAAAGCTCATGGTATGGTTTTGGTAGACGAAAAGGAACATCAAAACTTAAGAGCTTTAGCCCATGAACCTGATCATGACCATATTAAATCTGTTGCTGAGAAGTTGGGTCTTGTAACTATTGGAGCTGGTGCCCACAAGTTATTGAGTGATCAAGCCGAGAATCCTTCGTTAGATAAGGTCAAGGATATTGCTGGTCAACACGGTTTAACTACATTATCCAAAGATGAACACATGAAATTGGTCGAAACCCACGCTAAACCATCTTTAGATCATTTAGTTGAAAAAGCTAAACTTCACAAACATATAGTGGTGCCAGAAGACGAATATGAAACCATCACCGCCATGGCCACTACCCCATCAATCGATCATTTGTCCGAAAAAGCTAAAAACCATGATCATGTGGTTATACCTGTTAACGAATATGAGGATATTACCACCATGGCTAAATCTCCATCTTTAGATCATCTTAAGTCTAAGAGTAAAGATTTAGATCACGTGATCATACCTGTATCTGACTTCAAGAGTCTTTCTGAGAATGCTAATTCTCCTTCAATTGATCATATCAAATCAAAGATTGATGCTTTAGGACATGTGGTTGTTCCTTCTGATGAATATGAGAAAACTTCCAAATTGGCCAATGAACCATCCGTTGAGCATCTTAAATCAAAGAGTGAAGCTTTGGATCATGTGTTAATACCATCCAAAGAATATAATGAACTTTCATCTACTGCTAACGAACCATCTTTAGATCACATCAAATCGAAAGTAGGATCATTGGGTCATGTTGTGATACCGAAAGAAGACTACGAAGATATTTCATCCAATGCCAACCAACCATCTTTGGACCACATTAAGTCCAAGGTCGATGCTTTGGATCATGTTGTTGTTCCAAAAGACGAGTTCCATACTATCAGAAAGAATGCTGAAGAACCGACGATCGATCACATTAAGTCCAAGGTCGATGCTTTGAATCATGCTGTTGTTCCAAAAGACGAGTTACTTACCATCAGAAAGAATGCTGAACACCCAACGATCGATCACATCAAATCTAAGGTAACTTCATTGAATCATGTAGTGGTTCCAGTTGAAGAATATCATGAAATCACTCAAAAAGCTCATGAACCTTCAATTGAACATATAAAAACTAAAGTTCAAGCTTTAGATCACGTAGTGGTACCCACAGAAGATCACAATACTCTCCAGAAACTTGCCCATGAACCTACCATTGATCACGTGAAATCTAAGTTACAAGCCTTGGATCATGTGGCTGTCAAGTCAGACGATTACAACCAACTTCTCAAACTGGCTAATGAACCATCATTGGATATGATTGCCAAACATGCTGAAAACAACAACCATTTGATCTTATCTAACGATGAATACAAGAAACTCGATGTGTTAGCTAATAAACCGCCATTGGACCACATCATGACCCACGGAAAAACCCATGATCATGTTGTCATTCCTTCAAATGAATACGAAACCTTGGAATCCAAAGCTAATAAGCCAAGTAAATCTCACATTACAGCAGCCGCTACTGCTTTAGGTTTAACTACTTTAGGTTTAAGTGAATACGATCATCTTAAATCTCGTGCTGAAAAGCCCGACATCGATCATGTTAGCTCCAAGGCAAAAGATTTGGGCTTCTCCGTTATTGAGAAAGATCAACTTCAACAGTTACAATCCACTGTACAAAATCCTCATATCGACCATATCAAAGAGAAAGCCAAGGCTCAAGGATATTCTGTGTTACAAGAATCTGAATTGAACAACTTGACGGCTCTTGCAGAAAATCCATCTCATGAACATGTGAAATCAAAGGCCGAACTTCTTGGTTTGGTCACTTTACCTAAGGAAGAATTAAAGACATTGAAGAATCCATCTATTGATGCTATCCATTCTCATGCTTCCGAGCATGGTCATATCGTGTTACCTCAATCTGACCATGAAAGCTTGTTAAATCCTTCAAAAGATCAAATTGTATCATTGGCATCACGTCATAACAGTTCTTTGGTTGATAATGAGAAGCTTGATCAATTGAAGTCAATCAATGAAAAACCATCCAAGGAATTCTTAACTACCAAGGGTAAAGCTCGTGGATTAGTAGTGATTGAAGAATCAGATCATAAGAAATTATTATCAGAAGCTAACGACTTCACCCCTGAAAAGGTTATTGCTAAAGCTAAAGAACTTGATATGATAGCCTTACCTAAACACAAATATGAATCCATGGTTGAAAATATCGATAAACCAGGTAAGGAATATTTGAGTGAAAAGTCAGCTGCTTTAGGATTGACTTTAATAGGAACAAGTGAATTATCAAGTTTGATGGAAAAATTAGAATCCCCTTCATTAGAATATTTGACCACCAAAGCTAAAAGCTTTGATCTTGTTCTTATCAAGGACAGTGAATTAGATGAACTCAAGAATCAAATTTCTTCCCCATCTAAGGATTACATCAACAAGCATGCTGGTGCTTTGGGATTATCAGTATTAGCAGTCGGAGCATTGAAATCATTGACTTCAAAAGCGGAAACTCCTGATTTAGATCATATAAAGAAACATGCTGATTTGAATGGTCAAATATTGGTTAGAAAAGAAGATTATACCTCAATGACCAATAAACTTGAACATCCATCTTTGGAATATTTGAAATCTCATGCTGCTGCTTTGGACTACACTTTAACTTCACTCGAAGAGTATGAAAAATTATCTTCTATCTTCTCATCTCCTACTAGAGAACATTTAGAAGAAAAAGCTGAAAACAGTGGTCTTGTAGTTGTTCCAAAAGAAGATTATAATGATTTGAAAGAACAATTCAAGAACCCTAGTGTTGATTATTTGAAGGATAATGCTAAGAAGAATGATATGGTTTTGATTGCCCACAAAGATTACGATCAATTGCAACAATCTATTGACCAACCTGATGTCAAATATTTGACCTCTAAAGCTACACAACTAGGTTTTTCTTTGATTGAAGTCAATGAACTTGAAAAGCTTAATGATTCGATCAATTCTCCAACAAAGGAATTCCTTGAATCCAAGGCTGCTAAGTATCATGAAACATTAATAAGTACCAAATCTTTGGAATCTTTGAAAGCTCAAATCGAAACCCCTTCAAAAGTATATCTTGAAGAGAAGAGTAAAGCCCAAGGGTTGGTTTTGGTTGAAGATGCCCACCTTAAAGATCTTGTAAGTAAAGCAGAAACTCCTGATTTAGACCATTTGAAGACCAAAGCTAAACATCATGAATCTTTAGTTGTTTCTGAATCCGATTATGATAAGTTGATGCAACCTTCAAAAGAAGACTTGGAAGTCTCAGCACGTAAATTAGGACTTTTAACCGTACCTAAGGCTGACTACGAGGAGTTGAATTTCAAACTCGAACAACCATCATTAGAATACTTGACTGAGAAATCAGCTGATCTTGAACATGCTTTGGTTCCTAGTAACAAATTGAAAGAATTTGAACGTTTGTCAACTAAACCTACTAAAGATGATTTGATGAAGCTCGGTGGTATCATTGGTGTTACTGCTATAGCCTCTAATGAATTGAAAGAGTTGAAAGAAACTGCTCATTCCCCATCTTTGGATCATATCACATCTAAAGCTGAAAAACATGGAGTTGTAGTTATCCCATCATCTGAACATGATTCTATGAAGAAGGAATTATCTAAGTCTGTTCACGATAAAGCTGCAGAATCTGGATTGGTTGCTATTCCTGTCAAGGAACATGAAGATATGAAAGTCGAATTAGCCCGAACCATTGAAGACAAAGCTGCGGAATCTGGATTGGTAACTATTCCAATCGATGAACATAAATCCATGAAATCTGAATTAGCTAAATCCATTCATGATAAAGCTACAGAATCAGGACTTGTGGTTCTTGACCAACAGACCCATGATGGTATGAAGATGGAATTAGCCAAGTCAGTTCACGATAAGGCTAAGGAATCAGGATTGATAGCATTGCCGGTTGAAGACCACGAAGCCATGAAGATGGAATTAGCTAAATCTATTCATGATAAGGCCAAAGAATCAGGCATGATAGCTTTACCAGTCGAAGATCACGAAATTATGAAACTGGAGTTGGCCAAATCTATCCACGATAAAGCTAAAGAATCCGGTTTAGTGACTTTACCAGTAGAGGACCATGAGACTATGAAAGCTGAATTAGCCAAGTCCATCCATGATAGGGCCAAAGAATCAGATTTGGTGGTTATCCCAAGCAAAGATCATGAATCAATGAAAGCTGAATTATCCAGATCAATTCATGATAAAGCTAAAGATGCAGGTTTAATAGCTATTGGTATTGAAGACCACGAATCTATGAAAGCAGAATTGTCCAAATCAATCCATGACAAAGCCAAAGAATCAGGAATGATTGCATTACCTCTTGAAGAGCACGGTAAAATGATGAAGAAGATTTCTGAACCAACATTAGATGACTTACATTCCCATGTCAAAAACCATGATCATGTAATTGTTCCAAATGATGATTTCAAGAAATTAAACTACCAAGCTAACAAATCTATTAACGATTTAGCAGCTGAAGGAAACATGAAAGTGTTGAGTAAAGATGAATATGATGATTTGGTCAAGAAAGTTGATTCTCCTGATCACAGCCATTTATCCTCTAAAGCTACAGCCTTGGGTATGTCTATTATCGGTGCTGGAGAATTGCTTAAGTTGAAGAATTATAAATCAACTCCAATCGATGATTTAGCCAAAGAACAAGGTAAAGTATTGGTCTCCAAAGATGAATACAACGAATTGAAATCTTTATCCCAAGCTCCAGATTTGGATCACGTGATAACCAAGGCTGCGGATCATGGCCATAGTGTTATTGCCCATGATGATTTGAAAGAATTGACTCAACCATCAGTTGAACGTATTAGATCGTTAGCTTCAGATTCTGGTCATAGTGTCATTGCTAAAGACGATTTGAAACAACTTGAGGAAGATTTGAAACAACTCAAAGTTCAAGCCAATGAACCTATCGAAGACAAAGCCACTAAATTGGGTAAAGTTGTGGTTGATAAACAAGAGTTTGAGGATTTATCTACCAAAGTTAATGAATTACAAACCAAATTAGATCAACCTGATCTCGATTATGTTAAATCTAAAGCCGTGGGCCATACTGTGGTCCCAACTACAGACTATAATGCATTGGTATTGAAATCAGAAAGTTTAGATAGGCAAGTGGCTCAACCAGATTTGGAATATCTTAAATCTAAAGTTGGCAGCCATGACCATGTGTTGATTCATAAGGATGATCACGAGGAGTTGAATAAATCTTTAGATACAAAGGCAAAAGAATCCGGAAGTGTGGTTATTCCTCAAGAAAAATATGACGAGCTCATTGAGTTGGAAATTTCAACCAAGGATAAACATATTCTTGACAAATCCCAATATGATTCGTTGTTGAACCCTGACGAGGATACCCTTAGAAAACATGCTTCTACTAATGGTTTAGTTATGGTAACACATGATGAATATGATACTATGAAGGCAGATTTAAACGAATCGTTAGAATCCAAAGCTGATAAACATGGATCTGTGTTAATCAGTAAAGAAGATCACGAAAAATTAGTATCACCTTCTAAAGAACAATTGATGGCTCATTCCAAAGCCTTGGGTCATGTTCTTGTCCCATTAGAAGACCATAAGAAGAATTCCACCCCTATTGAGGAAAGAGCCAGAAATCTTGGAATGGTAATGATTTCAGCTAATGAATTATCAGCCTTGAAAGCTAAGGTGAAGAGTCCTGATGTCGAAGATATCAGAAGTAAATTACCTTCTCATACAATCATCACTAACGAAGAACATGAAGAATTGACCAAATCTCTTGAAACCAAAGCTCATGATAATGGTATGAAATTAGTACCAGTTGAAGAATACAGTCAATTGGTCAAACCATTAGAAGTACGTGCTGAAGAGAAGGGAGTTAAATTGGTAACCCAAGAAGAATATGATAAACTCATTGTTGATTCCACCATGCCTAGTGTTGAGTTTATCCGTAGTAAAGCCAAGGATAACGGCATGGAGGTCATTCCAAGTGAAGAATTACAAGAATTGCACACTTTATCTTCTAAATCTTTAGCTGAAAGAGCGGGTGATGAAGGATTGATGGTGATTTCCCGAGATGAATATGATTCTCCAAGTTTACAATACTTATTGGATTGTGCCAGTAAACAACATATGGAAATGGTACCGTTGATTGAATTCAACGATTTAACCAATCGTGCCAATGAATCCTTAGAGAGTAAATTGGATAAAGCAGGTAAGATTGCCATTGATAAAGATGAATATAAGAAGTATAAACGAGGAAGTATTGATGACCTTCTTAATGGAGATGAAGGTACTAAGAGTTCATTGAAATCTTTGATAGAAACTTCTATGGGAATAAGAATGTTAAGTAATGAAGAATTTGATAAAGAAAAGAAATCAGCTTCAGAAACAATTGGTCAAAGTATAAGAGCCAACAGAAGAGCTTCAAGAGATGTTTCATTATACAGTGGAGAAAATTTCGTTGATGCTGAAGATTCTTTCTTATTAGATGAAGAGGAATTAGCTATGAGTGCTGCAAGAATTGGTATGGTTGCTATCAAACATGATGAATATATCAAGTTATTATCAGTTGATGAACAAGATATCAAAGAATATGCTCAAGAGCGTGATCTTGAGATCTTAAGTAAGAATGATCTTATCAAACTTAAACAACAATTGAGTGAAAAGGATGATAAGATCTTTGAATTATCGAATCAAGCGGTGGAACTCAATAAGGAAACCATATCCATGAAAGGTAGAGAATTAGGATTAATCTTTATTGAAGGAGATGAATATGAATCCTTACGTTCTAAATCTATTGATAATGTAACTGGTGATCAAATTGATACTTTAGCTGAGAAATTCGGTTTAATTACCATGTCTAAGTCTCAATATGATGCTTTCAAACAGAATAATGATATTTTATCTGATCCAGAGAAATTCTTCAAATTTGGTGGTAGTTTGGGTTACCTTGTATTACCAGCAACTGCTTTCATTGCTACTACAGCTTTAAGAGAACCTGAACCACTGAAAATATCAGCTATTCCAACGTCTTATTACAATAAGTTATTAAGAAATGAAACACTTAATGTTGAAAAGATGGCTGATGATGTGTTTAAGGCCCATGCTGAAAAGAGAGGTTTCAAACATGAAAACGATATCATTACTTCAGCTCCTGTTACCGATTCCGAATCCGATTTCAAAGATAGTCCCGAAATTGCCAATGTAGCTAAATTCGTTGCTCCTAGAAATTCTGTTAAATCAACCCCTGCTATGACAAGATCTAATTTATCCATTCATTCAAATGCTCATAGTTTTGCTGATACTTTGAATACTACCGGTATCTTGTCATTAGCTACTAATGTATCATTGACTGATAGATCAATGATCCCCGCCATTGCTCAAGTAGTTATTGGGGAATTTGTTTGGAAATACCATCGTAAATTGGGACCTTTCTCATCTATTGGAGATCTGAGACATGAAAGATATTTCTGGGTTCATCCATATTCTTTAACCCTTTATTGGTCAACCGTTAACCCTTCAATGTCCAACCCAAGTGAAGTTAAAACCAAAGCTGCTGCTATTGTTAGTGTTGAAAGTGTTGAAGATAATAATCCTTTACCTCCAGGAATTTATCACAAGAGTATTATTGTTCATTCTCAAACTAAATCCATCAAGTTTACTTGTGCCAACAGAAGGAGACATAATGTTTGGTTTAATGCTTTGAGATATATGATCAATAGAGATTTAAGTGAAATGTCCTATGATCATGAGGATTTCTTTGACGAAAGAGATGAAGATGAAGGTGAAAGTTTGAATGATAATATTGATCTTTTAAGTGAAAGAAGAACTCAACCAAGAAAGAGAGTCAGTTCAACACCTTCTCAAATGTTTAGACAAAGATCAAGTATAAGAATGAGTAGATTTAATTCTTTAAAGAGATAATGTAAGTTTAATTTTATCTATGGCCACTCTCCTTCTCTCAAGAAGCCTACCAGACAACTGTCGAGGTAACGAAAAAAAGAGACAAGAGACAGGGACAAAGAAATACTACAATTTATGTATCATTACCATTAACTAAGCCGATAATAATTTAGTAAATTCTTGGATATCAATTTCTCCATCATTATTGGTATCAGCTTCTCTGATCATTTGATCGACATCAGCATCTGATAATTTTTCGCCAATGGATGTTAAAACGTGTCTTAATTCAGCAGCTGAAATCTTACCATCACCATTTCTATCAAAGACTTTAAAAGCTTCAGCAATTTCAGCTTCAGAGTCAGTATCTTTCATTTTTCTTGCCATCATAGTTAAAAATTCAGGGAAATCAATTGATCCATCACTATTGATATCAACTTCATTAATCATATCAGTTAATTCACTTTCACTAGGGTTTTGACCTAATGATCTCATTACAGTACCTAATTCTTTGGTGGTGATTTTTCCATCACTATCTTTATCAAAAAGGGAAAAAGCTTCTTTAAACTCAGCTATTTGTTGTTCCGATAATTTTTCAGCCTAAAAGTTAGTATTTGATTTGGACAAAAGGGTGGGAAACTGGTTTTCAATAGATATGAAATTCATTGGATGACGGCGTTCTAAAGATAGATCAAATAAACGCGTGAGTGATCTCCTTTTTTGACATCTATATTAAAGTTTTCATTGATTTTTGTATATCAATTGGATCCGGATCGTAACCAGATCATCATTTACCACCTTCAACATCAGTTTAACACATACCATATCTTAAGGAGTATTAGTAGATTGCTTGTTTATGTTAAAATTTTCCTTTGATTTTGTCAATGGACAATTATCGCGCAAATGTCGCGGGTGTCGTAGTGTATGACAATAGTGGTAAGGACAGGTAACATGTCAGATAAAAGGAGGGGTTTAGGTGAAGGGATCAGGTAAAGGAGACAGGTGAAATCAGATGAAGAAATATGGCGATATATATGAAGAAGTGACGTTGAAATTCTTAATGTAGATAATGCAGTTCGGTGATAATGGAGTCAAATTGGGGGGATCTGTTGATGGATGAGTTACCTATATGAAGTTGACTATATTTCATATGTTTTTTTATCGATGAACGGCTATATAATGCATCTGACGCACAAATATAAGTATTTAAGGAAGTATTCGAGGAAGTATTCAAAAAAGTATGTAAGGAAATATGTAAGGAGGTATGTTCCTTAAGTCGGTCAAATGTCCGTGGAATAAGTGGCACATGACATCGAGAACCTTGAATTTCTGAAAGCATTCCCCTTTACATTATGCACTTACTCATCTGCCAAACGGAAATACAACCACAGCCTTACCTTATCAATTCCACCTTCCTAATTCCAGCCCTGTCAAAGTTCGCAAATTCTGTTAAGCACGGATAAATCCACATTAGTAATCTGTGGGGGGGAGCGGAATTGAGCCAAAGGACCTGATTGGACTACCCACTGCAAATATTACTAATCTTCTTTACTTTCTTTATCGATTGACTCATTTTCCATGGGCATTACGTTATTATCTACCATCCGTCGTTCGATACTATATAATCACCTCCTGTCTCCATTTCGCATCAGTAGACTCAATCTCCGATACTTATCAAGAATGTCAATTCCCCAAACTCAGAAAGTCGTTTTAATCGATGGCAACAGCGATACTTTTGAAGTGGTCAAATATGCTGATCTGCCAGTTCCAAAGATCTCATCGTCTGACATTTTAGTTAAAAATCTTTATGCTGGTGTGAATTTTATTGAAGCTTACTTTAGAAAAGGTTATTATCCTGCTCAATTTCCTTATACACTTGGTAGAGAAGCCAGTGCTGAAGTTGTTCAAGTAGGTGATGAAGTTACTAATTATAAAGTAGGTGATAAGGTCATTTATACTCAAGCGGGTTCATTTGCCCAATATTCCAAGATCGATAGTAAATCTCCATTAATGTCAAAATTGCCTGATAATGTTACCAATGAACAATTGAAATTATATGGTTCAATGTTGATTCAAACCACCACAGCTTACACTTTCGCTGAAGAAACTTATAATGTTCAACCTAATGATTATTGTCTTGTTTGGGCAGCTGCTGGAGGTGTTGGTCAAGTATTAGTTCAAATCTTACATGCTAGAGGTGCTAAAGTTATAGCTTTAGCTTCAAGTGATGATAAATTACAATTATCTAAAGAGTTGGGTGCTGACTATGTCATTAACTATAAAACTGAAGATGTTGTTGCCAAAGTTAAAGAATTCACCAATGGTGAAGGGGTTAGAGTTTCCTTTGATTCTGTTGGGGCAGCCACTTGGCAAACATCTATTGATTCTTTAGCTGTAGGTGGACATTTCATTAGTTATGGTAACAGTAGTGGTAAAGTTGATCCTATCAGTATCTATAGTTTAACTCCAAAGTGTTTAACATTATCAAGACCTACTAGAGATCCTTACATGAGATTACCTGGTAAATATGACTACTATTTTGGGAAAATTCTTGGGGATTTAGATACCGGAGTGTTGAAATTACCTCAACCACAAGAATACAAGTTAGGTGATTATGTTGAAGTGGCCAAATTATTAGAAAGTGGTAAGACAACAGGAAAGTTTGTCTTAAACTGTCAAGACATTTAGAATATATTAAGTTTTCTTATTCTATCTACAACTCCATCCCATTCTTTTAATGCTGTACAATGTTTGGGTCCTAGCATGGCTTCAATCGATTTATAGTATTTGATTTCTTTGGAGATCAAAATTTCAACCCTTTTTATTTTATCGAATTTTAAACATTTTAGATACTCGAAAAACATCTCTACGTCATCATTATGGGGACCATCTTGATCAAGAGACATTTCCATCCACCCGACAATCATTTCTCCAATATCACCATTCTGAAACTTTGGTACCTCATTGATCTTGGGTTGTTCATCAATCCATTGTTTGGTAATAGGTTGATTAGCGACTTTGGTTTGTTTAACTGATTCCTTGAACTTCTCTTTCAACGTCTGTGGTTTGTACTTCTTACGAATAGCCATGTCTTCGATGACTTCATTTTTCACCGATGAAGGTAATTCGTTAAGTATGGAAGAATCATAAGAAAGATCTTCTTCGACTTTTGTTGGTGAGCCCGTTCTAGACCTTTTCTGAGGAGAAAGCTTCTTAGGTGATACTTTCTTGGGAGATTCTACAATCCTGACATACTTAGGTTCCTGAGTAGTAGCTGTGGGTAACAACTGTTGGAGATATGCTTTACCGTTTTTCTTAGGTCCAGGACTTGAACTAGCACTCTTTTGAATGATTCCCCTTCGTGATAGCTCTGCCTTTATCTCACGTTTAATATCCCAAGGGAGTGATTCGAACACTTGCCAGTCAATTTCATCATCTAAAGGTTCTTTGAAATCACTTTCATCGATTTTCTTCAAAGTTCTTGTTCCTTTAGTGATTCTTTGATTCAATGTCATTTGTCTGTTTTTCTTCACTTCGTCAGCATCTTCAAGTTTCCCTATGGCTACAGCAATCCCTCTAAGTTCTTGGGCTGGGATAGTTAAAATTCTAGCCAACGACTTTAGTTCTGATGATATGATCCCCGGCTGACTGGTTGGGAGCCCCAATTTAGCTGATTTATTGAAGAATATACATTTACCCATTCCCAAGTATTTTGGTGGATTAACAGGGGAATCAGGATCTCTTTTAGCCAACTTAAGAGTGACTTGTGACCCCACAACATTCAAGTTTTTGAGTCTTTTACTGACTTCTACTGCCAATCTTGAAAGAAAGTCTTCTACTTGAGCATGTGTGTCGAACCTTATACCGTAATTGATATCCACCGAAACTGATTTCCTTTCAGCAGTATGGTCTAGATTAGTTGGATCAATCCCTCGTGAATAATCATATAACTTTTGACCTGTTTTGGGACCCAAGACTTTCATTAATCTTTCCTTTGGAACCCGAAGAAGATCAGTGATTGTTGGGGATGATTTCCCAGTTTCAGCTATTACTTTATCCATTAATGAATAACCTACACCTGGTAAGTCACTTACAGAAACCGTAGATAAAAAGTCATCGACTCCAGTTTCAAGAATGTGATATCCATTAGGTTTGGCTCTTCTCAAGGATAATTTAGCTAATAAAATATTGGCACCTATTCCTATACTAACAGGACATTTTGTGAGTCGAAATATTTCTCCTCGTACCATTTCACACCATTGGGATAAATCGCCTTCATAATCACTCAAATCTATCAATGCCTCATCTATGGAAACAGGATAAATGTCCACATTCAATGATATCAAATAATTATATAAGCAATTGGCATACTTCTCATATAAATCGAATTCGTAAGGTATGACTATCAAATCAGGACACAATCTTCTTGCTGATCTCACCCATGTTCCGTTCTTCACACCGGACTTACGAGCAACATAATTACAACTTGCAACATCAGATGTTGTTTGACCATGAGAAACAGCTAAGGGTACCTCATTAATATCATACGACGTTTTTTGACAAGAGGCTGTGGCAAAGAAACAATCGAAATCAATATGAGCAACTCTGGTGACCCTTTTAGATACCTCATGTTTGGATTTCTTCACTTTATTGATGAATTGAAGTTTCAAGTCAGATTTCCACATACTTAAATGGTGAAGTCTTGATTTGGAGAAAAATTGGTTTAAAAAATCAGGATGTTTAGCATCAATAGCTCTTTCTTGAACAGCCTCTTTCTCCTCCTGCAGTAATTCTTCTTCTTCAAGAGAATCTTCTTGCATTTCAATATCATCATCTTCTTCCATATTGAACTGTTTCAAAGCAAACTCATTATGAAAGTCAGATAATCTTCCTTGATCATAAGCTATTTCCTTAAAAAGTCTATACTCCTTCCAGTCCAACAAATACCCCTTCTCTACCGAGTCAGCAATCCATTTGGCTTTGACAACTTTACAGTTCTTATAAATTTGCTGCTTACGAGGGGTTAATCTATCACAAATAATATGGGTGGCATTCCTTTTAGCCCCAAGATATGATAGAAACTTCCCTCCATGGATGATGACCAATCTATGAATTTCGTTCATCGATGGGATCGTATGACCATTAACAAAGATAACACATCCTTTGAATATCGGTTCTCTGTATTCATCCTCACCTTGAAGAATCCTACGAGTTTTATCCCATTCAATATAATTTTTATCCCCTTGTTGTTGCTTTTTGTGTTTGTTATCAAAATAGATCTCATAATCACCAAATCCATGCATTGGACCGATTTCATCATCATTTGAACCTTGATCATCTGAGAATTCTTCATTCAATTCATCAAGAAGCTCATTTATAGGTTCTGGGGCATTTTCCCCGGGATTTTGTTCCACTGTGTCATCTAGGACTCCTTGAGCTTCATCATCTTCTTTAGGGTTCTTTTCATCTCCAACTACACCAGGAATATGACGCGTTAAATACTCATTGAAGGAATCATCAAATGCATCTGACCCTATTATTTCTTTGTCTTTTTGAGTTTTAACTTGACTTTGACTCAAACTACTAATGTGGGAGATCAACTGTGAGTCATCTAAGGACTGTAAGAATGATTTATAGTCATCTTCCATCTTATACTAACTCCGTCTTTTAAATCATTATTGTCTACCTGACAGGCTGCAAAAAAAAATGAGCATGAGAACTATCGTTTACGTTAGTGATTATGCCACTGATGTTTGTGATGCCCTACCTTCCAATGAGTCTCGACAGTCGATGGTAATGGACTTGTTAAAAGCATATGGTCTTGATGATGATGTCATTTGTTTCAAGGCCGCAAACAAACGGGAACTTACTAGTTTTCACAGTGAAGAATTTATTGATGTTGTGCTATCTAGCGACATGGAAAACCGTCAAAAGGATAAATTTGGCCTTCAAGACGACTGTCCTATATTTGAAGGTTTGGCTGAATATGTAAAAGTAGTTGCGGGATCAACTTTGACTTGTGCTAATCATTTACTACTTAATGAGGAAGTGGCAATCAATTGGTATGGGGGTAGACATCATTGTGGAAAGAATCTGGCCCAAGGATTCTGTTATGTCAATGATATAGTTTTGGGTATAAACAGATTGAGACATAAATACAAAGAAGTGTTCTATATTGACTTGGATTTACACCATGGAGATGGAGTTGAGAAAGCTTTTAGATATTCCAAGAATGTTACTACTTGTTCTTTACATAGATATGATGTTGGATTCTATCCCGGTACAGGTTCATTGAAAGACAATACTGATTCTGTGATCAATGTTCCCCTTCGAAAGGGGTTAAATGGTGAAACTTTGAATAAACTTATGGACGAATTGATATTTCCTATACTCAGACGCAAGCAACCAGAAGTGTTGGTGATTCAATGTGGATGTGACGGGCTTTTGAGTGATCCTGCAAAAGAGTGGAATCTCACTATTGAAGATTATGGTCAAATTATTAAGAAAATCAATGATAATTTCCCGGTACCTAAGTTAATCCTTGGTGGAGGGGGTTATAATCATTCTGAAACAGCCAAATGTTGGACTTATATAACAAAAATATTGAAAGCTGATGACACAGAGTTTGATATGATACCTGATCATAAATATGTGGATGAGTACGAACCATCGGGATACCGATTCTGGTATCACGAAAAGAGTTTGATGAAAGATTATAATGACCATGAATACATTAACCTGGTGATATCATCTATAATTAAAAATTTCACCTAATTTATCATTCCAATTTTGTTTCCACCTCTGTTGACTTTCTTTAATAGCATTCTCTTTAATCTTTTCGTATCCACCTTTGTTCTGGAAAGTCTTTTTGAGTAGACGACTCAATTCGGTGGCATCATTGGTATCTGTGATATAACCATTGACTCCTTCATGGACCAATTCAGAAATAGCTGGATAATTAAGACTTATGGCAGGTACACCACAACCATAGAAATCAAGAATTTTCATTGGTAAATCCATTCCACTCGAAGATGTATGCAAAGATATACCTATATCTGCTACTGCCATGATGATAGGATAATCTTCATAACTCAACCAAACAGATTTGATTTTGATTTTATCCAGAAACGCAAGTTGTTTGACTCTCCTGAGGAATTGTGTTTTCAATGGTCCTTTACCTGTAACTAACACTAAGACAGGTTCAGTTGTTGAATCTTGTTCATAGGCCTTCAAACCATCAAGTAAGATATTGAAATCTTCATCAGGAGTGAAAGATGTAGATGTAATAACAATCTTACGGTTACTAGCATCAGTGCCATTAAAAGCTTCATGCAGAAGAATCTCATCTTTAGTGAATTCTATTTTATCCAAAGGAGCAAAATTATCTCCTGGCCTATCATAAAATACTAAAACTTTTGACTTATCAATTTCAAATTTTTCAATCAAAAACAGTTTCATCTTCTCTGTGACAGTCAAGTTTATATCAGCGAATCTACTGAAGATCTTCTCATAACCCTTCAAAAACCTTACTAACACATGTGTTTCATCATTATACTTCATATTAAGGATACTGTAGTTCATATTGTGCCAATCAATGATTAATTTGGTCTTTCTGCTGAAAACTTTGATGAAAAATACTGAAATTGCAAGAACTGGCAATGATGGAGGATTTTGAATCATTATATAATCAGTACCTCTGAAAGAAGACAAAAGCTTGAAGATTTCGAAACATTGGAAGGTAGCTTTGAGGATAACATAAACAATATAAGGGAATCTTCTTCTTTTAAATACTTTGATGGCATAAATATCGATTCTTTCACTATCCATTAATTCGTCAGGAATGGTTGATTCATTATATCCACAAAGATTGACATTGTATTCAAGGTTAGCAAATGACTTTGCATGGTTACACATTCTTGGAGAATGTCCTATATCACCTAAAACAAAGATAGTAACAGATTTAGTACCATAATGACTGCCATCACTAAAAATGAATGGTAATAAGAAGTATGCTAGAATGGGTAAACTAACATAAACTGCTAATATATGATAAATGTAAGGCTCTATCCATTTTGCCAATCCATAATTGATATCCGTAACGGATTTATAAAGTGCTTCACCTAGATTTTCCATGGAAACGAATTAATGAACTACACGAAATGGAAAGATTAAACCCAGATCCGCATTTCAAAATCACCGAAAAAAAAAATAACGACAACTGCAGGACTCGAACCTGCGCGGGCAAAGCCCAAAAGATTTCAAGTCTTTCTCCTTAACCACTCGGACAAGTTGCCAACTTATTATAATACAGGCAAGAATTAATTTGTGAGAGAATAGCCAAAGTTCAAAATTTTTTTTTGGCCTTTTTTACCTTCAATTCGATCAATTGAAGTTAAATTCAAAGGTTTTATCACTTTTAGAGTCTATATCTACCGTTTAACACAGTTTACAACACTTCCGAGGCAACTCCGCCTGGTAGCAACCCGCCTGAAGTGTTCAAATCGCACGTTGATTTATATTTATCCACCACCATGATCTCTCTATGGATTGAAGATTATCACTTGTTTAAATGTGGAATTTCTTCAACCCATTCAACTTCTCTCAGATTATTGACCTTAATCTCCTTGAAATAGCCTTAACAATGGACAGCCAATGGAATGACAAGAAAATTTGACTCAGTTTAAAAGAAAAATTTCGCAGCAAAAAATTTTCAAAAAAAAACTGAAAAATTCAAAGAATGGCTCAAGAATTAACTCACCCTTCAATTAAAGACGGATGGTTCGCTGAAATCTCCAACACTATGTGGCCTGGCCAAGCTATGTCCATTAAAGTTGAAAAAGTTTTACATGTTGAACAATCTAAATATCAAGATGTTTTAGTTTTCAAATCAACTGATTATGGTAATGTCTTAGTTTTAGATAACTGTATTCAAGTTACTGAAAGAGATGAATTTGCTTATCAAGAAATGATCACTCATTTAGCTTTAAATTCTCATCCTAACCCAAAGAAAGCTTTAGTTATTGGTGGTGGAGATGGTGGTGTTTTAAGAGAAATCTTAAAACATGAATTAATTGAAGAAGCTTGGTTATGTGACATTGATGAAACTGTTATTGAAGTTTCAAAGAAATTTTTACCTGAAATGTCCAAATCTTACAATGATCCAAGAGTTAAGGTTCATATTGGTGATGGTTTTAAATTCTTAGCCGAATACAAAAATCAATTTGATGTTATCATTACTGATTCTTCTGATCCAGAAGGTCCAGCTGAATCATTATTCCAAAAACCTTATTTCCAATTATTAAATGATGCTTTAACTGAAAAGGGTGTTATTACTACTCAAGCTGAAAACATCTATTTACATATGCCAATCATTTCTAAATTAAAGAAAGATTGTAAAACTATTTTCCCAGTTGCTGAATATGCTTACACTATGATTCCAACTTATCCTTCAGGATCAATTGGTTTCATGGTTTGTTCAAAAGATGCTAACGCCAATGTTAAAAAACCAGTCAGATTTGAATGGACTGATAAATTTGTTGATGAAAACTTGAAGTATTATACTAAAGAAATTCATGAAGCTTCATTTGTCTTACCAAATTTTGCTGACAAAATTTTAAATAAAGATTGACTCTAACCTTCACAAAGATGATTTAAAATATAACGAGTAGTTATTTAATGATTTATGATTTAGGAGTTTAATAGAAATATATATATCTTTATTTAACTAGTGGGCAAATCTAAGACATGGATCCTTTAATGTGCGAATCTGAAATCTAATCTCTTGTTACCAAGATCCTTATTATCATGGAGATATTGTTCTTTCTCTTCAATGGTCATAGCATCCCAGATTTTAGCTTTACTGTTATTTCTCCAAATATAATAAAATTTGGTTCCAACGAAGATTGGAATTAAAAGGAAAGTCAATCCGAATAAGGTCTTGTTAGCTCTTCTATAAAGTGGAGCATCATCAGTTCTATAAATGTTGTTACTATAAATACTACCAATTTGAACGAAAATATTATAAATAGCTGCTGATAATGATCTGGATCTGATACTGTTGGAATTTCTTGAACACCATGAAACACAAATTGCATGGATATATGGTTGACCTACAATCAAAGTATATAACATAAATGTACCCCAGACATTAACATTGGTACCTTTCCAGAAGGCCAATGCTGCAAGAATTGGAATATTCCATAACGGTACAACTAACGAAAGTAATGCTCTTTCATTGATTCTTTCGGACACCCAAGTAATGATAAGTAAAAGAATTATATGAATCACTGTGGCTGGAATAGTTAACAAGTTCACATTGAAAGTTGAAAATCCAATTTGTTTCAAAGTCAAAGTTAAATATGGTTGAGTGGTGTTCATAGAACAATAAGCTGTAACTCCGATTATATAAATTGGCCATAAATCATAATCAAGGATTGATTTCCAGAATCCCCTGAAACTAACAGCTTGTCTGTTGTGCATATCACCTTTAGATGGATCATCTCTTAAGACTCTGTTAACAACAATTTTCACTTCTCTATCGTTGAACCAACCTTTAGGATGTAACCAATTTTTGGTTTGTACAGCTGAAGGTACCATTAAATAGAATGAAGCAATTCCAATACAGAAGGTGAATAATCCTTCGATTAAAAATAACCACCTCCAACCAGCTCTACCATGTAAACCTCTTAATCTCAATAATCCAAACGCCAATAACGAAGTACTTATAGTAACTAATGATAATGTTGTCCAGAACCAAGATAATCTAATAGGTAACTCTTTAGATTTATAAAAATATGATAACCAAATAACCAAATCTGCAATTAATGATCCTTCAAGGAACCCTAACAAAACCCTACAGATTAAAAAGCCAGTTTTATCTACCAACCAAAATTGGGCAGCAGCAACAAGACTAAAACCAAGGATTTGTAAAGGAATGAAAACATCAGGACCCATTTTCTTCGAAACTAACGACATAGGGATTTCAGCTGCTAAGAATGATACGTAAAATAACGTATTACCCAAATTGTAATCATTGGTTGTCATATTTAAGTCATCCAACATATTATCAGAAACTGCTTGACTGATATTACCTCTATCAACTTGTAAAGCAACGAATAAAATACATGAGGTTAAAGCTACTCTATAATCTAATTTTCTAACTAATTTTTTCTCTTCTTCAGGAGTCCATTTGAAGTAAGGATCAAATTCTCCTCTACATTCATATTGTGAATCTTCATAAATCTGTCTATAATACTCAGCTATTTTAGGCTCTAAGAACGGATTAGGATCATTGAGAGTTTCTTCATCAGTTCCTCCAGATTCCAAGGAAATAACGTCAATTTTTCTATCTTCTTTGCCTTTTGAAAATTCAGTATCATGACTAAGTTGTGGTTGCTTTCCTGATTCTCCCAGGGAGATTCTTTCAATATCTGAAGTACTTGACATCTAAAGTTTTAATGAAAAAAACCGGTGGCTGAAAAGATTAATCCAGATCTTAATGTCTTTATATACTTCCCATTGTATGAAACTCTCATTTCATTATCTGTCTCGAAGTCTTCTGATCTTTGGTAATTGTGGTGTAAACTGTGGTGGCATATTTTGCAACTGTGAGAACTTGCAGGATCGCGACACTTTTAGCAGCCACGGTATCAAAAATAGTATAATCCTTACTTGACGGAGGATTTTTATACCCTCTTAAGGTAATAGGGTTAATATGATTGGATCAACTAGGTTGATAATCCATAATTTTTTTATTGAACCAGAAAATAGTGGACCAAGAAAAGATTCTTGGTAGTTGAGGTGATATTGATACTGTGGATTCGATTATGGGAATCACTGATGTGCTACAATGTGATGGTAGCCAAGGATTACCATGATAGTTTCGGTACTACTGTGATACTCTTAGTATAGATATATCTCCACAACAATATTTAGAGATACTTCGCCCCCCACGTCCACATCCAATTGAATATCCTGAAATGTTACTTTCTTATATAATTCGATCTTTTGATAGATACGTTCTTCATATCCCCTGAATATCAAAGGTGTGGGGCATTCGTGGTTCAACACTTTTTGGGACAGATAAAGAACTTGCAGCAAAAATGCGAAATTTATAATCAAAGATGTCATTTAAAGGAACGCTATCAGATGAACAGCGACAAAGAATAGTATGTGAACCTTATCGGAGATTGTGACCAGTCGGTTAATAGGTGATACTAACAAATGTAGGAAGCTAATAGAAGAAAAGCATTGGAAAGATTGCACCAAAGAGGGATACGAAATACTCATCTAACGTCAGCAATTGATCCTAAAATCAGTGTGAACCATGATACAATATCGAAAGCAAGCTCGGGTGGCGATTTCACTAACTCTGGAGGTTCATTCGTACCTTCAGAAGCTAACAAAATCACCAAACCCACAGAAATGCCTAAACGGACTTTAACTGAGGAGCAAAAGAAAAGAATTGAAGATAATAGAAAGAAAGCTCTCGAAATACAAGAAAGACTCCAAAAGAATCACAGAGATGCATCAAGTAGTACGACTGAAAACATACCTGTGCCACAAGGTTTAAGAGAAGCAGAGTTGGCTAAAAGGAAATATGATCAACTCCAAGTAGATAAAGGAGCAATTAAGAAGAAAGATTATATTGATTTTGATTTCTCAACTATGAAAGACAGTCATGGTGGTTTTATGAATGAGGAGCAAGGTGAAGAGATTAATCAAAGTTTGGAAGATTGGAAAGCTAAACAAAAACGTGAACATATAGTTAGAGAATTACCTCCTCCACTTGATATATCGGCCGCTCCCAAATGTTTTGAGTGTAATTCATTGGAAATAGATCCCAATCTTTATTCGAATTTCCGTCAAGTTAGAGTTTGTAGGAGATGTGCGAAGGAGAAACCAGAGAAATATGCTTTATTAACAAAGACTGAATGTAGAGAAGATTATTTGTTAACAGAACCTGAATTAAAGGATATTAATTTATTACCCAGAATCGAAAAACCCAATCCTCATGGTTATAGTAGAATGCAGTTATTCTTAAGGTTCCAAATTGAAGAATTCGCCATTAAGAAATGGGGTTCCTTAGAAAACTTAGATAAAGAATGGGAAAGAAGAGAAGAGATGAGATTAAAACGTAAGGATAAAAAGTATATCGAGCAGTTGAAGAAGATGAGACGAAAAACTCGTGCTGAAGAATTTACTAGGAAGTTGAGGAACGGTGAATCCATTAATGATAAGCATGTTCATGATTGGCAAGATATGGGAGAAATCGAAAATGATGGTATGAAATTTAACAAGAAGAGATGTAGTGAATGTGGTATGGAAACTGAGGATTTGATCATATAGTTTGACAGATCAAGGTCTACTGCCGTTCCTACAACCCCACCTCGTATTCTACAGTGCAGGACGAACTTCCATATACCTCAGGTACCTATTAAAGCATTTGTTTGATCATTGTCCACATCATAGCTGGTTGAAAGATCCTAACATTATACCAAGAACAGTTAATACCTTCAAGGAACATCTTTTCCAAAAAATGTATATTATAGACTAGTTTCACCTCTCAATCCCCACCATAAACGGAATTTCTTTGAATTTTACAATAACACCGTCACCAGAAGCATTCATTCCATCACTACCTTACTATCCCACCCTCTCTTATCATATTCTTAAGAAACTCATCGAATGTACCTCTCTAACATTCTTTGGCTGCAAAAAAGCGTGTGCGCATCAATGGAACCTAATAGAAATTTCTTCAACATTTGCAGCTTAATGTATAAATTCTCAACGAACCCCATAAAAAATTGTAGAAAAAAAATCAAGTAACGATGTCTAAAGTTGAAACTCATGAATTCACCGCTGAGATTACTCAGTTAATGTCCTTGATCATTAACACTGTTTATTCTAACAAAGAAATTTTCTTAAGAGAATTAATCTCCAATGCTTCAGATGCTTTGGATAAAATTAGATATGAAGCTTTAAGTGAACCAAGTAAATTAGAAAGTGAACCAGAATTATTCATCAGAATTACTCCAAGACCAGAAGAAAAAGTTTTAGAAATCAGAGATTCCGGTATTGGTTTAACTAAAGCTGATTTAATCAACAATTTAGGTACTATTGCTAAATCAGGTACTAAAGCTTTTATGGAAGCTTTATCAGCTGGTGCTGATGTTACCATGATTGGTCAATTCGGGGTTGGTTTCTACTCACTTTTCTTAGTTGCTGATCATGTTCAAGTTATTACTAAACATAATGATGATGAACAATACATTTGGGAATCAAATGCTGGTGGTAAATTCACCATCACTTTAGATGATTCAAATGAAAAAATCACCAGAGGTACTGTTATCAGATTATTCTTAAAAGATGATCAATTAGAATACTTGGAAGAAAAGAGAATTAAAGAAGTTGTTAAAAGACACTCTGAATTCGTTTCTTACCCAATTCAATTAGTTGTCACTAAAGAAGTTGAAAAAGAAGTTCCTTCTGAAGAAGAAGAAAAATCTGAAGATTCTGAAGATAAAAAACCAAAATTAGAAGAAGTTGAAGATGAAGAAGGTGAAAAAGAAGAAAAAAAGAAAACCATCAAAGAACAAGTTACTGAAACTGAAGAATTAAACAAAACTAAACCTTTATGGACTAGAAATCCTTCAGATGTTACTCAAGATGAATATAATGCATTCTATAAATCAATCTCCAATGATTGGGAAGATCCATTAGCTGTTAAACATTTCTCAGTTGAAGGTCAATTAGAATTCAGAGCTATTTTATTCATTCCAAAGAGACCACCATTTGATGCTTTCGAATCAAAGAAAAAGAAAAATAATATCAAATTATACGTCAGAAGAGTTTTCATTACTGATGATGCTGAAGATTTAATCCCAGAATGGTTAAGTTTCGTTAAAGGGGTTGTTGATTCAGAAGATTTACCATTAAACTTATCAAGAGAAGTTTTACAACAAAACAAAATCTTAAAAGTTATTAAGAAAAATATTGTTAAAAAATTAATTGAAACTTTCAATGAAATTGCTGAAGATGCTGAACAATTTGATAAATTTTACAGTGCTTTCTCCAAGAATATTAAATTAGGTATTCATGAAGATCAACAAAACAGAGCTGCTTTATCTAAATTATTAAGATACAACTCAACTAAATCAGCTGATGAATTAACTTCATTAACTGATTATGTTACCAGAATGCCAGAACATCAAAAGAATATTTATTTCATAACTGGTGAATCAATTAAATCAATTGAAAAATCTCCATTCTTAGATGCTTTGAAAGCTAAAGATTTTGAAGTTTTATTCTTGGTTGATCCAATTGATGAATATGCTATGACTCAATTAAAAGAATTCGAAGATAAAAAATTAGTTGATATTACTAAAGATTTCGAATTAGAAGAAACTGAAGAAGAAAAAGTTCAAAGAGAAACTGAAGCTAAAGAATTTGAAGATTTAACTAAAGCCTTAAAAGATATCTTAGGTGAACAAGTTGAAAAAGTTGTTGTTTCTCATAAATTAGTTGATGCTCCAGCTGCTATTAGAACTGGTCAATTCGGTTGGTCTGCTAATATGGAAAGAATCATGAAAGCTCAAGCTTTAAGAGATACTTCTATGTCAGCTTACATGTCATCTAAGAAAACTTTTGAAATTTCTCCAAAATCTCCAATTATTAAAGAATTAAAGAAAAAAGTTGAAACTGATGGTGCTGAAGATAAAACCGTTAAAGATTTAACCACTTTATTATATGAAACCGCTTTATTAACTTCCGGTTTCTCCTTAGACGAACCATCATCTTTTGCTTCAAGAATTAATAGATTAATTTCATTAGGTTTAAATATCGATGAAGATGAAGTTGAAGATGTTACCGCTACTACAACCACTTCAACCACTGAAGAACCAGTTGAATCTGCTATGGAAGAAGTTGATTAGTGTATATAGTTGAGGTACCTGTTTATATATAATATTAGTCTAGTCTATTTACCTTAATCTCTTTATGTTAATGTAACAGCTTTGATATCATCCAACACTGTCTTTGCTTGTTCTCTAGTCAATAAATCATTATCGTTATCAAAGATATATTGTAACACAGTGACTATTTTGGTTTGGGATTCGATGGGGATTTCGATATCACCATCTATACAACCAAAAGTCAAATCGTTGATCAAAACAACTGCTGACCGTCTCATGATATTTGAGTCTTTGTCGGTCTCCAATTGAAGTATACCAAAAGCACAATCTAAAATGTCTCCAACGAACTTACCAACAGTTAAAGGATTGACTTTACAGCAAATACCTAGGATAGACATTGATGACATTCTTATACGATTATCTTGATTTTTAGATTCATCTTCGTGTCTTCTTATCATAGATACCATTCCGTTGATTAAATTATCAGCCATAGTCCCTGTGAAGAGTTCATTAGAATTCTGAATGAAATTTATCAAAACTTCACCAATTTTCAACCGTTCATCCAAGTCATATTTAACATCACTTTCTTCAACGTATATGCTTAATAACTTCCCGACAGTCGATACATCTAATGTGGTCAAGGATATCAAACCTTTAATGACATTGAGATAAATGAAAGGTTCGGGATCTTTCAATTGATTCAAATGTAATTCAATAACAAAATCTAAGGAAATGACTTTGGAATTGGTCTCGATAAGCTGTCTAAGTAAATATAACCCATGAGCTCTAATTGGAACTAGCGGATCATTCAAATTCGTGATAGCTCGTTTCAAAACTTTCGAATCATTGTCTTGTTTATTGGAGGTGGTTATAGTGCCTGAAAGCATGGATTTGATTCTGTCACTCAATGAAGTACATGCATTGATGTTACTTTTAATGATCGCATTGTCTGACTTTATAAAATTATCGAGATTAGTAACAATCAGCTGGAGAACAGGCTTGATATCTGAAGATATATCATCATCGATCTCGGTTAATATCGCTGATAAAAGTTCAAATAATATAGGAAGTGCTTGAACATTAACATCAGTTTCCTCATCATCGGAATCATCATCAGAATCTGGTTCTTCGATTTTGAGTTTATTTAAAGACTTCTTGCTCGTGTTACCTTGAGCTTTTAAGAAATCATTTACTATTTGTAACATTTCAATAGGAGTTTTGGCAATATCTTCTTTGAACTCATTACCAATAGATTCGATTAATCTCAAATCTATTAACACGAAGAAAGGATTCTCGTCATCTATCAAATCAGACCCGTCAATTCTGAGCCATCGTTTCAACAATGTCTTGAATATTCCAACAACATAAGAATCATCAAGTTCTTTGAGAAGGTCAAGGAATACCTTACATGATCTGTCTAATTTCATGATGAAGTTATTGATTTTATTCTCCTTACTTTCAAGTATCACCTCTTTTTTAGATATTTGAGGGAGGCCATTAACACCTAAGGAGAATTCCCAATTGGAATCCTCGAAGATAAGGTTCTTACAGATTCTATCTAATCCGAAGAGGTCACTATCGAAATCTTCATTGTTCTTCACTGTGACGAAATAACTAACAAAAATGTTCACTATCACATCTGTTGACTTATCAAGTGATTTAAGGAAAACATAGTATCCCCATAAGGATAACAAGATAGGTTTGAAAAGAAACTGGGTTATTTCAGGGGATAAATCTTTCTTAATCAAGGAAATTAAGACATTCACGGAGTTATTCAAATCTTTTTCGCTTGTGAATGTGCCATTTACTTCCGTTTCTGGATTCAAGTTGGTCCAGATTCTTTTGAAGAAGAAATCTTGCACTATAAGTTTGTTCTTTCTCCATAAAGTCTCAATGATATGACCCACACAACTGGTGATATAGGGACGATTGATATTAACTAATAGGTCATAACTTTGATTTCCAATATTGGTGAAGTATTCAACTGTAGGTATGGAAGCCGGTTTTTTAAGTACTATAGAAGCTACGTTATTGAACTTCCCTATATTAATCTCTTCATGTTCCCTTAATCCTAGAACGAATTCAATTAGGGTAAGAAGTCCATCTTTCCTAGGAGCATCATAATGAAGGGTATTTAATTTGTCCAATACGAATTTCTTGAAATAAGGAGCTGATGGTGATGATAAGTACAAGGAGAATGTCTGGAATAGTTCAAAAGTACTGGGCAAGTTCATTATTATACCGAAATCGCTAGCATATTTAGTGCTGTTCTGGAAATATGGACATGTGATCAAAAGGATTGAAATGGTTAAGAAATCAGAATATCCCGTTCCTTTTGTGAGGAGAGTCTTAACATCAGACTCCTTATTGAATATTTCATAGAACTTGTCATATATAAGTGTGGCCAAATTCTGTATCATGAGGAATTTGTCATTATCTGGGGTTTTAGATTCATTTGATTCATCGATTTCCCTCATTAGATTGGCTATTTTGATTGGTTTATTGAAATCTTTCAATCTTCTCTTACCTAATGGTATGCCTACTTTGAAGACATTCAACACAGGATAAATGCTATGGATTATCAAGATATTAACTACTTTACTAAATGTTTTGATATCATGCAAAGATATAGTGATCAAATCTTTCTTATTAGTTGAAGCTTCCATCATGGACAACCTTTGAATCTCTAGTAATTGGTTGAATAGGGTTTCTGTCAAGAAATAACGGTCGTTGAATACATTAGTAGATTGAGGTAAGAAATTAGAAACCAATTGATCAAAGGTGATTTCATCAATGGAACCTTCTAGTTTCTGTTCAAGATCTGAGAATAAGTTGTCTAATGGTGTGCCCTTTATATAAGGCTTATGGAGGCCTTTATAGATCTCTTTGGCATCTCTTCTAACCGTCTTCTTCCTCTCTGGTGGCAACATTTCGCAAAGTTCTTTAGTAGTAGTAAAGATAGATATAGAGTGTTAGTAGAGGTTGAAATTGTCAATTTGAAAGTAGTCTTCTCGTATATGTCATCTGAAGGTCAAGAAATGTCCATCCCTTCTTCTCATAGAAGTTCATTCATCGCCATATACTCCCAGAACCCCACCTCACCTCTTGAATATACTCAGATCGATAAAATGTAAAATCTCATCTCATCTCAATGCCAGAAATGATTACCTTAACTCAAGAAGAAATGGATGCCATTAATTATGACGCCAGAGAAGGTGACGTAGAAAACTTGAAAGAAATATTCACCGAAATAAGTCCCAAATTATTACTTGAAATCAAAGATGACAATACTTTAAGTACACCAATTCATATGGCAGCAGGAAATGGTCATGTTGAAACCTTAGAATATTTATTATCAATTTTGGATAAGAAAGAAGCAGAAGAATTGGTTAACAGAAAGAACGAATCAGGAAACACAGCTTTACATTGGGCAGCCTTTAATGGACATTTACCTGTGATTGAATTATTAGTCGAAAAGTTCAATGCTGATATCTTCCTTAAGAATGAAAATGGTCACGATGCAATGTTCGAAGCAGAAAATAACGGTAAAGAAGAAATCGAACAATGGTTTGTCAAGAAGTTTTCAGTTGAAGAAGATTTCAAATTCGAAGAAAATGAACAAGAATCAAAAATCACTTATACTCCAGGTAAAGAGACCAAAGAAGCAGACGAAAGAGCAAGATTGGCCCAAGAAGCCAGTGACCTTGAGAAGAAGACGGAGAAATTATCTGTTGAATAGATAGCATGTATATTAAACATAGATTTAGTGTGAAAGGTACCCCTCTAACCTATAATAGTGTCTATCGCCTATCTTTATCAGGTGGCTTACTTTGATGTAGGTGGACCCATAGAGGTTTTAAGAGGTTTTACAGTCGATTTATTACTGCAGCCACCATGATGTTCCTGCCACCATGATGTTCCTGCCACCAGCATACTCCCACTACCATGGTATTTCTAAACGCCTACTGTACGATCAGACATAGAGTAACAATTTGAGAACCATAAAATATACACTTGATTCCACCCACCAAAATCCCCTTCAGTCTCTTTCAATCATCAAACCCGTCTTTCACCACTCAATCGAAGCTCCCTCTTCTTTCATCTCCTCCAACCCTCCAGTTTTCAATATCTGAAAATTTTTCAAGTCGTGTGGACATTCTCACTCATCCTCAAAAATTATCATTACTCACCTTACAAGATGAATGAATTAGGATTCGATCCAAGTTTAAAGAAAAAGAAGAAGGTTAAGAAGGAAGCCAGTGAAGAAGCTCCTTCTATGAAAGAAGAAGATATGTTCGCCGGATTAAAAAAGAAAAAGAAATCAAAAAAGGTTGATGAAAAAACTGATGAAAAAATTGATGATTTCGATAAATCATTAAAAGATTTATCAATAGATGACAGTAGTAAATCTGATGTTACTGATTTCGATAAAGAATTAGAAAAAGCCGGATTAGATGAAATCAAAAAAGAAGAAACCAAATCCAACCAAGAATTGGGTGGTTTACCATATAATGCCTTATTATCAAGATTTTTCCAAATTTTAAAAGCTAATAATCCAGAATTAGCTGGTTCAAGATCAGGTCCAAAATTCAGAATTCCTCCACCAGTTTGTCAAAGAGAAGGTTCTAAAAAGACATTATTTGCTAATGTTCAAGAAATCGCTACTGTATTACAAAGAAACCCTGAACATTTAATACAATATTTATTCGCTGAATTGGGTACTTCTGGTTCTATTGATGGTGAAAAGAGATTAGTTTTGAGAGGTAAGTTCCAACCTAAACAAATGGAATCTGTTTTAAGAAGATATATTATCGAATATGTTACTTGTAAAACTTGTAAATCCATGAACACTGAATTAAAGAGAGAATCAGCTAATAGATTACATTTCTTATCTTGTAATTCATGTGGTTCCACAAGATCAGTTTCTTCTATTAAAGCTGGTTTCCAAGCTCAAATCGGTAAAAGAAAGAAGGCTGTTATCTAAGCAATGTCATAAAAATGTATATTTTATTTGTATTTTCAGAGTGTTGAAGGGTCGCTAGTTAGCTCTGTTGTTTAGCTCTACTAAATTCTCTTGATGTCATCACCTATCCAATAACGTATGCCATTAAATAAGTCACTTAATGCCTATTCAATACTTTCAATAAGCTTTTTCAAAGGAACACACCACGAACTAACGCCATCATTAATTATCATGAATTCAATAATTTTCTCTTTCACATCTTCTTCGCTATCATATAAATGAAATATGAATTGCTTATGTTGTTCCATCTTATCTATGTTATTTTCCAACTTAGTCTTGATGTTAGAAAGCATTTTATCGGATAATTTCGTTGGTTTTGAACATAATTCATTAATTATTGATCCAACTGATTTGTCGGTGGAATCAGTTGGAGTCAAAGACGGCGTCGATAATGAAGGAGTTGATGTTGACATGCCCATAACCAAGGAAGATGATGACCTGGTTATCACAGGACAATCATTCCAACCTTCCATTTTCACACCTGTTTGATACCTTGTCATTAACGCGACAATTTGAGACACCCCTCAATCAAACTATCAATTGAGGGTCTTTTTGATGGATCTAAATTTAAACAATCTTTGATAAGTTGAAGCAATTGGGGTGAATAATCATTCTCTGGAATGAAATAATTACAAGTCTTAATAGCAAACATCAAATTTGCACCTTTATCGATTTCAATTTTTTCAAATGGTGAAGTACCAAAACAACAACAGTATAAGAGACATCCTAATGACCAAATATCAGTGGATTCGGTGATTTTATCATTGACTTCGATTTCAAATAATTCGGGAGGTCTGTAAGGTAAAGTACAATTTTGGGCGAAGAAATCCATTAATGACATGGCTTGTTGACTGTTCTTAACATTAACTCTAGCTTTCATGGTAGAACCTAAATCTATAAGCACAGGTAATCCCTCAGCAGAGATCATTATATTTGCAGGTTTGATATCTCTATGAGCATAAGGAACTAATTCTTCCAATTCGATTCGATTGCCAACGCCTTCATCCACTTCATCGTCATCTTCTTCTTGGTTAAGTAATAAATCTTGCTCTTGATTATCAGGTTCATAATTTTGATTTTTCACTTGTTTGAATTTGTGCATCACTTGCAAGCCTCTACAGGTACCAATGAATATCTTCAATATATCAACTTCACTCATCAATTGATTGTTCAATACATTATAATTGATGATATCTTGTAAAGATTTCTCGAAATAAGGCAATAAGATATTAATGGTTCTTGACCCATCAAATTCTTGAATTATATCTTCGTCGATGGATTGGATGATATAAGGACTCTTAAATCTGACAAACTTCTTGTAGTTCTTCAATTCATTGATGGCAAACTTATAAAACTCATCATTTTCACTGAACAAGCACTTTATCCGCTTAATTGCAAACAACGAACTATTGGAGTCACTGACCAAATAAATGTAGGAAAATCCACCTTCCCCTAGCAATTTATTGATTTTGTAAGATTTATTGGAAATCTTTATATATGGAGATGACGGTACGCATGGGATGCATGATAAATATGATAATAACTCCATTGAGACAATAAGGAGAATTTGAGATTATTGATAGGAATTAGAATTGAGGAGGGATTTAATAGTAATTACTTATGAATTGCTCGGTGGTCAGATTCAAGAGCGAAGAGATAGTCAAGTGATAGCTTCCAGTTTAGCAGACGATGTTGGTGGAATCAATATTTGAAAACAAAGTCAAAGTACTTGCTAAAGAGTTTGCTTGCAAAGTGCGAAACCAACCATGGATGAAATACAAAAGATCGAACAACAGGAGATAATGGTGGAGTTATTCTCCATCCTTCATGATTTGAAATCGTTTAAGATCCTGGCTAAAGATTTCGATAATAAGTTGGGTGTGATAAGGTCAAAGTTGAATAATGTGAAGTATCACCTTCATAGAATTGAGAATATAACTGAATCTATTGATGAACGAGAAGCTAAGATTGAAAATACCTTGTGTAACAACAATAAGAAGATAGATTTCTTGAACGATTTCAAAGAGAAGGTTGAAGGAAGAATATGAAATGATGATTAGGATAGCATAGATAGGATTGCATGATACAAGGCATGTAAAGCATAATATAAAGCATAAGGTAATGTTAGGAAATCTCTAGCTTTTCTCTCTGGTCTTCTTCTCTTATTCCAAAAACACATCTCTCCAAGATGATAAATCTAAGATTTCGTGTCTGAAGGTCCCATAAAATCATTTCCTGAAAATTGCTTCATCAAAAGTCCTCCAAAAGTTGGCCTTCCTCATCTAATGGAAAACGCGCTATGGACAGTTTTAAGTTGACGGATTATTCTGCTTTAACCGTAGGTTTAGTACCCTTCACCTTGATATTATTCTTAATTGACATATCAACTGACTTCAAATTGAGTCATATTTTAGCTTTATATCCATCAGCTCCTTTGAAATTCGATTTAAATGCCTTATCTTTCTATCCTTTTTTACATAAGAATATAATCCATTGGATATTAAATATTACCTCCCTTGGTTACTTATTGAACAACTTTGAAAAAACTCATGGTACTATTTATACTGGAGTTACATTAAATTTATTGACAGTCATTTCAGGTTTACAATATTGCTTACTCGGATCGATTTTATTCCAAAATACTCATGTTATAGGTTTATCCGGATTAGTTTTTTCATTCATGGCATTTTATGCTGTAAAAGAAAGTGAATCCAGACCTATATTGTTTCAATTCAAAGTCAATAGTCGTGAAATTATTATTCCAACCAAATATTCTCCTTTCATTTGGTTATTTGCTATTGCTTTAATAATCCCTGGTTCTTCTTTTTTTGGCCATTTAACAGGTATTACTACTGGATACTTATTGGTTTATAAAAAGATCAATTTCCTTTATCCATCTTCAAAAATCATTTTATTCATAGAAAAGAAGGTAGCTCCTTTGATTACTTTCTTAAAGAAGATTGTTAATTTTGTTACTGAAGAGGATGGTGCTAATTTGAGAACCGTTAATTATGTTCCTTTCCTTTCCACTGATTTAGAAATCAATACTGATTCAACCTTCAGAGGTCCAGGTCATGTTGTAGGTACTGAGTAAATACTGTAATTACATTTTTGTATCTTTTGTACTGGTCTTATATTGCCCCCATTTTTCCATATTACATGTTTATGTGCAGCCCAGGTGAATTATAGTTATAGTTAGTTTAAAGTATTCTCCATTTTATGCATCATCATGTGATAATGAGCAGATATCGATTCATGGTAGACTTTCCAACTGAACCAACCCTCTCTCTCTCTACTGGGACGACCCTGTGGGACTGTTGTCAGTTTTGTTCCAATCGGGGTCTCATTCACTGAAATCCAAAATCTGGGGTTCGATAACTGCATTTATTCTTTGTGAGAACATTTGAATGCTCACTGTTTACAATTCACATTACAAACAATGAATCAAATAGATGAAGGTAAAAGACGAAGGAGAAGGAGGAACAGAAAGAAGAACGATGATAATAGGACTACTAGTAAACCTGTTGATAGTATAACGAACGAAAAAAATGAAGTTAAAGTTGAAAAGAAGATTAGTCCTAAGACTGTAGGTGAATCCCCAGATATACTAGACACCAAAGAACCAGATAAACCTTTAACACGAACACCTGTGAATAATGGAGGAGCTTCATCAAGCCAGGATGAAGTTATTACCAATAAAACCATACCCAAAAGCGCCACATTGTCAATGACTCCAAAAAGTGAATTGAAAACTAAACACAGTAACGATTATGATTATGATAACGAAACCGAAAATGATAACGATAGAAGAAGTGATATAAGTCCTAGAAAGCAGACCCTCATGAGAAATAAGCAAAACGCTAGTAATAATAACACCATCACCAATGCTAAAACAAATTTGAAACCTAACTTCTCACCAAAGTCTACACATGTTGATGAAAAGATCAGCTTGTTTAAATTCAAAAGTTCCAGGATATTGGTTTTCGATAAATACAATGACTTGTCGGGTAGACTTTTGAGTCATGGAGAATTCGAGATTTTTCAATTACATAATGGTGATGTTACGTATTTGTCATGTGGTTCATCATTTATTTATCCATTATTACCCAAGCTTAAGATTTTAAGAATCAGTTCAAACCAATTCATTTTACCTTTAGTTAATCCTGAAAGGTACTGGAAGATCTTTATAAATTCTTCTGATATGAAAATTATCAGTAAACTTCAAATGATACTTGAGAAAGTGGTGGAGTTTAGAAACTTGGTATTGACTGAACAACATGATGGTATAAGTGAATTTCTGGCCACAGAAACAGAAGAGATAGAATCCTCAGTTGAAAATAAAAGAGAGGTTTCTGGTATCAATATCGACTCCACATTACCTGAATCTCCACCTTCAGTTCATTTATCACCCAATTTCCAATACTCGGAACTTCAGTCACCTGTCAAATTTGAATTTCCTAGTTTACTGACACAGCTTCCAACTCATAACACCAAACAAGGAATACCTCCATCGCCGTCAAATTTCCATTTGAGCGAATATTACGGAGAAACTTTACCCCATTCTACTGCTACAAAAAATCCATATAATATCCCTATATCGAATTCTTCAGTAAAATCTAGCCAGTCATTCAAATTCAATCCTAATTTCATGAACCAATTACCTAATTCCAATTTGAAACTCAATTACAATGCTAATATTCCAACCACTTTACATTCTAGTCACAAAAAAGATGAGGATCTCGATTCATTACTTGATGAATATGAAGAATCTATTACTCAATCTATATCTCAATCAAGGATATCACGATCATCATCGGTCAGGAAGCTTAATCTTGAACTTGAATATAAAACTAGATCCAGGAGATCTTCAAGAAGTGAATTATATACATCAGAATCAAATTGGATGGAACCTAGTAATGTTAATTTTGAGCAAAAAGTAGAAAGAAACGATTTAAACTCCACTTATAAAAAAATCTATAAGTCAATTAATCTAAAAGACAGAAGATTACCAACCATTGAGCAATCCAAGTCATTGAATTTAAAAAGAGATAATGATATCTACAAAATCATTAAAGAAGAAAAGAGTTTCACATCAAGATTATTTGGATGGTAGAGGAAAACAATAGTATGACTGAGACTTGTGTTTAATATTATATACAATTTTACGTATAAACGTAGAAGTTATGAATTTATTAATTAACTTGTGGAGCACCTGGGACTGGGTTCCCGTTAGCGTCAACCAAACCTTGTTGCATCATCATTATTTTTTCATCCCCAGCAGATTCAAATTGTAAACCAACACCTAATCTTGAATTTTGTTTGAAATGATCAATTTCACCGGAGAATAAGATTGAAACGGTTGGTAAAACTCTTTTTTCCATAAATACACCAACTTTACCTTTTGAATCTATTTGACCTCTAAAAACAGATTGTCTATATTCGTATTTTGCACCCAAAGTAGTTTCACCTTCAATAACTGGTTCGAAACCAATTGGAGTACCCATTAAATTATCAGTGATTGGTTTAACTGAAGCAGTAATTTGAGTTTCAATACCGGCTTCAACTCTTTCACTAACTTTTCTCCAGAAACTAGCAACTAAAGCACCTTGAGCTAATAATTGAGATGAGAAGATCCAATTACCATTATTATATCTAGTATAATAACTAATAGCAGATTCAGGAACTGGAGAATTTGGTTGTTTAGAATAAGTAGTTTCAATACCAACAGATAATTTTCTAGTTAATGATTGTAATAAAGAAGCAACAGCAACCCCAGTGAATTCATTGTTTAAGATGGAAGGATTTAAAGTTTTGAAATTAACTGAAAAATCTGATGATTGGTAATCTTGTTCTAATTGAACCATAGCTGGTTGATTATTAACTAATTGTAAAGTTAATTTAGAAACGTTATTTTTATCCCAACCATAGTTAGCTCTACCACTGAAACTTAAATCGTTATCAATGTTACCTTGCATGAAGATTTTATCACCAAAATAAACAGCTCCAAAAGCATATGGTGGTAAAACTTGAGAACCCATTGATAAGGAATGAGAAGTTTGGAAAGCTGGAGACATGGAGAATACTTTAGATAAATCAGCTTTTAAACCAGTGAAGAAATATTGATTCAAGAAAACATCTCTTGAAACTTCTTTGTTTAAATTTTCAATAGTACCAGGATTTTCTAAATTTAAATTACTTCTATGTTCACTAATGGTAGTATAAACATCATTTAAATATTGGAAAAATGGGTTAGATTTTGGTGGTTCACTTACAGCATTTGGTAAGGTTGGAATTGATAATTTTGTCATATCAGTTAAAGGAACTGGTGTACTATTTGAATCTGACATCTTTAATATCTTTGCGAATTTTGTCCAGTTTGAGAAGAAAATTTTTCAATCAATCAATGGTTGATGAGAAATTAGGTCGAGGTATACTCAAATTTACGTCGATTTTAGTGACTGTTCGCACCGTTTTATTGACAAAAAAATTGAGATTTGGTGTAAATGATGAATTTCCGCAATAATAAGATTTTTCCCAATTTAAGCCCATTATGTCATGAATTTTCTTCCATTACATCACTCGCACTACCAAGTAGTGGTGGCAACTGGTGGTGCGCAAGGTGGGTAAAAGTCATCATAACCAAGAGGTATAATAAACCTTGTGATGTAATTTCGCATCAGATGATTCAAAGTTTGAACCAGTTATAACTAATAGAATATTGATTATTAAGTGATATTATTGGATTTTGCCATTTAAAACATTAATATCTTCATCGTTATCATAACAGTTAATCAACTGATCTCTTTTCCTCTAATTTAAACGGATTTTTTATCAAGTTATCTTCATCGAGTGAGTGTTATCCGGTCTTCAGGTGATGGAAATATTTCGTGAGATTTCAATATAAAATCACTTAACTCCCCTAAATTACCGGTATTAATTAAACCATTGACTAGGTTTTAACGATCAATATTTCAACGACATTAATTAAATGACTGTTCCGTTGATCCATGGTAACTCAAGTATATCATTATACGCTAGTGATGATAATTTATTGAAAAGTGCTATTGAATTCTATGATATCGTTGGATTCAAATATTATTTAAAACAAGATGATGTTCATTATCTTAGATCCAGCAATGAAAAATTGACTATCAAAATAACCAAAGATTCAAAGTTTTGTAAATCAAAAGATGAAGTATCTGCTTTGATTAAAGATTTTGAAGCTAAAGATAAAGATTTAAGATCACTTGAATCATCTTTCATCATTAGTGTTGAAAATTTAAATGATTTAATCAATAGTTTAGGTCTTCATAAAGTATATTATCAAATTTATCCTAATGAATTGTTCCCTAATGAATGTTTTACTGTTGATCCATTAGGTAATTTAATTGGTTTCACTACATTTTCAAATCCAATTACTTCAAAACCTCCAGTTACCAAATTATCACCTCATCCTTCTATAGTTCCTTCAAGTTCCATGTCAAAATCAGTTTCAACTTCCAACTTATCTAATTTAACTAATTTCGATACTAACAAAAGAAGAAATATAGCAGTTATGACATCTGGAGGTGATGCTCCAGGGATGAATGCTAATGTTAGAGCTATAGTTAGAGCTGCAATCTATAGAGGTTGTAAAGCATTTGCTGTTATGGAAGGATATGAAGGTTTAGTTAGAGGAGGTCCTGAATATATTAAAGAAATGCAATGGCAAGATGTTAGAGGTTATTTAAGTGATGGTGGTACTAATATTGGTACTGCTAGATGTTTGGAATTCAGAGAAAGAGCTGGTAGATTGAAAGGTTGTAAACATTTAATTGAAGCTGGGATTGATGCTTTAATTGTTTGTGGTGGTGATGGTTCATTAACTGGTGCTGATTTATTCAGATCTGAATGGCCCTCATTGATTAAGGAACTTAAAGAAACCAATCAAATCACTGATGGTCAATATAATACTTACAAACATTTGAATATCTGTGGTACAGTTGGTTCTATTGATAATGATATGGCTACTACTGATGCTACTATTGGTGCTTATTCGTCATTAGCAAGAATTTGTCAAGCTATTGATTATATTGATGCCACAGCCAATTCTCATTCAAGAGCCTTCGTGGTTGAGGTTATGGGTAGACATTGTGGGTGGTTAGCTTTGATGGCAGGTATTGCAACTTCTGCTGATTATATCTTAATACCTGAAAAACCTGCTTCTTCAAAAGATTGGCAAGAACAAATGTGTGAAATTGTTAATAAACATAGATCTAAAGGTAAAAGAAAGACCATTGTTATTGTTGCTGAAGGTGCTATCACTAATGAATTGAAACCAATTAGTTGTAACGAGGTCAAAGACGTTTTAGTCGATAGATTAGGTTTAGATACCAGAGTTACTACTTTGGGTCATGTTCAAAGAGGTGGTACAGCTGTTGCTTATGATAGAATCTTAGCTACTTTACAGGGGGTTGAAGCTGTTGAAGCTGTTTTAGATTGTACACCCGAAACTCCATCTCCTTTGATTGCTATTGAAGAAAATAAAATCGTCAGAAAACCTTTAGTTGATGCTGTTAGAATCACAAAATCAGTAGCTACTGCTATTGAGTCTAAAGATTTCGAAAAAGCTATGTCATTAAGAGATTCAGAATTCGTTGAACATTTGAATAATTTCATTGCTATGAATTCTGCTAATCATAATGAACCAAGATTACCAGCTGATAAAAGAAAAAGAATCGCCATAATAAATGTTGGAGCTCCAGCTGGTGGTATGAATAGTGCGGTTTATGCCATGGCAACTTATTGTATGTCACAAGGTCATAAACCTTATGCTATTCATAATGGTTTCTCTGGTTTAGCTAGACATGAATCCGTTAGAACCATTGATTGGTTAGAAATTGAAAACTGGAATTCAATTGGTGGTTCAGAAATCGGTACCAATAGAACAACTCCTAAAGAAGCTGATATTGGTATGATTGCATATTATTTCGAAAAGTATAGATTTGATGGTTTGATTTTAGTTGGTGGATTTGAAGCTTTCCTTTCATTAAATGAATTAGAAGAAAGTCGTGTCAATTATCCAGCTTTCAGAATTCCTATGGTTTTAATTCCTGCTACTATCTCGAATAATGTTCCAGGTACTGAATATTCTTTGGGATCTGACACTTGTCTTAACTCCTTGACTGATTACTGTGATATTGTCAAACAATCCGCTTCTGCTACTAGAGATAGAGCTTTCGTTATTGAAGTTCAAGGTGGTAATTCCGGTTATATTGCTACTTTTGCATCATTAACTACTGGTGCCAACGCTTCATATGTCCCAGAAGAAGGTATTGATTTATCTCAATTAGAAATGGACATTCACAACTTGAAAGAGTCATTTGCTACTGAAAAGGGTTTAAGTAAAGCAGGTAAGTTGATCTTAAAGTCAACTAATGCATCAAAGGTTTTAACCACTCAAGTTTTAGCCAACATCATAAATGAAGAATCAAATGGTGAATTCGATACCAAAACAGCTATCCCAGGTCACGTTCAACAAGGTGGTTTACCATCCCCAATAGATAGAACTAGAGGTGCAAGATTCGCTATCAAAGCTGTTCAATTCATAGAGGAACACTCAGATTTCATTTCATCAAAGAAATATGATATAAAGTTTGTTTCTGATGACAAAGCAATTGCTAACACCGCCAGTGTATTGGGTATCAAATCTTCAAAGGTTAAATTCACCTCCATAAGATACTTGTATGATTTTGAAACTCAATTGGGTAAGAGAATGCCAAAGACTATAAGTTGGGCAAAAACTAGAAATATCGCTGACCAATTGGAAGGTAGAACTAGAATTGAAAGAATATAGTTTCTTGAAAAGACATGAATAAATAAACAACGACTTCTTATCCCTCTGCAAAAATTGTCTACCTCTTGAATCTTCTTTGAGAAAAATGAGACTTCTGTACCGCACGCGATCAGATTAAGTCTTGATGTTAACCAGTGAAACGGTAACAGTCCTGGAGGGTATGTAAGGGAACAATCGATGAGTTTCTATTGTAATTCAAATCCTCTGATGTTAGTGAATACTTGACACTCATTTGATAATATAAAGGTGTCACGATCAATGGAGTCAGAAAGAAACAAGTTGACAAAGTTTCAGAGTTTAACATTGAATACTAACGATCAGAATCTATCATAAATTGTGAAACAATTGACCAGCTCAACAGTTTCAAGACTCAATTGCTGAATCTTCAATATGAAGGTACTACTAATTACGACCGTCAACGGTTCTTAAATAAAATCGAAACTTTGAACAAATTAATCGAAAGTAAGAAAAGCTCCCTTTCAGAAACAAAATTTCAATTCCAAGGACAGCCACAAAAACTTGAAACATACGTAAATACCAATTTCAATGAATTCAAAATCGCCCCCTATAAAGAGGGCATTGAGGACGAAACGCTATTAATCGATCACACTAGTCATTTAGTCATTAAAGACTTCAGAAATTGTCTAATTAAAGATGATTTCAAGAGCTCATCAGTAAACTTGATTGATGGTGAAGATTCTAAGATCAAGATTTTCATCAATGGAACCATCTACTTGAATAATTTACACAACTGTATCCTACATCTACAATTTCATCAACTAAGAATCCACAATTGCCTGCATTTATCTATCAAGGTAAACTCGGCCCAAACTTTAAAAGACAGTATCATTATTGAGAATTGTAAAGAGTTGCTATTTAACAAGGGGGTCAAAGTGCATGATTTTGATTCAGCTTTGGTGGTATCCAATAACTACCAATTAGTAGATTTGGATAATATGGACCCTATTGAATGATCCGACCTTGCTCCAACTCCTTAAAAAATTTCATAATGTGTGGTTCCCCTTTTCAGGAGTTCTGTTATCTTAAGCTGAAAGTTAGTTGACACGCCTACCCAGTCTTCCGGTTAAGGTTATTGGCTGGAAATTGTGAATCCCGTTCGTAAAAGGGAAAAAGTTGCACATACCGTCAATTACCGAATTTGATGTTATATGCAGGATATTAGTTTATCCTCGTGATGGGCATAAATCCCGCCCGTTCAATACCGTTATTAAGCGGTCTCCTTCTAGGAATATAAATATGACGGTAGATCTCCTTGGTCACAGATTTAAACCTCGTATTTAGTTAGATCTAATTTAAAGAAAAATTATTTGACATGACTGTATTGAACGAAACCATTCCTTTAGGAGAATACATCTTCTTAAGATTATGTCAAGCAAATCCTAAGATGAAATCAATCTTTGGTGTTCCAGGTGATTATAACTTAAATTTAATGGAACATTTATATGCTGATTCTTTAGTTGAACAAGATGTTAAATTTGTTGGAAATTGTAATGAGTTGAATGCGGCTTACTGTAGTGATGGATATGCTAGAATAATGGATACTTTTTCAGTGATGATTACTACTTTGGGTGTTGGGGAATTAAGCGCCATGAATGGTATTTCATCAGCTTTTTCAGAATATAGTCCAATCTTACATATTGTAGGAACCATTCCAATCTTTAAGGAAAAATTTAATGAAAAGGCTGAACAAGAAGGTGGTGAATTCCAAAACTGGCACCATTTAGTTCAAAGCAAAGATCAATTAAGTAAACCAGACCCTGATGTGTATATGAAAATGTGTGAACCAATTTCAGTTGTCAGGGAAAAATTGGAACTCAACATGGAAGAAAACTTTGATAGAATTGATAACGTTATCAATACTATCTTACACGAATCAAGACCTGGATATTTATTCATTCCTGCTGATTTACCTGATATTAAAGTTTCAAGCGCAAGATTAACCAAACCGTTCCCATTTGTCAAAAATACCAATGAAGATAAATTAGAAGAATTCTCAAATTTGATCTTATCTAATTTATATGAAAGTAAAAACCCATCAATCATGTCTGATGATTTGATTACTAAATTCCATTCAATGGATAGCTTCCAAAAAATCATTAACAAAGTTCAAAACGACAAATCAGTTAAATTGTACTCATCAAGAATTGGTAAAAACATTGATGAAACATTAGATAATTTCATTGGAATTTATCCAAGCCCAAATAAGAAAGTAACCGAAAGTTTCCAAAACAGTGATTGTTTAGTGGTCTTTGGTTATTCCAATTTCGAAACTAATTCTTTATACAACAATCCAAATCACTTTAAAAACATCAAAACCGTTATCAAAATCAATCCAGATTTCATCTCCGTTGGTGATAAAATTTTCAGATTGAAATCTAAGGGTGAAAGACTTTTTGCTATGAATGACTTGATTAACAAAATAGCTCAAGATTTAAATGTCGATTTACTCAACAAGCAAGATAATTGTTTAGATTTCAAATCCTCTCAAGTGGTTTTGGCAGAAGAAAATGATACTGAAGAATCAAGAATTGGTCAAGATAAATTGTTCAATTTTGTTAACAATTATATCCAAGAAGATGATATCATCATGTGTGAAACCTCATCCTTTTGTTTTGCCTTACCTGATTTAACTTTCAAAAAGAATGTCAGAGCTATATATAATTCATATTACGCATCAATTGGTTTTGCCTTACCAGCATGTGTTGGTGTAAGTATGGCCATTAAAGATTTAGGAAGAAAAAACAGAGTCTTACTTTTCGAAGGTGATGGATCAGCTCAAATGACCGTTCAAGAAATTTCTACTTTTTTGAGATTCAACTTAACAATTCCAAAGATATTCTTAATGAATAACGAAGGTTATACTATCGAAAGAGCTATCAAGGGAGAAACAAGATCTTACAACGATATCCAATATTGGAACTGGGAGTTTGCCTTGAAAATGTTTGGTGATATGAACGGCGAAGTATCCAAATATGTCAAATTATCTAATAACAAAGATTTCGATAAATATTTCAGTAACGAAGTTGATGTCAATAAATTACAATTGTTCGAATTGATGATGTACAAAACCGATTATTCTCAAGGTTTGAAATTCTTTTTAGGTAAGTAATGATTAATGTATGTAAATAGTGAGTCGTTTCTGACCGAATCTTTTAAATTTTATTTTTATCTATTTTTTGCAACATTCACAAATTTTTGATCAAAAGTGGCAGTTAAAATCTGAGAGTTAAAAATCATGAAAAAAAAACTTTGATGTGAAACAAGCCAAAATAATTGACCAGAATACTCCTGAACATTCTCTGGTATCAAGAAAGTTGATAAGCATTCATTTATCGAGGGATGCTGGGACTATTGATAGTGAATTTCGTAATTTTGGTACGGGATCGGAAGTTTTCACCACCGCACTCCAGGTCGAAATGGGGCGCCCCCACAAAATTTAGAGTCAAGCTTCGGATAAACTGATTCAGAGTAACCACGAAAAAGTAAAAAACATCCCAAAAATTATGGTTTCACCAGAGGAAAAAAAACAGTTTATGAAACTTATAGGACAGAAGATGTCAAACGACTTTTATCTGTTTCCCGATTTTAATTGTCAAGCTTCATACTTTCAGTATCAGGGTATGGAAATATCTCATATAGTTTAGCCATCGGTCGGTCATAAAAAAAAGAGGAGAAGGGGATTTAAAGATCCTAATCGATTACATAATTTATTATATAATCGAACATATATCAGAAAAAATAACCTTGGAAAAAATCATAAAAGCTGGGGTATTTCTCACTCAAATCCCATCAATCACAAATGCTTGCTCCAATTGAATCAGAATATGTTTTGGAAAATCCAAATAACGAACCTGTCATTGAATTATTCCGTAAATGCCTTCCACTAGATGAAAAAGTCACCAAATCCAGACCGGTTGTAGGAACCGAAACCGATGGGTATTCTGCTATTTACAGGAACCAGGCTTTTCCAGAGCGTAAGAAATATGTTGTCAAAGGTCTTGAAACTGTTCATAGTAGTTTTGATATCATTGCTGATGAGAACCCAGAAAATGAATGTTTCAAATATAGACCTTTCAATTATTTGGAACGAACCAATGGCGATTACATAACTAAGAGCTTCAAGGAAGTGAAAGAAATGAAAGACCATTTCGGTTCCGGTATGCTTTACCATCTTATGAACAATCCTTTCAAGGATGCCAAATTTTCAAGTCATCAAAAGATAGACAACCATATCAAGAATTACCAATCATATGATAATAAGAACGATTCTTTTATTGTCACTTTATATTCCAATAATCGTTGGGAATGGTTATTGGCAGATTTAGCTTGTGCCAGTTATAGCATTACTGACACTGCTTTATACAACACTTTGGGAGAGAACACTTCAGAATATATTTTGGAATTGACAGAGTCTCCTATGGTGATCTGTTCAAGGGAACATATTAAAACTTTGATCAGTTTGAAAAAGCAGTACCCTGAAAAATTGGCTACTCTTATTTCAATTGTTTCCATGGACCCATTATTTGTATTCGACCAATATTTGTTTGATTTGGCTGAAGAAGTCAGCATAAAGTTAACTGGTTTCGATCAAATCATGGAATATGGGAAGAATTTTCCATTAAAAAACTTACCACCAAAACCTGAAACCTTATACACTATCAGTTTCACTTCAGGTACAACAGGTTCCAATCCAAAGGGTGTCAGTTTGACTCATTCAGCAGCTGCTTCTTCTTTGTGTTTTTTGTTAACATCAGTTCCTATGACTAGAAATTCGTTTTCTTTCTTACCTTATGCCCATATATTCGAGAGAGAAACTGTATTTTTCACCTTATCCGCTGGTGGATGTGTCATCTTACCACAATTGAATTATAGTCCATTAACTTTAATCGAAGATTTGAAGATGACTCAACCGGAAAGGGTCTCCTTAGTTCCAAGAGTTTACAACAAATTTGAGGCAGCCATTAAGAACGCAACTATCAATAGTCCAAATGTTTCTGAGTTGAAAAGATCACTTTTCAAGAAAGCTTTTGACTCTAAAATTTACAACCAAGCTTTAGATGACAAAACTACTGGAAAAAGTCTTATTTATGATTCATTGATAATCAAAAAGATAAGAGCCCAATTTGGTTTTGATAACATGGTCTATGCTATCACAGGTTCAGCACCAATCGACCCAGAGACAGTCAGATTTTTGAGAGCTTCTTTGCAATTTGGGTTCTGTCAAGGTTATGGATTAACAGAGACATTTGCAGGAATTTGTTTATCAGCTCCGTTTGAAGGCCAACCCGGAAGTTCGGGACCTCCTGCAGTGAATACTGAAATGAAGTTGAGAGCCATTCCGGAAATGAATTACGGTATCAATGATGCAGGAGGACCAAGAGGGGAATTAATGATTAGAAGTTATCAAAATTTCTCTGAATATTACAAGAACCCCGAGGAAACCCAAAAAGTTCTCCAAGATGGTTGGTTCTCCACTGGAGACATTGCCAGAATAGATGAAAAGACTGGTAGAGTTTACATCATTGATAGAGTTAAAAACTTCTTCAAATTATCTCAAGGGGAATACATTTCACCCGAAGCTATTGAGAACACTTACCAAACTTCCAACCCTCTTTTATCCCAAATGTTTATTCATGGTGATTCTTTGAAAACCTTCCTTGTCAGTGTTTTGGGTATTGATAAAGTCAGTTCAATTAACTTTTTGGCTAAACAATGTGGTATCGATGTCAAGCAATTATCCAATATCAGTGATTCAGAGGTCATTAAATTGATGAATGATAAGAAGAATAGGAAGATTTTAGTCAATTATTTGAACAAAAATGTGCCTCAATTGAAAGGGTTCCAAAAAGTCAGAAACGTTTCAATCGAATTCGAACCATTGACTTTGGACAGAAATGTAGTTACTCCTACCATGAAATTGAAAAGACCTATCGCAAAGAAATTCTTCGAAGACACCTTAAACCAAATGTATGAAGAAGGTCCTTTGAATGATGCTAAGCTTTAAACTATTCTTACTGAATGTCCATGACTTTATAAATTATTATATAAATTTAGATATAATTTCCAATTCTCTCATGAACTTCTATTCGAACAGAAAGAATCTCTTAAATTCGCGGTGTTGATAAATTTGAAAATTTTCTTCAAGATGGTATGTCATTAATAGGTGTTTGGTAGATGAGATGTCATTGATACATCGATTCAACTCATTGCCAAAGTATTAGAAACTCAAGAGGTTTCCTAATCGTCTAAAATCCCGGAGAAGAGCATCAATACTAACAGAATTTAGGCTACAATCACTACGAACGTTGAAAACAAAGATAATGGTATCTCATTAATTGCAGCTCATAGTCACATCACAGGGTTGGGATTAGATGAAAATTTGAAACCTCAAGAGAATGCCCAAGGTATGGTTGGTCAATTAAAAGCCAGAAAAGCTGCTGGTGTGATATTGAAAATGATTCAACTGGGTAAAATTGCTGGAAGAGCAGTTTTAATCGCTGGTCCTCCATCAACTGGTAAAACAGCAATTGCCACCGGTTTATCACAAAGTTTAGGTGACGAAGTTCCATTCACTGCCATTGCTGGAAGTGAAATCTTCTCTTTAGATTTATCAAAAACTGAATCATTAATTCAAAGTTTCAGAAAATCAATTGGTATTAGAATCAAAGAAGAAACTGAAATAATCGAAGGTGAAGTTGTTGAAATTCAAATTGACAGATCTATCACTGGTGGTCACAAACAAGGTAAATTAACCATTAAAACTACTGATATGGAAACCATTTATGAATTAGGTAATAAAATGATTGAAAGTTTAACTAAAGAAAAAATTTTGGCTGGTGATATCATTTCCATCGATAAATCATCAGGAAAAATTACCAAATTAGGTAAATCTTTCACTAGAGCTAGAGATTATGATGCCATGGGTCCAGAAACTAAATTTGTTCAATGTCCTGAAGGAGAATTACAAAAACGTAAGGAAGTTGTTCATACCGTATCATTACATGAAATTGATGTCATAAACTCCAGACAACAAGGTTTCTTAGCATTATTTTCTGGTGACACTGGAGAAATCAGATCAGAAATCAGAGATCAAATTAATACCAAAGTCGCCGAATGGAAAGAAGAAGGTAAAGCTGAAATCATTCCAGGGGTTTTATTCATTGATGAAGTTCATATGTTAGATATTGAATGTTTCTCTTTCATAAATAGAGCTTTAGAAGATGAATTTGCTCCAATTGTTATAATGGCCACCAACAGAGGAATTTCCACCACAAGAGGTACTAACTACAAATCTCCTCATGGTTTACCAATGGATTTATTAGACAGATCCATCATCATTCACACTACGAGCTATAATCAAGAAGAAATCCAAAAAATCTTATTGATCAGATCTCAAGAAGAAGAAATTGAATTAACTGGTGATGCTTTAGCTTTATTAACCAAAATTGGTAAAGAAACAAGTTTAAGATATGCTTCTAATTTGTTATCTGTATCTCAACAAATTGCTTTGAAAAGAAGATCAAATGTTGTTGATTTGAACGACATTAAAAGAGGATATATGTTATTTTTAGATTCTGACAGATCAGTTCAATACTTGCAAGAAAACAAAAATCAATATATTGACAATGATGGTAAAGTCGTTATTGGAAATGACGATAAAATGGAAACTGATTAAATTATGTAAATGTAAATGTAGATCCTTAAGTATGAGACCTATCTCTTCTACCTCTTTGGTCCAAATTGAGTAATTGAATTTTTCAGCCGCACCACATATCCACAAAGTTGGAACATTTCCACAAAGACAGGATCTTCAAAAACTATTGAATCCCCCGATAAATTCATAATTCAGCCAACTTTTTCATGAATCTAGAATCACCTTGAGTATAAAGACTAGGTGAGAGAATGAAAATACATGATAATTCTGTTAAACACAATTTTGGCTCCACGAAAATTGAAAGTTAAACGTCCGATCACGATGATAAGAACCATATCTACGAAAAAGTTCATCTAGCCAAAGAAAATGTATGTATTTACTCTAAAGTTCCTAGTAGTGTGCCTCTCCAAAATAAAAAAAATTGGAAATCCTATTTCTGTGTTTTGGCTGCAAAAAAAAAAAGTTACATTTCCACAGAAGTATAAAAAATTTAAAAAGTTAAGTTTTCAGTCCCAATGCCCGTAAAAAGTCCAACAGTTAACCCAGAAGGTCAAGAAATCCTTTCTACTCAGAAGAGATTACTTGGTCAATCATCTGAGATGAACGAAAAGTCGAAAGATTTAGTTCTTCCAGATAAAATTCTTCACCCTCCTCCTGAGGATGAAGAAAAAGAAGAATTGAAGAGGAAGATTCGATTCTTGGAGGTACAGAATGCAAAATTAACTAAAGATTGTAACACCCTTAAAACCACTTACAAAGGGTTGCACGATTTTACCAAAAAGCTTCATGCTACTCATGCTATTGTTATTAAAAAAAATACCCAATTGAGAGGATACGTTGAAACGTTACAATCCCAACTTAGTGGGAATTGTAACAGACAACAAGATGACTCACTATGCTTTGTAGAAGATCAGGAACAAGATCAAGAACAAGTTCAACCAGAGCAGAGTCAAGTTGATCCGTATGATGACCCAATTAAATTGGGTCGTGTTCTCGAAGACGACGATTCCAAGCTTTCACCCATTGCCAGATTGATTAAGAGGTTTGAATTCAGATACAATTTTCACCTTGATATCGAAACTAATCTTGCAAAACAATTAGCCATCATTAATCAGGTTGAAGTGGCTCGTGACAACAGCCACAAACCGGAAGAATTTGATGTGACACAAATGCTCGCAACACTAACAATTCCTCAAGTTCCTGAGGATAAAAAATGTGATGACTTTTGTTACTCAAGTGAGAGATATTGGAGAGGCAAACCACCCTCAATTAATTTACAAGCTACTCTCAAATATTTGTCGGAGACAAGAAAGCCTTTGACATATGAGAAAAATTTGGGTAACCAAGCTTCCTTGATTGTCCAACAACTTCCTGAAGATTTTGGAAATGTGTCTTCAAAAGTTGTTGATGGGAAGCTTGGAAAGAAAAAGCGGTTTAGATCTTTTTGTAAAAAGGTTTTGAGCCGCTTAAAGTCGGTTGTCAAACATTGACAGCCGCACAAATTTCAATTCTTCCAGAATTACATTTAAGACAATCTAAGTCATAATTCTGGACCTTTTTAGTGCATATGGTGAGATGTGTTTTGATCCATTGCCGAAACCCCATAAAAACAAAAAAAAAAATAAAAAACATAAAACCCTAAAAAAAAAGAAACCCCCCCAAAATCCAGTCATCAGATTGGTACTTAGAAAACCAGTCTCCGGACTGGTTTTCAAAAGTCTTGCTTTGTTGGTAGATTCCAGTCTTTAGACTGGAATTTAAAAATCCATCTTCATGGTGGTTATTGGAAATATCAAACTAATCGGCCGTTTGTTTGATGCTTCATAAATTCCAACTTTTTCGTTGCTACTTAAAAAATCCAACTCCTTCGTTGGTACTAGAATCTTAAGTTCAGTTCTTCACTGGTCATTACAATTTATTATTTCAGACCAATTACCTTTAGTGCATATGATGAGATGTGTTTCGATTCATTGCCGAAATCCCGTAAAAACGAAAAAAAAATAAAAAACATAAAACCCTAAAAAAAAAGAAAACCCCCCTTAAAAAGCCAACTTCCAGTTGGCAACTAAATCCAGCTTCCAGCTGGTAAACATAAAATCATCATCTCGATGATTCGGAAACTAAAAATCCAGTCGTCAGATTGGTAAGAAGAAAACCAAAGATCTGGTATCTTTTGGTCCTAGAATTTCAGTCTGAGCCGGTATCAGATTAGAGTCCAAGCTTTGCTTGGTAGCTATGAATCCAAGCTAAGCCATTATATTGGCAGTTAGAAAATCCAGCCTTTGGTTGGTCCTAGAAAACGATTCTGACGTTGTATCAGTTAGCTAATTAACAGCTAATTAACACACTTTCCAGAAAAGGAAAATTTTTTATTTCGTTGGAAGAAACTTGATTATTATTCCAATGGAAAGGCTAATTTACGAGGTGACATACCTCCTAGGATGATGTTGCTGGCAATAATCATTCATGCTAAATTTCATCAGATCCGTTTTCATAAAAACAGATTTAAGAAACTTACAATTCGAGAAATTTTTAGATGCTAGAACGTTATTTGGTAGGATACCAGGAATTTTCAGATGCTTTTTACAGAGAGACCAACAGTGGCTTGTGGGAGTTTGGTGGTGCTACTTTTGCTTGATAAGATGAAGTACTATGCCATACATTATCTACTCCGTAGATAATAGTGACAGTTCACTGGCAAAGGACCTTTTTCGGTGATGACTAAGGTTCCCTGGCCTTTGACGATATGGCAGTCAAGAGTACCTAGCCTGTGTGTTAGGTACGAATAGATGGGGACGTAGCCAGCGCGTTATCCTCTGGGTCAGTTGAGGCAGCCAATGTGCCAGCCGAAGGGCCCAAGATAGCGGAACAGCAGCTATAAGTACTTTCAGGTAGAGTAGCAATGAGGGAGAAGAGGAGTCGAGCCTGAGGTTTTTCTGTCGAAAGTTGAAGCGAATTCCAGGTGAATATCATTTAGTGTGATGGTCTTTGATATTTCATTAAAGTTGAAATTGAAATGGATCACTATTTTTTTACTATATTATATTTACTAGAAATTTTAGCTACATTATATTTACTAGACTTTACTAGATTAATTTACTAGATTTATTTACTAGATTTTACTAGATTATACATATTGCTTAAAACTCAACTCTCTTGTCTCTTCAAAATCACCAAAATACTTTTTTGCAACCATTCGCGGAAAAAGATCAAGAATGGGCTACAACATTGCGATGGTAACAGATTTCTTCTACCCCCAACCTGGAGGGGTGGAGTTTCATGTCTACCATTTGTCACAGAAATTGATAGATTTGGGACATTCTGTTATCATAATAACTCACGATTATGGAAACAGATCGGGGATTAGAAACTTAACCAACGGTTTGAAAGTTTATTACGTGCCATTTTTCACATTTTATCGTTCTTCAACATTTCCCACAGTCTTTCTGGCTTTCCCCGTGTTAAGAACCATTTTCATCAGAGAGCAGATAGATATAGTACATGGACATGGATCACTATCGAGTTTGGGACACGAAGCTATTTTGCATGGTAGAACCATGGGAATGAAAACTGTTTTCACAGATCATTCTTTATTTGGTTTTGCTGACATAGGATCAATTTTAGGTAACAAGGTGTTGAAATTTGCATTGAGTGATGTGGGTCATATAATATGTGTATCCCATACTTGTAAGGAGAACACTGTTTTGAGAGGATCATTAAATCCGTTGAATGTATCTGTTATACCCAATGCAGTGATATCTAAAGATTTTACTCCTCGAGAAACGAAACTTCCTATCGATGATAATATTACTATTGTAGTTATTTCAAGGTTGTTTCCTAATAAGGGGGCCGATCTACTTACAGCGATTATTCCCAGAATTTGTGCTGCTGTACCGAAAGTTAAATTCTTGATAGCAGGAGACGGTCCTAAATTTTTAGATTTGGAACAAATGAGAGAGAAACATTTCCTCCAAGAAAGAGTAGAATTAATGGGAGGTGTTAAACATGAAGAGGTAAGAAATATCATGATAAAGGGCCACATATATTTACATCCTTCATTGACTGAAGCTTTTGGGACCGTTATTGTTGAAGCTGTATCCTGTGGATTGTTTGTGGTTACAACTAAAGTAGGAGGTATCCCTGAAGTTCTCCCTAATCACATGATGAGTTTTGCCGAACCCGACGAAGATAGTTTAGTGCTGGTCACTTTGAACACCATCAATAAATTTCAAAACGGATTGATAAATACTTCAACGTTTCATAAAGAAGTAGCTTCGATGTATAGTTGGGAAGATATTGCTTTGAGAACCGAAAATGTTTATAATTCTTTGGATTTGAATAAATTGAATCAACCATTATTCAAACGGTTCCAGAAATACTATTGTTGTGGATTAATAGCAGGAAAGTTGTTTGTTTTAATTGTGGTGGTGGATATCTTTATAAGTATATTTTTGGATTACTGGTATCCCAAAGAAGACATAGATTTAGTGACAAAGTGGCCCAAAAACCCCAAATCAAAGAAACGACTCAGATCACTTAAATAATGATTATACGTCCCTTATGATTTTTTCTCTTTCGCTGAGGTACTTGGAATATTGTTCATTGATTGTTGCCACAACGAACTTGGGATTATCCTGTCTTTTCAGGAAACCCCTTTGGACGTCTAAAAGTCGAACAGAATTGGATATTTTCCTTAAATGCAGGGACAAATCAGTTAACTTTTCTCCTTGGAAAGTATGAGTTGGAGATTTCAACCAATTGAGATCTTGTTTGGGGTTAATCTGAAGTCTTATCTTCTTCCGAAGGAAGGTGATCTCATCAATCAAACCAATTTTTTCAATTAACTCTGTTTCCTTACCTCGTTTCACATAGGAATAATTCAATATCTTATCATAGTCAAGGAGAGTGTCAAGCTCCCTTTTCAAGTGATCGTTCTTAGCATTTACTTGATTATATGAATTCTTGAGGTCATTATACTGCTGGCTAATAGTATTTAGTTCACTCCCCAAATCATTTAATTTTGCTTGATGAGTCTTATTCATCATTGTCAAATTATTTTGCATCAACTGTATGGTCAATTCAAGATCATTTATTAACTTATCTTTATCAACAGATTCTTCAACCACTTTTGCTTTGGTAAACAGTTGACCAAGGAGGGATAAGAAATTTTGGTCCTTCTCAAAATCAATATCAATATTATAACGTTCATTGACTTCATCAACAAATTCTAATCTTTCAATCCTCGACATTATGTCTTCATCATCGGTCCGAAAGGATATAAAGTCTAGACAACATTTGTTGTAATTCCTATTTGAAGGAATTCGATCAAACATGGATTGAATATACATCTTTAACTTCTCTACATTGAGATCAGTAATGATGTGTTCTTGAATACGATGAAGCAATTCAGTAATCAAATCATCAATGGGGACATCTCCGTCCTCAGATATTTGGTGAATCAACCTCAAATATGGTTCTAATTCCTCATTAGCTAAATATTCTATAATATGGTTTAAGGCAAGCAAATCGAATTTCAATTTGAAATGATTGTTCAATATCAACTTTTGACTGTTCGAAATCTTCAAAAGAAAATTCAAATATTCATAGTCTCTGGTTTTGGAATTCAATTCAACTTTCAAGTTTTCAATAATCTTGGAAAGTTTGTTGGTCTCTCCTATTGAAACTTCACCTGGTTCGACCAATCTTTCATTCTTGAGCTTTTCTTCAGCTAACTTTTGATTGAGACTGATGATTGTTTCATTTAATTGGTTCTCTATTTCATTATGGTTTTCTTGTAAATCATCATCCAATTGTTGAAGCTCGATCAATTCATCTAATTGCTTAGTTAAGGCATTGATCTTGTCTTTAAGGTCGTTATTTTCATCAGTCAAATGATTGATAATGTCTTCTGAGTCATTGATGGTTTCAAGTTGTGTCTTTAGAGTTTTGATGGTCTCTTCAGCTAAAGTAAATTTAGTCTTCAAAAGCTCGTAATCGTCTTTAGGTACTGATTTGTCTGATAATTCTAAAAGTTCGTTGGTCAACTTCAATTCGTTGGTTTCATTGAAACTTTTCAAACCTATAATGTCAAGTTCGAGTCTTTGGATCTTTGCAATCAAAACGGTTGGGTCAGATGATTCATTCATTGTGATCTCATCTTCAATCTGTTTATTAACCTCAAGTTCTTCTTTTAAAACTTCAAAGTCTTCTGATAACTGTCGATATTTCTTGTTCATTTCATCTAACTGATGCTTCAAATCATCACTATGGTCTTTGAAATAGTCCCTATCGATAGTCAAAGACTCTAATTGAGACTCTACATCTTTGTATTGGTCAACTTTTTCCTTATAGATTTTTACTTCTTTCAATGAGTCCTGTAGTTTTAACTGTAGACGGTCAATGATAAGCTCCAATCTTTTATCCTGAGATTTCTTGGGACTGACTCCTAAAGCTTTATCGCCAGGAATCTCTACAAGATTGGGTGAGACAAATAAGCCATATAATCCCGGTTTGGTGCATTTGAAATATTCTACGCCATTTATAGAACCATTATTCTTTCCTGTTTCTTCAATTAATTCAACTCCCACCCAATTTCCCGGAGCGAATTGGGTCTTTCCCACGAATCTAACAATTCCTCTTTTCCCTTTAACTATGACATTTAGTCCAATGGATATATTCTCCATGATTACTTGATATTTTGACTAGGGAAAAAAAAGGTCGTTACTGCTAAACCATGTAGTTTGGTATGTGGAAGTAAAAAACACCTATTATCACCAAATTAGTAACAATTGAGGAGGTTCACTTGCAATCACTTTAGATTTAAATAAAACGCGAAAAGTTGAGACCTTTGTGTACCATCAAAAGATAAAGAATGTCCAGTCAGAAGAGGTTAGGGAACTTAAAAGTAGAGTTGCTCAACGAACAGAAACAAGAAATCAGAGAAGCTTTCTCTTTGTTTGATATGAACAACGATGGGTGCTTGGATTATCACGAATTGAAAGTTGCATTCAGAGCGTTAGGTTTCGATTTATCCAAGAGACAAGTATTGGACATTATACATGAATATGATACCGATAACACCAATTTGATCACATACGAAAACTTCTTTCAATCAGGTATGTTATGAAATGGAAAGACGATTCAGTCAAGTGGAAAATTTGGGCCCTTATACTAACAAATTTAGTGGGAGAAATGATTGTTAACAGAGATCCAATGGAAGAAATCAGAAGAGCTTTCAAATTATTTGACGATGACAACACAGGAAAGATCACTTTAAGAAATTTAAGAAGAGTTGCCAAAGAATTGGGAGAAAATTTGACAGACGATGAATTGAGAGCCATGATTGACGAATTTGATTTAGATGAAGATGGAGAAAGTATGTATTATTTACTCGGCAGCACGAGAGACAAAGTACTAACAATATAGTTAATGAACAAGAGTTCATAAATATTTGTACAGAGTAGAGGAAAAGGACAAAATATCCCATGTGTTGATAGCTTCTAGATGTAAAATAAATCCTGGTTTAGGTTGTGAGGGAAGTTCGCACCACGACTGGTACCAGGTCCCGCACCAATTGGTGCCTAAATAGCTAATGTATAATACTGTTTCGCGAAAAAATTTTTCACTCACCTTTAATATGTCCATAAATCACATTAAAAGAAGATATCAAAAGGACTTGACTAAGTTACCTAAGATCTTCCGTAATAGGGTAGTGAAACAGAACAACATGTTCACCTTACCAACTTTCGAAAATAAGTTACCTATTTTACCAAAGGAAGAATACAAGACCATGACTCAAACTGGATATACTGAAGGAGATTTAGTCTACATCACTAAAGGTGAACACAAAGGTACTATATCGACCATTTTCAGATACTCCAAAGAATATGATGGTTTGTTCTTATCAGATATCATTGAAAAGAAGATCATACCAAAAGATCAATGGTTTGACCAACAAGACAGTTTCTTAGTTGATTATCCAAAATTAATCCCAGCTGATTCTGTCAAATTAGCTGCCAAAGATAAAAACGACAAAGGTGAAGATTATTACATAGTTGCTGAAGAAGTGGTGTTCAAAGGGAAATATTATGACGACAGATACAAAAAATGGTTACCAAGAAGATTTGTTAAACATCATGAACATATTGAGGTACCATGGCCAAATCCTCCAACTGAACCAAAAGCAGGTGAATTATCTACTGAAGGAGAAACTGTTTTCGAAAAGACTTGGGAATTCCAAAGTCTTTCAGTCCCACCATTTCCTTCAACTATCGTAAACGAATTAAGAAATCCTTATTCTAAACATAAAGCTAGAGTATTGACTGAATTACAAGCCAGAAGATTGAACAAACCAACCATGCCATTAAGTAAAGAACAACAAATCTACTTGGCCAAGAAACAACAAAGTGAAACCGAACAACCAACTGAATTAACTGAAGAAGTTCAAGATTTCATCGGTGAAAGAATTGCCAACCACTTGAATAGTATAACCAACCCTCACTTGAAAGCTCACCTAGATGCTTTATCTAAGAACACCATTAACCATTAAAAGTGTTTTACCAACCAGTCAACCGATTATTAGAGTAATCAATATATCATGTAAATAATTTTATATATTTAGAGAATTCATGGAATTTATAATTTTTCATAATCAAGTTTACCTTCTAATTTTTTAACATCAGCTACTTTTCTAACGGCTTTCATTATATCACCTTGGATTATATAATCTCTTTCATCTCTTATAGCGAAAAAACCAGCTTCAGTGACAACATTTCTAATATCAGCACCATTGAAACCATCACTCATTCTTACAGCAGCTTCAAAATCAAATTCTCCTTGTTTGGCGATTTTTGATGTATGAATTTTAAAGATTTCTAATCTACCAATTTCATTAGGTAAAGCAATTTCGATTTTTCTATCTAATCTACCAGCTCTTAATAAAGCAGGATCTAAAGTATCAGGTCTATTTGTAGCCATAATAACTTTGGTTTGTCCTAAAGTATCAAAACCGTCCATTTGATTCAATAATTCCATTAAAGTTCTTTGAATTTCTCTATCAGCTGAAGTACCTTCACTAAATCTTCTACCACCAATAGCATCAATTTCATCCATAAATATAATACAAGGTTCATGTTCTCTTGCATAACTGAACATTTCTCTGATTAATCTAGCACTTTCACCAATATATTTATCAACAATAGCTGAAGCAGGTGAAAATATGAAATTAGCTCCAATAGTTGCAGCTACAGCTTTAGCTAATAAGGTTTTACCAGTACCTGGAGGTCCATATAACAATACCCCTTTTGGAGGTTTAATACCAACTCTATGGAACAATTCCGGATTCTTCAATGGTAATTCGATAACCTCTCTTAATTCTCTGATTTGTTCAGTTAATCCACCAATACCATTAAATGAAATTTCACCTGGTTCAAAAGTGGTCATATTATAAACTAATGGATCAACTTCTCTTGGTAAGATTCTCATGATGGTCAAAGTAGTCATATCTAACGATACTCTGACACCATTCTTTAAATTTTCTTTCTTAATGGTATTTCTACATCCAACAATATAACGAGGTCCACTTGAAGCTTTGACAATAAATCTTTCGTCATCCAATTGTTTCAATACTTCCCCAATGATTTGTCCTACAGATTGTAATGCTTTAATATCATTCTCTGTTTTGTCATAGTTCTTTTCCAAGTCTCGTATGCTTAATCTTAATTCTTTTAATCTAGCGTCCCAATTTCTGTGTTCAGTTAATTTGTCTTTGAATTTACCTAAAGCTTTTTCTCTTTCAGGGTCTCTAGATTCATTTGTTTCAGTAGTACCTTCTGAATTGCCTTCAGCATTACCTTCATTTAAGGCTTGAAGTAATGGATCTTCTTCACTCATATTTATCAAGTTAGTGGCAAACGACAGATCGCGAATGAGGAGGAAGTGTTAAAGTGCGAAAATTTTATCTCATCAAGTGTACATAGTGTGGGAGAGATAAGTAGTGATTTGGTTCTATTTACATCAGTATTTCGGACAATTGAAGAGACCTTAGCATAATAATCCCTATAAGAATTGATAAAAGTCTTAAAATCGTTTGAAAAGACTCATTTGAAACACTAAAATCATCAAATAACCTCAAATGGAGTTTCATGCAATAATCCTTTGTGGGCCAGGTAGAAACTTATCACCATTCTCCAAAGTTAGATCTTCAGGTCAAACCAAGGCCCTTTTACCGGTAGAAAATGACACAATGGTGGAAAAAGTATTAGATTGGTGTGAAAAAGCGTTCTTTTCTAAAGTTACCTTAATTGTCGATGAAGATGATGAAGAAGCCATTCAAGAGTTCTTGAAAGGTTATAAACTGTACATTGAAAAGATAAACGCCCAAAAATCAAACGAAGAAGTTTATTCGAATGATATTAACATTGTGTCATTACCTAAAATGGAGAAAAGTGGTTCTGTATTATATTATCTTTATAAACAAGGTATTGCACCTTTCAAGAATTTTGTCATCTTACCTTGTGATTTCATCACCAATTTACCTCCTCAAGTACTTATTGAAAATTATAGAAATAAAAATGATACTGATGTTGGGTTAATTGTATATTATAGAAACAATTTAGAAATTGAAGATAAGAAGAAGAAAATTTTCCCTACTACTTATACCATTTATAATGAAGAAAACAATAATCTTTTAGATCTTTATACTAGTGAAGATATTGAATTCCACAAACTATTAAAAATCAGAACTCAAATGTGTTGGAGATATCCAAATTCTATCATCAGTAAGAAATTATTAAACAGTTCTATATTTTTCGGATCAACTAAAATATTTGACATTTTCGAATCAGAATCTAGATTTAATGAATCTTATTTCAACAAACATTCCATCAATAAAATCATAAGAGATTTAGCCAGAAGATCATGGAAACATTCTCAAGCATTAGAGACTATTGGATTTTCCATTATACCCGATATAGCTACTTTCTTCCGTATTAATAACAATTATACCTTAATGGAAGCCAACAGGTACAAAATGCAAGAACAACTCAAGAAACTTATTGCTCGTGGAGTTACTCAACCTCCTAAAGATAAATTGTTAGCTAATGTTGGTTTAGATTCATTAGTTGGCAAAGATTCCGTTTTAGGAGAAAGAACTAATGTGATAAAATCAGTTCTTGGTTCTCATTGTAAGATCGGTAAGCGAGTTAAATTAACAGGAACTTTAATAATGAATAATGTAACCATAGATGATGATGTTCAATTAGAAAATTGTATCATTGGTAATAATGTTAAAATTCACAGCAAAACCAAATTAACCAATTGTTTTGTGGAGTCTACTCATGAAGTTCCTAAAGGAACCATAACCAAAGGTGAAACTATCTACAGTTTATCATTAGAAGGAATAGTAGAAGATTTTGAATCTGATTATTCCGATAGTGAAGAAAGTGAAGAGAGTGACGAAGAATTCGAATATGGCGATAATTCTGATGGTTTATTTGACTATTAATAGAATCTATATAAACATGCTAATGCTATTGGAACTTTACTTTCTTTCTCATGATATTCGTTAAATGGGATTTTCTCTTACAAGTCTCTTCATCTTCCAGTTCTTCTGACTCTTCTTCTTTATTATCTTTTTTGAGTCTTTCTGGTTTTTCTTTGACTTTCTCCTTAGCTTTTTCCTTGACCTTTTCCTTTGGTTTGGGTCTTTCTTTCTGCCTACTTCTTCTGCTCAATTGGGGGTATCCTAATCTAAATTTATATGGCAGTATTAGTTCATCATCCATGGAAAATTCATGGTTCAACACATCTCTAATGTTGAATCTCTCTTTATCTTCTTTATTGTCTTCTTGTTCTTGGGTGGTATCAATTCTGGAATCATCTTTTTGATTTTCTAATTCATGTTTCTTGGTCAAAATCCAATTTTCTAGATCTTCACCGTTTTCTATCACCAGTAATAAATCATTCAAACAACTTAAGTACCCGAAATAATGGTTTAAATGACTAGAATCTCTACTCAACCTATATAAAGAAGCTATGGATTTAGCTGCTTTAGTAAAATCTTCTTTGTAATCTGAATCCTTAGGTTGCGATGGTGATGGATCTTGTGATGACTGTAATGATTGAGATAAATTGTTATATAAGTTAGTTACCAGCTTTGCTGCATCTTTGAATTCATTGTTGAGTTGTTGGTTAACCCCATCAACACTTTCCTGAGAAATAGGTTTGGTTAATGGTAGATTTGACGATAAGTTCGATAAATCCATATTTAAAAAATTCGCACAATGGTCAAATCAACGTTAATATACAGATATGATGGTATGTCAGATTTCGACGATTCAGAACCAATGATGATGATTTGATAGCTTGATCATGATATTGATCATACAAAAAGATTCAATGGGCTTTTTCTTCTGGAATTCAAGAACCCCCCACTTTCGAAATCATCTATCTTTAGATTTAACACCTAAGTAGCAAGGGTACTAACTAATAGCACTTCCATTATGTGGATCAGTTGATGATAATAGCGATACTTCATTGAATGAACAAAAGAAGAAATGTAAGATTCTTATTTCACGTATTACTCCTAATTCTGAACCTCAAGCCACTGTTGAATCAGGTAATTATAGTATCCATTATATCATTTCACAATCAATAATTTACTTATGTATTTGTGATAAGACCTATCCTAGAAAATTAGCATTTTCCTATTTACAAGAAGTATCCAATGAATTCAATAATAGTCATGGTAGTGCTGCATTAAGTTCTAATGCTAGACCTTATGGATTCAGTTCATTCGATAATTTTTTATCGAAAACCAAGAAGATTTATCAAGATCAAAGAGCACAACTGAATTTAGATAAATTGAATGATGAATTGGCAGATGTCAAAAGAGTTATGACCAAGAATATTGAAGATTTATTATATAGAGGTGATTCATTAGATAAGATGTCGGATTTATCTTCAAGTTTGAGAAATGATAGTATTAAATATAGGAAAAAAGCTCAACAAATCAATTTTGAAGCTTTATTAAGACAATATGCTCCAATCGCTGGTGCTGCTTTATTCATGTTGTTCTTAATTTGGTATATGTTTTTAAGATAATATAAACAAAGTATTCTCTGGATTTCGCATTATGCTTCCTCGATTAACAGTGTCTACACAAGCTGTTACTAACTATACTGCAGGATTGCCAGAGAATGACTTGTCGATACAAACCACCGTCCTGAACAGTGATCTTAGTGATCTAGCGTTCAATGGGGTTGCCAAGGTTAATAATACTCATTTCCAACTGCTTGATATATTTCCTAAAGATAATCTGAGTGAAGATGAATATTTGGATAAGTTCGTTTATCCAGGGAAAGATTTGAACAATAACCAGTTCAATGATAAATTGAAACAATTCTTCATTTTATCATCATCAGGAAAACCTATTTATTCTTTGAATGGAGGAGATGAATTGATTATAGGGTTCACTGGTTTGATTACCACTATAATATCCAGTTTCCAACATCAATTGAATGAAGACATTGTGGTTATTGATTCAGGAGATGTGAAAATATCGGTTTTGAATCGAGATCCTTTGATATTGGTTTCGATCTCCAAGATCAATTATGAAATGTCTATGAATCAAATCACTAATGATTATCAGCAACTCAAGAATCAATTGCATCTGCTTTATAATTATTTACTTTGCATACTATCACGACCTACAATTACCAAATCGTTTCAGAACAGGATGAATTATGATCTTAGAAAGATGTTAACTGACGTGGATTTCAAGAACCTTGATGATATGGCTATGAAATTAACTTACGGATTATCTGGGGATTCCGATAACGATGATAGTTTTGAATTCTTTTTGAGTCAATTAGTGAATGGCTTCCCTACTTCCAAGATAAGTTATACTATAAGGTCTAAATTGAACTCTTTACTTCTACATCATAGAATTGACGAGATTCTATTTGGACTTTTAACTAGTAACCTTAGAAGGATCATTACCATGATTAAACCTAAAGTTCATAATATTAGTAACTCCGACATAGATTTCTTACTTCGAATTATCAAGAATAATAATAAGAACATCAAAGATATCGAGACAGAAGATTTATGGATACCTATTTGTTTACCTGAATTCAATTCCAATGGATTTGTTTATGTATATGTTAAAACGTTTGACTTGGCTAAAATACTTGTTATCGATGGGAAATACTATGAAGATAGTCAATTGATAAATATCGTCCTTATCAGTACTAATAAGAACAATTTCTTCAAAGTCAAAGAAATGGCTAATAAAATCATTGAAAATATCATCCAACTCGAACTTAAAGATAAATTATACCAAGAGTTACTGAATTATACAATCAATCTTCCCCCAACTATAAATCATTTCGTGTACAGAGATTTAAAGCATAAAGATCTTAAACAATGCTTAATAAGTAATAACCCCAAAGATTGTAATTCCATCATTAAATATGTGTATTATTATTCAAACTTATATAATTCTAAATCATCCACCATTCAAAGCTTAACTCAAGAACTGGGTAATAGGAAACTTAGTTATATAAAATATGATGTCATCACATTTTCCATTATTGATGATAATTATGAATTTTATGCTATTGGGTCAGGAGAATTGAGTGATTTGATCTCTGATGGGTTGAAAGTGGTGAAATGGATAAAGCTGAATGATAAAAGGTTCTTTGGAAATGTCGTGAAGTTCAATTTTTAATTATTTCAATAATTGTTTTTCATTGGTCTTGAAGATTTCTGATAATTTATCCAAACTGGTTTTGTGTAAAAGTTCAAAGTTTTTGAATTGTTTAACATCATCGTCATTCTTTTTGTTTTTCATCTTCTTGTCAAATTTCTTCTTATAGTCTAATCTAATGGAATTCAATGAAGGTGATCCGTTCTTATACCTTTCGAATTGACTTTTCAATAATTTCAGTTGTTGAAGTTTAAAGTCTTTAGTCATTGGGGGTAAAGGAATTTTCAATTGATTAGGATTAGTTTGATCTTGAACAGGGTTCAAGTTTAATCCCGAATCAAGAATGGCACTTATAATCTTGGAATTATTCAGTTTATCGAAAACCGTTATCACGAGATTTCTACCTTTAATGGAAGTTGAAGCCAAATCAGTGTATTTGAATTTAGTATTATCGATATCGATCTTCAAATTATCGAACATTTGTGGTTCTGATTTACCTAATTTGATTTCATTGGTCTTTTTAGTGAATTGATCAAGAATCTTATTGAACTTGGTTTCGATTTCTTTAAGATCAATATCTTCAGTGGCTAAAGTGTGTTGAGCAGCTAAAGGTTCGAGATGTTCATGTTTTTTACCCTTCTTGGGTTTATATAAAGAAGGAGTAGAAATAAATGTCCTGGTAGGGATTATAATTGGCACTCTAAGTACTCTTAATGGTTGAATAAGTCTCATTGAAAATTTTGCAATCTTTAATCGCGAAAAAGGAAGTGATATTAGATAAAATGGTACTAAATAGCGAGAGTTCTCGCTATCTCAGGTCCGCATGGACCTACGCACCGCCAGGATCTATGACATTTAAACTATGATTGCGTCGCGAATGGCAATTTCACATTCTATCATCGTCGACATGGATCAAGTTACTCAATTCTTATCACATATTGATTCTGTAAGTACCTTAATTCACCAGGACTTAACTTGGAACGGTAAAGTTCCACCAGTCTTACTTTTGAACTCCAATACTAACGTTTAGAAAACTATTGGTATTACACCATTAAATCACTTTGAAGCTCAATCAGGATTACCAAGATCTTATGCTGTTCTTGGTGTTGTCGCTGTTTATTTTGTATTAATCTTCTTAAATGTTGGAGGTATTGGTCAATTGTTATCTAACATTGCTGGTTTTGTTGTTCCAGGTTACTATTCATTAGTTGCTTTACAAACTACCACTACTGCCGATGATACTCAATTATTAACTTATTGGGTGGTTTTCGCCTTCTTAAACGTTGTCGAATTCTGGTCTAAAGCTATCTTATACTGGATTCCATTCTACTGGTTATTCAAAACCATTTTCCTTTTATATATCGGTATCCCAGTTACTGGAGGTGCTGTTCAAGTTTATAATGGAATTGTTGCTCCAATTGCCGAAAGAGTTGTTGGAGGTGGTAAAGGTATTGCCTCTGAAATCAATGACGCTGCTTCAGGTGTCAGTAGTGCTGTCGATTACTAATCTATATTATTGAAATATATACTGATTAGAGATTTTGTTCAAACCCTGAAAAATCAAATTGTTGATTAACGGCCTCTCCATTAACATTGTAACTGATTTTAATTCTAAATTTTATCTTACTGCCTTCTTTACCTGTTAATTTTATATTCTGTAACACCAAATCACCTGAATTAACCATCATCATATTGGTATTAGGATTGGTTGAAATAGTTAATTTTTGTGATTTTGGTACAGCAATTAAAAATTGTAAGTTCTCTATAGTTTTAGTAGTGATAATCTTGGAATCAATAGCTGCTTGTCCATTGGAAATTTGTTTAGGAATGAAAGTTAAGGATAAATCTGAATTTTCAAATGCTTTAATACCCACATTAGTAGGAGCTTGTTTAGGTACACTATCAAATAAATCTAAAATATCATTTTTAGCAGGTTTTGGTTTAGAATCGAAAATATCTGATAACAAATCATTCTTAGATTCTTGAGCCAAATCCAATAAATCATTTGGTTCTGGGGTTTGTGATTTGACCTTGGTGGTTGGTTCGTTTTGAGTTAATGATAACATTTGTCTTTCTTTTATAGGAGGAGGTGGAACTTTCGATAAGATACTTTTCTTCAATTTGGAATCGGTGGTTAATAATTCTGAAAATTCTATTGATCTGATTTGAATTTCTAAGTTTGTATTGGAAGTGTTTTCAAGTAATAATTTTCTTAAAGATTCTAAACTAGCAGTATTTGAGAATTTGGATGATAATTTGATACATGCTATTAAGGCATAATTGATAAGATGGTCTCTTTCAGATGTTGAGTATACGGAATTATTAATGATATCTTTGAAAAGTGATAATATCGAAGTTTCATTGATTTCTGGATTGGAGATTATATCATAATATTCACCTAAACTCCAAATAATGACAATAGATAAACCGAATTGATTCTTGATTTCAGCTTCAGCAAAACTTTTATGAACTTTTTCAATCACTGATGCTTTCAAGTCATTAGGGACTCTAATTAAATTACCTAAAATTTGAGAAATATATTGTAAGTTGATGAAATTTGAAGATATTTGTAAGATTTTGATGAAATTATCAAACTTCCAAGAATCATTGGGTGAATATTTATCGATAGATAAGATCAATTGTTGAATGATGAAAGGTTTCAAGTCATTATCGTTTGTAAATGTTAAAAATTTCAAGATTTCCTTGATCAAAACTCTAATATTAGACTCATTCAAGATAGCGAAAGTTAATTCTAATGATCTACGTCTAATGGAGATGTCACCATCATTCAAACATCCTACAATAATAGATCTATGTCTTTGAACAGCTTGAGGTTCAATATTGATAACTTTCAATAAAGTATTTAATGCAATATATCTAGTATTATTATCTTTAGTAGTTAAAAACTTACCTAAGATGTTAATTGCTAAGATTTTCAAACTTTGATCACTTCCTACTAAGAAAATGGTTCTAATACATTCATATAAAATGGCATGATTGACATTTTTACCAATTTCAATGGAACAAATTTGAGTCAAAATATCATTGAATTCATCAACTTGATTGAATGCTTGATTGGTGGAAAAAAGTCTTAAGATGGCAATCAATTCGGTTTGTAAGAATGGATCATTAATACCCAAAACATCATAATCAGGATTATAACCTGAAGTGATTAACTTTTTCAATATACTTAATAATTTATTGGATAATTTAATGAGGGTAGGTTGGAATGATGGAGTATTGTAAAGCGATTTGATCAATGCCAAACATCCTAATAACACACCAGAATTCTTATCAATAATCAATTGAGGTAATTTGTCAATGAAAAACTCTCCTAATTCAGGATCTTTATCGATTAATTTGGCAGCTACGATTAAAGCTTTCTTTCTTAAATAAGGATTAGATGATCCCATCAATTTTTCAACGTTGGTATACAAATCCCTTGCCAATTCTGGTGATGCTAAGTTACCTAAACAACACAAGGCTAATGAATTGACATAACTATTATTGTGTTGCATATCATTGTCCAAGGAATTGGTCAATAATGTCAACACTTCTTGATTTTCATCTAATAACAACATGGTGGCCAAATAACCCAACCTCTTATCAGTGAATCTTGGTGATGCTAATAATTTAATACATTCAACTTGTCCAAAATGAGTTTTCTCTCCCATAATGTAAAGGTATAATAACTTAGATATACTGATTCTACGAGAATTTTGATCTAAATTTGTATCTTTGAAGGATGTTCTGATAGAAGCACTCTCCTTCATCACCACATTTCTTTCATCGGCAATGGTTTTGGCTTTTCTAACCGCTTTAATGAATGATTTCAAAGACGCCATGAGTGTTGATTTTTGGAAAAACTTCGCGACCTTATGGAACCTCCAACTACTGGTAAAATCTCCATTGAAACCACCAAAGGAAGTTTGGAAATCGAACTCTGGTGTAAACAGTGCCCTACCACATGTTTAAAATTGATAGAGAAAGTAAGAAATGGTGATTTGGTGGGGTTGAAGTTGGTGAAAAATAGTGATGTAAGAATTGCGGTAAATGTAAATAGTAAAGATAAGAATCCAAGAGTGATCTTTAAACGAGGATACGTGGGAGTTGATGATGATCTTGTATTTGGGATGGATGATGGGTGGAATGGCTTGGTTATAGGCAAATTAGTTGGGGAAAGTATATATGTTTTAGAGAAGATAGATGATGAATTTGATTGTGTGGTCAAATCATCACTGGTGATAGTACCTTATTTTGATCTCGAGGATAAGGTGGAAGAAAAGGACAAGGAAGAAGCGAAGGTGAAGAAGGAAAAACCAAAGAAAAGGAAGATCAATTTGGGATACGAAGAGGAGGATGATGGGTTTGAGATGAAGAGTTCATATGAGTTAATGCCTAAAAGGAAGAAGGAGGTGGTGAAGATAGAGAATAAGGAAGCGGAAGAAGTCATACCGACAATACAGGCAACAAGCGAAACCAAGGAAACGGGATCAGAAGCCCAAACAGAAACACAAGCACAATCAGAGGAAGATAAATCCAAGGAAGAAGAACCCACAGAGCCAAAAGAACCAGAAAAAAAAGAAGCACAGCCAGGAACAGACACACCCACTCAGTCAAAAGAGTCAAAAGAGTCAGAAATAATAGAGCTTTCACAAATAACAGAGGAATCGCTCTCATCTCATCCTGATCTCAACTACCCCTTCGATAAGTACAAAGACATACCCATAGACATCATCAGAAATCATAAGTACCGTATATAAACCTATAATGCAAATTATTTTTTCAACCATGGATGATTTAACAATGAACCAGCATCCCATCTCTCGTTGATATCGAAAGTTAAACAGTGCAATAAGAAATCACACAATAAACTATCTTTAATACCATATTTCTCTATCAAAACATTATTTAATGTCCAAAATTTCAATTGTTTAATATTTTTGAAGCAATTACCATCAAAGAAATCTTCACCACGATAACAATCATTGAGATATTCACGTGAAGGGTATTGGCCTAATAATTCAACAATTTGTGCAATATGATCTTCATCTTTAGTAAAACTATCACCATTTTTAGGATCAAATAAATAGTCACCCGTGACTAACTCGAATATTATACATCCCAATGACCAAATATCTACTTTAAAATTCCATTGATGTCCTAAAATAGCTTCAGGTGAACGATATTGCCTTGTTTGAATGTGATCAGTTAAATGATGATGATCAAAAGTAGCGTTACCCAAATCAGTTATCTTGACTACTTTATTATCATATAAGATGTTTTCTAGTTTCAAATCAGTATGAATGATATCTTTAGAATGCATGTATTGTAATGAATGAAGAATTTGAGTGGTTATGGATTTTATCTGAGTCATATTGGATTTCAATTTGGGTAAGATTTGTAATAAGTTACAGTTCATGAATTCCAATACTAAACAAAATTGGGATGATTTGTTAATATAAAAATGATCATAAACTTTGACCAAACCATTTGAATCATCAAGTTTATCATGTTTGGATGGTGTTAACTGAGATGGCTTATATTGTTGTAATTCTTGGAAGAAATTGAATTCATCTACTCCAATATCATTGTATCCTGGTTTAAGGACTTTTAATGCAAATAATTGATTATTATTAATGGATTTAATCAACCAAACATCAGAAAATTGTCCTTCTCCGATTTTCTTAATGGTCTTATAAGTGATTTGGGAATTATTACTATAATAGTAATTATCTTGGTTATCCTTGGCAATGGGTTGGGGGATTGACTTGAAGTCCTTTTTAAAAACGTTAAGTTTGGGTACTAACAACATGATGTGTATCCTTGAGTTGTTTAAAGAAATAGTGTCTATGAATCTTTATCCTGGAGAAAGTTTATCTGATGAGAAAGCCAAATTGCCGTACCGAAAAGTGGTTGCAAATGGTTTAGGGAATGTCTCTGTAACATCACCGCACTCTTGCGACATTAGCGACACGGCACATATCCCATCTATAAGCGAGAGATAGGTACACCATATCAGTTTTTAAGATTATGGTTTAAATAATATTGGGGTATAGGCGATCGTGAAGAAAAGATACGAAAAATGCAGATTTCAAAAAATTTGATGATTTAAAAAGTTATGACAGAACCAATCATATAAATTTCCTAAAATGGTAAAGAGATCTGAAATATTGAAAAATTAGATGTTTTGTTCATTATTAAATTGTTAAAACCCTTTAACCCTAATATCATGGCAATACTACCAACCCCAACTCACGTGAAGTTCAAATAATCATCATGATATCAAAACTCCACTTTCTAAAAATCACACCGGCCCAACATTTTCGATTCGCATTTAAGGCTGGCTGCGAACTCTTCCCTTACAGCAACTTCATAGGGCTTTACCTTTCATACATCGTCCCACCAATATGCTGTTCAAGAATTCATTCTTTGACGTTAATATCTTAGATGATGCATTATCCAGTCCTAACATTGAATTGACCGTTCCATTACCTTTTGATGAACCTCATTTTGATTTTAAAGATAATGAACCAGAGATCAGAAACTGGAAGATTTTATTGAATTTCATTGAATTTGTAACTGGAATTAAAGTCAACGATATTTATAGTAACAATGAATATTATTTTAATGTCAATAAAATGAATCCAAATTTCAATAAAAGATTGGATAAGTTCCTTGATGGTAAACTTCAAAATGATGAAAAATTAGACCAAATCATTCATGATTTGATCAATAAGGAATTCAATATGAATTTGATTAGTTCAAAGGATTTACCTGTAAGATTTAAACAAGTTAAAGAATTCATGATTAATTACTACAAACAACAAAATGGAAAGAACTATCCAACATTTCAAAGTACTAATTTTGTTAGAATTTGTTATGTAACAGTAATGAAGTTATTACAAAAAATGTTCCCTGATGGAATTTACTGTAATAAACAACAATTTACTGATTTATATCAACAATATTTAGATGACCCAATGTCAATTGTTTATTTACCATGTCATAAATCTCATGTTGATTATATCATCATGCATATTTTAACTGTTAGATTTCAATTAGCCACTCCAACAGTCATTGCTGGAGAAAATTTGAATGTAGCTATCTTTGGTACTATTCTTAAGAAATTAGGAGCTATTTTCATCAAGAGAAGTTTCAATAATGAAATTTATACCGAAAGAAACTTACAACATTTACTTGAGTATCTTATTGAAAATAAAATTGATCTTGAATTATTCATTGAGGGTACGAGATCAAGAGATGGGAAACTTTTATTACCAAAATATGGGATTTTAAAGATGTTCCAGAACATTTATACTGACACTGGTAATGATTGTTTGATCCAACCAGTATCAATCTCATATGAGAGAATCTATGAAGCTGATGGATATTTGAAAGAATTGATCGGTAAAGATAAGAAACAAGAAAGTTTTGTGAGCATCATTAATAATGGGGTTAAGAACTTATTCGGAAGAGAAGAAGAATTCAGTATTGATAGAATCATCAAGAAGAATAAACCTTATGATAATATGAATAGAGATTTGAAAGGGAAAATTTATATTCAATTAGGTGAGACATTTAAGTTATCCTCAGTTAAGAACTTGAAACAATTGAGTTTCAAAACTTTACATACCATTAATCAATTGAATTATTTGATGGAAATATCAATTATCGGAGCTGTATTACAATGGTATTTATATAAACATGATGTTAAGACCATTGATATTGAAGGTCTCAAACCTTGGTGGGATTTTGTTTTAACTATGTTGGAATATGAGGTGAAAAATGATGTCAATGCCAGTATGATTAAATATTTGGAATCTTTAGATATGGAAGGTTACAAATATTTATTGAAATATCAAATCATTAAATTCTTCAAATACATCAAGGTTGAAGGTGATACTATTGTTATTGATAAATCATTAGAATTATTATACTATAAAAATCTCACTATTCATTTACTTATCACCAAATCAATCTTTGGTTTGATTATCAATACCACACCTTCAAGACATTGGTTGAAATCATTCAATTTATTAAAGAACTTGTTGAAGAGTGAATTCTTATTTGATCATAATGAAAATCCTAATGATGAATATGAAAATATTATTGAAAAGTTCAAAGCTGATGGGAAATTGTCAAATGATTTAGAGGTTTTAGATGCACAATATTTCCAGGATTTAGCTTTGATTGTTACTCCATTCATTAAAAGTTACATGATTTGTGTTGAAAACGTTCAATCCATTATGAGTCAATATTATTCAACTCATAAACCTATATCTCAGGAATTATTATTGACTAACAATTTGATGGATTTCCCCAACACTAAAACCCTTCTTAAACTCATTCAAACTTCCAATCCTGACGCCGATTTTGAAAGTATAAACAAACAATACTTATTATCGGAATTATATTATTTGAATTATCTTGGTTTGATCAAAATCTTTAAAAATAATGCAAAGACCATAGCTTATGTTAAGATTGAAAGGGAAGAAGATTTGAAAGTTTTGGGTGATTTCTTGAAGAATTTCTTCGTAAGAACTGAAGTTAGTGTTCCATACGCTGCCAAATTAATTAATAGGGAAATAAAGTTGTAATGTATAAGTGTAAAGTTAATTTAATCTCTTCCGATAAGGAATCGGTTGTTTTCAACCGCGATTTTATGACTAACAAGATAGAGAGATGGCTGCGACTGCGAAATTTCCTCAGTAATGGAAACTTCAAGTATAGAGTCTAACGAAAGTTATCACCCTAATATTAGTAAAGAAGACGTCGTGGTCGATGAAGGAGATGATGAATCAATAGAAAGAAGATTTGAGAAATCTCCTACCAATTTATCCCGAAGAAAATCAAATAATTCGGAATTATCAAAAATCTTATCAGGTATAAAAGATGATATAAATCAACCATATGAAGATATTGCTTTGGCTGAACTGGTATTAGCTCACCAGTTAACCAGGCAAGAAGTCGAGGGAGTAACTGATTTGGAAAATAATGTCGAATCTATCCCTTCGGGGGTAAGCGGTGACAATGTTCCTCAACCCGATGAAGGGTTCTCTTGGGTAATAGCTATAGTATCCATGTTGGCTATTTTTGCAACTTGGGGATCTAATGCATCTTATGGGGTTTTCTTGAATTACTATACCCATAATAATACTTTTGAAGGAGCTGACATGTACGATTTTGCATTGATTGGTGGTATAGTTGTGTTCTTAGCTCAAAGTACCGCTCCAATTACTACTTTATTATATCAAATTTTTGGTTTGAGAACTATTGTGATTGTAGGGATCATCTTACAAACCGCAGGTTATGTTCTTGCTAGTTTTGCTAAGAGTTTATGGCAATTATATCTTACCCAAGGGTTGATGATTGGGTTATCTTTTTCCTTAGTGTATTTACCAGCTACTTTAGTTCTTCCCACTTGGTTTGATAAATATAGAGCTTTTGCTTTTGGAATAGCTGTTAGTGGTGCAGGTCTTGGTGGGATAGTTTTTGCATTATCCGTGGATCATGTTATTAGAATTTCTGGTAACCAATATTGGGGTTTGAGATTAACAGCTTTGATAGCTTTAGTCAGCGCATTACCTAATTTATTCTTAAAACCTAGAATCCCAACTCAACAACCATTAAGTAAGACCTTAAACTGGAAATTCATCAAAGCTAACACGAATAAGATCATTGATCCTAAAGTTTTCAAGTCTTGGTCTTTAAGAGCATTAAGTTTATGGTTTGGTCTAGCACTTTTAGGATATGTGGTGATGTTATTTTCATTATCATCATATGCTACTGCCATGGGATTATCAGATAAACAAGCCAGTAATTTGACTGCACTTTTAAATGCTGGTCAAGTTATTGGTAGACCTACTATTGGATTGTGTAGTGATAGATTTGGTCGTGTCAACACTGCTTCCTTTTTAGGTTTATGTATTGCCATAATGATATTTGCTTTCTGGATTAATGCCACTACTTATGCCGAATTGATTCCTTTCTCCTTGATAATAGGAGCTATCATCGGTATTGGATCTACATTATGTCAACCAATAGCTGGGGATCTTATTCTGGACATTTCTCAATTACCTGCTGCTTGGTCAATGTTAAATATTTGTGTTGGATTCTTTTGTCTTGCAGCTGAAGTTATAGCTTTAAGTTTGAAAAAACCCAATGCAACCAAACCTTTCTTACATTGTCAAATTTTTGCAGGTTGTTGTTTCATTGCCTGTTTAATACTTTCAATGCTTATTCGTCAAACTTTAGTACGTAAGGTATTAAGTAAGAGATTAGCTTCAACTCACGAAGCCATAGAAGAGATCAATGAACCCAAAAGATACTTAACTATAAACGATTTAAATGACCAAAGTCAACAACTTGAACTCCTCAATGAAAGAAGAGTTAGATATGAATATTTATTAATGGGTGGGATCAAACACTTTCTCATCAGATTATTTTATCCGATGAAAGTTTAATATATACATGGATTGAACTCTTTAACCGTTCGGGCATGGGTTCCGGCCTGTCATTATGTTATCTAAGGTATGTAGGGGGTTTTTATTACCCAATCCGCTTATCAACTGCGAGATTCCGAAAAAGCTGCGGAATATGATTATGCGGCGGACCGCTAACCCCAGGATCGATGCATCTTAAGAGTCATAAGGCAAGTTTTTTTTTAATTCATCAATTGAAATGAGTAAGGAAGAAGCTGAAATGCTAGATAAAACCGATTGCATAAGTGTCCATTCAGTACAAGAAGAGAAAGAACCACAACCAGATGAAGGAATTGCTTGGCTTATGGCTATTATCTGTGCCTTATCTATGTTTTCCACTTGGGGATCGAATGCTTCCTACGGAGTTTTCTTGAACTATTATATTACCCATGATACGTTTGTAAATGCTACTATGTATGATTATGCTTTAATAGGAGGTATTGTCATTGGATTTGCTCAAGGGTTGGCTCCTTTTTCCGCTGTGCTTTATAATATACTTGGTATTAGAAGTATGATTATTATGGGCGTTAGCTTACAAACGGTAGGTTACATTTTATCAAGTTTTCTGACAAAATTATGGCAATTATACATGACACAAGGAGTTTTAATAGGGATATCGTTTAATTTAGTATTCATCCCCCTGACTTTAGTTATCCCTACATGGTTCGTTAAGAAAAGAGCCACGGCATTCGGGATTCTTGTTAGTGGGGTTGGTTTGGGTGGTGTAGTGTTTTCATTATCCTTAAGTAAAATCATTGAGATCAGTAATTTCCGTTGGGGGTTGAGATTCATGGCTTTAGTCACCCTTATCACTGCAGCTCCTTCTTTGTACTTACGTCCTAGAACTAAATTGCCTCCTATCAAAGATAACCTTAACTGGAAATTCGTATCGGAGAAAATAACTTATACCTTGAATCCTATTATTTTCCGATCAATACCGTTGATACTCTTAACAATTTGGTTTTGTCTTGCGGTTATGGGATATGTGGTGATGTTATACTCTTTATCTTCCTATGCTACATCCATTGGTTTGGATACTCATCATGCAACTTATATTACGGTGGTATTGAATGTGGGGCAATTCGTTGGTAGACCAACAATGGGCCATTTGTGTGATAAATATGGAAGGAGTAATATAGCCATCATAATTTGTTTCTTCAACTGTATAATCATCCTTGCTTGGTGGACCAACACTTTTTCATATGGAAACTTAATAGCTTTTGCGTTCGTTATTGGATGTACTTTAGGGATTGGATCGGCTGCATGTAATGCCATTGCCAGTGACTTGATTGAGCCGTACAGAGAAAATTTGCAGCCAGTTTGGACTTATCTCAATATCTTCTGTGGTATGAGTTGTATTCCCGCTGAAGTGATCGGATTATCATTGAAGACCAAGGGGAAGATGCCTTTCCTCTATTGTCAGATATACTTGGGAGTAAGTTTCTTTGTATGCGGAGTTATGATGATGGTTATAAGATCGATATTGGTACGGAAAAAATTGACAATTAAAGGTGAGGTCGTTCCCTCAAGCTTCTTCAAGAACATGTTTTATAAGATGAAGACATAGTAATACCCCAGTCACATGTTTGCCATGAAAAAGATCATTTTGTTATAAGCATCCCCCACCAGAACCATCGCACATTAAAGAGAGATATCATCAGATCCACCTAATTTTCACCATTTAATAAGCACATCGTCTAACAAAAGTTATATCTTAGACTCCCATCGTCAGGGTTACCAATTATCTATTCTTATCTAGGACTTTTATAGAAATGATACTCTAATTTTCAACCCCCTACCCCAAAATTGCTTGCGAGAAGACACGACAATGTTCGTCAGGGCAACCGACATTGCTAGCCTTGCCATTATCATGCATTGTCAGGAGAAAATTGTCAACCAGATCTTGTCGACGATAGGTCCCACCATATGTACTCATAAGTAACAATCTCTCTACGTTGAAACCACCGTTATTGAACCGAACGATAGTTGAAAAATGGCGTCTCTCCCATCGGTTCGGCTGTATCGTCCGCGTTTCGTCAGATGGTCGGTGCTAAAAAAATAGGGGAATAGCCGCACTCAATCATGAAAATTTTGACTGCGCCAAAATATAGGGGAAATAATAACATCATCTCAAAGCATATAATTCCTTGCTCATAGAAAGTTCAACCTTAACTCATCTTTTCGATAATAGAATTGTCATATAATACATCTCATACTCATAGAAATATTGTGGGAGTTTGCTAATTTACATAACACGAAAATATAATTTGCATTTTTTTAGACGATGAAGAAAGAGTTGAAATATCTTCTTTATAGTCATTTGGTCATAGTGGTGTTCCTTATCTATTATCTATTTGATTTGATTACATTATTACATGATGATAGTTATAGCGATGCATTGTTGGACGTAGAATTGAATCCTCATGATAACAAAATCAACAAACCCTTAATTATCCCTAAAATCATTCATCAAACTTATAAAACCACTGAAATTCCTGAAGTCTGGCAAAAGGGTCAACAATCATGCATCGATTTACACCCAGATTATCAATACATTTTATGGACTGATGAAATGTCCCGTGATTTTATTGCTGAACAATTTCCTTGGTTCTTAAAGACTTGGGATAATTATAAATATCCTATTCAAAGAGCTGATGCTATCAGATATTTTGTATTAGTTCATTATGGTGGTGTTTATATTGATTTGGATGATGGATGTGAAAGAAGATTAGATCCATTGTTAACAGTTCCAAGTTTTGTTAGAAAAACTATTCCAACAGGTATCTCAAATGATGTAATGGGATCAATACCAAATCATCCATTTTTCTTAAAAGTTATTGGTAGTTTGGAGAAGTATCAAAAAAATTGGTTGGTTCCTTATATCACAATTATGTACTCAACTGGTCCATTATTCTTATCAGTAATTTGGAAACAATATAAAAGATGGGGATTACCAGAAATTTCAAAAGTTAGAATTTTATTCCCAAAAGATTATAAAACTCATACTTATTCATTCTTTGCAATTTCCCCTGGATCTTCATGGCATTTAGATGATGCTAAATTTATCAAATCTTTAGCTGATCATTTAATTTTAGCTGTTTTTGGTGGATTTTTGATATTTTTATTAATTTTCTCCTTAGAATATTGGTTGTATTATTTGATTTTAAATAGTTCTTTCATTAAGTCTAAATGTGTTAAATGGTTTAAATTGAAATTTAAAGGAAGAAAGAGAAAAGATTCTAATCTCGAAACTTATAAATTTAATGATGTATGAATATAAATTAATTCTGTAAACAAAAATGAGAGCCAAATGAGAGCCTATGCATTACCTATGCATTATCGTATATTTCTATCTTTGGTCAACGGCAGCTAACATTTTAACTCTATCAGAAGTCTTTTCTTCTTCTTTTTTAACCACATCTTTGATCCATTGTGTCATTTCTTTGGCTTTATCATAACAAATTTCACATAATTTCAATACTTCTACAGAATTTATAGGTATACCTCCTAATTTACTTAATTGTATGATTTCCTTGTTGGAATTTAAAGTTATCACCATGTAACTGTCTCTTAAATCTTCTTCTTGTTTATCGGCATCAAAGAGTGATATTTCAAATACTTCATCACTCTTTAAGTTCATTTCAATGGTTGATGGGTTATAAAATGATATAGTAAAACAAATAGGTATATGTAATATACTCAAACTTATTGGTGCTTTCTCATCTAAGTTATATAATTTGATAGAATTATCAACTATATCATAGTTAGGTAACTTATAAAGTAATAAATTAATCATTATACCTAAAATACAATAATCTATCAAGTTCCCATCGAAATTAAGAATATTCAAATCAATCTTGATAATCCAACAGATTTTCCCAGTGGAAATCACAAGACTCTCCAAATCTAAAGCATTACTCTTCCTTATTGATTTTTCAACTATCCTTGATAAAATATCATTATCAATATCATTATTTATGATTAAGATTCCTTCATTAGGTTTATCATCATAAGGTTTTGAAATTTCACTGGATATTTTGATGAAGATTTTAGTATCACCAGCAGAAATAGTTAATTCTCCATTTTGTCCTATATCTACTTCAGGGACTCTTAATTCTGAGAGTTTTCTCCCATTTAATCGCTCACCGTTCTTAATGAATTCCTTATGATAACTCATCACTTATTCAGATGATTTCGCAGTCGCATTTTTTTTTGCCAACCAACGATGTATCCAATTATTGGTAGCAAGATAGCTAAAGGGTTAATTGGTACTAACCTTCGTCAACTCAATGTATTGGGGGCAAGAACCCCAACAAGATTTGTTAGTAATGTTACTACTCTCAATTTTTTCCAGAAAGAAAGATTACCTTCTAACACTGTAGTTAGATTTGTTCCTCAGCAAACTGCTTGGATAGTTGAAAGAATGGGGAAATTTCATAGAATTTTGAAACCTGGTTTGGCTGTATTGATACCTTTTATTGATAAGATTACTTATGTTCAATCATTAAAAGAATCAGCCATTGAAATTCCTTCCCAAAATGCCATTACTGCCGATAATGTTAGCTTGGAATTAGATGGGATCTTATATATTAAAGTTATTGATGCCTACAAAGCCAGTTATGGTGTAGAAGATTTTAAATTTGCCATAAGTCAATTAGCTCAAACCACCATGAGATCCGAGATCGGTTCCATGACCTTAGATTCTGTTTTAAAGGAAAGGCAATTATTAAACATCAATATCAATAAGGCTATTAACGAAGCTGCTAATGAGCATTGGGGGGTCGAATGTCTTAGATACGAAATAAGAGATATTCATCCACCTTCAAATGTCTTAGAAGCTATGCACAGACAAGTTTCTGCTGAAAGATCTAAAAGAGCAGAAATCTTAGAAAGTGAAGGTAACAGGCAATCCAAAATTAATATCGCTGAAGGGGAAAAACAATCATTGATTTTGAAATCAGAAGCTTTGAAACAAGAACAAATTAACAAAGCTAATGCTGAATACCAAGCTATGATTTTAAAAGCTGAAGCAATGTCAAAGACCTTAGAATTGATCAGTAATTCAATCAAGAATAACGATAACTCTAAAGATGTTATTAACTTACAAATCGCTCAAGATTACATCAAAGAATTCGGAAAATTGGCAAAAGAAACCAATACTTTGATTTTACCTAGTGATATTGGAAACTTATCTAATTTCATGGCTAGTGGAGTTAAGATCTTTGATGAATTATCAAAAAAGAAATAATCAAAAAATAAGCAATAATGTAAATAGTAAATGTATTGGTGAACTTGTCTATTTGAATATCTATTTAGGTTTAAAAAATGCATCCAAAGCACCTCTTCCTGCTGCCACTTTTTTAACTGGTTTCTTCACAGGTTTCTTCTTTTCTTCTTTCTTGGTTGTGGTTTGTTGGGTCATCATGGTGTTGATATTTAATTTATTTCTGACTTCAGCCTTATGGGAATTCAATTTTTCCAGGTCTACGAAGTCACCATATTTGGATATGGTGAGATAATCCCATACGAAATTAACTGACGTGCTCCATAATTGTAAAGCCCATATTTCATCGGTGACTTCACTTTCTGAGTTTACATACAATTCCATTTTCATGAAATTGACGAGTTTCGTTTGATCTAAGGTCTTCTGAACTGCTTCAATACGTTTCTTCAAGTAATCTGTGACTTTGGGTTTACTAATCTTGTAGAAACTATCACCATTCTCATCAATCTTATCTGTTATCTCTAGTAAGTATTTCTCATCAATATGCTCTATCCATGGAAATTTATCCGTGATGTCATCCAACAGAATATATTTTTGAAAGTCAAATAAGCAGGATATCAAAAGATAAGTGGGATTTATCTTACTAGACAATATGATTTCACTATTCTCCATGACATATCCTGATTCAAATATGATTGATTTAGGTGACTCTTTGATAGATTTGAGCTCATATATGCTATCGCCTACTTTCCCATACTTTCTTGTCTTTGTTATATCTTGGTAATCGGGTAATTCTACAAGGTCATATTCCGTGGTTCCTTTTGGTAAAAGGATAGTTCTGGTGTCTTTATCCATTAAAAGACTTCAGACGCGAATTCCCTCATCTGAGTTTATGGGGATCAAATAATATATAACACGTGATATAACACGTGATATAAATTACAATCCAACCAATGTATTTACTAGATCCCTGATCAGACCAATACTTGCAAAAATAATCATAACAGTAGCAAATATAGTAAAACTCAAGGAACTCATAGAAGCTGCACGAGGATCAGTGGTCAATAAATGAGCAGTAGCTATAGCTCCACAATTGATACCCAAGCTAACCCCTCTAGTAACAAAATCATCCTTAGGAATTTTCAATAATAAATAAACGTAATCGCCAATAAGTACTCCACATATACCTGATAAAATAGTACAGACGGCCATTAATGATGTAGAACCATTAAGAGCTTCAATTAAAGGCATACCCATAGCTAAGGTTACACTTCTACCTATGAAACCAATTGATCTTTGAGATTGAATACCGATGGCATGACACACTATAGGGTACAAGAAAAATGTTAAAACCATTGAAACTAAAATAGGAATCAAGATCCAGAAATTCTTAACAAAATCTTTTCTATGGGTAAACATCGGTAAACTTAAGGATATAATCGATACATCCATCAAGGATGAGAAAATATCTCCACATCCTGGCCAAAATGGGTATCTGGTAATGGCTTCTCCTTTCAATACTTCTCCATTGTTCAACATTGGTTTTCCATTGAAAAGATTAAGATAATTTTTCCCTGTCTTGTAATATTTTAAATCATCTAAAAACCCTTTTGGTTGATGCAGATAGATCAATGAGGATATCCAACAAATCAAAAGGATCAAAAATGTTGAAATCAATAATGGATGGGCAAACCTTTTGGTCGCTGGCCATTTTAAAGGTATGCTCAATGCCACATAGAATGATAATACTGAAATACTTAAATGGAAAGGTAAAAGTAAATGATAAGATGGTATGTAATACAATGGTAACGACACGACAAATAATAAAGACCATAAAATCCAATCGATATAATTGGTGATAAATATGACTACTTTTTCATCTTCTTTAGGCAACTTATTGGGCTGTTGATGTTGAAAAGCAATGGAATCGGAGTCACCACTGTCAATATCTTCATCATAACCATTATGATCAAATAAGGAAGCAGGAGCTGATGGTGATTTCATATAAGATTGTTCAGGCTTGGCAACAAAAGGGTTCTCATCTATAGTTAAGGAAACTCTAAGTTTAGGCTCAGTCTTGACCTGTCTAAGCTCAATTGTGGTAATATCTCTCATGGAAGTGAAAAGATTGAAAGATTCAGGTTCCTCAGTATCTTCCTTCTTGGGGTGACTCTTTCTCTTTCTATTGAATAAAATCCTTAACAACAAGATCAAATAAACATCTAACACCATAAGAGCCCACCAACCAATAATAAATACAGCAGCTATCTTCAAAACCTCTATAAAGGTTATATGTTGACTGAGTGGTAAAATGATAAACGAAGGTAAAAAAAATACATTTATCCATTTCAAACTAAAATTCATCGATGGTTGTACTAGCTTCAAGTACCCATGGAGTAGCTTCTCTGCCCATTTGTATTTTGATAAAGAACTAAGAATACAAAGCCAAATGATATTGATTAACATTCCTAAGACCGAGGCAGGGAATTTTATCCCAATTTTCAAGATCAATTGATTTAAACCATAAAGAACCATCAATTCACATAGTATACCTATAGGTATAAAGCAATAACTATTCAAAAGATGGCGTCTACAATAGTAGATTCCATAGAAGATGTTAATCATGGGGATGAAATTTCGCAGTCGCAGGATGAAGGGAAGGTATACGGCAGGAACGAGTCAGATCGGAGTTAGAGAAGAGTGATCCTGATAACCTTAAAACTATGCCAGACGTCATGGATAAGTGTGAAGGAGTGTTTGTGGATGTCATTCAGAATCACTTTGTTTTGATCATTGAAATTGTCTCAATCATAATAATTTAATTTAATCTAATCATTTCTTTATATTTATGCTACACTGGGTTGATGAATAATGCTATTTGTTTTCAATTAAATGTTTGTGTTCTTCTTTAGCATATCTTAAACCACAATATCCACAGGTTGAAGGTTTTGGTTGATCTAAATTGATGAATACTTTTGGATGTCCTTGTAAGGTTGAACCTTTATTACCATCACAAACGGCAATATTATCATGAATATATCTTACTGGTTCTTTGGTAATCAATTCCATAGCACTATAAGGTCTTGGTTGACTAGCTAAATCTTTTTGAATGAATCTATAAGCAAATCTAGTGATAGCATCCAATCTTGATTGTTGTGAAGGAGCCCAAGTTTCTTCTCTATTAGGAGCTTGTTGAGCAACAGGGTTAGATTTCAATTCAGCCTTTGTTAATCCTGTAACAGTAGAATTTAATCTAATTTGTTTAACTGATTTGATTCTTAACATGATGATATTGATGAATTTTTCATTGGTTGAAGGATTCTCATTTTCTGGCGCGCGCACACGACTTCTGAAGATAAACTCTCAAAACAAAGGGAGAGTTATAGAGATAACCAATACATTATATTAACATATATTTGAATCAATATTATATAGAACTAAACCAGATGAATGAAATCAATGAATAACTAATTAACTTATAAAATATTACATTTCTTTTTAGTTTTTTCTTTCTTTTCTTTTGATCTTAAAGAAGCTCTTGTAGCAGCTTCGAAAACTTCTCTAACACCTTCACCAGTTCTAGCGGAACATTCTAAATAGTTAGCAGCACCAATTTTTTGAGCAACACTTTGACCTTCACTTTGAGAAACTGGTTGTTGTTGTTGTTGTCTTAAATATTCAATAGCATTAGGGTCATTTCTTAAATCACTTTTACATCCAACTAAGATAATTGGAACTCCTTGACAGAAATGTAAAACTTCACTGATCCATTTTTCTAAAACGTTATCTAAAGAATCTGGTGAATCAACAGCAAAACAAATTAAGATAACATTGGAATCAGGGTATGATAATGGTCTTAATCTATCATAATCTTCTTGACCAGCAGTATCCCATAATGCTAATTCAACTTTTCTACCATCAACTTCAACATCAGCAACGTAATTTTCGAAAACAGTTGGAACGTAAACTTCTGGGAAAGTACCTTTAGAGAAAACAATTAATAAACATGTTTTACCACAAGCACCATCACCAACAATGACTAATTTTCTTCTAATTTCAGCTGCAGGAGGAGCCATCTATTAATGTTAGTATTTATGTTTTCTGAGAGGGATGATTTGAATTTATAACTTATAAAATATTTTCGAGTAAACAAATTAACGAGGCAGTATCGTGATGACCCATTATGATTTAACTCCTTCTTTAACATCAATGAGTGAATGTATGATGATCCCTTTATTACAATTTCGTGTATCATGATGGTATGGTACATAATTATCAAATATTTAAAGGTCTTGTGATAAGGATCATCACCCCTATTCTAAGTTTAAGGGGTGAGCCATGATGGAATTCGCGTTAAACTGACGGAAAATCATTTTTATGGAGTAGTGGATTATATGTGGGTTGATCAACCTTCAATGGTGATACTTATAGTATAAAAGTCAATAAAATCGATGATTTCACACCTTTGCCTACTATAGCCGCTATCTTTAAATCATGAATTCTTCGGCTAATTTCATTCAAATTTCTTACGATATATGTAAAATCTACACCTATATCTCGAATCTTCGCTTATTTGTACTCTATAATTGATGAATCCCCTTAAAAATCTTCATATTATACATACTTTATTTGATTTCTAAATATAAAAAATTTGTTTTTTTTTGTTGAACGAGAAAATTCCTTTTGATTTTGAATCGGCCGCGCCACGACATTGGTGAAATTTATGATTTTGTGTAACTTTAGAGATTTATAGGTAATATGTACATATCTAAGAACTTGGAACATCTGAAAGTTGGTCGGATGATAGATTAGTTTCTTCATTAGAATTCGTGGCAGGAGATTCTGTAGACTCGGGTGATTCCGTGGAGATATCTTGTTTCTTACCCCCTCTAACTCTTTTCTTTGGGATTAATTTTCTCTTAGGAAGTATAGCATTGAAAGCATCTTTCCAATTTCCTAATTCATACCATTTACAACAAATTTCATATACATGAGATGTGGCCAACACGTGACGAGCATTCATTTCAATGTATTTATCAATAGGCAACTTACCTACTTTCAATCCTAATTGTTTGGCTTTATTGACACATAAACTCTTGTGTCTATTCTTATCGACAATACCTCCAATAATATATGTTTTATCATCTTCCAAGGTCTCTATGACTTCATCTGTATCGGCCGTTAAATATATCAACTCTCCATACTTACCAGTTTTGTCATTATCATCTTTCAATTGTTGGAGGCTTTCAGGTGTTATAGTGAAATCTTTCCATCCAACATAATGTTCTATAGCTTTCTCGAATCTCTTTTGCAACTTGCCTCCAAAAGATGTCACCGTTACTGGTAAGTCGTATTTACAAATTCTTTTGGAACTATAGATTCGTGTTATCTGATTAGATAAGGAATTGATTTCTTTGTCATTCATTAAATCATCAAATTCACAATCTACTATGAATTTGACTCCTGTGGGGTTTTGTTCATCGACTCTAAGTCTCTTCTCTTTGGGTTTTCTTTCTTCATCATCATTTTTTCTCTTCTTTCGTTTATCTCTTTGAATCTTACGGTATTCGGTTTTAGATGCTTCAAATTGTTCTTGTTTGAGAATCTTCTTATATTGACTTTTACTTATCCCCAATTCTTTCCTTTTGGCTTCATGAGTTTCCTTATCCTTTTGTCTTTGAAGGATCTCTTCTTCTGTTGGTTTAGTCATCGCGAATAATTTAGTGCGGCGCAGAGGAGTTCATATATTTCGTAATTTATTCAAACAACTTCTCAAGAGTGGTATTGTTGAAGATATCCAAATTGATAGAAGGTTCGACATTCTCGATTTTGGAAGATAACAATTCTAACCATATCTTATCAACTTCAGCATCTTCCAAAACATCAAGATTAAATTTACCAAGGGAATCATCTGAATCAGTAGATAATACTGAGTTAGGCATTGATTCTGATTTATCTTCAACTGTCGGAGGATTTGTGGGAACATTTTCATTGGATGTTGGGGGTTTAATCACCCCTGGAGTATCGGCATATGGAGTGTCAGCTTGAGATTTTTCTATGGATTCGAAATACTGTACTCTTTTCAAGGAAGCTTCACATAAATTGATAATCTCTTCTAATTGTTCTACAGAATATACTGCAGTAGCCAATGAGCCAGCTTTGGTAAGATTATCACGATAAAACTCTTTCTTCGTAATCAACCTCAATAAAGCTGTATGTCCCTTAGTAATTCTCCAAGCATAATAATATCTATTGGAAATTTTAGCTATGGCTGAAATACTTACTTCCAAACATCTGGTAATACATGAAGATGTTCTACATAATGCTTTATAGTACTTCAAGTATTTAGGATCATTCTGACATCTTGATTCATGATCAGCTTTAATCTTCATAGTATAAATGACGAAATTAAGCTTGATAAGTAAGGCAATAAAAACCTGATTGGACTTATGAATGAACTGTTCAAAGGTTGGATTGATAAACATGTCACATCTGATGTTCCCGATGAAAGTTCCATAAAATGGCATAACTTCCCCTACAGCTACTAATAACAACTTCTTCAAGTAGAAGAATGATAACCCGAAATTCTTTGGTTCATAGTAAAGATAAAAATAGAAGTACACTCCTACTAAGAACGCTTTCAAGGATAAGAAGAACTTGGTTTTGAAACTACGGTTGAAATGATTAAACTCTTCGGTGGTGGGTGCAATACAATCAGCTAATGATCCATATTGGAATTTCACGGTTGTTTCCAAGTTGCTAAGCATTGGACAAATTTCACTCATCTTCGGTGGATTATTAACGTCTAACATCTTTTCAAGCATATTTTTGAATGAAGAATACACTTTATGACTCTTATTGATAGACTCTACAATGAATCTATCCAATTTAGCATCTGCCAAACAAAGCTCCCCCTCTTTCACTTCAGGTAGCTTGGTATCGTAAGAACCTTTATTGACTAATATATTTGACCCAAAAGCGTATGTAGTGTGAACGTCATTCAATAATAAATGGTGCCAAATTCTTCTGATAAGACTATTCAAAGGTTTGGGTGCTCCATTTCTATCAGTATAAGTATCAGGATCACGATTGAACCCTAAAGACGTAGCCATTTGAATTATTATCGCCAACATAGAACTCGAATCACCTCCATCAGCTCCATCTCCATCTTCAGGTGCATATGTATGATAAATCTTCATATAATAAGTAAGTTGTAAGACCGGTATACTAGGATTTCTGAAGATGTTAAACTGATCAAGACATTCTTGTGCTACATCGATGATATTCATAGTTATAGGATTGGATAATAAATATTTGTAAGTCTTTGGACCCATAATATCATCAAAATCATTAGAATTCAATCTTCTCTCATTGATATCATTTCTATTGGTGAACAAGGAAAGGTATGCTAATCTTAAGATGATTAATAAAATCCCTACATGGGCAAAATCCAATCTTTTCTCAATGACAACCCCTTTAATCTTTTCATCTTCACATCCTGCGGCACCTATGATCTTACTGATTTCTTCACGGAAGAACTTTTCATCTAAGAATGGCATGAATGGATAACAGTCCAGGAAGAAAATATGAATAAGTTTCCAAATAACTCTTTGTTTGGGTAAGAACAAATTGATTCTATCTATAAGTCTTAATTCACTATCTAAGTTTGAATTTACAAAGGCAAGACCTAAAGGTAAAGTTGATTGATTATTAGCAGCTTTCTGAAGATTCTCTTCTACTTGTTGTTTGATCATGTTATAAGGCATGACATCTTCAATACCTTCTGGTTGAAGAAGTCTTTTCTCGAACACTTTTTCATCTAAATCGATAGCACTTTCAGTAGTAGTCGATGTCAATACTTTTGAGTTTTCCACATTTAATTCTTGATCACTAGGAACAAAAATCAAAGCTGTTTTGGCATTGGTGACTTCCATTTTCACCGTATAATCCCATAATAACTTCAAACCTTGATCTTTAAGCATCAAAGAAGACCACGAAAATGGTCCGAACGATACCCTACGAAGATCTTCCTTGATATGAACCGAACTATACCCTTCAAAGAAACTGATAGTATCTTCCGGAGATCCATAAGGGTTATAACTGGTTAAATTATCATCAATGAAAGTGTTGAAAGCTTTATCATTCAAATATCCAGCCGGTGCTTGGAAAGTTTTCAGTTCATCTGATGGTTTTACTGAAGAATCTCTTACTGATGAATACCCATTAACAGGGTTCATAGGAGAAAAGGGGTCTGACTTGAAACTGTCCCCTCTCGATTGAGAATAAGTGCTTGTACTAGCTATACTGGGAAGTGAACCCGGAGTCAATCCGGAGAATTGATTGGGATTTGGGAACCCGTTGGAAGCGCCGTTTGGTGGATAATAACCTTGAATTCCAGAATATTGTCCATATTGATTAGAAAACTTGCCAAATTCAGGGTGAGGTAAAGTCGGTTGGGGTATATTTGGTGTACTGAATAACTGAAAGTCATATGCCGGTAACAGTCTATTTTCATTGGGGAATATCTTCATGTGTTCTAACCTAGTAGAATAAGCAGGAATTATTTCCGGTCGATTCTGTTGTTGTAATGTATTCTCCAACATGGATAACTTTTCTTTAAGAAGTTCGATTTCTGATCTACTTCCATTATCTGTATCTGACTGTTCTACTGAAGAGTCTCTTTTGGGTTGTTTGGATGTTTCTGAATTGAATGTTAAGGGATTCTTTGCACTTGACATGTAGGGTAATACTTCATCTGATTTCTTGAAAACATCTAACGCTTCTGGATCATAAGTACAATGACTTTTTTTTGACTTCAAACATGGGGTGCACGGTTGTTTCTTATCACATTTGATCTTCTTCTTACGACAAGGTTCACAAACGAGAGAAGTTCTCTTCCTTTTCTTAAGATCTTTATCCATTATTAATTTGAAAACTTCGCACCTGCCAAATTCAGGATTCTCCGTTATTTAAATATAATTCCGGCGGTGGCTATTTAGGGAAAAATCCGAGAATGCCTAATTATGTGATACAACATTAATAAGGCTACAAAGGAGGCCAAAAGATGACGTGACCTGGATTGAAGTTTATCAGCAGACTGACATGCGGCTATTTCATGGAATTCTATCTGGTAGCATAGGCTTAAGAGAGAAGATTTTTCAGATCAAGCTGATTTTGAACTTCCGATGTTTGTTAGTTTAACATCCATTGGCCCCTAATGGTCTATAGTATAATGTGTTAAATACGAAATAGAGTCTCTATTGTCGCTACATCCTTTGTGTTTGATTCCGGTGACCGTGGTAACTACAGTACACCCGTAGATCCTTGATTGAGTTTTTGTGATAGATCTCATACCACATTTTACCACATTTTACCACACGAAGCAGATGGGATCGAAGAAAAACGAGTTGGATTCTAAGACCAGATTGGAGGTGTTGGACGAAATAGATAGATTGGGGCTCTTGAAACACATGGACGCTCTTATTGAAGAAACTAGTAGAAATGATAATCACCGCCATAATATGTCTGACCCCAAGATTCCAATATACTTGGAGTATTTTTTCAAGAATCAAGGATACTCCGAAGGGGGCATTGGAAAGCATTCCCTTCAAAGTAATAATGAGTTGAATGAATATCATATATTAGAGAATAATGACCAAAGAAAATTCTATCGTCAATTAAGAACTAGCTTGGAACATAAGAGTCTTTTGTGTAAGGTCTGCACTGGCAAAAACAGAATGAACAGTTCTTTTCATATCGATCCTTTTTTTTTGGGTGTATGGTACCTTCATGGTGATAACAAGTCTCTGAAAATCATCAGCAACCCTTCCGATATTCGTTCTGTTAAAGATTATTATGATCATATAAATTCTTCCTCAAAAGAAGCTCCCCCGATAAAGTATCAAATACGTAAATTTTCGGAAAAATTGTATTCCATTGAAGTGATTGAAGGAGATATTATAGACACAAAATTGAAAAATTATGGGTTGTTCGAAAAAAGAAAGATCCCGCCCGAATATGTGAATAACCCGATATATAGAGCAGCTGTATTGGGAGGATTTCTTGCTGATGATCACAACAAATTCAAGATTTTCAAGTGTGACGGAGAAATCTTAAACTTATTATTGGCGATGAAATTGAATTTCTATTTCGATGATAAGTATGGGGATATATGTATTATTGAAGACGACATATTCTTTTCACAATATCGATATTATAAGGATATAAGTCACTTGAAGCCAAAGAATAATAACCGCACTTCAAAGTCTTAGAGTTTGAATGGCATGAATGTGTATTTTAATTTTCATCAATGGAACCATAAGTTTCCAATTGTATTTCTTCATTATAGATGAAAAATTGAACAAAAATGGTAAAGTCTAAAACTAAAGTTCCTAAACTTCCAGCTAACCAGGAAGAATTGATTAATAAGTAATTCCAACTGACGTCAATGGATAAAATAGAAATAACATAGGTTAAGTTACCTAAGCAAGCAAATAAAAAGAACATAAATGAAATACCTTCACAACTTTTTCTTTTATAATTGAGTAAGATTTGTGGAACTCTTGAACCTAAGTATAATGCAGCACATAACCAACCAAAAAATTGACCTAATTTATCAAATTCCATTGAAGGTTTTTCTGGGGCTTTATTGTAATTTTTAATATATGATATGTACCATCCAACTAATCCTGATAAAATGACTAAAAATACCATTAAGAATTTGAATAATGCTTTCTTTAAAGAATTTTCTTGTTTAATAGATTGGTCTCTTGATAATACATGTTCAATAGTATCTTCATCAAATGGGTTGGCTGGTGATAAATGAATAAAATCAGGTTTGTTGTTGGATGAGTAGTTGATACATTGCCATAATAAAACAATATCAGCTAAAGTATAATAAATAGCTAAAATTATCATGGTTGGTAATACTCCTTGTAATATTGAACCTAAAACGTTAAATACATCACCAGCTAACCATAAGATAATGAACATTAATGATAATCCTTCTGAAGATTTACGAGTGAAATTTTCATAAATTTGAGGTGCAAATACAATAATCCAACATGCTATAGATATGGAACCTGTTATACCACTGACAGCTTCAGCATTAAGAATTATAGGTGGTGGAGGCATTTTGTGAAGTTTTCGCGATGAGTATGATGAAGTTGGGGTATTTTTAGTGCGACCAGTGAGTCAATGGCAGGACCCTGGCAATTTAGAGTTTTGAGTTAAACCTGACTTATATATATTTAATTTTGACCTGATGTTGTTATCTTTTTCCTCTTTGTAAACATTTGTTTATATGTTGAGCAAATCTACCTCCACTAATATTTCTTCCGCAATTTTCACAATTGAAATATTTGGCAGAATCGTTGGTCTTCAATTTCATCTTATCTTGGTTGTAAATGTTCTTATTAGGGTTATGCTGAGGAATTATGTATGACACATCATCGCTGATGGAATGCTTATATGATTTAAATGTGGAAAGATTATTGAGGGTTTCTTGTTTAATGAGATTAAATATAAGATCTCTATAAAGGGATTCCGTCTGAAGTTAGTATTGTTGGGTTTTAGATTTGTTTGTGTGTGTGGTATTGAAAGTGATCTCTGATTGGTATCAATAAGTTCGATACGATCCAAAGAACTATTTCACCGACATTGAGGTATCATTTTTTGATCTGTCATAAACGCCTCGCTATGTTTGACTATCTAATTGATATATGATTCGACTACCTCTTTAAACACTTCGTACCACCTCCTCTTACTCTCAGATCCTAAGTATTCTCAACTAGCGGACCTCTTTAACTATACATACTAGAACATCGATTGAGACCATTGCGAAAATCAATGAACGATGATGATTTCAAACTAGATATAGAGGATGAAGAAGTTTATAATCTCAAAGATTTCGAACCCGATGGTACGGATTATCAACAGAATAAACTTTCGAACTCCCTTGATCTCATCTACTCCCTTATAAGTGAAGAGATCAAGACCCATGAAAAGAATTGTATAGTTGGGATCTACCTAAAAACTCAAGAAACCATCATTTTGAAACCCAAAGGGAACTTTTTCAGAGATTTTGGATATTCAAAGACTTTGAATGGTAACATCTATGTGTTTCTTAATAAACTAGAATCCTTATATCTCCTTCAAAGAGGAAACTTGATCATATATCTTGGTAATGAAAAATTTAATCATTATCTCGATGGCTACATAAACAATTTCAACGTTAATGAATTGTACAGTTTGAATTTGCAGCATTTCTATAGCTTTTTATGTAGTTCTGACCTAAAAAAGTATCAGGTTTTTGCATATTTGAAAAGATTGGGGTACTTGATTAAAGAATATGATGGTTTAAAGAATCATCCACCCCCCATTTTTCAAATCGGTGTCCAAGATAAGTCGATGTATCAAGATATTTTTACCAAAGGGTTCAGGGATAAACATTATTTCGGATATAAAGAGATTTTCGAAAGACTTAGAGTCATTCCTAGTGCTCAAAACTTTGAAAGCTTACAGAAGAATTACGAAAGTGATTTTGAAATCCATTTCAATGTTTGGAAACCCCGAAATAATTTCAGTAAGAAGAACTTACCCGTGCCTGATTTTATGATTTGTATGGTAGACGAATTCCCCAAGATCAATGATGTATATAGTCTTTTAAATAAAGTGATCAAACCAGAAAAAAAGTCAGATACCAAACCCAAATCAAATAAGGTGCAGACCCGAAATAATTTGAAAAAGGATAAGGAAAAAACTGAAAGAGACAAAGAAAGGGAAAGAGAAAGAGAACGAGATTTCAAGTTAAAGAATAACGGTAGAAATGTGATTTTGGCTAAGGTCGATAATGGGGTCAATTTCATAAGCTTATCAGAGATGGATTTCGAACTGGTTAGTTTATATTGATGAATTAATGTATAATCTATGTGGTGTCTTTTGCTATGGGTCGAGGGAGATATTGTTTCAAGTCCACAGGATCGTTATTTTTACTGTTCTTGTCACTCTTTGTATCACTCAGGTTGGTCTTTTTACCGCCTCCGCTGGTTTTCTTGTCGTTTTCATTACTCTTCTTGTCGCTTCCATTGTTCTTCTTGTCGCTACCATTGGTCTTCTTGTCGCTACCATTGCTCTTCCTTTCAGAATTATTCCTTGGTCCCCTTCTAGGCCCTTTTTTTGGTATATTGGAATTTCCACCTTTTGTCTCATTTGATGGGTCATTATCTTTAGGAACAGAGTCTCCAGATTGGGTGTCCTTTTTACCTTTTGGTCGATTCCTTCTGGACCTCAGTTTGGATTTTTCAGCTTTGCCAGGTTTGTCGCTTTGCTTATCAAGATTTTGATTATCAGGCTCTTTCTTGTCGATGTTTAGCTTGTCGAAGTTTTGTTCATATGAACTTCTTTGTGCAGTTTCATTCGAATTTGGTTGTGTTTGATTCGATTGTTCGGATACCATTTGTCTGTGTCCTTTCATTTCTGGCACCACTGGTAATTGAGCTCTTCTACTTACAGGGGTTTTGATGACTCTTCCTGACAAATCAATGTTGTTTTCATTTTTAAGCTGTAATGGTTGTGAAATTTCTTGCCGTGATAAGTTTGGTGCTTGTTCTGAAATTCTCATTGGAGATAATTGTCCTAATGCTAGCTGGTTAGATGTGTACTCTGTGTGACTCAAAGCTTCAAATTTCTTCCTCAAAGACTCGACTGTGCCATGTGTTTCGTTTGAAGTTAAGCTCATTTCTACCTCTTTAGCTTTAACATCAATTTTGTTCTTCTCTTTGCCTTTTTTCCCTCTTTTTTCCTTCTTTTCCTTTGCTCCTTTCTTCTCCTGTATCGCAATATTACCTTCACCAGAGTTGGCCTTGTCCTTGGATTTATCTTTAGATTTAGCTTCACCTTGAGATCTATTTCTGTTATTATCCTTTCCATTGTTCTTCGTCTTGATCTCTCGAGCTCTTTTTTCTTGTTCAATCTTTCTGGATTGCAGTTGTTCCTGCTTTAAGATCTCTGTTAGATCAAACACCTTGTTCTCCTCCACACATTTCACGAACAACTTGAAATACTTATCGTCCTCCATACCAAAGAAATTTTCGCACTTGATGCAAGTAGTTCAAACCTTCAGTAGCATCAAAGCACATGGAACTGGTGAAGATTGGTACCGATTGCTTAATCTTGATCCAAATAAGAACTCACTGATACTAACTGTATATAAATGTAATGAGAATGATATACAAACGATCAAAAATTACCTTCAATCATCAAATCTCAAAGACGAACAGTCTCTCATTGAGAGTTTCATAGATTATTGTTACCAATTAGATCCTTATGATAAAGACCTGAATCACGATCTTATTAATGGATTCCTTCAGAAATTATTCCCTTTGGTGTTGAAGAATACTATGTTCATAAAGACGTTTAAAAGTGGTATACTATTCGCTTTGAAGTTAGAACTCATAGACGCTAACCATATCCTCAGATTCTTTAATATGTTGAAAAACACATGTTCCACGAATGAAATGAAAGACTTACTACTATTCCTCGGTAATTTACTTATCAAGACATATTTGGAATTGAATTTAATCATTTGTAAGAATATTTTCACCAATTTGAATACATTGAATTTAGACTATAGAAGTTTTAACAAGAGAAAAATATTAATTTATAAAATGAACCTTTCCCGATACTATTTATATAAAAACCTGTTAATTCAGTGCTTCAGAAATGTTCAATGGTGTCTACTCAACTGTTTGAATATTGACGTTTTGGCATTGTTCCTTCCTTTAAGTATAATGTTAGGTCGTAGGATCAAATTTTCATATCTAAGACTGGTGTACCGCGGTGACCTTGTAGATTTTTATGAAAAGGTCAGTATTTGTGTACACAACGGTGACTTGCAAGGTTTCAATCAACTTGTTGATAATCGTAAAGATAATGAGATGATCTTGAAACTCTTGAAGACTAAGTGTTTCATTCTTATTATCAGAAACCTTTTCTTCAAAGTTTTCAGGATCGTTAATAATCATAACATCTCCTTCAACTATTTGAAGACTGCATTAAACTTTGTGAAGTTCAAAAACAATGACATGATCATTGAAAACTTGTTGGTAAGTCTTATTGACCAAAATTTGATCAAAGGTAAGATCCTTCCCAATTCTAGATCTTTAGTTTTGTCTAAAGTTAATCCTTTCCCCAAAGTATTTGACGTATATAAAACATTCGATGCCAGAGATGATTTCTGGTTGTCCGATTTATAGCATATTGTATAATAATCTTGTATACCCCATTATTGTAAGTACTTAGTATCTCTGCTTATATAATCAAGCCATACATTATCTCAAATCGGAATTGAGTCTCACTCTCAAATGAGAGACACTGATTTGAAAAGAGAGTCTGATTTGAAGAGAAGGTTCTTTGAAACCAGTTTGGTGGGATTCCTTAAAGGTACAGTGGCAGGAATCATCACTGGGACTTTCCTCAATTTCCGTTATACTCATCTTAACAATTTACGTTTCTTTCCTCATAAATTTAGTTACATATTGATTTGGGGTTGCTCGGGTATATTCTATAATCTAGAAATCGAAAGGAAGAACATAAGAAATGAATTGATAGTAGAGGAAGAAATAAAGAGGAACCTATATTTACGGGGAGAAAGGTAGAGAACGATGTATGACGATATGGCAAGCAAAGAAAGATTACGATACATAAGAATAAATATATTAAGTATAAAAAGCTTCTTCATGAAACTTTAATCCATTCTCTTTAGCCCATACCTTTACATTTTGTACCAATCCCTTAGGACCAGCAGATATCACCCACACTTGAGACTCATGATTCATATTTATGGAACTTTGTGGTAAATCCCTACAACAAACCAAGTGATTATTCACCTCAATTGGTCCGGTACAAGGACTATCATTCAAACACCAATTATAATACTTATTGTTCAACTTCGGACGACCTTTGAATACTTTATTGGATAAGTGAAGACGTTTGATAGTCTCGATGTAACTATTGACATATGTCCGGGTAATGTTATTGGATGTATCAAGTTTAGGTTTAAATCTTTCATTTGAGATATTAGTCTTGATAGACTTACTTGACCCATTTGAATGACTTGTTTGAAGACTATCTACCGATGAAACTGATGAAGTATCAAGAGTGTCATTGAAAGAATCAAATTCGTCACAAAACTCTTCACCAATAGCTATATCAACATTTTCATCTTCGAAATTCCTACGGTCTTCTTCTTGAGGATAATCTTGGTCCTCTTCGGTGTTGATGGTTCCATAAGTACTGTAACTACCATGGTCAGTAGTATCAGTTATTATTTCAGGTCCAGTGACATAAATTTCAATATCGTCACTATGGATGAAACCATCAAAATATTTCAAAACTATGATATCTCTGAAATCTTTAACGACCCAAATCAATCTTACAGGAATACCATGATAATTCATAACTCTAAGGATTGGTAACGCAAACGATATAGCTGAACCCCCTATGACAATGAGAATTTTTTTGGTGTTAACCTTTACTTTACTTATGCTGAATTTATCTTCTTTATTATCAAGGAATAAAAGATTAGCATTGTAACTTCCAGTGACGTAATACTGTTGGTGACTAAACTTGAATGTTCCTTTCTTAATGATGAGCTTTTGTTTAAAATTATTGGGAAGACTTACTAAAGTATAAGGATGATAATTGGGTATAGTTTGCTTGAAGAAATTAGTGATGGGATTATTACTCTTGTTAGTAAGTCTTATATGACTACCAGGATTGATTGATTCTTTAGATATCAAGGTTTTGGGAAATTCAACTAGAATTAGATGAGGAGATATGTTGGTGATTTTGAAATCTTCAGGTTTCAGAAGAGTAGTAAGTCTGAATCGATAGACCAATTGTCCTATGAGGATGCATAAATTCATGGAAGTAAATCCAATGGAGTTACTTGGTCTGACATGAAATTGTAAGGTGATAACTATTAACCAACTTAAACAATAATGAAAATTATAAAACATCTTATAATGATTATTTCTGAATCTCAGAAACGACGTCACTAGTATGATTAGAAATGACGCCAATGCAATGATACCATACCAGTTCTCTAGTTTGAATAACTTAAACCAGGTGTTGTTGATGTTAAAGAATCCTATGTAAAGCAAAGTATGAAGAATGGACTGTAAAATGATAATTCTACTTAACCACTTATGGATGGGTAGAAGTGATAAATATAATGTGTTGGGTAAAGGACTGGGTCTTAGTGATAAGAAAAACACTGTGGGAAGACAATTGTATGATATTCGGCCCAATCGTTTAGCAAGAAAGATTAGATCACCATCATTCAAATCACTCAATGATAAAACCGAAAGTACTGTTAACCAGAAAACAATTTGAAAGGCTGTTGGTAAATGATACAATACAACAAGTAGCACATTTTTCAATAATCTGGTGACTTTATTTTCGGGTAATTTATTGATAAACTTGATGACTTTGAATCTGTGGAAGTTAATCCCCCATTTGATCAAACTATTGAATGATCCAATTATAACAAGAAATCCGAAAAGGATTGCTACTGTTATATTTCCATATTTATCAGTTGTATCCTGTCGATTCTGTTTATATTGAGGTGACTTGGATTCAGGGTAATGGAAATAATCAATATAATCCATATCAATGATCTAATGTGCGACTTCGCTTCTTCTTTTTGCTCGCGCTACTGGCGGGATTTTTGACAGAATTTTTTGGCCCGCTCTTCAGTGAGTTACTACCATTGTTTTTGGATTTGGGTTTTTTTACCTTGGGAACGATTCCTGAACGAGTGGCTTTTTGATAAATTTGACTTTGAAATGAATTGTAATTGGTGAATTGTTCATTGAAATTGAAGTTATTGTTATAATTATTGTTATAATTGTTGTTGTAGTTGTTATTGTAGTTGTTGTTATAGTTGTTGTTGTAATTATTATAATTATTATTATAATTATTATTGGTGTTATTACCCCTGAAATTATTATAGTTGTTGGAATGATAAACTTTAGGTTTTTCAGGTAACTTATTATCGTGGACTCTTCTGAAATAGATTTTTCTTAAGTTCGAAGGAAGATTATTACCTGAAAAAGCTGATCCAGAAATATTTGGAACTCTTGAAGTTCTAGCACTTTTACATTCATCTCCAAAATGACTATCCTCACCACAATTATAACATGACATGATAGGAAGATCAGTGATTTCCCCTTTCTTCAAAAGATAAGATCTCCAAATATTAGGACAATTCTCATCGTTATGGTTGAAAAGATCACACTGTTTACAATATTGTTTAACCTTTTGTTTACTCTTACAATCAATGGCCATATGACCTTTTTCATTACATCTGGAACAAATGAGAGTCTTGGGACAATGAGTTTCATAATGATCTCCAATAACACCACATTTGTGACAAACTACTGTTTTACATTTGGCTCTTATATGACCTCGTTTATGACAATTTATACAGATGGGGCCCAAACCTTTATCTGACTCCACTCCAAAATACCTTCCTCCTCCTCTAAGTTCAATCAACTCGTCGTTATTGTTATTGACTTGGTCAAAACTGGGGGCATCTATCTGTTCATCCATATTTTTCACTTTACTAATAGATTTGATCTTGATGTTTTATAAGTGTTTGCTACTATTTGTTACTTTGAAAGAATACTCTTTGTAGTCTATGTGATCTCTAAACGTTCAAAAGTAGTGACTCGGGCAGTTTTTAATGTGAACTCTAGGTACTTTTAAGATACCCTTTTTATGCAACAGAACGAGAAGAGAAGTGCGATGAGAAATCTGAGAACTTAGAGCTGACAAACACAATAGAATACATTGAGAGCTATTGCTTAGACGAACTAAAGAACATTTCTAACAATTTGTTCGTTAACTTGACCATCTAATGAATCATTTCCGGTAAAACTGATCGAACTTTTTAAATAATCTTGATGTTTTATAGCAGCTAAACAATAACATCCAGAAGAAATTGTAAATAAAATGGCTACTACGAGTAAACTAGTGGCTTGAACTAATAAAGACAAGTATTGAATGACCGCCATTAATAAGTAAAACCCACATCTTGGCCAATTTTCATCGAAATTCTTAATAAAGTTGGTAAAAGTATCGGTTAAAGGACAAATTCTTAATAAGAAAGGAATTTCAACAAAAACAACAACCAATCCTTGAACAATACAAATAATTGAAAATATAATAACTAATGATGCATGGAAGATATTAGCAACACCTAAAGCTAAACATAAGAAAATTGTTAATATACTGATCCATTGACCATATACGGAGAAATTTTTCTTTTTGAAATCGTTGGAGAACCCATTAAATATGTTGGAGAAAATTGATTGAACATTCATCTTAATTGATACTTATTCTCTTAATTCCAGGGATTGATGGGGATGATCGAACGTTTATATAGTGACTGTTGATTTTCGCACTGTGTCCCAAGTGCGACTTTTGCAACATCTCACATCATAAGCCATGGGACGAGAGACTGTTATAGGGTTGGTTGGGAAACCTAGTGCTGGGAAATCCACAACCTTGAACGCTTTGACCGATGCCAACGCCAAAATTGGAGCATTCCCTTTCACAACCATTGATCCCAATAAAGCGACGGGATATCTTGAAATTGAATGTGCTTGTAAAAAATTTGATGTCAGTGATAAATGTAAACCTACCTATGGATATTGTCAAAATGGAAAGAGAGGTGTACCTATAATGTTATTGGATGTAGCAGGATTGGTCCCTAATGCTCACCTTGGAAGAGGTTTGGGAAATAAGTTCTTAAGTGATTTAACTGAAGCTGATTGTTTAATTCATATAGTGGATGTTAGTGGTACTACTGACGCTGAGGGTAAAGCAACTAGAGGTTATGATCCATTACAGGATATAGAATGGTTACAAGATGAAATATTCAGGTGGATCTTGGGAAATTTGAAAGAAAAATGGGGCTCAATTGTTAGAAGACACATTGCTACTAAATCTTCTAGTGTGGAGACTTTAAGACAACAATTGGGTGGTTATTATGCTAATAAACAGACCATTCAAAAAACCTTGGACTTAATTCCTGATTTACCTCCTTTGAATGAATGGGATGATGAAATGATTGGAAATGTCATCAGAAAATTCATGGAAGTTAAATTCCCTACAGTTTTAGCTTTAAATAAGATGGATCATCCTGACAGTGATAAAAACGTTTCTAAGATCATACTAAAATACCCAGAATCCAAATGTATCTTAACATCATCCATTACCGAAATCTTATTGAGAAAACTTGCCAGTCAAAAATACATTCAATATGAATCAGGTACAGAATTCATTGACACCAAAGAAGATTTACCCGATTCAGACTTGAAACCTCTAGACGATAAATTAGCCAAAAGAATTGAAAATATCAGGGATTTGGTGTTATATAGATTTGGTTCTACAGGTGTTGTTCAATTGTTACAAGCGGCTGTTGATGTGCTTGATTTGATACCAGTGTATACTGTGAGAAATATTCACACCTTTACGGGAGCTTCTGGATCTGAAGTATTCAGGAACTGTAGTTTGGTGAAAAGGGGTACTTCAGTCATATCTATTGCTCGTAAGATAATGGGAGATGTTACCATTGCTGCTATTGAAACCGTTGGGGGAGTTAAGGTTGGTGAAGAAGATACTGTAGATGTTGGGAAAAATGATATTCTTTCGTTTAAGATTGTTCCTGGAGGTAATTAAGTGATTAAACATCATCAACCCTAGAAGATTTAGACCATTGGTGAAACCCCAGAAATCTACCTTGGTCGCACCTCTTGTATAGAAATATATCCGCACTCGGACCATGACTAAAGCTGTGAAGTTAAATAAGGAACAGGAGGGGAAACTCCAACAATTGATCGAGTCCATTCCTAAAATCCTCAAGAGACTTGACCACCCTGAATACGATGAGATTTTTGGCTACAGAATCAACACTGGAGAGCATGTAATTGAAGCCATCAGAGATGAAATCTTACTTAAGTTCTTGATTGCCAACAATTATGACGTTAATGTTACCATTGACAAATTAGTAGGGACAATGAACTGGAGATACGAATTCCAACCTTTGAGTGCTGCGTTTAATGAAACTTTTCCAAAAGAATTGAACGATTTGGGGGTAATAACTTCATTCCCTGAAGCCAAAGATAACTATAAAATCAGTACTTGGAACTTATACGGTAATATCAAAGACCCCAAATTACTATTCGAAGAGTATGGTGATAGTTCTAAGGTTAAAGGAAGTAGATTCTTGAGATGGAGGATTGGATTAATGGAACAGTCCCTTCTGTTGGCTCGATTTGACGATCCTACTAATCACAAGATAGCCCAAGTTCACGATTATAAAGGAGTTTCATTCTTTAGACCTGACAAAAATATGAGACAAGCTACCAAGGAAATCATTAAGATCTTTGGAGATAATTATCCTGAGCTTTTAACCACTAAATTTTTTGTCAATATCCCTAGTATTATGAGTTGGATGTTCAATTTTTTCACTAGTATTGGTATTATCTCCAAGGATACTTTGGATAAATTTAGACCACTCAATCATGGGAACTTAACCCAATGGTTCGATAAATCTTGGTTACCAAAACCTTATGGTGGAGAATTGAAAAGTATTTTCGACTTGAACGTTGAAGGTAAAATACCTGAATATGGTAAGATCATTCTCGAGAAATATAGCAAAGAATGGGCTAATGACATTTCATTATCTGTCGATTAAATATGTAAATATATAATAATATAGGCTTATTGACTCCAATACCATCGCCGCACTAAATTTCTCCCTAAATTTCCTCTCTGAGTGCCACCAAGTTGGTTCCTGAGATCAATCAATGTTTCGCACATCTTTACCAAACTAGGAATGAAGGATTTCTACAACATCCTAGGGATTCCTCCCACGGCAACGAAGGATGAAATATCCAGGAGTTTCAAAAAGTTGGCAGTAAAGTATCATCCTGATAAAACATCAGATCCAAAACACCATGATTTATTTATCGTCATAAACGAAGCTTACGAGACCTTAAAAGAAGAAGATACTCGAAAGAAATATGATAGAGAAATGGGAATAAATCGTCTCGATAACATCAATCCCAATATCTATACAGGTACAAGTAATGGATTCCCTACCTCCAATGGCAAAAATTCCAATAACTTTTTCACTCGTCATTTTGAACTGAGGTTCAGGAGTAACGATATATTCGAAGATAGAAGGGATACATGGGAGAAACTTCGAAAAGAAGCAGAAATGAAAGCTAGGAGGGAGAAAGAAAGACAGCTTCGGGAACAGGAACTCGAAAGAATGAGACGAGAGGAACGAAGGAAAGCTGAAGAATCAGCAAAGGCCACAAAAGCTGCAAAAGAAGATGCTGAGAAATTTAGGAAAGCAGCTGAAGAGGAGTTGGATCGTTTGAAGAATCAGAAACAAGAAGATAATGATATTTATAGTCAAAGGAAAAGACAGGCTTATACCGCTCGTTGGAATCAACCGTTCAAGACATTTTCTGATGATGTATTTCATTCTAAAAGCAGAGAGAGTCCTGACAGGCAAAAAGGGACAGAAAAGAATGATCCCATTATCATTGAAAGTGAGATTGAAGTTGACGTTGAAGAGCAAGATACTGAAGAACCAGAAACTGATGAACCCGGGATTGGGGGGACTTCTGAAGAATCCAATGAAAGCAGTGAGAATGGGAACAGTGCTAATGAATCACCTCCAAAGACCAACCACACACACCTGGATGATGATGTTGAAATAATAGATGACTCCGAAGTGAAACAAGAATTCAAAGAGAAACAAGAGTCCCCAAACTCAAGAAATGAGAACAAGAAACGTGAAGGAGAGGATGTTTTGAGAGAACTTTTCAAAAGACGTAAGAAAGACCCACAAAAGTCTTTCCTTTTCGATGATCTCAAGGATAGTTTGAAACCTAACATTGAAGATGTGGATTTCCAGGATCTTTTGAATAACCTTCAACAACAAACTGGGTCTAACACCAATGTTCATCCAAAACAAAATAAGAAACAGAAGGTTTCGGAATATTCAGACGGGACATCCAAAGCAGAAACTCTTTTCACTCCTATCAACAAGAAACAGTTCAAAAATCATACGGGTTTAACTATGATGGATTTCAATGCTAATAGTAAGGTTATGGAAATCTCACCACCTGAACCTCCAATGATTATTTTATCAGGTAATATGACCAAACCCGTTTGGGAAGGCTATGAAAAATCCATTAAGGATTACCAATTGGCTTTCCTCGAGTATAAGCGTAAAATTGTCACATACCAAATGGAAAGAGCCAGTAGAGATAAGGAATTGTTTGATATTGTAAATGAGGATTATTCAAACTTTGAAGTATACGAAAGATGTTTGGAACAAGATGCCAAGGTGTTGAAAAAGTATACGGAGTCAATGGTAATATTTCATGATACCATGAAGTTGTATAGATGTAATTATAATTGGAAAAGAATGACTAATATATTGGATTAGTGTATATAGAGTAATGAGATAATGATGAATTTTAATCGTACAACGGCTGCCAGTGCGTGGCACTAGGTCTCAGTCTTGATGGCATGGCGCGTGGTAGCATCGCGCGTGGTACAATAACCACTTGAACGCGAATTTTCAGATCTAGCACTATGAACAAGCAAAGACAGTTACTTCTTCTTGTGGGAGTGATATTCCATTTGTTCTATATCTGGTCTATCTTTGACATTTACTTTGTGTCACCTTTAGTCCATGGTATGGATCAACATGTGTCAAACGCCGAGCCTCCAGCAAAAAGATTGGTGTTGATAGTAGGTGATGGTTTGAGAGCTGATACTACGTTTAAAAAGGTTAAACATCCTAAAACTGGAGAAGAGGAATATTTGGCACCATTTTTAAGAGACAAGGTTTTGAATGAAGGAAGATTTGGGATTTCCAATACCAGAATGCCTACTGAATCTAGACCTGGTCATGTAGCCATGATTGCAGGATTCTATGAAGATGTCAGTGCTGTCACCAAAGGATGGAAAGAGAATCCTGTGGACTTTGATTCATTCTTTAACCAATCGACCCATACTTACTCCTTTGGGTCACCAGACATTCTTCCCATTTTCTCCATTGGTAATGTTGTTCCTGGAAGAATCGATTGTCATATGTATGGCCATGAGTTTGAAGATTTCACTGCCAATTCCATTGATTTAGATGCCTTCGTGTTTGATCATTTCAACCAACTTTTAGCTAATTCATCCACCAACCAAACCTTGAACGACGAATTGAATAAAGATGGTAACGTGTTCTTTTTACATTTGTTGGGTTTGGATACTGCTGGACATGCTTATAGACCCTATGCTGCAGAATATTTTGATAACTTAGCTTATGTTGATGATCAGTTGTCTAAATTAGTTCCTAAAATCAACGACTTCTTTGGTGATGATAAAACATCTTTTGTTTTCACAGCAGATCATGGAATGTCTGATTTCGGTTCTCATGGTGATGGACATCCTAATAACACCCGTACACCTTTAATAGCATGGGGTGCAGGAATCAATAAACCTAAAGTTGCCGATGGAACTGAATTGGCTGTACAGGATGCAGTTTTATCAGGTTATGAAGCTGATTATTTTGATACCTGGGATTTAGATCATTTAGTACGTACTGATGTTAAACAAGCAGATATTTCTCCATTGATGGCATATTTGATTGGTACAAATTATCCTAAGAATTCTGTAGGGGAGTTGCCTATGGATTACTTGTCAGACACGCCGATTTTGAAGATCAAAGGATTGTATCATAATGCATTAGCTTTAATCGAACAATATTACGTAAAAGAACAGGAAGTTTATGAACATCAATTCAAATTCAAACCTTTCAGACATTTCGAAAAGTATCCTATTGTGGAGTACACCCAAAGAATAGAGACTTTGATTCAATCATTGGAAAATGAATTCGATAGTGCCTCGGCAGAAGAAGTCATTAGATTATGTAAAGATTTAAGCACTCAATCATTGAATGGATTGAATTATTTACAAACCTATAATTGGTTATTCCTCAGAACTATCGTAACCTTAGGCTTTGTGGGATGGACATTATTTTCCTTTGTGATCTTCTTGAAAATCTTCATTTTAAAGTCATATGATGAATCACATTCTCCAGTATTGGGGGGTTTAGCCACTTTGGTTGGTCTGGTCGTATTTTACGTGTTATATTATCAAAATTCCCCCTTCAACTATTACATGTATGCTATCTTCCCAGTGTACTTTTGGTACAGTATTATCAATGACTTGAAAGTTTTCCTTCAAGGACTGGGGATCTTATTTGATAATATTAGTCCTTCCACCAAATTACTTCTCGTCATATCCTTCATTGGAATGTATGAGAGTATTGTTTATGGGTTCTTCAATAGAGTGATCTTCTCCTTCTTATTCATAATGATTGGTATATACCCAATATTTTTCGATGTTCCAATCTTGAATAAATTCATGTGGTTTGTTAGTTGTTGCATGATGACAATATTCCCTAACTTGAACCCCGTCAAGACCGAAGATATCAACCTTATCAATATAGGAACTGTTCTTAGTTTGATCATATCATTCGTGGGGATGAGGAAATTAAATTCGATCATTGATCCATATAGTAAATCATTATTGATTTTACAAAACATCTGTATTGGAGCTATGGTTGTTTTCACCAATATTTCCGTTGATTCCTTACAAAGACGTCAAGGTTTACCTTTGTACAGTCAAGTTATGAGTTGGATCATTTTTATTGTTTCGTTGATAGTCATTCCCACCCTTTACAGTTTGAAACCAAATAATAACTACAAGCTTAGATTACTCATTATCTTCTTGACGTTCATCCCGACATTCATCATTTTGACAATCTCCTTTGAAGTATTGTTCTACATTGGTTATTCTTTGGTTCTTTTACAATGGTTGTATATCGAACAAATCATCTATAACAAACTGAACTGGGTCCAAACTTTACGGGTTACCATCATTGGGTTCTTCTATTTACAATTATCGTTCTTTGGTATTGGAAATATTGCTTCCATCTCATCATTTTCCTTAGATTCAGTCTACAGGTTGATTCCTATTTTCGATCCTTTCCCAATGGGAGCTTTGCTTATGTTGAAATTAATCATTCCATATATCTTATTATCTTCATGCTTAGGAATTATGAATTACCAATTGAAGATTGAAAAATTCACCATTTCTACTTTGATCATTTCCACTTGTGATATTTTGTCCATCAATTTCTTCTACTTGGTCAGAACCGAAGGTTCTTGGTTAGATATAGGAACATCGATCTCGAATTATGTTTTAGCTATGTTGAGTAGTTTATTCATGTTAATCTTAGAGTTGGTCAGTTCAGTAGTTTTGAAAGGTGTGGAGTTCAATGATAACACAAGCTTGAAGAAGAAAAATCGATAGGTTTTAGATATTCATAAAAATTGTTTTTAAACAGATCTTAAATAAAAAAAGTAATGTACTCATATATTCTAACGTTAGGGAGACTTCTCGCTATTCGCACCGACACCTTCCGCCAAATGCGGCCATTCCAGTCAAAACCTCATTTTGTCTATCTTTTTCGCAGGTCTGAAAAATCTGCCAGTGAGTCAGATTCAAGATGGGAAAGCATGTTTTAATGATTGATAACTACGACTCGTTCACTTGGAACTTGTATCAGTTCTTGAACCAATCCAAGAACTGTAGTAAAGTGGACGTCTATAGAAATGATAAGATTGATATTGCTACAATTGAAGAAATGCTGCCTGATATTATCTTCATCAGTCCAGGTCCAGGACATCCTTCAACTGATGCCGGTATAAGTAAAGAAGTGATCGACCACTTCAAGGGAAGATTACCTATTGTTGGTGTATGTATGGGATTACAATGTATGTTCGAAGTTTTCGGTGGTGAAGTCAGTTATGCTGGAGAAATCGTTCATGGTAAGACTACTACCATAAAGCATGATTCCAAAGGAATGTTCAGTGGCGTTCCACAATCTGTTGCTGTTACTAGATACCATTCATTAGCAGGAACTTTAAAATCTTTACCAGATTGTTTACAAGTTACAGCCACTACTGAAACTCAACCTGAAATCATCATGGGTGTAAGACACAAAGAATATACTATTGAGGGTGTTCAATTTCATCCAGAATCCATTTTAACTGAATCGGGACAAATTATGATTGACAATATCTTGAACATCGAAGGTGGTAGATGGGTGGACAAACCTAAGAAGTCCGGGAAGAAAAATATCTTGGAAGAAATCTATACTCAAAGAAAAGAAGATTATAAGGAAATCGAACAATTACCAGGTAAATCCTTTGAAGAATTAGAGATTTATTTAGCTAATGGCTTAGCTCCACCATTAGTTAACTTTTACCAAAGATTGAAACATACCAAAGATGATGGCAAAAACATCATTTTAAGTGAATTCAAAAGAGCTTCACCTTCTAAAGGAATAATTAATATTAAAGCCAATCCTGTGACTCAAAGTTTGACTTATGCTCATAATGGATGTTCTACCATATCGGTATTAACAGAACCAAAATGGTTCAAGGGTTCTTTAGATGATTTGAAAACCATCAGAACTGCTATTGACAAGGTTCCTAATAGACCTGCTGTATTAAGAAAAGAATTCATTTTCAACAAATATCAAATCTTAGAAAGTAGATTGAGTGGTGCCGATACTGTTCTTTTGATTGTAAAAATGTTAGAACCTAAATTGTTATCTGAATTATATAACTATTCCTTATCATTGGGAATGAACCCATTAGTTGAGATTAACAATGACGAAGAATTGAAGGTCGCATTGACCTTGGAATCATCTGAGCCTTTGATCTTGGGTATTAACAACCGTAACTTAGTAAGTTTTGATGTCGATTTAAACACCACCACCAACTTATTATCCGACATAAGAAATAGTGGAAGGGAAATCATAGTATTAGCTTTATCAGGAATTACATCTACTAAAGATATTATAGACTATAAAAAGGATAAAGTAGATGGATTTTTGATTGGTGAAAGTTTGATGAGAGCTGAAGAGAGAGGTGAAGCCGATAGCTTCTTAAAACAATTATGTGACTGTTAATTTATATAGATATATACTTTTTTTTTGCCACAACTCTCGTTATCCTACATCGCACATATTTATAAAATCATATTACACCTTCGCGATATTTCTAACGCGTCATGGATACTACTGATACAAGAATCGACGGGACTTTATTACAAAGCAATCAAGGGAAGATTGTAAGAATTGTAGGAAAGTTAGACACTTTCGATGGTAATTCAGGGATCTTACAATCGAATGGTAATGTAGCATTAGATTTATCAAATGTTGATAGTAATATTGAAGTAAATAAGAATTTCGAAATCATTGGTAGAGTTACTGAAGGGTTAAAAGTTGTAGTATTTTCTGTTACAGATATAAGTGACAACTTCAACTTTGATAATTACTATAAGTTATGTAAATTTATAAATCAAGTACCTGAACTATTCTAAAGAGATATCTTGAATAATTGTTTGGAGATGGGTGTTGGCATTAAATATATAATCAACTGAGCAGTCCTATTTCTTCTATCAAAGAATCAAATCTAGATTCATTGGATTTGAATTTCCAGTTGGGTGTTTTTAAATTCATTGTTTTCAAATTCCCATAGGCTATAGCTAATCTATATAAGGACTCACTATTTTCATTCAATTTGTTGGTTCCAAAAAATATACAAAGATCCAAACTAGTGATTGATTTCTTTAATTGTAATACTGACAAATCATACACAAAAGTGGATAAATTGGTCAAAAATTGACTTGCATGTTTGTGTTCTTTTAAAGAATCTAACTTATCTTTTAACTCTGATAACAAATCTATCAAATAATGATTGAATTGTATATCACCATCCTCAGTTAAGAATATTTGAATGAATAAGACGGTGTCAACCAAATTACAAAGGAATTTGAGAAGCATCATCAATGAAGTTGGATTTTCTGATTTGCTTCCTTTCTCGATGAAAGCCAAGATTAATCGTGGCAAGTCTTCATCGCTTATGATGTCGGAGATTCCTAATTTTGGCACGAGTACTCTCAATATATCAAATCCAATGACATAACTAGATTCATCCCATGTGAATATCTCCTTAACTATAGTGTTGATAATTTCAAGAGACTCTTTACTGGAGACTTCAAATGTGAAAGGAACATCGATACTGTTGCCATTGGATTGGTTAAATTTAGTTAACCCTTTAACTAATTGGTCGTTCTTAAACTCATTAAATTTGATATATTCTGTAACTGGAAGGATGGTGAGGGGTCTTTTGGCTTTTTTATTTGGTGAACTGGCACCTACATCGTTGGTGATCACTGGGTCGGCTGCAGATTCGGTGATACTATGACCTTGTGTGTTTTTTTGAATGAAGTTAACCACTTCTTGTGTGTAAGTACTTGGAAGTTGGTTGTCAGCTAAGAATTTTTCTGCTGTATCATAAACATTGTCGGTAACATTGAATGGTAATTTCAATGGAGGTTTGCCATCTTCAATATCAACATCAAAAACGTAGTCATATTGTTTTCCATTGTGCGTCTTTTTCTCTGAGCCAGAAGCAGAAACAACATCCCCTATTTTGTTCCATTGATTGTTCGACCATTGATGAGCTTCGATGGTACCAACATGATTTTTGACCATGATTGTTTGACCTTCTTTACCTGGTTGTTCTAATCTATCATAACCAGGAACATCAGTTCTGTTTATATCCAAAGATTGCTCAGCAATAGTTGAATTCTTGATCGCTTCTTCTAACTCTTTTACTTCCTCGATATCAACTTTGTCAGTATCCGACGTGAAAACTCGAATAGAATTATCACTTGTACCTACTACAATATCATTGCCAACATTCGACAAACACCAATTAGAAATCGAAGGTAAAGTAATCACTTGAAGTAATTGAAAGTCTTTCCAGATTCTTACAGATCTGTCCTCACTGGAACTAACTAAATATCCATTTGGTAGTAAAACCATGTCGTAAATGAAAGACTCATGGCCCGACAAAGTGTGAAGTACTTGTCCTTGATAATTCCAAATTTTGATTGTACCGTCATTTGAACAAGAGGCGAAAGTTTGATCGTCCAAAGGTAAAATCTTCCTAACCACATCTTTATGACCCAGAAAAGTTTGAATAACCTTATCTTTATCCCACAACTTAATCAACTTGTCTGAAGAACAGGTCAAAAAAGTAGTTGGTGATACAATTATGGCATCCAAAACAGAATTTCCATTGTCTAAAGTGTAAATGGTTTCGAAATTGGAAACATCCCAAACTTTAGCAGTTCCATCCCAACTACTCGATATCAATAAGTTATTCTTTGAAAAAAGGGAACAAATGTTGTTCTGATGACCAATTAGATTGGATATGGTACCCACATCCACCTCTGTGTCATCAATTGAGTTGATAAATATAATGCAATCCTTACCACCACTTGCAATCAAACCTGATCCAATATTATCAATAGCATTGATAAATGAACCAGCTGACGAATTGAGAACAGTAGAAGGAATTTTACCCAGCCATTTCTTGACAGTACCATCTCTTGAGCATGAAATTATAGTATCATCGACAACAGTCAAGCCACGGACATCATTCGAATGGCCTCGTAAGGTTTTAGATATCTTAAACATTTGATGGCAATTTTTGTATGGTAGTTTGAGAAATATCGTATGGACATACGACACTTTCTAACGACATTAGTCACGTGAATATCTTTATGATAAACGAGTGGTGATAAACTGCAAGGGAAAATGTTCTATGCTTAGTCGAATATTACGTAAGCAGAACAAAAAATATATTCTTTTATGGGAATTAGATCACCTGTACGTAAAGAGACTATTTGAATGGTATATTATGCTCATACTCCACTAAAGGAATCATTTGGTGGTCAATACCTCAACGGTAGTAACATAAGTAGTAATATTTCCCTTTGGAACTGTAAAAGCTTGGCTCATTTTTCTATTTTCTTTTGCACATCACCATATTTCAATTCCAAAAGCTATTAATGCCCTCTCAGACAAACCCACCAATGATTTGAATCACCCTAATGATTCTGTAACCCCTTATAAATCCGATGTACTCCTTTTCCCGTTTACCTGAATCTCCCCTATTGGTTCCTTTCTCTAAATTTCATTTGCACACCCCCACGTGGGTCAAGCCTTGATATGCTCGAATTACATAATCAATCTCATCCAGAAAATTTTGTCACACGATAGGATACTTCATTTGTATTTGACATTGACAGTTCTTTTTCTTAGTCTATCGTTCAGTTATAGGTACTTTCTAGGTGTAAAAGTACTAAAAAATCAGCATTTTTTTGAAGGACAAGTTTAGAAGGTTTACCAGACAATAATCTAAACTTCACTTATATAAAAATTCAAACCTTCGTTCGAGAAGTATTTTAGTTTTATTTACTAGTATTGGGTTTCTTTTTTGCAGCTTCAGCATATAAGAACTTTATAAGAGTTTTATAGACAACCAAAAAACTTATTTACATAAAATTTCCATCATTAATCAAAGGTTTTTGATAGCTTACGGTCCACAAGAGAACATATTAGATAACATCAACACAAATGAAATTCCATCAAAGTTTGAAATTTAACTCCGTCCCTGATTGGCAAGATCATTATATCGATTATGATAGTTTGAAGAAAGTCATCTATAATTTACAAAAAAAACAATTAGATTTAGGTATTGAATTCAAAGAACATCATGATATGTTCACTGATTTGATCGTTTCTAAATCCCATTCTTCTGCCTCCAATTCATCGGATTTAGAAACTGGCGAAAAGTCCGATGATGTGCATATCCACACCACCGATGAATTCAACCCTTTAAGTGAATTTGGTAAGGAAATTTTGAAAGAAGTTGAAAAATTGAATCAATTTTATTCTGTCAAGAGTGAAGAGATCACTGCTGAATTCAATGATTTAGTCAAAGATTTACAAAGTTTGGACCAGAACATTTTTAACTTCATTAAACATCAAAAAGAAAACAAAATCAGTAGAGTCAATACTAATGTTATTACTGAAGAAGAAGACATTGATAATATCGACTCATCAGATGATGATGAAGATAATTATCAATCTTCAATCTTATTAAATCACAAAGACATGAAATTACAAAAAAGCATCAATTTGAAACAAAGATGTAAAATCATCTTCATTAAATTGAACGAATTGAAATCTTTCATCGAGTTAAATAAAATTGGTTTCATCAAAATTACCAAGAAATTTGATAAAAATTTGAACTATAGAATCAAGGAAAATGTGGATGATTATTTGACTACTTCAGACACCATTTTCAACTGTTTCACTTTAGAAGCTATCAATGAAAAAATTGGTAAGGTTGTTAACGGATTCGTTTTCATCTCTTTCAAGTTGGACCACTCCAAAAATGTTGATTCAGTTATATTTGAATTGAACAGTTATCTTAGAGATCATATTATCTGGGAAAGAAACACTGTTTGGAAGGATTTATTATCCTTACAAAACAAAAAACAAGATTTCTCCTTGAATTCCAACTTGTTGAACTTAAGAGTAAAAAATTACAAGATCCCATTCACTAGTAAACATGTCAAATTACCTCAATCTTTGGTTAGTTGGCAGATATTCAAACTCATTTTGATTATCGTTGTTTTCGTTATCTTGCTTACTGTTCGTACCTTTGCTGATAAAGTACAAGCCAGAGCTTTGGCTGTGTTAGTTGCTGCCGCTATGTTATGGGCTTCAGAAGCTTTACCTTTATATACCACTGCCATGTTGATTCCTTTATTGATTGTTACTTGTAAGATTTTGAAAGATGAAGATGGTAATGCTATGGATGCCGCCGATGCATCATCAACTATCTTAGCTTCCATGTGGAATTCTGTCATCACTATCTTGGTCGGTGGTTTTACCTTGGCTGCTGGTTTATCTAAGTACAATATTGCAAAAGTCATTTCTTCGTGGATCTTGGCCGGTGTGGGTGTCAAACCAAGATATATCTTGTTAACCATTATGTTGATTGCATTATTCTTAGCTATGTGGATTTCTAATGTTGCTACTCCAATTTTATGTTATTCATTAATCCAACAAGTGTTGAAAACCATTCCAACTGATTCTCCTTTTGCTCAAGCTTTGGTTTTAGGAATTGCTTTAGCTTCGAATATGGCTGGTATGTCTTCCCCAATCGCTTCTCCTCAAAATGTCATTGGTATTCAACAGATGAGTCCAAATCCAGGTTGGGGTAATTGGTTTGCTGTTGCATTACCTGTATCCATTATTGGTACTGTTTTGATTTGGTTATTCCTCATTTTGACTTTCAAAATCAATACTACTAAGATCAAACCATTTCAACCAATTAAAGATCCTTGGACCACCAAGCAAATTTTCATCATGATCGTTACTGTCGCCACCATTTTATTATGGTGTGTTGAATCCAACATTGAATCTACTTTTGGTTCCGGTGGTATTATCGCTATCGTTCCAGTTATATTATTCTTTGGTACTGGATTGTTAAAGACCGAAGATTTGAATAACTTCCCATGGTCTATCGTTTTGTTGGCCATGGGTGGTCAAGCTTTGGGTAAGGGTATCTCATCATCTGGTTTATTATCCACCATTGCCTTATCATTACAAAAGAAAATCTTTGATTATAATGTTTGGGTAATTTTAATCATTTTCGGTATCGTTACTTTAGTTTTCGCAACTTTTGTCTCTCATACCGTTGCTGCATTGATTATCATTCCTTTAGTTAAAGAGGTCGGTGAAAATTTACCAGAAAACCATGCCAATTTATTGGTTATGGCAACATCTTTACTTGCATCAGCTGCTATGGGTTTACCAACTTCAGGTTTCCCCAATGTTACAGCTATTTCTATGACTGATGAATTGGGTAGAAGGTATTTGACTGTCAATACATTCATCAATAGAGGGGTCCCAGCTTCTATTATTGCTTTTATTGTCGTTATTACTATTGGTTATGGTATCATGAATGCTTTGAATTTCTAATATATATGTTTAAATGCTCTTTTTCCGAAGGTATTATTATTTATTGGTATCGTATACATCTAATTACATCAATTTGGACCGAATAAACCGTCTTCTAAGTCCTTATAAACCCCATTATTCTCCATCCTGTGTAATAATCTGGCTAATGGTGGCTCCCAAGTAGGATTGGTCAAAAGCCATTGTAAACCATCACTCAAGATACCTGTTTTTTTAGCATCTTGGTAATATTTGTTGGTATCAAAGTTTAAAACACCATTATTATATAACCCTACTACTAATTTGGGGATCATAGAAGTAATAGTGGTATTCTGTAAAACGTCCATTATCAATGGACCTGCAATCCCTGTTCTTGAAATACTGTTTACCACAGAATTAAGACTTGTTGAAACTAATGATGACTGTAAAACTCCGTTCACCAAATTATTCAAGAATTCTGAAGCACTTCCGTTATTATCGTCTCTTTCATCCAAAAGGATAGCGTCTCTCAAATTCAAAACAATTTGTTTTGAAGCTGATGAATTATATTTTGGATTCAAATTAGGGGTGTTCTTAATGGTATTAGCAAGCATGTCGATGGTTAAGTCTTGACCAGCACCCAAATTATTCAAAATTTGCCCAACCCAAACATTTCTCACTAATTGACCACCTAAAGTATCAGCCAAAATCTTATTATTGGTATCATTCATCAACAAATAAGTAGCAGCTGATTGAATCAACTTACTCTCCAATACAGCATCCATAATAGCAGTGAAATTTAGGGAGATATCAAAATTATCAAAATTAACTGTTTCTCCATTTAATAAATTGGTGGTCAAATTGACTAAAGCACTGATTTGAGTATCATCAGATGAAATCTCGTACAAAACGTCAGTTATGAGACCAGAATTATATAAATTAACCACCAAAGCATCTAATGTACTATTTTCATCCCTTTTCCAAATGGTTTTGTCATTAATGAACTTATAGGAATCAATCAATTGTTCATATCTCATATTGCCTTGAGGATCCAACACATCCACCCATTCACATGACACTGTTATAAAAAAGAATATTAAATATAAAACGTTCATTTTTATCGTTAGTATAATGAAAGTCAATAGTTGTTTAGATATTACTTCCTCAACAGTTTTATACTTAAAGTGGAGATGACTTTTATTATATCATGAGAAAAACACCCGTACACCAAAGTGAGCGTTTAGGGAAAATTCATTTACACTTTTCCCAAATAGGAAATTTTGTCTATATGAAAAAATCAAACTTCCTGTTTAGGAAAAGTAATTGAATTGGCAATATTTGCAGCCATTTTAGGAGATTCCTTTAAAAGATGGGAATCTCCACTTATAACTTAATTCACTCTTTGATCATATAAAATTCAGAAGATAGCATCTAACACATACACTTAGCATCACTAGAAGAGAAACAAAATCACAATCATGAATTTATTTTGGTTGTTCTTTATAGTATGCGTTAGATCGATGATCATCCCAAGCGAGATTGACTTGGAAGAAGTCTTTCCAGAGAATGTATTAGAATCAGAACACATGGAAGTATTATACGAATTTTATGACGAATTACAAGACAAGTTAAGCAAAAGAGACACTGAATCAACCATCGAAAGTTTAATTGAATTGTTGAATAGTTCAGGGATAGTTTGGACTGTTTTGAACTATGCTGCTGATCATGAAAATGTCATTGACTTGTTGACGAATTACACTGGTGGATTCCTTGAAAATGCTATTTCAGGCAATAAGACTGAATCATCAGATAATTCTGGTAGCACCATAGGTAATTTGGTTTCCGGCATTGCTGATACCGTGGATCTTGGTGCCCTTGGTAATATGGTACTTGATAGTGGGTTGGTCAAAAGCTTATTAGATGGTTTGTTATTAGATGAAAACTTTAGACCTCACTTATCTGATATTATCTATAACGTCGTTGAAAAAAACATGAACTTGATAGCTATCATAGCCAACAACTTGTTGAAACCTGCTCAAAATAAAGAATTGTTAGCTAGAGATTTACAAGAACATGAAAACTTCAAGAGAGCTTTATCTGACTCCATTACCCAGTTAATCGGTAACTTGGGAGGGGCATTGTTGAATTCTCAACTTTTTTACTCAGGCTTAAATGATACTTTGATTGCCTTGAACGATACAAACTTCCTTGTTTACACTGTTCAGAAATTTTTATCCACCCCTGAATATCTTAATTTGACTGGGGAATTACTTACTCAAACTATCAGTAAGTCGGGTATTAATATTCTTACATTACAATCGACCATTTCATCTTTGGCTTCCAGAATCAACATCACAGAAATTGTTGCAGGTGCATTGGGTGATACTCAAGCAATTACTTCGTTATTGGGAAGCTTATTATCTGGTGAAGGAGCTCAATTAACAGGTTTCTTGAAACGTTACATCCCTGGTATCAAAGCTATCGTAAATGATTTAGAGGACAAAGGACTTTTCGTAGACTTGAATAATCGATTGTTTCCTTCCAGTTCACCCTCATCTACTTCCTCAGCTTCATCAAGCAATAAAAAAGCTGAAAATACAGAAATTTCTGTTATTCTGGATTCAGGTTCCAGTTCAACATTCAATGGTTTAATCCTTTTCCAAACCATTGTCTACAGTTTACTATTCTTCATTTAATACCAATCTTCAATATATGTATTTTAACAGGTCAATTTTGGTCTTTATGTACTCTCCCTTCTATCTATCTTTTGGTGCCAAAATCCTAACAGAAGAGATTATGAAAAGTCGCGATGCATGAAGTCCCCAGATTAACCCAGTCGGTACCCAATTCTCCTATAGAATCCCCAGTTGGGACTCCTGACTCCTACAAATCACCGATCCTTTCCAGATCCTTTCATCAAGATTTACAGAGCATATATGAAGATGACATTTTCGAAGGAGGCTTGAAACCACCAAGGAAGAATTCATCCAATTCCATAATCAGAAAAGTAAAGAAATGGATAGCTAAGAAACCCAAAGTTGATCCTTACAAGATAGAATATTCAATCTTAAGCAATAACAATTTTGATGAGCCCATTCCCGTGATACCTTTCAAGGAGAACCACTATTCTTTGAGTGATTTCAATAAGTTGATAAATCAAATTTTGAGAAGCATAGATAAATTTCCTCCTCAAAGGATATCCAAAGGTTCTAGTGGTAGTTACTTTGTTTACATGGAAGATGTGAATCCTTTTGAACCGGTTATAATAGGAGTTTTCAAACCAAAGTCAGAGGAACCTTACGGGCCCTTATCACCCAAATGGCAGAAATGGATTCATAGAACTTTTTTCCCATGGTTTTTCGGTCGTGGTTGTCTATTATCAAACCAAGGTTATATTTCAGAAGCAAGTGCAAGCTACATTGATCAGATGCTTCTCAGTTTCATAGTCCCCTACACTGATATCATATATTTGAAATCGTCATCATTTTATTACGGTTTCTGGACAAGAATATCTTCTCATCCTATCACCTGGAAGATTGGCTCGTTCCAAGTATTCTTAAATGGGTACATAGGAGCAGACGAGTGGTTCAAAGTCTACCCTCTCTCTGATTTTGATTATTTGGAGGATGATTATGTGAGCAATGAAAAGGACTTCAAATGGAGCAAGAGGAATTTAATACAATTTCAAGAGGAATTGGAAAAGCTCGTGATCCTAGATTATCTCATAAGGAACACGGACAGAGGATTAGATAATTGGATGATCAAGTGCGAGTGGGTTGCAGATGGAGGAAGCTTCAGGCCGTTTTTAAAGATTGGTGCTATTGATTCTGGTTTGGCATTTCCTTGGAAGCACCCGAATGAATGGCGATCGTTTCCTTACGGCTGGTTATTCTTGCCCTCTTCTTTGGTGGGACAACCTTTCTCTAATCCCACTAGACTACATTACCAAAAACTATTAACTTCCAAGAATTGGTGGGAGAATACCATCACAGGATGGAAAAAGATTAGTCAAAAAGATTCAAATTTCAGTGAAAAATACTTCAGAAGACAAGTTTCCATTATGAAGGGACAGGCATTCAACATCATTAAGATTTTCAATTCCAATGGATCGCCTATGGATTTGTCGAAATGCCAGCCGGTGGTTATTTGGGATGACTTTATTGATGTTCCCGAAGTAAATGAGGAAACAGATCTTTTGAGAACAAAGAAAGGAATTGTAGAAAGGATGGAATTAATCGAAGGCAAGCCCTTCTTCTCCGGGTGTTAATGTATATATTCTATTAATCTAACTTAAGCTCATGAAAATCGAAAACCTCGAAGTTCTCTTCGGTACTCTCAAACAAAGGAACTGCCTCTATCAAATTCAATTCAAATTTTCCTATCTCTAGAGTTCCCATGTTCGGGTGTTTGCCGTTATTTTTTGAAAGTCCCGTATTGAAAGTATGATGAAGGACCTTTTCCATTATAGAAAGAACCTGGTTCACTGCTTTACAAAGACTCTCTAAGGCGTCTTTGTTTTCAAGGTCTGTGTAATACAGATCATACAATTTGTCTATTAATAATGCTGTGAACAAGTCCCCCACACCTGTGAAATACCCATCTATTATTGGGATTTTAAATCCCTTAATACTCTCGTTTCCTTGGGCGGCGACTAGACAGTAAATGAATTCTCCCACCTGATAGCTAGTGATAACGACAAACTTGATTTTTCGTTTCAAGTTTTCAATAGCTAGTATCAATTGATCGTGGTCTTGTATCTTACTGTCGGTCAACAATTCCAATTCGAAGTGGTTAGGAGTAATAATGTCGACCTTGACTTCATTAAGTAGTTCCCTATACAGATCAACACAACTTGGATCTACATAAAGCTGGCCCTCATCGCCTAATATTGGGTCAAGAAGATATACTCTGTGATTGTTGAGTAAATAATCTTTTAATTGATCTACCACCGAACTGTTAGGCAAGTAACCTGTAATCAAAAAGGATGAAGGTGGTGAATCGAGTAACTTTTTGAGAAGCTCGTTAGATATGACTGATCCTTTGAAAATTCCATATCCAGTATGATTGGAATAATTAACTGTGTTCAAATTGTCCACTTCCCATCCTTTTATCTGCAACGGGAACACTATAGCTTTGTTTCCTACATATCCGTGTATCACATGGGACGAGATGGTTAACACCGATTTCTCCATTGAGCGTGAGATAAAACTGAGAACTTTGTTATCGAAATCTAAGAACTGTCGCTTGCTTATGTAATCAAGAAAGGGTTAAAAAAGATAGGGTCAAAAAAGATAGGGCCATTCAATTTTCCACAAACTTGGAAGCCCTCGGCTAATAATTGGTTATCAAGACTGGAATAATCATGATGGGTGGCGCCCGCCCTGTATTGTACCACTAACTAATCTAAACCTCATTTATGCAAATAGCCTCATTGAACTTTTGGGGCCACCACAGGCACTCTCCAAACAAAATAAGACAATTAGACGATTAATCTGACTATATGATTATTCCCAAGTTTGATTCACTATCGAATCATGCAAACCACAGACGAAAAAATATTTCGCTTTAAAACACGGCTGTTCCAAATTAAGGACAGGCTCAAAATAGTGATATTTGAACATCGATGATCCAACAAGGATAGCTGTTATGGAAAAAAATTCACCTTCTGATAATTCGCAAAGATGGTTTCACCAACCCTCTCGAATGATAAACGGAGTAAACGTTATCTGTCCGCTACGTGTTGATAACTAATTCCTTCCTAAATTTCACCCAATAGGTAGTTTCGGTAACTTCATCTGTATAGTCTCCAAAAACTTCCACAACTCTATTACAGATTAATTACAATTAAAGTGCAAATTCCTATCTATTCATCCTGCGAAGGGCCCAAAGAGGGATGTTACAATCTTAAAGAAGAAAGTCCCGGAATGTTGTTTTTCCTTCACCAAATTGAACAATAGAGACAGTTAATCAAAAAAGGGTTCCGCCAGCGGAATTTGATGACAATTACCAAAGTCACCCCTTTTTGGTGCAATAAAGAACCCTTTTCGTAAAAAAAAAACCAAAGAAGCGGTTCGAATTTCCTTTTACTCGTAAAAAACGATGGTGTCGCCTATTGTTCTATTTTTACAAAATACCCTCCTTTCGACTTTTCTTACATTTACGAACCCTTATTTCATTTCAGTTAGAGGAATCGCAACAAAGCTCATAAGTGACGTAATATAAGAGTTAGACAGAGGACAAATTACATTCAAAGAATCGAATCTTTCATCAACTGCTACCTTGGCTTTCTAATCATTCCATATCTATTATGTTCACATGGTTACAATTAATCAGTTTATTGTTGTTGTTTTTTTGTGAAATCTCTATTGTTTATGGCAATGCAACATTTTTTACAAGTTAACTATTTTAAGAAATATTTTGTTACGTGTTAACAAATTCCTGCGTTCTGGCCATATGCACTATTTCCAAGGTTTTTCTCTCACCTCATTTTATCCAATGGCGCACGACGGGGGTAAAAATATTTAAATGATTGAAATCCGCACTTGAAATTCATCCATACAATAAACAAGAAATGAACTCAAAATCAATTTTACCACCAAGGAAAAGAGCTAAAACAAAGGAAGAGAAGGAACAAAGAAGAGTCGAAAGAATATTGAGAAATAGAAGAGCTGCACATGCATCTAGAGAGAAGAAAAGGAAATATGTTGAACATTTAGAAAGTCATATTAAAGCTTTGACTGTTAATTTGGAAAAATTCCAAAAAAACCAAGAGCTTTTAATAAGTAAGTTAAATGATTCAAAAATTTCTGTCCCAAACTTGAATAAAATCGAACTTGGTTTACCAGAATTCAAATTCGATAATAAGAAGTTTATAAAGACTAATCTCAGTAAAGATGTTGATGATAATGATCTTGATCTTGATAATGATGATGATATTGAATCGGTCAATGAATACCAAGAGGCTATTCCAGAAATAGACTATGACCATGATGATCACCATGACAAACAATCATATGATCAAGATCAACCTATTGACCAACCAGTTCACTATACCTCAAGTTCAGATTCTAATTCTTCAAATTCTTTTATTGAAACTCCCGAATTACTCAATGAGAATTTAAATTTTATTAATTATTTATCACCTGTTTCAATTAATTCTCCTTCACCGATCGATTTATCGTTGTATAATCCAATTGAGTACAACTCAGAAGTAGTTGTATAATTCTTTCTTGTTTATTGGATCATTTAGTTTTTTAATCATTAATTTGATTAATTTTTTTCCTTGGTGGTGGGCCTGCAGTGCCAGTTGATTATTCATTCGATAAATTTGGTGATTATTTTATTAGTTGAATTGCGCTCCCTACGGTTGAGCGACGGGATAGGTTATGGTAATATATATGTTTTCTTTGAATTGCTCTCGTTTCCAAACAGGTTTAAAACGTTATTTTAGAGACCTCGGATTTCAAATCAAACTCTCTAGTATATAGTATATGATTCTGATCTGTGATATCCCAACGGCTTCAATCACGTCAAGCGTTCATCAATTCCTGGAATAGGCCGACTGCTGTATACAGTAAAGCTTACTGTCAATTATTGTGTACAAAGGTAAAGTCCAGACGTTATCTTACTGGTTTAAGATGTATCATCGTATGTCATATAAATCCACTGAGAATTCTAAATTTGGCAAAAATCGCAATGATAACAGATTTATCCTTAGACACAATTGAAACAATATGTTTCTATCTACAAGCTGAGGACATATTCAGCCTATCAATGACATGCAAATCCATCTATTCATCCTTGCAATCTTCTACGATCTACAAAATGCTTTATTTAAAGAAATTCAACTACAGTTCGAATCAACTTGGTGGTAATTGGATTGATAGATTCAAATTGAGGACGTCCCCTTCAAAATTGTTCACATGGGGGTCCACTGATTTAGGAAGATTAGGTTATATGATAAGAGACGTTCCTCCAGAGAAGTTAACATCGAATAGAAATGTCAAGTTACCTCATAATCTTACCAATTTCAATGATTTAATTATCACAGATTTAAAATCTAATGGTTTCAGCTTCCAGATCTTGACGAACCAAGGACTTTTTTTCAGTGGAAATGACTACAAAAGAAGGGTGAATGCCTCCCCTGGACCTAGAGATAGTGATTACAGAAAAAGAATGGAATTAACAGGTCCAGTGGGAGTTTTTCCTCCCCTTGGAAGGATTGGCGGTGGTCCTAGGATTCTTCCCATAAACCATCAACCAATAGAGACTGGCTCTGCGCATAGATTGCAAGGTGATGAGTTCTCGTCTCCTCCGCCAACAACTGCCCCTCCTCGCCAAACAAATCCTAACTTGAGAAGACCTCCTGACCAGATACCGGAATTGAGAGAATTTCAATCCCAGGTGACCAAGCATGATCAACAGTCGGAGAAAGTCAGGAAAATAGAATCAAATTTCATCACCAAATTGGACACTCAAGGAAGCAAAATAATATCAATTTCTTCCGGTAGAATGCATTTCATAGGATTAAGTGATGACAACAAATTGTACACCTGGGATACAGGTAATGTCGATTTGAAAGGTATTTTACTCTCGTTCCCTGGTCTTGATAATCCCATCATATCTAAGATCAAGAGTGGTTGGAATTTGTCTTCCTTTTACACGAAGGGTAAATTGATAGTTTGGTTCAGTAGACAGCCGATTACTGAGGAACAAGTTCAACAAAATGATTTTTCTTCCAAATGTAACTACTGGATTATTAACGACCCCAGAAATGAAATCATTGATTGGTATTTGGGTCCTGATTTCATTATTGTTTTGAAAAAGGATGGTGTTTGGGGGAAGAAAGTCGATGTGGGTCATTACTACCACAATATCGAGGGTCACAGCTCTTTGGAAGAGCTCACTACACTCTCTGGTTTCAATTATTGGTTAAAAACTTATAATTCAAATGGTACAAATATTGTTTATTCCAAGATTACTGGAGGTTTTAAAAATTTTGCAATATTCACTTCGGACCAAAGAGTCTTGATAGGAGACAGTACGTTCATTGATGATGAGATAACGAGTCTCGAGGACCTAGATGATCCCAAAAAACCAAAGGAGATACCCCTCGATGATATTGTAGAGATGGAAATTGGAGATTATCATTACCTAGCTTTAAATTCGAATAGTGAGCTTTTCTCATGGGGATTGAATTCCAATAATTGTGGGTGCTTAGGTATAGGCGATGTTGAGGGTGAAATTAAAGAGCCCACTAAGATAGATGGAAAATGGATTGTGATTACAGCTGCTGGTTGGCATTCAGGCGGTATTCAAACTGCTTAGCAATAACGAGTCACTCCGAATGACCTTTGAATGTATTAATCGAAGCTTCTGGATAATTCTTATTCTCTCCTTATTTTCTGTACAATTGACAGTGGTCATCCGTCATCAGATGATACGTGTTACTATTTCATACATGACTGCAAAAAAAAAGGTAAAGGGGTGCACCGATGGCGCGTATCCGGGTAATATTTGCGTCACTTAAAAATAAACGATACAATCACTGATAAAATTTATCATCTCAGAAGTAGAAGAAATAACACAATCAATAAACCTCTTTGGTAAACATACTTCATTATCAATAACATCAAATACAACATGGAATTTCCAAGTCATAAGGATAACTTAGATGTTAAAGATTTTTCACCTTCACAAACTCGTCAAAGGCGTTCTTCTTCAATAATTCAACATTTAGAACCCGATAATCAGGATACCAAGATAGATCAGCAATTGAATCCAAATGTCAATGCTAATTGGGTACATTACAAAGGTGCCTGGACTGTTCATTTTGTAATCATCATACTTTTGAAAGTATTCTTTAATTTTATTACAGTATTGGATAATAACTGGAAATGGACTTTGGTTAATTTGACTTATTGTATTGGATCGTACATCATGTTCCACCAAGTAAAAGGGACCCCTTTCGAATTCAACAACGGAGCTTATGACAACTTAACTATGTGGGAGCAAATCGATAATGGTGATCAATATACACCAGCCAAAAAGTTTTTGATGTCAGTCCCTATCTTCCTATTTTTAATTTCAACTCATTATGCAAATTATAATTTAAACTTATTTATTTTGAATGGTGTAAGTTGCTTATGTGTTGTTGTTCCAAAATTGGCTATCAGTCATAGATTAAGAGTCACATTGTATTGAGTAAACAGATAAGAGTAAATTCATAGATTCACAACATTTTGTATTATGTTTGTGTTCTATGATAGGTCGGTATATAGATCCGAGAAGCATTTCAGAACGTACAACGATGGCACAAGTTTACTTTATAATCATTGCAAATAATAGTCAATTCACGAATAGGACTCATTTCAATCCTTTATGTTAATGTATAGAATTAATGATCCCTCACTCTGTTCCCAGTATCCCGTTCCTTTTAGCTTTATTACAGCCTATCAAAGCTATGGGTTGTGACTTAAGCCCATTTGCTCCTTAAAGATCTCCCCGTATAAGATGAGTCGTGTGTCGTATAAATCAAAATCCGGGTAATTGTAACCACTAACCCCATGAATCGTTCTTTCACGTGATCTGACTCTGTTAAATTAAGTCCTCATTCTCATATAAATTGCAAGCTTTATCCCAGTGATATCTTAAGATTTAAATTAATTAAAACATGCCTTATAGTTTAAGTGAAGAACACAGAAAATTGACCGAAAGTCATTTATCTGAATTTGATCCTGAAGTCGACCAAATCATCAAAGACGAAATTGAAAGACAAAAACATTCAATTGTTTTAATTGCATCAGAAAATTTCACCACCACTTCTGTTTTCGATGCTTTAGGAACTCCAATGTGTAACAAATATAGTGAAGGTTACCCAGGAGCTAGATATTACGGTGGTAATGAACATATCGACAGGATGGAATTATTGTGTCAAGACAGAGCTTTAAAGGCTTTTAATGTTACTTCCGATAAATGGGGTGTCAACGTTCAAACTTTATCTGGTTCTCCAGCTAATTTACAAGTTTACCAAGCTTTGATCAAACCTCATGAAAGATTGATGGGTTTGGATTTACCTCATGGTGGACATTTATCTCATGGTTACCAAACCGACTCAAGAAAGATATCTGCCGTCTCAACTTATTTCGAAACCATGCCTTATAGAGTTGATTTGGAAACTGGCTTAATTGATTACGATATGTTAGAAAAAACTGCTTTGTTATTCAGACCAAAGATCTTAGTTGCCGGTACATCTGCTTATTGTAGATTAATTGACTATAAAAGAATGAGAGAAATTGCTGACAAAGTTGGTGCCTACTTGATTGTCGATATGGCTCATATCTCTGGTTTAATTGCTGCTGGTGTTATCCCATCACCATTCGAATATGCTGACGTTGTTACCACCACCACTCATAAATCATTGAGAGGTCCAAGAGGTGCTATGATCTTCTTCAGAAGAGGTGTTAGATCAATCAACCCAAAAAACGGTGAAGAAATCTTATACGATTTGGAAAATCCAATTAATTTCTCTGTCTTCCCAGGACACCAAGGTGGTCCTCATAATCATACCATCTCAGCTTTAGCTACCGCTTTAAAACAAGCTGCTACCCCAGAATTCAAAGAATACCAAACTCAAGTTTTGAAAAATGCTAAAATCTTAGAATCTGAATTTATCAACAAAGGTTACCAATTAGTTTCAAACGGTACTGACTCCCACATGGTTTTATTATCTTTAAGAGACAAAAAGATCGATGGTGCCAGAGTCGAAAGTGTTTGTGAAAAGATCAATATCGCATTAAACAAAAACTCCATTCCAGGAGATAAATCTGCTTTGGTTCCAGGAGGAATCAGAATCGGTGCTCCAGCCATGACCACTAGAGGTTTAGGTGAAGAAGATTTCAAGAAAATTGTTCACTACATCGATAGTGCTATAAAAATCGCTAAGAGTATCCAGGATGGTTTACCTAAATCTGCCAATAAGTTGAAAGATTTCAAAAATACCGTTTTCAATGTTGAAAACCAAGATTTGATCAATTTGAAGAATGAGATTAGTGCTTGGGCTGGTGACTTCCCATTAGCAACCTAATTGGATTCTTTGAATCAACTGAGACTTAAATCCCAGTCTCCCCAATTCTTACTTAACTAAGAATATGAGTTACGTCTATTTTTCAACCAAATAGTTAAACTATATTGTTTCAATAAAAAATATCTATTTCTAACTATCGTAAATCTATTACCGAATTTTCAAATTATACCATGTTTTCTGAAAAACTGCTCAAGCTCCTCCGAAGCCGCCATTTTTTTTAAATCACTTTCGTCAAATACTTCTCCATTGAAGAAGATGCTAGGAACCCATTTTCTTCCTACAATTTCAGTGAAACCTGACTGAAGATTATCAGCTTCGGTTTGATCTTCAAATTTGTCTAGTTCAATGATATGCACTTTTCCTTTAACGCCGAACTTATCAAAAATTGAGTAAGCGTATTGGCAATCGGGGCACCATGTTTTTGACAACATGAGGTACTTGTTGTTGGCTATTAATTCTTTTGCTTTGGCAGTATAATCAGTCATCTTCAAGATTCGGAATGAGAGTTCTTCTGGGTTGAGATAAATTATCTCTTTGACGACATAATCCTCACATGTCCTAATGTCTCTCTCTCTCTTCACACAACGGAGCATCACACGACCACATCATATGATCTGGAAAACCTTATCAACTGATGCACCAGTCATTCACGCTCTTATGCTGTCATATTAGTATGTTATGCCGACGCTTGTTGACTTGTTTGGAAAATTTTTAATCCGAATAAATTTCCTCCAAGATCTCCCCATCTTCTCCATTCTCTCCGGATTATTATTTATACCTCACTGCAGCCCGAAGGTCGAGAAATTTTCAAATACCCCCTAGGTTCTATCAGATTATATTACTGCAATTCAGATTTCTAAGTATACTAGACTATGGAACCTCAATTGAAGACCGTAATTGACAAAGTTGTTGCAGAATTTGCAATAAGCGATGAGTTTTTAAGAAAAGCAACCGATAAGTTCATTGCTTCAATGGATCATGGTTTGGCATCAGGTCCTTCAAAAGAACACATGCCTATGATCCCTACCTACGTTACAGATATTCCCAATGGTAAAGAGGAAGGATTGTTTTTGGCAGGTGACTTGGGTGGAACGAATTTCAGAGTTTGCTCCATTAACTTGAAAGGTGACCACACTTTTGACTTGAAACAATCAAAATACAAAATCCCTTTGGACTTAATGAAAAACTCGACATCTGATGAGTTGTTCAGCTATTTGGCTGCAAAAGTGGAAGCTTTTTTGGAAGAGCACCACAAAGATTACAAAGATAATGATCATTTGAAGTTGGGGTTCACCTTTTCCTTCCCTGTGTACCAGACTAGTTTGAATAGAGGTACGTTGATTAGATGGACCAAAGGCTTTGATTTACCTGATTTAGTTGACAAAGACGTTGTAGAGTTATTCCAGAAACATATCGAATTGAAAAAGATCAAAGTGAATGTTGTCGCTCTTGCAAATGATACTGTGGGTACGTTGTTGTCAAGAGCTTATTCGAATAACCCTGACGTTACCAAATCAAATACCATTGTTGGTGCAATCTTTGGTACGGGTACTAATGGAGCTTATTTCGAGACATTTGACAGAATCCCAAAATTAGATTCCTCAAAATTCAAAGGCAAAGGTATGGTGATTAACACAGAATGGGGTTCATTCGACAATAATTTAACTATTCTCCCAAACACTAAATATGATGAGATAGTCGATAAGGAAACAGCCAATGTAGGTTATCATTTGTTTGAGAAAAGAGTGAGTGGTATGTTCCTAGGTGAAATTTTAAGGGTAACCTTAATTGAATTGTTCAAGGAAGATCACATTTTTGTCGATTTATACAAGAAAAGGGGTGGTTCTTTACCTCATAGATTGTCTGAACCTTGGCAAATTGATGGTGAGGTTTTATCTTATATCCAAATCGATGACTCAACCGACTTGAAGATGTCTGAGTTGGTTTTACAAAATCATTTAAGATTACCTACCACCAAACAGGAAAGATTGGTAATTCAAGCTTTGACCAGAGCCATTTCCCATAGAGCTGCTTACTTGTCTGCTGTGCCTTTAGCTGCTATCACTAAGAGAGTTGCCCCTCAATACGAAAATGACGATAAGGATTTCGAATTTGGTCTCGACGGATCCGTCATCGAATTCTATCCAGGGTTTCAACAAGCCGTTATGGAGGCTATTAAGATCATAGATCCTTTGAAGGGCTCTCCAAAGCAAATACATTTAAAAATTGCCAAAGACGGTAGTGGTGTCGGGGCAGCCTTATGTGCAAGTACCGCCAAATAGATTTTGAATCTTTTCCAACCTCACAGGTTAATCAATTGTATTTCGAAAATGTACATTTCTAACTAACAAGAATTCATTGAATTTTATTTGTGACTCTCTTTATCGATAAAATCTGCAACCATATAGTGTCGTCATTTTCATCCGTTAAACTACCTACAAACGAGGTAAAATCATAATCTGATAAAGCATTCTTTATGGTATCAATTATAACTCTATCTTTGGAGAATGCCTCGTACACTTTTGGTGGAGGATTAGACGTGATAAATGAGAAGAATAATTTGTGCACTTTCAAAAGCCTCCAAGAGTAGAAGTATCTCTTTGAAAGATATTTGAAAAAATTCAAAAAAACTTCACTAGCTTTCACTATCAAATCATGAAGCTCACCTTCAACCTTAGATAATATCATGAAGTTAACAATAACCATTTTGTTCATCAAGGCCTGGATTGATTGTATCAAAATAAATTTGTTCATGCTATTTTTAGTCGATAGGAATAGTTGACTAACAATCGGTAATATCTGCTCGTAAATTATCTTCACTAAGAGTCTGAGGATTGTTGAAGACAGTTGAACTTTATTGTTCCTGATGTAAACCTGAAATATGAGGTAATAAGCTGCTATCAACATGCCTGCGTGTTGAAAGAAAAATTTTAGCTTAAAGTTCTTGTAATAGTATTTACTCGACTCACTATGCAAGATGTCCTTATATGCTTTATTGACCTCCGTTAAAGAGTCAAAATGCCTTTCGACGTCCCTTCTCAAATCATTAAGTTTGAAAGTTTTTCCTATTGTGTAGATCGAAACTGGAATTTTCTTGAATCTCTCTCCAGATCCAAGCATCAACATCACTGTCTTTTCTACGTTGTAGTCCTTGTGGTTGCTATTGGACATATCATTGTGGAGACGTGGCGCTTTCACGTCAGCGTCGAATTTAGCTATATTCGTGGTATTTCCAGACGACAAAATCGGAAGAAAATCATTCACCAACGTGAAGAACCAAAGTTTTCTTCTCAAATTGAAAATCCTACCATCTTCTTCACCGGGATACACATATTGCGGGTCTCTGTGTAATCTCAAGTGATAAGCTTTTTGCAGTAATAAAGTCCCAAAAAAGTTAGACATATTCAGATCTAGACTTTCCCCAAATTCGGGTCCTTGTGACTGATAGTTTCTCAAGAATAAGATCAACTGGTAGAATTCCAAGTCGTTGTTAGTGACAACGTTGAATTGGTTAACTATATGAACAACAAATTCAGTCAAATCTAGGCCCCGCTGATTATCATTGAAATCTTGGGATTCGGAATAATATGATACTTGCAAGATGAGTAGTAGCAATCCGACCGTGTAGAGCTGTTTTTTTGCAGTGAGTCGAAGGATCGTCTGGCCTGTGAAGTCTTTAATCACAATACGTGAAATTTCGTTTCTGAAGTCCTGTTCATCGACGAATGGAAAAAATACGCAAACCTTACTAAAGAAGCAATCGACCAAAGCTGAAACTTTTGTGAAAGTTGGTAAATTTATTTCAATTCTCTTAATCAAGTCTCCGCAGCTAGCTATGTTCTCGTCCGATTGTTGTATCAAATCTATGTTTAGTTTGATGTCTTTTTGCAATGAACTATCGTAGATGAGATTGAATTCTTCAAAATTTTGTAGTCTCGACCAAACCTTTCCTAGCTCCCCATCTATTTTATATAATGCGTTCCATGTATAGGGACCATAGAATTGATGGTCTTTATCCACTGGGTTGAACAAGTCGAAAAAATTTGTTTCTATGTCCTCGTCATCTTCAAATTCAACAGAATGAGAAGTAGCGTCGAATCTATCAGTTGCAACGTTCCCTTGTGATCTGGTCACGGTATCTGATTCATAGCGACTTAAGATTTCATCTGTTTCTGGGTCGAAGCTCTCTCCCGGTCTATTGTTCAACGAAGGTGAATGGGATCGTAATATATTCTCCGGGGTGTCATTTTCTGGACCTCCCACCCATTCGTTGTGATTTGGTGTATTATGCCTTGGTATTGATTTTACTTTCCTTACTTCTTTACTTAATGATTCAATCCTTGTTGATAGATTCTGTAATAAATCAATGAAATTCTCTTTTCGTAATGAACTTTCGTCACAAGCTGAGCCACATAAATCCTTTTTGTATTTTACACATGATGAGCAAGGAATGTTTCTATCACATTTTATTTTTCGCTGCTTGCAAAAGCTACATGCGTTGGTTAATCTCTCCATCTGACGCACCCTCGCTTTTTGGCAATGAGAAAACATTAGCCACCTTGATAAGGATGTGGACTCTGATTTACAAAATGACATAATGTAATGCTTTTGTTTCTTCCCAATATGAGCAACCTCCCTTCACATCTCTAATTTAGGATTCTCTGACCACGCTTCTTCACAGGCAATATTTGATTTTTTTTGTATCTTTTGCAAATTTTATAAATTCTGTAAGAGTCTTGGTGAATAACTGAAATAAAGAATTTTTAATCTTAAATCTATTACAATGCAAATAATTTCTGTCACCCGAACATTCAAAGAGGTTGAAATGGATAGTCAAACAAGAAGCATAGTCTGTGTCTCTCAAGTAAAACGAATCAAGACTGCTCACTAGGTTTTTTGTGATCTTTTGAATTCAAATTTCATTTCACCTATCCAAGTGATCGGACTGAATATGTTTTTACACACCCCTCATATAAATACCCAACACATGTTAGTTGAATCAAACCTCAAAAGTCTTAATTGTCAAAATTACGAAGAGGATCACAAAATAAAAAATGCTTATTAAATCCTAACTGAAGTCAACAAAAACTCAAAATTATGGGACAACCACAGATGGAAGCAGCTAGCTTGAGAAACTTCCTCAAAGCTGGAACAGTCAACGAAAAAGAAACTGCAGCTTTTGCCGTAACAATTATTCTGAATATATGTCTCAACAATTTATGAAACCTAATCAACTATATAAATCATGTGAGTTAATTATATATCTTTTCAAGTTGCGAATCAAAAGACATTGACCTGACTTCACATGGATTGAAATCGGTCCAATGAGAGTATGTCTCAAGAATGAACCAACTACAATCCTATAGTAAATAAGCTTCAGTAAGAGAAGCGAAAAGAACTCTATTTTCGGCAGTAAGAACTTGGTGCAGTAATACCTATATAAACTATTCCCAAATGTTGTTTGTGCAATGATAAAATAAACTGACATGAAAGACTACTTCCATTAGAGACTACAAAGGGAATTAGAGATCGACACAACATACTTGTTTACAAAATACAGGACTGGAATATAAAGTTTGGGGATTGATGTATCAGGGGGAATTCCCTTCTAATCTAATATGTATGAGAATCACCAAAGGCCCACAGGATCTTTTAGATATGAAAGCAGAAACCAGGTTTGACCGAGTGTGAACATTAGTTACATCCTGATCGAATGGGGCAACTACGAACTACAGCATGATTAGTATACATAGCATAACTCTAAAATACCAAGGTAAAATCTATTTAGGTTTGAAAGTATCAGATGAGCCAAATTTAGAGCTAACCTACAAGAGATAGAATCTAAAACAAGCTTTCATAAACCATAGTGATCACAACTTATTCAAATCAAAAGTGGTACTTACTACCTAAGGCTAAGATTTAAGGAGGAAGGACTGTAGCCTTTTCCTATCAAGGAAATACTAAGGATACCATTTTGGGTGCGTTAAATGATGCGGTTAACAAAAATGACATGGTCAAAATCAGTAGGTTAGTTAGTGAGATGAAAACTTTATTCATTGATACAGCTTGTTTGAAACCTACTCCTACATGATTAAACTGATCAATCATCACAATGTAGACAAACTTATGAGGGTGATGGATAAATTCGGCTGTTAGGGGTTTGATAAAGCTTACAAGGATTGGGTTTGTTCAATGTGCTCGGGAAGTGATAGTAATCTGTTACCCATGTGTGTTGATAAACAAATAATTAAAACTATCGGTGAAGTATTAAAAATTAAAAAAGCTATTGGAAGATTTTTATTCCTTTCTTAAACAATACTCATTGTTTGAATCAAAATGGCCAATGAACCAACTACATAAGAAAATTCGTAGCTGCTTACGCTGCTGGAAAGCGAGATAGCCATCTAGTAATGTCTGGCTATATGACTGTATCGTTTTATTATAAGTTGAAGACTAGGTTGAACTATTTCATGAATAGGTAGGTAGAGAAAATTCATCAAAAATTGATTACATTCTTTTCACATGATCATGAGGGTAACACTGCCGATAACCAGATTTTGGGAGATCATCTGAGGCCCGTCTACTCTTATCAGGATTCAACTTGAACTCTAAGCACAGCCAGTACATTTACTAATTCCTTCCCTTCACAAAACAGGAGATGAAATAAAGAAGAATGTACTGTAATTAGCGGTAGAGATACTTCAACAACGGGTTTAGGAGCATCAGAGATCAGAGACTGGCACAGCGGCAGATGAAGCAGCACCAGTTTTAGTAGTAGTGCCAGTGTTTGTGAGTGTTCCTCTCTTGTAAAGTCTCCAAATGCAACAGAAACCTAAGGTCAAGTTTCACAAACCGGAAAAATCCTTGAAAGAACCTAACTTAAAATATATTGTTTTGCTGAATTACATCTAGCTAGTTGTTTTATACCCTAATTTCATCCCACATGTGGATTTCTGCATCCCTGTTTTCTTAACCTTCGTATCCATAAACAAATAGTCTGTTCCTCAGATGTTCGTAATTTTCTGTTTATAAAATGATTTCGTAATTAACAGAACTCATTTCAATATCCATGTATGTCTGTATGTTAAATTAAAATTTTGAAATATTTAAGTGATGCACGAGAGAGCTAATGCAGAATAGATATATTATTTATATCACTCCGCCAATTTCATTACTTATTAAGTTCTTTGTTTGAGAAAAGCAAGCTGTAAGCATCTTGATATTCGGGAGCTTCAAGATGGATGTGACGTACATGTTGATTCATTTTTGACGGATCCCCATCACTAACCTGATAGCAAATAACCTCTCTACTTCTTTGAACTATGATTTCACCTATCACCATTCTGTTTGCTTATGCATTTTGGATCGTCTTGGAGAGATGGAAGGCATTTTTAAACATATTGAAAGAGCTATTCATAATATATTCAAAGGTGTTCGAATTTTAAATATGCTAATCAAAGAGTTATCCGGGTCCATTGATGATTATAAACTCAACTCATTGTTTTGGAGATTTCAATGAGCCTATGCACTTAGTCGGGATACTGGCGACAAAGAAATGAGTGGTTGAGCCTTATTTAAACGTTATGTAAGATCTTCGAATCGTGGTCTTCGAGTAAGAGGTGTATGTAGCGATAACTGCTAGCAATGTGACTCTTAGTGGTTATTTTTGAGACACAGTTTACAATTTTGCTTGTTATTGATCAAAAATTCAGTATATGCTCGTTGACGATATAGATAATTGATTTTTTTTTCTTCAACATTGTTAGAGAGATTGATTGAAGAGGTTGATTTCTGTATTTTTATAATGTTCAGACCAATCTGCTTTTCGATACCTCTTTCCAAGTTGTGCATCTTTCTCCGGATTTTGACACAATCAAGTATAACATCGTCGATCTTAAATTTAATTTGACTCGCGGTGTTACGTCGTTGTACGTTTTGTATCTTTAGGAAGCATGTTTTATTCGAGGGATAATTCAATACCGGTAAGGTTTTGTTTAGTGGTCAAAGAAGGATCTTTCTTTTTTGCCTTTTTGTGAACACTCATACGTATTTATGCATATAATTCTTGCATGATTTGAAATCCTATTGTCATACCTACATTTAGATTTGATATTCACGATCTTTGACTGTCAATGATTCGTCACTAGTTTGTTTATGATCGTCAAATTAAAAGTTTTGTGATTCCCTTCTCTTTTATTAACAACCCGAGACTGATTTTTCTGGACTGTAAGTAATATAACATCTTTTTGGTGCCATATTTGTCTCTGAGATTCGTATGGAGGTGGTCAGACTTGCGGAATATGATATATTTATAGTGGATGTAAACCAATTCGGGTTTCGTGGATTATGGAGAAATGGTTGATTTTGTCTCTCATGTCGTTCGATGGCTGTGTTACGACTTGAACTATGTAAAATGTACGCCGTGAGAGGTAGAAAGTGACTGCATTTCTTCAAATCTGTTATGGATAGAAAAAAGGTTCAATTTTTCTGAACTACTGAATATTTATTCGAACCAAAGGAACGTATAGAGATTTTGGTATATGGGGACTAAACAATTGAGAATATGATTATCAATACTAATGTTGTCGTGTGTATCTATTTGGGGTTTTGAAATAATCTACTAAATGTGTGTACGTCTGTTCCCAGCTACAAAAATCATGAAAATTGCGAAATGTATTGATATGAGAGTTAAATAACTTTGCGAAAAGAATCTCAAAATTATATGGTAGAGATGGAAATCGTAAAATTAATGACATCCTTCATAAAACTTGCTGGTTGTGCATTATGACATAAAGTTATGTGGGGTACACGGTTGAAGAGCCCAGTCGATTCAACCAGCCCCACCAGGGTATATGTTGTTATTTAAATTGTAATATGGTTGGCGGTACGTTATCACCTGGTTTGAACCACAAAGACTACCAAGCTTGGCACCTGATCCTAGCGCAGGTTCGCTATTCTTCGAAAAATCTCCGCAGCTCCCCGTTAATCCTCCGCAAGCACTTGCTTTATCAACCGCTGTTCCACAAACACCATTCTTATATAGTCTTAGATGACAAAGATCGTCTTTTTGAGCTGGTAAAATTGGATTAGTGATGAAGCTCAATTCCTTTAGGTACATATCATCGTCCCATGGTAAAGGTTGAGTGTGATCGTCTTCATACTTCTTCCAGATATACCTTCTTAAGTGATTTCTACGATCAGTATTGACCAAGACAGAATTATGAGTGCTTATATGAGTTAACGAATACAATTCATTTTCGACTAGCGAGGCTTTAGTAGAAGGTTTTCTCTTCAATTTGTTCAAGAGCCCTCTTTTTTTTATTCTATTCAAAGAACAAAAGTAACACAAGCAGATAGAATAGTTTTCACCATATGCATTTTCGAAAGCCTTGCACGTTTCATCGAAACCGTAAGTTAATCTGTTCTCCTCGATTTTATCGTTATGATCAATAAATCTACCGATTCTTTGAGTTGTGTACTCGTAGTAAGAAGGATGGTTCAATTGGTGTGTGTGCCATACAAGGTCTATGTCTAAGGTCGGAATTAGACACACCTGAGAGTTTTTGACGAGATTCATGAATTTGAGATACCTGTCGATCGAGTTAATGACAGTTACCTCTATGAACTGAGAATGTAGCCAGTCAAGAAGAACCATTTTTTTGATGAACCTCTCTTGCCTAATCACACATGCAACTAAATCCTCATGTATATGGAAAGTGGAAGAGCTAACAGGTATTGTGGATGAAATGCAATTAAGCTCAAAATAATCTCTGAAAATGAGCCAGTCAAATTTGCCAAAATACTTGTAGAAAGTATCACAAAATTCTACCAACTGTATATTTTTGAAGGGTCCTTCATTAACACTAACAATTTTTCGAATTGATTTGTCAGCCTGCACCATTGAATCGTCGACTCGGTTCAAGGACGAAGAGTAGTACTTGTATATGGAAGGTAGCAACTTGCTGTTATTACTGTAATCGTTGAAAAATTTCCTGGTCCTCAACTGTGTATGTGTTATCTCCGAATTGAACCCACAGCAAGGATAAGATATTATTTTGAAGTCCTTATCAGCAAAACCAGAATTTTGATCGTTAGTCAATTTGCAGTCTTCAAATTTCTTGGAGCAAAGTATACAAAAGACAGGCAAGTCAATAGTAAATGGGTCAAAAGGTTGGTAAGAATTGAAGTTTGTGGGTTCTTCCATCTGTGTCAGGATCATGAAATCCTCTACAAGCTTGGTATATGCATCGCTGAATTCAATGGAAGGGATGAAAATGAACTTTTCGTTTGAAATACTTTGATTTATCCTCACGAGAGGAAATGGATAACGAACGAACAGTATCAAATTGTTATATTGAAAATTGTCAAAGAAAGATTTGGGATTTAAACAGAAAGAATGCCAAACAAGTATGACATCTATAGGAGGTAGTAATCCATCCATAAAATCGGAAAACCTTTTTCTAAATTTTGGATCTTCACTGTTTGGCAGGTCCATGAATTTGAACTTTAAAGCACTAACAAAAATCACAAACCTTCTGACAGCCATTGTGATGTAGCATTGCCAAAGTTTTTCTCTTTCTTGCTCATTATCAATACCTTGAACGGTTGATTTTCTCAATTCCTCGAAAGAGTGGAGTAATTTCAAGTGAGCGGCAACCTGAAATCTATCGGGAAACTCAGAGTTATCTAATAACTCATCACCCACTAATTTGATGAACTGGTTAGACTTTCCATTGTGATTACCACCATAAACATTTGCTTTACTGGTTCCTTTTGACATTTTTATTGTGCACTCTAGGTGTCAAAAAAAAGCGAGGGAGGGGTACCACGATATCCTAATGATATCTCTAGATGACCGTCTGCTCCCAGGTTTGGTCAAAATCTTAAGAAATTCGGAAATTGCAGATCTATTCAAAAGTGCTATCTCTCACATAGCGTCGACCACTCGAGTTGATTGTTATGTCAAGATCTCTTCTGGTGGAATTTTAACTCCTTTTGATTGCAATTCAATGAAATCTTCTATCAGACTAGCTCTTCCATAATTATCCTCCACCATAGTGTTTAATTGATCAGGTATTTCAGTCGCCTGTGCAGGGATTAAGTGTCAAATCTTTCACATTTGCAGCCACCTCATCCCGGGGTTGGAGACGCGGAGATTCTAGGAATAGTTAACAATTTTGTTTTGACACCACCAGGACTGCTTAGTTGGAGGGGAAAAACCGTAAGCAAGCCGACCGCTGAAGAATTCCGATACAAAATTGGGAAAATTCCGACATTGACCGTTGAATATTACTCGTTATTTGCTACATGATAATGACTACATCATCGAAACGGTCCAGTAGAAGCAAATTTGGAGATGGGATGGATTAAGACAGAATACCAGAACCATGTCAAGAGGCATGGTCTCCAATTTTTTAGCTTTGACTCAACTCTGAAGAGGAATTGAAACTCCGTTATCAAGTACTCAATGCTCGAAAAAGTTTTCTCTATAAAACGATAAGCATCCCCGTTTGAAAAACAAGCATGTCTACTCAAAAGAAAGTTCAATATCCGTATGTATTAATTTTGAGTCACAGATGATACAAGCTTCCCATGGGTAGATACAACTCTAGCCGAAGTAAAGATCTAGAATTTGTAGATTCCGCTGGAAGAGATGAGATGGATTTGATTTGGAGTCATAATCGATACTAACATTTCAGATTTTGGTACGGAGGAGCCAGTTCCATGGCTGCATGTTTGGTCACTCATCCTTTAGACTTGGCTAAAGTCAGATTACAAACAGCTTCCAAAAGAGGTCAATCGTTGGGATCAATGGTATATCAAATTATCACTAAAGAAGGTTTCTTCAAAATTTACTCAGGTTTGACTGCATCATTATTGAGACAAGGAACGTATTCAACCGTAAGATTCGGAGTGTATGAATTCATGAAGGATAGTTACGTGGAGAAATACCAGACCGCTCCCTCAACAATGGCCTTATTACCTATGTCAATGATTGCTGGTGGTTTAGGTGGATTAGTGGGTAATCCTTCAGATGTGGTTAATATTAGAATGCAAAATGATTCTACCTTGCCTATGGATCAGAGAAGAAACTATAGGAACGCTTTCGACGGTATCATCAGAATCGTCAGAGAAGAAAATGTGTCTTCTTTGTTCAGAGGATTAGGACCTAATTTGATCAGGGGTGTATTGATGACCGCTTCACAAGTCGTCACTTACGATATTGCCAAAAACTTCTTAGTTGGAACTTTTGGTCTTGATGCATCAAAGAAATCGACTCATTTTTCATCGTCTTTATTAGCTGGTTTGGTTGCCACAACCGTCTGTTCACCCGCTGACGTTGTCAAAACCAGAATCATGAACGCAGCCGGGGGACAAAGTCCAGTCGAAGTCTTGACTACGGCACTTAAAACTGAAGGTCCTGCTTTCATGTTCAGGGGTTGGTTACCATCGTTCATAAGATTGGGTCCACACACTATCGTTACATTCTTGGTTTTAGAACAATTAAGAAAATTCAAAATTGGTATGTAATTTCACACTCCTGAACCTTGAACATTTTTTCCCTTTTAATCATCATTTATAGAGGTTTGTTTACTGTATATTTATTCAAACTATATGCAATTAATAGAATTTTTCAATTTAAAAAATACTCATTATGATAACTATTCGCTTCATTATATTCTGTTCAAACTCTCCAGTCTCAACGAATCTAAATATTAGTCGATGTTAGTTTATTTGGTTTTTACTTCGATGTTGTCTAATTCAGCTTTTTCAAAAGCTTCTTTTTCAGCTTCTAAAATGTATGGAATTAAATAATCATCATCTTCCTCAGCTTTGACAGCTTTGTTTGGTGGTAATAAGTCATTGGATAATGATAATTGATGGGCAGTAATCAATCTGTACACTCTTGAGTAGCTTAAATCGGCTGGTAATCTTGAGATAGCTTTTTGCATAACTGGTGTTTCTTCTAATAATAAATCGTTGAATTTTAATCCCATTTCTCTATAACCTGCGTATTTGGCAAATGCTTTAGCAGCTGGAACAAAAACTTTAGCTAAAGTTGGTCTTGAAAGAATGAAGTTAGATACTTTAACTATTGATGTAACTGATTGCATGTTAGTTGATTTGAAAATTTCGATGGTGAAAAATGCGAATTCTTTTGGCTCTAATTGGCCCCGTGTTGACTTCCAATTTGGGAAGTTCATCAGGGCCAAGGCGAGCATAGCTATCATTAGTTGCTGTGAGAAATCTGCGAACAGTTGGAACCGATTTAATTAAGAGATAAAATACTGCGTGCTGCATGTATTTTGTTTTTGTCTGGCAGAGCTTTTGCAATTCTATAGAAGTGTATATTTGATTTAATAATGGTATTCGTCAGACTCTTGCCCAGACGTGTTTGGAAAACCAACAGATTTCCAAACAGCTTCTGGGGTATCCTCCTTGACTGTCTCCAATAATTCATCATTTTTAAACAAGAATAATCCCAAAATTCCACAAGAGTTTATACCCAAGTCCTTATATTTCCCATGCGATCTGGGAACAATCATCATATAATCGGTCGTGAAAACCACATTGTAGCTGATTGATTCAGATTTATTTTCTCTCAAAACAGTCAAGGTTCTTTGCAATAATGACATGAAGTACATGATTAAATCTTCTTCCACCATGTCATCCAATGAAGGAAATTTGGCGATGAAATGAGCAAACGGCAAGTTGGCATTTTGCAAGGGTTCTCTTTTGGTGTTTGGGATAAAAGCGTCCGACTTTTCGATAATAGTTTCCGGGAAAGCCTTGAAACCTTCTGGTAAAGTCATGAACTGCACATGTTTGTGAGGTTGTGAAGCACCACTGTCCTCTCCGCAATTATAAAAACCAAACCACTTATTATTAGGGTCAACCTCCTCCAATTTCTTCAAAATGGTGAAACTTCCAACCAATTCATCAGGAGATAATGGTGTGGTTTGAGGTTTGAATTGTTTGGTCAACAACATGATGTGTCTTGGTATTACAGGAAATTTGTTGTAGACAATTCTAAACTGGTTTTTATCACCAAAATTTTCAACGATGGTCAACTCAGGTTCGGGATCTTCGAAAGGATTAGCCTTGAAATCACCCTTTTCAGGTCTATGCATCAATGAGTATATGGTGCTGTATTGTAAATTTACAGTAAAATTTCCCAAGTTGACTTCGAGCAATTCATTCTTAACATCGTCACCGTTAAATTTCATCAAACCATCAGCGAGTGCTTGATCATACCTTGAATGTAACAATTCGAAAAAATTGTCTGGGAGTGGGAAAAACATGAATTTTTGATTGCTGAATCTTCACAATTATAAAGAGATTGGTGATGCAAGAATATATTCTATAAATCGCGCCTACAAACTTTTCACAAAAATTATTTACACTCCAACTTCTAAAACTCTGATCCTCTCTAGAAACGGAGAGTATCACCAAATTTACGAGGATATATATATATTCGACGATATAACTATCTCTTTTTGAACCAACTTATGAATCTGTGGGACTTTGAAGATTTGATAGAACAGTTATCGTCAATTGAAATCTTGGGGGTCAAGTCTAGACCGAAAGAAAAAGATTTTGACTTTCTATGATGACTTGGAGACTTCAAATTAGATACTTCCCTTTTCTTGAAAGGGGGTATTTTGGTCTCTTTGAATAATTTCGATTCTTGTGGAGTCAAGGGCCTTCTGCCTTTGAAAGCCGAAGAATTATCTTTCAATGACAAATTTGGAGAATTTTGAACAGTTTTGAGATCTTCCACTTCCCCACTCACAACTATTGAAGGTGGAGACTGTTCTGGGAATAAAGACTGGTGACTTATTGTGGAATGGTCAGTTTGAATAGTACCATTAGTTGATATTATAGTTGATCCGGCATCTGAAATAATACTAATTGGACTATTGGAAATTTTCAATGATGATGGAGATGCTTCAGATTTTTCTTTGAGCTTTCTCTGTGGTGTTGAACTAGTCTGACTCGTGGCGATGTTTACATTGTTAGGTTGCGATGTGTGATGAGAAGTTGAATTGTTGGACGAAACAAGACTAGGCGGTGGAGATAATTTGTTGATTTCATACTTTCTCAAGTCACCATAGCGATGAAATTTTGGCAAGGGCCTATTCGACTTCAAGCTCGGTAAACTTGAAGAATGAGCTAACCTGGTATCTTTTAATTTTAGAACATTATTATTTAAGTGGGGTGATTGTGAATGGAAAACCTGCAGCGATTGCTGATTCAACAGACCATGATTACTGGTGCTATGATTCAAATTTTGGAGTGACTGATTGGGAGAATTCGATTTGATGAGATTGACACTCTCAGACGATGAAACTTTCAATGCGGTAGATACCTTGTGAGTTTGATCATAGAATGATTGGTATCTGTTGGCTTTTGCCCCAGACCTCTTAGGGGTGGTATTATTTGTGAGGAAATTCGAGTTGTTCGAATCCTTTGAAGAATTTGAAAAAGTTTTTTCGATTAATTTATTCTTCAACGACGAAGTTGAAGAATTTGCCGATGAGTTGCAATACAAGTCAGGGATGTTTGGCGGATGATAAATTTCATCCATGGTCAATGCTTCGTCATGTGTTCCAGATGTATCATGAATGCCATGATGGTGATCGGTTTCTTCATCACTTACTTCAATATCATCATTAGTTTCTTGTATTGGTTGTTGAAATAAAGTATTGGGTAAAGACACCGATGGAGAAAAAGCATAAGGTGAGGAAACTGGTTTCAAAAAAGGTGAAGCCAAAAATTCGTCATCCGAATAAATGGAATTGTTTGAATTAGAACACTCATTATTACCAATGTGTAAATTAGCATTCAAAACCTCATCTAAATCAATCAATGCATCTGGAATATCATTAGTAATGGTAGTGTCATCCGTTAAAAAGAACTTGTTCCTTAAATTGCCCGATTTTTTTGAGTTCAATTTGATAGGCGAATTTAAATTTAATTTTTTAGAATTAGGTGAATTGGTAAAATGATTTCTGGGAGGTGTTGAAACATCACCCTTTTCAAACCTTTCGAATATTTTTTCCCTTGGAAAAGAAAAACTCACATCTGTTCTCTCTTTGTTGGGAAATGCAAAAGAATTAGTCGGAGCAAAATCTTTCTCGTTATCGAACTTATAAAGTCTATCGATTTCATCTTTGGAATTGATGGACTTCGAATAATTATGACTACTAGGAGAAAACAACCCTAAACCCATAGCATCAAAATCCCCCGAAATTGCTTGAGATCTTCGATGACGATGACTTCTTTCATTGGGTGTCACAGACAAATAAGATGGATTTGGAAGTGAACTCATATTGAAACTGGACTGTGGAAAGTATGAAATAAATGAAATGAATGAACAGGGTAAAAACCAACTTTAAAATAATGATACAGGGAACCCCGAAGAAATAAAAGAATCAAATGAATGGACGCTAATTACTTAGCAGATAAAACTAAAGTTTTTGACACCCCGGACAATTCTAGGTGTATAAAATTTCTAAAAGTTATCAACCTTGAAACCTTATTATTTCTTTCAATAGTAATGATAGTATTAACAAGGGTACCTTCCTGAAAACTACAAATGGTACTAAAGCTTCAAGTCAAAGACTAGGGATAAAAAAAAATTAAAGTCTTCTCTGAGATTGCGACTCAAAATTTTTCTTATGCAAAAGTGGTTAAATTCAAGACGAGTGAAATTCGGAAGTTAAACAAAAAGAGTAGAGGGGCATAAATTAGAAATGTTGGGACGGTTAAACAATACCTTAAACAATAGGTTTTTAAAGTTATTGGTAAAAAATCTCTCTTGTTCTGCCAAAAGGGGTTTACTGGTTTATTAGGTGTCAAATACTTGTCCTTCAACATAAGGTCTAGTTGGGTTTTCCGTTCCCCTTGGAGGAAAGTAAGCTTATCTCGCAGATGGGATTCCATTTAATGAGACGTGTCTTATTAAAGTTTCATTTTGAGTTTCGAAAGTGTAGATACCAGTTCCCCCTGCAAGTTTATTTTTCTAACCCTAAACGTCTGATTATATAATTAAAAAGCCAATTATTATTTAATGCTATCAAGATAGTCTCCTATATTGATAAGTGTGGGTTGTAAACACGATAATTTCTCAATACAGACAAATTATGAACCTTCTCAGGTTTCAGGAACAATTGATAGAGCATTACCTGTATATTCGTATGACATCAACTATTGTTAGGACCAATCATAATTTGTCCAAGAGGCGATATATCATGGGGGTGAATTTTATCTTGTAACGACTTAGCCGGTTGTTGCAAGATATGATAGTCGGAAGCAGGGGTTATGAGAGAAATCATAAGTTGAGGTAAAAAATATTTATTTAAGGGTATACTCCTCTTTAGCTCGTCAACCTTAACTTTTCCCTATTGTTTGAGCATGTGTCCAAGAAATTATCGACAGATAAGAATTAGCTCCTTATCTTTGAATTTACCTATTTATTGTGAAGTTTGGTTCCTGTTTTGTTAACAAAGACAAGCAAGTATTCTTCTTGAGCTGGTTGTATTATATCTGAAGAGAATATGGTAGGGTGTCGCGTTGAACCTATTATTATCTTTAACGTGTTCGCGACATTTTGTCTAAAATATACGTCATTCATAGAGTAGTGCACCAACTGGCATTAGAATTACTTATTTTGTCTGAATAGGCAATAATTAACGACGATTAGAGGGTTTATATTGAAAAGTTTAGATTGTTTTCATCAGGAGTTATAAAGAACAAGGGATTGTTATAAAAGAGAATTCTATATTAATAAGGATGTGATTACTTTTTATGCTTCTTGGTAATTCTTTTCAATGCTCTTTGTTCGTTCTTCATAGTTCCGTCAACCATCTTATACTTACCCTTTACCCCTCTTGGTCTACCACTTAATCTTTTGTTACTACCTTTAGCTACAACCAATGTTACCTTAGGTTTGACTTGTTGTTTCTTGGTCAACTTTCTCATCAATTTAGAGATTTCTTCAGCTTTATCTCTTTCAGATTTAGCACCATCTTCATTGATTAAGTCAGATTTCTTTTTCAACTTTTCCAACCTCTTGATAGCTCTCATTTTCTTACGCCCCTTGGCTTCTAAGACCTTTTTGATTGGTCTAGCATTCAATTCCTTTTGTTTCTGTTTTATGGCCAATGATGCCTCTTTGGTGATTGGCTTTGTGATCTTTGAATGTTTCTTTTCATCGTCCAAAAACCATTCGGGTAAATCGTTGTCTCTGAAAGAATACCTATTGATACCTTCTTCAATAAGGTCGTACTTATTTTTATGTCCCAAAGCGATTTGATGGGCCAAAGTCATTGCCTCAACTGTTGCTATATCAATCTTTTCTTGTTCGTTAGATTTTTTGTACTTATCGTCAACATCAGAATCAGAATCAGACTCGACATCAACCTCATTATTTCCTGATACAATTTCGAAATCTGAATCTGAGCTTAACTCTTCACTATCTGAACCTAAAGAATTTTTGGAATCAATTTCCATATTCTTGCCATCTGATGAAGTAGACCCGTTGATTTTGTTCTTATCTTCTGGTGTCATAGCGGCCAATAACTCTTCATCATTGAGTTCTTCGAATAACGAGTTAGCAGCAAAGAAATTTTTGGCTGTCTTACTTAATCCATCTTTTGATTTCTTTTCCCTGATCAATTGGTTTATATGGTCGTCATCATCATAATCACTTTCTTCCTCCATTTCATAATCTTTTTCATCGTCATCAGACTTGATTCCGTCCCAAGGTTCATCATTTTCATCTCCACGTAATTTTTTAGCTCTGTAATTGGCGTCCTTTTCTGCCTTTCTTTCTTGGAAGGAATTATACATGTCATCCAATTGAGCTTCTAACTCATCATCAGAATCCAATTCTTCTTCTGGTTGATCTCCGATACTGATCTCAACATCTTTTATTCTATCAGCTTCATTGAAAATCATTCTCTTTTTACCTTTGATCAATTTATCCAATTCTCCAGTCTTTTCAGCTTGTTTCAAGTTGAACAATGATAATGAATCTGAAGATGATGCTTCCAAACCAATATTCATATCGGTTAACATATTCATTTGCATTCTTTGAATCTCTTTTTGTTTCAATTCATTCTTGTTTTTCTTTTCTCTCTTTGATTTTTGTTTTTGCTTGTCTTTCAATTCTTGTAATTCTTTATCGATTCTTTGATCTTCTGTCAATGGCTCCACTTCAATCTCTTCTTTTTCTTCTTCTTTCTCATCTAAACCCAACAATTCTCTTGCTTGTTTTCTGAATCTCAAGATTAACTTGAAATCTTTTCTACCCAAAACTTTCAAATCTTTTAAACATTCAACTAATTCGGTGTTATAAGTTTTTAACTTTCTAATAATTTTGAATTCATCGTCTGTTTTGTCGATAGTCAACTTATTCAAGTCACCCAAGGTATTTATAGGATCTTCGTTTTTGACAAATTCTACTAAAGGCATTTCATGATAAAGTAAATAGTCACCTTCATTATAACCTTGTCTTTGTCTGGTCTTTTTCTCAGGATTGAAGATTTTAGCCTCATTGTTGACGGGACCACTTGGTAACTCGTCAAAAACTTCTTTAGGATCTAATAATCTTGGGTCCAATTTCTTTGGTGCTTTGAAGCCTTTACATACAACGAAGATTTCCGCAGAAACATCTCTTGAAGCTGGAGGTTTGGTTGCTTCAACTTTTTCAAATAATTGATTGAAAACCCACACTAAATTATTATAATCTTTGGATCTGAAAATTTTGGTGATAAAGGTACCACCATTGGCTAAGTTTTCAACAGCTAACTTTAAAGCTTGTAAGGTCAACTGTGATTGGGTGAAAGCATCTTGGACCCAACCTAAACCAACATTAGGCGCACCATCATGTAAAACAGTATCAGCTTTCCAAGTTTTCATATGTCCTCTCAATCTTGATCTACAATCCTCAGTAGTAATGTCTGATTGGAAAGTTATGACATTAGGTAATGGCCTGATTGGGACTATATCAACCCCAATAATCAAGGAATTAACTGGACATAATTGTGATGCAACTTGACACCAAGAACCTGGTGCAGCACAAAGATCGATAACAACTTTAGATTTTTCTAAGAAATGACCATATTTTTCATTGATTTGGATGATCTTGAATGAGGATCTAGCTCTGTAACCTTTTTCTTTGGCCAAGTGATAGTATCTATCTAAACGACCTTTACTATTCTTCTTTTGAACTTTACCCATCTCCTGGTTTCTTTTCGCGATGAGATTTTTTTAATGAGATGCGAATCATGTGACCTTATCAATAAAAGGAAAAGCATATATTACAAAATAGAAAGAAACTTATATTATTTATTCTAAAGGGACCATTCTTCGACCAAACTTTTATCTTTCATTGGATCCACTAAATTATTATCAATAGAAACAATGTTGCTCTCGTTACAAAGAACACATTCGCTGACCATAATATCATCTAGTTCTTTCTTGTGTGTACTATTCAGATCTTTCTTGAATAGTTGGAAGATTTTTTTGAATCTGTAGTCACCCTTGGACATCAAAAAGTACTTGATTAAACAGTCTTTGTGGAAAGAATGATGACAGTTAGGAAATGTGATAAAATTCTTGGACACTAATAGGTTGTTACATAAATTACATGGTTCACCAGGTTCGATGATGGTGAATATCTTACCTTTGGCCAATGATTCATTGGATTCAAGTATTTGGTTTTTCAAATTATTGGAGATGTCAAGTGACTCTTTCATTTCTATCGACAATTGATTGATCCTGTTATTGTATTGATTCAAAGATGTGATAATTTCTTCCTTGAAATTGTTGACCATTATGGACTCAGGGAATAGTGGTAATAGGTCTTTAAGACTCAAAAGATTGGAGCCAATGGGTTGACAGTACGAAGAATCTAATAAGTATCTCAAGACCTTATTCATACTTTGATTATTTATTTCACCAAGACTTTGATTATCCTCAACAGAGTCACCTTCATTTACTATTTGTTCAGTCAACTTTTTGATAGGATCTACTTCTCGGGAATTTCCTGTATCAAAGTCAAATGTTTTTCCATTGATGACTTCATTAATCAAATATTTGGAGAACAATAACCATAATTTCTTACCCTGATTGAAATTATGATGTTGAAGTCTATTCCCTCTGAAATCTTCATTCTTCAAGAATTCATTAAATTTATTCAAAATGAACATGGAGGAAGTGTCTAGTTTGTTCTCAATTGATAATTTCAATGCAGGCTCGAATAATTTCAAATCATTAATGAGGATGATAATAGCTGGTTCTACTTTCTTATAATCGATACAAAGTCTGAGGATGAATTCGGGATCATAAAGATTCTTTTCAAATTTAGCAAAGTTTAAGAACCTTATTATCTGCTTGTTGATGAACTTGTTGGGATCATTCTCCACTTCCAGGACATTGCTCAGGTTCAAGACCGGATATGTGATCAACAAACTCAAATAATGACTATTGATATTCTTGTTCTTGATGTTTTTGTTGAAAATCAACTTTTGGAGGAATATGATAGAATAATTCTCAAATATGGATATGGACTGTTTGTTGTATATCAATAAGCTTGGAAGTAACTTTTCGTAGTTCAAATCAAACTTCAACCATAAATCTATCGTCTTCTCAGGATAGTTTATCAATAAAACTGTTGCTTTTTCGTATATGACTTCTTCATACATCTTATCCCCATGCATCTTGATGAGGGATTTGACGGAATTATCCCAGTCTTCTGATTCGATGTAGTAATTCAAAATGAATTCATAATCCTTGAGTAGCTCAGCAAAGTAGATCATTTTTGAACTATAGTTTAAATCTTTCATAATCCTGTAAATAGTGTTGGCATCGAAGTTTTTGTAATTGAGATTAAGGAATGAATAAAACTGATCATTGAATTCTTTCAAAATATTTTCTTCATCACGGGATACCTTTTCCTGTGACTTGTCCAAAGAAAGCTTTGACTCTAAATGATGAATATTTCTCAACATCAATTCGACAATCCAACTTGATAACACCGTAATTCTTATGAAGTTCTTTTCAATGTTTTTACTATAGTAGAACTTGACTAGAAGGTACTCAATTAAGAGCCTTTCACTCAAGCTACCAAGATTCAAGTTTATCAACATTAAACAGATTTTTTCAAAGGGTTCGCTCAGCTGAGCCAAGATTTTGATACCTTTGATCTGATAGTGTATCATAGTTTTATCCAGTTGGTTGATTCCAAAAGCTCCCTTTTGTAGGAAGTCATATCCTTGTTTGATGTAAACCATATCCTTTTTGAGAAGGTTGGTATCATGGTCCGCTTCTAGGCATTTCAAAGATTCTTCGAACTTTCCCAATTTATAATAATCGTACCAGACTTTGATGCTTTCATTACTTATCACCAATTCATATATATTTTGTTTCGAGTAAATCCAATAGGTCTCCGAGTTTGTATCATTTACGATTCCAAGAACTTTTTCAGGTAAAGGTATCCTCATCTCGTCTTTGGAAAGCTTGGAGTAAATAATCAATTCTTCTTGGGAGGTATTGAGAAAACAAACATGATGTGCTGTTATAACACCCCCGGCATTCAAATTTGATGTGATATCATTTGCAGGCTTAAAGTTGAGGGTATCAATGCTGGAAAATTTGTCATTGGTGATCAAAACAAATTCATTCTTCTTACTGACAAGGTTGATTACTTTTTTGTGGGGAGTAATTTTGGGGATAGTCTTGAAGACTTTTACCATCTCATTATATGAGTTATCAAAGCAATCCCATTGTAATGTCTCTTCAGCAGTGAACAAATTTATCTGGCAATTGTTGTTCGTAAAACAAACATTAACAACGGGCTTCGTCGAATTATAGACCAGTTTAATGTATTTGTCGTCTTTTTTATTATCTTCTACATGAGATTTGATACTACCAATGAGCACTGAGTCATCATTGGTGACAATAAGGAAATCATTAGTTACAAGGTCTTCATCATTGGGGAACACTATGGTTTTGATGTTTAAACTTTTAAATTTTGGAAGAATTTTGAACTTGTCATATGAGTTATGAAGGTAGTAATATGTAGAATGATTGATTTGTACAATGAAATGCTGACCATTGGGAGATAGCCAACAATTGGTAATCAATATATTGGTGTTAAACTCAAACAGTTTAACTATGGATGGATTATTTAAATCAATTTTAAATACCGTTTTCTCGAGTATAATAAACATAACATTACTCTGTACTTTCAAATTGCATAAATTGTTCAAAGCAAATTGCAATTGAACTGGTTCAATGTCAAATTTGGGTTTATCGTCGTATCTATCAATAAGATTCTCGTCTGTGAAACCACCACCATTGACCGAAGAAATGATTGTTTTCCCCTGCTTGTCTAACCCAGCGGATCCGTTACCGTTTGAATGATCATCTACAGAGCCATTGCTAGGATCCAGCCTACTCATACCGTTAATGGTACCATCATGTCTAGCTACAGAAGTCATGGGTAGTTCGCGATTTGAATTCTAATTCTCTGATCAAGCTGTAGAGTGAAAGAACGGCCATGAAGCCCACAAACGGAGCCTGTTGGATTGTTAAAAGGATAATACAGAGGATAAACTTCAAAATTATACTGAATCATTGCTCACCTGTAGCTATTAGATCAATTTTACTCAATCAAATTATAAAATTACATAAAGTACAGCGTTTCCGGTTAAAGATGTAAATGAAACTTCTGATAATATCCCAGCCACTCACAAAAATTAAGCTTAACCACCTGAAATCATCTAAAACCTCCGAAAAGTGATTACATAAGCAATTCAAGTTTCATCATCAATTTGTCGATAGGGGTGTGATCATTTAGCTGGCGGTGCGAAAAATTGTCAGCTAAAGACTAAGATGAATGTATTGAAATTACAAAAGAAATACACAAATTTAGAGCAAAGTGAGTTATTCGAAATCATTGAAGATTTCAGAAAGATTGATTTGAACGATGAAGGATCAATTGAGAAAAAAGAAGTAATTAATGCTGTTTCTAAATCAGGTAAATATACTTACGATGAAACAAGGGAGACCTTAAAAGAAGTTGATGTTGATGCGTCAGGAAAAGTTGAATTAGATGATTACGTGCAATTGATGAGTAAATTGAAAGAAGGTAAATCCGTTAATTTGGGTGTTCCTACATCATCAACTGGAGGAGGAATTGGTGATATCCCAAAATCTCCTAAATCACCTAGAAATGCCCCTGTTCCAACCGCCAACACCGCTCATAAAACTTATATCTCAGGTAAGACTTCTGGTACAACTCATACAATCAATGACGAAGAAAGATCAGAATTTACAAGACATATTAATTCTGTTTTAGCAGGAGACCCTGATATTGGAAACAGATTACCTTTCGATACCGAAACTTTCCAAATTTTTGATGAATGTAGGGACGGTTTAGTTTTATCTAAATTGATCAATGATTCTGTCCCTGATACAATTGATACTAGAGTTTTAAACTTGACCAGCCAAAAGAAGAAGACCCTTAATAATTTCCAAATGAATGAAAATGCCAATATTGTTATTAATTCAGCCAAAGCTATTGGTTGTGTTGTTGTCAATGTTCACACTGAAGATATCATTGATGGTAAAGAACATTTAATCTTGGGATTAATCTGGCAAATTATTAGAAGAGGATTATTATCTAAAGTTGATATTAAGTACCACCCTGAATTATACAGATTATTAGAAGACGACGAAACCTTAGAACAATTCTTAAGATTACCACCTGAACAAATCTTATTACGTTGGTTCAACTACCACTTGAAAAATGCCAAACTGCAAAGAAGAGTTAACAATTTCTCCGGTGATATCGTTGATGGTGAATGTTACACGATATTATTGAATCAATTACAACCAGAAGTTTGTGATTTGAAACCTTTGAATATTCAAGATTCTTATCAAAGAGCCGAAAAAATTTTAGACTATGCTGATGCCATTGGATGTAGAAAGTATTTAACTCCCACTTCATTAGTTGCTGGTAATCCAAAATTAAATTTAGCTTTCGTTGCTAACTTATTTAATACTTATCCTGGATTAGATCCAATTGAAGAAGACGAAAAGTTTGAAATTGAAGAATTCGATGCCGAAGGTGAAAGAGAAGCCAGAGTCTTTACTTTATGGTTAAACTCATTAAATGTCGACCCTCCAATTATTTCATTATTCGAAGACTTAAAAGACGGTTTGGTATTATTACAAGCTTTTGATAAAGTCATTCCAGGATCTGTTTCCTTCAAACATGTCAATAAGAAAATCAATGATAAGCCAATCATGAGATTTAAAGCCTTGGAAAACACCAATTATGCTGTTGAAATTGGTAAAGCTTCTAAATTCTCCTTGGTTGGTATCGAGGGTGGTGATATTGTTGATGGTAATAAATTGTTAACCTTAGGATTAGTTTGGCAATTGATGAGAAGGAACATTGTCAACACTTTATCAAACTTGAACAATGGTTCTAATTTATCCGATAACGATATTTTGAAATGGGCTAACGCTCAGGCTGCTAAAGGTGGTAAAGCTTCCAACATCAGATCATTTGGGGACCACAGTTTATCATCCGGGGTTTTCTTGTTGGATGTTTTACATGGAATTAAACCTGGTTATGTCGATTATGATTTGGTTTACCAAGGCACCAACTTGTCAGATGATGAAAAATACGCCAATGCTAAATTGGCCATTTCCATTGCTAGAAAATTAGGCGCTTTGATTTGGTTAGTTCCAGAAGATATCAATGAAGTCAGAAGTAGATTGATCTTATCATTTGTTGGATCTTTGATGGCAGTTGAAAATTAAACAAAGCACTACTTCAATATTGTAACCTATGTAGATTTTATGTATTCTATTAGTTTATATTTTTACTTACGTTCTCATAGATGTCACGTGACAAAGTTTTAGAGAGAAAAGTTTCGCATTGACCAATGAAAAAAATTGATTATGTCAAAGGTATTACCATTCACAGAAGCTAACTCTAAGAGAGTTACCGGTTTATTTAGACAAGCTTTAAGAACTGCATTTGATCACTCGATAAAATGGGAATTATATAGAGCTGAAACCATAAAAATCAGAAAACAATTCGATGCCAACAAATCAGTTTCTGATCCTCAATTATTAGAAGAATTAATCAAAAAAACAGAAGATAAATTACAAGAATGGAAACATCCAGATCCTTATATCACTCCACAAAGACCAGGTGGTACTAAATACCAAAGAAATTTACCTAAACCTGATGAACCAATCATACCTGGTGACTGGTAGTATTTATTGCATAGAAATAAACAGAAAAACATTTGAATCTCAGTGTCAATGATAGCCACTACAATACATGGGACTTTAATGGGAAATTTGGAATTGATTACCTGTCGGAATGATGTTTTCCAAGTTACAGAAAACTAACCCAGCCAACTTTTACTTATCGTTCTCATTTCTCTCTTAAACCACAAACAATGAATTTGAAGCAGTTGGAAGAAAGATTGAATTCTTTCAATCAAAAATATTTGACTGAGTCTTCTTCATCAATGTCGACAGTGACAAAGTATGTTACTGTTTCGATAGATCACCTGACGTCAGAAAGTCCAAATGTTTCAGATTTATCCTTTAGCGCCAGATATGAAACAAATCGTATAAAGTCTTTCCAGGACAAACTCCGAAGTATTTCGACTCCAACAATGGATACTTTGATGTCCGGGTATTTTTTTCATTTAGTTTCAGTAGTGTTGGTATCTTTGTTTCTAGTCCTGTTAACAATCTTTATCTTGGATCTAATCAATGGTCCTCAAGATATAGATATCAGAGCAGAGTCAACTCGCTCACAAGTTTCATCTAGTGGTCATGAAAAGACAAGGAGCCAGTTGAACAATGGCGATAACAACACAGAGTGTGGTGGCTACAATTTCGCCGGTAAAGTGAACGAAACAGTTGGCACAAAGAACGGTGTGGTGGTTAATGTAAGTGACTACAGCCTCAGAAAGCAAAGCACCAATCTAGACTCCAATGAGTTAGATTACGTAGATTTCTGGGATGAAGATTATACTGTTTCGGAAAGAAGCGTTAATAGGATTCACCACAGATTGTTCGGTCATAGTCTGATCGAACTTTCTAACTCAAAAGAAAATCTACGATCCAAAGCTAAGAAGGTTCACCATGCCAATAATGAAACGTTCAACAGCTCAGATGTATTTATTGAAACCCCTGTCAAATGTAAGCCCAAACCTTTGGGTACAAGAAGCTTTGATGAGAGAGCCGAGACCTCAAGAACCAAAGCGAATAGGTCTTCATTGATATTTCCAATCTTTATAGCAGACAGCAACGGGGAGGAAGAGTTCTTCATGAACTTTCAACACGAACACAGGTTGTCCAGAAAGATGCAGTTTTTAATACAAAATATGGTCGAACCAATTGACTATTTCAATTACCATGAGCTAGTGACCATAGACTGGGCAAAATTCAACGAAGAGGAATTTTCAGAAGAGAGATTCAAGGGGGATTTGAACGTCCTTGATGAAGGAACTATATCCATATTCAGATTTCTTGTTTCTAATGAATATAATGGAGATGCAATAGGGTTGAAGAAATATATTGCCTTAATAAACGAGAAGGTAGATTTCTTCATCGAAAAAGTTCTTGAATCATTTAATTACAGCTTATTCACTTTGATTAGAGATATTTTGACTTTTGGTGATAAGATTAATTTGGCACAATTGAAAAAGATCTTTGAAATGATAGGTCTAGGCGATACAGACTTGGAAAACATTGAAATTATCAATAACATCATTATAATTGTGAACGCAATAGACTCCAAGCTGATGTTTCTTTTTTTCCAATTGGAGTTTCTAGAGTATCCAAATTTCAGTGAACCTAGGAAATTGTCACATTTGAAAATATTAAAGTACTACATTGCCTTCAACAAAGAAAAGTTATTGAATGACATCAATTTAGTTATTGTGATAACTTCACAGTTCTCGAAGATGGTTCAGGTAATAATCAATTCCCACAGTCCCAAAGAGCTAGCTGAATTGATTGACACCTATTTACTATTCAATTCTTTTTTGAGCAAAATCAACATACCCCCCTCGCTAGGATTGAATATTCTTGACAATTTAGTTCTAGTTCATGAGAAGTTGAAGGTGAAAACAACATCACACCTTCCTGCTCCGGAGTTCAAGATTGATTCAATTGACAAGTTGGATTGATCTTTCCTGAGCCGCACCAAATTATATTTAAGAAAATTCGGTGTACCGCAGTGTTGCCTATAAAGATGAGATGAAAAAAAGCGATGAGATAAAATATCAATGCCTAGATCAAAACGTAGTAAGTTAGTTACTTTATCACAAACCGACAAGAAAGGAAAAGAAAATAAAGAAAGGATATTTGATGATGTCAGGGAAGCATTAGATGAATACAAATATGTCTTTGTTTTAAAATTAGATGATGTTAGAACTCCAGTCTTACAAGAATTAAGAAGTGATTGGAAAGGTTCAAAATTAATTTTAGGTAAAAGAAGAGTACTCGAAAAAGCTTTAGGAGACAAACCAGAAGAAGAATATAAAGATAACTTGCACAAATTAACTAAATTAACTGAAGGTGTCGTTGGATTATTGTTTACTAATGAAGAAATTGTCACCGTTGAAGAATATTTCAACAATTACAGTAAATTAGATTATTCAAGAACAAAATCAAAATCACCAATTGAATTTACTATACCTGAAGGTATTGTCTATTCACGTGGTGGACAAATTGCCATCGAAGATGATGTTCCAATGTCCCATTCTTTAGAAGAAACTTTAAGAAATAAATTTAAAATTCCAACCAAAATTAAAAACGGTAAGATTTTCTTGAATGAACCATACAAAGTTTGTGAAGAAGGAGAGGTTTTAGATGTTAGAAAAGCTTTAATCTTGAAACAGTTTGGTATTGCTGCAAGTGAATTTAAAGTCAAATTATTAGGTTATTATAATGGTGAAGATGTAGAAAAATACTAATTTATTAGTAATATAGTAATGAAATGTCTGTCTATTCGCTCTCATCTATATCTGCTTCTGAAAAATTGTATTGGGAATCTAAAGAGATTGTTCCGGCGATTCTATCTTACATTAATATACAAAACTTTACTAACTCTCTTCTGTCAAAACTTGGACACAAAATAACTTTGCTGGCGTAGTGCCTATGTTGGTGATACCGTATGTATTACCACTAGGTACTTGGAATGAACAGCCTCGAGTTACAGCAAATGTATTATTACTCAAATTTACTTCTACCAAACCTTTAATTACATGGAACATATAAGTACAATTTCCGGAACTCTTTGAACTTTTGAAGCCCTCAACGGGAAATTCGAAAATACCACCAGCGAGATTAGATGTCTGTTCAAACACTGGAGCTATCTTATAATTCTCAATATCAGATGACTTGGGAGGTTCATTGAACTTGTCGTATTCCATTGTGTAGGCAATTTCTCTGGATGTAGTGCTTTCCAGTTGCTGGTTTTCATAAACTTCTAATTCAAGAGTCTTATTCTTGAACCACTCTGATCCGATGACTTCGGGATCACTTTCGTAGTCATAATGCTCCTCTTTATTCTTCTTCCTTGTTCTTCTTCTTTTGGGTATTGGATCAACATTGGGTGTGACGTGTATGACTTCTTTGATTTCCTGTAGGGGGATTTTGTGAATATCTTCTATCAAAGTTGTGTCGGGATCATTGGAGAACTCGTCAGCTCTAGAATAAACAATTCTTTCACCCCTCCAGTAAGCCAAGGGAGAAATCTTGGTACGCTTTGATCGTCTTAAACCATCAGGAGGTGGTGACGGTAGTGGTGATGGCTTCGAAGTGGTTATTTGTGGTTTGGCTTGCTTTGTACGAGTCGCTCTCTTGGTCTTACCCAAAGCCATCTTCTTGGTGAATGAAGAAGCCGACCGTGAAGGTGACTTGCTGGAATTTTCAGGCGAATTCAATTGGCTGTTACTGCCTCTAGAGCTGCCTGTAAATTTCCGGTTTCTAGGGGGTGTGGGTTCTGGTGATATCCCCGATTGATCGAGTGATTCATCAATTGGTGAAGGATCATTCATGTCATCATCAAATTGTATATCATCATAGTCATAACGTGGAGAGGGAGTACTTCCAGATTTCTCTTGGATACTAACCCTTTTCTTGTCCTTCTCCTTCTCTTTGTCCATTGATATAGGACTCAAATCAAATTTGTCAGCTTCATCATCATTAAAGTTAATCATCCTTGCGATCCTGCCTTCGTTCTTATCCCCTCCAATTTCATCCTCATTGTCAGATTCGAAGAACTCATCTATGTCTTCCATGTCATACTTATCTCTCAAAATGTTTAATCGAGGTCGAATACCAGTCTTCCTTGACTTGGTCCCTAAATTAAGTAAATCCATGTTGATATTTATTTTCATCGCGCTTTCGCGTTATATACTTAGGTTGGTGCCAGCACCCGTACCTTCTCGTTCCGCATACTAGGCAGGTCTTAGTACTGTATTCCGCACTATTTAATGCCATCATATCTCGTATTTTGCATCATATCAAATTCGAAAGGTTCACCAATTGGTCACTCAATTGATAGGTAAGAATTAGACCATCGCTATAGATAATATACAATAAGAACCTCTGAAGATTGTCGTTGACGGAAATGTTTCTTACCGAAATCCCACTTATCGTTCTGAAGCCGTTAAATCCCAAGCTCAAACCGATAGCATTCGGAAAAATATATTCTTGCCTCATACCTTTGATTCCCCTATACTCACATAATCTGAAAACAGAAACAAGACCCTGTTGTGATACACATACAATTGCAGATAGTTCGGGTATTACCTTAGTAAGACTGATTCTGTTGGAAAACTTTGACTCTTCATTGGAAGGAATTTCCAAATTGAATATACTTCCTGAGGAACAATTGCAAAACAAGGAACTGTTAAAAAGCGATATCTTTTTGGAGGTCGTGACAACTAAGTACAACTCATTCTGGGCTCTGTTTTTGATTTCAGTTGACTTTTTGAACATTTTATTCAACCTTCGATAATCATCATCAATTGTGGTCAATTTCTGAAACCTATGCAAATTGTCAAACGACACCGTGGGGATTCTGAAATATTGCCAGTCTTTGCACAATCCAAGATTTTTGTTACTGATCTTGCCAAATATTGAAGACTCGTTCATAATTCTTTCGAGATCCTCGTTATAAGCTTCATCGCCGAAAACCTCTCCAAGTGAATTTACACTTTTAAATTGTGATTCAGCTATAGGATTTATTGTCCAGCAATCTTCTGTTAACAATGATCTATTGATCACAGTCGGCTGAAACCAGTAAATTCGCTTGAACCTATTGTTCTCGAGCTCTATGACGGACTCCAAAGATTGAATGGATGGATCGATGTAATAAACATTGGTATTCAAATCAGGATGATCGTTCAAAGGTCCTTCGATTAGCTTGAATTTGAATTGAAATATTATCAACTCGGATGAGATTGAAACACAGCTAACCTTTATTATATGGAATTCATCTTCAATGTTATAGCTAAGAATAGAACAATCGGGGATATTGTGTAATATTTGATGAGTCTTTACATGATAAAATCTTTGATCTTGTTCATGATAATAGAACAACGTCAAACTTTGTGAGTTATCAGCTGTTGCTATGATATTGTGAGTGCCATAGTTGAAGAAATCAACTCCCCAAACGCTGCTCTCAAGCTTCAATCTAAAATCTTCTTTGACTTTCTTTACAGGTTCGCTGCTGTCGATAGCCTGACTTATTGTTGATAAATTGTATATGATGAGACCTCCATCGTCAATGCATAGGGCCAAACTGGGGATACCGAGCCAAGTGCATTGACGCAAATAATTTATAGTATGAGGAAAGTATGGCCATGTTGAAATGAGCCTATCGGTGGTAGTCGTGAACAAGGGTTTTGTATCGAATTTCACAACTGGTTTGGGTTGTGGTATGAAATTAATGCCAAACCCATAAATACAGATTTCTGAATTGATAGCTGTAACAAGATAATCTGAATCAATGGTAATGATAGTCGAAAGATTATTCTTGTATTTCCTGGAGTTTTCAAAATGGCTCAATATCTCATTTCCTAAATATTTCAATTGCAAACTATCATTGAACTTTTCAGCAGGGTCCTTCCTTATCAATTTACTAATATCACTAGTTTCAAGTATATAGTCGTCTGTGCCCTCACTAATATCATTTAGGGGTTCTCCTCGTTTAGTACTTAAATATTCGTAACTCGTCAACAACTCCTCCACTTTAGAATCCAAAAACGGTCTCCGGTACCCTTCAACATATTCCAACATATCTAATCCCACGTCATTAGTGTCTTCTTCTAATTCCAAATCATTATTAAAACTCTCTCGTCTTTGGTTGTAGAATAGGTCTGAATCACCTATTCTCTCCAAACTTAAGAAGTCAAATATCTCATCATTGTCTGGTGTGCTATACTCTTCAATGGCAGTTTCTTCCTTATATATCCTCTTGATTCCTCTACTCTCTAAGAATCTATTAAACATTGATTCGCACTACGGAGTATAAAAACTCATTCTTTTTTTGCATCATTGCAACAGGCCCTAGAGAAAGAGAACCATTTTCTTATTAGAGTCTTACAGTAAGTGTCCAGTAGAATATCAGATTATCAACTCAAAATGGGGTTTCATGCAGAATATTCAAACTATACATCGCAAACCAAGGAAGAGATGTTGCAACAATTACTAATGTCTTACGAGGCATTGAGCAGTGACTGTACAAATTGGGTAGCAAATTTATCTAACTGTGCTTCACTTTTGTGGCACGGATATCATTCTTTGAACGTTCCTGTAAATTGGACTGGTTTTTATGTTACTCATAAACCAGATGAACTCATTTTGGGTCCTTTCCAGGGTAAAGTTGCATGTCAAACAATTCAATTTGGTAAAGGAGTTTGTGGGAACGCAATTTCGTCAGGGGAAACACAACTAGTGGAAGATGTTCATAATTACCCTGGACATATAGCTTGTGATGGTGAAACTAATAGTGAAATTGTCGTACCTATGATCAAAGATGGAGTGAAAATTGGTGTATTGGACTTAGACTGTTTAGCACCCAATGGATTCGATAAAATGGATAAAGAATATTTAGAGAAATTAGTTGCATTGATATTGACATCCTGTGAATTTCCTACACTACACTAGATCTACATTGAAGATACATAAGAATATCACAATAAATTGTTGAATATATTAATACTCCTGACTAATGGTTACATTAAATTAATAAAAAAATTATTCTTGCTCAGCCCTTCTTTGTTCTTCTCTTTCTAAATTATGATACAATAAATTCTTTGCTTTTTCAACATTATAGCTACTACCAGTAATAGTGAAAATTCTTTCATTTTTGCCTTCAACTTCATCAGAGATTCCTATGGAAGCACCAGAAATTTTTCTTACTCCTTGAATCCTTGAACCATTTTTACCAATTAAAGCACCGACTATATCATTATTGAAAGATAATGTGGTGGTGACTTTATTGTTGGTATTATTTGAATTGGCTCTTACACTTGGAGTATAGTAATTTGTTCCAACGATTGATGAAAAATCTTCAATGAGGCAACGAGAAATAACCCTTAAAGAATCATATAAGTTGTCAACAGTTCCTTGTAATTCGACTAATCTTTCACTTGAATTTGGTAAAAAAGATTTGGATGCAATTACTGAGATGTTATATTTGGATTGAATTTCTTGAATTCTTTTTCCTTTGGATCCGAGTATGGTACCCATTTGATTGTTTGGAATTAATAATCTTAAAATAGTTGTTTCACCTGGTATGTTCTTAATCAAACTCAATTGTTTCAAAGGGAAATAACTGTAATTATTCAAATCATTCTGTTGCAAAGAAGCATTACACAAAGCTTGTGCAAAAAAACTCAAAGCTTTAGCACAATTGTCCAAAGTTCCACTTACAGTTAAAATTCTTTCGTGTGATCCTGGTAACAATTTTGAAATCCCAGCTTTTGTGTTGGTTTCTTCTCTTATAGAATCGATTACTCTACCATTTTGTCCAATTAAACATCCACTCTCTTTGGCACTAATTAATACTCGATAATTGATCAATGTGGTTGAATTATCATCCAATGATGGTAAGATCTCTTCCACCTTCTTTTCATAATTAGTATCAAATAAAGATTCAGTCATAATCATAAATAATAAAAAAATATATATAAAAAAAGGAAAGTACTAGTACATAAATTTATGAGATCAATTGAAAATTTTTTCATCGTCAACTTGTTCGCGCGCAAATGTCTACTAAGACATTTGTTCCTTTGGATCATCCGAATCAAATGTCACACTATTTTTGTTCTCTACATGCTATTATAGGATAATAAGAATAGGCTAACAATGTCAAAAAAAAACTTACCACTTCCAGCATGAAGAGGTATGTCAACATGAAACTTGGGAGGTGGTTACAGCAATATTGTTTCTGATTTGACAGTGCTACTACTATGTGGCGCTCAATTACTCCTCTCACAAATACAATAGTCCCCTGCACGTTAGTTCTCTCCGACTTAACGAACTTAATGATCGTATCTTAAATCATCAATTTCTTTTCAAAACTAAACCCCCCTTAATTACTTACAATTTAATGTCACACATCTCACTGAATAGAAACTTGTCCTTTCTGAACTTTTTGGGTTTGTCTTATTGTCAAAATATTTCCTAAATTATTTTATATTGTCTCTTTTTTGTTGCGCCTATTGTTCTGCATTGTTGGAATGATTTTTTATATTGTCTTGCAAATCGCCTATTGTATATAATTCTGGGTAGTTTTTGCCAGTTGTTATTCTAGAGATTTAATTAGGTAATATCCCATACATAGTTACCACTTTGAGTGACCTCAATCCCTAAGAAACTATAGCGTTTGTTCAATAAAGATCATCCCATATGTTTATCATAAAAGTCCACATTGTTTGCCTTACCTAAACGACTCTAAACTCTAAAGGAGGTTCCATTTGCGGAGGTTTGTGGAAATCATTTACGAAAAAATTTTTCAAGACATATATATCTAAATCCCACACATAATATCCCTCTTGTTTTGCCTCATTCCTTAACAGTTGTCAAAAATATGCAACCGGAAGGCGGTTCTGTACCCGCTCGAAAATTCCAGGCCAAATAGAAAGGCGGTTTTACTCTCAATTACGGATATGTACCCCTTCCAGCTAAACCTCACCAATTGGATTTCTACGATCACCCAAAGACGCTTATACTTAACTTTCCACACAGCATACAGGAGAACTCAAAAATGTCCTACAATTGGTACAGGAGTGGATGAATCAGACACTATTCTAAGCCTACAATTCACCTCTTATTGGTATTTAGAGAATGATCTTCGCTTCAGTGTCCACTTAGTGTGTTCGATACATGTCACCCTATAATTCAAAATCGCCGTTCGTTCGGAAACTATCAATGGTCTAGATCATAGGTATAAGAGATACTTCTGGATAAGCTTCGGTCCCACGTAGTTCGTGTAAGATCCTAACAACAATATTGATATCATCGAAACTTCGACTGTACATGATTACATCACCATCACGAAGTCATTGTATCGATTATATCGACTATATCTACTGTATCGGACTTATCAGACTAAACTCTAATCCCAACACTACCGCGATATTAATATCCACGCACACACTTCATGGATTGGAAGAACCCTATTGCTACGATATTGATTTCGACATTGTCTATCATCGTATCACTTAATAAGCCCAATAAGATTGTTAAGTCGACCAATGATATTCTAAACTTAGGAGTGGCTAACGATATATCGTTGAGCCTTGCTGTGTTGATACCTATCATTTCATCTATCAACTTGATAATGATCTATAAATATGATATAATGTTCTTAATGAAGAGAGTGATGATATTAGTATCCATTGGGTCCAACCTTCAAATGTTCAACAAATTTTTAAACTTTGTCAATTACAAGAATTTTTTAGGAATCAAGAATTTCAAGATATCGATAACAGATACTGATTTACCATCTGGATTTATTGAAGATATAAAGTATGATGAAATCTTTGGAGAGGAGAATCTTGAAAAGGAAAGAAACCTCAAAAGGTGGTTGAAAGTCAACCATTTTCGAGTTTTATCGCCAAGCTTAGAGAGATCTGGAGGTTTAGTTTTCAATGTAATCAATATAGTATCGTTATGCTTGTCCGCTATTCTTACATACTTATACCACAATGAAAAACGGTGGTATTTGTCCAACTTGATAGCCTTAGGTTACATCATGAACTTCATCAATTCCGTCAGATTACCTAATTTCAAAGTTTCATTTGTTTTACTCTTGGGACTTTTAATTTATGACGTGTTTTTCGTTTTCAAAACCGATGTGATGGTAACTGTGGCTAAGTCAGTTGACTTGCCCATAAAATTGGTTTTTCCAATGAACGACACTTTCTCCATAATTGGCTTAGGGGATATTGTCCTTCCTGGTTTGTTTATTAACTTGTGTTACAACCACAGTAGAAAATACTTCATAATATCAGTCATAAACTATTGCATTTCATTGGCGGAATGTTTCTTTGTGTTAAATTACTACAATTTCGGCCAGCCAGCTTTGCTTTATATCGTCCCTCATCTCCTTTTGTCATCAGTATTCACAGCTTTGGTCCAGGGAGAATTATCAGAGTTGTTTTCATACGAAATGTTGAAATTTGACGAAAACTTTGTTTATGATGAAGACAGTGTTGATGAAATCATTGAAGCACAATCCGAAGATGAAGACGAAGATGATGACTATAGGTTAGATAGTTATGACGAGTGGGAGTTCAAAGTTGAGGATTTGGACACCGACGTTGATACTTTGGAAAGCATTGACGATATTATCTATCAGTTTGGTGAAGATAGTGATGATGGAACGTTCATCATCAAGTCAGGACTGGAAATGGAAGAAAGTGATATTGAGAATGACTATGGGGATGAAGGGGAAGAAGAAGTTGGCGAGGATGGTGGGAGAAAGGATGATGAAGACATCGAGACTCTTTTGAATGACATCCAACGTTCTCCCCGCTATAGATATATATGATGACTCTTGCTATTGTGTATACTTTTCCGAGCCTCTCAACTGTAGGTGGAAATTTCACCTGTCAAACCGCAAAAAATATCCATTTTGGGATGCGCTTTTTTCTTATCTCGGGACCCTTATCTTTCGCTTCATATATAAACATATGCATTCCCCAGAGTAAACAAGAATATTTTTTAGCAAATAACCAATCCGAACGATACACTTCATTCCCAGAGAATATATAGAAGTAGGAAGTAATCGAAATTATCCCTCAGATTCTCAAAACACCCTTACAGAACATGGAGACTTCGTTTAACATTCAATATGATTGTATAAATTTGTCATTGCTTGATTACAATTTACTAATATCTCCGTGTAAAACTTTTTTGAGTGATTCTAAGTCACTACCTAACGAACTTTACCTCATAGACATTGACAACGAAACCCATAACGAAATTCAAGAGGAAATATTTACTATCGACGAAGTCAAGATTGCTGGTTATCAATCTGAAGACAGCTCGTATATTGAATTCTAATGATACCTAATAAATATATAATTTAACGTTTCACCCCATTGATTGGATCTCTGATTTTCTCTAAAACACTACCATTTCTATCGATCAAATTAGATGAACGGTTTCATGGGCCCAGCTGGTGTGTCATTAGGGTTTTGATTCTTGTTCTAGTTCACTGGAATAGTCTCAGACCCATATTCCAAAATTAAAGGTTCATAAATTGACAGATTTCCCAGGGCTAATTCGCGGTGGTTATCTCGTACAAGTACCCACAATCTTTCGCACCATAAATCTCCCTATCGCTTTGATACTTCAGTCAACGATAAGTGCGAAAATTTTCAACATGGTTTTGAATGAATTAGGGAACAAGTTAAGATCTTCCTTGAACTCAATAAGTAATATTGACTCGGAGGAGATCAGCAACTTGTTGAAAGAAATATCTAATGCATTAATTGAAAATGATGTTAATTTCAAATTGGTCGTAAATTTAAGAAACAACATTCAGAAAAAAATCGATAAAGAAATCAATGACAGTGATTCAGTGAACAACAAAAGGAAGAAATTACAGAAAATTGTTTTCGATGAATTAGTTGCCTTGGTTGATTGTGAATATACTCCTGTAAAGATCAAGAAAGTATCAACTGCTAATAATAAAGTCTCAAATCCCAAGAGGAAACAAAAAGTGGTCTCCAGTCATGTTATAATGATGGTTGGTTTGCAAGGGGCTGGTAAGACCACTTCATGTACAAAGTTGGCAGTCTATTACAAAAAAAGGGGTTACAAAGTTGGTTTGGTTTGTGCGGATACATTCAGAGCTGGTGCTTTCGATCAATTAAAACAGAATGCCATAAAATCCAATATACCATTTTATGGTAGTTATATTGAAACAAACCCAGTAAAAATATCATTCGAAGGGGTAAGCAAATTCAAAAGCGAACAGTTTGATATAATTATCGTAGATACTTCTGGTAGACATCAACAAGAACAATCATTGTTCAATGAAATGATCGAGATATCTGAGAAAATTCAACCTAATCAAACCATAATGGTCATGGATGGTACCATAGGTCAAGCCGCTGAAAGTCAAGCCAAAGCTTTCAAAGACGCCTCAGATTTCGGATCAATCATATTAACTAAGATGGATGGACACGCAAAAGGTGGGGGTGCAATCTCGGCCATTGCTTCAACTAAAACCCCCATCATATTTATAGGGGTGGGTGAACACATTCAAGATTTTGAACCATTCAATCCCAAATCATTCATTTCAAAATTATTAGGTATTGGAGATATCAACTCATTGATTGATCATGTTAAGTCATTAAACTTAGAAAACGATGAAAACCATAAAAAGACTTTAGAAAACTTCAAGGAGGGTAAATTCACTTTGAGGGATTTCCAAACTCAAATGAACAATTTCTTGAAGATGGGTCCATTGAGTAATATTGCTTCGATGATACCTGGTATGTCCAATTTAATGTCACAAGTTGGGGAAGATGAGACATCATCCAGAATCAAAAACATGATCTATATTATGGATTCAATGACCACCCAAGAATTGGACTCTGATGGGAGAATTTTGCTTGATCAACCACAAAGAATCTTAAGAATTGCCAGAGGTTCAGGTTGCTCCGTTGTTGAAGTCGAGATGGTCTTGCAACAACAAAAAATTATGAGTTCAATGGCTCAAAATGCTAAGAATATGAATATGAATAATCAAAATCCTGGTTTCAATAGAGCTATGCAACAAGCCCAATCAAATCCAAACTTCATGCAACAAGCAATGAATATGTTGGGTGGTGCTGGTGGTGCCGGTGCTGGTGGTGCTGGTGGAATGCCAAACATGCAACAAATGATGAATAATCCAGCAATGATTCAACAAGCTCAGCAAATGATGAGAAATAACCCTGGAATGATGCAACAAGCTCAACAAATGATGTCTAACCCTGGGATGATGCAAAAAATGATGCAACAGTTCGGAGGTGGAGGCTTTTGATTCGCTTAATTGAATATATACTCCTAATATCTCTTGAATTGACCTCTTACAGGTATTTTAGAAACTTTTTTGGACAATTCTCTGTTTAATTAAGAGATTCCGTGATTAACCTTTCAGGACCAACTGTCATAAAACTGGTTGCGATGGTGGGGTGAGAAATCTTATCGCGGAGACGATTAATTATAATGACCTCCCGAGAAGTACCTGAATTGCCCAATGATGATGTTAATTGGTTCCTAAGAGACTTGTCAACTAGTTCGGTTAACACATCCAATAGTGAGAGTGTTTCCAGTGGGAAGAATGAGGAGGAAAAAAGGAAGAAAACTGACAAAATAAATAACAAGGAGGAAAAAGGTAAAGAAGAGAAAATAGATTTGGGAAGTCATTTAACAACAACGATATCAAACTCCAATGATCATATAATATCGAAAACAAAGCCTTCAATTGGAACGATACATGAAGAACCTGTTTCATCCTCAACTAACTTCCTATCAAGAAAACGTACTAATAGTTTGTCATCACAAACGTCAAGTTCAGGTTTGTTTGGAAAATTGAAAGGGAAGTTCCATAAGTCTCCACCAACTTCACCAAGCTTAGGGCCTTCGGTTTTCAAAGACAACTTCACCATGAACTTAAAAAAGACCATGAGTAATGATGAAAGGTCGAAGGTAGATAAATTTGAAAAAATCGAGAGACCTACTAATTCTATCGATGCCATGAATCTCGATGATCCCAAATTGGATGAATATATCAAGTTTTATAAAAAACCTGATTCAAATTCCCGCAAATCTTCTTTTTCGGAAGGCTGTCTTTTGAATAAGCAAGAGTGTACTGACTCCAATACTTCAGGTAAGTTTTCATCTTTTTTGAGACGTAAATCAAGTGTTAATTCCCATTTGCCAACCACTTCTATGGCAACACAATTTAATCGAAGAAGTAGTGAAGTCAATAAATCGGAAAGTGAAAAGTTTAACAGCACGAATTATTATTCCACCAATAGTTCCACCACCACCGTGATCAACGAGGTTCCTATATTGCCCGAATTTAGAGATCTCAAACCTTTAAAAAGGGTTGCTTTTCATTCAACTACGTTCTTAATTGATCCACCTCAACAGATACCTTCAAGGACACCCAGGAAAGGTAATGTTGAGGTGCTAAATAACGGTTCCTTGAGAATTAATCCTTTGACTGAAGATGACAAGATTGCCATCGAGAAGAGCCAATTGGGTCAAGGTGGTGGTGTTGTTGTGGGAGGTACAGGATCGTTACACTACCTTCCTAAAAATGAAGACAAGGAGAAAGAAAATGATAAGAATCTGATATCTAACGAACTGAAAGACAAGGAAGTGGATGAAAAGATTGACAGCAAAGCCAAAAATCTTGGAATTGAGAAGCCGGTTTTCTCTAACAGGTCCAACTATACTGCTCCAGTGGAAAAAATGGCTTTGGATCTAATGTACACCAGATGTTGTCACTTAAGAGAAATTTTACCGATCCCAGCAATTTTAAAACAAATTCCCAAGAATTCTATGGCCCCAATTCCATTATTGCAGTTGAAGAATCCATTTCCTACCATGATCGAAATTCAGACTTTCGCTGATTTCATAAGGATCGCTCCCATAATCTGCATATCCTTAGACGGTATTTCTTTGTCTATTGACCAATTCAGAATTTTGTTATCTTCAATGAGTGCCAAAACTCAATTGGAAAAGTTGAGTTTAAGAAACACGCCAATCAACGAAGAAGGTTGGTCTCTTTTGTGCTGGTTCCTTTCCAGAAACAAAGTCTTGAGCAAATTGGATATTACTCAATGTCCGGCATTATCTATAAATGTTTTAAAGAAACGGAAAGTTGAAAAGAAAAAAAATGAAGAGGCTTTGGTTAGAATGGTGTGCAATAAGGAAAATAGAAGTGATATGGATTGGTCATTGTTTGTTGCTACTATAATTGCAAGAGACGGTATTGAGGAGTTGATTCTCACTGGTTGTTGTATCTTAGACTTGACAATATTCGAAAAGTTGATCCAGAGAGCAATTGCAATTAAAACGAACAGATTAGGTTTAGCCTATAACAATTTGAATGTTAAGCAAATTGAAGTTTTAACAAAGCATTGGATGTTCAATAGTTATGTGAGAGGAATTGATTTGGGTTATAATGACTTCTCTCTGGAGGAATTTTTCAATGTTGTGATTAATTATGCCCATGATTTAGGTGGTGAATTTGAGAAAAAGCTTAATAACTCTCAGATGGGTTTTATAAGTTTGAATTCAACAAATATAAGATTCTGTAAAGAGTTTCAATTCATAAATGAAGAACTTTTTCTTAAGCTTCCTCAATTAAGATACCTTGATTTGTCGAATAATAACAAGCTTTTTAATAACAAATTGTTGGATAAAAATTTGAAAATAGAATCTACCGAATCTTATTTTACTTCGAAATTACCATTGTATTGTAATCTTGTGAGGATTCATTTAGAGAACAACAATTTGACCAAAGATCAAATCCTTGCCATAGCCAACATTCTTCCATTTTGCCAGCACTTAAGGTATATTTCTTTGCTTGGTAATGAGATAGACTTGACTGTTGCAGCTGCATTAATTCAATCCGTGAAGAACAGCAAAAAAATCATGACTTTGGAAGCGGACTTTGACAAGGTCCCCTCTTATTTCAAGGAAAGGTTGGGACTATATACAATGAGAAACATGGAATATATGATGTACCAGGATGGTGATCATGCGGACCTGTCTGATTCCAAAGATCATGAGAATTTAACAAGTCAATACTATGAAATATTGGAATTGAAAACTAACAACAAGTTGGACTTAAATAGTGACGTAGTGAAAAACTTTTTGGATCAAGCGAAACAAACTAAAATTGAATTACATGATTCGATCAATGAGCTCAATAAGTTGAGACTCCAAAATATCTTGAATCTACAAGGAAAGGAAACATTAGTGAGATTGATATTTATAGACTCCTCCATTTCCAAAGCCATCAAATCCATAGATGAAACTTTTAAAGACGAGGATTTGACCAAACACTACACTTTGAGTGAGCTGAAAAATGAAGCTGTGATTGAACCCGAAGACACCGTAGCTGAGACAGCTCTTGAATCTCAAAATTTAAATTCACCAGGTTTAATCTCAAGATCTAGTTCGAAGACAAGTTTGAACAAATTAAACCTGGAAGAGGGAAATGTCCATAAGTTATCTAGCATTGACAAAAACACTTTCTTCGAATCCACAGAACAACTTTCGGGAGAGGAAATCAGAAAGAAAATTGCCTCCGTGAGTTTGGATCAATTGGGCGATATAATAAAATTCGTGAAGGCGTTGAAGGAGAAAGGTATCGAGGTGTCAACTGTTTTTAAAGAGATACATAAAGAAAAGGATAGCGAAGGTTTGGATATTGACTTCATAACCAAAAAGTTAAAAAATATGCACACTGACAATATTCGTAAGCCCACAGTAACAACGGCAGATAATCAAAAAGGTGAGGATGGCTCAGAAGGTTTATCCACCCCTATGAACAATGATCCTTCTAATTTATTACAAACTGGCGAGATGAATGAACTCTATGATGAAGTCTTACATAATTACAAAATCAAGTAGAAATAGAATATATATTCATTACTATAACCTATTGTTTTTTCATTCGTCATCGGAATCTAATATCGGATCTCTGGTTCTTCTATGGTTGAAATCCTCGTCATCTTCGTCTACCTCTTCTAAATCCTCTAAATCTTCCGCCCCATCTTGTCCTTTACCAGTCTGTTCCTCTTCTAAATCCTCACAGGCATCTATCCAATCAGAATATATATCTACTGGTTTACTTAAGGAATGAATCGAAGATTGGAAATTCTGTCCACAGATTTTGCAATGCAATTCACCAATCCCATTTTTTTTATCTAAGGTACAAATGACCGATCTTTCGTGATTACAAAAAAGACATGTGAAGGTAATATCTAAGGTTTGTTTCACCTTTTTAGCTGGTTTACTGGAACTTGATTTTCTTTTACCCATGTCAGTCTTGCGAAAATTTTACTATCTTATCGATGCGCGTCAAAGAGTGGTGCTACAAGAACCTGAATCATGGGGACAAAATTTAAAGAGTTTCAAGAGCTTCAAAGTGATCATTTGTATTACCTCATTAGCAGTTGAACTCTTTTTTTCAACCTCATCTCCATCCTGTACTTTTCTAATGCCATTTTGTCCTTGGCATCTAATTCCTTTGTTCCGCTATTAAGCGATAATGAAATTTTCAAGTTTGGATTCAAGGTACTATTAATTTTCATCCCCAATTGATACAACTTCAAATCATCGTCCTTGTTATCCAACAACTTGACGGAAAAGTCGAACAAATGCGTCATGAATTTAGTATCCAGGTCCGTAGGATAATGCAATAGTAATGATAAACATTCGGTGAAATCACCTATGATCAAATTGGATTTCAAGTTGATCATCATTGTTATAATCAAGAAGTTCAAGAACATGGGGAATTTTAAGGGACTGACAGTGACAAGCTTATCCCAAAGATTGGTGATATTGTCATGTTCGAACTCTCTAATTAACACCAATCTGAAGTACTTTATGCACCACAACTGACTCTCTAGGTTCAATTTTGAAATCAAATTGTAGTGTATGAGCTGATCAATTTTCAATAAGTACATGTTGAAGACATTAATCTGATTTAAAAGTACTTTCTCGTCTCTGTAATAGTTCTCCACTATTCCGAAGTTGTTTAAGAACTTGTTGAAAATTTGGAATACGTCATGCTTGAAAAATTTAATGTTAAAAAGTTTGAGGATCTTCAATTCCTCCAATGGACAATTATCTGAAATTGATACACAATCATTGTACAAATTTTTGAAAATGAGACCAAGAATTTCATGGAAACCTTGTTTATAACCCACTTGATTACATTTGGACCAAACATATAGTATCTCAATGAGCTCCCTCTTTATATCCTTAGTGAAGAATGGGTCCCCAGGGAATATTCTATCCACATCTACTATTATCATACTTAGTAATTCTGTATCGTCGCTGATACCCTTGGCCATGGTAGATTCATGATCACCGTCAGTCTCATGGCCAGGCTTGGTGTTCTCTGTGGATAATGGATCCGATGATACTCTGGTAAACTCTAATTTCATAGTTGGTTTCAAGCTCTTCGTTCTCTTGATATGCAGATTCGATCGTGAAAGATTAACATTTTTGGACTTATAATATATATTCTCGTGATCCAAAGTATCCCATGGTAGCTGCATGTCCTCTCTTCTAACTAACTCGTGGAAAATTCTCCTGCAATCGTTTAGTTTACCGGACCATGAGTCGATAGTCAAACTCTCCGTCAAAAACAATGTTTTCCAGATTAAAGATCTTATAAAATAGGACTTGCCCTGATACTCATTAGACTGAATGGCTTGTTTGAAGTTGTCGACAGTTTTGAACTTGTCAATCGTCAAGAGTGTCTTAGAGATTAACTCACTCTCTTCTGACATCACTAGTGCGAATTGTTTGCAATCTCAACTTTTGTTAAAATCTCTGAAGCTTACGGCCCAACTTAACTCCAACACTCACCAAGTGTGTTTGACGCGTATCAGTTATTCAATTTCAAATTGAATACATATTTGGAGTTGTACGTCCATTCCTTATAAATCAAGGATTGAAATTGTCGTCTCGCAAGTGATCAAGAGGAAGTCAGAAATGTTTCTATTGTTCGATCAATGTATATCTATCTTTTGGGTACGTTCGAATTGACTGTATAAATTCGATTGGTAATTTCTTCATGCTGAAGGGGAACTTACTGCTTATTAGAACCTCCAATTGAAAAATTGAATTGAAGACCGTTGTTAACCGAACCAAAAGAATTGAACGAGTTAACTGAGTTGAAATAATAACCAAGATTGAAATTAGCAGAATCATTGAAATATCTCAAACCAAAACCTACTGAAGAGATGTTGAAGTCATTGAAGTTATTAAAAATGAAGTTGGTGTAAAATCTCAAAGGATTTTGATCATTGCTCAAGGAATGGATGGATTTTGGTAACTTAAAATAGATAAATGAATTAATTCTGAAGAAATTGTCGAAACTAGTATCGTGCTTCTTGACGATTGAATTGATTGAGCTAATGGTGTTTGCAGAATTCAAACCCCCAATATAAAATTTGTCATTAGGGTAAATATTCAAATTATTAGGGTTCATGATTAGCCCGAATTCGTTGGATACATTGAATGTCAAATGGTTATTCAAGACCGAGTAATAAAAATCTGATTTGAGTTTGAGCTTGTTGAATAAATTCGGGTTGGCGTTCAGATTTGATGCGGCGGCTTTTTCTAGTTCAGGGTCTTGTTTCGAATCGATGAAAGGGTTCGAATTGTCAATCGAGCTGATTTCGTTGCTGAGATCTACTCTGAAACCTTTGACTGGGAAGTTCTTCTTGCCGTTCAAAAATAACAATTGATTGTAGTCTAAGTTAAAAAATAATGAGTTTTTGAAATAAACGTCTGAGGCAGCAACTGATTCAATTTTTTTCTTGAACATGGATAATCCGATCAACATCTTAGTGCTGGATAAGGTATAGTTCAAGCCGAAAGATCCACCCATAATGTTCTCTTTATTATTCAAATAGCTCAAACTCTCTTTGTTATTCTGAAAGTTCATATCGAAGCTCCAACGTGAACTTAGGTGTTTCATCAACTCGAATTTTGTGAACAAGTATTGAGGTTTATAGGGGTTGTAATTGACCAATATATTCAATATCTCATTGTTAGCATTGAAGTTATAGTTCAAGTAATTGAGTTTGACATTCAAAGGAATGTCATTGCTCAAATCGATCATTAACTCTCCAACATTCAATCGCTTCAATAATAAATCAATCTTGACTTTAGTTTTGATGACATTATCATTCTTGAAATTGTAGTTTTTGATCTCTGGTAATACATTCGAATAGTCTTCCACCAACAGAAATTTTATATCTTTGAAAATACCAATGCTGCTTAAGTTTTCATAACTGGAATCGATATTCTCAATCAATCTTTTGAATGTCAAATCTCTTGATTCGATAAGTGGTGATATTGACTTCTTGAAAAAATTGTTTGAGAAGAGTTCACCTCCATTGATTTCGATGGAAGTCAAATAAATCGGTTGTGCAGAGGACCTGCTTAATATATCCTCTGTGATTAGTTTGACCTTAGTATCTTCCATTTTAGTTATTTCTTATTGGATTTCGCGTTTATACATAGTAATCATGTGCGCAATCATATGATTAGCTAGAGTGATAATAAAAATCTAGATCATCTCTTGGAGATATACCTATATACATTCTAATCATTCAAAAATCTAATTTTTTGTGGTTGCACCGTCATAAGCTAATTCCAATAACTTCCAGCTGCATTGTATACCTTCAACTTTGAACATGTCAATAATCTTATTGGCCAATTGATCGAAATTATCCACAGCCAAACACAAAATGGTAGGACCGGCACCTGAAAGACATATCCCACATAATCCAGGGTTTTCTTCGGGTTTCAAGGTGTCCAAAATTTTTGTCAATCCAGGAATTAAGGTTGATCTGTATGGCTGATGTAATTTGTCTTTCATCGAATTATAGATTAATTGGGAATTTGGAGGATCTTGGGACAAGGAACTAGTCAATATGGCTAATCTTTGTAAATTGAAGATAATGTCAGCTTTTTCATAACTACTGGGTAAAATGGATCTTGCATCATCTGTTGAGACTTCAAAGTTGGGTATAATTGCAATACATTTGATTTTTTCATTCCAATTATATTTCAAGTATTCCCCAATCTTGTGAGGTGGAGGCTTTGAAACAATTTGAGTAGCTGGAGTGTCTTCTTTTGGTAAAATTGAGGTCAAAGGGACTGATTTTTCTTGTGTTTCCTTTTCATCTAATTCATTCAAATAACTACCCACAAATCCTCCCAACATTGCTGCAGCTATGTTGTCTGGGTGCCTCTCTATCAACAAACAATAATCTAATAACCTTTCCTTTGAGAATTTGTTTCCCAAATAATAGTTTCCAATCATTGATCCACCAACAATAGCAGCTCCAGAGGATCCCAAACCTCTTCCTAATGGGATAGGATTATGGATCTCAATAACAGTTCCAGGAGGAAATTTTTCCATCCCGTTACATCTCATGACATATAATGCTGTGGCAGTCACTAAATTCTTCTCTGTCTCCAAAGGTACATTTTCTTTACCTTCACCACTATAGATTATTTTTCCGTTATGTTTGTCTTTTGACGTATCGGAAGAATCGTTGGAAAGTGTGATTTCCAAATACAAATTCAACCCGATACCCAATACATCGAACCCTGGACCGATATTGGCAGACGAGGCAGGTACTTTTATCTTAAACATAATTTAGTTCTTATTGAGTCACCAGAGGTTGAAAAAACTCGCACAGAAAAACACTGGGAAGAATATCTTAAAATTCCGATCTCAGAAAAGTCTCAGGTTCACTAGCTCAGAGTTCCAGGCCTCTGAATCTCAACTGTTAGTCCAGAGTATGGATAGAATCTTCGTTGACTTGTAAAGTGGATTTTTATTTTTTTTTAATTTATTTTTTAACTTATAATTCAAATGAAAGTGCCCTCTTAAAAATTCGTAAAAACAGCAAAAAATACAAAAAAAATAAATACAAAAAAAGTAAAAGGACAAAAAAAGACAAAAAAGACGACTGTAGGCTTAGTATGAATAGGGCACAATGGAACATTTTTCACTTATTAACTTTATCAACATCAATTATGTTATGTTTAAGAAGAAATTAAGGGTCGCGTTCTCCTCCACGAATGCCTTTAGCTAAAGACATCAAAGAGAAAGGAACATACAGCAGTTAAGAGGAAGAGAAGTACAAGAATAGAAAGATTCATATGTATGAAGATAAAATTAAATCAGATTAAATAACACAAGTATCTCTTTTTTCCCAAATAATATTGGAATCTTCTTCGATTGGTAAAGTGACCATTGAAGCGTAATCTACCAATGGCATCTTATCAGCTAACTTCCATCTAAAATTGTAAACAAAAGTTGCTAAGATAGTGGTTAATTGGACATAGGCAAATTGCTCACCAATACATCTGTGTCTTCCACCACCGAATGGTAAATATGGGGAGGATACCCCTTTGGAGATAGCACCGAAACCATAATCAACAGTCTTGTCTAAATTAGATTGATTTGTAGCATCGTTTGCAGCTTCAGCCATCTTTTCCCATCTATAAGGATCAAACTTGTCAGCTTGAGGGAAAAATCTTTCACTAGTCATTGAGTAACCTGGAGAAACTAAGACATGATGTCCTTTTGGAACAACATAATTGGAATCAGGAACTTTCAAAGGATTCATCACTTTTCTAAAAATTGAATGTAAAGGCATGTGCATTCTCAAAGTTTCCTTTATAACATTATTATGTAAAGTTAATTTTTGTAAATCGTCATAAGTTAAATCATAGATGTCACCTTTTGTTGAAGCCAAAAGCTCAGTCAACTCCTTGTACAAGTCTTCTTGCAAGTGAGTCTTATCACCCAAATGTAATAAGAACCAAGATGAAGTTGCAGCAGAAGTATGTTGACCACCCATTAAAATACCAATCAACAAATTAGCAATCTCTTGATCTGTCATTTTGACACCATCTTTGTAGGTAGAATTGGACATCAAACTGTCAATCAAGTCTCTTGAAGGAACAATATCGCCTGTATTTCTACGATGGCTGATCAAGGATAAATAAGTGTTTGAAATTTTTTGTTGAGCAGCATCTCTTCTCCAATATTGTGGTAAAGGTAAATGAGGGAAAACGAAGTTAATTGGTGTGAATCCTTTATCCAAATCTGTATACAATTTAGCAAATGAAGTGTCGAATCTTTTTCTCATCTCGTCACCCATCAAAGATCTGGAAGCGGTCAAGATAGTGATTTCCGGTTGGGAAACAAGAACATTGACCTTACCAGAATCGTTTTCATTTGTCTTGAAATGGGATTTGATATATGAGATCATTTCTTCCCTAATTTTTGGAACATAAGTTCTGAAAGAGTCAGTAGTTAAAGCAAATTTAGCAAATTTCTTTTGTTCCATCAATTTACTGTTTGGGCAATCATAAATGACACCTTTACCAAAGACAGGCGTTGTCAAGTGTTTGTAAGCCTCTTCAGCTGAAACGTCACTCAATTTAGCATTGAAAACAAATTCGTGACCCTTAGGTCCCAAGTAAACTGTCATAACTTTTCCTAACAAAACGAAAGCAAAAACATCACCATATTTTTCTCTACATTCTTCAAAAAATTCATAAGGTCTCATACCGAAGTTCACAGCGGAACCAAACCAAGGGATCCAATGAAAAACCAAAGGAACTCTGTCTCTTCTGACTGAACAATACAATTGCCATAACAAATTATAAACGAATGGAATCAAAAGAATTATTGAAATCCTGTAACTCAACTTCAACTCACTGAATGACTGGTAGACTGACAAAGCATAAGCTTGTAATACTTCTAATTCCATGGTTGCTTTTATCACTCCTGAAGAAAATCTATAAAAACAGAAAAACTCACCAATTTATATTCGTCGTATAAAGTCGCGACCGTTTAACATCTGATGAGATTGTATGATTTCTCGATAGTTGGTGTACTGGTGCTGTAATTGGTCTAGGTTGTAATTCTATCGCTTGTCTGTATAATGATTTGACGCAAGAGATCACAACACTTGTTCATAGAAAGGCACCCAAAATAAGAGATTCATTGCATTATTTGCTACCGTTACACCTAATCGAAAGTAAAACTCTCATCGGTTACACAGTCTTATTATTAATGCGGCATTGCAATTGGTACGATTTATGGAACCACTTTGAATTGCCCGTAAACCTGGAGGAATCGATACCAAACTGAATAGACGACTTAAGACCTTTATTCCACAGAATGAGTTACATGAATCATTATCCTTCATCCAAGGATCGAACTAGAAAGTGGGATCTTGATTCCGCTCATCAGATAGCTAAAAGAGGTAAATTTCTCACGGACTTAAATATTCATTATCATAAATTTTCATTAATGGCTATACCCAACATCTTTGCTTGTTCAATCAATTGGTTATATTCATTTCTCATTCTATTGTTCTTCAACTCTAAAAATTTTATGTACTCGATCGATTTGGCTAGGATCGTACCTTTGTTCAACTTCCTGGCAGGTTCTAACCCTTCAAGATCATTATCACTTTCGTCCTCACTGAAATCATTCCTTTCCTTTTCATCGTCATTCTTCCTTTTGGCAACAACTCTCAAGGTGGGCACCGAATTCTGTAAAGCTGTAAATTTATCATTGATTTTATTTCTATACCTTTGTTCAATAACGTTATGTGACGATTTGCACCTTTTCGGTTCATCTTCATCACTGTCATTAGAAATCATTCTATTGATGCTATTCCTTGAGTTTCTGGTATTGACAGAATTGACATTGTTCATGGATTGATTTATTGAATTATTCGAATTGGTATTGGAAGTTGATGTTATGGACATATTGGGATTGAACTTCTTATCATAATAATCAAATTCCTGATCAAATTGATTGATAGTGGGGGATAATATGGGGCTTATTGATGGGGAAACAAATTCTTTTTTAATGTCAATATCGATATTGTTAATATCGTTCATATTCATGTTCCCCATATTCAAATTGCTGAGATTATTGGTATTTCCCAAATTACCACCAGCATTGCTGTTTAAGTTCTGATACTCCGGATTCAATCCAAAATCGAAATCGAGATATTTATCTTTTTTGTCAGTATCCTTTTCATACAAAGATGACAAAAATGAGTTGTAATCATTCAACTTGAAAGACATATTTCTGGAATATGGTGGATTCAAATAATAATATATATACTACTTTTTACAATTTTAAATGTGATTTTTGACACCTTCCTAACAATTTTAAATAAATATTTTGATCATACGATTAATTTTGCAGTCATTTGATTTTCCGACATTTTATATTACTTTTTTCCGACATACGACACTATATTATTAGGAATAACTAGGAAGATAGATTAGATTGATTAAACAGGAGAGAGGACGTTTGCCTGAACAGACGCCAAACCTAACACTGTTCATTCCATCACAACCCTCCTTAATGAATGAAACAATAGGGCTCACGAGGGAAACTGGGAAAATAATTACGCTAAGCTAAGCTATTTTAAGAATCACTTCACTAAACTTTAATCGCTTCTTCCATTTCCGTTTAGCCTCTTGGGTAATAAACTTTTTCTATCCAGATTTGGGTTAGGTCCAATCTTTGAATTGGTTTTGGTCCTCCTGCGTAAATCACCTCATCGAGCCTGCCCGAAATTTTATACCAAAAAAAGCGAAGTTTGAGAAGAGCAGATATCCGCCATGAGTGATTTGCACGATTTATGTAAATTGTCTAGACCAATTACTACAAAAGACCTTGATGATTTGAAGTTTTATCTTAAGAGTGGTATTCCATCTACTTATACCATCGAGGAAGCTTATAATTTCAATAATGATATTCAGGAAGAACCTAAGACCAATACTACCCCATTACATATTATTTGCCAACACATACCATCAGACTATAACCTGGAAGAATTGGAAATAATTTCACAGATGGTGACCATATTGTTTGAATATGGGGCTGGATGGTCATTTACTGATATCAATAATGATACTCCAGGTTGTATTTTGTTAAGAAGGAACTTAAAGAACAAGATTTTTGATCAAATAGTCGATGCAGGAGTAAGAGCCGAACTTTTGTTGAGGAAGGTTAATAACAACATCGAATTTATTGAGGAAGATGAGGATGTACTCAGAGAAGAAGACGAAGAAAATGAACCAGAAGAAGTTGTAAGCGAAAAGGAAGCTGTAGCCGAAGACAGTAAGCTTTCCGATGAACCCCAACAACAAGACCCTGCAGAGTTTCAAAACTCCTACCTCAATAACAAATTGTCATACAAGGACGATGCTCTTATAACTTCAAATAACGATGGGGTCATGATGTCGTGGGAGTCAGAAATCATGCAAAAAGCATGTAATACGCTATTCTCAATTGCAGATGATGAGATGGTTGTCATGAATATTGGTTTTGGGATGGGAATAATAGACGGAATGATTCAAGACAGGAAACCTGCCAAGCACTACATTATAGAAGCACATCCAGATGTTTTGAAGAAAATGAAGGATGATGGTTGGTATGAAAAGCCAAATGTGATCATCTTAGAGGGAAGATGGCAAGAACACTTACCTATTCTTCTCGACCAAGGAATTTTCTTCAACGGTATCTATTACGACACCTTTTCAGAACATTACAGTGATATGTTGGATTTATTTGACTACGTTGTAGGATTGCTCAAGACAAATGGTACATTTTCTTTCTTCAATGGGTTGGGCGCCGACAGGGAAACCATTTATCAGGTATACAAGAAATTGATAGGTATCGACTTGAGTGATTACGGTTTGACAGTCGAGTTTGAAGAATATAACGTCCCAGATGTGGACTGGAACGGAATTAAAAGAAGTTACTGGAATTGTCCTATCTATTATCATCCAACAATTCGTTTCCATCAATAGATATGCCATATATACATATATCGCTCTTTTTCTCACATCCTATCTTCTCACACAGTGTGCCACATTTTAGTAGTTTATGACTTCTGATGAGCATTCATAAAATTGCGACTATGTTTAAGAGATTTCTTTCAACAAAATCACCTATTGACATAAGCACTCTATCTAATGGAGTAAGAGTCGTTACAGACTCAACTGCAGGACATTTTAGTGCTGTTGGTGCATACATAGATGCTGGATCCAGATTTGAAGATCCTCAAAAGGCAGGTATCAGTCATATAGTTGACAGGCTCTCTTGGAGGTCAACATCCAAATTTTCAAGCACAGAAATGATGAATAATTTAAGTAATTTGGGAGGAAATTACATGTGTTCTGCTCAAAGAGAATCCATGATCTACCAAGCTTCAGTATTCAATCACGACGTTGAAAAAATGTTCGAGTGCATTGCATCTACCATCACAGAGCCAAGCTTCACAGATCAAGAATTTGAAGAAACTTTACAGGGAATAGAATTTGAAATTGGGGAAATGGTCCATAAACCTGATGTTATGTTACCAGAACTTTTGCATCAGGTGGCATACAAGAATACTTTAGGATTGCCTTTGTTTTTACCTCAAGAAAGACTTCAGACTGTTCAAAAATCAGAAGTCATAGATTACCATAAAAAATTTTATCAACCACAAAATACTGTGATATCAATGATAGGTGTTGACCATGACAAAGCTGTCAGTATGACTGAAAAATTGTTCGGCCATTTGAAAAACTCAGCAGGAAAGATTGCCCACGAAAAACCTTTGTACAAAGGGGGAGAAATATCAATTCCTTTTCAACCACCTTTATTCTCAAATTTACCTGAACTTTACCATATTCAAATTGCCTATGAAACTGCCGGTCTTTTGACTGACGAGCTCTACATCTTGGCTGTTTTACAAAAATTATTAGGGGGAGGATCCTCATTCAGTGCAGGAGGCCCTGGGAAGGGAATGTTTTCCAGATTATATACAAGAGTACTTAATCAATATGGTTTCATCGAGAACTGTACAAGTTTCAACCATCAATATGTTGGGTCAGGATTGTTTGGAATAAATGTCTCTGCTACCCCTCAGGCTGCACAAGCAATGCCTCAAGTTATCGCTTTCGAATTCTCCAGTATGTTGGAATCGAATGCTATCACCCAATCTGAATTTGACAGGGCAAAGAATCAGTTGATTTCATCACTTTTGTATAATGTAGAGAGTAAATTAGCATCATTAGAAGATCTCGGAAGACAAGTTCAATGCCAAAATAAGTTGATTTCAATCAATGAAATGATTGAAAAGATTAATGCTGTTCAGATAAAAGATTTAGTGGAAGTGGTTAGAAAATTAGTCAACTCAACTCCTTCAATAGTAATGCAAGGTGACAGAGAAAGTTTTGGAGATTTGAATTATGTTTTCAACCATTTCGGTTTGAAAAGTTACTAATTACTTGTATATAGACTCAAACAAATATATCAATTTCCAAATATATCAATTCCCAAATATATCAAAAATCACAGCCCTTCCTGGAGGTTCTACTTAGAGGTTGAGAAAATGTTCACATTGTTTATTTTATGCAATTCCAAGTCTTGCTCTTAATTGCAAAACTTCCTTCTCCAACATTAACATACCATTTTTTATGTCTATCTGGTCTCTTTCTAAAGTTTTTATTTTCAAATCTTTTTGCAAGTTTTCACCATGTAGAATGTCCAAATTACTTTTGTAATGATTAATCTTGTTCTTGTAATTGAAATTTTCGTCATTGTATTGTTTGATCAATTTTTCATCATTTTCATGATGGATCTTGAGGCTCTTGATTTCATTTTCGAAATTGTGGATTGTCTTGTTCAACTTGAAGTTTTCGTTGTTGGAAGTATCTAATTTATTGTTAAGCTCTCTCAACTTGTTTTCCCAGTACTTGATTTGCTCATTATTATAAAGTTTATCTTCTAGTTTTCCAAGTTTCTCTTTCAATTCATGATTGATTTTCTTAATGGAATCGTTTTCTTCAGAAATAACAAGATTTTCTCTCTTCAAGGATTGATAATTGGTGATATCATCGTTAGTGGACAATTTCGATTGGTTCAATTCCTGTTGAATTTCGTCACTTTGTAATCTTTGACTATCTAAATGGCTCCTCAACAAAGTTAAATTAGATTCGTTGGAAGAAATTTTGAGGTTCTTCTCTTCAATGGTTTGATTAAGAATTAAATTCTCCTCTTCTAAATCCTCTTTAACGGTCAATAAATCGTCTCTTTGTAAGGTAATATCATTAATGAGATCTTTCAAGTTTTGGATTTGTTTAGCATTGTTGATCAACTTTCTATCATTTATTGCTTTTTCGTTTTCTAGGACTCTTTTATTATCGGTTAAATCGTCGACCTGGGCTTCGAGTTCGGCCAACTTTTCCAACTTTATCTCATAATCTTCCTCAAGCATTGACTTCTGTTTGGACAAAGTCTCGTTATCGATAGTCAATTTCTTGTTCTCTTTGACGAGTTTAGATTCGTTCTCTAATTTGAACTTCAACTCATCGTGCAAGTTTTTGATTTCGTTCTTATAATTCTCTGTAAGTTCTTTGTTTTCAAAAATCTTCTTGTTGTAGTTGATCTTATCATTTAATTCATTGATTTTTTCCATCTTGTTGAAGATTTCATACTCCTTATCCTTGATTTCATCTAGCAATTTTGTCTTCTCACTATTAAGATCCTTGATTATGATTTCGCTAGCTTTCAATTCTTCTTTGATGAGCTTATACTCATTCTTGATATCGTTCAATTCTTTTAAACTTTGTTCTTCATGTCTTTTGGATATTTTAATAGCGCTTTCAGCTAATTCTAATTTTTTGAAGTATTCCTCGCTCCTGTCTCTATACAATTTCACGGATTTTGTCAAGTCTTCATTTCTGTCGATCAAATTATCTTGTTTCACCTTCAACGATGCTAATTCATTTTCGTAATTTTCGATTGAAACTTTGTGGGATTTCCTTTTGATTTCGTAAATTTCATCTTCACTGTCTCTCAATAATGATTTCAATCTCAAAATTTCTGATTTAGAAGCTGTCAATTCCTCCCTGGTTGATTTAAGTGTTTTAGTGATATCGTGGTATATTTTTACAAAGTCCTGATTAGCACTCTCCAAAGTTTTATTGATGACAGATCCTCCGAAACTTTCGGATTTGGTCATACCATTATAATTCCCTCTCACTCCCTCAGAATTACCTAATGATTCTGATCTGGGGGAACTTGCAAACAATTTCTCGAATTTGTTTTCAAGTTCACTGATTCTTGTCTGACTTTGTTTGTATTTCTTTTCGAAGTCGATAGAACTGTTGATTCCTCTGGTGTTTTGTAACTTGTTCAACTTCTTCTGCAACTCGATGGCATAGTTTTCAGCTCTAGTGCTATTCAACTCTTCTTGTTCTAATTTGATCTTCAAATCATCGATTTGTTTAATAAGAATATTGTTTCCTTTCATGATGGACAAATCTTCTCCCAATTGCATGGAGTTCCTGAATTGCTTCCCCTTAGTAGGTGAGCTGTAGGGACTGATATGAATCTTATTTTTAAGAATGTTGACTTCTTCCTGCAATTTACTATTCTCGAACTTTTCGCTTCTCAAACTGGCACTCATTTCATTAAGTTTCAATTTCAAATTGGAATATTCATTCAAGAATTCTTGAGATGGAGGCTGATTCTCTTTCATCTCTTTCAGGTCTTTCAGTTCCTTGAGCTCAACATTCAACTTGTTGATTGTCGATGTCAACTCAATGATCTTGTTACTATAATCCTGTTTGGATTTCTCATTAGTTTCAATTGAAGTGGTCATCCTGGAAATCTTCAGTTCCAAATCCGAATTATCCTTTTTCAACTTGGTTATCTGTAGTTGCAAGCTGTTGATTAAATCTGATTGTTTATTATCGTTGGTTTTAGACTGTTTCAATTCATCTTTCAACTGGCTCAAATCCGTTTTATATTGTTCCATCAATTTCAATTGGGAAACAGAATTCGAATTCTCTTTCTTCAAGCTGATCAATTCTTTGTTAGAAGTATTCAATTTATCCAACATCTCTTCATTCTCAACTTTGAGTTTATTCAATGTTGTGTTCAACTTGGATATTTCGGATTTCAGATTACTAGAATTTGTTTTGAATTCTTTCACTGATTTACTTAAATCATGATTTGAACGATTCAACATTTCCATTTCTTTCTTGAGAGCATCATATTTCTCCTGTAAAGTTTCGAATCTCTCATTCAATTTTGTATGCGTAGATTCCAAAGATGAGTTGGCTTTGTTGATTTCTTCGTAATTAGATTTCAAATTCTTATGGTCACTCTTTAACTGGTCGTACTTCTCCTTTTGGGTTTTCAACAATTCAATTGATTTGGAATGGTTGGTTTTCTCCAAATCATATTTTTCATCGAAGCCTTTAGATTTTTCATAATCATTCTTCATGGAGTCAAATTTATCTACTAATTGATCGTGTGTTGATTTCATTTCATTGAACTTGCTTTCTAAAGACTCAAGGTTCTCCTCAACTTTAGCCTTCTCTGTTTCGATAGATGAATTTTTACTTTCTAAAGCTCTTACTACTTTATTCAACTTCTCCACCTTTCTGGTAATATCGTTTTCGTTTGATTTTAAACTGTTTATCAAATCATCTTTCTCTTCCATCAAGCTCAAATTCTCCTTTATTTTGTTATTGAATTCTTCAATTTCTTTATTTAACTTTTCATTTGCTGCTTCGTAGTTTTTATTTAATTTTTCACTATCCTTTAATTTTAATGTCAATTGTTTCAAATTGTCGTTAATTTCTTTTGAATTCAACACTTTGATGGAGTCCTCCAATAACGGCTTCATATTAATGAAAAGTTTATACCATGGATTGGACTTTAACTCATTTATCTTGACAAAATTTTTAGCCAAAATTTGACTATTTTGTATCTTATTGATTTGATTGTTTAAATACTTTCTAGAGAGCTGACCCCTTACATCACTTTGGAATTTAGTAAAGATTGTCTTGATTGAGATGTCTCTCAACTCTTCGAGTTTACCTAATATACCATTTTTGAAGAAGATTTTGGTGATACCCACCTTGAAACTTTCTGCGTCCAATTCGATGAATTTTAAAATAATTTCACAATTCATCTTGGAATCTTTCGTAAACGTACCTTTCGAGTTTAGTATCGAGTATCTATTGAAGAAATCTTGGAAAATCATTTTATTTGGGTAACCAGCCCTTGTGATTCTGATACCTTCGAGGACTCCATTACATCTCAATTGATTCAACACTAAAGATTTATCGAAATTATTTGGCTTTTTGTTCAAATTTGGAAGAATACATCTGACGAAATGTGGTTCGGTGTTATTCAATTCTTCCATCAAATCTTTCAATTGCTGTTTGTATTTGATAGAAAGTGATTTGTTTTTTATTGGAATTAATTTCATCATTTCTTTACTAATAAATTTGTTTTTAGATGAAGACAATATGGTTAATAAGTTTTCACTAATTGGGTCGTTATTCTTACTTAACCAATTGTCAACATTATATTCAACTTCACCAGCATAATGATTGATCATGAAACCATTTTTGAATTTATTGGCCTTAAACTTTTTGTGGTTATTGTCAGGGATCTTTTTGTTGTCGAAATTATGCAACAATCTTTCCAAAAATGATTTGTCTGTTGATTTTGGCATGATACATTCTTCATCCAAGCACTTCATGATACCCATTGGATTTTTTGTGTTTTCAATCAACTCGATAGTTGGTTGTAGATCTTGTCCAAAATCAATATAATCCCATTTAATATCTTCCCTTAGATATTCACTCTGTTCGAGAATGAAAGAATGATGATTGAAAAACTGTTGCAATTTTTCATTGGTATAATTGATACACAATTGTTCAAAAGAGTTGATTTCGAAAATTTCAAACCCAGCAATGTCCAACACACCTATGAAATTACCCGATATTTCCTTTCCGTTCAATGTCTTATTGATTTTTTCAATAATATAATTGAACAAGTTTTCATACAAAAATTTTGCCAAGGAATCAATAAGATACTTAACTTCAACAGGTCTTTTTGCTTTCTCTATGAATTCTCTACCTGCCTTGACCTTAGGTTTCAATAAGTTCTTTTCGAAAATGGACCTCTCTACATCCAACAGATTGACAATCTCCTCTATTGGAGACTCTTTATGAAAATTTGCATAGTCAGATTTCTCACTGGTGAATTTGATATTACCTAAATGTAAGATTATGGACAATATGTTGAATATATCTTCAATTTCAGAATCTTTCAACCCAATAATTTTGAAGCTATTAATCAAATTATGGAAATCCTGTTTATCGCTATAAATTTCAACATCGTTCAAGTATCTATAATTTGAATAATCATCAACAAGGTGAAATTTAGATAATTCGTCATGCCCAGCCAAAAATTGATAAAAAATATGATAATTTCTTTCACTACTCAATTGTTCAATAACTCTTGATTTCTCCAATAAATAATAGTTGATATTTGCTCCATTTAAATTACCCTTTTCATCGAAATATATCTTGATGAATTTTCCGAATCTTGAAGAATTATTATTTTTAATTGTTTTAGCATTTCCAAAACTTTCCATGATAGGGTTGGCTTGAAGAATCTTTTCATCGATATCTTCGTGGTTGAAAGATTTGGAACTCGTTGTATTGTTGGCACCACCAGTAGAAAGGGAAAAATATTGAATAATCTTTTTAGTATTTTCTGTCTTACCAGCTCCTGACTCACCGGTCACAAGAATAGATTGATCCTTTTTATTTTTCATCAAATTTTCATAAGTTGAATTGGCAATGGAATAAATATGAGGTTTATCGAAATCAATATTGTTTTTGTTATAAATTGATAAGTTTTTGTAAGGATTTATAGCTACTAAGAATAAACCCGAATAAGTATAAATCAAGTCATCATTATAACGCAAGTTAAGATTGTAAATCACTGAAGGCTCGTTCAAATGGGTTAATTCAGCCATATCATTACATTTGTTGAACTTTGAAGGATTACAGTTATCTAAAGAATGGATTGGCATTTCTTTGATAATCTCTTTATTATCTTTTTTGTAGCAAACTTTGCATGTATCATCATCTAAATAATCTTTAATGTACCCTTTGATGAAGACCTCATCTTCATCAGGTACCCAAACGTAGTTTTTGGAATCGAATCCTTCGTCAGCCATCTGATTTCTATTTTATAGCTGACAATTACTAATTAACGAATGACAAGAAGGTCCGAATAAATATAAAAAATGACACGCAATTACTCCAGTTGATTCAATAGCAATAAGTCGAATACTTGTCTATGAATTTCAATTAGCGACCAAATCAATGTTCAAATCACAACCAATCGCGTATTATGGTAAAGTCGACAAATATTTCCAGGAAAAGAAGAGATCAAAGTCGCTAATAATGCCAATGATCTTTTGATATCTGAACACCCTTGTTATGTAAATCAATGGGTGAAAATTCTCTATTCAATTAGCGGAGTGGAAATTTTGATCGAACGCCAAATGTTTACTTTAAAAATTTGTTTCGCACTGTTATTTCTATTGTTTACATTTTTTAAGCTCTTTATCTTACAACCTGGACACCACTACTGATATTATTTCTCGCTTCCTGATCGATTCTTGCAGACGATGATGCTTTTTTTCTTCGGGATTAATTGCAATGCTCGAATAGATGCAAGAAGCTGAATAGTAAAGAGTTGATTATTTTAGGCTCCTGTTCGTTTGATAAGGAAAATCGCATTTTGCAATCTAATAATCTCCTTATCTTGAAAAGCCCCAAGATGACTGCTATATTTAAAGACTCGTTTATTGTACCTGTGCTATACAATGAGAATAGACCATTCGATTCAAACTGTACTTCTTTCCCTGTTAGATCCTTAAACCCTTTTAACTGTAAAAAACAGCTAACTTACATGGTTTTTGAAAATGAACAGAAGGTTTTAGATCCCACACAAACTGCACGACACAGAAATAGCTTTATTTTTGCTAGAAGTACACTTTCGCCGATACTCCAAAAGGATGATGGGTTGACCACCTATAACATTTCCAAGGTAGTTTCTAAGGTATGTAGTTGTGTCTTATGACTAGTAATTGAAAATTTACTAACAGAATAGCTCAGAAAGTTAGCTGGTCAAAGATTTCTCACCTATTTTGAATATTTGGCATTCGTAGAGAAAAACTATCTTCAATTCAGGAGTAAAACAAGAGAATCTTCCAAGGCCAAGGTAACCTATTTCGAAAAGTGTAGATCAACATATTCCCCCGGTTCCAAATCATTCATGAAGCCCAAGCGAATGAGACTTAGATTTGCTAACAAGAGGACATCAACGTTCAAAGTCCGGAAGTACGAATCGAACAAGGTAAAAAAGGTAGAAGATCTTTTACTAGTGAAAAGCGCGAAATCGAGGAGTAAATCTCATGAGTCAAGCGGCTTCAGATTTGGATAAACTAACTCAACTGCTCTCAAGAATCAGGGCTCTTACCGGAGCAATATTGGGTACTGACGATGTGATCGTCGAAAGACCTCTCGACCATGGAGGTCAGGATGTCCTTATAAGTAATTCACAATCTAGATCAATCAAGGTATGTATAACACTGAGAATTTGTATTGAATAGAACGTATACTGACTTCTTCAAGATCTTGGCAGACGAAGGACTCAACAGCCGGCTGTTGGTCCTGGGATTACAAAGATCGTTGGACAAGTTATCTGGTGATTCCAAATGACACTTCGTAGAAAAGTGAAAGAAAAACTCAAGTGTGCTACAGGTGCGACAAACTAAATTGAAGATAGTACCATAATTCAGAATAAAGTAGATCAAGAGATGGCGATTTAAGATAGATGGTCCATATCTATATTTTCGAAGACAATTCGTGCGACCCTCCACAAAAATTTCAAGAAACTCCAGCCTGTTTCACCCACTTACTTATGACGAATGGAGGTAATTTCTGCTGTTTCCCGAGAGCTTTTATGACCTTGATCAATTTGGGTTTATCCTCCTTTTTACTTGCTTGGATTATCATCTTGATTATAATGATAACATTGTTTTTGTTGAAATGCACGTCATACCCCGAAGCCAATAAATTTGTTCTGAACTCATTGAATAATTTGAGTTTTTCAAATTCTGTTTTCTCTCGGTTTTCAAGAATACCTCTCTCTATGAATTTGACCATGTCCGAAGTAAACCCATCCTTCCTATTCTTGTGATCTTCTAAGATTCTTAAAGCTACTTTTGGGTCTTTTTTGACTTCGATATTATATGCGAAGGGAAGCTTGGCACTCGAAGGGATTTGTAAACCGTTAACGATACCCAAAATGTCTTCATGAGATTTCTTTCTTTCAAGAAATCTGATAGCTTGTTCACTCACCTTTTGAAATAGCCTGAATTTGAATTCCAGGGAAGTGTTCTTCATAAAGTCATGACTAGTTGTGCACACATATATACAAGTTAAAATTCGATTGATGCCCTCATCGTCAAGATCTGATACTAGTTGGCCAAATGATCGAACAGTGCTGGTAAACTTTCTTTTCGTTTTCAAATCAGGGAATGAATCGTCTATTATGCTGAGCTTCTCAAAAGCTTTCTTGAATAAAGTTGAAACTATCGAATCATCATATATCCGGTTTCTTATAGAAATGTTTCTCATAAGTTCCAAAATGATCTTCGTAGAAAGCGGGACTGACTGAATGAAGCTCTTGTACAAATCAAGAATCTCACCTTTTTGCTCGGAGTGGATGGTAAATTTATTTCTTAGGAATAATGGAAACCCTTCGGTCTGATGGATGGAAATTACTGCCTTGTGGATCATAGGAGAACATTCATCGAATGGGACACAATTCTTCAAAAAGGTACCAAATATATTGACTCTTTCCATTTCAAAAGATTCATGGAAAACCAAATTCAAAATATGATCAGATTCTGTAGATCCGGACTTGTGCAAATAACATAATGCCGCAGATAGCACAGATGGTCGAACCGATTTACTATAACCCGATAGTATTTCGCAAAGGGCTTCTTCTGCGTTCTCCTTGATACATAATTCAACCAACTTCGTTAGAGACAGGTTGATTCCCAGTGAAATTAAGTAATTTTCCCTGACAAGTTTCATAAGGTCGTTGACAGAAAGAACGTTTAATTCCAATACATTCGATAAATCACGGTCATTGATTTCCAAGCTTTTACCTGCATGTATGATATCGAGAAATGTATCCTTAGAAGTGACTTTTGTATTCTCCGTGAGAAACGTGAACCATCCAGGTAAGGTAGAAGGTGATATGAAATCATGAAGTCTCTGTCGAGTTCGTAACAACTCCCTATTGACAAGAAGCCACTCCCATTGATTCTCTGGCATTCTCAGGGTGAAGTTTTTCGCTTCCAACAATTCCAAAGCTTTCAAAATCTCGTCCTTAGGGAGGGAAAAGTTGTGACAAGTTGCATCAAGAATGACACTCTTCAAAGATTGATTAGGTACAAAATGTTGAGAGGCTATCAAGCTCCTAAAAAGCCCTACCAGAAGGTTGTTATTTCTCTCCAAACTGTTCCCCATTTCGTCAATTATCTCTTCAATATCGTTTATGGTGCTGGTTTCATTTATTAGGCACTTCCAGATGTAATCATAAAGACCGTAGTGGCATAATCTCTCAACCGTCAATTTCCTGATAGGATCATCTACACTCACTTTAAGTGTTTCCAAGTAGTGAATATACACAGACGGGAGTATGTCTACGGGGTTGTAATGAAGAATTTTGACGAACCTGGTGTAGTCATCTATGCAATTTTTTATCTCTAACTTTATGCTTGGTTTCAAAGTTTCATGAATGTTCTTGTCAAAGGTATTTGGGGCCAACTCCTCATGCTCTGTAAATTTTTCGGCTATGTACAGTGTTTCTTGTTTTATAAAATCTACAATTCTTTTGGGAAATATGTTATTGGATTTGGCTCGACTAAAATATGAATTTAAAATGATGTTGAAACTCTGACCTCGTCGCTTTGTCTTCAAAATATGTAAACACCTTATGTAGGGTAGTATTAACCCCGTTGAAGGCTTTTGTGTGTGACTTAACTTGAGCATGTCAGCTCATCTATATATCTTTTTGGTTAAGATCGCGCTAACTTGAGAACTGATGATTTGAAGATAACATGGCACAAGTTATCTGGAACCCTGACATTGATGTATATAATTCAAGTGTTATGCCACTATCTGTGGCAAAGAATATAGCCAAATATTTACCAATAGGAGATATACTAAACTTTGGAGCAGTTTCAAAGAACGCAAATTTGGCAATTGAAGATTCAACCCTATGGTTAACCATGGCCAAAAGTGTGGGGGTATGGTCCAATAACCCTGAAAAAAATATCCCGTATAACGATACTCGTCCATTCACCGGATTGGATTGTATGGATGGTTCAATACTGGACCCTAAGGTAGCAAGGAGTCGAATTTTAGCTATTTACAGATGCTTGGATAAATATTACACCGATTTATTGTCCAATAAGTCATACGACAAACTCAAAATATTCCAAGATTATCATACCCCTGAAGAGCAGTGTAAGATATTGAATAACCTCATGAAATACAGTAACCTCGACAAGATTGAGGAATCCAAATACCTAGCTCAAGAGAAGCTAAATTCTTTATTCGAAATCTTCGAGAATGCTATATTGAGGGAACTTGAGATACACTTCGATTTGGAGGATTACAAAACCATGAATAGATTTGTGAAGGTGTTCCTAGAATTGAACAATCATCAGACTTTGATCGATTTTTTCATTCAAAAGAGTGTTCTCGATAATTCTGATACCATGTTCGATCTCATTGAGTCTATAGATGTGGATAAGTTCTTCATAGAAGAGGCCCAAGAGGACGGGAATATGTCTTTTAAATTGGCTTTTGGAGAATTCGACGGGTTGATGAAAGAACTCGTGGTCATTTTCGAACACGAATCAAGAATCATAGACATGGTATTTCCTCAAACGATTCCGATGATGTACAAAGTCAGCGAAGAATTGATACTTAACCAATTGGGAGACCGGTTCAACTCATTGGTGGAATCTTCTAAACCTAAAAGCCTTTACTTGGCCATAGTTCCATATTTGTATAAGCAACTACAGACAAATTTCGTAGATTGCCTTGGGACAAGCAAAAATTTGGGGGAGGGCTATCATAATCTTATACAGGAACTCATAGATATGCAGTTCGAACAAACGGTAACGGACTATATCCGTGAGGAATTGGTATTGTTCAAGGGCGATGCCTACCAGAGGATAAGTGAATGGAAAAAATCAATTGAAAAGAGAGAGGAAGAAACTTCACAAAGTATCTTGAGGAATGTTAGATCCGAAACAAAGAATGACTTTTTGAGTAGTTTCAAGAAAGCCTTCACCGTATCCTCGTCAACAAACTCCGAAATCAGAGAGGATTCGAATGACACCTACTCAGAGATTCAAGCAAAAGAGAAGATACTTACGGAGAATATGAAATCAATCAACAAGACCTTCAGTCTCAAACTTTCCATGGAAATCTTAAACGAAGGAAAGTTATCATTAGCAAGAATTCTACACTTTGAACAATTCAGTATTGCAAGTTTGAGAAACTCAGTATTAACGTCTGTGCAAGAGATTTTCATCTCTTTGTTGGAACTGATAGGTAATGAACATTTAAGACCTGGATTTGACAAAGCGCTATTATATTTGAGAACGTACAAACCTAATGAAGACCACGAAAGTGCTGCAGTGGAACCTATCAAGCCATTAGTACTATTTTCTGATCTTGTAAATATTGCTGACTTGATCATTCAAATGGTAGAGATTTTCTATAAAGAGGAAATTATCAATAGACATCTCATTAAGCATGAAAATTCCATCCTTAACCCCGCTCTTCAAAGGAAGAAGAAATTCGAGGAGATGGTAGATAATTATGTTGCAGATGGTCTAAATATAGGTCTAGACGTATTGATCAGTGAAATAGAATTGACTTACTCATCAGTTATAGAGAGTAAAGACTATTTACCCGACCCAATCGCTGCAAACAGTGTTGAAGGGCCCACCTCTGCTGCACAAAGAGTAATCCAAATATTGAATGGTAATTTCGACTTGTTGGTAGGGTGTGCTGATAAGTCTGTCATAGACGTATTCCAGCAAGAATTGGCTGAAAGGTTCTTCCAAGTGATCGTCAAAATTATCAAACGAACGACGATTTCTAATATGGGTGCTGTCACTTTAATTTCGGATTTGAATCTTTATTACGATTGCATATTCACCCATATAAAAACTAATAAAAGGCTAATTCTTCCTTTGTTTCAATCTTTGAAAAAAGTTGGTAGTATATATCTCATCAGTGGTGACGATTCGAAGTCTATCGGAAAACTTGTTAGCGATTTGAGTAAATTTAACGGTATATTCAATCAGGAAGAGATTTATGAATTTGTCCAAAGGAGAGAAGATTGGAACACCGTTAAAAGTGAGGTTGAGAAGATCATGTATGGACTAAGTCTTGGTGACTGTACAATTGTCTGATGGTGAACCAGAGTGGACATAAATTATCTAGCTTTCTAAGTAATATATACGACAAATGTCGTTAAAAATTGCGAGACATCTCTGTGATGCGATATCTTAACTAATAACTGTGTACAATGTTGGGGCCCAAGCTGAAGTTTCTAGGGAGGCCGTCGCTGTTGTATATGGCATATGGTGGCTCAATATTGCTAAGAAATTCATACTCGACATTTGCTTCCTCAAGGGTAAATGAGATTCGAAACGTCTTGCTTGACAACACTTTGTCTTTGCAATCGAAAGCCACAAAATGCAAAACTATTTATGAAGGCATAGGTGAAACCTTACTAGAAGAAACTTTCTGTACCAAGATCAATAGTAATGACCTAGTCAGGTCTCTAGTTTCAAAATTCCAAACTTCAGCACTGATAAGAACCATTTGTTATGAGGATCTCATACATCTACACAAGAATGGTCGATATACCACGTTAAGTAAGATACTTGACGAACTAGTGAAACATGGAGTTATCGCTGGTTCTCCAATTATCAATTTCAATCCTTCCATAGGTGATAAAGACAAATTTGCTAATCAGATTGTTATGTTGATGGCAAGTTGCGGTGATCCAGTAATTGCTTCCCTGTACCTCATCAGCCTACACAATGAAGGATTGAGAATAGACCTGAAAATCGTCAAAAATCTTATGAAGCTACTATGTTTGCCCAGCAGGAGAGACGCTGCTGCTTATACCTTCTCCATGTTGAAAATTATCGACCATTTCCCAGATATAGAGTATTCTTCCAGCGAACTATTCAATATGTTATCGGCTGCATTAGAGAATGACCTTACTATCTTTCTTCCAAACCTAATGTTTGAGAGGCTTCACCGTTCAATTACACTTCATCCTTGTGATGAAGAACTTTCGGAGATCTTAGTCAAACTCATAACAAGAAACATCGAAAATTCACATATTGAGACTGCCACCACCATGATCAAGAATCTCAGGACCTTCGAACATATTGTTTGTGATAGCGAGCTACAAGTGAGGATCTTGTCAAGGGTTGATGTTAATATTTCAAAGGAATTGATACCGATATTCGTTTTCGATATGAGCGATCTCAAGGTGTTTAACTTCTTGATCGTATACTATAAGGGTCAGAAAGAAATGTTACAAGCTACTTTAAGACATCTCAAACCACCCGTAGAGAGGCAAACTTTGTCAGCTTTGTTCACTGTGTTTGTAGAAGAAGAAAAAGATACTGAAGCTAAAGAGATTCTTCAGCATATTCTCAAGTCCGAATCAGGACTCAATGATAAGGACTTCAGTACCATCATCAAAAAACTTCTTGACAAGGACAAGATCATCGAAGTTACATCCATGATAGCGTTAAAAAACATAGCTATCACCAAACTGGCATATATTTCCACTTTCCGATACCTTCTCAAGAACGATTTATTACAGGAGAATGAAGACTTTTTGAGAGGAATGGTGACAGAGTTCAAGAGGATAAACGATGACCCCATATTATCAGAGATTTTGCCAATCGTTGTGAACCATCTCATTTACAAGGTACATCCGTTAGTAGCTAGAAGCTTTCTCATCAAATTCTTCAATAAGGGCAACGCAACTGATCATGGTGTTTTCAAATTGAGTAGGTATAATCTTCCAGAGTCTTTAGTTGACATCATGAGAGCCACAAATTCCAGCAATATCAGTAGCCTATATGCTGTATTGGATGGAAGTATCGAAAAAGAGGAGTTTGATCTGATCAAATGGTGCGTTCAAGAATTACGTAACCATGGCCACTCTCTTCATGAGATATTGTCCCATATAAGATCTAAAAACGAAACATTTTACAGCAAGATTTTCAAAGAAAACTTGATCAAGGGCGTTTAGAATTGATAATCTATTAACTATATACATGTACATATATCCATTACTTCTTTACTTCTTTTTATTCTTTTGTTTTTTATCGAATAACTTACCTCCTTTGGCAACCTCTTGCACATTCTGACCCAACAAATCAAGGAAACTTTCGTTTATAGATGGCTTACCATTCTTGTCTTGTTCACCAGATGAGACTTCATCGAAAGATGCAAATCTTTGTTTAAACTTATTAACTTTACCTGCAGCATTTGGATCCACCGATATCAAATCAGACCTATGAGGATTCCACAAGGTACTATTTCTTTGGTCGTTAAGCATCCTTATCTCGTCTTTGGGGGCTTGCGACCTTCTCTTTATTACTGAACCATCACTCAATTCGACAAGAGTTTCGAACTGGTGAAAAATAGCTGGTCTAGCTTTACCGAGTTTGATTTTTCTCATGACCCTTCTTCCAGACAAATGGACGTCTCCTTTCATGGCTATTCCTCTAGTAAATGTTCTCTGAAAGGCGTTTTGAGTATATCCTAATCCTCTAAACATGTTTGTTAAATTTGGTGATGGTGAAAATTTTTGAGTGAAAAGTGCGACTACCGACGTTGAAAACTTTTAAGTTGATTTAAAAGAAGAGGCAAACATAATGGCATTTTCGAGTCAAACTCCAACAATCGTCGTCTTGAAAGAAGGAACCGATACTTCACAAGGTAGGGGACAAATTATCAATAATATAAATGCTTGTTTAGCTATCCAAGATACCTTAAAGCCAACTTTGGGACCTTTTGGATCAGATATCCTTATTGTGTCATCCAATGGTAAAACAACAATCTCCAATGATGGAGCTACCATTTTGAAGTTGTTGGATATTGTTCATCCTGCTGCCAAGATGTTGGTCGATATATCGAGAGCCCAAGACGCAGAAGTAGGTGATGGTACTACATCTGTTACAATTTTGGCTGGTGAGTTATTAAAAGAAAGCAAATCATTTATTGAGGATGGTATCTCATCACACTTGATAACCAAAGGTTTAAGAAAAGCTTGTGAACTTGCCATTGAAAAGATTCAAGAGATAGCTTTAGAAGTTAAGAAAGACGACCCCAAAGAGTTTCGTCAATTATTAGAAAGATGTGCCAAAACCGCCATGTCTTCGAAACTTATCAGTAACAATTCCGAATTCTTCACCAAGATGGTTGTCGATGCTGTGTTGAGCTTGGACCAGGACACCTTGGATGAAAAATTAATTGGTATCAAAAAAGTTGCTGGTGGTTCAATGGAAGATTCATTATTTGTTGATGGAGTAGCCTTCAAGAAAACCTTCTCATACGCTGGGTTTGAACAACAGCCAAAGAAATTCTCCAATCCAAAGATTTTAAATTTGAATGTCGAGCTTGAATTGAAAGCTGAAAAAGACAATGCCGAAGTAAGAGTTGAACAAGTAAAAGATTATCAAGAAATCGTCGATGCAGAATGGAAAATCATTTTCAATAAGTTGGAAGCTATCTACAACAGCGGAGCTAATATCGTCCTTTCCAAATTGCCAATTGGTGATTTAGCCACTCAATATTTTGCTGACCGTAACATTTTTTGTGCTGGAAGAGTCACCAATGAAGACATGGACAGAGTTATCCAAGCAGTTGGAGGAAATATCCAATCCACATGTTCCAATATTACTTCAGTAGATCTTGGAACTTGTGCTTCATTCGAAGAAGTCCAAATTGGTTCCGAAAGATACAACTTATTCAAAGGTTGTCCTGAAGCCAAAACCTGTACATTAATTTTAAGAGGAGGAGCTGAACAAGTGATTGCCGAGGTTGAGAGATCCTTACATGATGCCATAATGATTGTTAAAAGGGCAGTTAGTCATAATTCAGTGGTCGCAGGAGGTGGTGCCATCGAGATGGAATTATCCAAGTATTTGAGAGAGTACGCAAGATCAATCGCCGGTAAACAACAGCTCGTTATTTCAGCATTTGCCAAAGCTTTGGAATTGATACCAAGACAACTTTGTGAAAATGCAGGTTTAGATGCTATTGAATTGTTGAATAAATTGAGAAGTGCTCATGCTAAAGGCGAATCTTCGATTGGTATTGATTTCCACAAAGAATCTATTGGAGATAATATGGAGAGTTTCATCTGGGAACCAGCTCTCGTCAAAATCAACGCCCTTCAATCGGCTACGGAAGCAGCAATTGTTGTACTTTCTGTTGACGAAACTATCAAGAATGAAGATCTGAATCAAGAAGGTAGAGGTAGGGGAGCGTTTTAACACAATAAAGATACATAATGTAAATAAATAGTCTTCCTTCTGATAGCTCCTTTATAACGCGACGCGCTGCCAAACACGAATTTTGCAGGAAACTCTCTTTCGCGCTGTAACCTGATATATATATCTTGCGAAGTCAAATTTACATTCATTTTAATATTTTGATGATGCAGGTTATAGGAGATAGAGATGGTCAAGTTCGTAGGTATGGTCCACCACAATGCACAAGATCACGCCAATATAATCCTATGCTCGAGCTTTTGGAAATTCAAGGGAATGCATCATTATTTTCAGAATATGCCCAAGATATAACAAATTATTCTGCTATTCTAGAATCCAGCAGCTCAGTGAATCCTTCCATGATAGATTTGCAACCGGAAATACAATGGTTTATGCGTCCATTCTTGTTGGACTTTCTTATTGAGTTACACGGGTCTTTCAAATTGCAACCCCAGACCTTGTTTCTTTCTTTGAATATCGTCGACCGATACTGTTCCAAAAGAATAGTATTTAAAAGACATTACCAGCTAGTGGGATGCACCGCACTTTGGATTGCTGCAAAGTATGAGGATAAGAAGAGCAGGGTGCCAACTTTGAAAGAGTTGTCGATGATGTGCAGAAACGCATATGACGAAGATATGTTTGTTCAGATGGAAATGCACATATTGGGTACCTTGGACTGGTCCTTAGGTCATCCCAATCTTGAAGATTGCCTACAACTTTCGATTACTGCTTGCAACATTTCTCCAGCGTTGACTCCTCGCAAGTATAATTCGAATTCCAAAGGATCTTCGACTCTTTCAGCTGTTACTGCTGTGGGTCGGTTCTTATGTGAAATTTCATTATATAATAAATTTTTCTTAACGGTACCTCCGTCATTGGTATCATTCACAGCTAATTTACTTGCTTGCTCAATGTTGCAAGTCCCTAATGCTTCAGCCTATCTTCATACTCTTATAAATCAAGAGGATAAGTTCACCATTCCACTGGAATTTGACGATGATTCTGAGAATAAAAGTCCAGACGTAAAAGGCCCATTTTTGAGTGGATTTGAACCCAACACAATTCATATCATAAGAAAAATATGTATCATATTTGTACTTCAATTCAGCAAGATAACAGAAGTCCTTTCCAAAAAGCACGAGGAGTTAGGTGCCGTACAGGTGGTCAACAACTTTTCCAATAGATTCGCTCATATAATCCGAATGGTGCATCAAAATGAAGATTCGATAGAAGAAATGCCAGAAGAAATTTTTGGATCTGGTACTTTTGCATATTTGGCAGATGCTTTGTTGCAATTATCAAATGTAGGCGCAACAAAAGTAGAACAGCTGCCATTGACACCTCCTTCAGCATCATCCCGAATGTCCATATTTTCAGGTAACCCCTCCGAGTATATTTACGAAACACCCATGAGGTTGTCCAACTCAAGCAACTATGACAGGGCCAATGGTTCAACCCCCACCTTGGGTATCATGCATGACAACTGGTCTTCGCCAGTTCCATCTAAAACACACATATAATTGTAAATTAAAATCGCATATATTAATCGTATTTAAATAGTTTAATTCAATATAAACAAATCAGGCGTATATTCCTTGAGTTATCAACTGAAATTGATCGTATAGCCTCGTGTACACGCTTCCAATACTTCTTCCAATCAAGGAATTCTCTACAAAACTATCACAATCTTCTTCAGATAAATCTAGCTGAAGCCTTTGTTTCAATAAAATACTTGTTTGCGAACCGTTTTTGAAACATGGTAGACTTGAATCTTTCAGCATCAACTCAACCATATCGATAATTTGATTACAGTTTCTGCGAAGAACTTGGAAGCTCTCTTTACAAAGGTTTTTGAATTTCATGTAACTCGGAGAATCAAAACCACCTAAGACATCTACATACTCTTGAGTCAATTTGAATGGGGCAGCCTCGAATCCGACACTACCAGGCGAGTTCGAGAGCAAGAATCCAAAATCAATATGGATGATGTGGCCCTCATTATCAAGCATGATATTACCATTATGACGATCCTTGATTTGAAGGACATAACAAATTATGGAATACGATGCAAGACTACAGGCAAAGTTGTTCTGGGCCCTCTTATACTTGTTGGACGTCTCAGATCCATAAACTCTCAAGAAGTAGTCTTTCAAAGACACGACAATTCCTTTAGAATTCTCACCACTGTTCACAGAAAGTTCTGTTAATGATTTCTTGATAGAATGGATGGACATTGCATTATTTATCGTTTCCACTAGTCCTGAATTGGCGCTTGTAACAAGAATTTTCATGTTTTTTGTCCATACGCCCACAGAATTCTGCTTCCAAATTTTGGAGATGATAGAAATCAATTGACAAGCAAAGGCTTCTTGCGGTAAATCATCACCATTTTTGGCAATAACTGAACACAATTCCCAATTGCGCAAGTGTCCGAAAGCACTCGCTTTTCTTATTCTGTCCTTCTTGGTTTGCCAATCTTCCCCTAATTTGAAATCATTTTCCATTTTTCTTTCACCAGCATCTGGGATGTCCTCACCAATGTTAACACTGTTGATTTCGTTAATTTGTTGGTACTTAATGTTTTCAAACTTATCTTGTAAACCTTTCATTGAATCAATGATCCTAGCCTTGATGGCTGCAGCTTGTTCAGAATTTGCTTGCCCCGATTTTTCTAGTTGACGAAGCATAACTGCCGCAATTCTCATTTGTGCCGATAAATCTTTGGTAGATGGATCAGAGTCAAAAGCATTAGGAGTATTGGAACTTCCAACTTTGGGTGACGATGGAGAAATTTGTGCTGCTGAATCCATCTTTATAGGTCCCAATTGGTGTGCCATCATATTTCTTTCGTTTGAAATGACGAGCATTGACATATCACCCAAATCCTCCTCTTCTTGGAGCTTCTCCTCCATTGAGATGGAGTTCCCAGCTAATGGTCTGCTCGTAGACACATCAGTCTGGAATTTGTTAGCGATTATATTCTTGTTGTGATCGCTTTGAGGATTGAAATCCATTTCTTCACTCAAGTATTCTATTAATAGAAGAAATGGGACTCTCTCAGCAGAGTTCAAAACGAAGGCTTCATTCACATTCAACCTCAAAATCTGGTGAAATTTTTTGTTCTGCTGGCTGCTGATCGGTAATAATTGGGGAATGTCTATTTCTGATGGTAATACAGTGTTATTGATGATCGACAACTCCGCTCTCAAGGTGGTTAAACGTGCTTCCTTTGGTATTTGTGAAAGCCTGGACGAGATGTTCTGCAATGACATAATAAACTCGGTCTCTTTCTTGAAATAATTGACTTGTAAGTGCTTGATTTTCTGGTCGGCATCCAAAGAAGCACGGCCCTTACCTCGAAGCTCCGATGTATCCAAAGAAGCAATTGATAAAGAGGAGGAATTGGACATAACAGGTGTAATGCTTAAATCATCTACACGCAGGGAGTCATTGTGAGTTAAATCGGGAAGTGAGTGTGATGCCAAACCGCCGCCATGTCTTAACCTTCTGGAGTTCTCCAATGAGATTTGAACATCTTCTGATCTTCTTTTGGACAACACAACAGTCGCAAATGCTCTTCCACCGAGGTCATCCTTGTCTAGCAATTCAGTATCGGACAAACTGTTGGTCATGTCTTCATTAATGGATTGAGAAGAACTCAATAAATGTGAAGGACGGCTACCTTCAGAATGCCTGGAGTTTGCATTCAAAACCTCAGGGTCAGAACCTTTGTCTTCTGAAGACATGACTCTGTTTTTAAGTGTAAGGTTTCTGGTCAAAGTTTTGTGGAAGTTGGCCAATCTGAAAAGAAAGGACTTCTGCTGCTTCGATTGGGATATAATTATTGGGCGAATGAAAGATTCCATCCCTGGAACGGCGAAAGAGCCGGCAATACTGCCAGCCAAAACCAAAGCAGGATGTGTATTTTCACGAAATCTCAAGGTGCTCTCCTGATTGTTTCTTTCTTGATTGAACATTATATTCTGAATATCGTTTATGAATGATCTCACGACGTGGAATGAATATGAATCAGGACTGTCTTTCAACTCGAACATGTAACTTTGTAGATACCAGAAGGTGATAAGACAAAAATGGGGGTACTTTTTTGAATTCTCGATAAGAAAGTCTGTCAATGCCATCGAATCTGTTTCAAAACTTATTAGAAGTTGAATGAATTGTGGAATGTAAAATTCGAGCTCTAGGTAATTAATTTTGTATAGATTTTGAACCAAGAAATGAGTGACTCCAATGCTGTCATGATTCTTCCTAATCAATTCGATATAATCTAAGGTATTCAAGTGCTCTTTAGACACCTTGGCCAATAGAGCACCATATGAAGCTTCTTCCATCTTACGTTAGAAAACGCTCGCAAACAATCAATAACAAGTAATGAGAAGTTAGATCACGTGCACATCCATAAAACATATATTAAACTCTATTAAATTAAGAAGAAGACTTTTTTTTGAAAGCCGGAATATGAAATTTATCATCAAATTCTTGACCTGGTAATATAGGTAAGACTTGAAATAATTTTTGTTCTAAAGTTTCAGCGTCATCACTTAAATCTAAATGTTTGTAGAGTAAATATTCTAAATCTTGATTCAATTTATCATCATCATTGACTTCGTGAAATAGTCTTGGATGGAATGAAACTCCATCTTCAACTCTCTTTTTAGCTAATTGTCTTTGACTATCTTCAACTTTTGATTTAGCAGCAGTGGCCAATTCATGATTTCTATCACTTAAAGCATCAATAGTATCTTTCCATAATTTTTGAGATTCAAAATCCCATTGTTCGTCTAATGGTTTAACTTGAGGTTTGGATTTTGTGCATGATTTGACATCAAAGAATACTTCCTTTTTACCAGTTTTAGTATCTTTGATTTCCATTACATCATTCCATTTTCCCGATATGTTATATAATAAATCACCATCTTTATTTTTAATTGTTCCTTCAATTGCATCATAAGTTCCACTAATGAATCCTTTAGTTTTGAATTCAATATCGGCTTCATATCCAGTGGTTGGGCATTTAACATACATATGATCACCCAATTCATATCTTAATTTACCAAAAAGTATACCTCTACAATAAACATTGGGTTGATTCATTAAATAAAGTTCATTATCTCTTTCACCTAATGTAACATGACCCCAACCTTCCATCATTGCAGCTGATGAATTACCTAAAAATTTGGATTTTGGTATGACGATCCCATCAACTCTAATTTTCAGTTCAGGAATTAAATAAAAGTATGATGATTTTGGTGGGTGATGAGATGTTTGCTCTGATATATAATAAGCTTTTTTATCTTCAGGTAAATTATCCCAATAACATGTGAACACTTCCCCTAACACTGGATTCAATGGTTTCTTAACAGCTTTTGGAGCTATATGCCATGATGCTAAATACCATTTAACCATTAATAAAAATCTCTTTAATTCATCATCTTCATCATTAGCTTCTAATAATATTCCAGGAATTTGGAAGAAATTAGTGATTCTTTCTAACATTGATTTCTTCTCTAAGATGAATGTAGGTAAAGTGATCTTAGTTAAATCCATTCCGGGTCTCAATTGTGATATAATCCCCATTAATATCGATTGTCCTTCGTTATCTAATTCATCAATATCATCGGTATTATCTTCAATTGAATTGGATGACGTGTTGGTATTAGTGGAACTATTATTATCCATTTTTGCCGGTTTATCAACCTTTTCATCAGATGATGATTTCAATTTTAATTTGTCTAATTTTGATGTTAACCCCATTTCTTATTAAAATTCCTCCTCCGTCTTTACTTGCGCACATGAGTAACATCAACGGTCGTGCACAACACAGGGCGAAGCATTTTCTTAGACCTTTGAGATGGTGGTGCAGGAATTCTTACTCTAAACTATGGGTGTACGGGTGTCGGAAGTCTATGAATAACGAAAGTGTTTGATTCTTCATCAGATATGCATGACATAATACCAACAGGGTATTATTGACACAAATTGAATATTCCTTTTATTCCTGGCACAATTTGAAGATGACACCCCATCATCACTACCCATTTAAGAGACCCTTGAGAGCAGATTCTCATTTGTTCGCAAAAACCTCACTAAGATGACAACTTATGGAGTAACACCACCAGTTTCATTAGCCAATCCAACACCTAAAGAAGTAACATTGAATGATACTTTGGTTCAGGAATTGAAATCTCGAGGATCTTTCGAGAACGAAGCAGCGGCCAGAAAGAGAATCGAAGTGTTGAACACTATTCAAAAGTTGACTGAAGAATTCGTATATAAAGTATCAAAGAATAAGAACATGTCAGAGGGAATGGCCAAAGATGCAGGGGGTAAAATTTTCACTTATGGTTCATATAGATTGGGAGTCCATGGACCAGGATCTGATATTGATACGTTAGTGGTGGTTCCCAAACATGTTACCCGTGAAGATTTTTTCGAAGTATTTGGTGAAATCTTGAAGAAGAGACCTGAATTAGAAGAAATGGCCCCAGTTCCAGATGCATTTGTCCCCATTATAAAGATGGAATTTGATGGTATCCCAATTGATTTGATTTATGCCAAGTTAGATTTACCTAAAGTACCAAGAGATTTAAAGCTTGATGATAAGAATTTACTTCGGAACTTAGATGAACGAGATTTAAGATCTTTGAATGGTACTAGAGTTACCGATGAAATTTTAACTTTGGTGCCAAAACCAACAGTTTTCAAGCATGCATTAAGATGCATCAAAATATGGGCAAAAAGAAGAGCTATTTATGCTAATGTGTTCGGATTCCCTGGTGGGGTAGCTTGGGCAATGTTAGTAGCAAGAATATGTCAACTTTACCCTAATGCCGTAGGTGCTGTTATAGTGGACAAATTTTTCCATATATATTCCCAATGGTCATGGCCCCAACCGGTTTTATTAAAACAAATTGAAGATGGTCCTTTACAAGTCAGAGTGTGGAACCCAAAATTATATCCTAATGATAGATTGCATAAAATGCCCGTAATAACTCCAGCCTATCCTTCAATGTGTGCTACTCACAATATCACTGCATCAACTCAAAAAATCATTATAGAAGAATTTAAAAGAGGAGCAGAAATCATGAACCAAGTAGTTGCTGGTGAAAAGACTTGGTCTGACTTATTGGCTAAACATAATTATTTCTTCCGTTACAAATTTTATTTATGTGTAGTAGCTGCTACAAAAGACAATTACGAAGAACATCTTAAATGGGCAGGGTTTATTGAAAGTAGATTGAGAATCTTAGTGCAAAAACTAGAAGTAGTGGAAGGAGTTTCCATTGTTCATCCATTTTTTGAAATCTTCGCTCACTCTTTCAAAGCCAAAGACAATACCAAAGCTGATGAGTTGATAGCTAAATATGGAACTCACGATGGAGATGCCGTAATGAAAGAATTAGATAAAATCGAAAACCCCAATAAGGACGAAATTAACGCTGAAGATGTTCCAGTTCATTTGACTAAAATGTATATTGGTTTAGATATAAACTTAAACCCAAAAAGTGATAAAAAGTTAGATATTCAAAAACCATGTTCAGAATTCTTCACCCTTTGCAAAGGTTGGGCCACTTATAAAGAAGAAAGCAATTTCATTCAAATTAAAAATGTCAAAGTTTACGATATGCCTGATGATGTTTACGATGAAGATGAAACCAGACCCGTCAAACCTTCAAAGAGAAAGAAAGATCCATTGAAAGCTCAAAATAAGAAACGCCCAAAGAGTGAAGTAGCTGCAGCTTAGTATTTATATTTGGATATCTTTCAAAGATATATATAATCTCCAATTTCTTGTATAGATTTTATGAATAGCATAAAATAATAGTATCACCACTGCTCCGAGGTAGTTTTGGAAGAAACTCTCTGCATTAGGACGACCATCTCCTCCAATAGGGAACAAAGCAACCCAGAATTGTAAGACTAAAACTAATAATAGTAAAATGATGGAATATATTGACCCCCAAATTCCTGTCATGGATTTGAAAACCAAAGTATCCAATGATCTTCCTTGAACTCTCATAGCCATTCTGAACCGTATATGACATAAACCTATATTTAACCAGGAGAATATCGTAGCTAACCCGGAAATACTCAACAACCATACAAAAATGGTTTGTTGATCTTTGTAAGCACTTAAGAAACAAAGTAAACCGAAAACAGCCGCCATGAATAAACCACCTAAGGGTCTTCCTTTCTTATCGACATATGCACAGAACTTGGGGGCTAAACCTTGAGCACCAAGACTTTGAATTGTACGAGAACATCCATAAACAGCTGAATTTCCCACTGAAGTCACTGATATCAATATAACAGCATTGAATATTGATGGAAGCACTTTAATTTTAGCGTTGTTGATTGCAATGACAAAAGGACTTACAGCAGACCCCGAGCCAAATAATTCAGGTGAATTAGACGGTACTAATAAACCAACTATCAAAAGGGACGAAAAGAAGAAAATGAAAACTCTCCAAAATACAGACCTGATAGCTTTAGGTAATGTTTTACTTGGATTTTCAGTTTCTGAAGCTGCCAAACCGACTAATTCTGTTCCAGCTAATGAGTAACTTGCAGTGACGAAACAAGAACAAACTCCTTTGAATCCATTTGAGAAAGGGCCCGGATCTCTATAATACTTACCACCTATAAATTCTTTTGTTGGTCCACCTCCACAGACAAGAACGACTCCAAGAATAATGAAACCAATGATGGCGACTATCTTGATCAATGATAAGATGAATTCGGCTTCACCATATCCTTTAACACCAAAGAGGTTTATCAACACTATAAGTATATAGAAGATGGCCACCCAAGCCACGGGATTAATGTCAGAATTCCAATATTCAATGGATATGGCTGCTGCAACTAATTCTAAAGGTAATACTATCAACCACATCAAAGCATAGTTCCACCCTACAGCGAAACCCCAAGAGGAATCAACAAATCTGGTAGCATAACTGGAGAAAGCACCACTCACAGGAAATGCTACACACAATTCACCCAAGGCATGAACAGTATTGAAAACCATGGTTCCCACTAAACCCCAAGCAATCAACAAAGCCGCTGGACCTCCAGTTCTTAAAGCTGAGCCTGAACCTATCAATAACCCTGTCCCCAAAGTACCTCCCAATGCCACCATTTGTAAATGACGATTCTTTAAACCTTTGACTAATGCAGTTTCCTCAACACCCAAATTAGCTCTTTCAATATCTGTCAAGTCATTACGATCTGCATATTCATTGGTTTTTTCTGCTTTATCGAAACCCTGCTTAAAATTTGACCACCACCCTGGATTCAAATCTGATTCCCATGAATCTGATTTACAATCAGTTTCTTTACTAGTCACAACTTCTGTCATAAAGTTTGCAAAATTTTCATAGTCTATTATGGAGAAACTGTTAGACCACGCCCTTGGTAAAGGGAAGTCAACCTCCTGATAAGAGAGATAATCATACGGCTGAGACAAGTTTTTACTGTCAGTGAGGGTGTAAGCTCATCACTTGATTTTTTTCAAGGAAATTTTTGGAGAGGTGAATACACCACTTTGATTGGTTCAAACATTAAATTATACAAATATAGGAATACTTTACACTCATACATTCATTACATAGTCATTCGTACCTTGAAAGCTTCAAAAAAAAGCCGGTTTCACTAATGGCTGCAAAAAAAGTTTTTTTTGGGGGGCATCCGACTGTATTTATAGTTGCAACGGTAATTATCGCTTAGGAACGGCTAGTACCAAAATATCAAACCAGATCCGACGATCAAAAAGAATAGAAGTAACACCAATCTCCCATTGGAAGTAGTGGTAAACCAAAGGGTGTTACCCATGATAGAATCAACTGTAGGAGTGACAATGTAGTTAACGATTCTGTCGACTTTGGTAGGTTTCATATAAATTTGGGTTGGCCCACTAGCATTATCGGCAAATACAGATTTGTCCCTATGGAAGTGATCAATGACTTGATCGTTAGGTAAAATCTTCAAATACCCATTATCGGCAATTATTGGTTCCGGAGCATCAAACGGGATAGTGATAGAAAGAAATACTGGTAGATGATCTGATGTCAATAAGGTTTTTAAACTGTTATATTGGTTGATCCTGGGATAGGGTTCTTCCTGACCGTTGGTTTTCATATTGTATGTGGACTGATATAAGATTCTATCACACCAACTAGGTGAACGTTTGACGTTATAAATACCTGTTCCAACGTGGAACTTGTAAGTCGGAGGGAAATTGATACAACCTTCTGTAAAGCCCATAAAAACCTCATCTTTTCTAATAGCTTCACTTAATTCGTCATACTTTTGAACTAATTCTTCAATAGGATTGGATAAAGAAAGTGATTGATCTTGTAACGATGCCAATTCTGTAATGACCGACTTCTCTTTGATACTCTTGACCGTACGATAATTTAAGTCACCCATAAAGAAAGAGTGTGAATTTGGTTTCAAGAATCCGAAACCGTCATTGAAATCTAATGCCCTCATCAAACTTATAACTTGTTGATTTCTTCTCTGATAGTAAAACTCTCCTTCATATGCTGATAAATGTGCATTGGCAAAGGTTAACTCTACAGATTTCTTGTAATTCAATCTAATTCCAACAGCTCCCTTCAAAGATGAATAAAAGTAACCACAAGCAGTTTTGGTGGCATGTATATCAGAGAAAAGCAGGGGATAAGGTGATAAAACAATCAATCCAATGGCTCCAATATGAACCATCGATAATGTATGAAACACGGTACCTTCTTCACCGTACTTGGTGTTCAAAGCATCTAAGATTGCTTGATTGAGTCTTAAGAAATGACGATTAGACACTTTAAAGGAAGTTCCATCTATTATATCACATAATTCTTCTACTCCAAATACATATAAGCTTGAAAGTTGTGGTGGTAAGGATTTAGTTAACTTGGAAACAAAGTTGTCGGACCCTACAGGGGATTTACCACAATTATAAGTGAATAAGAACAAGTCAATAGGTTCCTTCTGATCCATAGTTAAGTTGCTGCTATGCGCGAAAACAACTAGTGATGTCTCAGTTCATTGAACTCCAGAGATCTCGACTTGAAGAGATAGATGTCATAAGACAGTCGACATTTAAGAGGTTCAGGAAGAATCCTGAAGTTATACCGCCTATAATAAGAGAAAAAGACGATGTTTTAGCATTGAAAGCCACCAAACCGCATCACGAAACATTATTACAGAAACATGAGATAAAGCTTTTTAGTGATAGATATTCCAAGTTGATGGATCAAATCAGCAGTACGAAACAACAACAACAGCTAGTTCAACAATCACTCGAGAAGCTTGAAGATTCAGGAAAAGATTTCAAGATGTTTGATACGTTATATGAACAATTACGTAGTAGAAGAGATACTTTGATAGATGAGAATTTACTTTCGTTATATTCAATGTATTCATCATCACCAATGGAGGAAGTCAAGACCACCAAAAATGGGAAGTTGAAAGTAAGAAAGAAGTATATTTTGAGTCAAGAAGGTAGAAACAAGATAGATGCCGATAATTTATTTACACATGAAGAACAATATGGAAAGTTTATTGATGTTCACAGGTTTTACGATATTTACAGAGAACTCAACAAGAAGGATGTGAGTTATTTGGAATTCCTTCATGATTTTGGAAATTGTGAAGGTGTCAAGTTCGAAAATTACAATAGTCAATTAATTGAATATTTATTAAAGTTTATCGAAAGGACTGAACCTTTGTCTGATATAAACAATTTGCACATTGCCATGGAAGGTGAGTTTTTCTGTGGGAAAGCAGTGGAAGGAGTTTATACTTGTAAACCCTGTGATAGGGCCATTAAAGAATCTGCGTTCAAAAGTCACATAGTAGGTAAAAAACATAAGAAGAATGTGAATAAGATGACAATTGACAAACAAGAGTTTCAAAAATTCAAACTCAAGTACCTCCAAGAATATTTGAAAGAAAAGATTCAAAATACTATAAATAATGTGGAAAGGAAGAATGCCATGACCGAAAGGGAAAGAATGATAGAGAATGAAGTTGATGAATCAGATTACACCACAGCTGATTCCGAACCATCGTCAGATTCGGAAGTTTCAGAAGATGAAGATAATGATTTGTTCAAAGAGTTGCCTTTAGGAGCCGATGGAGTACCTATCCCATTCTGGTTATATAAACTTCAAGGATTACACCATTCTTATAATTGTGAGATATGTGGAAACATGGAATATAAAGGTAGAATTAGTTTTGAGAAACATTTCGGTACCCACAAACATCAGCAAGGGTTAAGATTCTTGGGTGTTGATGATGAATCTTTGAATTTGTTCACCAACATTTCAAAGATCGAAGAAGCCATGGATTTATGGAAAATTATTAAACGTGAGAGGAGAGAAAAAGAAGGTGAAATGGAAAATACAGTGGAAGTTGAAGATAACGAAGGTAATGTAATGTCCGAAAGGGACTACTTACAATTGAAAAGACAAGGAATTATATAGATTAGACAATTTTCAAATACATAAGTAGTCTAAAATCTCTCGCATCGCATTTCTCTATATGAGAATACAGTTTAGGACAATGGCCAACAGTATAAAACGACAAGCATCCATACCACCAGAAGAAAAGGGAGCCAAGAAGGCTAGAGATATTAATGGGTTCAGACTTAAACAACAGGATAGAGACAAAGTAACACTCACAGCATATGAGCAACTTGGAGGTGAAAATTATAAAGATGAGACTAACACTATATCACAAAGAAAGACCATTCAAGAAGAAGAAACCGAAGGAGCAAGTTATTTGATAGAAGGGAGGTTAAGAAAAGTCCCACCTTACTTTTTCACTTATTTGACTTATTGTAAATTAAGATGGAGGGATCGTAAGCTTATAGAAATTTTCACTAATGAGTTTAGAGATAAGAATGCAGACTTTTACGAGAAGGCCATTGAAGCAGGACAAGTGACATTGAATAAGAAACCAGCTAATTTGGATTCAGTAGTAAGAAATGGAGACTTGATAAGTCATAGAGCTCATCGTCATGAACCTTCTGTGAGTTCTAAGCCAATTAAGATTATATTCGAGAATGATGATATTATAGCCATCGATAAACCTTCAGGAATACCTGTGCATCCAACAGGAAGATATAGATTTAACACAATAACCAAATTATTCCAGCATGAGTTCGGAAAGACTGTTCATCCATGTAATCGTTTAGATAGGTTAACAAGTGGGTTGATGTTTTTAGGGAAGAATGCCCAAGGAGCCAATGAATTTGTTCAACAGATCAAAGACAGGACCGTGAGGAAATACTATTTGGCTCGTGTGGTAGGGAAATTTCCTTTATCTACAACAGTTGAAAAACCTTTGAGTACCATCTCACCTAAATTAGGATTGAATAGAATCGATGAAATCAATGGTAAAGAAGCTAAAACTGAATTCAAGAGAATATCTTATGACAAAGAAAGTAATACATCCATTGTTAAATGTCAACCGTTAACAGGAAGAACTCATCAAATCCGTGTTCATTTACAATATTTAGGACATCCTATTGCCAATGACCCTATTTATTCAAATGAAGATGTGTGGGGACCTAATTTGGGAAAGAATGATGAAGGCGACAACGAATTTATTCTCAAACAACTAGACAGATATGGTAAGGATTTGGCCGTATCCACTTGGATCCATAAACAAGCTGACGGTGAAGTGTTATCAGGAGAGAAATGTTCTCTCTGTTCATCAGATTTGTACACTGACCCAGGACCAAATGATCTTGAATTATGGTTACATGGTTATAAATATGAATCATCCACTGGATCCTGGAGTTATCAAACTGAATACCCTGATTGGGCTTTGGAGCCTCATAAGAAGTACTTGGAAATGGCTATCAAAGAAGCAGAGAAGTGTGGAGAAACTACCACTCAGTTTAATGTAGGGGCCGTACTCGTACATGACGGTGAGGTCATAAGTACTGGACATACTAGAGAAATAGAAGGAAACACTCATGCTGAACAATGTGCTTTAGAAAAGTATCATCAGAAAACAGGTTCTAATCCACCACCTGGTTCAGAATTATATACTTCAATGGAACCATGTACTTTCAGACTAAGTGGGAACAAACCATGTACAGACAGAATTCTAGACACTGAAATTTCCACAGTATTCGTTGGAGTATTAGAACCTAAAGATTTTGTTGAGAACAATACCAGTGTTTCTAGATTAGAACAGGCAGGTATAGATTACATTCATATCCCAGGATATGAAGAACAGTGTATAGAGATCGCCAAGAAGGGCCATAAGTAATATATCATTGCATCATTAAAATCGTTATTAATCTTCTCCTAAAACTACTTGTTTAGTAGAATAAACGAAGATATCTCTTCTATGTCTGTTAGGGTTTTGTTGTTGTTCCGCAACTATAGCATCGGTAGTTTTAGGATCAGTGGTTTCATCATTTTTCTTGAATGGGGAACTGGGAATACTGGCAGATCTGGGTATAGCAAAACCTGTGGCAATAATAGTATCGGTGATATCGAAAAATGCTTGCTTAGTTCTATCGAAGGTATTGAGGAGACCTAAACTGGTGTTCTTTGGTTTAAGAGGTTTGTACCTTCTCAACTTTCTGGTGTTGGAACCTCCGGCTCCATTCCTTGCCGTTCCGTCATTATCGTGATTATTACCATCATCACCCTCATTATGGTTATTCGGAAGTAATTGTTCTAGATCTCTAGTACCATGATCTCTATCATCATCCGATTCTTCTACAAACAATTCCAATCCATCTAATTCATATAATTCATCCTCATAAAATCTTCTCCCCAAAACACCTTCCTTTTCTTTAGCTTTCATTATCAAATTAAATTTATTACACCATTCCCATGGAATCACCACTGTAACCACATATGTAGCTACAGAGAAAATCTCCGATAATTCATACACGAAAGCATTGGCCACATCAGAAATGAAGAATGCCACCGGTCCATAAATTAATATAAAGGTCAAAATGGTTAATAGCCATATTTGCTTGTTGGCTAGGATATAATTTATCTTGAGTACTAGAAATACTGAAATAAGTGCAGCATAACAAATTGCCATCGATGTTCTTGTTAAGTAAATAAATGTAGGGATGATATCCCCAGCTTCGGAAATATCACCGAAATTAGTAAACTTAGATACCCCCCAAATAATTTGTGATGAAAGACTTGCCAGAAGCCCTACAATCAAAGTCAAACGTTTATCGTTTTGACGGGAGAACAATCTCATAATCACTTGGACCTGGTTTATTTGTAGAAGAAATACCACTACTAAATCAACCACACTAAGATATATCGGAGTATTAATGGAATTCAATAGCACAGCCCCAAAAAGGAAACCACTCTCTTGTTGAACGTGAAGATCATACATACTCTTGATCCCCACCATTATGATGAATATGGATGATAAAATGGTACTGGCCTTTAGAATAAGTGAAGGTTTGATGGTATAACTTGTAAGTACAAACAATGTCAAAAACACTGTTACTACCATTGAAGTACTGATGGAATATATGATGGGAACCACACTGTAATTGAAGGAACCTCTATTGTCGTTCTTGGTGAAGTCATTCCATGAATCTATCACCACTGGAAGACTAGATATGGGGATATTCTTAAGTTTCCCATTATTGATTTGCATCATAGGAACTTGACCTTGATAACATTTCATTGTATAATAAGCTCTCAGAATATACAGAAAATAACCATCCTCTTTATTGGATACTATGAAACCTTCTCCGAGATCGAGAGGTTTACAACCTGGATAAGTCTTTGTTATCCAAGTAATGCTTCTCCAGGACATAATGTGGTTTGCGCGGCAGGTGGATTTTTATACCATAGTGCAGTGACGAGTGGCCCGAAGAGAGTCATAGAATAAAAGGGTCATACCATAAGTTAAAGGAGGTAAGGAAGACCTCCGGCTACCAATTAAAACATCAATTTCAACATACGTTCCTCAAATAGTCGTTCAGAACAAATATGTCGAACATGAACTTGACGGTTAACCACAATAGATCAGAAAGTGGATATTCTAATAATTATTCCCTTCTTGAGATGTATGGAGCTTCAGATGAAGAGGATAAAGAGGAAATCGATGATCATCATCAATTCGATAATGTTATGGAAGAAATCAGGGCAAATTCCCTAAGTCTGTTTGTAACACCGTTAAATCTGCAAACTATTCCTAAGATATTATCCAGTGATTATGACAGATATGGATTCAAGAAAGCTTCCTTGCATCAGACCATCACCCGAAAAGAATATAATGAATGGTTTACTGATTATAGTGAATATTCACTTGAAAGAATGAAGAAATGGAAAGATCTTGTCAACTCAAGTGGTATAAAGTATGACGACATTCCAACCCGATTCCCTCCTAAATCAGATAAGACCAAGAAACTCATAAGAAGAGGAATCCCTTCGGAATGGAGAGGTAATGCGTGGTTCTTTTATGCTGGAGGTTATGAAAGATTGAATAAGCATGTGGGGGTTTATGATAAGATAGTCAAAGATACGATTGGAGTTAAAAATAAAGATACCGAGGCCATAGAAAGAGATTTAAATCGAACATTCCCCGACAATATTCATTTTAACAATTTGCCAAAAGATTCAAAAAGTGTTAAAGACCCAAAAGACATTCAAGACAATGATATCAATAATAAACCGATGATAAAATCTCTTAGGAGGGTTTTGGTTGCATTCTCCCATTACCAACCACAAATAGGGTATTGTCAATCATTGAATTTTCTTGCAGGTCTTTTACTTTTGTTCATGAACGAAGAAAGAGCATTCTGGATGTTGGTGATATTAACCGAAAGAATTCTTCCTAAAGTCCACTCACGTGATTTGGATGGGGTTCATATTGACCAAGGAGTTCTAATGTTGTGTTTCAAAGAGTACATCCCTCAATTATGGAACATCTTGGGGAAAAACTTCGAAGGTGAAGTTATCAGTGAAGATAAGATTTTAACTAAATTACCACCCGTCACTTTAGTGACCTCATCATGGTTTATGTCTGTTTTCGTTGGAATCATACCAATCGAGGCTGTATTAAGAATCTGGGACATCTTGTGGTACGAAGGATCGAAAACATTATTCAGATTCTCTTTAACCATTTGTAAATATTGTCTTGATAACAAAACTTTCAAAGCTAAAAATGATAATGATTCCGGGAATACAGAATTTGAACAGATAGAAATTTTCCAATTCATGCAAAGTTATCCCAAGTCCTTAATCGACCCCAATAAGATAGTTGATCTATGTTTTAAAAAAATCGGAGGTTATGGATTTGGATCTATTTCACAGGATGAGATCAATAAATGTAGAATCTTTGTTTCGAAACAAAGAGATAAGATGAAGAAGAAATCTTTGATCACCAACATTAGTGAAGATGAAAGAAAAATGTTAAATAATGATGAAATTCATGATATTTATGGATTCAATAGATCCATAATGAATGGAGTTAAATGGAATAACAATATCAGCAATAAAATGAAGAAAAGATTTAGTAGAAAGACTAGTAAATAAATGCATACATCCTTAGGTTAACTCTCTGGTAAACTTCATTCCCATCATCCTAATTAGGTAATCGGCCGAATTAGGCAAATTCGTGTGGTCTCCATAATCTCTATGAGTGAAAAATGCGACTTACCATGATGTATAAATACTTGATAGGAAGAGTGGTTGATCCTATTCTTGGTATAGGTATAGGTACCAGTGCATTCTATCTTCATGAGTGGAGATTACACAAAGACCCAGAACAAACTTTGAATGGTTTGGTGAAAAATTGGTGGAAAAAATAAGTATCATCAAGAAAGGGGAGAAGACATAATAGGGAAGGTGAATTACATAATATCATGATTACCGTTAAATAGGTATATACTAAATACTGGATTTAAATCTTAATAAAATATCATTAGCTGCATTATCGGAGTTACCGTCTTTAATCAAAACCTCTAATATCTTGTCCCAAGCTTCTGGTGAGACGTAATCGATTTTATGCTTTTCGGTTTCTTTAGGAGTTTCAGGAGCTGGACTGTCCATTTTGGTTTTAGCTATCATACACATAAAGGATAAATTATCTAATTCACTTAATACAGCAGCATCTTGAACTACTTTACCTTTGACCAAAAATTTTATATCAGCAGCTTCAACGGCCAATCCTTCCTTTTCGATCAATGTAGTTTTGACCTTGTAGATAGTATCAGAATCAGGGAAATCTAATGAAACTGAAAATTTAGGAGGCTTTATGGATTTCAATGTGACAGTTACTTTTTTAACATCTGATTCAGCATCTTCAATGATTGGCAAAGCAAATTTAAATTGAGGTAAACTTGGACCCAATGAATCTATAGACGAATAAGATTGAATGGTATTGAAATCATTGACTTTCTCGTCAAGAGAAATCAATTGTAAGTAAGTTTTAGCGAACTCTTTATCCATGGTATGTAACAGATTCCTCCAAGGTTTTGAAAAATGCGCACTATGAACTTCTTCAAATCATTCAACTACTCCCCCATTAATCAGAACGAAGAAGAAACTTTACCTCCTCCAGTCACTGAAACTCAACAGAATGGTTCATTCAAGACCAGATTACAGAAATTGAATCCCTTCAAGTCCAATTCTATCTACTTAGAAGATGATGAGAATTATGTCACGTCAAATCCCGGATACTTTGAATTATCCAAATGGGATAGAATGTTAATTTTTGCTTTAACTTTTGGGGGTTCAGTATGTTGTTATTTGATTTGTATATTTTTATTCCCTATATTATCATTGAAACCTCGTAAATTTGCTATATTATGGTCAATTGGGTCAATGCTTTTCTTAATAAGTTTCGGAGTCCTACAGGGAGTTAAACCATATTTACTTCATTTATTTAGTTCTACCAGAATCATTTTTTCCGTGGTTTTCATAACTAGTATTATAATGACGATTTATTGTAGTGTGGGATTGAAAAGTACATTGTTATCCATTATATTTGCTATCGTTCAATTGATTAGTGCTATATGGTATACCGTTAGTTATTTCCCATTAGGTAGACAAACATTGAATTTAGCTACTAACGTAGCATCTTCTCAAGTAACTTCTTGGATGACTTCATAAGAAACATGCGATAAATTCCATAGATAAATATATATGCCATAATGAGTGATGATATAGAAATATTTTATTAATCTATAAATCAGGGAAAGCTGAAGCTAAACCTTTTTCAACAACCATTTTAATGGCATTATTGGTGGTTTCATCAGCAGAAACTTGATCGCTTAAAGTTTGAATGAGTTGTTTTAATTCATCTTCATCGATCTTATCTTTCAAATTCTTAAGGGCTTGTAAACATAAGATATATTTACATTTGATCAAATTCAATTTGAATGATAATTCCCAGGTGATTTTATAATCTTTGGCTTCATTAATTAATGTGGAGGTTAAGTTTAATAAGTTATCGATGATATCACCATTAGAGTTATTAACTAAATCGTTCAAGACTTTAGTTCCTAAAGGATCACTATCATCCTTTTCACTTTCAACCTTCTTAATTAAATCTTCCTTTTGTTTCAAGAATTGGGCTTTGGCTTTCTTTTGTTTCTTGTTATTCTTTTTGATTTTGATAGGTTCTTCCTCTTTCTTTACCTTTTGTTCATCATAGATTTCAAAACAAATCTTACTGAGACCTTTAATAACTCTAACGAAAATAGGTGTGCTATGAACTTCATCTTCCCATTTAATGGTTTGAACATAATGTCTGGGGGTTCCTCTTCTGAGACAATATGAATGGAAGTCAAACTGATCATTAACAAAAATACCAAAAATTTTAACTACAGCTAAAAATCTCTTAATGGCCAAACCTTTATTGATATCAACTTTTTCTTTCAAATCATTAACAATTTCTTCATCTGTGTCTTCAGGTAATGAATTTAATTCTTCTTGATATTGATGATATAATCTACTATAAGCTTCAGCACTTTCAGTTAAAAACCAATTAACTTGCATAGTGTGTAAGTCCTTACATCCATTGATGGCATCTTTATCTAATTTAGTGAACAAACTTATTAATTCCATGGCTTTATCGATATTGTTAGCACGAAGATAATATTTAACAGTCTTAGAATTAACAAATCTATCTTGTAAATCCATTTGACGTCCTTGATCAATGAATTCTGAAGCTTCAACAACTTTACCTTGAGTTTTCAAGATTCTGGATTTGAAAAGATATAACTCAACTAAAGTTGGTGAATGTTCAATGGCTAAGTCGATCCATTTCATTGATTCTTCCAAAAATTTACTATCGGATTTAGCCTTGAAATAATTCAATTGAGAAATGAAATACATAGTCCACAATTTAACAGTAGGATCGTATTGACCAATTGAACCATAAAATTCTTCAACTATTTCTTCAACGATTTTCAATTTCTTTGCATTCTTCAACACTGGTTTGATATTAACAAAAGTAGCTGGAACTCCTCTTTTCAATTGACTCAAAATATATTCTGAAACCTTGGATTTGAACAATTTGTTAGTAGAAGGGATGAATACTAATGGTAAGAATTTTGGAACATCAGCTTTAGGGTAAAAACGAGCCAATTTTTCATATAATTTAGCTCTTTTTTCAACTTCCCAGTCACTGGTTCCAAGACAAATTTCCAAATTCTTATAATTATCAATATCATCAGGATTTCTTTGAATCAACTTTCTATAAATAACACTAGCTTCTTTACTATTACCTAAAATCATTAAATATTTGGCTTTATATGATAAATAGGCTAACTTATCTTTGATGTAGGATTGGTCCTTTTCTAAGTCTTCTAAAGCTTTTGAAATGTTCCCAGCATCAAATAAAATGTCATTCTTATATAAACAACATTCACTTTGTTCATACATATCACTTTCTTGTAAATGGTCTTTGATGATAGTTTCAATTTTGGTCAAGGTAGAATAAGCAGAATTATAATTCTTATTTAAATGGAAAGCAATAGCAGCACCAGTCCAATTGGCTCTATAACCGGGTTGAAAATCCAAATATTGTTGTCTACTGGTGGTCAAGTTTTTGAAATCTCTGATTTGACTTTGTAAGATACTTAAGTCTCTTAAGATTTGTTTGTTAGGAGATCCATTATCAACAGCTGCTTTCAACCATTTAGCACTTTCAGTATAATTTTCAATTGATCTATAATAAATACCAGCCAAATGGTTAACCATGTAATTATCCTTATCCTTTTCAATACCTTTTAAGATATATGATTCACATTCAGATTTATTACCAAGTTGGTAATTAATACAACCTTTCAATGTTAAAGATTCGGCATGGGAATGTTTTTTCAAATTTTGATCCACAAGCTTCAAAGATTTCTTATATTGCTTTTGATCATAAAGTTTCAAAGCTTCTTGGAAGTTTTGATCTTCTTTACTAGTTAAAATAGGTTTCCTAATCATGTTGAAGAATTTTTCATCGCGAACCTCCCAAATAGGTCCATTGCCGCGGTAAATGGTACCAGAGGTAAAATTGAGTGGCTAATTGTCTCGCTAATCTGGGAGCGGATCATTTTGAGCCCGAAGACTAGTATCACACGATAGCTTAGGTTTAAGTAGTAAGGTGGTCAAGAAAATCCACCATTATGAGTTAGAAATGATTTCGGATCAACACTTACTTGATCGTGAGATTATAGATCATTTGATTTCCACGGAGTTGTCTATGTTACTTGTCATTCTTTTTCTCATGGTAGAATTCACTAAAGTGTTTAAAAATCGTCAAAATCATGGAAAAAGTTGGCTGATTTTCAAATCTTCAATGGGACCAATTAAACCCGATATCAATTCCCCCAATCCTTACAACGCAAATTCTACTTAAGCCCCATGGAATGTCTCATTCCAATTGTTGTAAAGATCAACAACTCCGTTCGATCTCCACACCACGGAAGCGGGAAAAAAATTGGTAAATATCCGAAAGTTCGCTCTTTTTTTCTGAATATCAAGTTTTAGATAAAGCACCACAAACTATCATCAAATAGTATAAAAAACTGACCACCTTCAACATTCATACTAGTCAAATGAAACGAGAACCTGACCCGGTAGAAGGGTCTGATATCAAAAGAATCAAGGTGGCTTGTAATAACTGTAGAAGGCGAAAGATCAAATGTGATGGATCTAATCCATGTCTTCATTGTTCCAACACCAATAAAACTTGTGAATATGATACTGTCAGAGAGAAGAAAACTCGAGGTAAAGGTAAGACTAATAAGAAGATGGAGCTTAAGGATATGAATAATCGTTTATGTGTACTTGAAAGATTACTAATCAACTTAACTGATAGATTAACTGATAAAAATGCAAGATCAACTAGTCCCGAAAGTGGAAGTCAGTCTTCACTGCCATCTGGAGAACTGCAGTCAGGTGAATCTCAAGCTAATGAATTATTGGATTATGTTTCTCAAGATAGTTCTCAAAGTGAATTAGCTGAAGGTGATGATACCCCAATACCCACACAAACTAATACAGCCAAAGAACAACCTTCTAATACAAGACCAGACAAACAATATTGTAGATTCGGTATACATTCAGCATACTCGATTTTCTCAAAAGATACTTTAGCATGGTTGAAGCAGAAAGTTAATGATGATAAATGCTTAGTTGCCCTTTCAAATATTCCTTCAATGTTCAACTTCCTTCTTAAAAATAGTTCATTACAGTTTCTATGCCCTCCAACGAAAAAGTTTATCCTTAGCAGAGGAAATTATGGATATTTCTCTCCATGTAGAGAACTTGCCTTTGATATAATTGATTGTTATTATAATGATTTTTATTTATTTGATTTCTTCTTCCCACAAACCCAGCTTAAGGATTTGTTCGAGAAGTATTATTCTTTTACTAATTATAAGTTCAAATACCCTGAATTAATTATTATGAACTTATCTTTGTGTCTTTGTTTAGCTAAGAAATTACCTGCAGATTATGAAAAACGAGCTAAATTCCCAACATTGAAAGATTTGGATGAACAGAAATTAACAGAATTGAAAGAAAGTTTCTTCAACAATGCATGTTGTTATTATGATAAAATTAATGTGGTTAATGAAGGTTTGATTACCGTTCAATGTATTATATATATGATTAAAGCTATACAAACATGTTGTGCTTGTGATTCCCTGATAATTTATATGTTATCAGGGTTATTAGTACGATATGCTGAAGAATTAGGATTAAATGATAGCAAAAAAATCGAAAATTTCGAAGACAGTGATTTATGTAGAAGATTATGGTGGTTCTGTGAATTAACTGATATTGATACGTCTTTCAGAACTGGACAACCACCAGTTATTAATATGAAAAATATAACCACCAACAGTGAATTGGATAATGGGTTTATCAAACTTCCTTTGAATATCATGGATTTGGATTTCGATAGTCTTTATAATATCCCCGAACAGAACCATACTAACATAGAATATTATATGTATTATCATACCCTGCTTAATGGTAGAATTGAAAGATACAGTTTTGAACAATTATTCAGTGTTGAAGCACAAAATAAAAATCAAGATCCGGATGTCTTATATGGTAAATTAGGTGAAATTAATTTATTAGTATTTAAATTAATGGATGCTATGGATCCAAGAATACGACCTGATATTAAAAATGTTGGTTATGAATTTAAACAAAAGATCAAATATGATTTCAGTCGAGAAGCTTCCTTCTCCATAGTGTTCTTACAAATGTTCACTTTAAGTCATTTAATTATCATCAATAGAATGCCAATAGTACAACAATTTCCAGAAATAGATGAGAAAATAAGGGAACATACAAGATTAGCTCACGAATGTAGTAGAACATTACTTCAACTTGTGATGAAGTTTAGATCATGTTATCCTCTTTCAAAAGCTGAACATACTTGGATCTTATTTTATCCATTCTTAGCATTTGTAGTAGTTTTGTCCAATTTGGTGATATTTAAAGAAGACAATTTGTTTGATGATGAAAAATCAACAGAAGAAGATATTAAATTATTAGTGACAGTAGCTAAAGGATTTTTCCAAACTCCTAATGTCACAAGAATCAATAATATCGAAAAAGCTGAAGAAAAATTAGTATTTTATGATATCTTGATCAGAATTCTTTTGAAATTATTACTTGATTTCTTAGCTTCTGATGATAAGGATTATTATGATGATGAGTTACGTGAATATGTTACAGATATAAAGGGAGTATTGAAGAGATTATTAGGAGGACAAAATGCAAGATTCGCTATGGTTATTAAAGATATTTTGAACTGCTTTCCTTCACATAATGGTAAAAATGCTCGACGGGAACCAACATTGTCAAATCTTATTAATGACGATTAATTCGGGTTTACTGGGGTTTAAAGTTTATAGTGTGAAAATATATGGGATTATTTCTTTTTGTCTCGGACCGGGGTGTAAAAGCTATCCTTTTCCGCACTCTTTTACATATATATATATATGGAAAACACTTTGTCACAGCCCTTTTGAATTATCATTGAAATGTCAGGTAATTCATTCATGGATGAGGATAAGATGAAACGGACAAGAGTTGCCTGTGAAACTTGTCGTAGGAAAAAAATCAAATGTTCAGGAGATCAACCATGTACAAATTGTATTCAACAGAAAGATGAAATCAATTGTAAGTTCCTGGAAAAGCCTAAAAAGTTAAGAATGGTGGAAAAACCCAAGGGATCATCATTGAAAACCATGGAAGATAGACTTAGTCGATTAGAGGGATATCTTGTTCAAATTACAGAGAAATTGGTTACATTGAATGATTCTCCTAGACAGGCAACACCTGAAGCTCAGGAACCTGCCAAACCTAAATTAGAAGATGAAGTATTCGATCATGAAGGTAATCATTATCTAGTCAGAGAGAGATTCTTCGAAAGTCATTCATTTATGTCAGTTTGTTCAACTAAATCAATAGCTTGGATTTCTTCATCATTGCGTAATTCTAGTAAGAAAGAAGTTATTCATCAATTTGAACGATTACCTTTCTTTTTCTTCACCAAACTGGAACCTTTATTCAAGAAATTTGTGGATCCCGTTGATATTGATCAAAGTAATCGTGAAAAATACTTGGTTAGACCATTACCTGATGATTATGAATATCTTCTTGAACTTCTCACATCTATTGAAGATGATAATGAATTTTTCACTATGATTTGTCCTTTCAGTCAATTGAAACAATTATTATATCAATATTTCTTTGGTCGTACAAAGCTTAATAATTCTAATTTACTTATATTATGTGCCATATTTGTTATATGTTTAAATGCTAGATTAACTTCGAAAACACAAATGGGTGATCTGACCAAAGAAAAGTATAGTAAATTGGAATTGAACATATTCTTTGAAGATTTATTATCATCATCAATATTATTATACCAAAGAATTTGTGTAATATCTCAAGGTATAGAAACAATTAGAGCTATATTATTATTAGTAACAGCGTTTGAAGCTAGTGGTTCAATGATACTTGATCTTAATTATATGATTCTTTCTGTAGCCATAAGATATGCTCATGAATATGGACTTCATCGTCCAGAGTCTTATGTTAACTTGACTGAAGAAGAAGCTGAAAGTCGTAGATTATTATGGAATCTTTGCTTGAGATGTGATGTTGAATTTTGTTTCAGAAATGGTAAACCTCCAATATCTTCATCTTATGATATTCTCAGATCATCAAAGGATGATTTGAAATCAGTTTTAAGATCTTTAAATCTTGATCATTCAGCTTTACAATATTTTGATCCCAAAACTCAGTTGGGTTATCTTTCACCTAATCATACACAAAAGTTGTATGATGCCAAAGAATATTCAACTATAGCTCAATATGAAAATTACTTGTTATCTAAACTCAGATTTGATTCATATTTCACCCTTTTCAACAATGTAGGGAATTTACATACTATTGAGAATTTGGAGAATATTTTGGAAGATTTGAATGTGGCTAGTTCAAGATTATCTTATACTTTAGTTGAAGAATTCAAACCAAGATACTTTGATGAACCTCAATTCGAATTTTACATCAGTAAAATCATCAATGAAGGTAAAGCTTCTAACTCCGGAGTTTATGCTGATATCCTCAATTTCCATTTCTTATTTTACTTCCAATTAATGATAACAAACAGAGTTCCATTTTTGACTAACATCACTGAAGATTCTCCTAAAATTCAAGATTTCAGAAAGATATTCATCCGATCAACTAGAACTTTACTTCATTTAGGTTTGAGAATTGACCATAAAGCTATCAAAAGTTTCGCAGTTATTTGGTTGGCTTTTTATCCTTTTGCAGCATTTTTGATTTTATGTGCATTGATCATAAACAATCCTAAAAGTATGGAAGTAAATGAAGATTTAAAATTACTTACAGACGTATCGAATTATTTCTTCGATATCGCTTTTGGTGATTACACTAAAGATTCTGTTATTTATAACTTGGGAAACAATAGTTTTGGATGTCAAACAGTTATTATGAAGGTGTTCTTACAATTAGTCGTAGGGGTAGTGGACCTGAAGAATGATATTCAATATAGAGAAGATGAAGTTCATTTGAAGCAAATCAAGATATTAGAGCATATTGCTCCTGAACTCTTCCAAGGTAAAAGAAGACTTCATTTCAAGATCCATAGTACATATAATGAAGAAGAGAATCTTGGGTCATCAAAGAATAGTTTATCTAATATAACAGGAACATATTCTGATACCAGTACTGACTATAGCTATGGGGGATTTGAAAAACCAGTCACAGGTCAAACACCAACAGGTATGACACCAATGAATCAAAATATGGTCAATGATAATCCAGTATTTGACATCTTATTTGATGATCAAATGAATGATTTTGTTAGTAGCCAGATGAATAGTTTACCCAATTTTTTCTTTGACAATAATTTGGGTTTCGATAGTTAGGCCCACTTAAAATTGACAATTGTATAGTAAATAAGGCTTATAGGTTTGGTAGTGTGTAGGATAGAAAAGAATATCGAAGTTTTTAGATACGAGTTACTCATTTTTGAAAATCGCACTGATTCCGGAAACAAACTAACTTCCGAAAGGCAATGGATGTTAAAAAGAGAGATAGAGTTGCCAAAGCTTGTGAATATTGTAGGAAGAAGAAGATCAAGTGTAATGGTCAAACTCCTTGTTCCAATTGTAAAGGAGAATGTCTATATTTGGTGAATGAACGAAAACCAAGGAAAAGAGTGACCAAACCAAAAGCTGAAAGTGTTCAAGCTTTAGATGATAGATTAGGTAGATTAGAGAAATTATTACTGTCATTAACAGCCAAATTAGGAGGAAGCATTGAACAAATCACTCCCGATGGAGAAAGTTCTGAAGAAGAAATAGATGATGAGTCAATTAATGAAGATCAAGCTTATGAACAAGCCATCGCTGGTGGTAATGCTTATATGATGACCGAATCAAAAGTTTCGGGTGACCTTAATGAAGATAAAAGAGTTTTCCATCTTTCAGAGAAATTTTATGGTAGTCATTCAAGTTTTAGAATTTTTAGTGATAAAAGTGCTAAATGGATGCAAAATCAATTACCCCCAGAAGATGCTCATCTATTAATTCCTGTAAGTAATATGCCTGTTGTACTTGCTTTATGTATGAAAACATTCAATGATATTTGGTTCAATTCACGGCCCGTTGATGAAGAGCTGAGGAAAAGATTAAGTGAGGGTTGGTTCCCTGAAGATGAACATTTAATATTTGAATTGATTAAATGTATTGATAAAATCTTTTTAGCTAGTTATGTTGCATCTTCAAAAGATTTGGAAGTATTGTTCAGGTCATATTATCGTAATGTGGAATTAAAAAGGCGTAATATGGTAGAATCTGATGATTATAAAGTATTTACTGATAGTGAATTATTGATTATGAATATTTCATTAAGTCTTTGTATTGCTTCCGTCGTAGATAAACGAATGCTTCCTACTGGACAAGATAGTAATGGTGGTACTCCAGGTGAAACTCCTTCATTAACTTCATATTCCATTGATGATTTAATTCAATTACAAACTAAATTTTTTTCCAGTTCCATTTATTATTATGGTATGGTATCGTTATTGAGTGATGGTATCGAAACTATTCAAGGTATATTACTCATGATTTTATTCTTGGAAACCAGTTGGATCAAACTGTCTGTGAGTTATATACTTGCTTCCATTGCTGTTAGATATGGACAAGAAATAGGTTTACATCGTATGGAAACAATTCAAGGATTATCCGAAGAGGAAGGTGGTCTTAGAAGAAGATTATGGTATTTTTGTGAATATTTAGATATGGAAGTTTGTTATAGACATGGTAAACCTCCATTAATTAATTCCAACGATGTTTCAACTTTGAGTGGTAGAGATTTATTGAATACAATGAGATATCATTTACTCGAAGGTGAGGAATTTCCCAAGAAATTTCAAGGAAATTTTGATCCCTTGGATCCCGATTTCTTACAATTTGTATTACAACATAAAGATTTCACTTCTTATATTGGATTCGTTATGCACAATTTAACTAAAATCAAATCAAAAAGTTATTCAGCTTTATTTAGTGCCTCGTCATCAAATCATTCATTGGAGGATTTGATATCGACTTTGAAAACTCTTAATGAAGATATGGATAAGTTGAAACAATCAATGGATAAAGATTTAAGACCAAAGTTCTATTACGAACACGATTTTGATCAATGTCTTATATTCAATCAAGATATTGACAGTCTGGATTTACAATTTTCTCTTTGTTTCCATTTAACTTATTTTGTTCATTTGATGACTATCAATAGATTAATAACTCAAGTTGATGCTAAAGCTTGTAATAACAAAGAAATCCTAAATTTCAGACATCTTTACTTGAATAGTGCCAGGACAATTTTACATATCATTAAAAAGATTGATAGAAAGACTGTACCTCATTCATGTATCAATTGGTTAATTTTTTATCCATGTTCAGCCTTCTTGAGTCTTTTATCTTCATGTTTAAACACCCCTAATCTGCCTGACACTTTCAACGATGTTAGTCTTTTGATGGATGTCACAACCTGTTTCTTTGCTTTCAATAAAAATGTTTATTTGAAGTCTACACCTGGAGTTCCTAAAGTTTACAGTCAAAGAGATTCTACAATATTTTTAATATGTGGAGTTATTTTGGCTATTGGAATAAAAATCATTGAATCTAAATCCCATTACAAATTTTCTGACAATTATCCAAGATTCCAGGAACATTTGAAAGAATCCAGAGCCATTTTCCCTGAATTGTATAAACCAATAGTTACCAACATGACTCAGGGAAAACCATTACCCTTCAATTATAGTGATTGGGATGATTCTCCTTTGATATTACCCTCTTCATTTTTGCCGGGTCCAACAGGTTATTTGACCATACCGTTCCGCAGTCCTTCAGATAAATCACCTGTTTCAGATTTTAAATCCAAAATGAGTTCCAATGGAACCACAGCTTCAACGCCTTATGAAGATAAAAATAGTTTATCTTCACTTTTAGTCCAATCCCCTGGTATTAATAAAGTTGGTTTAACAGAAGCTGAATTTAATGAAAATCTCGATAAATTCTTTGGCCATGAAATCAATTCCCCCAATTTTTTCTTTGATAATAATCTAGGACTTTAATCCAAGATTTATTCTAATGTATATAGTGATTACGATGTTTTATGTATGAAGATATTTACTTAAGGTTTCGTTATAGTCATTCCAGTTATCTTGAACTGGCAATTTGGTAGATTCTCTTGATTTCTTCAATGCTTCAACCACAAGATGCTTATCTCTGATCAAAGCAAATTCCACTATCCTCTCTATTTGTTTTCCTCTTTTAGCTACAATTTCTGCTTGACGATACTTTCCCTTCGACGTGAGATAACTAACATATTTATTCCATATCTCTGGATACTGCGATGTGGTGATTACAGCTCTTTCGTATAGTTGAATTACGAATTCATGAGGATAATTCAATTCCATGAATTCCAAATACTTATCCCAGGTTTTCAATTCTTGAACCAGTATGAACTTGACATCATTATAATTAGTTAGCTTTTTCTCATATTCATATAACTTATAAGCTTTATATTGAGTGGTAATATAACTGTCAACGTATTTCTTGTCGACTTTCTCATGGAAATAAGAATAATTATATAATGGCACTTCGAGAACATATTTTAACAAATTATCATAACCTGTAATCCCAAGGGTTTCGTAAGTTTGAAGGAATTCAAGATAAAGTTTATAAAAATCTCCACTGAAGTAGTGTAATCCTATAAAAGATCTAGCCGTCTCAAACAATGTGACAAGATCTTTAACTGAATTGAAATTTATGGCAGTGGTAGTAATCTTGAACTTTAAATAACTCATCCAAAATTCTATGCTATAACTAAGGTATCTGAATCCACTTTCATAGATTTCCTCACATTTAGATATATTTTGGAGTTGGTATTCTAGATCAATGTATTTAATGTAGTAATTGACAAGATAAGGGAAGTTTCCAAGGAATTCATCATAGATGGTTCTCATATTAGTAACTTCTTCATCACTAGAAGCTTTGGTGACCTGAATATCAAGGATCTTGACCCATTTTGTAAGATTATAAGGGTCTTTAAGTAACTCTATATAATTATTCATTATCACAAAGATTTCGCATCCCTCTCACGTGAATCTCACACTGTAAATTGGAAGGGCCGAAAATTTCAGTATGAGCGCAATCTTAAACTTCAGAGTCACATGACGTGTTTATTTCAACAAATAATGAACTGTCAACCAAACCAATTATCAGATTATAACGTTGTTATCAACGATATTAACCCCACCATCAATTGTTCTTGATATCTCTCAATTTTCGGTTAAATGGTTATTTGCTAGTTATTGTTTATCCGAGGAACGATCCATATATATTTTTTAAGTGCTTCTGACTATGGAATGCATTTTACTAACAATAAGAGCCAAGAATCAAATTCCTTTTTCTAGGATACGTTTGGAGAGACAGACCAGATTCCTTTTTAACATTCACAGATTTGTTCTGGTCCCGTATACAGTCGATTACATCAGTGGTTTTGTTCCCTGCATATGTCATCGGAAAAACTGTGCGATGAGGTCAATAACGTCACTACAAGCACCAGCAATTAAATTTATTTTTAATTCGTCAACTCTACAAGCTATCCACTTCCAAATATACGTTAACTACTGCCATTTCAGAAGTGAATTATTTGCCGAAATATCCCCATTTAAAAAAATTTTCATTTCCGGTCGCGACGTATTAATTTCGAGGGGTGAAGGCCCGATCCTCGGAACGATTACTAAGATTCCCCAGACACAAAATAAGGTTTGTAACTACAACAACCAAATACAAATAAAATGAACACGAATACATTCAACAGTTAGGTTACTAAATAACTAACTGGCAACATCTATGAGTTGCTGCACTGACGAGGCAAAAAAAGAAAATAAAGCCGTTGCTGGAAGATCCTCGCGTTATTATTTCCCTTTTGAGACATTCCCTAAATTGCTCTAACCTTGTTATTTATGTCCAAATTGGAAGTAGACATAACTTCCTGTATATTTAAATGCTTGATTGCATCATATCCCCACTGACGAAAATACATATAAATACAACCAAGACTTCCCCCAAGAAATAATTAAGAAATTTTACTGTCAACGTCAAAATTAAAATGAGTTTGGCATCAAGAACAAATACTTTCGGTCTTAAAGGTAGAGCTTTAAGACACACCATTACAGCAACTGCTGTTACTGGTTTTTCATTATTCGGTTATGATCAAGGGTTAATGTCAGGTATTATTACTGCTGCCCCTTTCAACTACGAATTTCCAGCCACTTATAACAACACTGTCAACCAGGGTGCGGTTACGTCATGTTACGAATTAGGATGTTTTTTCGGTGCTCTTTTCGCTTTAATGAAAGGTGACAGATATGGTAGAAGACCATTAATTTTAGCTGGTTCTATTATCATTATTTTAGGTACCGTTATTTCAGTTTGTGCATTTAGAGATTCTTGGGGTACTGGTCAATTCGTCATTGGTAGAGTTATCACTGGTGTTGGTAATGGTTTAAACACTGCTACCATCCCAGTTTGGCAATCAGAAATGTCAAAAGCCGAAAACAGAGGTAGATTAGTTTGTTTAGAAGGTGCTGTTATTGCTTTTGGTACTTTAATTGCTTATTGGTTAGATTTTGGTTTAAGTTATGTTGATTCTTCAGTTTCATGGAGATTCCCAGTTGCTTTCCAAATCTTTTTCGCCCTTATCTTATTAATTGGTATAATCAATTTACCAGAATCTCCAAGATGGTTAGTCGCTCATGATAAAAAACCTGAAGCTATGGAAATCTTAGGTAAATTAGATGAAGAAAGTCCAGATTCTGATTATGTTGTTGCTGAAATTTCCGTTATTACTGATGCTATCAACAGATTCGACAAAGCTCAAGTTGGTCTTAAAGAATTATTCACCCACGGTAAATCTCAACATTTCCAAAGAATGATGTTGGGGGTTGCTGGTCAATTCTGGCAACAATTTGGTGGTTGTAATGCTGCTATTTACTATTCAACTGTTTTATTCGAAAATACTATTGGTTTAGAAAGAAGATTATCATTAGTCTTAGGTGGTGTTTTCGCTACTATTTATGCTTTATCCACTATCCCATCATTCTTCATGGTTGATACTGTTGGTAGAAGAACTCTATTCTTGGTTGGTTCTGCTGGTCAAGGTATTTCTTTCTTGATTTCCTTTGCTTGTTTAGTTCATCCAACTACTCAAAACGCTAAAGGTGCTGCTGTTGGTATTTTCTTATTCATTGTTTTCTTTGCTTTCACCTTATTACCATTACCATGGATTTACCCACCAGAAATTAACCCAATGAGAACCAGAACTATCGGTGCTTCCATTTCTACTTGTACTAACTGGATCTGTAATTTCGCTGTTGTTATGTTTACTCCAGTTTTCATCGGTAAATCAGATTGGGGTTGTTACTTATTCTTCGCTGCTATGAATTTCTTGTTCATCCCAATTGTCTTCTTCTTCTACCCAGAAACTGCTGGTAGAACCTTAGAAGAAATTGATATCATTTTCGCTAAAGCTCATGTCGAAGGAAGACAACCATGGAGAGTTGCTGCTACCTTACCAAAATTATCATTGGCTGAAATTGAAGAACAAGGTAATGCCTTAGGACTTTATGATGGTGATTTCGAAAAGGAAAACGCTGAAACTAAAGAAGAAGTTGATTCCGATGTCAAATCAGGTGAAAACGATTCTAATGGTCCTTTACAACCTGTTGATCAAGTTTAGAACGTAGATATGTATAATACCTAATATATTTAATTAAAGATGTATCTCATCCAACTCTAAATTTTGTGGGGATAAATTATCAACCCGTAGAAACCTTATAGTTAAAAACTAAGAAAGTGTCCAAAAGACATTGATTGACAGTAAATCTTTTTGATCGCCAAGGAAAGCCACTTTAATGGGGCTCAGCCAACCCCTGTAAAGGGTAAGATTTTTCTCTCTATTTGAGTTGTTTAATTGCGCCAACTTGAGACAACCTTCGCCGCGCACTTAATCCTTACAGCCATGTCATCCAACTTTACCTGTCAAGGGATAAAGGAACTTGGTTCTTACTATTCCATAGCTACAAGGTATTATTGTGACACCTCCACTTACCATGTAACTTATAGTTATCATGTTATCATCCCATTGATGATATTTTTCCTTATAACTATACTAAGTCTCATAGTGTCACATTTCCTTTTCCCTAATTTGAATGTACTATGCAAGAAAGTACCAAGTAAAATACTAAGTAATGTAATAGTGCCAATGATAAATTCAGTTCCAGATATGGTGAACTATTATAATGGGATGGGGAATCCTTCCATGGTAATAGGGCAAGTGATAGGATCAAATTTAATGATCTTAGGTTTGACCCTTGGTTTGATAAGTTTACTTTGTCAAAATTCGTCTGAAGAATTACAAGTACATTTAGAAGCTCAAATAGAGTCACCTTTACGATCCCCCATTGTTTCGCCCAGACTTCAGTCTTATGTAGACCCTGATGAAGATATGATACAGCCGCACAAGATTGACCAATTACACGACCAGGTTGATTCGTTACTTTATCTGGTATTATGGTTGGCAACGGTGATATTAATGTTCATATATATTATTTACGATGGTAAAATCACTACTATCGAGTCCTTGGTTATGATTGGTACTTATTTGGTTTATTTAAGTCATCTTCTTTATTCACCTCAACCTCCCATCATAGATATTGATGAACAATTAGAACATGAACCTCAATCTAATCTTCATTATTTCGTTCATGCGGTAGTATTTCTATTGGGACTAGTGATAAACTCACCTTTGAGATATTTCAATTTATCAGTGTTGGTGTATTTCAAAATCCCTTCAGTTTATGTGGTAATGGCATTAGTGATTCTTTCCCCTTCGTTGTATCTATCCAAAACCAAATATGTGGTAGCTGTGGCCAATAGTATCTTGGTAATCTCCTATATAAGTTCAATGGTGGTTAAGATAATAGTTAATTATGGTGCCATTTTAAAGATTACAGGTTTTTCTTTAGGCTACCTAATTTTCTCCATAGCTAACCTGTTAAATGACACGGTCACCAATGTGACTTTATCGTTCATCAATCCTGATCTTGGAAGAAATGCATGTCTTGGTACACCGGTATTGCTAATTCTTTTGGGTCTTGGAGTGAATTGTATCAAAGGGATCGAATTTGACGGGTTCAAATTAGGTGCCATGGGATTATTGGGAATTTTGGTTATAGTATCAGGAGGATACCTTGTTAATTGGGGTAGAGTTACCGGGGTTTTACTAGTAAGTTTCTGGTTAATGATGGAATTAATCAGCATTATCAAGTTATAGATTACGTGTATATTATATTTATCTAAGGACATCGGGAATTCAGAAAAGACTCTTTAAACCCAAATATTCTTCAGTGTTCAAGAATTTCAATGAAACTCTGATATCTTCATTTATATCTTCGATCAAAGCTTCTTTGGTAGTATAATCCAACTCTGGTCTAACGTATCCGCCTATAACGAATTTGATGGAGGAACCATAAAAGTTGGAAGAAAACTTGTGCATTATATGGATCTCAGCAGCTTTCTCTTTATTATTATAGAATGGGTTGAATCCTATAGACATGACCATGGGTAAGATTTCAAGATCTTGAGGTTGCAAGGCTTTACCATAGTTAAATTCTACCATGGTACCATCGGCTCTTTTATTTTCACAAGGGGTATTGTCAACTGGACTCAATTGACACCATCCAAAATAGATTCCTGGTTCGAGATCATTCAACTCCGGACAAATGGGAATATTGGCAGTTGGGATACCCAAATCAGAAGACCCTCTTCCAAATCCATTGATAATATGAGAAGTTTGGGTTATAGGGAAAGGTTTAACCAAAGTTTCGGATATTTCTCTCATTGATAAGAATCAAATTGAACAGTTGAGATTTGTAAGGAACGGTACGACATGTCACGACACTGAACGTCACGACATCCACCGGCACATTAGGACACATTAACTATGGAGAAGAAGAAGAACAAGAGATCAAAAAAGAGATCAAAAAAGAGATCAAATAAGAGATCAAGTAAAGTCAAAAGCACAATATCAATTAAAATCTTTCTTCTAATTGAGCTAATAAAGTTTTGGCATCTTTAGCAAAACCTCTGATACCTTGAGATAATTTTTCAGTGGCCATAGCATCTTCGTTTAAAGCGAATCTGAAAGCAGATTCATCATCAATGTAACTAACTTTTTCATCAGTAGAAGTTTGAGCTGAAGCAATATCTAATTTCTTTGGAATGGTTTCAGTAGAGTTCATTAATTCTTCTAATAATTTTGGAGCAACAGTTAAGTAATCACAACCAGCTAATTCTTTAATTTCACCAGTGTTTCTGAATGAAGCACCCATAACAATAGTGTTGTAATTGTATTTTTTGTAGTAGTTGAAGATTTTTTTGACTGATAAAACACCTGGATCAGTTTCTTGAGTGTAAGTTTCACCAGTTGAAGCTTTGTACCAATCTAAAATTCTACCAACGAAAGGTGAAATTAAAGTAACTTTAGCTTCAGCACAAGCAACAGCTTGGGAGAATGAGAATAATAAAGTTAAATTACAGTGAATATCGTGTTTAGCTTCTAATTCTTTAGCGGCTTGAATACCTTCCCAAGTTGAAGCAATTTTAATTAAAACTCTATCTTTAGAAATACCAATTGATTTATATAATTCAATAATTTCTAAAGCTTTTTTGACGGTAGCATCTTTATCGAATGATAATTGAGCGTCAACTTCAGTTGAAACTCTACCTGGGACAATGTTTAAGATTTCTTTACCGAATTCAACTAATAATCTATCTAAAGCGATAGCAGCTTTGTCAGCTTTAGTAGTACCTTTATCTTTAGCGTATTCAACAGCAACATCGATTAATTTAGCATATTCTGGTTTTTTGGCAGCAGCTAAGATCAATGATGGATTGGTGGTAGCATCTTGTGGTTTATATTTGGCAATTGATTCGAATTCACCAGTGTCAGTGACGATAACGGTACCGGTAGCTTTTAATTGTTCTAATGATGACATTATATTTATTGATTAAAGGGATAATATTCTCGGGGAATCAACGGTTTTTATATTTTTCAAAAAAAATTGGGTCAATGTGCGGTCGTGTCTTGGCGGCGAAAAATCTGGGGGACAAAATTCCATTTTCAATTAATCGGGTAATCATTGGTGACGGAGTGATCATAGATCAATTTATATGGAATACTTCATTGGGTGATGATTCAGAGGTATTAGGGTGGTATTCCGATGATATTGGGAGGTTTAAAGTGGTTGAAAATAGTGATTCTTCGATTACATAAGATTGCTGTTGGAAAAATCTGATGAAGTGTGTTTATTAATACGGAGGATTGTTGACCTGAACTATACTAATTCGCGCCAATCACGTGTTGAAGCTTGTGACTTTTAGTAAAGAAAGTTAGTAATGCCTATGACTAAGTAGATCGAATGAATCTAGAAAATTAATAGTGAAGTTGAGGTTACAAACAAGTGAGGTTGTCGCGGACCATAGTGGTCATGGATTTAGAGGTCTATGTAATGATTCGATTCCGATGGTAATTGAGATATTTCAATTTCCACTACCTATGGTTTTCACTAACTTTCACTGTCGATACCTCATCACCTTTGATACCTCCCATAGATGCTATATCATCAAAGCTAGTTGTCGATATGCTTTTGGTTCCTCAAGCTCATCCCACATCATACCCCGATCTCAATCCCCCACCGCTTATCTATAGCCGCACATTGCGGTTACACCTACAGTTTGGCGGTGTTTCTGGCGATGGGTGCGATAACGGAAAAACATCTCAACTCCTATTTTAACCTATCCATCTCCCATCTGACTCTTTCATTTCACACTCTTGCCATCGGCTCATCTCATCACAAATTTTAGCACGCGAGATAAGCGAGTCTTTTGGTGCGTTTCTCATACACTCAAGACCCTGTCATGTCTGCAAATTCGCATTATTGCTATGAGTGTTAATACTACTACATCTTTCGAAGGTGGCATCATTAGAAAGTCTTCTAATCAGCTGATACCTCAATCTTCACCCCCTTCAGAGTCTCAAACTAATGTATCTTCCACTCAAGACACTGCGGATTCAGACTTACTTGAACCAACAGAAAGAACTGGTTTACTTTCACCTGATGATCCAATTGTGTCCCCATTAAACTTGTCTACTATCAAGTTATTACGTCAATTGACTTACTATTTATTGATATTCAATACCATAGTGTTGATTTTCTTGATTTTGTCCCATTTCATCACATTTTCCATCACACCTTATTTCAGAGATATAAACTTGCTCATCCTTTGTATCATTTATAATGTAACTACCTTATGGTGTTTCGTGGTAACGGGCATTTCAGAAATATATTTGAGTGTTTTCACTATAGTATTGGTGTTGATTGATATGTTGGTGATACTTTTCAAGTTATCAGGTGTTTGGAGTCCTTTGTATACAATTATAAATTTAGTGTACTTCTTATGGGTAGAATCTTATATAAGGAAGTGTAAAACTCAACAAGAAATCAAGTATACTGGAAGGCCTGAAACCAGAATGACAGTATTTGAAATTTTCATTTCATCCATCAAATTCTTCATCAAACTTGCGACCTTAATATTAGTCTTGATGATGAGTATGTTCGTTTGGTTAAATGCTTTTGACACCAAAGTTACAGGAAAGACTGTCAACATAAATGGTGTGAACCTTCATTTGGAATGTTATGGATCTAAGAATGGAACGGTATTGGTTGAAGGAGGATTGAAAACATCTTCAGAATCATATTTATGGGTTGAAGATATGTTTAAAACCAATCTTATTCCGGGATATTGTGTTTATGACCGTCCAGGATACGGAATATCTGATTATGCTCCAACAACGGTTTCTCTTGCTACGGAATATTTGGTGATGGCTTTGAAGGAAGAAGAAATCTCTGACGTTGTAGTGGTTGCTTATGATATTGGAGGGTTATACTCTCAAGTGTTAACAACTCACGGCATAGTCAAAGGTTTGATGTTGATTGATTCCTGGCATCCGGATCTTCTTCAGTTGAATTATCCATTCAAAGAGAAGTTCGATGTGGTCGAAGTACCTTCTGCTTGGAATGGATTCAAATTATGGTGCAAGGGAATTTTATCACCATTGGGTTTGAGACCCTTGAGTCATTTGATTCATCCTAAACTTTATAACTCTTGGGCAAGAGTGTTTGGGGATGATATGATTTACAACGAAAAGTATTTGTTAACTAGATTACAAAACCATTTAACTACCAAATGGTCTTCCAATGAAATCCCCAGCTCTTCAGACGTCAAGACCTTAGTCATCAGTAGAAAGTCCAAGTTGAAATCCAAAAATTGGAGTAACTGGCAAAGAGAATTGACTAAATGGGGAAAATGTGTGGACTGGAAAGTCATTGATGATAATGATAAGTACAGTGAAGCCGACAGTTTAAAGTTTTTCTTAGAAGAGTTAAAGTAAGTAGTTTAAATGTATGGTAATCAGGTAGTAATACATTCTATAAAGTAGATTAGAAGGGATGTTACACAAAAATCAAAAGGTGAAATTTTCAAAACTCCTTGAATTTAGTCAAATATTGGTCAAAATGATCCCAAAAATTAGTGAAATGAATGGTTCCAAACCCTCTTTTCATACCACTTACTCCCATATCCATACCATCTCTCCCTCGCGGCAACTGTTCATCATCACCTAATAACATTTCTCAAGATGCGACTTTGTTTATTTTAATCATGGCGGATGAACTAGATAAAACCATTGGTGATGTTTTCAAACAATTCGAAAACTCCTTACACCAGGAAGAGACAACGCAAGAGAACAATCAGGAAGATCAACCTATGGACTATCACTATGATTACCAGTATGACTATAATGAGAATTTGGAGGATGGAGATAATTTGGATGATGCCATAACAAACGTATTCGATAGTTTAAAGAACGAACTAGAGCAACACCAACCTGAAGAACAGGTTGAGAAGGAAGAACAGAAGGAGGAACAAGGAGATGATGATTTGGCCAATGCCATAAGTAACGCATTACAAAGTATCAATGAAATACGACCTGAGTATGAAGACAAGGAGACAGAACCCCAAGAGGAAGTACCAGAACCAACTGAAGACCAACACCAAGCGCAAGACCAGGAACAAGACAATGAACAAGACAAACAACAAGAACCTAAGGAACCCACGCCGTCAACACCAACTGAACCTGAGAAAGAAGTACCCTATTCACCACTTGAAATGGAGAAAGATGATGATTTAGATCTTGAAAATGCTATTGGTGATGCCTTTGCATCATTAAAACAAACAGAAGAGCCACAACAGCAAGAAGAGCAAGACGAGAAAGATGAAGTTGATGACGATGATTTAAGTAAAGCTATCACTGATTCCATCAACATGATTAAAGATAAAATCCCCCAATATCAACCAACTAAAGATGATGAAAAGTTACAGAAGACTATTGCTGATGCCATGAAATCAGTTATTTCCGAACCTAGTGAACCTGACTTGAATAATACTCAAATGAATGATATTTTAGTTAATGCCTTTAATATGGCCATGGAGAATCCCCAGGAACTTCTTAATATTGATGAACCAAAGAAATTATCCATTGCTGAAACTTTAGCTTCTCATGGAACCAACAATTCACAATTATCTAACATCCTTTTGAATTTGGATAGTTCAGGAGGTATAGTGAATATCATTGAACAAATAGCTTCATTCATTAACAATTCCAACTTTCAAGTATTTAAACATTCCAATAATCTAATGAACACCATAGCTTCATATAAAAATCAACCAGAGATTTTTTTGACCAGTTTGACCATGGCTAAACATTATCTTCAGTCAATTAATAAAGTCAAATGTATTCCTTCTATTGATAATGTTTTATTGTTATTGGGTAAGAATAATGGTCCCCTTATAGATTATAATCCCAACCTTATCACTTTAATCATCAACTCCATCATCAATGTGATATCCAATTATCAGAGTTCTAAATTAAAACCACGAAATGATTTGGAACATAAGGAGAAAATTCGATTAGAAAATAGAGAAAGAAAGAAAAGATGGAGAGAAGTTCATAGTGAAAGAAATAAAGATAACGATTTAAGAGCAAGAGTACAAAGAAGAGCTAACATTATGTTTGGACCCAATGGTTCAGATGAAAAGACTCGATGGATGGATGAAGAATTTATCAAAAGAAAGGAGAAACGTTTATCCCGACAATTAAAAGATAAAGAAGATGTTAAAACATCAACAAATAAGATTATCAATGATAAGAACTTGATCAAATTAATCGATGACTTTTTCACCATATTTTCCAACTTTTCTCCTAAAGATGATAATGAAACGGGATTATATACCACAACCACTACCATGGCATGTGTAGGGATAATTTATTTGACGAAGTTTGGATATATCGATGTTAAAAGGATTGATTCCATCATAACATCTGTAGTGACTAATCTTATAGAAGGGCTTAATGGTATTGATAATCAAGAGAGAATCGGCTATTTATCTAAAGGTGCAAGATTCTATCTCCCATCATCCACCGAAACCGACGAATTCAAACAAACTACGATTAATGATAAAGATCCCAAGGAAAAGATTGATTTGAAATTCCCCAGGTATAAGAATCAAAAGAAGGAAGAACCAAAACTTAAGAAACCAGCGATTTTTAAAAGACCTGGTTATCAAGTTAAAGAAGAAGATGAAAGGTTTCCAAAGTTATATTCTACCACTTTGAAACCATGAATACCATATTTATGTATATTATGTAATATAGAAATCTAAAGGTTTTATAAAGGTTTTGTTTCTTTCATTAACCAATCATAAGCTCTCTTATCCATTTCTGATAACTTATCACCAAAATCTGAACGGATGGATTTATAGAATTCATTGATCCAATTGATTTCCGTTGAATCAAGATATGATTTATCAATCAATTTCCTACAGAAAGGTACTTTGGTTAAATATCCGAAACCTAAGAAATCTTCACCATTACGGGTTTTGCTATCAGTTTTAATGATTTCAAGTTCACTTTCAACTCTGAATCCTTTTTCTCCTGCAACATAATAACCCGGTTCAATAGTAATAATAGCTCCAGGTTTAAATAAAGGTTCAGTAGAAGAACCACCAGCAGTGGTCAGGAAGTATAAGGGTGATTCATGAACAAGTCCAAAAGCACCTACACCATGACCAGATCCATGATTGAAATCTAAACCTTCATTCCATAAAGGTTGACGAGAATAAGAATCTAAAATGGCTCCAGATAATGATGAGTTAGCTGGGAATTTGGCCATTGATACGGCTAAATGTCCTTTCAACACTAAAGTATAGAATTTCTTATCTTCTTTACTAGCATCTCCAAACATATAAGTTCTTGTAATATCGGTGGTACCTTCAAGATATTGTGCACCACTATCTATCAAATAAATTTTCTTAGGATCAATAATCAGATTTTGATCTTCTGATGGAGCATAATGAATGATGGCACCATTAGCCCCAGTAGATGATATGGTTTCATAAGATTCTCCTTTAAAATTTGGAAATTTACCTCTAATTCCATGAATCTTACACGCAGCTTGAAATTCATTGATTTTCTTCCCCTTCAAAAGTTGATCTTCTAACCATGCTGAAAAGATAATGAAAGCTAATGAATCCTTATACTGAGCTATCTTGTAGTTGAACAATTCGGTTGGATTCTTATATACTTTGAGGTAAGAAACAATTGAATGGAAAATAATAGTTCGCTTAACAATGGATTCAGGAATAGCTTCATACAAAGCATAGGTGGCAGAAGATTTGGTGGGTAAGATTATTTTACCGATAGGATGTTCAACAGTACATTTAAGTAAACCCAAATCAGAATAGAAGTCAGTGTATTTCTTGATCTCCAATCCTTCAATGGTTTGTAAGTATTGGATACTTGGGTAATGCAATTTCCGATAGTCAACGTAAAATCTTACAGTATCAGGAGTTATTAATACGTAACTGAAAAATACTGGTGCAAAGTCTATATCTGTATCAGCTCTCAAATTTAATAACCAGGCTATATCATCTAAGGCAGTGATGACAAGATATTCTCCACCTAATTTGGCCATTTCCTTTCTTACTCTGACGAGTTTGTCATTTGTAGATTCTCCAGCAAATTTCATTTCATATTGGTAGATAAGGTCTAAGGATCTCATAGGACGATTATCCCAAACAGCATCGACCAAGTTTTCCAATTGTGGTTTGAATTCAAATCCATTGATCTTACTGGCCTTTTGAAAGAATTCCCCAGTATCCAAACTGATCAACCTGGAATCTACAGAAATGACTTTGGAGAATTTAGAAGTGGTAGCCTTTTCAATACACCAAGAAGTCCATTTAGGATATCCAGCCATTCCTTGTTTCAAAAGCCCCCAAGTATTAGGTAATTGTTCCTCTGCTTGTAAGAAGTATCTACCATCAGTACTTAAACGTTGTTCCCCATTAAACTCATCATCTAAAGTAACTATAGCAATACCGGCTGAACCTGTAAATTCAGATGTGAATTCTCTACGTTTATCGGCAGTAGCGGTATATTCACTTTGATGTTCATCTTCACTAGGAATAATGTATACTGCAATACCTCTTTGTCTCATTTGGTGTCTTAAATGGGAAAGTTTATCATTATTAGTCAAATGGCTCTGAATTGTGGATTTGCTGGATGAAGTATAAGGAAGTGGTTCAAATACATCATCATCAGAATAATCGTAAGTTGACTCAGTAGATTTGAATGATGGTAAACATTGGAAGGGGTTGGATAATAAACGAGTGAAAGAAGGCTTGTTAGGTGTTACTTCTTCTAACAAGTAATCTTTCTCTGACATCTGATCGTTGATAAAAATTGCGAACGGCTCTTATCTTTGGAGTTAAACGGGAGTTTAGTGGTTATGGTAGAGGGGAGATAAGGGATTTTTTTACAGTAGCAGTGGGAAGTTGAAGTTATGTTAGAATGATGAGAGACATGTTTAGGTCTGGTTGGACAAACGATGTAATTCCAAGAAAATTCAAAGATGTGGAGGAAATGATTTTGCAGCCATTTGAGATTATGGCAATAAGAGATATATCATCAATTTAAAGGCTTTAGAAGTCTCGAAGGATCCCTATTGTCAATTATGGATCAATTATTAGTTCAGACAGTTTCTGTACATTCTAATGTCTGATACAAGGGTTTTTGTTTACCCTTACTTTCTAGTGCTCTCGCACCATAATCGCACCAAAATCCCCACCACATTTACCACTATCACCGCACCCCTAAGGTCCACTAATAATTCTCATCTCATCGCGAAAAAAAATCAAAAATGATTTCATCAACTGCTTGGGTACCAAGAGGTTATGCTGCCGAATTCCCAGAAAAATATGAACTTAATGATGAAGAAATGGAAAGAATAACGGCTATGGCTAAGTTACAATTGAGTGATGAACCTGAAGAATTGAACAATCTCAAAAAAGATATTGAAATCGATGATGACTTGAAAGAATATAATTTGGAGACTTATGATGAAGATGACGATGAAGGTGAAGAAGTTGGAATGTTACCAGGTTTAAGTGGTACCGAAGCCAGATATCATGAAGGTGAAGATGGTAACGATCCTTATTTGAGTTTACCTAATGAAGAAGATGAAAATTTAGAAAAGGAAGACTTACAAATTTATCCTACTGATAATTTAATCTTATCTACCAGAACTGAAGATGATATTTCATACTTGGATGTTTACGTTTATGATGATGGTGCTGGAAATATCAACGAAAATGGAATCGAAGATGATCCAAGTAATACTCAAGGATTCATGAGAGAATCATCATTATATGTTCATCATGATTTGATGTTACCTGCATTCCCACTTTGTGTTGAATGGATCAACTATAGACCTAATTCCGAAAACAATGTTGGAAATTTTGCTGCTATTGGTACATTTGATCCACAAATTGAAATTTGGAATTTAGATTCTGTCGATAAAGCATTCCCTGATTTGATTTTAGGAGAACCAGAAGAAAATAAACCTAAGAAAAAGAGTAAAAAGAAGAACAGTCACAATTTAACTCATCATACTGATGCTGTTTTATCATTAAGTCATAACAGATTACATAGAAATGTGTTAGTATCAACATCAGCCGATGCTACAGTTAAATTATGGGATTTAAATAATGGTACAGCAGTTAGATCATTTAATACTATTCATAATGGAAAGACAGTTTCCTCATCACAATGGCATCCATCTGAAGATTCTATATTATTAACTGGTGGTTATGATTCTAAAGTTGGGATCTCAGATGTTAGATTACAATCTGATATGACTAAACATTATAGTGTTGGTAATGAAGATATTGAAACCGTTAAATGGGGAGCTCAACCAGAAATCTTCCATTGCGGTACTGATAAAGGTAATGTTTATACTTTTGATATCAGAAATCCAGATAAACCAATTTGGACTTTACATGCTCATGATGCAGGTATTTCTTCATTAGAAATAAATCATCATATACCAGGAATGATGATAACTTCCGCTATGAGTGAAAAATATGTCAAATTATGGAAAATTACCAATGATAAACCATCAATGGTATTATCACGAGATTTCGATGTTGGTAATATTTTAACTTGTTCAATTGCTAATGATATTGAAGTTGCAGGTAATATTGTTGTTGGAGGAGTTAATAATGGATTAAAATTATGGGATTCACTTAATAACAAATCTGTACGTAGTTCATTCAAATCGGAATTGAAAGATTTAAAACAAAAGGCTAGAAAGATTGCTGAAGAACAAGGAAAATTCTCCAGAATTTCTAATAAGTATGATAATGAAACCACTGATCAAGTAATGGCCATTGATGAACAACAAGAATCCGATGAAGAAGATGATGAAGATGAAGATTAGAGAATCTTCCTTAAAATCAAAAACACAGAGAGAAAAGAAATACACCTTTTTTAAATTGCAATATATATATTTACAAGTTAATAATAATCATTAGCTTCATATTCAAATTCACTTTCTACTTCACTTTCACTTTCTTGGTCATAATCTGCTTCATTGAATCCCACATATCTATTCCTTTTTAATTCTACTTCATCATCAGAATTTATATCTTCGTCATCAGTTAATATTTTGTCATCATTTTCCATTTCTTCTTCTTTACTTTCCAATTCAATCTTTAATTCATGCATTATATCGAAACATTCAGCCAATAAAGCATTTAAAGTACCTTGACCTTCAGGAATTTGATTATTAATAATGAATCTCCCATCATTTCTTAAATTATCGAGTGATGCCAATTTAAATTGGAAAGGATATAATTCTCTTAAATTATTTAAACCATCAATTCTTTTAATATCTAATAAACATCTTCTGACTGTTTGTAATTGATTATGAATTGGTTGTAAAGATTCACTTACAGGTTCACTACTTTCTAAAAGTTTATAAATTAATGAATAACATCTTCTTAAAAGATAAAGTAACAAGATTTGGAAATTTTTGAATTTCAAATTATTCTTTAAATTACTTTTATCATCAATATCATTTAATAAAGTTTTACGTTTACTTTCAATATTCTTTAATTCATTTTGATAATTATATAAATCTGTTTCTCTTAAAGTCCATCTTCTGGTAATTAATAAATTTTCCAATACTAATTTGATTGAACATAATTGTTTATATAAGGTTTTAAATTCATTAACTATTTCATCATCATTAAGGGATAAATCATCAAGCAATTCATTTAAATTAGAAGTTTTATGAATATTAATATCTTTAATCAAATTATTACAATCATCTAATAAACCATTTAAGATGATTTGACTATTAGCATTTTGAGTGAATGACCCTTCAGAATCTCTTAAATGTTCAATATTTTTCAATTCATCTTCAAATATTTTGGTTGAACATTGTTCCTTTTCAATCATTAAATTAATCAAATTCTTTCTTAAACTTAATAATTTATAATAAATAGTTTTAACATCATCAGGTATTTGATTGATTTTATCATTTAATTCATTGAATAATTCTTGACATTTATTATACTTTTTCCTGATATAATTAATTTGTTCACCATTACTTTCATCGGCTTCTTCACCTATTTTATCAACCTTATAAACATCTTTATCTGTTGGTTTATTATAATTATAATCTTCAATAATAGTTTTGATATCTTGTAAACGATTATTAATTGGTTTTAAATCTTCATCAGTATATAATTTCCCATCTTTTAAATGTAATAATAATTTATAAACTGTTGATAATGATGAATAAGTTGCAGGAGCAAATTTTGTTAATCCACATGTTATAAAACAAAGAGATATTAATTGCCAAATATCATCAATTAAACTATCATTCGAATTAGGTAATTCTAATTTCATCCCTTTAATCTCTTCATCTTTCCTAATAATTGATAAATCATTTAAATAATTTAAGAATTTATTATAAATATGGTATATCTGATTAGAATTTATATACTGAGACCGATTATTTTTAAGATCTAATAATTCTTTATATAATGCTTGTAACTCATGATGTATAGATTTTTCATAATCAGGTAATTTCATAATGGTTCCTTTTGATGTGTTCTTAGGATAATGTTTTATGAATATCCCTTTATTCCTCAAAAAGTGGTCCCAACAACTTTGTATGATTTTCGCGAAATGGTTATCCATCCATGGTACACGACTTTTGGCTGCAACAAAAAATTGCAGCAATTGAAAACCTGATTATATAAAAACCCCCTTCAATTGCCATATTACAAAAATCAAAATTTATTCAACGATGTCAGAAATTGATAAATTAGCTATTTCAACTATTAGATTATTATCTGTTGATCAAGTGGATGCTGCTCAAGCTGGTCATCCAGGTATGCCTTTAGGTATGGCTCCAGCAGCTCATGTAGTTTTCCAAAATATGAAATTCAATCCGAAAGATCCAAATTGGATTAATAGAGATAGATTCGTTTTGTCTAATGGTCATGGTTGTGCTTTATTATATTCAATGCTTTTCTTATATGGTTATGATTATACCATTGATGATTTAAAGAAATTCAGATCATTAAATTCAAAGACTCCTGGACATCCAGAAAAGGGTCATTGTCCAGGGGTTGAAGTTACCACTGGTCCTTTAGGTCAAGGTATTTCAAATGCTGTAGGTATGGCAATTGCTCAAAAACAATTTGCTGCTACTTATAATACTGAAGATCTCAAAGTTTCTGATAGTTTTGTTTATTGTTTCCTCGGTGATGGTTGTCTTATGGAAGGTATTTCATCTGAAGCCAGTTCATTAGCAGGTCATTTGAAATTAAACAACTTAATTGCATTCTGGGATGATAATAAGATCTCTATTGATGGTTCTACTGATGTTGCTTTCTCAGAAGATGTTTTAGCCAGATATAAAGCTTATGGTTGGAACATTTTCCATGTTGAACGTGGTGATGAAGATTTAGATACTATTAAAGATGTTATTGAACAAGCTAAAAAATCAGATAAACCTTCTTTGATTCAATTGGTCACAACTATTGGTTATGGTTCCCTTTTAGCTGGTACTCATGGAGTTCATGGAGCTGCTTTGAAAGCTGATGATGTTAAACAATTAAGATCCAGATTTGGTTTCGATCCTGAAAAATCTTTCCAAATTCCTTCTGAAGTTACTGATTATTATAAAAAGCATGTTGAAGATAATGAAAAAGTTTATAATGATTGGCAAGATATTTACAAGAAATATGTTGGATCAGCTAAACTTGGTAAAGAATTAGAAAGACGTTTGAAAGGTGAATTACCTGAAAACTGGGAATCTAAATTACCAACTTATACTAAAGATGATAAGAAATTAGCTACTAGACAATGTTCAGGTAATACTTTAGATGCAATTTTTGAAACCTTACCTGAAGTTCTTGGAGGTTCAGCTGATTTAACCCCTTCTAACAACACTAGAACTACAGGTGTTGAAGATTTCCAAGACCCTGAAACCAAATTAGGTTCTTATGCTGGTAGATATGTTAGATATGGTGTTAGAGAACATGGTATGGGAGCTATTATGAATGGTATTTCTGCCTTCGGTGCCAATTATAAAGTTTATGGTGGTACTTTCTTAAACTTCGTTTCCTACGCTGCCGGAGCTGTTAGATTAGCAGCTATCTCCCATCATCCAATTACTTGGGTAGCTACTCATGATTCTATTGGTTTAGGTGAAGATGGTCCAACCCATCAACCTATTGAAACTTTAGCCCATTTTAGAGCTATCCCTAATTTATCTGTGTGGAGACCTGCTGATGGTAATGAAACTTCAGCTGCTTATAAATCAGCTATTGAATCAACTGAAACTCCACATATCTTAGCTTTGAGTAGACAAGGTTTAAGTCAATTAGAAGGATCTTCCATTGAAAATGCTTCTAAAGGTGGTTATATCTTAGTTTGTGATGCCTCTGATGGTCATCCAGATATCATTCTTGTATCCACTGGATCTGAAGTTGAAATCTGTTTGGAAGCTAAGAAGAAATTAAATACTGCCGGTCATAAAGTTAGAGTTGTTTCTATGCCATCAACTGATACCTTTGATAACCAATCATCAGATTATAAATTATCTGTCTTACCTGATGGATCTCCAGTTATGTCAGTTGAAGTATTATCACCATTCGGATGGTCAAGTTATTCTCATGAACAATTTGGAATGAAAAGATTCGGTGCATCAGGAAAAGCTCCTGATATTTATAAAGAAGTTGAATTCACTCCTGATGGAATTGCTTCCAGAGGTTTAAAGACCATCAATTTCTATAAAGGTAAAGATTTATTATCACCATTACATGATGCTTTTTAAGGAGAAGTCCAACTTACCTATCAAAGTGGTCCCGATTGAAGGTAGTACCACCTACCGTATAAGAGGTTCTTACTTAATTTATAGGAATAAAAAGAGATTGTTTTCTAAATATCCAACCGTACATTATAAACCATCAGGGTTTGCTACTTGTAAAATTTTTCTTGAGTAATCTGTTTCATCAGCTAATGAACCTTCACTTAATCTTCTTCTACCCAACATTATAGGATTTAATCTTGGATCAGTTAATCCACTATTTGGAAGTGGATCAGATGGATGAGTAAAAGGATTAGTCATTGGCATATCTAAAGCATTAGATTTAATGGATTTCTTGGATTTCCCAGTACCAAAATTATTACGTTTGATAGATCCACCAACCATTGGTTTATCGAAAAATTCTTCGTCATCTTCTTCTTCTTCTTCAGCTCTTTTTCTTCTGATCAAGAAAAATATTACTCCAGCAACAATAGCTACTGCTGCTATACCTCCAACTACACCTCCAACTATAGGACCTATGTTAGTAGATTTGGAAGATTTGTCATCAGATTTAGAATCAGATGTTGATGATGATGATGGTGTTGCTTCAGCACTTTGAGTAACAGTCTTTACTACTACACTTCCACCTGAACTTGAAGTAGTTATAACTTCACCAGTAGCTGAAGTAGGTGATTCAGTTATAGAAGAATCTTCCGATGTGGTTTTGGTAACTGATGTGGATGAACTTGTGGAACTAGTTGATGAAGCACTTGAAGTAGAAGAAGTTGAACTAGTTGAAGAACTTTGACCAGTTGCCGATGTATCATCACTACTTTCATCATCACTTGCATCACCATTTCCTACATAAACACTGTAAGCACTGGATCCACCACATTTTTCTTGACCATATCCGTAACAATCGGTATCACAATCTGAAGAATCAGTTTCATCACTTGGTTTACTTGAAAGACAATAACAAACATTACCTTGTGTCATGGCTATATATGGAGAATCTGGACATTGTGACAAACAATGATCAGATGATTGATACATGAAAGTATCACTTTTCTTACCCGATATCGATGAATAACATCCAATAGATGTAGCACCTTGAACTGATACTATAATAGCAAAAAATGTAAGGAAATTCATAATTAACAATTTTTGATGAACTTTAAACCTTTTGGATCGATAGTATCTTTTTTAAATCTATCTACAATACAAAAATCACTGATTGGTGATAAATGATACAAAAAATAACGTTATAAAAATGGGTATCAGTGGGGATAAAGGGGGGAATGAAAAACTAGGTACAACACACACGTTCAATAGAACAGTATAACGAGGGAATATATAATACTATTGGGATAGAAAATGAATGATTAGAACCCACAAAAGAACTAAATAAATGATTTGATTAACGTATGACGATGGATCGAAAACAAATTCCTCACCTCCTTCAAAACCTTCGCGCCCGGTCACGTGTGAAACCTTCGCGTCGGGTCTAGACCGCGACTTTCTTTTTGTGTGGAGCAGTTTGTTAAAGGAGTTGGTTAGATTAAGAGATGGTGCAGATAGGCTAATTATAAAACTGTAATAGGTATATATTCAACTTTTTTTTAGTAAAATTGTGAACCCTTATAGGGTGAATTTTTCCGAAGTTTCTAGACTTTTAAAGTGGCATTATAAACAGTGGTATTATAATCCCAGAAGAAACTTATTTCATCAGCACCATCAGTACCACAGAATTCATTGAAATCATAATTTTCAACTCTTTGTTCCATTATATCGATATATTGATCGATTTGACATCCAAATCCTGGACCATTAGCACATTGTTCTAATGGTAAAACTGCATCATTTAAGATCCATCTAACATAAGTTTCATTATTCATAGCATATTTTTCTAAGATTAATCTGGTGGATTGTGGAATAATAACACTCTTACTGAAAGTTTTTCTGAATAATAATTTATCTTTTGGTAATACTGGATCATCAAAGAAACCTAAACTGGAATAATAAGTAACAATATCATCATCATGAGTGAAAGATAACCATATTTTATTATCAGATTCTTCTTTTAATAATTCCAATTGAGCTTTGGTATAGACTGAACCAATGGCTCTGGTATAATTATTACCAGCACCATAATTATAATATAAATCTAAATCATCACTATATTCAGATTTGATTAATTCATCAATGGAGAAGATTGAACAAATAGTAGCTTTACCTTCAACATTGATTTCATAAGCACAAGCAGCAAATAAGGCTTCAACATCATCAGCAGTAAGATTAGCATTTGGATTATCATTCATTAATCTTTCAGTAACTTCATCGTAAAATTGATCAAATTCAAATTTACCACCATCTCCATAAGTATTATAATCATCACAACCTTTTTTTGGAGTTAAAGAATTACCTCCCATTGAAGCATCTTCACTAATAATGTTAAGTTTAACATTTTCAGCTCCAAATCCTGCAATAAAATTTAATGCAGTATCATGAACTCTTTGAGATCCTGAAGTGAAAACTGGTAATTCTAATTCTGGATTATATAAGGAAGCATATTTTTCTCTGAAAACAGCACCATTTCTTTTAGCACTTAATTCTCCACTATATATGTTACCATTAGTATTATTAGCAGTAGTTTCTAATCCATATTGACTAGCATCAGTAACAAAGTATTTATAGTCTTGTAAAGCAGCTAAAGATCCATTCAATTGAAGACCATCTAATTTATCAATAGCAGTTTTATAACTCGCACCTGATCCTTTAGTAGGGAATCTTTCACCATGTCTACCAATATATTGAACTTGTAATAATTCAGCTTCTTCAGGTAAATCGGGCCAGATTCCGTATCCGGGGAATTGTTTATATGGAGCAGCACCTCCAAGTTGACCAACAACATTAAATTGTTCGATTGATGCTAATTGAGGTGTAGCAACAGTATCGAATTGTTCTCCAACAATTCCGAATAATAATCCATTCAAGAAACTAGTAGCCTTCATGATAATAGGGGGGTATTTGGCGATGATGTTGAATTATATACTTTTGACGGGGTGTCAAAGTCAAAGCACATCGGTTATATTTACCACGTTGAGGTTCAACGGATTACTTCAAATGGTTAAATGGAATGCGTAAACGGCTGCAAAACAAAACGTTTCTCAACGTTTTTCAACGTTTTAAATTACACCGGCATAGTCTATCCACCAATCCATGAAAGTACGAGATGAATAGGAGATGAATAGGGGTTTATTGTATTCGTCGATGAAAGTAAATTTTCGATCAATGGAATTGAATCTTTTTTAGACAAAAAAATAAGATCGTGAGGAGGTGGGGGCTATTGTCTAAGAGATTTTTGAACGAAAAACTTTTATTGTCTACTCTAATTAAGCTACAATTCTAGGTGGGACGAATTTATAATCTTTATTACCTTCGTAATCCCAATAGAAGGTTAAATCTTGGGGTAAAGTGGCGTTTGGAGCACATCTATCTTCTAAATCGAATCCATCAAATCTATCAGCGACATAATCTTCGAAATCAGATAATTTACAACTAAATCCTGGACCATCACTACATCCTGGAATTGGAGTAACAGCATCATTAACAATGTATCTAATGTAACTTTCACCATCGGCTTCATATTTGAATTTTTCAGTAACTAATCTTGCAGCCATTGGGATACTATCAATGTGATGATAAGCATCTTGGAAAACCATATGGGTATTTGGCATTGGTTTAATGGTATCAAATAATCCAATAGCTGAATGGTATAATTCTAAATCGGTATCATGACTGAATGATAACCAAATTTTATTTTCATTGGTATCATCTTTTAATAAAGCTAATGAAGCATTTAATTGAACCCAACCAACATCTTTTGAATGGACATTACCTGGACCTTCATAATAATAAAACATTAAATCTTTAACATAGGAGTATTCAACAAATTCATCTTGAGTAAATAATGAACAGAATTGAGAGAATCCCATAGCTGATGTTTCATATCCACAAATATCAAATAATGTTGGAATATCACTGACAGTTAAGTTTAATCCTGGATTACTTTCAGTTAATCTTTCAACAATACGTTTTTGGAAATCATTAGGATAAGCACTATAATAAGTGACGTTATCTTTAGGATCAAAATTTAAACATCCCCATCTTGGAGTTAAAGTATTGAAACCTTGAGTTGAATTTTCACTAATAACATTAATATCAACATTATCATCAGTATAATTTTCACCTAAGAAACCTTGAGCGAAGAATTTGGAAGTTTGCCAAACTCTTTGTGAAGCAGCAGAAAATACTGGTAATGGTTTGGAATCATCATATAATTCATTATATTTAGATCTAAAACTACTACCAGCTCTAATACCAGTATCTTGACCATTATAAGGACCTTTAGAATTAGCAGGTGTAGTTTCATATTCATATAAGGCTTGGTCAGGTACAAACCATTCATAATCATTTAAGAATGATAATGGACCTTCAATTGATTGGTTATAAGCTTGTAATTTATTAACAACAGCTTCATAACCTAAACCTCCTGATAATCCTGGGAATCTTTCCCCATGTCTCATATATAATTGAACTTGTTCTAAAGTACAATTATCAGGAATTGAAGGATCTATACCAAATCCACTGAATTGAATATATGGACCATTACCATATAAATATTTATTCAAATTATATTGTTCAGTGGCTGCTAAATCAGGATTAGCTACAGTTCTCCAAATATTTGAAGGTAAATTTAATAATCCTCCGTAAATGACTTTTTGAATTGATACCATTATTTATGTCAATTGCGTCAAATTCTATGTCAATTTTATGTCAATTTATATATTTTCAATCAATTGCAATCATTCCCTTTATGGAACTGTTAATAGGATGTGTATAAACCATCCACCTGGAACACAACGTTGTCGCATTTGAAAGTGCGGATTGTTCAATCTCGTAAAGCCGTGGGGGTGTTGAGCGGAAAGTATGTTGTGTTACCCGTATAGGGGGAAGTTAATTAAGAGGGGACCTAAAAGAGTAATTGATATGATGACTTAAATTAGCTACTATGGTTTGAAAAATTCCGATTCCGGTGGTTTTGGGGCGTCCATTTACTTCTTCTTCCCTTTAGCTTTAGGTTTAGCCTTTCCTTTTGCTCCTTTAGAAGCTCCTCCTTTTGAAGCTCCACCTTTAGCATCAGAGGGGATTACTACTTTTAACTTAGATAATGGTAATGTTGGGAGAATATCATTATTTTTCAATTGCTTGATGAATTCTCTTTCATTTGCCCAATCACTTTCACTCTCATCTTTATTACCAATCTTCCTATTATTGAAATAAGTCAACATTTCGTCGATACTCTTTCCTTTTTTATTATTCCCAGGTTGAATTTTGACTTTGTATTTGAATTTAGATAAGGAGAAATATGGACCAAAAACTGGTACAACGTTGACTAAAGTATCATTGGCTGATGGTTTGGATAAAAGACAATCAAGATCTTCTAAGAAATTGAATTCCTCGTTACTAGGATTCAATAAATACTTTCTAACTTCTTTTTCATCTTGTTTCTTCTTTTTAGCTAAGAACTTGTCTCTTGATTCAAATTGGGATGTTGGTTCTGGTTTAGCGTTCTGTTCTTCTTCATATTGTTGCTTTTGCTTCAAAGTTCCTAAAGCTTCCATGGCCATCAACTTATCTTCTTCATCCTGATCACCATACTTCTTGGCCATTTTCTTCAATTTGGATTTTTTACCTCTCTTGACAATATTCAATTTGGACAAGTCTTTAGTTATTGAATCAGTGGATCCAGAATCTTCTTGTTGGCGTTGTTCTACTTCACCTTCGTCTTCTTCTTCAGCCTTGGTTGGTTTTTCTACTTCATCTCCTTCCTTTTCAGCTTTTTCTTGTTCCAAAATCTTTTGTCTGATAACTGAATCATCAATATCAGCTTTTTTGTTATCTAATACAACTTTCAATCCAATATCTTCTTCTCTTTTCACTCTCTTTTCTCTTCTACGTTTGACAACATCTTCGTCACCAACAAAATAGAATCCTAATCCCATCATTAATTGTACAGGTGGCATATGGTCTTTTTTACCAAAATTGAATCTACCAACTGATAATAGACTTCCATCGACGTCTTTTTTGGATACTTGGTTTCCAGGTAAGACCCATGCTGAACTTGAAGATTTGTTAGTCCAAGAAACTGATGAACTCAATGCAAACATTCCTGCTTGCCATAAGGTTGATGGAGGTACGGACTCTCCTTTATAGGGGTTCTTAATAAATACTTTGAATGCTCCTTCAATATCGGAACTAACAAACCAATCATTATCGTTGAAATAACGATAATAGATCATATCAGTTTGAAGATCATCTCTACCTGAAAGACATAAATAACCATCAGTAGTGATAAACCAGTAAAATTTCTCGAACCAGAACTTATCTCTAATCAACGATAAGGATTCAGATTCTTTGGCTAATGATCGTTTCAAATCTTGGGCTATCTTACGTTGAGCATTCTCTAATGCCAAACCTGTGTTTTTCTCTACTTTGGCCTGTTTGGTTTCAGCAGTTTTTTTAGAGTCAAAGTAAAGTTTAGCATTGGCGTAAGGTGATTGAGTGATGTCTATCCATACTGAAAGGGTTTGCTTCTTAGGTTTTGTCTTTTTGGATTTGGCTCTACTATCATTGTCACTATCAGAATCGCTATCACTATCACTATCAGAATCACTATCACTGTCAGAATCACTTTCGCTGTCACTACTTGATTCACTATCACTATCTGAATCACTGTCTTCGACCATTGGTTCGAAACTATCGTCATCTGGTAAACTTAATCTAATCTTGTTTTCCAATAACTTCAATGGTAATTGAATAACCTCGGCAATAGGATTCCCATTCTTCTTCTCCAAATCAATATAACTTTCGATATTCTTCCAATCCATTGATTGATCGATCAAGGTCTTCACCGACTCAACACACAGCTTAACTAAATCAGCATGGAAAATGATGGCATCACCTCTTTTAATGTTCAACTCAGCTTCACGTTGTAAGTTTTCGATCTGTTTGGTTCTTTCATTCTTAGCGTGATTCAATCTTTTCTCTGCTGCTGCCTTTTGTTGTTCGATCTTCAATTCATTCTTCTTGGATTCTATGTGGGAATAAAATTTATCTAAGGCTTTATTATAAGATCCTTCAATCTTCTCTATTTTGAAATCTCCGGGTTTGTACGGCTCAAAAGGATGATAATCTTCATATAAGAATTTTAAGTCTTCAGGGGTTTCATCGTTGGCATTGGGGTTCTTCTTGGTGACGATATAACCTGAGGTGGGTGAAGAAATGAATTTAACATAGGTATCTTCACATTGATTCAATGCAACAATGATGTTAGACAAATCTTCATCATCAAATTGATCCAACTGTTTCGTGGTATCAACTTTCCTCTCCACCAAATTCTTCAAGATGAGTTCTGATGATAAATGACTAATCTTACTGAACAATAATTTTTGAATACTGTAATTTTTATTTCTCTTACTGGTACTTGCTGCTTTCTCCTTTTGTTGGTCGATCCAAAGTTTCACATCATCTTCACTGTATTGTCTAGGTTGATATTCTTGAGGTTGGAACAAAGTATCATCGAATTTATGATAAATCTCATTGACAGCATACTTATCAACCTTTTCATCATTGACGGTTCTTTGTAAAATCATGATTCTTTTATTCTCATCCAAAAGAAGAATGTTACCGGCACTGAAGAATTCGAAAACAAGGTAGAACATCCCATCGCTGAATTGTAAAACTAAAGTTCTATCATTGCCAATTTGTTTGATGGCACTCAATCTTCTAGTTTTCAAATGTTTCCTCAATTTGGTGACAAATCCCGAAGGAGTTGGTTCTGTAGGACGCTCAAAGTCTGTTAAATGCACATGATTCCCATACTCTACCACCATTATATGTTTGGAGTCAGGAATACTGAATTTCAATAAGAATTGTCTCGATGAATGTAAAACATTGTAAATGTTTTGAAGTCTATAATTTACAAGACTTTGAAACTCTGACGTTAAGATCAGAAGATCAAGGTTAGTAATTCTTTGCTAGAACGTTAGTATCAATGCTTTTTCTCCCATTCAATTCAGTCATAAATGAAGGTATTCACGACAGATCAAACCACATACTTTCATTGAAAATTCTCTTTGGTCGCGCGAGCTTTAGTACCAATACCCGCCATGGACCGCGCAACTTAGTGAGATTTTGGTAGGAATTGGTGTCATTTCGCATCTTAAGTTTGCTCATGACAGATTTAAAGACATTAGTTGATTTGATCAAACAGAAAAAGAAGGTAACATTCTTTCAGGGAGCTGGGATCTCTACAGGCGCAGGAATTCCTGATTTCAGATCTCCTAAAACTGGGCTTTATTCCAATTTAAAGAAATTGAATTTACCTTACGCTGAAGCAGTGTTTGATATCGATTATTTCAGGAAAAATCCTAAAGCTTTCTATACTTTAGCTGAAGAATTGTATCCTGGGAAATTCAATCCAACAGACTTTCATTATTTCATAAGGATCTTACAGGATAAAGGTTTATTACAGAGAGTTTACACACAAAATATCGATACCTTGGAAAGGATAGCGGGGGTAAAAGATGAATTTATAATTGAAGCTCACGGATCGTTTTCAGCTAATCATTGCATTGAATGTAAGCACGAAATGACTATATCTGAGATCAAACGAATTATGGGGGATAAAAAGATCCCTAAATGTGGGAAATGTAAAGGATTGGTTAAACCAGATATTGTCTTTTTCGGAGAAGCTTTACCAGTTAAGTTGTTCGATACTTGGGAGAAGGATTGCGACGAAGTTGAAATTGGTATTGTTGCTGGAACTTCTTTAACTGTTTATCCGTTTGCTTCTTTGCCCAGTGAATTAGGTCAAAATGTTACCAGAGTCTTGGTGAATAACGAGAAAGTTGGAGATTTTGATGATGATGATTTGATTTTCATAGATAACTGTGACTCCTTTGCTAGAAAAGTATGTAGAGAATTGGGTTGGGAAGATCTTTTATCTGGCTTAAAGAAGAGTGGTAAAGTTGAATTGGGAGATGAGATAGAAAAGATAACTGAAGAAATGAAAGACGTTTTGAGCGATGTTCCATCCGAAAAGGGTAATACAAAGCAAGAAGATAAAGTAGAAGATAAAGTAGAAGATAAAGTTGGTAAAGTTGATAAAGTTGCAGACCCAACTAAACCAGATACAATTAAACAAGAAGAGTCAGAGTCAAAATCAGAGGTAAAAGAACCGAGTCTCCTTGATAAACTTAAGAATTTATCCCTTTAATACATATAAAAATGCAAACTCTATGCCTGAACCATTTAACAATTACTTGTTAACTTATTTTTGGGGAATGTATAACCAGCTTTTTCCCAACTTGTTAAATTAACATTGTAATAAGCATTCAAATGTGCTTGAATATAGTCATTAGTTGGAGCATGGTCTGGGTCACATGTCATGGATTCTTTTCCTGGAGGTTGATAGATTCTAACATAATCTATTGACATTTCAGAAGGGAAAACAAGTGAAGCCCAATCAATATAAGCCCAATTATTTGAAACACCTAAATTCATAATGATTGACATTGGTTCTTTAGAAATTCTTCTCCAACCAATATTACCATTTGGTGATAAAGCTTTTGAATAAACTGTAAATGTTGGTTCTTCTCCAACATACCAAGTACAATAACCATCATCATCATCATTCAAATATTCATAAGCATAATTTTGGAACCTATGTTCTCCAGCACCTCTTTCATACCAAGTAGTGTTTAAAGTTGTAACAGCGGAAACAGCTTGTTGGAATGGACCACCAGCATAAGTGTTCATAGTTGTAACAGTTTGATTATAAATTTCCACGAAATCATAATTTGGCATATACCAAATATCATAAGGAGCAACTTGCATAGATTGTGAAGCAACCCCTACAGCTAAAGCTGAAGAAACCTCACCTTCTAATAAATCAATTTCTGGAGCACCTCTACCAGTACCAGCATTTGGATGATCTTCACCTCTACAAGTACAAACATTTAATTTTTGACCAGGTAAATAAGAAATCCCATCAGGAGATGATTGATTAGCAGTAATCCCAGCATCACAGGAATCATAAGTATATGGCCAAACACCTTCAGTTGAAGCCATATAACCTGGTCTACCTAAATTACCCATGGTCCATAAACCTGGCCATAAACCAGATACATTACCATAGTTAGGTAATTTAGCAGAAATTTCAATCAAACCTTCATTGAAACATAATTTATTCCAACTTTGAACCATACCGGAACGATAAAATAAATCATGATTCTTGTAAGCATCCATTCTCAAAATTAAAGTACCATTATCAGTAGTAACAGCATCAGGATCATACCATTCTAAATCTTGAGTGGCAGCATAATGGAAATCAGGAGCAGTGAAAAATTGATCATCACCATCATAAAAAGTTCTTCCAACAGCATTGAATTCATCGGAGAAAACTAAATTCCAAGTATCACCATTTCTTGATTTCTTTTTTAAAGCATCTTCAGGAGAATCTGGATCAATCAATGAAGTTCTTATGGCTGATAATAAAGGATATTTATAATTGGTTAAGATTTCATAACTTTCAGGAACATAATGTTCGGTTACCCCTGAATAAGTTAATACGGGTAAAACAATGAAAACACCTATAGCAGCAATAAATAATACCACAAACCCCAATAACCCACCTAAGGATCTTTTATCTAGATTCTTAAGATCATAAATGAATCTATTTTTATCATATTCCGCATCAGCTATAGGATCAGGATTATGTAAATAATCATCAGGTTCCTTTTCATCAATATGTAAAGGAAATGAAGATGCTGGATAACCACCAAAAGGTGAGAAATCTGTGGAGGCAACAAAAGGATTTGAAGATTTATTGGAGATTGATGAACCGTCTTCACTTTTTGAACCCGACATGCCGTTAGTTGCTAAACCAGGAGGTATATTAGAATTACCACTATTATTAGCACCATTAAAGAAATTTGATGATAATGATGTTGATGATACCACTCGTGAGCCTACTACCGAAGGATATCTATCATATTCTGATGGAACTTGAATATTATTATTAGATCCTGACCCACCTAAAAGACTTGCACTATTTCTATTACCAACAGTGTTTAAATTATTATAACTAGAATCCCTATTTAATAAACTTTGATTTATCATGTTATCATTAGAACGATTCTCTTTATTTAATAAATGTGAAGTGGTTTCATTATTACTATAATATCCATTATAAGCATTAAATGGACGACCATATTGAAATTGATCATCATCAGATTGGCTAGAACTTTGGTGATTTGAAACGAAAGAATCAGAACTTTGTTCTTCTATTGGATTTATGAAGGGATTCTCTTGATTGTCATTATCACCTTCAGGATAATTAGATGTTAGATTTCTATGGGACATCACACTAGTTGATGAGTTTTTTTTAGAATGTTGTTTTGAAGTACCGTTCCTCAGTGCGAAAATTTTGATTTGCATATACAGGATGGTATAGCCACTTAGATTTCTACCAATTTAGTACTAAGTTTAGCGCCCTGTTAGTGGTGGATTACTACCGTGTAATAAAGGATTTTACCTGTTAACTTGGCGACGTTGTTTATTATGGTTTTTAAAAATGAGATTTCATGGTGTAAAGAGTTTGTTTGATGGAATTATTTGGTACCTGAAATATCTTACAGCAATTAGACTACTAAGGGTTTTCAAATGATTTTCACCGGTATAGATAGAACTAACCATTAAGAGTTGATGATTCAAGTTCATAAAGCTGAAAATATTATGGTGGTGGAGATTCCCATTTGAAATTATAGCCAAGTAAGCCAAGGTTCACTGGAGGGGCTTATAAGTTGATTGAGCAATCTTGAAACACGCGATGATTTGGGCCGAAACCTAATACCACGGTGGAACCATTTTTTTGTGCCAACGTCAGTATGCGAGCCCTTATCAGACTTATTTTTAGTACCGAGACCTCCATAAAATCATATATATTTATTCCTAACTAATCAACATAACAAATTTCTTGAAAATGTTAGCTTTCTTGAATCTTTCCTTTTCTTCTTCCCTTTCTAATGCCATGACTTCACTATCAAATAATGCTCTATCTTGATTTACATCTATTTCTTCTAAAGGTATCAACCATCTCCAATTTCTAGTCCATAATTTATGACCTCCGTATAACACTAAAAGAACAACACCTCCAAGATAATTTTGAAAGAATGAATTAGCATCAGGTTCAGATCCTGGGAATAAAGCAACCCAGAATTGAGCTATTAACATTAAAATATTAATAATGATGGAAATATATGATCCCCAAATACCTGTTGGTGAAACGTAACCCAATTCTGTTAATGGGATTCCCTTTAATTTCAATGCATATCTAAATCTAACATGACAGTAACAAATAGCTGGCCAAACAAATAAGAAACAAATACCTGAAATTGATAATAACCAATTGAAAACAGTTTCTTGTTTTTCATAAGTAGCTATGAAACAAAAGAATGATGCAACAATAGTAGCATACCATCCATATAAAGGTCTACCGGTTTTATCGACATAAGTGAAAATTTTTGGTGCCATACCTTGTTCAGCTAATGATAATAATAATCTTGGTGATGAATACATAGCAGCGGTTGCTACTGAAGTAACAGATATCAAGATGACAGCATTAACAATTGATGATAATGCATGACTACCATAAGTTTCAGCGGCAATGACAAAAGGTGAAGCATGAGTGGCTGAACCTCCTGAACCTAATAATTGATCTGAAGTATAAGGAACTAATAAACCAACAAATAATAAAGAACCCATGAAGAAGATGATAACACGAAGAATAATCAATTTACAAGCAGATTTCATAGCACCTCTTGGGTTTGCTTGATCAGCTACACTTAAAGCAACGAATTCTGAACCTCCAAAAGAGAAAGCTGATGCACAGAAAACAGTACATAACCCTTTGAATGAGGTATAACTACCAGGATCTCTCCAGTATCTACCACCAACGAATCCATGTTTAGTACCACCTAAATCAGCTACTAATCCAAAAATTATGAATCCAGTTAACATAAGTAATTTAGTAGTATTCATAACAAATTCAGCTTCAGCATAACCTCTAGCACCACATAAATTAATAGCTACCACTACAACTAAGAAGATAGCAACGAAAACATCAGAATTAATAGAAGTGTTCCAATATTTAATAGTCATAGATGCAGTGACTAATTCTAAAGAAACAACTGATGCCCATTGAATTAAATATAACCATCCTAAAGCAAAAGCTGCACTAGGACAAATGAATTTCTTATAATAACTTTGGAATCCCCCTGGTAAAGTTGGATAAGCTACTGATAATTCCCCAGCAGAGAAAATGGTTGGTTGCAACATAAGAACCCCCACAATAAAATATGCTACTAATAAAAATAAAGGTCCAGCAGTACGTAATTTACCTCCAGAACCAACTAATAACCCAGTACCTAAACCTGTAGCTAAAGAGATTAATCTTAAATGTCTCTTTGACATTGGTCCAGCAGGTTTTAAATCATTAGGATCAGCTTGTTTAAAAGAATCTTTAAACTTGTTCCATCCTGTTAATTCAGTCTTCTCATTTTGGAATACTTCAAAAGTTTCATCAGATTTACTTTGATATATTTTACCACCTTTTGATGGTTGTGCTTCCATAGATGATGAACCTTCACTCATTTATGATTATAAATCAATAATTGAAATTTCCTGATTACTCAAAATCTTCTCTTTAAACGTACCTCCTCCGGTATAAATACGTTCCAGTGCTATGCCTACCGGAGTAATGACAATATTTTGCAACAAAACCCGACATATATTTCCTTCAAAATGCTTTGTGCAGGACGTTTCTGCTGCATATAATAATTAAGTAGAAACCTTTAACGATGGATTTCCTTTAACGTAATATAACTCACCGTAACCGGAGGGAATAGGAGATTTAGTGGTTGGATAAGGAGTTCTGGTTATCATTAGTGGCATTTTAAATATGGGGTGAGCCAATATGACAGCCTTTCTCCAAATGCTGATCCTGTCAAAATTTGCGCTTTGAGATGACATAAATCCTAAATGTCCTGTCACGTTCAGAGATGGCCCCCTTTACCAAAATCCGTCGATAACCTCAATAATGTGACGGATATTTATTTTTTCGAAGATACTGGAACAAGAAGAAATACTTGAAAACTACTGGTGGGCTTTGAAAAGAAGATAGGATAGTTCGGTCTGACGAAATATAATTGGTATCAGATAATAGATAAGCAGATATTTCTGTCGGATATCAAAGACCGGCAATACATCATTTGAGCCAATACCTAATTGAGCAATTACGTTATTATTAAACTTCTGTCAAAATCCACGAAATTCATCATAGATGATTTATGAAACGAACTGTGGTCATGTGATGAGTCAGGTGATTTTCGCGTGGTCTGATTAGTAAAAAAACCTTTCGATGAGAAATTTTCAACGTTAGACATTTACTATTCAAACGGGTTACCCCAACATCCATCAAATACTTATAAATTACCAAATTAATCAACAAATACTCACCCATCAATCATCTTTTATCGTTAATTAAAGAATCCGATGGTTCAAGTGTTCAAGAATAATTTTAATTATGATCACGATTTCAAAGTAGTTAGTTTAGCTTATCTTAATCGATATCCCAATCCTTATGCTAAGCATGTTTTAAGTATTGATACTATTGAAAACTTCATTGATAATGATGGGAATTTGCATATTACCAAGTTAATGGTCAAAACTGGTAGATTACCTAGTTTCATAAAACCATTCTTGGGATCCAATTTGAATAGTTGGATTATTGAAAAAACTATTATAAACCCCCATACTAGTAAATTAGTAACTTATTCAGCCAATATCGATCACAGAAGATTTATCAAAGTGGAAGAGTACATTACGTACCGTAAGTTGTCTGACGGGGTTACAAATGTCAATAACAAAGTATTATTTTCCTCGAATTTCATTGGTTTCAAACAAAGAATCGAGGAATGGAGTAGAAACAAATTCACTTCCAATATAGAGAAATCCAAAGATGGATTAAGTTATGTCATGAATGAGTTGAAGAAGTTAAAAACGTAAATGGGTTGTTAGATCAGATATATCGGTCGTAGTTATACCTTTCAATAACTGGTGGGTTCAAAGAAAAATGACATGAGGTATTGTCATATCAACAGCTTTACCACCACCCATACTATTTATACAACTGTATATAGATAATGAATTATGAATCATGAGACGAGCGCTCCCTTATCCTGAGAAAATTATGGCTCAGAAAATCATGGGGGAATCACCTAAAACTAGAAGACGGACCAATTCTAAATCAGAGAAAAAGAGACCATCATTCTCTAACAATACCTCACCATGGGTTAGAAGAAACTCATTTCTATCCAATGCCATGATACAAAGTGAGAATATCTCGGTTTATGAATCACCTAACTATTATCACGATTGCTCAAGTTATAACATTATATCATTAAAAGAGTGTCAAGGATTCATTTTTAACCAAGATTTATTTGCATCACCATACCAACAATCCAAGAGCTTAGCCAATGAGAAAAAATATAGAAGTAGTTTTAGTCATAAACCTAAATCGAGGACCAACTCCTTAAGACGTCATACTTCGGTTAATATGGACTTACCCAATTTTAACAGTTCAATTTTACAAGGTAATGCTATAGATGATGAAGATAGTGACCATCATACTCCTAATAATACCAGTCTACCCTTAGATTCTGTAAACCAGACGATTGATCAATTTGAAAATACCACTGTGGATATCTCATTATCCGATAACGAAATGCAAGAATATGAAGAATCTAATGACTCTTATAAAGTGAGAGTTACTGAGATAATTGTTAATGAAAATGATGACTTCTTTAAATAGGAATAATATGTTAGAATAAGGTGTTTTCGCTCCTCCCATCTGTCTATGATCAGGTCAATGCTTCTCACCCTCTCACACCCTAAAAGTGGTCTTCTCTCACGCACGAAAAAAATCAATGAATCAAGAGTTTGAAAAAGCTTCATTGAGCTTTTCAAAAGCCCAGAATGAATTGAATGACTTGATTTCCACTAGACAACAACTAGAAACTCAATATCAAGAGAACAAGATTGTTTTGGATGAATTTTCCTACTTAAATGAAGATAGTAAGATCTTCAAATTGACAGGTCCAGTTTTATTACCACAAGATTATAGTGAAGCAAAGATCAATGTTGAAAAGAGAATAGAGTTTATCCAAGAAGAAATTAAGAGAGCAGAAACCAAAATTCAAGGCCAACAGAAGATAATTGAAGAGTCTAGAAACACTTTAATGGATATAAGGCAAAAAATGAGTAATTAATATATACAGATATTTAAGGTACTGGCTAATGCTATTGGTAATTGAAGGTGGTGTCTTTGTGGATGTTGACTCCATGAAGGCTACCGTTATTACTAGAATGTCCACCTAACCTCTTAATAGTTGGGATTTGATCAAATTGGCCAAACCTATGGAATTGAAAAATAACCATTGTTCAGTATTCTCATACCCAGTTCCCAACAATTTGACTCCTTCTACTTGATCTTCAACAAACTTCTTAGTATTTGTATAATTCTTAGAAGTATCTGATAACATATATAACTCTGAGGCTACATATACTGAAGAAAAACTGAATCTTTTAGAATACCATGCAAAATCATTAGATTCATCACCACTATAGAATGCTATATCATCCCCAAGATTATGTAATTCGGTTAATGAATGACTTAAATTGTATGGAACCATCAAATGAGAAATCCCTTCAGATAATTTATTCATAATTGGAACATTTAACTCGAGTCTTTTGTTAATGAGAAACTTAACTCTATCATATTCACTTAAAGTTTGAAATTTTTCATCTTCAATTGATTTGGCCATATTTTCTCTTTGTGTCTTCAACCAATGAATCATCAATTGTAATTCTAAAGAATTACCTTGGAAAGATGTGGTTAATACTGACATTATAGAATCAGGATACTTTAAATCTTTGATAGCTTGAGTAATACAAGAATCTTTAAATCCATACTTTGGAATGAATTCTAAGGATTTACTAAGAATCTTATGTTCCAAAATATCTGGGTTGATGATTCTATTGGACACCAAATGGTGTTGAGAATGATAAAACCGTATAGGCAATCTATTAAATCTGATACTCTTCATGATAATTTTCATCGCGAATTGATGGCAACATGTTAGTATGTAGAATGGGGTGATAAATTCAATTGAGTTACTAACTTTTAGATTAAACCGTGGAATGAAGGAACTGCACCACGTCATTTCTTTGAAGATGATACTGAAAATGTTGAAATACCCGAAATTATAGTCCCTGAAGTATCTGGAGATTCAATATTAATCATTCCTAGTTCTTTAAAGATTTTGGGTGATTTTGAAAAGAAAGAAGTAGGGGAAATTGTCATAAAGTATAAACAAGTTGAAGAACTTGATGTTAAGGATTATGATGAAGATGAACAATTATATAATGCCATGAAGTCAGTGAAATATCCTAATTATAATATCCCAATTTATAAATTCAATGGCAATATCGTTATTATAATTCCACATATTTCCAACACTATTGTGATAAATAAGTTATCTGAAGCTTTAGTAAGTTTGAAATTCGAAAATTGGATCACTTTATCTCCTTCAAACATTCCTCTAAGCTTAAATAAAGTTGGGACCATGGATTTTAACGTCCCTCCAATGAAACCTCCACATTTCATAACAGGAATATCAGCATCTATAAATTCCAACTTATACAAGAAAGGTAAGAAGTTTGTAGGATTGGTTTTAAGAGGTGAAGGACAACCAGGTTTTGAAATTATCGATGGTGATGCTATGGTTGATGTAGCTTATATCTTAGAATCTCACTTCAAAATTGATTTGGTTAAACATGTCAGTGCCAAAGTCAGAAAATTTACCTACTCCGGTATGTATATATAATATAAAGACTCTATATGATTACGATGATGAATTTCTCATTGATAAGAAACAGTTCCAAAGAACTGAAATGGACGAACTGAATGGAACTTGGAAATCTCTCGGTACAAGAAGGAAATTAATGAATTGAACAGGAAACCACACAGAATAATTGATCAAAAGTGTCTTTAAGTAAATTCTACTCAACTTATCTTTAGTGTCTTCCCAACTACCTTTTTCGAGTACCATTGTCCCATAAGTGAAGAATGCAAGAAGTGATAAAGGTGAATAACACAATTGATCTGTCAAGACTTTCCTTAACACTTCAATGAATTTGGGATCAGTGGAATATATTTGTAAGAATTTATACCATAAGCATTGACAGAAGGCCATAACGAACCCCCAGATCATGAATCCTGCTAATCTATCAAATTGGAAAAACGTCAATTCCGCCATAGGCACATCGTCATCAACTACAAATGGTCTTATACCCATGTCATTCTCTTCTCTCTCAATATAGTCTATAAATTCATTGATATCCTGTTCATTTCTTAAATCAGGTTCCTCATCCGCTGTCAATGATAATTCCGGTGATCTAACATTTACCCTTAGTGTCACAAAGGGTTCATTGGGCTTATAACAGATCAATGTCTGGGCCAATGTCTCACTAATACCAAAAAGTACTAAATTGGTTACTATGATAGTGATTAGGGAATTCTTGATATAAAGCTCGGTATACTTTGTCGTAAGTTTTAGAAGAAACGACCCAAGAATCCAGATAATGCAGAAATTGATAAGGGGGATATTCCGTATCCTTATACAATTCAAGACCTTCGTGAATACAGATTTCTCTTGATCTGTTTCAAGCTCGATAGTCATTAATGCGAAACTAGTTTTAGCTTATCGCAGGATAGTAAAGAGAATATTAGCCTGGTCAATTTTGGTCTAAATTAGTTCTGAAGTATATCCTTGTAATACAGTGAATATCAGAATACCCAAGGAGTTTTTCAAATTTGTTAAATAGTCTTTTTGAGTGAATTCCCTATAACTTCCTCAAAATCCAACTTCTGACTCCTAAATTTCATCTACTATCCCTCCATCCTCTTCTAGGTCATCTCTGTCTGTTAATCCACCAACTCCCCTAACAAAGTTTCCCAGAAACTTCTTATCCCAATTCTGATAGGCGCACACCGAAAAGTTTTCCAATCAAATTTTGAGAATTGAGAATTATTCAAGAACCAAGATGTCATATTCCAAACAATATGAACCAGTTAGAGGTGAACCACCACAATCCGATTACGAGATAATCGACGTTGATCCACATTTCAACAGAGTGGTGTCATATTTCAGACCAGCAGATTATGCTGTATGGGGTTTAACTGCCGCTGCATTCCCCATCAGTTTACAAGTTTGGGAAAGATTAGAACCAATGAACGGATCATTTAAACCACCAACTAAAATCCCAGGTGGTACCTTAAGAGCCGCCACCTTATTAGGATTCATAGGGGGATTCTATTTATCTTATGTTAATTCATCAAAAAGATTTTTGGGATGGTCAGAAAATGCCAGAGAAGTTAAAAAGGATAGATATGAAATCAAAAAGTTATTATCTGAAGAAAAGTTACCATATCACGAAAATGAAAGTAAATTGGATGACAGATTAAAAGATATTGCCAATAGAAATTCCCAATACTCATTCACAATGTTATCAGTATTACCGTGGTTTAACTTTGCTCATCATCCTTACCATGGAGTTAATATCGAGAAATATTATGAAACTAGACCGGGTGAAGAAGAATGGGGGTTCAAATTGAAACCTTACGATGAAATTAAAGCTAAATACTATAAATAGGGTAATAAATGCATTTGAAGAAAAATTTGAATGGGCCAAGTGGATGGATTATAATGTCTATTCACTTAGTGTTCCTCTAACATCAATCTATGCTCAATGGCTCACCAAACTCCCCCATCGAGCTCGCTTCACTTTCGCTCATCACACTGTAAGTCCCCCACCTCTTCACAAATCTCAACCGCGAATTTTATAAACAAACATGGATCCACAAGAACAAGACTTTACTGGTCTTTCCATCGAAGAACGTCTTGGTCATAAGGTTTGGAAGGCCAGGTTATCAGCTTATGAGGAATTGATCAAAGAATTTGAGACTTCTCCCTCTGAAGATGATGAGATTTTCACAAGATTCGATGTAAACACAGTCAAATCGTTTACTATTGATCTGAATGTTGTAGCACAAGAAACCGGGATTTTATGTGTAAGCAAATACTTGGAGTTCGGTCCTACGAATAATGCAGTAAGGCTACAAAAATCAGGAGTAGTTTCTTCATTGTGTGAAAAAGGTTTATCATCTTCAAGAGCTGGAACTAAGACCAAAACCAATGAATGTTTGATGTTATTAATCGAAAGAGTCGACGGAAATCAAGTTGTTCAAGATATGATGCCTTTTTTCAAACACAGATTACCTAAGTTGGTTTCTGGTGTAGTGAATTCCATATATCAAATAATTGATAATTTTGGATGTAAAATCATTAATCCTAATCCTATAATTGAATATTTACCAGGATTATTCAGTCATGCCGATAGAAATGTTAGAAATGAAGCCACAAATTTGACATTGGAAATTTACAAATGGTTAAGAGATGGTTTAAAAACGGTCTTACTAGACGATTTGAAACCAATTCAGAAGAAAGATTTAGAAAAAGCCTTTGATAAAGTAGCTGATGAAATTCCCAAACAAAAAAGATTATTGAAATCTCAAAAGGAAGTGGAAGAAGAAGCACCAACTGAAGATGTTGAAATGGAAGATACTGAAGTTAAACCTGACTTTGATCCTTATGATCTTTTACAACCAACGGATGTTTTAAATCAAATTCCAGGAGATTTCCAACAAAGAATTAGCAACCCCGTATGGAAGGAAAGAAAGGAAGTTTTAGAAGAAGTTCACGCTATCCTTAGTAAAGCTAGTAAATTAAATCCACAAGACGATTATTTGGATATAATGAGAATTTTCACCAAATGTATGAAAGATGCTAACATGCAAGTTGTACAGTTGGCCTCTGAATGTACAGCCTTTTTGGCCATTGGGTTAAGAAAAGGATTCAAAAAGTATTATTCCATGATTTTGGTACCTATGCTTGAAAGGAATAAGGAAAAGAAACCTTCATTCACTGAAGCTATTAATAAGTCTTTGGATACTATTTTTAAAGCCACTTCTTTGAGTGATGTCTTAGAAGGTGTTTTATCAACTATGACCCATAAAACCCCAGCTATTAAGATAGCTGCTATCGATTACTTGACCAGGTGTTTAAGTGATAGTGATGTTGCTCCTAATAATAATGAAATTGAATCCATAATGGGAGTATCAGTAAAATTGTTGAGTGAATCTCAAGAGCCTATAAGACAAGCTGCTAGTCAACTTATCGGTACATTGATGAAAATTGTGGGAGAAAGACAATTAATCAGATACTTGGAAAAAGTTGATGATAATAGAAGGAAAAAAATCAATAAATTCTTCGAAGAAGCTAATGTGAAAGCATCATCTAAAGGGTCAAATCCACCACCAAAATCTATAAAACCAATTCAATCCACAAAGATAGCTCCTCCTTCAACCATCCCAAGTAAAAGATTGGCAACTTCGCCTGCTAAGAGACCTGAAAAACCAAGTTTGAGAGGTCTTACCAGTAGAAACTTAACTACCAATGAATCTATACCCAAGTTTTCTCAACAGCCCCAACTTCAACCCAAGCCAGAAGTAGATAATTCCTTATTGAAAGAATTAGAAGAGTTGGAATCAAAGAATAAACAATTACAAGATTCCCACAAATTACAAATCAATGAAATTGAAAAATTAAAGAATGATAATTTATCGTTATCAAGGAAACTCCAGGAATCTCAAAGTAACTCCAACATCACCATTAATCAAAAAGATGCACAAATTTCTCGTTTGAACAACGATAAAGAGAATTTATTATTGAAGATCAAAGATTTAGAACAAACCATTGAAATAATGAAATTGAATAATGATGGACCTAAGATAAAAACTGAAAGAAATCTGGGAGATTTGAGTTTAAGAGTGAATAGATTATCTATCGGTAAAGACAATGATTTCAAAGAAAACATTGAGTATAAAAAAGAACCATCAGTCGATTTTGATAATGACGATAATTGGAAGAAAGCTCAAGAAATCACCAATCAATTAAGAGCAAGAATTGAAAAGATGAAAGCTAGATCCAGACCTAATTTCACGTAGATATTCAATTTCTCATGAAGATTTCCATTCTTTCACGTAGGTTTTCCCATTCTTTCCACCCCTGTCTATATTTTAATTACATTTAACTTAGAAATCAAAATCTCTTAAATTTTGCTCTTTGATTTTTGTGTAGCTTCGTGTTTTTACCGGTAGCGGAAAAGACTCATTGAGAATTTCAAAGTTGCAAACTTCACTATGAGTTTAAAGATATTAGTTCCTGTTAAAAGGGTGATTGATTTCGCTGTTAAGCCTATCATCAACAAGGCCCAAACCGGAGTTGAAACTAAAGGGGTTAAATTCAGTATGAATCCATTTTGTGATATTGCATTAGAAGAATCTTTAAAGATTAGAGAATCTAATAAAGGTTTGGTGGATGAAATTCATGCTGTTTCAATTGGTCCAACTAAAGCCCAAGATATTTTAAGAACTGCATTGGCCAAAGGTGCCGACACTTCAACTTTAGTTGATGTTGGAGATGAAGAAGTTGAACCATTAGCTGTTGCTAAAATTTTGAAAAAAATCGTTGAAAAGCAACAATCAAATTTAATTATCTTAGGTAAACAAGCCATTGATGATGATTCCAACCAAACTGGTCAAATGTTAGCTGGTTTATTAGGTTGGCCTCAAGCAACCAATGCTTCAAAAGTTGAAATCAATGGTGATGAAATCTCAGTCACCAGAGAAATTGATGGTGGTTCAGATACTTTAAAAGCTAAATTACCAATGATTATTACTACTGATTTAAGATTGAATGAACCAAGATATGTTAAATTGCCTAATATTATGAAAGCTAAGAAGAAACCTTTAGAAAAATTATCACCAAAAGATTTAGATATTGAGATTTCTAAAAGATTACAAACTTTAAAAGTTCAAGCTCCTCCAGAAAGACCTGCTGGTGTTAAGGTTGAATCTGTTGATGAATTGATTGAAAAATTAAAACAAGTCAAAGCTATTTAATCCTCCTCTTATAAATACGATAAATATATAAACCATTTTTTTTTCCTAACCTGGGGTAAAATTCTCACTATGAGTGTATTACAAAAATCTATTGATTTCTTGATACCTTTAATAAAACAAATTACCGGTCCGGTGGTTATAGGTATAAGTGGGCCTCAAGGAAGTGGTAAAACTACAGTATCTAGTAAATTGACTGATTATGTCAATGAAAACACTGATCTCCAAGCTATAACATTACTGTTGGATGATTTTTATTTAACCTATAATGATCAAATAAAATTAAATCAATTATGTGTGGATAAATATGATGGTAATAAGTTACTACAAGGTAGGGGATTACCTGGTACACATGACATTGACTTACTTACGGAAGTTCTTGAAAATTTCCTCAAGGGTATGGAATTTCATACTGTTGGCTACGATAAATCCTTACAAAATGGGAAAGGTGATAGAATTCCTGAAGCTAAAACTTTTAATCCTCCAAAAGTTGATGTCATTTTCTTGGAAGGGTGGTTTTTGGGGTTTAAACCATTAGTCGATATCCCAAAATCAACCGATCCAATTGTTAATCAACATAAACCTCAACATTTGAAGTTAGTAGACGATTTCCTTATAAAGTATCAGAGGGCCTTTGGTTACTGTCAATACAGTGTTATAATTGAAACTCCTGACATAGATAATGTCTTCCAATGGAGATTACAACAAGAACATCAACTAATAAGAGAAAGAGGAATGGGTATGACCGATAATGAAGTGAAACTCTTTGTTGATAGATATATGCCGGTTTATAAGTTGTATTATCATGAGTTATGTAATTCTGGATTGAGTACTAAAGGCAATAATTTGGTTGTTAAGATAGATATCGATAGATCCGTTGTGGGTGCACAAATCATTTAGACCTTCTAAATCGAGGTATTTCATTAGGAGGAATAAGGATCCTATTCTGTGTTGGTGAATGTAAGGTCTCCTTTTCCTTATATAAAAATGTATCCTTATGTTCCATTCTGTCTTCTATGTGAGATAATTTCTTGTCTAAGGATTCTACCTTTTGCAATAGTTGTTGGTTTAAATGATTTGTAGATTCCACAGATTTCATACATTTATCCAATTTTTTTTGAACAGCCTCCAAACCTTTATTGGAAGTTTCAGAATGTTTCTTATCACTCAATTTCTTCATCTCTGCCCTAAATTCACCTAAAAGTTTAGTGAAATTGGTTTTCATAGTTAGAGATTCTATTTCAAGTTTTGCAACCCAACGATCAACATTTTCTGTTGAATCCCTCCTTTTCCTTTTCTTATTGCTCTCCAACTCCTCTTCAGCACTGTCATAATCGATAGACTGGCTTTGGTTGAATATTCCAAGTTGTTGCTTGAATTGTTGTAACAGTTGTTGATGGTTTACCGCCCACATCTTGCAGCCAAAATTTCGCGATCATCAACATGTCTAGCTTGAAAGACTTTCTTTACAGTATGTATAACCACCCTAAATAAAAACCCAAACTAATGATACTAACTATATAGAAAATGTCAGGGTAATATCGACAGATGGAAGATTGTTCCAAGGGAAACTTGAAGGATTCGATAATTCCACTAATATTGTCATTTCAGGATGTATTGAAATAATAGTTAAATCGTCAGATGAGGAATTCCAACAACTTGAGATGGGAATTTATCTTTTAAGAGGTACCAACATAGTGTGTATTGGAGAAATTGAAGGAGAAGTCGATTGGGAAAAGATTGAAGGTGATAAATTAAAAGGAACTAAGAACCCTTTATAGAGATGAGATCATGTAAATATGTATTATAGAATAAATTCAAAGTATTTGTCTATTCTTTTATGGTGGGAATACCATGCAATTTCATTTTGACAGCCAATTCCAATAAATAATCAATAGCTTCGTTATAAACTTTAGCTTTCCAAATGGTTTCACCCCAAACGTAAATTCCATGTCTTCTTACTAAGACAGCAGTGGCACCAGGATAATTTTTGATAGCTTCGTCTAATGTAGGTGTCAAATCTTCTTCATGGGGTACATTATCAATAATAGGTATGACTAAAGTTTCGAAGTTTTCTAAACTACCGATTTTTTCGACTTTACCAGTTGATTCATTTAATTTCAATTTTGGAATGGCTTTGATTTGCTCTATGTTATTAATGGTGAATTCTACTTTATCTTCCCATAATAAAGTACACATAACAGCATTTTGAGAATGAGTATGAATACATGCTCCAGCATCTCTGAATTTATAACAACTCAAGAATAATGGTGTACATGCCGATGGCTTATATTTGTAGTTTTTGGTCAATTGACTGTCAGTTTCATTGGGTGTACGTAAAACCTTTTCATCTGATAATTGAACAACAAACATTTCCCATGGTTGTAATTTCTCTTTTTGAATACCTGATGGGGCAATATATACTAAGTTTTTATCATTTTCATCTCTGATTGAAATTCCTCCTCCGGTTCCAGTAACCCAATCTTTATCATAAAAGAGTTTACATAACTCACAGATCAAGTTAGCTGGGTGGTTGGCATCATCTAGATCAAGATACTTATCATCTTTTACAAGGTCTTTGACATTCATTTCGCAACCTTCAACGTGGAAAATCCACAGTTTTTCACCTAAAATTTACCACCAGTTTTAGGCCCTGTTGTCAATGTTTTTTCAACCCATTCTCCCTAATATTAGGGCCCCATTAGAGAGAACGCTCTCCCTAATCTTAGGACTCCCCCTTTCACTAATTACAAGATCACAACTCAAGAGTAACATCGTAACTACCTATATTAAACTACATTGTATGCAAAATAAAATACATCTATCCTAATCTTTCTTCTTCTTTTCCTTTTTTTCCTTTTTTTTATCCTTTTTATCTTTCTTATCTTTCTTATCTTTCTTTGATTTCTTGGAGGATTTTTCTTCATCATCATCTCTCTTTCTCTTTTTATCTTTCTTTTCTTTCTTTTCCTTCTTTTCTTTCTTCTTTTCTTTCTTTTCTTCTTCTTCTTCTTCATCGGAATCTTCATCATCGGAATCTTCAGCTTTAGAAGTAGTTGGAGCATCAGCATCAACATTATAAGCTCTAGCTTCAGAAATTTCAACCTTTGGTTGTTCTTTTACTATTTTAGAAGAAGTTCTTAAATCTCTACCTTCTAAAGCACTTAATCTTGATTCAACTTTACCTCTAACTTCTAAACCAAAATCACCAGAATCATCTCTATCATCAGAAAGAGCATCATATCTTAAAGCAACTGAAGCTTTAGCAGCTAAAACTCTGGCAATTTTACCTTTATTTTTACCAGTAGCTTGACCAACTAATGAAGCATGATATAATAAACCATATTTTGGTGTATCATGTTTAGTTTTTAAAGCTCTAAATAAAGCTTTTTCAGCACCTAAAATTTGTAAAGTTGAAGCAGGAGCTTTAGCTAATGAAGTTAATGAACCAGCATGAGCAATTAATCTAGCACCAACTAATTCACCAACTAAAACAGTCAAATTTGGAGCAATAGCTTTCATTCTTGATGATAAATAATTTGATAATTGTTCTCTATAAGCAGAAAATTCAACAATTTGTTCGGCTAAAGCTCTAATATTAATTAAATCTAATTCAGTAATTTCAGTACCCATTGAAACTTCAGCAGCTGATTTAACTTGTTCTTCAATTTCTTCAGGTAAAATTTCAGATAAATCAGTATCTTGAGCATTTGATCTAACTCCCATAGTTAAAATAATTCTAGCATAAGCAACAGAATCAGTGATCATTTTAGCTAATTCAGGGAAATGCCATCCATACCATTCTTTACATCTCATGGCATAAGTGTTTAATTCTTTATCTAAATCATCTAATAATGCAATAGCTTGAACAATCATAGTATCAACTTTATCAGCAGAAAATTTTAATTTATGTCTACCAATTGAATGAGCTAAACCTAATGACATTTGATTTAAAGTGTTATCATTTAATCCTGGTAATAATTCAGGTAAATATTCTTTTATAGCTCTATGTAAATCCATTGAAGCAGCATCAGATATAACTTTAAATTCTAATCCTAATTTATTAATAGCATTAGCTAATTTAGTTTCAGAAACAATCAAGTTAACTTTTTTATCAGTTTTAACTTCACTCAATAATTTCTTTAAGTTATCTGATACTTTACCTTCAATAATAGCATTAGCTTCTTCTAAAGCATTAGCAGCACTTTGAAATTTTTCAAAACTTTCAATTTTGAATTGTTTTGATACTTTTTCAGCACTGTTTAAATCTTCAATTAAACTATCACTTTTATAGATCTTCTTATCACTGGCTTTTAATAAAGCATACCCAGCAGCAGTTTCAGCTAAAACGTATGACATGGTTTAATTGTATGTGTCTAGTTTTTTTCTTTGAGTGTTAGACTGAAAAAATTCTTTACCTCTGCTCGATGAGATTGAAAATTTTAGATATTGGTACGCCCGCGACCTTTTTGCATTCTTTTTGAGGGCTAACAGATTTACTGGTGTGTGTAACTTATCTACGCGTAATTGTGATACATTGAAATATTATGGAATATGGGAGTAATAAGAGGAAAAAACCTCTATCTCCTCAGTCCAATAGTAAGAGGAAACCTAGGAAGACAACATATTTTTTCAACCCCAAGAATCAATTAACTAATGATAAAGTTAATCATAGTAATAACCTGATCCACGGAGATACGTCTGTACAAGATGATCCTAAGATAGAAAGTCCTCCAAAGAAAATCAATGATAAACCCCATGACATAGAGTTTAACACATCTATTACACAAAGTTCAGATGATAGTTTCGAAGGAATAGGTATAAAATGGAAGAAAAGTCCTCGAAACCCTAGACTAACACCTAAAAAGCCTAGTCAAATGTTATCATCATCACCTTTAAAGAACGTTGTAGAAAGAGATGATGATTCACCTGCACTTATTAATGAACAAGCTGAACTGATGTTAGAGAAATATGGTTCAGGTTTCCATAATATACTGTCACAAACCCCCAGACCCAAGAAGACCATTTCTGATCTAACTGGAGGTATAATACGAAATCCTCCAACTTTACAACGAGCAAAATCTTTAGGATCCAACCCTAAGCCTAACAAGTTGAAGAATTGGTTAGATAAGTTGGATTTTAATCTGTTAGAGAAAGATTCAGAGATTCAGGTAGATTCAGACATTCAGGTTCCAGGTGAAAAGGAAAGAAAAAATCATGAAAGAGGTCATAGTGTTCCAGAAATCAACAATATATTCGAAACTTCCAAGTCCTTAGATATAAAGCCTGATTCTTCTGACCCTTTTTCTGATGATGAGGAATTCATTGCTTCTTTTGCACCAGTTAAAATCCCTTCTTCTCCAACAAAAGTTTTAAATAAAACCATAATTGAACAACCAGGGATTAAATTTGAACAATCAAATGAAATCGATGAATTTGATGAATTTGATATCTCCGATAATTTGAATAATGTTCAGTTGAAAACCAAATATTCAAATGATATTGAAGAATTAGAGAATGTTGAAGATAATTTCATCGTTCCTAATTCCACCAAATTATCTTATTCAAGACCTGACTTGAAAAGGTTTCAAATCATAAGCATTCTTTCTACTTCTTATAAGATTAAAGATAACAAAAGAACTCAATTGATTGTTTCTGTTAAAAACAACCAAGACATTGAATCAAAATTGGTATTGAGAGGTGAGTATACTACACTTAATCTTGCTAAAGACGATATTATCAATGTTATAGTAACAGATGAACAGAATCCACATTTGGTGGATGATGACAGGAATATCTTGATCTGGAATCCTGATGTTCTTGTTTCTGCCACTACAGTATCACAACAATTGACATGTCCCAGAAAATCAGTATTAACTGACAGATTCAAGTTTCCTGGCGAAACTAGCTTACCTATAATGATGGGGTATGTTTTACATGAGATCTTCCAATCATGTTTCATGGTTGATGATTGGTCATTGGAGAGAATGAATGCCAAAGCTGAAGAATTGATTAAATTTTATAAATTATCATTCTATTCGCTCGGTCAAGGTAAGGATCAGGAAGCTTTACAACAGGTCAAAGAGACTTTACCTTATTTACCCGATTGGTTCAATAAGTATTATAAAAAGCCGGCAAGAAACTCGATTCCTGTCATAGGAACCAGAGATGAAGTATCATTTGCCATAAATAAGGCTTTGGATATCGAAGAAAATATATGGTCTCCCATTTTCGGAGTTAAGGGAAAGGTTGATGTGACCGTTGAAGCAAGTATAAAGGGTCAAGATAAAAATGGGAAATATCTTTTACCATTGGAATTCAAAACTGGGAGAGAATATTTCTCTCATCATGCTCAATCATCCTTATATTCCTTACTATTTAAAGATAGATATGATTTGGATGTCAATTCATTTCTTTTGGTTTACACTAAAGAGAAGATGATGAAAATTGGGAACATCAGAAGTGCCGATTTGAGATCCTTGATTAATCTTAGAAATAGAATATCTGAATACCTCATGGAAGGAGTCAGAAAGCTACCTGAAGTTATACGAACCACATCTATTTGTCAGAGATGTGATGTTCAAGCGGCTTGTATGACATTGCATCTGATAGTTGAAGATGGAACTTCAGAATCAAGTGGATTACCCGATGTTTTCCACCAAATATCCCTCCCCCTTCAGAAGCAAATTTATAAAGATTTTTATACTTATTGGGATTTATTGATTACCAAAGAAGAAAAACTTTTGAAATCTTTGAAAAAGGAATTGTGGACAATGACTTCAAAACAACGTGAGACCCAAAATGGTAAAGCTCTCTCGAATCTTGTTATATCAGATATTAAGGAAACTAACGAGAGTCCTTACAAGTTCCAATACAGTTTCGAAAGATCCCCATCGAGTGAAATCAATCAATCATTTCAAGCTACTCAACTTACTACACATAGTAGGATCATGATCAGTGATGAAAGAGGTCACTTTGCTTTGGCTAATGGATTTATAACTTCAATCAGACCCGATAAGGTTGTCGTGGCTGTAGATAGAAGGGTTGTCAACTCTTCTGTTAGAACCAAGGATTATAACAATACCAACAATCAAGTGTTCGTGTCAGTATTGACTAGTGACTCTAAGTTGAATGAAATAAATCATTCCAATACATACAGATTGGATAAAGATGATATGTTTCATGGTATGGGCTTAGCTAGATTCAATCTTTTGAATTTATTCATGCCCGAAGGGGACGCTTTAAGAAGGCAACAGATCATCGATCTCGTTCCACCTAAGTTTAATGATGAAAAGGTCGATATTCCTTTCGATAGTCATTTCAATCCTGATCAAACTAATGCTTTCCGCAAGATTGTCACTTGTGAGGACTATGCATTGATCTTGGGTATGCCAGGTACAGGTAAAACTACATTAATAGCATCAGTCATCAATTATTTGGTTAGTCAAGGTAAATCCATTTTATTGGCATCTTATACTCATTCAGCTGTAGATAACATATTACTTAAAGTGAAGAAATATAACATTGACATTCTTAGAATCGGACATCCCTCCAGAGTTCATCGTGATATCCAACAATATGTTCCAAAGGAAGAGAACATCAATAGTTTTGAAGATTACCAAGCATTTTACCATAAACCATCAGTGGTAGGTGTCACTTGTCTTGGTATAAACGACTATGCATTCAACATAAGAACTCAGTTTGATTATTGTATTATTGATGAAGCGTCTCAAGTATCATTACCAGTCAGTTTGGGACCTTTAAGGTTGGCAGAGAAGTTTGTTTTAGTAGGAGATCACCATCAATTACCACCATTGGTTCAACACTCCCACCCTAAAGTAAAGAGTGGATTACTGAGATCTTTATTCCAATACTTGAATGATGAATTCCCTCATTCTGTTAGTGAGTTGACTTATCAATATAGAATGTGTGATGATATCATGCAATTATCTAATGAGATTGTTTATGAAGGACGTTTGAAATGTGGTACAGAAGAAGTAGCTAATCAAGTATTAAAGTTATCTCATCCTGATAATTATAAGGTTTTAATTACAGGAGAACGTGACTCCTGGATGCAATGGATAGTCAAAGAACAAAACCGAGTGATCTTCTTAGATCATGATTTGGTACCGGGAATGGAAGTAAGTCATGGAGAAAGGATTCAAAATCCTACGGAAGCTTTATTGATTTGGCAAATAGTTGAAGCATTAACTTTATGTGGGGTTGATGAACATGATATCGGGATTATGTCACTTTATAGAGCCCAATTATCTATGTTGACCAAACAATTTTTAAACAAACCCAACATCGAATGTATGACAGCAGATCAATTCCAGGGAAGAGACAAAGAGTGTGTTATCATTTCATTAGTAAGATCTAATGATGATGGAAAAGTTGGTGATCTATTACAGGAATGGAGAAGAATCAATGTTGCTGTAACAAGATCCAAATCTAAACTTATTATATTGGGATCCAAAAAAACTTTATCCAATTCCCCTGTACTCAGAAAGTTCATTGACCTAGTCATGGAAAAGAAATGGATGTACAGATTACCTCCCAAAGCCACCACATTCTATAAAACTTACGATTCTTTTACTGCAGACGGTGTTAATAAAACCATGGGATCATCAAGAGCAAATTCACAAGTTAAACCTTTAACTTCATCTCGGGCTGTTAAAAACAGCCCCATAATTAACGACATCATTAATGACATAAAATAGCATAAAAACGTATATATTTATATTTACATGGAAAATTTTTCTCTTATAAGGCAAAGAACTGAAATTCAAAATTTGCTCCTCTAAACTCTACTCTCCAAGGTTCATTATCATTATTTCCAGGTTGTTGAGGTTCCCCGGGTCTTCGTTGACCTCCACCTCTTAATCTTTGGTTGATCCCTCTAACAAAAAAGGTCAAAAAAACCATCACTGTTATGGCAAGTACTATAAAATCTCCAAAACCAAATTCTTCATCTGCCCAATATTCTCCCTCAACGTTCTCGTGTTGTTGTCTAGCTTTAGTGTCATCTTCTTGTTCTTGTTGCTGTTGTTGATCATAATCAGACCCCAATTGTTTAAGAAGACTGAACCAACTTTTTTGTTCCTCTGTAGATTCAACTCTCTGTCCCCAAATCAAGTATTTGATACGAATCTTCAAAAGGGCAAAATAAATTGGGATATTGTTTTCCTTTGTTCGAGCAACACGATATTTCAAGCTCAAATCGTAATATCTTTTGGCCATGAAATAATCAATAGTATTATTAGCAACTCCTAATCCATGTTCGTACATATAGGCAAGACTGAAGCAACCATGAGGTGATTGAGAATTGGCAGCTTTAGAATAAAGATTAAATGATTTCTCATAATCTACGGTGATATTGCCTCCTTCAACTCCATAGAAATATATGTCCCCTAAAAATATAGTGGCATCCATATCTCCTTGGTCACTCGCTCTCTTAAGATATGTCATTGCATGTTTCACCCTATGATGAGAATATTGCTTAGTATCTTTCAAGGGGAAAGGATCTAATTGATATAATAGCCATGCGGCAGATATTTGAGCTTTATCCAATCCTTGTTCAGCAGCAATCAGGTATCCAACTAAGGCACTCTTATAGTTATAACTATTCAATTGATCAAATGCATATTTCAAATGGGGGAAGAAATATCTCCCCAATCTTTGAATGAAAATCTTATAATACAAGATATTGGTGCTAACACTATAGGGTTTCAAAACACCCTGAGTATAACCCAGTTGAATGAAATTACCAAAATGAAATAACGCTTCCGTATCGCCTCTGTTAGTGGCATCCTTCATGAATAAGACTATTTCTTTTCTCATATCACTGGCCATTATATCATCATATGGTACTGAAGACATCATCAATTGTGAAATTCTTCTTGCTCCAGTTTCCGAAGACTGAATGTAAGATTCATTATAATAATTTCTAGCTTTAGCCAAATCTGGTTCATCAAGTAAACCTTTCTCATATATGTAACCCAAGTCACTTAAAGCATCGGAATCATTAAAAAACCTTATCAGTTCATGGAATAACTCTGTGGCATTATGGTAGTCTTTTTCTACACCTTGACCTTTCATATACATGTGTCCGAGTAACAGGAAACATTTACTGAGTCTGATTTTGTCATTAAATGACATGGAGCTGAGTTTCTTGTATGTTGGTAACTTTTTACCTACCTCGATACATTGTTCCAAAGAATCCTTAGCTTTTCCATAATCTTTAGGGGTATCATAATAACCATCATAATCATGTAAAGCATGGAAATAATGATGGATCATTTTAGAATCAAATAAATCCACTACAGCGTCAGTTTCATAGTATTGAAGGTGATCGTAAGATTCTAATACTGCTTTTTTTGAAGTTGCCACTGATTTGATTGATTCACTAACATCATCTCCATAAATACCTCCAATGAAATCAGGTAATTTAACATCAAAAGATATTTCTGCAGGTTCAATTTCATCTTCATTTGCTTTATAAAACTCATAACCGAATTGAGCTAATCTGGAATAATACACTAAAGCTAGTTCATCATTCTTAGGAACATCAATCCCTTCGGAAAGTTTATATGCCATCACCATTAAAGCGTTAACATCATCATTTTCCACAGCCAATTGATAATATAATTGAGATTTTGGCTGGTTAACAGGGATTTCCCCAAACATTCCTGTGGAGTATATGAAACCCAACATGAAATAAGCATGGCCATGTGATTTAATAGTTATGGCTCTTTCGTAGTATTCAAGGGCTTTAGGGTAATCACTAGTCATAGAATAATTCCCAAATGTATAAATATCTCCTAATGTTACCAAAGCATCCACATTATGGGGATCTTCACTATTGGCAATATCATTAAGTTTAGGTATCACTGATTCCAACATGAATTTTCGAGCTTGATGGTCTACCAAAGGTTCCTTTTCGTATGCTTGTATCTTCTCATTGTATGACGGTAAGTATTGAACCTTATGTTTGTACCCATCTTCGAAAGTAGCTATCTGAGAATTGAACAGTTGTAACTGATTGATAATCGTTTGATATTCATTATTTGGATTAGGTAGGTCATTGAACCCACCAGATCCACCATTACTATTTTGAACACCTATAGAAACCCCTATACCACTTCCATGACTCTCAACCTCCATACAAAGGCCAAAAGTCACTATGAAGAATAACCATAGTAATGTCATATCGACGTACGAGAATGCGAACTGTCAAAGATCAAAGGAACAAGGTGTGATATTGGTGGAGAGAATCTTAGTAGAGAAAGACATCAATTCGGAAGCTTTTTAGTTAAGGTTGTTTTGAAATAAGTCATTAGATCACTCCCATTCCCAAATTTGTGACATTAGATGGGATAAATCTGAATTTTTCAACCATTAGGGGCACAAAACCTGGGGATCATTCAATGTAATGATGATTTACTTACAGTACATTATTATGATGTCTCTTCTTCGACACTATAGATAGTAAATCAAACTCTATGGCCCTCGCCCGCAAATAAACTTCCACCGTAACACTTGGCTCAAAAGGCCGCACAGTCAAGTCACTCTACAACAGCACGAAATTTCCAAGCCTAAATCAAAGATCGCGGTCAACGAAACTATAGGGGACACACAAGTTGGACAACTAAGATCCAAGATTAAATAGACAGTTCCCTTGTACGATAGACTATATAAGCACAATGCCTATTCGATTGAAGGATACAGTGGACGATGAGGCTATATTCCGATCGGCTCCTATGTCATTGGTTCAATTCTATGTGACGATCGAACTTGCTAGAGACGTTGTCTTTACGTTGGGGAAGTTAGGAGATGTTCATTTCCGTGATTTGAACTCCAAACTTACACCTTTCCAAAGAACTTTTATCAATGATTTAAGAACCATTGATGGAATTGAGAGTCAATTGACTTATTTGAAAACCGTTATGGAAAAGCATAATACCATTAAAGGTGATTTATTCAATAATTTAACTGCTGATATCAAACCTTTACCTTCACAATCAGATGTTGATGATTTGAAAATCAAGATTGAGGACTTCTTTGAAAGGATCAAACATTTGGATGATTCATTTATTCAATTGTCTAGTCAGAAGATTAGATTGATCGAGAATCGTCATGTTTTAACCAGTATAAATGATTTTCATGCATCCAATAGAGAGAGTCGGAACTTAGGAGGTGATTCAGCCTTTGCTGTAGATTCAGATCATGATGATGATAATGTAGCGTTATTAAATGATCGTAATAATGAATTGGAATTGGGTTTGGAAACTGCTGACTTACAAGATACCGGATATAACTCAATTTCTGGAACTATAGCCACAGAAAAGATTCCATTATTAAGAAAAATCTTATGGAGAACGTTAAGAGGTAATTTATATTTAAAAGATATACCCATTAATGATGAAAAACTAGATATATATGAGGATGGTAAGCCAACTGAGAAAAGTGTTTTCATCATTTACATTTATGGTGATATTTTGAAACAAAGAGTGAAGAGGATCGTTACTTCTTTGGATGGTGTTCTTTTTGATAACATCTATGGAAGTAATGAAGCAAGAATGCAATCATTAGAGGAATTGAATAGTAAAATCACTGATTTGGATAATGTTGTAGAAAGTACTAAAAATCATTTGATAGCTGAATTGATGATTTTACAAGAAGTTTATACTGACTGGGTTTATAATATTAAACGAGAAAAATCCATGTTTGAAACTTTAAATAAATTCGATATGGATGGTACGAGACGTTGTCTTGTAGGTGAAGGATGGATCCCTTCAAATGAATTTGAGAAGATCCGTCGTTCGTTAAGAACTTTAATCCATTCAAAAAGTCAAGCATCTAATGGATCACAAGAAGAAATCGCTTTGGATGCTAATGGTAATAATCATGATTCCAATCCATTTAGTGATCCTAATGGGGCACCCTTGTTTGCTGTGGATGATGGAGAAAGTTTTGAGGATTTGAACGACCAATTAGTAGCGGTGGTCAATGAATTAAGTACAAATAGAACTCCTCCAACTTATCATAAAACCAATAAATTGACATCCGCTTTCCAATCGATTGTTGATGCCTATGGTGTTGCCACTTATCAAGAAGTCAATCCTGGTTTAGCCACGGTGATAACCTTCCCCTTCATGTTCGCTATTATGTTTGGTGATATCGGACATGGGATTATTTTAACCCTTATCAGTTTGTTCTTTGTTAAAAATGAAATCAAATTCGGTGCCATGAGAAGAAAAGATGAAATCTTTGAAATGGCATTCAATGGTCGTTACGTTTTATTGTTAATGGGTGTTTTCTCCATTTACACCGGTTTCTTATATAATGATATATTTTCTTTATCATTGACATGGTTCAAAAGTGGATGGGAATTTAAATATCCTGAAGGTTATGATTTCGATAAGGAAGGTGCTATGTCTTTAACAGCTACCAAAGTTAAAGGTTATACCTATCCAATTGGTTTGGATTGGGGATGGCACGGAGCTGAGAATAATTTACTTTTCACCAATTCTTATAAAATGAAATTATCCATTTTAATGGGTTTCATTCATATGAATTATTCATTATTCTTCAGTCTTGTTAATTATAGATATTTCAATTCTGTAGTGGATGTAATTGGTAATTTTATTCCAGGGTTCCTTTTCATGCAAAGTATCTTTGGTTACTTATGTATTACTATAGTTTATAAATGGTCTGTGGATTGGATTGGTCAAAATAAACAACCTCCAGGATTATTAAACATGTTGATTAATATGTTCTTGTCACCAGGAAATGTAGAAGAACAATTGTATCCCGGACAAGCATTTGTTCAAATAGTGTTGGTTTTAATTGCCTTGGTATGTGTTCCATGGTTATTATTATATAAACCAATCACTTTAAATAATAAAAATAAGAAAGCCCAAGCTTTGGGATATAGTGATTTGCATTCTCAACGTAGACACAGTGTTGAATTACATGAAGAAGAAGAAGCTGTGATGTCATTTGAACTTGATAGAGCTCAAATCGAAGAAAATGGTGATGATGATGATACTTTCGATATTCATTCTGAAATTTCAAATAATGAATTCCATTTTCCTAATGATATCGAACCTTTACATGCATCTTCAGGTCATGGAGATCATGAAGGTTTTGATTTAGGTGATATTGTAATTCATCAAGTTATTCATACCATTGAATTCTGTCTTAATTGTGTTAGTCATACTGCTTCATACTTAAGATTATGGGCCTTATCTTTAGCTCATAATCAATTATCAAGTGTTTTATGGTCAATGACTATAAAAAATGCATTCGGTTTGACAGGTACAAAAGGAGTGATTATGACGGTTATATTATTTGGATTTTGGTTTATTTTGACGGTGTGTATTTTAGTTTTGATGGAAGGTACTTCAGCAATGTTGCATTCTTTAAGATTACATTGGGTTGAAGCAATGTCAAAATTCTTTGAAGGTGAAGGTTATGCATATGAACCTTTTGATTTCGAGAATATTGATTTCGACTTTTAGAGAATATAAATTTATGTTAATTTCTATTGTTTTCTCATGATTATGCGGCAGGGAAATCAATTGTTCAAGAGCCGCACAATCAAGTTTTTTTTTCACTCTTAATCGGGATTAGAATTTAAGGGTTTTCATGGGTTATATGCCATACTTTTGGCGTGCTTATTCTATTGTCAAACTCATAGTTCGACCCCTTGCATTGATTCGGAGTCACTTCAAAAATATTCTACCTTGCAGATTCCGTGATAATCATGGGAAAGTCATTGATCTGCATCCAAGATTCAACCCAGGAAGATAGCAATACACATATCATATTACTAATAATCATACCTATTCATAAGCAACTGTTCTCTTCTCCACACAACTCTTTTGACCGTTGCCTTCAATGTCAATTCATCCCCCACATAAAAGGAATAAATTCCGCGATGGATTCTGCCTAACCGTTATCAATGAGTGAACAAGTTGAATTACAACCTATCAACAGACAAGCTAAAGTAGCTAACTTTGATAATGAAATAAGTATCGATAGAGGAAGAGAGGAGGATAGAGTGTCTTTTGAACAAATCGAAGATGAAGAACACTCAGATTTTTCGGATGACTCACACGATCAAATGAATAATGATATTCCTGATGGTGGTTTAAGAGCTTATATGGTGTTACTTGGTTCATTCTTAGGTTTGACTGCTAACTTCGGTACTTTGAATTCCGTTGGTGCTATTCAAACATATTTGGCTACCCATCAATTATCAGATGTTTCTGCATCAACCTTATCATGGATCTTTTCAATTTATTTAGCTTTAGCATTTTCCTTGACTATAGTAGTAGGACCATATTTCGATTCCCAAGGAGCTTTGAAACCAATGGTGTTAGGTAACATATTGTCATTCTGTGGTATGATGGCTACAGCAAACTGTAAAACCGTTTGGCAATTCATTTTAGCCCTTTCTTTATGCCATGGTATAGGGAACTCTTTATTGATCAGCCCTTTGGTGGGAGTTGTTAGTCACTGGTTTTATCATAAAATAGGTTTAGCTATTGGGTTAAGTTCTGTCGGTGGAAGTATCGGAGGTATGGTGATTCCTTTAATGTTAAGATCATTGTATGCAAAAGTTGGATTTATTTGGGCCATCAGGATCCTTGCCTTTTTCTGCGCTGCATTGAACATTATGGCAACTGTCTTGGTAAAAGAAAGAGTAAGAAGTCCTAGAATTGATAGAGCAGAAAGAATCAGTGAAGGAAAAAGAAAAAGATTCATTGACTCTGCTAAGAATTTCTTAGATATTACTGCTTTGAAAGATGCAAAATTCGTTCTGTTAGTTTTAGGAGTCACATTCGGTGAATTGGCTCTTTTATCTGTTGCAACTTATTATGGAACTTATGCTGTAGTTGCAGGACTTTCAGAAAGTGCTTCATATATCTTATTGACAATATTCAATGGTGCAGGTATTTTTGCAAGATCTTGTATTGGGTATTTGAGTGACAGAATTGGCCATTTCAATGTTATGATAGTAATGGTAACTCTTTCAGCCATCTCCATATTAGTACTTTGGTTACCTTTTGGTACAAATCATGTTATACTTTATGTTTTCATTCTGATTTTTGGTTTCACATCCTCCCTGATTTTGTCATTGACCCCAGCTTGCTTAAGACAAATCACTCCCGTAAGTAAATTTGGGTCCAGATATGGGTTGATGTATTTCTTTGTCAGTATAGGTAATCTTTTTGGAATCCCAATAGCTAGTGCAATTATCGGTGACCTGAGTATCTTTCATTACCGTATGTTTGCATTATTTTGTGGCTTGGCCACATTAGTTGGTTCAGCCTTCTGGGTGTTGAGCAGGTACTATGTTGTCGGTTTAAGGCTCAATGTCAGGATATAGGATATAGTTATTTATTTGTAATATATTTGAAGAGAAATCTTTTGGTTTGGATGTATATTTTTCATATGCAATAGCTATTCATTACTAACGTTTCCTTTGTCTTACTAACTTTTCTGATGGTTGACCTGATGGAATTTCTTCAATTTTTGGTTGATTACCCTTATCTTCGATTCTCATGTCAGCTTGTTCTCTATGGATTTCATTCAAACGTTTGGCCACATCGGGAGCAACTAATTGAAGTAAATATGGACCAGCTGTCATTACAATTACGAATACAAACATCACGGTAAAGATGGTGTTACGGAATATAAAACCTAAAGGACTTTGCATCACCAAATCTTTCAAAGAGCCTTGGTTTGATTCATAATAATCTTGGGTGTCAATGACTTCAATCTTAAGTGGGGTTTCAGTTACATTCGTAGTGACTCCAGTAGTATCAGTAGCTAAATAATAATCTGTTGCCAACACTGTGTTTTCATTTACTTCGATCTTGAATCTATCACAAGCTAATAAGAAATCATGGGTATTTATAGTAAGATGGTAAGACCCTTCTGGTACATTTTCAAATGAAAATTCATAGTCCTTGGTGACTAAAGCTGTATAATCTTTATCACCACCTTCCAATCTAACGTCAAATCTTATAGGCAAATTGTTCCCATTGACTATCTTTTCTGGATGAAATAATTCATGGCTTTGTAACTGATTTATTTCTCTTGAACTAAAGAACTGCCCATTCAAGCTTGCTCCATAAAGTGAAGTTAACACTATCAATTGATTTATCAATAATCCTACCTTCATGGTTCAAAGCTATCGAAAAAAGATTACCCGCACTACGCTCGCTCTATAAAATTTTTCACTGAAGGATTTTTTTTCTTTATTGTACACGGATAGGTATTATTGTAGGGTGATGATTTTTAATCCCACGATCGTTACTCTCTACAACCTATTCAATAGTGAACTAGTCATACTTGGGGTTTCTCAAGTAGGGGTAGTCAAGGATCAAACGGGCTTGGTTTAGAACTATACTTTACGTAACTAAGAGCCTTAAAACGTGATTTTTTACGGGGTATAGTTTGATTAGAATCCGGCATTCAGCTGTCCAAACATTATATATTCTCTATTATATTTACAGTTTCTCGTGATTCGGGAAATTTTCTGTAGAAATCCCTATTTTTTGTCTTTAACTATATGAGCTCCCCATTTATCATAACAATATAATCCAACTCCAGTAAGCAGTAAACCAACTATTTGAGTTCCTGTTATTTTGCCGAAATATTTATTTGGGTCATGATAATCAGTGGCCAAAATGATACTTACAAGGATTAAACAAATTCTTTTCATCATGGAAGCAATTGAATAAGAAACTGCTGGTATCAGTCCTAATAAATGGAAGGCCAATAATGTTTGAATGAAATGTGATACAGAATTGAGTAAGATTAAGTAGAATACTCGGAAAATCCCTGATTTGGTTTCAGGTGTGGAATCTTCTAATCTACCGAACATAAGATCCAAAACATGAGGTAATTCATTCAACGTGAATCCAGCAGAAGAAATGGTTAAACCAATGATTGAACAATAAAATATGATAGTCATTTGATCAGGCTTTATAACGGTATCTGATTCATTCATAAACGATGATAAAGGATTAAACAATTTGAATTTATTAGCAGTAGCTTGTTCAGCATACCCGTTGTTGAAACTACTACTTCCATTCTCTCTTTTTTCCTCTTTTTTTTCATCTAATCTGATGTCAGAAGTAGAATAAGGTAGTCTGATGGAATTATTCCTTTGTCTAATGAACTTCCCTTTGAACCCATCATCAATAGGTTCGGATCTGTTGGAATATAATGCCAAGTTTGCTGGATTGGTGTCTGAATCCCAAGTTATCAATTGTTTCCCATAGATGTTTTGTGCTGCAAAAATCAACACACTGACCAAACAGTAGATTAACCCTTTGATTTGATTTAAACTGAGGTCCGTATTCGAAAGTTCCCCTTTAACAGGGTGTGACTTTGATTCATCAGATATCAACAACATAACTCCACCTACTAAAGGAGTTAATGATATATATGTGACAATTGGAAATTTTACTTGATATATGAGTTTATACCCTGAAACAATTAATAATGGGGATAGAGCCTTGACACTGGAAACTGTTGCCAAGGATATCAAGGATGTGGCACTTAAGGAACAATATTTACCGCAAAATTGAAACAAACCTAAGGGTAAGATCTTTAAAAATGCACCTTTACTAAAAATTGGTTTGGAATCATCAAGGGGTATACTACCCAAAGGAAAATACCCGGAGATCTTGGGAGACGACCTGGCCAAAAAAATAAACGATAACGATAATATGGACCCTATCAAGAATTGGAATTGACTCAAAAATAATGGATAGCTATACTCAATCAATATTGATTTTGTCAATTGTGAGGTAATCGATGAAATCAGGTACCAAACTAAGCATGTAATGACGATTCTCGGCAGAATTGGAGGGATCCAATCTGATAGTATCAGCATTTTTGACTTGTACGAAGGTGGGAGTGGTGGGTAATGTACCAAAGATAAATATTAGGCAATACAAAAGTTACCAGAGTGCGACTTGAGAAATCATGCATTCGATAGTTTGGGCAGTAACGTTTAATACTGCGAGGGTGGCTTTTGTGGTACCCGTACCACGCCAAAGAGTAAAGTCTATTCGTTGATAGGATTCTACCATTGGTAGACTCTACCGTTATCGTCTCCCATAATGAGTCCCAAATAACCTCTAACTAATTTGTCTTCGGGATCCATTATAGTCTTTTTGAATAATTCATAAGAAGTGATCTCTCCCATTCCTTCATGTTTTGTTGATAAGGAAGTAAGTAATGATAATCTCCATAAGCCTTCAGCATCATCGCCACTTTTAAGCTCATAGACACTGATGGTTTGACTATTCACTTCCTCATCATTGTATGGATCATTCTTACCATACGCAAACGAAATTAACTCGTTGCTCCAATAAATATGACTATTGTTGTTCAGTTGTTTGCCGGTATGGATTTTTGAATGGTTTATACTTCCAAACCTCAAACTGGAGATTCTACCTTTGGGTAAATCGGCAGTGACAATTGAATCTCCATTGATTGTATACAATGAGACCTTGTTTGATTTGGTATCCAAAACAGCTATGTTCCCTGTATCATTAGATATATCAATCAATATGTCACCATTTTCACCTATCTTTATTTTCCTTATGAATTTGAATCTTACAAAATCCCATAAGTAGACATTTCCTCTGATATCAGAAGATATACCAACTTTGTAGCTTTTACTATACTTCAACTCCTTGATCTCAGACATGTGACCCCTCAAGAGTCCTTGGAACTGTAAATTCAATGAAGGCTTCAAATTGCATTTCCAGATGTTTATCAACCCATCTGTATCACCTGTCAAAAATGTCTTATAGCCAATTTGAAGGATACAAGTGATATGGGATCTATGAATGTCTAAAAAGGATGTGTTGTTGATAATAATAGATCTAGAATCTTCGTCTATGTTTCCGACTTTTCTGATCAATAGGTCGTCTTCACTACAAACGCATTTTGGTCTTCCAACCCATTTACCTGTTTTCAGACTGACTTCGATTTTCTTGATGGGACATCTCAACTTAGATTCAAACACCAACTTTGGAGCCTTTGTATCATCTATTGAGGTGAAATAATAGTCTGGTAAGTTCAAGACTTCTTTTGGTACATGAGGTTTCATGAAAATCTTGTTTGGTGTTTGACCGAAATTGTTTATCATACCAATAGCTGCTTTTCTTTCCATGTCATCATTTATGTTATCCAAGTCAATGGCTCCGTTGTATGATAAATGGTGGAACACGTTCAAAGAATCCACAGCTTCTGGTCCATTCTGTTTGAATCCAAAAATTAAGTCGATCCATAAGTGTAAGTTTGCTGAAACATAAGGACTTTCTAAGGCTTCCCTATTTTTTTGAATGAATACTTTGACATCTCCTTTCGCCCATTTTGGTAAACTTACATTGTTAGGCGTTTCACCATTCTGTAACGTACCCAATTCGAAGTTATTAGTGTTCTCCAAAAACTCTGGCAAATAAAAAAATTCAGGTATTAATTCCCTTACATCAGTGGTATTTTCTTTAGATGCTGAAATCCAAGCTTTTTCAATAGAATTGAAAAGTCTGTCAGCATGATCAAACTTTCCTCCTTGCAACAAAAGGTATGAATGAACGTGAGGTACCAATCTAATTAAATATGAGGTTACAATCATTGCGGATGAATAATGTGTTCCATAGTGGAAAGCAGGTGAATTTTCATCTTGAAGACTATCTAAAGCATCGAATCTTTCTCTAAATTCCGAAGCCCTGGGCTCAGTCTGAGCTCCCATAGGTTTCGATAAATCCCTAAAAGTTTTTGGATTGGATAAGTCCAATTTCTCGCTAGTATAATCAGCTATAACCCAGGGGAAGACAGGATACTGAGTCAAATCGTTGAAAGTTCTCCCCGCCAAGGTATTAATAATCATAAGATAATAGAAATTAGACATCTCCCCATTTCGCCATTTCTTGGTGGCATTCAACAAATTATCGGGAGACACATTACTGGAGAAAGCTGAAGCGAATCTGGCCCCAAAGAATGATGAGTTTGCGGTGTTTTGGGAATGGCTGGTGGATAATGAAGATGATAATTGTAAAGTCTCAGAGAGATCTTGATCCAAACCTTTTCCAATACAGTAAGATTGCAATCTATTATAAATTGTATCCCTCTCTCTTTGATTGAAGCAGGTCAATAAGATACTGGCTCCATCACTGAAAAACATCTCCAAGGCAATGTCACGTAAAATAAACTGCCTCTTAGATATGGAACTTAAAATATCAAGACTCCAATTTTTTGTTCTGTGAGATCTACTTGTCTTGTTGGTCAAGTAATTTGATTGACTATTAATCAATTGTAAATATGAATCTCGAAGTTCCATGGGAGCGTCTTGTACATCAATAACATTACCATCTGACTGGTGGAAATAATTCTCAATGATATATAAATGAGTGGACCCAAGAATCATAAGACTCTCAATAGGTTGTAATCCGTTAATTTGGCTAATGTTCCATAAAGAAACAATATGATCCCCTAAATATAAACTTCTCAATACCTTTCTATTTTTGTCTTCATAAGCTCTGATTTTTTCCATTTCTTTCTGATCAAATTCACCATTCTCTTCTCCATCACCAGACTCCGATCCAGGAAACCTCTCCTCATCACCAATCATCTCGAAGCTATCTCCCGTGGTTTCTGCGTAGACATCTTTGGTGGAAAGACTCAAGGTATCGATTCCGTTGCTAATGATAGCATGGTTGAATGCATCGTTGGATTTATCATTATCCAAACTCTCCGATACCTTTTTTATGGGAAGGTCAATTTTATAAGCCAACTTTTCTGATTCAGCCAATTGATCTTCAAGAATCATCCTATTTCTTATTCTGTCAAAGTTTTCAATGAAATCCAAGGCATAACTCTTGTTGCAATTTCCGTATATCAATCTATTAGATTCAACTTTCAATGAATTATAGCTTGAAGCAAAATATAAGATATTTTCCTCGTGGTCTTGATTAGCTCTATTGAATTTGAACAATTCTGATTTCATTGATTGGTTTCTTAGCTGATGGCAATCACGTTCAAAACTTTTAATATAAATATTATCGAGCTGACCCAACTTCCCACCATTATTCAAAGTCACACTGATCATATTATCTATGTCCAACTTGGATGAATCGAAATCTTTTGAAGCCAAATGATTACTTCCGTTATGGAAAATATGTCTATAAGTTGGAAATTTAGTTATAGCTTTGACAGTTTCTTCATCGTTCTTGACTATCAAGGTTTGGAAAAACTCGTTTATAAGTTCGAATGTTGCACTGTAATCAACATCTTTGGTCATGAACCCAATCACTGCATCGAAATCATCTTGTCTCATCATATAACCAGATCTTAATAAGTTAAATAAATGTTCTGGGCCAAATGTTGGACTTAACTTGAAATAATTACCGATTAATAATAAGAAAACTTCTGCCAATTGCTGATCGTTCAAGACATCCTTCTGGAAAAGTGTCATTTGTCTGTAAAGTAACAATTTGACAAGGCCATCGAACTTTGCATTTTGCAGCTTCTTTTCAACCTTCGAAGGAGTTGAAGGTTGAGATATTGAAGGATCAAAATGTGAAGTTGTAGGTGTACAAGGAGCGGAGGCCGTAATAGAAGGTTCGTCTTTCAAGACTTCTTGTACATCTACCCAATCTTTGTCAACCTTCATTTTCGAGAAGTTCACAAGTTTAAGCAATAACAATTCACCTACCAATGATTTCAATTTCCCAATTGAAGTTGTTAAGTTGGTATTCTGTTTGATTTCTATAATCGACAAGACGCAAGTTAAATATGCAGTCAAATCTTCATCACCAACAAGAAACTTCTGTTGGATATATTCAGAATGATAAAATATTAACATATTGGTGGACTCATTAACAAAATCTTTCTCATTGAAGATAAAATTGGAGACTGATATGAACTCATTTATATGATCAAATATATGAGGGAATATTATATCTAGAATCAACTTTTTGGTGAAATCACTTGAACTATTGAAGATTTCAAAGAATTTACTGTTACTGGTGAATAACTTGGAAACAAAAATGTTAGAAATCGTCTTGGTTAACTTTGTGAAACAAGCTTTGAAATTCAAATAAAGTTCAGTATTCGATTTTTCCCAGGTTAGGAATAACTTTAGGTAACCTATCAATTCAAAGATTCCATCAATCCAATCTTTCTCTGTATAAAATGTGGATAAGGGCTTGAAGTTATTATACCCATAATCTATCAATTGACAATACAGATTGATGAGATGTAAAGTATCGTAAGCAATATCCAAGTTTTGTTTAACATTGGGTGTACTATTTGGTGATCCTAAAAGCTTCCCCTTACTTTCACTCAAAGTATACAACGAATTCAAAACCATATTGTTTAATAAGTTCAAGAATTCTGGAATGACAAGCTTGGAAAACATTTGATCATCATGAGACTTCATCAAGTCTGTCAAAGATACATATCTTTCATTATAACCATCAATTCCAAAAGCTGCTAAGTAAATCACGCACAATACTTCATCATTGTACCACCAGGTCTTCAAAAAATGAGTAAGAATATCAAGACCCCTGTTGGCAATGAAGAATCTCTTGATGATAGTAGGACCCAATGCTTTCAAAAGTTTTGATAATAATCTCACTCCACATGTTACAATGTCCTTAGAATTTGAGGACATGTATTTCAAAGATTTCGTGTTAAGAATCAACAATATCCAATGAATCGTAATGGATCTTGAAAATTTCTTTAAAATCTTGATACTCGAGTCACTGTCACATAAGACATTAGTCAAGGCATTTAATGTGATTATACCAAACTCAGGATTACATTCTTGATTTGAAGAATAGATGGAGTAGATGATAAAATCTGAAATGGATTTGATAGTTTCTACAGCAATATCCGACTTTATTATGGTTGATAAGATGGGGTTTAATTGGTCTGTTAATTCTGCAGTCGGTCTCACATTAGTTAATTGAGGTGATTTAAAGAATTGGATCAACTTCTTCAATAAATTCATCTTATTGAGTTCCATTGTATTGAACTCATGATACTGACTTTCGATCATGAACACATTGAATTGCTTGAGTATCATTGGGAAACTCAAATCATCATTGAAAATATCAAAGTTGAGTATTAAATATCTATAAGAATTAGGATTAATAATAATTGAATCTGTCAAGTAAGTGAAATTGTAACCTACGTACTTAAGAATTAAGTTTAACAATGTGAGGTTCTCATAATCGTCATCGTTCTCTTTACCAAGTTTCACCATTTCAGGCATGATTGACAATTTCAATGATTTGTTAAGATATTTATAATTAGTCAATAAAATTTGTAATATTCCGTATCCATTGATGTTCTCGAACTCCTTACCTAATCTCCAGTTGTTATTGATAAGTTTGAACACCAACTCCAAAGATTTGACCAACATACTATCTCTTTGGGATGTTTCTAGTGACTTATCTGTGATGATCGATTCAATGAATTGCAAAATTATTTGCGTTCCTCCAATGATATATAAACCACCATGGATAGATTCTGCATCGTGGGTTAATAGATGGGAATTCTTGTCTGCTTCTATAGATTGTAAATAGTTATTACTGTTGGTATTGGAATTGAAAAGTATGTTGCCTTCAGTGATCTTGTTGATGGATAAATGATGAGCTATATCTGCCTTATCAATGAGATTTTTCAAAGCTAAACCATTTGCCAACTTTTTGTTACTAACAGATGGCTTGTGATTGGTATGTGATTGATCTAAATGAGTGATTTGGGCTATGGAGTCTCTAAAACTGTTCCTTCGTTTCTTATGTCCATTCAATTGTTTGATTTTCAATGATAAGTTTGTCAAACCTTCAAAATTCAAATGGTTCAATAAATTGAAGATATTATCATTTGTAAATTCCTTGAAATTCCAATCATAACCCAACCCTAGGTTATAAAGAAGGTTTATCCATTGGATGGATAGATTGGTATTCAAAACGGTAAGATTCCGTATAATCAATTCATTTTTCACGTTAAGATTATCATTTTCGTCTCCAATGTACAATTTGTCCCATGCATCTATACTATTGAAAAGGTCAGGACATGGGATGGACTCTGAGTACTCACCATTGATAAATAGATTCAAATTTTGGTACTTATCAAAGGTAAAAACGAAATTGATGAAATTTTCATTAGGATCACTATCAAAGTTTAATATTTGATTGAAAGAAAATTGAATTTTGGAATTGTTAGTGTTATTCTTTATTGACACCTGAAACTGATTATAATTCAATGACTTCACTATGAAATTGGAAACATTCAAATTTGATGAATTGGTGAAAGTGAATAATGTTATAGCATCCTCATTCAAAGACTCATCTACATTATTCAATTTAAACCACCCTTGAAGACTGAAAAGTTTGGAGCTATTAAGGTTACTGTAAGGTATTGGAATGGCTTTATTTAAGTTATTAAATGTGATAAATTTGAAATGGCTGGAATATTTCTTGATAAGTTGATTCAAGAATTCCAAGATTATAATCCGTTCAGTTGTACTCTGTGATTGTTTGATATTAACGTCGAATAACCTTGTGATTAACCTTTTCAATGCTATTGGGTCACATCCCAATTCAAGTAAATCCACCAACAACTTGAAATGCAGGTTCAATATGGTAGGTTTATCGTGTATAAGATCTTTCAATTGACAATGAGGAATAAGATCTAAGAATCTATTCAAAAGAATATTATGGATACCCAACCTTGTTGCAATGATCTTGGTGGTGTAATTCATAGTTAAAAGGTAAGACAATAACTCAAACAATAGGATCTTAAAGTCTCTATAAATATCTTCATCTAAAAGATCAAATTTCGACAAGAAGGACACAGTTGATGAGTTTGAAAGTTTCAACAGTGAATCCAAAGGATTTGCTCCTAATATTATCTCCTCCTCGATGATTGCAGCTAAGATTATAGGATCATTCAAATTATCAATTAATTCAACCTGCCAATTCTTTATAAGATCTCGATTAATATTGTAATTGGGGAACAATTCGTCACAAAAATAGTCTATAATTGCAATATCTGGCTCTTTATCCCCCATTTTGCTAGATGATTCTCTTTATGATGCTTCTAGATATATTTGCAGTAATAGATACCTTGGCTCTACCGTTACTTTCGCATTCGGATGATTATTATCATCACGTGATATATGGGCAGGTTAGTATTTAGTGGTTTCTCCTTGAGGAAGAAGAAAGAGGGTTGGAGGTTGAAAGGGGGTAGAATAGGGCTGAATCAACTCAATTGAGGAGTCTTCTTTTTTTCAACCTTTTTTTTTTCAAGAAGATTTGAAACTGCAGAAGAGTTGTGAAAGTTGCAAAATTCATTAATTAAAAGATAAAGTAAATTGGAAAATAAAAAAAAAAAAAAAAATCAAACAGAGACCACTGTAGTGTGAAGCTTTATGCTAGGAACATCCCAAAATAGGGCATAGAACCGGAGCGTACCAGTGGCCCAATTATACCTCAAGTGGCCGATTTCACTCTCATGTAGTGGAACTAATTTTGGCAGAATGCGAAAAACATTGTATCTTAGATCGGATGGAAGATCGCATGAAGCAAGAAGAGTCCACCGACGTCAGAAGTATCATTAATGATCAAGAGATTGATATACAAGAACCAGAAGTTCAGGCTGTAGACGAACAACTACCATCAGACTCTTCTGTTGACGGACAAGGATGTATCGAGATGGAAAATGAAGAAAGTGAAGAACCTCAATCACAAACGCCATTAGAACTTCTTGAAGAATTGAAACAAAAGAAAGAGTTAATCAGAAAGTTAATCGATGAGGCTAATGGAGAAGAAGGAGAGTATTGGTATCTCATACCCCAAACATTTTACAATGATTTGATGAATACAGAAGCTGCATCTGTAGAAGAGATGAAAAATCAATTGGGAAAGATGAACATGGAATCGATCGTTGATGCTTATGGGAATTTATATAACAATGAAGATGAAAATACCAGTACAAAAGCGATCCCACCTGATGCGTTCAATATCTTGGCCGATTGGTTTGGAATGGACGGAAAAGCTCCTACCAGAGCATTAATTATTGAGAATGGTATTAAACAAATAGAGAGATTCCCACCAATATTCATTATCCACAATTTAACAAGCAAGACAACGAGGCAGCAAATGAGCTACAGTTCTAACGCCAATAAAACCAAATACTTCCAGTTTTCTCAAACCCAAACCTTTGAAGGATTATACCAAATGGTTAAAATGAATAATTTCAAATCACAAACAAAACCTCAGTTCAGGATTTGGATGATTGGAGGATTACAGAATATGGAAATGCTCCCAAATTCCATCACCATCAAACAATTTATCAATGATATACCCATGAAAAAATTGATTGGAAGAAATATTTTGAAACAAACTTTGAAACTCAATCAAATCGTTGCATCAAATTACCATTTATTGATCGAAAATTTTGACGATAGTTTAAACAAGTTCCCTATTACAGGTTATTTGGAAGGATTTGAATTTCATAACTCTCAAATCAGTAACAAGTCTACAGGGAAACTTGGATTGATCAACTTAGGTAATACTTGTTATATGAATAGTGCCTTACAATGTTTAGTACATATACCAGAACTCAACAATTACTTCTTTTATGGAGTTTTTGAAAGAGAATTGAATGAAAGTAATCCTTTAGGGTTCCATGGTAACATGGCAAAAGTATTTGCATCCCTCATCAATAGGTTGTTTAACGATAATGCCGATAATGGTCATTCCAGTGCCATATCTCCTAGAGAATTCAAAAATACAATCGGTCAGTATTCTTCCATGTTTCATGGATATTTGCAACAAGATAGTCAGGAATTCATAAGTTGGCTTTTGGACTCTTTGCATGAGGATTTGAATAGAATCATTAATAAACCTTACTTGGAGAAACCAGAATTGAAAGACGATGAAATAGATGATCCTCTTGCCATTGCTAACCTTGCAAGAATCTGTTGGGATCAATATAAGCAACGTAATGATTCAGTTATAGTGGATTTATTCAGTGGGTTATACCAATCAATATTAGTATGCCCTGATTGTAATAAAACCTCGATAACTTACGATCCATTCAATGATTTAACTTTGCCATTACCTATAAATAAAAAATGGTACCACACATTCACTGTTATCAATTTAGATTTCAGTCAAGATTTACCTTCAGAGCAAAGAATTATGAAATTGGAAGTTGAATTGAGTAAAACCTCAGTATTTGAAGATTTGTTGGTTTATTTATCAACATTCTTGAAACTTCCAAAGACTGATCTTTTTGTTTATGAAATCTTCAATGAGTATTTCTATCAAGATTTCCAATCGAATTCCCACAAATATAAATTTATGCCTATCAGTGAAGTCATAAGTAAAAGTGACGATGTATTAATCTACATCATTCCTAATAGGGATGATGATTTGATCATTCCGGTGTTGAATACTGTCCCTGAGTTGGATTCATCTTATAATATGTCAAGTGTTTTTGGATATCCATTATTCATCACGGTTCCAGAAAAAGATGTTACATCTTTTGGTAAAATCAGGGGGAAACTTGAACAAGCTGTACAAGTTTTAACAAAGGTTGATATTAATCAACACTACAGAGATTTGAAAAAATTACCTTGCAAACAATATTACACTAAAGATGACTTTGACATTGAAACAAACGAACCCGAAACCGATTCTCCAGTTGTAATTGATCCCGAATCTCCTGTTATCGTCTCAAAGGGAGAAGAATCAGAAGGAGAACAAATTGAGGACATAGTCGATGGTTACGACTCAGATATATCTTTAGCTGATCCTGAGATCAGTGGTGATTACGGATTCACCATCAAATATAATCGTGATATGAGATTGAAGCTCAATAAGCGAGTACATGTTCCATTAGTGAAACCAAATTTCAATAAATTACCAAAATTATCTGATTTGTTACCTGAATTGAAATATAAGTATTATCATTATCCAAATTACAAAGAGTACATACTGATAAATTCAGAAAAAGGTCTTGATGAACCTGTTGGTGTCGTTGAAGAAGGAAACGAAAATGGTGACGACATTGAAGAAGAAGAAGAAGAAGAAGATGACGAAGAAGAGCCAAGGTCTAACATAATACTTCCAGATAGACAAGCAATGGCTACACCTAGTACCGAAGATGTAGAACCTCCATTAGGTGCATCGGAAACAGGTGAAATCGAAAGCAATTCAGGAAGTGAAGAAACTGATGGACTGGAAGAGCCAATGGGTCTGTTGTTCGATAGTGTTGACTTAAGTAGACCGCCATTTAAATCTCAACAAGTTGTTCAAAGTTCTGAAGGAGAGAAGAATCTCAATAAGAGCAAGCATCCAGAATTCTTGACTAGAGAAACCATGTTGGTTTGTGAATGGGATAGAGAAATATATCAAGAATTATTCGAAGCCAATAAGACATGGACAAATCTTAAGAACATCCCAAATCCTGAGTTAGAAGCTAATAGAGAAAAGTTAAGAAAGAAAGAAAAGTCTACCATATCATTATATGATTGTTTAGATAATTTCAACCAACCTGAAGTTTTGGGAGATCAAGATTTATGGTATTGTCCAAGATGTAAAGATCATAAACAAGCTACTAAAACCATAAAAATTTGGTCAACAGGAGATATCTTAACTATTCATTTGAAGAGATTCCAAGTAGCAAGAAGTTTCAGTGATAAAATCGATATTACCATTGATTTCCCAATTGAAGGATTGGACATGACTAAGTATATTGGAAACGAAAACCAAGAAGTAATTTATGATTTAATAGGAGTGGATAATCATTTCGGAGGATTAGGAGGTGGTCATTATACTTCAAGCGTGTATAACTTCAAAGACCAAAATTGGTATTATTTTAATGATAGTCATGTAAGTAAGATTGATAATCCTACCGATATGATAAATGGTTCTGCATACTTATTGTTTTATAGGAAAAGGAGTGATAATGTTGGGTCTGAAAGATTAAATGTTATGATAGATGAAAATAAGACATCGATAAGAGAAAAGTTAGTTCATGTTTATGAAGAAGTGAACATGTTTGAAGAACAGAATATGGAAACTCTCAATAAGAAGAGTAAAACCGAAGATAATAGTGAGAAGGAAGAATAGATTTATATAGCAAACAGATCATTTATTCATTTTCTTTAAATTCTATTGTGTAGATAATTTCTTAGACCTCGTTTCAGATAACTTGATCATTTGAATTAAATCATCTTTTGTTATATCAAGTAAGTTACCATTTATGAAATTGAAATTTAATAGATTTTCACCGTCCGATATGATTGAAGATTTTGTTATAATGTTAGATTCTTCACTTTCATTTTCAAGATCACATAAAATGAAATTTTCATCATTTAACTTATAAATACCGAAATTAGAAGAAATGGGATTATTTTGAATATTCAACTTAACAGGAGTTAAAACAGGATTAACAAAGATTTGATTTCTTAACTCGATACTATCTTCCATGTAAATTTCTGGTAATTTAAAGTTTTTTAAACACTCTATTAATGAATAATATAATATATCGAATAAAGGACCAGATCTACCAAGTACTTTAAAATTGATTGATAAATTGAATTGATGTAAATTTGAACTGAAATCAGTTTCGTCAATATCAATGAATTCATCATCAACCTTCAATTTGGGTTTGAAAACTAATGAATCTAAAGGCAAGAATTTATTAGCAAGTAAAGTTTCATAAAGATTTTGGCATAAATTCATTTCTTCGTCAGTTGGAGCACCTGAAATAGTTCTACCTCTTGATACTGACAATGACGGATAAACTGAAGTAAACTGATTAGGAGTATAGTTCATGATTTCATTTATTGTGTAGGAAATAGTGGCAATTATTAAGGTGATACCATTTTTAATATACAAAGTAGTTAATTTTTCATTGGAAATAACTTTAAGAATCTCTATATTTCTAAATTCTTGGAAATTTCTGTAATTAGGACGAATACCTGATTTGATATGTCTTTCTAAAGAAAGATCAGGTATTATCCTTTCAAGGACTTCAGGAGGAAAAGAAATAGAATCCATCGGTTTTCTATCTCATCAAGCTTTTGAGATTTACTAGAAGTGAGGAAAAAGATCACGTGAACAAACACATGCGAATACACGGGAATTATCATTAGCCTAATCACATGATAGAAAAATTCCCTACGGTGGTTAACGGAAAAGCGGGTGGTCCGAGATCACATGATGTTGGGTCATGGAAAACAAACTAATTTCATTGGTTCTAGATATAGGGGACAGAATTTACGAGATCAAAAAAAAGCTGTTGAATAATACTAAACTTCATGATATTAAGAGTGAATGTTAAGTATTCAATACCTCCAGACACTGGAATAAGATAGATCATAATGTAATTGATGAAGAAAACGATTTTAAAGTTTCATTTTCCACACAGAAGGAAGTCATCCGATGAATAAATTTATCGGCACCGGGCCTATGAGGGCCCACACATTAAAAAAAAAACATTAGCGAGACATTATCATAACGGCGGTAATATCCGAAAAGGAAGGTCATAGATAATGCCGATAGTACATTATCAAATGTGACTGTTAAAAATGATTAACTGACCATAAGAATAATTTAATTAGCCCTAAAGACATTTGACTCTTTCACTTGTAATAAAAAACTCCCACAAGCAAATCTAATAATGAATAAAGTCCGATGACTCTAAATTACCTCATTAAGAGAAAATTTCCATCTCATCTTTCCCCCGTACATAAAGGTCTCAGGAAAAACACCCCAAAACAGTAGAGGGAAATACTCATTTTATATAAAGAATAATATCTTCTAAACTTATAAGGAAACTAATAGCTTAAAACGAACAAAGGATTTAAACTCCTCTTACTATTAACCCCTAAATTATTGGATAATCTAAAATTAAAAACAATCAGATCTATAGCCAATGAAGTGGTTCCGTTAACGGTTTATCTTTGACCTGTGAGACATCAGTAATTAATAAAACGTAATCATTCGAGACATTATTTCCCACATTGATTCAGGAGAGGAGACATTTTGTATAGTGGAGTTTTCCAATGAATCATTTTCCTTAATCTTAACAACAGGAAAAATTTTCAGATTATAAGATTTTATTAAATTCCACAATCTTAAATTTTTTTCCCACCCATATTTATCTTTTTTTTAAGAAGTAACTTATTTGATTTATTTGTTACTTTTAGTTTATAATTTTACTTTAATTCTCTTCAATCAATTAAACTTTTACACACAACACAACACAACCAAAGGTTTTTTATTGAGATTTTAAAGAGATAAGGATAAGATAACTTTTATTTTGATTAGATTTTAAATTATAGATTATAGGGATTAAATAAAGATTGAAAATGTCGTCATACATTGGAGAAGAATATCAAAGTAATATTTACCAATATGATGAAGTTCCAGAAAATAAATCATGGGCCTCAACTTTACCAGTAGCTAAAGGGTTATATAATCCAGAATTTGAGAAAGATGCTTGTGGGGTTGGTTTTACTTGTCATTTAAAAGGTAAACCAAGTCATAAAATCGTTAGTGATTCAAGAAATCTTTTATGTAATATGACCCATAGAGGTGGTGAATTAAATCCAAAAGATGGAGATGGTGCTGGATTATTATCTTCATTACCTCATGAATTTTTAAAGAAAGAATTTAAATATCATTGTAATGTTGATTTACCAAAATTAGGTCAATATGGTATTGGTAATATTTTCTTCAAGAAAGATGATCAAATCTTTGAAAAATCAAAGAAAACTTTTGAAGATATTGCTAATTCTTTAGATTTAAAGATTTTAGGTTGGAGAAAAGTTCCTCACGATTCATCAATTTTAGGTCCTGCTTCATTATCAAGAGAACCTTTGATTTTACAACCAGCAGTTATTTTGAATGAAATTTATAATAAAGATATTGATGAAGATGATTTCAATAATAATTATAATAAGGAATTCCAAAAAAGATTATTTATTTTAAGAAAACAATCAACTCACACTATTGGTTTACATAATTGGTTTTATATTTGTTCATTATCAAACCAAACTATTGTTTATAAAGGTCAATTAGCCCCAAATCAAGTTTTCAGTTATTATCATGATTTAGTTAATAGTGAATATCAAGCTCATTTTGCTTTAGTTCATTCCAGATTTTCAACCAATACTTTCCCAAGTTGGGATAGAGCTCAACCTTTAAGATTAGCTGCTCATAATGGTGAAATTAATACTTTAAGAGGTAATAAAAATTGGATGAGAGCTAAAGAAGGTATAATGAAATCTGAATTATTCGGTGATGAATTAGATAAATTATATCCAATTATTGAAGAAGGGGGTTCAGATTCTGCTGCTTTTGATAATGTTTTAGAATTATTAGTCATTAATGGTAAATTATCATTACCTGAAGCTGTTATGATGTTAATTCCTGAAGCTTGGCAAAATGATAAATTAATTGATCCAAAAAAGAAAGCTTTCTATGAATGGGCTGCTTGTCTTATGGAACCTTGGGATGGTCCAGCTTTATTTACTTTTGCCGATTCAAGATATTGTGGAGCTAATTTAGATAGAAATGGTTTAAGACCTTGTCGTTATTATGTTACTAATGATGATAGAATTATTGTTGCATCTGAAGTTGGGGTTATTGATGTTGAACCAGAAAATATTTTACAAAAAGGTAGATTACAACCAGGTAAAATGTTATTAGTTGATACTAAAGAAGGTAGAATTGTTGATGATAAAGAATTAAAATCAAAAGTTGCATCTAAATTCGATTTTAAATCTTGGATTTTAGCTAATTTAATCACTATGAAAGATTTAGTAGGTAAATTAGAAGGTAAAGTTGATTTATCAACCAAAAAAGCTCCTGTTTCAACTTCAATTCAAAGTGATCCAAGATTAATTGCTTTTGGTTACAGTCATGAACAAATGTCTTTAATTTTATCTCCAATGGCTGAAGGTAAAGAAGCTTTAGGTTCTATGGGTAATGATAATGCTTTAGCTTGTCTTTCTGAACAACCTAAATTATTATATGATTACTTTAAACAATTATTTGCTCAAGTTACTAATCCTCCAATTGATCCAATTAGAGAAGAAATTGTTATGAGTTTAGATTGTTACATTGGTCCTCAAGGTAATTTATTAGAAACTAAACCTGATCAATGTAACAGATTGAAAATTTCTTCACCAATCTTATCAAATAAAGAATTAAATGCTATTTTAAATATGTCAATTGTTTATCCAAAATGGTCAGTTGCTAAAATTGATATCACTTTTGATAAATCTGAAGGTATTCAAGGTTATATTAATACTTTAGATAGAATTTGTCAAGAAGCTTCAAATGCCATTGCCAATTCTAACAAAGTTATTGTTTTAACTGATAAATTAACTGATGCTAACAGATTACCAATTTCTGCTTTATTAGCTATGGGTGCTGTTCATCATCATTTAGTTAGACAAAAACAACGTTCTAAAGCTGCTTTGATTATTGAAACTGCTGAAGCTAGAGAAGTTCATCATTCTTGTTTATTAGTTGGTTATGGTGCTGATGGTATTAACCCTTACTTAGCCATTGAAACTTTAATTAGAATGAAAGATGAAGGTTTATTGAAAAATGAATCTTTAACTGAAGAAAAAATCGTTGATAACTATAAACTTGCTATCAATGCTGGTATTACTAAAGTTATGTCTAAAATGGGTATTTCCACTTTATCATCATATAAAGGGGCTCAAATTTTCGAAGCTTTAGGTATTGATAACTCTGTTATTGATAGATGTTTCGCTGGTACTGCTTCAAGAATTAAAGGTATTACTTTTGAATACATTGCTCAAGATGCTTTCACTATGCATGAAAGAGGTTTCCCAACCAGAGAAACTATTAAACCTTTGGGTTTACCAGAAACCGGGGAATATCATTGGAGAGATGGTGGTGAAAACCATATTAATGATCCTGCTGCTATTGCCTCAGTTCAAGATGCCGTTAGAAACAAAAATGAATCAGCTTATCAAGCTTATTCCAAGAAAGAAACTGAAGCTATTAGAAACAGTACTTTAAGAGGTTTATTAGATTTCGATAGTGCTTCTTGTACTCCAGTTCCAATTGATCAAGTTGAACCTTGGACTGAAATTGTTAGAAGATTCTTTACCGGGGCCATGTCTTATGGTTCTATTTCCATGGAAGCTCATTCTACTTTAGCTGTTGCTATGAACAGATTAGGTGGTAAATCTAACACTGGGGAAGGTGGTGAAGATTCTGCTAGATCTGCTGTTAGTGAAAATGGTGATACTATGAGATCTGCCATTAAACAAATTGCTTCTGGTAGATTCGGTGTTACTTCATACTATTTAGCTGATGCCGATGAATTACAAATTAAAATGGCTCAAGGTGCTAAACCTGGTGAAGGGGGTGAATTACCAGGTAACAAAGTTTCATTAGAAATTGCTAAAACTAGACATTCCACTCCAGGGGTTGGTTTAATTTCTCCACCACCTCATCATGATATTTATTCTATTGAAGATTTGAAACAATTATTATATGATTTGAAATGTGCTAATCCAAGAGCCAGAACTTCAGTTAAATTAGTTTCTGAAGTTGGTGTGGGTACCATTTCTGCTGGGGTTGCCAAAGCTGGTGCTGAAAATATTTTAGTTTCTGGTGATTCTGGTGGTACTGGTGCTGCCAAATGGACCTCCATTAAACATGCCGGTTTACCATGGGAATTAGGTTTAGCTGAAGCTCATCAAACTTTAGTTTTGAATGATTTAAGAGGAAGAGTTATCTTACAAACTGATGGTAACATCAAAACCGGTAGAGATGTTGCTATTGCTACATTATTAGGTGCTGAAGAATTCGGTTTCGCTACTGCTCCTTTGATTGCCTTATCATGTATTATGATGAGAAAATGTCATTTAGGTACTTGTCCTGTTGGTATTGCTACTCAAGATCCTATCTTGAGAAAGAAATTCACTGGTACCCCAGAACATGTTATCAATTTCTTCTACTATGTTGCTAATGAATTTAGACAAATCATGGCTAACTTAGGTTTCAGAACTGTTGCTGAAATGATTGGTAGAACAGAAAAATTAGTTGTTAGAGAAGACTGGAAAAATACCAAGAATGCTAACATTGATTTATCACCAATTTTAACTCCAGCTCATTCTATTAGACCTGGTGTTCCAACTCATTGTGTTAGAAAACAAGATCATAGATTACACGTTAGAATTGATAACAAATTAATCGATGAATCAGAATTAACCTTAGCTAAAGGTTTACCTGTTACTATTGATTGTGATGTTGTTAATACTGATAGATCTTTAGGTACTACTTTATCTTATAGAGTTTCTAAAACTTTTGGTGAACAAGGTTTACCTCATGATACTATTCATGTTAATGCTAAAGGTTCAGCTGGTCAATCTTTTGGTGCTTTCTTAGCTCCAGGTATTACTTTAGAATTAGAAGGTGATGCTAACGATTATATCGGTAAAGGTTTATCAGGTGGTAGAATTATTGTTTACCCACCAAAGGAATCTCAATTCAAAGCTGAAGATCAAATTATTGCCGGTAACACTGCATTCTTTGGTTCAACTTCAGGTACTGCATTCATCAGAGGGGTTGCCGCTGAAAGATTTGCTGTTAGAAATTCCGGTGCCAACATTGTTGTTGAAGGTACCGGTGACCACGGTTGTGAATATATGAGTGGTGGTAGAGTCATTGTTTTAGGTTCTACTGGTAGAAATTTCGCTTCCGGTATGTGTGGTGGTATTGCTTATGTCTTAGATATGGCTCAAGATTTTGCTAGTAAAGCTAACTTGGATACTGTTGAATTATCATCATTAGAAGATCCAAGTGAAATTGCTTTCATCAGAGGTTTAATTGAAGACCATCGTCATTACACTGGTTCTGAAGTTGCTGATGCTATTTTGAATGATTTCAACAGAATCTTACCAAGATTTGTTAAAGTCTTACCAAACGATTATAAGAAAGTCTTAGAAGAAGAAAAGAAGAAGAAAGAAGAAAGTAAGAAACAAGAATTGAACAAATTCTTAAAATCTATCAAAGAAGATCCAGAAAGTGATGCTACTAATGGTGAAGCTGCTAAGATCAAACACGGTCATGTTCACAGACCTTCAAAAGACATTAAGAATGAACCTAAAGTCTTAGATTTAGAAGATTCAGTTAAAGACGTTGAAAATGCTTCTGGAGCTGTTGCTAAATTAGATAAAGTTAAAGGTTTCATGAAATATAAGAGAAGAAATGAAAAATACAGAAATTCAAAAGATAGAACTGGTGACTGGAAAGAATTATCATCAAGATTAACTAAAGATGAATTGAAATATGAAACCGCTAGATGTATGGATTGTGGTGTTCCATTCTGTACTTCAGATACTGGTTGTCCAATTTCTAATGTTATTCCAAAATGGAATGAATTAGTTTTCCAAGACAGATGGTATGATGCTTTACAAAGATTATTAATGACTAACAATTTCCCAGAATTTACTGGTAGAATTTGTCCAGCTCCATGTAATGGTGCTTGTACTTTAGGTCTTATTGAAGAACCAGTCAACATTAAATCTGTTGAATGTGCCATTATCGATCACGGTTTCGAACAAGGATGGATTAAACCAAATCCTCCAAGTTTCAGAACCGGTAAAACTGTTGCTGTTATTGGTTCAGGTCCAGCCGGTTTAGCTGCTGCTGATCAATTAAACAAAGCTGGTCATCAAGTTACTGTTTATGAAAGAAGTGACCGTCCAGGTGGTTTATTAATGTATGGTATTCCAAACATGAAATTAGACAAGAGATTAGTTTCTAGAAGAACTGATTTAATGGCTGCCGAAGGTATTGAATTCATCTGTTCAACTACTGTTGGTGAAGATATCACTGTTGATGAATTGAAAACTTCTTATGATGCTGTTATCTTTGCTGTTGGTTCTACCATCCCAAGAGATTTAAGAATCCCAGGTAGAGAATTAAACAACATTAACTTTGCTATGCAATTATTATCTAAAAACACCAAAGCTTTGTTAGATGGTGGATTAGAAATGATTAAAGATGAAATCAAAGATAAACATGTTGTTGTTATTGGAGGTGGTGATACCGGTAATGATTGTTTAGGTACTGCTACTAGACATGGTGCTAAATCAGTTACTAATTTCGAATTATTACCACAACCACCAAATGCTAGACCAAAAGATAATCCATGGCCACAATGGCCAAGAATCTTCAGAGTTGATTATGGTCATAGTGAAGTTGCTACTCATTACGGTAAAGATCCAAGAGAATATAGTATCTTGTCTAAAAATTTCGTTGATGATGGTGAAGGTAATGTTAAAGGTATTAATACCGTTAGAGTTGAATGGAAGAGATCCGATTCTGGTGCTTGGCAAATGGCTGAAGTTCCAGGCAGTGAAGAATTCTTCCCAGCTGATTTAGTTTTATTATCAATGGGTTTCGTTGGTCCAGAAGCTGATAACTTAACTGTTGATAAAACTAAGAGAGGAACCATTGAAACCACTGATTCTAACGGTTATAAAGTTGGATCAGGTAATATGTTCGCTGCCGGTGATTGTAGAAGAGGTCAATCATTAGTTGTTTGGGGTATCCAAGAAGGTAGACAATGTGCTAGACAAGTTGATAACTACTTAATGGATTCAACCAGATTACCAGGTAATGGTTCTATTGAACAAAGAAATTATAAATTATTAGAAGAATTAGCTGATAAAATTTAATGATTTCTAACTTATATATATTTTGTCAATTTATTTGTTGTGTGTAAATTGATAATTATTTATTTTGTTGTAATAAAATGTGTTAAGAAATAATCTCTTCTGTTCACCTCTTCATCTGATACCCAAGAAATGTCTAAAGAGTGTCTATAACGACCCAAGGCTTATAAACAATGTCTAATATCATTACTTGATACGGTAATTGCAGAGCCAGCTTAGGTTTATATGGAGTATATAAAGAGACCAAATAAAGTAAGGAGGCTTTGAACTAAAGTAATAACAATAATAAACCCCAGTATAAAGAAGGTTAAAATGTTAAACAGGAAATGTCGTTCGCTTTTATTTGCAAAAAAAATAAAAGTATTATATGACACTAGTGTCTGAACTGTTTGTACAGGGATACGATCATCAACTGATGGAAAACCTTTATTTTGACCGATAATTAAGAGCTGAATATCATTTTTTTTCAGTCAAAGGCTCGAAAGGTTACGTATGAGGTTCTACTGAAAGTTTCATGTTGAATTTTATCTCCGGACATCTAACCATATTATCCCATATGAAAACTGAAATATTAATTAATTTCCATTCAATAATCAACTGTCTATATTGAGGAAAGAGTACGATGTTCTGGCTATAGCATTACTCAATAGGGTAATAGTCTCTAGTATTTCTGCATTACCATGTATTATAGATCCTGTTGTATACAAAATAGCCAAATAGAGTAATGTGAAATATTGCGTTAATAAACCCCCCAAAAAAGTTTTGGTAGATGTACATACTGATTGAGAAAATATAATTCTACATTGTCACATAATGCCCTAGAGAGTAATATTTACTCACAAATATTATGAAGAAGATTTTTAATTCTCCTATTGAGACATATTTCCTAATCGGGATTTGTCTCACATTTGTTTCACAACAGCTTGAGGATTTACAAATTATATAAACGCATTTAAATACCAACCTTATATGGTTTAGATTGTTGACAAAACCTTATGGACAAATGTCTCTACAAATCATAGGATTCATATGTCAAGGGTTATCAATAGTTATGATCGTGAAAATACGGTATGAACACATAGCCCTAAGACATTTTTGCCAATGTTGCATTAAAATTCTATTTTAAGTAACAGATCAGTGTTCATTTTACTAATTACTTTAAACTGAAAATTAATTGATTTTCTCGACAGTAAATCCTTTTAACTCTATAACATTTTGACAGTACCAAAAGGTGGATTCCTTGATGTTTATATAGATTTGACGATATACATTTAACATTCTATCGTGGTTACTGATAAGGAAAAGTAAATAAACCCCATGTGTTTACAATAGTTGACGAAGAACAAGTAGTTTGTTTAAATAATACAAAGCTGGTAAATAGAACACACGCTACAATCCACATAAATGTCGCGCATATCTGAAATCACTAAGTTGCTACCGTGGTGGATTAAATTTTAGTACCATCGCGGTACCAAAGGTGGTGAGAAAATATTTTTCTCTCACTGAATTCTTCCGGTGAAAGATGTGCCGCAGAGACATTTTACCCAGTTTGAATAGGAAAATTTTTCACGACGAAATTGGGCGGTGGACAAAATTTTTATTTAAATTCATTAAATCCCCTTTTTTGAAATTAAATTAATTATAATGTTAAAATCCTTCGTTATTGGTTCAGGATTAATTTCCTTAGCTTTAGCTGCTAACAGTATGTATCATTAAACAACTAACTTAACTTTTAATCAAGTTAATTGGGTTTTATGGGATCATAATTACGTCTTACCTTTGATCTGATGATAAATTCGACAATTGAACAAATTGAATTGATCTTCGAGGAATATCTTCAGAAATGGTGATTATTATGTTAATTCGAATATTCAACGATGATTCAACGACATTACCATCATAGATCAATTAGATCTCATGTCATCTAATGATTACGGTTGACGTTTTTTCAAACCCCGGCTATAATGGAATTCCAATACTAATTTTTTTTTAGACTCAACTTTAACAACTGCTACTCCAGATGTTAAATCAGCTTGTTCATTCGATGACTTCACTGCTACTGCTTCAGCTGATGTTGCTTCAATTGCTGCTTGTCCAACTGCTGTTGGTGAAATTATCATTGAAGGTGATTCATTCGGTTCAATTGAATTGAACGGTCTTGAACAACTTTACGGTTCTTTAGAAGTTAACAATGCCACTAAAGCTGTTACTTTTAACGCTGCTACTTTACAATTAGTTTCTGGTGAATTAGCTTTTTCTGGTAACACCGTTTTACAAACCTTAAACTTAGCTCAATTAACTACTGTTGGTTCATTAAGTTTAAAGGCTTTACCAGCTTTAGAAAATGCCGGTTTAACTTCAGGTATTACTTCTGCTGATGCTATCGTTGTCTCAGATACTGGTTTATCTACTTTAGAAGGTATTAATGTTGTTAAATTAAAAACTTTAGATATTAACAACAATGGTAACATTGAATTAATTGATTCCGGTTTACAACAAGTTACTGATTCTTTATCAATTTCTTATAATTCCGATCAAGTTGATGTTAAATTAGATCAATTAACTTCAGTTAAAGATATGGTTTTACAATCAATTGGTTCAATTTCTTTAGCTAACTTAACTTCAACTAATGGTTCATTATCATTCTCATCATCATCAATTGAAAAGATTGAAATTTCTTCATTGAAATCCATTGGTAACTCATTAACCATTAACAAAAACTCCGATTTAACTGAAATTGAATTCTCAAAATTAACTTCAATTGGTGGTGCTTTACAAATCTCTGATAACGACGATTTATCATCATTCTCAGGTTTCCCTGAATTAAAAACCGTTGGTGGTTCAGTTAACATTAATGGTTCATTCGATAATGGTACTTTCGAATCATTAGACAGAGTTTCTGGTGGTTTCAACTTAAGATCATCAGGTGATTTAAGTTGTGAAGAATTCAATGAATTAAACTCCGATGGTGATATTAAAGGTGATAAATACTACTGTTCAGGTGCTGATAAAGAAACTTCATCATCTTCAGCTAAATCAAGAAGTTCCGAAGAAACTTCATCTTCATCTGATGATTCAGAATCCGATGAATCTTCTTCCTCATCAAAATCTTCAGATTCCGGTGCTAGTAAATCTGTTGGTGGTATCTTAGGTTTCATCTTAGGTGCTGCTGCTTTAGGTGTTTCTTTATACTAGGTTGATTTAACAATCCTGGTTTTTTTCTTAATTTGAACGATGTTCTAAAATGTATTATAATTTTTATTACTTAACTTATCTTATCTTATCTGTTTGTTGGCTCTTGATCTCATTTCCTCAATCTCTGTTTTATCCCCTTTAATTGTGGGTTTATGTCGTAAATCAATTTGTCGCGCTGAAACCAAAAAGTGAGAACTTAACTTCGTGAACCATCAAGAAAAAAATCCAGTCATGAAAGGAATTATTTTGTTTTGGTTAGCCTTAACCGTTGTATCAAAGAATGTTTTTGATTTCAATAAATTTAATTTAGAAGCAGAAAAGGCTGAAAGAGCTTTAAAGGAAGATATGGAAAAAAGAGATGGTAAAAATGTATTCAATTTAGATGATCTCAAAATTGGTGTACCTGTTAAAAGGGATGGTAAGAATGTTTTCGATTTTTCCAAATTTAAGAATGAAAAAAGAGATGCAAAGAATGTGTTTGATTTCTCCAAATTCAAGAATGAAAAAAGAGATGCCAAAAATGTGGTAGATATCAGTAAATTAGCTCACGGTATTGATAAAAGAGATCAACAAGTACTTCAACAAGATGAATCTACCAATTCAAATGAGCAATTATTAACTACCGTTTTACCACAATACAAATCTATTTCCATATTTTCTGGTTACATTAGAGATAACAAAGCTATTTCTGATAAAACCGGTAATTTGAAAGAGTCAATGTTAATTATTTGTCCTACTGATAATTCAATCGTCAATAAATTAGGAGACTTGAAACCTTGGGAATTCCCTAAAACTTTAAACGGTGAAAATGATGATGAAATTATCGAATCCAATTTAAATTATTTCTTATCTAATCATATTGTTGAAAATTTACAAGAATTAAAAGCTAATGATAACAAATTCACTGTTGAATTATTAAGTGGTAAAGAAATAGTTGTTTCCCAAAATTTCAATGGTATTGAATTATTAGCAGATGGAGTTAAAATCCCTGTTATCTTATCTAAACAAGTCGATAACGGATTTATTTTCATCATCGATGATTGTTTGGTTAAACCTTAGATTCTACAAGAAATCTAAATTACGGTGGGAGGTTTAAGTATATGGGTAAATGAACGCGAGAGTTAAATTTTCGGAATCTCTTTCTTTTTAAGTATTTATTCTCCTAACATCTATCATCTAATCGGTCAAATTACTTACACCTGATTCTTCATAAGGTTGATTATTTAAAGAATATTCAATTTTCCATTTGATTTTCAAAGTCTTGTTACTTGGATTATCAATCTTGAATACTTGAGTAACACCATTACTTGAGAAACCATAAATAACATCACCACTTTGAGCATTCAATTCTAATTTACAATTCTTTGGAGCTGCAACTGAAAATTTGAAATTTGTGAAAGTATTTGATGTTAAATTACTGAATAAGAATTTACCACTAGTACCATTACTTAATTCAACTTCAAATTTCAAATTATTTGATTGATTTAAAAGTTTCTTTGACTGTATTTGACTTGGTGTAGTGTTTGGGAAATTCAAATTAAAAGGATCTAACCCAACATTTGATTGTAATTGAGGTGATGGAGAAGTAAAATCACCTAATAAATCAATGTTGTTTGAAGTACTATTAGTATTATTGGATGGTTTTACAGGTTGTGGTTGTGAAATTGATTGAGAAATTTCTGGTTGTGGAGTTCCTAAAGCAATTGAACCACCAGATCCAAATAAATTAAGAATATCATTATTAGATTTTTGAGCTGAACTTGAACCATTGGATTGTCCATTGAAGGTCAAGTTAGATAAATCGGCTAATAAATCATTATAACCTTCATTATCATTTTGATTGTTACTTATTGGTTCATCATCATCGAAATCAATTAAATTCAATTCTTGATTAATATTTGATTTGATCTTAGAAGCTTCATCAATCTTACCACCTCTTAATAATTGGAATTTATTGATTAAATTATTAATATTATCATTCAAAGTTAATAATTCATTTACTTTGGATTCATCAGTTTCTTCTTCAATGATTTTATTTATAATTGGTTGACTACTCTTGATTGAACCATATAATTCATGTAAAGCTTCATTATCTCCATCAATCTTAGCATTTTGTGATTGTAAGTTACTTAACATTTCATCCAAAATTTCAGATTTCCTCTTCAATCTAGCTAAATCATCAACAATTTCTTGCTTATTCTCTTTAGCTTTATTACTTTCTTTGAAACCTGCCATAATCTTCATTAATTTATTGGCTTCTTGTAAATCTTGAGGTCTTCCTCTTCTAATTAATTCTTGTAATTTAGCAGAATTAACTAATTCTTCTTCTTTTTGTAAATCTTCAAGAGTTTTTAAAGAATCTGATGGATTCAACACTGCTGCATCTTCGACTTTAACTTCAGGGAAAATATATCCTTTATGGCTTAATAATCTATGCATATCTTTAATATAACCGAAATCTTCCTTATATTTAGAAGTTTTACAAATTGTTTGATACCATTCTTCAATTTGAGCTAAGATTAATCTTTGAACTCTAGTATAACGTAATGGAGGTCTTTCAGGGAATCTTTTAACCAATTCATTCAAGAATTCTTTACGAGATATTTGTAATTGGAATGGATAACCACAATTCTTCACTAAATTATCCAATAAAGCTAAAGCCAATTCACTGGTTTGAGGATCTCTTTGACTGATCAATTTGGCTACAGTAATGGCAGCTTCTCTTGGAATTGATCCTTGTTTTGCATTAACATAATCACAAATCTCCAAATTTAATGCTAAGTTAGGTTCTTCCAAGGAAGGTCTACAAGCACGATCTGAATAGTTAGTATCAAGTTGAATAGGGGGGTTTCTAAGAATTCAATGGGAAGATTCATTGGTTTTCAACAATTGATCGATGAAATATCCACTGGATCCTTCATTAGATCATAATCTATGGTTACATACAAATTCTTCTTAATAATTTGGGATTGATCTTTGAAAGTGAAAAAGATCCTGACATGATAATCGACGATATGAGAACTCTCGCGGGATTTCGTTACAACCAATTCCTCAAAATTTACCACTTTCAGTGGGGTTTCATTGGCATTAGAAAAACTCATTCTTTTCACATTTGGTAACTATTCAATCTTGAATGAACCATAATTAAAGGCTTTGGTACAATATAAAAATGTCACAACTTACTGAAGAGGAAGATCCTTTAGGGTTGAAAGAATTAGCTTTGAATTATGATTATCTCATTTATAAGATGAATGACCACATGAATAACTTATCCGAACTTACTTATACGGCAGTGAAGGATAAGGAGATTCTGGTCAATGAATACCTTGAAAAAAAATTGCAATTGGATAAGGAGATGAAAGAAATTGATTCAATACTACAAAAGTGTGAAGAGTTAGAATTGGAGTTTATGAAATTAGATCAATTGTCTTCATTTATTGAAGGATTTAAGAAAAGATTAGACACAATTGAAAGTCAATTGACATGATCAAACGAGTATTTCATCTTTTCTAGGTTCATTACCTCTGGTGATTGCATCATCTTCAATGGCTTGAAGATTCTTTTTATCCATCTTTGACATTACTGGGACTTGACTACTATACTTTTCCACTAAATACTTCTCCAATAGAATGAAGTTCCTTGAATTACATTTATAAGCGATATTCATGAAATCACCTACAATTGGAATTAAACCAAGCATGAAATCAAAAATGACATTAGACATCATTTTCAGTCTTATACCCATTGGTAAACCACCTTCAATTTTTTCAGCTTTCCTTACAATTTGTAAAGCTAAGAAACATGCTATAATATCACCTAACCAAGGGATTAAACCAATAATACCAGCCCAACCTAATCTGATACCACAAATACTCAATTGTAAATCCAATCTATAAGCTTTACGCTTAACACTGTTTAAGATCTTCAAGTCTTTTGGTGGAATAATAGATGGCAATTTACGCTTTCTTTTAGCTCCTTTTCTCTGATAGAAATGTAATTCATCTTCAGGAATTTCCTCAAAATAAGGATCTTGAGTATCACCGATCTTGATTACAGAATCTAAAGCAGTCTAACAGGTTAGTATTCCTTAATTCAACAGACTGATCAATCATTGATCTATATATCACATACCTTCTTTAAGAAATATTTGTAAAGCAATTGAGACATAAATGTTTTGAAACTTCTTTCGCAGCTAAATGATGGCTAAGCCCTTTGACGATAAAGAAAATGATGAGGCCCAAAGTATCGCAGTAACAGGGAGAAAAATTAGTGAGACATTTAGTACCAGAGTTCGCAGACAATAAACTTCAAATTTACAGGAATATATATATTTACAAGACTATTCAATTTTGGCTAAAATTTCTTTATCAGAATATAATAAATATTCTTCTTCACCAATTTTGACGGATGATCCACCAAATGGAGGTAATAAGACTTTATCACCGGATTTTAAAGAAGTTGGAATGATTTCACCAGTAGCTGGGTGGGTTAAACCTGGACCAGCAGCAATAACGGTGGCTTCATTTAATTTTTCAACATTCTTTTCTGGAATGAAGATACCTGAAGCAGTTTGAGTCTTTGGTTTTAATCTTTGAACTAAGACTCTGTCAAATAATGGTTTTAAAGATTGAGCACTTTTTAAGAATGACTATAATTGTTAGTAAATGCATTCGTTTCTGTAGGTACTAAGTTCAATTACTCCAGGGAAGTATCATCTAATTCCACTTCGTCTCTGTTTAATTACAACTACCACTTCTATGATTAGTACATACCATTTGTGATTAGTGATGAAAAATTTTTGGTGAGAATTATAGAATTTTCTAATTGGTTTGGGCACATCGACTGCAAAAAGACAATCCGGATATACCATAGAAGATTATGGAAAACTATAGTTATAAATGTATACTAATCTAAATATCTATCTAAAGGTTCACCTAATACTGATTCAATAACCCTAACTAAACCTTTTCTGACTTCTAATTCTACAGATTCATCATCATCATCTAATAATTCGGCAATATATGGAACCAAAGTTGGTAATAATGATAACCAAGATTCTCCTAATTTTTGGAAAATTGATTTCAAAGTTCTAACAGTCCATATCTTACAACGTACATCATTATCATCGTTCAAGTAAACAATCAATTGGTTCAAAATTACCTTATTATATTCATCAGAAGAAACATTAGCTGTGAATGAGGTAATAGCTTTAACCAAATATTTACCAATAGAATCATCAATATTATTCAATGACTTAACTAAAGGAGATAAGATTAAATTGAATCTAGATTCTTGACTCCAATAATCATCTTGATCATGTTTAAAAGATAAATTCAATGAAATCAATAAAATTCTTCTCAAATTAATATCAGTCAATTGTTTGTCATTAAATTTGGTTAAGAATCCAGCAACTGGTTCGATTAAATAAGAATAATATGATGTAATGATACTTTTCAATTCTTCTTGTAATTTATTGAAGAATTTCATGAAAGAAATTAATCTAATGAGTTCATCATCAATTATGGAATTCTCACCATCAATTGTCCATCTGATCAATGAAGCAAAGATTGGTCTGAAATTCTTATCATTTAATTTCAAGATGAAGTTAATACTACAACTATAGAATGAACTTTCTAATTTGAAAATAGTATTATTATTGAACTTATTATTAATCTCACAATAAAATCTGAACTCTAAAATCTTAATGGCCCATTTTAAGAACATTGAAGAATTAGCAATAGCCAGTTTTTTATCGATATTTTCAATGGTTTTAGTTAAACAGTTCAAATATAAACCTAAGTTTTCTGGAGAATCATCTTGATAGAAGTTTTTAGTGATCCAAATGTTGAATAAAGATTTGATAAGTTTATTCAAATCGATATTTTTAATAGCCAAATCAAGGATATTTAATCTTAAATCATTATTGACCAAATCTGATTTCAAAATGAGTAATAACATTCTATCGATATTGTTACCTAAAAATGATGATAATTTCTTGATGAAATTTGAATATAACAATAAAATAGATGTTTGAATCAAAGGTTCATCAACAAATTTATCATAGATCTCAAATGATGGGTTAATGATTTTAGGTAAGAAACCAATCATTTTAACTCCTAAAATGTCAATTAAATTATTAAGGAGATTAACTGATGAAATGATCAATTCAGGTTTATTACTTAAGAAACCTTGAGTTAAAGTCTTTTGTAAAATATCTATCAAAGGTTTGGTATCTTTAAAGATATCATTATTAATGATGAATAATTTATGGATAACTACACTTAAACAATCAATAAATGATTGTTGTAATAAAAGATCAACATTAGCTTCAATTCCTTTGACAAGAACAGGAATAAATTTAGTAGTTAAAATATCAATGATATCATCATTAATATTGTTAACATTCAATTCATTATCTAACTTGTTGATAGTCAAATTAACAAAGTTTCTTGAAACCTTCAAATCTTCTTGATCTTTACTAATAGATTTTTCAATGGATTCTAAGATTGAATCGATAAAGTAAGAAATTGGAAGCATACTTAAGAAATTGTTCAATAATTCAAATTTATCCTTGTATTCTTCATCATTGATCAATTTCAAGAAGAATGAAATGATTCCATTAAAGTTAGTTAATAACAATTGTTTATCTGAATCATCAACTTTGTCATCCAATAATTGAACGTTGATTTTCAATTTCAATAAATTAATTTCATTGAAATCATCTTTAGGTATGATAATTTCATTCAAATAAGTGAACAAATTATTCTTAAGGTTGATTAATTCATTATCAGTTAAAGATAATAAAGAAACTCCAAAGATTGGTCTTTTAATCAATTTGTTATATAATTCAGGATTTTCTTTCTTATTGATTTGTTTGTTAGGGATGATTTCCCATAAATCTAAGAATTTCTTGAAACTGATTAATTGATCATTGGCATTGAAATTCTTTAATAAAGTAGTGGAAAATTCAATCAATGAAGATTTATCTTCAATTTCCTTATTGAATTGATTACCAACTAAGAACAAGATTATATGTAAAGATTTTTCAATAGTTAAAGTTTTAACTAAAGAAGAAAACAATTTATTTCTTCTGTGTCTTGGAATATGTTGTAAAGCAGCAATGAAACTTGCTAATAAGAATTCAATATCTTCATCAACATTAGTAGTACCATTTTTAGCTAATGCTGGTATAACTCTTGAAACAGTTTCTTGTAATGCGGAATTTGAAAACTCATCATCTTGTTTAATAGTATGAGCACCCATGAAGGTAAAAATTGGCATAACTGAATGTAAAATGATTTCTGGAGCTAATGAAGCTAATTCGGCAATAACTAATAATAATTTATTTTGAATTTGTGGACTGGTTGAATTTCTAATTGAATTAACAATCAAATCAGCTCTGATTGAATTAGAATCATAATTAAATTCTTTGAATTTGATTAATTTAATGGTATTTAACATACAACTTGATAATACTTCTTGACTATATAAAATAGGTAAATGTCCATCATTACCTAAATAATCCAAATCAGTTAATATTTTAAATAATTCAATCAATAATTCAGGACATGATAAATTATCTTCAACAGATTTCTTTAAACTTTCAGTTAAATTATAATTCAATAAATCCAATACTATGGTTAATTTCTTTAAATGAATTGATGCAATACTAGTGATATCATTTCTAGCTAAATTTTGTTTGGTTTGACTTGAAGATCTTCTTTTTCTTTTAGCAGATTGGTCAGGAATTTCATTATTGATTTGAACAGTTTTCAAAACCATCGATAACAATTCAAAGTTAATTTTCAATTGTGCTAATACTTCAAATGGATCAAATTCAACAAATGATTCATTAATATCATCTTCAATCAATAAATCAATTAATTTATTGAAAATTTTGAATTTCAAATCAGCATATTTGATTTTAGGGAATATTTCAACAATTCTTTCACATACAGAAATTGGATTAATATCAACTAAATTCAAGATTAATTCAATTTCTTTACTTGAATGTTTTTCATTGATACTTAAACCACCAATCAAACCAATCAAATTGGTTTCCATATTATCATAAGATAATTTGAATTCATCACTTTCTCTGATCAAATTACTTCTGTTTGCTTTGAAATTGATTAAATCATCATTAAACAAGAGTCTATAATCATTATCTTGTTTGTTAAGTTGAGTCATAATTTCCCAAATTTTATCTTTCAATGATAAAGGTAAGAAGGTTAAAGACCATTGATTCAAGATAAAACTCTTAACATATAAAGAACCAAATTTCTTTAACCCTGATTTCTCGAAAGTGAATAATTTAACAAGTTTATCGAGAATTTTAACTCTATCAACGATTAAATCATCGAAATTAACTGCTTCAACTAATTCTGAAAGGGTTTCCCATTGTTTTGGAGAAATCATTGATTTCTTATTATTTGGTAAATCAATATAAATTTCATCTTCCATGAATAATTTAGCTTTCTTATCAGATGATGTGACTTTGATGACATTCAAGAAGTTTATGAATCCACTTCTGATGAGTTTATTAACATCATACAAACCAAGTAAAGTAATTGGTAATAATAAATAGAATTCCATCTTTCCATTGTCTTTGATGAATTTAGACATGATCTTGGTTGATTTAATAAGAACCTTAACTCTAGCTTTAATAGGTAATGAACTGGTTAAAGCAAATCTTAATAAGAAGGAAATAAAACTTTCAAAAGTTGGGAATTTAGTTTTAAATCCTTCAATACTATTCAAATTAACTATTAAAGCTTGAGCTAATTGATTGAATTCAACAGTTGATGAATTATTGAAGAATGATGTAATTTGTGTAGAAATATCATTTTCAATAATATCTTCAACTTCTTCAATTTCTTCAATGATATCATTTTCATCAAGATCTTCAATATCAGCTTCAATCTCATTATCCAAAGTGGTCATTAAAATCATTTCCAAATCACCAATTTTGATGGTAGTTGAAGATTTGAATAATGGAGGATTTAATTTATATAAGGATTCAAAAGTTCTGGTAACATTATCTTTAACGATTTTATCTTTGAATCTGTCATTACCAACTTCTCTCAATAATTTACTTAATATGATTTTGAAGTTAGAATCATTGATTGATAAGTATTTGAAGTATTTATAGTGGTTTAATTGATTCAAGTTGGAAATATAATAATGAATTAAAAACTTGTTGATATTATAACTATCGGCAATTAAAGATTTGATTAAATCTTCATCAATAGTGAAGTATCTGATGGAAATATCTTCAGTCTCAGGAAGATGATTTTGCCATAATTGACCTAATGTAATAACAGATTTTCTTACTGTATCTTCACTTAAACATTCCTTGTTGTTAATGATGGTATTAGTAAGTGATAAAATGATTGTTTCATTTAAAGGAACTATGGATGAAATAATTGAAATTAATGAAAATGCCGTTAACTTACAATCATAACCACTGACATTTCCCGGTAATAATAAATTCCCTGTCAATTGCAATAAGATTGGTAAATAATCTACTTCAATTCTGGATTTATCTTTGGAAAGGGTAGATAATAATTGTATGGAAATAGACAAATAAAAGATCAATTGGTCCTTAAAGATCAATTTTTTGGAGATTTGATCGATGATGAATAATGAATATAATTTGAATAACTCATAATTGTTCAAGAAATTCTTGATAATGGAAGCCATTGAAGGATTTTTCAATAATTCTTTGAATCCACTAAAAGATTCGAAGATCTTAGGAAATGAACTTTTTGGAATCACATTTAAGAATTTGACAAATAAAGGATTCTTATAATATGATAAAGAAATCAATAATAACATTTCTCCATTATAAAGATTGATATTAAATCTTCTTACTAACCATTCTAATGCTTTGATTGAACAATTCAAATTTAATAATGGTGATATTAATAACAAGAAATTATTGATATTGGCATTTAAATCTTGTAACATATCCGGAGTTTGAACATTTCTATCGAAAGTAACAGTGGTTTCATGAAATAATGTGGTTTTAAAATGTTGAAATTTCTTATTGAAGGTTATCAACTCATCTAAACCTTCTAACCCAATATCGTAAATTAATTCGAAATCTTGAGTAGCAGCGATCTTAGGCTCAAAGATCAAAGACCGTGAATGGATCTTTGAACGAGATTTCCTATCGACTACTGTTGAAACAGCATTATCACTGATAGATTTTAATTGATCTAACAAGCTCATACTGGAAAAATTTATTTTGAGATGAGATTCGCGAAGACTTATTTGCAGCCAACTTTGGTGATAATTTACTACCAGAGATGAGAACATTTTACTACCAAGTGCGGTACCAGAGTTAATCACTAAAATGATACCCAAACATATATTTTTAAAAAAGTGGAATATTTAACAAATCCAGAACCAAATTCTTTCAAAGATATTTCTTGGAACTTGTGGTACATATTCAGATTCTTCTTGTTCAATTAAATCCAATCCAGTCAATAAATCAATATCTTCAATTGGTCTTAACCATTGAAATCTACCAAATTTAACCTTCTCATAAATCATATGTCCCACATACAATGCTACTAAAATAGGGAATGTTATATAAGCAGCAACAAAATCAGGACCATTAAAGTGGAAAAATACTGAAAACCCATTGGTAATACAAATAAGACTTACAAAGAATATAACTGCATAGGTTGTGTAAGGTTGGAAAGGAGTTCTGTAAGTTACTCTTTCGGATAAACCATGGAATACAATAGCTTTTCTCCATCTTAAATAAGCAAATCCAACAGTAATCCAAGCAAGGAATCCGGAAATGGTAGAAAGATTAGATAACCAATTGAATACATCAGCACTTGAGCTTGATGAATTCAAATAAGCTAAACAACCAAATAATCCCGTAGCTGAAACAGCAAAATAAGGAACTCCAAATCGATTTGTTTTCTTGAAGATAGCTGGGGCAATACCTTGTTTGGCGTTACTATATAAAACTCTTGAAGCAGTATATAAGAAAGCGTTACCTGAAGAAGCAGCTGAAGTTAAGATAGCACCATTGATAATATGGTTCAAAATTGGAATAGAAGCATTTTGAATACCAATGACAAAAGGGGAAGCTGATGCATCATCTGAACCATTCAATAATCTTTGACTATTAGAATTACAGATAACTCCAATAACTAAAGTCCCGAAAATATAAAAGAAAGCCAAACGATAAATAAATCTATTAGCAGCTTTAGGGATATTCTTTCTTGGATGTTCAGCTTCACCGGCAGCAATAGTGATCAATTCAGGAGAACAAATAAATGCATAACCAGATCTAATGACGGCGTACCAGAAACCTAAAAATTGTCCAGTTTTACCATCAACCAAATAAGACTTGAAAGCCATTCCATCTTTCCAATATCTGAAACCTAATCTATCATGGTTAGGACCTCCACCAAAGAATAAAACAATACCCAAAATAATTAATCCCACAATTGCAATAACTTTAATGAATGCAAAATAGAATTCAGATTCACCAAAGAATTTAACAGATGTGATATTTAAGAATACCGAAACACCTAAAAGAATAGTGATCCAAACCGCTGTAGGGACACTGTTTGGCCAATAATTGATTAAAATGGCTCCTGCTGTAACTTCAGTGGCAACAAGAATGGAAAATGAATAATAATAAATCCAACTTATAGCAAACCCAATTGAACTTGAAACATATTCACCACAGAAGTATTGAGGACCATAACCAGGTAATGGCAAGAAAGTAACCATTTCTGCCATCATATTCATAACAGCCCAAATAATAAATGACATGAAAACATAAGATAAAAATAATGAACCAGGACCCGCAAGACTCAAAGCACCTCCTGAACCAATGAATAAACCCGTACCTAATAGTTAGTAAAGCTCATAAATAAAGCTGCATTAAATTTTTTGTAAACTGCAAAACTGCTAAAGTGCAAAATGTAAAATGCAAAAAATATATCAATCAGGAAAAATTTTTCTGCAGGTTTTCAAAAAAAAAATCCAGCCGTTCACGGACTACTGTTACATACCTATACAACCACCGATGGCCAAAAGCTGAACCATTCTACTCTTCAAACCTCTATGTAAAGTTTGGATTGGTTGTTTCTCTTCATCATAGTATTGTGCATTTTCAATTTCTAATCCCAAATGAGATGATCCAGACCTGTAAATACTTGGTCTGGATGTAGTTGATTTAATTGAATAAGCTCCTTTCATAGAAAGTATGGACCAGTCAATGACTTGATTAAAATTATCTTTTTTTCTTGCGGGTATCGGTTTATTTATATATTTTTCAACTTTTTTTTTTGGTGTGTGTATGCATCCAGACAGTTTCTTGTCATTTTTCTATCAATTGTAATAATTCTTTCACAAACCCCCAGAACCCTTCCTACATAATATAGCCCGTCACTTCATAAGGATCCATCATTTGGATAAAGCATAAAGATCAGTAGATGAATTATATTAACCATTCATTGTCATACCCTAACCTTGAATAAATCTGGGGTAGGTGAAAGTCAAACGGCAGGAAAGAAATCTCAAGCGAGGGATGAGGTGTTGAGGGAATTGCGAGGCGATACCAATCACTAAATAGGAAAATTACCCGTTTATAAGTACGATCAAATTTCGGAGATTCAGCGAAGTAAACTTCTATTAAACTATAAAACAGCCACATAAATCATAATGGTTCTAAGACTACCAAAGTTGTTTCTCCACTAAAAAAAAAAAAATGGAAACGAAAAAAAAAAGTAATAATTGCCAAATACTTCAAACAAGGGAAATCCCAAGAGAAGATTAATCAAGATTATCAAATTAAACTTACTTCTTTTTGAATAAAGGTTCACCAATTTGTTTACCTCTTAATTTGATACCTAAGGCTCTTTCCATTTTACCTAAAACTTGTTGATTTGGTTGAGCTTTACCACTTTCATAATCATTAATAACTTGAGGTTTTTCATTGATTTTAGTGGCTAAATCTTTTTGAGTCATAGATTTATCTTGTCTAGCTTTTGAAATAACTTTACCAACATTGGTATCGACTTTTTTGACAGCAACAACATCATCAGTATCATCTAATTTGGTTAATCTTTGACCTTCAGGATTTGATTTGGTATTGGTTGAACCATATTTCTTTTCAGTACCAATGACACTACCAGTTCTTCTAGCAGCATTCAATTGACTTTGAGTTTTAGCAACATTTTGTCTTGGACCTCCACCACCAACTCTGGCTTTTTGTCCAATAATAGTAACTGAGTCCCAATCTGACATATTTTATTATTTTTATTTAAGTAAAGGTGTTATTAATTCTTCTTATAGTATGATCTAAAAGGAAATTTCTTTCAGTAGTGTGATCTATGAGAATGATTTAATGACGTTGGAGAGAATTTTTTTCCACTGCGCGACTATAAAGAATCTTCTAGTCTCAAAACTTTTAGTTCAGTGGCACACCCTAGCATCCAGAGATGATTTTAGATATTAAATCCAAATCCAAATCAATCAAGTCATTGTCGAGTGATGAATTCACTCCAACTTCATTCACCAATGATTTAATTGAAGTTATCGCTAAAGATAATAATTTGAATAAGAATAGAATCAGAATTACTTCAGAAAATGAGAAGGGTAAAACTGTATTAGCTATTAACAAAACTTTCAAACAATTAGGTATTTCTGATGATTCACAATTGATTGTTAAGGATTTAGGACCTCAAATCGATTGGAAAACCGTGTTTGTAATTGAATATTTGGGACCAATCATCTTCCATTCAATCTTTTTCTATGGTTACCATTCATTCTTTAATGAATATCAAAACACCACAGCTCAAATTGTTTTATATGATTTATCATTATTACATTTCACCAAAAGAGAATATGAAACTTTATTCGTTCATAAATTTTCCAATGCTACTATGCCAGTCAAGAATATCTTTAAAAATTCATTCCATTATTGGATTTTAAATGGTGTATTATGTTCAGCTTTTGTTTATGTTCCAGAAACATTGGAATATTCCAAAAACACTTTAGTTAGATGGGCATTTTCTAGTTTTGATTGGTCTCCAAGTTTCATTATTCTTTGGAGTGTCTTAATTATTTTCTGTGAATTTTCCAATTATTTAACTCATGTTAATTTATCATCTCTTAGAGATAAAAACCCAAAGAATTATGAAATTCCTTTTGGTTATGGTTTCAATTGGGTAAGTTGTCCAAACTATTTCTTTGAAATAATGTCATTCGTAGGATTTTCCATCTTAAGTGGTAATTGGACATATATCTTATTTACTTTAGTTGCCAGTGTTCAAATGTACATTTGGGCTGTTGGAAAACATAAAAGATATTTAAAGACATTCGGTGATGATTACAAGAAATTAAACAGAAAAGTTTTAGTTCCATTCATTCTTTAGTGATACTTTGAGAAATATATGGCCCCTTATGCATTCATATTTCGTATATTTACCTATTCAACACTCTTGGCATTGAAAACCTTTAGTTCTTATCTAATTTTAAACAAATACTATTTACGCAATGTCTAGCATCGGTAGGAGTTTTATAACCTTCACCTCTAAATATATGACCTAAATGTCCATCACAATTAGCACATCTCATTTCTTCTCTAACCATACCGAAACTTGAATCAGTTTTTGTGGTGATGGATCCCGGAATTGCTTGATAGAATGCTGGCCAACCACAATGGGCATCGAATTGAGTTGATGATTCATATAATGGACTATCACATCCTACACATTTATATACCAAACTCTTATCATTTGGAGTTTTAACAAATTCTCCACTATGAGGAGCTTCAGTACCATTTTGTCTCAATACTTTAAATTGTTGAGGAGATAATATAGCTCTCCATTCTTCTTCTGATTTACTTGACATAGTTCTAATGATTCTTAAATTTCTTAATATCCTGGGATTTGGCCTTATCAATTTATACATAAATTTTTCAGCCTGCGCAGCTTCTTGACAGGTTGGGGATGACCATGTGATTAGAAATCAAATAAAGAGACTTTATTACATAATCTATTAATACATCAACGCATAAAATAATTATATTTACCAACAACTTTTCTAGAATCTTTAGTTTGAACATCCCAATCAATTTCAATATCAATTTCTCTTGGGTTTTTAGCATTTGGTCTGGCTGAGATTTTACCTTTGATTTTTTCATCTTGTTTTAAATCTAATACTTTATCCATATAGAAGACAGTTTGTTTCCAATGACTGTATTGACTCATTGGTCCAGTTTTTAAGAAAACTTTTTCATTACCTGGGAATTCACAATCGAACCAAACAATATAAGCATGACATAATTCATTAGTTAAAGCTTTCAATTCGAATTCTCTGGTGAAAGCTAAATCTTCTTTTTTAACGGTATTTATATCGAATTCAAAGAACTTGTAACTTGAAGTAATTAATGAATTGTTATCAACAGTATCAACTAATGGTTCAGCCATAGCAACTTCAATAAATGGACTATAATCAAATCCATAAACATCTTGCCAATAATTAATTTTTTCATCTTTATATTCACCATCTTCAATACCAGCAATATACATAGAACATTTATCAGGTAAGATTAAACCCCCTTCAACTAAATATTTATCTCTAGCATATAAAACAGTATCTAACATTGATTCATATAATAAGAAATATCCCATCCATTCAGAAACTATTATATCAACATTTTTAACAGGTAATTCAATATCTTCTAATTTACCTTGGATTAAAGTGATTTTATCTTCGAATCCATTTAAGGTGATGATTTCTTTAGCTTTATCAATAATGTTTGACATATCAACTGAGTAAACGTGTTTGGCACCAGCTTTAACAGCGAACATTGATAAAATACCAGTACCACATCCAACATCTAAAACAATCTTATCTTTGAATGCATCTCTGTTTTTTAACATAGCTGATCTATAACTTAAAGTTCTGTTGGTGTCTTTCAACATTTCTTCGTGAATCCCGAAATGATCGTATGAAGAGAAATAATGTTGTTCAGTGAATGGTAATGCTGATTTATCGGTAGCTGACATGATGAGTATGGAAAAAAAAAAATTCGATGAGATCGCATCTTATCAGGTCGCAGTAAATCTCCGACTCCTGGATTCTTCATTTGGTCCGATAGACCAATAATCTTAAGTTTTTATAGTAAAGGATTATTTTGTTATACATTAGCGGCTACTTAAGCTATCTAGGAGGTCTAAGATAAATCTTCTTACTAGCATCAACACCTACTTTGGTATATAATAGTTGTGCTCTATAATTATCAAATGAAGTAGCCCAATAACATTTGTTACAGTTTAAAGCATCTGCTTGTTTATAAACTTCTTCTATCAATAATCTTCCCACTCCTTTCAATCTGTTCTTATTAGAGACATATAAATCATTTAAATATAACGCATCTTCTACAGTCCAAGTATTTTTATGAGTCAAGTAATTAGCGAAACCAATGACCTCACCTTCAACTTCAGCTACTATACTATAGATAGGAACGGTATCATCAAAGAACCTTGACCAAGTATATTCACTTGTTTCATCACTAACCTTATCTAAAGCTTTATAAAATTCCAAATATGAATCTTCTTTACCTGACCATAATTGGAACCATTTTTCCTTATCTTTCTTTTGCACAGGCCTAATTATTACCGACATTGAGGAGTAATTAACAGTTTTTTTCAACTGTTTATATACAAAAAAATAGCGGATAAGTGAGGTAATGATTCATGCAAAGAGAATGCGCTAAAGGGTTCCCAAATCCATTTGCAGCCAAAACCTATTTACGATAACACAAAAAAAAACATGTTCATTTACGGTCTACAATATAATAACATTCCCATACTAACACCAACTTTGGTATATAATAATTGAGCTCTATGGTTCTCGAATTGAGTACACCAATAACATTTACCTGCTCCGAGCTTATCAGTTTCATTATATACGTATTCAATAAGCTTTCTTCCAACTCCTGATAATCTATTTTGAGGAGAAACGTATAAATCATTCAAATACAAAGTATCCTTGATCATCCAAGTATCTCTATGAGTCAAATAATGAGTGAAACCAATGACTTCACCATCAACCTCGGCAACTGCACAATAAACCGGCTCCTTTTCATCAAAAAATCTTTGCCATGTGGATTCGGTTATTTCTGGAGTTACTTTATCTACAGACTTATAAAATTTCAAATAAGATTCTGAAGGATCACACCATAACTTAATCCAATTGGATTTATCTTTAGCTTCAACAGGTCTTATAATTACACTCATTATTGATTCAACATAAAGGGCTAGTTGCTCCTTTAAATATTGTGAAAGTCTCCTTGATTCTTATCAACGTCCCAAACGGGAAATTCAATGCGCATATTTTACGAACTATGTACATTAAAGTAGAATTACTTATTTATATCTTTGAAGAGTTCATCCATTACGAAGGATGTGACAAAATCATTGTCTTTGAAACCATTCGGTGTACGGATATCAGCAACTTGTTCCACGTCAAGGTTATTGAAATTTGGTGTTCCAATATTAAAAAGTGGAGTTAATCCTGAACCACCATTGAAATCCTTATCTTGCATATCATACTGTTCAACATTTGCATTTCCAGTATTAAATCCCGCATCATTAAGTTCAGTCAAGTCATCTTGTTTACCTTTTCTCGATAACAAATTCAACCAAAGAGTATCAACATTATTAGAAACATCCGAAACACTACTAATATTATTACTCCTTGACTTGGTAGATGATGTAGTCTCAAAAATATCAGAATCGGGAGTGGTAAACATGAAGTTTTGGTCCAAATCTGTAGCTACATCAATAGGCGGATTATCAAACCAATAAGGTTCTTTATTTTCAGATTGATTATCTAGTTTTGAAGGCTCGAGATCAGCATGAGAAAATTGAAATCTACTATTACCATTATCAGTAGAAGGATCTGAGTTTGTGTTGGAGCTTGATGAATAAGCAGTATCACTACCATAAACATTTTGATCATCGACTTTCATCATGTCATCTTCTACTACTTCTGCATGGAAATCATTATCGAGATCTTTCAATTCACTTTCAAATTTCTTCTTTTTGATAAGACATTGTTCTAAAATTCCTACAAGTTGTTGAACCTTAAAATTATCGTCCAACAATGGGAATTCCATCTTCTCGACGTAAATATTGGTCCTGAAAGTTTTTGATTTTAAAGTATCAATGAAAACTTGATTCATTCTAGCAATTAACCAACCATAATAATATTTTTTACTAAAAGCATGGGCTATAGAGATGAAATTACTAGCAACTTCATCCAAATAAAGGAATAACTTACTGAAATTTTTGAATCTTTTACTATAATTTTCATCATTAGCCATTAAAGTTGGATGATTTGGATCGGAACAATAATTTATGACAGTAATTTTGATTCTTATTAATAAAGATTCAATGAACATCAATCCCTTGTGCAACATTGTTTCAATACCTGGAATTAAAACGAAATCTATGGAACTTTCTAATCCTTGTAAACTGAATAATTCCAAGTAAACAGGGAACATTATTAACAAGATTTTTTCTAAAAATCTGTGTAAATAATAAAAAGCTAAATCATATTGTTTACGAGCCTCGAAATGATTGAAAAGGGAAAAGAATAATGAACAAATGAAATGGCCAAATTGTAATTCAATCTTAGTTTTATAAATATGTTTGATATTTTTTGAAACAATATTGGCTACAAATGAAGTATTCTTATTATTCAAAACACTATTCAACGAGAACACTTTATACTTCAAATAATGAATTTTTTTACAAAATTGAACACTATTAATTGTTCCATTGACATCAATAATTTCATTCACAAATTGAGTTACTGGTTCATAAAGAACTTTTAAAATTTGGAAACAATCGATGATGAACATTTCTCTATTAGAATTAACTAAATTTGAATTCTCATCGGTGTAATAAGGTAATTTTGTATCGAAAGTGAATTTATTGGCATTTAATGGATCACCATATTCAAGAGAATGATTTAAATCCAACAACAATAAACAATACCATATTTTTCTTGATAAATTATTGAATTTTTCATTTTTCATCGATTCAACTCTTGATGGATCTCTATTCAAACCCAAAGAATATGCCATTTGAAATAAAGTTGAATTCAAAACTTGGGCATCTCCATGATCTGGACCATCTCCATTTTCCGGAGCATAAATTTGATAAAACCTTATAACCATTGCCAATTGTAATATGGGAATATTAACTGATCCAAATAAGTTGAATTGATTCAAACAATTATGTGATATGAAAACAATATCCATATCAATGGTATTTTCATATAACATTTTGTCTATTTCACTTAACTGATCAAAGTAATTTGCATTTGCATTGATTGTAGGTATGAGGGATAAATAACCCAATCTTAAGATGATCAATAGTATACCAAGATAAGTAAAATCTGTTTTATTATTCAAAGATAATTTGATTTTTTCTTTACTAAGAATGGAATAATCAGAATCTTCGGGGATTTTCCTATCAATAAGTCTTGAAATTTGAGTTTTGAATTCGATTTCGTCCAAAATAGGTAAATAACCATAAAATTTATCAAAAAATTTATCGATATGGTTCCAAATAATTGTTTCATTGGGTAAATTATTTTCTATGGTTGATAGTAAAGTGAGTTTTTCATTCCTAGCATCACCGAATCTCAAACCTAGTTTTTGGGAATTCATACCTGGAAGAGGATGATTAACTTCGGACACTGGTTGATCAATCTTTACAGGTATAGTATTTGTGAAGTCACAACGGAAACCAGAATCCATATCAGCATCAATGTCAGAATCTTTCTCTTCTTTTATTGGTTCAGCATTTGAATTCAATGTTGATCTGAATTTAGTATAATTAAATTTATCATTAGCATTTTTGACCTTGAATAAGTGATCTCTTTTAGGACTACGTTTAATGTATTTAAGAATTAATTTAAGACAAGGATCACGATCGAAACTAGCTTTCCAAGCTAAAATTCCGAAATTTCTTCTTGAAACCGGCCCATGATCAGCAATAGGTGGATCACAATCAAATAAACTAAATTCAGCATCATCACCTACTAAAGCCATTAATTGATTAAAATCGTTATCAAAATGAACTTTCTGTATATCATTCAAATTATTTCTGATGTTATCAACGAATTCTTGATTGAATAAATTACTGGGATTACCTACTCTAACTTTATCAGCAGCATCAAGTGGTAAGAAATCCAAGTTTGTAGGATTTTTGAATGAAATTTTATCCGTTGATAAATTATTAGGTTGTACGGTATTCTCTAAAGTCGCCAATTTCAGTTTTAAAACTTCTAATTCATGTTCTAAATTTTGTTTTGAACTTTTTGGTGCACGTTTCTTATTAATTCTTGGTTCTGGTGATAAATAAAAACAATTCTTATTATCGAATCTTACACATGATGAACAGGGATCACCTCTATCACATTTAATTTTCCTCCTTTTGCAGAATGTACAGACGGGTTTATTCTTGCGTTTATCATTCTCTATCTGATCGATGGTCAGCATTTTATTGAACTAAACCGGGCGGATTTTGTTGGTATTTGAATGGGAAAGGTATGTACGGGAAGTTCCTGGGATGTTTAAGATTTGATATAATAGAGTTTTTCAATTTGATCTCTAACACACAGGCGGCGATATACTTAAGGAAAACCTTCAATAAATCGGAAACTCTTAATTTTGATACTTTAAAACCAGACGGTTATTATAAAGTTATACTTCAATGTTGATAATATGAAGTTATGAAGATTCGTTAACCTTTGAAATGGACAAAACTTTTAAACCCCTTTTAAAATTATGGCAAAAACTGATTACGAGATTAATTCGCACTCAACTTAAAATACATGATGGAGCTTTTACGTAGATTTTTCAAAGCCTTACCAAACTTCGGAATTCGACACATTCCGAGATTTTAGAGGGGGGGTATGAGTTTAAAAGCATCTAGATGTATGGACATGGTATCTATTTATGTAAAGTAATGAATAATCAATGAAATAAAGGATTTCATTCTATGCATAGAAGGTAAATTGATCTATAGGATGAAATCATCAATTTGAAATTGGGATGATTCAAATAATTTGAAATTCTTACTAAATTCGATGTTACTCAAAGCATTCGATAATACGTGGTCAACCTCACTTTCGAAATCCCCGCCTATTATAACCGTTGTAGCATCTCTAAAGAATTCCACATTATACATCACACATTCAAGTAAGAAAGTTTGAATTCGAGTTATTCTCCAACTAAAATAATATTTGTTTGATAAATTAACAATGAAATTGATCAAGTTTTTTGATAAGTTGATCACTTTATTGATGATTCTACAGTGGGGGTGTAACAAATTGAGTCTTACTAGTATGGATAAATTTAGTAATAGTGTTTTATGAATGAGTTTTTCAATGTATGGAAGGATCATGAAGTCAACCAATTGAATATCTTCGTTGATGAAATAGTTGATAATGATGGGTAATATCTTATTATAACATATCCTTATCATAGAATATAGATACTTGTTACTTAAATCAGGGTATTGATGATTCAAATAATTGTAATAATGACTATAGATAGATAATTTGAAATAATTCAATTGTAATTTCTTGATAAGGAACTTTGTCAATTCAAAAGTATCATCTTTTCCATGGTCATCGAGTAACTTATCGTATTTGTTGATGATATTATTCATATCGTTGATTTTAAAGGATGTGAAATTAAATTTTAATGTATTTAATTCCAGGACAAAACTAACCAAGAAGTTATCACTTTTAACATTGAATTTATCGATGTTATTGACATCTCCAATAGAAAGGAAGGTTAAACAATCACATTCAAGTAAAAAATTCCATAAATTTTCATACCTTTTGTCAAGATGAAGACCTAATTGAAATGCCAGTTGAAGAAGTAAACTATTACTGATTTGAGTTTCCCCAATTTCTTGACTATCACCAAGCTCCGGAGCATATTCTTTATAGAATTTAAACATTATTAGTAATCTCAAGAACTCCAAGTTACTAGTAGCTAAATTGAATTGGTTTATACATGATTGACAAAGATCGTAAAATTTAGCATCTATTTTATTAGATTCTAAGAATATAGCTTCTTCCGAGATGGCATCAGAATGGGAAGCATATGATACATAACTTATTCTAAGCATTATGCATAATTGACCTATGATGATAAAATCTAATTTATCCTTTGAAATTACCCTATTATTAACGATGATTCTAGTTAAATTATCCATAAACGATGATTGATCAATTATAGGTAAGAATTGAATGATATGATTGAAGAATCTGTCCAAATAAACCTTTCTTATTTCCGAAGAAGGGAGTATCTTATTTATTTCATCAACTATTTCTCCGGCACTTATTTGATTTCTCCCATCCCATCTTCCTTCGTCGTGCTTTACTCTGTTATGAAAATTTTCAGCTTCAGTTTCATTCAAATGCAAATCTGTTGGGCTTGGTAACTTCACAACGAAATCCAATTTTTCGTCACTATCTAATCTTGTATAAACTCTTTCCCATAGTTTGTTTAAGAAAGGGTCGGTTCTCACTATGGCATTCCAACTTATAGGTCCCATAAATCTTCTTTTATAAGGTTCGTCAATGATTAGATTATTATATTGATGTAATAGGTTGATTTCTATATCTCCGACTTGATGATCATCTTCTGGCAGATACTTAATTTTGTCAATAGTTTCAAAATAAGTATTTACAGCATTGATACTTTCAAGCATGGGGAAGTCTTTCTTATCCCAATGGAGTTTTACAGAAGCCGAAGACGATTTTACTATGTTTCCATCTGCTACTATCGGATCATCTATCAAACCTGGATCCCCTACTGTCACCGAATCAGTATCGTATAATTTAGTTGGCCGAGATCTGTTATTTTTCCGATTTAATAATTCTTCATTCCTGGGATATTCACAAACTTTATTGTATTTAATACAAGAACTGCAAGGCGTCCCCCTGTCACATTTTACTTTTCTTTTCTGACAGAAGAAACAAGTAAGTGTGATTCTGGGTCTTTTTACCATCGGCTGCAAACTACGCACTAATGCGACCAAGGGATCATAGAGAGCAGTTATGAAAAGATGAATACTAATGTTTAGTAACAGTCAATTCAGTTATCTATTTCTGTTAATTCAGTTATCTATTTCTATAAATCTATTCAAGGTCATCAGAATCGGTTGAATCCGTGAACAATTTGGAATTCACCAATGCTAAATAATCATGCAAATTATCATTGATAAGGTTTTTAAAATCAACTATAAAGTCTTCACCAATGCCTTCAACTGGAGTTTTCAAATTAACGATTTGTTTGGCATTTAATACATTATCTTGTAAGATGGGCAAAATAATAGAAAGTTTGAAATTTTGGAAATTTCTCTTATTAGATTTTAATATTATCAATAAAAGGTTATTTGAATTGATCAATTTCTTTTGAAATACCACCAAGTTATTATAATAATCATTACTTAAGATCTTTTCAAGGGGTAAAATGTTTTCAATTTGGGATTTTACTTGTATAATCAAAGAAATATTGATCATCCAAACTAGTTCTATCAAATTATTTACAATGGGGGAGAAGATTAAATCAATTAGTTTACTAAGTTCATTTTCAAAGGAATAAATCTTCACAATGATTGGTAATAAACTTTTATAAATCAATTTCAACATACAATCTAACACCGAGTTACTTTTATGGGATTTTTCCTTTTGATAATATTTAAAATAATGATAAAGGAGAATGATTTTAATGTAAGTAACATGAAAGAAATTTTCAATTTTGAAAAGTTTGTAAATGTTTTTGGGATACTTTTTATCATAGGGAAGTTTGAATTTTAGTTGGTGAAGAATATTAAGTACTTCATTCAAATTGATATGATCTTTGGATATAAGAATTCTTTGGACTAATTTATTATAATTGATTTGGAAGTTAGGATAGAATGATATTTTATCTACAAGAAGTTTTTCCAAACTTGTTTGATTAACTGATTTACTTTCTGGACATTGATCATTGTCATTATTAAGAAATGACATTTCTACATTTGGAATTTTCAATTTATGATTTTTAGCTAAATCTAAAGGAAATCCATTTAATATTACATTGTTAAGGTTTGGTTGATTTATCAAATACCATAATTTTTTATCATCATTATTTTCACTGAATTCTATTCCTAAACAATAAGCTAATCTTAAACTTTCAATTTCATATTTTTGAAATTTCCTTAAATTATTCTTCAGGAAATCATCAGGGGAAACTTGATAAAAGAACTTCAAAAGGTTAATTAGAATTAAACTATTGAGGTTTTCACCACCAAATTTCTTCAAGATATGTTCAGCAATAGGTATGAATTTAGAATCTAAGATCTCATCACTTAAATAATCAATGACTTTTAACATAACAAGAAGGTTCCCGAGGGAAATAAATTCATTATTATCTAGAACATCTTTATTCAAAACATTCTTAATAACCAAATCAAATTTCTGAATATTCAAAATGGGGAAAAATCCATAAATTGATGTAAACTTATGCAAATATTCTTTAATTTTTAGTTTTGAAGGTAAGATAGATCTTATCTCATCAAAATTTGTATCATTAATAACATTAGATGATTGATATTTATCATAATATAATTGTTTAACATGAATTGATGAATTATTTGGTAAAGTAACAAAAAAATCCAATTTTTCACTATATTTCAAATTCTTACCAAGATTTGATTCAACGTATTGAAACACTTCATTCATCTTTGGGTTTAATATTCTTATCACATTGGGTGAAAAAGGTGATATTAAAAATTCTTTTCGGTCAAGGGACATAAATGGATTGAATTGTTGATAAATTTGTACCGATTCAGTATACTCGGCCGTAAAACAATAATCTTCGAAACTCGAGTTTAATTCTAAATCTAAATCATCTAGATTTTCCGATGGTGAACTACTTGATAACTCCTCCTCATAACTACATATTTCATCATTAAGAATCAAACAATTTGAACATGGTCGTTGATAATCACATTCAATATTTTTATTTTTACAATTTTTGCAGCTATTCATTATAGAAGGAATTTAAGTAACTCAAACTCTATTTAATCCTGATAAGAAATTTGACCACTAAAATCCGGTTCTATATAACGGTAAATAATAACGTTCTATCAAATAAATACAAAAAAAATTGGTTTGTAAGATATTCCATAAAAATGGAAAGGTTATAAAATTCTCAATTTTGATCTTGTGAGTTCTATATATATGATGATGAATAAAGATTATATAATTTCTAGTATTACATAAAAATTAAACGGTGCCATCGGACTTGTGGCTATAACTCGGCTACATAAATTCGGACTTTAATAGAGGTACATCTCTTTAGACATAGAATGCATGAGAGATATGGGATTTTCGGACTGAAAAGAAATTATACTTATCATGTTTTGATGTTTAAGATCTTTATTGGTGTATTGTTCACCTTGATTGAGGTAATAAACATGATCATCTACTTGACCATAATGATGTTTAGCCACCCATATGCATGTTTCAGATTCTTGGTATAAGGTCAGCCACTCGAAAAATTCATTACTAAGAGCCCTCTTTACTAAGTGCGATTTGTAAAGATCAATTAGTAAATCGCGCATATCACTAGAATATCTGTCTCAGTTGCTCCTTAACTATGGTGGAAATAACCAAGGGACTTAAGTTATCTAAGATTATATTTCAAATTTACAAATATCAAAAATTCAAACCAAATTCATAATTTGTGGGAAATAGAGAGTACATGAAGCTTTTTTTTTGCACCCAATGTTCCGCATCCGGGGATATCTTTCCAAATGACTGCAAAAAAAAATTGAGAAAACATTTGTAATCGTTATAGTTTGTCATACATTCATTAAAGGAGGTGTGTTAATCATTGATCTTTGGTAAAATTAACCACCATACAAATCCAAGATTCGAGTAATTGTTCACTAACACCGAAATAATTATCATCATTTTGTAATTCACATTCGAATATTGATGGTAAGTCAAGTAAATTTATACATCTTAAAAAGTAATTTTGAATCTTGAACGTTCTCCAAGCATAATAATATCTGTGAGATAAATTATGAATTACCTTCAATAGTTTTGTAAACGAAGAATTGATCAAATCAATCAATTGAAGATTTAAACGGTATAATTGATTCATGTTATTCTCTTTAACTAATTTAATGTTTAATAGCTTTAGTCTTATCATTAATGATAACAAGATGATGAAAATTCTATGGAGTAGATGAAGTAAATTGGGTATAAATATGAGATCATTGACGTTGGTTAATTCATTTTTCTTCTTAAATATGATGGTGATTATGGGTATAGTCTTTTTAAATATATAGTAGATCAATCGATCTAAAAAAGTGATCCTTATAGAAGGGTCTTGAATACCATTGAAGACATGGAAAAGTACTGATAAATTAAGTACTTGGACGGTGATTTTGAATTGTAATATAAAAGTGTTACTTATAGCTTTATATCTGGCACCATTTTGAGATTTCATATCATCAGTTAGGATGGTATTGATAAGATGATTGAATTGATTCTTTTTATTGTTTGTATCATTAAAATTGAATTTTTCAAAGAATTCATTACATGTTTTAACAATTCTTTTACCTCCAAGACAAATATTAAGTAGTTTTATGGTAACATTTTCAATTTCAGGTGATCTATTATTACTATTCTCTGTATTATAAGCCGGAATTTTGATATTGATAGAATGGCTGATGAAATTTGATGATACAACTCCTGAAACAATGGAATTATTAGAATATATATAAATTGAAATCTTTCTTTTTAAATTAGCCAACTTTAAATTATCATTACTGAAATTAAATTCATTGAATAACCCTAGATTATTTGCTAGTCTATTCAAAACAATATCGAAACTATAAGTTTCATTACTTTTAGCTCCTAATCCATATTCAGGACCGAATATCTCATAATTCCGTAAGAATAGACCAAGCTGAAGTATTCTCAAATCGTTATAACTCAAGAGATTGAAATATTTCGAACATTCTTGAGCTACTTCAATGGCATCTAGATTGATAGGGTTGGACTTAATGATCTCGATATTATCTGGGGTCTCAAATAATTCATTATATTCATCTTTAAGTAAGGAAAAGATCGATAAATATGATAATCTTAAAATGATCAAAAGTATCCCAATATAACTAAGATCTATTTTCTCTTTGATTTTCAACTTATGAGAATTTAGTATCCTTTCAATGTTACTTCTGAAATCATCTTCATCAATTATGGGGATAAAGGGGTATATTAGTTTGAAAAATCGGTTCAATAGTATTTCAATGACTTCATGTTTAGGTAGTATGAAATGAATTTTACTTATAAGATTGAACTTTTCAAAGTTCTGTAGTTTCTTATCAGTAAAACTATCTTGGAATGAAATTGAATTCAACAGTATGATTTTCCTATTATTACTTAATTCATCATCAAACACATCATTCAAACTTTTGAAATCTTCATATCCTTCATCATCATGATATTTGATAATAAACATCTTTTCCAACTGGTGCTCACATCCAGCGTCTGCTAGTTGATTAAAGAATAAAAGTTTATTATCTAACGATAAATCATTGAAAGTAACTTTTCTGGTGATTTTCATGAATTTATCACAATGAAAGAATGATAACCATGTCATCGGTGGTGAATATTTCCTTATCTTACCCTCATATAAAACAGGATCATAAAAGTGATAAAGATTTATTGTTCCTGGAAGAACTTTACTCAATATATCAGAACATGATTTGTCAGAATCAATCTTACAGATATTTTCCATATTATAATCTTCTTCTGGGACTTCTTCACCACCACAATCATCTATACTTTCATTAAGACTATCACTGACATTTTCACTACTACCAGAAGATGAATTATCACTGTTGCTAACACTCATAGTAGTACTTATGGGGCCACTAACAGTGGTACTTGAATTTGAAATATCAGTTTCTGAAACCGAGAATGGTAATGAATCCAAACTATTCTCTTCAATAGCATTATCTTTCTGTTCAATAAATTTCTCCAAGGTCTTGATTTGTCCCTTTAATAGACTTAATCTCCTAACCAAATGTTCATTATCTTCCTCTAATCGAATGATATTTATATTGGGATATTCACAATTTACATTCTTATACTTTACGCAAGTTGAGCAAGGTGATTTCCGATCACATTTAAGCTTTTTGCTCCTACAGAACAAGCAGGTATTAACCCTTCTTGGTCTTTTAGAACCCATTCTTGCTGCGCGATCTTATCGATGATTAGGCCGAGCCACATTATTAAAGTTACCCTGAATTTTTCAGCCTTACCAAAAGAGAAGAGGTGAGGTGATCTAACAAATGATTTATTTTCTAACTAAAGTATAACCAGTATTCCATACTAAATCAATAGAAGTATCTTCGGTCCAGCCAGTTTCGGATTTTAACTCATTAGCATAATCCTCAATGACTTTAGATTCGGGATTTGCTTCTAAATAATTATGTAATCCACTATAAGTGGAAACATAGTTGAATAATTGATCAATGTTGATATTTTCTTTAACTAAGACCAAATCTTCACCTTCAGTTGGTTTTTTAAAGTTTTTAAGATCAACTTCGTAATTATTGATCTTAACATCTTTAAACATTGATGGGATTTTATCGTCAATTTCTTTGTAGTAATTTTTAATGATTGATCTACCTGGTTGTTCCCAATGAGGACCGACAAGATTTTCATCATCATACATATACTTGAAGTAAATTTGTTTAGCCTTTTCTAAGGTTTGTAAATCATTTTTACCTGAAGCATTGGTAACTATAGGGTCAACATAATACCAATAAGCGAACACCCCATTTGGTTTGAGGAGTTTATAAATTTTCTTGAATAATTGATCAAAATTCTTAGACCAATGTAAACATTGAGCTCCAACGATTAAATCATATTTACCTTCTGTCAATGTATCTAAATTATCTAAATCACCAACATTGAAAGAAATTCTTTTAAAATCACTGATACCTAAAGATTCACATCTTTCTTTGATTAAATCATTACAAGTTTTAATCATTGAAGGGGATAAATCAACACCTTCAACGTTATCACTGATATTAAGAAGATCATAAGTTGCAATACCTGTTCCGCACCCTATGTCCAAACTATTGCCGATCTTATTACCACTGTAATTGGATAAAATTTCGTAGAAAGATGGTGGATAGCGTGGACGGAAACTGTTGTAATTGATAGTTTTGAAGCCTGTTTTAGAAAATGTAGCCATAATTGTTAATTGATGATTAAATTCGAACAAATGATAGAACTTATATAGTAATCAACTTTCTCGCTCCCCCACCTTTTTCAGATTTTCCTTGTCGGCTCCGAAGTTTTGTTTTTGACGTAACTGAGCGGACAAAACTCCGTTTATAGACAACTGATTTCACAAATAAACCCGAGAATTTAACCCATGTGTCAACCATACAATAGCCTTAACATGATAGAGAGTGAATGACCTTAGAGCAAAGTTCACAATTATATACATTATTCAAGATTTAAGAATTCATCATAATTTAAGAATGGTGCTAAACCTAAAGAACCATCGGCTGCAAATTCATTAGCCAAAGCATTTTGACTCAAATTGACTTTGAAAGGATCAAATTCCAAAAGCGTATCAATATCAATTTCTTCTTGATCAGTTGGGTCAGACACATCTGTTGATTGTTCACTCTTGATTTCATCAGTTTGTGATATTGAACTTTCAAGATCATGGGAATATACCACGTTGTTTAACATGGATGGTCTTTTCACAACTGGTTTCACGGTATTCTTTTTCTTCAACAATGGTGTTTTCAGTGGGAGTCCTAAGATACTAAGGATAGCCATTTCTATCAATTTGGAGGAATTCTTAGATAAACTACCAGGAATTTTGAGATTTGACTCCCTTACAATCAAGGGAACGGTATCCAACAATAGATTCTTCGATGACAGATATAATGTCCCTCCTTTAATATAGTCCAACGTTCCCTTGGCAACCAATAATGACAATCTTGAATGTTCACGAGGTAAATTCAAAGGAACTGATAATAAGATTGGATTCATAGGATTCAAGAACGTTCTTAAGATTTGAAGTATTTGGAGTGAACTTTGTTGGATCATGGAAATACTGGATATGATCGATGATTTACTTTCCATTCCCTTCGTCAATTTGGTCTTCTCAGATAATCCGATATCAAAATGATTACCAAATTTGGAAATAATAGGTAAATAGATCAAAGTCCTTGCATGGAAGTAAAGGAAGATTAAACTAAGTTGTTGAACACTATATTTCTCCCAATGATCTTTATCTATTTCATTCACGAGAGAATTTCTGTTGACCCCAGTTTCAAACTTCAATTCTTCAGGTAATTCTCTTCTCCATATTTCAAGCTGAGTTTCCTTCTTTTGGGAAATTTCAAAGTCTGAATCGTTTTCTTGGCTACTATAATAAATGTTATCGAGAATACTTGATAAAACTCTACTATATAACATCACACTCAACGAATACCTCGAAACTTTACCCACAATAGTCAAACGAGTATTATTCACAATCAAGATATTCTCATTCTCTTCGTCATCATCATCAACCTTCTTACCAGCAAACGGTAAAGCACATTCTATTTCAGAATCTTTCAATAACCTAGGTACCCCAAGATTCAAAGAGGAATAAACGTCTAAAATATAAACAGACCAAAATAAAATACGTCTTTCACCTTGTTGCAAATTTCTCAAATTCTTATTATGAATACCACTGAACCCTAAGACAGCTGCTGGACATCTATGTAATCTCAACTGTTGAGCCATAGTTATTACTCTACCTCTTAATTCAAAACATGTCGATACATCCCCTATAGCTAAGAAATATTGTAATGCTAAGGATAAAATTTGTAAAGATTGAATGGAACAAACTTTCGTTATCACACATTGAGGTTTTATGAATTGACGAATCAAATAATCGTAATAGTTTAATCTTTCTTCAAAAGATGCCTTATTCGGTATAGCTGAATTGGCCATGTTGAAATAATCATATTTACTTGATAAAAGACTCATAGCCAATATCAAAACCATCGTAGCACCAAATTTCTCTATCGAATCAGATGTATCGATTTTATCTGTTTCAATGATCTGTAAGTAATCCGAATAACTCTTGAGGAACGAATTCCTATTCAAAATTGGTAAGAAACTCCCCCAATGTTTGAAATACATGGTGATTAATTGATCAAACTCAACCCTAGAGTTCCCAAGACTCAAATTCTTAAGGAAGAAAAGTTTCTCTTCGTCAGTTAATTGTTTCTTTTCCATTATAAGATTGACCAATTTGACATTATTGAACTCATCACTGTTATTTATTTCGTCTTTCAAAGACCCAATAGCATTTGCTGCCAAAATAGCTTGTTTAGAATCATAACCATAATTCTGACAAACACTTGATAATAAGGTTGGTACAAATAAAGTTTCTTCAGTAGTTCTGGGGATAGAAGCCGCTACTAATGCTGTTAACATTGATTGTTGATCGATCATTTTACTTCCTTTTTGCATTTTTTCAATAGCAGTAGCAGCTGCAAAAGCTCCAGGAGCTGGTTTGGAACTATCATTATTGAATTTATTTGAGTACAAAGTATTTCTTTTGATCAAAATCGACCCTAATGAATTCGATATGAGCTCATCGTCAGTACTAAGTAAACTATTTGTTTCATCATCTTCATCACTCAAATCAAGATTATTTATCGATAAGGGACCATGGTTACCATCATTTAACTCATTAACAGAAACTGGGCGTTGATGGAAATTGTTATCTCCACATCCACAACATTGATCATGTGTATGGGTGGTGGTCTCTTCAAAATCTATAGTCCCATTATTGAAACCATTCAAATCAAAAGATTTCCCTGGTTTATTATCATCTGACCCTCGAGTATTGTCAGGGCTTAGGGATTGGAAGTTATTGATCTGCTCATCTCTCAAGTTCACTAAATCACTCAAACGGGAATTTTCACCTTCTAGTTGTCTGATTCTTTCTTCTAAGATCTCTGTATATCCTTTAGGGAATGCTCTTCTTGTCAACTTATCAGAAACGATACATTTGATCCCTATAGCTTCACATCCTGAACATGATGGCTGTTTTCCGTCACATTTAGTCTTCTTAGCTCTACATCGATCACAAGCTTGTGCTACTCTTACACTCCCATTAACTGTAGGCTTTATGGTCTTTGTATTAGTTAAGCCTTTAAATTTCTTCTTTTTCTCCAGATCACTCATGGCAGGTGTTTTTTATGGCCTCCAATAATATATTTCTGTGTTCTTTGACCTCTATTAATTGAATATAGTCCAGTTGAATCAAAATTCCTCCGTGTCTTCTCAAGTCGATAAGGTTGACTCACTGCGAATTTGCAGTCAAATGAAGCGCAGACAGGTAAAAGTCTTCAAGGTGGTGAAGAAACCCAGAACATTTCACGGAGATATTGAAGAAACTCCTTATAAGTATGCTTCAGTGAAAGATGTCAATGATAGACAACCCAAGAATTGGTCTTCGATATATAATGGAATAGTTGAGATGAGGAAGTTATTTAAATGTCCTGTTGATATGATGGGATGTGAATCCATTCCCAATACCATCACTCCCAACCTATCAGTGAATGATCCCCAAAGATACAGATTTCAACTTCTTCTTTCTTTGATGCTTTCATCTCAAACTAAAGATGAGATCAATTATGAAGCCATGTTAAAGTTGAATAACGAGTTGAAAGGTACCAAGGGATTAACTATTGATGGGATCTTATCCCTTGAAGATGCTAGACTCAACGAACTCATATTCCAGGTGGGTTTCCATAATCGTAAAACAGGTTATATCAAGAAAGCTTGTGAAATCTTGAAAGCACAATATGATAACGACATACCAAAGACTATCGAAGAGATAGTCAAATTACCAGGAGTTGGGCCTAAAATGGGATACCTCCTCCTACAAAAGGGATGGAACAAAAATGATGGTATTGGTGTGGACGTTCATTTGCATAGATTGGCCATAATGTGGGGATGGGTGAAGAATTCCCTGAATCCTGAAGTTACTCGTGCTCAGCTTCAAGATTGGTTACCCAAAGAACATTGGGGTGATGTCAATCCATTACTAGTTGGATTTGGTCAAGTCATTTGTACTCCACAGTTCAAAAACTGTGACATTTGTTTGTTAGGGAGAGATAAGATATGTAAAGCTAGAAACCAAAAAATGATAAATCAACCACTATCGGAGAAAAGAATCGAAAAACTTCAATCCTCAAGGGGTGAACTTAATCAATTGATAGATTTCATACAGTCCAGAGAAAACAAGAATGAAGATGATAAAGAACAAGACATTAAAGTTGAGATCAAAGAAGAGATCAAGACTGAAATCAAGGCCGAGACTATAGAGAATTCCATTAAAGTTGAACGAACTGAACAAATTCAAACCAGAACTAGAAAATCCCGTCATAAAATCAAACTTGAGTCTTCAGACACATTAAATTCGGAAGCCAATATCAAAGTTGAAGGATAAATCTGTAAATAGCATAAAGTGAAAAATCTGGAGAATCGCGAAATCGACCATGCTCTTACTACCTTTCAAGATAGTATCAATTTCATTGATATTATGGGTATTTTTGACTACCATTGTACCTCAAGCCACCACCAAATTCAACTGTATCAAATTGACAAACAAATATTATCCTTATGATTCCATTAGTGAAAATTCCTTGAATAATTCCATCATTTACTATATCATATCACACCCAGATGATGAAGTTATGTTCTTTTCTCCTTCAATCATTGAATTAAGTAAACCACAATATAACAATCGTTTAAAATTAGTTTGTTTATCCAAAGGTAATTCCATCGAAGAAATGGGGCCTATCCGAGAAAGTGAGTTAATCAAATCAGCTGAAATACTAGGATTCGATGTATCAGATGTTTCAATTTTTGATTTTAAAGATGGTATGAATGAATCCTGGAGTCATGTTGATATATATAAGACATTGGATTCTGTTGTTATCGATGACAGTAAGGATAAAGTGATTATCACCTTTGATGAATTCGGAGTTTCAAATCATCCTAATCATATTTCTACCCATTTCGGAGTTTTAAAATATTGTCAACAAAATAATATCAAATTATTCAATCTTAAGTCATTAAATTTCTTAGAGAAATATTCATTTACTTTATTAACCAACATCGAATTATTCATCAATAATTGTTTGAAATTGGTATTGAGTTACCTAAATTTCAACATCAACATTTCTTTTAACAATAGTTCAAATTCAATTAAATATTATAGTGATTTGAATATGCTCAGTTTAAGTTATGCATCAATGATGTTTGGACATTTCTCACAAATGGTTTGGTTTAGATACGGATGGTTATTTTTGAGTAGGTATCTTACTTATAACAATCTTATTGAAGTAGAGATTTAAATTATATATTTTTAAACCCAAATTGTTTCTGACACCAATTAGACCCATGTTCATAATAATCTTGTTTTGAGATAGTAATGTTATCAATAATATCTGATTGCGATAATATCAAACCTCCATACCAATTGGTTAAATCATTTCTATAGTCATTATGTAAAATTTTAATCTTCCAATCTTGGGGTAACTCTTTTGAGATTTCCGTTTTCAATCTTTCACTGAAATTGGGTAATAAGGATGTTCCTCCAACAATAGAAATGTTTTGTGATAATAATGGACGTGCGATCTCTGGGGATGACATTATAGACTCTATGACTAAATCTGATAAATTCTTGAATGAAGTTGAATGAATAATGGAGTTATTATTAGGAGAATTGTCAAATATGATTTCCGGATGATATAATGATTCTGGTATAACGAACCTCTCGTCAACTAAATTTAGACTCTGTAAATCTCCATTATCTTGAAGAGGTTTTCCATCATTTTTCTTGACATAACCCGTAGTAGTGGTTTTGAAATCAGGTAATATAAACTGACAGTAGTTAGCTTCTTTAGTTTTTAAAGCTTCATTGAAATTTGCTGCCATGAAACACGTCGATTCTTTAATAGTATTGATCAATATGGGATCTTCATTAATGTCATAATGTCTGAAAGATATAAATTCTCGTAATAACCCATTCAAAAGTTTACCTCCTATAGGAAGTTTCTTTACTCCCTTCCAGTAAACTGATTTATATATAACAGGAATAATCCAGGTAGCATTAAATCCACAATCAATGATTAAATTGAAATCATTTTCTATGTCTGTATCTAAAGTCCAAGGCACCAAAGACTGGGGTATACAACGATAATAATTTTGGAATTCAAATTCTTCAAATACTATTTGATCAGTGTTAATGGATAACTGAGGTAGTTGAAATGGAGTTTCTGTCAAGATTAACCCCAAAGATTTGAAGTCTATTTCAGAATCTGATGAAAAATCCATGGTTTTTGATTTAGATTTGCTTGTTTTTGACAGTGTAATATATTGAGTGGATATTTCATTGAAAGCATAGTCCCATACTAATTTTTCAGTTTCCCATGATACTAAATTACCTTGATCGTGAGGTCTTTTGAATATTATTCCACTATGATTGTTGGTGTTACGGTAATCGTTACTTATATAGATCGATCCATCTTTGGTTTTCGTTATGGAATTAGATTGTATCATTGGCTCCTCGAAAGTGGAGTACCCGGACTTTATATTATATGATCCATTATCGACGATAATGAACTGGGACATCTTCAATCTTTATAAATCTTCCAAACCGCGAAGATTTGTACGATCTTATGTAATCGATTATGTAATCAAAGACACAGAAAAAGAATTTGGGGGTCGAGTGTTATCAATTCTTCAGGTCATCTCCGTGACTATAATTTACTTATCTTATCTTTTTGATCCAGGGTTGCTTCGAGATCAGCCATCGCACATGGTGACGTAGATCATTAGCCATATATTCATCTTCGGTATTACCAACGAACCGAAGTTCTCTTGGTAACAAGGTATCTTCCCCATAATTCATCTCATCTTAGATTTGGTTGATCCGTATAAAGCCTCGTTTAAGTCTAGATTTCGGACGACAAACTTTAGATACCTACTCCTCTTATATAATTCTTTGGACATTGAACGTAAGGAACTTGTGGAGGGGGTTGCATAATTTTTGTTTCACTCAGACGTATGATGTGGTGGAATATGCACCATATTACCTAAAGCGGTAACCGGTAAAGCGGTGAGTGGTTTTTTAAAGTATTTAAATCGAATGGTATCATAAGATTCAAGACTTTTTTACTATATTATAGAGTTTAATTATCCATAGAGTCTATTGTTGAATAAGTCCGAGTCGATTTATTGCTTCCTTTGCCCGTCATTTATCAAATACTGAAAAGTAGAAGAAGCTCCACCCACAATTACTAGCGCGCAGAGTGAGACATCATTATATAGGCTTGTCTTTTACGGCTATTTACACATATCACCTTCAGCGGAGATTTTTTTTACCTTAGGCGAGTTTGTCCAGTTACATATATTTTCCCTTGGAGTTTTTTCATAAACTCTGTAACTTCAGGACGTTCCCATCCAGACTTTCCCAAATATCTACTTAATAGAACAAATTTCAAATAATATAGACCTATAAAGTAGAAAGTAATGGCAATTTTACACAGAGTTTTGAAATCTGAAGCTTTGGAAAAAGCTGAAAAAGATGATGGACCCAATAAATCCATCGAATTATCTATTGAATTGGAATCGCCTCCGATAGTTTTATACGGAAGCCAAGAAGAATCAACAGGATCTATCATTTCAGGATTATTGATGTTCAATGTTCTTAAATTACTTCCCGGTAATAACCAACTTCAATTGGAATACGTCACATTATCACTTGTTCAAACCATTTATGTTTCCAAGCCATTCATCATTGCTTCTAATTCAGTCCAAAATTGTAGTGATTGTAATTTAAGAAAAAATGTTTTAGCCAGGTGGGATGTAGTCAAGGACATCTCCAACTTCTCATTTGGTTCTCATGCTTACCCTTTCAGTCACCTTTTACCAGGCTCATTACCAGCATCTTCCAAATTGGGATCTAAAAATTCCACAAGTTTCATAAAATATAATCTTATAGCCCTCGCTAAACCGGTAGATGGTAAAGAGATCAAAATTAACTTACCCATTAATATCACGAGATCAATCTTGAAGAATGCCGATAGGAATTCATTAAGGATATTCCCTCCCACCAGTATAACAGCATCAGCCTTGTTACCAAATGTCATATATCCCAAATCATCATTTCCTTTAGAATTGAAATTGGAGAATTTGGTGGATCTTAAGAAAAGTAAGCGTTGGAGAATGAGGAAGCTCAATTGGAAGATCAATGAAAATATCAAAATAAGAGTTCATTGTTGTAGCAAACATCAGAATAAATTGAAACAATACGAAGATAATGAAAAACATGTCAAAGCTAAGAAACCTAATACCACCAATTATCATCATAGTAATATCCAAACCTCTGCATTATTATCCCATGATCTGAATACTAATGTTAGTCATAATGATCAAAATGATCAAAATCGTGATGAGTTGAATTATGTGGATACTACTGAAGTTGAAAGAAATGCTCCCAGTCATCAAACAGATAATTTTATTCAAGATTTCCAAAATGGTAGACCAAATTCCCCTATAGAAAATGGAGGTTCATCCCCTAATGGTGCAGGTACTCCTACAGTAGCAAGCAATAGCGGTAATAGTACCAACAGTCCTTCTACGAGTCCTAACAATACCAGTCCTAGAGATCAATTGCATCTTTATATGTCTGAAACCCGTACTATATCTCATGGAGATATCAAATCTGGTTGGAAATCTGATTTTGGTGGTCAAGGGAAGATAGAATTAGTTGCCAATATTAATGCCATGAATTTAACCACTGGACTTGTGAGACATAATAACAAAACGTCTTCCAATAATCCAGCTTCTAATGCTAATGAATTTACAGAAGGTTTAAGAAACGGAGCCAATGTTTCTTGTGATATAGAAGATCCTAATGAAGGAATATTTGTCAGTCATGTACTTGTTGTAGAGGTTGTTGTTGCAGAAGAAGCCATTGCACCAGTAAGGAAGAAAAAGATTCCTCTTGAACCTGTTCAATCGAATTCTTCACAAACTTCTAACGAATTGTCAGCAGTGACATCTAATGAATCAACAATAGCTTCTATTGTTGGAGCACCTGTACCCCAAGCGGTTGGAACACCCACAGGGGCCGCCAGAGTGTTGAGAATGCAATTCAATTTAACTATTACTGAAAGATCTGGTTTAGGTATATCATGGGATGATGAAGTGCCTCCTACTTATGAAGATGTTAGAACATTGAGTCCTCCAACTTATTCTGAATCAGGTAGTAGCACTCCTACTGATATTTCATTTCCTGGATCAGTTGTTCTCCGAACTCCTAGAATATTAAATGGAGTAGGTGATACCCCTTGTTCAGTCAATATTGATGCCGTTTTTGATGAAAATTTCCAAGATTTAAGCATTTAATACATTACGAGACTTTAAAATCACTCAAATAAGCCACCTCTTCTATCAATTCTCACTAACAATCTCATTAATTAACCAAATCATTTAATGCTGGTAATCTTATCTCCTTTCAGCCTCGCGGTATCTAAAAAATTTGCGAGGGTTTACAACAATTCATCTAATTTTTCAAACACATTTACACTTCACCAACTTGTATTCCGCCTAATACCACCTTTCAACAAGATGAGTAACCCATCATTTTATTTATATGATGATAACAAACTGTCGGAAGAAGTCCAAAATATCACCATCAACAAGCGGAGAAATCGAGACATCTCAATTTATGATCGAAGTATAAGAAAGGAATCTACCAATTTTTATAATATCAATTCTTCAAGTTTATCCAACAGTAGTCTAACAAATGACATTTCCAGAGATCCCGTCAAAGATACCCATCTAAATCCTCGAGTTGATAGTAATGCTCGAGATTTCTCCAAAGATTTCAGAATAAATAGTCCCATCATGACCTTGAAAGATCAATTTAACAACTTATCAGATATTTTGAAATTCCCTATTGAATCTTCCCATTCATATTCTTATGCTCATTTATCTCCCAATTCTTTGGCTTTGAGATTAAATGTTTTGAAGAGATCATTAGAGATTCTTAAAGAGAGACCAAATCTTTATAACTCCATGAAAGATGCTAATGAACCCCTCACAAAGAAGAAATTGGATAACAAGAACTTCAATGCCTCATCAGCAGCATTATCAGCATTGTTCAAACCATCAATGAAACGTTCAGATAGTTTCCCCACTCAAGAAATATATTCTAATAAGGAGTCAAGCAATAATCTTTCAAATGATTTGAAAGAAATCTTGAAACTCCTTGAATCCAACGATGTTAATATCCCAAATTCCAAGGATTTTGCCACAACTTTGCATGATTTATCACTTTCAAGTGATAATGGCTTAAATTCGGTTAAAAGATTGATGGCTGCATTATCAACTCCTTTCGTTGATACATCAGTAATGACCACTACTGATTCATTACCAATGAGACCTTCATCTATAGCTTTAAATCTTTTGAACACTGCAAATACCCCTTTGGGTAATCCTAATTCACCTGTGGGAAGTAGACCATTTCATTCGATTTCTTCAGGAAAACATTCATTGCCACAATCAGTGTTCACGATAGATATAGAAAATCCATGGCAAGTCAAAGCAGCTAATGATTTAGCTTGCTTGATGTTTGGAGTATCTAAAAATATGATAAGATCTCTTACATTGATGGATTTAATAGCTCCCCAATTCAGAGAATTCGTGATCGAAAGATTAACTAAATTTTTGAGTAATGAACTCCAAGTGAACTTGAAAACTGATATCATTTTCAGTGGAGAAATAGTTGCAATCACACGTCCTAGTGATAAGAACTATTCTTGGACTTCATTATGGGCAAAAAGAAAAGGTAAATTGATCATTTTCATGTTTGACCAAATTCCTTGTGATGCTTTTGATATCGTCATACTGAAAAATCTTACTTCATCAGAAGATGAAACAAAACAAGATTTCACTGTGAAATCCATCAATGAAGTGGCAGGAAACTTATTCAACAAATTACCTCAAAACCTCATTAACCTTACCGAAATCAGTACTTCTATCGATCAATTCCTAGAAAGTATTGAAAATACCAATGAATCTGAATCATTAAATTACATCCAAAGTGAACTCATCAATGAGAGACGATACTTCACCTTACAAATCAATGATGAAAATGTTCCTTGTGCCGTTACATCCAATGCCTTGGACATCAATCCTTCAAAACTTGAACTCAAACTCAAAATTCATTCTTTACCCTATATAGCAGGGATATTTGTCATTGATGGGGCTAATTTCAATATTCTTTCTTGCAACAATTCCATAGCCAAAAACCTTTTCGGTCAATCATCAATAAATTTGGTAGGAAAATCCATAAATCTTTTGATTGAAAACTTCGAAGATATTTTTAATTCAGGTTTGAAAGACATTGAATCTCAATTTTCTATCGTTCCTGGTTTGGTATTACCAGAACATTTCTTCAGAAGATACAAGAATTCTTTGAAATCTGATGGAAGTACTGAAGATTTCCTCAATTCTAAAGGTTTGGTAGCTAATCATTTAGATGGGAATAAGTTTTTCGTGGATGTTCAATTACGAGTTTCTACTCCTAGCACTTATGTCTTATGGATAACATACTCAAGACTGTTGAATTCTGTTGTTGATAATGAATCCAATAGACCAATTTTTAAAAGGTCAAGACTGGTAAGTGGTGATAGTATTAATCAAAACTTGAACACTAACTTTGATTCCTTAGCCAAATCTAAAACTCCAGGTTTCGCCAGATTACCTTCACAATTGAAATTGTTCGAAACAAGCAACCTTGCTACTGTAGGAGAGATATCTAGGAATAACAGTACCAGGACTCCAAACTTGAAGGACATTCGAGCATCTTCCGGAAATAGAGATTCAATATTTGAATCTTTTGAAGGTGATTCCCATTCCGATATCCCTACAATTTCAACTACTGGCACTTCTGTCAATGAAGAAATTAGTGAATTCGTTCAGGTGAATTTCTCTGATTTAGTGGTGCAAGAAGATAATCAAATCATGGAAAAAGCAAAGAAATCAAGAAACTGGCCCTCCAAGATCGGTCAAAAACGAAGAACTAAAAAGATCACCGAATTTGATATAGTCAAAGAAATCGGTGAAGGAGCTTATGGTAAAGTCATCATAGGTCAACACAAAAATGACAAACCATATGAGGTAATCATCAAATGTATCGATAAAGAAAGGATCTTGGTAGATACTTGGGTCCGTGATCGAAATTTAGGTACTATTCCATCAGAAATTCAAATCATGTCAACTTTGATGAAAGAATTACACCCTAACATCATGAGAATCATTGATTTTTTCGAAGATGAACAATATTATTACCTTGAAACTCCAATTTTCGGATCTCCTCCTGCTATTGATTTGTTCGATTACATTGAAGTAAAAGAGGATATGACTGAATTTGAATGTCGCTTCATTTTCAAGCAAATTGTCTCTGCTATCTTCCATCTTCATAAGCATGGTATAGTTCATCGTGATATAAAAGATGAAAACATTATTGTAGATGAAAGAGGTATCATCAAGTTGATTGATTTTGGTAGTGCAGGATACACCAAATCAGGACCATTTGATGTGTTCGTAGGTACCATTGATTACGCTTCACCTGAGGTTTTGAAGGGTGAGAAATATGATGGTAAACCACAAGATGTATGGGCTTTAGGAATTTTGTTATATACTATTCTTTATAAAGAGAATCCATTCTATAACGTTGATGAAATCATGGAAGGTGATTTGAGATTACCTCCTGTTATTTCCAACGAACCCATCAACTTAATCAAGAAAATCCTTGTTCGAGACATTGCCAGTCGTCCTACAATCACTGATATTGTAGAAGATCCATGGTTAAATTATTAGTTAAACCATCTCCAGGTGTACGGGTGTGCATATGTAGGTAAATTTTATGAGAAACGCGCTTATCTTTATGTCTGCTCTACTGTTTGATGCCATTGTTGATGTGGGGGATGGCCATGGAAAGACTATGACGGTTAATGTCATGAGTCTGGTAGATAATATAGATCTAGGTATTGTATCAGACCGACCGGAAGATAATTTGGTGGTCAAACTAAAGAGTGAAACTCATGAGAAACTTCAAGGTTGTTTCATGGTAAACTATGGAGATGCCGTAGGTAGTTATATTTATAAAGAAGCCATACTATACCCTATTTTAAATGAATACTACGGCATTGTAGATATCACCAAGAAGTCCAAAGTAGGTTTAAATCTCAAGTTTGGAAGTATACAAGGAGATTTATCCGATAATAAACATCGAGTACTTCCACCCATAGACCCCACAGATTTTGAAATTCATAACTTTGAACAACTTAAATCATCATTTTGTCTAGCTCCACCTTCTGTGGAGCCAACACAAGTAATCAACAATTCCCCAGAACAAATTATCGAGCCTTTACCTTACCTCAAATCAAGATATTACAATATTCTATATTCCACCTCAATACCCTTGACATATTTCCCAAAGACTGCCCTTTCAAGATTGAAGGTGCTTTGTAATAATGACCAAAACAGCGTCAAAGAAATCCTTCAAAGCTTAGTGCTAAATAACGATTCGTTTAATCAACGTCATGAAGGAAGATTTGGAGTCTTAAGCGTCAACATTCCAGATAAAGATACCAGCACTTATCAAATTGATTCCATAGAAAAGAATTGTCAGTCAGAATATCTCCTAAAACACAACAACTTGAAGAATGAAAGTCTAGTCAATGATTTGGTTTTAGAATTGAAAGTACGAGAATCTCAATTGCAGTTACTACTTCTCCTTGAAATTCTTACGCTTCTGAATATTATCGAATCAGAATTTCTTAACACAGCATCCCCAGAGAAACCTAAACCAAAGAAGTCAAGGCCGTCATTAATTAGAAAGAAGAATTCTAAACGTAAAATTATACCTACATTTTTGGGAATGGGTGTATCCAATGAAACCCCACCCCAAGCACCTATTCACAGTAGTTCGTCGATATTCCATTCATTGAATAATTTGATTGAAAAAATGAATCTTTGGGATACTTTATCAAGTAAGAAGAAAGATTCGACCATTTCATTTGTAGCTTATGTTTTGGTACCTCATTATAAGAACAAACTACCAGAAACTATCAATTATATCGTGGGTAGAATCAAAAGTCTGAACTTGAAATTAAAGAGCTCTAGTAGATCTTTGAGACCAGTTCCAAAGCTCAAACCAGCATTGAAACCTTCAACTAAATCACAAACCGTTGAAAGACCAAACTTGAAAACACTCGATGACAAAACATTTGCTCCACCGACATTTATGAGATCAAATTCTAATCTTTCATCGAAAAACCTTCACAGAAGACAAGTTGATTTTTCACAACCCAAAGCTACTAAGCTGAAAAGTTTAACTGATTTATCAGCCCCTCCTAAAATTTTCGGAGTTGCCAAAAAATCTAAATCAAAAGCTTCCTTCTCTCAAGTTGAAGCCACTCCTATCAAGAAATCACAATCTATGATATTGAATCACGAAATGGTAGATTCACCTGTTCAAATTCAAATCACAGAAACTCCTCAAAAACCTTTAAGTCTGTCACCAATTGATTTGTTTAGTCGTGGCAATGCATACTTATCGCCAGTAGAGGAAAGACTCAAGATGGCTAATGAACTTTTAAGTCCAGCTCCCATTGATGTCACACATATAAATTCATCACCCATTGAGAGGAAAAGAAAACCAGGTGATCCATTCCAATCACCATTTTTCAACTCTTTAAATGGTTCCCCATTGGCTACCAGTAAAAAATTAGAAGAAATCAATATCTTCAAAAGAGGAGGCACCAAGAGGAAGAAACAGCATTAATAGAAATCTTAATATATTACACATTTACTTCACCGAATAAAATACCTCTGATAATTCCTTTATGATCATCAAGTTGAAGGATTTCATTAGTTAAAGTTTCACCGATTCTATCGATCAAAGTTTCTTTAATTTCATCAGTAATTTCATCATCATTATCGTTTGATTCAATCTTAAGTTTCTTCAAAGTATCAATAGCTGCATTAACCAAAATTTCTTTTTCAAACTCATTAGATATTTCATTGATAACAGAATTAGTCCACATCTTCAAATTTCCTACAACAACTAATTTTATAACTTCAGTACCCATATTTTTCAAACCTAACAAAGCTCCATAATGAGTACCAATTGGTTTTGAAGAATCCAATAAAGCTCTTAACAAGGTTCTCGTAACTCTTGGTCTTAAAGTAGAATAGGATGATCCATAAACTGTTATTATATGTTGTAATAATATGGCAGCAAATTCTCTTACAGCTAATTGGGATTTTAATTGATTAGAAAATTCTTCATCGTTGGAATCTTTTATTGATGGACCAATTGTTTTAGCCAATAATAATGTTAATATACAAGGCATTAAAGAATGAACATAAGGATCTAAAAATATAGATTTGTTATCAGCTAAAGCAGAAATAACTTCTAACATGGTAGATAAAATTTCGATATTTCTTAACTGATTGGTAATTTGTTCAGCTACAAATTGAATAAAATATGGTACTAATTGATGTAAACCAGTATCTGACTTCAATGAATGTAAAGCTGCGTGTTTCATAGTCTCTTTTTGAGGATCATTAGATAATAAAACTTCAATCACTTTATCAAAATATAATTTCAATTCTTTGGATAAAACATGTCTTACTAAAGGTTTAATATCACTATCTTTGTCAGTAACCTTCTTGTTCTTGTTACTCAAATTAGTCAAAGATTTCTCATTATTGTTGGTGGAATTCAAGATATCATTACCAAATACTGATGATGTAGCACCTCTAACTGCTGGTGGGAGTGATTTAATATCATTAGGTGATGGGTTTTGTGGTATGATTGGTTGAACACCTTCGATAGCTAACCAATGAGCTGTGAATGTAGTTTGTCTAGGGACTTTTGGTAAATCTTGATTGATTAATTTTTCTAATTCAATCTCTTGATCATCTATATAATACAATGTTTGTCCACTTCCTCCGATTAATGCTTCTTTGAATTGTAATGGCCTTGAATTATCATATCCATAAAGTGGTTCAATATTTAATACTTTCAAAGCATGATTTATGTCATTAGTTGTTAAGAGTTTTCTTTTGGAACGTCTCATGAACTTTATGGCAGTTTCTAAGATCTCATGAATTCTATATTCTACATCCATCGCCAAGTTCTTGGATGATTCTTCTGTAAGATTAACCCCCAAAGATTCGGCTGCGTCCTTGACAGTGTCATGTGGAGACCATAATGTGTGGGATAAAGGTACTTTTCCTTCCATGGTTTGTTGAGATTTTTCATCGCTGCGAGGGTATATATCATATATTGGGTGTACGGGTGTGTAATCAGAAGAGACTTAAGAATAGTGGTTCATTACTTCTACATATTAACAAATCTGTGTCTTTGAATGAGTTTTGGTTAGAATTACATGAGTTATTGACTCAATGTCTGTTCATGTCTTCGAGTAAACTCTGATTTAATTCCATCAACCTTTTATTTTCCCTATCTAGGTTTTCAATCTTTTTATGCAACCTTTTCAACTCTTCAAGAGCTTCATTCAATCTTCCACTGTCCAGGTCAACTTTGGTTCTTTCAAGTTCTTGTTTGGTGAAATCAACGCCATTCTTTACATTATTATAAAATCTTTCTTTTGCTAATTTGGCTTTTGTTTCAACATCTAAAGCTTTCAAATAGAACAATTCACAACATATGATATCATCTCTTTCAGTATATGCATCTTTGACAGGTAGTTGGAAAGCAAAAAACATAGTACTTTGCTGACTATGTGGATTAGCTATTTCTGCTCTATATATTTTATTTTCCATATTAAAATAGTATACTGCCTTTTGAAATTCTTTCATAATAGTAAAAAAAAGTTCTTTGACAAAAGCTCCACTTAATGTGGGTAATTCTTCCATGTCTTTAATATTCTGTTTGATCTTTTCTTTGAATTGAATATCATTTAATTTGATGGCAATGATTTCCCAGCAGTCATCTTGTTCCTGAACAGTCAATTGAAGATGTGGGAGGTATTCTAGTACCAATTCTAATAATGGAGTCTTGATAAGTTTCTCTACTCTTTTTCTTTCTTGATCAAAGAATGACTGGTTTGATCCAAATAGTTTCATGGTGTCGCATTTAAAACCATCGCGATACTGATGATTAAGTATCTAAATATAGGTCATACATATCCACAGCCATTTTTCTCAAATAGAACATGTTGTCCTAAATATTAGAATTCCATAGAACTCTACTTATTCTAAAAAAAATAGTTCATGTGACGACTTACCCGGATATTCATCTTTCTAATCTTATCGCACTTATCAAGCCATTCAACTAGAAGGGCAAAATTTTCATCAAATTAACATTATGCTGCTGATAGTCAAATCAATAGTTGATTCATACGTTGCTCCTTATATTGCATGGTATGAATTGTTAAAGGATCTCAGTGTTGAGCATTGGATTGCTATTATCGTTGGCTCATTTATTTTCGGAATAATCATAGTTAATGGGAATGATTCAAGCCATGATTTATTATTATACGGTAAGAATAGACCTGATAAGCCTAAATTGTTTAACTCGGTTGATTTGTTAACTAGGGCCACTAATTACTTCAACAAGTATAATGTTCCAAAAAGTTATTTCAAACATTATTATATCTTTTTCACTATTTACTTACTTACCATCAAAACAATTTTATTGAACTACCAAATTGAATTTTATCCCAAGATGAATGAAGTTTTCATCAAATTCTACGAAGATTATTGTCTTAAATATGAATTAAGTGATACAAACTACGTATCTTTGACTTTTGCTTCATACTTATTGACTATTCAAAGTTTTAGAAGATTATATGAGAATTTATTCATAGTGAAATTTTCGAAAAATCAAATGAATATCTTACATTATGCTTTTGGAATAGTTTTCTATGCTGTTCTTGGATCCATTTCTTTCATTAGTCTTTTACCTTATTATATCAATGATTATCACGTAGAAATCGATTTTAGTAATTTAGACCCTTTTGATTACGTAACCTTTGGGATTTTTGCATTTTATTCTTGGGATCAATATGACAACCATATTTATTTGGCAAGCTTAAAGAAATATACCATACCAACTCAGAGATTCTTTGAATGGACAGCTTCAGCTCATTATTTCGATGAAATTATGATATATAGTGCTGTAGGAAAATTCTTCATCGGATGTGAAGATATTACTTGGATCAAGGTTTGTTTTTCCTTAGTTTGGTTATTGGTGGTATTAAATCTTAGTATTTCAGCAGGTCAAAGTTACAAATTCTATCAAGCTAAATTCAAAGAAACATTCAAAACTCCTTATAAGATCTTTCCTTATGTCTACTAAAACGTTCAATATAAAAATAATATGAGTTATTCTGAAAGTTTCTGTTCTCTGTAGACTCTTTTGAAAGTGTATTAAGCCCCCTTGCTTGAATCTAGATGTGGCCCAAAATAGATTTTTCAGTCAAAAATACGAAGATCAACTTTTCGCATCTTTTGTTTACCTAAGCCCTAAACTTAACATGGTCAAAACTAGTCCAGTGACAGTGTCTTTGGAACCAAGTAAGACCACCATAGTTGCAGGTTGTCCCGGTGTACCAAGATCTATTCCTCGGATTGAGACCGTTATCAATGTGAGATCTGTTAATGGTCAACCTTTTGTAATTAGATCTGTAGGTGTAGAATTAAGAACTATACAGAAAGTTAGTGTTCCATCAACTATTGGATCTAATGATCCTATCCATGAAGTCAAAATATATGAAGACCCATTTTTATTTAATCCTACGTTTGGGAATTTCAGCGAACATTTGATAGGAATTGATATACCTGTATTGATTTATTTACCTAAAGATATTACCAGTAGTGGATTCAATGTAAATTGGAATGCCAGCACAGTTCATAATTTACTAGTCAAAGTCAGTGTTGGGGATTCAGTTGAGACGGAGTTGAACTTCCTCGAAACTTTTCCTATCCCAATTAAATTGTATGATAATTTACCCATCTATAGACAATTCACAGAATCAATAAATGAACTGATTGTCTCAACTGATCAACAATTAATGTTGGAATACCATCTAAAAGAATCATGTATCGGACCTGACGATAAATTGAATTTGAATGTAAAGATCATGAAGAATTCATTAAATTATAATGTGTCGCAAAGATTAAAGCTCAAAGCAGTTCACTTTCAATTAAAAGAGATTCTAGAAGGTCATGAAGGAGGTTTACCTCCTTACAAAGATATCAAAATCTTTGAAAAGATCCATGATGAAAGATCCATGGATTTGAACCTCAATAATGAGATTAACATCAATTACAATTTCAAATTACCTTTAAATAATGATTTCTTGTCAGTATATGATAAGAATTTGCAAAACAATAGTATTGATAAGTTCAAGTATTTTGAGAATAATGAAGCACCCATTGAAGTTAATAATCGAAACAACTTCAGACAATTCCAAATCAATGAGATTGAAGGAATCCCCATCACCCATTACAATAATTTTACCATTTTAGGTAAATTGTTTTCTATAAGATATGAAATCATCATCAAATTGAAAGTTTCTCATGGTAAGGATTTCCAAGTACGAATTCCTATAATTCTAAGTCCATATAATAAATTATCAAGTGAATATTTGTTGAACTGGATTATCAATCAATGTAAAGTCTCCAATGATAGGTTTGGTAGAGATACAGTCAATCAATTGATAAATAGTTATAATATCAAGGAATGTAATACGATATTGTCCAAATACAATAAACCTTTGAAGATTTATAAATATACCAAAACAGATTGGATGAAATTAGGGTTTTCTATAGATTCTTTTGGAACACCTCTGACTTTGAGTCAGTTTATAGATTAATGAATAACGCTAGGAAATCTATCGCATTTCGCATTAATGGGGGAGCCACCAAGTTATGCTCCTACAGCTACATCTAGTTACACAGTACCTACTACTAACTATCATGAAGAGATAACGAAGTCTTCACTTATTAAATCACCCATTGATAGATCAGTACTTGATTCCATGGCTGAAATCTATTCTATTATCACTGTACTTGAAATGATTGAAAACTCCTATATCAAAGATTATATCACTGATAAGGAGAAATATACCCTGACGACGTTAAGATTGATTAACCAGTATCAAATTATATTGAAAGGTTTCAAGGAGGATGATTTAAAGAAGAACAAATGTAATGAATTATTAAATAGTAGCGATTTCGCTAATTTCCTTGATGATTTCACCAGGAAATTCAAATTGAATTGTCCTTTGGCTATTAATAGACTCAGTAGAGGTGTACCAATAACCATAGAACTGTTTGAAAACGAAAGTTCCAACAATTCCAGTCGAATGTCACCTTCCTTATCAAATATCCCAGTTTCAGTTGAAGCTAAGACCGGTCAAGTGAGATTGATTGCTGAATGTACCAGTAATTTTATAACCTGTATGGACGCCTTAAAGTTAAACTACAAGACCAAAGACCAACTTCATCCTTTATTATCAGAATTGGTCATTAATCTCAATGAGTTAATCGAAATCAATGCCAAGTTTGAATTTCCTGGTAAATCAAAATTGATCAACTGGTTGATCAAACTTAATAATCTTCAACAAGAATTAGATTCTGAAGAGATAGAACAATTTTTAAGCGATTTAAACACAGCATATAAGAATTTTTACCTGATATTAGAGTAAGAAGTAAGTCATTCAATATATATCTAAATAATAGATTCAATTTGATCAGCATAATGTAAAACATCGGAGATAATTTTATTTGAATTATCGACATTCATTTCATCATTATCATCACTATTGAAATATACGTAACCTTTTTCGAAAGTCCAATTCATTTGTAATTCGTCGATTAATTGTTTGAAATTACTATCTGATTCTTCTTGTGGGATATATAATAAATTCTTACAATTGTTAATTGGTATGGAAGTATATGATTTTTCTAATGATTTGGCAATTTCAAATCTTAAAGCATTCATTAAAGTGTCAATGAAGATCTTGAATTCTTTACATGGTAAATTATCTTCATTATTTAAAAGTTTCCAGATTTTTATGTAATTACCTTCCATTAAACTTTTTTCCAAATTGATAGGGAATTGTAAATATTTATCATTTTCAATGTCAAATTGTTGATAGTATGACAAATTTTCTAATTCAATGTGGAATTTGGATATTAATCCTTGTGATAATAAGTAGATTAAATTTAATGATATGATCTTAGTACAATTAGTGTTGTGTTCTTTTTTGGCATGAATTTTATTATTGGTGTAGAAAGGTTTCAATTGGGAGAAATAATTTTCAAATCCTTCATATTCGTTCAACAATAATGAAGATAAAGCTCCAATTTCCAATATCTTCTGTGTAATCTTCAAATCATTTATTTGTTCTTCAGATTTGGTATTGTTGTAAATTGGTACCAACAAATTGTGTTTTATGAGTTCTATCTTGATGGGTACCAAGATCTTTGAACACTTATCGTAGTCTTCCCCATCAAATGATTTATATAACTCAGTAGTTAATGCTTGTAATGACATTGATAGATTGTTTCGCCACCACTGCGAATCTTCATTTTCGCGATATAGGTGCACTGGTGTAAATATTCATTTCAAAAATTATGAAAGGGTGTTTATATATTCAATTGAAATAAAAATAGAGATTACGAATAAATGGAAAAACTTTGTTAAAAATAATGGTATTGAAAAAAAAAGTTGGGACCTTTGAAAATTGAAAATTGAAAATTGAAAATTTAACTGAAATAAGAAATGAGAACTATAATAAAAAAAACTTTTGGAACTTTTAAAAGTGAAGAAGATCCTAAGAAGACTGGAGGAGGGTCCAAATACGTGGGGGTCGGGGCTAAGGATGTGGTTGAAATTGTCCGATAGGAAGTAGTCGTTGGTTCTGAATCAGGCGTTGGTTCAGTGTCAGATAATACTTCTGTTCCGGATGTTGGTTCAATATTTGGCTCTGTATTAGAATTTGGCTTCGGTTCGGAGGTGGCTTCTGTACTAGGAGGACGTGCTGAATAGACGGTTGTGTAAATTTCAGTGTCTGTGCCAGTAGTTGTGGGAGCAACATCTGTCGTTTCAATAATTGAATCCAGATATGGCTCAAGTGACTCTGTATCTTGACTCAAGAGTAGGGATGCGGTAGAAACAATTGGAACGTCTGATACAGACGCTATGGATCTCAATGGCTCCGGATCTGTGATAGCATGTTTTTCAACTGGATCGGATGTTGGTTTAGGAGCAGTGTTTGATATTGAACTCGAGTCGGTTGGAAAAATAATTGGGTCTGGGGTTATGCTGACCACCACATCAGAACTATTATGAGTCTCAAAAATGGGGCTTGAAATTATGCCAGCCATAAAATCTTCGGATGTTATTTCTGTTGACTGAGAGACGGGGTTATTTGTCTCTGATCTTTCAGAACTTTGAATTGTACTACACGATTCTTCAGATGACTTTAATCCAGGCAATATAGTACTCATTGTACTTTCTGAAACATTGGGGGTACTTCCTGTCTGGCTTGGCAGCGGTGTTTCGGCCTGACTGGTCAAATCCACAGCACTTGAAGAAGTGAGACTTTCATCCGATGCTGGGAGGCTTACGCTAGTAAACTGACTGGAATATGAAGACATACTGGTAATTAAATCTTCCGATGAAGTGGTGGTTTCTATCGAGCTTATGAAAGGTTCAGAGGATGTTTGATCAGACATGATTGACGATGAAGTATCCAATTCAACGCATAAGCAGTCTCCACCTGGAACAACTGAAGTGATTGTAGCAATCGTTGATTCCACAGTTATGGCTGACAATGATGACAATGAACTTTCTGGTGTGTAACTCGAGCTTTCTGATGAGTTGTAGTAGATTGGGGTAATTGAAGACAAACTGGACAGCACATCCAAGAGTGATGAAACAGAAATCATCGGAAATTCACTGACTCTCGATGAAAAAATGTCAGACAGAGTGACAGGTATGCTGCTACTGAGAATTGCTGTCAGGGTGATCTCGCTTGTTGCCAACGGGGTACTTGTAACTTCACTGGAACTAGTAACCTCGCTGGAACTTGTAATCTCACTGGAACTAGTACCCTCACTGGAATTAGCCGTCTCACTGGAACTAGTAACTTCAACTGAACTACTTTTCTCACTAGAACTAATAACTTCACTGGAACCTGTAACTTCACTGGAACTTGTAACTTCACTGGAACTACTCACCCCACTAGAATTAGTAACCTCACTTGAACTAGTAACCTCGCTGGAACTAGTAACCTCGCTGGAACTAGTAACCTCGCTGGAACTAGTAACCTCGCTAGAACTTCTAACTCCACTGGAACTAAAAACTTCACTGGAACCTGTAGCTTCAATAGAACTTGTAGCTTCCATAGAACTACTCACCCCACTTGAACTACTTACCTCGCTTGAACTACTTACCTCGCTTGAACTACTTACCTCGCTTGAACTACTTACCTCGCTTGAACTACTTACCTCACTTGAACTAGTAACCTCGCTGGAACTTCTAACTCCACTGGAACTACTTACCTCACTTGAACTACTTAGCTCACTTGAACCACTTACCTCACTGGAGCTATCAATTCCACTGGAAGAAGATTCCTCACTGGAGCTGATGACTGTACTGGAATCACCTTCTCTTGACGTTGACGAACTCTCGGATGAGCTTTCTATCAATGTCTGAGAGGATGAACTAGGTGAATACCGTTCTTCCGAACTCACGACGAACGGTACCTCTATGACGACGGTAGCAGTTTCTCCCGGTGTTGCGGTTATGGTAGTGGTGCTGAAGTATGACTGACTCCATGTACTGGTTGTGGTTGTGGTAGGAATTGGAAGATCGATTTCGACAGTAGCTGTCTCTCCTGGTGAAGCCGTTATCGTAGTTGTAGTAGTACCTTCGCCAGTCCAAGTGACGGTTGTGGTAGTTGTAGGAATAGGTAAATCAATCTCCACTGTTGCCGTTTGTCCAGGTGTAGCTGTAAACGTAGTTGTTGAAGTTCCTTCGCCAGTCCAAGTACTAGTGACAGTTGTAGTGGGAATTGGCACATCCACAATTACAGTCACTGTATCATAAGGACTTTCAACCGGTTCAGTGTATGTCACAGTTCCATTGCCTGTCCAAGTACTGGTTATAGTGGTCGAAAATATCGGTAATTCCACAATAATGGTTGCAGTCTCTCCAGGAGTTGCTGTTTGAGTAGTGGTTGTAGTGAATGACCCAGACCATGAAGTGGTGGTTGTAACTGTTGGGATAGGAACATCCACCTCAATAGTCTTTGTGAAATCAGTGGAAGTATTGAAGGGAAGTGTTGTGACCTGAGTTGTGGAGCCAGTCCAGGTTTTCGTGGTCACAACAACTGCCTCTCCGTCCCCAATTACAGGATCATTTACATAAGGACTCCAGTGGATGCTTGGTTCCCTAATTTTCAACTCTGAAGAACCAACGCAAAGAGCTGAACTCACATAATCGATATATGAACCCGTTGTACTGTGAAATCCAGCTAAACCATTCATAAACACTCTATAGCCAGCAGGTACGTTGGTGAAAGAAATTATCAACCCATCAACAGAACAGGTTCCAGTGTATTCGATTGATTCCATATCAGTAGGATATAACCAATCATTGACCTTATTGGTAATCCCCACCTGAATTGAGTCACAATCTAAACTGGCGTCATCAAATTGAAACCCTATGGATCCTGAAGTAATACCATCCTCACATGTCTGACCCACAATATAATTCTGAACTTTATTCAAAGTGGGAACATAACGGTGATCAGCATACATTTCGTCAGTCGATTTTCCGATGAATAAAGGACCAAAAGGCTCAAAAGACACAGTCTTCGTCAACGAGTTTCCTCCGTCAAGAAACTCAACTTCATTATCCCCAGCTTGATATTTATTAGCGCATACTAATTCATCTGGACTTCCTGATAATCCAACATTGAATGTAAAAGGAAATGTTATTGACCCCGAAGCATCGGTCAGATCTCCCACGAGCGATGTTGCTACGCATTTCAACTCCGAGTAGTTGACTATAGATTCGCCTCCATACATCTCACAGTTAGCATAAATATCATCGCCCACTACTAATGGTAAGGTTTTGGCATCGGTAGTGAATTTGAATACACATGGAAGTTCCAAATTGAAAGAATCACCTGGTTGTAAGTTTCCTTTTATTTCCCACTCTACAGTACTATTCCAACTGGGAGTTATGGGTAAGCTGTCGGCATTATTAGCGACAATGGAAGCGATAGAAGTAAATATTCCCGAAACACTTTCAGCTGAGATCAACTCAAGTGAAAAGAGTATGATTATCCACCACATTTGAATTGGGTTATTCTTGAAGGAAAGTCTCTATTTATATACCGAAATTACATATTACGAAGAAGTCTAGATACATAGGGAACTTACACTCTTCAGGACACCCCTCGACTAAAAAATAATTTGTTTCAGATTTTCAAATTAACACATTTCTGAAACACGGAATTACATTTGTATTTCCAAGAAGTCCTTTGGCTCAAACGTTTTCGAATTTCCACAGACTGGTTTACTAAGGTGGACATGTTTTCACACATCCTAGGTTTTTAACAATAATTCTGAGAGTCCTACAACTGGCTTGGTAATGAATTCTACTGCTTTAGTTTACTGACAGGTATCCTCTTATGAAAAACTTAGTTAAATCATCGTCAATTGATGTGGGTGGCAGTTTCAAAAATGTGGTAAAAAAATCTGAAAAAATTACCGCATTGGGATTTTGCAAAAATTGTCATGCATAATCCCTTTGAATATATAGCATGTTTTAGCTTATTGGCTGATTAATCTAAGAGTCTCGTTAGCCGAGATATACCTTATCAAAAGATCGCCTATCTGTTCCAAATAATTACTCTTTTGAGGTTTCAAAGGGCCACAAGATTCTTTCAGAACGTTTCAACTGTTTCAGATTTTCCAGATGTTTTCACATATGATGATTTTTCAGGTTTATCGGATTATTGAATAAACTACATTTGTAAGCATCTTCATATTGTGAGCAACCTGTATTTTAGAGCTCATTTGCCCACTCTATATCCCATTTAAATTAAATACTGCTCAGTCTAAGAAATGTTATCTATTTAAACAAATTCAACGATTGAAAACTTTCTATCATCGTATTGCCGATCACGATTGAAGTAATTCAATTTTATTCATCCCTACTTTTATTTTCCTTTCTTTTTTTTGTTCGTATTTGGAGTTTTAATAATCTGTAGAAGTCACAAATGTTGCAAAAAATAGAAAAAAATATTTAATAAAAAATCTTCCTCTCAAAAACCAAATAGTGGAACGTTCCACTATATGGAGTGTACAATCAGATGAATAGAGTCTTAGCACAGTTAGAAGACAACCAACTAAACTATCAAGCAATAGAAAAATCGTGTAAAAACAGTTTGAGGACGACATTCTACCAAACAACGCCAAAAAACTAAAATGTTCAATAGAGTATGGGCCCAATCCCCATACTTATGTCTAATCATATACAGCACTGATCTCTGTTTCACCTCTGGACCAAGTATTCAGATATGAAGCTCTCGAGAAATATTCCTTATCTCTAGCAGACTTACGAACAAAAGAATCCTTATCTCAGTCCCTACAAATCACTCGAGATTGTTCCTATCTGGGTAATCAAGCGGATATGCGATCTGAGTCATAACGCGGACACTACTTCTCTGTCCTCAAAAAACACATATCTGACATACTGTTGATGATTGATAGGTCATTGGAGTAGCCCTACCTTCTATAAACGGCCATCATTAAGGTTTTAAATCTTCGGATATCATATCCCGGGATTAAAAAAAAAATATCTTGGGTGCAAAGTTTCAAAGATCTCGCGGTAAGTTGACTCAGGAAAATTTTTCAGTTGACTCACAAATTTTATTGTCCATTATAAATCAAGCAGATTAGTAAAAAGGTCGAAATATTCATTTTATAGACTAACACTTTTTTGTGAACATTGTATTTTATTTTATAGATAATAAGTTTTTTAAGTAAGTAACATAAGAATTAAATATGTGTGGGATTTATGCTGCTTTCAGACAACCAGATGTCGAACAATTTAAAGAAAAGGCTTTAGCCAACTCCAAGAGAATCAGACATAGAGGTCCAGATTGGTCAGGTAACATTATTCAAAACAGTACCATTTTATGTCATGAAAGATTAGCTATTGTTGGTTTAGATTCAGGTGCCCAACCAATTGTTTCACCAGATAACAACTTTTCATTAGCCGTTAATGGTGAAATTTATAACCATATCAAATTAAGAGATGAATTCAAAGATTATAAATTCAAAAGTTTAAGTGATTGTGAACCAATCATCCCATTATTTCAAAAATATGATATTGATGCTCCAAAATACTTAGATGGTATGTTCGCTTTCGTATTATATGATAAAGAAAACGATAGAATCGTTGCTGCTAGAGATCCAATTGGTATCACTACTTTATACATGGGTAAAAGCTCAGCCAACCCAAAAACCAGATATTTCGCTTCAGAATTAAAATGTTTAACTGATGAATGTGATGAAATTACTGCTTTCCCTCCAGGTCATATTTACGACTCAAACACTGATAAATTAACCAGATATTTCCAACCATCATGGTGGGATGAAAACAAAATCCCAACCAAACCAGTTGATTACAAATTGGTCAGAGAATCTTTGGAATTAGCTGTAAGAAAGAGATTAATGGCTGAAGTTCCTTACGGTGTTTTATTATCAGGTGGTTTGGATTCTTCATTAATTGCTTCCATTGCTGCTAGAGAAACTCAAAAAGCTTCTGCCAAACAATCTACTGAAGGTATTGATGCCAACAAAGAATTATCAGGGGTTGATGAATCAGGTTCTTTACATTCAAGCGGTTTCTCAAGATTACATTCTTTTGCTATCGGTTTACCAGGTGCTCCAGATTTAATCGCTGCTGAAAAAGTTGCTCATTACATTGGTACTATTCATCATTCACATACCTTCACTTTAGAAGAAGGTTTAGATGCTTTAAACGATGTTATCTACACTTTAGAAACTTATGATGTTACTACTATCAGAGCTTCAACTCCAATGTACTTATTATCAAGAAAAATCAAAGCTCAAGGTGTTAAAATGGTTTTATCAGGTGAAGGTTCTGATGAAATTTATGGTGGTTATTTATATTTCGCTGCTGCTCCATCTGCTAAAGATTTCCATGAAGAATGTGTTAAAAGAGTTAAAAACTTACACTATGCTGATTGTTTAAGAGCCAACAAATCCACCATGGCTTGGGGTTTAGAAGCCAGAGTTCCATTCTTAGATAAACAATTCTTAGAAGTTTCAATGAACATTGACCCAGAAGATAAATTAATCAAAAGAGAAGAAGGTAGAATCGAAAAATACATCTTAAGAAAAGCTTTCGATACTTCTGATGAACCAGACGTCAAACCTTACTTACCAAAAGAAATCTTATACAGACAAAAAGAACAATTCAGTGACGGTGTTGGTTACTCATGGATTGATGGTTTGAAAGATGCTGCTGAAGCTGCTGTTTCAGATGAACAATTAGCCAATCCAAAACCTGAATGGGGTGATGATGTTCCAACTACCAAAGAAGCTTACTGGTACAGATGTAAATTCGATGAATTATTCGGTTCAAAATCTGCTGCTGCTTCAACTGTTATGAGATGGGTTCCAAAAGCTGAATGGGGTTGTCACGCTGATCCATCAGGTAGATACGCTGCTATTCATGAACAAAAAGTTGATGATGCTTAGAGTGGGAATGTATTTATATAGTTAAAATTACTTGTAAAAAAAAACGACTACTCTCTTACTGTCCTATTGAATAAAATTATTCTCTTTGAACCATTGTTTGACTTTGTCACCATCTCTCTTGAACCAATTATCATTGGTTTTGATGTTATCTATAACTTGATCATAACTTCTTTCGAATCCTACAACACCTTTTGATTTGAAGAATTCAGTGAAATCGTCGACCATTGCTTGTGATTGATAATTGACAAAAGTGAAACGAATGAATCTTTCCATGACAGCGACATTTACTGAAAGGTTTTTGTAGAAACTGTCGTAATTTTCTTTGAAGAAAGTCCAGAATTTATGTTTAATGGAAGGATTCAAAGTCAAGCTTTTGGCCATATAATGACTATCCATCACAGGAACAATCTTTGGATCAATAATGTATTGGAACAATTTTTCCATGAATTCAGGATTGGTAGTTGATGGTAAAGATTTAACAGCTACTTCACCAGAATCTAAAGTAGTTGGATGGGTAATTTCTTTAGCTATGACATCAAAGTCATCACTGGATAAATCAGGTAATGAAGAAATGGTGGAGAAGACATAAAGTATTAAACTTGGATGAACTTTGGATTTTTCACCGTTCTTCCAGTAAGAAAACAATTTCTTACTGTAATCGACGAACTCAGGAATTGCCAATAAACCACATTTATGGAATATAATGGAAATTAAGTTAACTTTCAAGAAGTTTGATTCATCAACTTGATCATCATTGGCTTTCAATTCCTCTAACAATTTCAAACCAATGGACTTGTAAATACTTATAGTGAAATTTCTAATACCTTGGTTGAATTCATCATCAAAACAGAAAGCTACCTCGAGTTTAGTTATCAATTCCGATAAATCTGCCCAGACAGCATAGTCTTCACCAATATTACCGTTTTCAACAATAGACTTCAACAATTCTAAGAAAGTTATGGTATTTGTTTCAGGTTCCATACCAGAAATAGCAATAGCATGAACATCAGCAAATAAACCAATTTTGTCCTTAGCTGTCAAATTTTCCATAAATGGTAAAATATTGTTTTTCAAGATAGAAGGTGAATAATTAACTCTGTAGAAACCGGAAGAATTCTTACTTAATTTGAAGAAATCTTCAGATAATGGGAAGTTTTCTATGATAACTTTCTTACTTTCAAAAGCATCAATTGACAAGTTAGTTAATTGGTTTACTTCTCGAGGACCGGTGGAAATGTTCAATGGTAACCACCAGACAGTTTCATCCTCTTTTGGTGTTACATCACCAGTACTTAAAAATCTTCTTTGGGTTAAAACCAAATTGTTATCATTGATATCAACACTCACCAATGGGAAACCTATTTTACGGATCCAATTATCCATCATTGATACGATGGGTTTACCTGAAACATCAGCAATAGCATTCCATAAATCGGAAGTAGTGGCATTGTTAAATTTATTTGCTTTCAAATAGTTTGAAACCCCTTTCAAGAAAGTCTCTTTACCAACATAATTTGAAATCATGGAAATGATTGAACATCCTTTGTGATATGAGATACCATCGAAAAGTTGATCAATATCAACAGCATTTATGACAGGGACATGGATAGGATGAGAAGATCTTAAACCATCTAAACCTAAAGATAATTGTTGAGATTCAGAAATCACTAAATTGAAAATATCCCATTCTGGTTTCAAATGTTCAACAGCTATATAACCAACGAAAGTTGCAAAACCTTCATTAAGCCATAATTCATCCCACCATTTCATAGTAACTAAATTTCCAAACCATTGATGTGCCATTTCATGTGCAATGACATAACATACTTGTTTGATAAAAGAAGGACCCGAGGTCTTTTCATCATATAATAAAGCATTACTTCTATAGGTGACTAACCCCCAATTTTCCATGGCATTATGAGAAAATGTGTGGACAGCGATTAGATCTAATTTAGGTAATGGGTATTTAAGATCAAAGATTGTTGAAAAGTAATCGATGATTTTTGGAGTAATTTCAGAAGCAAAGCTTGCTGCCTTAGAATAACCCTTGGTTGTATAAATTCTAATGGGTAAAGGTTTATCATCATAATAAAGATCATTGGTAAAAGATTCAACATATTCAAGATCCCCACAACACCAAGCTACTAAATAAGTGGACATTTTTGGAGTTTTTTCGAATGTTATCTTCTTTAAAGCCCCTAAGTTCTCTGTTTTACTTACTGGCATGTTAGATAAACCAGTCCATTCATTGATAATAGTCAAATCGATGGAGAATGTGGCTTTCAAGTTAGGTTCATCGAAACAGGGGAAAGCTCTTCTAGCATCAGGAGCTTCAAATTGAGTACTTAACATGACTTTTTTCTTATCACCTTCCATATAATCAGATCTATAGAAACCTGCCATATTGGATTGGATTTTAGCAATATAGTCAATAGTAATAGTTGCTTGAGTACCATTGATCTTTTCAGCCAATTTCATATGAATGAATTCCTTTTCAGATACCACAGTTAATTTTTCAACCGATATTTTACTACCATCATCTACTTCGATGACTACGTCTGAATTTTTAAAAGTTAAATCTCTATAATTTAAGCATACTTCATCAGTTGATTGATTAACTTTCAAATGAATTTTAACTTTACCAGCAAAAGTATCTTGAGCCACATCAATGTCATAGATTGATACATCATAGTGGAAAGGACTCAAGTCACTTGGTAAAGCATCATAATATGGAGATTCAGATGCCATAAGGAGTATTAGCTAAGTAGTTAAATGAGAATTTAAGTAAACTAAAATCATCGCGGTGTCGGTATAAGACGGCACCATAAATTCTGGGGAACAAATAGCGAGCAATGAGCCATCAGAGTAATAAACATTATAAATTAAGGAAATGACTATTCAGAAGCTTTGAAAATAAAGGTTACGAAAACACTTAATGCTAATAATCCACATATTAAATTTGGACCTATTTGATCAGCATATAAGACGGCTTTCTTTTGTCTAATCATCATTGTTCTCCATACATACATAAAGATAGAATAGACAAAAGTTACTAAAGCACAAATGAAAAACATTATAGCTGCAGTTAAAGCTGATTTTGTACCATAATTTAATAAAGTGGTGGTTGTGGCAGATAAAATCATACCGATAGATAACCAAGAAAGGAAAGTACGTTCAGCAGCAAAGTAAACTTTTGGTTCAATTCTGATAGGAATGGAAATAGATTTTCCTGGAGGAATTTTATCTTTGAAAGTTTCATTAAGATCAAAATTAGTACCAGCTTTAACAGTGAATTCTCTATCATCACTGAAATATTGTAAAAGTTTAGCATAAGCATTAGAAATTGAGTCCATAATAGGTGATGAACTATTATTCATGTATGATGAAGGTAACAATAATGGGGTAGTATCATCCAAATCCTCTTCTAAAGGATTAATGTCATTTGAGAAAGTAACTCCACCTCCAGTATAATAATCACCTTGAGATTCTTCATCATCTAATTCATTACCGGAAGAAGTGATAAGTTTTTTATGATTTCTATTAATACCAAATTCTTCTTGAATTTTTGGTTTTCTGATATCAACATCCATTTGAGGTAACCAAAATGGTATTAAATCAACATAATCTGGTAATAAAGCAGCACCCCCATGAATAAATTTAGAGAATTTTGGAACTGCTTCAACGATATGAGAAGCTACCAATTCTCTAATCCATAAAGGTGGTTCTTGACCTAATTGAGTTTGTAATTTAACTTCTAAAACAGCATAAGGGAATCTACAAACATCCTTTTCAGGTAATTGACTGAATGGATAATCAATACCGATATCCATTCTTCTCCAATTACCATCAGTTCTATCATAACCATCGAAATTATCTTCTCTTACCATGGTCAATTCAGTATCCAAGGAAATTCTAACTCTCGCATCTCCTGGCAATTGGAAAGCAGTTCTATTATAGAATGATCTCATGACTGGTCTCATCTTATCTTTTAAAACTCTATATTGAACTTCAGAAGCCAATTTTTCTAAATTATCGATTTGTTGGGATGATTTCTTACCTTCTTTTCTCATCTTATCGAAAACTTGTTTGGCAGGTAATTCACCTTTCAAGAATTGATTAACTTTTTTCTCTTTTAAGACGAATCTTGCTTTAACAGATTTTTCACCAGTCCAATCTTCTCTATGAGTTTTTCTTTCAACGAAAATTTGTTCTGATTTCATGTTACCATACCATCTTAATCTAATAGCTTCAGCACCTTCGTCTTTTCTTAATCTACCATAGTATAAATCCATATCTTTGTTATCAAAATAAATAGAAGTAATAGCAGAATCTTCAGGTTCGAATTCTTTATCAGCATTGAAAACCAACACAGGTAAATGTTTCAATACGAGTAATTTCAATTCAGTGATGTTATCAGGATGAACCCAATACTTGGTGGTTTGTCTAACGAAATTTTGTTGAGATCCACCAGCTGATGAATCCCCTTGGATAGGATTACCTCTAGTTCTAACTAAATCATATAATTTGGATAATTGAACGATTAAAATATCATAATTGTCTTTAAAGAAAGGTTTGGAATTCAATCTGACTTGGAAAATTGGTCTTAAATGGAATTTTGTCAACTTATCATGCTTTTTAACAATCTTTTGGAACCCAGTATAATTCAATCTAGTGAATCTAGCTAAATCGTAAACATCAGCTATAACGTCGTTAATTTCATTCTCTAAGATAAGAAATTCATCATCATGGGCAGTTGCAATGTTAGAAATCAATTTGGTAACACTCTTATCGGCATCCTTTAATCTTCTTTTCACTTCAGTCAGCTTAACCTTGGTGAATGAATAGACTTTGTCTAATTGAGTTTCCAATTCATTCAAGAATTCTTCTTCAAATTCATTCTTCCATTCATTATCATTGGTTTTCAATAATTTTTTCAATTTATGTTTCAACTCATCGTAATCTATGTAGTAGAAGGAGTATTCCTTGATCAAAGACTTCCTTAAGGTTTCACCGAACTTCATCTTGCAACAATCTAGTCGAAGGTAATGAGTGTTGGAAAGAAATTACTGCCAAAATTGATGAGAAATGGGTCAGATTCCACGTGTGTGAGGGAATGCGCATCGCCAATGAAGACATCAGGGTGTGGGCCTTAATATGGTAGCTGAGATTACAATAAAAAAGAGGGCATTGACTTGTAAGCATTGACAAACGTTTCTTAGAGACACCAAAAGTCGGTGGCTGGTCAAAATCGAAGAAACTGAAGTCTAATTTAAGGTAATGTCATCGGATTTAAAAAAGAATTTTAAGTGTCCCACGACCAATTTCCGAATTAGGAAAGTCTAATTTTACGAGATAAGGATCTCGAGGTGTAAGTAGGGTAATTTGGTTTACGTTGATTGTTAGATATTAGGTAGAATGGGGTCGGGAATATTAGCGAGTCGAAGCGTTGTTATGGTCGATCGAGAAGACGGATTGGGCGATGATTTTAAAGTTTGATGGTGTATCTCTGGTTTTTAGTATATACTCTGTGATGACCGAATTTTGAACGGAATTGAAGTGGTGACTATGGGAATTGGATTATCATAACTCGGTTTCGGCGATTCTCTTGTCCTCGCCAGTGCAACTTGTGTTCTTTATGTTCTTTTTGATCTTCGCTTCTGCTGACTTATTTCATATGAAAAAAGATATCCGATGTATGTCTAACTTAAACCTAATTAATCCTACTGGGTAAGGACATACACTAACTATTCACCAAAGATTTGGTCCTAAATGGTTACTTTCCTCCCCAAACACTGAACTCTCTACTTTATCCCCAGATCAATATCGCGAAACACTTATGTTCGTCAGAAAGTTCCACAGTTCGACCAAGGCATTGTCGGACTTCAGTCATGTTATTATAGGTGGGGGAATCATAGGTACTTCCATAGCAGCAGAATTATCCAAAAAATCCACCAGTAATAATATACTTCTCATTGAAAAAGAGGGAAGTCTTGGGACTGAAACAACTTCAAGGAATAGTGAAGTGATTCATGGAGGTCTATATTACCCGAAAGATTCCTTGAAATCCAAATTTTGCATCGAAGGGAAAGAGCTTATATATAATGCCCTCAAGACAGGAACTTTTAACCCTTTACAAGTAGGGATCAATCAATGTGGTAAACTTATAGTTGCTCAAAATGATGAAGAGATCGAACAATTGGAAAAAATCCACCAAATATGTAATGATGTTGGTGTAGAAACAAACTTTGTGTCCAAAGAAACAGTCAAGTCCAAATATCCGCTTTTAAAAGCTCAATTGGCTTTGAACTCTCCTTCAACTGGTATAATATCAGTCCACGATTACCTTCTTTACTTCCAAACAATTTTCGAAAATAATCAAGGTACTGTTGTATTCAATACCAAAGTAAAAGACATTGATAAGCAGAACGATTCATATGTCATTAATTGTCAAGATGAAGATGGTGAATTTGAAATTTCTTCCGACGTAATTATAAATGCTGGTGGACTTCATGCCCCTAAGATATCAAATTATTTATTACCCCCAGACCGTAAATACAAAGGATACTATGGTAAAGGTACGTATTTCGCATATCAACCTAAGGAGAACCCTGGTAAAATGGTGGATACTTTAATTTATCCTTGCCCCAATCCCAATGCGGCTTCATTAGGTACCCACTTAACTTTTGACATGGGTGGACAAATTAAATTTGGTCCTGATTTAGAGATGTTAGACATAGAAGATCCCGATGAAATCGACTATACTCCCAGTGAGAGGAATCTTATCGAAGCTCACAAAGCTGTAACAAGATATTTACCTCATATCAAACTAGATGAGTTAGTGCCCAGTTATACAGGAGTAAGACCTAAAATTGGACATCCTAAAGATGGATTTGCAGATTTCATTGTTAAAGAGGAAGAAGGATTCCCAGGATTTTTCAATTTATTGGGAATCGAAAGTCCCGGAGTTACTTCAGCATGGGCAATTGCCAAACATGTGAGTAATTTAGCTAAATAAAATTCATAATGTACATTAATTAAATTATTCCGTCTTTTGTTTCTTATTTGTGTTTTTGCTGGGGAGATTTTCAGGACGGGTTGGAGGAGGTGATTCTGTGAAAAAGTCATCCATCAAAGCTTGTGTCAGGTTACATCTTTTACTAGGATCGAGAACTGTCATGGCAATCAATAAATCCAAAGCTTTTTCAGTAGCAGCGCTGAATCTATTTCTTAATTCTTGTCTCGAAGGTGGTGCATATACGTTTATAGCATTATATAAAGGTAATGCTGTTACATTGGGCCAGTTGGCTTCTGTAGGGGTACCCAAAGCTCTGAATGTGACATCCAATTGATTAATATCATCCTGTCCTGGCAAGTATGGAGTTCTCAACATTAATTCGGCAAATATTATCCCTATAGACCAAATATCTACAGCTGTGTCATAATGTTTAGCACCAAATAACAATTCTGGAGATCTATACCATCTGGTGACCACATTGGAAGATAAATCTTCATTAGCATTACCTAAAGATCTAGCTAACCCAAAATCAGCGATTTTTAAATAACCATCTGGAGATATTAACAAATTATTGGGTTTCAAATCCCTATGTATGATGAAATTTCTATGACAATGATGAATACCTCGTAAAGTCATTAATAACCAACTTTTTATATCACCTGGTTTGAAAATTATTGATTGATCTTTTATTAACACTTCAAGATCTGCTGGTAAAAATTCCAAAACCAAATTTAGATTCCCATCGTTAGAAAATACATCTATTAACTCTATAACATTTTCATGACGAAGTTCTTGTAAATATTTAACTTCTCTTATAGCACTCATATCAAGCCCATCTTTGAATAAACCTGTTTTAATCTCTTTGATGGCTATTTGTCTAGATTTTTCGGTTTTACCCAAATAAACCACAGCATAGGTACCTTCCCCTACCTTCTTCTCTTTGGTATACTTCCTTTGTGTCATTAAAACCTATATTGAACGGATATGTATTTTTCAATCAAATGAAGAGTCGCGAAAGAAATTTGACTGCAAAAAAAAAAAGACTGAAGAAACTAAAGAATGGGCAAAGACAATTGCAGAAAGACCACCAAGGTACAACAAAAGACAACCAGACAAATTATGCAAATATTTATTTAATTATTAACTACTCCAGATACACATTCCCATTGGGCAAATACGTACCAACTATTGCCACTATCACCAATAACCAAACCTCTATAAGTTCCCAATTCTGTACATTTGATCAAGCTTTCATAATCTCCATATGGCTTTGGTTCATCATTGATCAACTTGAAATATTTACCACTAGGACTTTCAATGACCACCTTAAAGTCAGGTAAAATATTACTGGTAACACCGGTTGAAGGATATTGGGATACAACAAAGTTATAAGAATTTTTAACCACAATTTTACTGGTTTGAGGAGATTTGACATATAAGTCATTCATTTGAGATTGGATGGTTGGAAACCTAGGAACAAATTTACCAGGTTTATTCTCACCATTATGATAAATTGGTATAACAATAGATAATTCATGAATGTTATTGAAATACTTTTGTAAACCTTTCTTACCTGAAAAGATTTGTAACACCCCAATGTTTTCATTTTCAGGTAATATGGCTTTAATTTTGGCATATCTAGTATTATTCTTCCAATAGATTTGACAAAGACAGAATTCATTACTTGTGATTTTACTAGTTTTCATCAAGGCAAATAATTCAATATCTGAAGGAACAACCAAATCAAGTTCGAAGATTTCGAAATCATGTAATCTGGTTAAAGCATTATTAAAATTACAGAAATTTAATCCATTATTATGATATCCCGAATATAATCTTGGTAAATAGAAAGCAATATTTGGATCTATTGGAGGAATCACGTGTTGTAAGTCAATTATGGAAGGTAAATGGGTTGATATCAACTGTAAAGGTTTAGTTAAGAAATAGAACTCGTTGTAATGAGCAAGATTACAACTATCACCATTTTTGTAATTATAAATATCTACAATCAAGAATTGATTGTTAACTAAAACTGATAACCAACAATGATTGATGATATATTGCTCATTATGATAAAATTCATTAGGTTTCTTCCAGAATCCCAACACCATTTCACAGGGAACTCTTAAAGCATCCAAAACTTTCTTGAAAAGATAATTGATTTGATAAATAGATCCTTCACCACTTTGTAACATTTCTGCTAATTTAGGTTTAATTTGTTGGATTTTACCATTTTCTTCAATGATTTTGAATTTTAAGAAATGAATTAAAACACTTCTGATTTGATAAATAGGTGAATTATTGAATTTGACTCCAATATCACTGATTAATTCATTCAAATCAGAATTTAAATCATATCTTTCAGCAAACTTATCAATTTTTTCGAAATTTGAAGGTAATTGGAAATCATCTACATCACCAATAGTTTCATTGGTATTGATATCTGAAACATAATCAAATGGTTTAACCACAACATGACTTTCTTCTCTAACAACTCTCTTGGTTCTCAATTGTTTGTCACTTGAAGTTAAAGAATTCATTCTATTCATTTCAGATTTGAATTCTGCCCAACCCATTTCATCTTCTTGTTGTAACTTTTGTTCCAAAGGATTTAAATCTTCCTTTTTCTTCATGAATTTCTTGAAAATATTAGGATGTTTAGATTTCTTATCTTGAAATATAGAATCCATAACATTAGCTTTATCATCAGCTAATTCTCCATTGAAAGTAGTTGATTCATTGAGATTAACTCCTTTCATTCTATAATCAACATCTTGGAATTCTTTTTCATATTTATGTCTGAGGAAAGATCCAGCACTTGTAGCACTTAACTCTGATAAGTTCAAAACATCACTTTGTAAAGATTTAATGGAATTTCTTAATTCTTGTTGTTGTAATTGGGATAATCTCATGAATTCTTCCTCGGTTAAGATAACTTTATTACCTGAAAATCTGAAATCATCAGCATCATAAGGAATTTTTTGATTATAATTATCGTCCATATATTTAGATGGACTATGATGTTTTGGTGGAGGTGGAGGTGGAGAAGAATCATTTTGTCTATGATCATCTTCATAAATATTCAACTCTTCATCAGTAGCAAATTTAGACATCTTATTACTTAATTCATTGGTCCTTTTTGATGATACTTCACTTACATAAGAATCTTCTTCTTTATATCTATATTGAATAGGACTTTCAACTGGAGTTTGTTGATTTGATCTTGGCTTTCTTTGTGATCTTTGTAATTCTTCTAATTGTAAGATTTCCAATTCCAACTGTTTTTTCTTCAATTCTATTTCATCTTCTTGATAATACTTCTTCCTGGAAGGTGATTCTGGTGAAAGCGTCTCCACGGTATTATTGGGGAACATTCCATAAGGTGAATATGTAGGTGAATGGGTGGGTGTTCTTTGTTGGTATTCTTGATTCTTCAAATTTGGAGTGGAAGATTGCCTATTATCTTCAAAATATTGAGACTGGGGTCTAATCTTGGTATATTTCTTTGAACTTGGTGATTCAGGCATGATGTTTCTCATATCTTGGGTCAGCATTCTTTTCCTTTGATCTAATTCTACAGCTTTCTTGATATGATAATTTTGTTGTTGTTGTAACATTTTAAATCTTTCAATTTCTCTTTGTTTAGAAGAATTATAATCTTGATTACTATGTTTTTTCTTTCTATAAGGATCAACAGATTTACTTAAATTTTCATAACTATTGTCAAAACTGAATTCATCATAGTCATATTTTTCATATCCATATTTTTTAGAAGTAGGCAGTTGATATTTCTTAGGAGTTTGGGTTGGAGTATTAGGATTAGAATTATAATGCATAGAATCTCTATGGCTCTCTCTGTGACTATCCCTATGATCTCTATGACTATCTCTATGACTATCTCTATGACTATCCCTATGATTATCTCTATTTTGATGTGATGAATGCATTGGTGAATGATTTTGTGACATTTGGGAGGCATTCATAGATCCATTCATTGAACTATTCATTGGTTGTTCGATAATCTTAACATAATCTTTAGGAAAGATCCCTTCAGCTTTATTTCTTCGGAGTTTACCACTCCACCAACTATCATCAACAATAGAATAAACTTCTATTACTTCATTTTCAATAAAACCTAAATCTCCTTCTTCTTCACCTGCCCAAGATACTTTGGTCTTAACTTTAAAAGGTAAAGGAGGAATTGACATTGAAATGAATGGAATGATATTAAATTATATGGGGGGAAATGCAATTAAATTAAGCAACTCTATAATGCAAACTAACAATTAGATGGTGATATATAAATGCAATTGTTAAATGATTGGAAATGAAGGTAATAGATGAACTTTTGATTTTCGATATTTTCAAGATCAGATTGAAATCTTTCCCAGTTAAAAATTTTTATTTCTTCTCAATTAGGTAATCAAATGGAATAATGTTAAGAATAACAAGTAATCGTAATATTATCCATTAAGGACCTGACAAGGTACTGATATGGTTGGAATTTTCCTAATTGGTGAGAAAGGTAAATAATTTCGCAGCCATTTGAAATTATGATTATCGGAATTGAATGACACGAAAGGTACACTTTTGCTATCGGATTTATATCCGTACAACCCTCATCAAATACGTGGCAACTATATGAAGAGATGAGTCAATAAGAAGGGACAAAGAAAAAATTTAAAGGGTATAATATGTTGAAGTAAAAGGTCATCGGACAGTACGACATAAATGCGACATATTATAACGGTGGTTACGATCAAATATATTTATATATTATCTTTATACAAGTTATTGTTGACGTACACCACTAACAATGTCATCAACTCTCAACAATAAACATGCACTTTCGATAGCAGTTTTTATAGATTGTTGTTTAATAACTTCAGGTTCCCAGATACCATATTCTTCCATATCAACTACTTTACCAGCTTCACCATCAATACCATAAGTATGTTCATCAACTGCATGTTTAGCTCTTAATTGTGATAAGATTCTGATAGGATGACCCCCACAATTTTGTATCAAAGTTCTTGGAATAACTTCAAAAGCATCAGCAACTGCTTGATATGGCCATTGAGCAACTCCTTCAATAGTTTTAGCTTTTTCTGATAATTTTACAGCTACTGCCATTTCTGTAGCACCACCACCTGGTGATAATGATGGTTCGAACATAACATTTCTAGTTACGGCCATAGCATCATGTAAATTTCTTTCAATTTCATTTAAAATATCTTTTGAAGCTCCTCTTAACATAACAGTACAAGCTTGAGGATTTGAACATTTAGTTAAATAAGTGAAATATTCATCACCAATTAATTCAACTTTAAATTCTCCACATTTAGTTCCAATATCAGATTCTTTTAAATCTTCAATTCTATTGACAATAGTGGCACCAGTGGCTCTAGCAATTCTATTATTATCGGATTTTTTAACTCTTCTTAATGCAGTAACTCCACCTTTCAATAAATAATGTTGAGCTAAATCACTTACCCCCTTTTCAGTTATGACTAAATCAGGTTTGAATTCTAATAATTGATCACAGAATAATTTAACTTGTTCTTCTTCAATTTGTAAAATTCTATTCCAATCTTCTTCTTTAGTAATTTCGATATTAGTTTGTGATTCTCCTTTCTTATATTCTAATGGACAATCTAATAAGATAATTCTTGGGTTTTCAATGAATCTTTTCATTTTTGGATGAGTAACATCTTTATTCAATAATATACCATCTAAAACTTTTGAATCTTCAACTTCTCCACCAGGAATTTTTTCAATTCTTACATATCTTTTGACATCAATTTCTTTATAATCACCATTTTCAATATAAACAGTTTTAACAGCTTTTAATGATAATTCACACATTTTTTGTGACCATTTATTAATATATTTAGTACCAATAGATGCTTTAATTAATTTGATCATGGCTTCATCATTAGTGATATCAACGGGTTTTGAAACTTCATGAATAATTTCTAATGCATCACTTAAAGCTTGTTTTAAAGCTTGAATTATGATAACTGGATGAATATTCTTTTCAATATATGGGAAAGTTTGAGCTAAGATTTCTCCTGCTAAGATAATAACCGTGGTAGTACCATCACCAACTTCTTCATCTTGAGTTCTACTTAATTCAATCATTGATTTGGCAGCAGGATGGGAAACATCAATTTCTCTTAATATAGCGTGTCCATCATTAGTCAAGACAATACCACCCATTGGATCTAATAACATCTTCAACATAGCTTTTGGTCCAAGACAAGTTCTGATAATATCAGCAACCGCTTTAGCAGCTGTGATGTTAGACACTTGGGCTTGACGACCAGTTTGTCTTTCAGTAGACGTATTCATATAAACTACTGGAGCTTGCATTGTCAGTAAAAATTTTCAGCGTTTTCGCGATCTAAATCAAATACGTTTGAGGTATGGATTACATAAACCTGACGATAATCTCTTTAAAAGATTTGGGGGCCATTGATGATACCATAGGAGATATTCAGAAAGATATTGATAAAACCAAAGATGAAGTCCAATTGAAATTGAGGAAGAATTCTTTTGAAGATGGTCAAACAACTAAATTAGTAGGTGAGATTATGGAGAAGTTATCTGATTTGAAGGAAGGTGACGTAGATAGTTGTTTGGAGAAATTGAAGTCATTAGAAGGATACGAGTTGACAGTAGTGAAACAGTTGATGGATCTTTATCATGAAAAGAGACAATTATTGATTGATGAGAAGTTTCTTGAGCAAAGTGAGGTTGTGGAGCAAACATTGATAAACTTACATTCAATTGATCCTAAAGATTTCCAAAATGCTTTTGATGATATCCAGAATTTGCATTGTGAGTTTGTAAGTGATGGAGTGGTCTTAGAAGTGAAGGGACAATTCGAAAGATTATTTAATGAGAAATTACAAGCATTCAGAGGTGAGGTTGAAAACGAATTGAAAGAATTCTTAAAGAAGAAGAATTGGCTTAGCAATTCATTCAAAGTGGAAACATTAGATTCTAATGATTTGAAATTTATAAATAGCAGAGTTTCACAATTAGTTGATCTACAAAGCATAAACAACACTCCTACATATCCAGATACTTGGTGGGCCATTGATATTTTACTTCAACCATTCTTTTTAAGATTCGACTATCATTTCAATACCAAAAGAAATACCAACAAGATCTCTAAACCTGAATGGGTTTTCAATTTTGTTGAAGAATTCTTATCCAAGAATCAAAAAGTGTTTGAACTTTCAGTTAATCAAAGTTTCAAGTCAACCAAGAAGATTATGATTTATCAAGTTATAACGTCAGTTTTTGTACCCTTAAGAAAGAAAATCATCAATTCAGTTAATGTTTTGAATGAAAATATCGAATCATTTGCTGACGATGAAACCAATTATGATAAAACTGGGAGGTTACTTTCACATCTTATATTTGAATTAACTTCATTTGATCAAAGAATAAGGAATAACTATAAATTCAATCCATATGCCAATGATGAAGTTCCTACCAAGAAATGGATGGGATTAACTTCTGACATCCTTTTACATGGTGATAAAGAACGATTAGGAACATCTAATTGGTTGATTTTTGAAAATAGATTAGCTAATAACCGTTTCGAGAGTGAAATCATCAATGATGAAAATGGTTTGAAGATTGACATGGACTTCAAAAATGAACTTGAAATCTGTAAACCAACTTATAGTGCATTGAACTTTGTTAAATTGTTCGACAATCTTACCAGTCATTACCAAACCATGAAGATGGTGAAGTTCCAACTCAAATATGTTTCCACTATTCAATTGAACCTATTAGATAAATACTGTAAGTTCTTGAATGGCAGATTATCGAAATTCGATGAGCTTTACAATTCATCCCGAGTATTAAATTTAATTCCTGGATCAATGGATAATACTTCAAAATCCGAATCCAAAGTAAGTGAGAGTTTGAAAGGTTTAACCATGTTGACGGAGATTTATTGTTCCACTAGATTTCTTATTCACAGCATGGATCAATGGAGTGAAGAACTCATCTTCATTCAATTATGGAATGCCTATAAATCCGTAGCTACCAAAAAATACAACAAAGATGCCAACATTTTTGACAGTACCATAGATGATTATAAGAAACTATCCGATAATATTAAATCCAGATACGAATCATTCTTCGCCAAAGGATTGAGAGATAATTTGAAAGAATACATCAATTCAAGTGAATGGGATCTTTTCCAAACTAAAGATAATTCCTTACATTTCATACCATTGACCACCAATCTACCTGTTTATTTGAATTATATCAAATCCTGTATCTCATCCTTGGAATATTATGAAATAGTTAATGGCATAGTGAGTTCAATTTGTGATCTTTGGTATGAATATATCATCACCAACAATAAATTCAATAAACTTGGAAGTGAACAATTACAAGAAGATTTCGAGTTCATTTTGAACAGGCTCAAGCATGAGTTACTCATTGACCATGGGGATATCTTATCCACGGCCAATAATCATCAATTAATGAAAATAAATCAATCTATTGAAATCTTACAAAGATTTGATCCAGTATTCTCCAAGAATCTCCTCAACTCATACAATGATGAAACCATTAGAGGAGAATTCTCTCATCATTTAAATCATCTTCAGAACCATGAGATCAAAGAGATTCTTTTCAGAATCATTTAGCATAGTAAAATATACACCAGGGTCCCGCTCTATTGATACGTAAAACCTCTGATTGTCAAATCAGTCGCGCATCCGATGTCTTTGATAAGAAAGAGAGTACGTGTTTTGCCATGAGTTCGAGCTCACAGGAGGCTAAAGTGCCTATATTGGAGTCACCAAATGATACTAACTTTATAGAACTTTACTGAAGATGACGAAGGGTCGTCAAAAAGACAATCTGCCAAATATGAAACTATGGCGAAATTCTACAACACTAATCCAGATCAACAACATTTAATACTTCCCAGGAAACCTGAAGGAATTCTAATAGGTAGAAGCTCCTCATGTGATATCAAGATAACCGGAGTAGATGTTTCGTCGAAACATTCAAAGTTATCATTGGCCAATAATAAAGTACGGGATTATTTCTTCTTGACGGATTTAAGCTCAAACGGTACGTTTGTCAATGGTGCTAAATTAGGGCATGGCTCGAGTGTTTTGTTGAAGAGTGGTGATAAAGTATCGTTTGCTAAAACCGGTGGTGTTTTTATTTTCCGGTACTTACTTGATGAAGTTAATGAAGAGAATAAGAAACGATCTTTATTCGATGATTATATAGTAGGTAAACAATTAGGATCGGGTCATTATGCTATAGTGAAAGAAGCTAAGAATAGATTGACTGGTGATATAGTAGCGGTGAAAATTTTCCATCCCAATAAGACATCCAAGGATTCACAAGAAGATGAAGCTAAATTACAACAAGAAATTGATTTATTATTATCCATTGATCACCCCAATATCGTCAAATTCATCAACAGATATGTGGAGCCAATAAATCAACATTCAGTATCAACATATTTAATCATGGAGAAAGTCAATAGTGGAGAGCTTTTTGAAAGAATCATCAACAAACTGAAACTTAGAGAAGATGAAACCAAAGCTCTTTTCAAACAATTATTATCAGGATTATTCTATTTACACCAGAAGAACATTATACATAGAGACATCAAACCAGAAAATATTTTACTTGACATAACACCTAGGCAAAGTGGTCAACAACAACAAACAGGACCATGGGATGAAAATGAATATGATATTAAAGTTAAGATAGCTGATTTCGGATTAGCCAAATTTATCGGAGAATTACAATTCACCAATACACTTTGTGGAACACCAGCATATGTGGCACCAGAAATTCTAAGTAACCAAATCAATTATACTACTAAAGCGGATTTATGGCTGGCTGGAGTATTATTATATGTTTGTCTTTGTGGATTCCCACCATTTAGTGATGAATTGGCCCCTCCAAATATGAGAGAACAAATTTTAACAGCCAAATATGCATTCTATTCTCCTTATTGGGATGATATTACCGATGCTGCATTGGATTTAATTAGTTCCTTATTAGTATTAAGTCCCGAAGAAAGATATGATGTGACGACAGCAGCCGATCATGAATGGTTCAGAGAATCTGTATCTCAAGAAGATATGGTAATGGATAGCTTGGATTCCACTAGTTCTAAAAATAGTTTGCAAAGGAGTAGTTCGATGGGAAGTGTTCAAAGAGAACCATTAAGAAATAATAGTCATCCATTGAGTTTCAGACACAAATTTGCATCAGAATTAAATTCATTACTGTACCAATAAATCTAAAAAGCTTTTTCACCGACCAATCTAATGGTCTTTTCACGGGTTCTATAAAATGTTTCAAGAATCTTTAAATTTGCAGCTACGGAATTATTAGTTTTGGGCTGGGTTTTCATAGTATCATATATTCCTTTAATATCTTGAAGGATTCCCATAGCATTTCTATATTGTTTCAAACCAACGTAACTCTCAAATTCACCAATCAAACATTTCAAATCATCTTTTTCTTCATTACCTAATTTGAACCATTCAAGACTCTTTTCGTAATTATTGAAAGTATTCAATTCTAAGAATCCTAAATGTAGCAAACTTTCTTTAGCACCTTTGCTGGCACATATTTCAAGATGATACCTAGCAGTTTTTGGATCGGTGATAGTGAATAATTGACTATAATAAAAGTGAGCTTTAATTACTGTAGCATCAGGTTCACCAAAATGTAAAGCCTTTTCTAAATAATGTTTAGCTTTAACTAAATCAGGTTTTGGTTGTAAAGTATAATAGAAAATCCCAAGATTAGTATAAACATGACTAGCAGCGATGGTATCATTTTCCAACTCTATGAATTGTAACCAAAAATTTACAGCTTGTTGGAAAGCATTTTTACCATAAGCCAAATCACCAGCCAATTTAAATACCAATGGATGTTTCATATTAGACAAGTCATCTATAAGTTTCTGGGCATATTTCTTATCATCTCGTGAAGCTTTTGGATCGGAAATGGTCTTAAAGGATAAAAGAGTAATGGCATCATTATTACCTTTCTCACTCGCTTGTTCAATTAACTCATCTTCTAAATCAATTAAATTTCTATTGATGGTGTTTGTGGATTTCCTAACACTTTCCAATACAGATTTAAGTATCATTAACTCATCACTAGTAACCTTTGGTAAGGAAATATCTTGTGGAGTATCCAAATTGGAATATATGGATTGATAAATTTGCATCAGTTTTCTATAAGTTAAAGTACTGTCTTTATCGAAAAGCATTCGATTTATATGTTTCCTTCGTGGTAAGATATCTATAAGTTTTGGACGATTTACATTAACGTTAGTGGTACTAAAACATCGTACCGATTTCAAAGGCCATCGTATCATTATAGATCTCACAAGTGCGAATCAAAGTATTTTGGGTCTTAGAGCGATTATATTAAAACTACATTGATTCAATTACCGATAATAATTGAGATAATATACAAGAAATGAACGGGGAGAAGCCTCCTCATGCTATTTTGTGACGTATAAGGACAAAATCAAAACCATTAAGGATAACCATTGTTATAATCAATAAAACTATCAACATGGCCATTAGGAGATCTTACTGATTGATCCAGACCAGAATATTCATTGACCACGGGGAAATCAAATTGATCTTGAGTGATCCCATCATAATTGTCTGTTGGAGGTATATAAGGACTTTGTTCGATATTCTCCTGAGGGTCATTTTCAATAGTTTGAACAATATTTGGTGTATGGGATGAATTGAGGAAATCAGGTGTGTTAGCAGAAAACATTTCATTATAATGGAAATTTGGTTGTAATTCATTCTTCTTTTGCATTTTATCACTACTCAATGAAGTTGGAGAAGTATCGGAATTGAATTGACCAATTGGTGATAATTGATTATTTAAATGAGGATGTTCATTCCAAATAGTTGTATCACCCAAGTTTGGTAAATGATCATCGAGTTCAAGTTCATGATTATGATTATCTAAAGGTAAATTATCCATATCTTCATCACTATTATAATTTGAATCAACTATATGATCATTAATATCAGGGGTAACATTAAATTTGGAAATATTATCATTTACCATATAATCACTTTGATGTTGTTGAATTTTTTCAAGAATGAAATCATTTAATGCACATATGGATTGTTGGATACCTACTAAAACATGAGGTATTGAAGTTCCACCATCAGAATGAGCTGAACTAACTTGTTGACCTTCACTAAAATCATCACAAATTGACCATTGATTAGAACTACGTAATTCTCCATTAAAAAAATTAACGGAAAATTTTGGTTGATGTGATAAACTAACTCTTAATTCACTATTTTCTTTATCAATATTATTGTCAAGTAATGAACAAGTTAAAATATTAGTCAATGGATAAAATATTCTGAATAAAATTTTAGAATTATTTGAAACTGCTGAAAAGAAATAATTAATTTCAAGGTTTTTCTTCAGTAAAATCACCAATAAATCAACCGTTTCCATAACTTTAACTAAAGTAAATGGTGAAAGATTAATTAATTCATTTCTTAATTTATCATCTTCAATATAACCTGATTTAACTCTTTGCCAACTTCCAACTGATAATGAAGAACAATCAATGAAACAATATTTTTCATTTATGTCAAAATTACTAGGATATTCATAGTTTTTACCATCCCTTATTAGACTACTTGATCTTGAGTGAACGTTATTATTTACTGATGATCTTCCCATCCTTTCAGATTTCCTTACTTTAGCTCTTCTATTTTGAAACCAAATTCTAACAGCTTTCTCTGTCATATTTGTTTTGTCACTTATCTCTTTTCTTTGCTCAGGACTTGGATTATGGTTATTTTCAAATTCTTTTAAAAGGTAATCCAAAACTTCACCCGAAGCTCTAGTTCGTTTACCTGAAGATAGATCATCACTCATTATAATTTGTCTCGGAATTGATGAATCTAATGACTTTACTTAACAAGGTATCAGTCAGTGATATTAAGATTTCGGTTTTTGCAATTGGCTTTAGTAATAAGGTTTAACCGTTGATTTTACTTTATAAAGTCAACCAATAAAATCCTTAAGGATATTTAGTCTATAACAAATTATGAATGACGAAGAATACTTTTTTATACAACTAAAACAATTTCAAATGCAATTATACCTTTGAAAACTAACTGTTGAAATAATTGATTGAACTTTCACCAATCTTTGGATTGAAGAAGGTCCTGTGGGTCAAATTAAATCACTGCAATTTGCAAGGGAAATGTTTCGCGGGAAATTCACGTGGATGATCTGAACCGGCCAAGCTGACGGGGAGTGAGTCACAGAGTTTAGGGCGACCTCGCGGCGGCAGGGTTTAAAAATTTTTCGTAAATTATTTTTATACAAGTAAATCATCATAATCGATTTCTGAAAGGGCATCTAAAGCAAATTTATAATCTTTCCAAGCTTTAGATGGATCCCATTCATTGAATGATTCAATAAGGTCTTTTATAAGTTTCATATTGGTAATATGTTTAGATTGAAGAGTATCCTCAAGTAGTTCTCTTACACTCCAAGGTAACTTGAATAAATCATTTGACCTATCATTATGATGAGTTATGAAACTCATGTCTCGTTTTTGATTAACTTTAGTTGATTCTAAAGCAAATTTCAAACTAGTTAAATAAATATCGGAATCTTTAAAGATCTTTCCATGGCCACCATCATTGATCATGCCCATACATCTTTCTGAAAGATCTTTAAGAATTCCATGCTCTAAATGTCCAATGTTTCGACACATTAAAATAAGTTTCCATAAATTGATAAGAAATGAAGGTGTGTTGCTATTTGAATCAACGAATATTGTTCGGAAGATGTTAGGATGATAAAAGTTATTACCTAAAGATGATTCTAAAGGTATTAATTGATCATTAATTGACCCACTTAAAGTAACTTTGACATCATGATTAAGGATACATTCAAAATCCTTCCGGAAGTTTTGAAACGTTTCGCTGTTCAGTTTACCTAATTCAATCAATTCTTGAAGAACCTCATTTTCCATTGTAGTGTAAGCTCTAATGACAATTTTGGTATCAAGATTCTTCATTGGTCCTAATAATGGTCCTGCCATACTAAGTAAACCAATTCTTTTATTATTTATCTTGAATTCGGATGATTGTAATAATCTGGCTAATAATTTTATACTTATAATGGATCCTTGTCCATGGGCTACGAAATAAAGGAAATCACAATCTTTAATCAACATCATCCAGTTATTCAATAATGCTAATGATTTTTCCACTCTCTGTTCAATAGTTCCTTGACCTTCTAAAGATATGGTATCAATGTGGTACATATTTTCAAATCCTGGTTCAGTAGTATCGTTTAACCAGTACTTTACGGCTTTTGAAGCTTCTTCCACAAATGTTAATGAATTTCCTGTCTGTTGGCCAATCATAGATTTGACAAATTTGGTAGGTAAGAACCCATGAACTCCAATAATCATAATTCGTTTAATTTTGTGTAACTTTTTATTTTCAATATGCTTCAATGATTGTTTATATAGATGGTTCTCCGATGATTTTTGTTGGAATAATAGCTTTTCTCCGATAAGTCTTAATCTTGTGATGAAGGTTATGGTTCGGAAATTTTCTTCGATGTTGGGGATGATTCGGTTCATCATTAAAGGTGGAGGTGGGGCTTCAATGGATTTAATTGAAGAATTTGATGACATTACAGGAGTTTTAGCAGGACTGAGGTTTGAAACTATAACTTGAATTGAATTTTCTTGTGATTCTGCTGGTGTAACGGGGGTTCTTTTGATGTTATATTTGACAGGTTGTGATTGGGTTGGTGTATCGTACACTGATAATTCATGATCGTTGATAAGAAACTGACTATTGATTGATCCTTTATAAGCATAACAACATGAATCTTTTGAAGTTTCAATGGCATTCTTAGCAAGCTTATACAATTCCACATCATTAGTAAAACCTTCATAATCTTCTTCTTCTTCAGATGGTGAATTCCATAACCACGTTAACCATCCGTCATTTTTCTGTGGCTGACCCTTCTGCTGACTATTATGATTCGGTTGACCATTACTTCCGTGATTGTAATCTTCTCTTCCATCACTAAGTAAAGGAGTTCCTTCACCATTTCGATAAAATACATAAGCAACTGAATTCTTATAATTACCAAACCAATTATACCAACTTTCAACTTCAAGTTCTTCAGCCTCACGACTTATACTTGGCCTTATTTCCGTTATTCGAACATCATTAGATTTCCAAAACCACCATTGATTATTTTGCTCTTCATCATGCATGCTTCTACTTTCATGAGAAGCTTCAGTGATGGTTTTCAATAAATGGTTATCATCAGTTGACCTCAATGATCTAATGGAGCCAGAACTACTTCTAATAGATTTGGATCCATTCTTACTAGAACTCATTACCTCAATTAGATGTGGAGTTAATGATCTATTGGTATTATGAGGTTAACTGTATTCCCTGATAGAAAATTATCGCGGCTGCTAACTATGTCATTTAATCAACTGATTCTACAACAACTAAATATTCGTGATGAAATAGAGAAAAAGGACATTAACTACTATAAGGCATTTCAAGATCTTAGAATGAAATTATCTATGGCGAAATTCGATGATGACTTAGAGAAACTTGAAGAAAGTAAACCTTCAGTGATAGATAACGATAAGCTAATAGATAGGATTAATCAACTTCAAATTAAAATCGATTCTTTACAGGATCAACTCCAACAGAAAACAAAAGCCAATAAACAATTGGAGAAAGATAACGGACAGTTGAAGACAAAGATAGGCAATTTAAATTTCGAAATCATCGAAAAGAATAAAGCCATTGAAACCATCAATGATGAGTTATTATCTTGTAATATTCAAAATAATGTTTTGATCAATAAGGTTGACGACTTGACTAAGGAGAATGACAAATTGGTGGAAAGATGGATGCAAAGAGTATCACAAGATGCAGAAAAGTTGAATGATGTTAATGAATTTTTACAAAACGCTAATATGAAGTAGGTTTACAGTAAATGATTAGATCTCCTCGTCTTCTATCATCCCAATGGAAATAACTATTGAAGAAAGTTTTACATGGTTGATACCCTTTGTGTTCAAGGATGGGTTTGATCTCATCAAAGGCTTCAAAAATCACTAATCTCTGGGGCCATTCATATTTAAAATTTCCTTGGGGGTCGTTTATAGAATAAGGGAAATTTTTCTGAATGAACAAGGAAGGATTATCGAATAATTGGTCAGATTCGTCACGGTATGCGTTAATATCATCTGAAGATTTCAAATGTAATGGTGGTTCACAAGTTATAAACCATGAAGATTCAAAGGTCTCATCATGTAATTGACTTTGCCAAGGTGTTGAATGACAAGGCATAAGTAACCCAAAATTTTCATTGGTTTCACCCAAATAATCTATGACTTCAATTACACCTTTCTCATTGATTTGACTGAAGAAATATGAAATAAATAGGTTTATCACCGTTAAACATACCATTACTTTCTTACCAATTTTGTTAGTATTAATCAAGAAATTAACTGATTGGGCAGTTATAAGTAGAAGTATTGGCATCAAAGGATAAATAAATCTGAACTCTTTATGGGAAACCATGGAAAATACCGTAATCGTTCCCATACATGTGATACCTAAGATTTGTTTATATGTCTTGAACTTATACACAGCATGAAGGAAGAAAGGCAAGTAAATCATCAATATTATGGGTAAGGACTGGAATATGTGGAAATGCCATGGTGAAGATCCATAAAAGATGGATAGTTTCTTGATGATATTGAATTGAATAAAATTATATAACGGAAATGTCCAGTATCCATAGAATTTATAATTGCATAATGTCTCTACACCCAATAAACCACTCAATTCCACCATTAAGATGGCGGATGTCTTGAATATCTCTTGACCCTTCAAGCCAGTAAGATGGTAAATACCCAAGATCAACCAAATAATCGCAGTGGTTGGCCTAATGATACAACTCAAGAACGCAAAAAAGCAGCTTAAATATATGGGTTTCCTAGATCTCCACGGCCAATATGCAAGGGCAATACACGTTAATATCATTTCCAAATTATTGGAAAATGATCTAGTGATTACGTACCAATTGAATGGATTGAATATCGATAGCATTAATGTGATTTTACCTATCTGTCTGTTATTACTATATCTGGTAGCAAATATGTACATGTAAGTTTCTCCAATTGCTGCTAATACAGCATTAATCACTTTGGGACCCACATATACCCAATTTTCTCCCAAATATCTCGTCAAATAATAGCCTACAGCATAGATCAATGGATGTAAAGAAGATCGCAAACCCTCTTTCCATTCCCAGGTTTCGTAGCCATATCCAAATATTAAGCGATGGGCAACTTCTAAAGATTGATAAAATTCATCTGGTTGAAAGAAAGTCTTCAAGGTGAACACATTAACTAATCTAATAGCTAATACTACAGCAAACACCCATTCCATATTTAGGCTGCGACTCCGCGATTTCTACAACTCATGTTAGATGAAATTGCAGATTTGTTAGAACGAAGTCAATTTCTTTTATCTTTAGGAAAAGTCGACCAGGGTAAAAAGACCTGTTTAGAAGCGGTCAAGAAATTGAATGACTTATCCAAGAAAGATTCTGACATTCCTAGGAATGTTATAAAAGAAGTCTCCCAATATGCCCTCAAAGTGTATGATTCCAATATGACCACAAATGATAAGATAATATGGTTAAATTCAAAAGTTAACAAGGAGACCATTTATCCAGTGCTTAGGTTTGGAGGTTTACTGTCTACAGATCAATTGTTCCTGAAAGAACATGAAGAAGAAGAACTCCTTCTACCAATAAATGCCAAGTATGAGAAGATCAATGATCTGACCTGGTCCTTAAATCATACTGATCTCATAAATTTATACCAGGATAAGTTATCTAACTGTTCGTTTGTTTCTTCATTTTTATCATTGGTTCATTCAGGAAATGAATCCAAATTGTTTGATATAATAACACCTCATGGTCCCAGTGAGTACTATAATGTGAGTCTAAGGTTTAATGGGGCAGTCAGAAAAGTTACTATCGATAACAAATTACCAATTCTTGGAGACAAATCTCGTAGTATTACCATACGTTCAAGTTCCGATCAAAACCTATTTTGGCCAGCTTTGATAGAGAAGGCTTACCTCAAAGTTATGGGACAAGGATATAGTTTTGAAGGGTCCAACATGGCTTCGGATACATATACCTTAACTGGATGGATCCCTGAGATTATCTATATCAAAGATGGTCGTATGCCAAATACCAATTATGAATTGTGTAAGAAATATGGCCATTTGACCAGTTTGGGGATAGGTACGGGGAAAATAAGTAAACAATTATCCGAAAAAACAGGTTTCATATCGAATCATGACTATGTATTACTCAAAGGAATGGAAAACGAGGATTTAACTATCATAAATCCTTGGTTGGAGAATGAAGATTGTAGAAAGATCATACATAACAATAGAAACGAATTGTTCCAGTTCAATTATCTTTATGTTAATTGGGATATGGATTCAATTTTCAAGTATAAGACCACGATTAACTTCATTTACAATGGGCAAGGCTTGGATACCAAACCCCAATTCACCATAAGTAACCCCACTGATGAACCACAAGATATGTGGGTTTTCTTGGAAAGGTTTATTTCAAAAAATGATGCGGCTGTGATTTCGATGGATTTATATGAAAGCGGCTTCAAAGTCATATCACCTGATCAATATAACAGTTTATCTGTTGGTAAAGTCACTAATAGTCACTTTGATTTATTAAGGATTACTATGGAACCTAATTCTAGTAAAACTTTGTTAGTCAATTGTTCCATCACCACTTCCATGTCATTGACGTTATTCAACAATGTTTCCTCCGAATTAGGCTTAACCAGGGCTAAAGCCAAATATGGGAAAGTAGTCAAGTTCGATGATGAATGGGACTTCACCAATGGTGGTGGCGAAAATACTTACTCTACATACTTGAAAAATCCCCAGTTTGATATTGAGGTGACAGACTCAACTGACGTATTCATTACTCTTGAAAGTAATCAAGTCAGTACTTTTCATATGTTCTATTGGAATGAACAAGATAAGAATAAATCAATGAGAGAATTCAAGTCAGGTGATCTATTGATAGACCCACCATATCTATCTGGAACTCAATCATGTCATTTAAATCACTTAGAACCCGGATTTTATCGGATTATTTGCTCATGTAGAGACCCCGAAACCAGAGATAAGTTCAAATTACTGGTCTATCACTGTGAAGGAGAAATCAAGATATCCAAGGTTATAAATCCCCTTGGCTTATTCATGGAAAGAATCACATTTGACTGGAATAATATGAATAGAAACAAAATCCCTTTCTCTTTGAAGACTTACCAGAACAAGCTTTCATTTCATATTCAACATTCTTCAAATAATTTTACTAAAGCTGAGAAAGTTGTCACTTATAGACCAAATATGAGAGCTTCAATATTCAGCCTTGATACCTCTCAACCAGTCAAGGTTAATGAAGAATGGAATAATTCTATCTATGGGATATTTTTCGACTGTCAAATCAATAATCCCGGGAATTTTGTTTTATTAGTAGAAAGATTTGAACCTGGAGTAGGAACTGTGGAAATTAATTTTGGTTGTAATAATAGATTATATATATAAACCGTTTTTCTCTAGGTTGCAAAAAACGCTTACGTAATATATTATTAAGCAAAAAGTCAGAAGTTGAAAGTTCGATTACAAGTTGGTGGAAAACATGTCAAAAACACCAAAAACAAAAAAGTCTTCATAATTTCGGAATATCATCGGGTTGCAGAACTTTTAAGGAACCTATACTTTGGTGGAGCCGTTAAATCTGATTTGGGTCTTTTGTGAAAATGAAATAGAGTATTTCAACAAGCCGTTCAAGAAATAAGGTTCTTGATGTACGGGTTGTTTGATGCACTCCAAGTTCCTCGTACCTTCCTTTTGTTTTGGCAATATGGTAGAATTCCATGGATTCATACTCCGTCACTAATGTAATTTGGGCTGCGCACGTCATTTTTGATTGACAGGCTGCAAAAAGAAGAAAGTCCATCATGAGTTGGTGAAAACTTGTCGAAATTACCAAAAAATAGATTTTGTTCATACTTCTGGAATAGCAAAGTATTGTGGAATATTAAGACAGGTGTGATTTTGTGAAGCTGTCAAAGTTCACTTTGGGCTTTAGTGAAAATGGTTTTAGGCTTCTTCACATGATATTCAAATGGAAGTAGTTCCATGAAGAACTTGTATGATATACACCTTACTCTACGCATCTTCTTTGGACTCCAACAACACGATAGGATTCTTTAAGTTCACCTCTCTGTCACTACCGGATTTGAGTTTGGGCTCCCACAATTTTCGTGCGGGAATCTCCCTAAACTCTAGGTCCATAAATCGACCCATGAAGTCGCGATTCAAATCGTGGGAACTGCGTCGAAATCTACGTGTCAATGAAGTTTTCAATCTTTTCAGTATTGTCAATTCTAGCATTATTTAATGTGGTAATTGGTGCTTATACCAATCAAGAATTACTTGACCAAGTCAAAAAGGCATCCACCAAAGTTTTAACTTTAACAGACAAAAATTATGAAAAATATCTTAATGGACCAAGAGATTATCATGTGGTGATGCTTTTATCATCCCAATCTCCACAATTTAAATGTCCTTTATGTAATGAATTCAAACCAGAATATGAATTGGTAGCCAATTCATGGAACCAAGATCATCCTAATGGGGTTAATGGCGATAATGAAAAAGACATCTTCTTTTTCTACTCAGAATTCATGAATTCTAAAGACTTCTTCCAAAAATTGAAATTAAATAATATTCCAAAATGTTTCTATTTACCACCATCTACCATTTCAGCTAAAGACGGTTGGGTTACAGAAACTGATGAATATCAATTCTTTCAAGGACAACATGCAACCTTGATTATTGATTGGTTAAGAAGTGTTACTGAACATAAGTTTAACTTACATGTCCCAATTAACTACACCAGAATTGCTGTTAATGCCGGTATTACTTTTGGTGTATTAGTACTTGCTTTCATTTTCAATAAACAAGTTATGAAAGTCTTAACATCCAAAACTTTATGGACTGGTGCAGCTATTTTCTTGATCTTATTATTCAATGCTGGGTATATGTTTAATCAAATCAGACAAATGCCATATGTTAGAGAACATCCTGATGGAAGAGTTGATTATTGGGTTCAAGGACAACAAGCTCAATTAGGTTTTGAAACTCAATTGGTTTCTTTCATCTATGGAATCTTATCCCTTTTAGTATTGTTATTGATCAAACAAGTACCAAAAATTCAACATCCTCAAGTCAAATTAATTGCTGCCACCTTGGTATCAGTTTCCTTATTCTTAGGTTACAGTTTATTATTGAATTTCTTTGGTTTAAAAAGTCCAGGTTATCCATTTAGATTCGTTAAATTTGTTAAATAAGACCCGTATATTATATACTCAATTTACCATTCATCATTTCTACTCTTCTATCTATTTTGTCTAAAGTTTTTTGTGTTGCTTGAAGTCTCTTTCTTATAGATTTAATTCGTATGAGATCTTGTTGAATATGTGTATCTTTATGGGTGATAGATACTTTTGAAAGTCTCTGTTCAATCAATTTAAGACGAGTTAGTAACACTACTTGAGAATTATGTAAACTTTCAAAGTTTTCATTGAGATTATCAAGGGAACTATTAAGTACTGAATGAGCTATCAATTCAATTGGATGTAATGATTCATCATCTTCCATGATTTGAAGCAAAAATAGGCTTAAAGTAGCAATGGAAATAATCTAAAAGATTTCGCGGTGCGGTCCGTGAAGTATTTGGGTCGCGCCATGCCCCCACCATTATCGCTAATTCGCACTGTCAATTTTATATCTTGTGATCATGACTGACAGGATATTGTATCGAAAGATCAAATCAGTCAAAGCAGGTCAAATTGAGAGATTTGAACTTGATTATCATCCTGATAGGGTGAAGGAACCCATCACCAAAAATATTTGGGTCAAAGTCAAAAATATAGAGCCAATTGCTATGCGAGCAGCTTTTATCACTGGACCTTACTTATTATACGTTGATTGTAGATCAGAAGAATACAAACAAGACGAGAAATGTTTCATTACTGCCAACCAACCAAGTTTCGAGCCCCAACTTCAACCAGGGAAATCGTTCATCGTAGAATTAAGTTGTAACACCATCAAAGATCATTATAAGTGGACTATAGATGTCATATCGCAAATGATATTTAGTAGTGCTTTGGTGATTAACTTTGAAATTGTAGTGGGGACTTCTAAGGACATAATAAATGAAGAAATAGATGTTCAGGCTGGTGACTTAACTGTTAATAACCTTGATACCTTTGATATTTGGAACTTACCTGTTCCCCAAGAAAAACCTATACATTTAGTAATCTTAACCCATGGATTACATTCCAATGTAAGTGCTGACATGTTATACCTCAAAGAGGCTATAGATTCATTCCAAAATAATGATAATGTGGTGGTGAAGGGATTTTTTGGGAATATTTGTAAGACCGAAAGAGGAATCAAGTATCTTGGATCTAGAGTGGCAGAATTCATAATCGATTTGGTGGTCAATGATAGTCATTTCAATGAAGGCAAAGTTTCCAAAATATCTTTCATTGGTCATTCTCTTGGTGGGTTAGTTCAAACATTTACAATTGCTTACTTACAGAATAATTTCGCTTGGTTTTTCAAAACTATAACACCAGTGAATTTTATAACTATTGCATCTCCATTGTTAGGAGCTTCCAATGAAAACCCTATTTATATTAATTTAGCATTACTGGCAGGAATTGTTGGTATAACTGGACAAGATTTGAGTTTAAGATTCCAACAACATGATAGTAAACCATTATTATTATTATTACCTTCGGGCCCCACTCATAAAGTTCTTAAACAATTTCAAAGAAGGACTGTTTACGCTAATGTAGCTAATGATGGAGTTGTACCATTAAGAACTTCAGCCTTATTATTCCTCGATCATAAAGGATTATCTTCAATCATGAGCAGAGAAGATATGGATTGTCATCATTTGGATAATTCAACTGTAGATAAAATTCCCGAAGAGAAAAACAATGGATATCAATCAATGTTACCTCAACCAGTACAAATGATACTAGCCAAATTAATGCCACAAAAACAAGTTAAAGAACCTGAAGGTGAAATAGATGAATCTAGGTTCCTTAAACAAATTAAAGGCTTACATAAATCCAATGTCATTGAAACTGTTCAATCTTTGATATTACCTCCTTTACCACCTATGAAATATATTGTCAATCCTGAAGAAAGAGACAATGTTATAGTTTATGAAAAGATTTATAGCGAAGCCGATTTACCAGCATTCGAACCCGATGATAAAACTGAAGGAGATTCCTTAAGTAAGAGAATTCTCAGTAGTATAGATTTACAAGAATTCGAAAACATCGAAGAACAAATTGCTAGAGAATACCATAAAGGTATGGAATGGAAGAAAGTGCTTGTAAGATTGAAACCCGATGCCCATAATAACATCATTGTTCGTAGAAGATTTTCCAATGCATATGGATGGCCAGTGATCAAGCATCTTGTTGAAAGCCATTTTAGTGATGAAGAAATCAAATCAGGATTCTATAAATTCGGGGTTGGTATTGATCAAACAGACTCTTTGGAGGAAATAGGTTTAAGTGGCATCTTATCAAGAGAATTGATCAGGAGAGAGAACCAAAACATCGACAAGAAAGAAGATGATCATCAATGGATAAACACTAAAGATGAATCATTTTTCCCTGTTGGACCTGCTGGATTATTAGCGGATGTAGGAGAAATGGTTGTTAACTTAAGAAATCAATGGTGGAGTGAAAATGTGGTTATAGAAAAAGAGATCTCTGATAAAGATCTCATCAATGAGTACGAAATGAAACAGGACTTTATTTAATTATTTTTAATATACAATGCTAATTATCATCAACTTCTTCTTGCTCTTCAGCTTCTTCAGCTTCTTCAGCTTCTTCAGTCTCTTCTATGGGGAATAAATCATTAATTTTTTCAAGTATTTGCTCACAAACTTCAGATTCAAATCTAGTATCACATTCTTCAATGATAGAATATAAATGAACCATGGATCTCGGTAAAGCATTGACTATTTCTAATTTCTCTACTTTAACTAACGATAAAGTGTTCAAATATTTCATAAGTTCGGCAAAATCATTATCACTTTTAATATGGGAACAAGGTCTAGTAGATAAATACTTTAATGTATCATTGGTGATGACTTCGAGGTCTAAACCTCCATGGTTGACGAATTTTTTCCGTTTTTCATTCAGTTGAACAGTCCATTCCTTTTTCATGGACTTTAAATGTTCCATCACCTCATAGTCTGATAAAAATTTATCTCTTTCTACCAATACCTTCATATTGAGAAGATGAGATGAGTGCGGAAATTGTATGAGAATAGTTCTTGATCTAAGAGATTTCGAATTTATTGAAGGAGAAGAACAAAGGATCATTGGTCAAACTGTAGAGTTTGATTTCGAACAGAATGTTTTATTAGTCAAGAGTTTAAGAAATGAGGGTGAAGTCCCCATTTCTCTAGATTATATTGAAACATATGAACCTCGAGTGATAAACAAGGGAGAGATTATTGATATCCATGTAATTTTCGTTGTAGAAAAATCCATGTTAGTAGCAAATCAAGTAGATATTGTCAATGGAGCTATATTGGCAGAAGAAAACTTCGATATACTTCAAAAGATGACTAATATAGAGAAGATATAAAATGTCTATTTTTAAGTTTCGAAATTTGAATGAGTAGTAAAGAATTGATCCCAAATTGAATCTACTGGCACTTGGTGGATCAATTCATATACTTTTCTTCCATCTTTGGAAGGTTCTGATCGTTCTTTCATATTCATATTCATGTTCATATTTATCACTGGACTTGAAGTGGTTGAATCATTAGAATCATATGAATATGGAGTATTTATGATACCTGAATTTATCCATACATTTTGTTCATAATTGATAAAATCAGTTTCTGAGAAGGAATTTCTTCGGGATTGATTTGATGGAGATTTCTCCAATTCGTTAAAGAAATGATCTAATTCACCTTGATAAAATTCATCATTTTTGTTAGTCCATTCAAATGTTGCAGGATCTAATTTATCCATATCTAAATTATCCAAACTTCCTGAAGGAGCTGAGAAAGGATTCAAATCTTTTTCAATTTTGATGGAAATCCTTTCAGAATCATCTAATCTATCAGGATTTATGGCTGATTGTTCACCATTTTTAATATTATCGTTTAAATTGTCTACTAAATGATGTAAATTACTTAATTGCCCTGGTGGTAATTTATTTATTTGATTCGAAGATGGCATTCTTATATTACCTTGAACAGTTTCATTATATTTTAATTTTACAACGGCTGCACTTAACGTTTCAAAAGTATTCTTACAATTTGCAGCCGCATCACATCTATCTATTAAAGAATTCATAACATTAATACATTCTTGAGTTATTTTCTTTACTTCAAATAACCCATTAACTTGTCTTACTTGTTCGCTATTATAAATGGTATATAAATAAGATGTCCCTGCCATGAATAAATTTAAAATAGCTGCCCAAGTATAATTAATAGATTTACTCGATAGTAAAGAAGTATAAATATTAATCAATTCTTTTGATGATTCCGATACTTGGAAGAAATCTTCAATGCTTAATTTATAATTCTTTGGTGATAATCCATGTAATACCAACACGGTATGATGATAATTCAAATGGAAAAAATCGAGGTTGAAATCACAATTCATTTTTCTTTTGGTCTTTGGTCCAGAATTCTTCCAACTTTTAAGATGCTTACTTATGGCATTTTTCCAATCTTGAAGATTAGTGAATCTTCTTGGTAATTCATAACTTTCAAATAAATGTTTTTGTACTTCACTTTGAATTTTTCTCATTTTGAAAAACAGTATAGATATGGATTTATATGATGACATCCCACTATTGTTCTTACTATAATCTTGATTATTATCATTGGGGATGATTAAAGCATCGTCCAACTCACTTGGAAATGGTGTAGTAATACTTTCATCGGGGATACCTACTGGTCTTGACAAATAAAAACATATTTGTCTATCTAATGAATAAGTACACCAAAACAACCTTCTTCTTTTATCAATAGTAAATGAATCAAAACTTGATCTTTCATTTATCAGTTCATTGTGTAACCCAAGATCAATACATAATCTAAGAGCTGAACCTACCACGTACCAACATCCAGGTACTGCCGGTCTCATAATAGAATATAACGCTAATAATAAAATCCCTTGTAAACTCTCTAATTGATCAGATGATGCATAAACTTGATCAACATATTTTATTGCTGATAACTTGAAAGAATCGGATATCGTCATAGGATATTGTAAATGATGTACTGATGATGCTATAGCAAAGATAATATTAAGGAAATATAATGCTTTATGGAATTTTTTAGGAGGTGTAATACCATTTGAAATTTTAATAGCATCAATAGGTTGATTGTTAGCTTTCAATGTCGTTAAAGATTCATTGAATTTCACTTTATACTGGTAAAACCATGTGAGTTGTTCATTATTGTAGTAATCATCATTTTGAAAGATTGAATGATTAATAGCAGTATAATTGGAAGCTAAGGATACATTAGCATCTAATTTCCCGTAAATTGGAAGGAAACAATTCTTCAAGAATTCTTCACGATGTAAAATTGGTAATTGGGCATTGGTTTGGGCAAAAAATATTCTTAAGAATTGCTGAGCGGTCTTTTTAGGTGGTAATAAAGCTAATGGAATATCTTCTTTGATATGATTTGGAGTTGCACCGATTTCCGGAGTTGTCATATTGGATTTCTTACTTTGAAACTTTACAGCTGTTGACATCAATTTCCCAAATGATATGGATTGACCTGTAGAAATCGATCTATTGTTTTTACTATTAATTGAATTAAATTTAACTTCATTAAGAAGCTCGGTTTGTTCTTTTTCACTATCACCTTCATTATCAGCTTCACTGATCCCACTCAAGGAATTCCCATTGATAGGAGTATTTAAAGACATTGAAGTTGAGCTTTCCATTGAAGTTGATGAAGTGAGTGGTAATGAATTGGTTGTTTCTCTGACAGTATCAGGATCAATACCATTTTCTTTCAATTTGCCTTCCAATACAGCTATTCGATCTTCTAAATGTATGACATAACTCCTAGGTACTTCTCTACCGGTTGCAGGATCCAAACCAATACACTCAACACCAGCTTTTTCACATTTCAAACATTTAGGGAAATTTTGATCACATCTAACTTTTTTAACCCTACATCGTTGACAAGCTGAAATACTTCTACTGATCCCTAGAATCTGTGAAGAAGGACGTGATTTCTTTACTTCCTTCCCATCATTATTAGTTTCTAATTTGGTTTTCACCATAATGAAAATTTGTGTTTGATAAGAATTGAGGGAGATTGAGATTATTCCGGTGAGAGGTTTGATAATGAGATTAGAAGATTGATTGGAGGATATGATCGATATCACTTGATATCTCGAGGATAAGAAGCAATTTGGCTCAAATGATTACCTTTAGTACATTAGATTAATTTCAAAGACATAAGAGTTGAAAATTTCAAGAAAATGCATCAATGCTTAAAACAACCATTATCCTTATATAATTGCTTAGATCAAAGTACTTCTGATTCTGATTTTAAGGTTTTGATAATTAACCATTGTAAATTCCCCAATCTTCGCTGGTATCTTATCTCCATTATTAGGTCCAATGAGTGTTTTCTTAAAGTAGAAATAGGAGAGATAAGAATTAGGGTTAGCGAGCGAATAGGAGATGTATAAAAAATTTCATTATCGCTGAACTTACTGCATCGGTCGATAGAAAAATCCCTTTTGAGTTGCTTGGAAATTTTTCATAATCCGTCAATTAATTACTTTTTAGACATAATTAGTGTGTTTAAACCTAATAATACTATTATAATACGCCTCAAAATCATCTCTAACTATTATTTCTAACAATATAACCACGAAATACACGCTATAAATCCGAAAAAGATGGCTGGTTATAGGGGAACGACACCGCGACACGGGACAAAAAGGGGCACGAAATTTAAATTTCATTATCGACAACTTTTGTTCAGAATTTTTCAACTCAATTGAAGGTCAATTAAATTAACTACTCAATTAAAAATGCACAGAACTTATTCATTAAGAAGTCAAAGAGCTCCAACTGCTGCTCAAATTCAAAGTCCTCCACCACCACCATCATCAACCAAATCTAAATTCTTTGGTAAGGGTTCAATCTCCCATAGTTTTAGAAAATCTGCTGCCGGTGCTATGGGACCTGAATTAGCTAGAAAATTAGCTCAATTGATTAAAATGGAAAAGAATTTAATGAGATCCATTGAAATCACTGCCAGTGAAAGAAAAGAAGTTGCTAAACAATTATCAGTTTGGGGTGAAGTTAATGATGATGATATTAGTGACATTACTGATAAATTAGGGGTTTTAATCTTCGAAATTGGTGAATTAGAAGATCAATTCATTGACAGATATGATCAATATAGAATTACCTTAAAATCTATCAGAGATATTGAAGGTTCAGTTCAACCATCAAGAGAAAGAAAACAAAAAATCACTGATAACATTGCTTACTTAAAATATAAAGACCCTCAAAGTCCAAAAATTAATGTTTTAGAACAAGAATTAGTTAGAGCTGAAGCTGAAAGTTTAGTTGCTGAAGCTCAATTATCTAATATTACTAGAGAAAAATTGAAAACTGCTTTTAACTATCAATTTGATTCTATCAGAGAACATGCTGAAAAAATTGCTTTAATTGCTGGTTACGGTAAAGCTTTATTAGAATTATTAGATGAAAGTCCTGTTACTCCTGGTGAAACAAGACCTGCCTACGATGGTTACGAAGCTTCTAAACAAATTATTATTGATGCTGAAAATGCTTTAGCTTCATGGACTTTCGATTCTGCTGTTGTTAGACCAACTTTATCTTTAGCTGCTGGTGAAGAATACGATGTTGATGATTTAGCTGAAGATACTGAAGATATGCAAGTTGCTGAAAAGGAATTTGCTTCATAATTGTTTTATTAAAAAGTATCCTTTGATTCTAAAATGTTTTACTATGTTATTATACAGTTATTCTGATTTTTACTCTATCGATAGCAATCATCTTAAGGTTTTGACACCTATTTTCTTGATTTGTCTCCACTTACTCTAATGGCTATATACCTCAACTCTATCTCGTACCTCAACTCTATCTACAACTCAAATATCACCCAGTTATTTTCCATAATTATTATGTTAACTCATCTCAATCCTTCACCTTCTCATTACAATTGACTTCCTCATCTCATCTCATCTATGTCTTATCATGTCAATAATGTCTTTTAAACCCTGTATATTAAAGGTTCTTGATTAAAATTTCACTGGACAATTTACCTTATCCATTCGCACGAAGTTTTAGGCTCCCCGCCGCCTAAAGGTTAGTGGCATCTTCGCCCTGGCATATTTATTATTTACATTTTGGTGCGGAAACGTCTTTTTCCTTTGGTGATACATTTTGGAATCAAAACAAATATTTTTTCTTTATAACCGCCAGTGCTGACTACCTTAGATAATCCAAACCTTTGTACTACTGTTCTGTTCCTATCATTGCTTAATTTATTCATTCGCTAATCACCATAGCTTTATCATAATTGCTTAATTTATTTTACTTTCTTTCAATACATCGTTAATATCTTTTTCGAGATGAATCCATTGAATTCTTCACCATCATCGAACATTGATCCACAATTATATAATAAGACACCAAAGGTTAAAAGTAAAGAACCTAACTTTACAGGTTGGACCCCTTTGATTTCTAAGAACAATGATATGAACATTACCCCTTCATCAAAGTTTTTAAATAACATTCTTGTTAATTTTAATCAACAACCATCGGGAGATATTGATTATTCCAACGGATTAAATTTAACACCATTTTTGAACCATAATATCAATTTAAACCTTTTAAATTCTAATTCCATGAATCATGTGATAAACAATCAAATCCAATTACAATCATCAAATCAAGCAAGTTCTAATAATCAAAATAATGGTAATACAAGTTTGAATATGAGTGGATTATCATTTACTCCATTTCATGATAAAAGTATTTTATTAAGTGATTTCTTCACTGATTCTCCAATCAAAGGAACTCCCTTGAAAGATTTACAAACTATTACACCATCAAAATTCTTAGATAAAAAGAGAACATCAATTTTCCAAGATCCAAAATCAGCTACAAAGATATCTCTTAATAATTTGAATCAAATGAATAAGGATAAAGCTAAAATATTAAATGATGAAACTGACGATGAAGTCGATAATGAAACAGATGATGAAGAAAATAAATCCAAGAAGAGGAAATTCCAAAAAATTGCTACTACTCCTTCAAAAATATTAATTGATATTACTAATGAACAAAATAAATTAAAGAGAACTCCAATAAAGGAACTACCTATGAATTTTAGAACTCCTGCTAAAGTAATTGAGAATTCTTCACCTTCAACAGTTATATTATCATCAGCTACCAAATCACCTAAAGAAAATTTACCTCAAAGTCCTACTCCTAATAAATCATTCAAACCTATGATGGGGACATTTTCTGAAGTCAAAGAACCCAAACTGAAGAAGAAGAAATTAAATAATACCCCAACTAATTTACCAATTAAAACTTCTATCATTAATACCAATCAAGGAACCAGATTTAAACCATCAAACAGAGCTCAAATGCAAGCAGGTATGAATAAATTCCAAATTGTTTTAAATGATGGTAATAACGTTAAAAGAGGTAGGAAAAGTAAAAAATCCAAAAAAACCTCACAACCTTCACAACCTTCACAAACATTCAATTCTAATCAATCGATACCCCAACCACAAATTAAAATACCCAAACAACACATGACTACTAATATGCAAAATGGTGAAGTATCTAATTTATCTGTTAATTCAATGATAAGTCATAATTTAACTCAAGGCACTGATCATACATCATTTGATATTCAAGCCACTCCTAATAAATTTTCATTAGATAAATTCTTTGATAAAAACTCCCCCAATTCCCAAAATTTACTCAACCAAGTTTTAAACTATAAAATGAACCCTCCACAAATTCCTCCAAATCAACCACAACCTCAGAATGGTATGATGATGAGTACACCTACTCATCAAAATGTTTATTCCGATGATGAAGGGAATATTTCACTTTCTGCATTTTCATATTTTAGAAAAGAATTAGTTGATAATGAATAATGATTTTTTCTTTCTCTCTAGAGCTCGACTACTATTTACATATATTTAAAGATTTGGTGGTAATAATAAAGCCCCAATGGTGTTGGGTCTTTCGGTAGCTAATAAATCAAAGGCTTTGGCTGAATTGAAAGAATCTCCAACTTCCAATTGAATACCTATTGAGCTGAAAAACTTCCTATTTTTATCACTTAACATACGAGACTTTCTTCCTAATCCAACGACCAAGATATCAGGTTTAGGATTTATTTTATCAAAAATCTCCAATATTTCATCATTGAATTCAACCATGAATCCGTTGATTAACTTAACTCCTGAGAACTTTGTTATTGGATCTTTCACTTCTGCTTTACCATTTTTGATGATTTCAACACCTGCTTGACCTAAATTAACTTCAAAAGCTTCACTTTCTAACATTAAAGCCCCAATAATGTCACCTTTATCATTGGGACTCTTTATATAGATTCTACTTGATAAATGAAATCCGTCATCTTTTATACTTTCTATATAATTTAAAGGTTTATTGGAAAACATCAAAATATCATTTTTCTTCAATAAATCAACAGGGTTAGATGCTGTTTGACCCTTACCTGAAGGGGCTTCGAAACGGGTATGTCTTATAGTTTTTCCTTCTCCGAAGAGATTAGCTCTACGACTAGTTGAACTGAAGGCTCTTTTAAACATATTCGCAATTTTTGGGATGAGGTGAGATAAGAGATAAAGGTTGGGGGATGGGTTTAGAAAGCTGTCAGGGAAGTCGCTGGAGAAGTCGCCAGGGAAGCTTTCAGGGAAGATACTATGGGATTGTGATTGAAACTATTGAAGATTCGAGACTTAAGCGTTGTGGTTGAACGAAAGATACATTTATTACCGTTACCTCCAACTTTCAACTTCTCTACGATATTATGGGATTTGTGGTCTAAGAAGAGAGTTTAATATTGAAGGGTGTGTATAAAGAACCGTAGACACTTCATTTGGTGTTATCGTGGAAGGAGAATTATAATGTGACCTAAATATGTCTTTATGCTCACGTGATTGATCCAGCCGGTACTTATGGCATTCTAAATCTACATCTTAATAGGCGGATCTCTCCCAATAGGACAAAGACTTCAAATTTCACTTCCAATGCATAACCCCTTCACCTCCTCATCCTTCATAATGTCACTACCAAATCACCCTTTCTCTCCAGATCTCCAGATTCAATTTCGCGATAAACACTCAACATGTCTACTCAATCAGGTATTAAAGCATCCAGGGAATTGTTATCATCCTTCTCTCAATTGAGTCATGACTTCTTGGTCATCAAAATCAATGGAACTTCTACTGAATTGATTCCTGATCCAAAAAGTCCAAAATCTAGCAGTTCTTCTTTAGACCAAAGGTTCAAAGAATTAAAGTCTTACATAACATCCATTCACCCCCATCCAGTTTACATCATTCTTAACTTAGATGATGAGTTTGCTTTCATCAGTTTCATCCCAGATATTGCCCACATAAGAGACAAGATGTTATATGCTTCCACCAAGAATACTTTATTACAAGAATTGGGCAGTAGTAATATCAAGAAAGGGTATATATTCTCTTGGTCAGAATTAGATGAATTGACACATGGACATTTCAAGTCAGTTTTACCAGAAACTCAAACCCGAACTTCAATCGAAGATAAAACACAAGCTTTGGAAGAAGTAAATGATAATGTTGGTACTTACAGTAAAAGGTTAGCATCCATGGATAACGGATTGTTATTCAAACTTGATGATGGATTGGTGCTGCAATTACAAAATGCTAAAGATAAATTGATAATATTCAATATCGATGACAAAGAAACCTTCAAGTTATTATCGGAACAATCATGTGATGTTGACTCAATTGTTCCAACTATCGAACAACATGAAGGTCCTAAATTTGCGGTATATAACTATCACAATGATGACTATTGTTTGATCTATTCGTGTCCATCAGGTTCAAAAGTTAGAGATAGAATGATTTATGCTTCTAATAAGCAATCTTTAGTGAGCCATTTGAAACAATCATTGAATATCCTGAAAGTTTTAGAGGTTGGAGATATGGAAGAATTGGACTTACATGAATTAAAACCTCAAGTCAAGGAAACTAAAGTAGAGAATAATTTGAGATTTAGTAAACCAAAAGGTCCAAGAAGAAGATAACTTTATAGCCAAAAAATATCATACATTTACTAGAATGCTTTTTTTATTGATTAAGTGCTTTGTACTCGTTAAGTTCGTTAATTATATACTCTTTGATCATTGAATTCAAGTTTTTGTTGTCCACCATCAAGATTTCTGATAATTTGAATGTCTGTGATAATCTTATTATTTTGGCATAAATTTTCCTTGATGCTGCTTTATTTATAGAAATGTAATCTTCTTGACTTTTGATGACCTTTTCCTTATACAAGGGGCGAAGCATATTCCTAATTAGCACTTGAATAATACTCTTTTGATCCAAAGTAAGTTCTGACCCTGATCCAGCAGGGTTAATTGAGGGCAGCGTTGAAGGAGGTGAATGAATGGGTGATCTTGGTGACTGTGGTGAAAGTGATCTTGGTGATATCGATTGCGGTGAATGACCTGGTGAGAGAGCTGGTGACTGGCCAGGTGAATGGCCTGGTGACTGACGTGAGGAACTAGATCCAGGGAATGTGAAATTATCTGAATCAAGTGGTTGGCCGTTAGTAAAAGTTGGTTGTTCTGAGTGTTTGATCTGATTCATCAAATTGGAAATCCTTGATGACCCGCTAGTATGTGTCACCTCTGCGGGAATGATGGGCTCTTGCCTCTTCTTTCTTTTCCTACGGTTATTATTATCAACTGATTGCTCTGTGTTCAGAGTTTCGTCGTTGTTTCTGGCTTTTTCGAACATCTCCCATGATTTTATCTCTTCAGAAGACAACTGCTGTAATTGTTTGTTTTCCCTTCTTCTTAGTATTCCGCCATTCATTACGTTACTTGAAGTTGAAGGGCCGTTATATAGGAATTCATCATCTAACTCATTATTTTCATTGTGAATAATAAGACCTCTGGTCTCTTTTGGTCTTCTGATAGGTTCTTCATCCTCTAAAACCATTTCCCCTGTGTTTCCAGTGAGTTCGACCCCAGTTCGAGGTTTGGGTGTTCGAGCTCTCCTGGAATTAATGATCTGTCTCCTTCTTACGTTTAATGGTAGTAGTAGCTCTTGAAAATAATCACAGATAGGACAGTTCCATGATTCCATACCATTTGTTATCCCTAAGCATCTTTGATGGAACTTGCAGTTACAATTTGAACAATTAATCAAGTTTCTAGTACTTCTATAATCTGATGATGAGCAAATATTACATAACCCTTGGGTTTCAATAGTTTCCACGGGCTCTATAGCCGTCAAACTGCTAGCTGGTATCACAAACTCTCTAGGTATATCATTAATAGCATCATTTGGTAGTAATTTATCCTTGATCGTTAAAGTATCTAATACTAATCGACCTTCTCTAGTATCGGATATATCAATCTTATAAAATAATTTCCTACAAGTCGGACATGAATTTGAATTGTTAGACCATGTTGTTATACACTTATCATGATAATAATGCCTACAAGTAGCTATTATACCGAATTTAGAGTCCAAAGATTCTAGGCAAATAGTACACTCTTCTTCCATCTGGTTATCGCGATGAATTATGTCTCGTCATCAGTATGATTTGATTCAATGTATGAACCAACCTGGGTCTAAGGTTGGTAAAGTTTGTTTGAATTGTGATGGTAGATGTCCTATTTGTGACTCGTTTGTCAAACCAACAGAGAAAGTCAGAGTTTGTCAAGAATGTTCATTAGATTTTCTAATGACAAAATGTATATTATGTGGTAATAAATTCGATGAGGGAGTTGATGCTTATTATTGTTTAGAATGTGTAAGATTAGAGAAACATAGGGAAGGTTGTCCACGTATTGTTAATGTCGGAAGTTCCAGAAGTGACATGGTGTTCAGTAAGAAAAAAGCAGGCAATAAATTAGAAAGATTAACAAATTAATTGTGGAAAGTGATATATCACAATCAAAAGTAGAAGATTAATGTCGTACGGGGGTAGAATATAGGAAATAGGTTAAATTTAATCAATATTATTATTCATTTATCATATATCATCATTAAGAACTCTTACTTGCTTCAACGCTTAAATCGACTATAGATTTAATTCCGTCTTTCCATCTATCACTGAGATAATCGTTGATAGGTTTGAAATCTATCGTTTGTCTTTTATTTCTCATCATATTTATATCATCGATCATCTTTCGTTTCTTCTCTATATTGTCATTTAAATCATGTTCGACATTATCTATGAGTTCTTGATGTTGAGTAAAATTATTCTGATTATTTAAAATCATAGTTAGGCTTCGATAGTGGTTATTGGCATAATACAAGGCCTCCAAACTGTCATCATATCTTGACATGTCTATGCCTTCATCGTCTTCAACCTCATATCTTTCCTTCTCACTCCGCTCTTGGCCATCGCCTTGATGACTCAATTGATGTGTTTGTTGCTGAAATGGTTGAAATTCATGCTGTTGCTCAAATGTTTGTGTTGGGATTGTGACCAATTCATCTACCATAGGATGCATATCATTTCTTGTGTCATTATTCTCTAATTCTATCCTTACAAGTCTTTCAACATTATCCCTTTCAATGCCCGATATTGGGATATCGATATCTAAAAAAGTTAGTATGAGAATTCTTTAATTAAATCTTCAAATTATCTACATACAAGGTAAATTTTCTAAAACTCCTTCATTAACTGTTACCATGACTGTTAAAAATCGTCAGTAATTGTCAAATATTATAATAAATATTCGCCTTATCACGATGATTTTCTCAGATTCTCAGTTCTCGTAAATCCTCTGAGAAGTTTGGGTGAGATGTGGAATTCGTAAAATTTTTTAGGCATCAATCGGCAGACAAAAGATTTACATTAAAGAGGGTGCCATGTCGTACAACGACAATATAGAAATGGATTAAAAGTTTATTCAATGGTAACTATACATTAATGATTTTTGATCTATTTGAATAAAACTTCAGCATCATATCTTTGTTTGAACCAGGCAATAGTATCTTCTTTGGTGGTTTGATGACTGTTACCAATGGTAGCTCTACATCTCTTTCTTCTGGTGATTCTTTTACCAGCTCTACCCATGACAACGTAGAAATCCATACCGTAAATACCGATACCTGGATCATATTTGATACCTAAATCAATATGTTCATCAATACCGAAACCGAAGTTACCAGTAGCACTGAAGTTTTTGTCTTTTAATTGATATTCTTTAACTTTTAAACCTCTTTCTAAGATTTCTTCAGCTTTTGGACCTCTGATAGTGACGTGGACAGAGATTTTTTCATTTCTTCTGATACCGAAGGTTCTGACAGTATATCTAGCTTTTGATTGAACTGGAGTTTGACCTGATAATTGTTCTAAAACTTTTGAAGCTCTGGTTAATCTATCACCGGATTCACCAACACAAATGTTTAAGACTAATTTTTCGATACGTAATTCACGCATTGGGTTTTGAGTTTTAGCAGACTATTATTGTTAGTAATTTATTCATTAAAATGCTTTCATTAAAATTGATTTATATGGTGGTCTCATCTCTTAATATCTTTCGATTTATAAATCATCTTGGGCTAATCTAAGGTATTCACATTCAAAGTGGTTTATTTGTACTACTCCATTCATCATATCTTTATCATATCTCTCATCAATCATTTAAATTCGATATTACATACCATCTTTAATTAATTACTGTTTAAAATTTTTCAAAAATAATTTTCAACTAAATGAGAATACAATTTGATATTGACACTAACAAAAGTGAGAGGAATTGTGACGTCGAAAAATTAGAGTGCGCGATCTCGTGACATGTGCATTTTCTAGGGCTAGTGCCCTTGTATATAATTTTATATATAATAAACGTTATTACTTTAACCATCAACATTATTAAATGATTTTTCTTGACTTTTAACTTCCCAGAATAAATCACCAACATCATAATTACCATGATAAGTCCAACCTTCTTCAGTAATATGATATAAATTAACAGTACCACCAGAATAAGCATCTCTATGGGCAGCAGCTAAAATACTTCTTTTACCTAAATATAAAGCTTCTTCTTCAGTTAAATCCCATTTATATTCTGAATCTAAAACCCCATAAGCGAATGTTTGACCAGATCCAACACAGAATAAATCTCCTTTCAATCTTGTACCATCACTATCAACATAATAGACTGTTGGTCCTTCCTTTTTAGTGAATCCACAAATCATTGTACCCATTGATAATCCCATACCTTTATATTCGTAAATCAAATTACTTAAAATCTTTGAAGCTGCAGCAACAGAAATTCTTTCCTTTTCTCTTAATTCGTGTAATCTACATTGAGTACCTAACCAAGTTTCCCAATATTGACAATCAGCAGCACCTCCTGCCATGGTACCTAATAACATGGGATTAATTCTAATAACTTTATGAACAGTTTGTGAAGCGGTCCAATTTCCTTGGGATGCTCTGGAATCTACAGCAATAACAATTCCCTTCTTATATCTAAAGGCCAAAGTTGTGGTACCATGGGCAATTTTTATCTTACAATCAGGATTAGTTGCATCATCAGTGTGAGCTCTCAAGAAATCTGTGGGTTGTGAAATTGGAGGTAATGTCATAGTTGGTGTTAATTCTAATTTATCAACACCTCCATAGCCTCCGTTGGATTCATTGATCTCATGATGAACATGATTCCTATTGTTATTGTTGAATTGACTGGCAATGGTATTCATTTGTGAGGTTATATCGCCACCGATAAAGAGTTCGCGATATAAAGAAAATCAGAGCGTCGTGTACATACCGTTTCTATTAATTTACATAAGGGGTGGTTAAACAGAAGGTTTATCTGGTGTGGTACCTTCCGTCTTTGCTGATTTGTTTGATGATTGTTGTTCGTTATTAGCATCTTCATTAGGTCTTTTGTCACCTAAAGCTGGAGGCTTGCCTCCATACCCTGGTCTTGAAGGTGGTTTAGTAGAAATAAATGGTGGTTTAGATAATCCCGTTGATGGTTTGAAACTGGGAGGTCTGACCAAATTGGATTTAGAATCTTTGTTAATTGCGGGTGGTTTACCTAATCCTCCTGATTTTTCATCGGATTTGTCTTTAATAGGTGAATTAGCTTGTTGAGCAATGGCACTAATTGGAGATGCACTGTCGATGTCAACCGTATTGATCTTAGGACTGGAAATTGTAGAAGCTCCTGGTGTTGCACTAGTACTTGCTGGTTTTGATGATGATAAAATACCTTGTTTTTCTTTAATCGATTTACTCAAGGCGATATCTAAGATTTTACTTACTTGTTGAGGTGCTTTATCAACCAAGAAACTCAAAGCATTATCACCAACACCAGCTTTAGAACCAATGGCATTAACTTGAGCTATAGTAGTGGCCAAAGCCTTGGTAATGATTTCTGTTGTAGTGGTGGTGTTATAGGATAATTTCCTTGCTTTGTATAAGGTGAACAATTCTTTCTGAAGGTAGGACAATGATTTTTTTGTATCTTGATTCATAGCCGGAGAGCCAGGTTTTGATTCTTCTGTTGGTGATTGAGAATATTGTGATCTATTGGCTGCTAATTGTGCTTTAATGTTAGTTGGGGATCCTGACCCTGGTCCTGCATTGGTACCATTATTTGGTTTGGTTTCTTGAGGTTTGAAATACATAGGAGCTTTGGAACCAATAATTCCATCTCTTCTAATTTCACTAGCTAACTCTGCTATAGTCTTAGGTTTTTGGCCATTGCTATTGTTATATTGATTAAACTGAGAATTATATTGATTGTTGTAATTATTCATTGGTTTGGAATATTGTTGAGATTGTGATAATAAATGAGTGTTTAAAGGTAATCCGTATTGATTGGAGAAATCCTTTCCCATCACATTTTGAGATATAGATTGTTGCATTTCCAATCTTTGTTTTTGTTTCAACTCTTCAGCTCTTATAGCAGCTTCTTTAGCCTTTTGTGTGGCAATTTCTTGTTGCTTCTTTCTAACAATCTCTTTTTCTTGAACGAAGGATTCGTCTATGATCCATTTTTCATTATCTTCGAAATCAAAAGACATACCAGAATTGGTCTTGAATAATTTATTCAATTTAACATTGTGAACAACAATACTTTGCCAGCCATCAGGACAATACTTATAATATGGGTACACCTCCTTGATGGCTTCGTTTATTTCATTGATAGTTAAACCATTGGTATCGTTCTTATACTTCAAAACATTGATAATAATAACTGGGAATGATAAACTTGGTTTAGTACGATAATGTTCAGGTATATCATTCATAGTATAAGTATTCTTATTGGGTTTTTTAGTGGAAATATCTTTTCTTCGTTTAGGTATTTTAGGAACCATGATAGGATTATTACTAATGATTCTTGGTTCCCAATATTTTGGAGTTTTAGGTTCAACCCCTGTGGTTATTTTCCTCACAGGTATATCATAAGAAGATTTCAAAGGTTTTTGTTCGATAGTTCTGATTGGAACTAATAGTTCTGGAACTTGGGGATGAGAATATTTATGATCCATTTTGTATCCGTAACTACCATATGCATGTTGAGGTGGTGGAGACATTGACATCAATCTACTATCAATAACCAGATTAGGTGGAATATTTGAATGTGGTCTTCCATATAATCTTGATGCTGGTGGTTGGATAGCTGCAGGTTTACCCATTCTTGGTGTGGCAGGTTTACCCATCAAAGGTCCTGTTCTTTGCTGTTGATGAGTTAAGAAGTTATTACTCCTGTATTCTTGTCTTAATCTCTTTTCTTCTTCGAGTTGTCTTTTCCTCTCTTCTTTCTCTCTCAAGAGTTCTTGATTATGGGCATCAATCAATGGTGCCAAATTCACAATCTCTTCATCAATTACTGATAAATCCATATCAATGTCTTTATCATCTCTTTCCAACACACTTTCATCGAGTTCCACTCCTTGTTCAAGGTTATGTTGTTTGACTAATTTATCAATCTCATCTTCTTCCCCTTCATTATAATGAGATAAGTCTTCATCTTCGTCATCGATGATAGCTGATTCATGGCCATCACCAAGAATAGCTCTTATTTGAGCATCTACAAAATCTGGGTCTTGTTCGTCTATATCGTCAATGGATTTGACTCCTAATTCTGATAATATGGTACTTATTTCTTCATTAGTGGCTGTTGCCAAAGATTTCCTTCTAGCTTCGGATAACTTTCTCGGTATTTTGATACTATTTCTACGGTTTTCTAGTATAGATTTTCTTTTATCTTTCTTAGCAGGTGAATTATATAAGTTGGTTCTCAAACTTATGGCATCAATAGGATTAATTGGTTTGGCAGTCATCGAGGTGTCTTTCAATTGATCGAGTTCAATTGATGGTAAAACGAATTGGAAAGGTATGTCACCAATTTGGATTTTTGTTCCATCTACCAATGGGACAGTCATCCCTTTTTCAAGGAATGAATCGTCAACAAATGCTCCATTCCTTCCCATAATACTTAATTCGAATCTTTGAGTACCAAAGTTATAGAAAATCTTTGCGTGCCTTCGTGAAATGGCTTTCTTAGATGATAAATGCACGTCTACAGCATGTTGACTACCATTTAATAACTCATCGTTGGATTTTCTCCCTAAAACCACCTGTAAAGTTTGAACGAAAAAAGTATAATTATCAAAATCTAATCTAGCATATGCACTTATCTTAGAATTATCTTTATCATCTGATGTGGCTGAAGTGCCTAAAGCTGCTTCGGATGTGATTCTTGGCTCTTCCTTAACATTTGATCCATTATTTTGATCTTTGGACGATTCCAGGTTAGATTCTTCGATCAATGGAGTTAATGAATTGTCCATTGTTTTATCAATGATATCTTCAACTTGGTCATTTATCACAGATTGCTGTTCATTCAATTGTTCATCAATGAGTGCTGTTTCTGAAACATCCTTCGGTTGGCTACTCCCAATAGTATCATCTCTAGGTAGTTGGATATCTAAAGGTCCTTTATCTATCACCTCATCTCCTAATGAACTCATCTTGGGATTGATTCTTTTAAAATCGATTCTACTACTTCTTATAAAGGCGGTGAATTTCCTCAGTACTTCCTTGTGTATAAAATGATGATGATCCCAAACCCTCCTTTATTGATGATAGAAGCAAAAACGTATAGTTTCACTTGTTAATTAGGGTGTTTTTCTTTTTCCTTGATTTTTGTGCGCAGAGGTAGCTCAAATCTGGTTAGTGATCTGATAGCGATAAATAGAGGGTCAGGTGACATATAATGCCTATGTAATGGGACGATTCCTATTTTGGGGGTTATGGCTACTCATACAATCAATGAGATCGTTTTGAGGGGCTTGGTGGTGGAGAAATGATAAATTTTATCCTGAGATGAGGTGGTTTGGAACTACATGTGGGAAGTGAATTCTGAAAAAAATTGATTTTTCATGATTTTTCACATTTAAGGACTGACACCACCATCAAGGCTACTGGGGTACCTGTGGGATCTCGTTTTGTTGTCTTCAGATAGGAAATGGTTTTTTGCAACCAGGTGTTTAAGAACCTTTACAGTGAGTTTTGTATATTGAGTTTTGCAGCCACTTTGTTGTGAAACCAAAAAAAATTCGGCTCCGACACCGATTTTCTATCTTATATGCCATATCCATAATCCGTCTGACTAACATAACTTTTCTTTAAACAAAATCGATCTCATCATTTTCTTATCTATGGTTGGAACACTATCATATGTTCCATTTCTTAAACAAGGCCCCTCTCCTTCTTCTCAAGATTCCCTTTAGCTATGTTTTCTGGCATCTGTAAGAAATCTTTTGGCCATAAGAGTCGTGACAATTGTCGGACATTGCGCTCAGGTTTCCTCTACTCCCCTCTACTAAACCCTTGTATCACCGCATCTGTCAAAAAGATAAAAGCGATGGAATGGAAAAATATCTTTAATGACTAATAACATACAAAGCAAGAAGAATCTGGAGGAAACAGTGAATGAAACTACAACTCCAGATTTATCTGATAGATTGGGAGACGCTCATATGAATCTTCTACCAAAGAAGAAACTTCTTATAACAATGTTTGCAATGTCTTTTAACCTTTTTACAGCATTTTGTGATCAAAATTCTATAACGGTTGCGTTATCAGAAATATCCAAAGATTTGAATAGTGAGAAGACTATTAACTGGGCGGCCACTGCTGCTTTGTTAGCTAACACTGTATGTCAAGTTTTATTTGGTAGATTGGCTGATATCTTCGGTAGAAAGTTTATTCTTCTATTATCAATTTCTGTATTGGGGATTGCCGATTTATGTTGTGGATTTGCTCAAACTGGTACACAATTTTATGTTTTCAGAGCTTTTGCTGGTATAGGATTTGGAGGAATCCAAGGGTCTACTATGGTATTGGTAAGTGATATTGTTACCTTAAAACAAAGAGGAAAATATCAAGGAATTTTAGGGTCCAATGTTGGTATGGGGAATGCTATTGGACCCTTTCTCATGTCGGCATTTATAAAACATTCGAGTTGGAGAAATTTCTATCATATGATGCCATGTTTATTAGCTTTTCAATTCGCTTTGACTTGGTACTTCGTTGACAATAGACAAAATGAATTAAACTCCGTATTGACTAGACTTGACAAATTCAAAAATATTGATTATTTGGGAATGTTCTTTGGTACTGCTTCATTAACTTTGCTCTTAATACCTTTGAATGGTGGAGGTTCCACTTATGCTTGGAATAGTGTTTTGGTGATTGTCATGTTCGTTGTTGGAGGTGTCTCAATGGTTGCATTTTTAATCATAGAATCCAAGATTCCTAAGTTACCTATGATTCCATTGAGATTATTCACAACCACCAGTCTTAATTTGATATTTTCTTCCAATTTCCTATATGGAATTGTGTATTATTCCTTTCAATTTTTCATTCCTTATTACTTCCAAATTGTGAAAGGATGGGATGAATTACATTCTTCAATTTTACTTTTACCTTTGGTTATCACTCAAGCAGCTGCTTCTACCGTTGCAGGAACTATTATCTCCAAAGTCGGACATTACAAGTATGTGATCATTGTAGGGTATGGTGCATGGTTCGTAGCATGTTGCTTATTGTTATTATTCAAAGAGAACACTCACAGGGGTGTTATCTGTGTTGTACTCTTCATTTTCGGATGTGGAGTTGGATGGACTTTCCAACCCACAATTGTTGCAGCACAAGCTCAATCCAAGAAGGCAGATAGAGCGGTGGTTATTAGTACCAGAAATGTTGTGAGATCTTTAGGTGGGGCCTTAGGTACAGCTATAGCTTCCCTTATTGTTAGTAATGGTTTGTTGAGAGAAATTACCAAAGCAATGGACAACCCAGATGACTATAATGATATCCCCGTCAGCTATTTAAACTATTTAAAAGCTCATATTTATACAAAAGTTAAGATTACCGGAGTTTCAGATGATCAAGTCAAAACTGTTAGACATATGTATATGATAGCTATCAGGGATTACTTCTATTTGACCATACCTTTAATGGGATTATGTTTCATTAGTGCTTTCTTTGTCAAGGACAGGGGTTTACAATGTATTGATGAAGTTCCAGATAATGAAAAGGTGTCAGATAAAGAGAAAGTATAGGTTTCAAAGGATCGGTTCATAGGATTTTATAGAGTAAATAGAGAGAATAAATTATGCCACTAAAAATACATTACTATAATCTTACATTTAACCCCCCAAATTTAACTGATTGTTTCGATATCCTCATCAGAAGTGTACTTAGCTTCAGCTAAAGAAATAGTCTTATCATCCAAATCATAAACTGCATATACACTTCTCAAGAAATTGTTACCTAAAGTACTTTGGTTATCATTAACGAAGAATTTTAAGGAACAATATTTCATTTGATTCCCATTTTTGGTTTTCAAAGTTCCACCGAGATAATCTCTACCCATTTTGATATCAATACCTTTGAAACTCACCGTCAAAGATTCAGGGGCATCGCCACAGCTTGACCATCCGAAGTGACCATCTGATTGTTTGGTAGCTCCAACAGCATCGGCTAGCTTTTGTAAATTGTCACTGTTTAAATATGAGTAAGTGGCCCCAGAATCCAAAGTTACACCAGTACCAATATCAACGCTATTTCCATTAGCAGACATTTTCTCAAGTTGAATATTTAATCTGTTATCGGAGTTGATGTCTATCTTAACTAAATCTCCAGAATATTTAGCATGATCAATACCTCCAAATAACACAGTTCCCGAAGCATCATCATTTGATGATAAATATAAAGAATAAGCATTTTTCTTAATATAACCTTGATCTTTTAAGGCTTGAGGGAAGTTTGGGTATTTATCATCAGTGCTTTCTAAAGCAGTTAAACCAATGCCAAACATTCCAATGGATTTAGAAGTGTCAGTTGCAACACCAAATTGGAAATCTTTTAAAGTGAAGTCTCCATTACTTGATAATGATGCAGAATCAGTAACATAATCACCTTTAGCATGTGAACCATCAAAATATCCAATATCTAAGTCTCCGTTAAGCTTCTTATAACTACTAGATGATGATGAATCATAAGTTCCATATGTCGTGTCGATACCGGAATCTTTCCCAATTACCCATAAATCAGATGAACCTGTATCTAATTCCACACTAACTTTCTGTTTGTTAGATCCAAGGTACATGTCAGTAATATAAAAATTATCTTTATTAGAAACAGTAGCTTCTTTAACGTCTCTCTTCACGAATTCTGGAATATCTTTATCATCCAATTCTCTTAATGAATAACTGGAGAAATTTAATTTGAAAACACCATTCGATTTTGAATTTCTAGGAATGGCAGCAGCACTGGCTGAACTCAAATAGTTGAGGACAGTAATATAATATAAAAAATCGGAAAACATGATATTTCGCAGCCAAATCTATATATAGATAGACTCTTAAGATCAGAATTAATTGAGTTTATATATTTTTACAGATTCATGAATGCCATATCATCTAATGCCTTGGGCAAACAATTGGCAGGTTTAAAATAGAACAACGTCATTAGGAGCAGAAAAAAAAGAATTAGACCATGGTGCATAAAATTTCACCCCAGTTTTCCTCAGCTGCATTGTTTTTAGCTTCAGGTCTCACATGAAGGAATTTTAATACTTGTCCTTTGTAACATCTTATTATTTAAGAACAATCAGAAGTTCAAGGGCAAAGATTGGACGAGCTTGCTAACATCTGTTACCCTTTCATCAGAGCAAATCTAACCTTAAATACAAATATAGTAATCAGATATTTGTTAATTAATTATAATCTAAAACAGGGGGAATTGTGCCTTAGGCATTTCGAGTGATAGATGCAGTGGAATGCAAATGCATGAGAAATATTTCATCGATCACTCTGCAGTTGACATTGTGATTTTAACCGATAATAGGCATTCTGTCTCTCACTCGTTAGGCTATTATTCATGGTCTCAGAAAAAGAAACTAAAATTACTTGAATGAGCAATTCCGATGCAACGATTTCGGAGAACAAGAGCCTCGCTCACATAACAATAGACCTTCGTCACTAATTTCATTTCCCGAAAAAGATCATTTGTGACCATAAATTGAAAATTGACTGTATAGGCTGTAAATATCTTCCGATTCGTGTTGGATTATGTAAGCACGCTCTCGGAATCACCGATAGCTCGAAGTCACTATAAAATGAGAACCCTGATGAAGTTGAGTTGCGATCATTGAGGCAACTGTTATAGCGAGGCTCTCCACAGGAAGGGGACAGGGTAACGGGTCACCTCTGATTGATAGACAAAGATTTTCCAAGCCCATGCGAGATAAGCTTCGATTGCGCTGATCATTTCTTTTGATGCGTCAAGTAAGAATTTGGGTATTGTATGTGAAAATTGTTGAGTTGTCAGTTTGATGGCGACTTAAGTAATCATCTATCACAGCTCTCATATGTGCTGATGAAAGAAAGCAAACAAGCTTTTATCAAATTTTTTTTGATTTATTGTGATTTATACAAGTTGCGCAGTTTTTTGCAACCATTTGGAAAAGAGAAGAAATGCCAAAAAAATTAATGAAAAATATTTGTTAAAATTTACCTCTATCGATCTTCGTCAATATGAAGAATGTTTGATCTTGAAACGATGATATTAGGATATTTCCAGCAATCCTTGGGAAGAAATTCTTAATATAAACCGTTCCGCTCTTGAATTCAAAGGGAGATTAAGCCCCTGGACCCCAATGAACTTCTTTTCCACCAAAAGATGTTTTATCCACAGATAAAGGCTCCTAGATAGACATACTGCCGACAGCATCTTAGAATTTGGATGATCATATCAAATTATCGGTAGTCGAGTGAGACTAATAAATCGTCGTAATCTGCTGAAAGACAGAACCAGAGTAAAATTATTGATACAGGAAGTACGTAGAATATCTAAAGAGAATATTAAAGAGGCTGCAAAAATGAGAAAGGTCTCGAATTAATGTTCTCGAGGATAGAATCATTATCATCTAATCAAACCTCTTCAATTCTCATTTAATTCTCTAATAATCTTATTGGAAAGATAAGGATATGAGCTTAACACTATCTGGATAGTACACCATACCAACGATGCATTTCCATAGCAGTAAATCTACAGCACTATTATCATTTGAGTTCTTGGTGTACATCTCCATACATTGAGATGCTCATCTCATTTTCGCAACTCTCATCAAAATGGTATGTATCTTGAAACCTTCCAAGGGTTGGGTATAACATCGAAGACCACCAAACTAACATCTTAGGCTATAAAGAAGACAACTAAATTAAGAGCTAAAGCAACCAGAGCAAGCAAACCGAAAATCGTCAACAAAGTTGTACATCAATATGAAGATAATCCGTTTTTGAAATTACTGACCATATCGAAGAAAGAGAAACAGTTAACCAAAGCTAAAGCATTCAACGACAAGATAGTCAATACCAATCTGACAGTATCCAAATCAGCACTCAGAAGAAGGAAGAGAAAAGCTAAACAAGCATTAAAACCTAAAATGGAGGAATTATTTGAAAGTTTACCTACGTTAGACGATAAAGTTGAAGAAAAAGAATTTGTTGAACAAACCACCATTTCCAATCAACCAAACGCATTAAAAAGGTCAGGTCAAAGAATCATCCAGAAACAAGAACATGAAAATTTTAATAATATCTTGAAAAATCAACAATTCAGATCATCACCATTTGCAACTTTAAGACAATCTATTCAACAAAACATGAATCAACAGTGAAAAATTCGAAACCCAAACAAAGTATTAGACGATTATAAACAACTAACGATTTACAATAATCTTGACGTTAAAAGTGAAAAATCACCATGTGCAATCAGTTTAACAAGAAAATAAAGTCGAATCTATAAGTGTATATGTTACTACCGTGGAACTATAGTCCCTTAATTCATTTGACAGATCTTCCTAGAATGGGCAAATTAAATATTCTTCTAAAACACTACTTTCCCATTACTGCATAATTATATCAAACAATAGATTTCGTCGCAATTGACGAACCAATCAGGGAAAAGTGAAATTTGGTAGTCATCGACGATTTTCAATTATCTACCTCGTTAATGTATGAACTATTAACTCTTTCTCTAGACTATATCTTTAAGTTCATTCCTTTAAAGGTTGAAAAATTAAGTATTATCCTAATAGGGCCATAAAACACCGGTACACCAGTTAAAAAATAAAAAAAACATCCAAGCCGCGACAAAATTGGTGACATTCCGCGCTAAACGATTTCAATTGTAAACAAACTACACCAATTTTTTAACAGATTGTTGATCAAATAAAGCTAACTATTGGATTGAACAGAGGCAATACACCTAGTTTACCCATATATTCAAGCAAACAACTGTTCCTACTCAGTGAAGATTGCTAAAATTCATAGTTGTCAAGAGATTTTTCGAAAGACATTTTTAAGACGATTTTTTTGCAGTAATTGAATTTAACCTAAAATGGACTCAATAGAGTCTGATAATATCAATAGAACTGACAACAATAATGAAATGATAAAACTACCTACAATGGAGGCGACGGAGGCGAACGAGGAAGTAAACAGTGAAAAAATAATCAAACAACTGAATAAATCATCTTTTAGAACATCTAATTTTGAAGATTTAGCTTATTTGAAAGATTCAATCACGATTTCAGAATCGGAATATCCTGTCATGGATGCACAAAACCAAAGCCAAATACTAAATGATTCACCCGATGAGAACCCTGAGAATGATTTTGAGTATGGTAAACATGAAGAACAAATTTATGATGAGATGCCTAGTTTAAAAGGAACTATTGCAGATTTAGTAAAATTTGATCAAGAGAATCCTGAATTGATTAATCATGGGACTATCAAAGCTTTGATTGTACAATTAACCAGTCCTGAAATCATCGATTATAATTTAATTTATGACTTTTTCATCACTTATAGAATGTTTACTAATAGTGAAACTATAATGAAATTATTAATGATACGATTAATCTGGAGTTTACAAAATATTAATAAAGATGATCCTGAATTGAATAAAATAGGGAAATTGGTTTTGTTAAGAACTTTCGTAGTATTAAGACATTGGATTCTTAATTATTTTATTGATGATTTTAATGATAATTTTGGATTATGTGATGAATTCATAACCATTTTGAATGATATTATCTTTAAATCACAATTAATTAAATCAGAGATGGTTTTCGAAATTAAGATCTTGAAAGATTTGAAGATTCATTGGGTGAGTCTCTTAATAGAATTTTGGGATGTGGATATGAATTTAAATCTTTTAACCCCCGATATTTTATACTTCAAATTACCTTTAACAAGTGAATTACCATCGAAACCTAAGAAGTTGGTCAAAAGTAATACCGAATTATCTATTCATACCAATGCCAGTTATAGAAGATCAGCTATGTTATCGTTATATGATAATAGAAACTCTACTAACGGTAATTCTAGGAATTCAGTTACCAATGCCAATACTAATGTCCATAAAGTTTTGGTTTTCGATGATAACAAAACCATTGCATCAGAAAATCCTCAATTATCGATAAATAATTTATTAATCCAACATCAATCTTCAAGACAATCCATTATGAACAAAATTAATCATTTTAATTTTAATTTGAATTTAAAATCCAATAAAGAAAGAAATTCAGTATCACCTACCAATAATTTAATAACCAAACAACCTAAAGTAGAACCTAAATCTCCATTGAAATCTACTAACAAACATAATAGAATGAATTTGAATGATTCTTCCATAGGATTGAAGAAAACCACTGATAATTATCAACCAACTACCAATTCTTTACACAAAATATCTTTGAATCCTATACAGATTGATAATATCGGTTTTACTACTAATGGGAACATTAAATTACCATCATCTAAAATTTTTAATATAGTACCTTCAACTCCAGTAAAGAAAATGGATTATATAATACGACATGATGAGCTTGTTGAGGAACAAGTGGATGAAGAATTGAATGATGATACGTTTGGTAAACCAACTTCACAATTTTCTCAATCAGAGATATCAAGAAAGAGATCATTGAAGAAAATCCTTGAAGGATGGAAGAAATCAGTTTATCATAAGAATCAAAATTTTGATCATTTAATCAATGATGATATAAAGAAAGATTTAATAGGTGAAAGATTCGATATTTTAACTGCCAGGATAGTCGATGAATTGGAATTTTTAATCAGATATTATATTCAAAGTGATTCTTATAACGCTACCATTGTTGAAGGAGATACGATTGATAATTCACAACCTATTGATAAGGATGAAATAGATATTGATGAATTTGATAATTCTGTGGATTTGATAGGTTCACCTGCTAAGCAATATCAAACCAATACTAATATCGATACAACCCTGAGTAGAGACGAAGATGAAATGGATATCAATGATTTGAGTGAATTAAACATTGTAAAGATTGATAATTTAATTAATGAAGAAAATGGAGAGAATGAAGAAGATGATGACGAAGAAGAATTCAAAGATACTAGACAGTCATTAGGAAATAATCCTATATCTCCTAATTTTGTTGAAGAAATCCATGAATTTTCATTCCAAAGAGCTACCAGTATAAGTTGGACCAATGATGAAGAAATTAATTTTGAAAATTCTCATAATAATGAATCTAAAGATAGTGGAATAAGTTTACCTGATCCTAATTTGAACAATTATCCACCTTATTCATTGAAGAACGAATCTAGAATATCCACCATTTCAACTCCAAGTAACATAACTGATTATAATGCAGAAATTCATGATTTGGGAATTGCCATGAGTCCACAAAGTATGAAAGATCAAACCAAAAGGATAAGTTTAATGGAAAAGAGATTTAGTAGAAATTCATCAAATTCTATATTTAGAAGAGATTCAATCAAATCATACGTAAGTTATGATTCAGCGTTTTCTATTTCCCAACAATCAATATCTGCAGATGATGAAGATAAAGGATTGAAGAAAAAGGCTGGTATTAAAGATTTAAGAATGTTGGCTGGTTTACCAAGTGAAAGGAAATCTTTGGATAATCCTGTAAGAATCTTATCAACTTCTTCACAAAGAAAATCAATAAGATACAGTACAGTTAAAGCATTATCAGAATTACCATTTAATGGATCAACAGATTCTAAACTTAAGAGAGTATCTGTCAGTAATAGTTCAGTGTTTTCAGTAGCCAAGAGTAGAACATCAATTGCTCATTCTATACAAACATTAAATGATGATAATTCAAGATTATCAAGATCAATTTCCATGAATAACTCACAATCCAACTTAGATGATTCAAAACATTCTATAGCTATTCCTGGTATAAGTAATAGTGTTTTGAAAGAATTAGCAGCTATTCCTGATGAATCATTCCATTTCAATCCTATCGAAAGTGCATTAGGTAAATTAGAAGGGAAGAGATCTCTTAATGGTAGTGGCAGTGATATTACTCATGTAGATGATACACAAGATATTCTTGATGAAATTAATAATGCCAATACTCAGGATATTATTGAATCTTCCAGTATGGTTGATTTCCAAGAAGAAAGCCCATTAACACCTAAAACCAATAATGAAATTGAACCAACAACAGTTACATCAGATGAAGCTGATAATGATAATGTATTTATATTTAGTGCCAATTATACTGATTCAACTACCAAACAATCATATTCACCTAATGATTTCAATTTTAAGCAACAAGAATTTCAATCACCTAAAATCATTTTAGAAAGTTATAATTTATCAAGTGATGAATTAAATATTGAAAACATATTCAAATTCAATCATCACATATCCTTTATTTTAAGTTATAGTTCACAAGAATTAAGTGAACATTTCACTATAATTGAAAGAGATATTTTACAAGAAATTGATTGGAAAGAATTAATTGAATTGAAATGGAATAAAGAACTTGATCCTGTTAATAGTTGGTTAGAAATAATTGTTAATGAAGATTATTATAACAATAATAAGGGGGTTAACCTTGTTATTTCAAGATTCAATCTAATGGTTAATTGGATAATATCTGAAATCTTATTAACTCATAATCAAATAGAAAGGATCGGTATCATTTCCCGATTCATTCATATCGCTGATCACTGTTTAAAGATTCAAAATTATTCTACATTAATGCAAATCTTATTAGCATTAACAAGTGAGAAGATCACCAAATTGAAAGAAACTTGGAAGAGTTTAAATCCGGGAGATATTTTAATGTTAAAAAATTTAGAACAATTATCATCACCCCTTAAAAATTTTATAAATTTAAGAATTTCAATTAATCAAATTCAACCATCAAAAGGTGCTATACCATTTGTTGGATTATATTTATCAGATTTAATTTTTAATACCGAAAGACCAAAATTCATCAAATCTCAAAATGAACCTATAGTTAATTTTGCTAGATTTAGAACATCTGTTCATATAGTTAAATCATTAAGTCAATGTATTGAATGGTCTTCATATTATAATTTATCAATTGATAATGAATTATTATCAAAATGTTTATATTTAAGATCATTAAATGAAGAAGAAATGAATTATTGTTTAGATAATATTGAATGTCCTTAATGTGTGTATATTTTGTTGTAATATAAAGAGATTTTTTTACCCACCTCGTTTTAAAGTTAAGATTACCCTTCAGAACCTTCTACCCACTTTAGAGAAAAAAGTTGGGAGATCCCCACCCCCGTAATAGTGCGATTGTTAGGTGGTGTCGTCACGCGAGGAGGGTTTTTTCACCTTCGGAATATCGAATGATGTCCCAAAAAAAAAAAACTCGCAGTCTGGGGTTTATTTATAAAAAGGGAATAAGCAACAATCATTTGAACAATTTAAACCATGTCAAAAAGACAAAGAAACCCTAAATTATTCTTAGGAGCCTTGGTTGCAAGTTCAGTTATAGCTTTGAGTTATAAAGTTTATGAATATTATTCTCAACCGACAATTGATAATGGTAAGAGATATACCAATAAATCCATAGCATTAACATTATCCCATTCAATATTGAACAGTAAATTACCTTTAAATGAAATTTTAATCAATTCTGACAATGTTACCTTCATTTTACCTCCAAATTTATCCATTGATGATTTAACAAGTATAATAATTGAAACTAATGATAAACCTGAAGTATTTGAATTACCTAAAACTTTACTTAATAACTATAAATTATTGAATTGTAATAATTTCCAAGGTTATTTTAGTATAATTAAGAATTTAAAACCAGATATGTTATTGGTTTGTGGTGATGATTTAGGTTTATCAACCCAATTACCTAAAGATTTAGGTAGATTTGTTAAAGAAATTATTAATATTGATCAAAATGATGATATAGTTTCTAAAGTATCACCTATTTTCATAAGGTGAATTCTTACATTCATTTCAAAAGAGTTTATAAAGAAATTCATTAATATGTAGATCATATTATATATATTCTATTTTACCATCCTCTACTGGATAATTTTTCATTGTCTTTAATGGATGAAATACTAACACCTGCCATTAATTCTCCCAAATCAGTTGAATATTCCATAATCTTTTTGGAATCATTATAATTAGTAACTGAATCAACAATAGCTTTAGCTAATTTTTCAGGATTTTTAGATTTGAAAATTCCACTACCAACAAAAACTCCTTCAGCTCCTAATTTGACACATAATGCTGCATCTGATGGTGTAGCAACCCCTCCAGCAGCAAAATTAACAACTGGGAATTTACCTCCATTAGCAATTAATTCCTTTAAAGTATCAAGGGGAATTCTTTTTTCTTTAGCAAATTCTTCAATTTCTTTATCAGTTTTTAATGACATAACATAATCAATTTCTTCTTTGATTTGTCTTAAATGTTTAACAGCTTCAGAAATATCTCCAGTACCAGCTTCACCTTTAGTTCTTAACATGGCTGCTCCTTCATTAATTCTTCTTAAAGCTTCACCTAAATCTTTAGCTCCACATACAAATGGTACTTTGAAATCATTTTTAACGATATGATATTTTTTATCAGCAGGTGTTAAAACTTCAGATTCATCAATATAATCAACTCCTAAAGCTTCTAAAACTTCAGCTTCAACAAAATGTCCAATTCTACATTTAGCCATAACTGGAATTGATACGGCTGCCATAATTTCCTTTATCATTTGAGGATCTGACATTCTACATACTTGTCCACTGGCTCTCATATCAGCAGGGATTCTTTCTAATGCCATAACAGCACAAGCTCCTGCTCTTTCAGCAATTTTAGCTTGTTCTGCATTGACAACATCCATAATAACTCCTCCTTTTAACATTTGGGCTAATCCAGCCTTGATTTTGAATTCACTCATATTGATATTAATTCAATGATTTCGACGATTTAAATTCACTTTTGTATGAAAATTTTCTGAGTCAGAATTTATGTATAGGGAAAGTCTCCTAACCCAAAATAGGAAAAGAAAGTGGCTGCAAATGGGGGATCAGTTTTTATCCGCTAAGAAATTTTGACCCTTTCTTTGAAGCATTTTTCTCCCCTTTGTTACAATTGACTCGGTTTATGTTTGATCCTTAAGGATCTGGGTGTCCTAGGTCACATTGATCATCCACGGCAGGATATTTGTCATTAAATAAACTCCTGTGCTTTATCTAAAATTAGCGCGAATACCTTGGCTATCGTTAACGGCAAGAGGTACCCAAGACATTGACTCGTCCTCATATTTTAATCGTCAAACTCTCTGTCAGTCATAAATTTAACTTGATAAGGTGCATGGGATTAGTCACATAATTACGGACAAGCAGTTCCTTTTAATTTTGAGCTCCCCCCATGTTTGGCCGGCGGTAAAAGTCTCATTTTGGTCAAACAATTGCTTCGTATTTCTACTCACAGTACAGAGTCAAATATGACGCACCAAAAGAGGACTAAGTGAAAAATTTCATACATTCAATGACAATTGAAAAGACGTTAGTAGTGGGAGTTTTAGCCTTACAAGGTGCTTTTATAGAACATATCAATCATTTCAAACAATGTCAAGTTGAATCATATGCATTTTCTTTCGTAGAAGTTAGAACAGAAGAAGAATTGAATAAATGTCACGCTCTAGTTATTCCAGGAGGTGAAAGTACTGCTATATCATTGATTTCCCAAAGAACTGGACTTTTAAAACCTTTAATGGATTTTGTAAAGTCAAATAAACCTATTTGGGGGACTTGTGCTGGATTGATTTTCTTATCGAAACAAATCATCAATGGAAAACCCGGACAACAGATTTTGGGTGGTATGGATATTCAGGTAGAGAGAAATGCTTTTGGTAGACAATTGGATTCATTCCAACAAAACTTGGATTTTTCTTCTTTCATTCCTGAATTGACTGATTTCCCCACTGTTTTCATTAGAGCTCCTGTTATAAGTAAAATCTTAAATGATGAACAACAATCTGATGATGCAGATGTCATCTATAGTAAAAATGATTATGTTAATGATAGACCAGTAGAGGTCTTACACAAATTGGATAATGGCTTCATTGTTGCTGTTAGACAAGGGAATAAGTTAGGTACTTCATTCCATCCAGAATTATCCGAAAATCATAAGTTCCATCAATGGTTTTTACAAGATTTTGTAGTCAATAGTATTTAGAGTTGTAGATTATATAAACGGTAATTGGTACTCAGGAATTGGTACTAAGGATGCGGCATCAGTGGTGCCAACTAACTAACACCAGCGCAGCGTTTAGACGGTCGCACGGTCGCACTGTGGTACTGTGCCATGGGGGGGACTTCGCGATAAGGTTGAGAATACGAAATACCAACAGTATGCAACATGCAAGAATTTTCAATAATAACCGATTGAAAAAGGAAAGATCAAGTTTGAATCCTCAGAAGACTCATGAATTGAATAAAAAATCCCTAAGAGAAAATTCCATGAGTTCTAGTCAAGCCAGCTTAATTGTGGGCTCATCATCAATAAGATCAAGGTCTTCAAGTTTAATGTCAAGAACTTTAAATACTAAACATAGTGACAATACTTTAATTGTTGGAAGACATCTTGATAAAAATCATGATTTTGATCGTATGAGTTACCTCAAAGACAGTAAACGGAACGTATCACAGAACGATTCTTTCGATAATAGTGTTTTTATGAATGAAAATCCTAGAAATACTTCTGGTTATAGAGATCCTTTGGTACCAATTCAATTGACTATCTGGTTTCATGAATTGAGAAGTTCTTCTGAAGACTTTATGATAGATTTAAACCTTCTACCCAATTTCAAAATCGGTGATATCGTGGAATTGGAAACAATTGATAATTTCAAAGTGGTTAAAAAGAGAATAATACCCAACAAGATGTATTTCATTATCAAGGAACAAAATGTCCTCAATAGCTTAACTCCTATATCATCACAACTATCAACACCATCAACACCCAATTTGAATGCTGTAAATCACGTTGCAACCCCCACATCTCAAGATGGTCAAATGTCCTTTAATGATACTAATGAGGAAGATGATACAAATCAAAATAATCTGACCCCTTCAAATAAAGCACTGAAGAACACTGTTCAATTTTCATTGATTAATAATCCATTACAGAAGACATTGGATTTATTACCCCGTAGTTTAGTGCAAATAAGGAAAATTAATGACATTCAATCAGTGGAAGCTGATACGATAGAAATTTCGATTAAGAATATTAATCTTTCAAGAGATACGATGTGGATAATTACCAGTAGTTTAATTAATAGTTGTGTCTACCATGGCAAAAGAGTTACTTTTCTTAGTAATCGTATAGGTATTATCAAGAATATTTATAAAAATGGGAAGAAGCAGTTTTCTGGGTATATTGGGAATAATACCAAGATAGTTTATAGATCAGAAAGCTCAAGGTTGATATTCTTGATTCAAACATCAAGGGAAATGTGGCATTTCGAAGAATCAGGAGAGATTATGTTTCATAAGTTAGTGAACAATTTGTTCCCCAAAATCTTTCGGAAATGGAGAGAGAAAGATGCTAATCATTCAATCACAATTGTTTTGTTCACTTCAGTGGATGTAACAGATATACCATGGGTAGCCTTAGGTCATGGGGAGAGACCTAATCATGTACGAGAGTATTTCAGAGTGGTAGTAGACCAAGTAAGTATTTTCCATTGGACAAAGATTATGGAAACTTTAAGACTTGAATTCGCTAATTTCAAAAGAGACGTTATCTTGAATAAAGTCAATAATGAAAACATCAATGATCATAGAACATTTTCTGTGGAAGGGGTTTCTTTACCTTCAGTTAAAGGGAATATTTTGGAATCCATCAATATTGGATTGAGTTTGATCAAAGATAGATTTACTGATACAGATTTGAAGCATAGTTTGAACCATTTGATTGTCATTACTCCAGGAACAGGTTTATTTGATGTTGATTATAACTTGATGTTAGAAACCAGTAAGAAAATGTCCAGCAGTGATTGTGCTCTCGATCTTATATGTTTAAGTCAACCTCCATTACATATAGTTCCCTTATTCCGATTCAAAGATTTGACTAAGAATGGGAAGTTGACTTATTGTGTACCTAATTGGTGTGATATTTCATTTTATAAAGATCCAACCATCAATAAGGAACAATGGATCCCTCGATGTAAGATTTACGAACTTCAAATGATGGGGGTCATGGAGAAAGAAGTTCATGGGATTGAAATTGAGAGGTTTAAGTTATTCAAAGATGAGAAATCATTTGTGGATTCTATGGATAATTATGATAATGAACTTTTCAAAGAGGCTAAAAAGTTTTCTGAATCAGAAAAAAACTTATCATTTTCTTCATCAAAATCAAATTCAGTAGTGAATTCAATAAATTCTTTCACTTCAGATAAAGCTAAAACAAAGATTTCAACCCCTCAAGCAGTACACGATTCAATACTTTTAATGAATCGTCCCCATGATTTGAAAGCCAAAACTTCCGCCAAGTTTAATATTTCAACAACAAATTCAAGTGCTTTAGGTGTAGTTACAACATTAAAACCTGAAAGTTCAGCATTATCTACATTATATCAATTGAAAGGAACTGATGGTCTACCAATAGCTTCACCAGGATTAAGGCCAACTTCAGGAGGTAATTCATTGAAAAGTATAAGAAGTAATACCGATTTGAGAACTTTGAAGAGTAATTCTTCTATAAATCATCTTCAATTTTCATCTCCCGGTCCTAAGATCATCAAGAATGAAGATATTTTCAAACCAAAAGATCCCAGTAAGATGAGAGATACCAATTCCACCAGCTTATCCAACAGATCTATGAGAGAAAGATCGGAAACTACCATCAAACGTCCAAATCAATTATCCACAACTAACCTTGAAGAAACAAAGGAAGAAGAAGAAAATCAACCATTGAACTATTTCTGGACAGAAATTTCAAATCCTTCAAAAGAGCTGCACCTGGATTCTTTGAATTTTATCAAACTTGGGAAATGGAACCAAGTTTTCCCTCCACACATCAAAAGAAATATAGTTAAATGGAGGTCTTTCCAATCCCCTGCAGCTTTACCAGTGTATCAACCGAATTTCCCTCGAATGAAAGATTTAGATACAAATTATCATACACAGGTTTACACGTTATTATTAAACTATGAGAATAATCTTGAACTTGAAACCATTGATGATTTAATGAGAGAAATGATCCAATTGAGATTACTCTTGGGATTCCAAATCTGTGACAGTGATACTGTTAACAAATTGGAAACAGAAAAGAATCCTACTAATCCTCAAGGAAGATTGGTGAAACATTTCCAAACCAATTTCAATGGTTCCAAGATTTACATGATGTTAGATAATGAAATCCATAGAATTGCTTGTGATGATTCAAGTATCGGTGTTCAATTGTATAAGAAAATTGAATCTGAAAGTCTTAAACCAGTATTCAAAAATCAAGAATTCGACTTCAAGAACCACCAACCTTTGATTAGAACAAGGTACGCCGACGAATATAGTAAAAGTGCCATTAATTTCATCGGCCAAACATCACCAAGATACAATTGGAATCAGTTTGATCAATTGTTAGCAGGATATGATGACGCTTTACCCGAAGAAACTAAATCATTTTTCAAAATGAAATTTGTTATTATGCCAACAGACATCCCAAAGAATGCTTATTTCATTACAAATGAAAGTTTAACAGATGAAGAAATCCGTGTTGAAGGATTGAGAAAACTCATAGCAATGATTGAACGGGGGAAATATACCAAAGAATCAGAAAAATCTAAAGATCGTGATAAGAAGAAGGAGGCTACAGTTCCAGAAATTAACTTCTATACTGGTAATCTATACGAATTTTTAAGCGAACAAGCAGAGTTTTTCGATTCTACTGGTAATCAACCCCAAAATTCTTTGATGATTACAGACAAATTCAACAAATCCATTAAATTGATTAATTTAGCTCATGAATTACAAAGTCCTAATGGTGTGAGAATTGTTGATAGAACTTGGCATTTCACCACTCATGAAAATTGTTTCATTGGTAATGAATTTGTTACTTGGTTGATTGAGAACTTCGAAGATATAGATACTAGAGATGAGGCATTGAAATTTGGTCAATCCTTAATGGAAAGAGGATTATTCAAACATGTAGAGAATCGTCATGGATTCTTAGATGGGTATTATTTCTATGAATTAGAACAAGATTATATTGATAAGACTTACAGACCTGCTATTGAAAAGACTAGTTGGTTTGGTAGAAAGAAAGATCGTGACATTACTCCTACGTCTAAAACCAACTCAGATGTTGAATCTTTCAAATCTCCAGTTTTGTCACCTCAAGATAATATCAATTCAGGTCCAGACTTGAGAAGAATTGCCAGTATTGGTAATCAATTGAGTAATAATAGTAACTTCCCTACATTGACTAATTCTATGCATTCAAGTAATGTCAACGGAAATGGATCAGAAACATCTTCCATGGCAGATTCGGCAGGTTCGAAATCTAAGATCAAGAGAAAATTCGTCTTGAGTAGATCGGTCAAATATAATGCCGATCCTTTGAAAAAATCATATCGTCCAGAAATACTTACTGTTCATTATGATAGAGTACACAATCCTGAACATTGTTACCACATAAGATTACAATGGTTGAACACTTCCACCAATTTCATCGACGAAACTATAAGTAACTGGTCCAGATTATGTGAAAGACATGGATTGAAGTTCGTCGAAACCCCATGGAAAGAATTATGTACCATACCACAATACAATCCGTTCCATTCATTTGTGGATTTAAGACTTGCATTAAATCCTTTCCAAGATCCAGAATTTAATGATGCTAAGATTTTAGGTAATAATAAATTTTATTACCATTTATACCTTTTGAAGAAATATGACTTCCTTTTAGATAATCGATCTGCCGTATATTTTCTGAAGGAGAATATTGAAATTTCATATAGTTGGGGGAAACCATCATTTAAATATGCCCAATTCATCCATAGAACTGGTGCTTACATAATTGAGGTCAGGGATAATGGAGATTTCGTATTAGCTCCAAATAACATGCACATTTCCAGGATAAATAATCCAATTTCCAATGTTGATCCTGAAGTGAAGAATATTTATACCACGGATTCCCAAAGAATCATGTTGAAATTAAGGAAAACTTGTAATGACAAACATATGTTGGCTAGAATTTTTAAAGAGGCTAAAGATTGTTGGAGAGATGATTATCTGAAGGATATCTTACCAACAGATATTTGAAATAATAGATTATTGTAATATATGTATTTAGATAGCGATTCTTTGAGCGATTTTGATGGTGTCAGCTAAAACTCCATGAGCAGTAACTTCAGCACCAGCACCAGCACCTTGAATAACTAAAGGATTTGGATATCTTTCTGACTTAATAGAAACAACATTATCTGAACCTTTTAATGAAGCAAATGGATGATCGAAGCCATATTTAGCAATACCAACTGAAGCTTTGTTAGTTTTCAAATCAACTGATCCAACAAATCTTAAGACTTTGTTTTCAGCAAAAGCTTCATCTTTAATTTTTTGGATTTCATCATCAAAATTTGGTAATTTTTCCATGAACTCATCAGCAGATTCAACTGATTCTAAAGCTTTAGGAATCAATGATTCAACAGGGAAAGAAGTTGGAGATTCAACATTTAAACCTGAAATTCTAGCTAAAATAGTAACTTTTCTAGCAACATCTAAACCATTTAAATCATCTCTTGGATCAGGTTCAGTATAACCTAAATCCTTAGCAACTTTAACAACATCACTAAATTTAGTGTTGTTAGAACCATCAGTAGTTGAAAATTCATTGAAAATATATGATAAGGTACCAGAAAAGATACCTTCAATTTTATCGATTTTATCCCCAGTTAAAACTAAATCATTTAATGGTTCAATAATTGGTAAACCAGCACCTACAGTTGCTTCATGACCTACTAAACCTCCAGTTTTAGAACTTTCGAAGATTTCATTCCAAACGGAGATATCTGATGAGAAAGCCTTTTTGTTTGGAGTAGCAATGGAAATTCCTGATTTGATAAAATTTGGATAAAAGTTGGCAATAGTTTCGTTGGAAGTGTTGTCAACTAAAATGGTTGGTTTACCACTGTTCTTCAAGAATTCATTTAAGTCTGATAATGATAAAACTGGTTGACTCGCAGCAGATTTATAAGTACTTAAATCAACAGGAGAATAATCTTTGGAGAATAAAGCTTCTTTTGAAGATCTGGCCAAGTAGATGACTTTAAAACCAATAGAACTGGTAAGGTTTTTCAATTGGTTGATGTAAGCAGAACCAACCACTCCTGATCCAATAATTGCAACGTTAACTGATTTCATTGAAATTTTCCACAATTCGCTGAGTCATTTTGAGATATGTGCGGTGAGGTGCTGTGGGTCCAGCCGGTCCTAGAAAAAGTTGGATCTATTGGCATCCTAATCAGGCTGCGAAAAAAAGTCTGTAATCTATAAATCTATATAAAGTAAGAACATGGTTAAAACAAGGGTGAAAGAAGGTGGAATATTTATGGCCGATGATTCTGCTATAGTTTCGTCATCATCCGAAGAATCTACATCTTCACCGTCAATAATATATGTTCTATTATCAAGGGGTTGAGGGAATAACTCGTATTCTACCAATTTACTTAAATCCCATTCAATAGCATTTTCGGTTTTGAAACACCAGAATATCCACCCATTCATTTGTGATTCATACTGATCTAATTGGATCTCTATATACTTCCTGTAAGCTTTTTTACGGTCTTCAGTCCATCTGTCAAAATTATTAATGTCTTTACAACTACCAATGGGGTCATTAGTATAAGGAGCTGAACCTTCAAATCTAGACCCAAGCCCAACACCATTGAGCCACAATGTACAATCTGTTAATGCAGCTGACCATTCACCGACAATAGCAGGATGATGAGATAATTCCTTCTTGATACTGGACGAGTATCCTTTAATACTATTTAAATGGTCTTTGATTGTCATGTTTAATGCCCCGGCATCAAAAATCTCATAATGATGATGATCTATCATAATGTTGTAGTTATCAGAAGTTATGTTGGTGATGTTATTGGGGGTCTTGTCAAGGAAATCGTTCCAGTACCCAATGCCTTTGAAGGCATCATGGAAAACGATGGTATTATTGACTTCTTGGAGATTTCTGGCATCTTTGTAAGTATTCCTATAGAAGTCCTCGATCTTCTCAATAGGAATCTCAGTGCTTAAGGGTTCATTTAATACCTCAAGACCAATTATAGTGTCTTTGTATTTTTCACTTCCATATTTGGAATACATTTGTCTTAGTACTTTATAAGATAAATCAACATTTTTAGTGGAATTCAACCAACCTGGATAACCAATATCTCGGAAACCTGAATTATCAAACCCATTTTGACTTCCTGGGACCCCATGTAAATCAATCCATACTTTCAAATCATTATTTTCACACCATTCAAGGGCTTTATCAAGGTATTCTTGAGCTCCTTTAACATAAGGATCATCTTCAAACATTTCAAAAGACCAGTATCCTATGGGTATCCTTACCATGTTCAATCCCATATCTTTGATTCGTTTGAAATCAGATTCATTATAGAATGAATTCCAATGTTTCTGTAATCTCTTGGATGCTTCTTCTTTACCTAAAGTTTCACAAAATCTGTATTCATCAATTGGTATTTCAGCAGTCTTATTGGTCTCATTGAATGCTAAGAACAACGATGGTGTGATATAAGGCTCTAAAACTAACCACCCTCCAATATTTACACCTTTTAAATTGAAATTTCGGGCATTGATTTCAAGTTGAATGATCGATGTATTCTTATAGGTGGAATTATCATCTTTGACTTGAAATGCTTCGATCAAAGATATTAAATATATAAACGAAAGTATCCACATTGGTGGTTCAAGTCCGAAAGATAATTTTAGATTCTATGTACCTTAAACGCGCAGACGAAGTAAACCTGTTGGTTAAGCAGGTCGGTTATTGGTGTTAAGAGTAGGTCTGGTAGTTATATTACACTATTAACATCTCATAATTCATAAATCATTTTCTATTTCTTGAATTTTCTTGTTGGGTGATGAATTCATTAACTTTATCATCCATTATTTCTGTCACTTTAATATAAAGAGGATGATTAGCTATTCTATCACTCCAAGCAGCTAAATGAGGATAAGCTTTGAATAAGTTTCTTTTTTCTCCTGTGACTTCCCTGACACCAGCTTCATTGTCGAATACATTTTCATAAATGGGGAAAGAGAGAATTACATCAGCAGCTGTTAATTTGTTACCAACAAAATAACCAGTATCGTTTTCAATCAATTGCCTTTCCAAAAATTCCATATTCAATTTCCATTCGTGAATATAAAATCCATTATTCAACCCTTTAGTGACCATTCTAGTGAAACTTTTGAATCCAATAGGTGCAATAGATTTAGCAGCACTATTGATCAACATGGATATCATTAAATGTTGTAGAGTACCTTCAGAATAATGTAAGTAATAATCCACTTGTAACCTTTCATCTTCATTAGAACAATTAACGATATTATAAGGATCATAATGATTCAATAAATATTGAATTATGAACCCACTTTCGGCTAATTTTAGCGATGGTCTACCATCAGCAAAGAAAATCTCTAATATGGGGGATTTTCCTGATGGATGAACTTGGAATAATTCAGAAGGTCCTCTCCAGGTTGCAGGATGCCTTAAATATACTTCAACATCGTAATCTAATCCTAATAATTCTAATAAGAACAATATTCTGTGAGCTCTTGATTGATCAAGCCAATGTAATAAAAATTTGTCACCGTTATCTGCCATTGGAAGTTTTTAAATAATTGGGAATCAATATGGGCAAATCTGAACCTTTAAATACTTTAGATCCCCATTTTATACGAACATGATTAAGGTTTAAAGTAGTAATTTTAATGTGAGAGGTTCGAAAAAAAATCCTTAAAAGGTAGAACTGTGGGGTAAAAAGTTTCCCATTTTAGAAATCTCATGAGATTATGTCAGAAAGATATATTTCCTAAAGAGGCTGGTAAATTGAAGATTACAATTTTGCTTTGACAACTTCTAAAGTTTTCTTATAGGAAGGGTCATTGAAAACCAATTGACTCCATTTCTTTAAATATGGATAAGCTTGGTCAGGTGACTTTTTTAATAAAGGTTGAATTCTCTCAGGACTGGCAAAAATAGCTTCAGCAATTGGGAATGAAAGAACAACATCTGCAGCTGTTAATTTATCATCAACGAAGTAACCTCCTTTATTTTTAGCAGCAATATCCTCTAAATACTGTAAATTGGTAAGTAATTCTTTACCGAAGTATTGATTATTAAGTTGACCAGTGATTGCACCGACAAGAGTCTTGAAACCAAAAGGAGCTTGATCTTTTGCTAAAGAATTAACTAATGATCCTGTTAAATATGGTTGTAAAGTACCCTCGGTGTAGTGTAAATAGTAACTAACTTGTCCTTTACCTTCATCAGTCAAAGGTTTCAATTTACCTTGGTGGTCATAATTATCAACCAAGTATTCAATGATTCTACCAGTTTCAGCAATAACTTCAGATTTACCGCTTTTGACAACTTCAATCACAGGGGATTTACCTAATGGATGAATATCATATAATTCTTTAGGTGCTCTGAAAGCTTTAGTTCTTTGATAAAGTTTCAATTCGTAATCAATATCTAACAATTCTAACAACCATAAGATTCTATTAGATCTGGAAAAGTTAAGCCAATGTAAGATAATTTTGGAGTCAGTCATATCTGAAAAATTTGGTATTGAAATAAGCGGATAAGTGTCAAGCTTTATACGTTTGCTGCAAAATCAGCGCGACATCTCATATGCGATTATATAATCCACATGGCTCCTATGGGCATTGCTAGGTTAAGGTTCAAAGCATTTTAAGGTTGGAGAGGCTGTAAAAGGTTCATGGATGATACGTTATTCAATTGTAAGGCTAAAAATTCTGATAAGCCTAGTACATGTGTAAAATCAGCTCAGATCACGTGATGATAATTTTGAATATATGTGGATATTAGTAGTTACGTAATTTGCAAGCTTCAAGATGATTGGTTTTACATTAAAAGATCCTTGAGCCATCACATAGTCACTCATTGGGTGTGATATCGAAGTTTCATGCTAAACTTGTGATCCTCTTGATATGCATTTTAAGCCAGAAAATGCGATGAGATAAATAATTTTTCAATGGATAGAAAGATAAGACAATTAGTACTTGATGCTGGGCCATTGATTACCCAATCAGCATCTTCATTACAACAATTTGCTCAAGAGTTCTACACAACCCCAGGTGTTTTTGGGGAATTGAAAGACGAACAGGCCAGAAATCAACTCATTTTATGGAATGACAACTTGAAGATCAAACAACCTAGCAGTGAAAGTATCAAGAAAGTGGAAAATTTTGCCAGATTAACAGGGGATTTCGCCGTATTATCTACCAACGATATTCATATTATTGCTTTGGCATATGAGTTAGAGGTGGAAGCCAACTCAGATTGGAAAATCAGAAAATTTCCAGGTGAAAATATAGATCAAAAGAAAAAACCTGAAAGTGTAAAGAAGCAAGAGAAGGAAGAAATCAAGGACACCACAGGGGAAAAGAAAAAAAGAAGAAGAGGGGGAAAGAAACAAAGAGAAAAAAGAGAAGCTCAATTACAGAAAGAATTAGATGAATTGACCGATGATTTAGAAAATTTGGATATACCAAAGGAAGAAGCTAAAGACGAAAACAAAGAGGAAGTCCAAGAAGAAGTCCAAGAAGAGGCTCAAGAAGAAGTCCAAGAAGATAAAGGAGACAAAGAAGAAATCAAGGAATTAAGTGAAGAGTTCCAAGAAGAAGATGACGATGGTGAATGGATAACACCAGAAAACCTCATAGAAGAAATGACTAAAGATAATAATGAAGAAGTTAAAGAAACTAACAAAGTACCTTTAATCAAGGTTGCTTTCTCCACAGGAGATTTTGCTTGTCAGAATGTTTCCATGCAAATGGGTCTTAATCTTATGAACTCCATGTCAGGAAAACAAATCAAAAGAATCAGAAATTATATGTACAGATGTCATGCTTGTTTCAAGATGACGCCAATTCCCAAGAACGGTAAACCCAAACATTTCTGTCCAAAATGTGGAGGTAATACGTTATTAAGATGTGCCGTATCTATAGATAATAACACTGGTAAAGTAACACCACATTTGAAAAGTAATTTCCAATGGATCAAAAGAGGTAATGTTTATTCCATGGCATCTCCATTAAGTAAAAACCAACAGAAAAGACAAGGTAATGGAGGATATCAACATAATAAAGAAAATCGTCATAAAACATTGCAAATGCCCGAATTATACAGTGAAGATCAAAAAGAATATCAAAAGGCCGTCAAAGATGACGACTGGCAAAGAAGAAAGAATGATAAATTATTACAAGAATGGATCGGTGGAGGTTCAGCAGATAATTTTATTTCTCCATTCAATTCTATTCAAACTTTAAGGCCCAGCGGAGTGCGTGTTGGTAAAGGTAGATTTGCTAACTCATCAAGGGGTAAAAGAAAATGAGTCAATGAACGTTATCATATACTTAAAATCTCCTCCTCTTCAAATCTCTATGCTGGAACTTTTATGTATCAACAGTAAATTTCGCACTTGTATTTGCATTGCCTGAATCCCAAATGAGTCTGGCACAAGCTGCTGCATTAGCAGCTTTTAAAGGGATGAAAGATAAAGAAACCAAGGATAAGTCACCCAAGAAAGACACATTGAAGTCACCCATACGTCAAACCCCCAAACAAAATCAAAAACCAAAAATTGATGCATTACCCAACATTCCAAAATCTCATAAACGAACTACTTCAGTACAATCGTTGAAAGTCAAAACAAGTCCTGTCAAAAAACCAATCAGAAGCATATATGATGTCAAGGATTTGAACTTAAATGGATCTCCTACACAATTGAACAATTCTGTAGCAAGTCTAGCAGCATCAGCATCATTTACTCACAAACGAAACATCTCCATACAATCTAATGACAAAGTATCCCATAATAACTTTACTACTCCTATCCAAAAACAACATTCAAGAACTTTATCTCAAGTAAGTACTCCAGTTTCAACAATCAGTGGATCAGAAGATACTGTACGACCAAGTATTGATTATTTTTCATTATCCAAAGATTCCCTTTATGCCCCAGAAATGAAGAAATCTTCTTCCAATCATAGTAATTTGAACATCAGCCACGAAAGAGCTCAGGAAGCTTTAAACAATGTCAAATCATCAATTCAAGCTAAATCCATCGGGAAAGATCCTTCATTGAAGAGAAGAAGTGATACAGCTCCTCATGATATGTTATCAAGAATGAAACAGTCAATTGCTGACAAATCTTCAAATGTGGGCAGCTCACCCAAGAGCAAGAATGATATGATTAATGGGATTAGAGAAAGTATTGAACTGAAGATGATAACTACGTCAGTTAATCATTTCTATGGATTTGATGATTATTCTGATAATAATGAGCTGAACCATTCTGAGTCAGATAATAATTATTACCACCCACCAAATATTTCTAACGGTTCATATACTTCATTAGGATCATCCATACTGTTTATACTGGATCAAAGTAACAACAGAAGCAATAATACTTCTCAAAGACAAAACAATGAAGATGAAATGATATCAGTTAAAAGTAGCACTCCAGTGAGCGAGACTCCTGTTAGTGCCACCAGTATCCCACCAGCTATATTTATGACAGACTTTGATGAAGGGTTCACCCAACCAGTTCAACCAACCAAATCTTCAACATCAAGGGGTTCAAAATCAGGTTCAACTCCGGGGTCACCTATTCTTATTCCTTCTCTGGGAGCCAATGCAAGGGAAGCAGCTCTTGGAAGTAATGAAAATGTCAATCATATCAATCCTCGATTTAAATTCCAATCGTTCGACAGTACTAAAACCATGTCTGATGAAAGCATCAAGTCTCAATTGAAAAGAAAGCCTCCACCAATCATTGATTCTGTCGACAATTCAAGTCATTTCAATAGCAGGTCACTGTTCGATTATTCAGTTATTAGCGATAATGATGCTACAGATTCAAGTAGTAGATTACCTCAATTTCCTGATATAGAAAAAAAACACAATCAACAACATTTACATAATCCGTTCAAGAAGAAAAAGAAACTCGATTATATCGATTTATCTAATTTGGATAATGACACTGATCCTTTATATACATCATCGTCATCAAGACCAACCACACCCATGTTGACCCATCAAAATCAACCCGTTCAATTGAAAACTACCATGAGAAAAGCTAAGAGTTCCAAAAAGACTTTCAATGAAGAAAAGCCATGGAAAAATCATACTGATCTTGTGTATATCACTGAACAGGAAAGGAAAAGGTACGAAGGGGTTTGGGTTAGTAACAAAGGATTATATATCAATAAAGTAGTAACGAAATTAATTGGAGTTGATTATAATGGTAATAATTCCAACGAAGAAGATCACAAGAAAGAGGAAACTAAAAAGGAAGATCCTTCAATGCAAGCAGCAAAATTATCATCTAGTCAACACGATAACATTGAAGATTTTGAAAGTTTCCATAGTTTGAAGAAAGTTGATATTGATCAGTTGATAGTTGGATCTGTAGTTAAAAGACTTTGGAGTAGAAGTAAACTACCTAATGAGACATTAGAAAACATTTGGGATCTCGTAGATTATAGAAAAGATGGAACTTTGAATAAGGCAGAGTTTCTTGTAGGTATGTGGATGGTGGATCAATGTTTATATGGGAGAAAATTACCCAAAAAGATTGATAATGAAACATGGTCGAGTCTTGAAAGTATTGGATTAAACATCCAAGTGAAAAAGCGAGGTAAAAGGAGTGTTTAGGTAAAGAGATCAGAACTAAAGGGGTATAGGTATATAGTAATGTATGGTAGGAAGGTTAAAAAAAGTCAAAGCTCAAAATCTCGAGCCAAAAGCCAAAAATCCGGCTAGAATAACTGCGCGATAAAGTACTGGAAACCAAGATGAATTTGATGGATATGTTGAGCAGTGAAGCTGACCCGATGTTCGAACCTCCGATGGAAACGATCTTGGAACAAGAAAGTCAAAAGAAAAATGGGGTGGTCAAACAACCGGAAAATGGGATTTATTTCTTCCCAACAGTTCTCACCAAACTTCAAACTGATATCATGGAGTACATCATTAATATTATGTCCCCAGAATTATTGAAAGAACTTGAAAAAAATGACCAAAAGAACAAACCCCATAGCTTGATGGACGATGAATCGGAAACTATCCAAGAAGAATTAAAATTCAATGAAATTATTGACTTTTTGTATGATCAATTGGAGATTACTACCAATAATCCATCGTTATTAGTTGATCATTTCTTACCTAAGAAGTTATTATTATCGGAAATAAATGAACATTTGGTAAATATGTCAGGGAAGTTCCAATTTTTCAATAGACTTGTCAATAATTTACTTGAAAAATTTCACCATAGCATCAAATATCAAGAATCACCTATTTATAATATATTAGTGATTGCCAATAGTGTTAAAGAGTTGGAACTCATTGAAGGATTGATTATCGGGAAACCACTCCAGTATAATAATGTAAGCACGGTGAAATTGTATGGGAAAAATATCAATGTTAATGACTTGAATCCTCCAGAAAGTCCAATGAGTGAAATAGAGATGGAATATAAAAGGAAACGAAAACACAAGACTGTTAAACCCGATAAGAAACCTATGTTGTTTTTGAATTTAATAACATCATCTCAATTGTATAATAATTATACTCCATTATTGAATAGTGGAACTCAATTCAAATTGATATTTTCCTTTGATAATAATTTGGATACTGATTGTCCTAGTTTGGCAATGATGAGGAATTCAAGACAAGAAATGCCTTCACAACCATATCAATACTACGGACAATACGGACAGTTTGGACAGTATCCTCAATATCAAGAACCAACTCCTGCTATTCCTATCATTATCCCAATACCGATATTCTCCATTAATCATTATAAGATGTTAAATCCACCACCAGAAATCAACCCTATGTTCAGTGAAAATAACGAATTGACCGAGTGGAAGTACCAAATCATCAACAGTTTCTTGGTCAATAGAATCAACTTATTTGATAACATTGAAGATGATGAAGATAATATTAGTGAATTCTTCGTGGCATTATACGGGAAAAATATGAGAACTATAGATGATTGGTTAATAAGTTGGGATTCTATCAATTTTCCCTTACCGGAAATTTTCACTAAGTATAACGATAGAACCATTGTTAAGTTCAATGATGAAAAAATCATCAAGAATTTAAATCACAGTTATTTAGAAGGAAAAATCGAAAAAATCGAAAGTTTCGACTATAAGACATTCAAAACCAAATTAGCTGACACCCTTTATTATAGACTTAATCAAGCTAATGATGAGATATCACAAATGAAAGTAAAAATTCAAAATTTCAAAGAATTCGAAACCAAAAGACAATTAGATTTAGATGAACATGAAGAGAAAATAGCTGACAATTACAAGAAGTTGAAACGATTCAACGAAGATGCTAATTTCATCGAGAAGAAATACACAAAAATCGATGAAGAACATCAGAAACTAATGGAATCTAAAGTTGAATTGGACACCAAGTTCAATACTTTTGAAAGCTTTTCATCAGCTAATTTGAAAGAGAAATTGGAAGAACAAGATGCTTTGATCAAACAATTAACAAAGGATGAAGAAAATCTCAAAGAAGAGTTAACCAAGTTGAATAAAGAAAATGATGAAGCAAGAGGTGAGTATCAACAGATATCTACAGAATCCATAACAATTATAAATGAAATGAAGAAATGGAATAATCTCAATGAAAAGCTCGAGACCAAATTGAGCTTACCAGGTATCAAAATACTTCCTTCATTAATCAAAAAAGATGATAAGATCAACCATGAATTATTGTTGAAGAAGTTAGAAACCGAAAATGTAGCATTATCCAAGTTCCTTGATAATGATCTTGAAAAGGTCATAGGAGAAAGAAACAACCTTTTGGCTAACTCCAATCAAGGCTCAAGTACCAGATCAATCAATAGAATGAGTAGAGGATCAACTCCTATGTAGTATAAATTTGTAAGTAGTTCTTCTGAAAAAAGTCACACAATAAAAAAGTACATAAACCCGCTTCTGATTTTGCCGCGATTACCTTAACTATGAATTACCTCAAGGCTTCAGTATATGGACAACCTACCATGCCTCGAGATTATAAGGAATTGAGTCTATACCTTAAGATTAATGGGAGATATTATTTGAATCATTATGCTGAGGAATTCCAGCAGTATTATTTAAATGACTACAATGGTTATGTGAATTTGATTAAAGACATGATAGTATTATATGTGGTTTATTCCATAGTTAATCCAATTTTCACCCATTTAAGAGGTTATGGAGTGTTGAAATCGTTGAAACATATCTACAATTACTTGTTGAAGTTTTTCTCCTCCATTTTCATGGCTTTACCATTCGTAAAGAAACAAGTCGATAAAGAACTTAATAAGACCATTGATACTATCGATAAATCTATTATTTTAAATGATGAAAAATTGAAACAATTCCCTCAATTGCCCTCCAAAGGGTTAAGCCACTTGGAGATCTTACAAGAATTAGATAATTTACAAGATTTAAAACATTCCGCCTGGGATAAAGGTAGAGTGAGTGGAGCGGTTTATCATGGAGGTGATGAATTATTAGAATTACAATCTGATGCTTATAATAAATATTCAATTGCCAATCAATTGCATCCTGATGTTTTTCCTGGAGTTCGTAAAATGGAAAGTGAAGTTGTTTCAATGGTACTAAAAATATTCAATGCCCCAGATTCAGGGTGTGGATCCACCACAAGTGGGGGAACTGAAAGTTTATTATTAACAGGTTTAGCTGCAAGAGAATATGGTAAGAGGCATAAAGGTATCACCAAGCCTGAAGTCATTGCTCCTGTTACTGTTCATGCTGGGATTGAAAAAGCTTGTTATTATTTCGGAATGACATTACATAAAGTAGATTTGGGCCCTGATTATAAAGTTGACTTGAAGAAAGTTAAGAAACTCATTAATAGAAATACGGTTTTATTAGTGGGTTCAGCACCAAATTATCCTCACGGTATTGTTGATGATATCGAAGGATTATCAATATTGGCTACCAAGTATAATATACCTTTACATGTGGATGCTTGTTTAGGTTCCTTCATTATGGGATTCTTGGAAAAGACCGATATTCATGACTCTATACCATTGTTTGATTTCAGAGTTCCTGGAGTAACCTCAATATCTTGTGATACTCATAAATACGGATTTGCACCCAAAGGGTCAAGTGTTATAATGTATCGTCATAAACAATTGAGGGAATGTCAATACTACATATCATCAGATTGGACAGGAGGAATGTATGGTTCACCTACTTTGGCCGGGTCAAGACCTGGTGCTTTAACTGTAGGATGTTGGGCTACTTTAGTGAATATTGGAGAAGAAGGATATTTGAATTATTGTAAAGAAATTGTCACTGCCAGTATGAAATTAAAAAACGCTTTGAAATCGAACAATATCTTGGCCCAAAATCTTGAACTTATTGGAGATCCATTGGGTTCAGTTATTTCGTTCAAAGCTAAAGGTGAATTTTCCATTTATGGGTTGAGTGACAAATTAACCAGTAAAGGCTGGCATTTTGCTACTTTACAAAATCCCGCCGCTTTACATTTTGCCCTTACATGGTTAACCGTTCCTATAATCGAAGAATTAATTGACGATTTAGTTTCTTGTACCGAAGAAATAGCCAACTCATCAGAAAAAATTAATAGTGATACTGCGTCATTATATGGAGTGGCCGGAAATGTTTCTACAGCTGGGGTGGCCGATAAGATTATTGTAGCTTTCTTAGATGCTTTATATAAATTAGGCTAGCTATATATATTCTAAATAATTCTATTGATAAAATTTATCAGTGATTGGTCTTTTTTCAGGTAATGTAATGTAACCATTTTTAACTTTTAATTTGTATTGAACAACTTTTAATAAACTGTATAGGGTGTCTAAAACTGGAGTTTCAACTTTCAATTCTTTACCTCTGACCAAAAGATTACCTAAAATGGATTCAAGCTCGATCGGGTTTCCTTTTTGGACATCGACACACATTGATGGCAGGAAATAATCCCCATCGTCGGAATGGCAAACACTGTTGATAACATCATCAGGTAAATCAACCCCGTCGGCTTTAGCGATCTTGATAACTTCTTTCATGGCAGGAATGGAAATAGCATCTAAACCACCAGCGTATTCATTGATAGCAGTATCAGTTACAGTCAAAGCACAAGTAGTATTCAAAGTAGCATTATAAACTAATTTTCTGTATCTGTACCATTTACCATCTGGGAAGTAAGTACAGTTATTTTTGTCATTACTATAGATATCGATGAAATCTTTAGTTTTCTTTTCTTGGATTTCCACTGGGATTGTTGGACTTTCAAAATAACTAACTAATGATTTATCGTTTTGAGTTTGATGGATAACACCTCCGTTATTATGGGAACCAATATGAGAAACTCCGGAAACAATGACATTTTCTGGATATTTATCAAAGAAAGGTCTACCTAAATCGAAACCATTTTGCATTAATACAATGGTTGATTTCTTAGAAACCAACGGTTTGATTAAATCTTCAGTTTTTACAACATCAGGTAAACTTTTAGTAGTAACAACAATGTAATCGAATTCTTTACCTGAAGCAGCAGCAGCTTCAATATCTTTATAAATATTCTTTGGTTTCCAATTGAATTTACCATAATCACAAGAATCGACTTCATAACCATCTTTGATTACTTTTTCATAGTCTCTTCTAACAATAATGGAAACATTCGATTTATTAGTGTATTCGATACCATAAGCAACTATACATCCAACACCACCGATTCCGATAATAATAGTTTCTAATTCTGACATTCTATTCTATTAATAAGTGAAAAATTTATTGATAAGCGACTTTTAGGAGATTATTATATAGTTAAGGACGGTTGTATACAAAAACCCGGCTTAGATATCTATCAATAAAAACAATCCAATCAAAATCGATCCCTTTTTTGTTGTACAAACTAGGATATTGTTAATAATTTCCTATAATAGGTGGAATAGTTGCGGGAAAGTCGATAGATCTTATCGGAATTGTTAGATATCTTATCGCGAATTAGCACCTTATTGCTTTCCTAATTGGGATGATAAGGTAAATGGTCGAAACGATGGAATTATAAATACCGTTTTGATTTCACTTATTGTTAATCGAATAACCGAAAATGAGTAGCATTGAAAGTGAAAAGAATAAAAACGCCCACGTTACTACGGTAGTATCAGTTCCAGAACTCAATGAAAAGTTGGCCGGAAATAACGTCGATAAAGCTTTCGCTTTCAAAGATGATATTCAAGATGTGGAAATTGATCCAGTGTTGGAAAGAAAAATGAAGAGAAAGATCGATTGGGTTTTGTTACCAATGATTGCTTTGTTAATGTCTTTACAATTATTAGATAAAACATGTAATAGTTATGCTAGTATTATGGGTTTACTTGATGATTTGAATATTCCAACAACTGGTGTTAGTGCCGCTGAAGCAAGTCATAATGCTAAAATGTATTCTGAAATTGGATCTTCCTTTTACTGGGGTTATCTAATCAGTGCTTTTATCTCCGGTAGAATTTTACAAAAATTACCTATTGCTACGACTTTGAGTGCTATTATTTTTGTTTGGGGTATTGTTGTTGGATGTCATGCTGCTTGTAAAACTGCTCCACAATTTATCGGATGTAGAGTTTTATTAGGTGTTTTGGAAGGTTTCTTAAACCCTGGTTATACTACTATCATTTCAATGTTCTACAGAAAAGGTAATACTGAAGGTGATAAAGCTAAAAGAGTTCCAGAACAATATATGAGAACTCAAATTTTCTTTGGTCTTCAAGGATGTGGTACTTTGTTAGGTGCTGGTGTTGCTCATGGTTTATATACTCATACTAATCATACTGCTTTAGCCAGTTGGAGATTATTATATTTAATCTGTGGAGCTATCACCGTTTCCGCTGGTATTGTTTCATACTTTTATTTCCCCAATATTCCAGCCAAAGCTTGGTTTTTAAATGATACTGAAAGAAAATATTCGGTTATTAGATCTAAAGAAAATCAACAAGGTTTTGGTAATACTAAATTCAAAAAATATCAAGCAATTGAAGCTTTCAAAGATATCAGAAGTTACTGTCTTTTCATTTATGCTATGTCTTATGGTATTGCTAATGGTAGTTTTAATAACTTTGGTTCAATCTTATTAAAAGGAGATTTTGGTTTCTCTACCAGTGGTGCTTTATTAATGAACATGCCTGGTGGGTCTATTGATATTGTTGTTCCAATTCTTGCCTATGCCTTATGTTGGACTTTCAAAAGTAGATATTTAGCTGCTATTTGTACTAACACTTTCTCCACTATTGGAATGGTTTGTTTAGCATTCGCTCCAACTAAAGGAGGAAGATTATTCGGTTATTTGACTTTTTACGTCGCTACTTTAGTTTATGCTACATCATTATCTGTCATTGCTTCAAATGTTGCTGGTTCAACTAAGAAGACAGTGGTTTGGTGTTTCTTATTAGCAGGTTACAGTGTTGGTAATCTTACAGGTCCTTACACTTTCAAAGTTTCTGAAGCTCCGGGTTATCATAGTGCCAAAATTTCCTTATTGGTTGCTTTCATTGTTGGTACTCTTTGTTTTGTCACTATCTATTTACATGATACCATTGAAAACAAAAGAAGAGATAAATATAAGGAACAAATGGGTGAAGCTTATGAAGTGTTGGAAGATTTCGAGTTCGCTGACTTGACTGATAAAGAAAACAAAGAATTTAGATATAGTTATTAGTTCTATTTGTGTCAATATGTGTATAAAAATGTTTATTCAATTTTAAGTTGTCAACTCTTACCAACCTCTATCCTGATTTAGATCTTGCAGCCGATACCGCGGAAATTTGATAACGATTTAAGTCAACAAAAAAACACTAAGACTATGGCAGATTGTTCACAGTTGTCGGTGATATCCAATGGGTTTAGTACTTTGTCGTTATGTAGTTGGATATGTGCACAACTACCTCAAATATATACCAATTTCAAGAACAAATCAGCAGAAGGTATCTCCCCTACATTTTTAATCTTATGGTTTTTAGGGGATTTCCTCAGTTTCACAAGTTGTTTGATGAATGATGTTGTACTTAAGTTTCAGGTTTACCTAAGTTTATTCTTCTTAGCCAATGACATCACATTATGTTTCCAATATTACTACTACAACAGTGTTTATCCCAGGACTTTATATACATCCTTAAACGCTGTTACTGAAGAGACAGCAGAACCTACAGGAAGTGATGTCGTAGGAGATTCAGAAGTTTATAAGACAAGTGCTAGGGTAATTCATGTAAGAAATGATTCTACTAGTCTGGATAGCTTACGAACATCCAATAATTCTCCTACAACAAGTTATAACTCCACAGCCAAGAAAGTAGTAGCCGCATCATTGATTTCTGGTTCCAATGCTTTCAAAATATTCACAAATGAACTGTCCAAGTTGGTCACCAGGGAAGATAATTCTTTAGAGAGATTGGGATTGTTTTTAGCATGGTTAATGACAGTTGTTTATATGTCATCTAGATGCCCACAACTTTATAAGAATTACAAGAGAAAATCAGTGGAAGGTATAAATCCTGTATTATTTGGGGCTGCATTGATAGGTAATATCACATATACTTTATCCATTTTAAGTAGTTGTCAATTTGTTTATAGTGATGGAAAGACCGAGTTTTTCATGAAAGAATTACCATATATTCTCGGTAGTAGTGGAACTGTAGTATTTGATGTTATGTACTTCTACCAGAGATACATCTATAGGGATGCTGGAAGGAATACCAGTTTCATGAATTTAGAAAATTGGGAAGAATAGACCAATTTAAATAACATTCGTTTACCCTCACGACCCCATTGCGGATCACCTCACCCTCACGACCCATTGCATAATTACGCTGTTTCATTGGCTATTATTCTTTAAACCCAGCAAGACTGATAGTCACTCCTTCATGGAAGCTGTAAGTTCATAGGATTTGCAACTTGCAAAATAAAATTTTTCGCACAAACCTCACACTCTATGATACGACAGTTAAGGTATTTTTGTACTAGTTACATAAAGTACCAAGCTACACCGACCGTACGACATCTACCGAGTGTTGGGGGAAGTCTATTTTCCAAATATAGTTTAAGATCTGTAGGAAATGAGACCAAAATCAATCCTTTACTAAGTATGAGTAAAGAAGATATCTTGAATATCAATAAGAGTCAATATAAATCATGGATCAACAAAGTCGAGAACCTGAACGATGAAATTTCGGGATTATGCATAAATTTGGTGGAGATAATAGAAGACAATTTGTTAAAAGATCATAAATTGATAGCTCATCTACTTAGCGGATTGTCAGATGAGGTGAGAAGTATTATCTTGGATGGTTTAAGGAAGAAATATCAGTCAAATCATGTCAAGTTGTCATTCATAGAGACCTTGGTAGATTCAAGTAACGTCATAACGCAGAATATTATCATTGACACTTTTGAAAAGATCATTCAAGGTGATCATTCTGATGATGAGAAGGTACAAATGGTTTTGAATTATTCACGTAAACTTTGTGATTTACAGACAGTCAACAAATCAGCAATATCACTCAATACTGATTGGTTCAATGAGTTACTTGATATTATACCCGAACAATCTTTTGCCGTATTTTATTCCACTCTTGTGAATCTCAATATCAAAACCAAGCATCCTAAATATAAGACCATCATTGAAAAATTGTCCAAGGGGAGTAACTCCGATAAATTTGTATTACGTTCAGGAATAATGGACCCTACGTGGGGAGATACTAACAAGGAAATCAAAGGATTCACTAAACAAAGAATACTTCATTATTTCAGTTTTGACAAATTGATCTCTTTCTACCAGGAAGCGTATAAGAGAAATGATTTGGCCGATTGTAACTTATATCTTGAATTATCGGTGAAGAAGTTCGAGATGGAATGTGATAAGTATGAACTTGAAGGATCAAATAAAGAATACATTGGTAAACATTTTGAGGATATCATAAAATATTCAATGATGCATTTGATGATGTTCAAAAACCCCCATGAATGTTTAAGAATCCTTAAATATTTAAACGATAATCAAATCCCTTTGAAATTCAAGTTCTTGAACACTTTAATCAAAAGTTTAAGGCAACGAGGATACTATAAAGAAGCTATATTGGTTATTAATAATATCAAGTTGGATAATTTGGATGCCGATAGTAGGAGTAATATAGTCAGTGAAATATTTCAAATAACTAATAAAGTTTATGGTAACAAATTTGAAATAATTCTTGGTTATGCCATCAAAATGTTTAAATTGAAGAATAATGACAGTATTGAACCAATGTTGAGGGAATTAGGTTTACTTCAAGGATCAGTTGATTTGGCCAATGTTGATGGAAGATTATCAGGACTTTATCTCACCCAAGACCATTTATATGAAATTTATAGATCGTTCTTCATCAACAATAAAGGGTTGAAATATTATAAAGTACTTGAAATGTTTGAAAAATATTTACATCATTTACAACACAGTCCTATGAAAGTGGATCAAGTCAACGACAAAATCCTTACATTATTTCTTAATTATCTCAACAAGACCAATCCTTATGATAATAAGTTCATTTTGTTTCAAAATTCCAATAACTTCGAAGTCAGTCAAAAGATAGCCTATGACTTCCTAGACACTTTCCCTCAAGCATTTGTTAAACCTTACCTTTTTGAAATCCTCATAAATCAAGCATTATCATATAATAATTTCAATCTTGCAGCTGAATTGATCAAGAGAAGTCGAGCTTTAAATTTACCTTTCACCTTCTTTCAAATTTATCCCTTCATAAAGTACCACTATCAACAGGGACAAATCAGTAATGCCAAGATTTGGTATGATTTGATGATTGACCATAAAGTTAAAGCAACTAACATCAAACTGAATGAAATTTTCAAGATAGCCAAAGAGTTGGGATGGGATAATAATAATTATAAGAACCAACAAGTATATAAGACAAGAGCTAAAAAGCGTATGAAGGAAAACTTCAAAAATGATGGACTCAAATTTATAAAAGCCAGTAAGATCCCTGGATCATCATTTGAAGAGAAATTATCTCATTTATTAAAGCATATAGAGTAATGATAACGAATAACGATACCCTCTAACTAAAGTGTTCTCAAGAATAGGTCCGGGTAATTGGCTGCGAAGAATGTTTACATTTTTTCTCAAAACAGATAGATAAGTCTCATAACAAATCGCAAAAATACTCAGACGATAGGTGAAGAGGATAGTAATGGAGACACCTACTAAGGAGTACCTTGAGGAGGTACTGGCCATGAACATCCCTGAAATCAACGAAATCAATGAGATCAATGGTAAACAATTAGATATTATAGCCACAAATGTTAATAGAACTATACAAGATTTGAACTTAATATGTCATGAAATCGGGTATTCAAATGTAGATATTAGCTTGAAGAAGTCAGAAATCTTTCAGGTACTTGAAGAAACCATTCAGAACTTTACCGGTAACTTAGAAAGAGAAAAGGAAAGTATCATCAATGAATGTGAATGGTTAAGACAACAAATAAGAATTATTTTATCAATGGTAAATGATACTAATGGGACTAAATTAAGTGAAATGAACAGAGGAATTGTATTTCAAGACTGGGAAAGTTATGATAGAGGATATAAGCTTGAAATAGAGAAGAAATTAAACTGTTTAAAAACTAGAAGAGATGATTTTTATGAAGACTCACCTTTCAATATCAGTAATAATCATGAAATAAACCTAGAGAAGACTTATGAGAAGAAAATGAATGAAAAGACCCCTTCATTAACATTATTGCAAAACAAAAATAAACTTAATTCCATATTCCTTGATGTTTTAAAGATATTCATTAAGAATTTCAAAAAATTCAATACTTTACATTTGAAATTGATCGAAATAATGGAGAGTTTAGGGGAGGAAAATGATATAAATCCACCTAGAAAAGATTCAGAATATCATAGAGAGTTAATCGAACAGTTTGAAAATACTATAAAATGTTTAAGATTATCTGATAATACCTCATCTTTTGCATTAAACGATAATGATAACGTACAATTCATAGTTTCCAGTCCTAAGAAAGGTAAACCTCAACCCAGAGACATTAGTAATACGTCAAGTGATATCATGAACGATTTAAGAGACATAAACTATAATATTGTTCGAGTAATAAGGAGTCTTAATTTCACCAAAATAGACCATAATTTGATCCAATCAATAAATGATAAAATTTCCCATTATGAAATACAATTGAATGAAAGAACAAGTAAGATGAATACCATAATAAATCAATGTTTCGATATCATTGAAAATCTACAATTTAATGATGAACAATTAATGAATATTCAGAAATTCTATAGTGATCAAGAAGGTGGATACTTTGATCTAGAAACGTTGAAGTTTATTCAATTGAATCCTAAAGAGTTTGGATTGAACACTGTTCATTTGAATTTCATTGAAAATTTCCAAAATTTATTATTAAAAATCAAACAATCCAAAGAGAAGAAATGGAATTATTATTACACTAACTGTTCAAAACTTTGGGAAAAGTTGAATGAAGATAATGCATACATAGACAACTTTGTTAATTGTAATAGTAACTTGACAGACAATTCCATAATTAATTTCAAAATGGAGTTGAATCGATTGATGACTAAAAGGTCAAAGAACATCGATAAGTTCATTATTGATACCAAGAATGAAATCAATAGTTATTGGGACAAATTGTATTATACTGAGGATCAGAAAAAGGCATTTAAACATTATCAATTCAAAGCAAATTTCGATGAAAGTTTCGATAAGGAAGTTATACTAAATGACCATGAGACGGAATTAAGTAATCTCAAAGAAGAATATAATAACAAGAAACTTATACTAGAAGAATATGAACAATTGAATGAACTTTTGAAAGATAAAGAATTCCTTATGGAATCATCAAAAGATTCTTCAAGACTTCTAAGCAAAAATTCATGTAAGATTCTTTTGAATGAAGAAAGAATAAGAAAGAAACTTTTAAAGACCTTACCTAAATTAATATCAGACTTGAAAGCCAAAGTTGTTGAGTATAATAATCATCAATTAAGCAATGAAGGAAGAACTTTTACCATCCATAATGAAGATTTCTTTGAAAAATTACTTTTGATAGAAAATCAACAAGTCAAATCAAGACCATTAAGAAGAAAATCTCCCGTTAAACTGACAAAGACTGTTCAAAAACCAAATGCTAAGCCTAGATCAGTGCCCAATAGAAGAAGAATAGTGGCTACTTTAGAATCAAGTCCTTTCAAGGAAACTTCAAGATTAAAACCTTTACAATCACCATTATTACCTCATAATATGAATTATTCCCCTAATACCAATGTACCATCAAAATTATCACCTAAATTATCACCTTTGAGATACAATTTGTCACCAACAATATCGACCACATCATTTAAATCTCCTGGATCAGTCAGATCAACTCCTGAAGATAAAGAGAATATTACTTTTGATATAGATTTAGGATTAACTCCTATTAAAGTGTCAGATTTGAATTGGGATAAGACATCTACTCCTACTAGGAGTTCGATTGCCAGGAGTTCTATAGCTAGAAGTTCTATGGGTGATATCATGTCAGATTATCAACAATGGAGAGAAGAGAGATTAAGAAACTAGTTGTAACAATATGTAGTATGTATTAAATAAAAGTAACGGCATGATTTTCACATTTATTCTCCAATGCAGCATCTAAAAAGATGGTCTTTAAGGATTCATTCTTATCCAAACTTTTCAAATTATTTAATGGATTTTGAAGTAAGTTTAAGTAAGTAAGGTTCTTTGGGAATTTGGTCTCTTCATCTAATGAAATATTGTTACCACATGCAATTAATACTTTTAAATCTGATGGGAATTTTATATCTAAGTTTTTAAGTTCATTTAATTGAATGTCTAAATATTGTAAGGATTCAGGAAATTCAATATTTGATAAATCATTTATATAGTTACAGCTAATATTTAACTTTATTAAATCTTTTGGGAATTTGAAATCAGATGGAATAGATCTTAATCTATTGTTATCTAAATTTAAGAAAAGGATAGAATCAGGAAGGTTGAATTTCTCGATACTTGTGATAGCATTACTTGATAAGGTTAAAGTATGAAGATTATGGAATTTTTGAAGGTTTTCATTCAAACAATTAGTCAAGGAATTGATATTTGCTTCGGGTAATCTTCTGAATCTATTCAAATTGAGGTATCCAAGGTTATGATCGAAAACATCTGATTCAAGTAATTTGATCACACAATCAGTTTCTAATGATGATATTTTTTTATTGAATAAATCAATAGATATTTCGGTATTCCCGATTTTGGATAAGTAATGTTCACCTATCAAAGGTAATGTGGAAGTAAAGTTCGTTAAAAATGGATCATGGTCATTATCATTATATCTGGATCTGTAGTAACTGTAAGATAAAACAAATCTTTTAGGAATTATTGGATTATTTGAGTTATTATTGTCGTTTGAGATCTTATTATTGTCGTTATCATTATTAAAGTTTATGTCGTTTATGTCATGTATATCATCACTCACTGCCTCTGGAACTATTTTCGCAACATTAGTGATTTTACCAAGATCATGGAAATCAATAAATTTGAATAGCATTTTCGTGGCTTTATTATCTCCTGGAGTTTTATTATTCAAGAGGATGATGGATTTACCGTAGATATTATTATCTAAAAATGATGATATTTGGGGGATATTGAAAGATCTAATTTTCTCACATGTTTCAATATCTATATAACTGAAGATTTCGTTGATCACCTCAGTTGGTAAATCTGTGAGTTTCATTCTTTTGTAAATTATATGTTATCCTAGAATATTCTTTTAAGGTGAAAAAAATAGAGAGATGCCTTCGTATTTAAATGAAAAATTCCAAGGCGGTTTAAATTTACCCCAGGATTTAACCCGGGTGCAGGACACGACGATATAGTAGCAATTGCGGTGGGGTTAGACATTAAGACATTCGGTATATACTGATAGCAAATGTGATAAGGGGAAAGTGCCATGGGATCAAAATCATGCTTCTAAATAGGAGGAAGTCCGTTCGGTTGAATATAGAGAGAATAGAAATGTCATGACGCAACTGATCTACAGTGATCATTTTGACAGGAATATAGACAGGACGTGCTTAGAGTTAACCTGAACAATATAATTATACATAAATCATTAGACTTTGGAAACACCCGTTGAGATTTGATTAATATCATCGTCATCATCGTCATCGTCATCATCATCGTCGTCGTCATCGTCTTCATCATCTACTAGAGTTTCATCGATTTTTCTTTCATCATCGTCATCCTCTTCAGGGTAACCACCTAATTTCATTACGATTTTATTGACGATCTCATTATAATCCATCATTCCTCCCATTCCGATATCTCCATAAGAACCTACTACTTTCTCTACTGGTTTCAAAATTTCGATCCAAGGCATTTCTTCTGAAATCAATCTCAACTGTCTTTTAGTAGTAATGGCATTATAACTATAACTTACCATTGAAGGAGCTAATAATATCGGATAAGATGTATTCCAAGCCCTCAAAACATTAGTTAATAAATTATCACATAAACCTAAAGAAATTTTTGATAAAGTGTTAGCAGTTAATGGACAAACTATAAATATATCAGCCCATCTTCTTAACTCTATATGTAATACAGGATCTGATCTTGAACTCCAAGTATTCCACTCATCTTCATCTCTCCAGATTCTTATTTTTCTGATGTTTTCTAAATAATTTAATGTTTCACTAGGGATAAATTTCTCCGATGATTTGGTTAATATTAATTGAATAGAGATTTTGGATCCATAAATTTCGATTAATCTTAAAATGATTAATTTTATTTTCGATGTTGATAAAGCACCACAACATCCCAACAATATATGGATTTTACCATCATTTTGAGGTAATCTTGGATCAATATTGGCATTTTGTTCACCATTTTTGATGGTATTGTTGATGGAATTGAGATTCGAATTGGTTATATTCGATATTATACCATTATCATTCAATTTTGGTGAAGTATTAGCTAATTTTTCCAAACTACCAACGTTTTTATTGGCATTTGACATATCTGAAGTAGCACTTGCAGTATTACTGCCACTTCTTGAACGATTTTTTGGTTTAATGGTTTCGTCAACATAAAAATGGGCATGAACTGATGGTACTTTATGATGAACACTCTCTTTTGGAGGATTTGATAAATAATCTAAACTAGCACTACTAGTATTTGATATTGGAGAATCGATGATTAATCCTTTATGATGAATGAAACTATTGAATTCTTTGTCTTCCACTTCAACTTTTTCCTTGTCAGCCTTCCCTTTATCATTTAATAAAGCGCCACCACTTGGTATTGTTGGTCTGTTTGGATCCTCAGTTTTGGTGAATATTGGTGGTGAAACGGTTGAATTTCTACCACTATTAGTAAGAATTGGTGGCGGACTTGGACACCTTAAATTTGAAATTGCCATAACACTAGGTGGAATTTCTTCCTTGTCCATCTCTTCCTTATCAATCTCTCCCATTTCCACTTTATTTCAATCTATTACTAAAAATCGTGAGAATATCCCTGACTTAAAAATTTTCTCACTCAAAAACCTTAACTATGTGACTTGTTGATAATTGAATGTTACTTTACAAATTCTAATGACTAATGGCGATGATTGAAACGACAACTAAGCTTTGACAAGGAAAAAGACAAACTTTTTTTTTTGGTCATCCATAGTCGTGTACCGAACAACTATTTATAATAAGGGTCATGATGGTTGATGCTTTGAAATGATATGGTCTCTATTATATATAAAAATATTTACAAAATTAATCATCAAAATCAGCAAAATCTGGATCATTTAATAAACTTGCTTTGAAAATAATATCATCCCAATTACTAGTAGCGATGACTGCAAGTTCCGATATTCCAATTAGCAACATCCCACTACCTATTCCTAACCATAAACCAAATAACTTCAAGTCAAGGAAATAATTTAGTAACAAGGCTAAGGGGATTGCAAAGGCATAATAAGCAAAAAAATTGATATAACCCCCTATTTTCTGTAAACCTTGAGCTCTGAGAATACCACTAGCAATACAAGCTAATCCATCAAAGATTTGTATCACTGAGATCAAAGGATTAAATAATTGTATTATTAAAGCCTTAACGGTTTCATCTTCCGAGAATAATTCAGCAATCCAACTTTTAAAAGTAAACAAAAATAGGAAATTCAATGTAGAGAATATTAAACCCACTAAAATCCCCATATGAGTTGATATTTTAGCCCCTTCAACATTTGAACCACCGATAAAATTAGCAATTCTAGTGGATGAGGCAATACTTATAGCAAACGGTATCATGTATGTCAAAGATGCAGTGGAACTAGCAGCACTTTGAGCAGCTAAATCGACTGTTCCGTAATATGATGCAAATAATGTTAATATTTCGTAAGCAAAATATTCACTTTCTAACATGACAATTCCTGGGATGGCTAAGGTTGATAATTCCGACCAATGATCAAATAATTCTCTTAATTGTGCTAACCCAAACCAACATTTCTTCCCGTCAATAAATAACACATAAAGAATCAAAAGAACATCCATGAAATAGAAATTTATAATAGTTGCAATTGGAGCTCCAACGAAACCCATACCGAAAGTCTTATGCCATACCAAAAACCACGATAAAAAGATATTGATAGGAGCACTTAAGAAAAGAATTCCAGTACCAGCTTCGAAAATACCTTGTGCTTGTAAGAATCTTTTAGCATTTTCAAAAAATATATATCCTGGACCTCCGAGGACTAAAATTCTTAAAAAACTTTCTGTGAGTTTCAAAACTTCCTCTGTTTCAATGATATACTTCAAATATACTGATGAAAACCACCATAATAATGCACAGGGGATATAAACCACCATGGAAAATACAAAACATCTTTGCACATGAATACTTACCAACTCATAATTTTTACCTCCATAAGCTTGAGGACATAAAGTATCCAATGCAGTGGCAATACCTTCAAATATAGCGAAAGTGATAGTGGTTGTCATAGAACCAAGGGATACGGCAGCTAATTCATCTTTACCTAAATGTCCCACAACCACAAGACATACAATACTGAAAAAATGCTCTAAAACGAAAGTGATTATCAACGGTACTGAATATTTCAATATGACTCTCAATTCTTCAATAGGTGTGGTTTTCAAGTTTGTGAAATCGTCTCGTTTAGAAAATGCTGAACCTGAAGTATTAAAAGAATCAGATCTATCCAAAATGTCTTCATCGTTACTACCATATCGTCTATCTCTTTCTTCCAAAAGCCAGCTTCTCAAACTTTCATGATCAGTATTCACCGAGCTTAAAGATGAAGGTAATGATCTTGATGTACTAACACTAGCTGCATCACTAACATCGTCTTCTCTGTCTGTTATAAAAGATCCAGTTTCGATTAATGATAAGAAAGATCTTTGATCATCACCATCTCCATAGCTAAATAATGGATAATTTGTTGACGGTGGAATAAACAATCTTCTTCTTCTGGCTGCCGGTAATCCGGTACCACCTTGAGGGTTGGCAAAGTTATTAATTGATTGAAATAAAACCATTTGTTAATAACCCCAACTGTCAAACTAATCCATCGCGATAAGAGAAAACTGGTTTAACTTTTCAGGCTCCCCAATTGAGGACGACACACCCTTAATGTTTTAGGAATCTGTAGGCGAATAAAGATATACATTTTTTTGATTTTTAAGTTACATAAAGATTATAAAATCATCCAGATAGAACCCCCTAATATTATAGCTAAAACAACCGCAGTTAAAACACCAGCACCAGCTTTATCTTTAGATGTAATATCTAATTGTTTGGTATTAGTATGATCTTGAGTGTTTAAACCTGCTTCAGAATCTGATGCATTATTACCACCAGATTGAACTGATAATGGAGCAGAGAATTCAGTTTGCACGTTGGCTAAAATTACTTCTAAAGCTGACATTTGCTCACCTAAACCATAAACACCATCCCATCCACTATAACTCCAATCTTCACCACAAGTGACACCATCGGAACCACCAGAACATGATTGAGCAGCACCTTCAGCTGATTTGGTCAAATAATCATTCAAAACTTCTTTTGTTTCAGGAATTAAAACCGTAGTTACACCAAGACATCTTGAATATAAGGATCTGAAAGATCTTTGATCATTGTTACATCTATTTGATGGGGCACATGTAGCTTCAGACATATAACCACTGGCAACAAAATAATTCTGAGCGACATGAATGATTTCAAGAGCTCTTTCTTTCCAAGTAGCATCTTCAGTATAATTATATAAGTAAGCACATCCTGACAAAAATACCCCATAAGAATAAGACCATTTTAATGTAGTCACATCTGAACAATTGTCACCAATTTTGGCACCATCAAAGATAGTTAAATCATCACCATCCCTGTTATAAAATCCGACATCATGCATCCAATTCCAAACTCTTTCAGCAGTTTCGACATAAGTCTCATTATCAAGATATCTAGCTAATCTTGCAGCCAAATGGAATAATAAACCATTTGAAATGGTATTCTTATAATCATAACCTGAATTCCAAGTGAAAATTTGCCATCTTAAACCTCCACCACAATGAGCATCATCCCATCTAGCATTCATAGTATTATATACAGCTTGAGTTAAAGAAATCCAACTGTGATCTTTCGAAGGTTGAGAAATATTTCTTTCTGCAGCTTCCATAATGGCCATACCCCAAACACCTTGATCATCATTACCTTCAGTTAATGATTGATTTGATGGAATATAATTATAATCTTCTCCTGCTTGATGGAACATTCCATCAATAAGAAATTTTTCAAAAGTATCATTACCCTTTTGACAAAATGCATAATAATCAACTAAACCTCCAAAAGCTTCCCCTGCATGCCACCAATAATAAGGAGTTGAAAACATACCAACAGTACCACCATATTTGAAACCTTCATAATAATTCAATTCCCCCCAAACAACACTAGATGCTGCTTCACATACGGAATCTAAATCATCAAGATCAAGTTCCACACACAAACTTACAGTAATCAACCATATAGTTGATAATATACCTGAATATTTCATTCTCAACTGATCAGATCAAATCAAAATAAACTATAAGATTTCGTGGGTGTCGTTACAAAACTATTATACTAATAAACTTTGATTATACTAAACAATATGATAAATCTCTCACACGAGTTTGAATAATCCTAAATCCCACTTTCCAATTTTGAAAACTAAGAATTAAATACGTTCTAAATATAAACTTGTATTTATATTTTTCGAATCTCAAAAAAAAATTCAATGCCTCGTTGAATCACTTGGCCCCCAATGAAATGAAAATTCTTAGTAACCTCCTCTCGCAGTTGGCCAATGATAATAGGAAATGTCTTGATAATTTGAAACCTATTCTTAGCCCCTTAAAGTCCCTAAATTATGATCGCCGACTTTTTTCAGGTACATGCCCCCTTTAAGTTACCCTTTTAGGTTTCTCACGCTTTTCATCTGGTGATAGTAAAGAATTCATTAGTTTTTTTTTGGAATTCATGGACAATGACTTGGTTTTCAAGGACTTATGAGGTAACAAAGAAAGCTGTTGGGTTTATAGGACCGGGGATCCTTATTTCTGTAGCTTATATGGATCCTGGTAATTATTCCACTTCGGTATCTGCTGGGGCAATGTATGAATATAAATTATTATTCATTATATTTTTATCCAACATATCAGCAGTTTTATTACAATGTCTATGTATTAAACTTGGTACTATAACAGGTTTGGATCTAGCTGAAATGTGTAGATTACATTTACCTGAATCGTTAAATTTGACCCTTTATATATGTGCAGAGTTAGCTATTATTGCAACCGATTTAGCTGAAGTCGTTGGTACGGCTATTTCCTTGGAAATTTTATTCGGTATACCATTGATCTTTGGGGTGTTGATAACGGTGTTGGATGTTTTGATCATTTTAATAGCATATGAAAAGGATGGGTCTATGAAGCAAACAAGAATTTTTGAAACTGTAGTGTCTTTATTAGTATTGGCAACTTGTGTTTGTTTTATTCTTGAATTGTTTGGTTGTGACTTCCCTCCTGGTGCTTTAGGTGAGATTTTCAAAGGTTACTTACCCACTGAACCTAAAATATTTAAAGAACAGAATGCTTTATTCTTGAGTTGTGGTATTGTTGGTAGTACTGTAATGCCTCATTCATTATATTTAGGTTCAGCTTTAGTCCAACCAAGATTGAAAGAATACGATATCAAACATGGTTATGCTACTGAAGATGTTTACAATGAAGATAATCAAAGTGAAATTTCCACAGGTAATGAAGAATTCCATGCTACTATTTCAAAATTTAGAAGTATTTCTGATGGTTCGAATTTGACTAAAAAATTCAGACCTTCTTATGAAGCTATCAAATATTGTCTCAATTATTCATATTTAGAATTGATTATTTCACTTTTTGTCATTGCAGTATTTGTTAATTCTTCCATTTTAATTGTAGCAGGAAACTCATTATTTGGTAAACCTGATGCTGAAGATGCTGATTTATTATCAATTTATGAAATGTTGTCCCATTATATTTCCCCTGCTGCAGGTCTTATTTTTGCATTATCCATGTTATTTGCTGGTCAAAGTGCTGGAATTGTATGTACTATGGCTGGTCAAATTGTTTCTGAAGGGTTTATAAATTGGTCTGTTAAACCATGGATTAGACGTATCATTACTAGAGTGTTGGCCATCATTCCTGTACTTGTATTCATCATTATTTTAGGTCGTGAAGGAGTTTCTAGAATAATGAATTCCTCACAAGTAGTATTATCATTTATTTTACCTATTGTATCAGCTCCTTTGATTTGGTTCACTTGTAATAAGAAATACTTGACTGTTTATGATACAAGTGAGCTTGTTAATGAAGAATCTAATGAACAGACTGCTTTATTAGCACCTACCAATTATTCTAATGTTCCAGTAACTGTAAGAAAAATCACTTTTGAAAATGGTTTACCTTTAACTATTGCTTCCATTTTAACTTGGGTAGTTATAACAGGTTTAAATATCTATTTGGTTGTAGCATTTGCAAATGGCGCTGATATATAGGTGCTGATATATAGGTGCTGATATATAAAATTTTTATTAATCTACATACTTTACATTTCTAACGTTTCTTCTTGAACGATCCTCTCAAGTTTGGTAATCTATTTTGCTTAGCTTTACTGGTAACAATACCTGGTAAAGTACCTGAATATTCTGACATTAAAACTGGAACCTTCTTACTGAATTCGAGGGGTAAATTATTGGGGGAAACTTTATATAAGTTGATGGTCAATGAAATTAATTTGGTTATCTTGTTGTATAAGATCTTTTCAGTATTATCAGGTGCCAAGATATTATTAGGAGTACTATTGGCATATCTTTGTTGACGTAATTTGTTTAATTTCAATAACTCTTTCGTTATCAATTTTTGTAAAGATTTTGATGATTCAATGGATGATTTATCTTTCTTCAATGATTCCAAAGTATCAATTTCTTGTTGATCCCATTCCAATAAATTTTTAATTGGAATTAATTGAGTTTGATCATAATCAGTTAATTCTTCAGATGTGACATATTTAGTACCATTAACAATTGAATCTTCGGATGTGGTATTTTCAACAGGTTTAGGTTCATCATTCTTTGATGAGATTGGATTGACTTCAATACCAACACTTTGGAAATATTGTTTTCTTAATTCATCAATCTTATGAACTCCAACTCTACTTAACCAAACACTGGCTTTTAAATCATTTGGAATTCCAAATCCTTTGGAATCAAAAGTTGGAGCAAATGATTTAACATTCTCATTAGTTGATGATATCAATCTTAAATCTTCGTCTTGATCGGACACCAATTTAGAATCCACTGGAGGTTGCAAAGTTTTACTTTTATAATCCAACCATTCAGGTGTACCAACAGGTAACCAATTCAAAACATGAAATCCTTCTAAAATAGTAGTAGGTTTGGAAGTTGGTAATGATATTTTACTGGTTTGAAAATTGACACTTTCAAAAGTTGATCCTGTTGATCCTGAATCTTTTAATAATGGAATGGTCTTTGATAATCCTAATTCTCCAGGAACTATAGTTAATTTAGTATCTAATTCAGACTTCTTAATGGATGAGGTAAATAAAGGTATTTTGATCTTTGATGGTTGGTTTGATACTGATAATCCATATTGATGTGAGTTTTGGAATGCTGATGCATTGGGATTATCTATTTCAGTGATATCAGTAATAACTTCACCATTTGACGAGGTATACGAATATGAAATAGATTCAAAATCTTGTGCTATTTGTTGTTCCAATTCTGAATATTTTTCATCTTTTTTGAGGTTCAAAAGACTTGCTTTCAATAATCCACTTTCTCTAAGTATCAATTCACTAGCGAATTTATAGAAGAAATCAACATTATTATATTCATCACTTCCCATCTTTAAATCTTTGATCTTTATAGAAGAAGCTATTTTGATATCGTGATATAATTGGTAGAATTCTTTATATTTGCCACCTTGGAAATTATCATTGATTGTGGTACCATCATAAGGACCTGGGAATTTTTGATTAAATGATTCTAAAATCCTGAGAGGATCTGTTTCTTTAAACTTTTTGGGTATAGATATATTCAAAATGGGGGTATCGACATCGGCCTTGACAAGGAGATTGTAAACATCACCAATAACATCCTCAAATGATCCTATAATGTTAGTATTGTGTTGTAGTTGAGGGTTCACGTGGTTGACATACCTTCAGAATTGTTTTGTGTCATAGTGTAGGGTTTGAAAATTTATTTACTTTGGAAGAATGCGCGATTCGACAATTTTTGTCCATCCACATCCTGGTGTACGGGTTTTGGAGGTTAAGATAGATTTTCAAGGCAAATAAGGTAATACAGTGGGTACAGGCGAAGGGACACTTAATTGACTAAATTAATACTGTCAAGAGGAGTTATGCGGGCTCAAATTTGTGGTAATGACTTCTAGCAAGAAAACTTGGATGTTGAGACCTAATCTTATTTAAATGAGATTAGGTTTGTAAAACATAAAGTCTGTATGAAATTATCAGTAATCCACAATCATACGAATGTTACATGAACATAATAGAAGAGCTGTTAAGCTGCCAACGATGTGTCGATATTTTAACTTTCAGTTCGTTTCTTTACTTACACTTTTTAAGTACTTTCCTTACTTTTTGATGGATTTCGCAAATTTTGCAGCCATATTTATTTCTCTACTACATATCATATAAATCTAATAATTGTCTTAAATCACTTATAACTGCTCTATTATTGGCAATAAGTTGCATGGGTTTATCAGAATATTCACTCGTTGGAGGTTTTCCCATGCATGATGGGTTGTTATCTTCAGGATCGGGAATATAATGAGATAAATATCTACTTATAGCATCCCTATCGAGGAAAACTCCGTTCCATCCTGCTTTGACAGCCCCCAAATAATCAGCATCATGTTCATCCCCAACATGCCATACATTGGATAAATAATGTACTTTTTCCTCCTTGGTGGGTCTTGAGGTTTTACTAAAATGGGAATCTAACACAGCATCGAAGAACAATTTAGCTGGTTTTTCAAAATCTATATCATAAGACAAATAAATATCATCTTCATCTAAATACTTCATAACTCCTAACTTTTCTAAGATTTCTATAACTCTAGCATCTGAATTACTAGAAATTACCACATTAACACCTTTATCCTTTAATTTGGAAATAGTTGGAATAACATCTTCGAATAAATGATACCCCTCTGCACCAGAAAAACGATCTAAAAGACGATTACATAACTCCATGGATTTTTCATTTTGGGAATAATGTTCAATATTGTATAGTTTCACTATCAATTCGGACCACCAACTTTCAACTGACGTGATTTCTTTAGAATTCTTACCGAAATTGGGGAATCTTTCATTCATACCTTTGAATATAGGTGGGAAGTCATTCCTAATTGAGTCCATTGACTTCTCAAACCCCATATCATTACTTATCTCGAAATATTGTTGGAATACAGGTACTTTTGGTACATAAATCGTTCCAAAAGCATCAAATGACACTATATTCGGTTTAGGAAATTTGGAATTTGTATCCCTCATCTTCCTAGTATTATCGATCTTGAAAGGATCCGATATTAGTTTAGATGAGTATGAAGATACACTTCTTTTAATGATACGATAGTTCATGTTATTCTTATCAGTAAAAGTCGCGGAGCGGAAAAAAAAATCCCACACAATATTAAACGGATACATTTATTAAAAAATATTATACACATCTATAAAAACTCCAATGAATTGAATAAATATATCGTTATCATAGCTATTTGGAGGTCTTAACCTAATAAGACTTCCCAACCCCATTCTTTCATGACAGAGCTCCAATGCAATTTACTATAGATACCACCGGTGATATCATCAACTGAACCTTGTTCACTATTAATAGCAGCCATTAGACCACTTAATTGAGTGGAGATATTCTTGAACTTTTCTTTATCATTACCATTAGGTATGAAAACATCATCCATACCCAAAGAGTTAATCTGTTTCTTACGGACATATTCATCTTTACGTCTCCAAACTTCTTTAACCACTTCCATAGCTCTATCGATATTACCAATCCATAATCTTTCCGATAACACTTTCCATCTTGTTTCACACCATTCTCTTTCTTCTTGTGGTTCGGCTTCACAAGAACTTACAAGTAAGGGGAAGATATGAACCGTATAAGTAGGAGAATTAGTAGGAATGGATGCCAACAAAATGAAGATTTTTTCTGCTAATTGATGGGAGGATAATGATGGAATTTCGGGTACTGCTTGGTGTAAATATAACAAAGTGGAATATCTATAAGCTTCAGCGGTGGCAATACATGAAGATAATTCTGATGAAGTATTATCATTAACTTGCTCTATCATTGACGCTGAAATAGTTGGTTTCCAAGATATCAATTGTTGTCTTAATTGAGTAGCCACTGTAATGGTGGATAAGGTATTTCTACCTGATAATTTTTGATCCTTCTTTCTGCTTTTCCTCATTTTGAAAATTAAAGCTGCAACTTTACCCATGATGGCAAATAATGATTGGGCACAACCTAATAAAGGATCTACTTGATCAGCTTGGAATGATAACTTTTCGAAGTTATCGAATAAGTTGGAGAATCCTTTGTTCATTCCAAAAGCATCGATGCTATTACCAACAGTTGAATCACTTGATTCTGATCTCAAAGCTGGTGATTTATCAAGTCTTTCTTTGGATTGATTTTTACTGGGAGGTAAGTTACTATCCTTTTGGTCTTGAATAATGGTGGTGATAGAAGCTACCAAATCAATACCTTTTTCATCTGATTCAGTGGTCATTTGAGCTAAAACTTCAAAATAAATCCAAATGTTGAACAAAAATTGAGTCGATTTAGGGATTTTGAATAACGATTTATCACTATTAGCCTTCTCGTCATCTTCGGACTCTCCCATCAAGATAACATCCCATTCAGAGTCATCCACCAAGACCAATTTCTTCTGTAATTGTTGCTTAGAGGCATTCAAGAAATTGGAAAACTCTTCAGCATCTTTTGGACTGGGTGACAGACTTTGCAGTAATAATTTCCGTTTGAAATTCTTCATTTCCTGTTGTTTTTCTTTCAAAATAGTTAAAACTTTTTGAATCATAGTTTTGGCCCCTTTCAAATGAGCAATCCCACTTGAAGTATGCTTATCCCAAGTTTCACTCAATGATAAATTCAAACAAATGGCTATAGCAATATCGGCAGGTAAAGAACTCTTCAGGTCAGGGGATAATCCGCTGGCTAATTCTAAAATACATCTTTTCATATACATATAACCTTTAGCTCTCAAACTATCTCTATTGGTCATGGTCTGATTACAAGCCAAATGGAATAATGTTAATGAAGCAATGGAATTGAAGAGACAGGAGTATGTTGTTGCCAAGGGTAAAATTAAACTTCTCCAAGGGTTTTCTCCTGGACCATTTTTGATGGATAATATTTCAGCAGTATACTGGGAATATAATCCTAATAATTGTTGTTGTTCAGCTGTTAAATTCAAAGAATTAGTCACATGATATTTAGGACTTGGCTTCATAGTGACTGGTAAAGGTGTTGAACCTGTTGGAGATGCAGGAGTATGGTCTTTGTCATGAATTAAATGTTGTTCATTGGATGATGCAGTGTTGGTGTTGGAATCTGGATCTAAGTTCGAATCCTTTGGCAGAATGTCATCACTATGAATATTAGTAGGATTAATAGCTAGACTTCTATTATCGGGACTGGGAGCAGTTAATCTTTGATGATCACCCACCATAAATTCATGTAATGGACCAGCATTTTGAAGATTCAAAGGGCTTAAAGGGATATCTAACTTAATGGATTCATCGAACAAATGACTGTTCTTGAATTCATCATCATGGGGAAACGCAGAATTGATTAAAGCAGATAATGAGGGACTTAAATTCAAATTTTGAAATGATTGATGTCCACTGAAGGTTAATTGATTATTCTCTCTTGATTTTGATGATTTAGATCCTTTGGAAGTTGATGAAATGTTTCCAGGAGATCTTGCTGTGATACCTGGAGTAAGGAAATCCGACATTGATGGTGATAAACTTGGAACAGTATCAGGACGAAAATCATGGAAATCAGGAGATCTGGTATTAATTTCATCAATAGCTGCAGCAGCCAAAGAATTCAACCCTAAAGAACTTGAAGCTCTTGAATGTTGACTTCTTAAATCCATTAAAGCACTAGAAGGTATTTGACTATTCGTACTATAAGATCTCATCATTGATCTATTGGGATTCGCAAGTGGGGGACTCGAAACACTCTGACTTCGTTTTGTTTTCTTATGAATATGACCTTCTTCACCTAAATGCAATGATGAGTCACCTAACCTAGCTAACAACTTAGCATTACTTTTCCCTGTATTTTCATGTCTTTTCAAATAAGTGGCAGGATTTATTCCTTCTTCAATGAGATCATTCTCTCGCTTTATATCATTGATAGATTTCCCTGTTACTGATAATGAAGCTAATTCTAAATGTTTTCTAAACGAATCAGATTTCTTCATGGGTAAACTTGATGAATTGGAAACTTCAGAACCTGATCTTGGTTTATATTCATAATTCCTCATTTGGAAATCAGTTTCACTTTTATCATCACTATTATCATTGAAACTTCTCCATTTGAACTTGGTAGCATATCCACCACATTCAATATTCTTTTTAAGACACTTCAAACAAGCAGGTTTTGTTTCATCACATTTTAATCGTTTCTTCTTACAAGTTAGACAACCATTTCTGGATTTGGTTAGTTTTGGTTTGATCTGGTCACTGACTAGTTTCTTCTCTTCAGTTGTAGACATTTATTGATCATCAAGTTCCAGATAATTGTTGAAAATTCTGAATATTTTGACAATCTTTGAAAAGGTAGGAAGTATGATGTTCTAGGGGCGTTTTTTTAACACAATGTACTTAATGAACTTATGAATCAGTCAATTGATTCAAATATCTATGTTTTATAAAATCTGGTGGATTTTCAATACGATTAAAGAAATTTGGACCTTGGAAACTATATTGGTAAAACCAAGCAGATAAGATAAACCGAAAATTGATAAAAAATGTAAAATGCGACACTGATTTGTGGGATAGATTAACCTAATGCGGATAAAAATTCCACATATACATAGTTTTGCAACCAATTATTTGGTAGGTATTTAGGTTTCAATGCATGATTACTTATGATTGAGTTTGCATTTGGTAGCGATAGAGGGGTCTGATCCATATTTATTGACGCGGATACCTCGATTGTCCGGTAAATCTTGCAGATTTCTCAAGTTTTAGCGGATATTTGGAAAATTATTGTCATCAAGGCAGAGAGGTGGAGGAATCGAAATAGGGGGAATTAATGCAAATTTATTCTAACTGGAAACAATTGGAACCCAATTTGAATTTATAAATGTTAGTTTGAGGATTAGGTTCCAGAACTGTAGTATATCTTATCCAAGGGAAACAGGTGTATTTCATTTCCTCTTCTTCAACTTTCAAAAAATTTAATCTTAAACCTGTGTAGGATAACATGGGTATATTAAAGGTGATTTTAATGTCGTTGAATTGTTTGATTTTCCGGATTTTTTTCTGAATTTCCTGAATCAGTGATGTTTGTGCACCATTAACTCCATAATACTGGTCTAATTCTCGTTTGGCTTCTTCATTTTCATCCCATGCATCATCATCATCGTCTTCATAATGATCAAAACTATTCTGTAAAGTGGATTCAATCTTATTCAAATCAATGTCTGAATCATCAATTGATAATTCGGCCATCATTTTTATTGAAGGATTATTGCCTGTGATGTTATCGATATTCCATATTATCTCCGATTTATCAACCTGATAAGAAACTGACCCTAATTCCGTCTTATATTTTAAATCTTCATCCATTTTCACTTGGAATAATAAAGGATTAATGGGCAAACGTATATGAAGATTTTTAGCATGCAATCTCTTTCTGAACTGGGTTGATAAGATTACCAAGATTTGAAGTTTCTTTTCCTTTTCCTTTATTCTATATGTTGGCTTTATCATTATTAAAGGTAACTTCCTTTTTTGCTTTTGTTGCTCTACTTGGTAACTCATTAGTATGAATGTATCGTCAGGAGGTATGAATTTCATCAAATTATTATGATAAATTGAATCCAATTGAACACATTGGTGGAATTGAATGTTTCTGAAAGGGATATGTTTCTTTTCTTTGACAATAGCCTGATCATCTTGATCATCTATTTCATCATCTACTTTCAACTGATTACCTGATCTTTCAACCTCTATCTCATCGTTTTCAATACTTGATATTTTAGTTTCGTTAAATCCTATAGTACACGTAGGCATCCCTGAAAGATAACATTTTACATGAAGGTTCCCATTAACTTCATTTCTAATGATATGATCCTTCTGTAAGTCATAATAGAAGTCACAATTTTCAATCATATCAACAAATATTTCATTTTTGGCGTAAAATATTCCTTTGGGCCTCCAATTGATTGATGAACTGGATGCTCTTAAAATTGAACTATTGATAAATGTATCTTCAACTGGTATTATATCGGTTTTGATAGCCTGGTTATGGGTTGACTTCACACTTTTCAAATCTTTGTCTTTACTTTTATGAGTATCTTCTTCAGTATCAAGTTGTTCTTCGTCACTATCATCGGCTCGTAATCGTGGAATATTGGGCATTATCTTGATATATTCTTTCAAAATATTATAATCCGTGGTTTGAATTATCCCTACATCCATACATTCATCCAACAATTCATATATGAAGTAAACATTATCTAAGATAACATCTCTATCAAATGCGATGTCTCGTTTAGTTTTAGTCTTTTCACAAAGATAATGCTTTACCAATTTCAGGAAACTGTGTAAAAAAAATATCGTCAGCATGGTATCGATGTTTGCTCTAGTTACTACTAAAAAGATCAAATCATTCTCTGATCGTAGATAAACATAATTAAGACCTTTGATATTTATGAACGGTAATCTTGATTCGGGTAATTGTCTTTTATACTCGCTATCAAAGCCAGCCAAAATCTTCTGAGTGTCATACAAGTCATCATGGTATACTTTGTGCAATAGTATTTCACTGGATTGGTATTCTAGATGGAGGTCAACACTATGAAGAATATATAATGCTGAAATCATACCCTCATACAAAACGCGACCCAACTTCAGCCATCTTTAGAAATATGTTTAGACGATGTTATTCTGTTACGCCAGTTTCTCGAGCTTTGGTAGTGGAACAGTTAGAAGGTATAAACAAAATCAGTCAAATTCCTTGGAAATTACTTCAACTGCAAGAAAATGGAAAATTAGAGACTAAATTGAAAGCTGAGTATAAGTTGAAGAACTTTCCAATTACTTGGGAGTTTTTAAATACTATAGCTTTGGCTGCTCATAAGTCCAGACATCATCCCGAGATAACCACTGTCTATAATAATGTCACCATTGAATTGACCACTCATGACTTGAGTAACAATGTATCACAATTAGATTTGGATCTCGCTTCTACTATTAGTGAAGTTTATACCAAATGTTCTGACAATTCTCGTAAAGTTAAGTTTAGTGATTTTCTTACTCTTCCTTAAAATATTGGGAAGCTGGTGGAATCTCTGGTTCAACACCTGGCATGGCTTGCCCAATTTTTAGCAGAAAAATTCCACAACATACATTTTTGCAGCATACATTTTTTTTGCAGCATAGAAGAATATCATTTAATAATCAATAAATGTAACAATGTGGCTAATGAGACTTTGGATTATATTCACAGCTTTAGTGACAGGACTCACTATCACGCCAAATGTTAATTTGGATACTAGTCTTTCAAACTTACAGAAATGGTATAACGAACATAGAAGTCTTTACATTGTTGATACTATTGAAGAGTTAGATGCTAGTAAGATTTTGAAACACGGCATTGTTAAAATCCGTAACACAAATGAAGTCATTGTACCTGGGGATAATCAGGATGAAATCACTTCTTATTGGGGACCTACTAAATCTGAATCATCATTCAATTTCGTGATGTTTGATCTTTCCAAATCAAATCATGAAGAATCAGTTTACACCCGAGATTTCGGTAAATCTTTGGATAACACCAAATCTTCCGTCGATAATTCTATCAGTTATGGTGTTGGAGCTTCGTGGGATCGAACCTTATCATTTGTCAGTACATTGGCTAGAAATAATATCGAACTTAATACTGAATTTGATTTCACCAAAGGTTCAGGAATAAATCAAGATATTTCATGCACTGTACCTGCTGGAAAGACAGGAAGAATGCAAGTTACCATCAGAACATTTAACTACAAGAACATTAAACTCACACCCTTGATCATCCATTACAGGAAATCTATTAGAGGTACTAAAACCCAATCTATGGAATTTGGTGAGCCATATTTCACCGATTATGAAGTGCCTAAAAGTTTTAGACCTTCATGTTATTCAGAATAAATGTAAAAATTTATTATATAATATACAAGATTAATTGAAATCTTTCTTTGCTACACAATAAGCATCTCTAATTTCAATGGCTTCGTAGGTACCTTCTAATCCTACATTAACTGAGTAATCATATTCCCAAATATCCTTGATGGTGGTAGTTTCAGTGATTTTTTCCCGACTCTTTTGATACTTTGAATTCTTTGATCTCTTAGCTGTTGATGAAGGGTCCAAGGTTCTAACATAGGTCACAGTGAAAGGAGGAGTACCAGTAAATGTAAATTTCATTTCGGTTAAATCTCCTTCATGAATATCTTGAATGACACTGTCACCTTGGTTAATTTCTACTGAAGGTAAGTCATGGATTGTCAATTCCAAATCACGGGCCCTTTGACTATTGGCATCGATATCTATCAAACAACGCCCAGCAGAAGAATCCTCTATACCTGTAACTTGAATGACCCCTGGTTTGGCAGCCAATCTCCTGAATTCAGGCTCAGTTTGGGAGTTATAAGTATTATTATTGAAAGTATAATGCAAGTTGAAAGGAGCAGCTCCCACCAAATCATAACCAACATGATCTCCGACACAAAAATGTTTTTTAGATTGGAGAGGTGAGATATCAGGAGCAGGAGTAACCGAGATGACCAATTGGTTAAAATGACTGAATTCTTTACCAACACATTCATTGACATCTTGAACCTTATCGATTTTAACCACATATTCCCCTTGTTTCAAATTCTTCCAAATATATTCTCCCTTGGAGTCTAAAACATTGTTCAAGTCTAAAGTGGGCAGGGAAATATCTTCAAGGGAAAATGATCTGGGTTTCATTTTTTCTCCTGAGATGGATAAATCAATTTTGAAAGGAGGTTGTCCACGTAAGGCAATAGGTAATTTACTAAGTTCTGTCACACGACCCCCTAAAGATGCTTCACATAGAAGAACAGTCGATGCTTTGGAGAATTCCACCAATGGAGATTCATGAACAGAATAGGAAACTGAAGGTAAGGTAACTCTTGATCTACCTCTCTCTTTGGTATACAATTGATCATAGATTCCTTTGAATACATGTTGATAAATTCCACCTTGTGATGTTGATAATTTAATATCTAAAGTGTTTCCTGCAACTGTCATGGTTCGAAGATCTGATTTACCACTGGGGAATTTGATTTCATAATCAATGACAAATGGCCCTTTACCTTTCAAATCCAAGGAAATGTCTCTTTTACAACCTTGACATCCAGATTTTAAAATAATGTTTCCTGTAACACTACTTGGATCTATTAAATCAGGTGATACGTTGACGGACAACGAAGGTCTATCGTAGAATGAGACATGAATAGCTTTTTCAGAAGAAATTTTCCCTCTACAACCACCATTAACAAAGGTGGATAATTTATAAACACCTGGTGTTCTGATACGTAAGGAATTCATACCGTTGATAACACCTCTACTGGTATGGCCATTTTCTGTGACTTCATATTCAATTTTATCACTTTGAGTTCTACCCACTGAAGAAATAACTTTCAAAGGTATGTCAATATGATCGCCTTCAACGATTTTATGTTTTACGATATCAGAAGAAGTATCAAATGAAATCTCTGGAGTGTCAGATCTGGTAATGATTTGTACTTTTTCAGCAACATTATAATCAACTGAACATCCAATACCATCAGCTACATTTGAAATAACCACGTCATAAGTACCTCCACTGATACCTTCAGTATTGATTTCAAACAATTTATCTTGAGCAGCTTGTCCCACTTTAGAGATGATAGCTTTACCTGTTGAATCCACAATGGAATAGTCAAATTTAAATGGGAAATGTCCATTGAAATGTACGGGAACGGAATTGCTCTCACCTTGACAAGAACGTAAAACTTTCCTGATTGATCCTTGTTTATCAAAGAATGATACTCGAGATCTTTGCTTGAAGTATGTCAGATATGTGTGTTGTGATTCATCTAACAATATAGGTGACTTATAAAAGGCGTCACGGATAGTTTTGAAAATTATGACAAAACTACCTTCACCTGGAGGTTTATAATCAAACTCAAATTGAGGTTTATCACTTCTTAACACTTGGATAGATCTTCCTTGTGGACCTATCAATGGCCTCAATGAGCCACTATGATTCAGATAAACTGAATATTCTACTGCAAATGGTGGTTTACCTTCAGCTTCGAATTTAAAATTATATCCCGTCATACCTACACATTTATCCATGACAGGTTTAGCATCAACTGACAAGGTTGGTGGATTGACGGTTTCAAAAGTTATGATAGAATCTTGAACTTCACAATCACAATAATTTCCCAATACCGATAAAAGCTTATAATGACCTGGATTGGCTACCTGGACACCTGACCTTAAATCATTCAAATCTTTAAAAACATGGGTAAAATTGTAAGATCTCAAAGAATCTATAGGATCTTCGAAATTAAATCTAGCTGTGATAGGGAACTGTTCAACAATATTCTTACTTGCAGCAAAGCTTAAACCTTTTGTACCATTGACTAATAAGGGTCTACTACTTTCCATATCAATCAACCTTAATGAAGGTTTGGTTAATAAATCAAGAGCGTATCTCAAATCTGGAGTATCAGCTTGAGGATTATACTTCTTGACGTTGCCCAAGGAATCTTTAACCTCAAGGAGTTGAAATTCCAAGCTCCCTGATTCTGAAACTTTAAGAATTGAAGGATCTTTGATAACTTCTTGTTCCAAAAGGTTTCTGGTTAATTTGTGGGAAAAATAATTGGTGACATTCAAAGTTGAGTCATCTTCATTAATAGTTGATTCTATGACTTTGACTTTCTTACCTTTGAAAGATGCTAATATTTTGGCAGTCATGGGAGGAGAACCTTCAAGCATTAATAATGGTAATTTCATTGTAGTATCATCAGCCACTTTACCCACACAAATCTTGTTATTGAAGTTATTCGATACCGACTTAGGGACGGAGAATTGTCCTTGAGGACAAGTTGCAAAGGAAAACTCATTCTGTACGAATCTCATACTTGAACCCCTTCTATCTCGTATTTTCTTGATTTTATAACTACCTGGTTCTTTGACAGGAATTTCAATATAGAAGACCCTATCATCATCTTTAACAAAGTTTTTATTAGATTTAAGATGACTGTAATCACGTTTCATCAACTTATTGATTTGAGATTCTCCATATTGATGATAGGAAACCGTACTTAATGGAGAAGTATGTTCAATTTCCAAAAATGCTACATCGGTGGTGGTATTAAATTGAATGGGAATTTGGAATGGTTCTTTATCTAAACCTTGACAAACATTTTCCAAGCCAAAAACATTGAATTTGGCCAATGAATCAGGTAAATAATGAATGGTGTATTTACCACTAAAATGGGAATCGATATCAATGTTAGGATTGATCTTCTCACCGCTTAAAGTCAATTCCTTTTGATTTTGCAAATTTTGCACCAATGGTGCTACCACTGTGACTACCAATGAAACATTCAACTTGTTAACTATTAAAATATTTATGATATTGAATATTATGGTGATTAATAAAGTCATGATAGGTGAAAACATTAAATATGAAACGTTTAGTATGGGCAAAAACCAGAAAAAAATCCCTTCTACCATGGCATACTTAAACACAAAGGAGAATTTACCCACCGCTACTTCAGATCCAACATTCAAACCAATGAGATCATATATTTTCCATGATTGAAGAAGGATGAATAAAGATATTATGAAAATTCTCTGGAAAGCTTCATCAACAATCTCTGAAGGTATTAGTGGTTCTTCTCGGAGAATTTGCTGATAATTCTTTGATTTGATCTCTGTTACCTTATCATCGATCCTCACTTTCTTCCTGGGACTCGAATCCATGGTAATTACTGTGATATTGACAACAGTTTAATCAAAACAATAGATGAGATTTAGGTGCGAAATATTTGAGGAATAACATCTCTTCCAGTTACTGCCAAAGTGGCGGTAGAAGCTCTGAGAAAAGATCGTGCGAGATAGTACCAAATCTACTACGAATGAGGAGGAACAAAATATTTTGGATGCAAAAATTACTCTATATACAAATCTATTCAGTTACCCATTGACCATTAATCTTATTTTGTATGACTTTGATGACTGGAAGATCCCAACCAACACCCCCAGAACCAATAGCAGCTCCAAAACGGGGAATAACATAACATTCTCTTTTAGTTGGACTAAGATTCTTGGGTGCATATTTATTACCTAAAGGTTTGGAATAGGTAAGTAATGGTGAGCCTTTCGAAATATTGGCTAATTGCTTACCGGAAATGTCAACCAAAGGTTTCATTCTGGTTTTGGTCAAAACTCCCTCAGTTCTATTAGAACTCATATTAAGTAATTGATAAACTAACATATCTGGAGGTAATTCCCCAATAGTTGATAATGTGGAACTAGGGTGAATATAAACATGGTTATCAGTTTGATCATCAATTTGTGTGGTGGCTGTCAATGTAGTATAAGGTATGCTGACTATATTTGGATTTTTAGGGGTGTTAACATCACTAGAAACAAGATCAGTCCTTATAGCTATTTGATCAATGAATCCTGAAGCAATGATTTGTTTTAAGCTTTGGACTTGCTTTTTGTTAGGAACTCCTAATTTCAATTGAGAATCTTGTAAAACAGAAGCAATACTTTCCAGCTTGGTATTGATTTTGACAATATAAGTAATTTGTTGTCTCAACATGCTTATTTCTTTCATGATTCTTGGTCTCAAGAAATTGTTGTTGAGGAATTCATCTTGTTTATCCTTAGGAACATGATCAAATGCACAAACTACCGATAAAAGACACAAAGCGTCACTAGTATTACTCAACTTTCCAAATAAAGAACGGGATTTCCTGAAATTGGTGATAGTTGCCTTTTTGTTTTCATCATCATTACTTTCAAAGGCTTCTCCTTGTATGACTTCTTGTTCAGAAATGAAAGGATCACCCACGGTTAAGGCTGATACCAAAGCGATGATATATGGTAAACAACCACCTTGATTCCCAATGATTAAAATCTTAGCAAATCTAGGAGATAATGGGAAATGTGACATGGCTTTACCCAAAGTAGTAATGGCTTTATCTTTATTTAAAGCTCCCAACACTGATAAAATCTTTTCAGCTGTGGACAAGGCTAAACGATCTGGGGGAGTTGGGAAGGGGAAATTTACAACTTGGTCGATACCCATACTTTTCATGGATAACACTGTACTTTCCACCGGCATTCTCATGATTTCAGGATCGGTGAATTGATTGAAATGATCTTCATAAATTGCTGAAGAAAATAATCTATAACAATGACCAGCTCCTGTTCTCCCAGCTCTACCAGCTCTTTGATCTGCTGATGCTTTAGATATCCAATCAATTTCAAATGATTGGATTGCCGTTTCTTTGTTATATTTTCTTTCCTTTGATCTACCACAATCAACAACGTATCTGATCCCAGGAATGGTTAATGAAGTTTCAGCAACATTGGTAGCTACAATACACATTCTGCTACCTTTAGGAGGTTCTTCAAATACCTTCATTTGTTTCTCAGTAGGTAACAAGGAATATAATGGAAGGACATGTAATGGATCGTTAGGGGTTTGATGGTCTTCTAAAGTTTCTTCAAAACCTTCTTCATCACTTTCAGAATCATAATCATCTTCTTCACCGTCTAATCTTTGTTTAATACCCAAATCAATATCTTCAGCTTCAACGTCAGCATTCTTGGAATCAATTAACACTTTAACATCTTCTTCTTCTTTGTTGAATCTGGATTGTTTCTTTGGGAATGGGAATTCAGCTTTTAATCTCTTCACCATATTGGTAATCTCATTCTGCCCAGTCAAGAAGATTAAGATTCCTCCTGGTGGCAATCTCTGATGAATCTTGCAAACTTTCTTGAAAGCTTCTTCTTGATAATCATAATTAGTATGACGACTAAAATGAGTACTAACAGGATATTGTCTGGCACTTACTTTGACAATTGGGGGAGGACTTTTGAACAACGTCTTGTTCTCTGCAAAATCAGATACTCTTAAAGTTGCTGACATAATGATCAACTTTAAAGGTTTATAATTTTGGGGATCCTTTTGATATTTAGATCTTCTTAATTTCAATACTCTACTAAGCATACCTATCAAAATATCAGTGTTTACGTTTCTTTCATGGGCCTCATCGATTATAATAGATGAATACTTGGTTAATAAGAAATCACTCATCATTTCTCTTAACAAAACCCCATCTGTCATGAATTTAAGAGCAGTCCCATCTTTAGTACCTTCGTTTTTGATGGTAGAATCGAATCTAATTTGGTGACCTACTCTATAACCATGATCACCCAATTCATTTTTAACTCTCTGAGCCATGGAGACTGCTGCAACTCTTCTTGGTTGAGTAACACCTATCATTCCAGGATATTCAGGAGAATCTAAACTTCCAAACCCAGCTTCGTATAGGAATTGAGGAACTTGGGTGGTTTTACCTGAACCTGTTTCCCCACATACTATGATACAATCATGATGGTACACAGCTTCCATGATCAAATGTTCTTGACTGAATACTGGTAATTCGATTCTCAGTTTTTGAATTTCATCTGGTCTGTTGACTTCAACAAAGAATGCTTTACGTTGACTATCTTTATTGATTTTTATATAGTTTTCATCATCACTTGAGTGATCCATATCTTCATCTCTATCATGTCTTTTGGAGTATTGTTGCTTGAGTTCCTCAGAGAGTTCCGGGAGTACCATTTCTGTCCTACCTTCGATTTCTCGTACTTGTTGATCGGCCCATTCTTTGAAGGCTTCAGCTGTGCTTGAATGTTTAGGTTTCATGGATAAAAGTTTTGGAAGGTCATCATCAGAGTCTTCTTCTGATTCTTCTGACTCTTCTTCAGAGTCTTCTTCTGAACCTTCTTCATCTTCTTCGTCTTCTTCAGATCCTTCATTATCAGAACCTTCAACTTCGTTTTCATCTTGATCATCGTCTTGATCATCGTCTTGATCTTCATTCTCTTCATCATCGTCTTCATCATCCTCATCTTCATCGTCACTGGATTCAAAATCAAGCTCATCTTCTTGTTTCCTCTTCTTCGCTTCATCATTCTCTATTTTTGATCTCCAACTATACTTTTTCACAGAAGGTTTCTTTTCTACTGTCTTAATGTTAGAAAATCCGAATCCTGAACCACTGCCACCAAATTTGGCAGGTCTATTATCTACAAATCCAGAACTTGGAGTTTCAAAGTCTGATTCACTATCACCACTATCATCACTATCATCTTCAGAACTGGGGAACTTGGAAGCTTGTTCTGATTGTTCTGGTTGTTCTGGTTCATCTTCATGAAATACAATTGCATTATCTTCATCCCAATCTTTGACTTCTCGTTCTTCATATAAAATCTCTTTGGTTCTATCATCACCTCTTCCTTGATTTTCAAGTTCTAATGCTTCAAGAATTTCTTCTTTCCTCGTTTGTTTCCCCTTTCCAAGATTCTTTGATGATGCGAGTAGTCCTGTGTCTATCTTAGTCTTGGACAACTTTTCAAATAATGCTTTCTTTTCTTCTCTTTTAAGTTGATGTTCAATATATTTATCTAATCTCTTCCTTTTAGATCTCGATAATTTCGATTCTTTTTCGTTCATAGAATATAATTCTTCTTGAAGTTTACGTTTCCTTTCGGCCTTTTCAGCTTCAGTTAAAGGTTTTAATATCTCTGCATTTGGATCGGTTTCAATTGCAACTTGTTGAGGTTCTTCAGGTTCAGTTCCGTCATCTAATTGTCTGAAATATGCTTTATTTCTAGCCTTTTTCAAAGCTGCTTGTTTGGCCAACATCCCTGACCGAGCCTTTTCATTAAACCTCTTCCTATACTTCCCCATAATGTCTATTAAATCTAATGTTTGAAGGGGTTGCAAAAGTGTTAATTTTTTTTTTGAGATGCTCTGCTGCAGATTACCAAAAAAAGTGCGGCCTTTGAAATCAATCATCATGAATAAGAATGATGTACAAAAACATTGTATGTTTATAAGTTTAATTACATGTATATGGCTCATACTAACTTTCTAGTGATACATACCACATTAACGAAAAATTCTACAACATTGTATTCATGTGAGAACTTTCAATTGATTCATGCTATCAATAATGTTAATTGTTCAGAGATAGTTGCGGAAGAACTAGGTTTGATCAATTCTTCTAAAACCTTGGTAGGTTCCATACCAGTGACAAATTCAGGGACTAATTTTGATTTATGTATTTATTTCATGAAAAAACAAGTAAATAATTCCGATGGAAGCAATGATCTTATAACAGTTATCAGTATTGCTCATGCCAATATAAATAAAGTATTGGTTTTATCAGTATTGAAGAAAATTATGGATAAGTACATTGAATTTAAACAAGATATTGAAAACAACAATGATAATGATAAAGTCAGAAGCAAACTAGGAGAATTCAAGTTATATATGAATCAGATCATTAAATTTGAAGAATTAAATTATTCAACTAATCAAAAAGTATATAATTATGGTTCTGTTGATGATGGAGATGAGGAAAGTAACGGGGGAGAAGTTATCAATCCCAGGAATTTGGTGTTGGTTAATGAAGATGTGGAAGAAGTAAGGCAATTAATGCTCGATAATATCAGTAAGTTAATGAATAGGGGGGATAAAATCAATTTGTTAGTTGACCAAACAGATAGGTTGACTACATCAGCGTCAGTTTTTCAAAAAAGAGCTCAGGTTATCAGACGAAGAATGTGGTTAAGTACTTCCAAATTTTATATATTGGTGGCATTAGGAGGTTTATTAGTTCTTTACTTTTTAGCATCATTTACTTGTGGATTCCCATTTTTTGACAGATGTGTCCATCGTTGATCATTATTTAATTCTAGCATATGACCCAGGGTCTTAATATATATTTATTAATCTTCATCTGATGATTCGTCTTGAATCACTTCAATTTCATCAATAGTTGAACCTTCTAATTCTCCATCATCCTTAGACATAAGAGCTATAGGATTACTAGCATTTCCTTGATCTTGGTCTTCTTCATCTTCATCTTCATCCATTTCCTCAGGTTCTATTTCCTCAGGTTCTAATTCTTCAACTTCATTAGTATCATCATCAGATTCTTCATCTTCTAAAGTACTGGTATTTACTGGACTTTTCGAATTATTTTTCAATCTTTTAACTTCATTATCAGTATCATTATCATTAGCTTTTCTTAATTTCTTTTCTTGAACTTTGGCTTCATATACGGATAATTTTTGTTTGATTTCAGGTACAAAACTTGAATAACCTGTTCTTTCCAATGCCACTATTAAATCTTGAGCATTGATGGTCTTCCTATCAGAAGATTTGGCTACGGTTTTGGCATTACTGAATAAATATGATACAAATACTGTGGCAGATCTTTGTAAAGCTATAACTGAGTCTTTTGATAATAACACATTAGCATCATCAGCTTCACTTATAATATCTTTAGCTAATCTTTGAACTATTGATCTGGGAAACAATATTTCATCGATGGAAACCAATTCTTGTTTCTTCATTGGTTGAGGATAGTTCCCATCAGCATTCTTTCTCCATCCTTTTGGTGGCATCTTTTAGTTTAGTAGATGAAAAAAGCGCGTCAATAGATGGTAGATAATGGTTCAAAAATACATAGAAGAAATAAATCTACGACCTATGACTTGACGTCTACTGATGAAGGGTACGGTGTAATGAAACGACCTAATATCAAATTGGTGACTTTAGGCAATTATCAGATCGAACCTTGGTATGGTAATGGAGCATATTTCAATGATAAAGGTGTTAAGAAAGAACTCGGAGTGGAAGCTGATTTACATGATAAATTAGATGAACATACAGTGTCTGAAGGATACTGGCTTGATAATCTATACGTATGTGAATATTGTTTCAAATATACTTCAATCAAATACAAATATCAAGCCCATAGAGCTGCTTGTAGACATAATAAACCACTACCTACTATTGGAAAATTGGTATATAGAGATGACGATTCTCCCTATTTAATAAGAAAGGTCAAAGGATATGAAGATACTTTATTTTGTCAAAATCTTTGTCTTTTTGGGAAACTTTTTCTTGATGATAAATCCGTCTTTTATAATGTTGATCAATTTGAATACTTTATTTTATACGGATTCGATGATAATGATATACAGGCGGATACGAAGGAACCTAATTTCAAACCTATGGGTTTTTTTTCCAAAGAAACTATATCTTGGGATGGAAATAACAATCTAGCTTGTATTTGTATATTCCCACCATATCAAAGAAAACATTTAGGAACATTATTGATTGAATTTCTGTATGCCGTTGCCAAAGTAACCCCAGGGCAAAGTCTTAGTGGCCCCGAATTCCCCTTATCGGCATTTGGTAAAGTAAGTTACTATCGTTTTTGGTCACAAAAATTAAGTATATTTCTCCTCGATTACTTGAATAAAAGACCCAAGTTCTCCCTTCAAGAGGTAGCTGAATTGACAGGATTCAGGAAAGAAGATATCATGTTAACATTGGATTACATGAAAGTCCTTCAAGTTCAAAAATCTGGAGATCTATCAATATTGCTAGGGAATATTAGACAATTTTGTCTAGATCATAAAATCGACCCTACTCAAGAAACAGGTATGTTAAAAGTAGACTGTCTCATCATATAGCATTAAAAATATATTCTCTTCATGTGAAACGCTCTGTTGAATAGGAACCGTTATCTGTTCCCCCAGATTTATCATCATCAAATCGTTATCAGATTGACGCGCTTTGAGATGAGTAGAGAGAAGAGAAGATTCTTTAATGATCCAGGTGAGTCTATCGACGTGTCAGAGTTTGAAAATAGCGTGTTATTCAACAGTCCGAATAATGACACTGTCGAAAATGTGATTAAAGAGGAGAATGTGGTTGAACCTGTGAAAGATGATTTCACTACTTTTCAGGTAGATATTACCAATGTTCTTGGTAAATTACCTTTCGAAACCCTAAAAAGCTTGTATGATAGGTTTGAAGATAAGGAGGATAAGTTAATGTTAGCATTGGATCATCATTTGAAGAAAGAAGAGTCACCAAAACCCAATGAATATAAAGTAATACCGCCAATTCTGTTGGAGAATAACCCTAAACGGAAAAGAACTCGGGGAATACAAATCCCTTTTGCCTATGCTAAACGGTCTAACAGTTCATTGGAGCAATTACTACTCAAAAAAGAGAAGCTGTCAGATGAAGAAGATGAATGGAAGAAATATGTGGGGACTCTATATGCTGATGCTTTTGCCACAAGACCGTATATGAAACCTTTAGCATATGCAAAAGAAATGACTATACGAAGGATCAAACCTAAATCTTTGTCGGGAAAAGATAAAAAACAGGATTCAGCAGTGGTAAGAATTTATACCAGACCCCATGACGAATTCCCTGAAGAACGTGAGATTGGTAGACTTAAAGAAGATTTAACCAGAATATTTGCTCCTTTACTTGACTTAAAGTTGATATCATTAGTATCTTCAGTTATGGTCGAAACAAAGAAAAGACTTTCTACAGGGGACGCTTTTTATATAAAGATTGATGTATTTCTTACCAAAACAGCATTTACCGCAAAGCCTGAATATAATGAATTAGATAATTTCAAGAAGAACGATGTTAAGGCTAGATTCAATTTTGGAGCTGAAACTGAAAGTGAATCGTTCTTAAGACTAAGGCAATACGCCATTTCTAGATTATTCAATAAGTTGCAAATAAAATCAGTCAAGTTTAAAGATAATAAAGAAGTTATGAGTACTCAATTTGAGATGGTTGAAAGTCCAAATAAGGAATCCATTGATTTGGAAGTGGAAGAAACCGAGGAAACTTTTGAAGAAAATGAAAGTGAATTAAACCTCGATCAATTACAATCATTTTACCTGGCTAATCAACAATCAGAAATTCTCAAAGCTTTACCTTATGTTATACCACCTAAAGAAAACTTTGGTTTGGAATTGAGGAATTATCAGAAACATGGATTATCTTGGATGTTAGCAAGGGAAAAAGAATTGGATATTTTGAAGATGTTAGTGGAAGATAATGACGATACCATAAGTCAAGAAAGTATTGATGAGATTAAATTGATGGATGAAGGTGTGATGAATCCTCTTTGGAAAACTTTCAAATGGCCAAAGGCAGAAGCCAAAGATAATCTTGATAAGTATTTCTATGGGAATATTCATAGTGGGGAATTGTCTCTTGAAAAACCATTGATAAAATCATCTGTCAAAGGTGGGATTTTATCCGATGAAATGGGATTAGGTAAAACTATCTCAGCATTATCATTAATAAATTCTGTTCCTTACGATACTGGAATTATTGATGATCCATCGTATGCTTTCCAGACTACGTTGGTTATTGTGCCAATGTCATTATTAACTCAATGGGAGAAAGAATTCAAGAAATGTAACCAAAATTCTAATCATAGATGTATGGTTTATTATGGACAACAATCATTCAGCGACTTGTCTAATGTTTTGATAGGGAAAACCAAACATATTCCAATAATGGTGGTCACCACTTATGGAACTATCTTAAGTGAATATACTAAGATCGAGAAAAGAAGAGATCCTGATGGGAATTTACCAAAAACTGGATTGTTTTCTGTCAAATTCTTCCGTATTATCATTGATGAAGGTCATACGATCAGAAATAGAACTGCTAAGACTTCAAGATCAATCTTTGAATTGAAAGCTTCCAGAAAATGGATTTTAACTGGTACACCGGTTATCAATCGTTTGGATGATTTGTATTCATTAGTCAAGTACCTTGAATTAGAACCATGGAATAATTTCTCCTATTGGAAAACTTTCATAACCTTACCTTTCGAACAAAAGCAAATCAAAGATACTTTGGATGTAGTGAAGACCATTTTAGAACCTATATTTTTAAGAAGAACTAAAGATATGAAAGATAGTGATGGTAATCCCTTGGTAGTTCTCCCCCCTAAAGAAGTTGAAATTGAAGAAATCAAATTCAATGATCGTGAATTGAAGTTATATAATTGGTTCAAAGACAAAGCATCCAAGTCGTTTAGGGAAAGTTTACGATCAGGTGAAGTATTAAGAAAGTATACACAAATTTTGACTCATATCTTGAGATTAAGACAGATTTGTTGTCATCAGGATTTGATCAGTAAAGTGGTGAATGACATGCAAGAAGAAGTTGATGAAGAAATGAAAGATGAAGATTTAGAAATCTTCCTAAAGGAATTGAACGAAGATGATGAAAAGTTTAAAGATGAAACAGAAATCAATCAAAAGCTTTATCTGATGTACCAACCTATTTATAATCAATTGGATCAAGTGGAGTGTTCAATATGTACCAGTACATCTATAGATATGAACGAGATGATTGTCACTGAATGTAAACATATATTCTGTATCACATGTTTACTTGAACATATTGAATTCCAGAAAAACTCCAATCAACCTTCGGTTTGTCCTAATTGTAGAGATCCAATTTCAAAGTATAAGCTTTTCAAAATCAGGAATAGAATCACTACAAAAGCCGAGTATAAATTTCATACAAATAAAGATATATTGGAAGATTGGAAATTCCAAGTATATCTTTATGACCCTACTAAGACTTCTTCCAAGATCCAAGCATTGATTAATCATATTAATGGTTTAAGAGCCCAAAACTTGAATGAACCTATTATTGTATTTTCCCAATTTTCTTCCTTTTTGGATATCATTGAAAACGAGTTAAACCTTCAGATTGGTAATAAGTACGTCAAGTGTTTGAAATTCGATGGAAGATTGAAAATGACTGAAAGAGAAAAACTCTTACAAGAATTCAATGAGTATAAGAGTTCCCCCAATACATTAACCATCTTATTATTGTCTTTGAAAGCAGGTGGTGTGGGATTGAATTTAACCAGTGCATCCAGAGCATTTATGATGGATCCATGGTGGTCACCAAGTATTGAAGACCAAGCTATTGATAGACTTCATAGAATTGGACAACAGAACAATGTTAAGGTAGTGAGATTCATTATGGAAAATTCCATTGAAATCAAAATGTTAAAAATTCAGGAAATGAAAAAATCAATTGGAGAGATTGTAGGAGTGGAAGAAGAAGAGAAAAGAAGAAGAAGAATTGAAGAAATTCAAATTTTATTCGAAGAATAATCATAATCATTCAAATAACAACCAAGAGAAATCGAAGAATAACCAAAGGGAATTCGAGGAGTTATCATAATTATTCGAAGAATAATCATAATTATATATACGCATTTTAATAACCTCTATAATCACTGATATTTCCTCTACCATCAACAAAAATCTATCACCTCCATAACAAAAGTTACTCCCCCATGTCTTCTACATAACTTTATCACATTTATACAACTCATCTGATACATTCCCAAAATTAAAAGTCATTTCTCTTCATGTATCATGCTATGTTAGATTCTCGAAATGCATCGCATTGAATTGCATCAATAATATCCCAGTTACAACCTGTGCGTCACGTCGATCATCCTTATTATCCTCTACTAATTAACCTTATAATCACCGTCTAATTGAGTATTTTAGTCCACCTTACGGATGCATGGTGTTAAAGGAAGTGTGTTGAGCGCAGATAATAAATCCGCATCACCACATTTACTTGCGTCAGTTAGGCATGGTTAGAAGTCAGTAAAAACTATAATTTTATTTTCCTATGTACTTTATAAAGCTCTTCTGGCCTTAACGGCATCAGATAATATTCTCAACACATCTTCAGTATCATCCCAACCAATACAAGCATCGGTAATTGAACATCCGTACTTAAGAGCATCTTTACCACCTTGATCAAGTGGTGGAACGTCTTGTCTTCCTTCGACTAAATTAGATTCAATCATTAAACCACAAATACTTTTATCACCTTTCTTTATTTGATCAGCAATTTCTTGAGCAACTAAAGGTTGGTTTTTATGATTTTTGTTAGAATTACCATGAGAACAATCAACCATAATTCTTGGACCTGGATTTTCTTCAGTTACAACTTTTGATTTGACTAAATCTTCTTGACATTCTTTTACAGATTTTTCGTCGTAATTAGTACCTTTCTTACCACCTCTTAAGATAACGAAACAATCTTTATTACCATCAGTTCCAACAATAGCTACCACACCAGGTTTGGTAACTGATAAGAAATGATGAGGATGAGAAGCTGCTCTTAAAGCATCAATAGCAACACCTAAAGTACCATCAGTACCATTTTTGAAACCAACAGGAAATGATAAACCAGAAGCTAATTCTCTATGTAATTGGGATTCAGTAGTTCTAGCACCAATAGCTCCTACAGAGAATAAATCAGATAAAAATTGGGGTGAGATAGTATCCAACATTTCACCAGCAATCGGTAATTTTTTGGTTAATTTAACGAATAATTCTCTTGAAATTCTTAAACCTTTGTTAATTTGGAAAGAACCATCAATTTCAGGATCATTAATTAAACCTTTCCAACCAACAGTGGTTCTTGGCTTTTCCAAGTAAGCTCTCATCACGATATGTAATTCTCCTTTATATTTATCAGCTTGAGCTTTTAATTTGTCGGCATATTCCAAGGCAGCTTTTGGATCATGTATAGAACATGGTCCAATAACCAAGACTAATCTGTCATCTTTACCATTCAAGATATCACAAGCTTGTTCTCTACCTTCTAAGATAATCTTTTTATTATCATCAGTTAAAGGATATTCATGTTGTAATAAATCTGGGGCAGTTAATGGGTCGTAACCTCTGACTAAAAGTAGTTAGTATCATAAACAAGGAATCAGGTATGGTGAATGGTGAACACATGGATGTTGAACATATTTGGTAACAGATCATCTGATTATGAACTGCAAATTCATCATTGGATAAATTTAGATTTGACATATTTCAACCTTTGTTAGACCTTGTATTCAATCCTTTCATTCAATATTAGCTTCTACATACTTCTCCAATCTTCTAAACGAGATCTATCACCAATATTGGGATTTGTAATGAACATAGTTGGAAGTTAATTTTAGTTTGTGGAAAAACCTTCGAGTGAGTAATAACCCATTGTACACAGGATTTTTCGCTAGGGTCGAAGAGGGTCAGTTTCGGTTGTTAATGTCCGGGGGTTAATGTTAAATGGACTAAACTGATAGTTAGGGTTATAGTTACGACTTGTTAGATTAGAGTTTGATGTTAAGCGATGATTTTGAGGTGCTTTACAACGATTGGTACTAGAAAATGTTATGGCAAAGTAGGTTTTTCTTGTCTTTGAACGGACTGATATTTACTGACATTTTACGGACTGATAAGAATACGACCGTGGGTACTAAAACCTCGTTACAGTGAGGCAAAAATGTGAGAGATTCTATTGAGGCTTATAAGCTTATCAGTGCCACGTTTGGCATTTACCTTTTCTTTATCTTACTTTTTGTTGAACTTAGTAGTGAGATCTTTAAGCTAGTGTTCTCCATGCGATGTATTAGAGTCATAGATGGGGCTAGGGTGGTATGAACGTTTGGTAGTACATAGACAATAAGATCGCAATATATTTTGCAGCCTAATAATGCATTTGTATATTTTATACACTTTCAAATATGTAGATGTACCCATTAGTTTTCATATCTTCAATGTTGGACTCATCACATTCAACAACCTTTTCATCATTAAATAAAACCCATTTTTCTTCACCGTCAATGACTTTTTTGATAAAGATCACATAATGACCGGTATGTGGAGAGGTACCTTTATGACAAATAATAGACTTCAACTTATAATGTGGACTGATTGTTGAATTAGTAAGTTCTTCTATCAATTTAGGTTTTTCCTCTGCCAAATCAACCTTAGATGGTTGAGTATCCAATTCTCCATCGTCATTGGGATTATTGAATAACCATTCAACAGCAGCATTAGGGTCGGAGTTATTCAAAATAAGAGCTTTCTTACTCAATTTGTGATCGAAACCCATGGCCATGACGTTATTAATCAATTCTTCAGATACTTCAGATTTGGTTTCTTCGATCACTAAAGGTTCATCAATGTCAGCATCTTCCATATGACTAAATAACCAATTCATAGCTTCATCTAAAGTATTATTACCGGTTTTATACAAAGCTTTGATACATCTATTTTCAGGGAATCCCATCTGCATCAAATTATTCTTGATATCTTCATTAGCAGTGAATTGTGATTTCTCTTCCTTTTTGTATTCAAAATTTTCATCAAGTTCAACTCTGAAATCACTTAAATCGATTTTTTCGGGGATGTTTACTGGAACATTAATCTTTATTGGTACCCAATTTTCCAACTTAATTCTATTAATATTAACAATCAAGTTTTTAGGGAAACTCTTGAACCCCACGGATTTAATGGCATTGGTAGTTTCATTACATTTTTCACATTTAAATCCTTCAATTATCTCATCTTCACAATATTGTTTGAAACTATCAATCAATTCGACTTCTTTATAGGTTTTTTGACCTTCTTCAATCTTTAATACTTCATCTTCGATGTTCAATGATAAGTTATCAACCAAATCATCGCGGGCACTTCCTTTGAAACAATTTGAACATAAAACTTTACTTGTAAGTATGGATTTGAAAGATTTGTTTAAATCGTACCCATATTCACTATCCAACTTATCCAAAAGATAAATTAAGAACTCAAAAGCATCTTGCTGTTTATTGGTTTTGAATTCTGGGTGTTCTTCACCTATTAATGATTTGAACATTGTTGGTTTTATACCTAATTGATAATCATCTCCTTTTAAAACATTAGGTTTGGAATATTTCCCACTACTTAATCCATTATAAATCTTCAACATTTGACTCTTTAAATCTTTCGATGGGTTTGATATTTGTTGGTATGTAGGAAATTGTTTATCTTTGAAATATTGCTGATAAGCATCAAGATCAAATAAACCTTGAACTACTGAATTCAAATAACAGGAATTACCTAAATTACTTAAACCTGTAAAATTCCCACCAAAAATGGGTTTTAATTTCTCTCCATTAGCACCATCTAATTGGAATTCCCAATTCAAATTTTGATCTAAATTCAATTCAATTAAGTTCTTTTCAGTCTTAACAGCTTTTTGCAAATCGATATCAAAGGTTTTCAAATACTGGAGTAAATTTGGAATCTTCACTTCATCATTACATTGATAACAATAGGCATCATAGTTATCTATATCATCTGCTGATAAAGAACCTAATTTGACTGCTACAGGATGTTGAGACATCTCATAATGTTTCAATGCATGAGAGTTACCTGGAGTATTTGAACCAAATTGTTCTCTTCCACATCCCAAAGCTCCACAATGTAAACAAATCCATAAATTCTCCTTCAATTCACATTGAGTACATTTAGATAAATCAACATTACTCTTGAATTGTTGGATCTCAATAGAATGTTCACAAGGTAAGATCTCTTGTTCCCAAGCCTTGATATCTTCTTGACGAGAACTTGAATTACTTTTAATAACACTATCACTCAATTGTTGATATTTATCAGGAACTTCTTCAAGTTTAAACGTTTCGTTGTCGATTGAACAATAAATATTATACTTGATATCGTACACTTCTTCTTCTTTGAATTCTTTGATTTCCAACTTAGCCATTTTATTCTGTCTTTCTTCAATATCTTTTTCATCTACTGGCTTTAACCTTTTGACCACATTCAAAAATGTAGAATGGGATGAATCTTTACAATGTTCTGATGTATAGTCATAATCACCTCTACTATAAGATTGGAAACATTTAAGACAAACATCTAACCCCAATTCATTATTTTCTGCGGTATCAAAGTTATACATACAATCATCTTTGTAAACCACGGTATTTACGGGGACTTTTGATTCAATTGAATCAACGTTACTTAATATATGTGAACAAACCATTTGCCTTTGGTCGCGGATTTGCTGCAAAAAAAAAATAGGTTTGCAAAGATCATGACTTTAGGAATCTTGGGGAAACATTGGGGTATTGGCCGAAAAAGAGGTAATGGTGAAAATGAAGGTGTTGGAGAATTAGGAGAAACAAAGTCGTTATCAACAGGTGTTTACTATTCCAATTGGTCAATTTATCAGAGAAAGCATTCACCTAATGACATAGACTATGAAGCTATTGATCAAGTTTATTATGCGTTCTTGGTTTTAGATAGTAATACAGGGAAATTGAAGTTTCTGGATACTTGGTGTGACTTAGAAATGCCTTTATCGGGTCCTGGTGGTTCAACTTTGGGTTTAGTGAATGTATTTAAACAATTAAAGGTCAAGTATCCTAAATTAAAGGTTTCATTCTCAATTGGAGGTTGGGGAGCTAATGAATCATTCAAGGTGGTGGCTAGAAATGAGCATTTGGTGACTGAATTTGCACGAAGCTGTGGAGAATTTTTAAGGAACTATGAATTTGATGGTATAGATATTGATTGGGAGTATCCACAGACAACAGAAGAAGGTAAGCAGTTCCTCAATATGATCCGTTTAGTAAAACAAGAGATGAACCGAGTCAAACCGGGGTCATCATTATCCATAGCTGCACCAGCTGGGGATGATAATATCAAGCATCTCAGAATCGGCGATATGAATCAATACTTAGATAGATGGAATTTGATGTGTTACGATTTCACCGGATCATGGTCCCAAAAATCAGGGTACCATTCAAATTTATATGGTTTCAATGGTGATAACTCTTTAAACACTTCAGAGGTTGTGCACAAATATATCAAACAGGGAGCTTCAACTCATAAGATCATTGTAGGTATGCCACTTTACGGCCGAATCTTTCCTGGAACAAAAAAGATCGGTACACCATTTGATACCAGTAAAATACAAGGTGAAGGTACCATAGATTATAAACAATTACCATTACCTGGTAGTCAGGAAGTTTTTGATGATAAAGCTATTTCAGTATATTGTTATGATAACTCACAATTAATTACCTATGATAATTCCACCACTATTCGATACAAAGCTGAGTTTATTAAGAACAACCATTTAGGTGGTGGGATGTTTTGGGATTCGGCAGGAGATTCCCGACCTTCATTGATTACAGAGTTCTCCAGAGCATGTAAATAACTGAATTCTAAGGCATGGGAGAGTATTTGAATGACTGAAACGTATATGAAAATAAAATACAATTATAAAATTGAATCCATTCTTGCAAAAACACTTAATATAGCAGCTATTAATTCTAATTGTAATTCACTTGTAGAATCTTTTTCAACTTCATTACTAACTTCTTGAAATAAATTTAAACCCAAACCTAAAGGACTAGCATGATCAGTATGGAAAGGGAAATCACTAAAATCTGCTAATAGTTCATCAGCTCTTGCAAAAGCTTGATCTCTTTTATCATAATTTAAAGTTAATAAAACATTTTCCAATACATTGGCAGCATAAGCTCCACAAATTAAAGAAATTGATCTTAAAACTTTGAAAGTCGTATCTTTAGGGAATTGATCATTAGTAATGGCATCAAAATCAATATTTCTATTAATTAATAAATTTAAAATTCTTAATCTAATTTGTTCTTTTGATTGTTTATCAGCAACAGGATGAGTTGCCATATCGAAAAGAAAGAAATTCTTTCTTTCAGTTCTTAAAATTCCTTTATCTACTAATCCCTTAGCTAATCTTTCTCTTACTTGTTTTAATTGATAATTGATTTTCATTAAATTCCAAGTTTCTCCTGATAATAAATCTATCCAATTTGTTACTGACAAATGACTTTCATCATTTTTCATAATTTTTAAAGCTTCATCTAATAAAACTTCACCAGTTGGTTCATCATTAATAACTTCAATTAATCTATCACTTAATTCAAATCTTCTTCTTGCGGGATCATTAACTAATGTAATTTTATTACGGAAGGCTAATTCAAGTAAAATACATCCTCTTAAGGCGTAACTTATATTATCATTCCAAAAGGATAAATATCCTTCTTTATCTTTTAATCCAATTAGAAGTACTTCTTCCATTAACGTTAATAATGGTACTTTTAATTCTTTACGATCTTTGATATCTTTATCATCAATTCCAATTTTATGTTGAGGTACTTCTTCTCTTTCTTCATCAAATGAATTGGAGCCACTATTCACTGCACCTGCCGAACTTTTACCCCCACGACGTCTTTGTAATGATGACATTTTACGGGTGTTTTTATCTCCTGAAAATACGTTGATAACTTTTCGTGAGAATTTGATCTGTTCACGAAAATCATCGCGATTAAGGATATCCTCATTAGGTTGTAGTGATTAACATATTTGAAGGATATAAATGGTCTTTATGAAGCTTGGGAAGACCTTTGACCACTTAAACTGTCTGACCCCATATCAATTGACTTTCCCCCCTCTTGCCTCTCACTAAATTAATTGTTCTGCTTCACCTGTAGTATTCTCAAAGTCGCATAATAATATCAAAGGCATTGTTTATTCAATGAAAGAAGATATAAAGTTGGGAACTTCAGTTAATTCTGAAGATGACTTCATTTCCTTTCCTACATTGCCTGACCCTGAACAGGAACGTAGTCAAACATTGACTAAATTATTCACCAAAACATTGAGACGAGTTACTAATAATGCATCACTGATAGTTCAAGCTTATTCATCACCTAAATCAGTAAACTCCGATTCAAGAGATATAGATGGTATAAATGATACTCCTATAAAGGCTCCGGGACTTGGTAATATCATGTCAACAAATTCAAGCATCAAAGAAATTCAAGATAAGAGTAAGAAATTACAAGACGCTATTGAACTTGTACCACGCCATGATTTCCGTAAACCTGATATACCTCGTGGAGATTCTCGTAATAGTATGAACAATTCTGATGTGGAATTGAATGATAAGGAAGTTCCATCAACATTATCCAAACCTCCTACTTCCACCAGTATAAATTTGAAAGAGCCAGTAGTTAAAAGTGATAGCAAAACTTTAAGATTTCAGAGTAATTTACCAACTTTAGAACCCACTAGCTTATCGGGGAGTGTCACTAATTCCGTTTTGAATGTTAATGCTTTAGCTAATACCGAAACTCAAGTGGTTAATGGTACTGTAAATACTGGTGCCAGTGAAGTATCGAGTACAATTGATGATAATGATAAAACGGTTACGAAAAAGAATAGTAAACGAACTTTACTGAACAGAATATCTTCCATATTCAATAATTTACCCAATGATATTGAACTTTCTGATGATTCGGCTTCTGATACTGATACCATTCATGATTCCAATCCTTCCCCAACTCAATATAGATTTAACAATTTCCACAAAGTTGGATCTGTCCCACCTCCGGAATTGTCCATGCATAGCGAAAGTATTGTACAATCATCTCCAGTAAAAGCTGAACAATCAAGATCCCATAATGATACTTCCACTTTAAATTCCTTCCATGCTTTAAAGCAATTCAATAATGGTATGAAGAAGAAGGTATCTTCAAATCTTTCCACGTCATTGATTGATAATGCTAAAAGTATTTTGAATCAGAATTTCCCAGGTAATTTATCTTCAGCATCTTCAATCATTGGAGATGTTGATAGGAAGAAAAAGAAGAAATCTAAGAGGGTAAGTGATAATCCTTTGAAATCTGGTGGTATACCTAGAAAGTATTGGATGAATGATTCTTTTGTTTCTGAATGTTTGAACTGTTTCAAACCTTTCTCAGCTTTTAGAAGGAAACATCATTGTAGATTTTGTGGTCAAATCTTCTGTAGTGATTGTACTTTATTTGTATCTTATAGTCAACATAAAGAAGAAAGGAAAACTGGGAATTATAACAATCCTGAAAGGAAACATTATAGTGATAAATTAAGAGTATGTAAACCTTGTTATAGTGATGTTATTGTTTATTTAAGTGATTCCGATTCATCGTCAAGTGATGAAGAAGTTGATGATGATGCTGTTTCATTTGAAACCATTGAAAAAATGAAAATTGATGATTCGTTACCTCAACATCCTTTCCATAGAGCAAGGTCTCAATCAACAAATTCTCGAAGAGAATTGATTTCTAATCATACATCGGTCAATAGTAATAGTGATGTGGTATCAAGGAAAAGTTTTGCTAATAAATCATCATATCCCGATATGTCAAGTGAAAGGTATCCAAATCTTTCCTCTAGTGATATCAAAACTCCTCAAGGAATATCCATTGCCACTACTAGGCAAGGAGAATCAGTAGAAATACCAGTTTCCAAGAATATTCACAGTAATAATAACTTCCTTAATCCTGGAGGTTCTATCCACCGAACCCAATCCAACGACTATACCAATAATGTTTCTTCCAGCTGGCTAAAGAAATATCCAAGTTTAAGGAAATCCGGTACGGGTTTAAATGCTGTGAGTAGGTCAAATAGTGTCGATAACTTATCGAGCATTCATGGTAAATTAGGAAGTGGGAAATTATCCAAGATCAAGTCTCATACAGAGAATGAAGGACTTCGTAAGATTCTAACCGGTGATTATGCTGGAGGATTGAGTGCTAGAAGTAGTGATCAGAATTTAGGAGTCAAAGATGGTAATAAAGATAGTGATCGAGTGGATGATGATGATGATGATGATGAATTGGAGAGCGAAAATGAAGATGAACAAGTGATGTCATTATATACTTCCTTGAATCATGCTGGTTATAATCAAGGAATAACATCATCAACAATTTCACCTCGTGCTCCAATCACTCGTCCTTTGGCTACAGTTTCTGCTAGTGCAGTACCAACATTAGGGGAATTTCCAACAATGATGGTCAATGAAAAACTTTATCCAAAGAATATGAGAACTAATCTGGCAGCTGTAATACCGAGAATAATGCAAAGTAGCCGAAACGATGATTATTTCGAATCAAATAGTCCATTTTCAAGAAATGTTCTTGAAGATAATCCTAAATCCAATCTTAGATCTCATGAAAGAGCCCATGCTTCATTATTAAGAATGAGATCTAGAAGAAGAGCCAAAACAGTAAGAAATGTGCTGTTATTCTCTCAAAATAATGCCAAATTATTATCTCAATTTGAAGAACCTAGAGATTCCGTATCACCTCCAGTATCCCCATCCCCTAATAATGAACCTTCAATTAACCCCATGGAAAATAGAAGCTTTTTAAGAAGTAATGAAACTATTCAACCTTTGGCTAACGATAATTTTTCACCCCAAACGGTAGTTACTTATTATGGCGATGATAACCCCACAGCAAAACATCAAGTATCCTTTGGAAGTTTCAATACTAGTAAAGGATCAGCTCTGCCAGATAAATTGTTGATGCAACAATCTAGTGGGTTATTTGATGAAGTGGAGAATAAAATCGATACAGTCTATCTTGATCTTTTCAATAGAATCTTCAAACAATGTATGGAAGATTGTGATATCAAAGATAATGTTCAGAAGTGGAGAGAAGCATTAACGAGAATCATCAGTTTTGTTAATGGATTACATTTCACTGATACTTTGGATATCAAACAGTATGTTAAAATCAAAAGAATTGCCGGTTCAATAATTGATAAGACTGATTTGGTCGATGGAGTAGTGATGACAAAGAACATCGATTCAAAAAGGATGGCTAATAAAGTGGATAATCCCAAAATTGCCTTATTGATGTTCCCCATCGAATATTTGAAACAAAAGGAACAATTCATCAGTTTAAGAATCGTTCAATCTCAACAAACGGTTCATATCACCAATTTAGTATCTCGAATAATTTCTTTGAAACCTGATATTGTAGTTGTTGGTGATACTGTATGTCAATTGGCAGTTTCATTATTAGAAGAAGCCAAAATTACAGTGATTTCCAATACCAAACCTCAAGTCATTGAGAGAATTTCAAGGTATACTAAAGGAGACATTTTCCAATCTGTGAATGATCTTTTCTTCAAGAAAGGTAATTTGGGGATTTGTAAGAAATTTGAAGTTAAGAAATTCCTCCATAATAACGCAATTAAAACTTTCAGTTATTTCACTGGTACTGACACCGATTTAGGATTTACCATTGTATTAAGAGGAAGTGATGAAGAAACTTTGAATTCCATCAAATATACTGCAGAGAACCTTTTATTGGCTCAAGTTAATGCTAAATTTGAAAAGAGTTACTTTGATGATCATCTTTTAACTTATATTGATGAAAGTCCCCATGAATCTGTGAGTAGTGTTATTACCAAAATTGGAAATATTAAAGAAGAAGTTAATAGTGGGTTGGTGGTATGTGAAACCATGCCTGATGAAAAGGAAATCTTAGAATATGTGGATTTATTCATAAGTAGAATTATTAGTACATCGCCGTTTTCCAAATATTCATTACCTTCACCATTAGAAAACGCATTGAAGGCTTTCATGACATTTTATAATCATAACAAGCAACATAAGTTATTACTTGATTGTGAAACATTAGATGATGTACAAATTGATCTCATTGATGATTTGAAGTTAAATTTCGATCTTGACCAATTACCCAATCAGTCACAAGATTTGCTTGAATTTTTGAAATATGTTAGTGATTCTAGATTGAAAAAATTAGCAGCTACTTTCCAATCACGTTCTAGAACTTGGGGTAACTTAATGAAAATGCCATGTTATCAACTTTATCCTGTGTTCCATAAAAGTATTCATTTACTTTATTCAAATGTTTCTATTAAGAACAATATCCCTTGTAATGGGCCCAATATCATTGTGGTAGATTTCTATACTGATAATGATAAATTCTTAGGTTTACAATTGGACGAAATGTTCAGTGATTCTTTCAAGGAATGTGAAGAATGTGGAGAATTGTTATTCGAACATTATAAAAATTATGTTCATGGTAATGGGAAATTAGATATGATAATTGAAAGATATGAATCATTACCACCAGAACATTTACCTTTCACCAATCAAAGAACTGTTTGGAGTGTTTGTAAACAATGTAACTTTAAATCCCCAGTTGTGGCTATGAGTGATGATACTTATTATATGTCTATAGGGAAATATTTTGAAGCCAGTTTCTGGGGTAAGAATATGGTTTTGAATCATAAATGTGATTGTGAACATGATTTCTTTAAAGATCATGTTAAATATTTCGGATTCAATGAAATGGCTATTAAAATTGCTTATACACCAATTGACACTTTTGAAGTTGTTGTTCCTACTAAACAATTAGAATATGATCCAGCAATTGAAATAAATTTGAAAATTGAGGCTTTAGAATCTATCAGAAGTAAAACCAATAAATTCTTCCAAAGTATTTCCAAAAGATTGAATAGAGTTAAAGTTGATACTTTCGATAAACAAGAAGAAGATGGATCTAAAAGAATTGAAGAATTAAAGAAAAAATTACAAGAACAGGAAACAAATATTCGTCAAGAAACGTTGAATATTTATGAACTGACGTTACCAACGGTTTATCTTCCGTTGAATTCAATCTTAAGAAAATTACAAGAATTAGGGGTTGAATGGGATGATGATTTTAATGATTTTGAAGTGGAATTTTTACCTTCAGAAAATGAAATTACTCGTATTACCCAATCTCATTTAAGGAATTTCCTTCTTGATAGATTTGATGATAAGGAAGTTGAAATGGAAGATATGAAAGAAAAGAAACCTCTTGATGATAAAGATCATGAAATCGAACCTCCAGTTGATCTCAAAGATGAAAGGAGTGAAGAGATAGATAAGCTCATACCAAAAGCTTTATTGAAACCTCAAACTAATGTAGGACATAAAATCAGTAAAATGGAAGCTTTATTACAAAATGAAACTCAATGGAAAGCTGATGATAAGAAGAAGAAACTTTTAAATCATAAAGAATCAGATATGTCACTTAATTCTACCCTTTCAACTAGTTCACAACCATCTACTGTTAAGAATAAGAATAAAGTATCACAATTAACCAGTTTCTTTGATCAAATGAATTTTGATCAAATTTCTATGGAATTCAAGAAACAAAGAGAACTTGAATTACGTAAGAATTTGAATAAATTTAGAGCTTTACCGATTGTTGCCTCAAAACCGATTGTGGAAATTTATAATAATATTGAAGATGTGGTTGATGTTGATGAGATCGAAGAAAGAAAGAAAGCAATGAAAATTAATAAATCCGATGAGTTGAAATCTACTGATACGAAACCTGAAGATGATGAGAAGAAAGTGAGAGAAAGGAAAGAAAAGATCTTGGATATTCCACAACCTGAAAAAGTTTCATTATTGAAATCCTTGACTAATTTCTGGGCTGATAGATCAGCTTCATTATGGGATCCTTTAGAATATCCTTTAGATCGTACAGAACATACTTTTGCTGATTCAGATATTATTGTTCGTGAAGATGAACCAAGTTCTTTAGTTGCATTTTGTTTGAGTACTAATGATTATAAACAAAAAATCAAAGAAATGGCAGAAGAACCCGATATGGAAAATCCTGAATCCCATGAAGTAGATCATAAAAAGCTTGCTAGTTTTGGTAAAATTGAAAAGAAGTTCAAAAGTAGATTTGATAATGGTGGGAAACCTAGTGAAATTGAAAATTTAATGACCAAAACCAAATCTACTCATTTGAAATATCAATTCACTGATGGATCAACTGAATTATCATGTAAAATCTTCTATTCTGAACAATTCAATGCTTTAAGAAGATCATGTAGTAAAGAAGATCAATTCATTCAAAGTTTATCACGATGTGTGAAATGGAATTCGAGTGGAGGAAAGAGTGGATCTAATTTCTTGAAAACGTTAGATAATAGATTTATTGTCAAAGAATTATCCAAATCAGAATTAGAATCCTTTGTTTCAATGGCACCATTCTATTTCAAATATATTTCACAATCGATGTTTAATACTTTAACTACAGCTTTAGCTAAAATATTTGGATTTTATCAAATTCATATCAAAAATACTATCACCGGTAAGACATTCAAAATGGATTTCTTGATCATGGAAAATTTGTTCTACAATACCAAAACCACTAGAATTTTTGATTTGAAAGGATCTATGAGGAATAGACACGTTACTCAAACAGGTCAAGAGAATGAGGTCTTGTTAGATGAAAATATGATTGAGTATATTTATGAATCTCCAGTATTTGTTAAAGAGAATCTGAAGAAATTATTAAGAGGATCGTTATTTAATGATACTTCATTTTTATCAGCTATGGAAGTTATGGATTATTCTTTAATCATCGGAATCAACGATACTTCCAATAAACTTTATATTGGGATCATTGATTGGTTAAGAACTTTCACTTGGGATAAAAAAGTTGAAAATTGGGTTAAAGGAAATAATTTGATTGGTGGGAACAAAAAGGGTAAAGATCCAACTATTGTCACTCCTAAACAATATAGAATCAGGTTTAGAGAGGCTATGGAGAGATATATTTTAGAAGTTCCGGATATTTGGTATGAAGGAAAAAATTAATTCCAATAATCAATATTATATTTATCAATATCTATATCCCTCTATCCTTGAACTTTCTCTACTTCACCTCTTCTTTCTACACCTATTTACTTCCCTTAGCTTATCTTAAGCAACTTCGGAATTAGAGCCGCACACAAGATAAGCCAGCCACCTCGCGCGATTGTTGTGAGGCTAAAAAATTTCCCCTATCTAGATCAACTTTGAATCAACAGTTTTTTTTTGACTTCAATTCGCTAGTACCGTGTACCGATTTTGAGTGATAATTATATTTCGACAACCCCATAAACCTTCGTTATAGATTAATCGTGGTTTTATAAATTGATATTTATCCCTTTTACTGATATTTTTCCCAACTGTTCGTCTACGTGATTTATCAACACATTTTAAATCGTAACAGAAAAATTTTCATCCTTAAATAATGGCATCTGCTGGATTTCATACATTATCAGCAGTGTTGATCTTGGTGTCATTTGTATTTCTATTATTGGCTACCATTTCAACTCCTGTTGTAACAAGTTTTTCCATTGGTTCTACAGATAATTATAATTATGGTATTTTAGGTTATTGTAAATCCAATGCTAAATCATGTCCTGGAGCTCAATATCCTTATACTTTGAGTGATAAAGATTCTAGAATTGATTGGACTTTAACTGGAAGTACCAGAGATACTTTAGCAAAGATTTTTATTTTATGTCCCATTGCTGGTGGTTTAAATCTTATTACTTTGGTTATCATCTTATTAAGTCATTTCTTTTCAAGTGGAGTTTTGATATTCAGTATTGTTTTCAATCTTATTAGTTTTATTGTCACCACCTTGGTGGCTATTATTGTAGTTTTAGTATTTTACCCACAGGTTTCATGGACTGGATGGGTATTAATTGGATCAGCTGCAGCAAATTTAATTTCTTTAGTTTGTTTGTTTGTTAGTTTAAGATTTTCTAATAATGATTATGATGATGTTGATGATAATTCTTTAACAGAATTTAATCAATTAGATGATAAATTTAATAATACTACCAGTACAACCACTTTCATGGCCCCATCACAAGGTTTCAAATCCAAATATGATGATAATTCTTCGATTTCAAAAGATTATGAATTCAAGCCGGTTCAAAATACTACTAATTCAAGCATTTACAATTCAAATCCTCAATTAGTCAATGATTTTACTCAACATAATAAACCTTCAACTCATTCATTTGGTACCAGTAATTCTAACCACACAAGATATGAAGATGCTGCACCAAATTTTGTTAATGGTCCAAACACACCTATTTCTTCAAAACAACAAATGGCACCAGTATTTACTCCTAATGTAGCTACACCAACAATTAATGATGTACCAAGGTCTAATGTTCCTCAAGTACCTTATCCTTCTAATGGACCTTTAAATAGACCAACTTATGGAGGCAATGTCACTGATATGAGTGTTTTTGAACATCATCCTGAAGTTGAAGGTCATAGACCTTTCACTGAATTAGATGATGATCAAAATAATGATATGTATCCTATTGATAGATATCCAAATAATGATTATCAATACAAACGTGGAAGTCAAGGATCTGAAGATATTATGGGATCTGATGCTTCTTCGAATTTTACCAGTGTAAGTCAAAGAGCTCCAAATCCAAGATATAATCCTCCACCTCAACAACAATATTATCAACAAGATTCTTATTTCCCTCAACAATATGATAATAATTATCCTCAACAACAAGCTTTCCAACCACATTTCCAACAACAACCACAACAGCAGCAGCAACAACCTCCTTCTCAACCTCAACAATTTTATCAACCAAATCAATCAACACCAGTAACTCAACCAATGCCAATGCAACAAAGATTTAGGTCTGCCCCTACTGCCTCAGATAATGCTTTAGCTAATAATCCTGATTTCGCCTTAGGCGGTATGGGAGGTGGTAGAAAGAAAGCTCCTTTTGGGGCTAGACAAAATGCTGCAAAATTCCCAAGAAGAGATGGCCCTTACGGTATGTAAAAGGTTGTGAATGATATTTTCTTTTTATATATTGGTGTATTAGTATAACTTTTTTATGTGATGTATATTATATTAAAAACTCTCCCAAAGCTTCAGCTGGCGGGGCTAAAACTTCTGGTTTATCATTCAGGTCATTAGGTTTCTCCACCTCTGGTTTTTCAATAGTAGGTCTATCAATCGACCCATCTGATGGCTTTTCAATGATCTTTGTTGAACTACTAGGTCTTAGTAAGAAAATCATCAATAAAGCAAATACTATCAAACTTAAAAGAAGAATGATTTTACATTTAGTAGTTCTTTCTTGGTATGATTTAGCTGAAAGTAATTCTTTATTGGATACTTTCAAATCTTGAGCTGTATTACCAATATTATAGTCTATTCTATCTAATATGGTTCCTTGTTCAGTAACAAGACTTTCCATTTCTTTGAAAATTGTCGATATCTCTAAAATCCCCATGGCCAATTTAGATATTTCTCGATCTCTTTGTTGTAAATACTGATCATTACCTCTTTGAATTTGTTGTTGAGTTTCTTGTAAAACTTGTTTAGAATAATTCTCAATATCCTTGGTTTCTTCTTCTATCAATAAATTTGTGTTACTGGTTATTTGTGAAGTGTCATTCAAATCGTCATAATCGTCGTCTCTTAAGAACTTTATATAATTGTTTTGTAAATTACGGAATATCAATGAAGAATCTTGAATCTTCAAAGCATAGTTCTTTTTAAAATTCTCTAACATAGCTAACTCCGTATGAGTATAATTAAGGTTCAATCGTTGTTGATTCTTTTGTAAGAATTCGAATTTCTTGATAAGAACATAACTGTTTTCGAATTTCTTTGTTATTTCATAATTGATATTTTCAATCCTTTTCTCGATTTCAGGTTTATCCCCAGCACTGGTGATAAGAAGTTTCTTATATAATGAATTCAATTCCGAAGTTTGGGATTTAATTATTGATAAGTTAACATCAATATCTTTAGAAATATCGAAGATTGAAGGAGCAATAGGTTGCATTTCAATTGCTCCTCCATCATCACGATATTTCACCCGTCTTCGACCCATCAACCCTTCTTCTTCATCATTGAAATCAAAGTTGGTGTCAGATCGTGGTATTGTTTGACGATACGATAGATATAAGTTTGTTCTGTCTCTAAACATATGAATGATAAGTGCGAATTTGCGCAGTTGATCTGAGGTTTATAAGAAATTTGAGAGATGGCAATTGCCAGATAGTTAGAAATGAAAGATATTGGGAATTCTTGGGAAATATGTCATGATTCATTTACTTTTTGTCCTTCTTCTTGTTCAAGAAATGAAGGTTATGTAACGATAAACTTGAATTGGATCTTACACTTGATCCTAAAATCGCCGCACTCCTATCAGAAGCCATAGTTGAAGGTTTAGCAACCGACAGAGTTCCTGGAGCAGGTGATGGATTTAAATTGGCAAGGTTAGTTAAAGAAACATTTCTTGATGATGATGGCGATGAGTTGGTGGAAGAATTTTTTGAACCAAGGTTCTTCAAATTGAATGATGATGATCCTCTTGATAAAGGAGTTTTTGGACGAGAATTTGGTGGTGATGGAGATTGATTAGCCAGGACTGATGGAGAAATTAACGTCTCATATTTCTTGTTCAATTCATCCACATCGATATTAGATTCGGGTAATGGAGGTTGATAAACTGGAGCTAAAGAATCTTCATCAGCATCTGATTTCAATGCTTGTGTATAAGAAGGAACTTGCGACATTTCCGAAGGATTGAGCACATTCTCCGATTGTGTTCTTGATAAATGCATTGCTGGTGAAGCTGGTCCGGGAGACATCAACCCCAAATTGACTTGACTACTCAAATTTGAAGATGTTGGTAAATTACCCATTGTATTACGACTTGATAAGTTTGGTCTTCTACCAAAATAATCATTATTTTCACCATCCAATGAAAATGTTGGTCTTTCACCTGGTGTTGATGATAAACTACCATTATTAGAATTTTCAGCTGCTCTTTGTAAACTTAATAATCTTAAATTTTCATTTAATTGAACAGAATCAATAGGTGACATAGAAAAATCTTGCATGGAACTATTGGTTTGATAATTATGAGTTCTAGGGGTTGAAGTACCTGAATTTAAAGGTGAATCAATAGGTGAAACATCTGTCCATAATCTATCATAAATGTGAGCTTCATATAATGGAGGTGCTACTAAACCTGAAAATGAACTATATGATGAACTATTTGAATTCAAATTGTTTAATGATGTATGACTTTGGTCATGATTTCTATCGCTGGTGAAAATAATCTCTTCTTCTTCTTCTTCATTGGCAGCATCTTGATCGATATCAGTTATAGCTTTAACAGTAACGAATGGTGATATGAATAATGATATTGGTAAAGAAGCTCTTAATTCTGAAACATGACCATCAGGATTAACTAATCCTATAGCGAATTTAATTTTATGACGAACTTTTATATTGGTCAAGATATCAACATCTTGAGTACATTTTGATAAACTTGGAGGGATTTTTAAAACACAATCGACTTGCCATTTATCCATTTGGAAATTAGGATCATCATCATCGGGTCTAGGAATGGTTTTATTGGCAATGGTTCTTTCACCATTATGAACTGGTGGAACATATCCCATATAAGAATAATATTCACATAAATTGATTTTTATCTCTCCTAATCTTAAACCTTTCAACAATGGAACCATGGATAATGTTATTGGAACTGAAGATCCAACGGCAATAGCTTTAGATGGAACATTCAAAGAATATTCAACTTTTTTAGGCCAAGTATTATCAACAGCCACTGATTCAGATAATTCGACTGAATCAGTAGTTAATGTTCTAACCACTCTTAAATGCTTTTTAGTTACCATTGGTTGATGGAATTTTCCTCTATCAATAGATGCTTCTAATTTATAGATGACTGAAGCTCCAGGTAATCCTTCAACAGATTCTGGCATATCTCCAGGTAATATAGTACTAAAAGGAAATTCATAATTACCTGAAACTAAAGTATGGTTAGAACTTTTCAGATTAGCTGATGATGATGAAGTAGTCAAATTTGATGTTGAAGAACTTGGTGATATTCTTGATAATCCTGATAATCCCGATAAATTACCTGAGGATTTAGATCTAAATCCTCCTAAACCACCTAAATTTTTTAATGACGAAGTTGAACTATTTCTTGATAATGGCACGGGACTATTTGATTGTCCTACAATACTCCCACCTTCACTGGCATTTTCATACATATGATTCAAATATTTATTTATTTCCATATGATCCCAACAATATTCATAAATCTTCCTTTCATGATGAATATTTCTATCATGACTACCTTTAGTGGTGTTAACACTTTCATTCCAATTCAATCTCATGGTGGCATACAAACGAAGATTGATCTTTCTAATGGTGAAGGGTTCTTTAACTGATAATGCTATCTTCCCACTCAATAAAGCCGAGGCAGCATCTTGTGGTGAACCTTTCAAAACCAACACATCGTGTTCATGATTTTTCAATCTAATATCGAAAAGGGAAGTTTGTTTACTACTGGAACTTTTCTTCGGCATTTTACCTAAATTTATCACCAATAATTGATGTTAATGTTATGGATAAAAATTGATGAGATAAAGGGTTGTAATCGAGCGAGAAAAGTCAAGTGACACGGATCAATTGCTTTTTTCGGAAAAATTCTCTTAACGGTTTTTGGAGGATTAAAGTGGAGGATCCATTTCAATCATAATTCCAATGATAATTTCGATTTCAAATGGTAGTAAGGAGTTTAGGCTTTTGATTAATGGGGTGATATTAGGGAAAATATCGACTTAAAATAAACGGTTGAAAATAAATATCACGAAAATATTCGTACGAAAATACGGTAGAGACAGATAGTAATGAAATTTTTTACAATATTAAGATGGTATGTAGTAACTCTAGCCATGTAAGGCGGGAAGACTATGAATTGATCAATGAACTCAGTAAATAACGATCTGCCTTATCAATGATTAACGTTTAGTTAACGAGACCATTGATACATTCACATTTCCGACAATTATTGTGAAAATCACATATTTTTAGAAAATTTAATCTGAGTGACATACACGAACTTGTAGAATACCAGTAACATACCAAAACGTGTTAAAAGTCACAAGAGAATGTAAAATCTTGAATTGAAGATGATTTTTATGTGTAACAAAACCTTAAAGTTTGTTTTCCAGATTGACGATAAATTGATACGTTGTATTCAATAACGTATAATTTGGTATTTTGAACCAGCAAATAAATCTTAAACTCTGAAACATATCTTCAGCTCGAACAATAGTAAGATCTATAAGCCGTGATCCAGCATAACGTTCTATAAAAACTCGCTTAACTCAAACCAGCCCTGCGAAAACAAAAGCCAGTATTTTTGACTATCAAGCAGACGTACCTGGAGTGGCTAGTCTCTAAGCGAGTTGTCTGTTTCAGAATTACCCCGATAGGGTAAGAAGGTAAATAAATCTTTGACAGGTATCATAGGTAAATGAAATGGAGGGTCAGGAAGGGGGTCAATTGACAAATGTTCAAAATTCAAAACCTCTATCAATGGCTAAGCTCATATCTAATCACTTTCTATCTTGCCTTTAACTAGTAAGTTACTTAACTACCTCTAAAGAGATCATCTATACAAAAATAACTTTGTCACCAGGTAAAGATAGACGGTAATTTAAAAAATCTCCAGGTAATTCCAGAAAAATAATTCCCAGTAACTCCTAGAAGCATTGTACCACCGTATTCTACATGAATATGCATTAAAATATATCAGTAACATAGAAGTCTGTCAAGTAATTAACCTACTGTTTAGGAAATCAACCAGCAGTAACAACCAAAAAAAAAGTGCGGTGCTGGTTATGGTTGCAAAAAAAGGAATTTAACAATTTTGCATTACAAAAACTGGCTTTAAAGAACATTGAACTACCGATATTATTAATTGATTAATCAACATACCGATAAAATTCAAAGAAATTGCTGGTAAATACATCCTGATTATAATTTAAGCAAGTTCTTAAAGTTTATATCTTCAGGTACAACAAAAAATTGGTTTATTTATAACAATTGAGATTTCCCTTAAAACTAATTTAGGAATTCAATAAAAATTGCTTCATTTAAAACTCGTCGAATTGCATTTGTGGATTCATTTAGTTGAAATTCACCTCACCCTAGTCAATCATTTATTTCTGTATTATAGCATTATACTTAATTATTAATATCAATCATGGATTCATTTTATATTTCCCAACCTTTACCAAACTATGAAAATTATAATAATCAAATTTATGATTATTATCCAAATGAAGATAATCTTCTACAAGAAATAGGTTTGAAAAAAAAAATTGAAAGGAAGAATTCTATTAGAAAGTTGAAGAGAAAGAAATCGAAATTATCTTCACCTATCCCTCCATCATTATCATTCAATGTTTCAAAATCTGATAAAGAAAGTGATTTAGAATCATTACCAGATTTAATAGATGATGTGGATACTCCTATGTCTGAACAATCATCACCAATGTCAATGAATAATTTCATTTATTTAGATAAACCAAAGACTTTAAATTTTGATGAATTCAAATCTGATATTGAAAGTGATGATAGTTTAAGTGATTATCAACCAAAAAAATTATCTATTGTTAATCCATTTTTCAAAATCAATGATATCAAACCACAACCATCAACCCCAAAAGTTAATATTTTCGAGATACCAGAGATAGTATATAAAATCATTGAATTTGCATCTTATCAAACTGACCAACCTTCAATAGTAAGAAGAAAACCTGATAGTTATAATCATGCTTTATTAATACATGGAAATAAACAATTAGCTGAACAATCAGTTAATGAAGAAACTCCCCAACTGTTTTCAAAAGTAATGTTTAATTGTTTACAAGTTAATCATTTATTTAATCAAGTAACTAAAGAAATTTTAAGTAAAAGATTTGAATTTGATGATGCTTTCAAATTAAATCAATACTTATCCAAAATTGACTTAATAAGACCTCAAGAATTCAAATTAGATAAATTATTCAAATTATCAGCTAATGAATTTGATTGGCAAAAGTTCAATTTCCAAAATTTACATTCAATTGAAATATTCATGTGTCCTAGATTCTTACCACCTTTAGAAATGTTTCATAAAGGTATTAAAAGTCTTATAATCTGTGGATCTAAAGTATTGCATGATAATTACCTTATTGAGATTTTCGAAAGATGTCCAAATTTAGAAGTCTTAGATATAAGAGGATGTGAAATGATCACAGATTCAAGTATTTATAGACTCAGTGATTATTGTAAACAATTGACATCAATAAATCTTGGTAGAAAACAAAGAGGTAATTTAATTACTGATGTTTCAATTTGTAAATTAGTTAAATGTAATCCAAATTTATCAACTGTAGGATTAGCTGGCTGTTTTATCAGTGATAAATCTATTTGGGAGATAGCTATCAATTGTTTAAATTTGATGAGATTATCCTTGAATAATTGTCCCCATTTAACTAATCAATCAATTCCAATAATATTAATGACGGAATATTTCAAACAATTAAATGTTTTGGAATTTAAAAATACTAATATAACCAATTTAAAACCTATCATTGAATTCAAAAGATTCCAAGAGTTCAAAGGAATTCCTATAATAATCGAAATGTGTGAAAAATTATGGTTAAATATGAGGAAACAAGAGATCGAACTTGATAAACAAATAAGTGAAAAAATATTTCACGATATTCAAGATTGGGTGAATGAAAGTGACGACGGTGATATGAATTGGGAATTATTACGTAGGTGAATGTATCAAGGATACAAATTAGTCTCTGTGATGTATCAAATATGTCTTTTGATGTTTTCGATGTCTCTGATCTGTCTCTAAATTCTTGATCTATAATTAGAATCGATAGTTTTCTTTGGTTTTCTTTCATAATTGATAGTTTGCCCTCCATAATTATAAGTTCTAGAACTTTGTATAAGATCAACCCTTTACTACCCGCATACCAATCCACACCCTGTCGTCATCTCAATCTTCCCTCGTCTACCAGATCGTGCATGTTATCTGCGAAATAAACAAACTCGAATTTCGTCAAAAATGAAAGATAAATTAAGATTGACAAAACTGTCACTAGATCTACTAGATAATTCCAAGTTGACGTCCTTACCATTTCCTCCACCTTTAAAGAAATCTAAATCTAGATTTAGAAAGTTTCATCCTCATTCACTGCATTCAAATCATCCTCATCACACACATCGAAATCAATATCATTCACCTTCACGTAATTTTGGATCATTCAGTAGTTCCAGTAGTAAATTTTCAACATCTTCACCGATTCAAAGTCCCACTAAAGACTCAAGATTTGGGATTCCAACGTCAGAATTTACTCCAAATTTACCCAAATTAAATGATTTATCAAAATTTAATGATACTCCAATGGAAGATGTTAGTTTTACTTCAATTGATACTTTAACATCCAATGCTAACATGACAACAGAGATTGATGAAAGTTTTGATGAACCGATCATTCTAGTTGAAGATTACTTGAAACCTCCGGTTTCTAATAGTACTTTGAATCGTCAACAATCCCTTGCAAATTTTAAGCAACGATTAAATCATGATCAATTAATAAATAATAACAAACGAAAGATATCGGGAGATACCTTAACAGAAGAAGAGAATCTAGAAGAAATCTTTGGTGATATTCCAGGTAAACAATCTTTGAAATATTGTGATATTTGTGATAAGCCTTTATATGAGATATCATCATTAATAAGTAACAAAAGATTTAAAACTTCATTCACATCATTTGATAATAAGAAAATTGATACCAATCTTTTCAATGAATTCATTTGTTTTGAATGTATTGATTTATACGAAGAATTCTTACAGGAGATCTATCAAGATTCCCAACAAACTAATGAATCCAAGAACCTAAAATTACTTTTAATGTTTAAAGACATACAAAACAGATCAAATAGTAATAATAAACTCATTGAAAAATTGAAATTCTTGAATTCAAATAACATTTTTAATGAAGAATTGAATTGGTTGAATAATTTACAGAATAAGCTAAGATGGAGATGGAGATTGAACGGGTTATTACCCAGTTTTAAAAGGAATAAAAGTACATAGTTTAATGATATAATGACAATTTCGCATTTCTCATCTCATTCACCTATGATTCCTAGTAGAATACTATTCTCAAAGCTTGGGAAGACTTTACCCCTTGAGGAATTCTTATTCCAGAAACAACTTAAGTCAATTTATAAAGTGGTTTGTCGAGAAATTTATAAGAGTCATGAAAAGAATGATTTAATGGAATTTATGAGATCAGAGTTCAAGTTAACTGGTAATCATGATTTGACCTATAGGAAGTATTTATTGAATCAAGGTATGGGGAGAATCAACGATATGGCCAATGTTATGGGAATGAACATTAGATTGTAGAGCATAGGGTTAATAGAAGGTAAATTTAGCATAATGTATATAAGATTTGATGCTTTACTTCTTATTCATATAGGAAGCTTTATTTAAAGAATCACTCAAAATGTCCAAAGTGTCTTTGACAAAGTCAGTATCCATGACTTGTTTGATTTCTTTCTTCAACTCATTGAACAGTATTTTCTGTTGGTCTTTCCATTCAGATGAGTATAATTCCGTCTTTAATCTCTTCGAAATTTTTGAGATTTCTTCATCAAATGATTCTGCTGTTTTACAGAAATAAATCATAGATGTCCATTGATACATGAAATCTTTGGTTAAAGGATCTGACCATTGAATCTTGGCTATTTTCAAATTTTTAATCAAATAATTCTTTGATGAAGTATCTTGAGGTTTGGTTTTCATTCTAAATAAGTTCAAATATAATTTGAATAACCAAGTATCGAAAGTAGATAACTTGGACCCTTCTAATAATTTGTTGAACTTCTTGAAGTTGTGTTCATTAGGTTGCAATAAGAAATGTTCTTTTGCATATTCAATTTTCAACTTTTCAATGGTTTGTGAAGGTTTGATTTCACTCATGGAACTATCTCTATTATCGATGATTTCATCAATTTTAATAGATTTGATCGTCGATTGGAAGTATCCTATGAAAGATTTGTCATTACAGAATCTAATGATTTGCCATATTTGTATCACAGTATTGTAATATTCAAAAGATTTGATCACTCTATTATTAAATTTGATGAAATTTGGAATCTTATTATAAATTCCCTTTTCGAAAGCTTTAACCAAATTGTCCAGAATATCTTGTTCACATGTTAAGTAGAAACGGAAATTGGCCACTAAATGGTTCAATGAAGCTTTTGATGGGTTCAAGTAACTTAAATTATCACTGTAGAAATGACCAAGGGAATCAATTTGTAACATTCTAACTTTAATTGTTTCATAACTTGAATACATCAAATCCTGCATGTTGAAATAAGAATACAATTTAATAAGATTGAGCTGTACTCTGAAATCCAAAGGATCATGAATAGTAATTCGACGAAGTTTGATGATTCCTTCAAGAATTTCCTTGGGTGTTTCAATATGTGACATGATATCAGCAATAACCAACTCATTTGCAGGGTAGAAATCGGTTTTAACCTTGTCCTTTGTTAATGACAAATATTTTTCATAAATCATCCAAGCATCACCTTCACCGAATTTATAATTATTGATCGAATGATTAAGATTTTCCACTGATATTTCATCCCCCACAGAAGAAAGGGTTAATTTGACATTGTAAGGTTTCAAATCATCATAGCAACATAATTTCTTATTGAATTTTTCATAATAAATCCGACAGTATTTGGTGAAATCACCTTCATCACCAGATGAATATAATTCAACTAATGCCAAAGAGGTATTTCTCTTAGCATTTTTTCTGGTACTTTGATAATCAAGAATTTTTTCCTCTATTTCAGTTCTCTTTTTACCTATTTCCAAACTTGATGAAATATACTTTTTCCAGGTATTGAAATCATTGAAATTTTCATCGAATAATAACTTTTCAGTATAAGAAAATAATTTTTCTCCAGATATAAGATCAAGGTAAACCAATTTGATATCTAAATCCAAAGGTTTTGTGGTCATAAACTCTTCAATCAACTCAATGGTGGTATCATTGTCATTCAAAAGTGATGATACATATAGTTCATGAGTAGTTTCAGGTTTAGGTAAGATCTTTGAACCTAAAGTTGTGAATAATTTGATTTGCTTTTCGTCTTCGATGGTTTGACAAAGTAAATGATAACCTAAACCAGCCCAGAATTTGTATTTGTTATCACCATTTTTTGATAAATGGAATGTAGATTTCTGTAATGATCTTATATTGTTAATTTGCAAACTGTTTTCAAACCACTGCAATAAGTTAGGTTGACAATTATTGGGAAACTTCTTCACTAAATTTTCATAAACTGCATCAGCTTCTTTATTCAAGCCTCTTTCAAGGAAAATCTTCGAAAGTAAGCTGGTTGTTCTTAAATCTGTAGGGTATTGATTTAACAATTTTATGGCTTTGTCATTAGTTGTAGGATTATGTTGATGATGATATAAATAGACTTGTAAGGCTTGATAGTATGATGACTGGGGGTATTTGGAGGTTTTCAAAGATATCAAGGATTGGGCAAATTGATAATTCCTTGAATCAATTGCTTCAACTATCTGAGTATCTTCCATTGGTAAAATTCTCACGTTCTGACAGCGAGATGTATAAGATGGTTCTTAGATGTCAGTGACAAATCAAACAAATAAATTCCATAAGAGACTAGAATGGAGGTAATGTGACAAAGAAATTGAATCGAAGATCAAGAAGAAGGAGCCATACTCAACTTCTTGGTAACTTGAATATGAGAGATAAATCATTGAGTTTGGTACTCAATGAAAATGTTATCCTTTGATGCGTTTACTTATCATACTTTGACAAATTACTATAGGCAATTTGATTTTAAAGGATTATTTATTTATGCAAGTTTTTTGAATTTTGATTATCACAGAAAGATAATAAAACCTTCGAAATGCAAAAGTCCTTGTTTATCCATATTCATGGAGATATATCCATAAATCTACATCCATATAAATAAACAGGGATAACCATATTTCAGTATCGACAGCTCAAACGGTGACGTTGTTGCAATACAACAGTTAATTCACTCCAGTTGAGTATGTTTGAAAATTTATGTGAGAAGATGAAAAATTTTAAGGTAACAGTTACCCGCACATATTTTGTGCATCCAATAGGCAGTCCATAATAAAATGTATAATCAAGAATGAGACAGAAATTTCTTAGGAGGATCTAAGATTGGAACACTGATAAGAAAGGGGGTAATGATAAACGAAGAATAGTCGAAAAGTTGGAATTTTCTTGTGCAAACTTTAAACATTAAACCATTGACCTCATCTCGTGACCCGTAATTGATGATGGATCTGAATCCATGATAGACAATTGATCTTCCGGCTTAATAATTCAAATAGGAGGTCGTATAACATCGGCTATAACAACGAATTTGACAATTAGCCAAGGTCTTGGCTTTATTTCTTGTACCTCTACCATTTTACGTCTTGACTAAAATAGGACATGTCGCTCTTATATATGTCGGATGTCGTATAGAACCAACTATTTGACCTTAACAGATTCTCCGAAGTTTGTAGCTATTAATAGATTATATATCGGATATATCCTCCCCAATGGATCCTTAAAATATCCCGGTACGTCAATTCTAGCCACGGCCTTCAGTCGTCCATTACATAGGTAAATCCCCGGACATCAACTGATCAATCATTCAATCTGTCATTAAAAAGAAATTTTGCGCATTTATCCCACGCATAGACCTTAATATATGAAATGATGCTTAGTTTGGGGAAAAGTCAATCTCAGATCTACTAAGATATCCCTTACTACAATCCCTCTGAAAAACTGATTAATCTTCATTTCAATACTCTTCCATTCAATGATTCAGTCCTCCGAATTTCTTTGCATTTCTCTCAAACTTGGCCCCCACCATTTTCTTATCCTATTTCCTTCCCTCATCTTTACCCTCAACCACATCCTGCACATAAAATACTTGCTGCCTATGCTAAGAAATTGATAAGAAAAATTATCATCATTAATTTCTGGACTTTTGCAATCCAATGGAAACGTTGATAAAGTATAAATAGTGGAAAATATCTCTTGAATAATCAACGAAAAATTTCAATTTAAGTAATGTCTAGTATTAAAGAAAGAATTAATACTGATACTTCCTCATTAGACATTGAGTTTGAACCTTATAGAGTTTCAATTGAAAAATGTGAAAAACAGTTTAATACTGATTTAAATAATGGTTTAAATAACGAACAAGTAAAAGAAAGTGAAAAAGTCCACGGAAAGAATAATTTAGGTGAAGATGAATCAATCAGTTACACAAAAATTTTGGCTCACCAAGTTTTCAATGCTATGATTTTAGTATTGATTATTTCAATGATTATTGCCTTTGCCATCAAAGATTGGATATCTGGTGGTGTTATTGCAGGTGTGGTTGGAATAAATATTGGAATTGGTTTTATCCAAGAAGTTAAAGCTGAAAAAACTATGGGTTCTTTGAAAAACTTATCATCCCCTACTGCTAGAGTCACTAGAAATGGTGATGACGATACTATTCCTGCTGAAGAAGTTGTTCCTGGTGACATTGTCCACATTAAAGTTGGTGATACTGTTCCTGCTGATTTAAGATTAATCGATACCATGAACTTGGAAACCGATGAAGCTTTATTAACTGGTGAATCTTTACCTGTTAATAAAAATCATGAAAAAGTCTATGATGACTTTGGTACTCCTGTCCCAGTTGGTGATCGTTTGAATTTAGCTTACTCTTCTTCTGTGGTCTCAAAAGGTAGAGGTACTGGTATTGTTGTTGGAACTGGTTTAAACACTGAAATCGGTAAAATTGCCTCCTCTTTAAGATCAACAAGTTCAATTATTGTTAAAGTTGATAAATCTGAAGATAGGGACGTCAAAAAGAGAGAATATCCAATTGCTGCTTCTAAAACTGTTTACAACATTATTGCCAATATTTTGGGTATTAATGTTGGTACTCCATTACAAAGAAAATTATCATGGTTAGCTATCTTTTTATTCTGGGTGGCTGTTATTTTTGCTATTGTTGTTATGGGATCCCAAAAATTCATTGTTAATAAAGAAGTAGCTATTTATGCTATTTGTGTGGCTTTATCAATGATTCCTTCAGCTTTGATTGTTGTTTTAACCATCACTATGGCTGTTGGTGCTCAAGTTATGGTTAACAAACATGTTATCGTTAGAAAATTAGATTCTTTAGAAGCCTTAGGAGGTATTAATGATATTTGTTCTGATAAAACCGGTACCTTAACTCAAGGTAAAATGATTGCTAAAAAAGTATGGATTCCAAATGTTGGTACTTATCAAGTTGATAATTCAAATGAACCTTTCAATCCAACTGTTGGTGATATTTCATTTACTAAATATTCACCTTTATTCATTAAAGAATCTGATGAAGAAATTGATTTCATTCCAAAACCACCTCAACCACATCCTATTAATTTCGAAAATTGGTTAAAAACTGCTACTTTGGCTAATATTGCTACTATAAATGAAGCCAAAAACGAAGAAGGTGAATTAGAATGGAAAGCTCATGGTGATGCTACTGAAATCGCTATTCAAGTATTCGTTACCAGATTAGGTTACGGTAGAGAAGAATATAGTAAAGGATTTGATCACTTGGCAGAATTTCCTTTCGATAGTTCTATTAAAAGAATGTCTGCTGTTTACAAAACTACTGATAATAAAACTGAAGTTTACACCAAAGGTGCAGTTGAAAGAGTCTTAGGCTGTTGTACTCATTGGTTAGGTCATAATGTTGATGAAATGAATAACAAAGAATTTGATGTTCAACAATTGGTTGAATTAACTGAACAAGATAAAAGATTAATTGAAGATCAAATGAATTCATTGTCTGCTCAAGGTTTAAGAGTTTTAGCTTTTGCTACCAATGATGTTACTGATGATTCAAGTTTTGATATCGAAAAGCGTGAAGTTGTTGAAACTAAATTGACTTTCCAAGGTTTAATCGGTATTTATGATCCTCCAAGAACTGAAACTGCTGGTTCAGTTAAAGCTTGTCATAGAGCTGGTATCAATGTTCATATGTTAACTGGTGATCATCCAGGTACTGCTAAAGCTATTGCTCAAGAAGTTGGTATTTTACCTTCTAATTTATACCATTATTCTGAAGATGTTGTTAAAGCTATGTGTATGACTGCCAATGAATTTGATTCCTTAACTGATGAAGAAATTGATAACTTACCTGTATTACCTTTAGTTATTGCTAGATGTGCTCCTCAAACTAAAGTTAGAATGATTGATGCTTTACATAGAAGAGGTAAATTCTGTGCTATGACTGGTGATGGTGTTAATGATTCACCATCTTTGAAAAAAGCCGATGTTGGTATTGCTATGGGTCTTAATGGTTCTGATGTTGCCAAAGATGCTTCTGATATTGTTTTGACTGATGATAACTTTGCTTCCATTTTAAATGCTATTGAAGAAGGTAGAAGAATGAGTGCAAACATCCAAAAATTTGTTTTACAATTATTAGCTGAAAATGTTGCTCAAGCCCTTTATTTAATGATCGGTTTAGCTTTTATTGATGATTCAGGATTCTCCGTTTTCCCATTATCTCCAGTTGAAGTTTTATGGATTTTAGTGGTTACTTCATGTTTCCCAGCTATGGGTTTAGGTCAAGAAAGAGCTAGTGAAGATATCTTAACTAAACCTCCAAATAATGTTATTTTCACTTGGGAAGTTATTATTGATATGTTAGCTTATGGATTCTGGATGGCTGTCAGTTGTCTTTTATGTTATGTGGTTATTGTTTTCGGTAAAGGTGATGGATACTTAGGTGTTGATTGTAATTCAACTTCAGCATCTGTTGAAAGTTGTAAATTAGTTTTCCAAGGTAGAGCTGCCTCATTTGCTAATATGACATGGTGTGCTTTAATTTTAGCTTGGGAATGTGTTCATCCAACCAATTCATTATTCTACATGAGACAAGACACCGATTTACCATGGTACAAACAAACCGCTAAAGACTTATGGGCCAATCAATTCTTATTCTGGTCAGTTATTGCCGGTATTGTAACTGTTTTCCCAGTTATCTATATTCCAGTTATCAACCACAAAGTCTTTTTACATACCACTATTGGTTATGAATGGGGTGTCGCTGTTGGATTTTCAATCTGTTTCCTTTTAGGAGCTGAATTCTGGAAATGGTGTAAAAGAATGTATTTAAGAGGAGGTAAAAAGGTTCAAAATCCAGAATATGATTTGGAAAGAAACGATCCTTTCCAAAGATATGCATCCTTCTCAAGACAAAACACTATGGACCCCCAAATGTTATCATAATTTAATTCTTTTCCGTTATTATTTTCCCATTAGTTTTAGTGCATTTGTACATTAACCATACTAATCAGTATGATCTCTGATTGGTATATCACAATTGCTGAACCTGCTTCAATCAAATGTTTGGACGATTCAAATATTTGATTAAAATAGATTGAACAATTGAATGTATACTTATAGATAGTTTATTAAGTTCCCCCCTCTCTCTTCCCTTTCGTGTGATTTTCTATATCTATATATTAAACTCTAACATTATCTTAATCTTTGATCTTGAACTCTATAATCGGCACCCAAATGACGGGTATTACCAAACATTTGTATGGTACCTAATTTAGTATATTTGGCAACATCTACCACGGATACTGAGGTATTAAAAGGAACTCTTAAATCACTCTTTGTTAATCCATTTAATTTGAACCCATGTGTATATAAATAATCAAAAAAAGCTGTGATACTACCTCCATGAGAACAAATAGCAACATTGGTATAACCCTTTTCTATACTTTCAGCCACTACAAGATCAAATGCTTCAACTAATCTACCAACTAATTCATGGTGTTTCTCTCCCAAATTACGGAAATCTTCTCCATATTTTGCAATAGCATCTTGAATATGTAAACCTTCAGATTTTCCCATACATCTTTCTCTCCAATTTTGACTGGTGACAAAATCACAATCCTGGAACTCTAAGATCTCTTTAGAAGTATTAACACATCTAACTAAATCAGATGAAAACATTTTATCAAATTTTACCTTCTCAATAAATTTACCTAAAGTTTTAGCTTGTTGGACCCCGTTATCATTGATATCGATGTCATGATGACCTTGGATGATTTTCTTCACATTGTGGTCGGTCTGGCCATGTCTTATGAAGAATATCCTGACAATATCAGCATTAGAATTATGTTCAAGGTCAATAGTCATTAAAGTCGGTCTCGCATTTTCCTAATGAGTCAAACACGCAGATAACACCGATAAGATTAATGATGATTTCCTTTCAGAGATATTTCAAAACGGTTTTATATTCATTGGAGATCATTCACTTCTATTCTTTTCTTCCAAGGATGACATCAAATATTATATAACCTAAAAACATTCCAAGATAATGGAATACAAACAGAACAATAACGGCCAATATAAGGAACAATATCCCTGTTATGATGAGTCTAGGATTTTCATATACTTTCATAAAATATTCTTTGAACAAGCCTAAGAATTCCACCAAAGATTCATACGAAGCTTGAATAAATCCTGGTCGCTCCTTAGATACTAAAGGTTTATCTGATTTGAAATCTTGTCTAAACTCTTGTTGTGGGGTATATTTGTATTGATCAAATTCGTGTTTAGCTGCCTTCCTGTTATATGCCATGATTTGAAATTATATTAATTGTTATGTTTCAGGTGATTAAATATAAAATCCTTATCAACGATATCTCAAAAATATGCCATCGATTTACGAGATTCATGTTGCGAGCATTGTCAAAGCCTCCTAATGAGAGGCTTGGGTCACCAAATATAGATTTATATCAATGATAAATGATCAATGATAAAGAGAGGCAAAGGATGTAATGATCATATATGTACAATTACTCAATCATCTTCCTGAATTCTTGTAATACATCCTTTTTTATCTTATATCCATGGGCATCACTTTCAGGATATGATCTATTAGAAACTTCATGTTTATAAGATTCTAATCCTTTAACAGCCAATTCATAAAAATTAGAATATTGTTTGACAAATTTTGATTTCTTAGCATCAACAGGTCCATTCATACCCAATAAATCAGCCATGACTAAAACTTGTCCTGAACAATAAGGTCCTGCGCCAATACCTATAGTTGGAACACTTAATTTGGAAGTGATGATTTCTGCTAATTTATTAGGTATGCATTCAAGAACAATTGAAAATACTCCTGCCTTTTGTAATGCCATACAATCATTATAAATCCTCAAAGCACTTTCAACAGTATTTCCTTGTAATTTGAATCCACTTAAACTATTATGACGTTGAGGTGTTAACCCCACATGTCCCATAACAGGTATTCCTGCTTTGACGATCAGTTTAATAGTTGGTACGATTTCTTCACCTCCTTCCAATTTGATTCCTTGAGCCCTACCTTCTTTGATCAATCTTATGGAAGATGTTAATGCTTGTTGAGGAGAAATCTCATACGAGCCGAAGGGTAAATCAGCTATCAATAATGATTTCAGGTTTCCTCTACTGACTGATTTGACATGGAATAAGAATTCATCAAAAGTGATTTCGTTGGTATCTTCGTATCCTAAAGCTACCATAGCAAGAGAATCTCCCACCAAGTTTATATCAATATTTGCATCTTGACAAAATTTTCCTGTGATAAAGTCATGTGCCGTTACCATAGATATTGGTTGACTTTTCGAGAACTTTTCTCGTATATCATTGATGGTGAATCTTTGGATTTCATGAAATGACAGACAAATCCTAGTGGTACCACTGAAAAACCTTCGACCTCCCAATTTTATCATAACTTATAAATGTTGCAACAAAATCGCACTCTAACAGTCAAAATCGCACTCTACAAAATCTAATCGCATTTATATTGCCGCTACGCCCGTAAGTATTCCCTTGATATCTCCAAAGTGTTCAAGTTTATAAGACAATTTACAACGAAAATGGTTACAATTGATAAAAGTTTCATTATGAATCATACGTGTTTGCGTATTAAAGATCCTAAAGTATCAGTTCCATTCTACGAAAAGAATTTCGGAATGCAATTAGTTAGAACTCTTGAATTTGATGGATTTTCTTTATATATGATGAGTTTTGAAACTCCTAAAAAGACCGGACTCAACTGGTCAGGTAGAGAAGGAATCTTAGAGTTATGCCATAATCATGGAGCAGAAAATGACGATAATTATAAGGTCAATAGTGGGAATGGGGAAACTTTCAGAGGATTTGGTCATATTTGTTTCTCCGTTGATAACATCGAATATGTAGAAAGCAAATTGCTTGATAATGGAGCTAAGTTCCAAAAGAAGTTATCTGATGGAAGACAAAAAAACATTGCTTTCGTTTTAGATCCTGATGGATACTGGATCGAATTGATTGAACATGGAAGAAGCAAAGTTGAAAATCAAACCAACCAATCTGACTATAAGTTCAATCATTCAATGATAAGAGTTAAAGATCCTAAGAAATCATTGGATTTCTACTGTAACAAATTAGGGTTCAAATTATTAAAAACTAAACCTTTCGAGGGAGCTAAATTCACATTATATTTCCTTGGTTACGATCATGAGAATAAATTAGTTGAAAATGATGCTGATCCTAAAGAACAATCATACTTAGAATCATTGATTGAATTGACTCATAATTGGGGTACTGAAGATGATGAATCTTTCAGTTATCATAATGGAAATTCTACTGAGAACGGAGCAATCCAAGGTTTTGGTCACACTTGTATCTCATGTGATGACCCAGTTAAATTCTGTAACGAATTGACCGAAGCCTATGGTGATGAATTAGATTGGTCAGTCGAAATTGGTAAGGCTAATATCTCTCCCGATTTAGCCTTCATCAGAGATCCTGATGGATACTCAGTAGAAATTATTTCCACCAAGATTTTCCAATAACTATCCAGGCTCTAGAGGAATTGATTGAAAACACTATTACACCCATTAACAACAGGGTCTAAAGCAATCGATAACTCTCATCGTCTTTAATCGAGTTCGGAATAAACTGTGAATATATATCTATTACTAACCATATCTCATCTTGTCACGTGCCAGTCCAGACATTTTCTCTGTTAGTAATCTCGCACTATAAATATGGATTATATTCAATTAATCTTTATTGTGGTTATATTAATAGTATCATTTATAAATTTAAAACCTAAGAAAAGAATGCCAGCTTCAGCCAAAGTTATCAACAACGTTAAAAGTTTAATCTCAAGTAATAAAATCTTCATTGCTTCAAAATCATACTGTCCTTACTGTTCAGCAACCAAAAGAACCTTCTCCTCAGCTGTTAAAGATTCTAAAAACGTTACCATTTATGAATTAGATGAAATTGAAGGTGGTAGTGAAATTCAACAAGCCTTATTAGAAATCACTGGTCAATCCACTGTTCCAAATGTTTTCATTAATGGTGAACACATTGGTGGTAATGATGCTGTTCAAAGATTAGCTAGTACTGGTGAATTAGAATCTAAATTAAAAGCTGCTTTATAGATTTTAGAGTATTATGTAGTTTATCAAATCTGTCTTACGAGAATTGTCTTGTTTCATCTTTTCCTTTCACTTCTTTTATCTGCTTCTCTAATCTCTTTTTATCAATATCTTTGAGATCTGGAAAACTGAGAAAGGTGAAAATTTTTAGATGTCAAACGTTGGTTTACAAGTACGTCAAGCAGTACCAAATATTGATCCTGTAGTGGCAGATTATGCTGTTGGGTATATCCAACATGTTTCTCAGTCAACAGAGGACATTGTCTTGAGTCAACAATTAGATATCAAATCAGAATTACATTATATTGAACAATTGTTAGTAGATGCGGGTGGTTCTAATGATAAAGTTGATGTCTTAGTCAATAAAATCATTGAAGAATTAACTGATAAATTGAATAAGAATTTAGCCAAATTAGAAATTACTGGTGATACTTCTAAAAGATTGTTGGATATTAACTTATTAAATCAAAATAATAATAAGAGAGATATAAATTCATCATTAGCACTCTTAAATGCTAGTACCAATATCGAACATGCTGGTAGATCTATGGAAAGTCGTGTTGATAAGAAGAAATTGGAAAAACAAGAAAGGAAGATTGCTAAGAAAGTTGCAAAGAGAAATAATCAATTCGTTAAATATGAGAGATCTAAATTATTAAATGATCAAAAAGAAGAAGATTATGATTCATTCTTCTTAGAAATCAACCCTTTAGATTTTGGTTCAAGTGCTGGTAAATCTAAGGATATTAAGATTGAAAACTTCGATTTATATGTTGGTGAAGGTCAAAGAATTTTAAGTGAAGCTACCTTAACATTATCTTATGGTAGAAGATATGGTTTAGTTGGTCAGAATGGTATTGGTAAATCTACATTATTAAGAGCTTTATCAAGAAGAGAATTAGATATTCCTAAACATATAACCATTTTACATGTTGAACAAGAAATTAGAGGTGATGATACCCCAGCCATTCAAAGTGTTTTAGATGCTGATGTTTGGAGAAAAAGTTTGATTCAAGAAGAAGCAAAAATTAACGAAAGAATCAAGGAAATTGAAAATTTGAGAAAAGAATTCGAGGAAGAAAGTCAGGAAGTTAAAAAATTAGATAATGAAAGAGATGATTTAGAAAATCATTTATTATCAATTTCTGAAAAATTGTTCGATATGGAAAGTGATAAAGCTGAAAGTAAAGCAGCAGCCATTTTATATGGTTTAGGTTTTACTAAGAAATCCCAAACATTACCAACCAAATCATTCTCTGGGGGTTGGAGAATGAGATTATCTTTAGCAAGAGCATTATTTTGTCAACCAGATTTGTTGTTATTGGATGAACCTTCTAATATGTTGGATGTTCCATCTATTACATATTTAGCTAACTATTTACAAACTTATGAATCAACAGTTTTGGTAGTTTCCCATGATAGAGCATTCTTGAATGAAGTTGCAACTGATATAATTCATCAACATTCTGAAAGATTAGATTATTATAGAGGTGCTAATTTTGATTCTTTCTATAATACCAGAGAAGAAAGAATCAAAAATCAAAGAAGAGAATATGAAAATCAAATGGCTGTACGTCAACATTTACAAGCATTTATTGATAAGTTTAGATATAATGCAGGTAAAGCAGCTGAAGCTCAATCAAGAATCAAGAAATTGGAAAAATTACCAGTTTTAGAGCCTCCTGAAGATGATAAAATCATAAAATTCAAATTCCCTGATCCTGATATGATATCTCCACCAATTTTACAATTATCTAGTATTGAATTTGGTTATAATACTGATGATATTTTATTGAAAGATGTTGATTTCGACGTTCAAATGGATTCCAGAATCGCCATTGTTGGGGGTAATGGTACAGGTAAAACCACATTATTAAAACTTATTTTAAATCAATTAGAACCTTTGAAAGGTCAAGTTAATAGAAATGGTAGATTGAGAGTTGGTTATTTTGCTCAACATCATGTTGATTCTATGGATTTGACATTATCTGCAGTTTCTTGGATGTCTAACACCTTCCCAGGTAAATCAGATGAAGAATATAGAAGACATTTAGGTTCTTTTGGTATTACTGGTCCTTTAGGGTTACAAAAAATGGAATTATTATCAGGGGGTCAAAAATCCAGAGTTGCCTTTGCTGCTTTAAGTTTATCTCAACCACATATTCTTATTTTGGATGAACCTTCTAATCATTTGGATACTCAAGGTTTAGATGCTTTAGCTGATGCTTTAATCAATTTCAAAGGTGGTGTTCTTATGGTTTCCCATGATGTTTCAATTATTGATAAAGTTTGTAATGAAATTTGGGTCACTGAAAACCAATCAGTAACCAAATTTTCTGGTGATATTAATGCCTATAAGAAACACATCTTAGCTGAAGCTGATGATAAGGGTGTGGTTAGAAAACATTAGTTTGTAAATATGTATATATACACTTCTCATCTCATTTTTGCAATCGCGCATGTTTAGGATAGGTACTAAAACCAAATTGGTTTTGGGAGCTGTGGGATTTTATGCTTCAGCTGAAGCATACCTTCATTGGTCAACCCAACAGATCATAAATAGTCGTAAATTATCGATATCTTCACAAGAGAAGTTCAAAAGTGAAACTGTAGCAGGAATGTTCATTAATCCTTTTCCGGAGTATAGGCCCCAAACAGGTTTTGAATTCATGTTAGTAAGGTTTATAGAGCTTTTCGAGAGTTTTTATGGGAACAAGATTGAGTTACATGAACATCCAGATAAAGATCATACGGTAGAAGACTACTTACAAATCCATAAACCCAATATTGATATATTTACCCAGAATTCTAAAATCTTACAAGAATGTATCAAAAATGATAATTTTAAGGCTATCAAAAGTAGTTGGTGGAGTACTCCCATCAATAAACAATTGTTATGTATATGGTTGGGTCAGTCATGTTCTTTGATTCAGATTTCAGGGATAAATTTCTTAACTGATCCTATTTTAAGTGATCATTTATTCTCACCACATATTGGACCTAGGAGATTAAATAGCAGTCCTATGGATTTGAAGGATTTACAAAATGCTACCAATAATCAACTTAATTTCATATTAGTTAGTCATGATCATCCTGATCATTTAGAAATGGATTTAGTTAAACAAATAGGAAATAAATCAACTTGGATTGTACCTTTAGGATTGAAAAAGACCTTGGCTAGGAAAGGAATTTATAATATCATAGAGATGGATTGGTGGGAAAGTATAAAATTGAATCCTTATATCAAAGGGGGTGATAAATTAGATGATTATGAGATTGTTTGTTTACCATCAATGCATTGGAGTGGTAGATGGATAGTAGATGCTAATTTCTCTTTATGGTGTTCATTCATAATCAAACAAAATGGCAAATCGATTGTTTATCATGCTGGTGATACTGGATATCTGAAGGAATTATTTGAAGAGATTGGTAGAGTTCATGCACCTGTTCACTTATCATTATTACCCATAGGACAATATTGTCCTTCATGGCATCAAAAACCTCGTCACATTTCACCTGAAGAATCATTAAAAATCGTTGATCATCTTAAATCATCATTCATGTTTGGAGTTCATTGGGGGACTTATAAATTAAGTAGTGAACCAATTCTTGAACCCAAGAAATTACTCACAAAATTATCTAAAGACAGAGAAAAAACCGAATATTTCAAAACTCCAGAATTTGGATTAACATACTTATTCGATATTGATAAGAATATTCAATATCCAATATATTAAAATACATATTTACATCTTTTTACACTAATTGTCCAAACCATAAGCAGATCTAAAGGTTCTTCTTTGAGAAGCCATTAAAGCTTGTTGATAAGCTTGGTAACCAGGATCAGATCTAATAACTGAACCTATACTCATAAATAACCCAAAAGTACCAACAGATCCCATAATATATTGGCCTAAAGTTCTCATCACACCATTTGGTCCAGCACCATTTTGTAAAATTGAAAACCCTCCAAATAACACACCAACACATACACCAACAGTGGATCCCATTATAGCACCCATTTTGAATTTATCAAAATTTGATGGTTGATGTTGAACGTATCTTTGTTGTTGAACTGGTGGCATTCTTTACTCTTAACTATGTACAATAAAATTTTTATCCCAGTGCGCGCTAGGAATTTTATCATTGGTTCGTTGATATTTGAACGATTGATTTTAGTAGAATTTTAATTATGGGATCAACTACTTCAAAACCTGAACAAAAGGTGTTTACACCATCAGCTCCAATTGATTTCAGTGCATCATTTTTATCACAATTAGAGAATAGTAAAGAATCTGATTATTCAAGATCTCAATATACTGAAAAATATATACAAGATAGAGTACAACAAGAATTAACCAAATTAGAAAGAGAAACTATTTTAAAATTCCAAGATACTGTTAATGATAGCATATTACCAGAAGATTCAAAAGATTTAATTTCTGTTGAAAAATCTAATGACAAAATCACATCATTAAAAAAATTAATGCAAGAGAATATAGAGTTAACTAAAGTTGAAGTTAGTAAAGAAATCACTAGTTCAAGAGATTTAGTATTGAAATGTTTAAAAGATAATGAAGGTAGAAGTTTAAATTGTTGGGAAGAAGTTCAAAAATTCAAACAATTGGTTAAAGATTTATAGGGTCTTTTAAATAGTAGAAATTTCGTAAATATAAGAAACCTATAAACCGGTAGCTTTATAAACTAATAATAAAGCGCTATCACTTTCTCCACCTCCTGATAATTGTTCGACTCTTTCTCTATCTATTTTAGAAATTTTATCATCATTAAATTTCCACCAAGTATTATCATCTTCTTCATCTTTGGAGAAACATTGATAATGACCACTATCAGCAGATGAACCTTGATGGGTGATTACGGAATTTAATGAATAGATGGATGAAGGATTTTCCGTTAATTCTTCGATTTTCTTATCGATATTATGACTAGCCAATAAATCGTTATAATCATCTTCAAATTTTGATTTTATAGATAAATATTTCAATTTATCTTCTTCTTGTTGTTGTAAAGGAGTTAAAGCAGTATCTTTTTTGGCTTTTTTGAAATCTCTCATCAAATCATCGTTAGATTTTTCAATTTTTCTGAAATCATCTCTGAATTTAGTTTTAGTGGATTTGATTGAATCATCTAACATTTCACTGATATCCAATTCGAATGGGAATTGAACTTTTCTTAAAATTTTAGATTTCTTTTGAACATCAGTTTTCCAAAAAAATCTAACAAAATGAATAATTAAATATTTTGGAGTTCTAATGATTTTTTTAGTAACTTGATAATCAGTATTTGATTGTAAAGTATCATTAAATTTTTCGATGGTTTCAGTTAAACCACCCAATAATCCATCTCTCAAGAAATTAGTCTTAATATCAATATGACACATTAATTTTAAAGCTTCTTCACTACTTACTGCTAAATCATCAGGTTGAGCTAAACATTTGGTTTCAACATTAAATTGTACTCTGAATAAATCTCTGATCTTCAAATCATCAATCAATAAACTCAATATTTGGGAGAAACTTTCTTCAGCATCTTGTTGCTTATAAAATCCATGATTATCTCTTTCACTGAATTGAGGGAAATTGTCTCTAAAATTCATTAAGAATAAATTTGGATTAATCTTTTCTTGTTTCTTTTGCATCAAAGCAAATAATCTTTTCAAAGCTCCAACAAATGAATTATTACTATTATTCTCTTCCAACCTGTTTTTGATATCAGGAATATGATAAATAGCTTGTAATGATGAATTGAAATAACATGTGTTACCCAAATTTAATAACCCTGAAGGTTCATCACTTACTTTGATTAATTCGTTTTGGTTCAAATCTTCCAAAAATACAGTCTTAGGTAACTCAATAGAGTTAATGTTGTTATTGGCAGTACCTAAAACCATAATTGGTTGAGTGAACTTCAAATCTTTTAAAACTGAATCATCATTTAATTTTCCTCCTTTAATTAAGATTTTTTGTTTATCTACAGGGATATTAGTTTTAGCAGCAATAGCGTTTTTGAATTCCAACCCATTGGCGGAATCGTCTACTTCAATATCATAGACTTTACCTGCGTTTTTAATCTTGATAACAACCATTTTAGTGGCAATTTCGCGATCTACAGATTTATGCGATGAAGATAGACAAGAGGAAGTGCAACGAGATAGAGTCTTGAGGAAAATACGCAGAGGTAGCAGCCAAAAATATCTCTTACATTCATTAAATACGATTAACAACAGCAGTATATCCAATACTAGTTAAAGTGGCAACACTATTCCAAATATTGAAGAAGATTGATGGTTGTTGAACATCACCGGATCTTCCAAACCATTCACGATGTGGAACCATGGCTGAGGCGATAACAGTGTTTTTGGTTTCATTATATGGAGGATATCTTGATTTCAAGATAGCATCATTCCAGAAAGCTTGCTCAACAAAAGTTCTTTCATGAGTAAAAGATCTGTAGGAGAAATATCCATGGTATGATCCATAACCTGACATACCAACACCTCCAAAAGGTGCATTAGGTAAGGCAACATGAATCAAAGTATCATTGATTACCACACCTCCAGATCTGATATGTTTAGTAATATACTCGATCTTTGGATTGGTTGATCTACTGGCTTTTCCACTAGTGAAACAGTATAAAGCTAATGGAGTATCATGTTGTTTAACTACAGATTTAACTGTAGATTCTAAATCAGAATATGTAAGGATTGGTAAAACAGGACCGAATAACTCTTGTCTCATAGTTGAATCACCAAACTTAACATTATCAATGATAGTTGGTTCAATGAATCTAGTAGCATCATCAGTTTTACCTCCAGAAACAATCTTACCCTTGGTAGATTTGATTGTTTTCACCAAATTAGTATAAGCTCTGTCATGGATGATATGAGTTATATCTGAAGAATGATCAGGGCTTTCGAAGAACACTTCAGCTTGTTTGATTAATTCATCTACTAAAGGACCTTTAATAGATTCTTCAACTAACAAATAATCAATAGCAACACAAGTTTGACCAGCATTAGTAAATTTCCCCCATAAAATTCTCTTAGCTAAAGTAGGAAGATCTTTCTTATTAATGTCAAACACAAATCCTGGAGATTTTCCTCCTAATTCTAAAATAACTGGGGTTAAAGTTTCGGCAGCTTTCTTAGCAATAATAGTTCCTACCATACCATTACCAGTATACATGATTTTATCAAATTTTTGATTTAATAATTCAGTGGTTTCAGGAATAGCACCATTAACAGCAAAGAAAACATCGTTATCTAAAGCATCAGTTAATAAATCACTCAATAATTGAGTGAAATGAGGAGTTGATTCGGATTGTTTTAAAACAACATGATTACCTCCTGATAATGCACCAACAACAGCTGAAACTGATAATAATAATGGATAATTGAATGGTGAAATTACCAAAACTACACCCAATGGAATTCTTTCAATATAAACTGGTTGAGTTGCTACATTAATTGTTTTATCACTAACAGGTTCAGGTTTTGACCATTTATAGATTGATCCCATAGTATGAATAATTTCATTCAATAAAGGACCCAATTCCAAACTTTTAGTTTCAGAAGGTGATCTATAGAAATCTTTCTCTAAAGCTTCACAAATCAAATCAGCATTATCTTTAATAGCAAAATAAACATTACGAATTTGATTCAATCTATATTGAATAGAATCCATTTTATGGGTTTCATGATATGATGCTACTAATTTATCAACACCTTTAGGGATATCTTGAATTGATGTATATCTCAAAGGACTAGTAATACTACCTTCCTTTGAAGAGATTGATTCTACTTTAGTTGGTTTTGACATTATTAATTATAAAGTTATGTCAATGGCGAGTTTATTTCAATCAAATTTTCTCTTTCTTGTGATTTTTAACTGTTTTGCAACCACTGCGAATTTTTTACCTTCTACCGCGAACAACGGACTGACAATAACGGACTTAATGTTGGGGTATTTTAAATATCCGCTATTGCGATTACGTAAGAGAGATCTTATGAAAGTATTTTTATATTCATGCTAATCATCAATCATTAAATAATCTTTAATAAGATTAATATCCAATCTTTTAGTAATATCTTTTTCTAAACATCCGTTGATTAAATCACTTAACCAGGAAAATTTTTCCAAGACGACTTTTAATTCATCTTGAGGAAACTTCCCTTTAATAATCATGGCTCTTAATCTTGGTTCATAAAAATGTTGGAAAGGCAATTTTCCTATGATCATAGTAAATATCAAAACTCCGAAAGCCCAGATATCTGCCGAAGGTCCTAAAGGTGGGGGATTCGGTGATAATAATTCGGGTGAAGCATAAGGTAATGAACCAATATGACTATCAGGTAAATTTAAATCCACTTGGCTTTGACGTTTTAATTCTTTATCTTTAAGATCTACGAGATATTGTTTGATACTTTCAATTGAAGAAACACTTTGTGAAGTTCTTAAATAATCTCTTGAAGGAGAACTGGATCGAGAATATTTCCTTACAGGGGAATTAGATCTAGATTTGGATTTAATTAATGTTCGTTCTGATCTATTCTCCAATGATGCTCCCAATTCACTGATTAACAATGCACTATGTAAACTTTCTCCTTTGAAAGGTTTTCTGATTTCCGTCATTGAACTTTTGGATCTTATTTCACTTCGTGTCTTATAAAATCTTGACATACCGAAATCGCATAAAACCATCTTCCAATTACTTTCTTCTCCTTCTTTCTCGACCAAAACGTTCTCCAATTTAATATCTCCATGGACAATCCCCAACTTGTGTAAATAATTTATACCTTTAGTAATTTGTTTGATATAATTGATAGTCAAATCGATTCTTTTAAAGTCTTCACCTTCATAAATACCCCATTTCAGTACTAGATCAAACAACGTTCCTCCATTAGCTCGTAACATGAGACAAAATATCGAACTCTCTGTCTCAAGATAGTCAATTAATTTCAATACATTGGGATGATTCAATATCTTCCAAATTTCAATCTCTTTCTTAAATATCTTCTTATTACTATTCACTATCTTCATGGCAAAAATTTGTTTCTTATCATCGAAACATTCTCTAATAGTCCCCCATGCCCCAAATCCTATAACTTTACCTAATTCATAATCCATTACTTTTGCACCTTTCTCATCAACATTCACAGGAATCATTTTTTTCAAATCAGTGGTCGATGATAATAATCGATTGGCTAATGTCTTTTTGCCAGAATAGTTCTTCATATAACTGGAGAATTGAGAATAATCAATCAGTTCATTGATTGATTTAACTAGTTTCTTTCTTTGAGAATAAGGTAAGTCATTAAAATTTGATGGTAAACTATCAAGAACCAAATCAAAATCACTATTCCCCGAGTTAACTCTTCTAGGAACAAACCCAATTCGTTTAGGTGAAACTTTAGCATGAAGATCATCGAGATTTAAAAACGATGTTGTACTATTGGTCCTGGATAAATCTGGAGTATCAGCCCATTGATAGACCATATCACTAAAATTCAACCCAGGAATATATTCATCTTCAATTCCATAGCCTAATCCATGTGACCTACTATAAATCTTCGTTACTCCAGATTTCATCTTTTTAGGACGAAATAATTCATCATCATATAAACGATGACCAGTATCCTCATCGAAATTATTCACTTCAGTTTCGGAATAAGTTCTGGTCAATTTGTATTCTCCTTCACTCTCCTCCTCTATAGGTAAGAAATATTTGTCATTCAGAATATTGACCATTGAAACTTTGGCCTTAGATTTTAATGGAATCTCCATATCATCTGTGTTAAATCCTTTTACTGTATTGCACAAGAGCGCGAAATTCTAATAGAATGTTTTCGGTCCCCCCACCTGCAACTCTTGTGCGGGTGGGTGGGGGAAGTTAGAGAGATTTGGGTGCAAATTCTATAATACATTTTATTTATACAAATCATTGCTTTGACATGATTAATGGATTAAGGAAAGTATCAGCTAATAATTCCACTGCATCTGGACGATTTTCATATTCCAATTCGAAAGTTTTCTCCAAGAATTCTTTAGCTTCTGCGGTACACCATTCAGGTATTGATGGTGATACATGAGTACCTATTTTGAAGATAGCTTGCATTTGACTAAAATTAGGGAATGGATGTTTACCGGTGAACATTTCCACAATCAAACATCCCACCGACCAAATATCGGCTTTCTTGGTATAAGCTGTTTGTTTGACGACTTCAGGTGCCATCCAGTAAACTGATCCTTGTAATGAAGCTCTTCTGCTTGGTTTTTCCTTGTCAGCTTCGTTATCATCTTTCTTACTATTTAATTTTTTACTGATTCCGAAGTCACTAATCTTGACCGTACCTTTAATATCGATCAAAATATTGGCTCCTTTAATATCTCTATGAATAATATCTTCACCATGTAAGTAACTCAAACCGATTAATACTTGACGAATGAAATTTCTAATCAAAGGTTCTTCAAAAGGCCCGTATGATAATAACATGGTTTGAACAGAACCTCCAGGAACATATTCTAAGAAGATATTCAAATTATCATCAGAGATTGAGGATCCAAGGTATCTAACAATATTCTCATGATCAAGATTTTTCAATAAAGACATTTCATGTTGTAAAGCTGAAATCATTGATTGTTGCAGTTCACTATTATTTTCGGATATTGAAACTTGTTTTACAGCCATTAACTCCCCAGTGAAGGGAGACATTCCTAAATAAACAGTACCGAAACTACCAGCCCCAATTCTTGCACCTTTCAACCAATTTTTGGGACCATCTTCAGATAACTCAAACAATGGATTATCATTATCGCCATATTGACTGATCAAATCATCTCCATAATCATCATAATCCTCTTCATCAGATTCAACGTTTAATAATTCTATCCTAGAAAGTCTATTGTTGTCATTATTCTGATCTAAGAAACTGGCTGCAATTGAAACTCTTGGATTGTGAAGATTTTTAGAATTATTGGAATTTATTGGTCGTAAATCTTGGAATGGACTATTGACACTGGCACCGTCCGATGAATGAATGGATGGTTTACTGAAAATCGATTGATTGTCAGGATACATTGGATAATTAACCACTTCTTCAATAGCATTGACATTATTGACCATCATATCTCCTATAGTCCTTGCGGGAACTCTTCTTTGGGCAAGTATATTGTGTTCACCTGATGATATGGATGGACTATGATATTTCATTGTAGCATTGGAAAGTCTTTTATTTACAGATAAGTTACTTCCAGTTATCATTCCAAGACCTTGAAATCTTTTTGACAATCTTACACTATATCTTACTGAATTACGAACACTTTGTTCTAATTCCCTTTGATGAGCTTCAGGGAAATATTCAGCCAAATTTGAAGAGATCAATTCACTTGGAGGTCTTTGACCAAAAAATTGTCTCATAGTTGGTTGCTTCTCCGGTAAATGATACTGTTGTAATTTTTGTTTTTGCTTATTGAACTTTTCATATTTAGCCATAATCTTCTTACTGATTTCCAAAGCAGTCTCTGTAGGATAACGATCTTTCTCACATAAAATGATCCTATGTTTTTCTAACCTATCGGGAGAGTAACATATAGTTACTAATTCAACATCATATAGCAAGGTCACATTATTATCATTATTATGAATATATGTATCATATAGATTCTCTTGTTGTTTGATACCTAACTTTCTTAAGACTTTTCTCTTGATACTCTGAGCGTTGAAACATCCTGTAACATTAACTTTCTTCAATGACCCATCGGCAAGGATGAAGGTGATATTCTTATTTGATGATTTGCTCTCCATATTACCACCTAAATTCAAAGTACTAGAGCTCATATTAGGTATATCCTGTTGTTGAATCAAGGTATTTTCATTTTTTATAGCATAATCTGATATATTAACAGTATTTGGGGAAGTTAAATTCAAAAGATTCAAATTTGAATATAATTCATCTACATTGATGACCTTCTTCAAAGATTCCGCTTTCATGTTCCCAATAGCTATTTCAAGCTTTAATCTATCACCTACCTTAGTCACACCAATCTCTTTCAATGCTTCAGTATCTAATTCAGGTAATAAATCATAGGTTATACCATTATCAATAAATTTGGAATAATACTGTTGACAGTTAGATTTGGTCAACCATTGTTTCAATTCTTTCGTTTCATTGGTTGGCAGTTCCATACTGGGAGTTGTAGGACTCTTCTTACCCACTTCAGACATGTCGAAGGATTTCGTTTTAAGACTGAATCTAAAGAATTTTCTGCGAGATCTTGCTGCGAATCAGGAACCATTTTGAGATAAGAATGTTCGAAATATGGGGACGAACAGGTACAGAAATGGGGTTGGTAAAGTTCTTCTAGAATTAAGTATCTTCATTCATCTATTAACACTATATAACATTCTCTCGGTCCAAGGTAGCCATTGAATTCAAGGGCTAATCCAAAGTTGGATTTTGACATGAAACACTTTTAAAAGTTAACTACTTCACCACCAGTAACTAATATCTGTTCATCTATTTTATTATCTGGATCACTTTCAAGACGTTTCCAAGATTTTATTTCACCTTTGGAAGTATCCAAATCAAATACTCTTAGTCTTCTAACGTATCCCCCGTATCCACCATATCCACCTTCTCCTGATCCTCCTCCATAACATAACCACATTTTATTTTCATGATTAACATCATCTTTGTCTTTGATGTCCTCTAAACAGTAATCATTAGCGTGGTCATGACCTACACTGACGACTTTAACACCTAGTTGACCTAAAATATTCCTAGCACCGGTATTATATTTAGGTGCAGTGATACCTTCTCTATGTTCACCAATAAAAGGTTGATCCTTCAAATTCCTATATTCTGGAATAGGAATATGGAAAAACGCCATATCTAAATGTTTATCCTTATAAGCTTCAATGGAAGGTTTCATTGTGGCATATTCTCTTTCTAAAAATTTCAATTGAGATTCCTTGATCCAATCATATCCAGGATTAACCTTTGGGTTAGGTGAATATTTATGAGTATCAAGTAAATACAATAAGATGGCTGAATGTTTGGATTTATTTCCTTGAACATTAACAATGTAATTACCTACTCCTGCCACTTCATCAGGACCTAAAGCTGATAAACTGTAGGGTAAGTTTGCAGACAAACTCATGATTTCTGATCTTTTTAATGATCCTTCATCATCATGATTACCCATGGTAACAGCAAAAGGAATTTTTCTTTTGATGAAAGGATTTAAAGCCTTGAATAAAGCACTTTCAGAATCGGGAGCAGCATCTCCAAAAATTTGATCTCCTGTCAAAACTACTAAATCGGGCTTCTCGATAGATAAAACTTTTTCCAAGAATTTTAAAGTTCTGGAATCAGCTTTGCAACCTTTTGCTGATGATTCCGGAACTGGGTCTCTACATTTTCCAAAACCTGTTGAGAAATGTAAATCTGCAACTTGTAAAATTTTAAATTTGCCATCTTTATCGACTTTCAAAGTCTTTTGAAAATCTTTAGACTTATAGTCCAATTTAGGACCTCTTCTGAATGAAAAACGGGCAGGTAATTTACTTTTGATGTCTTTGACTTCACCTTTGACTAAATTCCAATTTGGTCTGGGATCTACTACCTCTTTGCCGAACAATACATCGATACCTGTTATGGCTCTTTTATTCTTATAAGACTCATACTTGACCCAAACTCCGTGACTTTTATATGTCCAACCTTTAGCTTCAAGCTCATCTTTGGTAGGAATTATGTATGTAACATCCAAATCGGTGTTATCAGTTTCGACTTTTCTTTTCTTCTTTGAGCCTTCTACCAATTCCAAATCAAGAGAAGGCTTTTTTGAATCTCCCTCTGAAGGCTCTTTGGCGATTACGGGATCTTCTTTCTTGGGATCTTCTTTCAGGGAATCTTCTTTCTTGGGATCTTCTTTCTTCCCTTCATCCTTCCATTCACCTTCTTCTTCGATGATCTCTTCGCCAACTTCCTGTTCCTTGGCATCCTTTTGAGCTTCTTCTTGTTTATTCTCTTTTTCCTGAGCAATTTGTTCTTCAGCTTGTTTGGCTAACATCTCCTTCTCATACTCCTTATTTGCCTCACTGGCTTTATGTTTATGGCTGTCTTCTTTGTAAAGTTCTCCTTGAACATTGAAATTGCTGTAGAACTCCAAAGCTTCTTCATCGAATACCCCTCCAGACTTAATTTCGTCAAGAATTTTTTTGGGAATATTGTCCTTATTGCCTTTAATTGATCTATCAGAAGGTGAAAACATTGCAATGTCGGTGACAACCTTCAAATTATCCCGTCTGTTAAAATTCTCCATTGCATCTTTGTGACTGAGAGTTTTGTAGTTGAAGTATAATTTGTTCAAATAGGAATTGCCTAACGTCAAATCCTTATCGACTTTTACCCAGTTAGACCCTGGAAACGCACCATACATTCCTTCCCATCTCGAAGGAATCCCACAAGCTGGATTTTTACTATTCAATCTAAAACAATTCTTGACTGAAATATCAATAATATATGAATCAGCCGGTGGTTGGAAAAAATTGGGGATTAAATATTCCGGTAAGTAGTCATTTATCTCAATGATCTGTTTGTTGTTGGCAATTACCAAGAGAATACCCAAAAAGCTGAAAATTCCAAGACCGTAAGCGAATATCCTTACAAATCTCTTAGGCAAACCCACCATTTTGATTTTTTTTCGCATTGATTTGCAGCTTTAGATAGGGAAACGTCAAGGAAAAGGGGGGTGAGCAGATGATGAGAAGACACACAGAGATGTCGTAGATTAGGGTAATTATGGTCCTGTTAGAATTGATACAAAGACTTAAATATAATTTAGCATCTAATAGAGACCATTCTTGCTATGATACCAGAAAACCAAACATTTATTTCCTATACTTTTTACTTATTCAATTCCTCAGTCTTAGCTTTCAAAGTAGCTTGATCTTCAGGTTCAGGAACATCTTTCTTTGAAATTTCATGATGATCACCAGCGTTCATCACTCCTTCTCTAGGAATGTGACGAGTCACCACAGTGTGAGGTTTATTGATTGATTTAAATGGAACACTTCTTCCCCCGATGTTAATCATTAAATTTTCAGGGTCAAATTTAGGATCTTGTTTATCTTGTTCATTCATTTTGAAAATATTTGACAATTGGCAATTCAGTTGTTTAAATAGACTTTAAATGATCACTCGCAATTTTCGCAGTCAAAAGGAGATCAAAGGATTTAGGGTTTTGGAGAATGACGTATGTCGTAGAGTGAAAATATCTATTAAACTTACTCGTGGGCTTTACCTCCAGTACTAGTATTCATACCAACTTCTGGTATTAATTGAGCATTGAGACTTGTTGAATAAATAGTTACAATCATGACAATAAAATGTAAACCCACACAATATCCTAAAAATAACATTCTGGTTGTTCTAGTAGCTAAAACTGCTCTAGTTAAACTAATGAAAATCCTTTCAAATGGTGATAATCGAGAAGAAATTCTTTCTTGTTCTTTTATTCTGAATTGTTCAATAGGATGTAATTTGGTCTCATAATTGTTTCTATAATTATTATTCTCTAAATCCATATTAGGTTTGGGGAGTAAAGTATTTCTCTTAGTGCTTGATTGTGATGATGCTAAGAATCTTGTTCTTTCGTATAATTCTTCATTATCTTGTCTTAATTGATTGATAGTTCTTTTGAAATCATTGATCATGGAGGTTTGTCTCTTCAATTCTTCTTCTAATTCATTATTTCGATCTCTGAACCTATCTCTTTGTTTAGTGATTATGGGTAAAATTGATGATGAATCTTCGTTGGTCTTTTTACTATACCCACTGATCAAACTCATGTTATCATTGAACTTATTGTTATCATTGAATTTGAACAAATCATCTTCTAATTTTTGATTCAATTTATTCAATTTTTCAATTTCTTCGTTGGATTGTAAGACTTGTTGTTCAAAGCCATTGATTTTATTGATTAAATCTTCATGTTGTGATCTATATTGAACTAATTCATCATTCAAGGCTTTGTTTTTCTTCATCAATACAGAATCAACTTTATCTTTAGTATCTTTACCTTCGTCCTCGTCTTCTTCTTCGTCATCAAACTCTATCTTTCTTAAATAATGTAATTCGGTTTTGATCTCTTCATAATCTTTTTGAGCATACAATTTATTCTTCAAATCTTTGATCTCATTGCTATAATTGACAAGTTCAGTATTTAAATTATTCAATTTATTGGCATTCTCAGTAGTTAAGTTATTGATTTGTCTTCTGGCTTGATCCAATTCTGCAATAAGTAAAGAATTCTCCCCTTCTAATTCCAAGATCTTCTTGGTGTATTCCTCTTTAACATTCTCCAATTGACTATTATTCTTCAAATTAGAAATTTCTTTCCTTAAATTTTCATTTCTCTTTTCCACTTCCAATAACCTTTGTTTGGAGAATTCAGCATCTCTTGAAACCATTTCTAATTCTGCCATCACCGTCACATCATTATTATCATTGGATTTGAATTGACTTTGTGAATTCAATTGTAATTCAGTAACTTCATTTGATGTCTTCAATTCTTCAATCTTTAAATTATATTCATTCTTTTGTTTCTCATAGAATTTCTCCTTTTCTAACCAATTCTTTTCCTTTTCATCAATAATAGCCTTATACTCATCATCTTTGGATTTTAATTTACTACTTAAAAGTTCAGCTGATTTTTGTTCGTTCCTTATTAATCTTTGTTTAAGTTGTTCATAATCAGCTTTTTTACTCAATTGTTCAGTTAATTTACTAATTTCTTCTTTCAATTCTTCTACTTCTCCACTATTTATCACTGAATCTAATGATAATTCTAATAATGGCTTTGGATCAGGTGCTTCAGCAATTTCTCTATAAAAATCAAAGAAATAACTTTCAATCTTTTTTTGCTTAGTGGTTAATGAATCAATTTCATTTTGGTACAATTTCAAAACTCCTTTGAGTTGTTCAAGTTTGTCTTCATCGGGTAATTTCCTGAATTCCTTGGTCTTTGACGCTAAATTCTTACGATTATTTAAAGATTCCTTTTGATCTTCCCTGATCTCAATCCCTTGTTTATCTAATTGACTTTGAATGGATGGTAAATCTATTTGTGTCCAAAATTTTAAAGCCGTACTGAAAACATTGGTTCTACTGGAACTGTTATCACCGTTAGTGATGGTACCAGGGTCCTGCACTTCTTTTACTCCTTCTTCCATATTGATCGCGAGTTACCACCTCACTGTTTTTACCCCAGTGAAAAGTGAGCATCACAGAACAAAGAGAATTATACCAATCTTGGCATATTTAATACTCTAATATTGAAGTAGATAAGAAGAGATTGATAGAATCAAATAGAGAACTGTACATGCATCTAAATAAAAGTTTCGTAAGGAACTGGGGCTAAGGTTTGAGGAACGTTACCTTCAGTTGAGATAACTCTAGCTTCTCTTGGTTTAGCTGGTTGTCTCTTTAAGAAAACTTGTTCACCTTTGGCTTTAGCTTCTCTCTTTAAAGCAGCATTGGTTTTAACTCTGTTTAAAAATTCTTGTCTACAAGCTGAGTGTTTGATGTGTTCAACTCTAATGTTAACTCTTTTTTCGATATATCTGTGACCAACGATTTTGTTAACAATAACACCAACAGCTGATTTGGTAACATTGAAAATGATACCAGTTTTACCGTGGTAGAATTTGTGTGGCATACCTTTTTGGATAGCACCATTAACTTTGATATCAACAATATCACCAACTTTATAAGTTTTTAAGTAGGTTGATAATGGAATAACACCATGTTTTTTGAAATCACGTTGGAAAGCGTATCTAGTACGAGATCTATAACCATGTCTAAAATATTGTTAGTATTTTGATTTAAGCTTTCAATAAAATTATATTCATGAGTTTTCATTCCTCATTTCCCGGAGTTGGAGGTTCATGCCTGATAATTTTGGAAGTATGACTTTTCTTCATGTATTTTTCCTACTTGAATAACCGATGAATGGGTTCTGTCTATTCCTTCACTCGCTCATCACTTCATGAACATGACAAATATTGATTTTCTATCTTCCCTTGGCTACATTTAATATCTCTTAATACATTCAACAATACATGAATACAAATTTACTAATTCAAGACTCATTTTACATACGATTTACCCATCTTTAATTATATCTAACTATTTACTGTACTGAAAAGTTTTTCAATATAAAGAGTGAGGTCTTTGCGCGCGGGTTGATGCCCTCGCGAGTCACATGACTAGAGTATCAGCAGTCACGTATACAAATTTTTTTATAGTTTGAATAGAATAATACAGTAATTTAGTATATTAATCTACATAAAGAAATGTATTAATTATTTTTGATGTTAGTGAGTTAATTAGATAAGCGAATAATCTATTCTTCTTCTTCAGCTTCACCTTCTTCACCACCTTTACCTTGGTTTTTTCTTTTAACTCTACCAGCTCTACCACCACCGTATGGGGAGTTGTGAGCAAAGTCAATGTGTTTTTGGGAATCTAATCTGACCATGAATGATGGGATGTTAACAACTTGTTTACCAACAGCAATGTGTCTTTGAGAAATTAAAACTCTAGCGTGGTGGATTGATCTAGCTAAACCTAATTTGAAAACTTGGGTTTGTAATCTTCTTTCTAAGAAATCTTCAATGTTTAAAGCTAAAACATAATCTAATTTCATTTTATCTTCTGATAAAACACCAATTCTCACTAATCTTCTGATTAAAGCATTACCTTCGAATAATCTCTTTGGATCTCTTTCATCTCTGGTTAATAAATCACGAGCAGCTCTTCTAATTTTAGATAATTGGAATCCAATTCTGTAGATTTCTCTTTTGTTTTTTAAACCGTATTCACCAGCTAATTTTAATTCCCAGTCTAATCTAGCAGATTCATAAGGATTTTTTGGGACAGAGTAAGTCTTTGAGTAAGTTCTTGGAGCACCTAAAAATTTGTTAGAATGTTGTTTTATAAAAACAAAGAGGTTACAAGTAGCTCACTAGGATTCAGAATTACAGATCAGTCTCTTTTATTGGATTTAATTCATCATGAATTTGATAAATTAATTGAAATAAAGACGAGACTTATTCAAATTTAAAGTGATTAAAGTGTCGGGGATTTAATCACAATAAATAAGCTCTGTAGATTCATAAGAATCTTAGTGAGGACCCGAACCTCTTAAATATCTGATATAATAGTAATATTATCAAGATATATTCAAAGTTAACATACGAGGCATGTTAAATAAATTTACTTAGAATGAAAATTTTGAAAAATTTTCTCACTCTATTTAAATCCTCAGAATTTTTTGAGATGTGAGGGATGAAAATTTCGCGTCTCAGTTAATTTCAGTCCGGTCTAAGATATGGGCCTCCAATTATGGGGTTGGTGAAGTGTAGGTAAATGGATCATTCTTGTAATGAAAAGCAAGATTCAGAATGATTGTTGGTGTGAAGTAGAAAAACACGTTTTTCAAGAAGGTAAAATCAATTCTTTCTGGGTAATATTATTTTTCAAAAAATTGCTATGGGTGTACAGGTGTGAAAGCTTAATTACTGTGATTCACAAGTTGCTGGTGTTGATTCACTCTTCACCTGTGCACGTATCTAATTCCCGTGGATACGTCTCTTATTCGCCTATAAATTCCTCTTACTATCTCTCAACTCCCATCATTAAAGAAAGTTTATTATGACTACTTATTTCATTACAGGTGTTAACAAAGGGATCGGAAAGTCTTTAGTTGAGTTATTAACTAAGGACAGTAATAACTTGGTTATTGGAACAGTCAGAAATGAGGCCAAAGCCCAAGAGTTACTTTCATTGAAGTTAGAAAACTTGAAGTTGATTTACATTGATATGGCTGATAACGTTACCAAATTTAAAGAACAATTCAAGGCGCTTGAAAGTTATGCTCCAAACGGAGTTGATGTATTCATCCAGAATGCTGCTATTGTTGACCCTGACACCATGAAGCATTCAACCTTATGTGATACTGACTATTTCTCCACAGTCTTTGATGTCAATGTTACTGGAACAGTGAGAGCATACCAAGCTATCTACCCTTACCTTTTCAAGGGTAATGGAACAAAGAAAATGGTTTTCATAGGTAGTATTTCAGGTATCATCGGTGAACCAAGTGCCGGTGGTAATGCTTATGGATTATCCAAAGCTGCTGTTCATAGATTTGGAACTCAAGTTGCCAAGGAGAATAGAAACTCTCAAGATCCTTTGATTAATCAATCAGTTACTTTAATCATCCACCCTGGGGTTGTTGAAACTACAATGCATAATGATTCATCCAGAAAGGCTTTGACTGAAATAGGAGCTTCTTACATCACCACTGATGATAGTGCCCGTAAGCTTTTAAAAATCATTAACGAAAATGGGATCGAAAGATCAGGTACCTTATTCGATGAAGAAGGTGAAATCTTACCATGGTAGTTCAAATTAAGATTATAGAATATAAAAGTCCCTTTAAACTACTTCTAATTTCTCTCTTTTCGTAAATAACTAGTCTTCGAATACCTCGATTGGCGTAGAAATTTCCATTGGCTGCAAATAGAAGTGGTTGAGATTTTGATCTCATCTGTGCGGAAATCTATCATGAAGTTCTTAGCATTGATATCTGGAGGTAAGGATTCCTTCCATAATATCCATCATTGTCTTACCCAAGGGCATGAGCTAGTTGCTTTGGGTAATTTATATCCTGAAGAAGTAGACGAACTCGATTCGTTTATGTTCCAAACTGTGGGTCATGACATAATCGATTATTATTCCAAATGTTTAGACATTCCATTATACAGGCAACCTATCAAGGGACACTCCAAGAATCAAGATTTGGAATATTCCAAAACTGAAAACGATGAGATTGAAGATTTAGACAAGTTGATTTCTACCATCATCAGTAAACATCCTGATATCCAAGGAGTAAGTTGCGGTGCCATTTTGTCTCATTACCAAAGAACCAGAGTGGAAAATATTTGTGATAGGTATGGTTTAACGTCGTTGGCATTTTTATGGCAGAGAGACCAAAGGGAATTAATGACGGAAATGTGTGCCAACGAACTTGATGCTAGACTAATCAAAGTTGCAGCCATAGGATTGGAATCTAAACATTTAGGTAAATCTATAACAGAGATGTTACCAACAATGATTAAACTTAATCAAATGTATGAAGTCCACATCTGTGGAGAAGGTGGAGAATTCGAAACCATTGTGTTGGATTCCAAATTTTTCAAAAAAAGGTTGAATATCGTTGAACAACGAGTAATTGAATATTCGGGTGATGTTTCATATTTGAAATTTAAAGTAGAATTGGAAGATAAAAATATGCATTATGAACCAGTAGAGAACTCTAGCATTTTGGAAGAAGAATTTGAAGATATTTTTGGAGAATCTTTGGATAGTAATTTCCAATATATCAACGAAGTTGAAAATATGGAGATATCAATAAAACCATTGATTTCTAAGATCAGTAACAACTTGTACATTTCGAACTTGACTAGTGATTCCTCCAATATCAAAGATCAATTAATTGACATCTTCATGAATTTGGAAGAAACCCTTAATGACTATAATTTAACCTTCAATGATATTCAACATATAACATTGTTACTAAATGACATCAGCAAGTTTGCTGAAATCAACCAAATTTATGAATCTAACTTCAAAGGATTTTTACCTCCTTCAAGAATCACTATCGAAACAAATTTACCAAAAAACGTTCAAATTCAATTGTCTTGTAAATGTATCATTAAGGAGACAACTGTCAAAAAAGGTATTCACATACGATCAAGATCTTATTGGGCACCACAGAACATTGGCCCTTACTCCCAAGCAAGGGTTGAAGAACAAGTCAATGTGAACTTGGCAACAATATCGGGGCAAATACCCTTAGTCCCTGCGACGATGGAATTCTTGGAAGACACATCAGCGAAAGACATCGTGCTTTCATTGCAACATTTCTACCGAATTAAACAATTGATTAATGTTCCTGATATATCATATATGATTTATTTCATCACAGATAACATTTCTGTTCCTCAAGTAACCAATATTTGGGGTAATTATTGTAAATTAAAAGAGAATGAAGATTGTTTGAATAGGATCGTTATTGTTAGAGTGAACAAACTTCCAAAGAATGCTCTCGTGGAATGTGGAGGTGAAACTTACAGGAAGTTTGAAAACTACGATGATGACGATGATGAAGAAGTAGAAACCGAAGGTCTACTTTCTTTCCTTGATAAATTCAATAACAAAACCATTTATGATTTGAAGTATTACAAACAAATTTTGATATTTTCCAATTCATACGAAGATGTCAATGAACTCATCCAAAGGAAAAATATTTATGTGAAAATAACCTGTAATTATGAAAATTTCAGAAAACTCAACCATCCTTTTGAATTCTTACCCGTTAAAGAGAATTTCGATTATAAAGGGGAAAAATTCAACTATTTCATAGTCTTAACAATTCAATCATAGAGTCGTCCGGTGCACAAAATCCTCCGTTAATATACATTTAATCGTAAGTCATTATGTAAAATAATTGACTAAATATTTCCCTTTATCTTACTTTCTTCTAAATCAAGATCTTGAATATCATCAGGACCTGTGTAAATTAAATCTTCAGGGATAGCAATTCCTCTTTCTCTGCATAAAGCCACCAATTTCTCATTCTCTGACTTCAAAGTATCAATATAATCAGCTGATTTAGTTAATATATTCAACTCCGACCTATTTTCTGATTCATTCAATGTTGGAGTTAAGGAAACAATTTTATCAAATTCTGATCTAATATTCTCTCTTCTCTTTTGTTCAGATGCTATATGATGAGCTTTTTTTTGTTCTTCAGATAATACTGAAGCTTTAGCTTGTCTTTTCCTTTTCTCTTCACTCATACTCTTTCAACAAATTCGCATGCGCTTTTTACTGGGGAAATTATTGATGATTACAATGTCGCGGTCTCTCAAAGCTTATTGTCGTAAAAGTACCATCAAGTAGAACTTGTTCAAGATTCGCATCGCTGCAGAATGAAATTATGGCTATTTACTTGATTAGTATAATACACTTCAAAGCATTTTTGCATAGAACAATTTTTTTTATATAACATTAAGACCACAGAGTTCTCTTGCATGAAGTAATTGCCTGAAATTAAGTTAATCTTTAATAGTATTATCTAGTGTTAAAAGACCATTCGGCAGATACACTTACCGAGGTTTGTTATTAATAAAATTTCACCACCGGTAAAATAATCCAACTTTAAATTGATCTTTTAAACTTTCCCCGTTGAACTTCTACTAATTAGGTGTTAACAAGGTGAATAATTTCGCAGTCAAATATTTTGCTGCAAAATAGTTCCAATTCTGTGCCTCCTTTGTAGTATTCAAGGAACGGAATTGGTGGGGATTTTCTATTAAACATTTATTTTTTTATCACCTTTGTGCATGAACGGCTCTTCATCATTACTAATTATTTTTAAGATTAGAAGACCCTTCTTGTTATAAGTTTTTCAGTTTTGATTTTTTTCTCTTTTGTGAGATTTCTCAATCATGTTTATGATCCTTCAGGATGAATCCTTTAGTAAAGGGAAGAAGAAGGGAAATAAGAAGAATCTAGATGGGGGGACGAGGTACATTTTGGGTACGAAGTTCCGTTCTAGAACTGGATGCTTGGTTTGTCGGAAGAAAAAGAGGAAATGTGATGAACACCACCCAATATGTAAATTTTGTGAAATAAGAGGATTACATTGTTCGTACTTAGATGATGAAAAGTCTGAAGGCGATGACGGCGGAATCAATCCAGTCAATGATACTAACTCAGGGAATGATTCGCTTAAATCGGGGAACAGCCCCATCAGTGGAAATGGAGATAAAAGGCCGGAGGGCTTTAAATCCTTCGACGAGCCGTCTGATAGATCTGGCACTTCTAAAGTTCAAGAATTTCCCACGGAAAAGATTCCTAATAACCCTAGCTTGTCTATCCTAGGATCAGTAAGTAATGATGAAATAATCAGGAAGAGACAACAACTAGATGATTTCCAACCCATAGAAGAACAAGTTTACGAAGTTTATGATGATACTTATCCGCCACCAGATCACGAATATCATAATTCCAAAACTTTAGAAGTCAGCCATCCCAACAACCAACTAACCATTAACATGGTTCATCCTCATGATATGAATATGCATCACAATATGAATATGAATATGGAAAACGTGAATGTAATGAATATGAACAATATGAATATGATGAACATGAACCACATGAATGGTATGACCATGAATAATGTAAACCTAATGATGAACATGAACAATATAAACCCTATGCCCAATATGCATAACATGCACAACATGAATATGCAAATCAACCAAAACCTTCCAAATTATGATTACATGTATAATATACCGAGTGAACCCACCTCATTACCATTATTATATTTAGATTCCAAAGGCATGGACTTCTTGGATTATTTCAATCACCAAGTATCGAAAATACTAGCTGTTGGGCCTGAAGTATCCAATCATTTTCAAAAGACTTTTTATAAATTAGCAAATAATGATGAAAGTTTCATGTATGCTGTCATATCATGGTCAGCTTTATATAGAGGTGAACAATCAGATGTCAACCATTATTTGAACAAAGCCATTTCCAAGTTCAATTCTCAGTATGATCAAAATAATGCAGTTAAACAAGATTTGTCTACGATATATTTCAAATTGTGCTTTTATACGATTCTTTATGCCCAAAATATTTGTTTGGGTGATACGAATAAATGGTATAAGATACTTTTAGAGTGCTGTTTATTATTCAAAGCTAACGGAGGCTTGAAAGAATTGAGTAGGAAATTCAATTATAGTAATGAGATTAGATTTATAATATCTAATATCCAATATTCTGATACTTTTGGTTCAAAAGCTCATAAATTCGGTCCTATTTTTAAAAGTGAAGAATATGCGGATTTGGTCAATAATACTCCATTCAAGCTGAACGAAATGAATTATGGAATCGATACTTTGCAAGGTATTCTGCAGTCAATTTTAACTGTTTTCTGTGAAACCATTGAATTGAAAGTTAAAATAGGCAAAGTTCATAGCAAATTACTTGAAATTGAAAATCAAAAAGAATATTTCCATTTCAAAGATAAGAATTTTCAACACATCAATAAAGAAATTGAAAATTTACAACTAAAAATAGAAGAATGTGTACCTCATGCACAATTACTTAAATTGATCAATGATATAGAAGATTACAAATTGAACAATTTATGTTTCAAACTTTATCATAGAATGACACAGCTTTATTTCAACTTATATATCAAACAAATACCCCCTAATAGTTTAGTTAATCAAATTTTGGTAAATGAATTATATGAAATAATCGATATACTTGTCAATACGAAATTTTGTGTCATTGTATGCTTTCCTTTGTTATTGTGTGGAATCTGCTGTAGTAACAAATTTGATAAAGAGAAGGTTGAAAAGAAATTATTAAGAGCTAAAAATTCCACTCCTGTTCTAAATGCCGAAAAAATTTGGGTAGTCATTAAAAGATCATGGGAGTTAAATCCTCATGGGAATTTGATCATTGATTGGTCAGATATTTGTGAAGAATATGGTTGGTGTTTGAATGCTTGTTAATATTTAGTATAATTAATATATTGAAAAAAAAAATCATCTGCTTATGTAATCTCTTGCGTAATCGAAGGGTTTATCACAGTAAAAGCGGAATGTTTTGCGATAAGATTTTGTCTAATAAAATATGTTTTTGATACTACAGGATGAATCTTTTAACGTGAAGAAGAAGGGTCCCAAAAGGAAATTCAAGGAAGGCAATACAAGGTATATCCTAGGTACTAAGATTCGATCCAAAACGGGATGTTTGACTTGTAGAAAGAAGAAAAGAAAGTGTGACGAGAGATTCCCCGAATGTGATTATTGTAAAGATAAGGGGTTACACTGTTCATACTTAGATAATAAAATCGATCGTGATTTGAAGAAGAAAGAGGAAGAACTCCCGAGTGTGGTTCCACGAGAGTTGTCCACAAATCCTGATTTCATTCAACCAAGAGATAACGATAAAATTGAAGCGGATCTGAAACCTAAGGATTTCAATGATCCACAATTTATACCAATGAATTATGAACCAGAGATATTTACACCCAAGACAAGAACAATAACGGAGGTAAAATCTATCACTGAAATAATTGAAGGTCAAGAAAGTGACCAAGAAGCTGAGGAAGTTCCATTAGATGAAGATTCAGTTTTGGATTTGACTAGTATACCAGATAGGGATTCCATCATTTCCATGTCACCTGCAGGTTTAGACTTTGACTTCATCAATTATTTTATCAATCCTAGTCCTATGACGGTTGAACCAACATCATTCCCTTCATTGTATCTTGATAGTCAAGGATTAGAGGCAATGGACTATTACAAATCAAAAGTCGCTATAGTATTGTCTATAAGTCCAGATTCATCTAATCATTTTATCAAAAGTTTCTTCGATTTGGCCATGAATGAAGAAAGTTTCATGTATGCTATTGCAGCTTGGGGGTCAGTTTATAGAGGCAGAGGTGAAGAGGCCAAATCATATTTGAATAAAGCCATCACCAGATTCAATAAAACCTTTGTTAGTAACGACGATAATAATTTATACTTCAAATTAAGCTTCAAAAGTATACTAACAACCTACCATATTTGTTTAGGAAATGACGATTTATGGTTTGATAGTTTCTTGCAAATGTGTCAGATGATAAAGGAACATGGTGGTTTAGTTGAAGTCTGCAGGAAATTTCATTACTCTAATGGAATAAGATTCATAATTTCACTCCTTCAATACAATGATATTTTAAATTCGAAAGGTCACAAATATGGAACAGTGTTTAAAAGTCTGGAATATCAAGAGTTAATGTTTAATACCCCTTTCAAGGACAACGAACTTAATTATGGAGTAGACACTTTGCAAGGTATTCTGCAAACTATGTTGATCAAATTCCATCAGATCATTGAACTTAAATTGAAAATCAATAAGTTCTATCAGTTGTTGGAAGAGATAAAGGATGTAGAAAATTACAATTCCCTTCGAAATATTTATTTCAAAGAGATAAATGAAGAGATTGATAGTTTACACAAAAGAATCATCGAATGTCAACCCGATGAAAACCTCTTACGTTTAATGGACCCCGAACTGGAACAATATGAGTTAAGTCTTTTGACTTTCAAATCTTACAAGAATATCTGCTGTCTTTATTTCAACTTGTATGTGAAGAAGCTAACCCCTGATAATATAGATAACCAGGTTTTGGTACAGAACTTGTTCGGAATAATTGATATATTTTCTAAGACAAGGTTTTGTGTTATCAGTTGTTTACCTTTGATACTATGTGGAATTTGTTGTGTTAATAAATTTGATAGAGAAATATTAAAACAAAAAATAATGAAAACCCAAATGACTAGTCCGGTACAAAATTCTGAAAAGGCTTGGATAGTAATACAGAAATGTTGGGAATTGAATCCAAAGGGGGATAAAACTGTGGACTGGGCAGACATCTGTGAAAATTTTGGTTTTAGTTTGAATGTGTGTTAAATATATAATTTCATTTTCTGTAAAATTTACAAGATTTCTTAATAAAATTGAATTAATTAAAAAATTTTTTAATTCCAACCAGAGCAAAACGGAATGATAAAGAACCAACAAAATACGCTCCACAATCCTACCATGCTTTTTTAACTAGTCAACAGAAGGTTTCAAAGAATCTTTCATAAAAATTTTTAAGATTAAAAAAAAAAGAATGCGCCAGCCAGGAATCGAACCAGGGGCTCAACGATGGCAACGTTGAATTTTACCACTAAACCACTAGCGCTTCTTGTATAACAAAATTCAAACAATAATATAGAACGGTATAATCTGCAATTCCCGGGCTACAAACGGTTTTCCTCCATCAGTCTACCTTCCATAAGTGCATTAAATATTTATTCACTACTCATACAAATTTCCATGATTCTAACAATCACTATTACACATTAACTTAACTTTAAAATAACATTGAAATAATCGAAAACCTAACAAAACTTAAGTTTTCTCCTCCAAGCTTTAGCTTGAGGTCTACAGTTCAATAATCCAAAACAACAATCCCTAGGAATCCTTAAATCTTTAGAATTTACCTGATGAAAAATACAATTAATTGAAGTGGGCATCCAACGATGACGTGCTTTTGTGATTCTTTCACTATCTTTATTAATCTCTTTTCTGGAAACATTCTTGTAAGGGACAAATAACTTTCTACCTGCTTTTTTGATCATATCAAATTCATTGTGCACTGTCTCTAAAACTTTTTCACTATTCAATTGGGGAGAACTATAAGAAGCCTCTGAAATGTCGAAATGACTTCTTGTTAAATAAGTAGTTTTACTTTCACCGAATTTATTAAAAGTTACTCGGAAATGAGTACCTGGAGTGATGAACAGCTCATCTTCTGTGTCATATTCTTTTTCCAGCTCTATTGAGTCAGGGGTGTGATATGTTTTAGGTTCATCTTTGATGAAAGTGACTGCATTATTAGTATCCCATGTAATGCTTGGGTTATTATCGAAAGTGTCAAATAAATTATTTCCCATCATGGTGAAGGGTATTTTAGAGGGATCAATATCTAAGGGGATTTCTGCTTCGAAGTTGAAGCTGACTGGATTTTCAGCTTTATAGACGTAATTTGTGAGAGCCTCTTCCAAAGAATGTATCATGGAATCACCACCACTTGATGGGATTTCCAGATAGCCAGAACTTGGAATACTATCAAAATCTTTAGTAAACGAATCTAACCACAAATTACTGGTATCAGCAACTAGAATGGTTTTTAAATCATTGTTGGAACTGTTAGGGGTAATATTAAAGTCGTTATCATAATTTAGACCGTTAAATGATGGGAAAGGCACCTTTGATCTTTTACTCGAAGGGAGATTCTCGATGTATTGTCTTTTGGCTTTCATGGAACAAGAACTTTGATGGTAACTAAAACTTTAGCTTTAAGATACTAGCAACAATAAAGCAACAAGGGAACAAGTTAAATTTATTATAGAGGAACAGTACTTTTTGTGATGTTCTCACAAACATAGATTTTTTGCAGCCAAAAGTTGAACCATGGAAATTCCAACTTTTTGTTTTTTACTCTTACCACCGCATATCAAAGAGACAACCACACAGGAATAATGAACATAATTGGATATTTCGAGAAATTCACTGGCACTTAAGGTGAGTCCTATCACCTAATGGGGAATGCACTATCGTTATTCTTTCTCCTAAAAAAAGGCTAGTCCAACCACGAGAATTCTTGCATGAAATGAGTAACAGGTTCAAGAGGAATGGTTTCAGACTATAATTCCAATACATCCTAGTATCCCTCTATCACCCTAAAGACTCCAACACTTCAGCCGCTTCTATTTCTCAAATCTCAACAATCACCATACCTCAGGTGACAGAAAATTTGAGACTGAAAAACTATGAGTCAAATGAAGTTGTTGAATACGTCTTATTTAAGACTCTTGAATTTGAGCAGCAGACCCCAGGTGCTGTTACATAGATACTTCTCCGATAAGGTGAAACATGGACTTGAAAAATATCCCGAATTAAATGCCACTGATTTAGATTCTGAGGGAAATCCAGATTATGTTAAATTGATCTTAACCTCAAAAGTTTATGATGTTGTCCAAGATGCTGGATCCCCCCTTACTCATGCAGTCAACTTATCACAGAAATTAGGAACGAACGTATATTTGAAAAGAGAAGATTTATTACCAGTGTTTTCATTCAAACTTCGTGGGGCTTATAATATGATTGCAAATTTACATGCTAACCCAAACAAAAAACTTGATGGAGTTATTGCATGTTCAGCAGGTAACCATGCCCAAGGTGTTGCTTTCTCAGCTAATAAGTTAGGTATTCCTTCAGTTATTGTAATGCCTACAGCCACTCCTTCCATCAAATATAAGAATGTAAGTAGATTGGGATCTCAAGTGGTCTTGTATGGTGAAGATTTTGATTCTGCCAAATCAGAATGTGATAGATTAAGTATAGTTCAAAATTTGACTAATATCCCACCATTTAATCATCCATATGTTATTGCTGGTCAAGGTACAATTGCCTTGGAATTAACAAGACAATTAAGTTTGGATAAATTAGATGCGGTATTTGTACCTGTTGGTGGAGGTGGTTTAATCTCCGGTGTTGCTGCTTATCTTAAGAAAGTAGCTCCTCATGTCAAGATCATTGGGGTTGAAACTTTCGATGCTGATGCTTTAAAAAAATCTCATGATGCTAATCATCTTGAAACTTTACATACTGTTGGAGCATTTGCTGATGGTACAGCTGTTAAAGTCGTTGGAGAAGAATGCTGGAGGTTATGTAAGGATTTGGTTGATGATATTATTTTAGTTTCAACTGATGAATTATGTGCTGCTATTAAAGATATTTTTGAAGATACGAGATCTATTGTTGAACCTTCAGGTGCCTTATCTGTTGCTGGTATGAAAAAATACGTCAAACAAAACAAAGATATTGATCACAAAACCAAGTCTTATATTCCAATTTTAAGTGGTGCTAATATGAATTTCGATAGATTAAGATTCGTCAGTGAAAGAGCTGTTTTGGGTGAAGGTAAAGAAGCTTCATTAGTTGTAAGTATTCCTGAAAGACCAGGTGAATTCTCAAAATTACAATCTATCATTGATCCAAGATCCATTACTGAATTCAGTTATAGATACAATAATAATGACCCTGCCAATATTTTTGTCAGTTTCAATGTCACTGATAAAGAAAATGATTTGAAAGATATAATCGACACCATGAGAAGTCCTGATTATGGATACGAAGTTCATGATATTTCCGATAATGAAGTAGCTAAAAGTCATGGTCGTTATTTAATTGGAGGAAATTTCCAAAAGAAACCTAATAAAATTGTAAGAGAAAGAGTTTATGAATTTGAATTCCCTGAAAGACCAGGAGCATTATTCAAATTCTTGAATACCTTAAAACCAGATTGGGACATAACTTTATTTAATTATAGAAATCACGGTAATGACGTTGCCAAAGTATTATGTGGAATTGTCACCCCTGAAGAAACATTAGAAGAAGATTTCCAAGCTTTCTTAAAGACTTTAGGTTACAGATTCTCTGATGAAACCGATAATATCATTTACAAAAAATTCTTAAGCTAGAATCCGAAGTTTATTCTATAAAATGCATTCAAACTATATACATATATATACAAGGTTTAATCTGATTTTCTTAAGAACTCTTGGAAAGTGTTATGATCTATATGTACTCTACCAGTAGATTTCATTTGTTTTTTACCTTCCTTTTGTCTTTCCAATAATTTCTTTCTTCTAGAAATATCTGCAGCATGTAATCTTTGAGTAACGTCCTTTCTTTTGGCTTTAATAGTTTCTCTAGCGATAACTTTATTATTCACACGAGCTTGGATTGCAACTTCGAATAATTGTGATCTGAGGAATTTCTTGAATTTATCTACACTACTTCTACCCTTAGTTTGGACTTGTGAACGATGCATGATTTGAGTTAAAGCATCTTGAGGTTCACCATTGACACATAACTCCATTTTCACCACATCGGATTTTCTGTAGCCAATATCTTCGTAATCCAAAGTGGCGTATCCCTTGGTACAACCTTTGAGCTTACCGAAGAAGTCTTCGACCAATTGGGCCAAAGGTATTTCATATTTCAATAAGACTTGTCCGGTAGTCAAATATTCCAAATCTTTTTGTTCTCCACGATTATTTTCACAAATAGACATAACTGTTCCAATGTATTCTTCCGGGATGGTCATTATGGCTTCAACGTAAGGTTCCATCAATTGTTCAATATTTTGGGTGAGTGCAGGGAATTGATCAGGGTTGGTAATAATTCTTTCAGTACCATCCCTGTACAGAACTTTATAAGGTACTGTTGGTGATGTCAAGATGATTTTGGCTCCATACTCTTTCTCCAATCTTTCTTGGAAAACTGATGCATGCAAAGAACCTAAAAATCCCAATCTCCAACCCAAACCTAATGCTCCAGACGTTTCTTTCTCCAAAGTAACAGATCTATCATTCAAGACTAAATTTTCGATATCATCATTCATGGCTTTGAATTCACTACCATCAGCAGGGAATGCTCCCACGAAAACCATAGGTTTCAACTCTTCGAACCCAGGTAAGGGCTCTAAATTTTCATGTTTGCCTAATTGAAAGAAAGTATCACCTATTTTAGCATCTCTTGAATTTCTCATTCCTGGAACCACGTAACCCACTTGTCCAGCTCTTAATCCTTCCATAGGCAATTTGTTAGGGTACATGATCCCCACTTCCTTGATATCATACTTTTTACCAGTGTGAGCTGACAAAAGTTTCATATTCTTATTCATCACACCATCTACGATATGGATAAGCATTACAACCCCCACATAAGGATCGTACCATGAATCAACCAATAAAGCTCTTAAAGGCTTTTCCAAAGATCCTGTTGGTGGAGGGATATCACTGATTATACGAGGTAAGATTTTTTCAACATTGAGTCCAGTTTTAGCACTTACTGGGATACAATCTTCACCGGGTAATTCGAAGGTGGTTTCAACTTGTTCAATAGCTTTGGGGATATCAGCAGCATCTAAATCGATTTTGTTGATGATAGGGATCAATTTCAATCCCATACTATAAGCTAAGAAGAAATTTGCAACTGTTTGAGCTTGAACACCTTGAGATGCATCTACCAATAGTAATGCACCTCCACAGGAAGCATACGATCTAGAAACTTCTGCACGGAAATCAACGTGACCCGGAGTGTCGACTAAATGTAATAAATAATCTTCTTTTGTAACAGGATCTTGGTAAAACATTGAACATGTTTGAGCTTTGATTGTGATCCCTCTTTCTCTTTCAACATCTAAACGATCCAAAACTTGTTTGTTTGTACCAGGCTCTATAACGCCCGTGATTTCTAAGAATCTATCACTTAATGTGGACTTTCCATGATCAACATGAGCTACTACACTAAAATTTCTGAAATTTTCAATGGGTATTTTAGATATTCTTTCTTGAACTTTTTTGCTGAAGTTTTCTTTGTCTAAAGAATTGATTTTTTCTTGGTTGGAGCCCGTCTTTATGTTTCTTAGTATAGGAGATAAGTGGAGAGGTCTGGAGAACCTAAATGCAGATATCTGCCTACCAAACTTAGGTAGAATCATAAGTGAAGAAAATTTTCGCGGGTTGCAAAATATAAGATGCAACAGAGGATTGCAAAATATTGCAAGAGAGAAAAAGAGCATACAAAGGGCCCCTATAACCTTCTAAAACTTTGTAAATTAAGAATTGTTTTCAGCGAATTGTTTGACGAAATCCACTAATTTTTCAGTAGTTTCTAAGGTAACAGCGTTATAAATTGAAGCTCTCATACCTCCAACAGATCTATGACCTTTCAAACCGAATAATTGTTGAGCTTCAGCTTGTTTAATGAATTCTGGTTCTAATTCAGCATTATGAAGAGTGAAAACAACATTCATATTGGATCTGGCTTTCTCCTTGACAGCTAATTTGTAGAAATTAGGATATTTTTCTAAAGCTCCATATAAGATTTCGGCTTTCTTTTCGTTAGTCTTTTGAATTTCTTCAATACCACCTTCTTTGATCAATTTTTCAGTAACCAATTTCAATATTTGACAAGTGAAGATTGGAATAGTATTGTAAGTTGAGTTATTTTTGACGACAGTTGGATAGTGGAAGGCAATAGGAGGTAAAGCAATACCCCATGAAACTAATTGATCATCAGATGCTTGTTCAAGTAATGATTTTTTGATGATATAAATAGTTAAACCAGCTAAACCAATATTTTTTTGAGCTCCAGCCATGATCAAACCATATTTTGAAACGTCAATTTTCTTGGATAAAATGTTAGAAGACATATCAGCTACTAATTCAACACCTTCAGGTAAGTAATCAGTTGGGATATCTTTGAATTCATTACCATGAACAGTTTCATTGTCAGCAACATATAAATAAGCAGTACCTTTTTCAATTGGAGTCCATTCAGAATATGGTGGTATGTCAGTATATTTGATATCCTTGGTGTTAACAACTACTTGAGTTTGAAAACCTAATCTTTTAGCTTCTTCATTGGCTTTTTGAGACCAACCACCAGTAACAGCATAAGCAAGTTTAGGGGTTTCACCGTTATTTTTAGTGGCATAATTGGCAGCTAAATTGTAAGCAATTGACGAGAATCCAGTAGTACCACCACCTTGCATGAAGAAAACTTCATGGGTTTCTGGAATATCTAATAATTTACTGAGATTAGCTTTGGTATCATCAATAACCTTGACAGCTCTTTTATCACGATGACTGATTTCTCCAATCCCTAAATTATCGCCACTGTAGTTAACCAAGTCTAATGCAGCTTCTTTCAACACATCAGCAGGTAATAATGCTGGACCAGCACCAAAATAGTGTGGTTGTTCACGATCGATAGTTCTTTCCATTGAGAAATTTGAGACTGAGTCATCGAGACAAATTAGATTTGCAGCCAATTCGCAATGGCCACAGTTATGCAAGTAAAGTAGAGGGAAGGTGAAGGGTATTTGCACCGAAGGGAGAGCTGCTGGGACGTTTATATATACCTTGTTAATTATTGATCATTTTCATGACGGAAAATATTTACAAATGTCATGAAATCACTCATCGTATTGATCTCGTATTTTTACTCCGTTGATATAATAAATTACCTCCACATCATCAGATTCCTCTAGAAGACAATGTAGAACACATGCTTCGTTGTGTGCCAATAAGAATATAACAGTTTTACAACTGGCGACGATTCTTGAGGCCATTTTCCAATCTTTCAATTTCACAGTTATCTCTTTATCCTCTGATTCATCATTATCATCAACATCATCTTGATCGGGAGCCCTTGTGAATGCCGTTTGTATCAATGAGTCTGTTTGAATCTCATGACTGGGTTTACGTATATCTAACGCTTCATTCCAACTCAAAGTTATTTTGAATTTACCTTGCTCTTCTAGGACAAACCCTAAAAACCCCCCTCTCCGTCTACTCACTTTGATAGTGACATGATCGTTGGCATTTTTCTTATATTTATCCAATCTCTTGTAGGTGGAAACAAACGCGTTCGGTAAATTCATATAAAGGTCAACGCTATCTAATTCAGGTTCCTTCAAATAAACTGAATTATGATTATGTTTCAAAATTTTTACAGGGATTTTGAAAGTGTGGTTAATATTACTGGATCCAGCACTCATATGACTATAATACAAAGCCAAAGTGGCATTCCTACCATTTTCTTTATTGGCAGATTCAGCTCCTGTGACATCTTTCTTTTGAAGTCTTATATTCAATTGATCACTATTTGCTTTTTCAAAATGTTTCAATGTTTGCATTAGCATATCAGCACTCACTTCTATCAGGATGATGTTATCGTTAACACTTTGAATCTCCTTCTGTACAAAAATTGAATCCATCTTGATCTTACACCATATTTGAGGTTCTTGATTTATAGACCCATCACTGACCAGAATTACATATAAAATTTCTGGAGTAAACCTTAGGATCACTAGTTTCCTCAGTTGACTTATCAACTGTAGACTATTGGTTAATGATTGTGTGGAGTGGGCAAGTAGTTTTAATCTCATAGATTAGTGTAAGACCAAAATGTCAACAGAGTGAGATTCTCAAAATATCGATTTTGACACTGTTTCAGATCTAGATCGTTAATACATTGGTGTCAATAAACATATAGATCGAAGGAGCTAGCTCTCGGGGGATCAATAATGGCATTGCATAATTCTTCTCCCAACATTGAAGAGAGATTTTCTAAAATCGATATCCATAAAAATGATGCCCGTAAAGGTAATAGTCTGAGATTAAAAGATCCATTAACGATACCAGTAAATCCTAACTTATCAACCTCCAAAAGGGCAGAGCAGAGGAACTTGTCTCGGTCAAGTTCTTCCAACAACTTGGCGAACCTTTACGTATCCAAAACACCTTCAAGAAATCCTACAGCCCCTAAAGCTTTACTGACGGCCAAAGCTAACAGGAAAGCCTTATCATCACATTTACAACAAGAGAGTCGATCCGTAGGAGGAACGCCTTACAAGGTAGCAGAATTTTCATACATGAGAGATACTTCATCTTCCATAAGGAAAATTAACAACCCATTCAACACAAACATCAACACATCTCCAACAAAGAAATCATTCCAAAGACCATTAAATCCACAACCCAATTTACCACAATCAAGAAAGATCCTTTCCACACGACCTACAGATATAACAAATCTCAACTATGAAAAATCAAGGAAACCTGAACTTCCTAAACTATCACCACGAAGACACGTTTCCCAACCTTTTGAATCAACAAAATCAATAGAAACAAAATCTGATGTTCACACAAGACTTTATAATGATTCCAAAGTCAGAGTACCATCTTTACCTCATTTCAATCACCCAACATCGCATAACCCCCCACAAGTCGATAATCCTCGACCTATAAGGAGAAGTTCAGGAAATTTCGATTTTGATAAAACAATTACTAAAGTTGAAACCCTTGAAGAACTTTATCAAATAATCTATGAAGAAGATCCAAATTTATTTGAAGATACCAATCATAAAGAGTATGAATATCAAGATCCAAGACCTCCTCAGGATCTTCAACAAAGTGACTTAACAAACCAAAATCCCCTTGATATTTATGAAAGAGGTGAGATACTCAGGAGGAAAGATGTTTATTTTGTTCCACCAACTTCAGATCAAATCGACAGGAAGATAAATATAAGGAATTATAGTAATAATTATGGCTTTGATGATGCTAATGGGAATTATATTGTAGTTCCCAAAGATCATATAAATTATCGATATGAAATTTTATCAGTATTGGGTAATGGATCGTTTGGAAATGTTGTAAAATGTAAAGATAAGAAATATCTCAGTAAATCCATAAATTCCAATAAAATTGTGGCTATCAAGATCATAAAAAATGACTTAAATTGGTCTTTACAAGCTGTTTATGAGATCAAAATGTTGAAGCATTTAAATGGTAACAGAACTGCTATAAACTCAAATGATCCTTACACAAATGAATATGGATCACTGGACTGTCCAGTATTGACATATTACGACCATTTCCATTTCAGAGGACATATGTGCATTGTTACTGAACCATTATCGATAAATTTATATTCATTATTAGAAATCATCAAATTCCAAGGACTATCATTACCATTGATTAAAATTTTCACCACCAAAATTCTTCAAGGTTTGAAATATATCCACGACAAGAATGTTATACATTGTGATATTAAGCCTGAAAATATCATGATGAAAGTTCCTCCACATTTCAATCTTGATAATTTAAATGAAGAATCAGTAGTGATTAAGATAGTCGATTTCGGATCTTCTTGTTTTACTAACGAGATATCTTACCTGTATATTCAATCTCGGTTTTATAGAGCTCCTGAGGTTATTATCGGTGCTAAGTATGACAAGATGATAGATATTTGGTCAATAGGTTGTCTTATAGCCGAATTATTCACAGGAGATCCTTTACTACCAGGGAAAAATGAATTGGAACAAATAGCATATATTTTAGAATTATTTGGTTCACCAAGTTCTTCTTTAATAACTCAACAAAGACATCAATTATTAAGGTCCATCAAGGAGAGGAAATCAACCAAGAAATTTGATGAAAAATTGGCTGAAAACCCCAATATCTTACAAGTTGGGTTAGCTGACGAAAAGACCATCAAGAAAACTCTCCTTTATACATTATTTGATATGGAAGGTAAGATCAACATGCAATTCTTAAATATGCGAGTCAATGCTGCATCCACCACTAACCCAAATTTCAATCAACCAAGGAAAGTTTTCAAAGTATCTTCAAAAAATCTTGAAGTCCGTTTAAGACTCAGATCATGTGATGAAGATAGGAGAGATTCAGCTTTATTCATGAAATTTCTTACAAAAATCTTTAAATGGAATCCCATTGAACGAGCAGATGCTAGTCAATTACTAAATGACCCATTTTTAAGTGTATAATAAATAGCATATTCGTATTAACTCTGAGATCAAAGTAACACCAAGAAAGTTGCAAAATCTCATTTTCATAAGAAAGCGAGAACTCCACAATTTGATCATTATGAGTGAGACTGGATCAACCGCTAGTTCTAGTTCCAAATATAGGGAAAGGACAAGTAGGATCTTGGAGAAAGCTTATGAATCAGCCAATTCACTTGCTAGAGAACATCAAGGACAGAATAGGGGGTTAGCAGCAGGAACCGCGGCTGCTTTTATAAGTCTAGGCATTGATAAATTGAATAAAGGAGATTCAAGTTTTGAGTACACTGAAGCAGAATTGGCTGCTATACAAGATATGGCAGGATCTGCTGCAGAAGAGGAAAGTAAGAAATCAGGTAATCATTTCATGGATCGATTGCTTGATAAAATGGTGAAACATACTATAACAGAAGGAGAACCTGATGCTGAATTGATTGAAAAAAGAATCAATGATAAAGATAGGAAGAATTCTCCGAGTCTTTCAATAAGGATCTTGATTTCCAACTTCAAGAAATTAAGTTCAAAGATGACAGCATTCTTTGCCCTTCAATATGGGTTGGTTCATATCATCACATGGAAAAAACCTACCAAGACATTATGTTTCTTATTCTTTTATACATCCATATGCTTATGGCCTCATTTAGTGTTAGCATATCCTTTGTTATTCCTTATGTTTGGTGTGCTTATTCCGGGATACGTCTATCGTCATCCTATGCAAACTCCAGAATTACTTAAAGTCAAGAAAAGGGGTCAATCGATTTGGGATTTTTTGACTGATGATTCCAGCTCAAGTATATTGGATGATTTCATTAGTGATGGCTTCATGGAAAGGATGGAAGAAAACAACAATGTATTAAAACCAGTAAGTTCTAGATCATCAGATTCATCGACATTTGTTGCTAGTAATGGTCAGAATTCAACTTCTGGTTCAATAAATACCCCAGAAGAACTTCAAGCTCATAAAGAAAAGAAAGAGAGAGGTAAAAAAATCCAAAGACAAATGAATCTTTTAATGAATATGAGAGACCTTCAAAATTTAACTACAGAAGCTTTAAAAGGAATGGATAAAGCTGAAATATTTTGGTATGATACCGCAGGATTTAAAGATGAAAAATTATCTACCTTGATTTTCTATGGAGTTATGGTAGCTACTTCAATTATAATATTCTTAGGTCAGTTTATTCCTTGGAGATTCATATTCATTCAATCAGGATGGTCAATTATACTTCTTTGTCACCCTAACAGTAAGAAATATCTTGTATCATTACAAAAGAAGAAACCTCCTAAATTACCCCCTAGACCTAAAGAACCTATAACAGAAAAGCCCCAAACTCCTAAGATAGACAAAGAACAGTCGTTGTTTGAAAGACACGATATTATCGTCGATGACGTTCCAGAAATTCGAGTAGTGGAAATTTATGAATTACAATACAGATCACCAACCCATAGTAATTATGAACCTTTCAATTATACTCCTAAATTGTTTAACGTTAAAGATCATTTAAGAATGAGTGGTAAAACACCCACCGGGGTTGATCATCTTTCGAAAGTTCATCCACCCAAAGATTGGAAATTTGAAATGACTTATATCAATACTTGGACTATCGATAAATCTCCCAAAGATTTCTTAACTGAAAGATCTTTATTGAATCCTGCGATCTATCACATAAAAGAAGATGAAACCGAAGGATGGATTTATGACAATCCTAAAGATATCCCTGATCTGGATTATGTTTTCAGAAGACGTAGACTCTATAGGGAATGTTATAGATATGGCAGGGAACCTGCTAGACCAGATTTATGAAGACATTGAATGAAGACATTGAAATATATAGAAATCAAAAATTCGCGATCTCCGATAGTTATCTTTTCAACCATGGATGCTTTTGCAAATAGAGTGAAAACTTTTGATGCATTTCCCAAAGTTGACTCCCAGCACACTGTAAGATCAGACAGAGGTGGATTCTCTACGATATTGACGGTATTCTTAACATTGGTTATAATATGGATTGAAATTGGTGGATTTCTTGGTGGATACGTGGACCATCAATTTATTGTAGACGATCAAATCCGAACAAATTTATTGATCAATATTGACATGTTAGTGGCTATGCCATGTGATTTTATCCATACCAATGTGGTAGATATTACTGATGATAGATTCTTAGCAGGTGAAACATTAAATTTCGAAGGAACTAGATTTTTTTTACCTGAAATGTTTAAGATCAATAATGAAAATACAGAATATGAGACTCCTGATTTGGATCACGTAATGCAAGAAAATTTAAGAGCAGAATTTAGTATTGAAGGTCAAAGAATGAATCAAGGAGCTCCTGCGTGTCATATTTTCGGGTCCATTCCTGTGAATCAAGTCAGCGGGGAATTTCACATCACTGCCAAAGGATTTGGTTATAGAGACCGTCAACTGGCAGCACCTCAAAACCTTAACTTTTCTCATGTCATTTCGGAATTTTCATTCGGTACATTTTATCCTTTAATTGATAACCCATTAGATTTTACTGGGAAAGTAACCGAAGAGAATTATCAAGCTTATAAATATTATGCAAAAGTTGTACCTACAACTTATGAAAAGTTGGGTATTGTCATAGATACCAATCAATATTCCCTTACTGAACAGCATAAAGTTATCAAACCTAAAAAAACTGGTAATCCTCAACTGCCACCAGGGATTTTCTTTAAATATGATTTTGAACCCATCAAATTATTAATAGCCGAAAGAAGAATCCCCTTCATTCAATTTGTTGCCAAATTAGGTACTATTTGTGGAGGATTAATGATTTTAGCTGGTTACCTCTTCAAATTATACGAGAAACTTTTAAGGTTATTGTTTGGACGTAAATTCACTGAAAGAGATACAGAAAAAAAGACAGGAGGTTTATTGGATAATGAAAAAACTGATATTAGAAAAGATTATTGAAAAAAAAGTTTTGTTAACTTGGTAAATGAATATTAAAATGTACATAAGTTTTGCAACCATTTCTCGTATCAGCGCGATAAAAATCTCCAGTAACTTTAAACAGTAAGGATATGGCTGTGGGTAACTCAGAGTCTAAAACTACCATTAAAAGGTCCCGAAAAGGATGCCATAATTGTAAAAGACTAAAGATAAAGTGTGATGAGGATAAACCCAAGTGTTCGTATTGTGTTAAAACAAATAGTGATTGTGACTATTCAATAAAATTAACCTGGGGAGGTAGACCATATAAAGATGTTTCCAAACGAAAAAATCCTTTTGAAACGGTTATTTCAACCAATCCACAATCTCCATCGATCAAGAAGACTAAAAAGACCAAAACGAAGTCCGGAGGAGGTGTTAAATTTGTTATGGACAAAAATTCTGATCTGGCTTTCAGTACCCCCAGGTCCTTACCATTGGGGATGAGTGATAGTATAGTTAGCTTAGACCTCCTGGAACTGGGAAATAACAGTTATAATAGTTTGAATACTGGAAGTTTCAACACCACTAATAGTTTGGCTGAATCTTTACAGCCTTCTAACTCCATAGGTTCAGAACCGAATTTTATGTCAAGTGCTTTAAGAACCACAATTTCACAATCAGATTCCAACTTCGAAATCAATGGGATGATGAGTAAATCTAGTCAGATGGGTTCAGAGAAAACTGTAGAAGAATTAGATGGAAAGACAAAAATCAAAAATGAACCTATATTTGGAAACTCACCTGGATTATCGGAATTTATAACTCAAGACAACGACATTCCAGTTTTATCACCATTACCACCATTTTCCAACCCTAAAATAGCTTCGGAGTACAATTCCGTCAATGGTTATTCACCTCAAAACATCATAGCTGATGATTTCGCTAAACCTAAATTTTCTCCATCCAGTCAGCATCATTCAAATTATAAACCTGATAGCAGGAAAGATTCATTCACTTCATTGGTCAATTCCTTCCCTTATTTGTCTAGCGGGATTGAAAATCTTTCTAATGCCCTCGAAAAAGTTGCTGATGGAGGTAATCAATTCAGTTTACAAAATTCCGAAATTTTCAATAAATTCTTGAATTCAATAGAAGATAGAAAGAGTCCAATATCATTTGAAAATTCTCCAAATTATTCCATTTTATCACCAGAATTGAATAAACTGCAGATATCTAAAATTGATGATGAATTTATCAACAATTATTCAACAGATTTAGCTAAAAGTGAAGCTTACGTATTGAATAGTAGAAAGAATGCATTCCGTCAAGAATCACCGGTTTCAATATTTGAGATAGCTTCATTAATGAAAAACTCCAATAAAATCAAAGACATCCTGGATAATGATGATAATGAATTACCATTAGACTATGAGAATAGTCCTAGTTCTTCAATAAGTTCAACTTTCATCAATGGGTTGGAATCAATTCCTCCTCTGTTAATCCCATTACCTGAATTATTGAATCAAGTGCCATATTATCGACAATTAATGCATTTCTGGGTTAATACAGCAGCTGATAATTTGGTTCCAGCACCAAAACATATTTATCAAGATAATCCTTTCAAGGTTTTATTACCCCAAATGGCAATGGAATATCCTGCCATTTTAACCACTATATTAGCATTTGCAGCTAAATCCATGTCATCCATAACGAGAAGTGAAGCACCTACGGAAATTGTTGATCAATTGATTGCCAGATCTTGTAATATGTTATTGAAAATGTTGAAAGATAAAGATGAAGCCACATCTGATGGAACGTTAGCTACAGTTTTATTATTATCATGTTATGAAGTGTTGAGTACAAATGATTTTGCTAAACATAGAGCTCATACTTTAGGAGCTCGTCAAATCATCAAGGCTAGAAGATTAAAAAATAAACCAACTTTCATTGAATTTGAAACTAAATTGAATGATTCCCCTGATTCCAATTCACTGTCCAGAGATTCAATTGCTGGAACTGAAGGTGATGTTACATTTTTTTTGATGAGATGGTTTGTTTATGTTGATGTTATTGGAGCTTTATCTGCTACTACTCAATCTGAATACTATTTATCTCAAAATGATGGGAATGAAACTAATTACCTTCCAGCAGAATCAGTCAATAATTTAAATTCTATGGATTCAGCATTACATAACATTGACCCAAAAAGAGATATCGATTATGTGTTAGGATTTGATGTCAAGTTTTTACCTCATTTGAGTAAAACTGTGATGTTGATCAGACGTGTTAATGAATATTTAGATGAAGAGAATAAGGATGTTCTTCCAATAGACATTTTAACTGAAGCATTAGAAGTAAAATCCAAGTTAACCAAAGCTTATGAAGAAGGAGAAGCTAGAAGACAAGAAAGAATCGACAAAATTAGTAATTTTGATACCATAGAAACCAGTCCAAGAGAATTATCTAAGAAACATAAGAGAGTTAGTCGATTAATCCAACAAGATAATGTTTTAAGATGTACTAACAAATTATTCTATAATATGGGACTTTTGAATCTTTACAGAAGAGTGCTTCAGATTCCTCGATCATCATTAATAGTTCAAGAATTGGCTAATGAGATAGGTAATATCCTAGCAGGAAACATCGAATCTGGATCATCCGCAGAAATTTGTTCTATTTTCTGTTTATTCTGTGCTGGGTGTGAAACATTAGACCATGACATGAGAGAATTATTCAGTGATAGGTTCACTAAATTATCAGAGATGGGGAATGTATTGGCATTGAAAAGTTTCAAAATTATGCAAAGATGTTGGCAATCTGGTGAAGACTGGATTCAAGCATCAAAAACTTTAGATATCGATATTACTTTACTTTAATGAGATACGATTTTTACCCTTTTTACTTTATCAACTTCTTCTCCCACCCTCAAAATGGTATAGATACCTGTAGTACCAATCTACACGTCTGTCTCATCTACTTAAGTCGCGACTTTTTTTTTCATTGATGGCATGGATCCATTGAATCCCAAATTATCACATAAACCTCCTAATTTCGATGAAATAGTGAGTTACATCGAGAAGGCTCATAAGGAGAACACAAACCAGCCTGCCCAAGTAGCTGCGTTCAATAGATGTGCTGATTTTCTTAAATCCAATCCTCATTCTCATTGGTTCTGTGATCCATACATATACCCCATAGCATCTCATGTTCTTTTCCTCTTTTCCATGAATGATACTAAAACAGGGTTGTTTGTCAAAGACCAGATAGCTGCATCCATCAGTCGATGTCCAGATTGTGTTTCAGGATTTGTTAAAGGTAAATCACAGCTTTATCATACATTTGTCGTTAATAGAAATATTCCTATTCCTCAAGTTAATCAAGTTTTGAAGATACTAACCAATTGGCAAATTAAGATCATCAAGGATGAATTGTTATCATCAACAACTACCGGTATCAATAATGTGGTGGAAAATTATTTATATATGTGCTTATACGATGCTGAGATCTTGAAAGAAGATGTTGAAATCATGAATGCTTTCAAATTGTTGATTGTTCAATCGAAGATCAATCAAGAGTTTAATGGTTTTTGTGGTTCATTCATATACTTCTTATTCAGTGATGATAAAGTTTTGAGAGACTGGACTGTTCGTAAACTTCAACATGTTCAAGTTATTAAAGATACTAATCCTATGACTGATGAGTTTTCCAATCATCTGTACAAAATACAGAATCCTAATACATATGATGAAAAAGCTGCTAGTTTATTCTGGCAAAATTGTTGTTTGTTAATTAAATGTTTCAAAAAACAATTCTTGGAAGTATTCAATCTTCCTGGAGATTTAGAACCAAGATCAAAACTTGATGGTGTGCTCTATTTCCGTTTACTCACAGTTTTAAGAAACCATATATTCGCTCAAGTTAGTTTACCTTTACCTCATTTACTTGAATTCTTGAGCCATCTTACAATTGAATATGAACTAGATTTATGGACTAAATGGGATTTCCGTGGTGAACTTCCCGAAAAATTCATTGTAAGCATTCTTGGAAATAGCAGTTTCAGTCGATTCATTCAATCCCCCAATCATGTTAATTGTATGATTACATGGACTTACCCTTTTTGGAAGTCCTTAAGTGGGATTTATAGCATTAGAGCCGGTACTCGTATCACAAGATTTTATTTAGCATTTAACGGGACTATAAATAACCTCCAGCTGTTGGATCCAGTGTTCCGAATTTTAAATGAAAGTTTTAATATCCTGCTGTTGAGAAGTTCAACTCCTGATAAATTGGATATCGAGATAGGTAAGCTTAAAGATTTCAGGCCGATTTTGGATGATCATAGTGATGTTTTAATCAAATGTTTGGACACTTTTGAAGGTGAGAATAAATTGCTTATAGCTGATATTATCAGTTCAGCTTTAAGTTTCGATATTCTGATTTTATTTTCCAATAGTATTCATTTGGAAAGGGGAAGAAATCCCAAGACTTTTGACTCTTACCCGTTGTTATGGAAGAGATTAACCGGAAGTGATCTGAAACTCCCAGTTCCTCGATTCTTCCTGAGTTTCCAAGACGTTTGTATGATAGATAAGTTCGAAGACAGGAAGCTGAATGAACAATTAGGGTTATCAGTGGCTATTAAAGCCCACAAGGCTAATGTCGATGTAATTGTTGATTCATTAAACACTTTGTTCAATAAGTTTGGGGAACTAAATCCCAATCATCTTATGGGAATTTTCGAAAACTCTCAAGCCATGATGGGATTTTGGTCTTGTTTGTTTTCTGCTGGTAATTCTCAAGATACTCTTTTGGTATTGTATCAAGCGTTTGATGTTGAAGGAAGACTTGAAGGGATCACCAAACTCTTAGAAAATTATTTCATCAAATCCATGGAAGCCATTATTTCGGGAATCAAGAAACTTTTGGTTTTAGAGGCTTTTGAACCATGTCCTAAAACTGTCAGAGTTCTTATGGATGTTATAAATGGCCTTGCTGACCCAACTGAAGGTTTATTGCGTAGAAACCCTGGTATTGCCAAAGATGAAGTTGCACAGAACCTTTTGATCGAATTTTGGTCGGTGACATGGAAATTTCTGACTATGATTTATATCAAAACCATTCAATGGGCCAATCAATATTCTGCTGATTTACTTATCGAATTTACTCGTGATAATTTGGATTTAAGTCATTTATTATTGGATTCTTACAGTTTAATGGTCGATATAGTTAAAACAGAAAATGTAGACAAAAAATTCATCCAAGAAGTTTTGAATGTTTTCACCAGTGCCATGGTATGGTTTAAATTGCAAGATGCTTCATTATCAAGATCATGTGTTGAGCTTATCTTCCAAGGTTTAGATTTAGCTGTAGCTCACCAATTAGAGATTTCAACGGATTTGATTGCAAATATGGTTAAATATGGTCTCTCAGTGAGGAAATTCAAAACCAGACTTACAGAGGAACAAAGAACAAGTATAATTGCCAAAGCCAAAGAGATTAATATCCGAGTACTTGAAAAAGTTCTCTTGGAAGTGGTTCCCCCAGCTAACAAATCTGTTAGTAGAAGTGCAACCCCAGATATTATAGAAGTTAGCGAAGGTGATGCTAAGCAACCTCGTATTACCAATTTTGGTAGTAATTCCAAAATCCCTACTCCAATAAACCCTCCAAAGCCTACCAAGTTATCTAATTTAGAATTAGCTAGATTGAATCTTTTGAATCAAAATTTACCCAAAAAATCTGCTCCAGCTCCTGCTCGTCCTGCTGGATTTAACAAGAAAGAGGTCTCTGTTGGAAGATCATTGAACTTACAGAAAAAGAAAGCTCATGATTCTGATGATTCTGAACCTGAAGGAGAAACCGATAATTCTGATATTTTTGTTAAGAGTACTAAAAGCAAAGTTACTGAGATTGGTATAGATGGCAAACCTTTAATTAGAACCAAAAGAGTTAAGTCGGCTGAAGAAATCGAAAGAGAAGAAAATTTGAAATTACGTATGCGTCTTAATGTTGATTTGAACGGTCTTTATCGTCAAATTTTGAAATGGAACTATGCTGATAGTCAATTTCCAGGTGTCAGTAGTGAAGTTGGTAATTTAAAGGATACTTATGAAAATATTTCAGATTATACAAGAGCCACCGAACCTTTATTATTACTTGAATGTTGGTCACAAATCCAATCAGCTAAAGACAGAGGTCAAGAAACTCCATTTGAACTTTATGTCGGTTCAAGAGTTTCAAACGATGGATTTTTCGAATTATACTGTAGTATGAGTAAGAAGAAAGTCAGTGATATTAAATTAATTGAGACTGACTTGGTAGTCATAACGTTTGCTGAAATGGCACCAAGTGGTCCTGAACTCGCAACTTATATGAAACATCCAAAAACTATAACTTGGTTAGCTAAAGTCACTTCCATCAAATCTGCTAATCCCGAAACTTCTGATGTTACTTTGAGAATTAATCCCGTGGGTGATATGTTGAACAAACTTGGACCTGGGGTTCAATTATGTGCTATGAAAGTTATGCAAATGGTGACAGTTGAAAGAGAATATTCCTCTTTAAAAGGTTTACAATATTATGATCTTTGTAAAGACATTTTAGCTTCCAAACCAGCAGAACCAGTTAAAATTCCCCAAGAGAAATTGAATTCAGCCATGAAAACATATAATGTTAATAGTTCTCAAGCCCAAGCTATCTTAGGTACTCAAGATGCCACTGGGTTTTCATTGATCCAAGGTCCTCCAGGTACTGGTAAAACCAAGACCATTCTTGGGATTTTAGGTTATAATCTTAGAGAAGAAAAGGCTGATGCTAGTGAAATCAAGATTGTTGGTGAAGCAGTAAAACGAGAAAACAAGATTCTTATTTGTGCTCCAAGTAATGCAGCTGTTGATGAATTAGTCCTTAGAATTCGAGGCGGAATTTTGAATTCTTCCGGTGAATTGGTTACTCCAAAAGTTGTTAGATTGGGTCGAAGTGATGCAGTTAATTCTGCTGTTAAAGATTGTACTTTAGAAGAATTAGTTGATAAACATTTATCGGCACCTACAGAGAATAATCTTCCTGCAATCAGACAAAAGAAAAACGAAATTACTGATGAACGGAAGAAATTATTCGATAAGAAAGAAACCATTGAAGATGAAAAGGAATTGGCTGAAATCGATTATAAAATCCGGTTATTGAGTAAAGAGAGAAATCATCTTTTGAATCAAATCGAAGAACAAAAGGAACAAAATTCTAAGGCTTATCGTTCAAGAGATATCGAGAGGAGACAACTTCAAGCCAAAATCTTGAATGAAGCACAAATTATTTGTGCAACATTATCAGGATCTGCTCATGATATCTTAGCCAATACATTCATTAAATTTAATAAGGTCATTATTGATGAAGCTTGTCAATGTGTAGAATTGTCATCAATTATTCCCCTTAGATATGGTTGTACACAATGTATTATGGTTGGAGATCCTAACCAACTTCCTCCAACAGTTATATCACAAAAAGCTGCTGATTTACAGTATGATCAAAGTTTGTTCGTTAGAATCCAAAAGAAACATCCTGACTCGGTTTATCTATTAGATGTTCAATATCGTATGCATCCTGAGATTTCACTTTTCCCTAGTAGAGAATTTTATAAGAGCAGATTGAAAAATGGTGATAATACATTAGCTTCAAATACTCGTTCATGGCATCAAAATCAACTTTTGTCTCCTTATAGATTCTTCAATACTGTGGGAGCTCATAAACAGAACGAGAGAACAAAGTCTCTCTTCAATACATCAGAAGCCAATATTGCCTTGGAATTGGTGGAAAATTTAATCTCTTTGATGCCTGATAGAGATTACAAGGGTAAGATTGGGATTATTTCTCCATATAAGGAACAAATTAATGTTTTGAAAAGAATCTTCAGAGGTAAATTAGATCCATATGTTGAGAGATTGATTGATTTCAACACTGTTGATGGTTTCCAAGGTCAAGAAAAAGATATTATCATTATGTCATGTGTAAGAGCTAATGATGCTGGAGGAGTTGGGTTCTTGAGTGATGTTAGACGTATGAATGTGGCGTTAACTCGTGCTAAATCGACTCTTTGGGTTTTGGGTAATGCCACTTCTTTATGCAGAAATCATACCTGGAAAGATTTGATTGAAGATGCCAGATCAAGAGGTCTTGTTAGTGATGCTAAATCTGGATTCTTAAGGTCAGAATATTTCATCCCTCCTCCAATTGAGCCAAAGAATAAGACTAAGGATGATAGGAAGAAAAGTGATAAGATTGAAGATTTGGGATCAGAACCTCAAACAAATGGAACGAATTCTAACAAACATACTAAAGAATCATCTCCTTTGAAGTCGGACGATAGACAAAATTCAAAGAAAAGACCTCTGGGTGAAGTTACTAAAGAATTTAAAAGACAAAAGAATTCCCCTCCGGTTCCAACCAAGTCTGGGATTTTTTCTCCTGAATCAAACCGTGTTATACCCAAGAAGCCCAAACCTACAATCTATAAATTACCAAAAAAACCTGAAGCTTCTACAGTGGAATCTTCCTCACTGGAACCTTCAGAATCGAAAACAGACATTGCACCTTCGAAATCTGGTCTGTTACCTCCTAGACCTAAGAAATCAAGTTTGTTCATTCCAAGAAAGAGACGTCCATAGTCATCTGCATTTATCGAAATTTATATAGATTTTTGATATACATATATTAAATATTTCCCTATTCCCCTTTAACCAACTTATTGTTGGACATTTTGTGTGATATTGGTTGTGAAACTCTTGGAGTTGGTTTCAATACTTTGTGTTCTATAGCATTGGAATTTATGTTATAAAGATAATCAGAGCTTGAATCATCATATGTAGAATTGATTGAAGTGGTTAGATCAATCTTAGGTTGGACTTTCCTTCTCTCTTGGAGTTTTGATTCATACTCTAATCGTTTGTCTTTGAAAGAAGGTGGTAACATTGAAAGTGCACTTATTAAAGCATGGGCCTCATTTTCGATAACTCTGGATACGGGTTCTTCCGATTTATCTAAAGATGTGAACACTTCGTTCAACGAGTTTATCAAGACACCTCCAATGGTTTTCTCCACTTCATTTCTTGACATGATCATACTTCCTTGAAGTTCGTTTTCTCGCGTTTGGATCAAACTATAGGTATCTTTCCAAAGAACACTACCCTTATGATAAACCGTAGACTTGATTCCAGTCTGTCTAGATAGTTCAACATACGCCTCAATTTTATGTTCTATGAACGATAAAATTGGTGCCAAATCTATCTTAGTTTTGATGGTGTTGGAAGAATCATCTACACTCATAGAAGGTAAGTGCTGATATTTAGTTTTTTGTTCCAACAAAGGTTTAATATAAAGTTCAAATATTTGATTTAGTTGACGTTTAAACTTCTCTGAAGCTTCTAAACCTTTATTAAACCCTTTATCATATGGGACGCTCAGGTGAGACTGGTTCGAGAATTCAGGTTCGTTAGATATTGAAGGTGGCTCATAAGCTTCCATTCCTACGGGTTGGTACGCTGCTGTACCTATTGTTTGATTGGATTGTATACCTGTATGTTGAGGAGATGTAAAATCCGAAGGAGGTTCGTAAGCTTGCATACCCATACTTGAAACATTGTTACCCTGAGACACGGCTTGAGATTGAACAGGACTAATGGAAGTGGTGGTTCCAGACTTCAAAGGAGGACTCATACTTTTTCTTCTTAATGATTCATTGAATGGTTTTGGTATTTCAACTTGGCGGTGCAGTTGTTTGTTCATATAATGATCTACAAATCCTGCAGCTACAGGAGTTGAACGAATCAATTCACGAGCTTTGTCTTCAATAACGCCATTCAGACGTAAAACTTCAAGAATCGCCACTTCACCATTCCTATCAAGCTCCTCAAATGCTTTCACATACTTAGATGTTCTACTTTCAAGAACAGAACTGGTATCTTTAATTTCCGTAGCTAGGAGTTTCTTCTTGGTCTTCAAAGAAAGTAATCTCACCTCCAATTGATTTATCTCATGATCTAAATCCGAAGACTCATCTAGGAGCTTCAGTAATTTTATCCCAAATTCGTTATCCTCACTTTTAATTGATTGAATCTTCTTGATAAGTTTGTTACGTTTATCATCCCATTTTTTGAACTTTTTCAACATCTGGGAGTTATAGTTCGACTCAGTTTGATACAATTCATGTAAAGAATATTGATTTTCGGAGATAGAATCAAGGATATTGCCAATTTTGTGTCGTATTTTATGTAACTTCTCACTACCATTATCTAAAGCTTGCTTATGTAACCGGGTTTGAACTTGGAGATCATTTTCAAGCTTGTTGAAATTCTCCTGAAGATATTGAAGTGGAGATTCTGATGATTGGTTATGATTATGTTGTTGTAGGGGAATTGCAAGATTCAAACTGAATAACATTGATTCATTGAATTCCTCATCTGAAGGTTCCACAGTTTCTGTCAGAATTGATGCATTACTTGAAAGTTTCGGTTCAACACTTCTCTCTTTATCTTCCTCTGTGATGGGGTTAATATGTGAGTCATTGGTTTTGTTCTGTGCTAATAATTCTGGTGATTGTGGTGAAAGAAATTCTGCTGGATCTAAGTCCTCATCTGTACTACCTTGAATAGATTCTAAATCAGGATGATTCTGGTTATCCTGTCGATTATTTACTTTATAAGGGTTCCCATTACCTCCAATGGTTGAAGATAAACTTATGGATTCAAACATTGAATTGCCCTTAAGAGAATCTCGACTAAACATAATCCTTATCAGTTATATCACGTACAGATAAAACGGTGCGACTTTTCTGAAAATATATTCAACTGTGGAAGAACTTACTTGAGGAAACCAAATGAGTGGTAAACTTACTCAATCTTCAGAGATATACCTTATAGATAGTGATAGTATGTGTTTTGAGTAAATTAGTTAAAGTGTTGGCTAATAACACGAAGGTCTTATGATGAATACTAACAATGATAGAGAAATATTCACCTATCCAGCCATCTCCATTAGATAATCTTCTAAAACAATTTGGATTGGAGAAAACTGCCGAATCATTAACCAGAACAAATAGAGATGGATCTAAAGGAGTTAAGTTAAGAAAATCATACAAAAATCATATAAGTGATTTACCGGGTAAACACAATATACCTGGACCTAAACCTATACCGAATGGAATGCTCGATCCAATGATTAGTCAAGCACCTCATGTGATCAAACCACTTGATGGTCAAATGTTACTGAAAGCCTTGATGTTCGAAAAACTGCCTCATGGAGGAATTCCTGGAATTGATAAATCTGAAATAGCCATTGGAGGACCTGGTGATGGATCTTTTAGACGTGATGATATTGATAATGATGATGATGATGGCAGGAAAAACAAGAGAAAGAAGAAAGCTCAACTAAATGGAGATCTGAAAAGGCAACATATTTGATGAAACACTTTGCTTAACGAACTTAATGAATTACCAGAAAAAAGATATAAAAAAATTGTGTAAAATTAAAATATATAATACAAGTTTATCTATTCCTTATCATTAGTGGCAGTTCCTCTCAACTCATTTATCAGAGTGAAATTAACATACCTTTTCAAAGGTTTTAAAGGTTCGTCAAATATTCGAGTAGGGTTTTTCCTTATCGTCATTTTATTCTTAACCAATCCTCCAAGATGGCCCAAAATGGCTTTAGTAACAAGTTTCTTCAAAAGCATGGTGATTTCTAATACGGACATAATTCTTTTATGAATCCTTAACTCTGGTAACAAGAATTTAAAATCTGTTACATTCAAAAGTCTCTTATAACCACCTTTTAACTTTAATGAAACTGATAAAGAAACAGGATTAATCACAAGATGATTAACACTAATATATTTCTTTGATCTCAAAACCATATTGTCTAATTGTTCATCGTAATCTTCATCTGAAGTAGATGAATGAGTAAAAGATTTGGATCCGAGTATTTGAGATCTTCTTTTTCCTATAGTTGAAGTCTTTTCATCTAATTTTGCTTTATCTTCGTCGTCTTCTTCATCACTGTTTTCGATTTCTTCAACTTCTTCTTGTTCTTCTTCATCGTCTTTCTTTTTATCCAAGAGTGGACTTTCATCAATATTTGAAATATCTGTTTGGAAGATATAATTCATTAATTTGATTCCTGTAGATTCATCCATTCTTAAACTCAAAGGTTTGGAATTTACTTCAAAATTATCAATCAATTTAATACCTCCAACATCTTGATGAACTGACCAATTAATAGTGATTAAGTTATCTTCGGAATTTTGATGATCAAAGTCGTGTTGCAAAGGTTCTAAAAATGCTGGGAATCTAGCTTTTGGTAATAAATTGAAACCTTGTAACATTCTTACTTCTACACTATTAACATTAGAATCATCAACATTAACTGATCTTTTGAATTTCCCTTTTGCCATAGCTATATCAATGATTGGTGATCGATCATCTTCAAGCATATGTAAGATGATTTCATCAGCATTAATAGCAAATTCTGCTTTGGTAGAATTAGATTCTTCATTATCATTGAGTTCAACATTACCGGTCAATATCGAATGCATCAATAAATTGATTTCATTCTGGATATCTTGTAAAATCAATTGAAGTTCTAAATAATCATTCAATTGTTCATTATCTAAATTTGCTTGACGGAAATTATAATTTCTATTCAAGAATTTCACTAAATAGAAATACTTATGTAACTTGGTGATTCTATCGTAAACTGAAGGCAAGTTTTGGAAATCATTGGAAAATTTCAATTTTTCAAGTTTTTCAAGATATTCTTTATTACTAGGTTCAGTATAAATCAATAAATCAGTTACAATAGAATATAATGTAAAGTATTGTGAAGCAGTGGAAGTTATGATAACTTTTGGAATATCAACTCTTAAAGACTGAGATGCTGATAATTTATGTTCATCAGTATCTGCATCGAAATAATCAGAATCATTATCCTCTTCTTCTTCATCATTTCTGGCTAAACTTGAGCCAAAAGGTTTTTGATCTATCATGGTTACCATTGAAGAGATGTTTTCAATCAACACATTCTGTTTACCTGCTAAAGAAGAATCTTTACTGATTTCATACCCTAACCATGGTGGCCAATTAGAAGTTGATCCATAACAATTTTCATCAAACACTTTATTATCAATATCATCGTCTTTTTTGAAAACAAATACATTGGCATTTTGTAATAAAACCCCAAACCTGGTCTCCAATTCATCAAGTCCAATAGTTAATTTATCATTACCCTTTTCATATATCGAATTGACTTTCCCATCAATATGAGGAGTGGTGATTAAAACCACAGAATCTTTAGATTCTTCACTTTGTAATTGAATTTGAGGTGATATGATTTCAAATAGATAATCTTGAGTTAGACTTTCGTTATTGGATATTTTACTCAAAATATCATCGAAATTATCAATTCTATCTTGACAACTTTGTAATTTGAGTCCTGGCCCACTACGAACTTTATTCAAATTTCTAGAATTGGCTAATGAATAAGCTGAATCATCCCATTTATTAGCTCTCTCGATAATTTCTTCAACAATACTTATAGACTCATAAGATAAATATCTTCTTAATAATCTTAACAATTTAACATAATGAAGGTACTTATTAAGAAGATTTCTATTGGAATTATTCCATTTTAATAACATATGAAGTAAAACAAACTTATTACTGAATTTAGCATTAACATTAGAAATCAGCATTCTTCTATCATGATTAGTATAATTCAATTCTTCCTGTTTTAGATCATCTAATTCTTTATTTAGAACTTCAATTCTCTTATTCAAATCTTTCGATTCCCCGAATCTCTTGACATAGTATTTCAATTGTTTGATTCTGTTCTTAATAGCTGATTGGCGAGTTTTGAAAACTTTCTTCAGTTGTTCCAAAACATCAATATCACTCTGAAAGAGATCTTGTTCTTTGAATCTTCCATCAGGTTCAGTATCTCTTAAATAACTAAATCTTTGAGAGTATAAAAGTGGAAGAATAGTAATAATTCTTTTACAATGAGCCAAAGATGGAACAAAAGCTTCTTGATAATCCTCAATATCAAACCATTGTTTATCATTATCAAAGATTTTATACTTTGAATCCTTAGAATTATCAATCTTATAATCGATATTTGGATTAACATTAGCAGAAGTTTTATAAATATCATGATCAAATTTAGCTGAAACTATTCTTAAATCAATACCATTCAAATGAACATCAGCTATATGGAAATTCATTTTCTTCACTTTCAAATTCCTCGATAAGCTCTTATTAACACTGATTCTTTCTTCTTTCCTTTGATGTAAGTCAACAATGAAATCATTCATCTTACCTCTCAATCCCCAACATTGAATGAAATTGTCTTCATTATTAAGATTCTCTTCTCTGTAAATATGAGAAATGAATAATGATTTCAAATTGAATTTGAATCTGTTAGTTATTAAATGTTGGGAGAATTTGGTTGATTTCTTAACCTCCCCAAATAACTTACCTTTCCTTATAGGTAATTGTAAATTACTGGCAAATAATTTCCACCAATTGAAGAATTGAGAAAACACTGTAGGACTCAAATGAATTGTATTATAACTTTCAGAAAAGTTGGCATCTAAAGATATTGCCATATTGATATAATCTGATCTAAATCCAGTATAAGAATCATGGTTTTCATCAGTAAATTCGGGATTGAATAATTTAACATCATAATGAGGTTTACCAATATCTTTCTTTTCTCCATCGATATCTCTTTGTAAAACAAATCCAACGGTGAATTTAACTCCTCCACTCAAATTGACAACTTTCTTTTCAAAGTTATTATCAGGATTATAGTTTTTACTGTTACAATAGTTATCATCATTCAAATAATACCCATAAGAAGAAGTAACAAAATCTTTACAGTCAGGGAAATAGGTTATTCTACTGGAATCATTACACCAACTTACCATTGGAGCAGCTAAATAATTAGGAATATACCATGTAATGTTTTCACTATTAACATTACAAAATTCTCTAGAATCATCATTTTCATTGATAGTCCAAACAACATTATCCTTGAAAGAAAGTATAAATCCTGTACCTTCATCGAATATTTCATAGGGATCCCTTGATCCTTTGAAAGCAACTTCCAATGGTCCATTATTACACTCAATACGAAATTTCCCATGCATGATAAGTCTTAATTTATCCCAGAATCCCAATTTACCTGATGGATCAATAGGAGGTTTAGAAAATTGTTCGAAATTTAACATAACTTGTTGGATTCCGAATTGATAGGATTGTCCCCAAACAAATCTTGATGCTTTGTGACTATCAAATGATACTTCCAAGTCAGTAAATAATTTAACTGAGGTCAACGTCTTGAATATGTTGATACTATAATTCTTGTCGTCACCTCTTACTAGATCACATTTAACGTTTCTTATATGTTCGTCACCATCAACTAAAGCCTCACCAATAACCAAATGTCCAGACATTTGAACTGATGGATGGGATTTCTTCTTAGGTACAAATAATAAAGGCAAAGGATAATCTCTTAAATGCATTCTTAATTCTCCTAGTTTTAAATCGAGATATGTAGGAACATTAAGTGACCATTCGGTATCTTTAGGTTGGCCCTGTCCAATATCATAAAGAAATTGTGGTAATTCATTCATTTGGAATCTTGGTGATGTTATATTTAAGTTGAGATCATTCATGATTATAGTCAATAATGGTGCATGAAGGGAATAAGGTTGGATATTATGTTGAAATTTGGATTCCAATTTTGCTTCATTACCAAACAAGAACCTTTTGGTCTTAATAATCTCTTCATTTAATTGAGCTTTATACCCTTTCACTTTCCTTATCCAAGATGCAGAAATAGTTTCCGTCAATTTCTCTAAAGCTTCTTCGATTTGATCAGGAGGTGTTCGATTCTTCTCAGCTGTTTCTTCAAATACTTGTAAGAGATCTGATCTTTTCTGTTGTTCAATTTTACCTAATTGGAAGATCATATTCAATTCACTTTCAAATGGATCATCTTCCATAACAAATAACAATTTCGATGTTTTTATATTAATATGAGGTAATTTTCTGGGTTTGGATTTCGAAGGGTAAACATTCTTCTTATCAACATCAGGATTCTTCAAAATGGCGAATAAATGTTTCAAGACTTTGATAGTAATTGATAAATTATCAAATAACTTGTAAGTGACATGTTGATGAGGATGAATAAGTTTAATAAACTCAGAATTGACCATGATTTCTCTGGTGTTAAGTAGATATCGAAGTTTTAAATCATCTAAACATACCATCCTACTCCAGTAACCTTCTAAAGTTGGTGATTCTGTTAACACTCTACCGAATTTATTGTATAGGCATAAATCATGATGATAATTGAGTTTGGTTTGGAAGAAATCAAACTTCAATTTATAATCATCATGAAGATTTATTTGAATATCAGTCTTCTTGAATTTGCAATCAATGTTCAAAAGATCTTTGATAGAACTTGAAGATTTGGGTTTGGGTTCAGATTTAGGTAATTTTGATTGAAGGATCTTTAAAGGTTCAATGATCTTTGTAAGTAATTGCAATGATCCTACAATAGTGAACAATTTGAAATAATCCACATCTCCGGTCACTTGATCAATTAACACATTGATATCTAATAACTTATGAGCATTAACGTCAACGTTAATTGAAGGAAGTTTGATGAATGGTAACCAATCTTCTTCCTTAATAAGAAATTTGAAATCTTCTAATTGAGAATGACTAGACCAATAACTTTCGGTTAAAGTGTCCAGAGTTGAAGATTTCTCTGAATCCAAAGTGTTTTCATTCTTCAACGTTGTTTGAAATTCATGAAGATTGATTCCCATACATCTTGAATCTTTAACGTCTGATATAACTGATTGAGAAGCAAAGATGAAACTTATTTCTGATAAAGTCAATTTGAAATCAACTAACCAGTCAGGTAAATAATTAAATATTTTATCTGCCAAAGATTTATGACTTTTATTTTGGTTCATTAATTTTGAAACAATACGATCATATTTCAGTATCTTTTGATCAAGATAGCTCAACATTGATCCTGACTTTAATGTCGATTCAGCTTCTTCGGTTATTTTCATCAATAATGATTGAATACCTTCAATAGCATCAATGTTAGAAAGATCTAACCTAAGTCTCATAAGCAGAACCCCAATATTGAATTTCAAATTCTTAAGAATCTCTACTTTGGTATTGATGTCATTGATAGAGAACAATTCAAAGTTTTCAAAATTTTCAATATAGTTGACTGAAGGATGTAAAATTTGACAACTGACATCATAAGAACGGTCTTTATTGGTGAACACTTGAAGCATTAATGAACTATATTGGAAGTTCACTAATTGAATCTTATCCACAGGGTGTTTAATGATAATCCTAGGTTGTTCAATAACAAATTTAACATCCAAGCTAGGATAATATTCTTGTAAATAATTCCATAACTTGTCCTTAAATAATGATTTTTGAAGTTGTTCTTCACCATCAATAAAATCAATTGGTTGATGATTAACCACTTTCTTATAAATTCCATAAAGTTTCTTGAACTTGAAATATTTTTGAATAGTAACGATATTAAAGATGAATAATGAAAGTATATGAGAATCTAAATCCAAGATAGGATTAGAACATGTCAAAAAGATTTCGATCTTACAATCTTTAAACCCTTCTCCTTTGGTCAATCTATCGAAAACATTACCTTTGAAGTTTATGGAATAATTTGGTAAATTCAAAACCTCCACACTTGATTTTGAAACAAGATCACCTTTTTGAGTTATAGTGGAATATTTGATTACAAAGGCTTGTATAGCGTTGGAAAAATTGATGGGTATATCATTATGATTGAAAATAGTATGGAAACCTGCTGATTCATTAGATAATTTAATGACATTGAAATTAATCGACTTGGTTGAGAACTCTAAAGATTCTCTTGGGAATGGTGCATTCAATAATTCACTAATAGGTTGATTAGTGATTATTGGTAATTCCAATACATTGAAATTCTCTATAAGAAGGGAAATTTCATCAATGTTGGTATACAATAATCTTAGATATTTCAAGCCAGCTTCAAATTTTTCTTGATTAATTGATGATTTTTCCGTATCTTTCGGTTCAAAACTCTCAATTATATCATTAAGAAATATCTTTATCAATTTGAATACTGAAGTTTTGAAATTATCCACAAACATTTGAAATCTTATCTTATTTAATAACCCGGTAGTCAAATCTATCACGAATTTCAGATCAAATTTATGGTTGTCGATACTAATGATAGGGAATTCTTCCTCTTTAGCATCCTTGTTATAAATCTTCACATGGTTAAGAATGGTAGCAGATTTGAATTTCAAATCATTGGAATTTTGTTTTGAGTATCTAGATTCACTATTGATACTTATATACTCAAGGTATATTATTTGTTGATTGAAACGGAAGTATGTATGTTTCATTTGAATAGCAAAGTTCGGTACGTGGCATATCAAGAATTTCACTAGAAACTTACCGATAATGTTCTTAGGGAATAAAATAAGATCAAATAACTCTCGTTGCTTTGGTGTTCGATTCTTTTTTGACGATTTATGAATTGTCACATCAAGTCCACTGACTATGAGTTTCCTGTTATTCCCCCATAATCTAAACCTTATGGAATCAATGTTAATGATATTAAGGTGATGAATTTTAATATTATTGAACAGAATACCATTATTTATATTTATAGACCCAATACTAATACCGAATAATTTATAGGTAATTGACCAGAAAACCATCCATCCCGCTAGGAATAGAAGGAAGTATATTATCAACTGACTCAAATTCATTATTATGAATCTACCAACAGGTTCTAGTTGAACTTTCTGAGTTTATGTAGGTAAAGTAGGTAAAATTGATAATTTCGCTGCAAAAAATGAGTGATTATCTCAATGTTTACGATTTTCCCTTTTAATCTTGCCTACCGGGGGGTTGTCGTATTTAATGTGAAGGGTAGACTTGATTACGGAGTTCACTGAAGATCTGTTTAGAAACGGTGCTAGAGGGGAGACGGTTAAGGTTGATAACCTCGAAAAATGGTGATGTGGCAGAGTTTATTTACTTTTGTCTCACTCTGGGGAAATATACTAGGGGATTGAAAAATTGGGACAAATTGGGTTCAATTCTGGAATTGATGATAGGCCTATTATCCTTGTTGTTCATTATGCTCAAGGCTTGGGTGACTTGAGGAGAAAATGAATATTGGTCAAGTAAACAGATGGTGTTGTTGTTGTTCGCTGTAAGTCATGTGATGATAAGCTCGTATTCTGACATGAACTCATCTCTATCTCTTTTATTCGAAAACGTCATATATGACAAGAAAAACTTCATCGATAGTTTAAATGAAGTTATGTAGATGATCTTTCAGTATTGTAGCCTAAATCTCCACATATTTTTTGTGGAATAATTAAGATAGCAATCTTAACCTCATCTAGATACTTTGGTAAAGTAAGGTGAATTCCATACTCCCATTACTTTGTTATAGTACACACAGTATCAAACTTCGAATCTATATAACAAACGCTCAGTTTGATACTTGACATGAATACATTATAATCTTCACCTATCCACCCCACCAAACTCTTCATTCTAACTAACCTTGATCTCATGCATCATGTGACATCATTAGGGCTTTACAACAACCTTCCGTGACTGCTCTTTTACCGACATCCCATAAGTTGATTCATGTCGCACACATCTACCAAAGACATTGTTAACTATGAGAAAATTCCTTAACTATGGTCGTGCGTGTTGCGGTTTTTTTTCCATCAAACGTCTCAAAAAGATTTTTCTGAAAATTTTTAATAGAGGATTAATCAATAAAAGTATGTACTTAAATGATTTATTTTAAACGTAATAAAAGTAATTATTATTCATAGTTAAGGTGTTGTTGTTCATCAGTGTTTATTAATTGTTGTTATCATTCAAGTTAAATCGTATAAACTATTCATTCAGTATTGAAAAAAAAAGTGAAAATTTTTGAAAGTCATCATCTTTCCTTCAATTATCATATTAAATCAACCTTGAATTCACAAATTACTTAATTACTTTCTTCCTAAAAGATTTAAATACTAACAAATTCTAGATGGCTGCTTCATTACCACATCCAAAGATTGTTAAAAAACATACCAAAAAATTCAAAAGACATCACTCCGATAGATACCACAGAGTTGCTGAAAACTGGAGAAAGCAAAAAGGTATTGATTCCGTTGTCAGAAGAAGATTCAGAGGTAACATTTCTGAACCAACCATCGGTTACGGTTCAAACAAAAAAACCAAATTCTTAATGCCATCAGGTCACAAAGCTTTCTTAGTCAAAAACTTAAAAGATTTAGATGTTTTATTAATGCATACTAAAACTTATGCTGCTGAAATTGCCCACAATGTCTCAGCTAAAAACAGAATTGAAATTTTAGAAAAAGCTAAAAAATCAGGTATTAAAGTTACTAATCCAAAAGGTAGAGTTTCATTAGAAGCTTAAATAATTTAATGTAAATTTTAAGATCCATAAATACATATTGTATTAGATATCTCCCTCTAATAAGAGTTAGACAGAGTTGAAAGAAACCTCCTTATATATTATCTATGCCACTTATTACTTCCATTACCCGATATTGAAACTCCACTTATATCAAGATGATGATGTTTCTTAATCTTGTACCCTAAATCACAAAGTCCAGTATTATCTAATTTGACGTCACATGCTTTGGCTTCTTCATCTAAATATAATGAAGAACTGGTTCTTGATTGTAACTTTTCATCATCATTCAAATTCAATATACTATCTTTCCTGTCAAATGAAAGTTTCGATTCGGGTTTTTTATGACAATTACAGGTACATTCATCCTTTCCAGCACTTTCAGCTATCAGATTAACATCTTCTTTAACACTTGGTAATTCACCTTGGAAATCCAACATTGATTTGAATTGTTTCTTATTAAGATTATTATCACCTTTACAATCACAACAATTTAATTGTAATGGTGTCAATGAAGAAGCTGATTTTATTGATCCCTGATCGTCTTTATCTAAGGCATTTTCATTTGGAATCAATGAATCTTTTGGTTTATCGTTTAATTCTTGGGCTTCTTTTAATTGTTTGATCTCTTTAGGGTTACCCAAATCTAACATACTTTTAAACGAATGACTTAATTCTTCAACATTTCTCTTATGTTTTGAACTTGTTCTTGAAGGTGCTCTAGAACCATTATTTGAAGTGGAAGTTGAATGACTTGCTGATCCACCAGTATTAGGGTAAACAATCCCTGTAACACTTTGATCTTCATCTTCATAAGTACACATTTCTAGACTGGTAAACCAAGGATCATTAAATAATAATTTCATATCATATCTATATTTTACACTTGGATCACATAGTTTCCATGCAACTCTTGCAGCTCCATGATTTTGAAATTGTGAAGCCCATTTGAATTCAGATCCAGGACCTCTATTGTAATCTACATTATTTTTGAAATTAACGTTATTAGAACAAAATCTATGATGATTGAATTTATAATCTCTAAATCCATGATCATTAGGTGAAGCAGAATTGAAAGGTACACCTCCATAGACTATAACAAATAATAACATCCCTAAACCCCAATAATCCATTTTGAATGGATCATAGGCCCAATTTTTCAATTCTGAATGACTGACTTCTTTTAATTGCATTACTTCAGGTGGTGAATAAGGTGGTGAACCTACAAAAGCTGTTGATAATTTAATTTCCAGATTGAAGTCCCCCTCAACTTCATGACCGAAATCACTAACTCCAAAATCACATAATTTAGCCATACCATTTTGATCAATTAAAACATTTTCAGGTTTTAAATCCCTATGAACAATATCTTCATCATGTAAGAATTTTAACCCATGGGCTATTTGTTTGAAAACACAATATCTTTCACTAAGACTTGTTCTTTTCCAACCAGGTTTGACGATTAAATTAAATAAATCACCACCGGGGCAAAATTCCAAAACAAATCCCCAACCTCTATTTAAGTCATTCAAACTTTGAATACGGACAATTGATAAAGTATTAACAACATGACGAGATTTTCCTGCTTTTTTGGATATTAAATACTCTTTTACAGCTCTTTTATAAAATTCAGAATCCGTTTCTTTATCCAATAATGTGAACCTTTTCAATGCAAATATTTTTTTCTTATTACTATGTAAAGTAATCAACCTCACATCACTTGAACCTCCATCACCTAACTTCTTTTCATGGGTGTCAATATCAAAATCATCAAATAAATTGATATGATCTTCCTTCAAGTCATCAGGTAAATAATCATTAGGGTCATGAACAGGGTTTGATAAAATTCTACCTCCACCAGTATTATTCATATAGAAACTGGCTTCTTTCGGTTTATCATCGACTAAATCTTTATTCATTCCAAATGGATTATACACAATCTTTTCATGATGTGTATTGTTTTGGGAATATGTACTATTGGAAACACTCATAGTACTTGGAGCAATTGATGAATCATCATCATTTTCAGGATACTTTTCATTATTCCTTTCAAGATGTTTCTTATTCTTTTCATTGAGATGGGATAAATGAGCTAAAGTCTCGGCTTTACTTAATTTCTTGGGTGGTTCTTTCTTTAAAGTTTGACTATTATGTCTTCTTAATGATAAAACCGATGGGGTTCTGGAGATTTCACCTGAAGAATTATGATGAAAGAATTTAGAAATTCCATGTTTTTCTTCTTTCTCCTTATCAGATTTCTCGTGTTTGAACAAATGTTTCAAACCTTTGGATTCTGTCATCTTTGAAAATTATCAATTATGGATTGAAGTCTTTAATTTGAACACTGAATTGAGAATTTGGGTTAAAATAAGTAATTTCGCACTGGAACGTGATGACGTTATGCTGAATAAAAAATGGAAACTTGTGATGAAATCCTTGAAAAATTGATTGGAGGGAATTTATCAACTTTGGGAATCTCTTAATTTATTATGTTGTTAAGATAATAGTAAATCAGATCGAGGAAAATAATAAAAATTTATTGAAAAAAAAAATAAACTTTCACACCTGGGGTCTTCAGGACAAGCAGGATTACCCAGACAATTAAGATTAACCAGACAATCCTGATTTACTTCACATAAGAGATATTAGTTTTACTTCACTCAGAGTTTTTCATGGGCTTATTTAGAACTGTAAACGGATTTCGTTGGGATAAAGAAGGGGCTTACAAAGATATCTCCCTCAATAGATAAGGTGTCTCACCTGACAACAAAATGTCGATCATGAATTTATTCTCTTATGATTTTCTATGGAATGTTAAGATCGCTAATAAATTGTTAGTAATTTCTTTTACAACGGAAATGATTCTCTTTATCGGAGCAATTTACAGAAGGGGTATGAGAAAAAGGGGGTTTAAACTCTATTTTTTACGAACTTTCTTTTCCTTGATTTACCTTAAAGTATCCAGGTTTTATTGATTATCGTCGTTTAGAAAAATAATTCATCAGCCCTACCATTCATAATTAAGTCATTAAAATATATTCACTATTTATTGTATTCCAGACTTTGGAAATTGGGAAGACCCTGAAATGTGAAATTTGCGAAAAAGGAAGGTTTAAATAAAAAGAAAAAAAATCGATGTCAAGTCAATAGTAGTCTTTAAGCCAATGGAGACAAATAACATATACGAAATGTCATCCATAATGAAAGACTGTGAAGTTCGAAGTCATTGAGCAAAAAAACAAAAACAAAAAAGGGAATGAAAGAGGAAACAATGTGCCAAAACAACACATATTCAAAGTAATAAGATCTTACATTAGGTATAATACAATTAAACACTTTCTTCATCAGAAACTTTGTTATTTCTCTTGATTTTGAAGAATCTAATACCACCATTATTTTCTTCTTTTGGTTCTTCAACATTTCTGGTGAATGAAGAAGCATCGTTATCACCTTGAGGTGGGACGTAATGTTCGTCTTTAGTTTCTTGAACTTTAGTGATATGTTTTCTATAAGAATTTGAGATATTACCAAAACAAGTGTTGAAAAAGATAATGATTAAACAACCAACAGAACCCCATAAAATACCGAAAGCTTTAACACCAACATGAGCTTTTAAGTCATCACCTTGGAAAGCATTTCTGGCCATAACAGCAGCAGCAGTTTGCATACCAGCAGTACCACCAACGAATATTAAAGCTAAAGTAACGAAAACCATGACAACTTTATCAACAATTTCGAAACATAAACCTAAAAGGTCAATTAATAAAGCAATACCAGCAAAACATAAACCAACAAAGGTGAAACCGAATGAGAATCTAGTTAAGTAATAGTAAGTCTTTTCGTTATCAACAAAATCTTTTGGAACGTTTTGTTCAGTTGAGAAATTATCAACAGGAGAAATTGGATAAGCTGGTCCTAAAGTACATGACGAGAAATCACGGTATTCACAAACCCCCCAGAAAGTCCAAGCTGATAAATTTGGAGCATGTCTTATATTTGAAGTATCGGCTCTCAACCAATAAAATTCATTAAAGGGGAAATGATTAGATGAACCCCCAGCAACAGTTAAAATTAATAAAACACAACATCCTGCTAATAAGACTATGTTTACAATAGTGCTAGCTAATTTCATTTTTTTTGGAAGTATTCAATTAAACTTATCAATTGATCAATTAAACTAGTAAACGAAATATTTAATTTCAAAATGACGAAAGGGTTTAAATTTATTTATTTTTGAGAAATTTCAGTGATGATGACAATGTTATTATTGTTTCCCCTTTTGCTCAAAAAATCAATAGCCGACATTTTTAATTTAACTGTTCAATTGAGAGGTTATTAGATAGTAATCTAGATATGGTTAATATAATGAAGAGACATAAATATAATGAAAGAAAGAATTTAAGTTGATGGGATTAAAATTTGACGAATTGAGGATTGCTAAATTTATGGACTTAAGCGACGATTCAAGTTCATTAATAGAGATTAATTAGGTTTATTTGGTATACAAGGTGATAGACAATGATGGTATCAATCATATTTAATTAATATGATGGCATAATTCCGGTAATAGTAGATTTCTTTTAGTTGAAATTTATGAAGTTATGAACACAGTATTGTCAATCTGAGACTTGAAACTTCCTTATGGTAGTTATGGTCTACCAAAGGGAAATCTTGCTATAGCAATTATATCCCTTAGTGGACACGCTCATCAATTACCTTAAATCCTATGGTACCTGATACTTTGTTAACTAATGACACTCTGTAGCAATCTATGTCGGTGTTTATTTTTTACTTAATTGAGAATATCGTCTATGAGGCTGACATTTCCTAATTAGGTCGCGATACAGGTTTCTCTTTCCCCATTAGTCTATTATTAGTTACATTATGCATATATTAATTTATTTATTATTTGAGTATATTTCCATTCTAAGAGATTATATTAGACATCAGGGTCTTCGCCCCATTCACTACACCATCCATACCATGTTCGTTTAAGACATTTTTGTTTCTTAGGTGGTTCACTTGGTTCTGAAGTTTCACTGGAAATTGTACCAGTTTCGATTGAAGAAGGTTTACTTGATACCGAGGATGAAGTGGTGGTAATTTCTTCCTTTGTTTTACTTTTATGAGGTTTCAATGGATTAGGTAAAAATGGTTCATCGTTTTCATCATCATCATGAACAACGTACCTCCAATTGAAACAATCTCTACATGGAGGTTGTTCTACACATTGTGCGGTATCATTATAAACCATTATTATTTCATCAATAACCGTATGTATCCTGTGATTCAAAACATTGACACTCCACCCTTTATCAGTAACTACATCATAAACACATAATTTACCTGTATGACATGCTGTTTCCATTGCATAACCTGCTGCATTACATGTCAGTGACACTCCATTACACACCCCCATGAATATGGGGTCAGCGGTATTCCCAATATGATATATATGTTCCATATACTTTGGATATCCTGGAGGTTGAGGTAAATGTAATCTTTTAGTAGCCAACATTTCTCCAGGTGCTTCGAATGCCACTACTGGTAATCCATAAGTTCTACCTAAAAGTGAACCTAATGATCCACCTAATGAATGGCCTGTGACCCAAACTTCATAATCTTTAGTGTTATAGATTTCTGTAACATTTCGGTAGATTTCCAACGTCGATTGGTAATATCTATCTTTCCTCATCAATTCTTTTTCTAAACAATCTTGGTTACATGTATATGCCTTTTCATAACAATCACAAACTGTTTTCCACATATAACTAACTCTAGCACAACAACATGAAAATAAAAGGTTATCATTTATTCTATCGTTATTGGTAGTTTCTTCATCTCCTCCCCCTGGTATAGCTGCTCCTGAAGTACCTTTGATTGCCACCACTATGATCTTATCCTTTTCATTAACGAATACATGGCCCCTAATTCCATCTTCTCCCCAACCAAATTCAACATCACTATGATTTTTATCTGGAACCCAAGGTTCTCCTATATCATACCAATCAGATGCCTTTTTGCCATCATCATCTATAGGATACTTCACATATGCATTTGATGACATCAATGCTAATGTAACAAGCGTCTCTTTATCATTAACATCTGGTAATAAAACTTCTTCGTCCTCCCAATCCAAAGTAATCCGATTCATGATTTGAGGGTTTCCTTTAACTGACATGGCATAATCAAGATATGAATCTATAAAATCGGGGGTATGACGTTCAGTTAACCTTTTAATGCTTCCTTTCTTATATTTATAGGGTAAATTCATTGTCCAGGGATTACCTTTTACACTTGATGGCCAATCATAATCACTATTCATTGCATCAATATTCACAAATCCTTGTTGATTGGTGTCAATATGATGATACTTAGTAGAATCAACTTCGTCAAGACCAGTCTTTTTAATGTATTCAGGAGTCAAATCAAGTCTTCGATGAATGTTATGATTCTTCCCTGACCCATGATGAAATATATGCTTAATCTTAAATCCATCATATTCTTCTTTCTGTATTACATGTACTTCCTCCACCACCTCATTTGGTCGATACCAATAAAATATATTTATAATCAATAGAATAAGCAAGTACTTAAACATGACCTTAATCGCGATACCTCAAAAAAGTTTATCTAATATCATCAAGAGACAGGCCCGTACACCACATTATGGTTATAGATAAGAGATTTCGAAGAAAAGGTCTATAAAATCTATTGTAAATAAATATCTTTCAGTTGGATTATTCTCAAATCTTTGATAATTTTCACACCAGGTTCATGCTCAACTGTCCTTTGAAGAACTTTGGATAATTTTTCAACTGAATCTTTTAATGCATGTTCAAAATCATATTTAACAAAGTTATGTGCCATTAATGCCGTGAATAAGTCTCCACATCCAAAAAACTTGACAGGAATTTCTTCTATGGGTATGAGAATCAAGTCATCAACATAACCTACACAGTACATTGAATCATCAAAATTTACTGATGATATAACAATATGTTTGACATTATATAAGGATTTGAACTTTGTTATAGCCTGCTTTAAAGTTGTTTCATCTGTTATTTTGACTCCTGTAAAGTATTCGAATTCAAATTGATTGGGAGTTATGACATCTATTTTACCACTGGCTAATATCTCTTTATAAACAGGCACAACTGCTTCCGATAAGTATAATTTACCATTATCTCCAAGGATCGGATCCATGACAATTACAGGTTTTTTGGTGTCACTAAGATCATCCATCATATTCTTGACTGATGTGATGATTTCATAATTGGGTAAATATCCTGTAATCAATATATCGTAATTTTCAATCCCATTACCAATATCTTGTAAACCTTTTAACACATCAAAGATGAGTTGTGGTTTTTCGATTTCTCCTGAAAAAGATCCATACCCTGGATGATTAGAATAATTCGTGGTGTTCAAGGCATCAACGTTCCACCCCATTACTTGCAAAGGAAATGTCATACCTCTATTACCAACATATCCATGGACTACATGAGACGATATGGTTAAAATTTGTCCTGGCATTTCAGTTAATCTTCTACTTCTTATCCTTATCTATCAAGTTATATATCTCACTACAAAAAAGGTTCACTCGTTCCACACCCTTCTATCAGATCTATCTGTCACACTATTTGACTGGCCGCGAATCCAGCGATCTGTTCATTCTCAAATGTCAATAAAAGAGTCCGCCAACATTAATGTTGGTTATCCAGTTTATGCAACCAAATTCATCAATAACAAGACTTTGGTTGTGTTAGGTGGTGGTGGTGAAGGTAATAATGGTATACCTAACAAAATCACTGCCATTAAAGTCAGTTTCAAAATGGATAAGAATCATCGTTTACAACGATTTAGAGAGATCACTTTACCTCCTACTGAAGATTCTCCAATGTGTATTGATCTAGTTAAAAAGGACGGTAAGGAATACAACGTTTTCATCGGGTGTAATCAATCCACTCAATTGATGAAATCAATGAATATTAACAATAATTTAAGAAAATATGTTTTCACAGCCGACGAACATTTGCAATTCATTGATGCCGTTCAATTAGATGATGACATATCGGCCGATGGTGTAGGGGAATATCCAAAAATCATTGATTTATCAACCGATAGTAAGTTTGGATGCTTTATGACATCCAGTGTGCCAAGTGTTATTTCCTTCTTTGATCCAGTTGAATTACAATTAACTTCGAAATTTTCATCTCCAGACGAAATCAAAGATTTTAATTTATCACCCGATAACAAGAAGTTGGCCTACATTACCAGCAAAAAGCTAGAAATCGTTTCGACAGATACCATGGAAATCATTCATTCATCAACTAAAACCGAAGCAAATTCTATTTTTAAAAATCTCATATTGACTAAAATCAAATATGTCAATGATGATGAATTCATTATTACTGCCAATAAGAAGAAAGGAGTGTGTGTTTTGAAATATAAGGATGGCAAGGTTACTAAAATGAATGAATTTTCCAATAAAATTAAAGGTTTAGTAGCTTTTGATTTTAATACCAATAGTGGCTTAATTGCTGTGGCAGGTAACGATTTTTCATTGACCATTTTAAGATTATCTGATTTGAAGGTTTTGAAAACATTCCCTAAATTACATGAATTTGCATTAACTTCTGTTAGTTTCTCCCCCAATGGTACTAAATTAGTAACAGGTTCGGCTTCAAATAATGTTCACGTTTTCAAAATTCCAAACAACTACTCAAAGGGTACTTCTGTACTCAACACTTTGGTCAATTCAGTGTTTTATTCATTGATGTTGATAATTTTAGCTATTTTCATTCAATCTTCTTACGAGTCAGGTGATTTAGCCAATTATTATGAAAATTCCTTGAATTTTGCTACTCATTATTTTAGTTCGGTCATTGAATTATCAGTCTCAAGCTATGAACTTTTAAAAGAAAAAATCACCAAATTAGAGGGTGACGAAAAGACAAATGAATACTTTACTATGAGTGATTGGGAAGAAACCACTACCGAATCTCCCATAATTGAATCAACTTGGCCAGCAGATGATATTGTGAGCGAAGTTTCCGAAAGTGAAATGGTAACTGATATCGAAACAACCGTTGAGTCTACCGTTCCTGAACCTGTAGAAGAATCCACAGCTGAACCAGTGGAACACGTTGAAAAAGAACTTCATCAACCTGAAGAAGCATCGTCTCCTGAAGTCGAAGATGAAGATAAAGATGAAGAAGTGGAAGTGGAAGTAGCCAAAGAACAGGAACAACAAGAGGAAGAAGAAGCTGCCGAAGAAACAGAAGTCGAACAACCTGTCGAAGAAGAAGCTATCGAAGAAGAAGGAGCCGAGGAAGAGGAAGCTGAACAAGTCGAAGAAGAGGAAGAAGCTGTTGAAGAAGAAGCTGTTGAAGAAGAAGCTGTTGAAGAAGAAGCTATTGAAGAAGAAGCTATTGAAGAAGAAGAAGAAATCGCTGAAGACGAAGATGAAGATGAAGATGAAGAAGAAGATGAAGATGAAGATGAAGAAGAAGAAGAAGATGAAGATGAAGATGAAGTCGAGGAAGAAGAAGAAGCTATTGAAGAAGAAGTCGAAGAAGTCGAAGAAGAAGATGATGAAGAAGAAGATGATGAAGGAGAAGTCGAGGAAGAAGAAGCTATTGAAGAAGAAGCCGAAGAAGGAGAAGAAGCCGAACAAGTCGAAGAAGAACCAATCGCTGAAGACGAAGACGAAGATGAACAAGAAGTCGAAGAAGAAGAAGGAGTCGAAGAAGAAGAAGTCGAGGAAGAGGAAGCTGAACAAGTCGAAGAAGAGGAAGAAGCTGTTGAAGAAGACGCTATTGAAGACGAAGGTATCGAAGAAGAAGCTATTGAAGAAGCCACTGAAGAAAAAGCCACTGAACAAGAAGTTCCAGAAGAAGGAGCCATAGGAGAAGGAGCCACAGGAGAAGAAGTCCCAGAAGAAACTGAAGTGGAAAGTGAAGAAGCTGTTGAAGAAAATGGAGACATCGAAGTCCAAGAAGAGATAACTGATGAAATTCCAATTCAAGAAGTAGATACTGGGCTCCAAATTGACGAACCGATCGAAATTTCCAACAACGAGACCAAAGAAGATTCAACTTATGAATCTATTGCTCAAATCGAAATTGAAACTGGAATCGACGGTGAATCTCCAGAAGGAACAGTCGTCGAAGAAACGGCAGTCGAAGAAACTCCTGAAGTTTCTGAAGTTGAAAGTGAAATAGAAATCCAAGAAAGTGAAGCCGAAACAACTGAGGAATCTAAAGAAACTCCACCTGAAGCTCTAGAAGTTGTGGAAGAAGCTATCGATGAGACAGTACCAGAAATCAAAGAAGAAAAGATTCCAACCATCGAGAATGTTATTCCTCCCGTATCCCTCGAACAAGCTACTGAGAAAACCACAGAAACAGAAGAGTCAATTGAGGAAAAAACTTCTGAATCAACCGTTTCAGCAGCCAGCCAGGAACCAGAATCATCGAACACTGAGATTCCTGAACTCATAATCGAAATCACCAAGGTTATAGAAAGAAATGAACCTGAAATCACCACCACATCAACCACAAAAGCATCCCCCAAACCAAAGTCTAAACCAAAGAAGAAAAAAGTTAAAAAGGTCAAAAAGGTCAAACCTCCAGTTCATGATGAACTTTAATACATGATCATTACCTCATCTCTATCTCGCGATTTCTAACGCGCAATCAAACAATGTCTATGACAAACACTGATAACGTTTCTGATCCTTCGGATTGGAAACTAACGTGTTTACCCGTAGTTTCCCAATTGGATTCACTTCAGAGATGTTATATATGTAAAGATTTCTTGAAAGCTCCGGTGATAACGTCATGTAATCATACTTTTTGCTCGATTTGTATACGACAATATTTACTTAATAATGATTCATGCCCATTGTGTAAGTCTACCCAATATGAAAGTAACTTGAGAAGGGATGTCTTATTAGAAGAAATTATCAATTGTTTCAGTAACATAAGACCAATGTTATTAGATCATTTGAAATCGAATATTAATTCCGATCACGAAAATGATGTGGATTCAGATAAGACTCTTGTATCACTGAGTGTACAACTGTCGCCAAAACGAAAACTTGAAGAAGAGGAGAAAGATGACAAAGACGATAAGAAGAAAGTGAAAGTTTCAGAATCATTGGCGGAATGTCCCATATGTGAAAAATTCATGGATTCCACATTTTTACAAACCACTCATATTGACGCTTGCCTTTCGGGTAAGACAATACTACCCAAGACTTCTAGTGTCCCCAAAAAGACCAAAACAAACATTTCATCATTTTTCAAATCTAAAGAACCTAAAAAGGTGGATCATGAAGATTTCTATTTTAATCAAGTGGAGAAACATGTTCAATCAATAAACAGGTTGCCTAAACTTGACTTCAAGTCATTAACCACCCCCAAATTGAAGGAGAAATTATCTTCTGTCAATTTATCAACCAACGGAACCCGGAATCAATTGGAATTAAGGTACAATCAATATTATATTCTTTTCAATTCTAATCTTGACAGCAATCATCCTGTAGACACAAGGACTTTAAAACAACAATTAATGTCATGGGAGTCATCACACTCTGCTTTCAATTCCAAATCAGTTACCAGTTTATTCACTAAAAACACCACCAAATCAATCATTGACAAAAATTTCTCTGTTAGATTGTGGAAACGGATGTACCATATGGAGTTTAAAGAATTGATAGAACAAGCAAAGAAAAACATCAAAATTACCAAAGAGATTGAGCCAGAATTCAAGACGAATTCAATATTTATAGGAGATGAAGACTAAACTTCAGCCCCACAGTTCATAAAACAATAGTATATAGCATAATGTCATATTTCCACAACTCGCAATTTGCAACCATTTCTCGGTGTACCGAAGTTGCAACTTTTCGCATACATTGAACCATAAAGGAAATATTTTCCTTATTGCTACAACTTAACTTCAACAGTTATTTTCACTTCAGTTAATGATAATTTAATTCGAAATCAGGAGATTAGAAAGTGAAAAATCGTCCTATATATTTAAAACATCGACGATCCAATAAAAAAAAGGTAATAACGAACAACGGATTATTACCGGATAAAAATTGGCTCAAATTTGGATATTCAAATTAAATCTATGGCCGACGAGTCCTTATACATATCGACCTATGAGGCTGCCCTAGCGTTGGTGGCCACTTCTATGAAGAAGGCTAGATTAAGATTAGACACTTTAGTCGTAAATTCTATCATGGGAGGGATGTTATTTTCCACAGGAGGAATGTTCCATGTTATCTTACAATCTAACCTACCGGAAACTTATAAACAGAATCCTGGGTATGTAGAATTATTACAAGGGTTATGTTATCCAATCGGATTGTTTTATGTGGTAACTTTGGGTTGTGAGTTGTTTAATTCCAATATTTTATTTTTCAGTGTGGGATTAGTAAGAGGGGCAGTTTCTGTACTAGACGTGCTCATAAGTTGGATTGTTAGTTGGTGGTTTAACTTGGCAGCTAACATCTTTGTCTGTTATGTTATTTGTTATTATTCAGCAGTTTTCCAGACCGAAGGTGCTATTGAAGGATCGAGATATTTGTTAGAATATAAAAGTTCTTTTATGTTCCATCAAACTTTGATCAAAGGTATTGCTGGGAATTTTTTCGTATCATTGGCTATCTATTTACAAATTATGGCCAAACCATTGCATGTAAAATTCTTCTTGATGTTATTACCGATATTTACATTCGTTTCAATTGGTTTTACTCATTCTGTTGCTGATATGTTTGTTGTCACCATGGGATTGATTAACGGAGGTAATGTTAGTGTAGCTACAGTGGCATGGAAAGTGCTTTTACCTGGAGCATTAGGTAACATTATTGGAGGATCATTTTTTGGGATTGTAATTCCATGGTATTCCCATATATATACCGTGGAACAAGATCAAAAGTTATTGAACTTACCTAAATACGAATTGAGAGACGAACAACCAGAAATCAATACCGATTCAAGAGTTGTCAGAACTAAAACTAGAGAATATGAAGATGAATATGACAAAGATATGAATTTCTTACCTGATAACACTGTGTCAGATAATGAAAAAAGAGGTGATAATTCCGAGGACACAAGTTCTCAAGGTAATGTTAGTCCCCCATATGGTATTTTTGGACAGAGTGCGGAAAGCATACCATCCCGTACGACTAGAACGACCAATAGATCCATGTCTTCTTTAAATCCATCAAGATCTAGAAAATCAGAAATTAGATCACCTAAGAATGTTTTCCCAGTATACGGAATGGGAGAACCTTTGAATAGGGAGAAATCAATTGCATCAGGTTATAAAGAAAGAGACGAATCTATGGATCCAGCAGAGAGCATTGACCTTGAAAGAAGGGAAAGCTCAGCAGAATTCATGGGATCAAGAATACGGAATTACTTAACCAGAAGATTTCTGAAAACTGACGACCCCGAACAAACTGTAGGAGATCCAAGCTTGAATGACGTATCGTTGAATTCAATTCGTCAATATTCAGTCAGTTCACATAAATCTTTCAGAACTGATAGAAGAGGCTTATCAAACAGGATGATTAACGCAGGTATAGATGATAGAGCGATGAACGATAGTGATAATGTTGCTGGGGTATCGTCACCACAAAGTCAACCAGATTAATAGCATTTATAGAGTATTAATGTATAATAGTTCGAAAAATTTCTTATTCTAGTATCCAGAGAATCTTTAAGATGTTAGGAAAAGAAAAAAAAAATGTGGAGAAGACCGGAATCGAACCGATGGCCTTTTGCTTGCAAGGCAAATGTCATACCACTAGACCACATCCCCAAATCTACCTTCCTAATTTGTCATGTTATCCATGAGCGTAAAACTCAAAGCCAAAAAATTGACTTACGACGTTCAAAAGTGCTTTATACTCTTAATCAAGTGGTGAGTATTTAGTTTCAAGTATTTGTAGGTTAAAAAAATGCGAAATATTGCGATTGTAAGAAAAACTTCCAAGATCAAATAGCACCAAAATTGAGATTCGCATCTCATCTCACTTTTTTTCAATCAAGATGAGTTCAGCTTCAATTGCATACTTAGATGACAACACCAGTTGGAAATCTTTTAAGTTAGACTCCAGATTAAACCAAGCCATTGAACATTTAGGGTTCAAGAATCCTACTTTAGTTCAATCACATACCATTCCATTAGCATTAGATGAGAAAAGAGATATCATCGCCAAAGCTTCAACTGGTTCAGGAAAAACTGCAGCTTATTGTATACCTATTTTACAAACAATTTTAGCTAACGAAATCACCAATGAAGTCCAAAGTATAATATTAGTACCTACCAGGGAATTATCTAACCAAGTATATGAATTTTTAACTAAATTATTGATTTACTGCAACAATAAAATTAATGTTGTCAACTTATCCAATAACTTAAGTGATCAAATTTTAAACAGTTTATTGGTAAATCAACCAGAAATCATCATAACCACCCCTTCTAAGTTGGTAACAGTTTCCGAGAAAAATCCTAATTTGAACTTATCAACTGTCAAAAATTTAACTATTGATGAGATCGATTTAATGTTGAGTTATGGATACAAGGAAGATATCATGAAGTTAGGTAAAGTGTTACCAATCAAAGAGAACTTACAAACCTTCTTAATGTCAGCCACTTTAAATGAAGAATTGAATGATATCAAAAACCAATTTTGTTCTAAACCAGCCATTTTGAAGTTAAGTGATGAAGCCAGTACTAATATGAATTTAGTGCAATATTATTGTAAGACCACCGAATTCGATAAGTTTTTGTTAAGTTATGTTATCTTCAAATTGAACTTAATCAAGGGAAAAAGTTTAATATTTGTCAACAATATCGATAGAGGTTATAGATTGAAATTGTTCTTGGAACAATTCGGTATAAGAAGTTGTATTTTGAATAGTGAATTACCTGTAAATTCCAGATTGAACATTGTAGAACAATTTAACAAGAATGTTTATAATTTATTGATTGCAACTGATGAAACTAATGAACAACCAGATGAAGATAATGACGTTGAAGAAGAAGAAGAAACCAAATCATCCAAAAAAGGTAAAAGTAAAATAAAGAAAGATAAAGAATATGGAGTCTCAAGAGGTGTAGATTTCAAAAATGTAGCATGTGTATTAAATTTTGATTTACCTACTTCATCAACTAGTTATATTCATAGAATTGGAAGGACAGCCAGAGCTGGGAAATCAGGTATGTCATTATCTTTTGTAATACCAAAAGAAGAAGTTGGTAAACATAAAGTCGCTTCATTGACCTCATCTAAAAGAGATGAAAAGGTATTAAGTAGAATCATCAAACAACAATCTAAGAACGGATTTGAATTGAAACCTTATCAATTTAATATCAAACAAGTTGAAGGTTTCAGATACAGATCAGAAGACGCTTTCAGAGCTGTTACTCAAATTGCCATCAGAGAAGCAAGAATCAAAGAATTGAAACAAGAATTAATCAATTCTGAAAAATTGAAAACTTTCTTCGAAGAGAATCCTCAAGATTTAACCAGTTTAAGACACGATAAAGAATTACATCCCGCAAGAGTTCAATCTCAATTGAAGAGAGTTCCTGAGTATTTATTACCTGAAAGTGCAAGAAGTGATCCTAAGAAGATTGGATTCGTTCCATTCCATAAAAATAAAGTTAGAAAGGGTAAGAAGAGAGGTAAAAAGAATGATCCTTTAAAATCATTGAAAATGAATAAATAATATACTGTGAATATATTTAATGTCTCTTTGTAGCTATTTAGCATCTTCTATAATAATGGGTTCATTCTCGTCATCGTAATCTAACCTAATCTTGTAAGTACCAAACTCCAGAATAAGTTTGCTAAACAATTTGCTGGGAATAATAACAGTGTAGGGATGAATATAAACGATGCTATGGAGAAAAATGGCCAAAAACAGTAAGAATATTTCAATGATTTGATATAAACTGCTTTGGTATTAGGATGAATTTCTCCATGATCCCATAAAGTATTCAATATATTGAAAACAAGTTGAGTTAAAGGAGCCCCCACTAATTGATCAATTAAAATTCGATAAACCATATTGTCAAATCTAACGAATAAGATGTCTAACCATAATACTGTAAAACAACCATTAATTGATCCCCAAACTGCAAATTTACAAATCTTATTGTAATTCAATTTATGTTTCAGATATTGCGTTATGGATTGAGCCAACATGCCGGTAGAACATCCCAATAATGTTGGAGCTAATAGTCTATGAATTTTCAATATCTGATCATAATAATGATAGATAGCTACTGATAATGCGGTTTCAATAAGTAAATTAAGGATTAATTTCCTTTTGATGTATTTGGGTAAAGGATATAAATTAGAATCCAATCCTCTCTTTAATTCATCGAATTTTTCATTCTCTTTATAGTCTTGCAAGGGTATAGGTTTACTCATAACACTGAACCTAAATCAAACTATCGCGTGCGAATTTTTTCATCCACACGTGTAAAATGTGTCCCATCGCACTAAATTTAGTGACACACCCCGGTATTGATTTAGACGTATTTTCAGCCGCATGAGGTTGATAAGTAAACTGCTGAACCAGGTTTGGTAGTTCAAAGTTAAATAGACAGTTTACATCTAAAAGCTTTTCACGATGCTGATCAAAACAGGTTTCAATGGGTTACATATCAAAACAAGTAACTCCACACTGTGAATCACTTGTCTCTGAGAAGGGACTAGTTCAGCTGTTTCACCACCACCAATGATGACAAATCATTAACCTGGCTGCAATTTCCTAAAACCGAGTAAAACGGCCGCTCTTGAAAACCCGCCTCCCGTCAAAGGTTGGAAATAAAACATGTCAAAATGCATCCATATGCGAGGCTGACAAATAATCGATGTACCCGATAATTCAACCAAAGACGCTCAACCGTTCCGATCTCCCAAAGAAAAAAAAAACCAACTGTAGGAAATCTAGTAAAAACATCACTAAAACAGTGGTAACATCGAACTACTATCTGTTCATAATTGATAGTCGACTTCCAATAATGTTATATCAACTAATGGATTTAATTCTGTCTTATCTCTTAGAATTTTAGTGTTAAAAGACTTACGAGTTTTTCGCAGCTTTGCTTTCATTAACCGTTCAGAGCGTTTCATTAATAATCCTTAGATATAAATATGGACTAATATTCCCCCATTATAAGTGTACAAATCAATAAGCTAAAAACATGCCAGTCGTAGAGTTTAATAAAGAATCAAAAGACACAGACGAAAATGTTCTGGAATTGGCTTTCCAAGATAAGTATGAGGTTAAATTTGATGGAGAAGATGATAAGGAAGATGCTAAAAGATTATCAATGGCTCATAAATGGTTCATTGTTATAATGATCTCTATTGGTTCATTGTGTGTTACATGCTTGTCATCGATTTGGTCATTGGCAAGTGAAAATATCATGGATCACTTTCAGATAAGTCATGAAGTTAGTGTTTTAGGGATCTCACTTTTCATATGGGCTTTAGGTACTGGAGGAATTATTTTAGCACCAATATCTGAATATTATGGAAGGAAAATAACTTATACAGTAGGGTTATTCTTGACTTTAGTATTCAATTTTCTTCCTGAATTCAGTGAAAATATTGGTGGTGTTTTATTTGGTAGATTTATGTCAGGATTTTTTGCATCTTCATTTATGGCAGTTGCTTCAGGAACATTTGCTGATATCTTTGATAAGAATCAACTAGCTTCTGCCTTAGCATTATATACTGCATCACCATTCTTGGGTCCGGGAATTGGTCCTATTTTAGCAGGATTTATTAACGAAAATCCCAAAAACTTTAGATGGACATTTCATTGCATGACTATTTGGTTAGCAGCTGTTTTGGTTTTAGTGATTTTCACCGTTCCTGAAACTTATGAACCAGTGTTATTAAAAATGAAAGCTAAAAGATTAAGGAAAGAAACTGGTGATAATAATTATTATTGCCCTCTTGAAAAAAAGAACCAAACTTTGATGCAATCAATTAAGCTCAATTCATCAAGACCATTTGGTTTGTTATTTAAGGATAAGATGACCATTATCTTGTGTTTTTACACAGGGTTTGAGTTGGCTATAGTTTACCTCTTCTTTGTTGCATTTCCATACATTTTCGAAACAGTTTATGAATTTAAATTATATCAAGTTGGATTAGCATACTTGGGATTGATTGTTGGTTTACTCATAGGTTCTGTTGTAAGTCCCATCGTGAGCACTAGATCAATGAATCGTTTAGCTGAAAAAAATGGTGGACGTATAATTCCGGAATTCAGATTTTTTAGTGTCAAAGTCGGAATATTCATCACCCCTATTGGATTGTTCATACTCGGATGGACATCTTATTCACACGTTCATTGGATTGGACCAATTATTGGATCAGCAATATTCGGATTTGGAACCGTTTTCGTTTTCAACGGGATTTTTGGTTATACGGTAGATGCTTACAGATTGTATGCCGCATCAGCGATGGGATGTAATTCATTTGTTCGTTCAATTATGTCAGGAGTGTTTCCCCTTTTTGGAGTTCAAATGTTTTCAGGTATGGGGATTCATTGGGCTTGTACATTTTTAGCTCTTTTCTCATGTATATTGATACCCGTTGCCTTTTTATTCTCAAAATATGGAGAATCATTACGTAAACTGAGTCCATATGCTTGGGCTTGATAATATTGCGTTCTTCTCAAGTAGTATATCACAGTTACGAACGGGTAATTCCTATTCAAATAGACCGTGATGCATTAATAATCAAAAGGATTCAAATCCGATGTTTAAAGGCTCTTGGCACGATTGTGTTTCAATCAATCATGTCATATTATTTGCGATGTACCCAGGTCGTAAATGGTTACTCAGCCAGCGCGATTATACGATGGGCAATGACGTAGTGAGATTTTCCTTACAAAATGATATAACACTTCATCATTAATATGATAACTGATAGATTAATAGATCAAACTTATATATGAATATACTATGATTTCAAACCTTATATAAGATCTAGACCTCTGAAAGTTTGCATACGTAGCTTTTAAATTCCGAGATATTGGGATTTTGCGTTTTATGCAATACCTCTTGTTGGAGTTTCTTTTTTTAGCCTTGTTCTTATATAAGGGTACGTAATCACCAACTGGAGCTATGAATTTTTCAATTTTTTTAATAATATGGTTGGGGTTTATTAAGAGTACTTTTGGTCAGGGAATTTTTGCATATTCTATTGAAGTAGCATTGGATATTGATGGGAAATTAGATAATTGGCCTATAGTATTAGAATATGATGATCCTGGTACGTTTAAAGCTGGTGATTTAACATCACTTTCTAATATCAGATCTTATATAACTCCGGTTTTAACACCTTATGGACAATTACGGCTTAAGTCTGGTAATGTTACAGGATTTAACAGTGAAGGATTTCTTGGTTTAAAACCCGTTGATGAAGGATTTGGGTTCAGTTTAGATGATGATGAATTATTATATAATGATTCCAGTCTTTGGGTAGCTTGTCCAATCGAAAGAAATGGTAAAACAATCTATGGTATTAAATTTGATAGTAATTGTACTGATGGTTTTCCTACCAATTTAACTGTCATCAGTGAGGAATATATCTCAACCGAATTTAATCCTAAATCATTACAAACAATGATCCCTGAAAGTCCAGCTTCCACCAGTTTATCAGAAAATTCTTTCAAGTCTTACGATTATTCAACATTTGACTCATCAGCATCCCCAAAATTAAGTTGGTTCACATTCTTTTTGGCAATAGCATTTTCATCAATTTTAGCATAAACCAAAATAAGGTTAATACATTATCGGTCAATTATATCGGCCTAAAGGTTATTTTTATCCCTAAGATCTCTTTTCTTACTAGAATTTCTCTTACCAGGTCTTCTTTAGAGCTTCTTTCAATAGAGCCTCCCTATTTAGGAAACTGTACTTGAAACTTGTGTTTCAGATTAGCGGGACATTTTTCTTAGACAGTTCGAATAATAAATCCGGTCAAAGTTTGAGCTGAGCTTAAAGTTAAAAGCATACGACCGCTCGTATTATGCTGTATAAGAGGCACTCGTGGGTAAGCGGGTTCACTGAAACGGAATCAAATTTCACTTTTGATCTGTTCTACTGATGAATAAATTACTATTCCCACTCCTAATGCTGTCATATTATTGTTATACTTTCCAGGATACTGTTCACACCTCTTCACCAGATAGATTTCAATTGTGATCAAACAAGCACCACTCATATTTTACTTATATTTTGGATTGGTTGATCACCTCAGCAACTTCACTTTCATGATAAGCTCGAAATCTGTGATTAGAAATTACTAGAAACTTTCTCACTGAAAATTTCATCAATCTGATGGTGGTCCATAATCCAAATAATTGGTATGTAAAGTTCCTTTAACCCATAATTAACAACGATGTACTAACATTTAAGGCACTGGGTAGATAAAAATTGTCTTCCTTGGTCAAAGACTTATCTTGAAAATGAAATCGTAAACACTTCAATTGAAGAACAAGATCTTACAATTATCATCAAGAACTTGGATTCAATTAATGGAGATTGTGATGTTACACAAAGAAAGGGTAAGGTTAAATGTATTTTCGATTTAAACCTTGTTTTTGCTATTTCTGGAACATTAAATGAAGAAGAATTCAATGGTACAGTAACCATTGATGAATTCATGCATGATTTGGATGATGATGAATATAATTTTATCATAAACAGTTCCAACACTTCAGAAATTAAGAAACATTTGATCCCTGTGTTGAAGTCTAAGTTAATGAACTTCCAACCTGATTTGATCAAAGCTCATGAAAAGGACGTTCAACATAGTTCAAATTGAGCACTTATATAAGAGTATACCTTAAAGTATAATAGTAAATAGAATTTTTAGAATATATTACAATAAATGAATCATGCCTAATCAAAACCTTCTGGTACCCCTCTAGCATGTCTTAAAACACCATCTCTTGAACCCAAATATAATTCTGTAGCTCCAGTATCATTATACTCTCCATCAAAGTTATACCATGGAATATTACCATTTTCAATAGATGTCAAGAATTTGAAAGTATCAACATCACTATATGGAACACCAATACTTGGATCAAAGTATTTAACCTCTGTACCAGTAATGAGACATATTTTCTTATTTCCATTAGGTAAGTAAAGACCCAAAGGAGCTTCAGTATTGATTCTGATATTTGAATCATTATCATTGGTTTCAGTTGTTTCTTCAACAATTTCTTGTCTGATACCTAATTGAGGTAATCTATTTAATTCTTCAAACATGGCATTATCTTCAGTTAAATCCGTTACAGGAGTGAAAAGTTCATCTTTGGTTTCCTTTATTTTGGCATATGGATTACCAGCATTCCCAATTCTCAAAATGGTCTTCAAATCTTTGAATCTACGTGATCCTGTCAATGCAGCGTCTTCACCAAAAACGAATCTTTTCATATTGATATCATTTAAGGGTTTATCTGCAGTGAACTCTATCAAATTAATGTAGTTCCTACAAATTTTTTGAGCAGGTCCTTCAAATATCTCTTCCTCTTCTTCATCTTCGTTGTCTTGAGTATCAGTAACTTCTTCACTAGGTTCTTCGCTCATCTCTTTTATAGGTTCATTTGGTTCTTTGACCCCTTCAGCAAAAGTAACGGTTTTTCTAGTTTCTTCGTCTGTTTCTTTAGGTTCAGGAATTGGTTCTGATTCGGTTGTTTTGACTTCAGATATTTGTGATTCTTCTGTCACGAGTGACTTATCTTGGCCATTTTCTACAATACCATCTGATGACACTTGTTCATTTGTTCCATTTCGAGATTCCTCTATATGTCCATTTTCGACATTCTCTATATGTCCATTCTGAATTTCTACATCTTTATTTTCGTGACCATTGGCCTCGTTATTGACCCCCATATCTTTCATCTCCACATCGTTCATCTCCACATCTCTCATCTCCACATCTTTCACTTCTTCAGCTTCCTTACCATTTCCAACCACTTCACTTCCATTAACCTCTACGAGCCCATTTTCATTTTCAGCTCCTTCACTTCCATTGACTTCTACAGACCCATTACCATTTTCAGAACCCTCAGTGATATCGACAGATACAGCTATCTCAGCTTCCTCCAACTCTTTCTGTTTCTGTTCTTCTATATAATATGGTAAAGATTTATCAATTTCACCAGGAACTCTTGACAAATCAATATCATAATCTCTTTGAATCTTCTTCAAATTTCTCCTTTTGGATTTGGTGGTTAATGACCAATATAAGTTTCTGGCCAACTCAATTTCTTGGTTAGGCGTGATATACTCTTGAATACTTAAGAATCTGACTATATCCACCAATTTCTTCCTTCTCAGTTGAAGAAGATGTTTCTGCCTTTCCTTCTTCACAACTTCTTGTTGTCTGAATAACTCCAAAGATATGATATTTTGTTTTTCAGTTTCAACAGCTTCTGCTAATTTTTCTTCTTGAGTTAATTCTCTTTGTTTTATCCTTATTATAGGTGCTGTGTTTTCTCTACGTTTCTCATCTCTTCTTAATTTTTCAACCAAAGCTTCTTTATTCTCTATTGCTGAAGATCTGGAAGATTTTCTGACACTGCTCAACAAAGATTCACTAGTAACTCTTTTCTTGGGTTTAGGTTTGGCATCATTTTTGAACTTTTTGATCTGTGGCACCAACTTATTCAACTTCTTCCGTTTCTTTTGTTTTTCTTGCTTTTCCAATTCTCTTTCACCTTCATATTCATCGTCATCCGATAATGAAATATCTGAGTCAGATAAATCATGATCTGAATCTATGGGTGCGTCTGATAACAATTCATCAGCAGCATTTCCTTCTTCCTCTTCTTCCTCATCTCCTGCTTGTTCTTCGTCACCGTTTTCAACCTCCACATCGTTATTCTCGTTGTCTTCTTGATCATCCTCATCCTCTTCTTCTTCACTTTCACTTTCTTCAAACTCACCATCATCTTCATCTTCTTGAAACAACAAATTAACATTCTCATCATCTTCACTTATGAATTTTGACACGGAAGGCTTCGTATCATTCTCCAAGTCAAGTAATTGTCTTAATCTTGAACCAGCATTAGCCCTCCTTTCTCTAGTGGTGGTTAAGAATTCATCGTCTGACATGATAAATAATGAAAAATTCGAGTCGCACTTATTCTCATTAATGTTTAAAGGTGGTGTTAGAAATGCTAGGGTAATTACCCGAACCTCTGTGAGGTATCATCAAACAGGAACATCTGAATCTGAATTATCACATTTCAATGCATTAGCCAAATCTTGGTGGGATGTAAATGGTCCTCAAAGAATTTTACATAAGATGAACCTTTTAAGAATGGATTTCATAAGAGATAATATAAGAACTCACTTGAAATTGAATCCTCAAGATGTTAAACCTGAGGATGAAGTTTATATACCTCCATATAATGTCGATTTATTACCAAAACCCATTAAAGAAAACATTATATTGGATCAAGAGTTGAGAAGAAATGAAATCTTAGGAGCCAATAAATTGAAAGTTCTTGATGTTGGATGCGGTGGAGGAATATTAAGTGAATCAATGGCAAGATTAAGTTTTGTTGAGAGTGTTCAAGGTATAGATTTATCACCCGAAGTTATTGAAGCAGCCAAAGCTCATAAATTAAAAGATCCCATGTTAAAAGATAAATTGACCTATAATTTACAATCACTTGAGACCTTACAAGAAACTTTTGATGTTATCACATTATTTGAAATCCTTGAACATGTAGATTACCCAGCTCAAGTGTTATTGGAAGCTTTGAATAGAGTAAATGTTGGAGGTTGGTTATTTTTATCAACTATAAATAGAGATTTCATAAGTTGGTTTACTACAATTTTTATGGGTGAGCATGTTTTAAATATCGTACCTGTAGGAACTCATACTTTAGATAAATATATTAATCATGGAGAAATTGAATCATGGTTAAAAGAAAATGGTGATAAGTTCAAATTAGTAGATTCTAAAGGATGTATTTATTTACCTAGTTATGGATGGAAATTCACATCAAATGAAAAAGTTGGTAATTATTTCATGGCCATTCAAAGAATTCAATAGAATTATTAATGACTTTAAGAATTGAATAATGTAAATAGATCTATAAATATATTAATTAGCAATTTTAGCTGGTTCTTCACTTTCATCAATAAAGGTTGGAACTTCAGAAGGTGTTTCATTCAAATAACTTGGCATACTTATACCATCATTAAATTCATTTTCAAAATCCATTTCTTCACCTAAAGCATCCAATTCAGCATCTAATTCACTTTCACTTATATCATCAGGAATATCATTTGTCATCGATAAACTTTCTTGTAATTCATTTGATTTATCAATTAAGTCCAACATTTCATCTTGCAAACTTTCAATCTTATCAATATCAATTTTACCATAAGTTTTCTTTAATTGTTTATTTGCTTGTTTCATTGCATCTACTGTAATCATAGTATTTTGTAAATTATCAGTTGTCATTGCTGCTTGAGTCATATTCCAACTTTGATTTTCCAATTGATCTTTTTGTCCTTCAATTTGTTTACGTTGTCTTAATAACTTTAAAGCTTTTTGTTTTAATGCACTCTTACCTGGACCATCCCTCATTCTTGATATCTTTTGTTGATAAGTAGATAATTCACTATTTATTTTCGATAATTTCACATCTAATGATCCAACTCTTTCATCTATATTCTTAACTGCATCATTTAATGATGGTTTAGGTACTGAACTTTTAGATCCAAATAATCTATTCATTGATTCCTTTTATCTCACAAAATGACCTTTTCTGATATAATGTCGTACAGATGCAACGCAACCTCACTTTTTTTTCTTTTGAAGTCTTTTTTTGACCCCGTCGCGACATATGTCGCATTTGACTCCTTTAACGGGGTGATATTTCATCATTTTGAGTGATTGTTACTCACACAGAAGTTTTAGATAAAGAACCAAAAAATTTTCAAAAAGTATCTAAAATGGTTAAAAAGAATTATCATATAGAGACCGAATTGGTGTTAAGTAAAAGTGATGATCAACATAATGCATCAGTACCACCATTATATCAATCAGCAACTTTTAAACAACCTTCATTACATAATATGGGTGATTATGATTATACAAGATCTGGTAATCCAACCAGAACCTTCTTACAAAACCAAATATGTAGAATTATGAAAGCTAATCATGCATTTGCTGTAACAAGTGGAATGGGATGTTTAGATGTTATTACAAGATTATTAAGTCCTGGTGATGAAGTAATTGCTGGTGATGATTTATATGGTGGAACTCATAGATTATTAACTTATTTACATAATAAAGGAGATATCAAGTTATTCCATCATGACACAACTAATACTGAATTGATCAAATCCAAGATATCAAAATCAACCAGAATGATTTTCTTAGAAAGTCCAACTAATCCATTAATGAAAGTTTGTGATGTCAAATCAATAACTAAACATGCCAAAGAAGTTAATCCTGATATAATTGTGGTTTTCGATAATACTATGATGTCACCAATATTAATGACTCCTTTAGATTTAGGAGTAGATATTCAATATGAATCAGGTACCAAATATCTTAATGGTCATCATGATATTATGGCAGGTATAATTGCCACAAGAGACACTAAATTAGCAGAAAAAATTTATTTCGTTATTAATTCAACTGGTTGTGGATTATCACCATTTGATTCTTGGTTATTATGTAGAGGTTTAAAAACTTTATCAGTAAGAATTGAAAAACAACAACAAAATTGTTATAAAATTGCTGAATTTTTAAATAATGTTGGTTTCAAAGTAAGATTCACAGGATTAAAAAATCATCCTCAATATCAATTACATAATTCAATGTGTAAAGGAGCTGGTGCAGTTTTAAGTTTCGAAACTGGTAATATCAAAATATCGGAAAAAATCGTTGAAAGTACTGAAATTTTCGGTATAGCTGTATCTTTTGGATGTGTTAATTCATTAATATCAATGCCTTGTTTAATGTCTCATGCTTCAATTGATGCTAAAACTAGGGAAGAAAGAGAATTCCCTGAAGATTTAATCAGATTATGTATCGGTATTGAAAATTGTGATGACTTAATTGATGATTTAACTAAAGCTTTATTAAAGAGTGGTGCTGTTAAATTAAATTCCAAAGATGAATTATTCAATGCTGTTGCCCTTCAATCCAAACTTTAGCATAGTCAATAGATTTGATTTAGATAACTTTGACATTCTCAAAACTCTCAAACTTCTCTTAAGAACGCGCTTTCGCGTTAAATTCTTAATTTTATAAATCACTTTAAAGAACTATGACTTCAGAATCTATTATTGATAAAGGGTCTTTGATGAAGATGTACTCTGTTACCGACAGAAAGAAGTATTTAGATACCCCCTTTGTTGTTCAAGTAATCAATTTAAAATATTATGATGATGCTCTTCATAGAGTTAGAGTTATTATGTATGATGGTACTTATAATTCTCATGGAGTTATTAGTCAAGCAGTAGCTTCAAAATTAGAAGGTCAAGGATTCAAGAAAGGTTCAGTTATTAAAGTTTCAAAACATCATCCTAAAGACAGTCAAAAATTCTTTAGTTATTTAGATGATGTTGATGTTGTAGAAGCTGATTATCCTATTAATATCACCGAAACCATGAAAGTTAGTGATTATTTTGCTAGTAATCCAGAAATGAATTATTATCAACATCATCCTGATGAAAGAACTTCTAATGATAGTACTAATCAAAATACTGATCAAAAATTTGCTTCTCCTGCACCTTCAAATCCAGTTGCAACTAAACCTAAATCAAATGCTAATTATGGTAATGTAGTTCCAATTGAATCATTATCACCATATCAAAATTCTTGGACTATTAAAGCTAGAGTTTCATATAAAGGGGATTTAAAAACTTGGCAAAATGCTAGAGGTTCAGGTAAATTATTTAATATTAATTTACTTGATGAAAGTGATGAAATTAGAGCTACTGCTTTTAATGACGTAGCAGAAAAATTACATTCAATGTTAGAAGAAGGTAAAGTTGTTTATGTTAGTAAAGCTAGAATTCAAGCTGCTAAACCACAATTCTCAAGATTAAGTCATCCTTATGAATTATCATTAGATCAAGATACTATAATTGAAGAATGTTTTGATTCTGTTGAAGAAATTCCTAAATTACAATTCAATTTCACTAAATTAGATCAAATTCAAAAAGCTGAAGCTGATGCAATTGTTGATGTTATTGGTGTTTTAAGAGAAGTTAAACCTGCTTTCCAAATTACTTCTAAAAAAACTGGTAAACCTTTTGATAGAAGAGATATTTCTATTGTTGATAACTCTAATTTTTCTATCACTGTTGGGTTATGGAATAATACTGCTATTGATTTCAATATTGGTCAAGGTTCAGTAATTGCCTTAAAAGGTTGTAAAATTCAAGATTTTGGTGGTAGAAGTTTAACTTTGACTCAAACAGGTTCAATTTTACAAAATCCTGATACTCCTGAAGCTTATCAATTAAAAGGATGGTATGATAATCAAGGATCCAAAGAAACTTTCCAAACATTAAAAACCGAAGGAAATAGTAATAATTATATTAATTCAAGAAAATCAATTTTACAAGCTCAAGATGAAAATTTGGGTATGAATGAAAAACCTGATTTTTTCAATGTCAAAGCAACTATTAATTTCTTCAAAACTGATACTTTCTGTTATCCAGCTTGTAATAATCAAACTTCAAGTACTTCACAAGGTCAAATGAATACTTGTAATAGGAAAATCATTGACCAAGGTAATGGAACTTGGAGATGTGAAAAATGTGATATTGAATATGAACAACCTCATTATAGATATATTTTGAATTGTTCAATTATGGACGCTTCAGGTCAATTATGGACAACATTATTTGATAATGAAGCTACCAAAATTTTCGGTCAACCTGCTAATGAATTATACAGATTAAGTAATGAAGATAATGATCAATTCAAATCTATTGTTGAAAATGCTACTATGAAAGAGTATGCTTTCAGAATCAAAGCTAGATCAGAAACTTATAATGGTAATACTAGAATTAGATATCAAACTTCCGCTATTTTCGATATTGATTTCATCGCTGAATCAGAATTTTTAGCTAAAGAGTTGGAACAACTTTTATAGTATGTTTTTTTGTGTATAATGATTATAATTGTTTTATGAATTTGTTTGTAATTAATAAGATCGAGTATTAAATTCTATCAACCCATTAGCATTTAACCAGAATTGTTTCAAAACATCATTGGCATTTCTATGTCCTCTTGTGACCATAAGTTTATTGACAAACATTTCCTTTTCTTTATCATCGATCTTGATATTTACAACTTTGATGATGTCTATAAGCCATGGTTTGAAGTTTAAGGAATATTTACCTATCAATTGTCTGAATATTGGATAATAGTAATCGAGTAATGATCTTGGACATGCTAGGAATGTTACTACTAAAGTTTTGGTTAATAATGAACCCAAATTTTCGGTTATTAATAAGGATTTCATCAATTGTTGGTCTGTGCTTGAACCTTTCTTCATCAATAACATCGATACCCAAAATTTGGATACTGATTTAATGATAGGCGATTCTTTTGCACTTAAACCATTGATACCAAATTCAACAATAGTTTTGAACACCGGTAAATTGATTAAGATCCCAGGTTTCTTATCTAAGATCAAACTGAACAAATCAATGGAAGTACCTATCAAATCAGGATCGGAATTAATCATGGATAACTTATCTAAGAAGATCTCATTGATGAGGGTAGTGATAGTATCTTCATTCAAAACATTACTGTTTGTAATAACGATAGTTTCAACTAGTCTGAATAAGTAACTTATGGATAAGGCATCACAATATTGTGATTTCTTTATAATGTATTCGAAAATGATTGATATTTCAAATTTAAAAGGTCCACTGATGGGTTCATTTAAACCACTTTTCAATATTTGGCAACAAGTTTCGGTGATACTTGAATTATTAATAAATGGAGTGAATAATAATGAAAATTCATTAATGATAGTGAAAATTTTGGATTTGATTGAAAACTTATCATCTTGCCAATACTTATTGATGAGATTAATTTCTTCATCAGTGAAAATATCCTCTACTTCTTCAGAAAGAATACTGGCTTTACCACATTCTTCAATACATCCCAATAAGGATAATAAATACTCTTCGATAGTTTCCAAATCTTCTTGTAAATTATCATTATTTATCAATTCCATTATATGAAGAGATTTATTCTCGATAATATTTAAAATCTCAAGCAAATTCTTACCGAAACTTGAAGGTAATTCATTAGCAGCTATGGAAATGAAAGAATTCACCATTCGTTTTCTTATCAAATTATCAAAATTTGAATTTTCAATCATTTCTATAACTAAAGGTTTCAAATTGGGTATGAATGATTTGAGACTATTTTTACATTCTTGACAAATATGAACAATAGTTTTGGAGGCATTCAATGATAATGATAAGTCTGATTTCAATATGATAGTGAATAGTATATCGAAGATATACCCCAAATAATTCGATCCATTGGGAGTCTTCAAATAAAATTGCACCGAAGATATATAATTCATGAATGTAAGTAGAATATAAGGATTCTCAACAGTCGAGTTGAATGCTGTTAACAAATTATTGGAGAAAAGTTGATTTATGAAAGGTATTAAAGAATTACTTTGGGATTCATAAAATGTACAATCTTCATTGATCTTATAAAGTATGAATAATGTAGATTCCAATTCAATTAATTGATTGTTGGTGATTTGGCTAATGGCCACTTGGGTTAAACTTTCATAGAATGGTAATTTTAATAACAGGTAAACGTTGGAAAAGAAATCACCCACATTGGATTTGAAGTATAAGAATTCTGATTTATTGGCTTGTAATACTGGTAATGGAGGAAGATGGATTTTCTTCCAATATATGTTACACACAGTGTTACATAAATCATTCCTTTCATTATAGAAAACTTGTTTTTGAAGGGAATCAAGGGAATGTTCATAGATTTCTTCATTATCAATGAACACATTGAAGAATTCATCCCAGAAAGTTAAGAATTGGGAGCTGACTTTCTCTTCAACAACAGCCATTCCTGGAAAATCTGTTAATTTGATGAGAAGATTCAAAATGTACTTGTTTATAGGTAATGATAAATTCTTAGTTATAGATAATGATTCCAATTGAACGAATTGAATGATCAAATTAATAACATTTAATATCTCTTGTTCTAATTCTTCATTCGATATGAACTTGGAAATGAAAACTTGACCCCAATTACCTTCTTCAAATAACATACTTCTCAAGAAATTCTTTCTATCACCTTTTATCATATTAGGATTGATTTCCAAAATATCTGTGAGTATGGTGATGGATTTATTGATAACTTCAACTTCATGGTATTCGGGATCATTTGAAGTTTCAAGGGATTTGACATTGAAATTCCGAAACACATAATCTATAAGACTTTCAACATCATTATATCTCACTTTAGATTGACTTTCAGCTAACGATATATATGTTATCCATGAAGTCAAGCAATCTAAAATCTGTAATTCTAGATCTTCAGGCATACCCTTATCATAATGTTCATAAATGACCCTGAGATTCTTGAAGATACTTTCATATACTGCTTCATGTATATTCATGAGTTTCTCTTTCTTGATCAATTCTTCCACTACAATAGAACTGAACATGATAATGACCGACACCATAGAATGTCCAATGGTCCCAATGGTTTGTTGTAAGTCTGTATTATTGGTTGAAAGGCTCAACAATCTTTCAATTGGGTTATTGTATTGTTCATAGTTGAAAATGAAAAGTAATGCCAAATTACTCAAAAGTTTTTTAACAACCATGCCATTTGAGTTGACTATGTGACTTTGTAATTCATTAATCAATGATTCTAAAGTATCAGGATCAAACTTTTGCGTTCGGTTGATGATAACAGTGTATGTTAAAGCACCGAAATATTGATGATTCTTCGATGATTGATTGAGAAGGCTACTTGCAAGTTGTCCATTATCTAGTTTTTGGACCGTAGTAAGATCATTCTGAATCCTCTGTATCTCCTGAGGGTCCTTGGATGTATATAGTCTATCGATACTAGATAGAACATGGGATAGTTCGTATGACATGCAATGATTGAGATTATATGGTTTAGTGAGATGCAAGGTATGAGCAGTCACGTGAGTAGATTGAGTTTGAAAAATTTAGTTAACATTTACAATAAGGCTTATTTGAGGTCTTAGTTCAGAGTTAAGTTGATACTGCTTTTTAAAGGAGAGAGTTATGGATATTATGGCGGTGTAAGAGATTTAAGTGATGTAAGTCTTGAATCTCTTGTTCTAAAGTCAGACGACTTTCGGAGTTTCGGAGTTTTCAGCAGTTGACTTCATAGAAAGAGAGAAGTTCGTCATTTATAAGCACGAATGAGCTTGAATTCATCAATCTAATCCTCCAATTCTTTATAATTAGGTGCATATAAAAATGCTGGGTCAGGTGATGACTTTTGCAACCTCAGGGTTCAATCTTTCGACTTGGCTGAAATTGATGGAATTGCCAATAAGTCCAACGAAAACAACACCTAAGCACAAGTACAATGACTTTCAACATATCCACCCCGTTAAAGCTCTTCTACTGAAGTAATTTCACAAACTATGCCGCTTTAATGTATGGTTGCCTATCTTAATGCTGGCTATGTCGCAGAGCATCATCTCTAATTTTGACTTAAACTCCGTGAATCAGATTCACAATCTCTTGAAAAGTCACAAAAGCTCTGTCTATTACCCTTGATAATGCCCTGTATCCTCCCGAAATTCCACTCACCTTTCTGATTCACTCCAACTACCAGTACTTTCACTGTCAAAAATGTCGTATCGGATATCATCGATGTCGGGCTTATTTATAAAACGAGCAAATGGTGGAATGTTTTTTTGTAAAGTTACATAACGAGAGGATATGAGAAGAGCTCAGTGTAATAATTGTACCTGTTCCCCAGGTTTATTAGCTAGGAATAACAGAAGAAGTTCTTTAATAGCCAGACAAATCCATTTAAAAAGAACCGGAAGTTCCAGTGGTTCTAGACCAGGGTCAAGAAAAGGATCAGTTTTCAGTATTGACCCATCAGTATTATGTGAACCAGAAGCTAAAGAAGTTAACACTTCAAAGAGATTAGAAAAAGTAAGAAACTTAATGGAAGAATACAACTTAGGAGTTTACATTGTTCCAAGTGAAGATGCCCATCAAAGTGAATATACTTCAAGTATTGATCAAAGAAGAAGTTTTATTTCAGGGTTTCAAGGTAGTGCTGGGGTTGCTGTTATAACAAGAGATGTTACCTGTATGAATTCTACACCTGAAGGATTAGCTGTTTTATCAACTGATGGAAGATATTTCAATCAAGCATTAAATGAGTTAGATTTCAATTGGACTTTATTAAGACAAGGAGCAATGAATGAACCAACTTGGGAAGACTGGTCTATTGATCAAGCTATTCAGTTATCTTTAGATTCCGGTAGTAAGATTAATATTGGTGTGGACCCTAAATTAATTACATATCAAAGTTATTTAAAATTTACAGAAATTATAAGTAGAAAATTAAAATTAAGTAAAAATGTTAAAGCTGAAGTTGAGTTTGTTGCTATTAAAGATAATTTAATCACATCTATTTGGGATCAATTTGAACCATTACCAAAATCAACTGGTGAAGCCATTAAATTATTGGATTTGAAATATTGTGGAGAATCTTTTGAAAGTAAATTGAATAAAATAGTTGACCAAATTAAGAAGAATAACGGTAATGCATTGATAATTTCATCATTAGATGAAATCGCTTGGTTACTTAATTTAAGAGGTAATGATATTCCATATAATCCATTATTTTTCAGTTATTTAATAATAAATTCTTTGAATGAAGTTATTTTATTCATTGATAGTAACAAAATATCTTCAGAAGTTGAAAAATATCTCAATGAAAACAATATCAAGATCAAACCATATGAAGAATTTTGGGATTATTTATTCAATTTATCAAAAGATTACAATTTGAAAGGTGAAAAACTCTTGGTTAATCAAAATGTTTCTTGGGAAATAGTAAGAAGTTTGAAATGTTCATTTACTCAATTATCAAGATCCCCTATTGAAGATTTGAAATCTATTAAGAATGAAATCGAAATTAAAGGAGCCAAGAATGCCAATATTAAAGATGGTAGAGCTTTATGTAAGTTCTTCTCTTGGTTGGAAAATGAAATTATCTTAAAAGGTGAAATATTGGATGAAATTCAAGCTGATTTAAAATTAACCGAATTCAGAAAACAAGAAGAAGATTTTGTTGGATTATCATTCAGTACAATTTCATCATCAGGTGCAAATTCTGCTATTATTCATTATAGTCCATCATCAACCAATTATTCTATGATAAATCCTGATAGTATTTATTTAAATGATTCAGGTTCTCATTTCTTAGATGGTACTACTGATACCACTAGAACCATTCATTTAACTACCCCAACATCTTTACAAAAGAGAAATTATACTTTAGTCTTGAAAGGGGTAGTAAGTTTATCTTCCTTAGAATTCCCAGAAAACACCTTAGGTTCATATTTGGATTCTATTGCTAGACAACATTTATGGAAATACAACCTTGATTATGCTCATGGTACATCTCATGGTATTGGATCTTACTTAAATGTCCATGAAGGTCCTATGAGTATTGGTTTAAGACCTAGTGCTTCCACTACTTCTATAAAACCTGGTAATATCATATCTAATGAACCAGGTTATTATGAAGATGGTGAATATGGTATTAGAATTGAAAATGATATGGTTGTTGTTGATACCGGTAAGATTTATAATGGTAAGAAATTCTATAAGTTTGAAACTTTAACTAGAGTTCCATTCTGTAGGAAATTAATTGATACCAAATTATTAACCAAAGAAGAGAAACTTTGGATAAATGAATTCCATAAAACTATATGGAATGATTTATCAACTTCATTCACTAAAGGTTCCTTCGAGTATAATTGGTTATTAAGAGAAACCACTGCTTTATAATATCTAATATAAGTGAAATATTTATTTCTTTTACTCTTTATTTTTGGATATCTCTATAATGGATGTCACTTATTATGGATGTTACACAAAATCAAACTACCATGCGCATTGTCCAATCAAATCGCATTAATCATTGCTTACCTTTAATTGTGATTTAATGCGAAATCGTCACAGCAAAAATTCTCATTAATAATGATCAGAACAAGAATTATAAATAGTGGAAGATTGAATTTATTTAGATATATATCTAATGAAACCGAAGCTGGTAAGAGATTCATTCAAACCATACCTATAACAAAAGAAAAACCAGATTTTTATCAATCTTTAAATTTAAATAATTTCAAAAGTAAGAATAATAGAGATACTACCAATTCATTATCCAGTTCAAAATGGTCTAGCATTAAAACTGAAAAGGAAGTACCTTTAAGAAGATCTAGAACATCAAGATTCAAAAAACTAGAAGAACATAAATTTGAAAATAATGAACCAAAAGTTAATTTACAAACTACATCAAATATTAAAGTTAAAGAAGATAATGTTGTTGAAGAAAAACAATCAATAGCATCCACAACTACAGAATCCACAATTGCTAGTGAAGGTACAATTGAAAAACCTAAGAAGAAAAGAAGAACTTTAAGACCAAGAAAAGCCATAATAACTTTATCTCCAACAGCTGTTGAACATTTAAAAGGTTTATTAGAAAAACCTGAAGGTAAATATATTAGAATTGGAGTTCAAAATAGAGGTTGTTCAGGGTTAACTTATCATTTAGAGTATGTCAATGAATGTGGTAAGTTCGATGAATTAGTTGAACAAGATGGAGTTAAAGTTTTTGTTGATTCAAAAGCTCTTTTCTCAATTGTGGGATCAGAAATGGATTGGTTAGATGATAAATTATCATCAAGATTCATTTTCAAAAATCCAAATTCAAAAGGTACCTGTGGATGTGGTGAATCATTCATGGTTTAATCATACCTTTCCATTGCATTATTTTAGCATTTTATGACTCATAGATTTAACGAATAAAACATTTATATTTACTCCTTGTTATCAATATCTCTAAATTCATATGTCTGGGTAATTTCCAAGCCAAGCACATCGATACCGATTCGGGGTCGACATGTCGTTAGATTCTTCGATGTCGTGATGTCGCTGGCTGCAAATTTTATGAAATTATTCATATTTGTAAACTTTCAAAGATTATCCACATGTAGAGATAATCCACAAATAGCCTTGGTTAAGGATAAATAACTGCTTTTCGCTGTTATATTTCTTATCTTTTTTATTGTTCACAGAAAGTAAAGATTTAAGAACAAAATGAAAATTAATCAATTATTAGTATTATCATTGTCAGTCATCCATGTCTTAGGAGGTAAAGCTCCCAAGATTAAGAAAAACCCAGCTGACGTTATTGCCATTGCTGATTTCCCAGCTTCAGGTGATAAGAATGTTAAAGGAAATGTAGTTTTTACTGCCAAAGAAGGTAAGATTGTTAATGTTCATGTTGATATGACAGGATTACCAAAATCAGGTGGTCCTTTTGTTTATCATATTCATGAATTCCCCGTTCCTCCTAATGGAGATTGTGAAGCTGTTGGTCAACACTTTAATCCTTATGATGCTCCACCAGATTGTAGTAGTCAAAAATCTGACGCTCATTGTCAAGTAGGTGATTTGAGTGGTAAACATGGATGGATTAATACTACTTGTTTTGAAACTAAGTATGATGATAAGTTTTTAAGTTTAGATGGTAATTCAAAATCAAGTATTTTGGGTAGAGCTTTAGTTTTCCATTATGATAATTTATCAAAATTTGCTTGTGCTAATATTGTGGTAGCTGATACTGGTAGAATTCAAAATTTAGAAACTGAATATATCAAGAATGGTAATGAAGACTTGAATGAGTTACAAAAGTTTGTAGCATCCAATTATGTGTTTGAAGGAAGTGAAGAAGTGTTTGAAAAAGATGATGAATTAAAACAAAGGCATTTGGAATCAAGTCATAATCATACTGATGATTCAGATGATGATTGTGATTATAAAACCAACCATTCTAATAAAACCAACATTTCATTGAATGGTTTAGAGTGTGAGAATGGTGGTTCGTCTTTCACCTTACCAATTATTTCTACCTTGATGGGTATATTTGGTGGTTTATTAATTTAAACATATATTAAAATATATACAGCTATTGAATCTTTCTACATTCAAAATAAGTAGCATTAATATCATCAGGTAATGAACAGAAATACTCCAATTTCTGCATTTGTTTGAATAATTGTATGGAATTATATTGCAATTTTAAACACGTTTTGCCTCCATTACCATCTTCAGTACAAATAATACTGGTATCAACGTCTTTTTCACCATCAATAACGAACAAATTAGTTGGCTTACGAGACACGAATTTCGTAACTGATTCATTCATTTCATTTGTTGATGTTGATTTGAGTTCTCCTATAACTAAATTATTCTTGTCGACTATTTGATTCAAAGTATGATTAATATCAGTTTCTTGAGGGTTTAAATTATTAGGATCCAAATCTTTTGTATTGGCCAAATTCAATGGTTGATGGGATTTTTGTGTCAATGGAGTAGTTTCCGAATTGGAGTTGGCTTTAGATCTAAACCAATTCATGGCAACTTGAGAATTACAGAATTTCGCAGCGATGGGTGAAAAATATGGGGATATATCATAGCATTAAATTATATGAATTATTCAACATCATTAAATTCAATTCATAATTATGAAATCCTATAATACCAATTTTTGATAATGTTGATTTGAAATTCTTCTTGGATATCTCTTCAGGAAAATTTTCATACAATTCCTCTGTTTCTTTAAACCATTTATAGGATGTATCGTACTTAATGTCATCAGGTTTTGATAATTGCATATCTAGAATTGTTTTTATGATTGACCGTTCCATTCTCTGAGGTTTCTTGACATCTTGGATGAAATTGATAGGTTTTTCAGGGATATTTTCCGGTAAAGCTACAGTGGCATTATTCACAAAACTTAGGGTATTGATAAACCTTTCGAACATATCATCGTTATTTAAGGGTGACTGGTCTATCATAGCTAATCTCTTGTTAAAATCTTCTCGAGTGAATTTCCATCTTAAAGTATCAACATATCGATTGATTTCTCTTGTATCATTAGATATGTAGTTCCGTAAACGGTAAAATCTCTTATATAAACAAAGATACTTTGATTTATCAGACGGTAGTTGTTGTAGGTATTGATATGTGACGGGTTTATTTATAGCTTTTAGCACGAATAAACCATTTCTATTGAAAATGTGATCTATCATTTGATGAGATAATTTGAGATTGATAAGTGCGTAGGATTAGTATCATGGAGTCTTTATCAGTTCAATATAAGAATCTTTGTGGTTCAATTGATACGGCAAGAAGCACGAAAGGGAATGAATGTACCGTGGCAATGTTCCCGGCTAGAAACCTTGTAGTACGTACCCAAATCAAGATTTAAGGAATTTTGCAACCTATACTAACTGGCAGATTTCTTTTACTATACGTATAAATCATCATAACTTATATCCTAAGTATCAAAAATTGACTGAAATATTTGAAAAATGTATTCTAGAGAGTGGTCTTTGGGAATTACTTGGATATCAAATAGATAGTTTCAATTTAGAGAATTCCATTGAGTTCCAAATATGTTGCAAAAAAACAGGAAGAATAATAGAGGATTTGGGTGATTCCGAAGAAATTGGTTTCTTAAATCGATTAGATTTGACCTTCAGCTTTATAAGTGAACTGCCGTTTCAGATAATGGATCTTTTAACTGTTTTCAATTATCTTACCGGTTCCTTAATATTAAACCTCGAAAGAATTTATCCCTTAGTGTTCTCTTATTATGGCAGATTATTCTTTTGTTTGAACTTTGAATATTTCAAGCAAAATCTTTCATTGATTCAACAATTACCTATCACCGAACCTGACATCCCCAGTGATATCTATCTTCATAATCTGATCCAACTAATTAAAATAGCCATGGAAAGTTTCAATTCCATCAATATAATGAAAAGTAATAAACTCAAGACATACCGTTTGAAAGATACCCCTAAAGAAACTTTTGAGAATCTAGACCAACTCCTTCATTGTCTTACCTTCATTGATCCTGAATTATTCAAATCATTAATCGTACAAACCTTCGAAATAGTGTCTTTATCAGATCACAATGAGGTTTCCTAAAGCAGAGTAAATATAAACATTAAAAAAAATGAGACTCACAAGTTGAAGGGTCTTAGAAAATATCAATTTAAATCATTTGTTTTATCCCAAAGATATCTTTTCTTTTTTCCATTCCTTTTCAAAAACTCCTTATAGAGTAGCATAAGTCCTATCATCAGATGTCATTTTTACAAAATTTAAATACACATAGTTTAAGAACCACAAGAGGATTTAAATTGAAACAAACATCACCCATTTCAAGTCCTCAACCAATTTCTAATTCTGTCTTCCCCCATAGTCCTTCAAGGATCCCAGATCAATATTCTTCTCAGGTTGATTTACAACATCCAAGAAATTCTTATCAAACACCTCAACAATCACCTCAACAACCTTATCAAACAATAAATTTACAAAATGGTGGACAAGGTCAAAATGTAACTTCTCATAAAGATATCAGAAATTTTGCTGAACAAACTTTAGGATCACAGAATGCTTTAGCTCAAGCAGTAAAACTACCTGAAGATGAAGATTTAAATGAATGGTTAGCTGTTCACGTAGTTGATTTTTATAATCAAATCAATATGTTATATGGGGCTATAACAGAATTTTGTTCTCCTAAAACATGTCCAAGAATGATTGCTACAGAAGAATATGAATATTTATGGCAAGAAACCAATCCTAGTTCTAATGGTATACAATCATCTCCTAAAAGACCAATTTCATTACCTGCTTGTGAATATACTGAAAATTTAATGAATTGGATTCAAGGTTTTTTCGATAATGATAATATTTTCCCTTCTAAAATGGGAGCTCCTTTCCCTCAACAATTCCCATCTTTAGTTAAAACTATTTTCAAAAGATTATTCAGAATTTATGCCCATATCTATTGTCACCATTTCCATGAGATTTGTGAGTTAGGGTTACAATCTCATCTTAATACAAGTTTAAAACATTATGTTTTATTTAGTAAGGAATTTGGTTTGATTCAACAAAAGGATTATGGTCCATTGGAAGATTTAGTTGAATCAATGTTACAGGGTTAATTTTGGGTTTAGAAGGTGAATAAATGTTGGTTATCTATAAATTCTATAAAAGTTCGATTTCTGCCATAAGACAAAAATGATCCGATGGATATTGTCCTATACGAGGTTGACCTGAGGGCTCTTCTCCCATTTCTTCACCTCTAGGTAATCTTAATAACTTAAGTAATCTTATATCATCACGATTGGCTACCTCTTCAATGGTATCCAATTTCGTTGCATTGGATGAAGCGTCCCAATTGGTAATCACCATGATATAATCTAATAATCCTCTCCAAGCATGAGCCCAATTGGAATACATTGGTTCGTTTCTAGCGTTGTCTTTCCCAGCATTTTCACCATCGACTTTATCATAAGCTAAAGAATATAAAGAAACTGCTCTTACAGGTAAATTGTTGTGCAAATCTTGCATTTTAGCAATGAGTTCGGATTGTTCTGGTGTTGGATCGAATGTTTCCGGAACTGGATGTTGTGGTTGATTACTTCCAAATTTTTCCACGTTTCCTCCCTCTTCCTCTTCTTGCTCTTCTTCATCTTCATTTTCTTCGTTTGTTTCTGAATTGTCGGGTTTGCTGTTCATACCTCTATTCCTGGAATATTGATATGATAAACTACACCCGATAACATTCTTAGCTCTGTCTGTATAGTCAACTGGTTTAGAAACTATAGACAAATAAGGAGAATCAAATGGCTGAGAATTGAAATCTCCAGCAAAAATAGTATACCAACCCAAATCATTACCACTTAATGAGTTCATGGTATTCAAGAAATCCTTGGTCTTCTTTAAAATCAAATAAGTTTGACGAGTTCTTTCATAAGTACCAAAAGGATGCCAGAATAAATGAGTGGTACCTATAATTAAACCATTTCTGGAGATCTGTGCATCTTCAATGAATTTTGGATGGAAATCAAAGCAAGCCAATAACCCTATGTTCTGAGTGATTGTTCTGGCAGGTATATCACCACTCTCTTCTCGGTCGTAATCTATAAAACTTTGATGTTTGAATATGAGTTTAGATTGTTTGTAGAAGATACATACACCATGATTCTTCACTGGGTTTCGGAAATAATTACTTTCATAACCCAACTTGAGTAGCTCTGATTTCCAATAACTCTTATATTGAATAAAATCAAGCTCTTGTAAACACATAATGTCAGCATCATAATGTTTCATCTCATTCAAAAGTACTTGAGATCTAGTGGCCCATTTCAAAGCATTTCCACTAGTAGGAAATAATTTTCTTCTGATTAATGCTTGTGCAAGTACATTGTATGTCATAATTTTCAAAGAAACTTTCCCTTGGGTAGTTTCCACATTTGAAACGGAAATAAAAGGTCTAGTATTGAATCTAAGAATTTCTGGAGTATCTAACTGAGACTCATCTATACCTTTTTCCAAAAGTTCTTTCCTTTTTTGCTCTTTTTTCAAATTCCTTAATCTCCTTTGCTCTTCTATATACTCGGGCGTTAGTTTGGAAGGATCAACAGCTTTCTTTGTTTTCTCTTTCTTCAGCTTCTTTTCATTTTTTGGTGTTAAATGCAGCATCAAAAATTCGCACATTTCAGAAGTAGTTGTCACCATCAAATACAATGATACCTGCTGATGTTACTCAGTGTTTAACCATACTTGATGGATTACAAGATCAAGTCTTTGATAGATTTGAAGATATTGTCAACATTGGCGACCCATTGACTGGAGGATCAGTAGAGTCTATCGATTTTATTCGATCTTCAATCTCAAAAGATGCTACCAAATTAATTGGCAAGTTCGAGAATACGTTGAATATTCTTAAGATCAAAGTAAATAATTATATCGGTACATTTGATGTGGACCATGATCGATTGAAAATAATTTTCGAGTTATATCAAGACAAATTATCTAATTTGAAACACCAATTAAAGGAAACTGAATTGAAATCGTATAGATTAGAAGAAGAGTTCAATCACAAACAAAGAATGAAAAGCTTCAGCAAAGTTCCAGAAAGAGAGAAAACATTTGAAGAAATGAAACAAGAACTATTTGACGGGAGATCAAACGAAGATAAAGAATTAAAAGAACGTGATGTTGAGCAGCAATTGCTAGATACTAACAAATCAGTCACCGCATCTTTAAAGAATACTCGACAATTGATGGCAGCATCTATAATACAGACTGAGTTGAGCATTGATTCATTAGATCAACAACTGAAAGACTTGAATAGTTTCAATGGATTATTGGATGAACTTAACAATACTTTGAAGAAATCTAAAAATATAGTGAAGTTCATTGAGAAACAAGATAGATCAGATAAAAACAGAATTTACCTCAGTCTAGGATTTTTGATGGTTTGTTGTGCATGGGTCATCTGGAGGAGGATATTGAAACTTCCTGTAAAGATTTTGTTGTGGTCAACCATAAAAGTTTTCAGAATATTCTTATGGTTCATGCCTAGTAAGGTGTTAAATGCTGAAGAAGTGATCTCTTCACAGGTCTTAGCTTCAGAAATGTCAGCTACAGCCGTGGCCACATTATCAACCTTGGCCATTGTATCGACAATAACTTCAACTATATCAACCAGTATTTCAACTATATCAACCGGTTCATCGATACCATTGAGTGAAAGGCTAAATGAGGAAATTATTATGGATATGGAAGTGAGTAAAACATGGGAAGAAATAGTAACAGAAGTAATCAAAGATGAATTGTAGAAATATACATTTTACATTTATGGTTGTTCGATTTTAACGGAATCACCATTTTTGGCTGAACTTTCAAGAGCAGCAGCAACAATAGCTAAATGATGGAAAGCAACAGCTGGTGGTACTCTAACAAGTTTCTTATCGTTTTTGATTAAAGCATCAGAGAAGTTTTTGAATTCTTCAACCATGGTATCAACTTCTTCTAATTCGAACTCAGTGGTTTCGAATTCAGCAGGGTTAGCACTACCAGTTTTTAAAGTAACTTTTGGTTTTGGTAAAGATTTGGAGAAATTGTAAACAATTGAACCTTCTAAACCATAAATGATTAAAGATTGAGCCTTTTCAGCAGCTCCGAAAGCAGAACCATAAGAGAAAGTACCAATAGCACCAGATTTTAATTTCATAGTTGAGAATAAAATATCATCAGTACCTGAAGATTCTCTTAATTGTTGAGTTAAAGCGGAAATTGATTCAACATCACCCAAAAGACCAGTTAATAAAGCTAATTGATGAACACCTCCATCACTCAAGAAACCTCCAATATGTTGAGGTTTTTGTCTCCAAGTAGTTTCAAGATATTTATTATCAGAAATCCATGGACCTGTGGAATTATAGGTGAAACTAACAACTTTACCAATTTTTGGTAAATAGTCTTTTTTTATCTTTTCAATTGAACTAAGGAATGACCAGTTTTCTAAAACACCAATTGGTAAATCAGATTGTTCAGAAATTTTAACAATTTCTTTAGCTTGTTCTAAATTGGCAGCAATTGGTTTTTCAAAGATCATAGGTTTATTATATTTAACAGCCAATTTAACAGCATCTAAATTGTATTGAACAGGTAATAAAGTATCGACAAAATCAATTGATTCATCTTGGAAAACTTCTTCCAAAGAATCATAAATCTTGTCTTTAGCAATTCCTGCTTTATCGGCAAAAGTCTCAGCCTTAGCTTTAGTTCTATTATAACATCCAACAGCTTTTAAATTGGAGATCTTATTAATGGTTGGTAAATGCATATCAGTAGCGAAGATACCAGTACCTACAACGGCTAATTTTAAGTCTTTACTCATGGTTAATTTTATAATTATTTTATGATTAATATAAATGGAAAAATTGAGAATTATTAAGAGGTTACGGAAAAACTTTCATTTATATATGAATTTTTCCATAAAATTAGATGTTACATCGGAGTAATTGCTACTTATATAAAAAGTGGCTGAAAACCGTCGGTTTTCGAGATTTAATCGGAAGATTTTCCTTCGAATGCTACCACCTGCCTATTCATAACCTGGTGACTCCACATTATTACTCTATTGGAAAATTCGCGGACTGAATTGTTCCACAGAAAAGTTTGTCGGTGAGATTATAATGGAAGTTAATCCTGTTAAATTGAATCATCACGAACATGATGATACCAAAGAAAACGTAGTAGAAGAAACTACTACTCAAGAAGAACCGGAAATAAAAATTTCGAATCCAAAAGACAAATCTGATGATGAAAACGTTGAAGGTGAAGATGAAGTGGGTGAGCAACCAAATCAACCCGAAAGTCCCACCAATGAACTGGAACAACCCAACTCTGATGATTATGAACCTGAAGGACCCATCAATAATGACCAAAACGAAAAAGAGGGGGAATCTGCTGACGAATACAATCCTGAAATCGAAGCTGCTTATGATCCTAATGAACATCCTTCCCCACCTGAAATCCCTAATAAACCTGAAAATCCTGAACCCAAGAAACCATCAGGCTTGCCAGCAAGACCTCAAGTTCCTCAAAAACCATCAATTGATTATTCTGTTGATCCATCAGCTGACCCTCACCAATATCAAAGAATAATCAGATTAGCTTGTGATGAAATCACCCAATCCGAATCATCAAATAATCCTAATTTCCATAATTTATCCGATTATGAGAAATTCAAAATCATTTCTCCTCAATTAGAAGCAAGAGGTATTACCTTGAATACTGGTACTTCATTTTCGCAAGCTCTGGATATCAATTTTGATCAAGTTTATTCTTATAACAAACCTTATAAGAATTTGAAAAACCCCATTCCATTGGTTCCAATTAATGAATTCTGTAGAAGACCAAATGTTACCTTACCCATGACACCTGAAGAAGATGCCCTTTATGATGAGTTTATCAAGACAGAAGCTGATTATATGAGAGATCAAAATTGTGAAGATTTCCCCGATAAATCAAGGCTCTTCTTAGGTAACTTACCTGCCAATACCATATCTAAACAAGATTTGTTCCGAATTTTCAATAAGTATGGTGAAGTTGTACAAATAGCTATCAAAGCGGGTTATGGGTTTGCTCAATTTAGAACAATGGAAAGTTGTTTGGATTGTATTAAAGGTGAAACTTACGTACCTTTACATAATAAGATCATGAGATTAGATGCCTCCAAACCTCAGCCATCCAAAAAATTTAACAACAATCAAAGAGGAAGAGAAAGGTACGATGACGATAATTCCCATAAAAAAGCTAAAAGAAACCCCCCAGAATGTCAAATCTATACCACTGGTAAATCATCAGTTTTCTTTGTCAGAAGAGTGAAAAGAGCTATACAAAATGCTCAAGTTTCCAGTGATATTGAAGACGTTACTCATAGAGAGATTTCAGAGGTTATAAGTGAAGCAGCTTACTCGGGAGTTTTGGGAACTTGTGTTATCAAAGAACTGAAAGTTGATATACAAACTTTTGAAACCTCACCTGATGGTGGAATCAAATTCGATGAATATGCTGATATAGAACCCGAAGATGCAGCTGATATCTTACAAAAGGCTAAGTTGAAGAAATATGGTGGTACTTTACCTCCATTCCAAGGAGATAACTTCGATGCACAATATGGCTCAAACGATAATAGCACCTACGGCGGACATTACAATGATAGAGGTAGAGGTCGTGGTCGTGGTCGAGGTAATTCTGGTGCAAGAGGTGGTAGAGGTCGTGGAGGCTATAACCAGTTCAATCAAGGATACCAAGGCTATGATCAAGGACAATTTGATCAACATTATGGCCAGCAATATGGTCAACAAGGTCAATATCCAGGTCAATACGACCAACAAGCACAATATGGACAAGGTCAATATGGAAACCAATACAATCAACCACCACAATATGGCAACCAAATGGGTTATAACCAACAATCTCCACCACAAAATTACGGTCAGCAACAAGCACAATATGGTCAACCACCAGCTCAGTATGGCCAACCACAAGCACAATACGGCCAACCACAAGCACAATACGGCCAACCACAAGCACAATACGGCCAACCACCAATTCCAGCACAGTATGGTCAATCTAACCCACCTCCTCAACAAAACCAGACAGACTTATATCAGACCCTTCAGAATCTTGATCCTGCTGCAAAACAAAGTGTTTTATCTATTTTGCAACAGCAACAACAACCTACGCCTCAACCTTCACAACCTCAACCACAACCCCATCACCATCAATCAGCCCAGGGTTATAATCAGAATTATAATCAATCGCAATATGAACAACGTCAACCTATAAATTACGGAGATTCTTCAGGATATCAATCAAGATCTGCAAGATATTCGAGTAGAGATGATAGAATCGATAGAAATCAGGGCCGTCGTCCACAGAGAAATTACGCTCAGAATTATGGGCAAAGTTTCGGAGGACAATATGGCGAAGGACCACAACCACCACGTAATTCCAACCAGAACAATGATAACTCCTCCACCACTTCCTCATCATTAATGGACACATTAGCCAAATTGAGCAAAAAATGAGCCCCAGAGTATTGAACTGCTAGAAATTAATATAAGCATTAATCTACTATATCAGTAGTATCGTGAACTACACTGTCATCATTGACTTCCAATTGATCAATTTCTTTTTGTAAATCTTCTTGATTGTCATATTCTTCTTTTAACATGTTATACTGATCTTCATCTTCAAGAATACTTTCTATTCTGATGATTCCACATTGGTTCAAGATTTCCAAATATTTTTCAGCTTCCTCTATTTGATATTGAGCAAAGACTTTATTAACTTCATCGATTTTTTCTGTTTTGATAGCTTCTTGTAAAGGTTTTGGCAATGAAGATTCAAATATTTTGAATTCTTCTGAATCAGAAGTTGGTAAATGAACTGTCAATGGAGCATTTTCGTCTAATGATCTTAATTGAATGATTTGTTCACCTTCTTCTTGCTCTTGTTCCTGTTCTTGTTGAATAAGTTTACATCTTTCAATTATATGAGCCAAAGTATTCTCAACATCTTGAAAGAATGCTGTTCTAGCAGGACCGCTTTCGGAGATCTTGCTGATGAATAACTTAATACCTTTAATTCTTGATTCTTTGTTTCCTTTTGGACCTCCAGATAATTGAGCGATATATTGCAAAAGAAGTGATTGATGAATAATCTGTTTGGTTCTCAGTTTATCTCCTTGGAATTGACTATCAAAAGCTGTCATTATCAAAGCATCTTTTTGTTGGTCAGTACAAATCCATGAATGTTTTAACAAATATTCACTAATTTTGGTATAATCATCCATTTTAATTTTAGAAAATTCCTCAGTTTCAGGTAATAAATCAAGTTCATCCAACATTTCAGCTTCAGATTTTTCTTCGTGGCTACTTTCGTTTGGAGAATTGATAGTTTCAACTGTGGTAACCTTCTCAGAACTTTTAACTTTTGGTTGGGGTTCAGGTTCTTCTTTGTCTTTGTTCAAGAACGAACGATCAAATCCAGTATGATAATCATCCGAGCTAATCAACATGGATTTTTGGTATAACAAGTCATCTAATTTAATCGTTTGTTTGGATAAAACATCATCAATTTTGGCTCTATGTTCTTTCAAATAATCTATCAATTTGCTGTTGTCCAGGGCATCTGGATGGTCTTCTTTGATTTGTTCAAACAAATCTTCGATCATTTCATTATATGGGGGTGTATTTTCAATTTCCAGCTTTTCAAATTTTAAATCTTTCAATCCTTTTCTTAAACTATCACCTTTTTGTTTAATCAAATCTTCATAATCGAACTTTTCATTAACATTGAACTCCTTATTCAATTTTGCCATCACCAAGTCAGTATCTCCAATTTCCAGTAATTTCACATTCTTCAAGATATAATCAACTCTGGCATTCAATTTGGCGTACATGGTCAATTGAACTAAGATCGTTTTAATCTCTTGATTTCTTTGATCCCTCTTTTCATGAATATCTCTTTGTTTCCATTTGATGAAAGAATTCTTATCGACGTTTGGATGGACTTCAATATCAGAGTCATCAGATAACTCTAACTTGTCCCACTTGGAGTAATCTATGGCCATTTTTAATAAAAATTATGGGTAATAAATGTATATATAGTTTGTGGTAATTCTGGAAAATTCTTCGCGTTTTAAGTAATAGATCACTTAGTGGATTCAAAGAACGTTATGATCAAATATGGCAGCCTTTGAAGAGTGAGAGAGTGAAATTAGGGCAATTGGTATTCTCCCTGGAGAAAACTTTGTACTCATACCATTGAAAAATCCTTGGAAATGAGTGAGTGTCAATTCGACTGTGAGCACTTTAAATTTGCAGCCATCAGCTATATGTAGACCTTGAGACAACGATCAGCTCTTCTTTACCTTGTATACTACATGGTGCCAATCATTACTTTCCAGTGTTCTAAAGATTCAATATAGTTCCAAAAATCTATGCAGATGTGTTATTAATCTATACAGCAAATCTTACATACCTGGTCTTAAACCAGTGAAAAAAGCTAAACCATAACCAGTGGTTTCGAAAGTGATGGTAGCACCTTTGTTGAAGAAGAAAACATCTCCTGGGGAGACAGTGACTTTGTAACCGGTTTCATCAGTGATGGTGTATTCACCTTCAACTTCTAAGAAGACTTTCATTTCATCATAAGTATAAGTATAGACTAATGGTTCACCAGATTCTTGTCTGTAGAAACCACAACTCATTTTCTTATCATCAGTTTCATCAGAAACGAAAACATCACCTAAGAATGAGTTTTTACCTGGTGATTCAGCTAAAAGTGGAGGAGTGATGGCTTTACCTTCAGCAGCTGGTTTATATTTCATTGGCATTTTGAGCAGTTGTTTTCTATAATTAATTGAACCAAGTAATTGATTGTATTTCAATTGAATCAAATAGAAGATTTACCCTTTAATTTATAGTTTTTCTTCCATTTATCAAATTACCCTCAATTCATTATCTCTCTCAACTTTTCCCAATCGGGAATAAAAATCCCTGATAAACCTCACCTCCTATCACCAAATTCAGCGATCATTTAGCGGATGTTCTTATTAGAGAAACTAAACTTTATAGGAATTAGACTCCAAAGCTTAATGAAGATCTTCATTGCCTATTGTCTGTAATGTGGACATTTGCATCGAGCCAACAATTGAATTTGAAAACGTTTCAATTTTTTGTTAGGACTTTGCATTGGATGTATTGTCTTAATGTGGAAAAGTGTTCCTTGGCCGTGAAAACTTGGTAAGCAGACTTACTTGTTTGGACATCAAATCTGCAAATACCGAAAATACCAGTTTTGATCTTGGTGCCAAAAATCAAATTGGGAAAAAAAGAAGCCCGACGCGGGACTCGAACCCGCAGCCTTTTGATAACTTTTATTTTTTTTAAAAGTCAAACGCTCTAGCCGATTGAGCTAGCCAGGCTTGTATACACAGGAATGTGCGATGTCCAATAAGTTCCAATTTTCGCAAAAAAAAAAATTTTTAGGCTCTATACTGATAAATATATACTAGTTAAAAAAAATTAAAAAATACTAGACGTTAATGAATGAATATTATCGATTTTAAACTTCAGAGAAGTGACTTGACAGTAAATTATATGGTGTTGTGCAATGTAACAAGTTTTTCTTTTTGAATAAGGTACCTTTTTTTGATTCTAACCGATTCAGTGAATTTCACAACTTGTGCATGTTCGGAGCGGAAATTATAGAGGGGCAATCGGGTTGTTACTAAAAACGTCAGAAGAGTATTTGAAAGTCAATAAACCAACTACCAAACCACTATGCCCGTATGAAGAATAGCCATTGTTATCATCACCATTTGTAATCATTCTGATCAAATAAAGTTTGACCTCTGGAAGAATGGAAGTTCGTCGGGAGCGAGAATTTTATCGCCGGTCATTTTGTTGGTCCACCACCCTAAAATACCATTCATCAACATCTCCTATTATCTAAAGACTGTTTAATAGCTTATTCACTTGACCAGGGACGTCATTGATCCGTAATATCAATCAAGGATTCAGAACCAATCAAAACCAGAGGATTTTAGTGGAGCGACAGAAATCCCCGGGATTACCCCAGTTTCCGCTCTTTGACACGATTTTTAGTATAAATATCATTTGATAATCCCTTTTGAACGAAATAGTATTGGATTGAATTCAAATCTTAAAAAATTTAATCAAGGATTGAAGGAACATGCCTGACAAAATTAAAGTTAAGAATCCTATTGTGGAAATGGATGGAGATGAAATGACCAGAATTATCTGGCAATTCATCAAAGATAAATTAATTTTACCTTATTTAGATGTTGATTTGAAATATTATGATTTAGGTATCGAATATAGAGATGAAACTGATGATAAAGTTACTAGTGATGCTGCTGAAGCTATTTTAAAATATGGAGTTGGTGTTAAATGTGCCACTATTACCCCAGACGAACAAAGAGTTGAGGAATATAAATTGAAAAAAATGTGGTTATCTCCAAATGGTACATTAAGAAATGTTTTAGGAGGTACAGTTTTCAGAGAACCAATTGTTATTGACAATATTCCAAGAATCGTTCCATCTTGGGAAAAACCAATTATCATTGGTAGACATGCATTTGGTGATCAATATAAAGCTACTGATATTATAATTGATCAACCAGGTGAATTGGAATTAGTTTTTAAACCAAAGAATGGTGAACCAAAAACTTATAAAGTTTATGAATATGATGGTAGTGGTGTTGCTATGACCATGTATAACACTGATAAATCAATTACCGATTTTGCTGAATCATCATTTAAATTTGCTTTAGATAGAAAATTGAATTTATTCTCATCAACTAAAAATACCATTTTAAAGAGATATGATGGTAGATTTAAAGATATCTTTGAAGGATTATATGAAAGTAAATATAAAGCCGAATTTGAAAAAAATGGTATCTGGTATGAACATAGATTAATCGATGATATGGTTGCCCAAATGTTAAAATCTAAAGGTGGATATGTTATTGCTATGAAGAATTATGATGGTGATGTTCAAAGTGATATTGTTGCCCAAGGATTTGGATCTTTAGGTTTAATGACTTCAGTTTTAATGACACCTGATGGAAAAGCTTTTGAAAGTGAAGCTGCTCATGGTACAGTTACCAGACATTATAGACAACATCAACAAGGTAAAGAAACTTCAACTAATTCAATTGCTTCAATTTATGCTTGGACTAGAGGTATTATCCAAAGAGGTAAATTGGATGAAACTCCAGAAGTTGTAGAATTCGGTGAAGCTTTAGAAAAAGCTGTTATCGATACTGTTGCTTTAGATAGTATTATGACTAAAGATTTAGCATTAACTCAAGGTAAAACTGATAGATCCTCATATGTTACCACTGAAGAATTTATTGATGCTGTTCAAACTAGATTGAACAAAAATTTAGCTTAGGTAATAGATATTTATAATTATACTCTTTAAAGTTACCAAATTTATACATTGTATATACAAGAATAAATCAACATTCATCAAGTGCATCATTTCTATAATCAAAAACTTTAATCTAAATCAGGTTGAGTAGGTTTTGGTTGACCACCCAAGATATTAGTAACAGCTGCTGGAGGTTTAACAGCGATCATCATGATAACCATTTCATAAATATCTTCTGGAACAGACTTTTGATAAACTCCTAAGATATCAGTAGGATTTGGATAAACAACTAAAGCTTTATAGAAACAAATAGCAGCTTCAACTTTTTTAGTTGGTTGTAAAGCTAATTGTTCACCTGCAGCAACTTGTTTCATGAAAAATTCTTCTTTTTGAGATAATTCAGTTGGGATTGGATTTTGTTCTAAATCTTCAATCAAAGCTTTCTTTATAGTTTCTAATTTTGATTTTTTGGAGTCTTCTTCGATTTTTGCTGCAATCTTTTCATGTTTTAATGATTTCTTTTTTAAGGACTTTCTGAATGATGAATTGTTTCTTCTGTTATAATCAAAATAGACAGCATATCCAACAATAGCAGTGGCAGCGATGGCAGTAAAAGTAGTAAATTTGCTCATTATATATCGTCAATAGCAAATTCTTGAATCTAAAAAATTTTCAGTTGGAGTAATGATGAATTTTCGCACTCCAGATTCCGAGTCACATGATCAATTTTTATCAATGATTGAGAATAATTCGCAGTGCAAAATTTTCGAAATAATCGATATTTGATTGGAAGGATTTAATCATGTCAGATACTCCAGATATTACACAAACAGAATTACCTGATAGTAGGTTCAAGTTACCTACCCCTTTCTCCAACATGTATAATGCTACAGCCTACCCAGCTTGGACTCCAATTGATACCAGATCAGAAACTTCCAAAGTATTTAGATTCTCATTTTACAGTACTATTGGTGCTTATACATGGTTATATTTTTGGAAAAGAACTACATTCAAATTAGAATTACCTTTAACTTTCATCGGTTTCACCACTGTTGCTGTTGCCACCAAGAGTATGGTTGCTAACTTAAGAGAAAAGAATGATGGATGGAATTTATTTTGGGGTGTTGGTTTAGGTAATTTAGCTGTTTTAACAGCTGGTTTCAAGCATATGCCTTTAAGACATAAATTCATGACTGGTATTTCAGGTGCTGCTGTTTCTGGTCTTTTAAATCAATGGTTATGGGCTCAAAGCACTTCATCAGCAGGTAGAGATGTTAGACATTTCAGTAAAAATGATGAAGTTCCAAAACAAGGATTTTGGGATGTTGTTCAAAGGAAACCTTTGAGTCAAGTTGTCGAAGAAGTTGGTGTTGGTCGTGGTATTCTTAAACCATAGAGTTAATGAATTTTATTTATTGCATTTGTAAACTAAATATACACATTTTATATACATGATAAGAAAACATAAACTTCTAAGCTCTAAATCTACGAGTCTCTACACCTTTCTCTACACTTTCATTGAACGCCTTTCTCAAAACCTTCGTCTACACTTGTTTATAAGGGTAATCTAAAGATTTATTTCTCTTCAATTTCCATAATTTCTTCTTCTTCTTATTCACAACATGTTCTGCGAATACTTCGTCACAATATTTCTTCTTCCATGGTTTTATAAAACTAGGGTCCCATAATTCACTGGCAATTCCTAAATCCTTACAACATCTCATTAATGCATTACTTTTACATCCTTCTAAAGCAGTTGTAATTTTCTCTTCTCCACCAAAATAATCTTGTTCTCCCCTTGCTACACTCACTAATCTACCATGACAGATTAAAGCATATTCCCTACTTATTTGCCTAGGAGTAATGAAAGTCTCTGTTCTAGGGGCCAAACCCCAACCACCAGGTCCAAAGGCGCGATTTAACATTCTACGATACTTAATTTCTGGTAAATAAAGTAATCCATCTGGAGTGATTTCAATATCATCGTTTTCAATAGGTGCCAATAAAGTATCGATAATTTCTTTAGGGAATGGAGCCTGTCCCAATCCATGGAATGAGTCACTCCAGTTTATAGGACCATTACCGTGGGAAGGATTGATTCCGATAGGAGAATCATGGAAGGAAAGATGACCTACTGGTTGAACTACAGGTTCCTCAATATCTTCTTCTTCAACCGGTTTGGAAATTTTTGGTCCATTACTAGATATAATTGGCTTCACTGGTCTTGGTGGTGTAGTAGCAGAAGCAGTCCTTCTAGGTAAATCCTTGAATAACGCGTATGACCTAAAAGGTATTCTTAAGGCTTTGAACATACTTTTCGCATTTTTTCAGAGGTTTCCATAGTTAAATATTTTATTACACCGTGCTAATCTACATATTTTAATCTCTCGATATATTCATAATCGAACAATGCCTTTCTGAGAGGTTTTCCCATTTTGAATTTCGAAGTTAAATGATGGTATTCGAAATTATTCCTCAAGTCTGTGATACTAAATTGTAAGGAAGGGTCTAACATGAATTTCTTCTCAACTTCATGTAATTGAGTATGATTATGTGTTAGATAATATTCTGTTAAAATATTATCATTGGTTTCAAGTAATCTCACTTTATCTTTCAATTCCAAGTTTTGAAGCAAATCAATAGTTTGTTTCTTGTTTAATTCATTTAAATTCCTATCTTGCAATAAGATTTGGAAATCGTCTTTCTTGAGCCATAATCTTAATATGGGTATATAATAATAATCATGGAATTTGTATGATTTGGTACCTTTTGCATATTCATGATTTAACATTGACATGATATCATTAGGAACATAGACTGGTACACCACCGATTGATGAGTATCTCAAAGGATTAATCTGTTCAAATGTAAGCCAATGTTTTCTTCTATCCATGTATAATTCAACAGATTCGTCATTAGCATTCTTACTTCTGATATAGGAATCTTGTTCTGGTGGTGGAGGTTCATCGTTTTTACCTAAACCAGTAATATCAATATAAGTACCAGTATCAATATCGATGAATCTGGCATCAATGAAATTATCTTTCAAAGCTTTATCTCTGTGATGTAAGAAAGTAGAACAATCGATCAAATATTTACCATACCCTTCATTAATATCTTCGATAACTAAGGTCATATTGTAATTTTTAGATAATCGATTTAATTCACTTGCAGGCATTTGAATATCAACATCAATATCATAAGGGAACATCAAACCATCCCAATACCATGATAATAAAGGACCATGAGCAATCCAACTTATGATACCTTTTTCTTCAGTGAATTTAAACCAGTTTCTTAATAATCTATCTAAAATGATTTGTTCTCTTATTTCTAATTGTTCAGCAGTCCAACCTTCTTTCACGTATCTTAAAGCTCCATTGAAAAATCTCCATTCATAATGCCATCCAGTGTCTTTGTTATTTTCGTCAGTCAATAAAGTTGCCAATTTATAATAAGTGGTTTCTTCTTTAACTGATAAATCATTGGCATATTTTAATGAATTATAATGATTCGATTCATGACGACTCAATCTATTGGCTTCGATTACTTCTTTATCGAAATGCAATTCATTGGTGACAGCTTGTCTCATCTTATTCAATCTAACTTCATATTCTTGAATCTGTTCAACCACTTCAGGAGTTTTATAATTGAAAACTTCAGGGTCTAAATATAATTCTCTACTTGCGTTTTGGAAAGTTTGATGAGTGATGGCATGCATTTTATGAATATCATCTTCCAAGCTTTCCTTTCTTGGTTCAATAGAAGTTTCTAGTTCATTGAATTTATGAATAGGGTTCAAAATTATCGAATCACCTTCTAATTTGTTCCTCTTTAAGAAATTTTTCACTAATGGGGTATCAACTAATTTCTTCTTTTCATCGATTTGTACTTCATAAGTACCATTTTTAGTTAAGAAAATCAACAGTAAAGGATTTTCTTGATGAGTTAATAAATGGGCTTTTCCTAACATCATAGCCTGTTTTTGAGGGGTCTTGTTCATTGGTGATCCTTTGACTATAAATCCTGGTAAATGAGATTTTGGTAAGTTTAAATCATTTAATTCATCATCACTTAAATCTTTCAAATTTTTACAAAAATCGGGGTGTTTAGTTGGTTTAGATATTTCTTCTTGCAACCAATCACAATTTAATCTTTCGTCAATTGGTCTGGATAATTCTTCATTTAATAAAGTTAAATCAACCCAATCTTGCCAACTGAATGGTACAGTAACTAAATGGTCTTTAGATTTTTCGTTATTCGGATTGTGTTTAAGGAATTGATGTTTGATCTCGTCGAGGTAGATTGAAAGGGTGAGACGAGGATCATAAAATAATGTAGGCTTAGTAACCCAGTTGTCTTCATCTCTCTTACCAATATCATTAGAAGATTCGGGTATATCGTTCCCTTTTGGACCGTTTTCAACTTCGACTTTTTCTTGGTTCTTGTCTTCGATCTTTTCGTCCTCACCCTTCTTAGTTTCTTCATTTGGTTCATCGACCACATCCACTTTCTTTCCACCCTTTTTATTTGCGTTGGTATTATCCTTGGATTTAGGTTTCTTGGCTGGTAAAAAATCTTGGGGGTTAATTATCAAATTTGGCTCCGTTATGGAGGTTTGAGCTAACCAAAATCTCTGTTTATCCAGTTCAACCAAATGTAATAAATAACTGATTTTTTCACTATCATTCAATTCATTGTAATTCTTGTTAATGCTATATTCAATGTCGTCGTCATCATAATTGATTTTAACGTGTTTTAATGCTTGTTGCTTTAATGCTTGTTCTTTTAGACTATAAACTCTAGTAAAGTATATTATATTTATAACTACTATTATCACCGAAATGATTTTTAGAAGCCTCATAACATTTGTCCGTTTAATGATTTCCCCCTTCATCATCTTCCTTCAATATGTTTTTTAAGATACTATTTTCAAGATTGGGGGTTCTTTAGGATTGAAATAACAAAACGAAGAAAAATTTCATAGATCGTGTGACAGTATACTCCTGGTAGAGAAGAGGTGCTTACATAAGCAAAAAAGGAATTGCTTCCTATTTTAGCGAAATGTGTCTTATGTCTTGATAGGCATTTGATAGATGAGCTGCAGGAGAATTGCTGATCAATATAGATCAGTCGACACCTACGGCATAAATGGAGAAAGTAGAAGATTTATTAAGTGTTTTTAAATGTAATGGATGATATTAAGTAGGGTACCGCAATGATTGTTTTTATCGTCAACCGTATTGGTCAGATACGTAAATAGTGGTTTTTGGTATTTTTGCGCTATGAGAAAGCAGAAACTTGGTAGCACCATCATTTCTGAAAGATTAAGGAGCTATCCCCTTAACACATGTCACCATAATATCTCTTAATGATAGGTTAATTACCATTCGAACTTAAAATAAGTCCGAAAGTATGTACCGCGATTGCGCCTAATTTCTGGGGGCTTCGCGCAAGAGCCTCTTCTACAAGGGTGTTTTTCAGGAATAGGCACTGTTAGATCATTTTGGTGGCTGATTGTTTTTTCACAATTTCATGATAGTTCTGGGGTTACTGGGCTATAATGGGGAACAGATGTTCTGAGAGTGTGGTATCCTAGTTATGCATATTTATACCCTATCTAAATCCTTTAATTTGTTCAATATTGTCTCGTCTACTATACCATCGAAATCGTATAAGTCCTCTATCTTTTTGTTCATAATAACTGACAAACTCTTTAAATCTATTGTACCATAATTTTCAATAGTGATATCTTGATGATTAGAAGGTACTTTGGTATCAACTCCATTGAAATTTACTGTTCTCAAGGGTAACAAATCGTCCATTAAGAATTGTTCCCCATTTTTACCTTTGTAAGACCAGGTGTTCCCTTCACTGTTTATATCTCCGTTCGGCATAGCTGAAACTCCCATTATTTCGATATATCTTCCAGTATCCACATCAATGAATCTGGCATCGGTAATTTCTTGATTTTGATTGTTTATAAATGGCGAACAATCTAAATAATATCTATCGAGTTCACTCACGATGAGGGATTGGTTATGAAAACAAAGATTATTCAAATCAGTGATTGGAGTATATGAAGTTAAATTACCTGATTTGTTTATGTGCCAATTTTCCATATCAACCCAATAATTGGCCCCAATGTTTTTCGTGAATAAGGACCAGTTCTTAATCAAATTTTGTTTTTGACTTGCTTCGAATCTCTTGGTGATTAATGCCTTTTGTGGTATGAACCTCCAATCTCTGAATTCATTTTCATACAAATGAGTGTAAAAATAAACTGATTCACTTTCAGCTTCGTTACTAAACTTCATACTATCGTACACCATCTTCTCTTGTCTATTTAATTTCAAAGTATCAATCTTTTCGATATCGAAAATTATTTCATTGGTAATTAATTCATTCAATTGATCGATTCTTGATTCCAAATCTTCGAAATTACTTTTGAAATGGAAACTTTCTTCTATAGCTTCTTCGGGTTCTTGCTTTTGGAAACCATCCAATGGTTCTACAGCAATTTCTTTCAACCCTTGCAAATAGAAAACTAATGAACTATCGAGCATTCTACTTTTACCTTCAATAGGTACAGATAAAATCCCTTCATCATTTATTATCATCAAATTCATAGGAATAGGCATGAATGTGACCAAATAAACTTTCCCTTCAATGACTTGAACTTCGCTATCACCGTCATTAGGAGCAAAAAAAATGGCATATCCTGGGATTTGGTCAATCGGTAAAGCTATTATCTCCATTTCTTCTGTGGTTAATTCATCGGTATCAACGCAAAAGTTTGGTCGAGCGTTATTATGATGACTTTTCAAGGTTTTACATCGACTTCTTTCATCTGGACTCTTGGTAAATTCATTATTTAACATAGTCAAATTAACCCAATCTGACCATGCGAACGGCACGGATGGTGGTTTTAATCCGATTTCATGACTATAGACCGAAAGGGTGAACTTTGGAAGATAAAACAATGTTGGATTGTTTATCCATTTATCAGATGTTAATGAATCTCCATCTATCTCTAGTGAATCGGATAAATTATGGGTTATCAAATCTTCGAAAGTTTCTTCCTTAGGACTGTCAGTTTTGGTATTACTGTTTATTCTACCCCATACGTTGTTAGCTGCTGTTGCTACGTTATTGGCATGAAATTTAACGTTGTCTATATAAAACACAGCATATAATACATTCGATAGTACTATAATGAATAGTAATATCAAGGTTTGGGACCTCCTAAACCTCATCTTTATTATCAAATTTTATCGCGAAAGATACCTGAGATTTAGATCTGGAATGGTGAAGAAAGGTTGGAATGGCAGATCTGGGGTAAGATAGTTTGGTCCAATTAGAATGTGATTTTAAATCTTTTGGAGTTATTGAAAGAATTTTTCAGGGCCGGTTCGGATTAATTATTTTGGAACTTCTTAGCTCCATCCGGTTAAGAGAAGAAATTTATGAGCCTTGTAGAGTCGCCAAAGTTTGATAGAAAGAAACAATAAAGTAAAAATATGAATATGTTAAACTAGCTAACAATCTATGACAATTTTAATCAGGGTGACAATTACATACCATCACTAAAACCAGCAACCAAGTTTTTATTTAAACCACCTTCTTTAACGGCGATTTCAAAATATCCATAAATAGTAGTAACAGCTAATAAAATTGAAGTACCACTACCTAAAGTACCCATCAAGTCACAAACGACAGATAAAGCACCAATACAAGCACCACCAAAAGCGGCAGCAGTTGGAATGATTTTTTTCAATTCTTTATAAGCACTAGTATCTCTATGACCAGCAATTACAAGACCTTGTTCTTTAAATTGTTTAGCAACATCACGAGGAGATGAACCAGAAATTTCAATCCAAGTGGTGGAGAAAATTGCACAAGAACCTAAAACGAAAGTAATATAGATAACAGTTTTAATTGGATCTAAAGCAGCTTCTGAAAATGAAGTTGGTGGTTGAACATAATATGATAAACCATTAACAGCATATAATTGACTGGTTTGATATTTAGTATCCCAAACTCCTAATAATTTGACAATGATATTTTCTGGCCATCTCATGTATAAAAATTGGGAAATTAAGAAAATATTTGAAGTTAAAGCACTTTGTAACATAATTGGAATATTTGAAGTATAGAATAATCTGATTGGATATAAACCATAAGGACCTCTTTGTCTAGTAGATTTAACAGGTAATTCAATTCTGAAACCTTGTAAGTAGACGACAGCAAAGAAAACCATAATAGTAGCAATTAATTGTAACATATTTGGAGCATTTGGTCTGTAAAAAGCTTCTAATAAAGCTCTCTTTTTATCTTTTCTTGAACCTAATAAATGAACTAAAGAAACTAAAGCACCATCAAATTGAACACCTTTACCAATATTAGTAGTAGTTGGGGCAAAAGTTTTCCAAAATACTTGTTCACAAACATTAGTAGCAGTAAATAATGAGATACCTGAACCTAAACCATAACCTTTTTGTAATAATTCATCTAATAAGATAACAATGATACTAGCGAAAACTAATTGTAAGATTAATAATAAACAAACAGCAAAACCTAATGATGAGGTTGGTCCATACATTCCAGTTAAAACATAAACAGTTGCTTGACCAACACTTAATAAGATAGCAAATAATTTTTGAGCCATTTGATATTGATCTCTATCAGCTTTATTGGTCATATCAACATTAATGATTTTAATACCTGATAATAATTGAAAAACCATACCTGCTGAAACAACAGGTGAAATACCTAATTCCATTAAAGTACCTCTATTTGAAGCTAACATCATTCTTAACCATAATAAGGGATCTGACAGGTCTGAACTTACAATACCATAAAGTGGGATTTCACTCATAACAAGGAATATAAGTAATGTTATACCAGTCCACATTACCTTTTGTTGAAATTGAACCTTACGTTCAGGTTGTTGAACTTCAGGTAAATAAGCAGCAAATGGTGTAACCAAATCTAATACACGAAATGACATCTTCTTATGTTGATTAAAAAATTAATTGTAGATGAAGGTTGTTAGATTAGTTGACACTTGATTTGATTGAAATTTTTCAAATTTACGTGTTCACTCGTCGATTTCTCAATTGGGTGCACCTACCTACTTGCATCACGTGCGCGTCATTTTGAGACAGGGTTAAACATAGATGGGGATGAGATGAATGATTTAGAAAAGTAGGAAGCTAGGAGGTTCGGGATATATGACAAAGGTTCAATTGGAAGGGTATAGTTGATTAGTAAAAGATTACATATGGATAATTAGTAATAAGAAGACTTTTTCATTCCAGCCCCAGTATTTCCCAGCCTTTCCAACAATGTTTTCCAGCCCTTCCATTTTGAACGTTCAAACCCCATATATATATTTCCTCATGAGTAAGAGATAACACACCCATCCCCGTGAAATGCCAAATGTGGAAATATGGTTCCACCCATCTGGAGGTTTATCGGCACATCATTATTATTAACTGGCCGGAATATTCTGGAGTTAAGAGTCCATGGTCAGAATCTTCCTTTAAAGATTTGAATTTGACAACCCCATTTTTCGAGGAAATACTCTGATGTTATAAATTATCTGACTTAACGGCTTTTGGAACTCTAAACAACTGTTTGATCTCCCTTCAACCGGTTACACCACTGATAACAGTTTTTTACCTCGCACTTGTAAATCCATAATTTAACCAAAACGCTCGGTGATTTTAGGAATTGGTAGTAAACATCCGGGATTTAGGGACTCTTGTGATTGCGAAAAAGTGATTAGAAACGTACGGGGCACTAAATATTTAGTAATTTTACCACCAGAATGGACCCGCAACTGGCGAGAATCAGTGACATTTGCGTCCATGAATTTTAGTAGACAACTTTTTCGGCAGAACTTTATTAATTTAAATACCCCATATTTTCCTTAGATTAAATTTTTCTATTAGAATTTTTTGTCCTTAACAAATTCTTTTATATAATTAACCAATTGGAGTCCAAATCAAAATGTCTGACTCAGTCTCTAAACAAATGAATGTCGATACTGACATTATAACATTATCAAGATTTATTATTCAAGAACAACAAAAACATCAAGAAGCTACTGGTGAATTATCATTATTATTAAATGCTTTACAATTTGCTTTCAAATTTATTGCTCATAACATTAGAAGAGCTGAATTGATCAATTTAATTGGGGTTTCAGGTACTGCTAATTCAACTGGGGATGTTCAAAAAAAATTAGATGTTATTGGAGATGAAATCTTTATCAATGCTATGAAATCAAGTGGTCAAGTAAAAATCTTAGTTAGTGAAGAACAAGAAGATTTAATTGTCTTCGAAGGTGGTGGTAAATATGCTGTTTGTACTGATCCAATTGATGGATCATCAAATATTGATGCTGGGGTATCAGTTGGTACAATTTTTGGTATTTATAAATTACAACAAGATTCAAATGGTTCAATTAAAGATGTCTTAAGACCAGGTACTGAAATGATTGCTGCTGGTTATACTATGTATGGTGCTTCAGCTCATTTAGTTTTAACTACTGGTAATGGAGTTGATGGTTTCACTTTAGATGCTCAATTAGGTGAATTCATTTTAACTCAACCAAATTTAAGAATTCCTGAATTCAGATCTATTTATTCAATGAATGAAGGTAATTCATTATACTGGCCAGAATATGTTAAAGATTACATAAAAGACTTGAAAGAATTACAATCAAACGGTAAACCTTATAGTGCACGTTATGTTGGATCAATGGTTGCAGATATTCATAGAACTTTATTATATGGAGGTATTTTTGCTTACCCTGCTGATTCAAAACTGAAAAATGGTAAATTAAGAGTCTTATATGAATGTTTCCCAATGGCAATGTTAATGGAACAAGCTGGTGGTTTAGCTGTTAATGATAAAGGTGAAAGAATTTTAGAAAAAGTACCTAAAGGAATTCATGATAAATCTGGTATTTGGTTAGGTTCAAAAGGTGAAATTGAAAAATTCAAAAGTTACATTAAATAAGTTACTATATATTAGATATGAATGTCTCTACAAATCGATTAACCATATAATCCTTTAATTCGCTAACTATGGATTTCTATATTGAACTATCGAGCTCTGATTAAAGATGGGCTTACCCGGACATCGTCATAAAAGATGAGATTTTTCTTGATGGAAAAGTTTTCATCGTTAGGTGTTGAACCTTTCTGATCAAAATTGTATGTAACATGAAAAACAATGATTATACACCTTGTTTGCACGTCAGTCTGAGAACATAATGCAGATAGAAACAATCGCTTTTGATTATGAGTTTCCGTAATTTTTTTTTTTCGAATTCGAAACTAACTTTTTTTTAGTTAAGTGGTATGTTTTAATATTTTTAACAATGATGAAATTTTCACAATCTGTCCCGGTGACTCCTGAGCCAGGATAATACATGCATCACCATCTGAGTTATATTACAATTTGTGGAAATAAATTACTAACAAAATAAGTTTTTCAATGAACATGATTTGAAGAAATATCATGCTTTGAATGAATACGATGACTTTTCAATGGATTTGTTTCGAATGAATACAATAACATTAGGTATGTAATAATATTGAGATATGATGATAAACTTTTTTTTCAGTTCTGCTTCTGACACAATCTGAAGATAACACACCAAGCTTACTTTTCACTGATTCTCAAATTGATTCTTAAAGGAATAATTTACTAACAATTTAGTCTAAAGATTTATGATTTATGATAGAGAAAATACATAAAAAATGTTTATATTTATTCCTGAATAGAACTCTTAACCCTTTAAACAGAGAAGATAACTACTTTACCATCAATACCACTGGTACTGACTTTACCGTTGACGATTCTAATACTTTCAACTGTATTTGTATGGTCAGCACCACCGTTGGTAGACTTTTCTTTGACTCTACCTTTTAAATCTAATTGTCTGAACATATTCAAAGCGTCATGACTAGAGATTTCTTCGTCTTCATCGACTTTGGCAACAGCTTTGACAGTTTGATCAACTACTCTTGTTTGTTGCCAATTAGGACCTTCAAAAACCAATAAGTTTAAGTTATGACCACTAACCACAACAGAATTTGGTCCAATGAACGATAAAGCTTTGAAAGGTAAATGACTAGTGAAAGTATTAACAAAAACTGGTGGGACACCTTCACCTTGTGGTGAGACAATAGTTAATGAGGAATCATGACTAACAAATCCTACAGAGTCACCATCTAATGAAAATTTAACATCATGAACCCAACCACCAGTTTCATTGGTGAAGTCTCCACATAAAGTTTGGAAGGGTAATTTTGTTCCCCAAACACTTCCTTCAGGTTTTTCATCTAATCCTTTGATAAAACTGGAAAAGACTCTAACATGACCATCAGTTGAACCAGTAGCTAATAATACATTATTTGGATGCCAATCTAATGAAGTGATGGTTGATTTGATAGGTTTCTTCAAATGTTTAGAAACCCACCAATTATTTTCTTCTTCATAATAACAAACAGCGACAATTCTATCACTTGATGCAACTGCAAATTTACTACCATTTGGACTCCATCTACAATAATTAGCAGATCTATTAATTCTTAATAAAACCAAGGTTGGAACATATTCATTCTTGCTTTGATCCCAATCCCAAACTAATGCATTTCTATCTTGGGAACAAGTTAAAATCTTACCATCAATTGAGATATCAACAGAGGCAACTGTTTTATCATGACCTTTTAAAGTAGTGATCAAAGTTGGTTTTGATGAAACTTGATAGATTTCAACAATGTTTTCTTTGGTAATTGCCATGATTGACCCATCCGGAGAATAGGAATGGTCATGAATTGGCTTATTGGATAATTTGTAAGTAATTGACATAGGAGGATCTCTCAACTAGTTAATGATGTTTTCGTCGAGGTGCGAACCTTTTGAGATAAGTGCAATCAGAGGTGGACAGTAACAAAACATTCGGACACAAACAGAGAGAGATAGAACAAGGCATGATTGTAGCAAACATAATACCACATTCTTTTGTTAAAATCATTTGTATTGAAACATTTTCTAATACTCTTTAATATACATCATCAAGATTTCAATTTATCCTAAATAGAATCTTGATCTTGCTTTTGTTCCAAGATCAACTTAGTCTTTTCCCAGTAATGCGCTACCTTTTCGTTCTTGACAGATTTCATTTTACCATCTAATCTGTTGATAATGGAAACGAATAAATTCTTAGTATCTTTATTATATAAAATTCTTAACCAGTAGAATAACAAGAATAATACCAATTGAAATCCTGAAGTTCCTCTGAATAATAATGTTCTAACTAATAAGTATGCTACTAAGAACAATTCATCAAAAGCAATGATTGAAGCTAAGAAATCTGATTGTTTTACTATAGCATTAATCTTTTTATGTGAAGCTAATTGTAATAATGAAATTAAGAAAAATGGAATGATTTTGAAAATTGATTTAAAGGTGAAAAGCCAACACATTCCAAGGATAACAAATTGGAAATTTTGTTGAGCTACTAAAGTTGATGATGGTGGTAAGTATAATCCAAATTTATGAGATACAGTGGAACCCAATGCCATGATTGATCCAAGTAATGAAAGTCTGTAACATATTGAATTGATATAGTATTTATTTGGTAACCAAAAGATTTGAAATACAAATGAAATACTACCAAATACAATACATGCAACATGACCACCTAACCATAATTTGTATTTCAAAGGATTTTCTCCCTTTTGTTTTCTAACTAACTTGGTTTTCTTTTGACCTGTTTGAATTTGTGAAACGTCAGGCATTGTACTCTTCAAATAAATTTAATTGAGTTGAATTGAATATCCTTCGTTGAAACTGAATCAAGATGAAATTTTAGTTGCTGCGAAAATGAGACTGAAACTGCGAATACACGTAAAATCAAAATACAGATCTTTTGTTGTAGTATTGAAGTTTGATTGAAGTTTGTTAGGGTTTTCGGTGTTTGTTTCAGTGAAGTATAGAACAATAACAAAGAAATTATCACAAAATAATCATGGAAGTTGATTATAGTAAATTGGGTTTAAGTACCATAGAAACTGAGATTTTACACCAGTACCAATTATTATCAAAACAATTACATGAATTAGATAACGAAATACAGAACATAACTCTCGGAGTTAATAGAGAGAATGATGGTGTGAGTGAAGAGATGTTAAGAAATATGAGGGATTTGGAAAAGAAACTAGCTGTGGTGTATGAGATCTTCAAGTCTTCAATCTATTCTTTAATCACCTATAGTGACGAGTAAGCTTGAGTAACCCAAGCAGATGATGTTGACGTATTGTGAATGTTGTATTACGTTCAATAGGATTCATGGGGAGACGTGTCAGCTCAACAAGGAGACACTTTTGAAAGGGTAACCATATGTGAGAATATAGTGTTTGACGAAAAGTAGTCTCAAAAGAGGATCAACAAGTCAGTAATCAATGAACAAGAATTTTACCGAAATCAAAGAGAATACTACACCTAAATCATGGCGAAATATAGGCTTAAGACCCCGGAGGGTCCACTTGAAACATCTGTACCGGAAAAGCCTGAACTGTACCTACAATTTAAAGTCAACCCCCAAAGCGCCCTCCCCCAACCAACCACTGGTAAATGAGAAGCCACTAAAAAATGTACCATAGAAGCTTATCTGCAAATATATTAACGACTGATGTCCCTGAAAATTCCGTAAAATTATCTATATTTGGGTGCACCGCACCAACGAGTCAGATGGAGTCTCTTCTCAAATCTCAATTAATTAATTTATTACTTAAGAAGTCAATTTCTTGAAATAAATTTTTAACTGATCCAGTTTACTTATCCCCTATAATATGAGTGATTACGATAAATATAGCACACCATTATCTTCACGTTATGCCAGTGAAGAAATGTCATCAATTTTCTCCTTAAGAAATAGATTTTCAACCTGGAGAAAATTATGGTTAAACTTAGCCATTGCTGAAAAACAAGTTGGTTTAGATGTCATTACTGATGAAGCCATTGAAGAAATGAAAAAGCACTTAACTATCACTGACGAAGAAATCGAGTTAGCTACTAAAGAAGAAGCTATCGTTAGACATGATGTTATGGCTCATGTTCATGTTTTTGGTGATGTTTGTCCTAATGCTGCTGGTATTATCCATTTAGGTGCCACTTCATGTTTCGTTACCGATAATGCTGATTTAATTTTCTTAAGAGATGCTTATGATGTATTAATTCCAAAATTAGTCAATGTTATTGACAGATTAGCCAAATTCGCTTTAGAATATAAAGATTTACCTGTTTTAGGTTGGACTCATTTCCAACCAGCTCAACTAACTACTGTTGGTAAAAGAGCTTGTTTATGGATCCAAGAATTATTATGGGATTTGAGAAATTTCGAAAGAGCTAGAAATGATATTGGTTTAAGAGGTGTTAAAGGTACTACCGGTACTCAAGCTTCTTTCTTAAGTTTATTCAAAGGTGACCATGATAAAGTTGAATTATTAGATGAGACCGTTGTCAAATTATTAGGTTTTGAACATGTTTACCCTGTTACTGGTCAAACTTATTCCAGAAAAATCGATATCGATATCCTTTCTCCATTAGCTTCATTTGGTGCTACTTGTCATAAAATGGCTACTGATATCAGATTATTAGCTAACTTGAAAGAAATCGAAGAACCTTTCGAAAAATCTCAAATTGGTTCAAGTGCTATGGCTTACAAAAGAAATCCTATGAGATCAGAAAGAGTTTGTTCTTTATCAAGACATTTAGGAAGTTTATTAAATGATGCTATCCAAACTTCAGCTGTACAATGGTTCGAAAGAACTTTAGATGATTCAGCTATCAGAAGAATTTCCTTACCTTCAGCTTTCTTAACTGCTGATATCTTATTATCTACTTTAAATAACATCTCATCAGGTTTAGTTGTTTATCCTAAAGTTATTGAAAGAAGAATCAACTCAGAATTACCTTTCATGGCTACTGAAAATATCATCATGGCTATGGTTGCCAAAGGTGGTTCAAGACAAGATTGTCACGAAGAAATCAGAGTTTTATCTCATCAAGCTTCAGCTGTTGTTAAACAAGAAGGTGGTGATAACGATTTAATTGAAAGAATCAAAAACACTAAATATTTCGAACCAATCTGGAACGATTTAGATAATTTGTTAGATCCTAAAACTTTCGTTGGTAGAGCTCCTGAACAAACTGAAAAATTCGTTAATAAAGATGTTAAACAAGCTTTATCAAAATTCGAACAATTCATTAACAGTGAAGATGTTAAGTTAGCTGTCTAATGGTTGAACTATTGGGTCACATAAAAAGTATATATTTATAATTTACAACCGGTATTTGCGAGATTTCCAGCTCTGTTAACTATTTGGCTGCAAAAAATAAATTCTCACCGTGAGAGATTTCCATTGTTCAAGTGATTCAATCAGAAATACAACATTTTTTATTTTTGAACGGATGAGAATTCAGAAGAAGAATTAAATGTTGCCCCGGGTTCCAGTATGAACATTTGTTAAGCTTGAAGTAGATGAAAATTGCTAGGTCAATAAGAAAATCTGATTTTCATTTATACTTTCTCAACAAATTCAACCGTGGCTTTTGGATTAGTGACTTCTTCAGTCCTGACTTGTTTCTCAGTCTTAAAAGACCTCCATTTACGTGGGTTAACTCCTAAGGCGAATAACTCGTCGATTTCTTCAAAATATCTATGTGAAGTTTCTGGTAAGAATAACCAGAATATAAATAATGAAATAAATGAAAACCCTGTGAAAATGAAATTTATGGCAGAACCCATGTTACCTTCATCAGGATTGAACATGTATGGTAAGATTACTGTCCACATACAAAGGAAAGCGTTATTTATAAAATTTGCTATAGCGATGGATTTGACTCTTAAAAAGATTGACAGAATCTCATTCCCCAAAATATAAGGTAATGCACCTATACCTATATTGTAGAAGAAATTATACATGGCCATGAATGCTGCTGAAGTTTGTACTGCTGGTCGATTATTCAAGTTCAAACCGGTAACTGCTATCATCAAATTAACTAATGTTAAACATGTCATACCTATCATCATTGAGGGTCTTCTACCTAATCTGTCTACTATGAAGAAAGAACAAAACACACCAAAGACAGACATTGCCTGAGCACCACAAGCTATTTGAAAGGATTTTTTGGTGTCGTAGCCCGAAACTTGGTAATAATAGGTCGAGTAATTTGTAACATATCCTACACCCCCGAACGTTTGCATGAAATATGGGAAGATGACTAACAAAGTTCTACGTAAATCTTTCTTTTTAAAACAATCAAGGTATGTACCGGCTTGTGAGGAGATCAATGAAGCTTCTTCTACAGTAACTTTCATCAAAGCATATTGTGACTTGATATCTTTACTGTACATTCTTTTCAACTCTTTTACGGCACCTTTGTCTCTACCTTTAGCTATCAACCAATATGGAGATTCTGGAATAAAGCATTGTCCCAAAACGGAGATCACTGCAAATATCCATTGAGGAATGAAAATACCTCTGTATGCCATTCTTGACGTATAAGTACTTGTGGTGTTATTGATCAACACACAACAGAATGGACCAATACATAATGCCAAAGCAACTGCTCCTGATGACAAACTTCTAAGAGGTAAAGGAGCAATTTCTGAAGTATAAGCCATGGCACAAGATGCTATTATACCTAAACAGAAAGCATTCATCAATTTTCCGACAAAAAACACTTCAATGGTAACAGCAACAAACTCCAAAGTGATCCATGGGATGGAAAACAAAGATGCAAATAACAACGCTCTACGTTTACCTATTCTGTCAGCCAAGAGAGATCCCACAATGGACCCAATGGCTACACTTCCCTGAGGACCACCACTGATAGCACTTTGCCATTGAACAGGCAAAACATACGACTCACCATAAGCATAACCAAAATCTTTTCTGAACTGAGGTATGGAAATGACCATTCCACCAGCTTGGTTTTCATAACCCCATAAAATCATAGTCCACACTAATACTGCAACATAAAAGCTTATGGCTTTATAAGTCTTAAAACCCTGCCACCTTGTCATTCCATGATCCAACTCTTGTTGCTTACGAGCTAATATGTCCAAATTGGTCAATGCACCTTTTTGATAATTTTCATCATCTTGGGTGTCAAAATCGTTGTCGTCGATCTGTTGATCTTTACTATGTTTTTTAAAAACGTCCAATAAAGTGAATTCGATCATTTGTTGGCCATCGAAGCATTTTGCCTAGTCTTTATACACCAAGTAACATAGCAGTCATTTTCTTGGGTATCTCCTCATGGTATCTCGGTAGATTAATCTAACAATACTCCATAATTCAAGTTTCAGGGATCTTGCTTTGTGGCTCAGGGTTCGTAAATTGCACTAATTTTTTTCGTGTGACAAGAAAAGATTCCCCAGAGTAACATGGAGGGTGTTCGGGTCAATGATATAACTAAACAATAACTGCACTCCTCATAGATCACCAGAGTACTCAAACCTTAATCAATAGGAAAAATCTTCCTGCAAATAAATATGTCACAAGAAAAGAGGAAACTTTAGGCAGAAAAAACGCAATACTTAATAACTCCATATGGCTTTTGTCCCGCAACCCATGGAGAAATTTACCCCACGTACGATTCGAATTATTAAATCCCCCGAATTCATCTCAAGGGTCGATAGAGTCAAAGAAAGAAAATTGAAAAAAATCTATACTATGGTACAATCATAAATCATTAAGTGGACTTGAGTCTCTTTTTTTAATATCTTGATTCTCAAAGTGAGGAATAGAATTTGAACTATAACCGGAGTTTGGTTCCGGTTTTTGCATAGCTGAAGGAGGGAAAGCGTCAGATATTTTAGGAATTAATCCGGAATTGGAAGAACTTACTGGTGTTGATGAAGAACTGGATTGGATAGGTGAGATTTGGGGTAATCTTGGACCTGCTGATAATTGGTGAGTTAAGTAAGGCATTTGATGCATTTGACTACCACCAGCTCTCAATTGTTGCAATGCTTGATAATTTGTATAACTTGGATGGGAGGATAAAATAGGCATCATTTGATTACTTTGATTGAAATAATTCGGTCTTTGCATTTGGGGATTCGAACCATAATATTCATTAGATTGTTGAGGCAAAGGTGTTTGATCTTTGTTTTCCGCTTGTTCAGACAATTTTACCAATTCATGAAATTGGTTCAAAGCCTCATCAAATTCGAAAGTACAATATATGTTCTTATAGAAAGGTGTATCAATAACACCATTGATCAAGTCTCTTTCAAACATCCTTTTGTCAACATATAATGAAGCGTTACAATCTTTAGGAATTAAATAAATTTTCATATCACTCTTATATCTTGGTCTAGCAATAATTTTCTTAATGAATAAGTTTGAAGGTGTTTCACCCGGTTTTCCAATGGAATGTAAATATTCATCCAAATATTCATTGTCATCGATTAAATGGAATTCCCCTGGTTTGGCAGTTTCAAATTTCAATAACTGAGAACCATCAGAATCAACGGTGGTTGATCTTGAGATTCTAACTAAAGAGAATTCATTAACATTAAACAAGGATTTAACAGCGGTATTCAAGGAATTGAAAGTTGGTAATTTGACATGAGCCTTTCCGTTCTTGATAGTTTTTAATAATTTATTGGAGAACACCGATAAATTAACCAAATTGTTATCAATCAATTGAACAGGTTTGGTTGTAAGATAAACCTCATTCAAATAATTATCATTATGAATTACATTAGCTTGTTCATCATTGGAATTGAAAACAAATAATTTTCTTTGCCTGTTTGTATGAGGTGTAAGACTATTGTACAAATGGACTAAACTGGGAGCTAAAGTTAATTTAACTCTTAAGCCTGCTTCCAATGATTTAATATGTAATTTTGAATTATGAGGCATATTTGACATAGCATCTTTGGATAATGATTTTCTTCTAATAGCAATTTGGACCAATTTCTTACTGATTAATTTCTTATTAACCTTAGATCGAGGTAAATGATCAGGGATTTCGGCATTCCTCTTTTCTAAATCTTCTTCGATTTCTTCCTTAACTTTTTCAGCTAAACCTTCCTTTGGTTCTTTTTTAAGTTCTTCAATGTTAACGTCTTTAGCCTTTTTACTGGTTAAGTCATTCTCGCTATCAGTACTACCAGTACCTTTCCTGTCCAAACTTAATGAACTTGGAGCAGAACTCTCTTCACTCAGCGAATCACTTAGATTCAAGATTTCATTTAGCTTCAGCATGATGCCTAATGAAGATTTTTTCTTTAACTCTTCTGAATAGCAATTCAATTAAATTTGCCCACCACTTCTTAAATGATATGAATTAAGTGAATATAAGTATTAGTGTATCTTTTATGATTAATTGGTCAAAGTCAAGATATTCCAATAGTGTTTTCAGTAAGTAATATTCTTGCTCTTTTGCTAAATTATAACTTCAAGGATAGTTTTCTTTACATGAAAAAATGAGGATTATTTATCAATGTCTCAGTTATGTGCAGGAGATTTGTCTCAAATATTTTTTATTACTTCCGTTGGGTGATTTTGGGGTTTATGGGTTTCATTAGAAAGGAGGATAAGAAAGCAACCTATTTATATAGCTCAATGGAGAAGAGTATCGAGTTTGGGTTCAATTGGGTGAATATTGGATAAATGAACTTGGATATAAACTTCTTCTCCAATTGGAGTTCCGCTCACTTTTACACAGTATTTGCTGTTAAAATTGTCTGAGACAATTGATTAATTTTTCAAGGTAATGGTAGGTGCATAAGCGGTGGGAACAGGTGTTTATCGGAGTAACAACGTGAAATTAGGTACTTAAAAATGTCTTAAATTAAACAGCAATTGTTTAATTGATATAATAACTGATCATTCAATGAGATATATGGAAATCTGCCATATGATGGCTGATATATTGTTATAATCCACCCCAAAAAATAAACGACATTATTTTTTGGGATGTTAATTGGATGACAAACTACAAAGTGGCAATATGTAACCGGGAAAGGTGTTAAATGCTATCGAATTCACCGTATCACCTGAATCGGGGTAATGCATGGGAAATGTGATTAACCCCAAAACTGTAAAAAGTTATTATTTCACAGGTATATGCATAAATACGAGATTTTCAACTGAGCTTAAGGGGACGGTGATCCTTAGGCGAATTAAACTATAATGTCATTTACATTTTTCCTCTATTTAACTATACATTTTCTAAAAATTTGAACCTTGATTGATATTTCTATCTCTGACCCCCAATTCACCATTTAAGAATTCATCGCCACCGGATTTTTCATTTTTTCTCCAGAAAGTCCAACCATTTTCTTCCTTGTTGGATCTTCTTTTCATTAAAAAGAATACACCTACTAAACCAAGTAACACAGCCCCACCAACACCAACGACCACACCAACAACTATTTTATTGGTATCAGATAATCCTCCACTATTATTATCATCATTGTCCCTATCACTTGAACTGGCAGTAGGGCTAGATTCGATGACTGAGGTACGGGTAATAATTACAGTAGATCCATTATCAACTGAGTGAGAAGTTACTAAAGTTTCTCCTGAAGTTAAACTATCATTTTCATTAGCTGCTGAAGGGGTATCACTAGAACTCGATTCTGAAGTTGAAGTTGAACTTGGTGGTTCAGTGGTGGAAGTTTCTTGGAAAGCACTTAAAGTTGAAGAACTAGAACTTCTGGATGAACTTGAAGTGAAACTTGGAAATACTTCAGTAGAACTTGGAACAGCTACACTTGGACTGAAAGTGAAAATTGAACTGGAACTAGAACTTGAACTAGTTGTAAATTCATCGGATGAGAAGAATAAATCACTTGATGAACTATCTTCATCATCATCATCTTCATCATCTTCATCTTCATCTTCGTCATCATCTCTCATACTTGAGGTGGTGGAGCCTCCACTTACAGTTGAGTTGGTGGTTGTATCTCTTTTTTCCAAAGCTGTATTAAAAACTTCGATTAATTCTGTTATAGTTTCTAAATTTTTCGATATAGATTGTTGAAATTCTTCATTTTTTGATAACTTATTATCTTTCTTACCGAAGAAATTCAAACCATTGACTAAGGATGTGCACAATAACACAACAATAAATGAGTGGAATATCATGTTGATTCAAAAATCTGATAATTTTTTATCCTATTCAAGATTCTTAGATATGATAGATAATTTCGTTTAAAAATTTTCTCGCATCTATTTTTAAAATTGTAAATACAACATTCTCTCGTAATCAGAAAGGAAAATTCCTGAATGTAAGGCCATAGATAAGCCCAGGGATCAGGTGGATGTCATAGAGCTAGTTCTAAGTTCATCCATAGAGTATACTGATGTATAAAAGGTAGTAGATGATATGAGCCATAGCCCAACTGGTAGGTCCTTCGCACCTGACAACTGATTGAGCCTCTATTTTTCCCACGTCTTTTGTAATTCTTTAACACCGTTTTAGGGGAATTTTCTTAGTTAGGATTTCGTGTGTGAGTGAAAAGCAGTAATATTACTTAATTCTTAATCGGGTTATAATTCAAGTGATTAGATGCGATGATTTTAGCTTGTGGATCTAATGGGAAGTATCAACTAGGTAATGGAAGTGATGAAGATAGCTCGGAATTCATACCATGCAAGTTTCTAATTGATGGCCAAATCACCCAATCGGTGCAGCGACCTTTGAAGATACTTCATGGAGGCAATCATACCATGGTTTTATTCGAAAATGGACAATTGTTCAGTTGTGGAGATAATACATTTGGTCAATGTGGTCATGATTCACCTCAATTGATTACCGTGTTCACGCAAGTCCCTGGTAAGTGGAGTAATGCTTCTTGTGGATGGGAGTTTTCAATATTAGTTAATGATAAATCTGAATTATTTGTATGTGGACTGGGGTCTAAAGGTGAATTGGGTCTAGGAGATACGACTCAATGCAAGTTGACGAAGATCCCAATAGATTTACAAGTGGATGACATTCAATCTACTGTACAATACACGTTATTAAGAAGCGGTGACAATTTTTATGCATGGGGTAATGGTAAAAAAGGACAATTTATAGAGAAAGCCATATTTCAAACCCCTACCAAGGTTGACTTACCCAGAAGTAAAGATATCAAATCATATGCATTAACAAAAGATTCCGTGGTGTTGAATTATGGGTCTTCCATCAAATCATTAGGACGTCTAGAGATCGAAGTTCAAGGACAAATACAATCTATCAAAACAATGTGGTCATCCATACACTATCAAATAGATGGTAAACTTTCCTCTCAAGGTAATAATAGTCATGGTCAGCTTTCAGATAATCATCTTACCAACTTCGAAAGTTTTGAAACTGGCAGTGAACATGGGATATTACAAAAAGATCAATTATATAGTTGGGGATGGGGAGAACATGGGAATTGTGGCACAAGTAGTGAACCTAATCATGATCAAATAGTATTTAAACAACTTAATCCGATATATGACCAACCAGTATCACTAATAAGTTGTGGATGTGCCACTACATTCATCGTTCAATAAGGCGATGAGATGAGGTTTAAAGAAATTTAGATATGAATGTAACGAAGTATCTTCCCCATATTCATCTTTAAAGTAGATAACTTAACGAAAGATGGAGAATATGTTCAACGTATTAATATAGGACAATTGTATCAACAAATTACTGGTCATTGCAATAACTCATCTTCTTAATCATCCATAGAATTTTTTCTCGAACTTCTCAGAATATTTATAGTCCCTCAGAATTGAGTTTGAGACTTAAAAAAGTAGATATTTCCTTTATTTTCGATTTTAGTAACTGAACAATGTTTGGAGCTGTTTGTTCAGGTAGACAATTACAAATGGCCAGTCAGGTCGCCGAAAATAAATTCATTATCACCATACCTAATGCTTCCAATATCTCCCATTTGGCCATATTCTTATTACCTAACAGTGAATTTAATATCAATTATACTGCGTTGATCTTCTTTCAATTACCTAACTCACAAGATTTTAAGTTATTAGGTGGTTTGAATGCCAATAAACCAAGTGGGATTTATAAATTGAATAATAATGTTAAATCAAATAATGAAGATATGATCATGGAAGATGATATTGATACCAATGATAACTACACTATTAACATTGGTCTTTCTATAGAGCCTACTGCTGACGCAGAATTACAGTTGAATCAAGAAAAACTCAAACAATCGGGACAATCGACAGCTTTGGTCAGACCAGCCAAACAACCAGTTAATGTTAATGATACGGCTACTTTAGCTAATAAGATTGTAGGTCATGCTTATAACTACTTAACTAGCTTCATTGATGGTAATGGGATGGTTCCAATCAAGGCATTTGATACTTGGTGGGAGAAATTTAAAGGAAAATTGAATAATAATCCAAATTTTCTAAACGAACTAGATGCTTAATGAATATATTATAAATTTCTCTTGAATACTCTAAGAACGATTGTACTGATAAAGTACATTTCCGCATCATATCATGTTCAGGTCATTGGATAGCATAGAACGTTATTACGTTTGTAGAAATGATAATAACATATACTCCAACTTTGCTATCACCAGCAAATACAGTAAACCTTTAACTAAAGAGTTGATCTCGCAGACTTTGGTTCAATTGTGTGAATTGTATCCAGTCTTTGTCAGTACTTTCTCAAATAAAGGTACAGATAAAGATTGCAATGATTACATTCTCGAGTCGGTAAACGAGTTATTGTTCGACGACGTAGTTATCACTGTGGATCAACCTTTCAGTGAAGAACAATTGAAATTCGTCAATGAGATTAGATGTTCTGCAAATGAAGGTAAACCAACTTGGAGGTTAGTTTTATTCAATGATAATTACTTAACCTTTTTGTGTGATCATGCATTATTTGACGGTCAAAGTGGTATGAACTTCCATATAGAATTCTGTAAGATTGTTAGTACTATTGTGGACCCCAAGTTTGTTGAAAGAATTTATGTCAAACACCAAGATTTTCACCCACCACCTAAAACTGAGGATATTATTGATTTATTCAAAGTGTCCTGGGTAGATTATTTGAAAGCCTACTTGAAGAAGTTGGTTCCGAAATTTCTTTCACAATGGTTGAGTTATCCTTTCCTTATCAAATACCCCCTTTTCAAAGAATCACATCCAAAAAGTATTTATTCCAATTACAAAATCATCAACATTCCACATGATCAACTTGAAGATCTTTTAAGTATTCTTAAGTTCAATGGGGTAAGTTTGACTGCATTCTTGAATGTCTTTCTCCATTACTGTTTGCAGAATACCATCTTACCATCGTTGACTACTCAGTTGTCGTCGGTTTTATCATCAATTCCTATATCTGGAAGACGTTATTATTCACCATTCAAGGAGTCTAAATTTAGATTTATGATTTCTGCTGTGGATATCATTCTAGCCCCTATAACTGCAATCAATGATAATTGGTGGCCAATTATCAAGCATATCAATAAAGAGATCAATAATCAAGTAAAGTCAAGAGATATTTTTAGACATCCGCCTATTCACAGCCCCTATCAGTATATTGCACCCGATAAGCCTAATACTTGTGTGCCGCTTTACGAGCTCTCCAATTTGGGGTTCAATAATGTATCCTTCGGTGAGTGGAGTTTAACCGATGTAGTATTCAGTCAATGTATTGGAATTACCAATACCTTTGGTTTCACTGTGGCCTCAACTCCCAATTCCATGAACATAGTATTTTCCTATCTTGATGAATACGGACATTGTCCAAATGAAAATTTCGTGACCTTCTTCAAAGACAGCATGGTCAAATTCATAACAAACAACCGATGAGGGTCGAATAGGGGGTTCTCCTATTAGGCGGACTTTAAAAAGTGAAGAAAATCGCATATTTTATCTACGCTACAGAATGAGTAGAGAATTAGATACTATAGAAAAATTCAACGTTTGTAGAAACTGTAATGATGTTTACTCTAACTTCGCTGTTACTGGACATTATAACGTTCCAATCACTAAAGAATTACTTTCTCAGGGGTTAAAAACTTTGATCGAAGAATTCCCAGTTTTCCAAAATGCTGTCAAAAGATTCGGCGGGGATGACATTAAAGACGGTTATGGTAACTACAGAATGGTCAAGTTAGAGGAAATCTTGTTCGATACGGTTGCTACTATTTCAAACAAGCCATTTGATGAGTCACAGTTAGAAGAAATCAATAAGATTAAATGTGAATCCGATGCTAATAAACCAACTTGGAGAGTTATTTTATTCACCAACAACTATTTGACTTTTCTTTGTGATCATTCGTTATTTGATGGAGAAAGTGGTAGGAACTTCCACATAGAAATGTGTAGAATCTTCAACACTTTGTCTAATGTCAAGTTTGTTAACAAATTATATTCCTTCAATGATAGTGAAATTGCCTTACCAAGCACAAAGAAATATAATATCTATCAGTATAGTTATTGGGACGTTGTGAAGTTCCTTTTCTGGGATAACTTGCCAAATAGGTTGAAAGAGTTCTACAACCAAACATTTATTGAGTATTATCCTAATATCTACCAGTACCCCAGGTTTGTCTCCTTCCATAAAAAGACTGAAAAAACCAATTTCAAGACCATCAAAATAGATGGCCAACAAATGACTGAATTAACCAATATCCTTAAATTCAATAATGTCTCCATGACAGCTTTCTTGAATGTTTATTTGAACTACTGTTTACAAAATACCGTTTTAGCGAAACATAGTTCTCAATTATTATCTACTGTTTCGGCTATTCCAATGTCAGGTAGAAGATATTACCCTCAATCTGATGACTTGAAATTCCGTTACATGGTCACTGCAGCTAATCTTTATTCTGAACCCATCACTAAAATGGAAACTAACTGGTTCCCGATTATGAAGAGTATCAACTCGCAACTTCAAAAAGAGATCAAATCCCAAGAAAGATTCCGTGCTTTTGGATTATTAGAGTTGGTCAATGTTTATGACTTCATGAAACCTAAGGATCAAGCCAAGGTTGAACTGTTGTTTGAAATCTCCAATTTAGGATTTTCCAAAATTCAATCTGAAAAATGGCAAGTAGATGACTTACTTTTCAGTCAAACTACTGGAGTATCCAGTCCTTTCGTTTTCAGTGTTTCATCTACTGTTAATGGTGCAAACATTGTCTTGGGATATCTTGATGAATATAAAGATTATCCAATCGACCAATTCATTGAATTCTTCAATGACCATTTAGATGTATTCATTAGTTCCAATGCCCTTCCGCATTGAGAGCAGCACCAAAGCAACACCATAATTGATGATTCATCATCATCTTACAAAAAAAATCGTGGCTCATGCGTTTAAATAAACGCATAAACCCCCATAAATAATTCTTAATATTCAACACTTAAACCTTAATTTTTAATATGTAATTCTTAATATAAACTGATTAATAATCGTCATGAGTTCCGTTACCTGATTCCACTTCTGCGAATTTTTTGCAACCAGACGCCACAGTTTTTGAGATGCCAAAAAAATTTTTGTCATCAACTATAAAAACTATAAATAGTGGATTTATAACTATATACGATACATTCTAAGGAAATTACAATACAATATGACTAAAGATCAAACAACAAATTACGGTTTTGGTACTAACGCTATTCACGTCGGTGCACCAATTGATCCTCATACCGGTGCAGTTATTGAACCAGTTTCTTTATCAACTACTTTCGCTCAAAGTGAACCATCTAAACCTTTAGGTATTTATGAATACTCCAGATCTGCTAATCCAAACAGAGATAATTTCGAAATTGCTGTTGCTAAATTAGAAAATGCTAAATATGCTCTTGCTTTAGCTTCAGGGTCCGCTACTACTGCTTTAATTATTCAATCATTACCTGTCAACAGTCATATTGTCAGTAGTGGTGATGTTTATGGTGGTACTCACAGATATTTCACCAAAGTTGCCAACACTCATGGTGTTGAAGCTACTTTCGTTGGTGATTTAGTTAAAGATTTAAAATCCAACTTGAGAGAAAATACCAAATTAGTATGGTTAGAAACTCCATCAAACCCAACTTTAAAAGTTACTAACATCAATAAAGTTAAAGAAATTTTAAACGAACACGAATCAGTTACTGGTAATAAAGTTTTATTAGTTGTTGATAACACTTTCTTATCTCCATACATTTCCAATCCTTTAAATTTTGGTGCTGATATCGTTATTCACTCCGTTACTAAATATATCAATGGTCATTCTGATGTTGTTATGGGTGTCTTAGCCGTTAATGATGATGAATTACATGAAAAATTAAGATTTTTACAAAATGCCATTGGTTCAATCCCATCACCTTTTGATTCATGGTTAGCTCACAGAGGTTTAAAAACTTTACATTTAAGAGTTAAACAAGCTTCAGAAAGTGCTTTAAAGATTGCTGAATATTTATCATCCCACTCAAAGGTTTCATTGGTTAACTACCCAGGTTTGAAAACTCATGAAAACCACGATGTCGTTTTAAAACAACACAGAAACGGTTTAGGTGGTGGTATGATCTCATTCAGAATTAATGGAGGTGCTCAAGCTGCTTCAGTATTCACTTCATCGACCAAATTATTCACTTTAGCTGAATCTTTAGGTGGAATTGAATCATTAATTGAAGTTCCAGCTATCATGACCCACGGTGGTATTCCAAAAGCTGAAAGAGAATCTAATGGTGTTTATGATGATTTAGTTAGAATCTCAGTCGGTATTGAAGAAACCGATGATTTATTAGCAGACATTGAACAAGCTTTAGAAAGAGTTTAAGTTTTATAGATTGTATAGATAATAATAATTTGTTAATGTATTTTTAAATTTCATTTGACTTTTTATGTTCCATTTATTTACTCTTAAGCTGATGGATTCTTTTCTACACCTGAAGCTTTAGTATTATCGATTTTCTTGATATTTTCAATCTTTTCGACTTCTTGTTCATAATATTCCCAGGTATCAGATAAATCCTTAGCTCTATCTTCAATAATTAAGATTCTTCTTCTTAAAGCTTCATTGAAACAAACTTCTTGAGCTACTTTAAAGAAATTGGCAGTCCAACCTTTTTTATAGAGTTCACAATCTCTGGCAATTTCTTGAATTTCAAGTTCTTGGAATTTAACTTGAATGTTATATTGTTTGAAAATATCATCTCCAATTAAACCATTTTCATATAAACTCTTATAAACTGATTCTGATTCTTTTAATTTTAATGATCTTCTAATGGCTTCAACTCCCCTTCTTAATAATGCAGCCTTCATAACTTTTTCATGTGGTTTTTGCTCTTTAGATAAATTTGGATCATTGTATTGATCTTTTAAAATAGAATACATTATTAAAGGATAATTCTCTTCAAATATTGGATCAATCTTTTGTAAGTTTCTTACAGTTCTTCTTCTATAAATAATGGAAAATGCAATGAAACATGATAACAATATAATCAAATAGATTATTGGTGTAAACACTGATATATTTGCAGTCTTGGGGATATCTTCTTCATCCATTTCAACTTCTTGACACACGTATGTTGAAAAATTCGCACAAGTAAGTTTGAGATCTATGAGTTGGTGAGTAAAAGACTTAGCGAGTAAAAGACGTAGTGAATAAAAAAGATGTATATTTACCAAGCATCCTTATTATTTCTATATACTAAACCCAAATAACGGGCTAACTCATCGTGTAAATCTTTAATTTCATCATCCGAGAGATCTTCGGGTTTAGTTTTATTGTCTATGAGGTTACTGGCTTCTTCTAAAGTTTGCAGCTTTTCATCATTAAGGAACTGTTGTAAACTTTCATCATTTGGGACGATTAATTCATAAAATTCACATAAACTGAGAATTTCTTCAGCTTTCAATTTAGTGAAATCATCAATGTTTTGAGGATAAAAGTCAAATGTAGGTAATTCTCCATCTTTATTGGAAAGAGGGGCTATTTTACCCTCTTTAGCTCCTAATTTGGAGTTGAAGATCCTGGCTATCGTTCTATCCTCCAAAGAATCTAATTGACTCTGTAATTCTCCTACAAGCTGAACGATATCTTCATTTAACACATAATCACTCAAATCAGGTTGTTTGGTATCCATTTGACTCATCTTATTTTTGACATTTTTAACTTGAATTTCAATCAATTGTTGGCCTGTTTTACTGATTAATGCTGATTGCTTTTCGACAACCTTCGTTAAGGAATCAACCTTTTCATTTAATTGTTCTAATGTTAAGTCTGACATTGCGGTGAGATTTTGAGACGCAGTCAGAGTTGGAAATCAACTATTTCGGGGTGACCAGTCAATTTGGAATTGATTAATGGGAGTTTAACAAATTCAGGAAGTTTTTGGAACTAAAGATTTTAACATTGACTGGGAGACATTCAAAATGTATTTGTCATCCATCGATATCGTAAATTTATTTATCTTATAATTTCGTGAATTCTACAGATCTTGCATTTTGGATAATTTACCTAATTGAGTATCATCCGCAATCAGTACCGTTAAAGGATTGATCCGAAATGTTTGACATATTTACTATGCACATTATGTTAAATTGATAGACTAACCCCTATTATCAACAATAAAGGACTAAGATCGTATTGTTATCCAATAAAATTCAAATTTTGGTTTGCAAAGATCCACCTATAAATTTGGTGCACTTCCTAATCAGGATGGTGTATGCGACAAGGTACTTATCTATAAAAGGACCGCATTTGGTCCAAATGACTTTTTCTTTTTAAATTATCAGATCTAAATCAAAATGACAGTTGACATTGAACAATTCTTAATCAAAGAAGATTTTGAAGGTTATGAAGATCCAGCTAAATTCGAAACTTTCAAACCAAAGATTGAAAAATATCTTAAAGCTTTAAACGATGGTATAAAACCTGAATATTCAATTACTTTACCAAAGTCAATTGATGAATTGGTTAAAGAACAATTCAATCCAATTGAATACTTGTATAAAGAAAAGTTATTGACCGAAAAGGAATTCGAAATCACCGATACTCCAGGGGTTGAATTGGTTAAACAAATGAGTGAAGGTAAATTGACAGCTGTTGAAGTTTTCAAAGCTTTTGTTAAAAGAGGTACCATTTGTCATCAATTCACTAACTGTGCTATGGATTTATTCCCTGAAGAAGGTTTAGCTCAAGCTGAAGCTTTAGATGAATATTATAAGAAGAATGGTAAAATTATTGGTCCATTACATGGTTTACCAATTTCTTTAAAAGAACAAATGGATTATAAAGGTCACATTCGTCATGCTTCTTACGTTTCACAAATTGATCATGTTTGTGAAGAACATGGTGCTAGTGCTGCTATCTTAGGTAAATTGGGGGCTGTTTTCTATATTAGAACCACTCAACCTCAAACTTTAATGCACTTAGATTCCGCTCAAAATATTACTGGTTATACCAGAAACCCTTATAACATGTCATTATCCCCAGGTGGTTCATCTTCAGGTGAAGGTTCAATTTCTGCTTTTGGTGGATCAATTATTGGTATGGGTTCCGATATTGGTGGTTCTATTAGAGGTCCTTCAGCCTTCTCTGGATCTCACGGTTTAAGACCAACTTCCAAGAGAATTGGTTTATTAGGAGGTTTATCATCCGGTGGTGGTCAAGAAAGTGTTATGGCAGTTGCTGGTCCAATGTGTAGATCCATGGATGATATCGAATTATGTATGAAAGCTTATATTAATGATGGAAAACCTTGGGAATTCGATCAAAATTGTTTAAGAATGCCATGGAGAGAAGTTCCAAAACCAGCTGCTAAAGACTTAACTATTGCTGTTATGTATGATGACGGAATTGTTAAACCAACACCTCCAATGGAAAGAGGTTTAAAAGAAACCGTTGCCAAATTGGAAAAAGCTGGAGTCAAAATTGTTGAATTCAAACCAATCAAAACTGAATTAGCTTGGGAAACTGTCAAGAAAATGTATAATTGTGATGGTAACTACATGCAAAAGAAATTATTAGCTGAATCAGGTGAACCATTATTCCCATTAACTAGATGGGCTTTGAATTTTGGTGAAGGTAAAACTGCTTTGACTGTTGCTGAAAATCGTCAATTAAATATTATCAGAGATCAATTAAGAAACGAATACAACAGATTCTTACTTGAAAACAAGATTGATTTTGTGCTTTCTCCATCTTATAACAATGTTGCACCAAAACCAAATCAAGTTTATAATTGGTCATACACTGGTTTATGGAATATTTTGGATTTCCCAACTATGACTATCCAAACTGGTTTATTCCAAGACCCTAAAGTAGATAAATATGATGAATCTTTCAAAGATTACAAATTCAGATCACCAGTTGAAGAATTAGAATTGACTAATTATAAACCGGAAGAATTTGTAGGTGCTCCAATTGGTTTACAGTTAAGTGGTTTGAGATATACTGATGAAGAAGTTGTTGCTGCTTCTAAACTTATCGTCGAAATCCTTGACGTTGATTTAACTAAGATTTATTAAATAGACTTAATCCATATAAAGTGAAAATTGAAACTCTAAACTCTGGACTTGATTTTTTCCATGATGGGAAACTGATAGAGAAGGTCGGAAAAACCATAATAATGAAAGTTGTGAAATGTGGAAATCTTAGTTTGAAGGAGAAATGGAAAAAATACCGATGTAATTCACCTTCGCTGACATATGTCCCAGATAGGTACATTACCTGCAAACCTTATCATAACCCCCTTTTAATATACATCTCCTTATCTAAAAATGTTGAGACCAAAGTTAAATGCGACTATCCCAATTCAGCTGATAAGCAGCTACTATCCAAATCGGGTAAATGCCTGATCCCGCTGCGAATTATAAATTCAATAGCTTATCCCATGAATTGATCATAATCTTAATAATTGAATCAATATCGAATTAAAAGAATACGTAATGTCTGTCACTTTTGAAAAATTCTTAGTGAAAGAAGATTTTGAAGGATATGAAGATCCTGTTAAATATGAAACTTTCAAACCAAAACTTGAAAAATATGTTCAGAATTTGAATGAAAATATTAAACCAGAATACGCTATAACTTTACCAAAACCAATTGAAGAATTAAGAGCTGACCAATTCAATGCTGTTGATTATTTGTACAAAGAAAAACTCTTAACTGAAAAGGAATTCGAAATCACTGATTGTAATAATCCAGAATTAGCTGAAAAGATTTCTAAAGGAGAATATAGTTCGGTAGATGTTCTTAAAGCTTTTGCTAAAAGAGCTACTATTGCTCATCAATTAACCAATTGTGCTATGGAGATTTTCATTGATGAAGGTTTGGAAAGAGCTAAATATTTGGATGAATACTTGGCTAAGAATGGTAAAACAATCGGTCCATTACATGGTTTACCAATTTCTTTGAAAGAGCATTATAAATACAAAGGTAAAGTATGCCACGCATCATTTGTATCATTGATTGATAATGTTGCTGAAGATCATTCTACTACCATTCAAATTTTAGAAAATTTAGGTGCTGTGTTTTATATCAGAACTAATCAACCTCAATGTTTAATGCATTTATGTTCAGAAAATAATTATGTTGGTGGTGCAAGATCTCCTTACAATATATCCTTATCAGCAGGTGGTTCTTCATCTGGTGAAGGAGCTTTGGTTTCAATGGGTGGTTCAGTAGCTGGTGTTGGAAGTGACATTGGTGGTAGTGTTAGATCTCCAGCAGCATTTTCTGGATGTTTCTCATTAAGGCCATCGAATAAAAGAATCAGTTTAGCTGGTGCAGTTGCCTCTGGTTCTGGACAAGAAAGTATCGTAGCCGTTTGTGGTCCATTAGCTAGAAGTTTAGAGGATGTAGATTATTGGATGAAATCATATATTAATGATGGTGAACCATGGGAATTAGATCAAGATTGTGTTAGAATGCCTTGGAGAGATGTCCCAAAACCAGCGGCTAAAGATTTAACTATTGCTGTTATGTATGATGACGGAATTGTTAAACCAACACCTCCAATTCAAAGAGGTTTGAAAGAAACTGTGGCCAAATTAGAAAAAGCTGGAGTAAAAATCGTGGAATTTAAACCAATTAAAGCTCAGGAAGCTTTGGATTTAATCAATGATATGTATACTGCCGATGGTAATGTTTCATCTAAGAAACTATTATCTCAATCTGGTGAACCTTTAACTAAATTAACCAAATGGTATTTGAACTATGGTAGAGGTAAAAAGTCTTTTACCATCTATGAAAATCATCAATTGAATGTTGCAAGAGATCTCTTGAGACAAGAGTACTTGGAATATTTCAACAACAATAAAATCGACTTCATTTTGAGTCCTACTTCAAGTAATGTTGCACCTAAACCTGAAGAAGTCTTCAATTGGTCTTATACCACCTTATGGAATATTTTGGATTCTCCAACTATAGTATTCCAAACTGGATTGTTCCAAGACCCTAAAATCGATAAGTGGGATGATTCTTTTAAAGATTATAAATACAGATCAGACTTAGAAGAATTGGAATTAACCAACTATAAACCAGAAGAGTTCATTGGAGCTCCAATTGGTTTACAATTAAGTGGAAAAAGATACTACGATGAAGAAGTTGTAGCTGCTGGTAAGACTATTGGTGATATCTTAGGTGTGAAGATTTTAAAGAATTAGATTCAATAAACGTTAAATTCGAACTCTATAAGTTACTCTCAAGTACCGAAGGAACATGTTACTCTTAAGAACCGAAGACACATATTACGTTCGAGTACTGAAAAAGCATGACACTATTAATATAGCATTGAATAACCCCATGATGAAAAATGGTGATAAACTCCAATAGTCAATTGTAAAACCTCCAAATTGATTCAATAAAAGAATCCCCAAACCTCCGAAAAGATTGTAAATACCCGAAATCGACCCAACAATATCATTTTCCACAGAGATCAAACTCATCGATGTTATAACGGTACCAATTTGAGAAATGCCCACTAAACTAACAAGGAAGAACACTAAGGCTGAACGAGGATCGTCTAAGTTGAATAAAACCATCAACAAATTACCAACTATACCGAATAAGGAACTGGTTACAAGGCATGGAACTTTACCAAACTTATCTATAGCATAACCCCAAAATGGTGAAGATATCAAACCAATGGTTTGTACCACCCCTGACATAATAGCTGCAAATACATAACCATCATAACAGTTGGTCTTGGAAGGTAAACCATCAGCATCACATAAACCATTTTGATAATAAAACTTATAAACATATAAAGGAATGAATACAGCTATTAAAACTGAAGTCGATCTAGCAATAAAGCCCCCAATACAAGCAATTTTCACTGAAGAAGACGATAAAAATTTTGACCAACCGGTAGCTAATAATTGAAAATAACTCACAGAAGAGTTCTTTGTAGGAAAGCTATAAAGGAATGTCAACATGAATAACCCTACTAATATTGAAATACTTCCAATGATAACGAAACTTAACTTAAGACCCTCTTTGGCTGTCAAATCAAAATCAATTGATAATTTAACAGGTAATGATAAGAAGCAAGATACGGAGAAAATGGCACCCAAACCTGTAGCTATACCGATCATGGCAGAATATTTCCCATTCTTGTTTAAATTGGAGTTGGGAGTATCGGTGTTTCTTTTCCAGTAGAAGATCTTGGAGAATTTGAAATCTGAGTAGATCAATTGATGTAAAAGAACAGGAATCATACTCATACCCGAGGTGATACCGACAGCAAAGATGATTCTGGGAACAATCAATTGATACCAACTATGGAAATCCCATAAACCATAGATCAAAAATGATATTGTGATCAATAAGAAACTCCCAAAGACTATCAATTTTGAACCATTCAAAAGTAAATTGGAATTATTAATTTTATCATTCAACGAACCGATCAATGGAGATGTTAAAATGCTAGTCAATTCATCAACTACACCCAAAAGACCTATTATCTTGCCTATTCTATTATTATCAATACGTAAGATTTGACTGATGAAGAATGGTTGAGATGATGTTAGAAAGATCACGAATGAAATTGCAAAAAATCCCGATAAGTTGAAGGCCAATAAGTTTCTGAATCGATAATTTTTGAATAATTTGGAAGGTTGTGGAGAATCTGGAGACAATTCTGATTCATCATCAGTTATATCGTTAGGTAATAAAGGAACAGCGTCTGACATTACCGATTTATGGAGAAGGTGCGAAATCTAAGACATAGGTGGGATTATTGGTTTGTAAGTTTGTGAAGATCTAGAGGGTGAAGAGCTATATCCTAAGATGTGGAGAGCTAGAAGGATATCCAGGAGCTATAAATCAGAAAATCTCCTCCAATCAATATTAATTTCCTCCATTTTTCCCAAAAAGATAGTATTTTTGCAGTTTGCAGCCATTCGCAAGAACTTTCTGACAATCGTCGCTATCGTTACTACCGCACTACTACCATATCAGGCCCCGCGTTTATCAATATTATGTAATAAATCAACCATCGTGGTACTAATCTACACGTGGATTTCTTATCACACGATACCTATTTATTTATTTATAATCTCTCAGATCATTAACTTCTCTCGTGAGATCATCCCTAATCTTTACTTTCTACTTATTCACCCAAGTTTACACCCAAACAAATACACCTTATCATCCATTAGCAAAAATGCGAAGTAACAAATCTTCAGTGTCATCGTCTTCCACAATGACTGAAGCATCATTCAATGAATTAAGATCGAAATTAAATCAATTTTCCGATGATGTGTTCGAAGATGATTCAATCAACCATGGTGATAATGAAGGAAGTGATTCCCCTCCCAATTCTAATGATGAAACTGTTAACCTTGAAGACTATACTTTAAAAAGGAGTGATTCATCTTCTTCAATCAGTTATATTGATTTAAATAAGTTATTATATATACCGGATTTTGATTTTGGTATTGGAATTCATCCCGATTCCACTAAAAAGAGATTTGAAACCATGAAGACCAAAACCAAAGAAAGATTAAATAAATATTCCATGCAATCTAAAGATTTATTGAAATTACAAGATTTTTTAAACCAAAGATTAAGTAAGTTCGATAAACGAATTCATAAGAATTTAGAAAGTTCAAGTACTGAAAAGTTATTTTATGCTTTAGCAGTGTTTATGATTGCATGTGGAGGTTTCATTATTGGTAAATATCCTACATATTTCCATATCTTTCACACTGTTTTGTTTGTCATCTTAATGCCAATAAGATTTTATTCATATTTCAAACAATCATTTCAATATTATTTGGCGGATTTATGTTATTATGTTAATTTATTATTAATGTTATTTATTTGGTATAAACCAACTTCCAAATCATTGTTCGTTTCAGTGTTTTCATTAAGTCTTGGAACTTTATCATTTGCAGTTATAACCTGGAGAAATTCTTTAGTTTTACATTCAATTGAAAAAACTACCAGTTCATTCATTCACGTGATGCCTCCAATAACTATGTTTGTAATGGTTCATGAATTACCTAAAGAATTTTCAAATGAAAGATTCCCTGCTTTACAGAAAGTTACTCATTGGAATTTTTTCAATGGAATTATTATTACATCTATTTATTATACTATTTGGCAAGTTACTTATCATTATTTTATTACTATCAGGAAAAAGAAAGAAATCGATAATGGTAGAGTTACTTCATTCACTTTCTTGAAAAATAAAAATCAAGGTACTACTTTAGGAAAATTTGTTAATTCCTTACCTTATAATTGGATGCAAATAGCTGCTTTCACATTAATTCAATTCTTTTATCAAATTTTAACCATGACTTTCTGTCCCATTTGGTTTAAATATAAACATTTATGTGGAGCATTTGTAACATTTGTTTTCGTTTGGGCAAGTTATAATGGAGCTACATATTATATTGATGTTTTCGGTAAAAGATTTGAAAAGGAAGTCAACAAATTAAAATTAGAAATTGATGATTTACAAGCTAGAATTGAAAGCCAAACTACATCACCAATTTTAAAACCTCATGATTCAACATTAGATGATTTAAAACACAGAAAACTTTCTGATGACAAGAAAGATGATTAATTTATTGTATTATTACGACTTAATGAAGAAAGAATTTCAATTCAACTTGAAACATTTCATAAACATTCCTTTTGATATTAAAGAGATTATTGAGATTCAAATAAATATTTATTCTAATAAACTTCTAAAATGTATCTACCACTTTCTTTCATATCTTCAACAACTTTATTAACATCTTTGATAGTTTCACCATTTTTAGCAGCAGCATTAATAATAATATCTTCAAGACAAGCAGTAATATCAGGAACTGGCCAAGTTGGACCACATAAGTAGAATGAACCGTTTTTAGTGATCATAGCATCAGTTAATTCACTTAAAGATTCTCTGATCTTATCTTGAATATAAATTTTTTCAGGTTGATCTCTTGAAAATGCTGCCCCAATATGAGTTAAAACTCCAGCTTTTTTATAAGCTTCCCATAATTCACCATAAAGATATTCTTCTTTTTTATGTCTTGAACCCATGAATAAATAAATTTCACCAATTTCCATACCTTGTTCTTTTTGCCAAATTCTTTCTTCAATAAATGCTTTAAATGGAGCTAAACCAGTACCTAAACCTGACATGATAATTGGTTGAGTTGATAATGGAGGTAATTTCATGACGGATTTTTTAACTGATACAACTAATTCATCACCAATATTTAAATCAGATAAATATTTGGAACAATGACCCCATCTTTTTCTACCTTTGGAATCAGTCCAATCAACAACAACAATTAATAAATGTAAAGCATTTGGATGAAGTTTTTGTGATGAAGCAATAGAATATTCTCTTCTTTTTAAAGGAGCAATGATTTTAACTAATTCAGCAAATGGTGGTTTAGCTGATTTAAATTCTTCTAAAATATCAAAATATGTTGAAAAATCAACTTCTTGACGTTTTTTCAATTCTTCTGCACCTTCAGCACCTGCTAATTTGGTTAATCTAGCTTTATCATTTTCTTCAGTAGCATATTCAGCTAATGATTCATAAAATCTTTTAGGTGGTTTACCTAAGAAATCAACAGTATCTAATAATGATTGTCTAGCAGTTTTGATTTCAACTAATGAAGGATCATCTTTATTGATTAATTCAACAATTGAATCTCCATCAACTCCATAAAATTGTAAAAATTCTTCAACATCTTCAGGATGATTACGTCCATGAATACCTAAAGCTTCACCAATATCATAAGTTAATCCAGTACCTGAAATATCAAATTCAATATGGAAAATATTTCTAGAATATTCATCAGGAGTTAATCTGATATTCTTTTGAACTTTAACAATGAAATTATTAACAGGTAAATCTGGTCTCAAAGCAGTTTTAGTGTTAAAAGATTCGTTGAAAGTTAATTTCTTTGCGAGATCTAAATATCCACCAGTGGTAGCTTCTTCTAAATCGATTTCATTAGAATTTCTTGGATTTGGATAATATGAAGTTTCATTAATGAAAAATGGTAAAACTTGTTGTTCTTCATCTTGTTCTTTATCCTTTTCTTCAGTTTCAATGACAACTTTTAATGGTTTCAAACCTCCTTTAGCTTCAACTTCGGTGATAAATTTATCAACTACAGCAGCTAATAATTCAAATCCAGCACCATTACCTTGAATTAATTTATTAACAATTAATGAATCTAATTGAGGGAATGTTTGTTTCCAGAACCCAAATTGAATCAAAAATTCATTGGAGAATCCTTTAGTTGAATCATTCAATTCCTTTAAATCTTCAAATATTGAGAAATCAATAACAATAATTTCATTTTCATTAGCAAGTAAAGATTCTTTGGTGGTTTTAGATAATTGAGATAATAATTTACTATCATCAAATTTGGCATAATTACCAATTAAGATGGTAGAACCGGGTTTAGTGGTTGAAATAATATCATAATGATTGAAATAATCAATATCTTCAACAATAGTTAAATCCGAACTATCAATTTCATTAATACCATCAGTTGAATTGATTTGACTTTGGAAAATCCCTCCTTTAGTTAAGTTATCAAATTTATTACGGATAGAAACTTTTTTACTATCATCTAAAGATAAAGTAAAAGCTAATTTATTAGCAGTTTCAAAGAATTCTCCATTATCTTTACCCCAAATGACATATTGCCCAATAGGTGAAGAATTAGTATTAATAGGATAATCAATATCAACATTGTCTTTTAATACGATTTTTTCATCAATTTCAACATATTGGGATAATAATTTGACAATAGTGATTGGAGTCCAATTGAAATTCAATTCATAAACGTATTCACTGATATCATAACGATTATACATTCCATTTAAGAATAATGAAGATGAAATATCAGCTTTAATTGAAGTATTAGTACCACTATTTGGTGATAAAACCACTAATTTTTCAGTAGTCTTTGGTACTAATTTAATGAATTCATTGAAATTGAAAGGGATTGGGATTCTTACTTGAATTAATCCAACTTTATAAAAATCAGTTAATTTTTCGAAAACTTCACCTAATTTAGTAGATTCGTTAGTACCGTAAACCACGAAAACAGTTGATGGTCTTGGATTACCAATATATTTGAAGTTAGAATAATCAGTATTAAGTGATTGATTTAATTTTTCAATAGCAAAAGAAACAGTTTCATTCAAATCACCTGACTCATCATTAAATTGTAAGTTTTTGAAAGTTGAAGCTAAATCTTCAACTGATAATAAATTATCATACTTAGTAAAGAAATTAGTTGATTCTAAACCTTCAAATAAATTGATGGAAACGTTATTAGTCAATAAAGATAAGTATTGATTTAATAAAGTCAAAAATTGTAATTCTTTACCATCATGATGATTAGTGGCTGTTAATACTGGATAATTCAAAGATCTAGCTGATGATAATACTTTCTCATAGTTAGAAACCAATAAATCATTATTATAATCAATAGCTGAAACATTCAAAGCAATAGGTAATTTGTTTTGACTTAATGCAGGATACATATATTTCAAACCATTACCATCACCAATTACACTAACACCAGATTTATCATTATCTAAATAACCTAAAAGATTATTTCCAGCACCTGATCTGATTTGGAACTTATAAAATTCTGGTTTTTCATTGAACCCGTTGATTCTTTGATAGTTAGTAATCCAATTATTCAAATAATTATCAAATTCAACATCACAAATTGTTTCATAACTAAAAATCTTTGATTGGGTTGAAAAAATAGCTTGATTTATGATAGTAATTGGTGAAATATAATTACTTGATAACAAATATGGATCTATAGTTGATTCAAAAGGATTAGAAGAAACACTGGTCTTGGAACCAATACTCCCTGTTTCAATAGCGTGTGGTGCCATTTGTTTAAATTCAACTTTTATTATAGGTTAAAATATCACTATCGTAGATTTCTCTGAGATGCAAAAATTCATCCCCAGCACGTGATATGTTATCAGCATCAATGTCGCGGATATTAGATGTCGCTGACGTAAGCGATATTTGTGACATTTTCCGTTTGGTCTCAAATTTCGTGTACTGATAAAAGATAAACTGTGGATATCAGCCATAGTAATGAATTGAATAATTGGAAAAAAAAACTTTTTATTTGTTTCAGAGTATGTTCAGATTGATTAGAAGATCATTTCCGAATAAGCTGTTAAGTTTTACCTCGAAATTGAGGAATTCTAGAACTTATAGTACTAGATCTGGATCTAAGGTCAGTGGATTCATAGGTGGATCGGTTCTATTAACCGTTGGTGTTGCAATCGGAAGCTTTTATGCACCAAATTTGGATAATGCAGATAAATCAACCGTTCCCTTGGAAGATGTTAAACCTTTGAAATATGCTGATGATAAAGCATTTGCTCAAGCTGTGAAAGAGATCAAAGCTATTGTGGGGGATCATTTTTCAGAAAATGAAGATGAAATCAAATTGGTTTCCGATATTTATTTCGGAACTCATAGACCTCCAGAACCTTTAAAGAATAAACCTGGAATCATTGTTTCTCCTAAAAATACTGAAGAAGTATCTGAAATCTTGAAGATTGCTCATAAATATAGAGTACCAATAGTTGCAAATTCTGGTATGACTTCATTAGAAGGTCATACTATTCATACCAGAGGTCCTAATTCGATTTCTATTTCATTCACAAGAATGAATGAGGTGTTAGAATTTCATCCTGATGATTTGGATGCTGTAGTTCAAGCAGGTGTGGGTTGGCAAGATTTAGATGAATATTTATTGAGTAGAGAAGATGGTAAACATTTATCTTTTGGACCTGATCCAGGTATGGGGGCTACTATTGGAGGAATGACAAGTACAAGTGCCAGTGGTACTAATGCTTATAAATATGGTACTATGAAAGAAAATGTTATTAATATAACTGTGGTATTAGCTGATGGAACTATTCTTAAAACCAAACAACGTCCTAGAAAATCAAGTGCTGGTTATGATTTAACTCATTTATTTATCGGTCAAGAAGGTACTTTGGGTTTGATCACTGAAATTACTGTCAAATTAAATGTTCGTCCTATTTATGAATATGTAACTATTTTAACATTCCCTTCAGTAAAAGATGCTACTCAAACTGCTTCAACCTTAGTTGCTAAATCCGGATTACACTTAAATGCCATTGAAATTCTCGATAAAACTACCATGAGTTTTGTCAATAGTCTGGGTATCACTGATGGTAAGGGTAAGACGAAGAAATTCCTTGAAAATCCAACATTATTCTTAAAAATCGGAGGTGCTACCCAGGAGTCCATTAAAGAACAAAATAAGATCGTGGAACTGATTGCCAAACAAAATAATATCGTCAAACATGAGGTCAGTAGAAGTGAAGAAGACAATGCTGTATTATGGAGTGCCAGAAGACAAGGATTATGGTCAACCATTGAACACGGAACCAAAGTCTTAAAGGATCCAAATGATGTTCAAATATGGACCACCGATATAGCCGTTCCGCTTTCCCATTTACCCAACATCATTTCTGAAACCAACGACGATTTGAATAATAATGGATTTGAGAACAAATTTGCTCTTATGGGTCATATTGGAGACGGGAACTGTCATTTTTTGATCTTGTATAATAAAGAAGATTATTCCAAGGCTCAAGTGTTAGTTGATAGAATGGTGGATAGGGCATTGAAGTTTGAAGGTACTTGTACTGGAGAACATGGTGTGGGTATTGGTAAAAGAAAATTCTTAACCAAAGAATTAGGACCTAACTCTGTTGATTTGATGAGGAAACTTAAATTTGCTTTAGACCCTAGAGCTATTTTAAACCCTGATAAAGTCATTAAACTTGAACCAGGTGATAAGTTAGATGAACTTCTTGAAGCAGGATCAGTTCATGAAACTCATGCTCCAAATTGTTGTCATTAAAATTTTATAGATTATAGACATAGACTTTCTAATATCTTACACTTCTAACCTTCCTTAGTGACTCCCAGGATAACGACTCCCCAGAACAATGGCTCTCCTGAAGTCTATAACCTAGAAAACCCCAGATTGATAATTACACGACCATGTATATGAGAGAAATTTTCTCAAAATTTTCATCACCAACATGTTTAAAGCCAGACTTTTAAACACTCAGTTCAGGAGTTTCAGTACCAGTATAAAGTTGGCCAATAAACAATCTAAAGCTAAGATTGATTCACATTTAGAATATTTATCGAAATTTTATTCACCAGAATTATTGCAAAGTATTAAAATCACCGAATCATTAGTTGAACCTGATGCATTATTGAAATTAAGTAAACAAGGTATCAATGCCAAATCAGCCAATCCACCTAAAGAATCAATCGATTTCACTAAAAATGATCCAAAATGGGATGAACCAATCTTATATCCAAATCAACCTAATAAACAAGCACCATACCCTGCTATACCACAAATTCAAGCAGCTGATAGAACTGATTTAAAATTAAGATTTAAACCTACTGAAGAGAAAAGAGTGAATCCTTTAAAGACACATGCCCAAATTGCTGAAGGATTAGCCAAATTAACTGGATTAGATGAAAGTTATATCAAAAGATTACAAATAAGACCTATCGTAATGAAAAGAGTTAGTTGTCAAACATCTAAAGGTAAAATTCCAAATTTCTATGCATTAACCGTTGTTGGAGACAAAAACGGTATGGTTGGTTTAGGTGAAGGTAAATCAAGAGATGGTATGAGAACTGCATTAATCAAAGCTCATTGGAATGCTGTTAAGAATTTAAAACCTGTTAAAAGATATGAAAATAGAACCATTGTTGGTGATATTTCGTTAAAATATCATGCTGTTAAATTATTTATCAAATCAGCTCCTCAAGGTTTTGGTTTAAGAGTTAATTCTAACATTTTCGAAATTTGTCAAGTTGCTGGAATTGAAGATTTAAGAGGTAAAGTTTATAAATCTAGAAACCCCATGAATGTCGTCAAAGCTTTCTATCATGCTATAACCAATCAAACTTCTTTAGAAGATATAGCTGCTGGTAGAGGTAAGAAGTTAGTAGACTTAAGAAAAGTCTATTATTCTGCTTAGTTGTAAATATGTAAATAGTAATGTCATAGAATTTTTTATCTCTTCTCGCGCGAGGATAAAAAATCACAAGGATGGTGGTTGATACAACTTATTATGATTTATTAGGACTTGCACCTGATGCCACATCATTGGAGATCAAGAAAGCTTATAGGAAAGCAGCCATCAGATTACACCCTGATAAAAACCCTGATGACCCTGAAAGTGCAGCCAAATTCCAAGAAGTTGGTGAAGCTTATCAAGTTTTAAGTGATGAAAGTTTAAGGGCTAAATATGATAAATTTGGTAAGACTGAATCAATGCCAACTGAGGGTTTTGAAGATCCAAGTGAATTCTTTTCTATGATATTTGGTGGTGAAGCTTTTAAAGATTGGATTGGGGAATTATCATTGCTTCAAGAATTATCTAAATCAGCCGAATTATCAGGATACGGAGACGAAGAAAAAAAGGACGACAAGGATGATAAGAAAGATGATAAGAAAGATACAGGAGAACAATCGGAAACTTCATTTACTGCTACTACTCCACAAACTAATGACTCCAATGAACATGCACCATCCAATGGCAAATTATACTTAGAACTGTCCGCAGATGCTTCCAAAACAGATTTAGAGAAACAAAAGCAAGAAGAGGCTAAACGTAAAGAAGAATTGGAGAAGTTCGAAGAAGAATGTAGAATCAAGAAAGTTGAAATGAGAAAGGAATTACTTCAGAAATTGGTTGATAGGTTATCATTATTCACAGAAACTGATATGGCTGATGATGTTGCTCAATCCTTCAAAGCTAAAATGAAATATGAAGCAGAATCATTGAAAATGGAAAGTTTCGGTTTGGAAATCTTACATACTATTGGTTCTATTTATAAGTTAAAGCTGAAAATTTTATTAAAATCACAAACTTTCTTAGGTTTAGGTGGATTGTGGTGGTCAGTCAAAGATAAAGGTGGAGTTGTAAGAGACACATTCAATACCATCACTAGTGCATTGGATGCTCAATCAACCATGCAAGAATATACAAAAATGCAAGAAGATAATGAATTCCATGCGAAGAAAGATGCTGAAGAAGAAGCTAAAATTAAGGAAGAAACTAAGAAACAAGAAGAAGAAGTTAATAAAATAGAGCAAAAATTAGAAGAATTGAAAGTTGATAATGAAAAAGCTGAACAGGCTGAAAAGGCTGAAGGGTCCAAAGAAGAAAAGATTCCGGAAAAGCATAGTGACGAAGAAATAGCAGAAATGGAAAAATATTTAATGGGTAAAGTTTTAGCTGCTGCATGGTCAGGATCTAAATTTGAAATCCAGCAAACCGTCAGAGCTGTATGTGATAGTTTATTACAAGATAAAGATGTACCTTTAGATAAGAGAATAGCTAGAGCTAAAGGATTAAAATTGATAGGTGAAGTGTTTACCTCTACTACTCGTACAGAGGATGAGGCCGAAGAAGCTAGAGTTTTTGAAGAATTGGTAGCTGAAGCATCTAAGAAGAGACAAAAGAAGTCTAAGTCACAACCTCAATCAGAACAACCCACTGAAACTTAACCATGTCTGTAGATAGATAGTATTTATAAATGAAACATAATGATTTAAAGCCTCGCCGTAAAAAGTAACTTTTGGCACCCCAGAACGCCGCTCGTGATGGCCACTTCAGATAGCGGCGGTCTTAGTGGGAACATCGCGATTTTGACAGCTCCAAATCTGCAAATGACTTTAGTTGATTTACCAAGACCTTCAGGTCAATCATTAGATAATTGTACCAATTCTAACTATAAGAACTTCAATGTTCTCAACACAGATTTGAACTTACAGGTTTCATTCGATGATAAAGTTATAACAGGAACTGTTACTTTTGAACTTCAAACCATTAAGGAATGTGATACTATAATTTTAGATACTTCCTATTTATTTGTCAGATCAGTTTCTGTGGATCAACAGCCTGTGGATTATAAATTATGTGCTAGAAAACCTATCTATGGATCACCTTTGGAGATTAGTCATAAATGTCAAGGAAAAGTCTCCGTTAGTGTGGAATTCAGTACTACTGAGAAGAGTACCTCCATTCAATTCATTAGAGGTGACACCGGTCCATATTTGTTCTCTCAAAGTGAAATGATTCATGCCAGATCCTTCTTCCCTTGTTTTGATACTCCAGCCATCAAATCAACTTATACCATTCAAGTAGAATCACCTCATAATGTATTGATGTCAGCCAGACCAATTGCTACTGAGGGGGATGTTTATAAATTCAAACAACCGGTTCCTATCCCATCATATTTAGTTGCCATTGCCAGTGGGAACATTGTGTCTGAACCAATTGGACCAAGATCTAAAGTGTTTTCAGAAACTCCAAATATTGCTGATTGTAAATGGGAATTTGAAAATGACATGGAAATCTTCTTGAAAGTAGCTGAATCATTAACTTTTGCTTATGAATGGGAAACTTTTGATGTTTTGGTGTTACCTATGAGTTTCCCTTATGGAGGAATGGAAAATCCAAATATCACTTTCGCTACCCCAACTTTGATCTGTAAAGATAGATCTCAAGTCAAAGTCATTGCTCATGAATTGGCCCATAGTTGGGCTGGTAATTTAGTAACCAACTGTTCATGGGAACATTTCTGGCTTAATGAAGGATGGTGTGTTTACCTTGAAAGAAGAATTTTAGGAGGAGTTGCTAGTTTAAAAGCCAAAATGGATGGAAGACAAGATTATCTTGAATATGGAGAAAAATCTCGTCATTTTGATGCCATCTTGGGTTTTGGTGATTTGAAAGAATCTGTAAATAACATTAATCCTGAATTCACTTCATTAGTATGGGATTTGAATAATAAAGATCCAGATGATGCCTTCTCCAAAGTTCCTTATGAAAAGGGATTCTTCTTCCTTTTCTACTTGGAAACAATCTTAGGGGGTCCAAAAGAATTTGATGAGTTCATTCCTCATTATTTCAAGACCTTTAGATATAAGTCATTGGATTCATTTGAGTTTATTGACGAATTATACAGATTTTTCGAACCAAGAGGGAAGAAGGAAATCTTGGATTCCATTGATTTCAAGAAATGGTTATTTGGAAAAGGAATGCCTGAAGAACCTAAATTCGATAGAACTTTAGTAGTTGAAGTTGAAGAGTTAGTTGAAAAATGGTTAGATTTCTTCAAATCAGGTAAAGATGATTTCAGTCAATTCTCCATTAATGATATTGAGACTTTTGAATTCAATCAACATTTGTTATTCTTGGATAAATTATGTGCTGAACTTGAAAGCATCAATCCATCAAGTCAATTGATCATGAAATTACCTGAAGTTTATCCATATTATACCAAAACAGGAAACTTTGAATTGATTGCCTCGTTCAACACTATTCTCATCAAATACGGAAACTTAACTGAAACTGATAAAGTAGTGGTTAACTTCGCTGACTGGTTAGGTACTGTTGGAAGAATGAAATATGTAAGACCAGGATTCAAATTGTTGAGTACCAAAGTTAGTAACGAATTTGCCATCACAACATACAAGAAATATGAATCATTATATCATCCAATTTGTAAATCTTTAGTAGAAAAAGATATTGGTTTAGTATAAGGTAATTATAGAACATCACGTGATCAAATATATATGGTGTGTTAACAGATTGAGAGGCATCAATTGAGTGCCACACAAAACCTTAATTGGTGTACTTGTAAAAATCCTCTAAAACAACCTTGGTGCGATGGAGTATTTGACTAAGTTGAATGGTAATACAGCTACTAAGTCAGCTTTTGATTTGAAGTATACTTTCCCTGTGAAATATTATGATTTCCATATCTATTACTATGCTCATAATCAATCATCTTTGGCAGAGTCTAACGCATTACAACAACGATTTTTGAACGATTTCTCTAATGAAGGAGAAGATGGGTCAGTTATTGTAAAGAAGTTACCTAACGAAAAGGTCATTGGACCTCATCCTACACAATTCTGGGAAGTGGATGTTTTGAGACCTGAAGTTTTCATCAAAGTGATTAGTTGGTTTCAATTGAATCATGGGAATTTGTCAGTATTGATTCATCCTCAAACTGGTGATGATATATTAGATCATACTGGACGAGCAATGTGGTTGGGTGACAAATTACCTTTATTGTTAGACGTGTTTGATGATTCGACGGGGATCCCTGAATTTGGTGTTAAAGGAGGGAAAAGAATTGATGCAAAGGATTATTACTAACGATACTTTAATATATATTTACTATTATGGTGATCATTTTCCTATACACTGAACTTATAAATCGATTTCTTTCTTGAAAGAATCCAATCTTTTTTGATGATCTTGGATAAATTGAATGACTTTTCTTCTATTTTCTCTGATAATTTCATTACCTAAAGTTTCAATACCATCTAATTTCATTAATTCTTTCAATAACATTTCTTGGAAGTATTTATATTGATATTCAACCTTTTCTTCAGATAATTCTTTATAATTGACTAAATATTCATTAATTTCAGGAACCCATTTACTTTCGAATTCATCTAAAACATCTTGGATTTGTTTATTAATCTTTTGAGCTCTTGAAACCTTCTTTTTCTTCTTCTTTTTGTCATCATTAACAACTGGGGTTGATGAAGATAAGCTACTGAATAAGATTTTACCAATAATCAATACACTGGTTAAACCAATGATGGAAACTGTGATAGTTCCAGGAGTTATCTTTAAAGCATTGAAGTCATTTAATAAATCATCTTTTGATGTAGTCTTGAGATCTAAGATGAATGCTTCAATTTCTTTAGGTAAAGTAGTTTTTAAATCATTCAAGTAATTACCAACATCTTCCAATTTTGGTTGAAGTGATGATTTAATTTCATTGATTTGTTCCATAATGTGAGATTCGTTGAATGTTTTCGCACAAGATTGCAAACAGAAATTGCTTTATATTCTATATAAATACATCGAAATCAATATTGGATTTTAAATCTCCTACTGACTTGGGTTTGGGTTTTATCGGAGGTTTGGGTTTGATATTAGATGGTTGTGGTTGTTTTTCATTTTTGAAACTCTTTGGTAATCGTCTTTTTGGCCCTTTGGAACGTGATTTGTTGGGATGCGTCAATTTGGATTGGGACTTTTCAGGTTCAGTATTACTACGTTGGATTTGCATTGAGGGACTGGATGTGGTAGGTTCAGTGTTTGAACGAAGAATTGATGACAATTGAGACTTGAAATCAAGGGAAGTAAGAGAACTTTGTGAATCATTTGTTGGTTTGGGTTTGATCTCTGGAGTAGATTTTTTGATTGCAGGTGGTTTATTTCTGATTGTGGGTATCTTTGTATGCGTTTCTCTGAGTTGTTTATCTTCTTTGGGTTTGCCTCCCTTTGGTTTGTCTATCACGGGTTTCTGATCTATCGCAGGTTTGTCGATCAGTTTCTGATCTATCATAGGTTTCAGCTTCACTACAGGTTTCTCCTTGATTTTGTTCAATTGACGATTCAATAAATCATTGTCAGCTTGTTTGTAATTACTCAAATTGCTCTTATCTTCCATTACCTTTGTGGGTGATAACCTTCCTAGAGTAGTCTTCAATGGCTCGACATCTAATTTCTTGAAGTCCTTGACAGGTGGGGGTGGGGATTTACGAGATTTGAGTTTCAGTAGTTGAGCTAAGAGGAGCTCATTGTCTTGTTCTTTATAGGTAGGTTTCTGAATGTTGAATTGTGTTTTGGGAGTGATTGCTGGTTTGGCTTTGATTTGTGGTTTTTGGGTCTCCAGTTTGGCTTTGATTTCTGAATTTTTAATCTCTGGCTTAGTCTTTATCTCAGGCTTTCCTTTGATCTCCGGTTTAGTTTTGATCTCTGGTTTATTTTTGACCTCTGGCTTGATCTTTATCTCTGAATTTCCATTTTCAGTCTTCTTGGTAAATTCTATGGGTTGTGGTTTAGTTTGATGTGCCTTTGCTTCTATACCTCTTTGAGGTGACTTACTCACCACACTGTCTATCCAGGAATTCGAGTTCTTGTCTCTGTGAATGTCGTTAATATCGAAGGCGGTGTCTTTTTTGGGTGACTTAACTAATTTTGCAATGTCTGAATTTGGTTTGGGGGCATCAGTTTCATGATAAGGTTTAGAAGCTTGAATACTTGAATTGAGCCACGATTTGGCCGGTTTTGGTGGTTTTGAAGGAGGTTCTTCTGTTTTCCCTGAGTTTCCATTCCTTATAGATGATTCTATATCGGCAAACGATCTATGACCCGTGAGAGCAGCCAGTGTGGTGGGAGTGAATTTCTTTAAACCATATTTCTCTGCAATATCGATCTCCTTCTTCTTTACAATGGGAGCCGATGTTCGTGCCACTGGTTGCACGAGATTAACTTCAAAGTCCTTCTCGTTTGCCTTGGTAAAACTTGGTTTTGCAGGTTTAATTGGTTTAGATCCAGAAACTTTTCTTTGTGGTAAAGGGGGACCATCTTCATCATCCAAATATTTTCTACGAGGTAAGCTTGGAGGTGGTTGTTCTATCGGTCTTCTAGGCATTTTTGGTGGTGATTCATCTCCCAAAGTCAATGGCGACTTACGTGAGGTCTGATCTTCAGAAAGTGAATATTCAATAGGTGTACCATCCAGTAAATAATGATAGCGTTTCCCATTGCCCCTTAAAGATTCGATGTCTCGATCCAAATCTCTCCCAATCTGATGATCTTCTGACAACCTATCCTGAGACATCTTTGATAATGACGATAAGAAGTCATTGACTTTCTTTGTGTTGGGAGAAATATCTGCCATAGTCAAGACTGAGAATTTACTTCTAAAACGAGCATGTCAGAAGATAAAGCCATTTGTTTCATATCGTTTATCTCCAGGGATGATCAACCGTTATACATTCAATCATTTGATAAGACCAACGACGAAGGTACCTCGGGTTCGAATGAAGGAGAAATGAATAAATTCTTGAAGTACAACTTTTTATCACATATGGCGCTTGATATAATAACATCACCAGCATCATTATCAATAAGACAGAATCAACTGAATTCGGATAGTATACTATTATTGATTCAAGACGATGTTTCGGTCTATGGGTACGAAACTAACACGGGGATCAAGATAATTATTGGTTTCGATAACCTTGTTAGTGCTAAACAAGGAGACGTCAATCAACTTGTCAAATCAGTTTACAAAAATTATATCAAAGCTGTATGTAATCCATTTGGGGAGGAATCCACCAATGTGTTACAAACTCCAAGTTTTGACAAGAGTATAGCGAAAATTGTAAATCAATGGAATGAACTCAAACTCAAACAACAACCCAAACAAGAAGTGCTGAATCCCGAAGACAAAGTTGAAGAGGAAAAGAATCCAGCGCCAGAACCTTCAGCAAATTAAATATATACATTAATCATTATTTCAATACAACGTTAGCACCTCTTAAACTCAAATATTCTTGATCTAATGAGGTGGTCATATTCTTAACTACTTCTTGGTAAACTTCGACATCATGGAACCTTATACCATTGGAAGGACATTTATATTTCCCTTCTAAACCGGTGATATCACAATATTTCTTAATAGGTTTCAATGTAGGTGGTGAAACTAATGAAGTATAAGTAGGAGTATCAAATTTCAAGTTTTTGGATTGTAAATATTTGGTTTCATCAGTGAGTAATTGACGAGCAGGTTTGAATCTTCTAGCTGCCTTGGGTTTATTAGACTTGAAACTATGGGGCCCTACAGTTATTTGTGATAACTCATAAAGTGTTGGTTGACCCATATCGCGATTACATTTTGACAAACCCATTCGCAGAAGAAGTTTCAATTGTAGTCACCTGAGTTGTCACATGACCTGGCACAAACTTCCTAAAACGCTTCGAATCAAACGTTTCATCTAACTTGGAATACCGATAATTATCGGTTAAAATTGCACACAATAAAATGTAGAGATCGACCTTTTTCTTGTGTACGGACTTACAAAATGGCAAATAGATCTTCTATTAAATAGAATGCAAGCAAGGTTCAGAAAATCTTAAAAAATATTGACGCACGAGACACATTTTTCTAACATGTAAAAAAATTGCGACTAAAAGTTGAATTAAAGTTACCCAGCATTTATTGATTCATATCAAGCAACCAGCTCTTTTAAACTTTGGCTGACTAAATAATAAAGTTATCAGTTAGTTGATTAGTTAACTAAAAAGGATTTGATTTAGGGGCGTGCTTTAGATCAGTAAAAAATAATATCGGCTTCACAAATCCCTACTTAGGAGTCGTCACCATATGTAGAACATCTCAGTATCGCATCTGAATGTAACTTTCGTGTTCAGGGTTACTCATTAATTACGAATATTCTTCGTAGGAGCTAATCACCCGATACATACGAAAATCATTTCGATAGAGAATCACCTCAGAAACATCATCGATGTTGTAAGATGTTTAAATCTACAAAAGTAAAACCCATTACTTGATTAGTGCTTGAGATAAGATAACGCTCATACTGATAGCAATGTAAATAAGTAAGGACAACATACCATGTTAAGGATTAAACTATTCTTGTCATAGGCTATACTCTAGTCTCCACTACTCTAACTCCACCGTATTGTTAAGTTTACGTATTGGAGATTGTTTATGTTTGCAGGTTGAGGTAAACTTTAGGATAATTTAGCCAGCCTCCCACTTACATATTACAGATATTTTAAGTGTATTATTACTTTATACATTAATTACGTAAGAATCCTATTAACATAGTGCCATAAAAATACATTGGGTATACAAGATAATATACAATGTTAAAAATAACTATAACCGAAAGAACCAAACTTTTTTATAGTATCATTGAATACTAGAAATAAAAATCAAATATGAAAGGAAAACACCATGTTTAAAAGAAAGGAGAAAATATTGGGAATCACTAGTTAGAAACAGTGAAAGGGGTATCTATCTATAATAAGTAAACAATAGCACCGACTAAAGCGACAATTGAGGTAATACCACCAACATTAGTAGCAGCACCAGCTTCGAAAGTTGAAACATCAGCTTCAACTGATGGGGAAGCACCACCGGAAACTGAAACGGTAACAACAGCTTGGACGGTAGTGGTGGTATCACAATCTGGACCAGTACAAACGGTAACAACATCAGTGGTGTTGAGGGAAGTAGTTGGAGCAACAATTGGGGTGGTAACTGGAGCAGTTGAGTTAGCGTAACCAACAGTAGAAGTTTCAGCACCAGTAGTAGCTTCTTCAATTGGACAGTAAGTAGTGTAAGCGGTTTCAACACCATTGACAGTGACAGTGGTAACGGTTTCAACCATTGATTTTTCTTCACAACCGTTAGCACCACATGAAGTGATGGTAATGTATGAAGTAACGTATTCAGTTGAAGTAGCATCATAAGATTCTGGAGCTAAAGTGGTTGGAGCTGGAGCTGAAGATTCATCTGATAATGGACAGTAAGTGGTGTAGATAGTTTCAACACCTTCAACAGTTTCAGTAGTAACGGTTTCTTTAGCTGGAACAACGGTTTCATGACATTTGTTATCAGCACAAGAAGTAATGGTCATAACGGTGGTTGAGAATTCAGTTTCAGTAGTAGTACCTTCTTCAGTTAATGGGCAAACAGTGGTGTAAGCAGTAACAATACCTTCGGAAGTAACAGTGGTAACAACTTCAGTAGCTGGAACTTCAGTTTCTGAACATTTGTTATCGGAACATGAAGTGATGGTCATAACAGTAGTGTGACTGTTGGTAACAGTTAATTCCCCACCAGCAGCTGATGAAGCATCAGCAACTTCTGATGAAGCAACAGATGGATCAACAACAGCAAAAGTTTGACCTGGTAATTCAGTACCTTCTTCACCTTCAAGGGAAGCAACGAAATCAGATTCAGCATCTCTTGAGTATAAAGCGGTTTTACCTAATAATCTTTTTCTTAAAGCTTCAGTAGAGTTAGCAGCTGGAGTTTTAGAATCTGAAACTTGGAATAATGGAGTTGATTCTAAACCATATAATAAGTTAGCTGGAATGTTAATGGTTCTACCTTCAGCTGGGATATCATTGAAGTATTTTGAAGCTTGAGCAACAGCATAGTAGAAGATAACGTTATAATCTTCAGTACTAGTGAAATCAAATTCAACAGGTAAATCTTCTGGAATAGTGAATGGACAAACACCAGTGTCTAAGTCAACAGTGGCAACGGCTTCATCGTTAACCATACAGACAACATCTTTGGCAATAGTGGTAGCTAATAAACTAGCAATGGATAATAAGTATTTCATTTTTGTTAAAGAAAGTATTGGGGTGAGTTGATAAAAGAAAGACTAAAGATTTTTTCTAAAGTGGGATTACAAACATTATATACTAATAGTTAGTTGAAACTCCTTCACGACTAGTATACAATACCAGAGACGAATTTCTGAAAATTTCTTCTGGAAAGAAAATAAACATAACTCCTTTGTAATCGAGGTATAAACAAATAAAATTCTCATTACCACTCCTAATTTAGACGGTTCATGGCATTATTGGTAGTGTGAATTAGGGGCAATGCCCTCCAATTATGGTGGTACAATTACTGATGGTTGCATTGTCTCCTGAACGACGCCATTGTTTAATTACAATCGTTTCCTCCGACGCCAACTTAATGGGAAAGAATCAAAACAAAATCGCGGTTGACCACCTTGACGAAGGAGACGGCCTGTATATAATTTCAAACTAGACCGCACATGAAACACGTTTCAAGATTTACTACCGCTGCGGTACCCCCTGTCGACTTAACAACCCCGACCGCCGTAGTACCACAAGGGGGTGGATAATCCATTTAGGTAAATCATTTACTATAAACGGGATGAACAATTCATCATTCCAACAATAAGAAAATGTTTTATGCGGACATTGTTGAATATTTCACGGCTCCAACATAGGAGTAAATGTTATGATTGATAACTATAGGTTATTGTGGGATTGCTAATTGAAAAGTTTTTTCTTCCGATGTATTTTAAACTATCTTATTATGTTACACGAAACACGGTGATCCTTTCTATTCTTTAAACAAAGTTTTAACCATTTAAACCTTCTATTTTTCAGATTGTTGCAAATTACCATTCTGGGTTGTTTAATGGGCATTTGGCAATTTTTGTTTTATCGTAATATGACTCGACAATTTTGACGAGGTTTTTTTTCTTCTTATCTCTGTAAAACTTTCAATTGTCTATTCTATTATTTGTTTGCCCTTTAGTGACGTGAATACCATTGTTGACAAAGTTATTGTAAGCTTGTTATCATTGAGTGTTGAATCCAATGAATAGTGTTGAATCCTAAGGGTACATTAAATAATTCTTTTAGACAAAAAAATAAGATTATGTATATGCACGACCTTTTTCGCAGCCAGATCTTAACTTTCAGTAGATCCAACTAATGCATGTAGATGCAACCAGAAGCCAACGGTTAGATCAACGGTCAGATCACATATCTTGATCATGTCAAATACCTTGATCGTGTCAGATATCTGATCAGTATTCCGAAGAACCGGAAAAATTCACTACTAAAAACCTCGACGAATACCAAATTAAGAGAAAAATTAAGAATACCTATTATTAACCGAAATACTATACAACTTTTCGAAACGGGAATCAGAATATCGAAAAACTAATTTGACTAGCAAATTTTAATCATTAAAATCATTAAATAATGAACCTTTGAAAACGTAAAACAAATTTTTGAATTTTTTTATTAATTGAAAGCGAAATTAAATTAAACAATTTATAATAATAAACCGAATAATGGAATGATGGCTAATAAAGAACCACCGACTTTAGCAGCACTACCACCGTAAGTTGAGATTGAAGCAACAGTTGATGGAGATGATGAAGTTGGGGCAGCTTCAGTGGTAGATTCACCGGCAACAGTGGTACCAGTAACAACAGTGGTAGCTGGGGTAACTGGAACAACGGTTTCGTGACATTTGTTGTCAGAACATGAAGTGATGGTAACAACGGTTTTGATTTCTTCAGTGACAACTTCAGTTTGATCTTCAGTTAATGGACAGTAAGTGTAGTATGAAGTAACTTCACCAGCAATAGTTTCAGTGGTTAAACTTGGGGTAGCTGGAACAGTTGATTCATGACATTTGTTATCTTTACATGAGGTAATGGTAACAACAGTGGCAACTGGACAGTAAGTGGTGGTGGTGTAAACGGTTTCATCAACAGTGGTAACAACTTCTGAAGCAGTAGCTGGAACGGTACCTGAAGCACAAACATCGTTAGAACATGAAGTAATAGTAACAATGGTGGTTAATGAATCAGTAACGGTAGCGGTACCATCAGTAGCACCAGTAGTTGAAGCACCAGCAGATGATGATGATAAATCAACAACAGCGAAAGTGTTACCAGCAACGGCGACACCTTCAGCTTGTTCAGCAATAGCTAAGAAATCATCAATTTCAGCTTTTTTAACTAATTCAACTTGTTTTAATAATCTTCTTCTGATAGCAGCAGTAGAGTTAGCAGCTGGAGAAGCTTCTAAGTGAACTTGGAATAATGGAACACCTGGAGTACCGTATAAAGCAATAGCTGGGATTTCAATTAATCTACCAGCACCAACAATATCGGTGAAGTATTTAACAGCTTGAGCGACAGCGTAGTAGAAGGTAACATCGTATTCTTCTAATGAAACGAAATCGAAAGCGACTGGTAAAGCAGCTGGAACAGTGAATGGACAAACACCGGTATCTAAATCGACAACGGCAACTTGTTCACCATTAACTAAACAAGCAACATCTTGAGCGATGGCAGTAGCAGCTAAAACAGCAGTTGATAATACTGAAGTAAATTTCATTGTAAAAGCGATTGATAAAATGAAGTTAATAAGAAAAATAAAGAGGGAATACAGAACAATATATAGTGGGAAATCGATAAGATGGGCCAGGGAAAATTCCTAGCGGAATAATTTTATTATCGATTCTTACATACGATAATTTACATGTTATGCACGAGGCGCATTTTTCTTTACTTTCCTTCTGTGCACAATCTAACCAACATTTCCTATGCCGGATCGGAAGGGATGACAATCTTAGTCATCTTGTCTTAATGTTGGGCTATAATGGAGAGTTATTATTAGAATTGGTAGTAAAGTGAAGTTATTTACTTTATTAAAAATACTATATATTAACAACCAAGGTATCAATTCATCGTCGTCATGTACTATATTTAGGAAGTCTATCCCTGAAAGAAAAAAGCTAATAACGGTTTTTTATCTCCGACACTACCCACCTGGTACTAATTCCAATTACAAAGGACGGCAAAAATTGACAATAGTGGAATTCATTTCTCCTGAAAAATTTTTTTACATCATTCTATAACAATACAAAATAACCAAGAATTGTTCTAGCTTGCTTTTCTGTATCTGGGGTGCCATAGACAATCTATTATGATCACAACATCTTTAATTATAAATCGGTTAATAGTTATAGACTTATTAGTCGAAATGTTATTTTTTTTACAGTTTAGAGTTATGTATGAAATTTGTGTCTCGGACATGAAATTGAAAAATATTTCAGATGTGCGTTTACCATTTGCCCCCCTCGTAGATCTGTTTGTACATGTTCTCAACTAAACCTCCTAATTCGTAATATTCGATTCACTTTGGGAACTAAACTATAGTAACTGCAAGATTCTTTAGGTGATTAAAACAACATAATTTTTTGTTACTCCTCAATTAATTACATGTTATGTATGGTTATCTCATCCCTATTGAAGTAAATTATTTGCTTCTTTATCTATAGACAATAGTAATTTTGCGAACAATGTAACCTTCGGTTGTAACAATTGCTGTGGGTTTACTTCTTTGGAAGAAAATTTAATCCAATGCGGTAATTTCAAAACAATAAATTGCTTTTATATTACCATTTTCAATCAACTTATAAAACAATAAGAGGGTTTCAATAGTGAACGATGGTACTAAATTATTATTAATGAGCTCATAAGTTTGTAACCATTATTCATGTTTCTAGTTTGACTTCGACTTAACCTAAGTCATCATATCACTTAATGTGTTCGCTCGTCAGTTGTTGTGCCTAAAGTCCGTTGATGAAATTTTCGTAGTAAATTTCAACCACTGGAATTAATGGTTATGGAAAAATATATAACCCTATGAGCATAGGAAGGGATTTTTTTTCCCACCGCAAACTAGGCCTAAATGTTCCTTTTTGGTTAGCGACGTTGGTGATCTGTTGATTTGTTTCATACGGGCTTTTTTTTTCGGTATGGAAATGAGCTAATAATTTCATGTTTTAGGTTATTTTAGTCGGATTCTCTCTCCCTTGATGGGAAAGGCTCGTAAGCTCCAAACTATTTTTAAGATTTCGTACGATTTATTTACATATTTACAAGATTCTATTTACATTGCACTACTTTTCTTGATTCGGGCTATTACTTCATTTTCAAAGATATCAATTTGATCAAACTCTAATTGCTTTTCTAATAGCTTGAACTCTAATTTATTGTCACTATTCAACAAGGTATTGAACCTAAATCCAATCAAATCAACTTTGTAATTATCATTGAAAAATTTCTTTACAAAAACTTTAAATTTCATATCCTTTTGATATTTCAATATTTCACCACTCCAGTATCTTTGACAAAAAACTGAAATTTGTCTATTGATAACATCTCTTCCAATGAGATGATTGATAATAGGTGATATTTTTATCATAGGACGGCTCAAAAAATAATTTTGAAAATTCCATTGGTTGACCAAATCGCTATATCTCCGTAATGGTGAGGTAATTTGACAATATCCTGATAATCCTAACATTTGATGGCCTTTGTTAATCATTGACAATGATGCAGGGGTCATATGTTGGAAAATGTTCAATTCATCTTGATATGTTTGAGGATTCTTCATTTTATCATGCATCTCATCAGAGACGTTCAAACGTTGGTTCCGGAAAATAACAGGAATTCCCCTTTCTTCAGCAATCAAACTGGTAACATGGTTCCCCATGATCATGAATTCAGTAACTAAAGTAGTTGATTTATTGAATTGTTCTTCTATAAGGGAGATCTTGTTTCCGTGGCTTATTACTTCGTATCCATTAGCTAATTCGTCAAAACCATCAGGCGAATTTGTTTTAGTGATTTTCATAACTTGATTATTTCTATTCAATTCAATGCCTCCTGATTGTAATCTTGATGTCTTGAATATTTCAGATATCTTGAAAAGGCCATTGATTTCTTGACTGAAGATATCTTGGTCCCCGTTGATTATATCATTGACTCGCTCATAAGTATAACCTTTGGGGAAATTGGTAGCATTATAGAACTTGATTCTTTTGGTTTCGTTAATCATTTGTTTTATGTTCTGCAAGTCTTTGGGGATATCAAATTCAATAGTGAAAGTTTTAGCTTCTCCATTACCTAAACCAGACATGTCACTGATATATTCTGGGACCATTCTGATTGGACCTGAAGGTAAGTATGTCGTTGTACCTTTACGGAAAGCTATTTGACTCGTAGTAGAATAAGGATCGATCAAAGATGAAGGGTTGGCTATGTGGATTCCTATAGTATAAGTATCGTCATTACTTACTATACTTATTCCATCATCAATTTCATGAGCATCAGGAGAATCAATACAGAAAATTGGTTGATTGAATGGTTGACGAATATGTTCCATAGGATCTTCATAAAAGTCATTCTGCTTGAATTCAATTTCACCTAAATCTTCTTGAAAATTTGATAAGTCGATTGATTTCAAATCCTCAGCTTTCATATTCCCTTGGTCAGTTACTTCCAAATATTTGAAATATTCCTCTTCTAAGGGTAACTTTTCAGTATCAAGACCCCATGACCAGTGGATGAATTCTTCACCTTCACCAACTTCTCCAAGTTTCTTCAATATTTCGAAAGCCTTTGACCGGCCATAATCATAAGCAAAATTCCCTGGTAAGTCTATATGAACCTCAATTTCTCTAATAATCCTTGCTACTTTAGAAACCATTTCCAAATCATCTATATTTCCAACAACAAAGTCTTTGATAAGATTGATAGTGCACACGTAGTAATCATATTGCTTGATAGTCAATTTTCTCGATTCTCCTTGAATAGTACCAACAATATGATCAACAATAATCTTACTATCCAACTTCAAATATTTGGCTAATTGATCTCTTTGAGCTATGTCTTGTAAAGGTAAAATTATGATACTGTTAACAGGGTTGATGGAATTCTGTTCTACTAACTTCCATAATTTGTCTTGTTTTCGGAGAGCTAAAACAGTTGCAAAATAAGAATTAATTGGAGTCTTTCTCTCTTCACAGTCTATGGAAGTGATTTGCTTTCCTAATTTACTGGACCCTTTCCCGTACAAACTCTGGATTTGTTGTTTCCATCGAGTTAATGATACTTTGGTGTTATCAATATCGAAAGTTTCAAGCATATACATGATTTTGAATATGGAGACGGTTCGACTTTGTGTTATAACGTCACCCATTTCATCATATTGTAGTAATCTGTGTAACATTTCCAATTTCCCACTGAGCTCCTGATACTGCTCCATACTATCTATACTTAATTTTGTTAATGGCTTACAATATATTTGCCTGGCTTTAGGAGGTACAATGTATGTGTTGATATCAGTATCCTTTAATAATTTAGGAGATGCATGAGCCAGTAATAAGTCGTCATCGGAAAACTCAATAGACTGGATCTGTTTCGATTCACTATTCGGTTTGGAGGTGGTTAGATCTTCATCACTTATACCAATGGGAGCAATACCACTGACTTTATCTTCAATAAGAACCAAACTGGCTAGAACATCATTGACTTTTTCAGGGAATACTGAAGGAATTCTGAATTTAATCAGTCCTTTGGATCCAAACACTATTCTTCCTTTAGAATTAATATACGTATAACTATTCAGACCAATATCTTGAGGAACTCCCACTACTATATAGAATTCCGTACTACCCTGTGTTAATATGACCAAATCTCCAATACTAACGGGCTTACCGAAATCAATACTTGAAATAGTACCGTTTTTGAATGATTCTTCAATCTGTTCGCTGATATCTTCATTAGAAATTTTGAGTTTAAACAAGTTCTTTGACCACAATTCATTAGGTTCAATGAATCTATGAAGCATTCTAGCTTGACAGTTGGCGGTAATCATCTCCACTAGTTTATTATTAGGAACTGATAAGTCAAGTTTAATGTTTTCAAGATCAACATATGCTTCTACTGTTCGGGTTTTCCTTCTATTTTTGATGATACTGAGGATTTCTTCCTTTTTAGAGTCTTTCCCTATAGCACTAGCTAAGCCTTGTTTCAAGTCTACGGGGTTTCTGGCAGCATTTCTTATCTGTCGTATGGATATTTGCAATGGTTTTAGTCTCATGTCATTAAAATTTGCACCTACAGATCTTCGCACTACAGACATCTTCATCTTCGCATTTACTATACATATATTACATGGCTGATACTACAGAGGTACCATCTTGGAAACGAGTTCTAAATACTCTGTTGGCATTGGTGAACATCCCTTCTTTCAAAGAAACAACAATGAATTGGGATCCTTTAAATCTGGTCTTAATCAAATGACCAATATTTTGAGTATGGGATAAATCTAAAGCTGCATCAACTTCATCCAAAATATACATTGGAGCAGGTTTGAATTGTAAAAGGGCCATAATTAATGACAATGCAATCAATGATCTTTGGCCTCCAGATAATTCTACAAGACTTTCTTTCCAAACAGGACCCAATTTGACCTTAACTTCAAGACCTTTGGTTACATCCATAGGGTTGATCGGTACTAATTTGGCGAAAGATCCTGGTAACAAATCAGCAAAGATGGCCCCGAAATCAACGGAAACTTTAGAATAGGTTGTATTCAAAGTATCTCTTTTATATCCATTCAATTTTTCAATGGTATTATTGATCTTTGATTTATCTTTTTCAATGGTTTTTATCATTTGTTTCAAACTAGTTTCTTTCTTTTCGACATTATCGATCAAATTCATAATGTTGACATTAACTTTCCTTTTCATTTCATCGAATTTCTCTTGTAAGATATTCATTTGATTTGAACTATCCTCAATATTGAAGTTAGGATATTCTTTGATTAAGTTTTCAACGATATTTCCATCCGTCACCCAGTCAACTTTTTCAATCAATTCATTGAGTTTAACTTCATAAATCTTTGTTTTTGATTCGATCTTTTCGATTTCATGGGTTAATTTTTGAATGGATAATTTCTGTTCATTGGATTTTTCTGTCTTTTCATGAATAATCTTATTTAACTCATTCATTTCTTCATTAAGGCCCATAAGATTCGATTTCTCTTCATCTAATTGAATCTTGGTGTAGTTAAGCTTATCATTAAGTTGTTCGATTTCATTATTCATATCATTTAATTTAGTTTCATACTCATTAATTATGGCTGATTGTTGGTTTAATTGTTCAAGATTATTCTCCAATTCGGATTTTCTTTGATCATTTTCAACCATTATATTCTGATACTCATCTTCTTCTTTTGTGATACTTTCTTCTTTATCAATAACTTGATTTCTTAAGTTGTTAACTTCTTTTTCAAGTTCTTTCAATTTAGATCCTTTGTTAGTGTTGAATTCTTTCATATCCTTTTCAATAACTTTGATTTGTCTCGTGAATTCATCACATTTTATTTGAGAGTCTTCAACTTCCTGTTTCAATCTATTCACTTCTTGTTGTTTTTCTTCATAATCCTTAACAATTATGGTAGCTTGATTATTTTCCAATTTTCTATTCAAATTCTTCAATTCTTGTTGTTGTAGGTTAATTTCATTCTGTAAATCTTTCGTCTTATAACTTAATTCTTGAAATTTACCCAATTCCCTTTGTACAATTTTTAATTCTGAAGTCAATTCATTGATTTGGAGTTGAATTTTATTGAATTTTTGCATGGTTATCAATAAACTTGAAGTATTTCTTCTTGATCCTCCAGCTAAATTACCTTCTGGATCATAAATATCTCCTTCTAAAGTAATGGATCTTGATCTTATTTTAGGATCAAAAGTAACTGCCTTAGCTACATCTGGAGAATCACAAATGAATGTTGATCCAAAGATATATTCCATAGCTTTAGATAAATCGTTATCATAATCAATCAAGTTTATAGCAATTTCAACTTGTCCAGGGCATAATTGTTGAGCATAACTGATAACATCATTACTTACTGAACGAGAATTGATTTTATCCAATGGAATAATAGTGACTCTTTTTCTTAACTTCCCATTTTCTAATAATTGAGATGCCACTTCACTATTATCTACAACTACATTATATAATCTACCACCAGCACAAATTTGTAATGCCATGGCTTTATTATTATGTTGTTCTTGTAAATTGAATAATTGAATTGCACTTCCTTTGACTGATGAAGGATCAAAATTCGGATGTGGTAATGAATATTGGAAATCTACATTACCCACTTCTCTTCTGAGATAATCCAATTCGGTATTTAATTTATTTAATTGGTTGGTTAAAGAATATTCTTTATCTTTCAAAACAGAAACTCTTTCGGGGTCATACCCTAATTCTTTTAATTTAAGTTCTTTAGTTCTAATCATTTGAGAGAAGTTATCTATTTCAGCGTTCAAGCTTTCAAATTCTTTCTTTGCTTTGGCCAAGTTTGATTTGTCTTCAACTAATTGTTGGTTCAAATGATTGATCTTCAAATTGGACAGTTGTATGAAATTGGAAGTTTCATTCAATTCATCTTTAACTTCTTTTAATTGAGCCATATATCCACCAGAAGCCCCTCCTTTTGTAGAAATTCCTGTGGATAATGATGATAATAATTCTTCTTTTTTATTAAATTCTTCTTTCATATCAGCCAATTGTTTCTTGGATTTCTGGAAATTCACTTCATATTGATTATATTTATCGGAATTGGAAGCAATAAGTTCTTCAAGGTTGGTTATCTGGTTCTTAATTTTAGCAGTTTTTTTCTCTTCATCTTTTAAATTATCTTTAGTTAAATCTAAGGAAGTATTCAATCTTGTTAATTCTTCAGTTAATTGATTTTCTGTGATTTCCAATTCTTTGATTTTCCCATCCTTCTTCATTTCTTCTTCTCTTTGTTGTTTGACTTGATCTAAATCTTGATGCAAATGTTTTATCTCCTGTTCAGTTAATTCAATCGATACCGATAAGTCATTCATTATCAGTTGTTTCTCATTCAATAATTTCAGATATTCATCAAATTTGTTAGAAAATTGTACATAACTATGAGCTGATAACACTCTAGACAAATTTTCAAGATCAGTTTGAGTTTGTTGATATTCTAAGAATGTTCTCTTTTGTGATCGAAGTTTCTCTAATTTTGGTTCGATTTCATCCTTCAATAAACTCCTTATTTCCATCAATTTTGCTTCTTTCTTTACCATGGTTCTTTGTGCTTTCTCTTTACGTTCTTCAAAAGTTCTAGTACCTGCTGCTTCTTCAATCAACGATAAAATTTCCGTTGGTTTCATATTCAACACTTTGGTGATTTTACCTTGCATAATCAAGAAATTAGGGTTATTAATATTCAACTGAACAGATTGAAATAAATTCAAAACAGTCTGTTGTTGGGCTTTGTGACCATTGACTAAATATTTAGATGTTCCTCCTAGTATGATTTGTCTAGTAACACTGATTTGTGCACAATTTTCAAACCCAATAGGGGATTTGGATGCATCACTATTATCAAACACTATAGTAACACTAGCCTTAGTCACCCCAGCTTGACCTCTCTTATAAATCAAATCTTGTAAGTTCGATGCTCTCACAGTTGTCATAGATGCTATACCTAACACAAAACATATAGCATCCAATATATTGGACTTTCCCGACCCATTAAGTCCTGTGATGGCATTGAACGATGAGTCCCAACCTGATATGACCGTACGTGTGGCATATGACTTGAAACCATCGATAATTAACTCTTCAACTTTCATATTAAAGAATCAATCTTTTGTTTATTGTTTCAGTATCGCGTTTTTCCTTTTGATTTGTGGGATGGGTCACGTGATCGGATTAGTAGGAAAAAAAAATCAATATTGAAAATTATGATGTTGCCCGATTCAAACATTTGAATTTGCAAAAGTTCCATAAAGAAGAGATTTTAAACCTTTGAAATTCCTTCCATATTTACCGTATCAACCACTTTATACCGAACCATCATTATCGCAATTGCGAAAAAAACCTAGTTGAGAGTGGGTTTTGCAACTTAATTAAGAACAATGACAGAAAATCCACCCATTAATAGACATTTCCGATTGATTTCTGTCAATTTCAAAGAAGCAGCATTAGATTCTCCAAGTTTTAGAGCTTCTATCAATCATCTAGATAATCAATTGCTAAATATTTCACAATGGATTCCAGCAGTTTTGAGTTCCATGAAGAAAGTACCCAAGAAAATCAATGAATTGAAGGCATATTTGACAAGTTTTATTGAACAATTATCTCCAGGTTTTGTTTATGATGGTGTTCTAGATCAAGAAGTAACTGTACCTTTATTGAAACAATCATTGGGCGTCAATAAGCAATTATTCAACATTTGTATGATCTTCATAAATTATGATTCTGCTCCTTTAATGGCTTTCAATAAAACTTTCACAAAACTTTATGAAGAATATCTTGTATTGAAAGCAGAATTTGATACTTTGCAAGCCAAATATGATCAATATTTGAGTGTATATATGGCAAGTCCTAAAGTTAAGAATAGTGAAATGGCAATTGAGGATGCTATACAATTGTTTAATTGTCGATGTGATTATCTACATGCTTCATTGAATATGGTGGTAAAGCAAACGGAAATTTCCAGTGTGCTTGATATTGAATTTATCAGTATAGTGTCAAACGCCTGGAGTGATAAAGTTAAAGCTGATTCAAGCATAGGGATGTTGAAAGCTTTTGAAAGAGAAAGTTTTACAATATTAAGATCTAAATCTTGGTCTATGGCCTATTCTAATGCTATGAGATATTTAGCTGAAGATGTAACATCAGCTAGAACTCAAGTAGAAAACTCATCAATTGATTTGTTCGAACCTTCAAAACATCCTGACGATTATAAATCTACATTAATCAATAACCATACTTTGGACGATATTGATGAACCGGCTTTTGAAAAACACGGTTATCTTTTAATGAAAACTTGGGTAACGAGTTCTCCTAAGCCAATTTGGGTTAAAAGGTGGGTCTTCATTAAAAGTGGTTTATTAGGGATGTTAATTTTATCTCCATCCAAGACTTTTGTTCAAGAAACCGACAAAATTGGTTTACTTTTGATGAATGTAAGATATGCTGCTCAAGAAGATAGGAGATTTTGTTTTGAACTTAAAACAGTTGATCAAACCATTACTTTACAAGCGGAAAGTTTATTGGAGTTGAAATCATGGCTAAAAGTTTTTCAGAATGAAACTCAAAGAATCACCAGCTTAGGTGAAACTCTGGAGGAATATAAAGTAGCCAGTTCGAGATATCCACCTTTAATTACGGAATTTGCTTCTACGGTAGATACCATCATTGATAGACAATTGACAAATACCCGTATAAAAAATGATAATGGACAAGTGATAACTTCGAGTAATTTGTCTTCCCGAATCAAATCCAATGAAAAATTCTTTCAAACCAGTCTTTACAGTCGAATTCCCTCAATTAAACCTCCACTTATAACTAGTAATACCAAAACAGCTATTATTTCATATTCCATTGCTGCTGCAACTGCCTTGCCTAATGCATTGACGGCCAATACATGGGGTAGTGTCAATTGGGGTTTATATTACTTACAAAACTCCTTGAGTGAGACTGATATGCCGCAAAATATTTATAACGGGGGTGGTGACCCTGCCATTCCTCAAGAACCAAAAGACGCTAATGGAAGACTTTTCGATATCAAACCTGGGTTTGGGTATCCTGCTGAATATCCTGAAAGCAAAATATCATTGGATGTGGAAATGAGAGCTTTGTTCGAAAGTGGAGTGGAACCCAATGAAATATGTCTTCTTTCCTTTACTTGTTTATGGTCACCAAATTCCAGTCAAGAATTGTGCTGCAGATGCTTCATTACCAACAACAACATGTTACTCTGTAATCAAGCATTAGGATTCACTTCATTATTTAAAACTCCCTTGAGTAAGATTATGTCTGTTAACTCAACCATAGGAGAGAATTATGATGTCTTGTCTATCAATGCCTATACCGATTCTATAAAAGTGAAAATCTTCACCGAGCCAGGGAAATTGATTGAACATCAACTACAATTCATAATCAATAATCGATTAAAAGACAAACCAGAAGGTCTTTCAGGGATTTTGAATTCTTTGGCCACTTTAGAACGTGAACACATCAATAATGACAAGTCAATTCTGGCTGTTAATACCTTATTGCTGAAGAGTGATACACTGAAGGTAAACTTACCTTCGATTGTCAAGACTGACCTCTCGAATGAAGTTCAACAATTCACAGTTGATTACGCTAATGAGACTCCATTGCATTCAGTACATGAGTATACTATACCGGCGAAAGCCATGTTTCATGTATTGTTCGGTGATAACTCTACCATTATTCAAAGTTCTACTGAAGCAGAAGTTTTGGAAATACAAAAGAAACCATGGAGTCTTGCTAAAGATGGAAAGTTGACTAAATGTCTCATGACAACAACTCACAGATCAGGGGTGGGGAACAACAAGATTCTTGTGACCTACAAAATTGAGAAGATGGTGGAAGACCAATACTATAACATCACATATGACAGGAAATCATTTGTGATGTTTGGATCTCGATTCCAAGTTAATTACCGTATAGTGATTCAAAGTGTTAATGCGGATATGTGTACTGTAAGAAATTATTCGTCAACAACATTTGATACAAATATCCCTACTAATTTGATTGCCAGATTAATAACAAACAAATTCCAAAAACACGAATTAAAGGTTCGTCACGAGAAATTGACTGAGGTCTGTAAAATGATAGGTAAGGATGCTCCTTTGGCTAGAGCAATCTATTTATATGGGCAGTTAACCCAATCTGGTAGTCCACTTGAAGATGAAGCAGAAACTCCAATCTGCCGATTCGGTTTCAGAGTGGCAGCCATAAACTTCTGTATTAGTCCATTATACCAAGTATTCGTGACTGTATTCAAATTCCTAATGGGAATACTCGATATCATTCTTGGTTATTTAAAAGAAATCACTGCCCAGAGATTATTATTAGCAATGATAGTGTTCTTGACCATGTCCAATATCTTCTTCTTAACCAGAACAGCTAAGAGTTACTGGGCGGTTCGTAGAGCCAACCAAGTATCAGAGACTTTATTCAATGGCGCTCCTGCCATGTTACAAAGAGCTGTTTACTTGAAAGATCTCCAAGATATCACAGGTTTCGCCGTTAGTGATTATGAATTAGCTGAAGATTCTAAAACGTTAGAAGAATTCAAGAAAAAATCATTCATAATCAATTTCGGGAACACTGTAGATTGGAAACAAGAATATACTGATATCTCTACCAGAGAGTTTGCTCAAGGTTTGAGGAAAACATTCCAAGAAATTGGGATCAAACGTCATAAGTTATTGATCGAGTTCAATCTCTTGAATCAAATGGAAACAGAAATTGCTAAAAGTGAATGGAAAAACTGGTTAATGAGTGAATTGCAAAAATGTTCTTATCTCAATGATAACAGTCTACATGAAATTTTGCAATCCAATATCAATGAAACTGACCTAAGCGAAGGCTTGGATTCGTTGAAATCATATTGTGAAAGTTGTTCGTTAGAACTTTCAAAATTAAATATTTTATAAATTTCCAGGAAGTGTAAATATATGATGTAATGATAAGTTTTGTAAAAATCGCAAAAAATCTTTTCGCAACCATTTTGGGTAAAACTCTCATATCAACGATTGAACGATTGGAGGTAATGGCCAGTGTGATTGATTGTATTGTTAACTTTCAAGTAGCTACCAAAGCTTCATACATCCTTGCATCAAATGATGAGATAGGTAGTTCTTTGTATGAGGTGAAATGTATTTCCGAACAACACAAATCCGTTATCGATAAGATCTGTGACGAGTCGACTAAAGGGTTCAAATATTGGAGCCAATTAAAATTTCAAGAAAGAATTGATATTTTACAGAAAGTATGTCTTGAAGTGGAAAGGTGTAAAGATGAACTCATCGAATCCATGGAAGAAACAGGTATGCCAAGATGGTTTTGTGAGTTTAATGCTGGCAGTATATCCACCCATCTTAGCGAGTATATCAGACAGATATCAAGATCTAATGGGAAAGTGGTTCAAAGTGAACAAACAGATTTGGCCATGGTGGTAAAAACTCCTGTTGGCCCAGTATTAGCTATTTCTCCTTGGAACGCTCCAGGAGTTTTAACTGGCCGTACTATATCAGCACCTTTGGCTTCAGGGTGTTCCGTTATCATAAAATCCAATGAGTTGTCCGTTAAAACCACCGAACTTATAGTTAAATGTTTTCATAATGGTGGTGTGCCTGTTAATGTTTTACAAATGGTAAACGTCTTACCGGAAGATAACAAATTTGTGGTGGAACAATTCATCAAACATAAGAGTGTTCGGAAAATTAGTTTCACAGGATCAACTCAAGTTGGTAGTAGCATTGCATCTACAGCAGGTAAATACCTCAAACCATGCATTTTAGAATTAGGAGGTAAAAACTGTACAATCATTGAACCTGATGCAGATTTAGAGAAGGCTATTGAAACTTCATTATTCACTTCATGGGGTCATAAAGGTCAGATCTGTATGTCAACTGATAAAATCTTTATACATGAATCTATATATGAAGAAGCTCTAGAAAAATTTGTCAATATTGGTAAAGAGTTCATTAAGAATCCCGATTTTAAAATCCTTCAACGTACAGGGATCTTTACCAGGAAAACCAAAAGTTTAATTGACGATGCATTAAAAAAAGGTGGTAAGATCTTATTAGGCGAATATAACCCCATTGTCCAGAATGTAAACTTTGAACTTACTCCCTTATTGTTGGGGGAAATTCCTGAATCTGCCGAAATAAATGACACTGAAATTTTCGGAGCAGTTGCATGTCTTTATAAATACAAAGACATTAACGAATTGATTGAAAAGGTCAACGACGATGATTATGGATTGAAAACTTCCTTGTGGTCTAAAAACACCATCAAGGCTTATAAATTGGCGTCTTTAATCGAAAGTGGTGGGGTCCATATCAACAGCGGTACCATCTTTGATGAATCCACCAGCCCACATGGTGGAGTAAAATCTAGTGGTTATGGAAGATTCAACAGTCTGTGGGGAATCGATGAATTCTGTTTCGACAAGATTGTTACCATGTGTGAGTAAACATTAAAAACCTCGTTTATATAGATCATTGACAATATGTGAATAAAAATGTAGAGCATCGAATTGTTCTTGCTTATTAACAACACTATCAAAAAAGGACCTAAGCCTATTTGTCCAGTTTATAAGATCTAGGTGATCTACCCCATCCAATGTTCCTAGGTACTCTCCCCATTTTGAACTCTCTACACTCACCAAACCATCATTTTCCCAATGAGTACCACCACTCCTCAATATTCTACGTCTAATGATATTATGAGGATAATGGAACACATTATACCAATGAGGTTTGAATTGAGCCCCATAAGAAAAGTACGCCACTTTTGGATCATTCTGAACATCTTGATTAAATTTCTCCATGTAGTAAGTGGTCAATTGAGGTACAGCTTTTGATACTAGCACAGGGAAGTTCATATGATCAATGACAAAATCTGCAACTTCAGAACCTCTATGAGGAGTGGAAACTGTTGTTAACGATTTGACCTGGAAATTTTCATTCTTTAACTTAGATATCAAGTACCTAGCATCTAAACCTCCCATAGAATGTGCTATTAGATTAACTTCTTTTTTTCCCTGATTAGGAAATAAGTGATCTAAATAGTCATTCAACCCCCTAGCCCTTTCATCGATAGTCCCAAAAGCAGGAACCTTACTTACATAGGTTTCACAACCGATCAGTTTCAAGTGATCTTGTATTCCATACCAATAATCGATTTTTATTAAACTATCTCGAATGACTTTTTTCATGGCATTTTTCCTCCAAAATTGTGGACGACGAAGAAATTGAAGACTGTCAAAACCCGAAAGTCCATGACAGAGTACTATGGGATACTTTGTGGGTTTGGCAACTAGCTGTTTAACATGGAGATATTTAGCAACTGACATGGTGGGGCCGCGTTTTTTGCAACAGCCTAAGAACCCTGTGAAGATCAAATAGATATTCTGCTGCTTGTGTAGAGGAAAGTTATTGAAAATGGTGGATAAGATATGTACTTGGAAGAAGATATACGTCCAAGAGATAGTGAGAAGGCTTCAGAGTAAAGTCCGAATGTACAATATAAAAGTATCAATACATTAAACCTAAACTTACACACTATCATTTATCATTTGTAAATGAAATCTTTTGATACCTGAAATTAGATTTCAGGCTGAGTTTGATCATTCCAAGTAGGATCAATCAAATCTTTTTTATGCTCCAACATAACTCTATAAGAGGTTTTAATGGTACCTTCACTAACCCCAGTTTTGTCAGCAATTTTTGAAGATTGTAAATCAGCTCCGAAGATGAGATTAGTCATATAAATAACGGTAGCGGCAATGGTGGTTGGAGATCTACCGGCCAAAACACCCAATTCTGTACATCTTCTTGCAATATATTCGGCAGCATTGGTGATTTGTGTAGATAAACCTAAATTATTACAACATCTTCTAATCAAATCTTCAGCTGAAGTTTGAGTGGTTTGCATGTTATCTTCAACCAAATCAAAGGCATTAGGATTAGTAGAAGCTTTTTCTTGTAATAATCTGTTCATAATTTTGAAAACCTTGCCAATTTCTTTCTTTGGAACATTTGTCAAAGCCCAAATTTCTTTGAAAGATCTGGGAACTTGGGCTTTTCTACAACCAATGAATATAGCAGCTGCCATAATCGATTCTTGAGATTTTCCTCTTAAAGCTCTTTCTTCATAGACTAATTTATAAACTTCTTTAGAACCATCTTGAACAATTTTTGGTAATTGGTAACCATCACACATTTGGGAAATCTTAGCAAATGCTGAAGCCAAATGGTTATCTTTTCTGTCAATGAAAGATCTTTGTTGAGCTCTACTCAATTCTCTTCCAGCTTTTAAAGTGTCAGGGGATGAAGAAATCATTGTTGATAAATTTTCATTATCTAATAAAGGATTACCTGCATCACCCACACGTGAAGGATCATCACCATTTTGATCATCATTACTGAATGTTCTCCATTCAGATCTTGTATCAACAACTCTATCACTTAAAACCAAACCACAACTTCCACAAACAATATCTCCTTCACTAAATCTTTCAATCAAGTCAGGAGGATATGTTTTACAATCGGGACAAGTTAAGGTGATATTCAAGTTTGGACCAGTGAACACATCATCTACAGGTGATAAAGTGGTGGTCATCTCTGATTAAATGTATTTGAATATAGTTTTCCTTCGAATTAGTAATGTATTCGATGTATTTCTGAACTTTTGATTGAAGTAATAATTTGTAGTTTTCCCTTGAAAATCTCTACAAATATTCTCTATCCAAGTGAATAAAACTTTCTATACTGTCAATAGACCTTAAAACGTTATCCAATAGTAAGTAATCAGTGACAAGGGTAGGTACAAAAAATTAATTAGTCCCTGACCTTGGAAAATTTTCTACAGTGCGAAAAACTTGAATTTATGGTAGAGCATAGAAATAGATAGAAGGAAGAAATGGGTTATGTATAATTAGTTTAATTTTCTTTTCTTTTTGTCATGGTCATCTTCAGAATCTTGTTGAGAATCATGTTCATCTTCACTTAAATCAAGTTCTTCAGGATCAGAAGTATCATCACCTTCATCACCTCCAGGTAATGCTTCAGTATAATATTTTACAGCATAAGGAAACAAATCATCGATGATTAATCTAGTTAAATCTTCACCATTTCTAAATTCTTTACCTGGTTTTTCACCAGTCCAATCAAACCATGCAAAAAAAGATTTCATCCCCATTCTATACAACTTTTTATCTATAGGTTTACCTGTTTTTTTAGATTCTGATTTGATCAATTGAGGATTTATTAAATCCAATTCAGTTGGCCATACTATGGAAGCAGGTTCTGACGTTATTTTCTCTTCTCCATCTTCTATAGTGACGGTGAAATGTTTCGTAATGGTTTGAGAAGGTACTAGTCTACCACCTTCTTCGTTATCGAATTCAATAGTGATGGAGAAATCTTTTGCTCTCAACTCATTGTCATCAGCAATCTTGTAATGAACATAAATGTCTGATATGGATTCAAGGTACTTCAAATCTTCAACAGAAACATAATCTGAAAAATCATCATTCTCTGCTATAATCAAATACCAGAATTTTGGAATGTTTTTCAAGATGTCTCTTCTTTTTTGGAAAATTGGTTGGGTTTTAATGATTCTGTAGAATTCAGCATCTCTTTCAGCTTCATCCATCAACTTTTCACAGTCCCCTAACTTATTCAAATTCAATTCAATGTCTCCCATAGTTCAAAGAAAATTTTGTGTATACAGAAAATCTGCGTATAGCGAAAGAGTGAGAAATATAAAGAGACAAATGAAACATAAATTATCTTCTAACTCTTTTACTCATATCGGGTAATTTGACAGGAGCTTTTAATGTGGCAACTTTAGAGTTATTTATCAAACTCTTTGGAATATCTAAAGCTTCAGCTTCACCTTGACCTGGGGTTTTAACAATACCTCCCATGATCCTTATCAAGTTAACTAATTTTGTGGTTTTCAAATTCAATTCGAATCCTAATGGTTGTAAGTTGATTAAGAAATTATTGATATGGAACATGGTTGCAATAATGTAAATGACTAATTTATCTTCATTTTGTGGATCAATTAAGAATGATTTATCTTTAGCTTTACCGAATTTGGTAGCTTTAGATATAGTGAAAGTTTCAAGTAAATAGTTGATAATGGAATCTGGTAATGTATGATTGAATTTGGAAACCAATTGAAATTTATCACGGATTCTTCTGTTGTGGTATAATCCCAATAATATGGAACAAAAGTAAATGACTTTTAATTTATCTTCATCTTTGGTGTCAATGTGATTAGCAAGGAAAGGTGATTTATCAAATGGTAACATTTTCAATTTCTCTTCTGAAGATTCTTCAGTAAATATAGAAGTAACTCTGATATTGAGCCATTCAGCCTTTGGTAAAAGGGCATGAAGGGCGTAAATATCTTCCAGTCGAGTGGCTCCCATATTAATGTGAGGAATAGGTCTTAAATCAGTAGTTTGTTTATCCATTTGTTGTCTTGTTGGTAAATCAGATGTAGATGATTTAACTGAATCAACAATATCTAATTCAACATCAGTTAATTTTTCACTATCAATTCTGTTTCTTGCTAAATTGGTGATAGCACTTTTAGCTTTCTTAGTACCAAAAGTTTCACCTAAATTATTACGTTGTTCATGATTCCTTATACCTAATTGTCTAATTTTAGGTCCACTATAAGCTTTTTTGTTTTGGGCAATAACTTGTCCATGAACCATAGGTGATGATACTAATTCTACTGATTTCAGTTCAGGATCATATACCGCAAATGCATAAGCATGATCACTTTCATCATTATTAGTTCTGGCAATATATTCAACTGATTCATTTTCTCCATGCATTTCAAAATTGTCATTTTTTTGGTATAAATGAAAGTCAGTGGATGTTGGGATGTTCAAACCATTGAAAAATGATCCAATAGCCACCGAAGGTTCTTCAATAAATGATTTAATCCTTATATCACTATCACTCTTCCTCTTCATGTTTAAAAAAATTTATCTCATCGCGAAACTCAAACTTAGTGAGAGGGGTCTCATCTCAAATGAATTATTATGAGGTTCTAGGGTTGACACCTCCTGTTACCGAGAAGGAAATAAGATCAGCATATAAGAAGGCATTACTCCTACATCATCCCGATAAAGTTAAGACTTCTGAGAAAACCATTTCCATTGATTTGATCAATAAAGCCTATCATACATTAATCAATGATAACGAAGAATATCAAAAACAAGTGATTTTTGGTGATGGGTTAGACATTTTTAATCTTGCAGATTTTGAAGAAAAAAAAATCGATGATGGGGTGGAATTTTACATGAAATGCCCTCGTTGTAGAACTGAAAGTGGAATCAAATTAACCGAAGATGATCTTATTGGAGGTGCTCAACAAGAGAATAATGAATACGAAGTGATTGTTCAATGTGGAGATTGTAGTTTATGGATAAGAGTACAGTACGAGGAAGAATAATGATTAATGATATAATTAATGAAAAAAAAAACTATTTACATATCTTTTGATAATTGAGTTCTCTGAGGCCAAACTTTCTCTGCTTGGTAAACTGAGTTCAAAGCTTTACCCATGACATCGAGATCGGTCATCAAGTCTACGTGACCACATTTAGTAGCGAATTTACCTACTATTTGGCCTTTTCCAGTGTCTTCATCAAACACTTCGAATCCCTTACGTTCAGGCATTAACCATTTCTGATGAACAACCCCATCTCCATGGCCATAGAAAAAATCCCAGTATCGACCTTCAACAATATCTTGGGGGGACAGAACATTAGATCCACGAACAGATGGTACAGCGTTACCATAGACTATGGCCATAGGTGGATATTTCGATTCTAGCTCCGGTCTATAATCTAATCCTTCAATGAACTTTTTGGTATTGGTCAATGTTTCTGAAAGATAATTGTATGCTTCTTCGAAAGTGATGGCATAATCATCATCGGCTTTAGGAGACCCTGAGGATCCCATAGGATTGGGTTGAGTTTGGCTCACAGGTAAAGTGGTGCTCTTCGGTGGAGAATTGGCATTATTCAATGTAGCAGAAGAACCTGTGGAATTCAAAGTAGTTGAAGTAGCTGCGGATGCCAATGCTTTGATCTTTGAAGTGGGAGACCGTCCTCTAGGTGATAAAGATCTAGGGAAGAATTGGGATTTGGGAGAACTTGGTGATTTGTATAGATTTTCTGTAGGAGGTGAAGAAGAATTTGACCTCAAAGGGATGGAATCCATCATGGATTTAAATCTCAGGAAATAACTAGTAGAAGGTTTCTTTAAAAGTCTGTCCTTGGCTACCAAAGGATTCAAATTGTATTGAACCCAAGTATCAGGATCAAATAAATCAAGCACATAAGGTTCATGAGTATCTCTGTTATAAAAAACCATTCCCGATAAGGGCAAAAATATAAAACTTGATCTCATCATAAAGTTAACTTCAGCTGTCAAGATTTTATCGGAGAATAGAACAGCATCTCCAGATCTAATCGGACCTAGAATATTCAAACATTCTGATGGAACCCCACAATAGATAACTGATCGGAATAAATCCGGTCGTTTTTGAACAGCATAGTGAGTTATTAAACCTCCCATAGAATGAGCAATAACGAGAGTAGGTTTGCCTGATTTATCATGAATCTCTTGTAAATAATCTACAAGCTTTTGACCCGAAATATCTCCACTCAACCTCCAATCATACCCAAACTCATAAACGTTGGTTTTCCCATTATGTAACTTCTTAATGAAAGATTTACACAAATCAATAGGTCCTATATTCTTTAAGACACCATCAGGGTAGATAGTGTCTGGTGCATTCAACTCGTCTTCCTTCTTAGGTCCAAGAAGAAGATTTATCTTCCTCAAATGAAATCCCGCCTTCAACGGGATCCATAATCTTTTACCTGTTTTGGTATCTCGTAAAATGGACCCTCTATAACCTCCCAATATCACTATGTTTCCGTCAAACTTAGAATAAATTGATTCATAATCAGGAATGGCGTTGGAAACTAATGGTGAATTGGATATCAATTCATTGTATTTAGTGGTTAAACTATGCTTAACAGCCCTCATTCTAACCTCTCCTCTTCCCTTATATTGTTTGAAGAACGCAGCTTCATCCAATGTATTTACCGATTGTTGTCTTGATAATCTTAACTTAATGTCATCCATTATAGGGTCAGATTCATCTTTGAAAATACTTATAGGTAAATTGATATTGGGGATGTTTAAGGGTAAAGTAGGCATTTTGAACTTGAAATTGGACCCAAAGGGCAATTGGAAAGAGAACACCTTCTTATTGGTGGAATCTTTGGAATTATCACCTCCAACGAAGGAATTTGCATCTGTCTTACTGAGTTTTCTGATAATTGGACTATCCTGTATCTCATCACCTGTATAATTGACTATATCCTGATCTTCCAATTCTCCAACAGTATCGTCAATTTCTAACTCATCGTCCAATTCATCATCCAACTCAAGCTCCTCCATGTCTAATTCCTCATGTACGTCTAAATCATCCCCTTCATTATTCAATTTATCAATATCTATCGTATTCAAAGTCATTGATTCAGTAGTGCGGATTATCTGGAACTGTCAAGCGCTGAACCTAAAATGCCAGCGATTGATTTTTGAGGTATTCTCTCACATGGGGGAAATCCCTCGGAACCAAGAGATACGGAATGGGAATATGAAAGCCTCCCCCAATACGATATTTTAAGCGCAGGTATAAAAATAGATATATCCTTCAAATTCGGATATCTGCCGCTGTTATCAACAGGTTGCATGAGAGTTGAAAAAATATTTTGCGTTCACAACAATAGATATTACTTCGGACCAAATTGTGGAATATCCTGATCGCCCTTTTGACAAATCACCTAAATAATTATCAGTTGAGTCGTACAAAAGTTCATGGTTTATTTTTAGTTTAAGGTTTGTGTCAGCCTTGTTATATGGTGCTATTCACCTATTGGTTAATACCTCAACAACTTTATCACTCACGTCACTCTTCCGAAATACAAGCTTCTTTAAGGTGGTAAATAGGTGGATCGAAGACGGAACAATAATTTAAAACTCCACGTGTGCGTGTAAATACCAAATTTTAATTGCAAAAAATAAGACAAATGACTTTGTGTTAACAATTTTAAACTATTGAACGTGTAGATTATGGGAACGGCTATAAAATGGCTGAAATCCCACTTCTGATTTGGTCGTTTATTTTTTTTTTTATACATTAATTGGAAGTTTCCACGATGAAGGTAGTGTTCATAATCCTTTATCTTATAACCTTGACTATAGGAGTTCCTATCATGAGACAAGACCTTAAATTTAGGATCATAAGTTCTAATGTAAGAGTTGATACCACGTCAAGATTTTATCATGAACATAAATGGTCTGAAAGAAAACATCATATTATTGACATGTTGTCTAATCATGCTAAAAATAAACCAAGTTTAATAGGGTTACAGGAATTGAAACACCATCAATTGAAAGATTTGATTTCCGGCTTGAATGATAAAAGCGAATATCCCTGGTCTTATTATGGTGTTGGTAGAGATGATGGAGTAACTAAAGGAGAATATGCACCAATCTTTTATCAACCAGCTAAATGGGAATTATTAAATACCACAACTAAATGGTTAAGCACTACTCCTGATAAACCATCAAAATTCAGCGGTGCGGCTTGTACTAGAATAGTGACCATGACAACGTTCAAGAACCTTGAAACTGGTATTAGTATCAATATGTTGAACACTCATTATGACCATAAAAGTGAAAGTGCTAGAGGTTTGGCTTCGGAATTAATAATGGAGTTCATCAAATTAATTCCTAACGATTATAAAACTTTTCTTTCAGGTGACTTTAATTCCATTTCCTCTGATGCCAGTTACAAGACTTTAGTCAAGCAATTAAAAGATACAAGAGAAATTGCTTCTAAAAAGTTAAGTTATATGAATACTTACACTGGGTTCGAACCCGCTGATATTCATGATGTGATAGATTTTATTTGGTGTCAAGATGATGTGAACATCGAGACTTATAATGTCATTGATACCTGGACTGAACAAGGATTCAGATGCACCGATCATAGACCTGTTATAGTTGATGTTGTAACTCATTAAGAATTTAAAGGGGATAGGAGATAAGGGAATATATAATAGTGTACGGCATTTAGAATATAGATTAGTAAGACTCTAAGATATCTGGTTTCATTATTGGGTTATGATGATTGTCTATCCTTGTTATTCTATCTTTATTCCTCTAGCATCCACATTTGGTAGTGGCTCCAGGGGCGAAACTTCTAATTCAACCTTTTGGTGTCAACTCCAACCTTGTCAGTCCGCGAAAAAATTTTGATGGCAATGATTAGAGCACCAATACTCAGATATAACTTTAGTAGAGTTCTACTGAATAGAATTCCAAATGTTATCATCAACAGAGGTGCCTCTTTCAAATGGAGTGGGATAGTCTTGAACGAGAAACCCAAAGCTCCAAAAGAGAATAACCAAAAAGAAAATAAAGATTCCGACAACCATGAATCTAATTCTGGATCCAACAAAAGGGACAATAAAGATGACAGAAAACTCTATCAAGTGGAGATTGAGTTAAATCCTAATAAGATCTTCCGAGGATTGGTGATATTCGGTTTGATAGGTTATTTTCTTTCTAGTTCTTTGCGTGAAGACCCAATCGAGATCACCATGCAAGAATTCTACAACAAGTATTTATCCAAGGGAGTGGTGTCCAAATTAACAGCACAAGGAAATCAAGTATTCATTGAAATCAATGATTCAGCTAAAGCCAATTTCCCTGGTAAGTATTATTTCACTATTGGAAGTGTTGAAAATTTCGAAAATGCATTAAAGAAATATCATGATGAATTAGGTACTTTAGATGATTTCAGAACTCCGGTGGTTTACACAAGATCCTCTCCAATGTCAGGGATTTTATTCAATTTCTTACCACCAATATTATTATTAGGTTCAATGTATTTTATGTCCCGTAAAGCTATGGGTGGGATGAACGGACCTTTGGGATTTGGAAAGAGTACTGCTAAGAAATTCAATCAAGAAACAGACGTGAAGATTAGATTCCAAGATGTTGCGGGTATGAATGAAGCTAAAGAGGAAGTCATGGAATTCGTGAAATTCTTGAAGAATCCTGAAAAATATCAAAAATTAGGAGCTAAAATTCCTAGAGGAGCTATTTTATCCGGTCCACCAGGTACTGGTAAAACTTTGATTGCCAAAGCAACTGCTGGTGAAGCTGGGGTACCATTCTATTCTGTCTCCGGTTCGGAATTCGTTGAAATGTTTGTCGGTGTGGGGGCTTCAAGAGTTAGAGATTTATTCAAGAAAGCAAGAGAAAATGCACCCAGTATTGTTTTTGTAGATGAAATCGATGCTATTGGTAAAGCTAGATCAAAAGGTAATGCCACTGGATCCAATGATGAACGTGAAACCACTTTAAATCAATTATTAGTTGAAATGGATGGGTTTGAAAGTGATGATCATGTGGTTGTTTTAGCTGGTACTAACCGTGCGGATATCTTAGATAAAGCATTAATGAGACCTGGAAGATTTGATAGACATATTACTATTGATAACCCTGAATTAAACGATCGTAAAGAAATTTTCGATGTTCATTTGAAAAAAATCAAATTAGCCGAAGGTATTGATCATGATTTAAGTGGTAGATTATCAGCATTAACTCCAGGGTTTTCTGGGGCAGATATTGCCAATGTTTGTAATGAAGCAGCTTTAATTGCAGCCAGATTCAATGATGAATTTGTTAAATTAAAACATTTCGAATTGGCCATTGAAAGGGTTATCGGAGGAATTGAAAAGAAATCCAAGGTTTTATCACCCGAAGAAAGAAAGATTGTTGCATTCCATGAAGCAGGACATGCTATTTGTGGATGGTATTTACAATACGCCCATCCGTTATTAAAAGTTTCAATTGTTCCAAGAGGTAAAGGAGCTTTAGGATATGCCCAATATTTACCTCCTGATCAATATTTATTAAATACCAAACAATTACGTGATAGAATGATTATGACATTAGGTGGTAGGGTAAGTGAAGAATTAAATTTCCAAAGTGTCACTGGAGGTGCCCATGATGATTTCAAGAAAGTTACTCAAATGGCCCAATCCATGGTTTTAAGATTCGGTATGAGTGAAAAAATTGGTATGATCAACTATGCTGATACTAAAAATCAAGATGATTTAACAAAACCTTTTAGTGATGAAACCAATCAATTAATTGATGAAGAAATTAAAAGAATTGTAAGTGAATGTTATTCTCAATGTAAAGACTTATTACTCAACAAAACCAAAGAAGTGGAAATGGTTGCTAATGAATTATTGAAAAAAGAATATATCACCAGAGTTGATATGATTAGATTATTAGGTAAAAGACCTTTCCCCGAAACAAATGATGCTTTTGATAAATATTTAGATTCAAAACCTCCATTTCAACCAACTAAAGAAGAAGAATAATTCTCAAATTATTAATAAGATTACTAAACTATAAAAATCATCTTAACCTGCTGTATATAGTGTAAATAAATGTCACACATTAACTTTATTAAGATTATTAATTTTCGGCAAAGTTAACTCCAGTGCTGCCGCGCATATATGCTATATAAGCCTTTGAATATCTACTGAATGTGTGTTTTTTACAATTTTAGTCAACTGCTGGTGGTTAAAAAATATTATCCACCAATTCTACATTCAGTATTTTTGAGTCAAATCTAAGACAAATAGACTACAAACCAATAATCATAACAATAGACGGAAAATTAGTTTTCGATTGCTAAAAACTCCCAATAGGTTAAATACTATCAAACAGTCTTTCTTTACAACCATTAAATTTCATTGCTGTTAACTTACCAGGCTTATAGTTTGAAATAAAATCACCCCAGATATTTGTAATAAGTTTACTGGCTTAATAGGTGATTTACAATTCTAATAATTAACAAGCGAAATAGGCAATTAGTAAATCAATTCCGTAAATTGAGAATCATTTTTTTTACAGTTTAAGTTAGTGGTAATCTTTCCATTTAATAGAGGTTTCCTGCGACACCTTTTTGTGGTAAAAATTTTTATCCTTAATTTGCTATCAATCATAAAATTTCAAGTTTTTTATATCATCTATACATTTTCTATTTTTTTAGGATCCCCTTCATTTAATGATGGCTGAACCATTATCATTAAAATTCATTCACAAACCTGCAAGGTCGAAAGAACTTATCAAGGAAAACTCCTTAAATTACAAATTATCCCAAAATTCCGAATATAATAGAACAAATGAAAATGAAAACCCAAGAACTGATTTTTCTAAACAAACTTTCCAACAATTTAATGACAGTAAAGAAAAGGTTTCAAATCCCATGGTAATTACCAAATCCCCTGAACCGGAAACTCCTGAGTTTTTCATTAATAATGAAAATATTAATAGTGAAAAGAGAGATGATTATTTTGGTACAAAACTAGTAAGGAAAAAGTCAGGGGAAATCTTAAAGTCATCACTCAAAGACAAATTCATTTCTAAATCTTTACCATCAACACCGAATCTGAAACAAGTCCATTTCGGTACACAATTTGATGTGAAATTTTTCAGGAAAAAAGATAAACCAAATGCTATTAGTGCAACAAATTCACCAGTTTTACAAAGTCCTGACTTGAATTCTGTGGACTTCACTGATGATACCGACGATAGTGAATATAGTGACATTAGCGATGACGAAACATTCAACAATTTTGGTGACGTGGGAAATTTCAATCAATTTGAAGATCAACATGGAACTACAACTTACCCTAACCCGAAACATCAAAAATTGATTGATTGGAAGTTGAAGTTAACCAATATTTCTCCAGTTGATTATTCTCACAACTTTCGTATGAATAAACCAATATTTTTAGAAAGAATTTTCATTTCTATTGATAAGAAATATTTACTAGGGCATGTTGCAGTTAAAAATTTATCATTTGAGAAAAATGTTTCATTAAAATATACTTTCAATAATTGGTCAACTATCATTGAGGTTCCATCAATTTATGTACCTGATTTCCCTCAAAGTTTGAAGCATAACAATTATGATAGATTTATTTTCAAAATTGCATTAAATGATTTATTTGTTAATAATTCAAACAGTTTTTATCAAGAGAATAATTTCAAATTCTGCATTTACTATAAAACTCCAACAGGAGAATATTGGGATAATAATGATTTCAATAATTATGAAATCAATATAGTCAAAATCATCAAAAATGATAATTATAATAATAATGTGGTTAATGGACATCATCATTCAAATAGTTTTAGTTTCCCTTCACCAAATAATTCAAGTCCACATCAAATCCATCAAAAGTTCCATAATCAACCTATGCAATCAGATTTTGGATCCCCAAGACCCAAATATTCTAATAGTTATCTCAAAAGAATTAATAGTGATTCTCAATTGGATATCGATTATGTGAAAAATAACTATTACTTATCTTCACCATTATTATCATCATTCAAATATTATCAAGAACATGATAATACTTCAACTGATACTTTAAAGTTCAATGCTACAAAGAATTTAGATGATGAGCCAGAGCCCAAAAAGTTAGAAGTTGATAATTTTAAATTAAATAATATGGAGATAAATTCTAAGAGTTATAAAGATTTGATTGATAATTATTGTTTCTTCAATAGTGATAAGAATAATGATGATACTTTTAGTGTATCAAGTTTACTAGGCACATAACATAAAATTTTTTTATAGAGAAATCCATCGAAATGATTGGATTCGGAAGCAATAGCAGAAGCATTGGTTTGGTTGTATTTCAGCATTGTACAATGGGTAATTGATTAATTTATCTATTCTGGTAATATGATATAGTTTTTCGTTTTAACTTGACCCTCTAAAACATCTAAACCACCCCCCTACCTTGTCCCACTTTAGTAATGTTAGTGGGGAAAGTGTGGTGAAAAATTTTTGCAGCCAATATCAGGGTTCGCAACACAAATCTCACGCGCTCCCCCAAACACTGAGTGTTCGTATAAAATTCTTAGCGGGCCCCCGCACTATTTTAGGGACCCTCTCGTAGTAGATAATATAAGTGTGCGAAGAAGAAAAGTTTAAATAAAGGTGAACAATTTAAACTTTTAGTGAGAAGGAGACGCGATAGATTCTCCTCACATTGTTAGCCTCCCCTCCAACAATAAATTAATAAACAAGAAGGGCAAATGAGTGAAAAATTTTTCGGCTAGTGACTTATTGGCTGAAAATTGTATTTTGAGTAAAATTGGTCAATAGTTATGGGTTGAAGGAACGGAATCAGTTGGATAAATAGATCCGATCGGAAACGAAGGAATAGGAGATGAAGTGGTATGATGATTTAAAAATGACGACAATCCTGGCTTGTAAGACAAAAAACTTAAATGCAGATCGTCAAAAATGTTGAGGATCCTGTTAAGACAGTATGCGCATTTCTCGGAAGCCACGACTACTACTTACCAGTTGACAACCCAATTATTGATAAGATGAGATGAGATAGATAACAAATCTAGAAGCGGGATAGCCATATCTATCATGATATCGAGCGGATGGATTATTCAGGTATAATGATATAAGTTAGAGGAAGCCAGCATCGAAGGCACTCAAATGATTGGCGTAAGGTAAAAGGTTAAAAAGTTCCCGAAAAGGTTAAATTGGGAACCATCTGGAGTACCTAAACTGCAAAATCGAATGTGAGAAGGATTTATCAAAAAAAGTAACTGATCAGCAGTTAAAGTTAAAAATCTTTTATATATTCCTTTCATCAGCTGATGCCTAATCTACATATTTATAATTTACATTCCCTTCCGATTCACCAAATACAAATTTATCACTCATTAAAGTTCACTAAGGCGAGACTCTCTCACTAATCTATTGTTACATTGGTTAGAATACCCTTGGAAAATGATGAAAAGGATCTCAACATTTCCTATTTTGACATGGTGGTTGTCATAATGTTATGGTTATCTAACCTGTATTTTTTGTCGTTACTACTATTTTAATCAAAACAAAATAATTTAACAACTCCATTTTCTAAACCAGCAGCAAACTTGGAATCACTTAATCCAACACAGCTAACACTGGAATTATTACCTACTGTATGTAAACATTTACCATCTTGTAAATCCCATACTTTGATTAATCTATCATGGGCTCCACTGATAATTCTGAAATTATCAGCACTGATAGACCAGACTCCTTCGATATGACCGAATTGAGTTCTGATACATTTACCCGTTTTTACATCCCATACTTTAATAGTATTATCTAAAGATGAAGTTAAAATATGACTTGGCCCATTCTTGATTTCCTCATTGAATTCTTCATAGTCTTCACTTTCACTACCACTTGAATCTTGAAATCCCCTATCATCATATAATTTATCTTTATAATTAAATGGTATCACACATTGAACTTGTCCTACATGACCATTATTTTCAACACCTCCAAAGGTTTTAATACATTTGTGAGTATTTAAATCCCACATTTTAATCGTTGTATCGTCGGAAGCAGAAAATGCTGTCTGGGAAGGTTGATGGATCTTCACTGAATTCACCCAACCAGTATGACCTCTTAAAGTATAACAAGTTCTGGAATCTACATGCCATACTTTTACGGTACTATCAGCAGAACCACTGATAATGGTTTTATCCAGGAAATCTACACTTACTACAGCATCTTCATGTCCTCTATAAGTACTGATACATTCACCAGTGTGATAGTTCCAAACTCTAATAGTCAGATCTAATCCACAACTGATTAATTTTTGATTATCAAAAACTAATGATTTAATTCCTTTAGTATGACCCGTTAAGGTTCTCACGCACGTTTGAGTTGCAATGTCCCAAATCTTGATACAAGTATCATAAGATCCGGTGATAAGATACTTGTTGTTGAACTGCAAACAGGTAATCCCATCAGTGTGACCAATAAATTCCTTCATTTTATAAATACCTTTTCTCCAATTCTTTTCCAATTTATAACGTTCACTATAAACAGACTTCCATGGTCTTCTGGATAATCTTCTTCTCTTTGGTTCAGGTTCAGCTTTAATTTCTTGAACCTTTGGTTCACATTCTCCTGTTACTTGAGATGGAGGAATTGAATTTTGAGGTGGTTCATCACTAACATTGGCTTCATATTCTTCACGAGCTCTTTTCATATGCATTAATGGCAAACCCCATCCACATTTAGGACATTTTCTGTCGATATGTTGTTCACACATATGATGCCATACTCTATCATCATCGGCTAACTTTTTCCAACTTTTCAGTACTTGAGCTGCATTACATAATGATACACAATCTAAGTAACATAAAATTTTTAAACTTATTTCCATAGGTAATGCTGAAATGAAATCTATCTTGATCAATGAAGACACTTCACTTGAAATATATGATAACGTAGGGAAACAACATTGTGATAAAATACCTTGTAAAATCAATTTCCTTTGATTAGAAGGGGCTGCACTGAAAATTGACCATACATGGGTTATAGCTTGTTGATCACTTGATGTTAATTTATCAATGTTTTCTTGTAAACCTTTCATCTTATCATCATCAACAGTCTTATTTCTGGTTATTTCAGGGTTATGACGATAACAATATTTGTGATAATTATCTGTTGGTAAGGCTGATTCACTTATGTGTTGAGTAAGGAATGGCGTTAAGACTGATCCATCCTTCTTTTCTTCAGGTTCAGGTGTCCTGAATGCATCAATATCATCGTTAAAATTCATAATTATGGAATTACTGAAATTCTGGATATTCAATGACTTATATTCGATGCGATACACCACAGTTTTTTTTTTCTGTCGCACTCCCCGAGCGGTGTGTGGACCATAAAGGTTATTCTCTTTTGGGGTGTCTTTGCCGATGCAAATAGTTACTAAGGCGAATGGGTACATATTAAGAGATCTTTGTAGTTTATGTATACCCAGAGGAAGATTAGTGAATGTACAATTGAACTTACTGTCAAGTTACTCGCGAGAACGATTATTTGTGTGGAAGATATTTTGATTATTCCACATCTCGTAATCCACACTTTTAAAACTACCTCGAGGCACTTCCACAATTAGTTGAGATGCCACATATTTATCTCGTCTAGATAATCAATGACCATCTTCATTCAACTATCATTGCAAGGGTTCAGGGGTTTGTTTCATCAATATTGCTTGCAAGGTTATAACTGAATTTCTAATTATTACAAGTCACATGACTAGCACTCAGATAAGGAAGAAATTTCGAAATTGCAAACGAAATTATCAGTTTTTTTTCATGCAATTATTTTTAGATTTTCCCTGAGTTTTCCCTGACCTAGTAAAAGCGATAGGTATTTTGGTGGCGTTTACCGAATTTGACAGGTGCATAAGATTTACAAGATAGAGATTTTTACAAGTTACATTGAATTTCTAGTTTTACCCATACAGTTGGAGATATTTCAGCTATGCAGGACCCAATTTTTCTTCCCTACAACTAACTACTGGAACCATCCAGACCAATATCAAAACTATCCATGATGCCACCAACATACCTTTGGAATAAAATCAATCATCCAGAATCATCTAGAAAGTTTTTTTTTTGCACCCAACTTACGTAATCAGCTTATTAAGTCTCAATTGAAAAATTTTGAGATGATCTTCAAATGAAGAGATCAGAAGATTTAAATTCGAACCAACAGGAGAAGAAATTAAAAATGGGAGAAAATGAATTTTTTCAAAGTGTTGGTGACCAAGCCGATATAGTTGATCAAGAACCACAAACTGAAAATCAAATCAACAGTGAAATCAAATACACTGGAATGGCAGATGTTGAAGGACATCCAGTTCAAGAATTAGAAAGTTATTGTGTTAACTGTGGTGATAATGGTGTTACCAGAATGTTATTAACCAGAATTCCTTTCTTCAGAGAAATTATCATCATGTCATTCGAATGTCCTCATTGTGGTCTTAAAAATAGTGAAATTCAACCAGCTGCTCAGATTGCTGAAAAAGGTTCCAGATATATCCTTAAAATTGAAAATGTTGAAGATTTTAATAGACAAGTAGTTAAATCTGAAAGTTCAACATGTAGATTCCAAGAATTAGATATCGAAATTCCTCCAAAAAGAGGTCAATTAACTAATGTTGAAGGTTTATTAAATGAAATGGTGGAAGATTTAAACAGTGATCAAGAAGCTAGAAAATCTTTACAACCTGAAGTTTATGAGAAAATTAATGAAGTTATTGAAAAAATACAAAGTTATATAAATGGTGAACCAGGTACTTTACCATTAACTTTCTCCATTGATGATCCAGCAGGTAATTCATGGATTGAATATGTTCCAAATGAACCAAGTCATAAATGGTCAATGTATGAATACAATAGAACTGCTGAACAAAACGTTTTTCTTGGTTTAATTTCAGCTGATGATGTTGCCAGAGCTAGACAAGAAGAATTACAAGCTAAAAAAGCTGCTACTGAAAAGAATATTTCTTCTCAACAAAATGATGAAACTAATGACAATCCAAAAGTTACTGGTTTCATCTCTGATGAAACAGAAATTGAAAATTTAGATAATGAAGTTCAAACTTTCCATGCTACTTGTTCATCATGTTTCCAAGATTGTGCTACTAACATGAAAACCATTAACATTCCTCATTTCAAAGATGTTATTATTATGTCAACCAATTGTGAACATTGTGGTTATAAATCTAATGAAATCAAAACCGGTGGTGAAATTCCTGCCAAAGGTAAGAAAATCATTTTAAAAGTTACTGATTCTGAAGATTTAGCTAGAGATATCTTAAAGTCTGAGACTTGTGGTATGAATGTTCCTGAATTGAATTTAGATTTAACTCCAGGTACTTTAGGTGGAAGATTTACTACCATTGAAGGTTTATTAACTCAAGTTGCGGAAGAATTAAATTCAAGAGTCTTCACCGAAACCTCAGATTCAATGGATCAAGAAACTAAAAATAGATGGTTAACTTTCTTTGCCAGATTACAAGATGCCATTGATGGTAAAATTGGATTCACCATTGAAATGGTTGATCCTTTAGCTGCTTCATACATTCAAAACGTTTACGCTCCTGACAATGATCCAAATATGATCATCGAGGAATTTGAAAGAACTCATGAACAAAATGAAGATTTAGGTTTGAATGACATGAAAACTGATTAGATATTATCTTGTATATTATTCTTATATATATTAAATTAGTAGTGTTTGGTCTCTGTAGATATCGTATGGTCTCTGTAGATACCGCCTGGGAATGACTTTTGCATAGGATTAATCAACAAGAGAGTGGAAAAGATATTAATAAGTTCGTAATATTAGTAGCTTTTGAAGACATATGGTCAAAGCAATGCTGTTTTAAGAATTCTATAAAATTCTAACGTCAAATCAATGATTTTTATCTCTATGGTTAATGTCCTTTAAGGTATCACCCCAAGGAGAATCTTTCAAAGTTTCTCCTATTTCACTGATTTCCACTAGGGAATCTGTAGATTTCGTAGACTCTTCCTCATTCGTTCCTTGAGGAACTGAAATGAAGAATTTCGGTGGTCGTGAAAGTGGTCTATCATTTTTCTTCTTGACTTCAAGAGGAGACCTAGGAACATAGACTCCACTCTTAGTCAAATGTTGATCATCATCACTATCAGAAAATAAACCCGATGAAGCACCCACTGGTACTGTATCCTCGAAATTATCCTTATACAAGCTAAAGTCTTCTTGAGTTCCAAAATTCTTTTCGAATTGATCATCCAAATAAGGTTGTTCCATAGGTGATCTCTCCCCTGACAAATAACTTCTTCTCTTCAAGGCTTTATCCAAATTCAAATTAGCACTTTTAACACCCAATTTCTTATCTTGTAAATATTTCCATCTAATGACATATGCGGTAATAGTTTCATAGACTCTATTTTGATGCATTCTTTTCTCCACCTTCTGTAATAACAATGTTCTTTCAAGATAATCTATCAAATTCAAACATGTTCCGGCATTGAAAGTTTTATATAAAGGTAATTGCAATAAGACTCTTCTGAAAGAAATACCTGGTTCCCTGTTCAACTCCATATTCAAGATAGCTTCTTCAATAAAAGTTTCATAACTTTTCCTTCTTTCTCTGATTTTATCGATATCCCATTCTTCATAAGACTTTTCGATCTCATCATAATTAACTTGAATATCATACGGATCATTGCTTAATCTTTTGATCCATTTATGACAAAGAAGAGGAATCTCTAAAGATCCATGGTAGAAGTGGAATGATAACTCACCATCCAAAGACCTTAACAATTTAGGTAATTCTTTTGGTGGTATAAAACCGGTTCCTTCAGGATCAAATTCTTGCCATGTTCTTTTAAATTTTCTAATTTCCCTTCTTTCTACCAATCTTGAATAATCACCCTTATTGGTAATGTAACTGAAACCATCCAAAATTAATGAAATAAACATATTCAAGAAAATATACATGGAAACAATGTTCCAAGCATAAAACAAGATGAATGCATATTGTTTATTACCACAATCAGTCTCAGTAGAATTAGGTTTGGTTGAACAGTAAGGCTCTGCAATTTTGAAATCGTCCATAACATAATTCCAACCTTCACCGAATGAACATTTAAACAATAGAATAAGAGCTTTGGGAACAGTTCTAACATTGAGATTCCCTGAACCATTGGCTCCGATCTTAGTGGTACCAAAAACTTGGTTCATAGCAATGGCAAACACTAAAAACAATACCAACCAGGTAAAAAGTAATGAAATCAAGTTAGGAACACTAGCAGAAGCAAATCTCAAGAATTGACTTAATCTATCACTTCTTGGTATAACAAAAAGTAGTGTTCCGACCAAGAATAACTTATTAATGTTAGTGAAAGCACTTTCTTCACTAACGGCAAATCCAATGATTGTAGTGATTAAAGCTCCCACTGATACCACCATATTGAAAACATTCCATCTATATCTGATGAAATTCTTTAACCCTTGGGAGATAAGTAACATAATCGCATTTAAAGTGAATAACCCTGAAGCCATTAAATAAATGGTGGTGGTGAAAGCATTCAATCCAACACTTGAAGGGTATTTTTCTAATAACAAAGCAATAACATGAGCAAACAATACCACATTCAATAAAGCATTCCATCCTTTATGTTTCTCCACCGTCATTCTATAACAAAATCTCCTAATTGGGCCTAATTGATCAGCATTTTCTCTTTTAGAAGGTCTCACTTGTAAGAGGAAGTTCTTAACGTGATACCAACTTCTTTGATCTGTTGTCATATAAGCTCTACCCGATGATAAGGAATAATTGTGGATGATAACAGAAATGAATAATGTTAAAATGAAGACAATTCCGATGAAATTGTACAAGATCATGAAAAATCCATTGATTGGAGTAGCAAAAGGTACAGGAACAGTTCCAATCCCGGTACTTTGCATAAGGTTCAAAAGCAAATCAACCCACCCTTCTAATGAAGTGATTTCGAATAATGTGGAGAATGATTTGGCAAAGTAATCAAAATGAAGCAAGGGGTTAGCATACACATTAGGACTCATCACTTCCCAGTCAAATACCTCAGGATTATATTCATTCAAGCAAGAAGCTAAATCCGATGTTCCGTCAGTACAAACACCCAATCTACCATTGAAAATATTCAAACCCCAAATGGAGAAAGGGATCAATAAACAAAGCGATAATATAGCAGCACTAAAAATCTTACCTATTCCAGAGATTATGGTGTTATGGAAATTATTCTTAGCAGTTTCACTGATTGTTAAAATTCTCAAGGCTCTCAAAGCTTTGAACCCTCTAACAAATCTTGAAAGATCTCCATTACTAGTGACATAAGCAGTAAATTGGATCCATAATGAACATAACACTACAAAATCAATCAAATTCCATGAAGATCTGGCATAAGCATTGGGTGTATAAATCAATCCGTCTGCAAAAATTCTAATGGTGAATTCTCCTGAAAAGATACAAAGCCATAGAATTTCCAACCAGAAAGTCCAATCCTCAGATTCCCTAGATGTGGCAATACTCGATCTATATAATGGTGTCAAGTAACAAGCAGTTACCACCAACGCAACGGTGGATATAAGCATCACAACGGTGAATATTTCCGACACTCTTTTGTAAGGTTCCACCCCATCAATTCTTTCACCGTAACTTGAATTAACAATTCTTTGACAAAATCTTCTGATCTTATGACGAGGTCCCATAACATAGAATACCTTGTTGTACGTGGGGTTGTCTCGTAAGTATTGATTTTGTTTAGTGATCAAAACATTTCTCTCATTCAAAATGTTCTTAGCATAAGTCGTAGGATCAAAACTTGAAATTTGGGCCACTTTGGGTTTGGTAATCTTGAAAGGGTCATCAAAATAGTTTCTGAACCTCTTAAAATGGACGACAAAGAATCTGACGAATTTGTTATGATGTAATTCTTGAACTTCTTCATCATCCACATCATTAACATCATGATCGTCTAAGAAATTATTCACCGCTGTACCACTCAATAATAAATTAACCACCGCCATTTGTAATTCTTCAGCCATACCTTTCCTCTTGAAAAATCGATTCTTGTACTTTGAAAGAGCTCCACTTTCATTATCAACATGTTGGATACTGACAGTAATGTTCTCTATGAATTGTAATAACTGTTTCCTCTTCTTCTCGGCTTCAGGAACGTTTAAGGTACTGGCAATCACAGCAATGAAAATATTCAAGATAACCATATTAGAGATCAAAAACCAACCGATTAAGAATATAGCTGCAAATACACGAGCACTGGCACTGGTTTGATAACCTTGTAAAGCGTATAAAATGTCTGTCCAATTTTCCGTAGACGTGATGGTATACAAACCTGCAAATGTATTAGGCAAGGACTGGAAATCAAAGGTAATGTCATCATCTTCATCCGCCATTTCGGCTGTTATTACACCTTCGAAGAATCGGGAATATATGATACTTGTCAACATAGTCAAAAGGAAATAGAACAAACTCAAATCAAGTAATTGTCCTATATTACCCATTATTTTCAACCATAATTCACTGGTGAATGAAAATAACAATACCACTCTATAACCTCTCATGATTTGGAATATTGTTAACCAGTAATAAGCATGGCCCAATTTGTTTTTGATAGGACCGATGATGATGATTGTAGTTATAACAGCTAAAAACAAGTCAAAGTTGTTTCTCTTTAACTTGAAGAATAGTCTCCAATTTGGTAGGTATAAGAAGAATCTTAAGATTATTTCAATGAAAAAGATCCCTGTAAACGAAGCTTCTAATCGATATAACGTATGGGCCAAAACAGGTGACATACCATAAGATCTGAAACATTGAGCTACTAAATCACATACCACTACAATGGGGAAAATGAACTCAAGACGATAATAAATACCCAAAGCTATATTTTGCTTCTTTAACTTTTCGATCAATTCTTTATGCATTGATACCGGAGTAGTTGTAGCACCCAACAAACCATCTTCTTGGTCGTCTTTATTATCATCCAGTCGAGTCATATTGAAAGTACTAACAACAATAGCAATGAAAACATTCAATAACCAAACAGTCATTATAAGCATTCCAAAGACAAAATATAACGCTGCTGCTAAAGTATCAGTATCTAAGGTCATGTATAAGATATCTGTGAAAGTGTTGGCACTCATTATAACGAAAACTTGTTCAAGGGAGTTGAAGATATTGTCGAAATGAACAGTTCCCTCGCTAGGATTGTCCAAAGTTTCACAACGTGAGTAAACTGGACACCTAAATCCCTTGATACTACTCGAATGTTCCCCATTAGATAGAATATAGGGTCGTGCGTGGCCATTGACATCTAGATAAGAACCACAGAAACTATCAGTGTTAACAAACGTATCTGATGAATCATCTGGATTATACCAAACACAATGTCTTCTTAAAGACGATTTGAACGACTGGACACCAACGATACCGAAGAATAATCCAAAACATCCAATGAAAATTATAACATCTACTAATTCAGGAATAGAATTCTTTAAAGCTTTCAAGATTAAAGATGTTCCTCTAGTAAGATTACAAAGACGTAAGATTCTAAGACAACTTAAAGCTCTGAAAATTAACAAATTATGCTTAGCATCATAACGTCTAATGGAAACCAAAAGTGAAATCCAAAAACAAACTATCGACACGAAATCAATTCTATGCCAACTATTCCTAATATAAGCTCTTCTCAAATGTAAAGATTCTATATCTATTACAGGTCTGTCATTTTTGAGAAGGGTGTTTGCGGGTTTCAATCTTCCAACTGGTGGGGCAGTGAAAGTTGTATTCAAATTCTCACTTGGTTGATGATGGGAACTTAAATCATATTTTGATGATATAACATTACTATAATCAGCTTCATGCTTTGATCTGTCTTCGTTTCTTTCGGATTCGGGAGTTTGATCTTCAAGCTCGATTTCTTCGGTGTACACTTCATTTAAATCCGTTTTATTGTATGAAGGTCTTGATGAATCTTGATTGAATTTCGTCGTCTTAGTAAGAAGAATGGCGAAATGTTCTTTTATGGCTTCAAACCATGTACCTTTTAATAATTTCCCTTTCACAGGATTTTCAGGATAAGGTAAATTTAACTCTTCAAACATTATTCGATCATCATAAAATCCATATGCAATGATTTTGGCTGCCATTTCTAAGGTATAAACAACATTGATGATACACAAAATGTAATCGGCCCAATTATTCCCATGTTCAACATATCCATGTAAATGAGCAGGATTCCATTGTCTTAAACTCAATAAACTGGTTTGTAAAATTAATAATGAAAGAAAGAAGGTGTTATTCAACTTATTAGACACCCAGTGATGACAAGATAGTCTGAACTTATTTTGGGGTGAAAAGAACTTCAAAGTATTACCAAAAAGATACATTGAAGATTTATCAGATTGCCAAATTTGGGATATCTTGGTTTGGGGTAAGACTTTGTTGGTGAAGGGGACATTTTCGAATGCCACCGAGTTGGTAGTGGGAAATCTTGAATGATGTAAGCCTAACCCTGGAGGTTCTGTATCTTGTAAACCTATGGCATCATTCAAATCTTCATTGGTATTACGGAATGGATCATGACTTAAATTCCTCAGTATACTATGATCTTGGTTACTATATTGGAAAGACTCGGTTTCCAAATCAAATACATCTCTGTGATCGTCTTGAAATTCTTCCACTGAATGGGCTAAACTGGAACCATCCCTCGAATCTTGAGTATTCAACGAAGGATTTAAATTCACACTGGTAGACAGGTGATTTTGGGATGAGAACGTTGATTTAACACTATGATCGTCTCTTAAAGACGGAGACTTACGTGATGTGAGTTCGGCTGATGTACCTGTACCTGCAATACGATCAGACACCCTGGTAATTAAATTTGTGAATTTCCCCGGGCTACCATGAATGGCCTCGTCATTCAATGCAAATGTTGGAGTCAATAATCCTGACTCTATGTCTTTATTATTTCTGAGTGAAGGTGATGCTGGTTGGAGGTTAGATGATGAATCGTTGAACATATCAAAGGGATTTAAATGTGTAGGTCGAGGTGTTCTTATCACTGGCGAATGGGTTTGATTAGATGTGTCGATATGCAAAGTAGGAATATTCATTGGAGGTGGCTTTTTCCTTGGTTGGTGGACCTTTAAATCATTATTATTGTGCATAGGAAACCAGTTAGAATCTCCGGATTCCGTACCTAGAGCAATTTTTAAACTTTCTTTGATAGCATTGAAATCTTGTTCACCAGCGGCATCATCCAAGAGGGACTTTGTCACAAATGTATCGTTGTTCTCTACATTAGGTTGGGTAGTATTCTCCACTTCAGGTTCTGTTATTGAATCCTCATGTTTAGCGGCAGAATGAATACTTAAAATTGATGATCGTTTGAATGAAAACGGCCTTTTTGTGGACTTTCGTCTTGATGTACCACTCAACCGCCTGTTTGCATTATTGGAAGAAGATCCAGCTCTATGGAAATCATCATCATCATCATTTGTATGATCTATGAAGGTATCACTCATGTTGACAGATCAACTAATATGGGAAATGTTCTACAGAACTATGAATGCAATGAATAATATGATGATATTTCAATAAACACTAATATTTCTCTGAGTAAATAGAAGTTTCCTTGGGGTTTATGACGACTTTAATGGTGATTAAAGGTATTTAAATGATATTCTTCAAGCCTCCAAACAGTGCGAAGATGAAGACGAGTCCAAAGACTTCGTGTAAAGAACTATTAATAAACAGAGATTTGGAAATTGAGCTGTATTTCATGATATCCAGAGTATTTGTGTTAATCAAAAGTTACATATCAGGCCAAAAGCATAATTCTGGAAAATTCTGAAAGAGGACCTCATCAAGATGGTAGTAAAAGTACGTAATTTTCCAACGTATCCTGAATATTAACTCTTCGATGAGTTAACTAAGTAAACAAGCACCTCTTTTACTCTTCTAGAATCAAATTTCAAAACATGCCACAATTATAGAGAATTGAAAGGAAATCCAATCGTAGCTGATGAAATCACACATTGCTGCAAAAATGCATCTAGATTTTTTATTTCTCAGCAGCCCTTCGCTCTTTTTTGCAACCTTAAAATTTCCACGTAAGGAAACTCTAACAGATCGTATAGCTAAATATAGTTCTACCGAAGGCCCATCGTACAATGTAGCCAATAAGAATTATCATTCAGCCTCAATTGTCTTTGAACATATGCCAACTCTCAGATGATAGAGGAATGTATTCAACCTTACAAGGTTAAAAGAAAACACCATTCTGATGACCTCATTGAAGCTGAAGATTGAATTAGTCACAAATAACCAAATTAACCTTTGGCAGTACTCCATTAAAAACCAACCCGAAATGATGCGACCCGATCCGACTAGTATACAACTCACATAGCTAAGGCATAATACTCAACAAGGGCTCCACATCTCTAAGTATTGACCTATCCTACTGACTAATCGCTGACTCAAAAAGTGTGACGGAACAAAAGGGGAACAAACTGAGTAAAAATATACGATAAGAAAGCGCAATTCCAACGGCTAGATTGCAAGTGCGGAATTAGCTTAAAAACCTATGATTTTCCACTTTATTCACTAAGTATGAGTTATGATGTTCTTGGTATAGACCCATCAGAAAGGGTTTCTATCAAAGTAAGGAACTTAAGTGTTTCAGTCAACGGTCAGGTAGCTAAATCAACAGATGAAGAATTGAATGTTGGTAAGCCTCGCAATCATATCTTAGAAGATATCTCGTTTGATTTGAACAGTGGGGAATTATTGGCTATTATGGGTGGTTCAGGTAGTGGTAAGACTACCTTATTAAACACATTATCTCAAAGATTGAATGTTTCCAACAAAAAGTTGGCATTTTCTGGGAGTATCAATTATTTCATGAACGATGAGGCTGTTGGTAACAACCATATTAAGAACTCGTACATGTTACAAACGGATTTTTTCACTCCCGGATTAAGTACTTGGGAATTCTTGAACTACCAAGCTGATTTAAGATTACCTGGTCTGATAACAAAAGAAGAAAAGAGGAATTTGATCGAATCATTATTGGATATTTTAGAAATTGGTCATTTAAGGAATAAGATTATCATGACTTTCAGTAACAAAACAAACTTGTCAGGTGGAGAAAGAAGGAGAGTATCTTTGGCAGTGCAATTATTAAGTAAACCTTCTTTGTTGTTCCTCGATGAACCAACTACTGGTTTAGATACTTCATCATCTTTAAAATTGGTGCAAGTATTAAGAAAATTATCTTCATCAGAGTTGGGTGTCACCATTGTTTTATCCATTCATCAACCTAGACCAGAGATTTCCGTGGTATTTGATAAGATTTGTTTATTAACTAGAGGTGGAAGGTTGGTATATTATGGGAATTTAGTGAATTCATTCACTTACTTTAGTAACTTGAATTTGTTACCCTCAGATATTCAAACTTCTAAAGTGGTTGATTTTATCATGGACTTGTCTGTCAAAGATACAACTTCTAAGGCCAAGGAACAAGAGACGGCTATGAAGATCAATAAATTGGTGGATAATTGGAAACTTCAACAAAGTATTGAACCTGTTCAACCTACGTCTTTTGAATCCAACTTGAAATTATTTCAAACACCAAGGAATCTCAAGATCTCTTTCTTAAGGGAATTGATTATTCTTACCAAAAGAACATTTGTTTTAAGTTACAGAGATACTTATTCTTATATATCCTTAACAGGATTAACTGTCATATTAGCAATCATTAACGGAGTATTGTTTTATAAACCACCTCCTGATTTGGCTGGTATAAGATCTTACACCTCAAGTTTATACGTTATGGTTGAGGTTATGGGATTCATGCCACTTTTCATAGAAATTGAAAGATTATGGGCAGTGGATGGAATAATGTTTTTCCGTGAATATACTGATAATTATGTTAGTATTCCTGGTTTCATAATATCAAGAAAATTGGGTAAATTGGTTCTCGAAGATGTGCCTGTAAGTTTTGCCTTCGCTTTCATTACATATTTCATGTGGGGATTAAGAACAAGTGATGAAATAGGTGGTGACTTCAATATTCACTACTTCTTGATTTATTGGGCTGTTTGTGTCTTAGTTTATTTGATCGCTATAGCTTCAGCCTTAGCGGCATTTGCTGTTTCTTCAGACTTCCCTGTCACAGCTATGATTCAAAATTTGTTTTATCAATTACAAAATAGTGCATGTGGATATTTTGTTAATGCTGCTACTATGCCAGTTTATGTGAGATGGTTAAAATACATTTGCTATTTCTGGTACGCTTTTGGTGCCTTAGTGGCCAACCAATATACTAATTGGCATGGAGATTGTCCCTATGATTCAGAAGAAAGATGCATCGAATATAGTGGAGACTACCAATTAGAAGTGTTGGGATTTCCTAGAAATTGGGTTGCTGAACCAATTTGGATCCTTGTTGCCTGGTTGATAGGTTTCTATTTGATGGCAGCTATGGGATTCAAATTCAGAAGTTATGATGTGAATATGGCTAAAACCAAACAAAACAAAATTGGTGAAGAAGAAGATAGCGAGCCCAAAGAAACGTCTTCTCATGATGAAAATCTTAAAGAAAAGTCTGTGGAACTCAATGATTATGAGTTTGATAATGATTTACAAAATGATGTTTCTATTCAACTTCAAGATATCAGTCTTAAGGTCCTCCCACTGAAGTTATCATTCAAGAGGTCAGAATTTCAAATTTTGAACTCCATAACTGCTAATTTCCAAGCTAACAAAGTCAACGTTATCATGGGACCTTCAGGAAGTGGTAAGACTACATTATTGAATTTAATCTCTAACAGATTACCCAAGTCCAGTAATTTCGAATTAACAGGTAAGGTAAGAATCAACGATGTCCAGGAAATATCTATCAACGAATTGAGTAAAATTTCAGGATATGTTACACAATTTGATAATTCCTTAATCCCACATTTGACTGTTCGTGAAACTTTCTATTATCAAGCCAAATTGAGATTGAAAGTCAAAGAGCATCCTCGTATTCCAAGTATCATAAACACCTTGATCAGAGAAATGGGTTTAGTGGATTGTGCTGATACCGTTGTAGGAAATGAGATTTTGAAGGGAATTTCAGGAGGTGAAAGAAGAAGAGTATCGATTGGTATTCAATTACTTTCAAAGCCTAAAGTATTGTTTTTGGATGAACCTACTTCAGGTTTGGATTCGGCTACTTCTCAATCCATTGTGAACTTATTAGACCAATTAACTAAGGAAAATGGTACCACCGTCATATCAACTATCCATCAACCTAATGAAGCGATGTTCAGAAGATTCGGATCGATGCTTTTGTTAGCCAGAGGTGGAAATGTTATTTTCAATGGTCCTGGTGAAAACATTGAAAGTTACTTACGTGATATTAATTTCACCAAACCTGAAGATGTAAATATTGCTGACTATATTTTAGATATTGTGAGTCAAGGGTTGGATGAAACTAAAGAACAAGTAAGTTCAAGAGTTGACCGATTGACGAATAATTGGAAACAACAAGGTGAAGTCCAATTCACCCGAGGCAATGAAGTCAATGTCAAAGATTTCAAATTGAGAAAAGTACCATTGAACGTTAGATTCAAAGCAGTATTCCATCGTCAATTATTGAGTTCCTTTAGATCAAGAGATGCTTTGATCACCAGAACCACTCAAGTTTTGGCATTGGCCATTATTCATACTTTATTCTTCGCCCCTTTGAGAAATTCCAAAGAAGGTATTGACAATAGATTGGGATTGATTCAAGAAGTATTAAATTTTGCATTCATTGGATTAATCAATAATTTTGCTATCTTCCCTATAGAGAGAGATTTATTCTATCAAGAATATCATGATGGGTTGTATAGTAATCTCGAATTCCAAACCATTTACTTTGTTATTGAAAGTGTTATTGAAATAGTCACATGTTTGTTATTCAGTGTTTTAATAGTGTTTGCTATTGGATTACCAAGAACTGCAGGAATGTATTTCAGTATGTTCTTAACATCTTTCATTTCAATCAATACTGGTGAAAGTACGGGTATCATGGTGAATGCGGTATTTGATCATTTGGGTTTAGCTATTAATATTCTATGTAATATAATGGTGGTTGCTATATTTATGGGAGGTACTATGTCATTACATATGCCAGCATTCTTTAGAGCCATCAATTATATAAATCCATTGAAATACGCTGTTGGTATTTGTGCTGAATTGAGTTTGAGAGGTCAAGAATTCGATTGTGGTAGTGCTATAGGATGTAGTTTAAATTCAGGTAATAAAGTATTGGAATATTATAATTTATCCAGTTACTTACCAGGATACTTTGGTGGTTTAATAGCCTGTTTTGTACTTTATAGACTTGTAGCTGTTGCAATTTGTGAAGTGAAAATAAGATATTTCTTATGATTAATGTGTAAGATGTGTATATAAATTCTTAATACCGTTTAAAGTGTAACTTATCTCCCTCCCCCCCTCAATTTTCACATTTCCATGGCTCCGTTTCGTGCATTTTGTAGGCTGCGAAATTCTCAACAAAATCACAAGAAAGTACCGAGGATATTTTAATTATAAATAATCTAAGAATCCGGGTTTTATAAAACTGTTCAAATTCTGAGTTGATAATTATAATTCATTTACTCACAACTTAGTACAATGTCAGTTGAAACTAGTGGAATATCAAACACTGAAAAAAATTTGGGCATCACCAAAATTGGTGATAATGAATTTAGAGGTATAAAACCATTATCTAAGCCATCACCTAATTCTAGAGGTGTTTATGGTGGTAATTTATGTGGTCAAAGTATAATAGCTGCTATGGAAACTGTACCTGAAGGATTCGTACCACATTCATTACATTCATATTTTATTGCTGCTGGTGAAGATACTGTACCTTGTGATTATAAGATCGAAGAATTAAGTAATGGTAAGAATTTCGCCAACAGATTAGTAAGAGTATCTCAAAATAATCAATTAAAATACATGGTAATGATTTCTTTAACTAAAAGAAATAGCATCAAGTTAACCAAGAATAATTTTGAAAAGAATGACAAGAACATGAGACCTTTCGAATATCAATTACCTCCAGGTTCAAGTTTCTTCGAACACAAAGATACTGTCGAAAAGTTACCATACTTCAATTATAACTCAGTTAATAAAAATACCATATTACAACATAAATTAACACCAGAATTCTCAACCATTGATGATAGTGAATTCGATAAAACTCCTGGTGAAAGACAATTATCATTTTTCATCAAATTAAATGATCAATCTTTACCTACAAGTTATAGATATGGATCAATGGGATTAGTAACAGATTCATTATATTTAACATCAGTTTCAAGAATTTTACATTTACCTACCAAAGATGGTAAAACTTTGGGTTCAAGTGGTGGAGTTAATCACAATTTCTTTTCAGTTTCATTAGATCATTCAATTTATTTCCATGATGATGATTTTGATCCAACTAATTGGTTATATTTTATGTATCAATCACCAAGATTTTCAAATAACAGAGTTTTATTCACTGGTGGTTATTATAATGATAAGGGGAAATTAATTGCTTCTATTGCACAAGAAGGTTTGGTATTCTTCAAAAATGATGCTGATTTAAGAGCAAGATTATAGAGTATGGGTTTTTTATAGATTAATATATTTTTGCAGCCATTGCGAAAAGCCTCTCAACTAATTCTGAAAACGCTAATGTTAAAAATGACAAAGTCACTGTCCCAGAATTATTTTACTGCCCCACTATGGATGTTTTTACGATGAGCATCATGTGATCACCTTTGTTTAACTCGGTCTATTTCAATTATCCTGTGATTTTGCACTTCGCATAAATACCAAAGATACTGCGAAATTTCAACTTAACTATGGAACAAGTTTACGCTAACAGGGATCAATATGGTAGTGTTATGGAAGAAAAATTCCAACTTACAAAAGTAAGTGACACTGTACTTAAAGGAAAATATCCTTTACAACCTTTCGAAGAAGGTCAAAGAGGTACTTATGGAGGTGAATTTATCAGTCAAGCCACTTTAGCTGCTTGGGAAACTATTGATAATGAAGAATTCAGTGTTCATTCTTTACATGCATATTTTTTAAAAGCTGGTTCAGAGAAAAGTGTAATGAGATATGAAGTCGAAACCAATTCTAGTGGTAAAAATTATATAAACAAATCAGTTAAAGTATTTCAAGATCATAGTAATGAGTTAGTGTTCATTTTAAATTGTTCGTTTACCCGAAACAATAATATTCACGATAGAAAAGTTCAATATGCTAACCATGAGACTAAAAGAATTCCTTATGAATTCCAAAAAGATCCTCATGAATTCTTTGCAGATCTCAAGGATAAAGTCAAAGAAGGTGACGGGATTTTAGAGATGACCCATACTCATGATTTAGTTACTCATGGATTACCTTTATCATATTTACAAGTTGACGAAGAAGAATATAAAACCACAGCAACTGGCGATAGGAAAATGGGATTTTTTGTCAAAATTAATGACAAACTTCCAGAAAACAACATGAAACAAAAAATCAATGTTTCCAATTTACTTTACTTGAGTGATAGTGTTTATTTGGGATGTATTACCAGGTCTTTAGGAGTACCTTTAGCACATAAGAACACTTCATTTTTCAGAGTTTCCTTAGACCATTCAGTTTTCATCCATGATAATGATTTTAATTCTACCGAATGGTTATTTTTAGATTATACCTTCCCCAGAATGAGTAACGAGAGGGTTTTATGTAATTGTTCCGTATTTGACTTAAATGGAAAATTGATTGCATCTATCAATCAAGAAGCTTTAATCAATTTAGATAAAGGTCTTCTTGATAGGACAATTGGTGGTACTTATAAGCTTTAATGTATTTATTCATGACATTTCCTCTCACTCTAACTGGATCACAGTCTGATTTTCTCACTTTGGATATTTCACTGGTGCGAATTGTGGAGAAAAATATCACATGAGGACAATATAAACTGAAACAAAACCCATCAATTTATCAATTATGTACGGTAGTATCATTGAAGACGGATTGAACCAATTGATTAAGCAATTGGATGGGAAGTTTCAGCCTCATTCCATTCATGGAGCTTTCCAACAACCGTTAAAGTCTGTTGAATGGGAAATTGATAATATAAGTGATGGAAATAATTTTGTCAATAGATCGTTGATAGGTTCAAATGATGGGATTAATACTGTATTCTTGAACTTTTCATTCACAGCAAAGAATTCGTTCCAAAAACTGATGGAAAGGTATGAAACATATCAAAAATTGATAGCTGAAAGAAGAAAAGTCGGTAAGACTGAAGAAGATGATGACGATGATGATATTAGACGAGTTGAAGTTCCTTTTAAGTTCCAGGTTCCATTCCCCAAAGTTGATGATATTGATAAGACCCTGGTCATCAAGTATGGCATTGATTTCAAAGGTAATTTGGATATTGATTTGACGAAAGATATCTACAATAACCCCATAATCTTCTTCTGTAAATTAGAAAAGATTCCTGATAACAAATTTTCAACAATTTGTAGATTGTCTGATTGTTTGAACTCACTCAACTTCATTCAACCTTGTGATTTCCAAGTCCAAGAGAGAATTATTTATTTCCATGATGATGATTTCAATGAAAAAGATTTTGTTACGGTTCAAATGAAAGTCTTATCTATTGTTGATGATATATTGTTGATAGAATTGGAATTGTTCTCCGTCAATGGGGTACAATTTTCCACTATCTATCAAGAGAGTTTAATCATACCTAAAACTACATCCCATCTATAAAATCAAACTTTAGCATTGAGTTTGAAACCAACCATAGTGAATCGAGCAATATAAAAGAACAATGTACCTAAGGTTGAAAGACAACCGATCAAAACAATAAGGTAATTATAGTTTTTGATGCTTCCATCATCAATGACAGCAGCACCAATTGGAATACCAACTAAATTTCCAAAACTAATGATAAAATTTAAAATCCCATATCTTTCACCAAATTCAGATACTTTGGTAATTTGAGCTAAACATGCAGGAATCAGACCAAGGATGGAACCTGAAAAGAAACCTCCAATACCTGCAAATGCATATAATGCTGATAATTTATATCCAAACGCTAATAAGATTACAAATATACATAAATTGTAAGCAGATGTCATTAAGATATTGACATTGTATTTCCCTATGAAGTCTGATCCCAAACTAGGAATCAATCTTCCGACAATACTAGTAGTATTCCAAGTAGTCAATAATAAATAACCAGTTGATTCGGAAAATCCTTGAGCCATAGCATAAGTAACGAAATAAGTTAAAAACAAAACAAGACTTAATTCCAAACAGAATGCTCCCATTCCTGTAAAGACGAATGTTATATCTGAATGTTTTTTGAGAATGGCCATGACCTTTTTAGTGGTATCAGCAATCAGGAATTTAGTTTTCTCTTGAGGAACCTTAGTTCTGAAGATTCTTGCTTTAACCAAAAAGCAGGCAATTAACATCAAGGCTAAGCAGTAAAATGCTATAATTCTAATAGCCCAAACATAATCATATACTTTAAAAGCATGTCTTAAGATCAAAGGCATTGATAAACCTCCAACACTTCCTCCACTAGTCACTATACCTGTCATGAAACCTCTTCTTCTTAAAAACCAATGATTGGTTACCCCTATCAATGGAGTTAAAGCAATTCCATTACCAAGTCCTAAACAAATGAAACTGAGAATGAATTGGTAGATCTCAGTACTATTTGCAGCTGCCATTAAACCTATAAAAGTTAAGGCAGTAGCAACGATGATTAAACCTCTGGCACCCTTATAGTCAAATATTGGGCCTATGATAATCCCAACAGAATAACAAATAGCTAAGTAAATGGAGAATATCCAAGAAACGGTTGTGGCTTTCAAATTCATTAATTGATGATTTGAAACATAAGCTTGAACAGCACCAATGGAATTAATCATTCCTAATGAAGTGATAGCACCACAGAATGATCCAAACATCACTAAATAGGCTTCAAGACCTCCTTCCGGATAATATTGATCGTCTTTATCATCAAAATCATTTGATAAGACGGAAATCTCTCCCGAGTTATCTACAGCATTATTGTTGATTTCAACTTCAGAAAAATCTACTGAATCATCAGGGGTTTCCAGTCTAGATATAGAATTGGCTCTGATGGTCTCGGTTATGACGCTAATGGATTCATTAGCGGAAATTCTGCCAGAAAGACTAACTAATTCAATGTCCTTCATGAGTAATTTTCGCAACTTTTTTTTGCAGACAAATCTGTTACTTTATCCGCACTTTACTTTTGACTAGGCGCTAATGGGGGACATTACGAAGCTCGAGAGATCTCAGGGTTTGGGTGATTCAATGGATGATTTGAAGACTTCAGGACTGCTGGACGGTGTTGTTGGCGTTGAAACCGATGTTGAAACTAATGATGCTGATGATCTTGATCTTTTTGGTTTCGTCAATAACACTGTAATAAACGACTTGTTTGATATATTCGATAAAATTTATTCATCAGATCATTTATTAGTATTGGATAAAGCATTGTCACCATTGATTAATTATCTTGTGCCGTTCAAAACATTCAAACAAAGAGGGAAATTTGATAAAGTCATATGGCTTGGTGAAGACATAATTGAACACCATCAAAATATTATCATAATTGCAGATAATAATACCAAATTTAATATTCCTGATCATTCACGGGTCACTGTGATTGTTAAAAACCTATCAAAGAGTAAGTTATATGAAATTAATCAAGCAACTCCAGCATTAAACCTAGATCTCAATGATATCATAAACAATGATTTAAAGTTCGTTAGAGGTAGAAATATCAAGATATATAATTGGCAGGTCAATGGAATAACCATCAATGGGATTTTATCATTACAAGATAATAAATGTATGAAGAACTATTTCAACGAACCTGTTAAACAAATAAATGAATTGAATGATGGATTAGTCAACTTAATTGATAAAGAAGGTATTAAAATCAATAATATTTATTCCATAGGTAATAATAGTGAAAAATTGATTGATAATTTCAATGTCAAGAAGAATCAATATTTGAATTATCGTATGAACAATTTACAACAAGAATTTTATTTGAATAAGATGAAACCTACTCATAATTTGATCGTAGTTGAAAGGAATATAGATTATGTGCCATTAGTGATGAACCAGATTAATTATGTGGGATTAATAGACGATTTGATTGATATCAAGATAAATTTGATCAAATTAAATGATGAAGAAACCATTAAAGTTGATGATGAATTATTTGAAAATTTAAAATTCTTAAATTTTTCATTAATAGGACTTAAGTTGAATAAATTAGCTAGGTTAATCAAAAATCAATATAATTCCAATCCTAATGATTTAGATTTAATTAAGATCAAAGGTTTAATAAAGAACTTATCAAATTTGAATAAACAACAAGATTTAATCAAGAAACATACAAATATTTCCGAACATTTACTTAACAAAATTAAATTCAATGGTGATAATAAGTTTGATGAATTTGAAATCTTCTTGAATTTTGAAAATGAAATATTTACCATGACTTATAAAGCACAGATCAATAAATTGAATGATTTCTTATTGATGAATTTAAATGAAAAGATCATCATCAATTGTATAATTCTTATATCTATAGTCAATAGTGGATGGAAATTTAAAGATTTCGATGGGTTGAAGAATTCATTGATGGGTAATTTTGGGATTGAAATATTGAATAAACTTGATAATCTTTTAAAATTCAAATTAATTAAATTTCAAGATATGGAAAATGATTTCACCGATAATACCAACTTAGACATTCATAACAGTACTTATACTTTACTCAATAAGTTCTGGTCATTGCATCCAGAGGAACCTGAAGAATTTGAGGAAGAAATTAATGATTTAAATGATTATAAATCTCCTAACTTCACCTTACCTTCAAACACCATACCATTAATGATCAGAATAATTGAATCATTATTTACTAGAGAATTCTTAACTTATAAACCATTGAATAAAATAACCAAACAGCCAAGTTGGGAGAATTTATCATTAAATAAAATGTTTAAAACTCCCATCATAGAGAATAAAACCAATGATTATGTGGATAAATCTATAATAATGTTTTTGGGAGGAATAACCTATAGTGAAATATCATGTATTAATTATTTAAATAGTAAATTAAAATCCAAAGGACATAAATTATTCATAATTTCCAATGGGATTATTAAAAATTCCAATTTACAACAATTTTTAAATGAATAGTAATGAATAATCGTTATCGTTATCTTTTTTTTTATAAAAACATCACTCTAATTCTATTAAAGAAATCTTATAAAGCATCTTCAGCTTCCTTTTGAGCTTTTAATTTAGCATAATAAGCATCTCTTTTTTCAACCATTGGTTTATGTTCGAATTGCCAATAAGCAATAGCAAAGACAAATCCTAAACCAAATCCAGTGGTAATATCGGTAATGATTTTTCTTCTTAAAGTTCCAGTGATTGGTGCAATGGCCATTATATCTTAATTATTATGATACTATTGTAAGATAATTTTGAGAAGTTTGAGAGTTTTTTTCATTGGACCACAGTGAGAAATTCGTGTATTTACCAAGTCAAAAATCTGATGATAATTTTTTGTTCCAATGAGAGATTTGGAAATTATTCTCAACGATAAATAATACAATGAGTTTTGGTAGAATTGGTATTAATAGATTGGTTACAAGAAACTTTTCATCCACTAGAAGAGTGTTAAGTGGATTCCACCCAGAAGAAGGTGTTTACACTAACATCCCATTCAAAGTTAAAAGAAAATACATTCCATTATCAGTTTACTATTGGGGTACTTTAGGTTTCTTCTTCTTTTTCCCATTCATTAGTACTTACTGGCATTTAAGAAAAGCTGGTTCATTTGATATGTAAGAAGTTTTCAAATTCCCATACAAAATATCAGTTTGTTGTTTAAGGATTAAGATACTTTAAATAGAGAGATGAATTTATGCATTCATGAACTAAATCTTACTTTTTTTATAGAATTACTTTCATGATCTAATTTACGTTTTATAATTGATTTTACTGGTGGTGCTCTATCTCTTGATTTAGGGAAATTATCATTTTGGTCATTAAATATACTATCATCTAATCCTAATGGATTAAAATTTGGTAGTATATCTTGTTTATCATTATGTAAGATTTCATTAATTTTAGCCGGTTTATTCATATCTTTCTTGAATAACTTTTCATTCTTGAATGGTAAACCAAATTCTTTAACCCATAAAGTTAAATTTGAATCATTTTCAATTAAATCCAAAGGTTTATTTATAGTAGTAATGAAATTTAAATTTGGTATTAAATTGGGTCGATATTTCCTTTGAAGATAAAGATTTTGTTTAATACTTTGTTTGTATAGGATACTCCTTATCTTTATGAATTTAGAATGATAAATTTGAATCTTGAATTGAAAATTTGACCTTGAATCATTTAATAAAGAATCATGAATTAAATTGATACTGGCTATTAAATCGTTCCTTATCTTCATATTGGTTTTATAAAACTTTGTGTCTTGATATCCCATAATTGAATTGTTGATTCGTATTATATCTTGTAATAAAAGATTACATTCTCTTAAGAAATGTTCAGGTGTTAAATCATCAGGTAATTTAACATGAGGTAAATCATTTTGATGGTCTTCAACTTCAATGATTTCTTTAGGTTTATGAACAATTGGATTTTCAACTACAACATTATTTAATCTTGGGGATTTTGAACCGGTAACTTTTATTATAAAATCTTCAATTTCATTTATAAGATTATCATTCAAAATCTTTAAACCATTATTTTTTTCACTAAATTTCCAAGTTTTAAAGGTTTCAATTAAAGTTTGACGTTTTTCAGGTATTAAAGAATAAATAGATTTAAATATTTTAAGTAAATTATGTTCAAATAAAGAATTAAAAGGATTACCAACAAATTTTAAAATTGAATCTATCAAATAGAATGCTAAAATTTTAAATTTTGGTGGGGATTTCGTAATTCTTTCTTCAATCAATTTAACTATCACATCGGATTTATCAGGGTTTTCTCGAGATATATCTGTTAATTTGTTGATAATACTTTGGGAATCAGAGGTTAATGTTTCAAGGTGTTTCTTAAAATCATCTTCAAACATGATTGAATTTATCGCATTTTTTTCTCGTGTTTTACAATGTTAGATATGTCACGTGCAAGAAGAGATAAACAATTTAATGTATTTTTGGAAGGTTGAAAAAATTTTAAGGGTAAGTGTGTAATAATGCCACATTATTATAAGAGCTCATCTTGGTGTTGAAAAACTTTTAAAACTTCCTTAATCGAAAATGGGTTAAATGTTTTGCCGTTTTATCGGCAATGGATGGATTTGTCCTGACAATAATTTACCTCCCTACGGTAGTAAATTACCGACCTATGGTAGTAACATAGGGAGGAAAAAGAAAAAAAGCAATTAATAGCGCACAAAATTTTCCATGGTAACGCCACTACAATGCCCTTTAATGAGTCAGATTAGAAAGGGGAGGAAATTGAGAAATCAATCTCTTTACTTACTTTTATTTCCCCTTTACCATAGTTTATATATTTAACATGGTTTATTAAATTCATTGAAGAAATAGATACAGTTGATCATTGGAAATTGAAATTCTTTCAACAATTATCGAAAACGATTCAATTTTTAGTAAACATTTAAGAAAGTTAAAGTGAAAAATAATGGTTGTTGCCAGTCAAATTAAAGAGGTAGAAGTACCGAGTATCAAATTAGGTAAAGAGTTCAATATTAATGATTATATTAATGAACCAGTTCTTGAAGATTCAAATTTTATGTTTAAAGATGAAGTAAATGAAGATTTATTATTAACTGATTTCGAAGGATTAACTGATGGATTAACCGAAAGTGGATTTACTGAAGTTTTAACTGAATTTTTAACTGAAAGTGAATTAACTGAAACAAATTATAATTCAAATCCTAATCTTAATTATGGTACAAACACTTCGAATTTAAATATAAGTAGAAAAGTTAAGAAACCAAAGAAAAGAAAGAAGAGATCAAGATTATCAAAAGTTACTAATTTATCCCCTTCAATATTCAAACAACAAAGAAACAAATTAATGATGATCATAATCAAATATATTTCTATGAAGATTACCAATTTATTCCCACCAAATTTTAAAGAGAATAAACTTTCATTAGAGAAATTTTTAATCATCATTATAAATAGATTGAAATTATCAGTTAACTCATTCTTGAAATCTGTAATTTATCTTTTAAGATATATGGATATTATTTATTTGTTAAGATATTTGAATCAATCAAATAATTTTGCCAATTTTAATGAAATGGATTTCCCATTAAAAGAATTAATTATTGGGTGTATCAAGTTAACTTTAATGCAAGAGAAAATCCATAAAAATTGGAGTAATCTTGTAGGTTTATCAAATAATCAAATCAATCTCATTATTAAAAAGATTTTAGATAAATTGAATAATAAATTGATTATTAAAGATGATGAATTTTGTAAATTTAAATTAGAAATATTTAGATATGTTAAAATGATTTCTAGTTAATGTATATTATGGTGTGTTTGAAAATTATTTATCTCTTCAAGATTAAATTGCAATTCCTAGAAAGAAGTGGAACGTAGAGTAAAGTAATACGGATATGGTTAACCTATAGGTAAGACGAAGAATTTGTGAAATTCACAATTTCATATGAAAAAACTCCTAACTTGACCTATTCAGAATTATTATTTAGAGAGGAACCTCCATTCACATCCCCAGGTTAATCCCCTGGATAACGAGCCTTTATTCTATTTAATAGAATCTACGGAACTGACCATAAAAATAACTCCGAGGAACTCTCTTCTTATCTATTTCTCCATGTTTTTCAACAATTTTACTCAATTTTTCACAATCCCAATCTTCCCTCTAACCCCGAATAACATCTAATTATCAGTAGTTTTACAATCATCTTCACTTAGTCACAAATCCTCCTAGGAACTACCTTCTATTACCAAGTCAATTCTTTCAGTCATAATGTGGTGTACCGGCCTCCATCGTGATCCATTGAGTCATTATCAGTTTTTTTATGAGATAAAATGGGTATTATGCAGGAATTTTTTTCAAATTTTTCAATTGATTTTAGTCATTATCAGAAATATAAATTGAATAAATTCCATTGAATAATTAATAAAATAAAAAATGAGTGCTAATCCATACGGACCAAATCCATCAGATTATTTATCGAATGTTGCCAAATTCGAAATTATTGAAAGTACCTTAAGAGAAGGTGAACAATTTGCTAATGCTTTCTTCACTACTGAAAAAAAAATTGAAATTGCTAAAGCTTTAGATGATTTTGGTGTTGATTATATTGAATTAACTTCACCTGTTGCTTCAGAACAAAGTAGAAAAGATTGTGAAGCTATCTGTAAATTAGGTTTAAAAGCCAAAATTTTAACTCATATTAGATGTCATATGGATGATGCTAGAGTTGCCGTTGAAACTGGTGTTGATGGGGTTGATGTTGTTATTGGTACTTCACAATATTTAAGACAATATAGTCATGGTAAAGATATGAATTATATTGCTCAAAGTGCTATTGAAGTTATTGAATTCGTTAAATCTAAAGGTATCGAAATTAGATTCTCATCAGAAGATTCTTTCAGATCAGATTTAGTTGATTTATTAAATATTTATAAAACCGTCGATAAAATCGGTGTTAATAGAGTTGGTATTGCTGATACTGTTGGATGTGCTAACCCAAGACAAGTTTATGAATTAGTTAAAACTTTAAAATCAGTTGTTAGTTGTGATATTGAATGTCATTTCCATAATGATACTGGTTGTGCTATATCTAATGCTTATACTGCTTTAGAAGGTGGAGCTAAATTAATTGATGTTTCCGTCTTAGGTATTGGTGAAAGAAACGGTATTACCCCATTAGGTGGTTTAATGGCTAGAATGATAACTGCTGATAGAGATTATGTGTTATCAAAATATAAATTACATAAATTGAGAGATTTAGAAAACTTGGTTGCTGATGCCGTTCAAGTTAATATTCCTTTCAATAATCCAATTACTGGATTTTGTGCATTTACCCATAAAGCTGGTATTCATGCTAAAGCTATTTTAGCCAATCCTTCAACTTATGAAATTTTAAATCCTTCAGATTTTGGTTTAACTAGATATATTCATTTCGCTAATAGATTAACTGGTTGGAATGCTATCAAATCAAGAGTTGAACAATTGAACTTACATTTAACTGATGATCAAATTAAAGAAGTTACTAACAAAATTAAAATCTTGGGGGATGTAAGACAATTAAATATTGATGATGTTGATTCCATAATTAAAGATTTCCATTCTGATTTAGAAGATCCAAAAACTGATGAACCAGAAGCTAAAAAACAAAAAGTAGAAAACTAAAAGTTGATTAATGTTTGAAATATATGATTTATTTATTTATTTCTTTTTAAATCTCTTTAAATCTCTTTTTACCTTAGATTTTATTACTGATTAACCTGTCTCATAATAGTGTCAGAATCTAAAGATTTGGAACAAAAACTCGCACGACCCAGTAAAAATTTTCATTTACCAAATGTCATCAGTGTATGTTAAATTATACATTTTTTTAATAATTAAATGATCAGTTGTTGAATGGACCATATTATTTGATCATTAAATTAATTAACTAACCGATTTACTAACATTTTAGCGTGGAAAATCAATTAAATAATTTGAATTTAAATCAAAATCAGAATCAAAATGAATTATCTATACCATTAAATAAAGGATCTAAAGTCTATAAACTTAATGAAGCAGTTAATATTTATTATCAGAACAAGGAATTTTTGAACAATTTGAATTTTCCTGGTAATGATTTCAAGAATTCAACACCCAAAGATATTATTCATTTCAATAAATTCGATAAACTTGATCAACTCAATGATACATCGTCAAATCAAATCGACACTCAAAACACTTCATCCCAATTTATTGAAGTTAAATCACAGCCGTCAGCTCAACCCCATAATCACCCATTGAATCAATCTCAACCTCAACCTCAAACGTTCACTGAAGATGATGATATTTCGATCAAAATGATTAGTCCTGAAAATTTAGTTTGGTATTATTTAGATTCCATGAATAATGAACAAGGCCCTTTCACTTCAACTCAAATGCAGAATTGGTTTAATGATGGTTATTTGAATCTTGAATTAATGATCAAATACAATAATTCCAAGTTCTTGAAATTGAAAGAAATCTGTCAGTTGGGTAGTTTTTCAAAACCTTTTGATGTTTCCTTACCTGAACCAAGTTTAAACCAATCATTGAAACCAACATCAAGTTTATTGAATAATAACTTATCTAATAATTTGAATATTAATTATGATTTGAACTTGAATTATTATCCTTTGATGAATAATATGAGTAGTAATATTAATGGTTTGAACAACAATTTGAACAATAACTTGAACAACAACTTGAACAACAACTTAAACAACAACTTAAACACCAATTTGAATTCCAATTTATTAAACAACAACTTAAACAACAACTTAAACAATAACTTAAACATCAATAACTTCAACAACTACAACAATTCCAATATCAACTACATGAATCAAAATTTGAATTTAAACACCAATTTGAATTATTCAAACTTGATTAATCCTTTGTCAAGAACCAATTCTAGTTGGGGTGTTGATTATTCTTCTCCTTCTACTCCTTTAGCTCAATTAGAAAATCCTTTAAACAATTCCAATCAAGCTTTGAATATGGGTCAACCTTTAAATATGAACCAACCTTTAAATGTCAACCAACCTTTAAATAACTTACATCAACCTTTAAATAATTTGAATAACTTGAATATGGGCATTCAACCTCCTTTATCACCTTGGTCAACTCCAGTTGCAAATTCACCATTTATTACTACCCAAAATTCCAATTCCAATTCAGAATCCATCATGGATGAGAAAGTTTCAACTAATAGTTTAGATAATGATGAAATCAATATTCAAAATGATGAAATTCCTATCAAAGCTCATGAATTTGAAAATATCACTCAAGATGAAATTATTCAACCAAATGTCATCAAAGGTGAAATTGTAGAAGAAATTGTACAACCCAATGTTATTAAGGTTGAACAAGAGGAAATCTTCCAACCAAAAGTTGTGAAAATTGAAGAAGAAATTGTTCAACCAAAAGTTGTCAAAATCGAACAAGAAATCACCCAACCAAAAGTTTCAAAAACTGAAACTCCTAAAAAGAAAGAAATCAAAGAAGAAAAGAAAAAATTGGTCACTGAAATCAAGAAAGATGATAAAAAAGATGAAAAAGTTGACAACAAAGCACCTTGGGCAAATATTAACACTGTCAATGGATCCAAATTAAGTTTAAAAGATATTCAAAGAATCGAAAATGAAAAGTTCTTAAAACAAAAACAATCTGAAAATGAATTCAAATCTGAAAACACCAACTTCTTAATTCAAGAAATCGAAAAACAAGAAAGACAAAAAGAATTAGAAAGAAGTGAAAAGGTGTTACCTTCAACTTGGGGATCATCCAATACTTCAATTCAAAAACCAGTAAAGACTTTATTGGAAATTCAAGAAGAAGAGAGAAAGGCTAGTGAATTAGTTAAGAAAGCTAAACAATCAACTATTGCATCAACTTTAAGTTCAGCCCCAACTGTAGATAATTCATGGACTACTGTTGTCAATAGTAACAAGAAACCAATCACTGCTAAACCTTCAGCTTTCCAAATTTCAAATTCAAGAACTGTTACTGATCCCTCAAAATTAAGAAGTATCTCAGCCAACAATTTAGTTTCTGATAATTCAATGAAACAAAGAATTGAGTTTGCGTCTTGGGCCAAATCTCAAATGGTCAATTTATATCCTTCAGTATCAACCAATGATTTATTAGAAATGTTCATTTCTTTACCAAATAATCAAGATTCAAATCAATTAATTTCCGAAACTATTTATTCATCATCAACTACAATGAATGGTAGAGTTTTCGCTACTGATTTCTTAAAGAAAAGAGGAATTGTTGATAGAGCTGTTGGTAGTGATTTAACTGAATGGTCAAGAGCTATCATTGAAAGTGGTGAAGTTGAAAAAGTTGAAGATGGTTGGTCAACAAGTACTAAACCTAAAAAGAAAGGTAAAAAAAATTAATCTACATACATAAGAAATACATAATTGCATATATTCTATAAAAGTCCGTTTAAAAAAAAAAATGATGATGAATGCTATTTAAGTCAGAAATTGATTATAATCGATGTTCAAGATCTCATCGACTAAATCTATGTTCTCTTTAGGAATCATTAAGATAGCTGATCTAGCCATGGATAAATAATTCAATTCGAAAGGGTAATCAATGGGGAATGAATTTACACCGTTAATGATCATACTTGCCATACCAGCAACGATACCTGTTGAATCCAAAGGTAATTTTTGTAAGTCTATGGTTATAGGATTGATAATATCTTGAGTTGAACCAATTAAAAATTTGGATTGGAAACCTAATTTGGATCTTGTTTTAGAAGATTTAGGTAATATCAATGAAATTTCATTGTATGATGTTCTCGTTATGGCAAAATAATTAGGGATATTATCTTTGGAAATATTGGTAGCAGTTTTAAGAATAGTTGTCGTTACGTCATTGGATCTTGAACCTGTTAATAGTAACGAGATATCCTTATTAATAATTGGTCTGATATTGGAATCTTTGAATAACTTGAATGTCTTCTCCACCAAATCAATACCTGATTGAGTGGTTTCTTCTTTGTTGAAGTTATTGATTATATAAGAACCCGAAATGTCATTGAACTCGAAATGATTTTGAGTTAAAATATTGATAACCTTCTCCTCTAAATGATGAGGAATCAATACAATATCACTAAAGTGTGAAGATAAGAAAAATAATGAAATGTTATTCTCTGATAACGGTTTTGTTAATTGTATAATTCGATTATTATCATTACCACCGCTGTCAATTTGTAAATTAACAAATTTTTCCTCCACTAACTTTATATCATCATATCCTAATGATTCACAAAGTTTCAAAGGTTTGGAAAACAATTGGTTCATAATCTTAGTGGAGCAGATAATGGTACATTCTATAGGTGTGAAAGCAATATGAAAGAAATAATTATTATCATCATCTTCTTCATATTCATCAAAACTATCTTCTTTATCTTTTGAGTCATCTTTTGAGTCATCTTTACTAGAATTATCAATTTCCTTCTCGTTGAAACTTGAAGTAGATGACACCGACCCATGCTTCTTCCTTCCTCTTGGAGAATATGACGATGATGATGACAGTTCATAAAGACTATTTCTTTTCAGTCTATTTAAATAAGAAAATTTATCATTAAGGGAATCGATCTCATCTTCACTACTATAGATCTCTTCTTCTTTTGAATTTCTGTTAGCTTCAGAATGTAAGAATTCTAATATGGCACTCTTAAAAATCCAATATTTCGATCTGTTTATCGACAATATAGATAATTTAGTAGGGTTTATTTGTACTTGATTCATGATTTGTTCCCCTTCTTCTCTATATAAAGTCCAAAATACTTTTTATAAGAAGATTCTTTGAAAACTTCGTCAAATATAAGGTTGGTGAATAATTTCAAAACTCTGTTCTATCTACAAATTGGGCAAAGTAATGGTCTTCAAAGCTAAACTTTAAACAAAATACTTTATGACTAACAAATTTTTGACTCAAAAATAGTGGAGTCAATGCGATCTTATCTTTACCAGGACACGAACTGATGATTCAAGGATTGTTCAACTATTTAAATAGTTCACGAAAGTTTGTTAAATAAATGGAGTTATCAGAAGGGTTGGTGGGTTTAAAAGTAAATAAAAACGTAAATAAAGAGTAGTTTGGGTGAAAAATTTGAAAAATTAAGTAGTTCACAATACAATAAATCATACGGCAATAAGAATAAATTTATTTAACGTATTGTTAAGTTTCATTACAACCAATTATTCGTGCTTCCCCTTCTTTAGGCGGAAGACCCTCGAGACTAGATTTATGGTTCATATGAATATGATTTGAGGAACTTATTATACTCAAATCTATTATAATGAATCTTTTGATTGTAATTTTATCTGCCAGGGTGTAGAAACCAATAAACGTCTTTGTCAATTCCTTTGTTGAATGATGATACAATCGATTTTCTGAAGTTTTTCACAATAGAGTTTTATGTGGAAATTTTTTATGTAGCCTTATTGTTAAAATAAATTGCATTGACAATTTGAGAAAATTACTTAAAACAGGTGTAGAAAGTCTGTTTTGGGGCAAGGAAGTACAGACGGGGTTAATTTGATGGTTCAAGGGTTCAGATAATTTCTACAGATATCTTTGGATGTGTTTCATTCAATTAACACTGTTATAATGAATTCATTAAAAGCTGCAAAGACTAGTTCAATGCGTGTTAAATGCGACAATGTTGAATTTCTTAAACCGCTTAAATATATCTAATATCGGAAAGCGGCGGTAGAAATCGGTTCCTATGAACGGTTTAGATGAGACGAACCTTGAAAATCGACATCACATCACCTGCATTGACCCCTATTTAACTCGTTTGGTTTTCAATCTCCAGAATGTTACGTGGTAGATAAGTGATTAATTCTACCAAAATGGAAACACTTAACGAGATAAGGCGAGGAATGTTTATGTAAGATCTTCAATTTACCTTGTCGATTCAATAGGAGAAACAAAGAGAAGATGTAAAGGCAGGTATTCCCTCGAAGGGATGAATGACAATCATTTCAATAACAATCGTTCACGAATATTTATGTAAGTATTACAAATAAGATATCGATAGGACAACAAGAATTACGTGTATTAGTATTTTGATAACTCCTGTCTTTCGTAGAATGTTTCCCACAACTCAATGCTCTCCTTTTGTGATTCAATTGAAGATTCAATGAAAATTTCCACTGAATTTCTGAAATCATCGATTTTTTCAAATTCAAAAGTTTCTAGCTCATGTTTAATGGTTTCACTTATAAGATTGAATTTATTTTCAAAGTTACTGGTTCTGGTTGATAATTTATCAATTTCAAAGTTCAAGGTCTCGATCTTGTCAACAGCATTTCTCAGTTTATATTTACTTAATGATGATTTCTTTTTATTCAAGTCAAGAAGATAATTTTGATATGTTTGATAGATCTTCAACCTTTGGTCAAAGATATATTTGATGGAACCAATGATTCTTAAATATTCTTCAATTGTGAAACCCAAAGTCAAATGATGTTGTAAATTGATTCTGTCCAAATTTTCCTTCAATTTAATTTGAATATCATTGAATGCAGCTAAAAGATTGGAGGTCTTTTTACTTATTTCCAAATCACTCAATTCTTCGATTGTTATAATGATTTGTTCCATTATATTCACAATATCAACTCTTTGGTTTATAATAAGTTCTATTGATTTATAAAAATTCTTGAGATTAGTTTCCAAAGTTTCAATATAATGTCTTTTATTTTCAAAATATTCATCAGGTTCATCAATTTTTGTGGACATGGAAAATATAGATGACATGAAACCATTACTACTAGAAGTATCCACCGTAGTATCTAAGAATTTATCATTATCCAAACTATCGTTATTTTGAGTTGAAGCTCCACTGCCACTTATTCTTTCTCTTTCTTTAGCTTCATTAGCAAAGTCTTCACTTGTTAAAAACATTATGAAATCCTCATCACTACTCAAATAATCTATGGAAGCAATTTTATTCAACATCTTTTCTAATGATAATCTTCTATTTTCAATGAAACTTTCATTAAATCTACCGATATATGTTTGTTTCAGTGGAGGTGGTGGAATGATTCTACCTAAATGATTGCTTTGTAATTGATGATAAATCCATCTGAAATCTTTATAACGTCTAGTAATAGACACCTCATTTGGAAATTTGTCATTTGCTTGTTTAGGCTTAGTAGTTATGGTGTAAATGATATGAGCATTGGTGATATCTCCAACTTTCATTGGATCACTTACAGATATATCTAGATTATTGATCAGTTTTTCACTAGGTAATTTTGGTAATTCAACTTTTGTAGTACTAGTTTCTTCTGCTTCTGGTTTAATGTCATACAAAGGTGCTTCAGATTCTTTCAATAAATCATCTTTAGCATTATTCGATTTGATACTTAAATTATCTGTCAGCTTATTCAACCCTAATGGCCCAACGTTAGATAAATGTTGAATATTTCTTTGGGATGAAAACTTTCTAGGTCTTTTGAATTTTTTACCCTTTTTCTTATCATTGGTATCAATCTTTTCAGATTTGATCGGGCTACCATTGTCAAGGAAAAGGGAATCTTGTGGTTCAATCTTTGGAGAAACGATTGAATTCTCCAAATCGAAATTGTCATCTTTAGTTAATTCGTTCATTAATTGTGATTTTTGTTCATTTTTGGCTTCCTTACGAAGTTCATACATTTGATCCATTTCCGATTTGGCAGCATCATAAGCACTCACAGTAGGATTATATGAATTAGCTTCATATGTATCTTGTTCTTCTAATTGATCGTTGTTTTCACTAGAATGTTGGTCGTCATTTTTATCATCAATTTCATTTTCATCTTCATCATTATCACTTTCTGGTTGTTTATTGATATTCAAATCACTGAATCCATTATAATCTGGAGCAGCAAATGAAGAACTACCATAATTGTTGCTTGGAGTGAACACATCATCCCAATGGGACGCTGTTAAATCATCGTCGTGGTTCATCCTCTTTAATGTTGAATCGCGAATGATAAGATCCAAAAGGCACTACAAAACCTCACCCCTAATCTCACCAGCAAACTTCAGAAAAAGAGACTTAAGGCAACAAAAAGAGACAAATGAAACGTCTATATATTTATGGAGCGGTATATCCACCGTCAACAATTAAATCGACACCAGTAACGTAACTGGCAGCGTCAGAGGCTATGAAGACATAAGTGGCAGCTAATTCTTCAGGAGTACCTTCTCTACCTAAAGGAATATGACTCAACCAAACATCTTTTTGTTCTTTGGAGACAAAATCACCAATATTAGTTGAAATATAACCTGGGGAAATTGAAACAACTCTAGCAAAATGTGACCATTCAACGGCTAATGATTTAGCTAAATGAATAACAGCAGCTTTAGCAGCATTATAAGGAGCTTGTTTTTGAGGATAATTAACAATGTGTCCTGACATTGAAGCTGTTAAGATCAACACCCCTTTACCTTTCTTTTCAAAGATTTTACCAACATGTTTAGCACAATAGTAAACACCAGTAAAATCTAAATCGATGATTTTTTGCCAACTTTTATGATCTTCAGCATGAATCATTTCACCAACGGTCCAAGGAACCCCAGCATTAGCAACGAAAATATCAATGGTACCAAAATCTTTTTCGATTTGATCAATAACATCTTCAACTGATTTAGCTTCACTAACATTACATTTATAAGCTTTACATTTAACACCATATTTTTCACTTATGGCTTGAGCTTTATCATCAGCAGGAGTTGAATTATACCAAATAGCAACATCAGCACCTGCTTGAGCATAAGATTCAGCAACTGCTAAACCAATTCCAGTACTTGAACCAGTAACTGATGCAACTTTACCCTTTAATGAAAATAAATTAAGAACATTTTTAGGTGCTGGTGGTTGAGTGGTTGGTAAGTTTTTTAATGAGGTATTTACTATACTATCTAATGCCATTTTGAATTTTAAATATTGTCTGAAAAATGTTTCAAAAAAAACGAGTGGGGGATGTCCCTCTATATATATAAACTCGGGATTTTCAATTGCTGTTGCATTTTCATTTTTCCATGATGGTTATTTCCGGGTTAATATTTATCCTTATAAAATATCTAATTAATAGGGGGACCAATTGACAACCTGGCGTTATTTATCGACTGATATTGGTCCTATTAGATCATCATATTCACAGATCAAAGATCTGGATAGGTTTGATTATCGCAATTCAGCAACAATAAGAACTTTCCGATCTATTTTTAAGATTAACTTTTCTTTACGAAAACCGGATCGATGTTGTTGATCCTAATAACTGGATTATCCGGTACTTGATTATCCGGCGTTAGAACATCAACAATCCTTTAACCAAATGTTAGTTTTAACGGAATCTTAAAACTACTACGTCATAGATAGTGAGACTTTTTTTTTCATTTGCTCCACATTTCGGGAAGGCGAGAAAAATCTAGAATGTTGCAAAATATATATTTGGGAGTTAAAATATTAAGAATAAATAGAGTTAAAACCATTCTTAAAATGTATAAATATCATTAATAAACACGGACAGCTGGAGGAACAGGTTTACAATCATTTTCGTCTAATGTAGTTTTGATAACATCTCTGTAATCTAATTTAACATCATGACCATGATTCAATTGGTAAGATAAAGTGTGTTTTCTCCAGTTTTCATCATCTCTATCAGGATAATCATCTCTGGCATGAGCACCTCTTGATTCTTTTCTAGCAGCAGCTGAGTAAGCAGTTTGAGTAGCACAAGTTAATAAGTTTTGTAATTCTAAAGTTTCAACCATATCAGAATTCCAAATCATTGATCTATCGGTAGTTTTAACATCTTCGAAAGTTTTATCAATAGCAGTAATTTCTTCAACACATTTATCTAAAGTTTCTTGAGTTCTGAAAACTGCACAACCTTTTTGCATAGTCTTTTGCATTTCTAATCTGATATCAGCAGTAGATTTAGTACCTGTAGCATTTCTAATTTTATCCAAGTTTTCAACTGAGAATAAACCAATATCTTTTGGAGATGATTTTAATGGAGTACCTGGAGTTAATTGATCAGTAATAGTATGAGCAACAGCTCTACCGAAAACAACTAAATCTAATAATGAATTAGCACCTAATCTGTTAGCACCATGAACTGAAGCACAAGCAGCTTCACCACAAGCGAATAAACCTGGAACAATTTCATCTTCACCTTTTTCATTTTTCTTTAAAACTTCACCAGTCCATTTAGTTGGAATACCTCCCATATTATAATGAACAGTTGGTAAAATTGGAATTGGTTCTTTGGTAACATCAACACCAGCGAAAATGTGAGCAGTTTCAGAAATACCTGGTAATCTTTCTTTTAATACAGGAGCAGGAATATGAGATAATTGTAAGTACATGTGATCTTTATCTGGACCAACACCTCTACCTTCATTAATTTCCATAGTAATAGCTCTTGAGACAACATCTCTTGAAGCTAAATCTTTAGCATGAGGAGCATAACGTTCCATAAATCTTTCACCTTCAGAATTAATTAAGAAACCACCTTCACCTCTAGCACCTTCAGTAATCAAACAACCTGAACCATAAATACCTGAAGGATGGAATTGAACGAATTCTAAATCTTCTAATGGTAAACCAGCTCTGGAAACCATAGCATAACCATCACCAGTACAAGTATGAGCTGAAGTACATGAGAAATAAGTTCTTCCATAACCACCGGTAGCAATAACAGTTTTGTGAGATCTGAATCTGTGTAAAGTACCATCTTCTTCATTATAGGCAATAACACCTACACATTCACCATCTTGCATTAATAAATCCATAGCAAAGAATTCAATGAAAAAATGAGTATCATGTCTTAAACTTTGACCATATAAGGAATGTAATAAGGCATGACCGGTTCTATCGGCAACAGCACAAGTTCTATAAGCTTGACCACCTTTACCATATTCTTTAGATTGACCACCAAAAGCTCTTTGATAAATTCTACCTTCTTCATTTCTTGAAAATGGGACCCCATAGTTTTCTAATTCATAAATAGAAGCTGGGGCTTCTTTGGTCATATAATGAATAGCATCTTGATCACCTAACCAATCTGAACCTTTAACGGTATCATACATATGCCAATGCCAATCATCTTTATGCATATTACCTAAGGCAGCATTGATACCACCTTGAGCAGCAACAGTATGAGATCTGGTTGGGAATAATTTGGAAATACAAGCAGTTTTAAAACCAGCTTCGGCTAAACCGAAAGCAGCTCTTAAACCAGCACCCCCAGCACCAACAACTACACAGTCATATTCATGATCTATAATATGATATTTTTGATTCATATATTTGGCAGCATTAAAATCTTTACCATTGATATTTGAACCTATGGTTTGATATTTAACTGTTGAGGAAGAAAACAGTCTTAAGTTTCTAACACTTAACTTATTCAATTTGCTTAAACTAATCATATTTAATGATCCTTATTAACTAAATAAAGCTTGAGGTTTAAAAAGTGTTTGGAAATTTCTCATTTCTAATTCAATAATTTTCATTGGACATAAAAGTAGTGTCCTCGGGTAGAAATTATCTGGGGTATGAAGCTGTCAAAAATCATGGTTAGGATGGAGGTTTAAGGAGGTAAGGGGTGTTTTGGGTGATGATATAGTACAGAGATGGTAAGGACTGGATTAGGTGGATCTAGGGGGTGAGATTTGTAGGATTGTAATGAGTTAAAGGACCCGATACGGGGAATAACTGCGAAAATGTGAAAATGGTGATAATGAGTTTGAGGTATAACTAGGGGGGTTTCTGGAAGGAGAAGTAATTTTCACAATCTATAATCTATTCATTAATCTATACAGCGGTGTAAGCACCATCACACTTAATATCAGCACCGGTGGTGTAATTAGCGGCATCGGAAGCTAAATATAAATAAGCACCAGCTAATTCTCTTGGTACAGCTTCTCTACCTTTAGGGATCAATTGACACCAGTGGGTTCTGATATCAGCAGGAACGAAATCAGAAATTTCAGTTAATCCGGTATATCCTGGAGAAACGGTGTTAACCCTGGCAAAATCGATCCATTCTACGGATAAAGATCTGGCTAAATGTAAAATAGCCGCTTTAGCAGCATTATAAGGAGCTTGATAATTTGGGACATTAACAATATGTGCTGACATTGAAGCAGTGAAGATTAATGATCCTTTACCTTGTTTTTTGAAGATCTTTCCAATGTTTTTAGAACAGTAGTAAACACCGTTAACATCAACATCGAAAACATTGTGCCATTCAGCATCGTTATCGGCGTCAACAATTGGTCCTGAAGTCCATGGAATACCAGCATTGGCAACGAAAATATCTATAACTTGAAATTGTTGTTCAATTGATTCAATGACTTCTTTAACTTGTTGAGCTTTTCTGACATCACATTGTTGGAAGATGATTTCACTGTTTGGGAAATTAACTTGTAATTTCTTCAAGTTTTCATCATGTGGAGCATAATCCATAATGGCTAATTTAGATAAACCAGCTTGTAAATAAGATTCACAAATGGTGAAACCAATACCTCTTGCACCACCAGTTACAATAGCGGCTTTACCAGTTAACATGAATAAATCCATAATATTGGTTGGAAGGCTTGGGAAAGGTACTGGAACAGTACCAACAGCAGTATTAATAAGACTTTGTGCTCCGTCGACAGTCATTTCAAGGTTTTAATTTAAATAATTGAGTTGATAATGTTAACTATATTTATAGTATTTCAAAAGAAAGTAGTCCCATCGCCCTCCCCCACCTTTAACGGTTGCGAAAAGAAACTATAGTCGTGTAATTTTGATCATCTATTTACAGCAGAGCGGAAACCATTACACCATCTTACATCACAAGGTCATCTACTAGCTAGGGAGCAGCAGAGGAGAACTGAATAGAACCCAGTTTAATCAAGTAGATTCAATATGACTTGTACCAACCTACAGAGAATGGAGAATGAACCAACAACTCCAAAAAAATTGGAGTAATTCAAATTTTGATGACTACCCAATGCCGATTTCCAACTATAAACAAATATCCAGTTCAGGAACCCATACAATAGAATTTCCATATTTCCCCAGACCTTTCCCAGCACGATTGTGAAATTTCCAGCATTTTTCCGAAAGTATTTTACTAACTTAAAGTTTTGATCCGTATATTAATCCGAGAATTTATGAAACCCTCCACCCAAAAGTCGCATGAAATTGTCAAAAAGCCCCCGACATCCATCACCGACATTAGTACCATTTCCACGACGAAATGATTTCCACGACAGAACGATTTCCACGACAATTAGTAGCGACATAAAGTGATTTCCATATGCATTGGCAAACTTCCAATAAGTGCTTTACAGGATACGACACCCGATGACATTCGCGACAATTAGAATTATCCTTAATTATTATTCATCAATTAGTAGTGGTACATTACCGGTTTTGGACAATAGCCACGTAATACAAAGATTTTTTTCTTTTGTTAAAACCTCGCCAAAAATTGGCTTTACGAAAAAGTAAGTAGTGAGATCATCGATCATGAATGAAGGAAAATTAATTCTTCATCCGAATAGTCGATTGCCATAGGTAAATGATCATTGGTCAAAAGGAAGTTCAATCGACGTGTTACAAACGGGTTTATTTTTTGTTATTTGCTTTAAATCGACAATCTTACTCCTTTACCAATGGAAGAATATCGAGTTTTAGATTACAAGATCATAACTCCTTGATTATAACACCTTAACTTTAATTCATATTGACACATTGTGCAATGTTCCACTTTTGACCTAAACTCCTCATGCTTGTGAAATCTTAGCATAATTCATATTTCCTATGCAGTATCCTACAGATCTAAAATTTCATCTTTACTTTTTGAACCTTATCGTAAAGGTGCAGTATTCGCATATCTTTCAAATTGTTACTATTTTAAAAAAAAATTCTTTAAATTCATGATATTTATGATAGCCTGTTGAGTAAAGTAGTTGGTATTTAACGTTATGAGTATGGATAGAAAAATTAGTTTACCTATAATTCAATCCAAGCATTTAAATAACAATCAATTACCAATTCCAAATGTCAATGTGACACCTGATACAAATCCCAGTAATTATTGCTATCAAAGTCCTTCGATCACTCCCAGTCCTTCAGTGATTGACGATTCTAGTACAAGAGGATCTCCAAGATCTAATGTGATGATTCTTCCATCAAGTCAGTTCAACCCATACAATATCAATAATGATACTGCCCCAGGATTTTATTCATACCCTGGAATTCCTTCATTTCCTCATCATTTACCAGGTACTATGTCAACAGGTCATTTACTTCAACAACCAATCCCCCAAACAAACCATAACTTACAATCATTTCAAAATCTGTACCAACAAACCACTGACATAAATCAAGGAAAATTGAAGAAGAAAGCCCGAATAGATAGAAAATGCCTTAGATGTGGCACTTCTGATACTCCAGAATGGCGAACAGGTCCTTATGGTAGTAAAACATTATGTAATGCTTGTGGACTCTATCATTATAAACTAGTTAAGAAAAAAGGTATTCTTTTTGCTAATAATGAATTACTAAAGTATAAGATAGTACTTGATAAAAAAGGTAGAAGAGTAGCTGTTGATTCAGAAAATCATCCTCTCAGAGACGCCAAAGAAGAATCACCAATTTTACAGTATAGTCCCAATCACCTGTTTCAATATCACCCAATCACCACTACTGTCTATTCTTCCCAGGATGTAGGAACCCTGAGCCCTGGCCGAGTGGTAAAAAATAACGAATAATTCAATATAATTCGTCCATATTTATTTAAATCATCTTCATTATTGCATTTGCTATGTGTATAACAAGCAACCATTTTTTTATTATTATTAACAACAGGGGTGATATCACCCAAATTTGCAGCCATTTCCGCAAAAGTTCAACATTTTACATTGATACAAATTCCAGGAGGTTTAAGAAATCGCATGTCCGTTTTATTTTTTTGGGTCTTTTAAACTTCCAATTTCTTGTAAGTTTAACCCAACGTAAGTGAAAATCGGTCATTACTGATGATTCATCAATCATAGAGTTTTGTAGATGGCTACATCTTTTTGGTGGATCAATTGAGGTATAAAAATATATTTATGAACATAACTTTTTGAATCTCTCATTTTATCGTGTTACCAACACGGTTTCTAGAACTCGGCCCGTGTGGAAATTTATAATTCGTAGAAGGTTATATGAAGGGGGCGGTATTATTTCTTAGGATTATCTGCAGACCTTCGTAGATCCTCACTTCTCAACAGAGAAGAATTATTAAACGTATTGCATTAATAATAAACTTAGAAACATTTAAAAAATTTCCATCAGCTGTTATATTAGTTAAGCAATCAGGGTATTTACTCAATTAGTAAAAACCCACTCAAAACCTATAAAATAAAGAAAGGAGAGTTGCGGAAATATTATCAACCTTGCATACATAATTCCGATATATTTGAATATTATCAATGATTAAAAAAGTATATTCAAAATCAAACTAAAATATAACATCGTCTTCTTTTTCTTGTAATAAATCTTGAGTTTCACCAACTTCTAATTGTTCAACTTCTTTAGCTATTTCTTCATCATCTAATTGTTTGGTTGTATCAACTGGTTGGGATTGTTCTTCAGAGGTTGCTTCTTCAGGGGACTCTTCTGAATCAGCTTCCTTTTCTGATGGTTTGGCAGATTTGGCAGCCTTTTCTGCCTTTTCAGCTTCTTCAGCTTCAGCATTAATTTGTTTCTTTTCTTGAACTTTCTTTAATCTATAAAATTCTTCTCTATCCAATTCATCTAATTCTGAATTGATATAACTGATGGTGTTTTCGGTTCTTGGAATGATAACATGTTCAATGGCATTAACTCTTCTATTGGTAACTTTAATAACTTCATCCAAGATAATAAAAGCAGTTTGTAAAGAAGCTAATTCAACTAAAGTTTCAACAGCTCTAGTATAGACCATTTTAGCTTTTTGAACTTGTTGACCACCTCTACCTAAACCAGTTAATTTGAAATCGTTAATATCTTCATTAATTTCACTATCAAAAGTTGGTAAGTAAACACCAGAAACATTTTCTTGTTTAGCTTTAATTTTAAATCTGGCATTTTGGACACTTTCTTGAATTTGGTAAGCAACGTTACCACCAACAGCGTATTGCACTTCAGCTAATGAAAATGCAGCAGTTTGCATAACTCTACCCATTTTTCTTTTACTTTCATCAATTCTTTGAGTAATTTCTCTGAATCTTTTGGTCAATGCTTCGGATTTTCTTTTTAATAATGAATGACCTTGTTGTGCACCTTTCAACTTAATTTTCATAGTTGTCAATGTCATACGTGTTGGGAAAACTTGTTCCCTGTTACCTGCACCACTCATTTCGTTTAAAGGAGTTTACCGTTCGACAATTTAATTTCGCACTCTTATCGATAATTTACTGATGAGACCCTAGGTCGGTTTCGGCTGAGAATTTCCTGCCACTATGCGGTGGTGGGAGCATGAGATTGATATGATGAGATTGGGTTATATTCGATACAATTTCAGATATTGTACTATGCATGTGTACTAAGATACTCAGATTATGGTGGTAAATAATTTTTCCATTGTAAAATTAGGAAATTCTTCAATACCAACAACAGGCTATCTCTATAGAATAAGAGATGCGGATTTTGCAGCTCTTCGCATTATGAATTTGGATTCTATTATAACAACTGAAGATCTACAGTTTGAGTATCAACTCCAGAAAGATCCAAATGATATAGAATCGTGGCTACGGTATTTGAGATCCACCACTGAATTGAAGAAACAAATTTTCATAGCTGAGAGATGTTTACGTTTCAATGAAACCAAGGAGATTTGGTTAGAGTATTTAGAGATATTGGACCATTGTGATGAAGAACTTGTTAATAAAGCATTCCAAAGATGTCTTTCCATGTATAAGGATAAAGAAATATGGGTGAAGTATCTTGGGAAATTGAATAAACAAACAGATGTAAGATTCATATTGAATGAGTATATTGAATGTTTCAAAACAGTTGATTTGAAAGACCATGGTGAAATATGGAGCTTGTGTCTTGAATTTGTTGACAAGATATCTAAATATGATACTGAGATAGCAGGGGAGATGATGAGGAGATTTTTAAGTTACGGGGATTATGAAGTTGAGCATTTATTCAAATATATCAAATGGACTAGGGACTGGAAGTTTTTTTATAACGAAGAAAGACCTTTTGAACAATGGGATAAATTATTATCCTTAGGAGACGAAGCATTTTGTAACAAATACATTGAAAAATTCAAAGATCAATATTCCAAGGGATACTTACAATTGATATCAATAGTCAAAAATAAGAAAGAATATTATGAAAAAGCATTAAAAGATTGCACCACAGTTTACGATTTCACTCAAATATATGAATCATACGTTGAGTTCCTAGAACCAGATGAAAATAGTGATGACAAGGAAATTGATAAATATGAACAATTGCTCAATTCAAGAGATTTAATGGTTAATGACATTTATTTACGTCAAGATAAAGAGAATCTAGATGTTTGGTTTAAGAGATTTGAAATCTTCAAAGATGATTTACCTCGATTATTAAAGTCGTTTGTTGAAGCCATCACTACAGTTAATCCATTGAAATGTCATTCTCAAATACATAAAATGTCAGATATTTGGATTAAGTATGCTAAAGTTTATGGTGATGGAGGGGATTTCAAAACGGTTGATTTGATTTTTGAAAAATCTACAAAGTCCAAATTCAAGAATGATTTGGATATAGTGAACATCTATAAATCATGGTGTGACATTTATAAAGATAATGTACCTAAACAATTGGAAATCTTACAATCAGTATTATTTACTAATAAAGTAAGTAATATAAATTTATGGGAGTATTATTTCGAAATCCTTGAAATTAATGTTGATGACATTAAACAAATTTTGGATAGTTATTATAAGATGATTGAATTGAAAAGAGCAACACCTCGAATGATCATAAATTTCGGTAATTTCCTTGAGTTAGAAGGAGAATTCAAAGAAATGTTTAAGATATTCGATATTGGGTTGAGAGAGTTCAAAGATAATGAAATCAAATTCGAACTTTATAATATTTATTTGATCAAGTTAATCAAGTATAGTGAAGATGTTGAAAGAATACGGGATTTATTTGATAGTTGTTTAAATTTGAAAACGAAGGTTTCAAGTAATTTACTCGAACCGGTGGTTATCTTATATTCTGAATTCGAATTCAACCAAAACCTTTATTTGAAAGCTTTCAACTTACTTAATGATTATTTGATTAATCATCCCAGTGTTAAAGTACTAGATATTATCATCAATAAGTTCACCTCGGTAGATAAACTAATGATAAGGAATAATATTGATAAATGGTTATCATTGAAGTGGTCTAACAAATCATTAGAACTGGCGATTTATAAGTTAGTAGATTTTGAGGTTGATGATAAACAATATGAAAGAGCTCGAAGCTTATTCAGATATTTGCATGAATCAATAAATTGTGATTGTCAAAGGTGGGAACAGTTTGAACTTGAACATGGAGATGAGAAAGGTTTCAAAGAAATGTTGAAATATAGAGTAGTGGTAGAACCTATTGGATTTGTTAAACAAGTAGATAATAGTAATCCTGATGAAATAGATTTGGATATGTAGGGTGGAAAAATAAGTAGGGAAAAGGCTGAATAAGCATATCTTATACATACAGTATTGAATACATTCATTGAATACATTCATTAGATACATTTGTTAAACACAGACATTAAATAGTTCGTAACAAAAGAGTAACTCGCCAAACAATTCTTTACATACCAGCTCTTAGAGCCTATTTATTATGCTATACTACAATCTATGGAAAATATTTCTCCATTTATCAACAAAATTAGTTAAATTGATGCCTTGATCCATATTGAAATTTATCTTTATGGATTTATTCAATTTGATTAAATCATTGAAATCATTCCAATTTATATGATAATATTTTATCAATACCATCAAGAAACTTTGGAAGATTTTCAATTGGTTATAATTTTTCGATGTTGAGTTGACTGAATAAATAATCAAAAGTTGTAAGAATTTGTAAATTATTTCCAAATTACAAGATTTGATATTATTTTTCAATATTGGAGTTGAAGGATTGGATGCGGATATTGATAATGGTAACTTATCATTTAATTGTAATAAAATTTCTAAGAATTTCAAGAAATTTAAATTATGGAATTCTTTTAAATTGAAATTATTCAAGAATGGACGAACTTTCTTAGGTAATTTAGTTGACCAAAGTTCGAAATTTTCATTAATATTCAAAATTAATTCTTTGTTAAAGATTTTTTCATTGAAAATTCTTAAAAATTTGAATTTTTCAATCAATTCAGTTTCTGGGAATAATATTAAAGTAATGGGTATAAGGAAGATTTCATCATGTTTATGTAAATTATTATCTAAAGATAATAAAAACATTAAATCAAGAAATTCTTGTTTATGAATGATTAAATTTAATGAATGGAATAAAGGTTTATTGATTAAATCTTGGAAGATTTTATTAAATTCCAAGATTCTATTAGTCTTTATGGATTCATTCAAATGATTATAAATTTCCATCAATTCATGGAAACTTTTATCAATTTTTTCAGTATTTTCATCCTTGAATAAAATTTTCATAAAGTAATTGAGTCTTTCTTCTTCAATACAATTAGAATCCCAATTCAATTTCCTTATGAAATTTTTTTGTGTTGATAATTTAATCAATAAATTATCGAATAATTTGACCCAATCAGTACGGAATTCATCATGGTCTTTAAAATCTTTGAGTTCATTATCATGTAAATCGTTTAAAATTTTTTGTAATTCTTTATTATGTTTCATTATATCATTAGAATTTTTAGGTGGTAAATTAATTGGTCTTGTTTGGTCAATCATTGTTAATTTTTCCAAGCTCATTAAATTTAAATCATCTAATGATGATTGGGATTTAACAAAACTTGGTAATTTATACATCAAATTATCTTGTCTACCCTTTTTCATTAATTTTGAGTAAGATTTGGATCTTTCATTATAATAATTAGAAATATTTGAAATAATCATTGAATCTTCATCACCATCTTCAAACGAGGAGGAATCTTCTTCAATGATACTTTCATTGGTAATATTATGATCATTAGGATAAGTAATAGAACTGACACTTGAGTTAATACTGAGATTACTACTACTATGAATGGTTTTAATGTTGGGGGTGGAATTACTTCTCAATTTACCTGGTAATGGGAATGGTTTATATTTATCATCAAAATCAGTTCGTAAGTTTTTCTTCAAGTACAATTCACTTTGGTTTTTGATCACAGGAACATTAAATACTAAATCAATATCATTAGATAATATTTCATCTTCATTATAACTATCATCATATGCTTGTTTTCTCAATTTTTGACGTGTTTTGAATTCTTGTTGTGATAAATATTTGGTCTTTGTTCTTGATAAAGTAGTTGTTGAAACACTTTTTAAAGGTGTTCCGAATGATGTGTTAGGACTCATATTTGATAATGAACTATTACTTTTTGATGGTGGTAATGTGGCAACTGTTTCATTGGATTCCAAAATTTCTTCTCTTTCTTCAGGATCTTCTACTACTGTATTGATTTGGGAACTAAATTCATTAGTATTAGGTAAATCTTGAATAGTTGAAATTGAATGGATTGAATCGTCTAATTTTCCAGTTATTTGTGGACTATTATTTGGAGAAATTATAATGGAATTTGATGTTAATGAAGATAATCTTGAATCATGAATTTCTGAATTTATAGAATTTATATCATCACTATAATTGGAATTTAATGATACTATACTATCTCCACTAATAGGTCGTTTAGAAAGATTTAATGAACTACTACTTAATTTTTGAATATAATAATCACCTGGTCGCTTAAATTCATTCGATAAATTATTAGCTGATGAATGTCTCTTTAAAGGAACATTATTAGGTTTTCTCTTAGATTTGATGGAAACGTCAAAGTAATTCTCTTGATTCATAGCGATGGACTGATTTTTCTACAACTTATTGATAATTATTTGTATTTTTAATGATGATTTATTCCACAATCTTACACGAATCAAAGTCAAATTGTCTGAACAAAATATGTACAAGAATTCGGAGAATTTCAGGTTTTTTATTTACTTTAAACGAATGCTATCACGAAATGATCCCCCAAACTATCAATTTCTGATGGTATTTAACTATATTCAATTGTTTTCAATAAGGGATTTAGTGTTTTGAATATTACAATCGCTGCCCTGAAATTTTTTAATTTGTTTATCCTCAACACTATTGCTTGTGAATGCCACGACTAAAGAATTTTATACGACAATTGACATAAAGGTGAAATTTATCAAATTCCAAATTCACGGAATTAAAGTTATTTTACCTTAGTTAGGACAATAGTTTGTAATGGTAAAATTTCAATGAATATTAAAGAATGTTGAAAATGAAATGAATTTGGGATTACAGTGAAGAGGTTATTTTTAGCTTCAGGTACGAAAATGGACCCACCGGATTTTATGGAGATCTCTGAGAAAAGCCTGGAGAGATAAAAGACCAATTTAAGCCTTGACAATTTGAGCCTTGACGAAATTAATGCTTGACCAATCTGAGCCTTGGTTAGATTCATACTTGACAAGATTGATTGTCGATAAGACCATTGATGTTTGAAAAGCCTTGGAGAGATTAAAGATTTATCTACAATAAATATCTATTATCAAAATTTTTCCCCTTGTAAATTCAAAGGTCTAACATTTTCTATCCAATCTGTGGTACTCATTTGACTTAATCTTGATAATGCTCTAGCAAATGCAAATCTTTCTTCATCATTTGCAAACATCGATGCCTTTTTAGCTATTTTCTTATCGAATCCATGTTTTGTTACTAATTCATCATTTTCAAATGTTTCTTCTTCACCTTTAGATTCTTGATGTTTATATAATTGGAAATTACCTTTCTTTAAATCTTCAGGTTCAACAAATAAATCATTAAAATTTGATGCTGCTGTAACAGCAATTCTATCATGGTTATCATAAATTGCGTCTAAAAATGTGATAAATCTTCTAACTTTATCTCTAACTTCAATACTTAAATAAGGAATGTCAGTGATTAAAAAACTTTGAAATGATGTTGCTAATGTTAAATAATCACCAGCTGCTAATGGTTTACCACATAATTCTTCAAATGTGAATTGAGCAACATATGGATATGAACATTTGGGAACATTTAATTTTCTACCCCAGACTTCCAATTCAAAATTTTCATTAATTTGTTTATCATCATTTTCTTTATTAAAATATTCATACCATTCTGTAACATGCTTAGTTTTGGATGTTTGAAACAGTTTGGAATCATATTTAACTCCAGGTTTGGGATATTTATAAACTGATGAAATTGGTCTGGGGATTTTTCTATAATCGGTTGGACTATTTAAATAAATAACTCGAGTTTGTTTCTTAATTAATTTAATACATGGAATGAATGATTTTCTTTGAATACCATTCAAATATAAATCATCAGGAGCTCTATTTGATGTTGCAAACAATATAACTCCATAATCTGGACTTAATAATATCATCATTAATCTACGTAATAACATAGCATCAGCAACATCAGTAACTTGAAATTCATCAAAACATAATACTGTTGATTCTTGACTAATTTCACTGGCTAATAATGGTATAGTATCTAAATCATTATGATTATGTTCAATCTTCAATTGATGTGATCTTTTGTGTAAATGTTGCATAAATTGATGGAAATGTAATCTCTTCTTAGGTAAATGTTGGGGTACAGTGTCATAAAATAAGTCCATTAACATTGTCTTACCGCATCCTACATCTCCATATAAATAAATACCTTTAACTTCATTATCTTTTTCTAATAAACTTTCAATATCAGGTTCTTTAATACTACTAGGGAATAATTTGCTTATGAATTTACTTACTCCAACTTTTGGTTTTAAATCTTCAACTGACGGGGTTGTTACTTTTGGTGGTTTATAGTCATTTAATGCTGTATGTAATAATGATAAATCTGTGATAATTTTTCGTTGATAAGGATCATCTCTTAATCTACCACTTTCAATTCTTCGGTTATATAATTCAAGAGGGTTTTCATGAAGTATTCGAGTGAAATGGAATGTCCTTGTTTGAATCCTTTTGGGTAGTAGTAGTCTCATTCTGGAGAAATTCTTGTCCGATGAAAGTGCAGCGAAAAATTCCGGGGTTAGAGTACACAGTTAAAACTATAATATTTATTAATGCTTAGTTAGATTCATATCACTCATAGTGAATAATAAATCATCATCATCATCACGTTTCTTCCGTTGGAGATAATAATCTTCACCATCTTCATCATCAAATACATTTTCATATTCAATGGATGGCCTCTTAAAGGAAGGATCGGTACTTAAGCCTTTAACATCTTTAGGTGATTGAGATAATCTTGATGTTATTGATGGTAATATTTGTTGATCGTATGAATTGGATGATTTCCTACTACCTGTTCTACTGCCAGAATGTGATGCTACTTGAGAACTAAGATGTGAATTCATTTGTGAATTAACTTGTGATGTTGATCCTAAATTAGATCTTGACAGTTCCATACGGTGAGATTTATGACTATTCAATGATCCAGGTGTAGGTGAACTTCTAGGTGATTGATGTAAAATCAAACTCTGACTGACACTATCACTAAATGATTGATGTTGGGATTTGAGTAATTGGAATTTATTAAGAATCTCTTTACTATCATTATGTCCACTATTATAACTACCACCTCCATAACTAAATCTGAGATCTCCTTTACTATCTATCATTCTAACAAAGTCACTGATATCGTCATCAATATATAATCCACTCAATGGATTGATTGAACTTGTCAGTCCTGCGCTTGTTCCTAATAAACTATCATTATTATTCTGTAAAACACTTTGTCTTATACTTGTATTAGAAAATCTTCTACTGGCTCTTGATCCAAATGATGAAGAAAATCTTGGAGTGCCTCCAGTTTCAAGATTTTCTTCATGGCCAATGAAATTTGACCCATGACTGGAAGATATTGATCTAGCAACACTCATAGGATTTGGACTATTTGATATAGGTATGTTGGTGGTTGTGCTTCCTGTAGTTGATGAAACGCTACCTCTTGGGTTTCTTAACATGGCAACTAAGGAAGCATTAGAAGTGGATCGATTACTGGTGATTGAGATTCTTCTTTCCAATGAAGATCCTCCATAAGGTTGATTAGGAGGGGGTGAGTTCCCAATCGAACCCACTTTGAATGGTTGAATACTAGGTCTGGTTCTTTTTGGTGATTCATCACGTAATTCTCTTTCTCTTGAATCTCTTAATTCCTCTCTTGATTCTCTTGATTCTCTTAAATCTCTTGATTCTCTTGATTCTCTTGATTCTCTCAATTCCCTTGACTCTCTTGATTCTCTCAATTCCCTTGACTCTCTTGCATCTACCTCTTCTTGTCCTGCTACATCTACTGTTTCTTGATATCCTTGTTTCGACTCTGGAATCTCGAAGTCAACTTTCACTGGTTCTAAAGCATTTTCAATATTAGATTGACTTAAAACTTCACTATCTACAACTTTGAAATTTGAATGTCTTCTATAAACCACTGAAACTTTCAAAGTCCCTAAAGTAGTTTGAATGGGATGGAACTGACGTTGAATTAAATGAGAATCGGTAGTTAAAATTTGATGAGGTATAATTGATTTTGATAACCCTATCCTGCCCTTAGAACTGATTGGTTGTTTCCCATCAACTACTTTATTGACCAATTTCAAAGGTTTCAAATTATCTGTATTTTTCTTTATCTTATAAGCAGGCATCAATCTGGTGAATCCATAAAGACTTCGAAACAATACAATGGCTTGTTTATAAATTAAAGGTAATTCATCCATGATGGATCCACTCACTTCATTATGGTCGAATTCTATCAACCATCTTTCTACAACTATTTCATTTTTCTTACCAGCTCCATTCTTAAACACCGTCCATGGATTATTATTCTCATCATTCAAGATAAGGGATTTTTTGTCATCGAGAGATTTTAAATCTATCAAAGTCTCTATTATCATAGGGGAAATAGAATTTAATTCGTTGTTCTTCCAAATCTTTAAATCATCTTTAATATTTATAGAAGGCATTAATAAATTGAACCATTTATTTATTCTTGATTCATCTTGTACTTGATATTCACTACGTGATGTTATTATGATGGTTACTATCTTGATAAAGAAATTCTGTACTACTTGGGTTAATTTTGCATTTTGTTTCTTTAAATATGGATCTAGTTGGGATTTATCGAATTCTTTAATCCCTGGTGATACCATTGTGATAAGTATGACTGAGTGATTACCTACGGAATTAAGATTAATCAATGATTTGAAGGTACTCAATTGGGGTCCAAGTTTAATCCACTAAAGCTAATTAGTAAATATGGATGGTTTATGAATATTAAACAATTATATTTATATAATTGTTATCCCTGTCACGCTATAATTCTTATCAATCGCTGCGAATGTCACTTGACTTGATCGCGATGTTAGAGAGTTTTAGACGATATTATAGTGTGAAAAAGAAACCATTGGTCATGAGAATATGTCGTAGATGAAAAAAATGCTCTATATTACTAATCTATAATGATCATGGACCTTTATAATTGATATTAAGGTTGAATCTGGAAAAAGACCCAAAACTTTCTCCCCCCGCAATTGTCCCCATGATCCTGTTGTCGCTTTTGTCGTATCCTTATCTAAACAGTAAAAGGCCAATTAAACTCTTGAGGGGCAAGTATAATACCTCTTTGGATTCCTCTTGTACCGCCATTTGTTAAAAGAGCATTAGAAACATCAGATGATGTTAATTTGGTTTCTTTCAAATTAGCAATTGATAACGCCATTTTGCTATTGATGTGTTTCCAAACATGATAATCATTAGGAAATAAAATAGCGTTCTTTAACCAAATATTATTATTGGATTTCTGTAATCTCTTATCGATTTCATCTAATAATCTTGGAATTGAACGGAACGAATCTTTTAATATTTCATCTAATGATAATTGTAATAACTCATCTTTAACTGCTGGTAAATAATCCATTAATTCATCCTTCAAGGATATAGCACCTAAAGTCAAAACTATTGATAAGGAAGATCCATTTTCTTCAATGTATGTGAATAATTGATCTAATGCTGCTTGTTTGGTATCCTCTGTATTGAAACCATTTAAAATTTGTGCTGTTAAACTAATGATAGTCTGAGAATTATTATACTCACCTAAAATGGTTTTCAATTGATCTAATGATTTGGATAAGTTATTTTGGAAGAAATAAGCTAATCCAATAGTAACTTGTGATGATAATAAATACTTCTTATGTGTGGAATTATCCTCTTCACATAATGCCAAAGCTAATTCACTTTCTTCTATAGCTTTATCATAATCTCCCACAGCCAAATAAATTCTTGAAATTTGACATTTCACTCCAATAAATTCATCCAAGGTTTTCAAATCTTCATTTTCTTCATATTCACCTTCAAGAATTGTCAATAACTTTTCACCAATTTCCTTTGCCTTGGAGAAATTCTTACATCTTTCACTTATGGTCAAAGCAATTTTTAACCCGAGTTTATCATTAGGATAGTAACGGAGATAATTTTGAATAGCAAAATTACCTATACTGAATTCTTGAGCGGTTTCTATATCTCTTGGGTCACTTCCACTGTTATCATTGATTCTTTTATTGATAACGTTTAAAGCATATAATAATTGAGCCAATGGTGATTTACCATTGGATAAAATGTATGCATGGGTGAATAAATTATATGCCTTATCGGTTTCTCCTTTGGCTTTAGCTGTTAAAGCATGTCCCAACCAAGGTTGAGATTGTTCAGGTGCAACTGATTGTGATCTGAGATAAGCTTCTTGAGCTAATTCAGTATCACCATATTTCAAATATAATGCTGCTAAATTATTCCAAATATCACCATCTCTTGACTCAAAAGCAATAGCTTTGATAAAACAATGTTGAGCAATTCTAGGATTGAATGATGAGTAAACATTTCCTAGAGCTACCCAAAAACTAGGATTTTTCCCTTCTAATTGTATAGCTTTCTTCAAGGATTTTATCGCACAATCTCTAAATTTTGTATCCTGGGTGATATTGAAAGCTTCATAATAAGACAATCCCAAGTTATAATAGTTAATTGATCTTATATATCTTCCTTCGTTAGGGAAAAGATCAATAGGATTTTTACATGATAAAATGATTAAACTCATGATACTTTCAACTCTTTTACCTTTGTGGAAAAGTTCTGTAGCTGTAGATAAGTTCAAGTTTTCATCGAGTTCATTAATTTCAACCAAGAAAGCTTCTTGTTGAGTATCTTTTACTGATTCAAAGATCTCAATCACATCTTCAATGGGGAAATTTTCCAAATTAGTTTGGATCTTGAGGAAGATATGTAATGACTTATTCAAAGATAACCATAATGAAGGAGATTTATAATAATCAACACTGGCTTGTTTTATAATCTTAATATTTTCGTTATTGATTTCAATTACTTTCCCAAAAAATCCACCATCCATCAATCTCTTGATATATTCTAAATGGGCTTGGAAAAGTGAATTTAAAATACATTCTTCATTAGGTTTCTGTTGTAAAGCATTTTTCAATTGTTGAATTCCTGTTTCAAACTCTTTAGTATCACATAAAACTCTTCCTAACATGTAAACTACTATCCAAGAATCTTGTATGGACAAAGCTCTCTCAAATACTTTTTGAGCAGCATCTAATCTTCCACAATTATAATAAGCTTCACCTAAACCTACCCAACATTCGAAATCCATAGAAGACATTCTTAAAGCCGTTTGAAACCATTCTACTGCTTTACCATCATCTTGTCTATTCAATGCCGAACATCCTAATACTCTATATGGCCAAGACTTATCTTCTTGAACACTTAAAGATCTTCTAGATCTATCTGATTCTACAACTTTAGTACACAAGATTTCAGCGATTTCCCATTCATTTTTAGCTGTCAATTCTTCTACCAAGTATCTGGCAGAAACCACTTCACTCACATCCAATTCAAATGCTTTATAAAAACATTTCTGTGACCTGACTTTATCTTGATAGTGATTGATATAGATCAACCCTAATAATGTATAAGAAGGAGCAAAATTCTTGAACTCTTTCAAAGAATTTATCAACAAATCATAAGATTTCTGATAATCTGACTTCATATAACTGGTGGCCAATCTCCAATTGATTTTGGCTCTTAATTCAAAACTTTGAATATCTAATCCATTAATTCTGAGTAAAGCTTTAGATAACAATTCATTACCGAAATCATTATTTGATAATTGAACCTCACACCAACCTAATTCCATCAAAACATCAGGATCCTCGGGGTATTCTTTATAAACTTCGTTCAATAATTGACTGGCAGTATTTAAGTCACCCTTTTCCATCAAAATTAAACCTTTACCAATTCTAGCTCTTTTATTGGTGGAAGTATTTTGTAAGACTTTGTCATATAATTCCAAAGCCCTGGAAAAATTCTTAGGTGCTTCATGATAAGTATATGCAACAGCTAATGAACAAATCAAATCTTCACGGGAATTTGACAAATTAGCACTTATTGATCTTTGAAGATCAGCAAGCATTTTGATCCCATTTTTACAACGATCAGAAGCTTGTAAATATTCTCTTACAGTAATGTAATAATTGATGATGATTCTATTGGCCAATATCGAATCTTTACATTTCTCAAACCCTTCAAGCATTAAAGATAATACGTCTTCCGGTTGTAATTCGGTGGAATTGGGTTCATCATCTAACAAACTTTCGTCTATAACTTCATCTTCATCATCTTCGTCTTTAACAGTTTCGGGTTTTGGTTCAAATTTGACTTGTTTCAATACAGTTTTATCAAAAGGTGAAATTTCACTATTCAAGAATCCATATAACAAAATACCCAACCCTTCAGTGGAGAAATTGTTTATCACAAACAAAACATCCTCTTTGCTCAAATCATGGAAATTTCTGATATCGATTAAATCAAGATATAAAGACCAAATGAACAAACTGGGGACTTTAATAATCACCAAATCTTCAACCATTGATTTGACATCACCGAAATATTGATCCTTTTCGTCCTCTGGTGCAGTTTTCAAAACTTCATATTTATACTTCAAATATTTCTCTTGATATTCAACTCTTAAATCCTTATCGTCACAAATACTTAAAAATTGATCAAAATATGAAATCAATTGGGAATTTTCATAAACTGGCCATATTAGTTGATTAAGTTTGACTCTTTGTTCGTGATTCAATACTTTGGGTAATCTCATACGTTCTTTGAATAAAATCTTATTGATACTATCATCTTCCTTTTTCAAAAGTAAATCCACTAAATTCTTTAAATTCTCATCCCCTTTGCCGAAATGATTATGTACCAATTCATATATTTCACTACCTGGAATAACATTTTTTAAATAGATTTCTGTCAATTCTGGGTTTTTCTTATATTCATGAGCATTCAAGTATTTGGAAGCATCATCTAAAGCTTCAATCAATGATTGTTGCTGATCCAATAATTTGCTCAAATAATCAGCCAACACTTCGAAGAACAATTCATAATCATCAGTAGTTCTAACTAATTGGAAATAACCTCTCCAACCAAGTAAATTATCTTCATCGATTGAAACAGCTTTTTCGAAAGCTTTAGCAGCTTCTTGAGGTTTCTTCAATAATTGATATGATTTCCCTCTAAATATGAATGCAAAGTAATTATTCTTATCAGCCTCAAGAACATCTTCCACATACTCCAATGCCAACTCGGGATCATTACTTTCAATTGCCCCTTTGGCTAATTTCAAATAATGTTTAGCTGTAGCGTTAGACATAAAGATCTTAAACACTTCGCGAACCTCAGATGTGAAAAAAAAAAATTTTAGTACCTAAGATATAATTGATTAAATCCTTCATTATGGTATTAAACGTCCCGCCATCGGCAGAGACACAGTCACCTTTAAGTAATTTATTGACTTTGGTGGCTAAGGAGCATTTAGGGGAAGTTCCAGCAATCATTATATCGACCTTAATATCTCATGGTAGATTAACTGCAAAAGAGATAAGTAGAAGATCCAAAGTTCCTATTAAGTTAGTTAAAACAACTTTGGTATCTTTGATCCAATTAAACTGTATGCTTTATTGGGTAGATAAAGATAAAGTCGAATATCAGTTCCAAGATACTGGATTATTTGTATTTTTACATAGTGGAGAGATCATTACCCATATTAAGAATAAATATGATGAAGAATGTTGTGAAATAATTCAAAATTTAATACAGTTGGGTAACATCAAAGTATCAGATTATTTGAAAAGTTTTGATGATGAAACAAGATATTCAAGAAGTTTAAAATTATCACAATTATTTGGAGATGGATGGATCAAAATTTTACAACCTCATGATTTCAATCCTTTAGAAGATGTTTGGAATAAAATATACCATGAGACCACCAAAAATGTTCCAAGATCAGCCACTTTAAGTGAAGTTAAAAGAGTAGCTGAAATAAAAGAATTATCAAAAGAAAAGTTATCTCATTTACTTGAAAATTTACCTAAAGACTTATATACTACCGTAGATGGAATGAAAGGTTTGAATCCAAAACTATCTATTGGATTTAATTTCAAAAGGTTTGAAAAATTTTTAAGATCTAAAGCTTTAATAGCATTATGTGAATCAAGAGTTGGAAGACTTAGTGCTGAAGTTTATAAAGTGGTGTTGGAAATTTTAGAAAAGCAAAGTCCTGATCCTAAACCTTACATTAATGAAATTGATGGTATAATCAATACTCCTGAAGAAAAACAAAGTATATTCGAGCAAATCGAAAACAAATTAATAGATAACAAATCATTAACTGCTAAAATTCATGATATTGTTAAAAAACTTCCTCAAACCATTGATTTAAATAATAGTATATTAACTCATAATTTTGTTAAACCTGCCACCATTAAGAAAAGAGTGGTAAGTTTCAGTGAAATTGAAAGAACCATCAAAAAACCTAAAATTAAAATGGAAGATAACGAAGCAATTATAGAAATGGATGAAGATGATAACGATTATCATACTCCTACTAATGGTGATGGTAATACCAATTTGGTCATTCAACATCTCAAATTATTAGCATTCTCCACCAAAATTCCTTTCATTATGGAAATAGGTAATGGAAGTTTTACTGTTCCATATAATAAATTAAACGATATAGTAAAAGAGTATACCTATGATGAATTAATTAAGAAATCATTAGGTGTGGATTCTTTGAGAATCTTAAGATGCATTCGATCATTGAAATTAGTAGATGAAAAAACTGTATCTAACAGTGTATTATTAAAAGAAAAAGTCGTCAGAAATGAAATCTATAAATTAATTCAATTAAATGTTATTGAAATTCAAGAAATTCCAAGAAGTAATGATAGAGCAGCTCTGAAAACATTTTTTGCATTCAGATACAAAAATCATTCAAACTATCAATTTTTGAGAAATTCATTGATCCATAACATTTCATCTATTTTACATAATATTGAAGATTTTAAATTTCAACATAAATCTTTATTAGAGAAATGTCAAAGAGAAGATGTTAAAGGCAATGAACAAGAATTATTATTGGAATCAGAATTAAGAATCTTGAATCAGTTACAATCAAGAGAAATCAATAATATTGGGAAATTGAATAGATTATTATCATTATTGGAAATATTTAATTAGCATATTTTTTTTGTACTTGATAACTCTATTTATCGTACTTGTTAACTCCTTCAAAGCTGCAAAATTAAGCAATGCAGCAGTTCGTAAATTGCGTAGTGGTAATGACAACTCATACCTAATTTAAGGTACACGTAACAATATCTGTTTTAAGGTATACGTAATAATAACTGTTTTGAGGTACAAGTAACAGGGCACTTAAAAATGTACACGTAACAGAACACCTAAAAAGGTATGAAAAACGTAAGAGGTTTGAAATGTACAGGAATTTTATATTAAGCATTAAGTGATGAGATGTCTTTAAGCATCAGCATCTTGACCTGGGTTAGCAGTTTCATAGTTTAAGTATTTGAATAATTTATAAATACCAGCAGAAACGGCAGCACCAATGATTGGACCAACCCAATAGATCCAGTGGTAAGTTGGGAAACTTCTGATAGCAACAGCTGGACCAAAAGAACGAGCAGGATTTAAACCAGCACCAGTATAGTAAATAGTACATAAATGTCCTAAGAATAATGACATACCAATAGCCCAAGGAGCAGTGAAAGTAGCTCTATGTTTTTCAACAGCCATCCATAAGACAGTTGAAGTTAAAATGAAAACACCAAAAGCTTCTAAGAAGACACCTTGAGATTTTGAAGCACCACCACCCATAGCATTGGCAAATAAAATTGGACCGGGAGTTAAAGCACTTACAACACCTGCAGCACACATACCAGCTAACATTTGAGAAATCATCATTAAACCAGCTCTAATTGGAGGAACAGCCCCTACTAAAGCTAAACATAAAGTAACAGCAGGATTAAGGTTACCACCTGAAACTCTGAAAGTTAAGACAATACCTAAATAAACCCCAAAACCGAAACCAATTGAGATCATAATTAATTGACCTGGATTTGATTCAGTTGGAACATCAGAAATAGTTGGGTCATGATTGGCAATTTGGGCAATAATGAAAGCAGTGGATAAGAAAACGAAAGTACCAAAGAATTCACCTAATACAGCAATTAAATGGTTTTTCCAAGTAGATCCAGTATTTAAGGTATCTCTTGGTTCGTAAGTTTCAATTTGTTTTTGAGATTCAAGATCAACTTCTCCAGTAGTCATGTTCTATAGTTTAAATTAACTTATTAATTATATCAGAAAAGGGGGATGTATGGCACTATTTAAATAAATTTATAAAGAAAAAAGAAATAAAATAAAAAACTGCAAGTAATTTTCATCTATTTTTTACTGAAACATCCCCGTTGAGTTTCAAAGTGAAAATGGTAAGTTTAAGGATTTTTTTTACAGGTTGGACTATAAAATGTACAGTAGATCCGCCAAAAAGAAATTCTATCTCCTCGATTTACAGGTTAGATTTGAACACTTGCCACTTTTTAACCCCTTAGACGTACAATGGTTAAAAAATTCTCATAATATTACTAAATTAAGAAACTGGGCTGGGATTTGAAAAATCCTTCGATGCGATGAGATACTATTTTGGGTAATAACAACAACAACAATTATTTCATCCAGCTTCATGAACAGTGATGAATAAATGATATTTTTTAGTCACTCGTTAACTTCCTTACGATCCGATGGATAAATTATACGAATTGTTCAACCAATTCTTATGGTAAATTTCTTCAATGCTGTTACTTGCAGTAACGCGCTTTTTCAACTTTCAATGATACTAACCAGGTTATTGTTGTTCAATTATGAAACTAATTCCTATGTTCCTAATGACTTCAATTAAATTACATTCGTTTATTGTTCACTTGTTTAAAGAAATTTAAAAACGCAACTTTGATTCGATTTTAGTGCATTTTAGTGTACTATCCAAACGCACATGGAAAATAAATGTACCAAAACCCGAGAGAATATTACCATCGAAGGTTATACGTCACCAAAACTGTTCACGAATAAGGATTAGACTGTTACGCCCCATATTAATAAAAATAGATTTTCATGTTTGGCTCTGCCAGTATAAACCTTATTGTGGTCAGTATTCCATGATTAAAGTTTTGATTTACATGCAAAAGTGAGTGGTGTGCAAAAATTTCATGTACACCGAGATTTGCAGGTTAGCTTGGAACTAATAATAGATATATTGCACTTTCCCTTCGGATAAAACTGTCAAATGGCTGTGTTAACATGAATATCAGGATATCCAGTTTATTGTTCTTTGTCAGAATTGACATTATTCAGAAATGGTTTGGTTTTGGGTTTGGTTTCTAATTTGGGTTCTAGTAACTCCCTTTTCGGAAGTAATTGAAGCTCTCTTTTTTTTAAGGAAAAAATCTTCTCTTTCAAGTAAATCTATCTCTAGCAATATAATAACCAGACCCAAAGTTTATTATATAACAATAAGGGTCTGATTTAAACAATCAACTCAATCAGTTTGGTGCTGGTTCAACTTGCCTCATCCGCCAAAATCGCAAACTTCAGACAATTTCGAGCTAAATTACAAAATTTACGAAAAAAGTGCCAAATTGAACATAATTTACGACAACTTTTATTTGAATATTTTTACCTACTACTAACTTACGTAACGTTTCTAGATTCGCCAATTATTTTGCTTTTCTTCCAACATCATTGAATGGGTTGAAATCTAAACTCATCCAGGATTACTCACGTGATCAAGTTTGTGGGTTCGCAGAAATATTGACACAATAAAGCAAAATTAACGAAGTATGGAAGGAAACAAGTCCTTCAAAAAAAATAACTCTATCATTAAGAAACCCAAGAATATTAATGATTTGAATGATAGATCTGAGGATTTGGTCAATTGGATTGATAATTTGAAGAGCAGATTCAACAATGAATTAAAGTATCAAAATGATGAGATCATAAATTTCAATAAATCTTTAGATGTTGATGAATTACGTCAAAAATATAGTCAGAAAGTTTTCGTCGACGATATCACACCGTTTGAACCTTCGGAGAACATCAGTGATCAAAGTGAAGAATCAGAGTCAGTCGTAGAAGAAAGCGACAGCGAAATTGAAATATTATCTGAGCACATAGACGAGGAAGACGATGAGCAGGAGGAAGAAGTAGAAGAAGAAGAAGAAGAAGAGGAAGAAGAAGAGATTGTTGATGCTATAGATTATAGTGATGATCAAGAAGAGTATCACATAAATTCTGAGACAGAGGAACATGATCATCTGACATATTCTCGTAAATCTGTTGGTGGTAAGTATCCTAGAAAAGGTTTACCTATAGACAACCAACCTGACCCCCAAGATGGAGATGATCACGGGATGGCTGAAACTTTTGATACCACAGAATATTTCGAACCAGAGGAACAAAACATTGAGAATGATTATAGATTTGAACCTTCAAGCATTGATCATTTACTTGACCCAGAACTTCATGAGAACATCGCCGATTTGGTGCAAGAAAATTATGACAAAATGGAATTTGAAGGTTTAGATGATTTACCCAATGATTTAATGGATCTTGCAGAAGCTGCAATTAAAGAAGCCGATGAAGAAAGAATACAAATCATGGATGTTGACGAAATACAACCTCAAGAGTCGATTGAACATAAAATTCCCGAATTGACCGATGGATACAACGCCAGTGTTGAAATAGAGGAATTGGAAGCTGTGGTTCATGAAGAATCGCCTGTAGCCCCATTACCCCAACCTTTCGAGTTGGAAGAAGTCGAAGTGGAAGTCGAAATCCAAAGCGAAGCGGAAATGACTGAAGGTTCACTTGCCGATTACGAAGATAATGCCATTCGAAATGATCGTGAACAAAATCCAATGACAATAATAGACAAAGAGACTGTAGAAGATGATCAAGAAGAGGCAATCTTATCTGGTTCGGATATCGAAGTTCCGACACTGTTCAAGACGGTGGAGGAAAAAACATCAGAAGAGGTTTTGGCTGAATTGAAGCAGATGGAAGAGAAATTTGGTTTCAAGTTGTCGGTAAGGAAGCAATTGCAAAATGAGTTGGGAATTGATCCTATGGAAGAATTTAAGAATAAAATCGATTTCCCCAAACTTGATGAATTACCTTCTGATTATGAAAGTGAATCACAATCTGAACCAGAAGTTGATCTGGAACCAAAGAATGATCCAGAACTCATCTCCAAACCAGATTTACCTTCTAACGAAGATACTGAGCATATGGTGCTAGAAGAAGAGATTGAAAACACCGAAATGATTGATGATAACGATATAATACAAAAAGAATTTGAACCCATAGTCGACAATTCAGAAAATGGATCCGATGGTTCTGATATTTCCAGCTCTGACGAAGAAGAGGTGGTGAAGGAACTTTTAGGTATCAACTCCTCTTTTGGAGCAGAAGATCATGTATCTGAATCCAGTGGTTTGAATATTTCATATTTGAGTCCCGAAGAGCATGAAGAACAGTTGAAATCCATGCAATCACAAGATGTTGATTCAAAGAGGCCCAAAAGACCAAGTTTGACAAATTCTTCTATGATAGATTTTGCAGAATCTCGATTCATTCCTAGAGGACCAGAATTACTCAATATTGACTCCTCCATGATTGAATTTGCTGAAGAAGTACCAGAAAGACCAGCTTTGGGTGAGGTAAATTCCTCTGCGATGTTCGACTCGCTGATGGTTGATGACGAGGAACCCATAAAACCTCTGTTACAGGATCTCAATACTTCTGTGGCATTTGAAGACGACAACGAACCAGAAAAGTCGTTTGTGGAGGTACTTGATGAATTGGTTGGAATACCCGAGGAGAAATCAGAGGGTGAGGCTTCGGTGGTGGATGAGACCCAAATGCCAAAAGAAAGCGATGATAAAATGGAAGTTGATCAAGTTGAGACCCATGAAGAAACCCAGCCAAGCACATCACTTCTCGATGCAGTTGACACATTGGTTGAGTTGATTGAAGAAACAGTAGAAGAACCTGTTGAAGTTAGAGTAGAACCAATCGTTGAAGAACCTGCAGTTGAAGAACCTGTCACCGAAGAACCTGTCACCGAAGAACCTGTCACCGAAGAACTTGTCATCGAAAAACCTGTCATCGAAGAACCTGCTATCGAAGAACCTGCTATGGAAGAACCTGCTATGGAAGAACCTGCAATCCAACAATCTACTGTTGAAGAAACTGTTGTCGAAGAACCTATCGTTGAAGAACTTGTGGTTGAAGAACGTACGACCGAGGAACCCATTATCGAAGAACTGACTCACGATGAGACTCATTCAGGGCCAGAATTAGAAGATATTGAAAAGGACCAACTCAGAGACGATGAAGATAAATCGTTTGTGGAAGTGCTTGAAAGTTTAATGAATGAGTCCATCGAATCAGCCGAAGACCTTAATCCACCAGCTGATTCAGAAACTCAAGAATCTCAGAGTTACGAGATACAGGGAGAGCAAGAAGTGACTACTGATGACCATCATTCAGGTGAGCCAGCAGATTCTGCTTTCGCTTACCCTATTCCACAACCTTCACTCGAACCCGTGGGACTGACCGAAAATTCGCCAGTCATAGAGTTTGCTGACGAACCAGAGGAAACTTATGTCGAGTACGATAAAGATGTGGTACTTGAAATTGACGAGAAGGATATTATCCACCCCACCGAAGAGAAGGAACCCAGCGAAGCTCCAGTTTACCATGGCGAATTGCCTGAATTCATAACTGACGATAATGACGAAATCGCAGCCACTACTCCAACTTCTATCAACGAACCTGCAGAAGAACCTGAGATATTTGAAGAGTTAATAGATGACGAAGAAAGTGGCCTCACTGTGATACCAACAGATATATTCATACCCGAGGAACCTATTAGAGCGTTCCCTCAATACGAAGTAACGGACGAACTTGTAGATGGGGAATTGATTAGCGAGTACACCAGAATAGAAAGCACAAAGCGCCCACACGAAGATCTTGATCCACTTCCTAATAAACGTAGGAGATTTGGTCCTTTGTCTTGGATTTCGAATATCTTCAAAGGTAAGCCTCCGAAACAAGGGTTTGAAGCAGGAGACAAAGTCGAATATGATGAAGATATAGCTGCAGCTGGATCAGGAGAAGCTGAAGAGGAATTAAAGGAACAAGCTCCTGAAGAAGCTAATGAAGGAGCTGAACAAGAGGGTAAAGAAGAAGGTAAAGAAGAAGGTAAAGAAGAAGCTGAACTAGAAGTCGCGGAAGAAGCTGTGGAAGAAGCTAATGCCGAAGCTAATGCCGAAGCTAATAAAGAAACCAAGGAAGAAGCTGAAGACGAAGGAATCGAGGTTGATGATCAATTGGCTGTTGTTGATATTGTAGATCAAGAATTCGAAGAAGGCACAAAGAAAGATGCGGGTGAGATAGATGAAGAAGAAGAAATGGAAGACGAAGGAGTCAAAGAGAAATCGTTCGTGGAGATTCTTGATGATCTTGTAGGAGAAACCGAGGAAAATATTCCCGATTCTGACAAAGTAGATGTTGAACCCGAAGAGACGAATGAACAGGAACTGAGCGCAGACAAACGTAAAGAAGTACCGGTAGAAGCTACACATTCAAGTAAACCTGTGCGTAAATCCAGGAGATTCCAATTAGACATCAATCCTGAAGATTTGGAACCGGCTCACCTGTTACGGGATGGCCATAAGTTCGGCTTAGATTTGGTACAAAAAGACGAAGACACTGAAAAACCAGAACTCACAAAACCAGTCAAAGCCACCTTAGGAAATTCTCCCAAGAAAGGAAAACACTCAAGAAAGTCCAAAACCACAAAATTGGTTTCCAACCCAATTCCCCAAAAGAAATCCTCAAAGGCAGAATCCAAAGACCTGCTTGCGTCAAGAACCAGATCCAAATCACCCATTAAAGAAACCATTCAGGATATCATCACTGATAATACCCCTATCGGTCAACGTCTTAAAAGAAAAAGAAAACAAGTTTTGACAGAAGAAGAAATAGAAGAAGAGCAAGAAACTAGAGGAAGGAAAAGATAACTTGTACACTATTTGCAACGGGCAAAGAAAACTTGTAAATTGTAATAATAGCAATATATATATGTAATGTAACAATCTATGTACAAGCAAAATAAATAAATAGCATTAAGCAATGTGACCCATAAGGAATTCGAAAGTACTAAAGAACACCATATTAACAATGAATGATCTAGTAACAGAAATCCCTAAACCTCTATATAAACTTCTTTCGATACGAATTTTCCTTTCAGGTAATGGATGAGGTTCTAAACCATCTCTTTTACGGAAAATGTTATGAATGATATCTTTTTGAATTAATGACTTTGTAGTGTCTATAGGAAATACCAATGTCCAACAAGTGATACCTGAAAATCCTCCAGCCAATAAGATAGCAATGGGGGAATTGGTTGAAGGATCAGAATTGATCAATTGGTTGATTGAATATTTGAAAGTTTCATAAATGGAATAATATATCCCTGATGAAAGTGAATCTCTCATCACGTGATACCTGAAACCTGAATATAAACCTGTTGGACCTTCGTATTTAATGATTTTTTTGAAGGTAGCTAAAGTTGAAGCACTACTTAAATTAACTTTATGAACAGACTCTCTTTCTACTAATTTTGAAATTTGGGAAAATACCTTAGTGAATTCAAAAGGTGATGCAAATAAAGATACACCAGCACCAGCGATCATTCCTGAAGTGAAACAAACAGGAATATTCTTGATGATAGGATGAGTTGTCATATCATCATCATGTTGATAGATTAAATCATGACAATATGGCTTACATAATGAAAAAATTGAAACATTGATTGATTTTGAGCAAGAAGTTGAAATTAAAGGAGCCCAAATACCACGGAAGAAACCTTTCATTCCTTCAGCTTTGAAAGTTTTAGCAGCACAATCAAAGTAACTGGCGAATTCTTTATGAGTTTGCATTCTGGTTTTAACGGTGTCCATGGGAAATCCAATAGTGGTACCTAAAAATGATGCTCCGTAAGCAATGATAGTTGATCTATAAGGTTTCATGAAATCTGGGAATATATGAAGGGCATCTCTATGATCTAAATCACCTGTTATGGCAGGGATGCTCCCATTAGAATTGGAAGTTATGTTTTTTGCTTCTACGGACATTATCCATTAAATTTTATCCTTTGATGAGGTTGAGATAAGAATCAAACCACGTTGATGGGATTATTTGATTTGGGGGTTTCAAATTATATTGAGATATGAATTAATGAAGAATAAAACTATCAATCAATCTGTTTAGATTCCGCTGGCTTCTAACGAAGTATTCAATGGATCTTATCTTTTTTAAGGTATTACCTAATGATAGGAAAATTTCTCAAATCTCGGAGTGCATCAGAAGATAGGAAAAATATATCCAAATAGATTGAGTTTATATTGTGTACTATTTACATAATTTTGGATGATTTTATATGATCGGAATGGTTCCTATCATTGCAGATTATGATTTATTATAGAAAACCATATTGTTTTGGGTGTTATTAAAGGGGTTGTTCGTTATGAACATTGTAAATATGAGGAATTTATTTCGGAATGAGAATATAGGCAACAATTGATAAGAATAGAACTGTTAATAACCTTTTCTTTTAGCATCATTAACTTTGGCAAGTAATTTCTTGAATTCTTCAGAGAATTTTCTTCTCCACCATTCTCTTTTCAATTGTTTTCTATACTTAGCAGGTCTAATGTACCTACTTTGAATTCTTTGTAAGTATCTGATTTTATTGGACATTATAACAGAATTAAGCATTTTCAAAGATGCTCCAACATTATTATTTGTTACATTAATGGTTCTACCAGCTAAAGGTCCAGTAATTTTGATTCTTTTAGCCACATCTCTTGGATGCATGACTTTACTTTCTATATTTGATGATCTATCTTTTTGATTCAAGAATCCAAATAAGTTCTTTTCGATTTCATTGTCTTTGTTATTGGGGGTAGTGAATAAATCTAATAATTGATCAGTTGATTTTTTATCATTAAATATGATTCTTGAAGTGCTGAAAAATTGAGTCGTTATAAAATTTGATCTGGTGATCAACCCATTACTTCTTAAACCTCTCATAAACATTTTTATTGCACTTATTTTGGAGATCCTAGTAACTTTATTTGATTTAGTTCAATAAACCTTGGGTTTGTGAGTGAAAAATTTTTGAGAGATTCATTTTCGCATCAAACGACACTTGCGCGACAACCGATGATGTCGGGCATAGGAGTTTATATTTGCAATTGAAATAAGCACCTCCTTAAAGTCATTAAGATAACATTAATGTCAGAAGGAATTGAGGTTTTAAGTTCTGAGATATTTGAATGTACTGCCGTAGAAGTATTTAAAATTCCACCAGGAGAAATTACATTGAATCAATGGACCAATTATGAATCCAATACTGTTTGGAAAGGAAGTCTAAGATTAATAGAACAAGAATCATTCCCAACTGAAGGCGTCAATTATGAGATTGGGGAAGATGCTTCACAGATTTCTGACCTTCCGATTCTACCGATCGACAAAATTCGATTGAAAATTGAATTATTCAATACAATTGATGATGACAATTTATTATGGGGCCAAGTTTTCTATAACCCATTGATAGATATAAAAGATGATTTGATAGAGGTTATTGATACCAGTCCCTCTAATACCACTGGTGAGGGGATTGAGTCCTCATCAGATGTTCAAATTGAAACAATTCAAAGAACTCATTCTTATAGATTATTTAAGATCATTGTACAAATACCAGGAACAAACTATTCACCTAATAAACAGGATAAACTAATTCAAGTGGCCCTAGGGTTAAAATTTGATGATAAAATTGATGCATATACCTTCATCGAAAGACTACAATCATATAAGAAATTATTCAAAAGTTATGTTGAACAATACAATTATGATATGGACATGTTAAAACTAACTACCAAACAAAACGATTTATCTTTGAATGATATCGAGAATATTAATTTTGGTGAAGTTAATAACTTCGAGCCACCAAATGATGACGCTGATGATAATGATGATTTTGGTGATTTTGTTAGTTGAGTACTGTAAGGTTTTTTTTTTATACATTAAATACATTAGTCTATATACTTCACTTCTTCTTTTGGTAATACATCTTCTTGATCAATGGATGATGTTCCCTGATTTCTTTGTTCTTGTTTTTACTATATTCAATGTATGCCATATCTTCACCTCCTGCTAATCCAGCTAATGATCCTGCACTCTTTACTGAATTACCAGAATTTTCAACTTTAACTGCTCTATTCCTTGCAAATGTTGTATCAGCATCATCACCGATTTCTAAACCAGCTGCATCTTCATTCTTAAGTAACACTTCTTGTAATAATTCTCTTCTTTCTCTTGGGGTAGCATAAGCTAAATTTGGTAAACTTTCCATCCCATTCAAATGAGTAATGACTTTGAAAGCGTAACCTTGGTCAACCAAGAATGCCTGTCTTTTGGTGGAATAGTACATTTCTTGAGTATCTTTAGAAACTAATGAATAGAAAAATGCATTGAACCCTTCATCATTTCTTCTTTTGGCTCTTAAAATTCTTCCTAATCTTTGCGCTTCTTGTCTTCTTGAACCATAATGGGATGAGATTTGAATCAAACATGTAGCTTCAGGTAAATCAATAGAAGTATCACCGACTTTTGATAAGAAAATTGTATTGATTTGGTCATTATGTTGGAAATTTTGTAAAATCTTCATACGTTCTTGTTGAGGGGTTGAACCATAAATGAAAGGTTTCCCTAATTTCAAAGCATATTCTTGTAAAGCATAAACATTATCACTGAAAACAATGATTTTGTCACCTCTTTTTTCATGATAATGAATTAAAAACTGACATGCTTGAAATTTGGTGGGATTCATAATATATAATAACATTTTCTTACGAGAATTTTCTCTCAAATATTCTTGATAGAATTCTGAAGTCATTGGACACCAAACTTCGGCACATTGAACATTGGCGATGTGTCCCTTTTGAGCTAAATCCATCCAATTAGCTTCATATAATTTAGGTCCAATCAAGAAATTCAAATCATAAATTTTATCATCTTCTCTGACCAAAGTGGCTGTCAAACCTAATTTTGAATGAGCAGCAATGGTGGTAACAACTCTTCTAAACATAGCTGCTGGAACCACATGAACTTCATCTAAAATAATGAAACCCCATTCTCTGGAAGTTAAGAAATCCATTACTTTTTGGGAATCATGTGATCTATTACGAGTATTAGCAACCATTGAATAAGTTGAAACAACTAAACCAGCATCAGTAGTAAACATTTCTTTGTTTTCAGAGGTGAACACTGCAACACTTTCAGGTTGAATTGTACTCCATTGTAAGAATTGTTGTCTCCATTGCATAACTGATACTGATGATGTACATAAAACGATTACTGATTTTCTTATAGTACAAGCAGCCGTAATACCTACCAAAGTTTTACCAGCTCCACAAGGTAAAACAATAATACCTGATCTAGCACGTCCATTACCAAACATTTTAGATAACGACTTTTCTTGATAAGGTCTGATTTGAGTTGAAGGTTTCAAATCTATTTCCAAATCGGGATTTCTACCATCATTACGGAAATCATATTCTTCCAAAACAGGATATTCAATCTCTTGACATCTTCTTTTAACTATTTCAACAGAATCGTTGGCAATTTCAAATGAATGAACTGCATCCATGTCATCATCTTCATCTTCATCTGCTTTGTTTCCAATGACTGAAGCGAAAATATCTTCAGTTTCTTGATCTTTCTTATCATCAGTTTTCTTAGTACCAGGAATAACCAAGTTCCCTTGTTGTGGAGCTGATGATTTAACCAACCCATTGGAATTGACTGTACTTTCACTATTAATTCTTAAAGGACCAATTTCTGGATCTTTCAATAACATTTGTAAAACATCAGCTTGAGCACTTTCAACAAAATATCTATTGTGTTTTAAAACCAACTTAACTTTACCGTAAGATACTGTAGCACCTCTGATGAAATTTATGATGGATTCCGCCACAGGGACCTTGGATAATCGATTCAAAACTTGAATGATATCATCAGTTTCTAAACCTACTGAAACTGCGGCATACAATGAATAAGGTGTAATCTTATACTCATGAATATGTGAAGGTCTTGAAACTGGTTCGGCAATAGTGATCAAAAAATCTTGGGCTTGTTCAGCCAATGGAGAAAATGATTCTAAAATAATCCTACCATCTTTAGGTGATATCCAAATTGGTCTTGAAAAATGGTCAGGCTTCAATCTTAAATATGAAAAGTCTCCTTTGTTAAAACTTTTGGACACTGCATCAGGAACATAGTCATTGGGGATATCTGGAGTTAAATCTATCATATCATCGTCATTGAATTCTTTATTACTGATGGAGGCTTTAATGGCATCAATACTTTCTTCTGCCTTTCTCTTCTTCAATAATTCTTCATCATTCATATCTTCAGGTTGATGATTTCTTTTCTTTCGTGATCCGAATTTGAAATCCATATCTTGATACTTCTCATCCTCTGAAGATGATAAATCAGAGAAATTCCCAGCATCTAAATCAGCATAGTTAACTGAAGTTCCACGGCGTGACATTATTAATCAGAGGGACAGAAACCTGAAAATTTGATTTTAGTGCGAATTAGAGTTTTTAATCTTCAGAGCTTTTCATTTATATCATTATATTAATCTAATCAGTAAATTTATAGGAACCTGAGGCAAGAGTAATAGAACCTCCTCTGTAAGAACCTTTCTTCATCTTATTTTTATTTTTGGTAAAGTTTTTACCTCTAACTTGTAAAAGCTTTTCGTTGGCCATTTCACCCCAAGTACCAGCTGCTCCTTTATAAGTATTATCTTGTAATGTAGTATCCTCGAAACTAATCTTGGTCTTATCTATTCTTGAGAAATGGTGTCTTTGACCTGGTCTCAATTCGTCTACTTCTGCTGGGATGACCGCTGGGGATGGAGTATCGTCAGTTTGGGAACCTGAATCATCTGGACTTTCGAGTTTTGGTTTTTTTATTGGCATTAAATATTCAGGGGCTTTTCTTTTGGATGATTCTTCTTTTTCATCGGTTTCAGATTCGGAGTCTGAATCTAATGAGTCTGATGAATCTGACGAGTCTGAATCTGAACTTGAACTTGAATCAGAATCGGAACTGTCACTAGATTCTGAATCTTTCTTCTCTACCTTCTTATCTTCCTTTTCGGATTCTGAGTCGGAGTCGGAGTCTGAATCAGAGCTTGATGAGCTGCTGCTTGAATCGGAATCTGAATCTGAGTCGGAATCTGAACTTGAATCTGAATCGGAATCTGAACTTGAATCTGAATCGGAATCTGAACTTGAGTCTGAATCAGAGTCTGAATCAGAGTCTGAGCTTGAGTCTGAATCTGAACCTGAATCTGAGCTCGAATCTGAACCTGATTTATCGCTTACTTCTTTGGTTTCCTTTTCCTCGGAATTTTCCTCCTCTGAGTCACTATCTGAATCGCTGTCTGAATCACTGTCTGAATCACTGTCACTACTGCTATCTGAATCAGAGCTTGAACCGGATTCTGATTCACTGTCAGCGTCTTTCATTTCCTCATCCTCATCGTTTGATACATCATCTAAAATCTTTTCTAAATCATCATTTATTTCTGGTAATTCAATAGAATTCTCTTTCAATTGTTTGATTAAAGTCTTGGCAGTCTTATCCAAATAATCTTGATCTTTTATGTATTTCAATACATAAGCAAGTACTAACTCTTTAGAAGGCATCTTAAGCTTTGATAACAAAAAAATTTTGAGCAGAGATGAGATAAGTCGCGCGAGTCTTACAGTACGACATTTGATAAGACATTTCAGTAGCAAAGAGAGGTTGCAAAAAAATTTGTTTATTGGGTTTCTACATTTTCGGAGGTAAAGGTAATGGAGTTTTACTGAAATGAACGACTTCATCCATTTTATTATCGAGCATGGCCTTGAGGAATTCTTCTTTGATTTCTTCTGTAGGTCTGTTTTTGAATTTGATTTCAGGATAACAATCTTTATCTTCATAAGCAGTTTTAGATCTTTTGGCTATAACACCTTCGATGATTTTAACAGTTTCATCGGGCAATTCTCCATTCAATAAATGAGTTCCATCTTTCACGCAATGATATTCCAATAAATTAGCTGGATTGGCATTTTCAATAAAGTATTCTTCAGTACCTGGAGGATTCCATCTGGCTTTCTCTCCCCAAACGTAACAGATTTTACATCTCATGTGAGGAATCATAGCTGTTGATTGTTCAAGTGACCAATAAGATGACAAATAAGTAGCCATTTGACCTATCTTACTGGCTTTACTCTTGTACTTAGTAGTCTTGGTTGCAGGGTCATAAACTTCATAAAATTCATTGTCGATATAATCTTGCGATACTCTAGGGTGCATGTCCTTGGTAAAGGCAAACTTGGTGTAATATTCATAGAAATCCTCTTTGGAATCGAAAGTATCCCTAATGAATTTTTGCACTTTCTTGAATCTTTCAACGAAAAGATGGAAAAATCTGTGATCAGGGGAGTAGAAAACTGGTTCAATTGGTATAATTGTATCAAATAATTGAGGTTCCAAGAATCCAGCCACCATAACTTGATGACCACCTAAGGAATGGCCAATGATGATATTCTTACTATTTATGTTATTCAAGAAATCATTACAAGTGTCATTTTCATGTTTGACAATCAGGATGATATCTTTTCCTCCATCAATCCATCCATAAGTCCATCCCAATTTGTCTTTATTCAAAACACCAGAATCACCATGACTGGTACAATCAAATGAAATGACTGAACCTAAATACCAATGGTCTTGGTTATATGAATCTTTGAATAATTTCTCGATATGATAGTTCCAAATTTCTTTATTCATACCTGTCCCGTGAGAAAACAATAAATTGATTCTTATTTTATCTTCAGGTGGTGGAATAGTTGATGAGAACTTGTTGTATACGACTTTCAACTTATCATCCACACTTAAGGTTGAACCTGCTTGTCTTGGGAAATGAGCATCGGTGATTTTGACTTCTTTTTTGAATCCTGACATTGTGTTATAATTGGTGTCTCAATTGGTTTGATTCAAACTCTGGGGATGGGTTGTTTTAAGTATGCCGCGATACTTTCACACTCCCGATGGGTAAAATGTGAATTTATCTCCCCCAGAAAATATCACAAGCTGCGAGAAGTCGACGCTTATATAATCAACCCTGAAGTGAATCACCATAGTAGAGGGGCAGTAAAGAATGTAACTATTACGAGTATAAAGTCCGAGGAGATTGGCATTGTGTATTTATCAATTCTTCGTATTTTCCTGCTGAACGTCAGTTTTCCTATTTATATCAATGTCATATTCAGTACCATCAGATGTGACCCTAGAATTAAACTTTTGCATTCTTTTTTTCCACCATTGTCTGGATTCTTTCCTATGAATAGCTTCCAAAAAAGCTGCATTGTCTTCATCATCTTCATCTTCATCTTCATCACCTACTTTGAATTTATGCTTCTTTGACTTATCCAATGAAAACTCAATGTTTCCCTCATTCTTCTTGATAAGATATTTACTTCCGAGATTCAAGTCCTTAATAAGGATTTCTCTTGTTCTGTTCAAAGATTCTATATCAGCTACTCTTTCAATGGTATCCTCCAATAATTTATCAAAGTATGGTTGAGATGCAATTTCATGGAATGCTCTCATCATGGGGATTGAATCAGCTCGGACTCTGGATTCGGAATCAATAGTAAAGATATTTAAATTATCATATGATTGAATATAATCCGGTCTAGTCATAATTTGACGGGCTCTCCAAAGTGGTAATTCGGGTAGATCGTGATTTTTATGCTTATCCTTTTCTTCGGGATCGGTTTGTAAAATTAAGGTATTCTTTCTGCTTCTATCCATCTCCACGAATTCTCTCATTAATAACATAGCACTAGAACTGAACTTACCATGTTCCATAACATCATCATCCATGGAAAATCCCAAGATACCACATTGATTGAGGAACCAAGTTTTCTCCCTATCAATGATTTCATGACAAGCATTGAATATGTTTTTATGTCTAGCAACTTGCAGGATGTGTTGAGGTCTACCACCGATTAAATCATAAACCTTATGACAATCAGAATCATTTAATTTCAATTTAGGATTGATATGGGATGGAAAATGTTTTTCTCTTATGAATTGAAGGGCTTTAACAGTTTCATGACGATTAAAGTCTCTAACATTGATTAATTCTAATCTTGTACCTAATTTCTTCAATTTTTCATACACCCAATAGTCATCAGAGTTGAATATCATGGTGACTAATCCCGATCCACTCAATGATTCGGCCTTTTGTTGGAGTAATTCAATCAATTTGATTCCTTCTTCGTTATCTTTGATTAAATGTGCATTATTAATGATGATAACCAATGGTTTGTTACCATGAAAAGGAACTCTTCTTAACGCTAATTCTTCAACTTTATTGAAACCTCTTTCAATGTCCAATAAAGCGGTTGTATCTCTTGGACCTTTGATACTAAATAAAGAACCAATATAATCTTCGTTAAAAGTATAATTCAAAGCTCTTCCTAATCGAATTCTGAAAATTTCAGGATCAGCATGAGCATCAAATACAGCGACATTATGACCTTCTACTTTCTTCATGGATTCCAATAATAATGAAGTTTTACCAGTACCTTTTTCCCCGACCAAAAGAAAATATCTACCCACGATTTTACCAGCAACAATATCGTCTAATAGTTTCTGTTGAGGTCTTTCCACCCAATAGGCACTTAAATCATGTTCAACACAATTCTCGTCCTCTATGTGTTTATTGGTTCTCTTATGGATTGATAATTGGAACCCTGGATCTCCTTTATCAAATGCTAAATCAATTTTATCCAATACATGGGCATTGTAAAATTTATGGTAAAGGAATCCAGCCACACCTAAAATACCTACAGAACTGAAAGTAATACCAATAGTTTCAAGACATTTGAAGAAAAATGAACTCAATCTACCCATCATTTTTTGGAATCTACTCTCTTCGGGTTCTTCTTCTTCTTCAGGTTCTTCCTCTTCTTGTTGTTCTTCTTCACGAGGAGGTTTGTTACCATCACCTCCATTTCCTGAACCAACACCTCCGTTTCCTGAACTAACATCTCCATTTCCATTCCCATTTATGTCTTTTTGATTTGAACCACCAATTTCATCTTCGGAGTTTGCTCCTACTTGGCCTGAGGATGAACTTTTGGAATTTTTAACGTCCAAATCTTGAGTTCCTGGAACCACAGCTTTATTCAAAGGAACAGAATCATTTTCTGTCTTATAGACCTTATTTTCCTTAGCATCATGTAACTTCTTCTTCAATTTCTTCTTATCTTTCTTCAATTTTTCATTCTTCTCCTCTAATTCTTCTGAGGTTAATTCTTCAAGCACATCGAATGGTAATAAGGGATTGATTCTTAGAATACTCGAGGAACTCAATGGTCTTATATTAATTGGCCCTCTTCGTATGACACGAAGTCTTAGAGTTGGTGTTAGTAACCTTATCATGCTATATTAACCTATGTATAAGCCACCTAGTTCGCGTTTCAAGTTTCAAGACTGGAAAGTTTCATAAAGTGATGCACCGAATGTCAGGGTAACTCAAGACAAGCCAAATCCCGAATCGATTTCAATCACATAAAGTAATTTAGATCTTATAAGTTCCTTATTTTGATAATCAGGAAGTTTAAGCAAATTCACACAAGTAGAAGCTGTGGGTAATCTTTCTTTTTCACGACCACTATTTCTTATACCAAACTTGGGATTAAGTACTTCGAAACCAAGTAATGGGGGTCTAGCTACTGATGTTACGAATTTAAGTAATTTAGATCTTTCTTTTGGTGTCATTTCCTCGATTACTTCCCAGAAATATTTGATGGTGAGATCATTTTCTAAATAACCTCCATATTCAACATTCTGTTTCCAATTATCTAGATCAATGTTATATTCTGAACCTGAAATTAACATCTGCAATTCATTGAAATCGAACATTTTGAGCCAATCAGCTGAAATTATCTCACATAATCCTTCTAAGAAGTACTTTGATTGAATATTTAATGAAGTATTCAATTTGAAATTAGCAATTTGATGAATATAATTCAATTTGTTGGATGTAGTGACTTTTAAATTACCAGCATTCTTCATTAATTCAACTACATGGCTTTTCCCATCGATTTTTTCGTCGATGGTGAAATCCAAATCCAAGAATTCCAATTCCTCACTATTCATTTTGGTTAATTTCATCAAATTCAAGAATAACTCTTCATCTAAGGATCTTAGATCATTAATGGAGTTTTTCATAACATTTTTGGACGTACACCATTTATTCAAGAAAAATGGTGCAAAGGAAACATCGATTAAAACACTCTCATAAAGACATTTACCTATAATTGAACCCAAAAACTTTAAATACTTGAGCTTCTCTATTTGCTGTTCACTATCAATATTCTTACTATACTTCAAATAAATTTCGTCATTAGGATATAATTGATTAGTGGAAGTTTCTTTGAATAGACGGAAATCACTATTAGGTGAGAATCCTTCAACTACAACTCTATTTAAAAATTCTTTGGTCAATCCACCTCCATCAATACCTTCTTCAGGTCTCCCCCATTGATCGATGAATGACACACCAATCTTCTTCTTGAACTTACCACCTAAATTACCAAAATGTTTGTAAGCATCTTCGAGTAAATTTTGTCTTCTAATCTCTCCTTTGACTTTGACTTCATCAAAGTATGAGAAGAAACCTACATTCTCTTCCGATCTTTGTCTATCAAGATCTATTAAACTTTGAAATATTTGAACTCTATCGTTGAATTTAAGGAAGAATGGTAATTTATTTAAAATTTCAAGTTTGGCAAGAGTGTCTATGGGGAGGGGTCTTTTGTTAATCTTTTTTATTGGTTTACCATCTTCATCTTCATCCAACTCTTCAATTCTTCGTTCTTCTTCATCTCCGATTATCTGTAACATCACATCAAGATTGAATACAATATCATTTACTTGCCAGAAATCCTTAGGTAAAAATTTCAATCTCAAGTTCTTGAGATAAAGTTGATTCAATAAAGTGATGGAGATTTCTTTCAATTTGTCAAAATCATTAGCAATGGCGGATTTATTATTGTCATTAATAAATATCAACGTCAAACAACAAGTCCTCAAGAATTTCAAGAAGTATGAAGCTTCTTCTAAGCTCAATTTACTATCATCAAAACTTTCTAAATCGTTAGATACTATCAACCAATATGAATAAAGTTCTTCAAAAGTATAAAGAATATTCCAGAAGTTTTTGATTTCATAATCTTTGTAATCTTCATATAATTCCATGATAGTATCGTATTTGACATAATCTCGTTTGGAGTCAAAAGCATCACTGAGAAGCTTATATATGTTATGTTGTTGGATTTGATTGAAGAACCATTTATATGACCCGGGTATGATGGTTATAGACACTGAAAGTCTTGATTTGAAATCAGGCAATAAATGGAAAAGTTTAGATATTATGTTAATAGCTAAGCCTGTATCTTTACTGGTAGATAAATCGATCAATTTTTGTACGAATGATTTCTCATATAACTTTGAAAGTTGTGTGAAAGAAGAATTCGGAACCTTGAAGACATATTCATCGTCAACTTCGTCTTCTTCCATGAGATCTTCGTCTTCAGTGACAACTGAAAAAGGAATAGTTGTAAGGATATTACCTATCGATATATAATCTTCATCATAAAAAGTTCCATCCCCGTGAACATTCATGTATAATATTAATAAGGAAACCTTCTGTTGTTTAGTGAATCCGTCGATTATGTCCACTACATCCTTCGTCGACAATACTTCTCTGATCAAATCAATATACTTTTGGTCTATAAAATCGATATTTGCCAAAAATAGAAGGAATGATGGCTTGGAATCTCTTACATTCACACTCATTATAAGCTCTTTGGCTCTTGAATCGTTATCAATGACCTCACTAATAGAATTAATGAAACCAGGGTATTTAACTTCAAACTTGGATTTTCTTATAACTGACTCAATGAGTCTGATGGTATTACTAACAATATCTCCGTCATTGATCTTTAAGAATAGTAGCAATGACTTCATTATGATTTTGTTGGTCAAAGGCATTAATTCCCATTTCGTCAAATGTCTATCAAGAATATTCAAATATGTGGATATAATTGGTACAGAACTGTAGGGAAACTTCCATTTTGTCATTATGAACAATTGAACTACCCATTCATTGAACTCCTCTTGACTTCTGATGCTCCTACTGACCCATTCATCATACTGGATCTCTGCTAATCTTCGATAGTGTAAATATCTTATAACATACTTCTGTATTAGTAAACCTGATTTATCCTTTGATCTTTGTGCTTCCCTTTGTTGTCTTTGTAATTTTGTCTTTTCCAAATAATTGGTGGTCCCAATACCTCTCTGTCTCTTATCCCCGAGATTGACATTCCTCTTTCGAGTTTGGCCGGTGAAATTAATCATTTAGTTGATTTGCCCTTATTTCTCAATATGAGATATTTTGAGAGTTTAGGTTCAAGAGCTTTTGGTACAAAAAGTATTTGGTATCAACAGAGTCTATAAATTCAAAAGTTTAAAAACATCCCCAAATGATTCAATTATGAAAGAAGGAATCATTGAAGTATCTAATTCATGTAATTTATGCAAATCATGAGGTTTTGTACCACCAGATAATACTAAAATAGATCCACCATTTCCACCACCTAATTCACCATCATTACCAAACTTAATATCAGTATACAAAGTATCACCAATCATCACGGTCTTTTCTTTGTTAAAATTCATATGTTTCAAAACGGTGTCTAAAAACAATGTACTTGGTTTACCAACATTGATGAAATCTCTATGAGCAGTATATTCCATGAAATTTACCACACTTCCACCAGCTGGTAATGTAAGCCCATTACCTCCAGGATATGATCTATCAATATTTGTACCTATGAATGGTAAGGACTTATTATCATGCAATAAATATTGTAAAGTCAGTGCAATTCTCATATAGTTGAAATGTTTGGTTGATCCAACTACAACAGCTTTAACTTCGGGATCAACTTTCAATAATTCGTGTTCGAGATGGAATTCTGTATCCAAAGCCTTATCTGAACCTCCTACTGGTATATAACCTTGTTCTCTTAATTCATCTTCAATTCCGTGATCTCCTAAAACCCATATCTTACTTCCTTGAGGAATCTTCAATTCTTCTTTAACTGTGGTAGCTGCTGCATAGCATGTGGGAAAAATCATATCTTTGGTGATTCCTTCGAATCCTAATTTCTTAAATTTACCAATGTATTCATTTCTTGATTTAGATGAGTTATTAGTGATGAATGCAAACCCTTTACCATTATCTTGTAAGTACTTAATGGTTTCCAACATTCCTGGTATTAAGGTCTCATCCAACCAAACAACACCATCACAGTCAAACAAGAAATTATCATATTTATCAAGTAAAGAGTCAACATGCTCTTTGGTGTCAATTCTAATGGGATCCATAGTCGGAAATATGGGGAGATGGTTAGGTATTTATATCCGCACCAAAAAATTTGACTGCAAGTATAAAGATGAGTGATAAAGAAGTAGTCCAAGGCTCAGTCAGCATAGAACAAAATGAAGCTAAAAAGTCAAAACAAAGAAAAGGACAAACTGATGAAGAATATGAAATACAAAAACAAATTTTCCACGAAAATGGACCTTTAGTTAATGATCAAGATTGGCTCTTAGATGAAGATGATTTAGCCAATTTGGATAAGGATAATAAGTATGATAGAACTAGGATAATATTCGCCTGTGAAAAGTTGTATTTCGAGAGAAAGTTTGATAAATGTTTGGAATTAATTCAATTCGGGGAAAAATTCTATGATACTGAAATACCGACAGATAATGGAAAAACGAAGAAAAGCTCAAGTATCGACAGACAAGTGATGGAATTATCGCATATCAAAGAGAAATGTCTTTCAAAGCTTAAAGGTGGGAATTAGTCCGTTTATTTAGTCCTTATTTTATGTACAAATGATGATGATGATGATGATGGTGGTAATTATTCCCTCTTTAACCATATCCTTAATTCGATATAACTCACTTTTCTTTTCTTATAAACTGTATCCTCTATCGAATCTTCTTTAGTTTCATCGGGTTCAAACTCATCTAAAACTTCTATTGAACCGGTGAGGATATCGACTTTGAAATCCATCTCATCTTGGAACTTACTGGCCATCGATAATGTTTTGGGTATAGCTTTTCCCATTCCTTTTACAGTTATATAGTTAACTTTTTTGTATTCTCCACCTTGATATTTTCTATTGGTTCTATTAATTGTTTTATTGAATTTATCTAGTATTTTACTGATTTTCTTTACTCCCGATATAAAAGGTGTGGAAGATTTGACTAAAAAAGTTGTTTCTACTTCCACTGACGGTTTGATTCTGTTGTTAGCACTATGCCTTATGTGTTTCCCATTTATATGATGTTTTACCTTATTGTGCTTTGAAGTTTCTACTGACATCGCTCGCGAAATATATTTTTTATTCTGGCGTCTGATCATGTTATCCACCCCACCCAATTCTTCACCTATAAGGAGGAAAAGAAGTTTTCAAGATGAAGATTATGAATATTATGACATACATGATAATATAAAACGCTTACAAGATACAAAAATATTCACAGAAACTCATCAAAACACGGTACAAATGATGATTGATGCACAAAAGAATTTACAGAAATTAGAGAAAGCTGGACTTCTACAAATCAAAGAAGACTATGAACAGTCTTCTCAACCACAAGATACCTTCAAGCAAGCACCTTATTGGCCAGTGATAAACAGAGTTAAAAATTAGGGAACGGGGAATTTCAAAATAAATGAAATCCAAAGTGTTCGCCGTTTGGTTCATAAAAATGTCCCAAATCCATATTATAGCTCCATACATGTATATTAGTGTAATTTACAATTTCTCATGATCCCTATGCTGAACGTTTGACTTTTCTTTTGTTTTTTAATAAAACCTTTTGTTTAACTTTACCTGATTCTTCTTCACTTTCATCTTCACTCATACTCATCATATCTTCTTCAGAAGATTCAACATCGATATCTTCTTCAACATCCATAGAAGCTTCTTTAGCAGCTTTTCTTTCGGCTTTTCTTCTTAATTCAACTTCTCTCATCTTAAGTAATTCAGGGTTAGATTCAACTAATTTTCTGTCTAATGCTAAATCGTTTTCTTTATTACCCTTCATTCTATTCTTATAGAAAGCTCTTTCTCTCTTTTGTCTGATTTCTTCAACTCTTGACATAGCTTGTAATGTGGTGGCAACTAAATCTCTATTATATCTGACTGGAACATTTCTTCTGGAAGCAAAAGTCAAAGTAGAATCGACCACCAATTCTTTACCAGCAGCTTTTCTGAAAGCTTTGGTCCATCTTAATTTACGTGGATTTCTACGTTGTTTGAAAGCTTTGTGACATTTAGAACGACAGAATCTAAATTCTTTAGCATCATTTCTAACAAACATCATACCATGAAGTGGGTACACTGGTGATGAACAAAAATGACATTGATAAACTCTCATGGTTAATTATTATCCTTGGGAGATTTCGAACTGTTCTAATTTACAGAAATGTAAGTAACTGGAAACTGATTCAAGATGCTCTTCTCTAAAAATTTTTTTTTTTCGCACTGATCAAATATTACTGCGATGAGATAACGATCATTAGGAGATGAGATATAGTCACGAGAGACATTTAGCAGAAATGATTCGAAATTTTATATATATACATCAATTAAACACGACCTAAACTATAAATTGGTTTTACAGCATGCTTTTTCACCACTAGTCGAGTTAGCTAAAACGGATTTATTGAAAGTGTTGTTAGCTTGAGGTAAATCTAAAGCAGGATTCTTATCAAAGAAATTGTTTGGAGTTATGTGGATAGTATGAGTTTCAACTGGCATGACAGGGAAATCTTCAACTCTTGGAATATGAGTGAAACCCATAGTAGCCCAAACTAAGACATCTTCGTTTCTGACATTATCTTCACCATTAGCCCAAACACCTAAACCAGTATCATATTGAGATTGATTAGTAAATTCACCAGCAGCATACATTTGTTCATCACTGTATTTGGTGACCCATAATTGTTGAGTAGCAAAAGCAGCTCTCTTACTGTTATAAGAATCTGGATCAGCTAATAACATTTGTTTAGCTGGGATACCAATTTTATAACCAACTGGGGTTTTAGAAATTGGGTTAATGACGTTTTCGTTAATAATTTTATAACTTCTGTTAGTGAAAGGGCTTTGTTCAACAAAACCAGCTTTTTCAACAAAAGTTTTTTGGGTAACGAAACCAATACCGAAAGGATTTAATTCATCTTTTGGTAATTTGTGAGTATCTTCATAAATAACAGAATTCTTGTGACCATCAACTGATGGATCAATTCTGAATGATAAAATATGTTGATGATAAGCAGCCATAACATTTGGTCCAACAATAGTACCCCATGGAACAGTAACATTTTCGTCAATTGGCATGGTAGATAAAATACCAGTAGCTCTAACTTCAATATCAATTGAACCATCAGTAACAAATTTGAAGTTAATGATATATTCATAATTGGCAACAGTAGCAATGGTTTGAACAACAAATTCTCTCTTTCTGGCAACAACGGCGTTATCAGTTCTATAATTAACATGTTTATATAAAATACCGTTATCTTGTTCATGCATACAGACGGTGTTTGGAATAACGTATGGTTCACCATTAGCGTGGATACCGTAACCGTCTAAGTATTGAATGACACCTAAACAATCACATCCTAAATGTAATTTGTTACCATTAACACCAAAACCACAATCACCTAAATCGAAAGCTTGTTTTCTGTGATATGGAGCTCTTGGATCACCGTATGGAACAGTCATTTCACTCAAAGAAACTCTATAAAATACTTGTCTACCTTTAAATGAAGCATTGTAAACAGCAAAACCTTCTCTGGCATTTGGGGCAACTTGGAATTCCCATCCTTGCCATTTAACTTTACCTCTGTCACAAGTGAATGAAGGACCTTCTGGTTGATTAACTAATAATGGTTTAACATCTCTGGAAAGAACTTCACCATTTAAGTCTGGGTGATATTCAACACATGGAACTTCTTGCCATGGAGTAGTTGGGGTAGTGGTAGCATCAAAACCACCTGGTAAGTAATCCATTCTAATGAAAGTTTTGGTTAAAGCATCAAAAACTGGAGAAAATTTCAATGGTAAAGAATAATGATTTGATTCAGTGTGACCATTACCAGCTAAAACGTACATGAAATTTTGAACTAATAATCTCTTTTCATTTGGATCATCAGTAGCATAAATCCATGGATCATTTCTGACAGTGTAACCTTTTGGCAATTTTAATTTTTCAATTTCAGCTTTGACGACTGGATGTTCATTACATAAGATTTCCATTTCTAACATATCTTCAGGTAAGAAAGGACCAACAACACCTTGAGGTTGTTTAACTTTGGTGATGATATGACCAATTGAAACATTAACTAAAGCTTTATTGAATTCGTGAGTATTAGTGTAGTAATAACAATATAAAACTCTTGGAATATTTGGTAATGGAGCACCATGTTTTTCAGCTTCTAAATATCTAAGCATATCTTTCTTTGGAGGATCGATCTTGTCGATTTGGACGAAATGAACATTAGCAGTTGATGGGTAAGCATCTTTAACTAATTTTGAGGCAGTTCTGATTTCAAAATCTTTAACACCTTCGAATGGGTGGATCTTAACTGATTGTTTTTCAACTGCAATTTCCATTATTTAAAAAATAGTGATAGTGAAAATTCTTAAGGGATAAACTTTTCATTTTATAGATTTTACTATCAATCGGTATCAAAGAACCCACCTGCCTATTTGGGAAAGAGTCGCTGCTATCCTAATTAGGAATTCGAGTGCGATAATTTAAACTTAAGTTATATTGAATCAGGTAAGTGGAAGAAACGGTTCAAACACTGACATAATTTGGTCCCACTATCAAGTTAAAATGACTAATCTTCTGCTCAAATAAATCGTCCCATGTTATTAAGATGTTCCTCAAATTCGAACTTTGGGGGATCCAATTTCCGCAAATTTTTTGTTCAGATAAGAATCGTGGAAAATCTCTGATAACATCCATTAACTTAATTAGGATTGATAAAAACTTTGATAGATGCATTGCGCTCTTTTTACTGTTATAGGTGCTATGCGCTATAGGATATTTATACATTATAGAACTAAATTACGGGGTATCAAACTCCATGGTTTTAACGATTAAAAATTAAATTCCGATTCATTATCTGATGAGGTTTCGTATTTCTTTTCATCTCTAGCATAATGAGGAGGTTCTGCTTTGGAAGAAATAGGGGATGATGATGGAGATTCAAATTCGAAATCAGAGACTTCTTCATCACTTTCAACATCGGAAACTTGTTGAGATGCATGTCTTGATTGATTTCTTGATGCAAAGAAACTTTGCTCGGCCGTAATAATTGCCCTGACTCTAGCTGGTAATATATCTGGTCTGTAGAATCTTAAATCGACTCTTCCTACCAAATACAAAACGTTAACTAAAACCTCAGCCACACCCCATGTCATATATGCAACTATAGGTCTGGCTAATGGACGGTTTACCCAAGCTTGGTCTGTCTGGAAACATACTATACCTCTCAAAACGGCTTCTGCCATAGTTAATAATGTAGTGATGGTGACGATGATAATAGATTTGTTATGTTCTAAAGTACCTCTTTGATTAGTTAACCCTTCAACCATATTATAATGATGATGAGTAGCAGCAATAACTCTTATAGCATGACGATGATTATGATTTCTCTTCATGAATGTTTCTTCTGCATCCCTTGCTGCGTTCTTTTTAACAAAGTAAAATGGACTGAATGATTCAATCCACCATGGTTGATAAGTATATAAGTTTTCATCTTTTCTAGTTGGTTTGAAGAAATAAGACAAGGCTAACAATGAGACAGCCGTTAATGAATATAAGAAAATCAAAACAGCTGAAGTCATGACACAAATTTGGTAATTTCTGTATGCTCTTGCACTCAAATAATAAAGATAAGGAACAGCTGAAGATACAATGGTTAAAACCACAACTAAAGCAACCAAACAATACAAGGCAAACATGGTGTAATTGAATAATCTTCTAGCACCACCTACTGGATGTCTCCAACTGAATAATCTTTGAGCCAAGATCAAATTGATGGTGGTTAAAAACACAGCAAAAATAATCAAAAAGACTTCACCTGCGATACCAGTATCAACCAAAGTAACGTCTGTGGCCCAAACGGCTCTCAATGCAAACCCTATGGTTTTACCCATACCATATAAAAACCATAAAAATGAAATATAAAAAAAATGACCCCTTGAAAAATTGACCAAAAATAATGTTAAATGACAAATCCCAATAACGAAAAATATAACACAGAATACAATCGAAGGGGCAATGTCACTTCTTGTTGGATAATTCCCATAAAGATTATTCAAATAACTTGCAGCTCTAACCACCACGGCTGGAGGCAAGTCATGTCCTAGTAAGTTTCTTGCTGTTTCTGATAATTTTTTCACTCCGGTACCATGGGCAGGTCCATTGTTGAGGGAATATATTAACAGTAATATTCCATCAGCAGCAGTATACTCTCTGGTCATTTCGTGATTATCAGATTTGGTCTATCGATGGGTATTTAAATAAAATCTCAGTTTCTCCACAATCGAAAAGGGTAATTTTAGAAACCTTAGGGTAGCACAAATGTCGCGATAGCTTAAATTTTGACTATGACTTTTGATTTGAATATGATCAAAATCCCTTAATTGGAAGCAACCGATATGAATGAATCCTCTTTATCTTCCAAGTAAAATTCATGAGATGTTCTAACGTCTACTCACTCTCGATATAAGAAAAGAATTGAAGAGCTAGGCTGAACTCAGCCGTCTGAAAATATCAAATGTCGCAAGGATCTCCAACCAATTTGATAACCCAAAAGGGTAATTTTTCAAACAAAAACTTAACTTTTCACCTCTAAAAAATATATGATTCTAATTCTGTATACTCTAAATAAATAAATTTTAATCAAGAGAAAAGGCATTCCTGGCCCTTCCTTCCTCTGATTTTGCACGAGTTTCTCTTCCACCCGTTTTAGTCCATTTTTGGCATTCAAAAATGGAATTCTGATTCATTATCACTGACACTCTCTGGGACACTGAGCTTCGATTCGTAACCATTATTTATTGGGGTATCATCATTACTACTGAAACCTGGTTTTTTATCTTTGGTATATTCACGGGAGTATTCGTCAGTCATGAAGTCATCATCATCGTCATAACTTTCATCGCTACTTTGTATTCTTGATAATGTAACAGATTGTTCAGCGGTGATGATACTTCTAACTTTCTTAGGTAATTTATCTGGACGGTAGAATCTCAAATCAACTCTACCAAATAAGAATAGCAAATTTATTATAACTTCAAAACCTCCCCAGAATACATACATGACAGATGCATGGGCAACAACACTTTGATTGATTACTTTATTTGATTGAAATACAACTATAGCTCTTAAAACTGCTGCAACGAATAAGAAAAGTGTTGATATGGATATGATTAAGATTGACTTATTATGCTCCAAATTACCTCTTTGATTGGTCAAACCTTCCACCATGTTGTAATGATGATGAGTAGCTGCAATGACTCTTATAGCATGACGATGATTATGGTTTCTTTTCATGAATGTTTCTTCAGCTTCTTCTTTGGCACCTTTCTTGACAAAATAAAATGGATGAAATGACTCGATCCACCATGGCTGATATGTATATAAGTTTTCATCCTTTCTTGTTGGTTTGAAAAAATATGATAACAACAATAAGAAAATAGCCGTTAATGAGTAAACAATAATCAATACTGCTGAAACCATAACACAAATCTTAAAATTTAAAAAATTACGAACACTCAAATTCGTAATATAGGGTTTCACTGACGCAACGACTGTCATTGCAACAACTCCAGCCACCAATGCATACAATGACCACATAAAATAAGTGAATAATCTTCTGGAACCACCAACAGGATGTCTCCAAGTAAACAATCGTTGAGTCAAAATCAAATTAGAAGGCACAACCAATACTGAGGAGATGACTAAAAGAATTTCATTTGCCAAACCCATATCAACATTAATTATATGATAACTCCATGTTATTCTCGTTACAAAACTTATCGCCCTTGTAGCACAGTAGACTGCCCAAAATAAATTAAAGTGGAAATAATGTTTTCTAGTTAAATTCACAATATAAAGTCCTAAGTGCATAACCATCAACAACAAGAAAATTCCTGCAAATATAGCGGAAGGTACTACATCACTAGGTTTTGGATAATCACCGAATAAATTATTCTGCATCAATATACTATAATCGACGAATATCTGAGGTAATCTAGGTCCTAATAGATTAGTTCCCCAGATTGAAAAGTATCTTATACCCGTTCCCGGATCGTTTCCATTATATAATGCATGGAGAAGGTCCATCACACCTGAGGTAGCATCATAACTATCATGGACATCACCATAGTACCTTACTATTTGTTTGATAGCCATTTTTCTGTGAATAAATAATCAGAGCCAAAAATTATACAAGCTGGATATTCTTTAAATAAATTTGTGGGTTCCTCGGGACGCTTGGTTCCAATTCACCGACAACTTTTAACCTAAATAATTGAAATATTAGATTCTAATTATGAGAATGTGAAAATCTTATTTACCGCATTCCTAATTAGGAACTGTTTATGCATTATGTCCAAAGTGGACCCCACCCGAAAAAATAATCTCAGGCACTATTAACACGTGATTTTGAACTTTGTTTTTGCAACCATTTACTTTACCACAAATTAATTTTGCAACCGTTGGTTGGTGAGGATAGCTACTTTGATATGAGTGTCAATAGTGATGACATATGTGAACAAGCTGAAGTTCTGGAACAGCCTGATGATCTTAAACAAAAGTTCCGGAAAAGTCTAGGGAAACTATGGAAAATTGCAGGACAACGAAATAGTAGTTTGATGATGTCCACCCTAATTATATTGGTAGCCATAAATTTAACAGGTTACTATTCATTATACTCCTTTGATTCTAATTTCCCTCCCGTTGATGTTGTTCGTGCATTGAATGAACCCGAGAGAATCAGGAATGGTTCAAGTGAGATCTACGAGTTTTTAGTCGATACCTACATAAGAAATGAAATGGTATACCTTGAAAACATTAACAGTATGACTATTCTGACAACTCCAAGATTATCTTTTAATAGATATCATAGCCGAATCGAATTCACTGATGGGTTCATTGAATATTCAAATCCTTCTAAAAGCTTGAGCCCTAATAGCTCATTGAATACTTGGGTAGGGTCCCTTTTGATTTATGATTTTGATTATAGTCCTTTTAAACTCTCCAGAAACCTCACATCCTTCAAGAATTTTAATAATCAGATCAACGTTTTATACAATAAGGAATACCCTATTATAAGAAACTCAGAAATATGGTATATGATCCACATATCCAACTTTTTAATCCTTGTTGCAACTATAATGATTTCCTTATCATTGTTCATGATCTGGCTGGATTTCAAGATTTTAAATGTTCTATTCTTTGCCTTTTTGTCTTTTGGGTTCATTGTTTGCTTTTGCTGCCAGTTTATTCAACTAATTTCGATTATCATATATCAAGCCAAGTTGAGTAATAGTAAATTCTTGAGGAAATTCTGCCTGTGTGTAGCAGGAATATTGTTCAACATACACAATGCTTATTATGTGTTTGACTATTTGGTTGATCACCTAGACTTAGCACGATTCTGGACTCAACAATGGAATAACCGATTCCATGGAAATTCAGACATTGAAAAAGGAGAAGATCAAGTTTCTCCATATCCCCAGTCAATTTTTACTAATAATTCACCCAAAGACTCTACTGATTCAACTCAACCAGATGAAAATGGCTTTTACCCTTTGACACCCCAAAGGGCTAGGATCTCGGATTCAGATAAACCATCAAGTGAGTATTCGAACGACATACAATCACCCGTAGGACCCCACTGTTCTCCTACAGATTCAGAGATACCGGAAATTGCAGGAATGAGCTGCATCAGCTTAGATCCTCGTCCCAATAGTGGAATAGAACAATTTCCGATTCTTAGAGGTAGGAATGTGACATATAGTGGTGCTATAAAACACCCAGGATCTTCAAATCAGTATCAAACAAGAGACAGGGTTGTGACCGCTCCAGAGTTAACTTCTCCTGTACTTAGTGATCCTACGAGCAGTGATTTTGGCCATTTTGAACAAGAATTATCCAAAACTCCAGATCAATCCCGATTCATCGAGGATGTGACCTCTAAGACTACTAAGCCAAGAAAAGGAGGACTGGTGGTTCAACTGTTGGTTGAAAGTTTTCAGAATACATCTGATTGAAGGACAAAAGTACGTTCATTTATATATACAAGTTTTAGCTAGAATCATTCATCTGTACCTTCCTCTCTATTAATCGTTATCATTTCTTCCAATGAGGGTTTAAAGGGCCATAAATCAAACTGTTCAATAACTTCTTTAACCTCATCACTGGTCAATTCTCTCACAGTTTTGTGTAATAAATGTCCCAAACGGGGAATTAAAAACTCTTCTGCTCCAGGCCCCAAGTAAGCTAAACTCTCTCTTAAAGGGGTTGCCTTTCTGAATAAAAGAATTTGCGTAACGTATTCCAATGTGGGGATATCGATATCAATGTTTTCTTTAGGAATAACCTCTACTACTGCAAATCTGTTAGCTGGGTATAATGAATATGAAGGTAGAATTATAGGTTGATCTTTGAGTAACACATTAACATCATAATCGCATCCATCTGGTTGATGAGTAGTTCCATTGCTTTCGTTTATGGCAATTAATTTCGTATCAGTGAAAAGTTCAAGCTTGATAGCGGTTCTGTTTCTGAATCTGGAATATGGCTTGGATAAAAACTTCCTTGCAGATACTTCTGGTATTATGAAGATCATTCTCACTCTACCGTACTTCTGGAGCCAATTTTGATGAGCAGAGCACATCATCCATTGAGCAAATAATGCTTCACCCCCTGGACATGAAGCCAAGTTAGCAAATATCAATAACTCGTCATGAATTCTATTTCTTGGTTTGGTTTTTGGACTTATTATACCGTTATTAACAATGTCTGTGTAAATTTCCCATTTAAATCCATTTAAGTAATGATGATCAAACGTCAAATCTGTTGATTTATAGGGATCTTTATTTAACACTTCTCTCAATTGGTGGAACGATTTCAAAGCGGCCATCAGTGTTTCTAACATGACGTGGTTTTTAGGTTTCAAATCGTAGTTCAACATTGATGAGAAATATCCATTACCACTATATATATCTACAACCTCTAAAGATTTCGATGCTTCTGGATATTTTGACTTCAAATCGAGTTTATCCAACAATAGTTGAGGATATTGTGGTTCAAGAAAATTCTTGGTTAGACCAAGAGATACTGGGGTGGGACGAAACCCCTTTAATATAGGATTTAACGATCGTAGACTCATTTGATCTCTAAGATTTTCTACAAGCATCGCGAACTTTAGCACATCATGTCTATCAATAGAGTGCAACTTAAAGATAACCATATCCAATGTTTAGAGACCAACTGTCTTCCGTTTGAAACCACTACAGGTGAAACAGTGGTTTATGGCTCAACTTCCAAAAGACAAAGTTTATCCATAAGTCTGAAATTAAATTCACCCCTTAAAATCAATTCTAAGGATGGGGTAATCTATGTTACTAACAAGAGGCTCATATTCATAACAGTTTCTTCGGGAGATATAAATTCATTTCAGATCGAATTCAGAAATTGCCCAATTCTTCAATTCTCTCATAAAATGCAATCACCATGGTTTGGACCAAATTATTATGAGTTCTTATTTTTGAGTAATGATGACACTAATATTTCTGATGGGTTCCCTAAGAATGAATGGTTCAAAGGGGAAATCAAATTCAATGATGGTGGATTATTTGAATTTGTAGACAAAGTGAATCATAGCTTGAACGATTCTGTCAATAATCCCCAGGTAGATGATCAATTACCAGCGTATACACCAGTGTAAGTAAATAGGGTTTTGGATAGAAATATAAGGTGAAAGGGTAAAAATCAATACATTATACATTTATTAATCTATAGTTAACAATTATATTACAAGATTAATCTATGATTAATCAAAATTGAGTCCTTCTGGTAATTCATCATCCATTAAATTATTGGACAAGGAATCACCAAAAGCATCCATTTTATCGAACTCGGAATCAGAGTTTTCTGTTTGTTTCAAAACATCTGTACCGAGTTCTAAATCATCAAGGTTACCAACTGAATCACCTGTCATTGGTACAGAATCTGGAGCCATTGAATCAGATGCAGAAATTGGTTCTGAGGTTGGTGGAGCCGTTGATTGTGGGGCTGTTGATTGTGGAGCTGTTGATGATGGAGTCATTGATTGTGGAGCTGTTGGTTGAGCATTTGATTGGATGTTCATCGAACCAGAAGCATTTTTCAAATTCAAAGGTTTCAATTTATAAAGTTCATCAAAATCTGATAAATCCAAGATTTTATTCAATTCTTCTTCTGACAAATGACTTGAAAATTCTCGAACTTTATCCATGGCCAATTTCTCTAATTCCACAGCATCTTGATAAACTATTGAACCTTCTTCATTATAAATTCTAGCATTACTAAAAATTAAATGAATATCCTCAACTAATTCTCGAATATTGGTATAAGTTCTAGAATTGATTCTCTTTTTCACAATATCCAAAGCAAGAGGATGTTTGATCAATACATAATAATCAGGATAATGCTTCTTTGAAGGCTTAACTAAGAACAACTCACTCAATTTTCTGTCATGTTCATTCTTATAATTCAAAACCAATTCATAGATAGCTTCACTGATAGTTTGTAAACTTTCACGATCTTCAGGACTTAAAGGATCCACAGTTGGAGTTGAACGATTTAATGTTGAGCCTCCTCTACCTCTTCCTCTTCCACGACCTCTACCACGACCTCTTCCACTACCTCTTGTACTTGGAGTGGATGATCTTGGTCTTTTAGGTTCACCATTAATTGAATCACTGGATCCCATTCTTTTCAAAAGTCTTCCTTCATCATCAGAATCAACAATAAAATCTCTCATATCATCATCCTCGTCACCTTCAGATTTCTTAGGTTTACGAGCTCTTGGTTTACGTTTAGGTTTAAGATCATCATCATCCATATCTTCATCAGAAACAACCCCATCAATTTGTCTCAACCATTGTTCTTCAGTTAAATTATCATCATATCTGAAAACTTTTCTTTCTCTGTTACCTCTACCATAATCTTCCATTTTAATTTCATCCTTTTTAATCAATAATTCAGGATCTTTTTTATAGATTTCTGGTAATTCATTTTCACTGAACAATCTAGTTGGATAAACGGCTTCTCTTGTTTCAGTAACCCTTCTATCATCAAGAGCTTTAAAAACATCCAATTCTCCATCATTTCTGGCAATGACTTGATTTAATTCGTCATCATCTAAATCATCATCCTCATCATCATGATTCAACTTTCTTTCTTCTTCCTTTTCAATCAAAGCTCTTAACAAAGCTTCTTGTTCTTCGGCAGTGGATTTATTATCGAATTTACCTGCTTGAATAACTTTCCCATCAATTTCTAATTTGGCATGAGCTCTTTCTAAAATCATTTCTTCCACTGAATCTTCGGTAATTAATCTTAAAATTCTAACTTCATTCTTTTGACCAATTCTATGAGCCCTATCTTGAGCTTGTAAATCTTGATGAGGATTCCAATCAGTATCAAAAATAATAACTGTATCAGCAGTTTGTAAATTAAGACCTAACCCACCAGCTCTAGTTGATAAAAGGAAACAGAAATATTCTGAATCAGGAGCATTAAATAATTTCAAAAGGGAAGTTCTATCATCAGCTTTTGTAGCACCATCTAATCTCATATATTTCAAATTTCTTAATCTTAAGAAATCTTCCATAATATCCATAATTTGTGTCATTTGAAAGAAAATTAATACTCTATGACCAGTAGCTTTAAATTTTGGTAAAATTCTATCTAATAATTCAAATTTACCTGCAACTCTCCAAATATCATCATTGGTTTCTGATACTGGATTAATCAAATTTTCAACTTCTTCATAAACAAAAGGATGATTACAAATCTTTCTTAATTGCATAATTTGATTATTGGCATTCTTAATAGTTACAGGTTTACCATCTTCATCACCAGCATACAAGATATTATATTTCAACATTTGTTGATATAATTTTGATTGAACGGCTGACATTTTACATTTAACCACTTTTTCAACTTTACTTGGTAAATCTTTTTCAACATCTTTCTTTAATCTTCTTAAAAGGAAAGGTCTCAAGACTTTATGTAATCTTCTGATAATCAACAAAGTTTCTTCTTCAGTTAAAGCAATCTTATCTTGACCTCCGGTATTAGCAAATGGAGTATTAAACCATTCATCAAAAGACTTAACGGAATTGAAAATCTTGGGTAAAACGAAATTTAATAAAGCCCATAATTCAGGTAAATTATTTTGTAATGGAGTACCAGTCAAAATCAATCTATTATCACTATGATAAGAATGAGTTAAAGTTTCAGACAATTTGGAATTACTATTTTTCATTCTATGACCTTCATCAATAATCATATGAACCCATTTAACTCTTGATAATAAAGCTTTATCTTTAATGATATATTCGAAAGTTGTCAATAAAATTTGGAAATTACCACTTCTAACTTCATTGGATAACAATTTTCTTTGATTAGGTGTACCTTTGTAAGTAATTTTCTTAACTGAAGGAGCCCATTTATCGAATTCAATATTCCAATTGGTTAATGTAGATAATGGTACAATAACTAAAAATGGACCAGGGACTTTTTTAACCTCAACTAAATAAGTTATTAAAGAAATGGTTTGAATAGTTTTACCTAAACCCATTTCATCAGCTAAAATCCCATTTAATCTATTATTAAATAAAGATACCATCCATTGTAAACCTTTCAATTGATATTCTTTCAAAGTTCCTCCAACTAAAATGGTTGGTTGTTTAGTAACATCTTCTTTGATACGATGAGCAACATGATAATAATCTAATTTTTCACGTCTTTCATCATCTGTCATACCATCATCGAATTTTTCATCGGAGGCTCCAGCTTCTCTTTGTTGATTTTGAACTGCTTGAGCTAAAGAATCCAAGAAAGTATTAGTTTGTTTTAATAATTGAGTAATTCTGGTATCTTTGGTATGATCTAATAATTTCAAATATGCTTCTTCATCATTAGATTTCAAAGCTTGTAAACGTTGTTTAGCCATTTTTTCTAATTTCTTTTGTTCTTCTTTAGCTGTTTGATTATGGAAACTACTAATTCTATTAGTAAATCTATCAATCTTTTCACGTTTTATATAAGCTTTATCATTTTGTCTACCTATAGATGATAAAATATCAGTGATGATACTTTGATGTTTTTCATTCTTTTCAGCTAACAAACTTTGAACTTGTTTCTTATATAATTCATGACTTGATGCAATGTTTTCCAATGTCAATGGATTGAATTTTGCTAAGAAATTTGGATGAGAATTTGGTAATAATGATTTATTAAACCAAATATGTGATAAATATGAACCTCTCAATTGTTTTTGGAGAGGAAGTAATTCCAATTTATTGATTTCCATGATTATTTGATCTTTTGAACTTTCATCTTGAACATAATTCAATTGTTTCCTTAAGTAACTTAATCTTTCATCAATTTTTAATAGTATATAAGCTTCTCTATTACTTTTAATTTCTTTCATATCGATACCTTCAGGAAACAATCCAGGATAAGTATATCTTGATTGTTGGGAATACAATTTTTGATAGGGAATATCTTCAACTTTTTCATCAATTAATGAAGGAAATTCAAAACAATCAACTTGAATCATTGGTTGATCAATTGGAACAATCAATTTATCATCAACATTTTCAACTGTTGGTAAAAATTCATTAATTGGTTTAGGAACTTGAGGTTTGAAAGGTATAACCACAACATTACTATTACCATTTTCTTCTCGTTTAAGAGCTGGAGAATTTGAAGCATTTGAATTTCTTGATTTAGAACTGGCTCTTTTGTCTAAGGTTGCAGTTTTTAAAGCTGAATTCTGTAAGTAAGGACTTTGTGATTGTTTACCAAGACTACCACTTCTTGATTGATTGGGAATCTGTGATGGTTGTGGAGGTATTTGATTGGAAGCTGAAATATTCATAACTGGAGTTGGAATACTACTTTGACTTACAGCTGGTGATTGATTTTGAACCATTGATGAATTGACTGATGAAAGATATGGTGCATTTTGAGGTACAGCATTTCTATCATTAGTTGCAAATTCGGTTAATTGTTGGGGTATTTGGGGAGTTCCTGGTGCAGGATTCTTAAGTAAGACTTTTAATGCTTGTTGATGAGTTTTTAATAATTGAAATTGAGTACCTGTGAAAGCTGAACCTTGATTATTAGCTGGTGATTTATTGAAATTATTCATATTATTGCCCATTGAATTATTACCCATAGTGTTTCCCATGGAGTTATTCATATTATTTCCCACTGTGTTACCCATATTATTATTCATGGCATTACTAGGCACAGAATTCATTGGATTGGAAGGTGGTTGATTAGATTGTTGATTTTGGAATTGTTGGAAGTTGTTCATTGAAGGGCTTCCAAAATTCGAATTCCCACTATTCATATTGCTGTTCATGTTATTGTTCATATTGCTATTCATATTACCACTCATGTTACCACTCATGTTACTATTCATATTGTTATTCATTAAATTCGAATTAGATGATGAATAATTCTGATTATAATTTCCATTACTATTTCTGGAGTTTTGGAAATTTTGTGGTTGCTGTTGATTCATGTTCTGTTGTTGTCTTTGAGTTTGTTGCTGAACGTATTTAATCATCTTTGTTAATTGAATATATTCAGGTACTGAATGAGCATTATCACCATATTCATTTCTTAATTGTTGCCATCTTGCCACTATCTTCTGCAACTCCTCTTTCCCAAACTGTTTATTCATGACGAGACTTTTAACTTGGTAAAAAAACCACCTACTAAATGATAATTAAATAGATAGATTATTCACTCGTATCCGATAATCTGTTTACCAGTAATTGAAATATTTCTTCGAGGGATAAAAAGTAGTGCGCGCTGGAAGTTTTTAATCTCCTGTATATTGAGTACTGGCAAGCATTTAACAGTTAAAAGGTTGCAACAAAAAGAGATAGATCAAAGATATGAATTAAGAGTGATATATTCATTATAAGAGATATTAAGGTTTCCAAAGTTTACCTTGACCTCTAGGAGCATAATTGATGGCATTAAAACGTTCTTTGATAACCATTTCACCATTTGTTTCTGATCTAACTTCCTCAGTAACTCCTTGAACAGGTTTCGTTCGATTCCATAGGGTGTTTTTCTTCGATGATTTGGGTCTATCAAGTGAAGTATATTCATAAACTGATGTATCAATAACATCTTGTAAAATACTATTATGGTGAGGTTCATCTTCGAGTGAATGATGAGGATTATATAATTTATTAACATCATAAGATTGAAATATCAATAATTCAGCTTCATTAACATTCATACAATCCATATCGAAACTTGAACCCCAAATTTTGATGATAGGGTCTTCGGTTACTAATTTCCATTCTTCCATTGGATCATTGATTTCATGCTTTTGAATAAATTTCTTAAATATGCATGAACTTATAAGATATTTTAATCTTGATGGCATCCTGGCATACTTTTCAGAATTTTCAGCAGCTTTTTGAAATGATTGGGAATTTTCATATTGGATATCATTAATATTATTATATTCTGATGGATCTAAAGGTCTGAGTAATTCCTTCTTCTTACCTATTAGACTTGAATCGAATTTAGTTTTGAAGTTAGGGAATTCTTTGACTTTAGGACTATGAATTTGAAATTTTTGGCATTTGCTCCATGGGAATCCTTTTTCTTGTGGGCTTTCAATAATTAAATTGATAGTAAAGTTTTCCAATATGGAATTTTCTGTTAAATCTTTTTCAAATAGTTCATCAATAAATCTAATGGATTGTCTTGTGAATGTAGATATTATGGATGACCCTTTCTTTAAATAATCGAATTCATGAAGGGTATATGAAGGTATGTAAAGAGTTATGATATTCTTTTGATTTTTTATTCTATCATCTCGACCCTTCACATATTCCTTATTGTACCAACGTTTGATGTTCCCAATTCCTCTTGTAAAAGAAGAAGAGTCAAGGATTAAATTAATTCTTCTTTCAGGTACTCCTTCAATGTTCTTCTTATCTTTGAATGTCCATTGTTCGTCTTCAAAACCATTTATGTCCAGATCATGCTCTGCCATGATTAATGGGAATGAGGTGCGAAAGCTCTAGTTAAGTCGATGAAGGGTTTAGAGAGTACAAGCACTTTCATAACCCTTCCATTCAAAGATATCTGGAATTAAGAGATGTTTTTCGAATTAGTTTTAGAGATGGAGAATCAAGTTTTAACCCGATTCAAATGATCTTTAAACCCTTTCATATTCGAGTTTGTGCCATCCATTTGGTGGTTCAACTTTGTAAGTTTCATTCTTCACCTTTGAGCAATTGAGGTTTGTTGCTTCCATTTTGTTATCAGAAATGATTTCCTATTTTCAATTGCCTGTATTGTTAGTATAATTACTTTTATAATCAATGATCAGAAAATAGTCATAAGTTGGAATCAATAAACCGAAGTTTTAATATTAGAGATGCCAGAAAAAACATACAAATGAAATAAAATTAATCATCATATTGAATAAGTAACATACCAATTGTTTAAATAGTCAAAGTTTCTAACTGTTAAATGTTTTGAATCTGTTGAATAGAAAGATTATTTCGAGCAGAGCAAAAAATTTTATAGGTGGTCGTGTCCCCTCAAATTCTTTAACTATGAAGAGTAATTTACATTGTATAACTTTAGGAGACTGGTTTATTGGCTCTAATAAGAAGATGTTATAATTTGAAGGACTTGAAAAGTCTTTATCATGGGTTTGTGTCATACTTTGGGAAGAGGTTTTTTTTTGCATTTTTATTTATTTTTAATTCATACCGATTCTGTAAAATTCACCAATTTAAACCAAAATCTTTATCGAAATTTTTGTAAGTATCATTCAAATCGAGTCTTTTCAAGGTTGGATTGTTTGAAACAAAATCATCTTCCAACTGAGATACTTCTTCATATAATTGAATCATTTTAGCATGAGTATCTTCAAGGTCTTTATTGAAAACCTCTTGTTTTGCAACCAATGCTTTCTTCCAATCCTTGAAACGTTTTTCTTGACTTCCAATAATAACATTAAACATTTCCTTCAATTTGGATTCTTTGTATTGTAACACTTCGTCCTCATCTTTAGTATCTTTGACGTAATCAGATGACTTATAATTATAATAAACTTTCATTTCATTTCCCTCAGTTTCACTATCGGCAGAAATAGACAATTGGGTAAAATTCTTCAAACAAATATCGCTTAAGAAGTTGGTACGGAAGTGTTCGTAAGAAGTTTCTGTTGATAAGATGAAATCAAGCATATTCTCACTTATAAGAATTTGCTTTATGATATTGAAATCACAAAATGATTCATTTTCGATTTCAACAGATCCCCAAGGGTATTTTCTACCTCTGACCATTTGACCATTAGAATTTTCAATCAAATCATTAGAACCAATGAATGAAAAAGGTGATTGGTCATTGATTCTCTCACATAAGTCTTCGTCATTCAAGAAATCACAAATCTTGATATTATTCTCACGAAGAATATGTTTGAATTTCATTTTATAATCTCTGATTTCTTCACTATTCAACACATCACATTTACCAATTATTGGAATCAAATTGATAATTGAACTCAAAGATTTAATGGTTTCAATATCCAAGAAATTTAATTGTTTGATATTATTAGGTAAAACGTAAATACAACAATGAATTCTATTATCCCACTTTCTGACTCTTAGAGGCTGTTGGTCCTGAAATAAGTATAATCTGAATTGTTGTTGAATGAAATTTTTGATTGGAATCCAAGTACCATCATTATCGATATATTGACCAAATCCTGAAGTTTCAGTAACATTCAAATTAAACTTAAAATTATTTTCAATCAATTGGAACTTATCATATGAAAGGAAATCTTGACAATAATTGGGGTCTTTTTTCAATAATTCATAATCGAATAAAGTATTGATGAATGTTGATTTACCAACACCTACTTGACCAGCAATTAATAAATTGAATTGACCTCCTTTTCTATAAGAGAATTTTTGTCTTTGATCTGGTAATAAACATAATCCGACTTTTTTATTGTTATTCAGTTCATGAACAGAAATAACTTTTTCATCAGAATAATCACTTTCAGTTTCTTCACTTTCATAAAATTGAATAGGAGGAACAATCCTCTCAGGAGATAACAACTTATGAGGTAATTCAAGTAAAGTTTCCAGAGGAGGAATCATCTGCATAGAATCCTCACTATCAGGTCTTTCGAAAGTTACTTCAGTCATAATCTTATTAAACTTATTATGAGATACTTGTTGTGGATATCAGCCACAAACATTTTTTTTGCAACCAAAAGAGAAGTGCGCAGCTCAATTTGGTGATAACCCAAGAATATTTTGCAACATATTGCTTAACCAAGTCTAGACTTATTTTTAACACCGTAAATTCCCCAAAATACAATAGCCTAAAACAAATATCTATTATTAGGCGTATGTCCCATTTGAGATATAAGGTATAAAAGAAAAACAAATTTAAAATATTTCCTCAATCATACTATCAATATTACCAAATTGAGAACATTTCATAACAAATTTAATTTGCATGGATATGAATGGGTCTACTTAATTTTGAAAGAGTAATATAAGTCATTATTTGTCGATTGTTAAACAACTGAGAATAAAAATTCCTTATTGTTTAAATTTGAACTGTTACCACATTCTCACTTGAAAAATCTCCGGTTAGTTGTTTTTATCTGGCATTATATTAATTACGTTTCCTTAAACATCGCCTTGAAATTTACTTCATTTTTTTCGAAAAACATCTTCCTAGGTTTTAATTAACATCAATTGAATCATCAACTACTCATCAATCATCAATTAGTTTGAAATCATCCTTATATCCAGATGAGTAGACCGATTTTAAAAGCTAATAAGTGGATGGATGATATCCTTAAGTCATCTCCTTATGATTATAATAAAGCAAGAAGTAGATCACAGTCTCCGAATAAATCAAATAGAAAATCACTTCCTCCAGGGTTTGAGATGAAATTACCTTCATTACCATATGTTTATTCTGATGATTTAAAATCCATGTCATCCAATTCATCTTCGAATAATTCCGGAAGTTCTGTTGCAAGTGAAAAGTTGAAAGAGTTATCTAAATCCCCAATATCCAAGAAATTACATATAAATACTATCGGCGATGGCCATCATGTTATACCAATTCCTTTCACTATTAACTTACCTCCAAAATTGAGTCCAAAAAATCGAAAACCAAGATCACCTTCACCTGATAGGAATTCAAGATCCCCTTCACCTTCCAAGTCAAAGCCCAAACGTTCAAAATTAGTATTTACCGGGGTTTCATATGAAAAAATTGATAATTCATCGTCTGAAGATGAAGTTGATATTGAAAAACAACAAAATGATCATATAACTCAAATTGAATTGGCTAAAAGAAGATTAAGAGAAATGGAATCAAGAGATGATTCTAAGAATTTTGCATCTAAACCATCATCAGCTAGTTATTCACTCCAATCACCACCTTCAAGTCCAAAGAAGACTGGTCCTCCATCAGTGAATTCAAATAAACGAAAATCGGCTAAAAGTACCATCCAAGCAAGACAATTGAACCAAGATGAATTGAGTATTATTGAAGAACAATCACAATCAGGTAGTAATAATAGTTCAAGAACTTCAAGTTTGAGAGATAAATCAGAGGATAAAAGCTTACCATCAGCTCCTATGGAACAAATTATTGAAATTCAACCTCCACTTTCACCCGAAAGAGGTCGTGAAAGAGGTAGAATTAATAATTATGGTTCACCAATTCAAAAAACCAATTCCACATTCAATTTGAACCAAATGTTATCTCCACCTTCAAACACATCAGCTCCTAATTCACCATCACCTCAAACCAGAAACTTATCTGCACCATTACCCCAATCAAGACCTCAATCACAATCCCCTGTAAGAACCAATGTCCGAATGATGAATCCAGGTGCCATAATGAGTCAAGATTCTTTAAACAAAGACTTACCTCCAATTGCTCAAAAGATATCAATCCCCAGATACATGACTGAAGGAGATATTTCAAGCTTCAGAAATCCAAACTCACCTATCAGAAATACCCACAATCAAATTTTACAAATTGAAAAACGTAGTTTCAGTGATGAAAGTAAAGTATCATCAGTCAGTTCATTCAGTACTGTTACCGATGCCATTAGTTTCTCCAGTAAACTTCAACATGAGATTAAACAACGTAATTTCAGTGGTGAGTCAGTAGAATCTGATGGTTCAACCCTTTCAAATGGATCTAATGAATCTTGGGATTCAGTACAAAAAAGTATTGATTTGACCATTAGGGAATCTGATTTGGAAAGTGGTGATAACTATTCTGAAGAACCAGACTCTGAGGTTTCTGAACAAATTCTTGATTCACCAATAGAATTTAAAGAACAAATTGTTCATAAATCAGTGGCTCATATTCCAGTTATCACAGACTCCGATAATATTGAACATTCTAGAGAAGTGGCTTTTGAAGAAGCTAATGCTACAATTGATACTGAAGCCGGAGAAAGTGGAATTGCTGATTATTATTTGAATATGAATGAATCAGAGGATGAAACAGAGTTGGAAGAAGAACAGGAAATACCAGAGCCTCAGGTATTGAAAGATGTAAGACAAGAGTCAGAATGGGAGTCAACATCAGATTCAGCTGATGAATCTCAAGAAACTATTGAATTCCAAACCAATGGTGTCGAAGAGAAAGAAGTTAATGTAGGGGTAGGGAAGAAATTCGATTTCCCCAACAATTTGAATAATATCACCAACTCGGACATAACCAAGAAGAGAATTATATCTAGTGAAACTTTCAAATCAGGAAAATCACATTTCAGTTACTTTTCTGCCATCGATGGTCAAATAGAGATACCAGATTTGAGTGAAGCTTCATTTAGTGAAGCAGGTACCATAAGAAGAGAAGCGTACATGTCTGTGAATGGTACCAGATTCAACGATTTGGTTTCTGATAGTGAAAGTGAGCAATTGGAACCTATTGGAATCCCCAGTCAAAAAGGAAGAAGAGTTGTTACCGAACAATTTAAACATTTATACGGCAGTGATGACGATGACAGTGATATCGGATCAACTAATTACTCATTGTATTCTAATGCTGTCAAATCCAAATCAACATCTAACTTGTTATCAGACAAAAAACTTCCCCCAATTCCTAGTGATAATGAAATGATCAGAAATCAAATCCAAACACCAATGAGACAGAACATTAGTCATAATAGACTGCATAGTCGTCATAACCGTAATAAGTCTTTGGGAAAGATCGAATTCAATTTAGCTGACTTACAAAAACCAATTGAAAAAGCTCAACCTTTGGAACAATCTAGACCAATGGAACAAGCCAGACCAATTGAACAAGCTAAACAACAAGCTAAACCAATCGAACACACATTACCAAGAGGAATAGAATCAAAGGAACAACCAAAACAATCTAGTGAACCAATAACACCAGTAGATGACCAATTTAATATCAAAGTAAACGACCCACCAATGCCAATTGATTACAAAGTTGATTTCAAAGAAGCTGCAAAAGTCAGAAATGAATTCAGATCAATGACTCCAACTATGAATGAACTCCGAAAGGTAAAATCGAAGAAAGTTCCATCTAAAAAGTCAGATACTAGTGAAAGTAGTTATGTCACCAGCAGATCAGGTAAACAAAGTGATACCACTGATTTATCTGATACCGAAAGTGTAATGATAGATTTAACCAAAGAGAAGTATGATGTTTATACCATTCAAAGAAACAATTCTACTCAATCATATAGATCGGTCACCGAAAGTTTTGGAGGTAAAGAAGTGGAAGTTGTTTTGGTTGATGATGATGAAAGAGATTTGGAAAGTATTTATTCCAAATATGGTAAGAATTGGCTAGGAAGAAGTGAATCTACTAGGTCAGATAGATCATCTACATCTAGTTCCTTTTCATATACTTCAATGGCAAGTCAAGGACAAATTAATGTCAAAGGACCAATAACACCAGTTAGAAGTTACAATTTGAAGAAAACTTCATCCATCAATTCTACTACCAGTAGTAAATATAATTCTAGAAGAATTAAATTACCAAAGAAGGTTGAAGAAGTGGAAGAAGAAGAAAAATATTTCGATTACACTAAATCAACCAGTTTTTATGATTTTAATACTTTCATAAATGAAAAAAATAAAATAGGGCAATAGAGCAAATAGAAATTAATTAGTGTATAATATATGCTAGGATCGTATCGTTGTCGTTATGTTATCTCTCTGTAATGATGGATAAGTGTGGTTAGTCTTAGATGTCATATTCATCTTCTTCGTTAAAATTAGATTCGTCTTGTTCGTTGAATCCTTCAGGTTGATTATAAATTCCTTTATCAGGGTTTTTATATGAATTGTAGTAGGTAACAGTCTTATTAGACATTTGAACTTTGTTGCTACTCAAATTGGAACTCATGGCCATTTTTTTAGGCTTTTTGTTGAAAGAATTTGATCTCATGAAGGAACTAAATTTGATGGATTTATTCAATTTATCAAATTGTGATAATAACTCTTCATTGGCATCGAAATCAAAATCTTCAGGTAATTGATTGATTTCATCTATAAGGTCTTTTTCTAGTTCGTTCAATTCTTGATCATACTCTTTGGTAGATTCTAATAAATCATCATTGGATTTAGTAGAAGAAACAATCTTGGAAACGCTGCCAAAATTCAAATCATTATCTAATTGAGGTAAAGATAAATCTGAGGCAAATGAATCTTTCCGATAGTTTTTAGGACTGATATGAATATTAGATTTTTGAATCGTTTGAAGAAAATTCATCATATTTTCGATTGAATTTCTTTTATTTCTTTGTCCTTCTTCATTATCGATTTGTAGATTTTCTAATAAATTCATCATTTCATTGATAGATTGTCTATTGATCTTCTTTGGTAAAGAATCCCGAGAATCCAAACTCTTGAAAGATTTCAATTCTTCTGATAAATGAGAGTTATTCTTCATATGACTGATTTTCAATGGAGTAAGTTTGGCTGAGGTATCTTTAGTTCCTGAATTTGGAGGATATTGGAAATCTTTATTTTGTTCATAATTCAACATGTTGAGGTTGGCTTCATTCAACTCACCTCCAAATTTTAAACCTTCGTCAGTGATCCCTAATCCTCCATCTTCTTGAGTAATAAACTCCTCATCACTTAAATCTTCATCACTTTTCAACAAATCTATTTCATCGATTGAAAGATGAAAACTTCGAATTTTGGACTTATATTTGGCAATGTGAACGTTAGGGCTAAAGTTCTTATACCTTCCATTATTCAAATCACCACCAATGGTCAATCCATTAATTAAAGGGGAATTCAAATCAAACAATTCTAAATTGTCGTATGATTGGTATTTCGGGCTTGGAAGTTCCTGTCCTCCATCAATATCTAAATAATCCTCTAAAATTTCATATTCATCATTGAACAAATCTTGGCTCGAATTATTGGGAATTCCTTCAATAGATAAATGATAAGAATGATTGAAAGGGATCTTGTTATGAGGTAAAGTCAAAATTGATTCATTCTCGAAATAGGCTTGGTTGTATCTTCGGTTACTCTCCTCATTGGCTTGATATTCTTGAATATAATATGAATCGTGTTCGTGATCTTCTAAATCTTCGTCATAATCATAATCCTGATAATTCTCATCATCATAATCTTCAATATGACTAACAAGTCGTTTATCAATATCTTCGTCTTGTTCCTTTTGCAAGCCGGAATAACTTGAATAGTCGTCAATATCATCATAAATATCATCAGAATCTCTATCTGACATTTTATCACCAGTGAATTTAGGTTCTTCATTATAATCTCCATCATCAAATTGGTCAATGTAGTTTATTTCTTCTTCATCATTATCAAAATCATCCAATCCATTGTTTTCGTAATCGTAATCGTCGTCTATGTCTAAATCCTCATTCTCAAAATAATGAGTCTCTATCTCCTTCTTTGGTTTAGGCTTTGTCTTATAATACTTGATGGAAGTGTTTCTACCTCCCTTCATATCTTTGACAAATGAAAAGTTCGAGTCGTTAGATTCCATTGAATCTGATGATCCATTGAAATTTGAAATCTTGGTCCTTATTGAAGAGGCGGATCTCGTTCCGATATTTCTTATACTGTTTCTCTTGGATTTGGTGGATCTTATGCTAACTTTACGTCTCGATGATTCGGTATGGTCGTCTGTGTCGTTACTTTTATTTTTGGTGATGATTTTCGATGTACTTCTTTTCAAATCATTTAGCGAGTTTAATGTGGGAATGATTTTGTCACTTAATCTCAGAAACCTTGAATTTTCACTGAAATTCGACCCTCTAGTTAACAAACTTGGTCTTGTACTTGTTGGCAAGTCTGTAGATGAACTATTATCTTTATAATTTAAAGAATTACTCGATGCATAATCCCCTACTTCACTTGATGTCCTTCTTTTGTGGAATAAATGCTTAATAGGCATTAACAATTTCTTGGGGGAATTGGAATTGTTAGAAGTCGGTGATTGATTCAAAATCGGTGATGATAAAGGTGTCGGGATTGACCCAGTTGACTGGAGCGATTCACTCCGTTTATGTGTTTTTATAAATGATTTCATATAAGTAAACTCACTTGATTTTTTTATCGCGAGGAAACTCCTATTCCCTATATTTCACTGAAAAATTCAGGGAGGTTATAAAGGGGATGTTTAAGTTAAGAAATTTGAAAAATTTGGTTGTTCGAATTGACTTGGTGGTTTCTTACAGACTGAATTAATAGTTTTCTTCAAGAGGAAATTTCTCCTAACCACCAACTCTATCAATTACAAGGCATTGTTTAACAATAGAGCCGTTTTATTTGAGAATTTTGATCGATATTTTCAGAGTCTCGAAGTTCTGATAGAGTGAAACATGTTAAATTGTAAAAAAATAAACTGGTTGAACCCTGGAAATTATTTGGAACGTAAGGAATTAAACTTTTGGTTGTCAATCTGACATCTTTCTAAGAATAGAAACAAATGATGGGGTGGGTTTCGGTCGATGAATCTTGGACAGAAATTGATGTCAATTAATTTTTCGGATTGCAACATGAAACTCCAAAGAGTCAATTACTCTAAATGTTTCAAGTCATGGAGTATAGTTCACTGCAAAGTCTCTATCATCAACTTCAAACCTTCATACTCCACTTTATTTTTTTCGCAACCACGACCAAAAAGGGATAAGCAGACATTTGATATAGGAAAACCCTGGGGGTAAAGAATCACATAAATCCTTACAATTAGGGTTTATTCAAATTGGGGTTGCGTTCTGTTTAACTTGTATCAGGAATTCGTACATGCTCTTAGAACTGGCTATTTCATCACGAGATCAATGGTTTTGTGGTTTTACCTCGATCTCAAGATGTGATAGGGCCCCAAGAGATCCTCAATAGACTGGTAACCAACTAGACTGAAATCTAGCTAACAGGAGGTAAATTTTTTGGATTTAAAATACGAACAATTCGTAATATGATTGACAAAGATGAACAGCTAGAGTCTGATCAGAAAGACGTTCATTCGATAAACGAACGGGGACGGAGGTTCCATAGATAACTCTTCGGATCTGTTTCGAATAGGTCCGGGGCTGTAAAAGAGTCTGGATCACCCCCAGGGACCTGAAACCGATCATTGAGAATTACACATTAAATCGGTCCAGTATTTTTTATCAATGAGAATAACGAGTTTAACATTCCCATGGGTAACTTCATTCTTTCCACTGAACCTCTGAGTCATGAAAGATTAGAACAGTGTTGATTTCTTATTGGAAGGGAAATGTCAGGTAGGTGAGCATACAAAGAGTCTTGAGAGAGTAAAACAGTTTCAATCTCGAGAATGAAACAAACCGTACGTCATAAATAATAACTCATACCCTTTCTCTACCTAATGACTTGAAGGTTCTTCGAATATACGTCTCGACCGGAAGGTTTCAAGTAGAAGCGATCACCTCCGATGTACGTTATCTTTCGCAACTCCACGACATGATAGACATTTTATCAGGGCTTGGGCCCCAATAGCTCAGGTGATCTGGGAACAAAAGAGTGTCGCAAGAAGTGACTGCGAAATCTTGAAAATTCAACATGTCGCACAAATAGAAAAAACTTTCAAAAATTTTTAATACGCACAGTTAAGGGAAAATAATTTTTCAACAGATATCTTTAATTAAACCAATATGTTGATTCCAAAACAAGATAGAAAATTAATCCACCAATATCTTTTCCAAGAAGGTGTTGTTGTTGCTAAAAAAGACTTCGAACAAGCTAAACACGATGAAATCGATACTAAAAACTTATACGTTATCAAAGCTTTACAATCTTTAACTTCAAAAGGTTTTGTTAAAACCCAATTTTCATGGCAATATTACTACTACACCTTAACTGATGAAGGTGTTGAATTTTTAAGACAAGAATTAAACATCCCAGAAGGTATCTTACCTTTAACCAGATTACAAGGTGCTCCAGCTGAAAGATCTCAACCAAGATTCCAACAAAGAAGAGGTAACTTCAGAAGAAGAGATTAAATCTTTTAATTATTTTCACGTTAATATAATTTATCATATAAATATATAAAATACTTTATAATGTTTAATTATCTTGATGATGAATTTAAGTAAATTAATAAGTGAATGAAAAATAAAAAAATCATATGTATTTTATTCATGTTTTAATAAACGAAACATTCGGAGGTTCTCTAAGATAAAAAGATAATTCAACAAGTTCAATATGATCTTTTAATCTATTATTCAATTCGTATTCAAATTAAACCCATTCAAATGAGTGGTACTGAACTCGTCAGTATTCAGTCGTGTCTCTCCATCATAAAATCAAGTGCGGAACAATAAAACAAAATAAATCAACTTGTGTTTTTTTAATTGAATTCACTAACAATAAATAAACACAGCGAGATTTAGTAAGTTAAAATGAACGATTTACCATCTTATCCAACACCCAAGCAAGCGGCTTATGTGGTAAATCCCAATTCCAATCCATCCAATGGCAGAAGAAAACCTTCTAGTCACGCGAATGTGAATTACAAACCACCTTCATCGAATCAATACAGTTCTAGACAAAATTATGGTCAACCGATGCAATCGTCAAATCATTCAATGCATTCGAATCCTCAACCCGTAGGGCAAGTTCACTTTCAACAAGGACCTCCACCACCTCAACAATCGCTGAACTATTACCAACAATCCCAACCCCCTCCTCCTCAACAACAGAACTATTATCAACCACCACCTCAACAACAGCAACCTAATAATTACTACCAGCCACCACCACCACAACCTCAACAACCACCCCAACAACATTATCAACAAGCTCCAATACCGCAAAAACGTTCACCAAGTCATGGGTATCAAAATATGGCTCCTGTTCAACCCCAATCGTCATATCATCAACAACCTCCTGTTCAACAAAGATATGAGGGTCACGGTGTAAAAATGCCTTCCAACGACCACCCATCAAACGTCCCTGCAGTCCCCACTATAAATAAGAATAGATCAAAGGAATCACTTAATGATAAACAATCCACCAAACAGAAACTTGAATACGAATTGAGGTCAGTTTTCGATAAAGTTGACGCCAACAGTTCCGGAAAAATCTCCAAGAGTGAATTATCCAATGCCTTGCTTAATTTTGACCATACTAAATTTAGTGATTCAACTGTAACATTAATGATCAATTTATTTAGTAATTCGAGTTCAACCACCAAACATTTAAATTTCGATCAATTTGTTTCTTTATGGAAATATTTATCAGCTTATAAGAAATTGTTTGTCCAAGCTGATACTAATAGTTCGGGGGATATTTCATTCGGAGAATTTCAAAAAATCTTAGAGCAAATTGGTTATAAATTAAATATCGATTTAGTTTTACATTTATTCCAAAAATTCTGTTATAAAGATCATACCACCGCTGAAGGACCAGTAGGGACTTTAAAATTTGATAAATTCATTGAATTATTAGTTTACTTAAGAAAATTAACTGATGTATTTAAAAAGTATGACAAAGACTTATCAGGTGTTGCAACCATCAATTTCCTGGATTTCTTATTGGAAATCTCAAACTTATCTTAATGACCTTACCTTTTTTATAATCACATTCATTTATTCTAACGGCTTCTATAGTTTGTAATATATATTCATACCCATTTATTTCTGAGCGGCTTAAAATTTGAGGCTCGCAATTTTTTCTAACTTTGTGGGGCATTTTTTTTCCAGGGTGTTTCAGTCATTAAAAATGAATGAAGATTTAGAACCGTCCAACAGTATAGTGGAGAGTGTATTAACCACAGCCTCCGAGAGTTCCATTGATAGGAACAATTTAAGGAAGAATGCACAAATCGCAACTGATTATCATCATAGTTTAACTCCGTCTGAAGCCTTTAAAGACTATAAAGAGGCCATTTGGTGGGCTTCAGTGATGTCTTTGACGATAGTCATGGAAGGTTACGATACAAGTCTTATAGGAAATCTCTTTGGATTCCCCAGTTTCCAGAAGAAATATGGGGTAGAGATATCACCTGGTGTTTTTGAATTACAAAGTCATTGGCAAATAGCATTAGGTGTATCACCATCTGTTGGTGTTATCATTGGGATATTTGTCAATGGGTATCTCATAGAGACGTTTGGTCATCGAAGGATCACTATGTTTTGTCTCATATTGATGCAACTATTTATACTGATTACTTTTTTTGCACCCAATGTTGAAACATTATTTCTCGGGCAATTACTTTGTGGGTTACCATGGGGGCTATTTGCTATAATCGGCCCTACATACAGTTCAGAAGTGATACCGTTGGCTTTGAGAGGATATATGGTACGTGACTTCAAAATTTTGTGAATCTGATACCTTACTAACATTTAGACTTCATATACCCAGTTCTGTTGGAGTTTGGGTCAAATTTTGTCAGCAATAATCCTTAAGTTGTATGTTAACAATGATACCCAATGGTCATATAGAATACCTTTTGCCTTACAATGGATATTTCCATTACCTCTTTTTATATTAACCTATTTAGCTCCTGAGTCACCATGGTGGTTAGTAAGACATAATCGTGAAGAAGAAGCCATTAAGTCAGTGAGAAGGTTAAGTTCACTGTCAGTTTCCCATATGGCACCGCCAATGGTTTCCATGATTATTCATACCCATGAAAATGAAATCAGTCAACATAAAAAGGAGGGAACTGAATGGGAAAAGTATATGAAAGCTTTTACCGGCACCAATTTTAGAAGAACAGTTGTTACTTCTCTTGCATTTTCTGGACAGTTATTATGTGGTTTGCCATTTGCCTTTTCCCCTTCCTATTTTTTTAGGGAAGCAGGTATAAGTCCCAAGAAAACCTACGACTTGAGTCTAATCAATGCTACTATAGCTTTAGCTGGTTCTATAGCTGCTTGGTATCCTATAACCAGGTTTGGTAGAAGAGACATTTATTTAGTTGGTTTGGCAATTTTATGTACTTGTCTTTTATTCATTGGAGTTGCTCAACCGTTTGTATACGAGTTTCATGAATTGATTTGGGTACAGTGTGGACTTATAATTGCATGGATGACTACTTATTCATTGACATTAGGACCTGTAACATACTGTATCATATCGGAGATATCTGCGTCATCTTTGAGATCTACCACAGTTTCAATAGCTAGAGGTTACTTCAGTTTGAATCAATTTATTGCTAATGCTATAGAGCCAATCTTAATAAATCCCACTAGCTTAAATTTACGTGGTTATACAGCATTATTTTGGTTCACAACATGTTTTATCATTTTTATATGGGCATTTTTCGAGTTACCTGAAACAAAGGACAGAACTTTTGATGACATTGACTTCCTCTTCAAGCAGGAAACTCCAGCAAGGAAATTTTCAACCACAGAAACTACCAGGTTGGTGGATTTGGACTAATTTACTCAAAACTTATAGAAATATAGAAACTCTCACGTGACCGAGTTTTTGCAATATAAAAACTTTCAATGAGCGAAGAAAATTTTCCACATTAAAAATGTATGTTTTAATATTACATTCTTTAGTTAATGATGAAAACCTAACTCAGCTCACTCTGAGTGAAAACGATGCTGATAACTTTCCTATCCAACATTCATCAATTTTTCTGATATCTAAAGAATTCTTTAACACTTATTGAAAGAAATTCAATACTAACATAATTAGAAATCTATTTACCAGGACTTTTAGGTCTTAAGTCTTCAATTTCTTTAGTTTGACCAACTAAATATTGAACTTGGTTATTCTTATAATTGATTAAAGATTTGGACTGTAATTGTGTTTCATAATCCAATGGATTAAAATTATTGAGTAGCACGTCAGGACTCAAAATGACCCATCCATGCCTCAACTTTATTGGGGTTTTACCTAATTCATAGGGGATTATATGTAATCTCCTATTGAAATTGGAAAAATTCTCTGCGATCTTATAAACAGAATTAGGAACAGCGTTGTAGCTAACTAAACTCTCATTTTCAAATTGTAAATCTGTATCTATATTACAATGAATTAAATGTTGGTCGTTAGATCTTCTGACTGTTCCTGTGATACACATCCAACAATTCCATTGTTGATTTTCAAATAATCTACTATAGTCTTGTTGGGGATAAAAAATTGAATTCTTATTAACTGGGAGAAACACCAACTCTTCTGATCTTCGAAATTTCTTACCATAATTCTGATTCAAAATAGTGGTTAGACTTTCAATCTCATCCACGGTTGTCCATATGAATAAGAATCCTGGTTTAGAACAAAGTTTCAATAAAGGTAACTCTTTCAAAAACTTCAAAACCCGTTGATTATTTGCCATACAACCTATCATGATAACATCAAATTGTAATTTGAATTCTTCCGTCCATCGATTGACCGTTTGGACCAAATCACGGGTCTTTACTCTACAACCCAAGGCTTTAACAGCGTATTTTTCAGTTTGTTTCGCTTTTAACTCTTTCAAAGTCTGTAATTTGGGATATCCTTTGATCAAATCACTACTATTAGTGACAAATCCACTAGGAAGCTCCTGTGTTTCCACATAATGATTAGCAAAGTTATTTTCAATCTTTTTGAACATTTAAGATGACGATTGAAGGGATGGTTCTCGAAAAAAATAGTGATCAATAATGTGGTATGTTGTTATCTATTACAATTGTGTGCGATCCACAAAAATTTGGCTGCAAAAAAATGATAGATTTCAAGTTATGGGCTTCAAAGTTAGGTCAAGAGTTACTGGTAGCTGTACGGTGCAAAGGGACATTTCTTGGATACAGAGGCGACTTATGTAACAAATTAAAAGGGTTTTCAGATAAATTGGAGCAGGATGGTGGTGACTATTTTTACTATAAGAAATATATGGACAGTTTAGTTGATAACAAAGCTTTGAGTAACATTGGAGTATTCGGTATTTCAATGTCAGATGATGCACTTTTGAAGGAGATTATGAGGTTTTTCAAGACAGTCTTGGAAAATGACAACTTTGAAGTGTTATATAGGGTATATTGCCTTTCAGATAGGGGAGCTATAATTGAGATTTCAAAGATGACATACTTAATGATTTTAGACTTTATTCCTTTACTTGAACTCCCTCGAAGAGGTGTAGTAGCTGAATTCTTTGACTATATGTTTCACTTCTCCCTAAAAAGAGAAGAATTGTCTGATGTATGGTTTGAGTTGATAGGAAATGATGCATCTTTCAGAGCTCTTGAGCCCTGGTTTCTTTTAACTGATCATATCCCATACGGAGAAGATATTCGTGTCAGTACCGACAAATGGATGATATACCCTCCGTACTATTTTGCTAGAAGGTACTTCGAAAACTCCCATGAAGCCTTTTATTGTGGTAATTTGTATGAGACCTCATATATTGAAGCTTTAGTTCACCATATGAGCAAATTTGAATCATTCTCCACATGGTTTGTCAAATCCAGTGGCTTATCTAATTATTTCATCGACCTTTTCAGGGTCAACAACAGACGTCTTCAAGAAACAATCAGACCATTTTACATAAAAATGATAATCATAAGCCAAGGATCTATAAAATCGTTACTTGTAAATGATTTGATAGAGTTTCTCTTCCAAGATTGGTTAGAAAAAAAAGATCTGTCAGATTTCATTTATTTGTTCATAAAGAATTCCGAAAAGCTTAAAGTTAAAAGCATTGACAGTATAATTTCGATATTCTTTTCCAAAGCTTTCAAAGATTTGAAATTCTTCGATAAAAATGATTTTGATATCTTTACTGAGTTGATAGAATCACCACGATTTAACGAGATAATACCCCAATTCCTTTGTGATTTACAGCAGCATGATGCTTATGTCATACTCTCCCACAGCTCGTTAGCTTTATTCGATGAGAGGGATATTCTCAAACAAATTTCTTTCCTACAAGAAGAGATTCCCCTAGAAGTTGAAGTTACCACCAAGTTGAATGAGCTGCATCCTATTGTGAAATTCGTTTATCTGATATTTTTGAATTTCTTCTCGAACACTGTTGAAGAGAACGAATCTTTAGTTCAAATGTTCAGAAAGTTGGATACTCTTTACAAAGGAGTGATCTTGATCACCACCAACACTTTTGTCAAAATAATAAAGTACTTATTAGAACTATGTGTGACTTATGAAAATAGTTACGTAGATATTATGTCTAATGTTCAAAGAATCTGCCCAGATCCTGGTTTTGTCAAGTCGATCGAGTTGATACTTCCTGATTCTAAGAACTTTATCGAAACATCCATGCTTATCGAGAATATCAGACTATTTAAAGAGTTTTATATTATTATTTATTCTAGTATGCATATAAAACATGGCTCATACTTTGAGCCAAGTTGAACTTCTACGAATGCTCTCTCCTTATATAATCTATTAAGGTTTTTTTGTGCAAGATTCCGTAATATTTACCATCCTTCAACAAAACTATAACTCTATTACCAATCTTATCAAATACTAAATGAGCCAAACTCAATTCACTATCATAATTCAAGAAGATCAAATTTTGACTTACAATTGAAGTGAAATCATTGAGTGATTTCAATTCGTTTTGAAGATCAAGTTCCAATCTTTGAGTTGTTTCATCAACTGATCCATAATTGAAATAATCTTGTTCGTTTTCAATGCTATCTTTCAATACACTTTGGTTTCTCCTGAGAGGAACTTTGAAACTTTCTTTATGGTATGAGTCTTCACTATGAACTTTACAGTAAATTTCATCATCAATTTCATACTGAATGCAGAATTCATCAATTTTATCAAGCCAAAATTCCAACTCTGAAAAGAATATCAATCCTACACAAACTTGATTTTTAAGCAAAGGAATGCACCCATCTAACATCGAAGCATTTGCAAGAATGAGTAATTTACTCTTCAAAATGGTGTTGGAAACGTATGGAGATTTACTGATATCAATGAATAACTTATCATCATTTTCATAAGAAGCAATAGAATGAGGTATTGAAAATTGTGTCAAAGGAGTACTCCTTTGTGGAGTAGTAGTTCCAGAATCATGAACATCATTATTGATAACTGAATTTTCAATGATTTCTCCTGATGTTTTAAAAGGATCAATAGGTTCAGTTTCTGGTGACATGAATGGATAATTATTTGCTAATAATAATGATTCATACAAAGAATTACTTTCAATGTAATTACCCATCCAATTAGCTACCGCAATTGATATCGAATAAGGTAACACATAAGTATATGACCCAGTGATTTCAAATAAAATGGTAACCAACGTGATATTCATTCTGGTAACTCCAGCAAGAAATGCACCTGCACCGATCATAGCATAAATACCTAAATCCACACACCCTTTTTCCGATCCACACATCATGTTCATCATCGAAGATACATTTCCTCCATCACCTAATAAATTCCAATTATAAGTGAAGTTTAAAAATTCAATGAAGGTTGCAAATAATCTACCGAACAAAGCACCAATCACCATGGAAGGAACATAAATCCCAATAGGTAATTTCAAACCAAAAGTGATAGAAGTAAGGACAACTTTCACTATCAAAGCGAACAATAATGATAATAAAACGTTGACGAATTGATGACCATCAGTTGGACATAAAGATCTATCCAACTGAGAATCACATGAAGTAGCTAAATCCAATACTAATTCAGCTGTAGCTTGTTTCGTGTAAGGGTTCCAGAAAGTGACTAATCCTGTAATCAAAGCAATCAATATTACTTCAAAGACTGGTTTACCTTTTACGAATTGTAATGAACGGAAATTTTTCGGCCACCAACCTACAAATTTAACAAAATAAGCACCAAAGATTCCTCCAGCTAACCCAATCATTATGAAAAATAACAATTCAATTGGTTTCCAATCCGATGAATAGCTTAACTCAAACAACACACTATTCCCAGTTCCATAAGGATCCAAGAACTTCAAGAATAATGTTGATATGATGGAACAAAAGAATATTTGAAATAATTGATTTGATGGTAACGAGTGATTGATTTCTTCTAAGATGAATAAAACTCCACCCAAGGGAGAACCGAAAGCTAATGCCACACCACTCAGGGCCGATGCTGATAAAATTTGTTTTTGTATGGCTTCATTTTCAGTTACGAAGGGGAAAAACCTGGTGAGAATATTCCCTGTGGCAGTAGCTAAATGAACATAAGGACCTTCTTTACCTAAAGACATTCCAGAAGCTATAGCTAATACCAAAGCGATGGTTTTGGCTACAAAAGTATAAGTACCTAAAAATCTCCTGATGACAAACCCTGATAAAATCGTTTTGACTTCAGGAACTCCTGATCCAGCAGCAGTGTATAATTCCATAGGTTTTTGTTTAGGAATTGTTTGTTCCACGGTAGAATTGGATGAAGATAGGTTAAGATCACTAGCTTCAAGATCTTCATTCTCTTCAACAGGATATCCTCCGGTGATTTTTGTTGTTAAGGTGATTAAACAAGCTATGTAAGCTAAAAATATAGTCAATATGACATAAATAACGAAATCCAACGGAATGATCTTATGTAAATCTATGCCCTTGAAGAAACTATCCCATGTTATCCAATCAATACATTCCAATTCTGATGATGAAACTTTTGAATTCATTACGTAACCCGATTTGAATACATTTTTAGACAATGGTTGGGATTGTTCAAGTTTAGAACAACATGAAACTTGACTTGCAAGCCAATTCGAAGAACAATATCCATATTTGAACCCCACCAATGTTATTTCGAGTTTATCTATACCATAGGCAACTAAAGAAAATGCAAAACCTATGAGAACTATCAAAACCCAACGACCTAGATTATAATAAATTCTCTCATATAAGGGGATTTTAGTATTGTCAGATTCTGATTGACTGTCCATCCAATGCTTCAGATGAAGTTCATACTGGAATTTATTATTCTTTATGAAAGCATCAGCCCAATCAATGGTGGTGAAATCATTATAATAATTCCTCATAGACATGATGGTCTGAGGTATAGCACTTACCACTTTAGATGCCATACTAATACGACTTCCTACACGATATAATGAATTCTCTTCGGTAATACTGTGAGATAAAATGGGAGATCTTATATCTAACTTATTTAAAGATTTGATTCTTTCGATCTTTGGTGACATTAGTGGATGTTTATCTTTATCAGTAAGAATCGAAGGAACTGACCTTGAAGGTGGCAAATCAGTATTGCTATTCAACTGAATATGTAATTTTTGGGTATTTTTTTTATTATCTGTTGATTTCGACATGATAGTATGTTATGATGAGTACGGTCCGACTTAAATATCTTTTCTCGGCGATTCAACTGCTTTTCAACTCGACAAATGAGTTTATATGTTCATGAACTTTGTAAATCACTTAAAACTTCACTATTTGCTCTTTAAGTTCGTTGTAAATATTGAATACTTGGATCTCCTCAAGTTGGTATGACTTCCCCTTATCAGAATTCGCGTAACCTCCATTGTTTTTGCAGTCAAACGGAATTATCAGATCTAATGAAATTCATTATTTATATTCTATTTATACCTATTTATTCAATTCCAAGTATTGTTGATAGAGTTTTTCTTGTTGTTGATATTGCTTCATGAGTTTTTTTCTCATACTTTTGGTGATTTCTTCTCCTTTAATATCTTTGGTTGGTAACCCTTGATCATCCCATTCTGAATATAATGATTTATCTTGGAATAAATCTTTAGGATTAACTTTCATTTTGGCCAATTTTTCTTCTTCCTTTTTAGCATTAGCAGCTGCTAATTGTTTCTTTTTAGCTTCCTTTTCTGCTAATTGTTGTTCTTTTAATGCTTGTTGTTGTTTCAAATCAGCTAATTCTTGAGCATTTAAGAATTTGATTAAAGCTGATCCATTAGGTCTATCATCCAAAGAGATTCCTAAGTCAATTAATTCTGATCTTAATTTATCAGTTTCAGGTAAAACTTTAGAAATATCTTGTTTTTCAATACCCAAGTTACGGATAGAATCTCTAAATGTTGATAAAGCTTTGATATATGGCATTAACAAATCTTCTTTACCAACAATTTGAGATTCTGATGATTCATCTGACCATCCTAATTTATCACCTCTGGTTTCGAACCCTAAAATATTTAAAATTTTGACTATCCAATTGGTAACTGATAATAAAACTTCAATTTTCATTTCATTTGAACCAGTGGAACATTGTTGAATGTAATTATTGGATTTAGAAACTAAATCTTGAATAGTTTTCAATACTTGAGGAGTTGATAAATTATCACAGAAAGCTAAATGAACTTGATTTTGAGCGTTAATTAAATCATCACCTAATTGTTTATCTACTGGTGATAATTTTTTATTTGGATATCTACTTTCAGAAATTTCATGTTTATAATCATTATTCAAAGCTCTGACATTAGTAAAGAATCTTGATAAAGTTGATTCCACCGATTTGACTTCTTTTAATAAACTGTCTTTGAAATCCAAAGGTTTTTCCCATGAACTTAAAGCAAATACTAATCTTAATTGTCTACTTGAATAATCTTTTAAAGCTTCTTCAATGGTAATGAAATTTTTCAATGATTTACTCATTTTTTGTCCTTGGATATGCAAATGACCACTATGCATGAAATAATTGATCCATTGATTATTATTGAAACATGCTTCACTTTGAGCAATTTCATTATCATGATGAGGGAAACATAAATCAATACCTCCAGAATGAATATCGATATTTTCACCTAAAATATCTGATGCCATTACTGAACATTCAATGTGCCATCCTGGTCTACCTTCACCCCAAGTTGAAGGCCATGAAGGTTCACCAGGTTTTGAAGCTTTCCATAAAGCAAAATCGGCAGGATTTTTCTTAGACGTTTGACCGGTAGTTAAAGAACCTTCACCATCATTAATTAATGATAAATCTCCTTTATTCCATGGTTGTAACTTAGCATAGACATGGTCTTTGGCATTATCGAAAGCAACAGTATCGAAATAAACTGATCCATCTGATGTAGCGTAAGCATATCCATTAGAAACAATCTTTTCAACAAATTCTATAATATCAGGAATGTATTCTGAAACTCTAGTTGTAACTGTTGGTGGTAACACATTTAATTTTGCCATATCTTCATTGAACTTATTTTCCCAAAAACTTGGTAACTTCTTGAAAATTGAAGGATCATTGACTGATGATGAAAATTGGGAATCTAAATATGGCATTGTGATTTCTTTGACATTAGATAAGAATTGTTCCAATGAAGGTTTGGTATCACTATAAATAACATCAAATGCTTTATTGGCAGCTTTAATATACATTGGGAATTTAGGTTTTTCAGTTGCAATTTCAGGAATGTTTAAACCTTCATTCCATTGTTTGAATTTGGAAATCTCTTGATCAAATTCCTTTAAATTCTTACCAATATAGAATTCAAAAGCTTTCTTACTTTCAGAAATCAAATCTTCATTCAAAGTTTTGAAAACTTCGGTGATTTTATGTTCAAAAAGATATTCTTGTCTTGCTGCAATAATGATCTTATCATCGATATCAGTGACATTTTGTACGAACTTGACATTGTAACCAAAATAATCTTGTAAGATCCTTCTATTTATATCAGTTGAAACATAATTTCTTGCATGACCCATATGACTATAATCATAAACAGTTGGTCCACAACAATACCAAGTAATTTGGTTGGCATTGTTGGAGATGAATTCATCCTTTTCACGAGTTAAGGAGTTGTATACTTTCAATACAGGTCTGGTGTTAAGTGCTGGTTTGAACCATTCTGGTTGTTTTACTGACATTTTGATCCGTTTGGGATACTTAAACATACACTGAAAGATGAGTCTTCAAAATGCGAGAAAATATATTCTCACGTGATGAACATAGGAAGTAAGTTATTCGAAGACAATTAAAAAGAGTAAAGAGGTGAATGTTAATACAATTGGTTGATATTTAAGAATTAATATAATGAAATCCAGTTCAAAATTCCTTCAGAATAGAAATTGGTCGCATACTATTATGAATCCTTAATGAAGCTAGGCGTGCTTCGAATCCATAATTCTAGAACGCAAATTATAAGTCATCATTGAATGATAAACTGGCTTCATTACATTGAACATACGGTTGTATAATTCCTAAATTTCAAACAATGATATTTAACTCTAGGACGAAGTTTAATACGTTTTAGTATTGATGGAAACTTATGCTGATTGTGGTCTAATATTGAGGTTTCTCAAATGATATTATTGAATTGAAGTATATCTTCATTAAGATCCCTAAACAGCAGAGTTCAAGGGTTGAAAATACTATTTTAAACCAACAACTGTAAACAGTTGGTGAAAAATATATACTCGAACTTTAATGTCATCTCATATCTCCAGGGCTAAACCCTAACACATCACCTGATCTCATCCCTCGACAGTCACTTTTTCTCATGTCGCAAAAAGGAATCTAAATTAAGTCGTCTCCGACTTTTGATGATTCTCATTTGAAAAAATCCTCAGTCTCATTAAATTTTCTATTGAAATTTTTTTATTGAAGAAATCAATTAAATAAAAATGTCTACATATTCTACTGTTAAAGCTGCTAACTGGAGATTTGTTGAATTAGGACGTGTTGTCTTAGTCGATAACAAAGACTTAGCTACCATTGTCGAAATCATTGATCAAAGAAGAGTATGTTAATTATAAATTTTATATATGATTGATAAAAAATATTCTAAAGGTTTAAAGATACTTTAAGATTCTGGAAGTTGGATTAGGGAATGAAGAATCACAGGGAATCAAGAAATCTTTTTCCTGATTAACCTAGTTGTTTAAACGAAGTAATTTAGTTGAATTTTCATGATGTAAAATTTTTACTATGTCATGAAATATCAACAACTATAAGGTAAAATCAGTTCAAAAGTATTAGCAAACCATTAGAAATCATTTTGAATCATCATATAACTCTAATACAAACAAAATACTAACTATTATAGGTTTTAGTTGATGGTCCAAACTTCCCAAGACAATCTATCTCATTATCAAAAGTTGTTTTAACCCCAATCATCTTAGCTGACTTACCAAGAGGTTCAAGAACTTCCACTGTTGCCAAAAAATGGGCTGCTGCTGATATTGATGCTAAATGGGCTGCTTCATCATGGGCTAAAAAATTAGCTGCTAAACAAAAGAGATCTGAATTAAGTGATTTTGAAAGATTCCAAGTTTTAGTCTTAAAAAAACAAAAAAGATATGCTGTCAAAAAAGCTATTGCTAAAGCTTAAATATTGAAAAGAAATTAATTTAATCCCCATAAAGTCAAATTTTATAATGTATTCTAGTTTTGAGGTATCATAATTAGATCTTTTTAATGTTTACGTTTTAATTATGTACAAACAATCACAAAATAGATAAAATAATATCGTGAATACTCTCTTCGTCTTATAACTCTTTGAAGGTTCGTTAATGGTCAAGTTCAATCTTCTAAACAAGTTCAACCTAAAAAAAATCTCAATCTCTTAAGAATCTTGGGAAGATAGTCCAAATTTACATATTTATTCTATACTATTTACAGATTTATTTTTTTAACTTCTTTTGATGTTCAGCAATTAATTCCTTTTGTAATTGTGGTGAACATTCGGAATATTTAAGGAATTCTAAAGAGAATTCTCCTTTACCTTGAGTACAAGCTCTTAAACTAGTTGAAAATCCAAACATTGAATTTAATGAACATTCAGCAGTTAAAGTGAATTCATCTTGTCCATTAACGGTTTCAAGAATCATACCACCTAATTTATTAACTAAACCAACAACACTTCCTTGGTATTCATTTGGTGCAGTAACATCAACAGACATAATTGGTTCTAAAATAACTGGTTTAGCATCTAAGAAAGCTTGTTTGAAAGCTCCTTGAGTAGCAGTTCTGAATGATAATTCAGATGAATCAACAACATGAGTTTGACCATCATTAATATGCATAGCAACACCTAAAACTTTATGGCCAATCAATGGACCTTTTTCTAAAGAATCTTCAAATCCCTTTTGACATGCAAACAAGAATTTTTCAGGAATTTTACCCCCAATAATATGTTGACTGAATTTATTTTCACCTTCTAATGGAGTGAAATCTCCCATAACTCTACCATATTGACCAGCACCTCCAGATTGTTTTTTATGAGTGTAATCGAAAGTTGTTGGCATAGTAATACTTTCTCTATAAGCAACTTGAGGTTTACCAGTAATACATTCAACACCATATTCTCTTTTAATTCTTTCAACATAAATTTCTAAATGTAATTCACCCATACCAGAAATAATAGTTTGTTTGGATTCAGTATCGAATTTAACTCTGAAAGTTGGATCTTCCTTTTGGAATCTATTCATAGCTTTTGAGAAAGCTCCATTATCTTTAGATTTTGGTTCAATTGATAATGAAATAACAGCTTCTGGAACAAACATTGAACTCATAGCAATTTTTTGTTCAGAATTATGACCAATGAAGGTATCACCTGAAGCACAATCAATACCAAAAGTAGCACAAATTTCTCCTGGTCCAATTTCATCAACATCTTCCATATCATTTGAATGCATTCTTACTAATCTGGCAACTTTAACTTTCTTACCACTAGCAATATGATTCATATAAGTACCTTTCTTTAATTTACCTTGATAAACTCTAATATAAGTTAATTGACCATATTTACCTTCTTCTAATTTGAAAGCTAAACCAACGAATGGTTTATTACTAGCAGGTACTAAATTAACAGGGATTTCACCTTCTTTAGTTAATTCTAACCCAGTATTTAAGATTTCATTTGGTTGAGGTAAATAATCAACAACAGCATCTAAAACGTTTTGAATACCAGTGTTAGCTAAAGCTGAACCCATTAAGACTGGAGTGAATTTTCTACCAATAGTAGCTCTTCTAATGGCATTTTTAATTTGTTCAACAGTTGGTTCTTCACCTTCTAAATAAATATCAGCGATTTCTTCATCAACATCAGCTAATGTTTCAATTAAGGTTGATCTTTTTTCTTCAACTAAATCTTTTAATTCTTCAGGTACTTCAGCATATCTTAAAGTTTCACCTTGACTACCTTCATTATAGATGGCTACTCTGTCAATAATATTAACAACCCCTTTCAAATCAGCTTCAGCACCAATTGGTACTTGAATAGCAGCAGCAGGAGTTTTCAATTTAGCATTAATTTGTTCAATAGCTTTGAAAGGATTAGCACCCATTCTATCCATCTTGTTGATGAAAGTAATTCTTGGAACATTATATCTTCTCATTTGTCTATCAACAGTAACAGTTTGGGATTGAACACCTGAAACTGCACAAACAACTAAAACAGCCCCATCTAAAACTCTTAAAGCTCTTTCAACTTCAATAGTGAAATCAATATGACCTGGGGTATCAATTAAATTGAAATGGTAATCTTTATCTTCTTTTTCCCATGAACAATAAGTAGCAGCGGATTGGATAGTAATACCTTTTTCTCTTTCTAAATCCATATGGTCCATCTTAGCTCCAACTGAATCACGTCCTCTAACTTCATGAATAGCTTTAATTCTACCGGTATAGAATAAAACTCTTTCAGTGAAAGTAGTTTTACCGGAATCAATATGAGCTGAAATCCCAATATTTCTTAATCTACGAGCTGCTGAAAGATCATTCTCTGGTAATTGAGTATTTAATTCATCAATAACGACTTTTTCTTCTTCATAAGTTTTAGGAATATTCACTTCGTTGAATCTTCTGATACTAGAACTGAAGTTCTTGGTTAATATCTGAGGATTATAACGAACAGGTCTAAGTGATCTTAAGAAATTATTCACTAACATCTTTGAACCTGAGATTTTTTTTTCAAATTTTTCAGCTCGTTTTCACATCAAATAAATTCTGACCGAATCATAAATGTAGTATAGGCGTTATAGGTCCTAGATAAGTAATGTCCTATGGTGTCTTAGAAGAAAAGAAAGATCTTAAGAAATTTTATGTATAATCTATATCATATATCTATATAAACTTTTCCAAATAAATAGAAGAATCGAATAATCTAATCTGATGGTTTGACACCAACACCATTGACGTTTCTGAACATCATAACACCGTCAACATCTTCATCATCAACGAATTGACAAGCTCTGCTGCAATCCCATAAAGCTTTCCACATGGATGATCCATCGTATCTATAATGATCACCCATAACTTCTTTAATAGCTTTGGTAGCATCTCTAGCATTATAGAATGGAATTCTTGAAACGTAATGATGTAAAACGTGAGTTTCAATAATATCGTGGAAGATATGTTGACCAATGAAACCGAAATCTCTATCAATAGTAGCAGCAGCACCTCTAGCAAAATTCCATTCATGATCTTTATAATGAGGCATAGTTGGATCAGTATGTTGTAAGAAAGTAACAAAAACTAACCAATGATTAACCCATAACCAAGGCATAAACCAGTTGATGAGCATATGGAAAGCATCGTATTTATACCAATTATAAGCCATTAAAATGGTTGAAATGATACCAATATCTGACAAAACAATATACCAGAATTGATTTTTTTCAAAAATTGGACTGGTAGGATTGTAATGAGATTTGTATGGCATAGAATATTCTTTTAATTCTTGACCAGTAGCATTAGTAGCTAAATATAATTGTAAACCACCAATTTGTTGGAAAATTAATCCTAATAAAGTTCTAATTGGTGAATCTTCCATGATTTCACTGAGTTTTGAAACATTGTGAGCTTTTTTATATTCTTCTTTAGTGTAAGGAATGAAAACCATATCTCTAGTTAAATGACCAGTAGCTTTATGATGTTTAGAATGAGAAAACTTCCAAGAAAAGTAAGGAACCATTAAATAACTGTGTAAAACCCAACCGATGAAATCATTAACATTTTTGTAATCAGAAAAGGCACCATGACCACATTCATGAGCTAAAATCCATAAACCGAACCCAAATAATCCAATCAAATAACTTTGTAAACACCATAATCCACCTCTTAAAACCTTTGATAATTGTTCATATTGATCGATTTCAACTTTAGGAATTAAATTACTACCAGCATAAGAGATCAAACACATACAAGTGATATCTCTGACGACGTAACCCAAGGATCTGATCAATGATCTCTCGTAACAATGTTTTGGAATAGCGGATAAAATATCTTTGATAGTATAATCAGGAACTTTGAAAGCTTTACCATAAGTATCACGAGTGGTTAAATTTTTAGAAACAGTCTTTTCAGCACCTCCATTAACGGTATCTGTACCTGTTGAAACAACTACACTAGACATGGCGGTATTCAAAAAAAAAAAATTTCACCGCGATGGACTAATTGGTCCCCCCCCGTCCAACGTATTTATCGAACGTGGAAAAAGGAATTCATACAATAAGCCGTTGGCCTCGGTTGAATCAATGACGATATGGTATCCCGACAACTAACACCAACCATCTACGCCATATTTGTGTTGATTTGACTACTCTGTTTATAGAATTGTCCGGGGTAATGGGTAATGCATGGCCTTCCATTGGATCAATAGATCGTGTATACGAGAAATGCTATCGCCTCAATCTATTTCCAAGATCTCTTAAACTGCCCTTGTTTCCCAGAGAAGGACGTGTTTTTCTGTAAAATTGTATAATATTACTTAATGGTAACCCGACTGATGACCAAAAGCAATATCGTATCTTAAAGATTAGCACATCACAAACCTAAATCTTAGAAGTATTCTATAGTCACGTGCGAGTCTTGTGATGTTTCACGTGACAATAAGGGTATAAGTTTTCATGAATATAGGATCATATTGGTGAAATTTCAACCAACGACTCTTCACTTGACCTTTGTTAGTCCTGAACAAACTATTCACATCGGTTTACAACTTACCCCACGAAATCAATGGAATAATTTTAATGACAAATCAACAAAGACATTCTTTGCATTTTTTACGAAATACCTAAAATATTACCTAAAAAAAACTAAAGATAATTATAGTAATAATAAACTTCATGAAATAGCCGTATTCGTATAGAGAATACAAGGATTTATTGTGCATAACACCTTTGATCCCCAATAATTATAGTTAAAGGGTAAGAGTGTCATGTTGTTTATATAACCCAAAAAGGAAATTTTCTTCTCTCCTGAATTTTAAGTATATTTTAAAAGTATGAGGGTGTGAAATGACAGAATTTCCTTTTTAAGATAAGTAATTGATAATTAGTATTCAAGGTGCATAAGATCTTTTCATAAAAGCCATCAGGACATTAATCAAGTTGTAATTCAAATGATATATTGAAATCATTAAATAAAGAATGGCTGCGAAATAAATTTCACAACATTCCCATAGTTAAATGAAACCCTTAACAAAGGTCGTTTAACTGAACAATTAACTCTTTAAGGCTATTAATGAAAAATCCCCTCTTAAACTTAATGTCACAATCAAATTCTCTTAACGAATTAGGTATAGTGATTAATTTTTTTAAGTAATTTTTTCAAGTCGTGCGTCAGTCAAAGCTATTAGTATTCCTTTTTAGGAAATTAGTTTTTTGCAACATATGGAAGTGAAGAGATTATAAATTTGGTGGGAAATCCCTACTTAATTTTTACTTATAGTATAATCACAAAGCCTTTATCAGTATCACAAAGTCCTTGATTACCTTTTATTCTTCGTTACATATATCATGAAATTATCAACCACAACTATCTTTGCTATTTTAGCTACCACAGCTTTAACTAATGCTGCTGCCATTGATACTCCAACTGCTACTTCAAACTCAGGTTTAGTTGTCAAAAGAGAAGACTTAAATGAAGTCATGGAACAATTACAACAATTAAGATCATTAAAAGTTAAAAGAGAAGAAATTGATGATGAAATGGCTTTAGTTGAATTTGATAAAAGAGCTGAATCAGTTTTAGGTAACTTAATTTCTGCTTTAGCTAATTCTGGTTTAATTAGTCAAGTTTTCGATGATTTAACTTCAGCTCCTGAATTAAAAGAATCAATTGTTGCTATTCTTAAAGCTACTTTACAAGCTGCTGTTGTTCAAGGTCCAACTTTAATCAAAGGTATTTGGAACTCAGGTTTATTACAAGATGTTTTCAAAACTGTTTTAAACGATAGTGACTTAAGAAGTGCTTTATTAGGTGCTGGTAAAGCTTTATTCTCCACTGCTGTTAACTTGGTTCAAAACTTCCTTGGTTCAAAAACCGATACTTCAAGTTCATCAGCTGCTTCAGCTGCCGCTGCTGCTTCTAAAAGAGAAGTTACCATCATCTCAGAAAGAAGTGATTCAGATTCTCAAGATATTGAACAAAGAGATTTAGGTGATATTATCTCCTTCATTGTTACTGAAATTAAAGACTCAGGTTTAGTTTCTTCATTATTTAACAAAATTACACAAGATCCAGAAGCTACTATTAACTTCTTAAGTTCAGCTTTAAAAACCGGTGCCGTTGTTGTTAAAGATGTATACTCTTGGGCCAAATCTTCAGGTGTTTTAGCTGAAGGTATCTCATGGTTAAAGAACAGTGATAATGGTATTATTTCAACCTTAGCTTCATTCTTAGGTAATGCCCTTAATACTGGTTCAGTTTCAGCCGATGAATTTGATAACGCTACTACATCTGCTGCTGCCACCGTTGCCACTACCAAAACAGCCACAGCTACTGCTGCTAACACAGCTGCCGCTGCCGCTGCTGCTGCTGCCGTTGCTGGTTCAACCACTACTGCTGCTGCCGATTCTGATTTAAGTTTCTTGTCTAAATATGCTGAACCAGGTGCTACCACCTTATACAGAGCTAAAAGAATGGTATATTAATTTATTCCTTTTGATACCAATTAGACATCAGGTCACATAAGAAACGTCTTTCAATACCAATAAAAAATTTTTAAAAAAAAATCATTTCAATGAATCCGGTTTACTTCTCATGATATATTAGTTTTATATTTTATTAATGCAAATTAAAATTTTACTCCTCCAATGAATTCTCTGTTAGAACATCAATGTCATTTAATTGTTCACTAACCTTTGTAAGTAAATTGCACTTAAGTTCTAGGTTCTTGAGGTACCTGGGGCCACATCAAAATCTTCAACCATTTCCAATTTTTTCCCTTTCCCGAATTTCCTCTCATAATTTCTTTGGCGAAACATTGCTGTTTAGTGTGTATTTGGTCCAGTAGAGAGCCATCCCATGATCAGCGAAGAAGGTCTCGCCAATGTATAGAAAGCCAAGGGCTCAAGATATGGCGAGGATTTTTGCTGATGAAATAACCAATTAGATGGATAAAATCTCCTAAAGGCGTAATTTACTCCTTATATAGAGTCTAATTACAGAAATAACATTCTAAATGCCTAATTGAATGTTCTGCACGGGGGTTAAAAATTATACTTTAAAGACCTTGTTCTCACCGTAAAAATAGGCTTTTTAACAGGAGTTGGAATTGTTTAAAGTTTAAAATTATCATCAGTAAAGTAAATAAGGAGTTTCGGATGAACTTAGAGGTAAAAAGGTAAAGCTACATTGCTTCATGAACAATGAATTCATCGATCATCAGTATATCTGCTGTCAAGTCAAGAAGAGCGAAATCAAAAGGTGGGTTATTGCAGGAGAAAGAAATAAACTTTATGTACCTTAACACCTGAGAATTTAAAACTGTGAAACCAGAAACTTAATTGCTTATACGAAATTTAGGAGTATTTAAACTCTTCAACTTCCCTGAAGGATCCCCAGGACCAATGCTTTACGCTTTAACTACTCCAGGTTCAGCTTTCAAACCTTCATTACGTAAACCTAAAACCACTTGGAGATTATCCAAGTTCAAGAATGTTTATGTTGAAAAATTATCAAGAGAAAACAGTAGACAAAATTCTGCTAGTTCCATTGACTTATTGAACTTTTCATTCGAATAAGTTTGATTCGAATAAGTTTAATACCCCGATATGGCATGGTCAAATTTTCAATTCTATAGGTTAGAGGTTTTAATATAAATAATAATTTATTTCCTATGCATATATATATCCCATTTTTTTTTATAAATTGAACGAAACGAAGTCTAAGGACTGTTTGAATAGCTATCTTCTAATAAATTTTCATTATTTGAAGGATTCCAAGCAGCCGATGGAACTGGAAGATTGTTGATTCTTGACTTTCTATCTCTTTCGAATTCTCTCCAACGTTTCATTTGAATTTGAGAAGAATCGAAAAGACCATCACCTTCATCATGTCCTTTATCTTTAGCAATACCGGCAACAACTCTTGTATCACCCCAACTAAAATCATCGAATTTCCAGAATGAATAAACTGGTAAAACGAAATTCCAAATTGGTAAAGCTAAAAGATAAATGAAGAAATATATAACATATTTCAATGATGAGACAGTTACCACAATTAATAATGCTGGTAATCCAAAAATCACCCCTAATAATACTAATGACAAAATAGGAGTTGGAGTTGAAACAATGGCATAAACCACAACATAAACTGTGAAAGAAATGGCAACAGGTAAAACTAAAGTACCGATTAATTCCATACCAATACAAAATTGCATTGAGAAACAGAAAGTACCACATAAATCTCTTACTAAGATTAATTCCATTAAGTTATGAATGGTAGAATTAATCCATCTTCTTCTTTGTGATAATAAAACTGAAAACTTATCAGGAACGATAGTTTTACAAATAGCTTTTGAAACAAAAATTTGTTTTCTTTTAGGGAAAGTTTTCAACATTAATGAAGATAAATAACGATCTTCACCTAATAATAACAAATTCTTTTTATGTAAAGTATCAACCACATTGTCACTATATCTTTCAACAATATCAGGATTAGCTAAAACTGGAACCCAATAACCATCTTTACCTTTTGGAGCTTTAATTCTATACATACAGAAACAACCAGGTAAACAAGTAACCCCACCGAAAACACTTTCAAAAGCTTTAGCTTGATGATGAGAAATATAATATTCAAAAACTTGAATTAAAGTGACCCAACTTTGATTTTTATTTTCAATTTTGGTTTCACCACATAATCCCATAACACTTGGATCTTTAACCATTTCAGCTACCATATGAGTTAAACAATCATGATAAACTTTAGTATCAGCATCAACCATAAGAACAATTTCATAAAATTCTGCCATTAAACCAGTTACTTTCCAAATAGTTGATAACAATTCAAATTCCATTGATGTCATTCTTTCATCAAACATAACTTTTTGTAAGAAAGACATTAAAATGATTTGAGAATCTCTTTTACCTCTATTACCAGGTTTTGGTAAGTTAGCTTCTTCAGGAGTACCACATTTAACAATAGTAATGATAGGAACTCTTTGTTGATTTTCAACAGGAATAGTTGAATCATCATATTTATAAAAACCTCCATAAACTTTGGCCATATTATGTCTTTTAGAACCTTGAGCAACCGCAACATAACTAAAAGCTTCAACTTCTTCAGGATCAACAACAAAATCAGTCATCATACTTAAAGCGATTTCAGGAGTAGATCTATCATTACCTGAACCTTTAATTAAACCATCACAAATTACCATGATTAATTTATGAGAATTTGGATAATCAGTAGTACAAACCGAATCTAAAGTAGTTCTTAAAGCAAAATCATCTTCAGAATAACAAGTAACTGTACAAATAGTATGAGCTAAAGGATAACCAAAAGGTTGATATTCAACAGGAGGTTGAGGTACAACATCAGGATGAATAAGATCGGGTGATAAACCTGTCATCACATTATATTCATCCATTTCAAAAGGATTAATAGTTGATACTGGTCTTGACATAGTAGCATTCAATAAATCAGTTGATGAGTTAAAAGTTTCATTCATAAATAAAGTTGATTGTCTCTTTTCTTTTCTTTTTTGAGTTTTGTTATTCAAAAAATGATTTTGAGTAGTCATGGTAGTATATTTGAAATTCTTTGATAATTGATCACTGTTAACATAATATTCATCCAATTCTTGAGGTGCTAAAGATAATCTTTTATTTAAAACTGATTGTCTATTAGTTTTATAATTGGCTCTTGTCTTTGGAGGTACAACTAATAAATCATCGGGTTTAGAATTATCAGCCCAACCTTCAACATTATTATCTCTTTCATTCATTGATTTATTTGACATTAATTTTGCTCCTTGAGATCCAGAAATAACCCATTTAAACCAACAAGCCATTAAAAATTTGGCAATAACAACAGATAAAATGAAAACTAATGAAGTATATAAAACAACTTGAGATGCAATACAACCAATTGAATCAGAATCAATACTACCAACTTTAGCAATTTCAGTTAAACATCTAGCAGCATGTCTTTCTTCACTATTAGTTAAAATCAATGAAACATCATGACCTTTAAAAAGATCATCATCTCTTAATTTATTAAATAAATCAGGATATTCTAAATCATCAGTTTGAATCCAATTGATTAAATTTAAATCTAATACATTACCAGCATATACTACCAAATTTCTTGAACTATTACGAATATCATCCCAAGTAAAATAAACATCACCATCAACTCTTAAACCATAATAAGCATCTCTTGCAATTGATGAAGTATGACATGACCAACCTTGGTAATATTCTGTAGTAAAATTTGGTTGGGTTGAACCATCTTGATCTAATAATTTACATGGCATATACCAAGCAACATCATCATCAGAATTTTTAGGAATTGTACAATTGTCTCTTGGTTTAATTAAATTTTTACAATTCCCATTAACATTTTGAAATAATAATGAAGCATCTTTACCTCCAGCATTAATTGGAGGATATAAAACATTAGCCCCAGCAGTTATACCAGCAGCTGAAGGATGTCTTGATCTTGTTAAATCAAATGATCTACCATTAATAATTAAATTACCACTACTAACGTGATTAATTCTAGTTCTAAGTTTTTGACTTTTACAAACAGTTTGAGTGAATCCGAAAGTAACATAAGCAATGAAAGCTCCAAGATAAGCAATACAACTGATTAATGCCATTTTTTCTCTCCAAGCAAATTGTCTTTCTTTAGTTTTTAAACCAAATAAACTTAATAAAGGAGCTGGGGCCCAAAATGTTATAACATAACAATAAACTTTCCAAAGATAAATGTTACTTTTTTTCTTTGGTGGTTGTTTCTTCTTAATAGTTGATGATCTTTTAAGATTCTTATTAGGAGAATAATCAATTTCATCATTTAATCCATAAATTTCTCTACCTTCTTTCAAAGGACTGGTATTTTCTTGATAATCCATTAAAGGAATTCCTGATTCATCATCATTATTTGGAGCATCAATTCTAACACTTTTTGATGGCAGTGACAGTCTTTGACGATTTAAATTAGATGTTTGGGAACGATAACTATGGTAACTATTTCTAGGATAATAACCATCATTGACAGAATTCCCTTGAGAAACTTGAGGATCTAACCCAGTAGTTGAAGGTTGAATCTTTAAATGATTAGATTCTTGGTTGGCAACTTGAGTATAATGATATTGTGGATGATTAGGATCCATTCTTTGTCTTTCAGGTCTGACCAAAGATTTTTTTCGGGTCAAGTCTCCCGACTCGATATCAAACTCTTGATATCTATTAGAACCACCACTATTTCTAAATGACATTTTGAATCAACAAAGGGTAATTGAGAATTTTTTTTTCACTCAGATTTGATGCCAGGACGAAAAAAAAAAGTATAATCTTCTATAGCGAGATTTCTTTTGGCGATTCCTCGTGATAGTTGTTGGGTGGAGGAATTCAAAAGTGATTGAAAATGTTTGAAATGAAGTTAAACGAATGGTTTAAAAGATTTTTTTCAAAGTTTTTGGTTGGTTGGTCTTTTGTAAGAAATTCTCAAATCTATTTTTGTAAACAAAAACAAAAATGAGAAATGAGATTTGATCTGGACCTTTTTCAATCGAATTGAGTGAAGTAAAAGCAGAGAGAACGGAGAAGAAGGTGAACATTGAATGACGATTTGATCCTTAAAATTTTCATTACCATCACCAACACTATGGGGAACAGTCATAGAGACTTCTATAAAAATTCAGAGATGAAATTTAAGGAGACAGAAAAATCATCGCGTTACACGCGACATGGGACCTGAAATATTTCTCAATTATATATTAAACTTTAATCCTTTTCCTCCACAAATTCATCTTTTTCACGAAGTCCATATCTAATTAATGCATTGATTCTTAATTTCTCACCGAAATAAATCAAAATCAAAGCACATGCTGTGGCAGCCCATAAAATGAATGCAGCAATAGTACAAGTCCAGCCAAGACCTATAGTATTGATACTTCTAAGACAAGTAGCTGAGGCAACAGCAGCAGCAATATATCTTGAGAAATAACTTGAAGCAATTCCATCACCTCCTAATTCAGGCATTGAATCAATACAATAAGCATTTGATGCTGGGAAAATACAAGTTTGTGAAACTCCTCCAAAGAATAAAAAAATAATAGGTACAGCCATACCTCCCTTTTCGTATTGAACTGTCCATCCATAAATTAAGGTACTTACAGGATAAATGATACCTAAAGGTATTAAAACAGTTCTTAATCTATCTTCAGGAATTCTTCTACCTTTAATTTTGGTATATTTTTTAACCACATGATCAGCCCAAGGACCTCCAATGAAACTACCAACCAAATAACCAAAACCTGGAGATAAATAAAATAACCCTGAATATAAAGGTTTGGTTAAACCAAATCTTGGTTCTAAAACTTCTCTAATTGGAGTTTGTAACATAAACATTGTATAAACAGTTGCAATTGCAATAAATCCATCAATTGAAAGATTTGGATATTTTAAAGCTGTCATAATTTTAAAAGGATTGAATGGAACGAAAACAAATTTTCTTTTTGGTTCAAGTTTCCTCATTTCTTCAATAATTACTGCATGTTTGGTCTTAAGAGCGGTTTCTGGTAAGAAAAAAATGGCAATTGCTAAAACTGCAGCTCCAATACCCATCATAACCCATAAAATGACTCTCCAAGAAGTAAAATTAACAATAACTCCACCTAAAAATGCACCAAAACCTGTACCTAATTGAGCTCCTAAAATGATAAATGCAATAGCTCTTCCTCTTTGATCTGGATGATAAATATCACTAACAATATGTCCACCGATACTGAAAAATGATGTACCAAATAAAGCACTAGCACATCTGAAAATGAAAAACATAGCTAAATTTTGTGATACTGCAACCAAAATATTAGAAATACAATATAACACACAACAAATGAAAAACATCGGTCTTCTTCCATAAATGTCACTACATGGTGAAAATAAACATGGTGACAATGACATAAAGATACAATAAATAGCATTTGAAATATTAATAACTTCAGTGGTTGTACTGAAAGTATCTGCAATTTCAGGAATAGCAGGTAAAATAGCTAAGGAATTTAAAGGTGATAAAAATCCCGACATTGAAGCAATACCTAAACAAATATATTTAGTCTTTGTTGAAAATCTGTCGAATTTAGCTCTAGAATTGACTGTTTCCAACTGTTTCTCAGGATCAGTAGCTTCTTCATCAAGAACTTCATCTCCATCTCTTGTATGAATTGATGATAACCGCGATTGTATTCGACTTAACTGTCTTGAAACGGCTTCATTAGTGACAGTTCTTAAGTCCAAAGGAACATCCTTCTGGTAATTATTCTTAACTTGTTCATGTAAACTGTCTTGATAACCTTCCATACTCAGATCCACATCTGAAGGTAAAGTTGATAAACTTTTAACGGATTTTTGATCATCTTTAATTGTCTGACTCATGATGATGCCTTATCTATATAATAAATAATAATGCTATGAGGGACTTGTATATGTAAAAACTTATAGCAAACCCTGGTTAAAAGATATTAAAACTAGAAAAATCTTATGAGTAGTGAAATTTCCTGAGTTTTCTGTATATTTAAATCGGCGGTAAAGGTCCTCAAACTTGACCTTAAGGACAGATTAGGACAACTTTCCGCACATCAACCGTTTTCTTATCGGATTTTGACAGGATGCATCACACGATGAGATGTATTTAATAGAGTTATTTCCAACGTTTTTTCATCACATTAAGATGTTCAAACATTAGAATTTATCATGTTGTTACTAGGTTGTGGGTTAGATGATCCTGGAGTTTTTGTTGGAGTAATTCGGGAAAAGTATAAACTCATCTTCGCACCCATGACTCAGTTTGCGGCGATACATTTTGAAAACAGTTATTGAACCGCTGATATTTACCGGAATTTCTCTGCGTCTTCACTATCTACATTCTTATTACTTAAACCTTCATCATTTGCATCTAAACTATTTCTAATACTTATCGGTCTACCTTTTTCACTGTTATCAAGCTTAGCGGGGGAATGCATCAGGTTTCCCTGATAATTCCGAGAAGGTAAATCCCTGGATTCAATACCCCGAGAGTCGTGCGTTTTACAAATATATATATATATGTATACATAAATACTTAAGCTAAACCAAAACCTTCATGACCTTCGGTAATAGCCAACAATAATGAACCTCTTAAAGTTTCATACGTTTCATATGCAGGTAAATCTATTTGATTGAAACATGTGTGAGATGAAGGTAATCTATCAAGACTTCCATAATCTCTATGAATGGAAAATTTACAAGTACCATTAACACTACTTAATTCTTTGAAACCATTTAATGGAACTTTAGAAGTACCAGTAGCAAATTGTAATAATTTAGCTCTTTCTTCATTATCAAAAGATTTAACAGCTCTCCAAAACCATTGAATTTGAATTGAAGATGCGGAATAATTACTATAAGAAGTATTATTCTGCCAGTCATTAACATCAATGTCAGGTAATCCACTGATTAACAATTCTAATTCTTGTTCATCAAAAATATTAATAATATCTTTAGGAATAATTTCATGGAATCCCATTAAGAAGTTATCCATTTGTTCGGTAACAGAAGTTTGTAAACGATATTCAACAACCAATCTAACATATTCTTGTTTGTTTTCTTCAGTTACTGGGATATTTCTACCATCGGGAATTAAATCAATGATTTTCTTTTCACCATAATCATCAGTTTCCACTGAAAAATCCTCAGTAATAACATCAGTTATATCATTTTCTAACATCCACACTAAAGATTTGAAATATTCTAAATCTAAAGTTTCCATATCTTTCAAAGAAACTTTTCTGCCTAAAAGTCTTTTATAAACAGCTCTACTGAAATGACAATCCAAGAAACAATTATCAAATATAGCTTTACCAATAATCTTACCAATAAATTTGAAGAATGATAAATGTTCAGGATTAATATAAGAAATTCTGTTAGGATGATAAGTATTCTCATCCGATGAAACTGGAGTAAATAATGCATAATCAGGATTAAACATTTGTCTTGATAATACTTGATACCATTCTCTAGTAACACCACCAGCATCAATACCTGATTCTCCTTTGAAATTAATTTCTAATTTACTTTCTCTGAATTCTTCCTTAGTTTTAAAGAATAATGCTCTATAACTATCTAAAAATACTTGATCACGACGGATGTTAATAGCCAAAGTTTTCGGATCTTTAGGTGAACTTTCATGTAATCTTCTATCGAAATAATTCTTTTTATTATCGAATTCCAATACTTTAGGATTTCTAACTAACATAGCAAACGGACCACTCATTAAATTTGGATTAGTTCTTACCATTTGATTTAAAATCTTTTTATGTTCATCAGTGAATGAAAAGAATAAACTTTCAATAGGTTCTTTAGTGAAATCAATCTTTTTAGCTTGATATTTAACAGCATCTTTAACTTGTAATTCTTTAACCTTACTATGTTTACAAACAACCATTAATGATTCAATTAAAGGTAATAAAATTGTAGCTAAATCAGTCAATTTAGGATTTTCTTCTAATGCTCTTAAAGCATCACTCAAAGCATCCCATAATGAACCTAAAGCCAATTTTTTATATAATTCAGTCAATTCTTCAACATCGTCAATTGCCTTTTTATTCTTAGATTCATACATATAATCAAGAGCTGTTAAAACTCTTAATAATTTTGATTGATCAGAAGAAGGATCATTAAATTTAACTAATTTCAAATCTTCTTCACTAGTAACTGAACCTATTCTTATTTCATCAATGGATTTATTCAAATCAGAAATGATCACTTGACCTAAATTAGTAGCTTGATCACTTAATTCAATGGAAAAGATTCTTTGAGCATTATCTAAACAATTACCTAAATTTTGCATAGCACTAATGGCTCTTCTGAAAGTAGTGTTTGGACAATAATATGAAGTTAAGAATTTAACCATTTGACTTAATAAATAATCAGGAACATAAGGTGTTAACATTGATTTGTCATCTTTATGACGTTTAAAAGTATCTAAAGATTTGGTGATTAATTGTAAAACCCGAGATAAAACATCCATGAAAGGTTGATCATCTCTTAATGGTTGATTTTCAAGTAATCTTAATAAAGAATTAATCTGATACCTATCAGCTTTCCCAATACTTAATTTACTCTTTTTGTTTTTGGTATAAGGATTATCATGTTCGGTAATGAAGTAATATCTCATATGCTTATTCTCTTCTAATAAATAATGAAGTAAATCGACCATTTGATTCCCAATATTAATGATGGTAGCTTTCAAAGGTAAAATCGATTTAACTTTAGGAGCATCTCCTTCGGTCTTGAAAGCTTTAAAACCAAGATGATTATAAGATTTTTCAAATGATTTGTTATTGAGTAAACCATCCTGTAAAACAAAAACTATTAAATTCAAAACTTCAATTCTTGTATGCTTATTCAAACATAAGTATTTCAATGATTGATGAATACCTTCACGTTTATTGAGTGGTTGAGGAATGAATAATAATCTCAAAAGTGAAGCAGCACCTGAACGATCAATTAATGGAGTAAAGAATAATTTCTTATTCTTTTTGGGTTTCTCTTCAGGTTTCTTAGGTTCGGATTTGTTTTCAGATTCAAGATCTTGGAATGCATTATGGAATGAACCATCTCCACTTCTAATACTTTCATTATGATCATGGAAATCATCTTCACTTTCTTCGAAATCATCTTCATCATCTTCATCTCTACCAGTTGAATATCTTGCCATGGATTCTTGTTGTAAAATTTCTTCTCTAATTTGTTCAGGAAGAGCATTAAGGAAATCAGGATCAATTTCTCTTGAATTAGCACCTGTAGTACTAGCATGAGCTCTTCTATCTCTAACATGTTGAGTAAATACTTCTTCTCTCATATCATCAGGTAAAGCTTCGAAGAATTCAGGATCAATTTCAGTTCCACTGATATCAACTTCTCTATCACCAATACGAACCATTACAGGTTCTTGTTGTTCATCATTTTCATTGACTTCAGCTGCTAATTCTTGAGCTTTTTGTTCTTCTTTCTTCATTCTTTCATCTTCCTTTTGACGACGTTTTTCTTCACGTTTGATTATTAATTCTTCAACTTTATCTTGTCTCTTCTTTTCCAAAGCGATACTATCTTCAACGATTTTATCACCAATACAGCCAGCAAGATAATTGAGGAATTCTTCCTTTTTATCCAATCTTAATTTTGTCATACTTTCATTCCATCTTTCCAAAGTAGATTCAATATATAAATTACTTAATGGATCAACAGATCTATCGTCAGGTTTACCAGCAATTTCAAGAATACTTTCAATAGCTCGTTCAAATCTTGGAACTCCGTTAGCAACATCCACATTACCTAATTGAATGGTACCTCTGAAAATTCCATCATTACCTTGAGTGGTATTGTTATTACCCAAGATACCACTGAAAATGTTAGCTAAAGTATTACCACGATTCATATGAGGACGAAGGGCATCGAAAAATGAGGTAGCCATTTCTCCTTGAGCTCTTCTACTACTTGAAGCTATTCCAACACCATCGAAATCTTCTTCTGCAATAGAATCTCCATCACTATCACCATCAAGGTCACCTTCTTCATCAATGATGATTCTACCATCGTCCATATCTTCATCATTATGATTTGCACGATCATGTTCTTCATCTTCATCTTCGGACTCATCACCAAATTCTTCAATCCATCCATCCAATTCTCCTTCACTGTATTCACTACTTTCAGCATCTTCACCTTGAGAATCTTCAAAATAAAATTCAGATCCATCTCCTTCGTCAAGTCCTACAGCCGTGGTATCAATAATTTCAATATCACTATCATCATAATCACTAGCATTTTCATCGATTATTTCAACATCATGACCATGATAATAAGAATCAGCCATTGAAGCGTCATCAAGATCTTCATCGTCAAGATCTTCATCACCATCATCTTCGATATCATCCATGTCATCTGAATCATCCCCTTCATCATCATCTTCATCATCACCTTCAGAATTTTCATCACTAACAACTTCTTCTCCCGACATAAGAACTTCTAAATCTTCACCTTCATCATCAAAATAATCCATTTCATCTTCACTATCATATTCAATATCATACATTCCCAAAGTGGAATTTCTGAATAAATCTGGTCCTTCTTCTTCCTCTCTTTCATCATCATCATCTTCCAGATCAGGGATTTCATCATCTTTTTCACCTTGATCATCATAATTTTCTTGATTTTCACTCTTTAATTTAGCTAAAAGTCCTAAAGGATGAACTGCTGCTTTAACAACTTTTTCGATACCAGGGAAATTCAAATCAAATGATGCTAAACTAGAAGTAATTTGATTTGGTACTTGTTTATCAATTAAACATCTTGAAATATAGAATGAATCCATCTTACTAGCATTTTTATCCAATAATGGACCAGATATTTGACGTAATTTATTGGATACTAATGATCCGATCAAATCATAAAGATCAATTAATTTACCATATTTGGTTTGATTAGATTGTCCTGAATTAAAAGTATCTCTCATAGATTTCAAGATGACATCAGTACAGAAATTCCTTATGAATGCCATATCACCATTTTCCTTTCTTGGTTTTGGATCATTGGTTTCATCAAGAACAGGGGTTGAAATCAAAGCTAAAATAGCAATCTTAGTGATTGATGAAATAGCTGATCTTCTATCAGACTCAATACCTGAAGCAGTTGATAATGGTTGTGTAGGTATCAATTGATGAAGTAACACATTAAGAGCTGTAGATCTGGGCTTGACATTTTCAGTGTAATTTTCTTTTTTGGAGAATGTAATGAATTCAAGTTTAGCATGCATGTAAGAACCCAATAATTCGGTTAATGTTTGAAGTAAGAAACAAATATATGTGAAGTCTTGATTCTTAAAAACATCCATCAACTTATTATTCTTATTTTCATGCGGCTTAGTTTCTTGCGGTTTATCACCGGTAGTTTCCTCTTTAGGATTACTCCAAATATCTTTTCTACTGGTTTTAATGATTTCAGAAATGATGGTATGAATAATAGAACTGGGTTGAATCGAGGGTTGAGAATGAGTTTTATCACTTTCAATCATTTCAATATCTTCTTGTTTGGAATTAGGTGCAGCAACAACAGGTAATAATCTGGGGATAGCATCTTGTTCACCATCATAACCAAAAAATCTGATTTTTTCTGCCATTAACTCAGTAAATACATCAGCATCTCTTAATGGTAAATTACCACATTCTTTTAAAAGGGCCAGTAATTGTTTTCTATTCTTTTGACGTTGGAGAATCTGTTTAAGTTGAGAATTCATATAATATTTGATAACTTCAGGTGATTCAAAGCATCTTCTCAAAAGAACAACTAATCCTTGTTGATCTTTCTTGGTTGGTTCAACGGTATTGTTGGTAAATAAAACACTTGCTTGAATCAATTTTGCGATAAGACTTGATTGAAGGATTGAAACTCTCTTTTCTTGATTCATACATAATACAGTTAAAATCTTAATAATGGCAGAAGCACAACTTGCATTGGTGAAAGTTTCCACTGAAGTCAAACTTTCAAGTAATTGAGTTTGTTGGTTTTCATCAATGAGAACTGTGTCTTTAATCACTTCGTTCCATTTATGATCGAAAACTTCTTGTTTAGGTATACTTTGATAAGTTAAAGCTTGTTCCACTATCAACAACCCTTCAGCAATGAATTCTTCATTAACGACTTGATTATTTTCCCTTACTAAATCAACTACTATCTTACAAATTGGAATATAGGTATCCTTAGTTAAGGATATGTTATTATCTTTCATGATAAAAGAAAGGATTGATCTTACAAGTCCAAGATGTGAATGAACGAATTTATTTCTGATTTCAGCATCAGCTTCCAAATTTTTACTTACAAAAACAGGAATTTGACCATCTTCAGCCATCAGAACAGATTCAGCAAGTGTGTCACTAACCTGAGGATAAGCTGAAGCAACGTTAAACCATGATTCGAAAAATCTTGAATATTCACTTGAATCAGTATCTCTGACAGGATAAGATCTTAATTTTTTGGAGCAATCAACTGTTTGTAACTCATTAACGAATTGTTTATTATCATTTTTCAAAGCACCACTAATGTTCTCAAGATCTTCTTTATCATAACTGGAACTTGGACATGGCCAATCACCTTTCATCAAAGGTTGTAAATCTTTAGCATGTTTGAAATAATGTATAGCTTTAGATTCCACCATTCCCAAGGATTTCAAGTATTCAATTTGATCATAAGGTGGTGAAACATTCTTCCAATCTAATGGAACAAAGAGTTCTTGGGATGTAGTTCCGTAATCATTGATAATAACTGATGAAATGCCTACTAAATCTTTAATCACTTGAAGAGGGATATTGGAAGGAAATTGATCGGGTGTTGGATTGGTGAAAAATTTCTCTATCGTACCCAGGAGAAGATCAATAGCAATACTTCTAGAATAACCAATAGCTGAAGAAATCACATCGAATTTTTCTTCAATGGTATTATGATAAAAGTAATTAGCATTAGGTAAACTGGGGAAATTATCATACACAGTAATTCTTGCAAAGATTTTGCTGATATGGCTCAAGGTACTTCTGTCAATACTATCTATGGTATGTTTAGTATAGTTAAGTTGTTGTTTGGGGACATCAGGAAGATGTAATAATTCATCGAATATAGAACATCCAATTCTACCAACACTATGGAAAACCTTCTTATCCAACATAGCTACGATTAAAGATGTTTGAACGATATTTTTACCAGGATCTCTTTGGCTAATGACATATAATAAGATGGAAATGGTGACAAAATAATAACAATTACGTTGATAACTATCTTTTATTTCGACATCCAACAAATCTTTGAAAATCACAGCTAACGTGGTGGTGATTTTGACTGATTTTCTTCTCCATTCAGATTGAGCATATTCTTGACGTCTATGCATGACTTTACTAACATAATTGAAAAGATCAGAAATGGAATGCAGTAAATTGAAACAAATTGTTCTTACTTGGAGAATATTCTTGAATAAATAATCTTTTCTTTCTGAAGAATGACGGGGTTGAGATTCAGGTTCTACCATCAAAATTCTAATCTTAGGATTCTCTCCAGCACTATCAGGAGTAGCAGTTGATTCAATAGCTATTTGTTCATCACAATTAGTTCTTAAGTAATTTTCTTCAATGATAATTCTTGATAAGATCTTACCTAAATTAGTTAAGAACTCTAATCCATCATCACTACCAAAGATATCAGCTAATTGATAATATCTATCATGAGAAATCACTCCCCATTTGAAATATCCATTACTCAAAGCAAATAACAAATTGGTCACTGAGTTAAGTTGTCTATAAATCATAGTAAAGTCATCAGCAGTATAATTTGATTGTGAGAAGAATGATGATTCTCCTTGGTAATTCATAAATGTCTTTATAGCTTCATCATTGAATTTCTCCTTCAAGTATTTCACCAATACTGGGAAACTATATTCAATATCATCCTCATCAAAGTATGTGAGTAATTCAACTATATTATAATTGAAATTTGATAAAACGAAATCATAAGGAGCATTAGGTAAATCGAAAAATGGTAACCATTCTTCGAATTTTATGGCATTAACAATTTCATTACCCCAATTACCTTCTTGCAACAAAGCACGGAAAAATAATGATATGGCTTCAAAGATATTCCCATAATCTGAAGTTTCCCAATTTTCAATAGTCTTTTCCGATTCTGAAGGACTATAATTCTTAGGTCCTTGAATATTCTCATTAACAAGTTTAGGAGCTTCTCTTACCAATTTTTTAACTTGTTCAATGATAATTGGTTTTAATGATGGATAGTGTCTTCCTAATTCATCAAATGATCCACCCAAATTATTGGCCATTCCTGAATTTACTAAATCTCTACATAATTTAGGATCGGAGAAAATTCTGAAGAAACTAGCGAAGCAATTCTTGGATTCAACTTTCTTTATACCTTCTTTATTCAATGAGATAGCTCCCAATACTTCAGGTAAGGATACGATCAAATCGCTATTAGGTAACATGAGATCATCGAAATTATCTAAAATGGTATCGATAACTTTAGCTTCATTTAAAATCGAGAAAGCTGTAGGTTCATTATGAATGATATAAAAGACGGCATCAATAGTTGAAGATAAAATCAGTGGTCCAAATACTTTAGGATTAACAAGGATTTTATTAAAACTTTGAAGAATTGGAGAATCAAAAAGATTACGAAGTCTATCACCACTTTCCCATTGAATCAAATAAGTGACTAATTTCATCAAATTTCTTAAGAAATTGGCTTGTCTGAAAGAAATGGTATACTGAACAACAGAACCTTCTGGAGGACCACCATCAAACCCGGGATTTTCCAATGCAAAATTAACTTCTTCACCAATAGTATCAATCATAAGAGGAAATCCGTTATTATTGATGAATTCATTCAATGAAGATGAAGAATTACTTAAAAATGAAGTTATAAGATGCACAGCAGCTGAAGCTTCCCATCTATATTTAGAAGGTTGTTGAAGAAAGTTCATTAATTCGTTCAAAATACCTCCCATAGCTAATCTTGGTCTTAAAGTATGATTTTCAATTAAATTACCAATCATATTGAAAAGATGAATATATGCTTTATGATAACAATTAGGATCTTGATTGAGTAATTTCTTATGAATATGTTTTAAAGTTTGATAGATAGCTCCATGATTAACATTAGCACCTAAAGATCTTATTATTTCACCTCCCCAATATCTCTTTATTGAGAAACATTCAAAAGCCTTGATAACCAGGAATATGAGTTCATGCAGATAATTGTCAATGTTTTCAGCCATAATGAATCCAACTAATGATCCTAACATATAAGGTTCAACTTCAAATATTTTGGCTGAAACATAATCTTCTTTAGAACTATTGACAATGAAACAAATAGAATATAATTTACACATAAGTAAATTTTCTCTAAAAATGATTGAATCATGATCATTAGAATTTAAACTTTTAGTAACTTGAGCATGAAGAGCAAATTCAAACCAAAGACTTTTAGGAATAACTTCATTGGCTTTATCAAAAATCTGTTCAATTGATAATTTCCGGACATTTTCTGATGATATTGAAAATGTACATAAATTTTCATGAGTACCAGCCTTTTTAGGAGATTTTAATTTTGATGGTGAAGAATCCATTTTGATGGTTTGATTTTTATAATAATGGAAATTAATTGATTTCCAAGATTCTGGAATTTGGGCATCTACTTTTAATGTATGACGATAACTATAATGACCACCAAATATGAATGCATTTGAACCTTCATTTTTCAAAGGTTTGAAATCTCCTGGTACTAATGGAGGGTATGATGATATTAAAAGCAACAATTTCTCTTTTAATTCCTTTTCATTCAAAATTTTGGAATTGTTATGTAGACGACGTTCACTTAAAGCTACTGATACTTGTAAAGCAGATAATCTTACTGGTAATGTTGGGGTATTTATAAGATGAGCTATTCTTTCAGAACCTTTATAGATAGCTCTATTAGCACAATGTTCTAATAACATGAAAGTGAAAGTTAAACATGTTGAAACCAATTCACTATCTTTACTTGACATTATGGATAATTTGACAAATTCTTGATCTAATTGATATTTCTTAATTTGTGCTTCAAAAATATCATCAAATCGATTCAATACACTAATCCAATGATATAAATCCCCTCTAGGTCTATTCCATTCCATATTGGACTTCAATTTGCCAGGTAATTCTGTTAAATGACAATTAGTTATCTCATCAATTAAGGATTGTAGAGGTTTTGCCATCTCCATCCTTTCGAGATGATCTTTTTTGGAGATAATCATCTTTCACTTATTGGAATAATAATTTTCACAAAAAACAGTATCCAGTGCAATCAATGGTTATTTAACAATGTTTTATGGCAGTTGTTAAATGACTAAAGATTTATGTGGTTGAGTCTTAGCGCAAGCTATATTTCGCGAATTTATGGGAAGACCTCTAAGATGAACCGGAATGACAAGGGAACTATGAACCGGAAGAATGGTGGGAATCTTAAGAAGTCTGGGAACTTTAAGGATTCTGGGATCAATAAAGAGAAGAGTGAAGGAAAAGGTGGATTGAATGTTGAGATACATCCATTATTAAAAGGAATTGTTAATATACCTCAAATACCTAAAGATCATAATCCATTAAAAAGGAAAGTTCGTTCAACTTTTGATCCTAGTTCTATCAATCCTTATTTGGATGCTAGTACTATGGGTAATAATAGAAAGAAATCTCGAGGATTACAATTCAATGAGCAAGGGAAATATATCGAACAAGGTAATATACTACGAGAAAAGATTGAATTGGAGTTACAAGAACAAGCTAGAGTGAAAGAACTACAAGATAAAGGGCTTTTAGCCAATGAAGAATTAGGAGAATTGGCATTTAAACATGAAAAACCTCCAAGTTTAGAATGGTGGGATTCTTTCTATGTCAATGGACATAATTATGATTTGATCGATAATGAGAAGAATATCATCTTAGATAATGAAACATCTCCCATAACGATATATATCCAACATCCAGTGTTTTTAGATGCTCCTAATGATAAACATCTTCCTGAAGATAAAGCTATGTATTTAACCAAGAAAGAAATGAAACGTAAAAGAAAAAATGAAAGACAAGAAAAATTCAAACACCAACAAGAACGTATACGACTTGGATTAGATCCACCACCACCACCAAAAGTCAAATTATCAAATTTAATGAATGTTTTGACCAATGAAGTTATAAAGGATCCTACAGCCATTGAGAGGAAGGTTAAAAAGGATATTGAAAATAGATACAAACAACATATGAAAGCTAATGAAGAAAGGAAACTAACCAAGGAACAGAAATATGAAAAGTTACATCAAAAACATGAACAAGACGTTTCTTCAGGATACTATCGAAATGTTTATAGAATCGATAAGTTAATCGATAAACAACATTTCTTTAAAATTGATGTCAATGCTAAAGAATTGGAATTGAATGGGATATGTTTGGTTCATGATAAGATGACATTGCTTGTAATTGAAGGAGGTTCCAAGGGATTAGGCAAATATGACAAAGTAATGAATAAGATCAAATGGACTAAATCTAATAACGAATCAATTGATCTTAGTAGTAATAAAATGACATCAATTTGGTCCGGTCAAATTAAAGACCTACAATTCAAAAAATGGTCAATTATCAATGTCAGGAACGATGATGATTTGTATAGTATTTTAAATAGGTTTCATATAGAAAATTATTGGAGACAAGCCAGTAATTGAATACACATTTTTGATAGGTTTATAATTTCGCAATCGGTATTGGAAAAATCTCAGATTATAATGGCAGCAGGTTACACTATTTTAGGGAAACAAATTCCATCTCATGTTGTATGTAGAGAATTATCATGGATTGGTGGGTGGTAAAGGTTATTGATGATTAATGAAACACCAATTGATTGATTTATACCATTGATATGATACTAACGAATAGCTTTCAATTTTAACTTTAGGTTCAGTTGCAACTATTGCAGCATGGCCAAGAGCTAAAGCTGAACCAGCACCAACTGCTGTTGTTCCAGCTGCCAAAGAAGATGATTTTGATTTAGAAAAGTTTTTCAAGTATGTATAAGGTTAAATGGGATCGAAGAAGTTGTGTGTCCACAAGATTGAAGATAGGTGTAGAAGTGGTGCGAAGATAGGCCCAGGCACGGTGCGAGAAGTGGTGCGAAGATAGGCCTATGGACGGTGCGAGAAGTGGTGCGAACACAGGCCCAGGGACAGTACGAAGAAAGACTGAGAAATGGTGGGAAATTTATTCCATATAGTAGCGGAAGTAGGGATCGGCAATGGATATGAGAGGGTCAACTAAGAAACTCCGAAATGCTTGCAAGCCAATTCATACTTTCATACGATTATTTACGGAATACTTCTGACACATCCTTTTCCGGCTAAATCCAGACTTTCTTTCTACAGCACACCCTTTCCACACCTTATCCTTTTCAGTACCACATCCTGTTCTCACACATCCTGTTCTCACACATCTTGTTCTCACACATCTAGTATTCACACACTAGTTTTCACACATCTAGTTTTCACACACCTAAGTGTGATGCCCATTTCAATATAGGACAGATTTACTAACATTCTAGTGACTTAACCAAAGAAGAATCTAAATAGAATAAACATCCACTAAAATTATACCTCTAACTTCCTATCTCTATACTCCATTCCGTATTAATAATCTAATCACCTAATTATCCGAAAACCGCTTTTGCTATTTCCCAATTAGTTAAACATATCATCACACGTCTGGGGTTCACACGTCTATTTAATAATAATAAACAAATGATTACTAAGACGTGTAACAGAAAACCCTCTCAGATCAAGATCATTTGCCAGATTCTTCTATGTTAAACATCCTCCAACCAGGAATGATAACTAATTAACTCATCATACCTGTACCGAAGGCCACCAATCCTATGGTTGAATTTCACCTCAACAATCAATCCCGAAAACAAAATCAGGATAAACACCAAACTCGAATCGCAAAATAAATAAAATAAACAAAAGGGCGTAACGCGTTTTAATATAAAAGGAAGCCATTAATCCCAGAAAAGTTTTTTTTTCATTCATCCAAACCTAAAGAAACTAATAAAAGATGTACGTCTATAAAAGAGATGGACGTGAAGAACCAGTTAGGTTTGATAAAATCACTGCTAGAGTTCAAAGATTATGTTATGGTTTAGATACTAAACATGTTGATGCCGTTGCCATTACTCAAAGAGTTATTTCTGGTGTTTATCAAGGAGTTACTACTATTGAATTAGATAATTTAGCTGCTGAAACCGCTGCTTATATGACCACCATTCATCCAGATTATGCTATTTTAGCTGCTAGAATTGCTGTTTCTAATTTACATAAACAAACTACTAAACAATATTCTCAAGTTTCAAAAGAATTATATGAATATATTAATCCAAAAACTGGTAAACATTCTCCTATGATTTCCAAAGAAACTTATGATGTTATTACCAAACATGCTGATGAATTAAATTCTGCTATTGTTTATGATAGAGATTTTAATTATAATTATTTTGGTTTCAAAACTTTAGAAAGATCTTATTTATTGAGAATCGATGGTAAAGTTGCTGAAAGACCCCAACATTTAATTATGAGAGTTGCTGTTGGTATTCACGGTAATGATATTGAAAGAGTTATTGAATCTTATAATTTAATGTCTCAAAGATATTTCACTCATGGATCTCCAACTTTATTTAATGCTGGTACTCCAAACCCTCAAATGTCTTCATGTTTCTTAGTTGCTATGAAAGATGATTCTATTGATGGTATTTATGATACTTTAAAAACTTGTGCTTTAATTTCTAAAAGTGCTGGTGGTATTGGTTTACATATTCATAATATTAGATCTACTGGTGCTTATATTGCTGGTACTAATGGTACTTCTAATGGTATTATTCCAATGGTTAGAGTTTTCAATAATACTGCTAGATATGTTGATCAAGGTGGTAATAAAAGACCTGGTGCTTTTGCTTTATATTTAGAACCATGGCATTCAGATATTTTCGATTTTATCGATATTAGAAAAAATCATGGTAAGGAAGAAATTAGAGCAAGAGATTTATTCCCAGCTTTATGGATTCCTGATTTATTCATGGAAAGAGTTGAACAAAATGGTGATTGGACTTTATTCTCACCAAATGAAGCTCCAGGTTTACCTGAAGTTTATGGTGATGAATTTAAACAATTATATGAAAAATATGAAAGAGAAAATAGAGGTAGACAAACTATTAAAGCTCAAAAATTATGGTATGCTATTTTAGAAGCTCAAACTGAAACTGGTACTCCTTTCATGTTATATAAAGATGCTTGTAATGAAAAAACTAATCAAAAGAATTTAGGTATCATCAAATCATCTAATTTATGTTGTGAAATTGTTGAATATTCAGCTCCTGATGAAGTTGCTGTTTGTAATTTAGCTTCCATTGCTTTACCAAGTTTTGTTGAAAGTAATGAAAAATCTACTTGGTATAATTTTGAAAGATTACATGAAATTTCAAAAGTTGTTACTAGAAATTTAAATAGAATTATTGATAGAAATTTTTACCCAGTTCCAGAAGCTAGAAATTCAAATATGAGAAATAGACCAATTGCTTTAGGTGTTCAAGGTTTAGCTGATACTTTTATGGCTTTAAGATTACCTTTTGATTCTCAAGAAGCTAGAGAATTAAATATTCAAATTTTTGAAACTATTTATCATGGTGCTGTTGAAGCTTCTATTGAATTAGCTCAAACTGAAGGTCCTTATCAAACTTATGAAGGTTCTCCAGCTTCAAAAGGTTTATTACAATATGATTTATGGGAAAGAAAACCAACTGAATTATGGGATTGGGATACTTTAAAACAAAAATTAGCCAAACATGGTTTAAGAAATTCTTTATTAGTTGCTCCAATGCCTACTGCTTCAACTTCTCAAATCTTAGGTAATAATGAATGTTTTGAACCTTTTACTTCAAATATGTATTCAAGAAGAGTTTTAAGTGGTGAATTCCAAATTGTTAACCCTTACTTATTAAAAGATTTAGTTGATTTGGGTCTTTGGAATGAATCAATGAAAAATAATATTATTGCTAATAATGGTTCAGTTCAAGGTTTAACTAATATTCCTGATGAAATTAAAGCTTTATATAAAACTGTTTGGGAAATTAGTCAAAAACATATTATTGATATGGCTGCTGATAGAGCTGCTTTCATTGATCAATCTCAATCATTAAACATTCATATTAAAGATCCAACTATGGGTAAATTAACTTCAATGCATTTCTATGGTTGGAAGAAAGGTTTGAAAACTGGTATGTATTATTTAAGAACTCAAGCTGCTGCTGCTGCTATTCAATTTACTATTGATAAAAATTCAATTGATCAAGCCAATCATACCACTGCTGTTATGGAAAAATTAAACCAAAGAAAATATCGTCCAAACACCAAAAATGTAGTTGTTAGTGACACTGATTCAATTTCAACTAGATCAGCTTCAACTGAACCTTCATCAGTTGAAAATTCAATTGCTGAATTGAAAATTACTGATGATAAAATAAAAGAAGTTGATTCAAAAGATGATCAAGTTGCTGAAGTTAATGAAGAAGATTTATCTTCTGATATTTACAGTTCAAAAGTCATTGCTTGTGCTATCAATAATCCTGAATCTTGTACCATGTGTTCAGGTTAATTCCTTCCTTTTAATGATCTTTTGTACTATTAGTTAGCATTAGTTATTTGCTATAGCCATTGTTTTGTATCGCTGGATCCGTTGCAAGTCATGTTTTTGCATTAATCCTGTTTATGTAAATTTAATAAAGTTTTTTAGAAATCCATTTTCGCACCCAAAAAGTCTCTTAACAAAATTTTCGCCAACTAACGTATTGACAAACATAGCCTTAAAAATCGTTGGAATTAGTGGTTAATTCATGAAATATAGTTATTGGTGGTTACAAAGAACATATCCGATTGAAGCGAATTTATCAACATAATTCAGTCCTCAGATAATTAAATATTCATTGACGGTTCTTATCACACGACAGTATGCCGTCTGATAACATAAGCTTCGGAGAAGAAATTCCTTTAGACAATCTCAATAAATCTGATCCAAGGGATGATAATATGAATGATGACATATCTGATGGTACCATGCAAGGTCAAGATAATCTACCTGAAGATCCATTATTAGATGAAGAAATCCAAAGATTACAAGATGATCAATCTAAAGTAAAGATCTTTTTTAAGAAACTTTGGAATGGTCCTGATGAAATCAAAGATGAACCTCCAGAACCGTTTTCCAAAGGTATTTTATATCATATTGAACAAGTACCACAAAAATTCGATCAAAGAGTGAGGCATAGATATAAAGTAGCGATCTTAATAGGATATTTATTAGCATGGTTTCTTATTGTTTATAATATACTATCTCCTTATTTTACAGAACCACCTGGAGTGGTCGGAGGTGATATACAAGTTGTGAGTTTAGGATGTACTAGTCAATTATGGAATGGGAAAAATGCTGCCTGTGGATTAAATGGTATGGATTGTCCTAATTCTCAAACAGATGATATTTTTGTCCGATGCCCTGCTTTATGTGATAGAAGTTGGACTTATTCTTTAGAACCTATAGGAGATCAAAGAATAAGATATCAAGGATATTTTGTTGGTGGAGGAGACAAAGTGTCAAATCCTGTCAAAGATCAATTATCAAATCCTTATAGAGCCGATTCATATATTTGTGGGTCGGCAGTGCATGCTGGAATTATATCACCATTTACTGGAGGATGCGCAAGAGTTTCATATAAAAGTGGTGCTCAATCTGGATTTGAGTCAGCCAAGGGCCATTATGGAGTAGATGATTCAATTAGTTTCCAGAGTTTCTTTCCTTCATCATTTTTCTTCAAAAAAATCACCAGTGGATTTTCATCAAATGAATACGTTCATGGATGTAGTGATCCAAGATTACCCATCCTTATAACCAATATAATTCTTGGTTTACCAATAGTGTATTTAGCTAGTGGACCTGTAATTTATTGGGTTATCACCATCGTTGGTTTCTGGACTATAGCTTTAGCTACAGATCCCCCAGTAAATGTTGATTCAAATGATTTAGAAACTTATGCTTCATTATTATCCATTGGTTTAGAGAGATTCTTACCTTCATGTTTCATATTGTATGCCCTTTGGAGGGCATCTACTTCAATAACTTTAGGAAAATCTGATTCTCCCGTATCTCATTTGAGTAGAGTCTTTTACTTTTATCCCCTTTTCTGGTTAGGGGTGTTGAATAATATTAGTTTTGATAGATTACCAGTTGATAGATTTACTTTGAATGATTTAAAAACACAACCTGGAGGTGCTATTGCCGTAGCATGTATTGTAAGTTTAGTATTGGTATGTGCAGTTATTCAAGCATTCAAAATTTGGGAATCAGGTAAATTCAAAAAGTACCTTGGAATTTATGGATGTTTTGTATTGGGACTCTTTTGGATATCTCAATTACCAGGATTAACTTTAAGAGTTCATCATTACATTCTTGCTATGCTTCTTATTCCTGGGTGTTGCACTCGAGGTGTAACAGCTTTATTATTCCAGGGCATTCTTCTAGGATTATTTTTATCTGGAGCTGCAAGATGGGGTTTAGCTGCCATAGCTGAAACTGATACTTCATTGAGAAGAAATGATCCTAGTGGGAAAATTTTACCTCCTGAATTACTTGGATTCGATCTTGCCTCAGGGCTTTTATCATGGACCGATCCCTCATCTGATAGAAATAGACTTTATAAAGGGATTTCAATATTGATCAATGATGTTGAAAGATTTGTAGGACAGAACATTTCCAGTGTAAATTTACCCCAATTATTCCAAAACTCAACCGAATTGACTAATCTCATCCAACAAACCTTAGATAGTAAATTTGTTGTAGATAACGAAAATATTCCATTATACATAAGAATAGGTAAGAAAATCATGGGAACTCATAGATATAGTGATTATTCCAATGCCGCAATCTTAAAATGGCCCAGTGGTGAACTTACATTACCTAAACCTGGTATAACTTAGTTCGAATATATGACTTTATGAGCTCTCTCACTTCGCATTATAGGTTGCGGATTTACACACATGCAGGGAATTATTCGCAACAATTAGTTTCACCACATGATAATAAGTAATCCCCTGTCAGTATTGAATGTACTGAGACTTTCATTCCATTCAATCCTTTCAAAATCTAAACCTTTCACCACCAAAGCCAGAAGTGTTCTAGAAAAGAAGAAAGATGATTTAATTCCCACAGCCAAGATTAAATGGTATTATGCAACTGATGTCCCCATATCTAAACCTTCGTGGTATAATTATACAAAAGTTGATGATGCAAAGACTTTCTTACCATTTTCAGACTATGATTCTCAAAGAATTGAACATCAGTTCAAAAAGTATTTTGAAAGTTCAAATGATGAAACTACTTGTAAGATTGAGGTCAGTGAAGATAAGTTATTTGAAGTTGATGTTAAGAAATTTGAACTTTCTCCAATATATTGGGAAGGTCCTGTTTATGAAGTAAGGAGAGGTCTTTGGTTTACTACTGATGGAGTTCCTTTAAGTCATGTGTTGACTCAACAAATAGAAATGGGATTTGAAGCTAAGAAACCATATTTATTCGATGAAGAAAGAAAATTGAAAGCTGAAAACCCTGGGAAATTCAATAAAGCCGATATAGCAAAATTTAATTCTGATGGAGGTGTTGGAGAAATAACCATTGAAATCGATGCTGAAGAAATTGACGATATTGTTACTTTACCTAATAATAAAGCCGTGTTATATTTCAATAACAACAGAGCTGCTTTGTTCCCCGATTCTATGATAAATGATTATCAATTACCTATAATAAGAAGATTTGGAGCTACAGCTGTTTCTTTATTGAATGTTACTCATATTCAAAGAGGTTTCACTTCAAACTTAACAGCCTCAATTTTTGATAATATACCTGAAAACCCCATTCCTGGTTTGACGGATATTTTACAAACAGAAGTAACAAATTTATTCACAGGTGAAGCTGATGAACCTGTTAAGAAATCTACTAATTATTCTGATGAAAATGATGGTAATGAGTCCAAACAAAATAAGGAAATGAAGAAAGTTATTGAAGATGATTTTGAAAATGATACAACCGAAAATACCTCTTCCCGAGAAATCGATCATGTTGTGTTCTGTGTTCATGGAATTGGTCAAGTTTTGGGGACGAAGTATGAATCGATTAACTTTGCTCATAATATCAATGTCATGAGAAATACCATGAAAGCTGTTTACAAGGATAATCCCGTTTATAGAAAATTAGCTTATGGTGACAAAGATGCTCCTGACTCAAAGTTCAATAATAGAATTCAAGTTTTACCCATCGCCTGGAGACATATGATAGATTTCCATCCAAACAAATTACCAAAAGAAATTGAAGAAGATTCAAGATTACCTACATTATCCCAAATCAATGTTGATGGTGTAAGATCTTTGAGGAATGTCATTGGAGATGTTGCTTTGGATATTCTACTTTACTATGAAAGCAAATATTTCAATCAAATCTTAGCTTCGGTCACCAATCAGTTAAATTTTGTATATGAAGAATTCATGAAAAGAAATCCTAATTTCAAAGGGAAGATACATGTCTTGGGGCATTCTTTAGGTTCAGCTATTGTGTTTGATATTGCATCATTACAATATAACACCAGACCACAAAATCCTGATAAGACCAAGGACTTGCTTTTCGATATTGATTCCCTTTTCTGTATTGGATGTCCTGTAGGAGTCTTCAAATTAATCAGTCAAAAAAACATTGTAAATAGAAAGGAATTACCAGAAGATTATGATCCTAGACAACCAGATTTATACTCATCATCACCTAAATGTACCAATTTATATAATTTATTCCATCCATGTGATCCAGTAGGCTATAGAATTGAACCTTTGATCAAACCAAGATTCTCCAATTACCTGCCAGAAGAAGTCCCATTTGCAGTTGAAGGTATTGATACTCAAATCAAGGGCTTGGCTAGTTTCACTGATGATTTACAAGATAAAATAGCTAATGCAACTTCATGGATCTTGAAAACTAATAGAAAATCCAAGTTAGCCGATGGTATTAAGGATAAGTTCATTGATGAAAATGCTTTGGGAGAAATTGTCAGTAGTATAGTTAAATCAGATGAAGAAGAAGCTGATGCCACATCTAAAGGGAAATTATCACCACCTGATTTGAAAATCCTCAGTTCATTCAATAAAGATGCTAGAGTTGATTATTGTTTACCTATGAAATTCTTTGATATTTCATTAGTTTCAGCTATCAGTGCCCATGTTTCATATTTCGAAGATCAAAACACTTCAGGTTTCATCATGTCGAAATTATTATCATCCCCAGAACCAGTAACTTCCAAAACAGTTTTAATCAAAGACAAAGACTAGAGATAATAAGAAACACGTTCCTTCTACATTTTTCTACTCTATCAATAAATCATCTATACTTTGTTCAGCATCATGTTTAATGAGTTCCAACATTCCCCCAGGTAAGATAGGAGTTTTGGATTCATCAACAATATATCTAAAAGGCATCTCAGTTGATTCATATTTATTATATCTGATTTCAGGATAATCGATGAATTCGATTTTTTCAAATGGTATTCCTTGATCAACAATTCTTTGAGTGGTCCTTACAGCAGTATCAGTAGTCATTTGTAATTCTCCTAATCTTCTACCAGCAAAACCATACTTCTTTCTTAACATACCGGTTCTATCAATTCTAGGATGAGAACCTAAAATACCTCCAAAAACGAAATAATCAAAAGTTGGTTTATCTTCAGGTACCAATTCAGTTTCAGCTGCTGGATCCAATAAACAAACTTTAGAGAAATCAATTCCTCCATCGATATTAATACATTCTTTGGTAGTCCATTGTAATCCTAAATCTAATAATCTTTCTGGTATATCAGATTCTTGAGTTCCTTCAGGTAATGAAGTTAATACTAAATTTTCCTTTCCAACATCTTTAATGATTTGACTGTATTCAAGTATAACCCATTCAGAGAACCCAATCTCCATATGTTCAATGATATACTTCATGGCTGCTTTCAGTTGATTTCGCACTCACAGAGAGATGAGATGCGCAACCGGTGCCGTTGAGGTATCCATAGTGACGTAAGCTATTCATGTCTATTTTGCACTATATAAGAGAAAGGGGTTAAAATTATTTTTTGGAACAACAATCACTTGAAGTCTTGTTGAAAGCTAATCTTGAAGTAGTATCAACGTTTAATGAACAGGAATCGATACCTTGTTTACCAGCTTTAACATCTTTAGTAGTTCTAACAAATGATGGTTTAACATCAAGAACAGGATTTTCAGTGAAGATGTGTCTTGGTCTTAACATTAATTCAAAGATTTCTGTTGGCATAACTGGGAAATCTTCTGGGGCTGGGAAATGAGTTATACCGAAAGTATGGAACATAACAATATCGGTATTTTCAATTTTATCACTACCGTCACCAATCCATTTTCTCATACCTCTTAAACCATCACCACTCCATTGAGCAACGTGATCACCGGATGGATATAATCTACCGTAACCATGATCTTCATCTTGATATGGAATAACTTCAATGGTATTTTCAGCCCATGGAGCTCTCTTTCTGACTAATGAACCTTTTTGAGCCAAAAGTGGAGGACAGAAAGTTGAGACTAATTTATATGATGCTGGTTTACCTGAATATTTGTTGATAGATTTTGGATTGAATAAATCCCATGATCTCATGGTTGATGATTCATAATTAGTCAAAGAATCTCCAACAGTTTTGAATACTTTTTTATCAGAAAAGAAGGCATTACCATACATGTTTTCAGCTGATCCAGTTGGATATGGTGATGGTTTAGCATCAGCCATAGCTGAAGAGTTACCTTCACCATCAATTCTTGGATGTAATCTTAAGGAGAATAAATGTTGATGATTATGAGCATTGACCTTTGGATAAACGACAGTACCCCATGGTCCAATGTCTTCATTTTCATCACAAATATAAGTGTTTAATATACCAGTTAATCTGACTTCTAATTTAATAGTACCATCTTGTCTTAAGATCCAGTATAAACAATATTCATAATTGGCAGCAGTGAAGATTTGAGAAATAATCAATTTCTTACCTCTGGTGGCAATAGTAGTTTGGAAATCATCTCTGAAATCACTGTGTTTGAATAATAAACCATCATCTTCTTCATGAATACAAATAGCATTCTTGATAGTAGTTGGTTCCCCATTTTTATCAGTGAAATGAGCATTTAAGTAGTGAATAACCCCTTTACAATCACATCCTAAAGATAATGGATTTGTACAATTACCTGCACCATATTCACCAATATCTAAAGCATGCTTTCTTTGATGAGGGAAATCTGGACTACCATAAGGAACAATCATTTCACTCAAAGAAATTCTATGGAATAAAGGTCTAACTTTTCCATGATCATCATAAGTCATATCACTTAAAACGATACCTTCTCTATAATTGAAACCAATATGGAAATTGAAATTTGACCAAGTCATTGAACTTCCTTCCATGTTGAAAGAAACACCTTTTGGTTGTTCAACATTAATTGGTGTGTCATCTTGTCTATAACCTGATGGATTAGATTTAGTACCAAATTTTTCTTGAACAGATTTTGGAGTGAAATTAGCATGTTTGTGTTTACTAACTTTTCTTCTTCTGTTTGGAATATCAATGAAAACAACTTTACCAGCATTCATATCAACAATTGGACAGAAATCCAAAGGATGTGAGTAATGAGAATCATCTTCATCAGATCTCCAATACATTAAAGCTTGTTGTAATCTCATTGAAGCTCCCCATCTTTCATCATAACCGATAGTCCAAGCATCACAATAGATGTTTTTCATATCTTCTTTTGGAACTCCACTTAAGATACATTGTTCAATAACGTTAGGATCATTTCTAATGATTTCTTCAGTAGCTTGTAAATCACCAGGAGTTAAAATTGGTTGAGCTCCTTCGGTGTGCTTAATTGATAAAAATTTACCTGATGGAATATCAATAACACCTTCTTCTAAACCATTAGACCCTTCAACAATTATAACGAAATAAGCTAAACGTGGAGGTAATGAACCTTTAGATTCTTTCCATTTATAATATAAATTCTTTGGAGGTTCTCTTAAAGTAATGGTATTGAAATTTAATTTCTTACCACTGAATTTATCTTTTAAAAGGGATGATACGTATTTAATTTCTTGTGGAGATAATTGATCCAAAGGATGGATTGGACGTTCTGGTGCTTTCCCAGAAGAAGTAAGTTGAGTAGCAACTTGTTGTAATCTTTCCATACTTATTTACTTTATTAGATTGACTAACTAGCTTAGAAATTTTTCAATTAGGGATTTGCTGATTTTTAAATAGTCGTAATTTACAATTTATCGCATTTCAATCTCTCTTATCTTTTCCGTAAAGAGAAAAGAATTCCGAAAGCGCAAAAATGGATCGCTTTACTTTTATAGGAAGGTTGAAACCCTTTACTGGATTCAATGGATAAATGAATATGGTGATGAGTTGCCTGTTATGAGTAAATATACTTGTTAGTTGAGAAAACACTGTTATTTTGTGTTGCTGAGAGAGACTGGTCATACTATGGAATGCGTTACGTTTGAAAATACATATCCCAATTTAGAAAGTACGAAAAATAAACGGCCCGATTACTGTTTCGAGACAGTAGCGGAAATATATTTTGCAACCATTATTCATTTCCCTATTTACTATTTACTTTAACGTATCTTAATTCGATCAAAATAATCCAAATAATTAAAGGCATCACAATCAATGATGAAAAGTTAAGAACGATTAAACAATTCATGAAGAGTTCTTTGAATTTGATTAAATTGAAAGCCATCAAACTGGTGAGATCTTCATTTGAACATAATTGACAATTAAATGTCACTGAATGGTTCAAGTATGATAATAAAATTGATGTTACAAAATTGATGTTCTCTTCATCTTGATACAAACCATTCCCATTGATCAAATTCGAAATTAATGTCAATGAATTTACCAATAAATCATTAAATATCATCATTAACATATTAGTCAAGGTTATGATTGAAAAATTGTAAATCCAAGTGAGATATACGACAACAAATAATATTCTACAGTTTTGCTGGGCATTGAAACATTTAGTAATTGTGGAAATATTTTGGAATATGAATATGGTATTGAAAGCAAAGAACAAATGATCAAACTTGATGGTTATAAATTCATTGTCAATGATTTTACCCAGGCTACTCAATAAGAATCTATTTGGTACTATCAAAGCCCCAATAAAAACTAAACTGAAGAACAATCCTACATATTTCAAAAGTACACCCTTCGAATGTTGATCATCATTTTCGACTTCCGTCTGTATCTGCTTCTCGTTGTCTTTTGTTGGGACACTGGATGTACATATCAAATGTTTCAATTGTCTTGAATTACTAACAAAGATATGAAACAATATGAAACTCGTTATTGCCACAAACAATATCTTCATACTTTTACCAGCAAGTCGACTGTTCAAAAAATGATTATTGGTATTAAAAATTTGTTTCGGGTCCATATTTAAATCCTTGGTTTGGTCATAATAAGATGTTAACCCTTTCACATTTAATATTACATCATCAATAACTAAGCAATTCAATATGTTCCAGGTGTTTAGTGACATTATGGAGAGGAAGAACGTTTTCAATTCATTGCTAGTCTTGAGGAATAAATATCTTATCGAATACCCTACTAACACGATCATACTCAATCCCATCACTACAGTCTTGTACCCATAATCTATTGCCATGTCATGATCAACTAAACTTCTCATCAACTCTTCATACATTTTGCTTTCCATTTTATCACAACTTTTGCTGCACTTGGCTGTTTTAAGGAAATTCTTCTTTGACGGTAATTTTGAATATAAATTGCCCTTCTGAAAAGTTTAACGCTAAAAATTACTCTTCCTATTTGCAACCACTATATTTCTGAATAATCCCTGGGAATGTAATAGTTAATAACCTTACTTGAAAATCTTGAATAAATCTCCTAATGAAATCAAGGTATGAAAGCAACTATGACCAAATATGATAAAACCCTTAACTTTTAGTCATTAAGATAATATTAATAACGATGGCCGATTATGCCGCGCGATCGGATAAACCTCATTTGGTATGTCCGATCGTTGACCTCACGAACACGTCAAAAGAAAAGAGGCAGAATACCATGGACTTGTTTCTTAAAGTCCACCACATCTTTCATGGTGAAGCGAATCAATCGATCTGTATCATCAGATTTGTTGCAACAGCTTAGATATACAATATATATCAGAGTGTCATAATCACATTTGGAATACCTACTCAAAAGGATGGAGAATATTCATGAAAAATCAATTTCTACGTTTAAATCATCAAGTTTTGAAGTGTTTTGAAATGTTACTTGTACAAAACCCAATTCACTTATCCTGGAATTTGGATTTTTTCATCTCACGGCTTTATTAGACTGCATCCGATCTCGTTCGTTGGAGTTATACCGAGAAGCACAAGTGATTTGTGATTCATAGGAAAAAACACAGTTTGAAACATCAAGCTGTTGGATTAATCGAAATTTCAATAACCTAGTTTACTGAGCATTTGATCTAATTCTACTACAGCACATATATCCGAGTTAGGTGACATTTTTCAACTTATTACACTATCAAAAACCAAATCGTGATAGTAATGGCTGTCTTTTTGTAGCTTTAGCGCTTTTGGTTCGTACTAAAGTAGTCTACTGTAAAATTTTAGAGGCCATTTGTGAACCTGTAATTTGAGCCCTGAATTTTTTGCAGCCATCAAAATGCACTGGGATTGACTTTTAGATTACCCAAAGCCATGGAGAAAGAAAGTAAGAATAGTTAGAGAAATCAGAGGCAGGAAAAAGGTTATTAAATAAATTTCATGTTAACAAAACAATTATCAAAAAAAAGAGTAAATGATAAATAATCTATAATTTATCATAGTATTCTTCATAACCTGGAACTTCAGGTTTTAAACCAGTTCTTTCTCTCTTTTGTTTAACAATTGAACCAGGTTTGGTGGTTGGATCAGTTGGATCACCACCTAAAGCTTGCCAATGATCGAAGATCAATTGAGGGAAAGCTTGACCACCAGTAGCTTGTCTTAAATCACCAGTGAAACCGAAAGATTCGTTAACTGGTAAGTAAGCTTTAATGGTGAATAATGGAGTACCTGGTCTTTGTTCTTCAGAGATAACTTGACCTCTCTTTTTGTTTAAGACTGAGTAAATACCACCAATAGCGTTTTCTGGACATTGAATTTCACATAAGAAAACTGGTTCTTGGATAGCTGGTTCAGCTAATAACATAGAAGCGTAAGTAACTCTTCTCATGGTTGGGATAATTTGACCACCACCTCTGTGGATAGCATCAGCATGTAAAGTAACATCTAAGATGTTAACTCTTAATGATCTAACAGATTCACCCATTAATGGACCTTCTTTAGTAGCCCATTGGAAAGCAGCAACAACGGAATCTTTGATTTCGTTTAAGTATTGAACAGCTTTAGTTTGGTCAACAACCAAATTAGGACCGTTACCATCTGGACCGAAACACCAAATTTTTCTGGCATCGGTAACTTCCCAACCGTGTTTATCGGCTAAGATTCTGGCTCTAGCTTTGAAATCATCTCTTGGGTTAATAACACCATTTTCAATATCTAATGAGACTTCTTCATCTAATGGTTGAGCTTTAACGTAAATTCTGTTATGTTTGTTTGGAGATTTAGATAAAGCAACCATTGATGATTCACCTTCAACAGTTTCTCTGTAAGAAACAATTGGTGGGGAGATCTTTAATGGAATACCAGCATGATCGTTTTGTAAATCGTTTAAACAAATTTCTAAATGTAATTCACCTGAACCAGCAACAATATGTTCACCGGATTCGGACATTTTAGTTAAGACACAAGGATCGGATTTTGATAATCTCTTTAAACCTTCAACTAATTTTGGTAAATCGTTAGCGTTTTTAACTTCAACAGCAACTTCAACAACTGGAGAGACTGAGAATTTCATAACTTTCATATTGTGAGAAGTTTCGTTGGTGGTAATAGTACCTGATTTTAATAAGAATTGATCAACACCGACTAAACCAACAATGTTACCAGCTGGACAATCATCAATTGGTTCAACGAATCTACCCATCATTAAGACAGTTCTTTGGATAGCTTTTAAGAATAAATCTTCTTTTTTACCAACTTGATAGTTTGGACCTTGGATTCTAACTTTTTGACCTGATTTAACAGTACCAGCGAAAACACGTCCGAAAGCGTAGAATCTACCTTTATCGGAAGTTGGAACCATCTTGGAGACGTAAACCATTAAGTCACCATTTGGATCACAGTTTTTGATGGATTGGAATGAAGAATCATCATGAGGACCTTCATATAAAGTTTCAGCTCTATAGTTTTGAGCAGTAACTGGAGATGGTAAATGAATAACAATCATTTCTAATAAAGCATCAGCAGCTGGTAAGAATTTTCTCATAACAACTTTTAATAAAGCTTTACCTTCTAATTCTTTTTCGTCACCCTTTAAGTTAATTTCTAATTTTTCTAATAAAGCTGGGATTTCATCTTTTTTGAAGTTCATGATAGCATTGAATAATCTAAAGATTGGATCTAAAACGAACATGTTGAAAGCTCTTTCTAATGGTTTTCCATCAGCATCTTTATCTTTGTTAGTCCATTTTTTAGTTTTTGGGTTGAAGTAAGAATCACCCCATAATCTTTCCATCATTTTGACTCTATCAACACCGAATTTTTTAGAATATCTGGTAGCGAATTGTCTAACAGTGAAAGCCCAACCATGTAAACCGGAAGCGAAAGCAACGGTACCTTTGTATGGGTAAACTTGACAGTCACCTAAAACAGGATCAACATAAGTAGCAATGATAACATTAACGGATTCAATGGTTCTGGAGAAAGATTGATATAAATCTTCTTTAGTAACTTGTAATTCTAATAAAGCTCTATCAACTTTGTTAATAACAACAACTGGTTTAATTCTTTCACCTAAAGATTGTCTTAAAACGGTTTCAGTTTGGACACAGACACCTTCAATACAATCAACAACAACTAAAGCACCATCAGTGACTCTTAAAGCAGCAGTGACTTCGGATGAGAAATCAACGTGACCTGGGGAATCAATCAAGTTAATTAAGAAAGAGTTACCAACAGTTTTTTGGGTAATTTCTTTGACATCATCATCTTCCATACCAGCGAATAAAGAAATAGCGGTAGATTTGATGGTAATACCTCTTTCTTGTTCATCTTTTCTGGTATCAGTGAATCTAGCTTCACCGGCTTTAGCAGCAGAAATAATACCAGCTTTTTGAACTAAAGAATCAGTTAAAGTTGATTTACCGTGATCAACATGAGCAATAACTGACATATTACGAACATTGGTAACTTTATCCATTAATTCACGGATTTGTTCAATAGTGAAAGCAACTACATTTGTTAGTAATCAATGTTATTAAAACTTGTTAACTTAATGATTAATGCTCTATAAATCAAAAGAATCAATTACCTTTGATGATTCAATCTCTTAGAATAATCAAATCATTTGCCATCATGATGACAAAAAATTTTCTTACCCATCAAGATCATTTCGCCAGGTACAAAGTTGGGAAAAACTTTGTAAATGGATCAATTCTTTGAGTCACAGTTCATTAACATTACTAGTCAACCGATTTCCGTGATAATTACATACCCATCTTTACTTATTTTATTAATTAATAATTCAAATTAAAATTGGTTGAACCGTTAGTGGAAAAAAAAAGGGAAAAAAAATTCTAATGAAAATTTTTTTTGTAATGGGGGTCGTGTGAGGGTGCTAGAAACATGTCTTTATTAACTCACCACTACCTGCGACATTGGAGACATGGTGATTAGAGATGATGGGATGAAGGTGGTTTAAGGGGAGTAGGGGGTGTATGGTGAAGGAATATGGTCAGGGGACATGGTTGATGGTGAAGTATATGGATGATTGGGGAATTTTGTGGTTGTTAGCGTTGATAGTGATACCTCAACATGGATCTAAGGCAACACCCCCACTATCACCTCATCTCCAAAATTTAACATTGTTGGTCAATTGACATGATCAGATATGATTATTGTAGGTACATAAAGTATAATGTAGTGTCCTTTCACTTCTATAGATAACGTAAGAGACAAGATCCTGATAGTTCGGAGTTTTTCCATATTAAGTCCAGAAATCGGGACATAATTCTGATTTCGATAACCACATCACTTAATTGATTTTTTGAATGACCATTACCATACTAACATCTCTGAGTTACTATTGGTCCTTTTTTCTGGTGGTTCAGACTGAACCCCCTCTGTACATCGAATCTGGTTATCCTCTATCACCAATATCATCTCAGATCAAATTCGCAGAAAAGAGTCAAAATAATTATGTTACAATTAACAGTATTAATATCAGGATCTGGTTCCAACTTACAAAGCTTGATAAACTGCCAAAAGGATGGTCAATTAAAAGGTAAAATCACACAAGTCATCTCATCAAGTTCCAAAGCTTATGGATTAACTAGAGCACAAGAAGCTGATATTCCAACCAAAAGTCATGAATTAAAGACTTACTATAAAGGAATCCCTAAAGAAAATAAAGAAGAAAGATTACAAGCTAGAGAAGTTTTCAATAAAGAATTAGCCAATTTAATCATCTTTGGTAATGTTAAAGGTGAACCACAATCAGATTATACCAAACCTGACCTTATTGTATGTGCTGGATGGATGTTAATCTTATCACCAACAGTTTTAAAACCTTTGGAAGAACACGGAATTACTATAATAAACTTACATCCTGCATTACCTGGAGCTTTTGATGGTACCCATGCTATTGAAAGAGCTTGGAAAGCTGGACAAGATGGAGAAATTACACAAGCAGGAATAATGATTCATAAAGTTATAACTGAAGTTGACAGAGGACAACCAATCTTAGTGAAATACTTGGATATAATTAAAGGAGAAACTGTTGAAGATTATGAAGAAAGAGTTCATAAATTAGAACATATTGCCATTGTTGAAGCTACCAATATAACATTAACTAAATTACAAAACGATGATATAAACATAGTTAAAGGTTTGGAAAAGATAGAAATAATCTAATAAATAAAAATTTATTGACTCTATAAACTAAATTATAAATTTTTAATAACTTGTTCAGTGAAATGTTGAGTTGAAGCAGTACCTTTTAAGTCACCAGTTCTGTTTTCTGGACCAGAAGCAATGGTGGTTTTAACGGCTTTATCAATTTTATCAGCGAAATCATTTAATCCCATATGTCTTAACATCATAACTGATGATAATAATAAAGCAGTTGGGTTAGCTAAACCTTTACCAGCAATATCTGGGGCTGAACCATGGACAGCTTCGAAAATAGAAACTTTGTTACCCATGTTACCGGAAGGAGTTAAACCTAAACCACCAATTAAACCAGATGATAAATCAGACATAATATCACCATATAAGTTTGGCATAACCATAACAACATCTTTATAGTCAGATGGGTCAGCAGTTAATTTTAATGAAGTGTTATCTAATAATTCATAAGATAATTTAACATCAGGGTATTCTTTACCAACTTCTTTAGCAGTTTCAACGAATAAACCATCAGATAATTTCATGATTGAAGCTTTATGAACAACAACAACATGAGGTTTGTTAACAGTTTTAGCGTATTCAAAAGCATATCTGATAACTTTTTCTGAAGCAGGTTTAGTAATTAATTTAATACTTTGAACAACACCTGGTACTATAGTATGTTCAATACCTGAATATTCACCTTCAGTATTTTCTCTGATTAAAACAGTATCGACGTTTTTGTAAGGAGTATCGTAACCAACAATACTTTGACATGGTCTAACATTGGCAAATAAGTTGAAAGTTCTTCTTAAAGTTAAATTCATTGAAGAATGTCCTTTACCAACTGGAGTAGCTAAAGGACCTTTTAAAGCTACTAAATTTTTGTTAACTGAATCAACAGCTGGTTGAGGTAAAGTGGTTTTACCGTCAATTAATAATGGAGTAACATCAACTGGTTCCCATTCAATTGGAACTTCAGCAGCAGCATAAATTTCTTTAACAGCTTGAGAAATTTCAACTCCGATACCATCACCTTCAATTAAAGTAACAGTATATTTACCATTGGCATTTTTAGTACCGGTAAATTGTCCTGGGATATAAGATCTGGTTAATCTTGGATTTAAAATTTGTTTGGATAATTGTTTAAACATCTTTAAAAGAGATCTAAAGGATTTAATTGATTTGAGAATAAAATTTTCAATCGGACTGGATGAATTTTGTGTCCAATTAAATCTTTCGTGAGAAGTAGTCTCATTATCAATTTTTCCTTTTACAACTTATGTATTGGTGGGATAGATTAATTGATTGATTGAAAATTTGGATAATCCGGATATTTAGAAATATATAAGAATAAGGAGATTAAATGAATTTCAAACCTTTGAAATGTATATTTGGATTAACTATTAGAGATGAGATTAAATTTTCCGTATGGTTGCAAAATTTATCTAAATACTCGTAACCTACAAGAACTTAGAGATTATTTGACCATGTCTAACATCTTTAAATTCTTGGTGTTGGTCTTTATAAATCAATAACAGCTCTGATACAATCACCATTGTGCATATCTTCGAAAGCAGTGTTGATTTTGTCCAATGGATGTCTGTGAGTGATAAATTCTTCGACTTTTAATTTACCATCCAAATAGTCATCAACAATTCCAGGTAATTGTGATCTACCTTTAACACCACCATAAGCAGCACCTTTCCAGACTCTTCCGGTAACTAATTGGAATGGTCTGGTGGAAATTTCTTTACCAGCAGGAGCAACACCAATAATAATTGAGGTACCCCAACCTTTATGACAAGCTTCTAAAGCGGCTCTCATAACATTAACATTACCAGTACAATCAAAAGTGTAATCACAACCACCATCAGTTAATTCAAGTAATTTATCAACAATGGTTTGACCTTCTGGTAATTTAGTAGAGTTGATGAAATGAGTAGCACCGAATTTTTTGGCCCATTCTTCCTTTTTATCATTGATATCAACAACAATAATTTTGCCACATTTTCTTTCTAAAGCACCTTGGACAGCGGATAAACCAACACATCCAGCACCGAAAACAGCAACATTGTCACCTTCTTGAACATCAGCAGTAATGGTAGCAGCACCATAACCAGTAGTAATACCACAACCTAATAAACAAGTTTTATCGTATGAAGCTTTTGAGTTAACAGTGACAACTGAGATATCAGCAACAACAGTATATTGACAGAAGGTTGAACAACCCATGAAGTGTAATAATTTTTTACCTTTACAAGTAAATCTTGAAGTACCATCTGGCATAAGACCTTGACCTTGAGTAGCTCTAATTTTACCACATAAATTGGTTTTACCACTTTTACAGAATTTACATTCTTTACATTCTGGGGTATATAAAGCAACAACATGGTCACCAACTTTAACATTGGTAACACCTTCACCAACTGATTCAACAATACCAGCACCTTCATGTCCTAAGATAACTGGGAAAGCACCTTCTGGGTCAACACCACTTAAAGTGTAAGCATCAGTATGACAAACACCAGTGTTAATGACCTTAATACGGACTTCGTGAGCTTTTGGGGCTTCAACTTCGACATCTTCAATGGTTAATGGTTTACCTGCTTCCCAGGCAACAGCAGCTTTACAAGTAATAGTCTGAAATTTGTTAGTATTGCTCTCATTTTAGATAAGGGATATCAATGTGGCAAATTAAAGTGGTTATGCGCTAACCACTATCAATTGATCTGATTTTCAATCATCATATATCAATACCTTCCCTCCCAATTGTTTGAATCTATACATACTTTTCCAACAGTATCTGACATTTTGATAATAATTGACTTTATATTCCGTTCCTTTTATATGAAATTTTCGACGCACTGATTCCGCTTTTGATTACTTAAATAAGGTAAGAAATCCGTGAGTGATTATATAAATCAATTCTTTTAGTAGAAATTAAAATTAAAAAGAGGATTGAAACCTATTTATACTGAACAAAGGTTGAAAGTTTGCTTAGTATTATCAATAAACTCTAGAATGTTCAAATTTCACTGTTTTACTAATCAGGGAAGAAACCGATAAAATCGCTCGGGTATTCACTTTCTCATCCTTCAAGTCTAACCTTAACAACTCCGAGTTAAAGCTAAACCGTACAACTTAATTGGCTTTACGGAACTCCTTGTGTCTATGGATTTGTAGTATGTTGTATATGTAGACTGATGATCATTCAGAGAGAGAAGAGATGTGATTTTTGGTGATTTTATTTGAGTTGAGAGATTAAAATCATAAATCCGTGGAATTCACGAAATTTATATTTTTTCACAATTTAACTAAAGCTTGAAGAAATGTGAAATAAGACATAACCTATCGCCGAAAATAGCCACAGGTGGAGGCTTATGGTACCATTAAGTAAATCTCTTTTCCTATTTAATAATAGCATGATGGCAAAAAGTTTCTTTATTGTATATAAAACCTATAGTGCAATGCTTGAGCCAACCATAAAGATTAACTTTTGTCATATAAAATTCTCTATGAAATGCAACAAAATAGGATGCTGCATGAGAAGCCAGTGTGAAAAAAAAAACAAAAAAAATAAATGATTCCGCCCAGGTTCGAACTGGGGACCTTATGCGTGTTAAGCAGACGTTATGACCAACTAAACCACGGAACCAATTATTGGAAGAAAAATGCGGCATGGAAAATATGTACAATAATTGATTACGTAATTGGGCATGTGTATATGTTAAGCTTTGATTTACGAGCACAAAAATGACTCCGTGGCCAAGCTGGTTAAGGCGTGTGACTGTTAATCACAAGATCGAGAGTTCAATCCTCTCCGGGGTCGCGTTAATTTTTTTTAACATTCTGTGCCGATTATCTTTAATGTCGAACGGAGTTTGATTTATAAATAGAACAAGTTATCAAAATCTCGATGTCATCATCATTAATCATCTATAAAATTACACAACACGAATCTTTTGGTTTTTCATTAACCAATAAACTCAACCTGGTTGCAAATTCAAAAATATCGTCTACACCTTCCCCTGTTAAAGCAGAGCTTTCTAAGTATTTATCAGCTTGAATTTGATCAGCTGCTTGTTCACCTTGAGCCACTTGAACAAACTTTTTTGATAGTTCATTCTTCCTTAAATCTTTCTTCAAACCGATCAATAGGTAAGGAGTATTAGGACAATAAGTCCGGACTTCTTGAACCCATTTTGTCTTTGCACTATCTAAAGAATCAGGTTGATCTATTGCAAAACCTATCAATAATACATGGGAATTGGCATAACTTAAAGGTCTTAATCTTTCGTATTCTTCCTGTCCGGCAGTATCCCATAAAGCCAATTGTACAGCTTTACCATCAATTCTACAATCAGTAACATAATTCTCAAACACTGTTGGATGATACTCTGTTGGGAATTCACCTAACGTGAATACGTATAATAAAGATGTTTTACCACATGCACCATCTCCAACTATAACAATTTTTCTCCTTATTGGCCCACTACTCATTTCATAGTTTTACAATGAGTTTTTCTGACGCTGTTGGCTTAAAAATTGCTTTTGAAATAATATGTATTTTAAGTCATTTCTCAAAGCGCATCAGGTGACCTGGAACCTCTGACTCAATAGGTGAGATTTTTCAGAAAACTATCTTTGAAAACTATTAAAAATGGCTTTAAAAAAAGCAGGTGTTTTAGGAGCTACTGGTTCAGTAGGTCAAAGATTTATCTTATTGTTAGCTGATCATCCAGATTTTGAATTATATGCTTTAGGAGCTTCTCCAAGATCTGCTGGAAAGAAATACGTAGATGCAGTTAAATGGAAACAAACTTCTTTATTACCTGAACTGGCTAAAGATTTAGTTGTTGAAGAATGTAAATTTCAAGGTAAATTAGCTGAATGTGATGTTATATTTTCAGGTTTAGATTCTGATGTTGCAGGAGAAGTTGAAAAAGAGTTTTGTGATAATGGTTTAGCAGTTGTTTCAAATGCTAAGAATTATAGAAGATCTCCTGATGTTCCATTAATTGTTCCAATTGTTAATACTGACCATTTATCAATTGTTGAAAAGAAAGTAGCTGATGCTAAAAAGAATGGTGAAAAGAAAGGTTTTATTGTTTGTATTTCAAATTGTTCAACTGCTGGTTTAGTAGCACCATTAAAACCTTTAGTCGATGCTTTTGGTCCTATTGATTTATTAACTGCTACCACTTTACAAGCTATATCTGGTGCTGGATTTTCTCCTGGTGTAAGTGGAATTGACGTCTTGGATAATATTGTTCCATTTATTAGTGGAGAAGAAGAAAAGATTGAGTGGGAAACCAAGAAAATCTTAGGTCAAGTTAATGACGATAATACTGGATTCAAACTCTTGAGTGACGATGAAATTAGAGTTAGTGCTCAATGTAATAGAATTGCTGTTAGTGATGGTCACACTGAATGTATCTCATTAAAATTCAAAAACGAAAAGAAACCATCAGTTGAAGAAGTTAAACAAGTATTAAGAGATTATCAATGTGAAGCTTTCAAGTTAGGTTGTCATTCTGCTCCTAAAAACACTATTCATGTATTAGAAGAAGAAGATAGACCTCAACCAAGATTAGACAGAGATAGAGATAATGGATATGGTGTTTCAGTCGGTAGAATTAGAGAAGATCCTGTTTTGGATTTCAAAATGGTTGTTTTATCTCATAACACTGTCATTGGTGCTGCTGGAGCCGGTATTTTGATTGCCGAAATCTTAAAAGCTAAGAACGTTATTTAGTGGTATATACCTTAATAGATTAAAATGCGACTTCTATGGATATTGATCTCCAGTGTCTTGATCAGATCATCGATGCCTCTGATCATGTTTTCGAGCTTTATACAGAAAAGACCGAGGAGAATCAGGATTTAGGATATGTTAATAGAACTAAAGATCATATTGTCATCCGGTTACCTTTGTCTGAGGTGGAATTGAATATAAAACAATCATTATCTCAGTTATCATCGAAGAATGAGACATCATCTACCGGATTTGTGTGTTGGAGAGCTAGTCAAGCATTGGTGGATTGGATCTTAAGCCCAGGAAGCTTGTTTCATAAATATTTTATTGGAAGGAAGTTGAGTGTTGTGGAATTAGGCACTGGAGTTGGAGGAGTATGTGCTCTGGTTTTAGGTCCATTAATTAAACAGTATATTTGTACTGATCAGAAACACATATTAAAACTTTTGAAAGAAAACATCATCAACAATGTGGAAGCCTTTGATAGTAAGACCATAGAATGTGATAAAACGGGAGATTCAAGAATTGAAGTGGTTGAGTTTGATTGGGAAGAAATTGATTATGGGTTGTATAATTATCATGAATTGACTGACTCGAAACCTGACCTCATAATAGCTTGTGATACAATTTATAACGAGTATCTTATACCCTACTTCCTTAATGCGTTGGAAGCTTTTTTAACGGAAGCGAATGGGGCGTTGATAGGAATTCAATTACGTGATGATTATACTTTAGAAAGATTCGTTGCACAAGCCATTGAAAGATTCAAATTATTCGTCATTCCGGACGAGTTTCTATCAGAGAACTTGAAAATAGGGTTCGTTGTATATTATATAGTCAAAATATAGATTAATGAATAAAAGGAGCTTCTTCATCACTCTTTTTTGTTCTGCCAACTAACAGGAACCAAGCTTTGGTAATGACGTTAGGTTCTAACATTTGATTGACTTTATACTTATAAATTTCATCAAAAGTTGGAGGTTCAATTTCTTGAGGAGGGACATTTGAATCTACGGGATTTAATCCATCAATAGAAGCTGATGAAGAAGAAACATCTGACTTAATAGGTTTCAAGTTGTTATTGAGGTTATTACCCGATCCAGCACGATTCAATGGAGGATGAGGAACATGTAAGTTGGAAGGATTTGTTGGTACGGGAGGAGGTGGAGTACCAGTAATAATTCCATCAAAATCAGGTTTCATTAAATTTGGATTTCTAGCAATTGAAGCTGCAGATTGATGAAATATATCAGAAGTTCCATCAACAGAGATACTTGCTCTTCTTTCGTCAGTAGATCCATAACCAACATTTCCTGAAGAATGGAAAGAGAAGATTGAAGATGAATCGTCAAACACTGAACCCATGTCTTCTAAAGTTAATCCTTTAGTTTCGGGGAAAAGCAAGTAAACACAGAAGAATGATAACACACAAGATACAGCAGGAATTAAATAAGTTTTCCATCTAATAACGTCCAACAAAATAGGAGTCATTTCACCAACCACGAAATTGAAAAACCAATTAGTGGCAGTTGAAAGTGCAGCACCTTTTGATCTAACAGAATTAGGTAAAACTTCATTCATCATCCATGGAATTGGACCCCAAGACATACCAAACGCAGCATTGAATACAAATACACATACAACAACGGTATTAGCAGTATATTCATTATTAGCATATAATGAGAAGGCAATTATAGTTAAAGGAATACACATAAATACAGCACCACTCAATAATAAAGGTTTTCTACCCCAACCATCAACTAACCACCATGGTGGTAATGTAGATAAGATATAAATAATAGCATTGATACCTGTCATGAAAATAGCTTGTCTACCAATCCAACCAGCAGATTCGAAGATCATTGGAGCATAATAAGAAACAATATTAATACCATTCAATTGAGCAAACATTTGGGAAAAACATGCCACTGATAATCTCTTAGTATATCTAGTGATTAAATAGTGATAACTCCTTTCACCACCTTCAATTCTAGAAATAAGGATATCTTCTTTAATCTGTCTATATTCTTCTTTAGCCTTTTCATCTTCAACATCTCCATTAGCATATAAATCAGAAATAACAATCATACCTTCAAGGTCGTGATTTTTATCTAATAACCATCTAGGAGTTTCCACAATAATGAAAGAACCTAAAAATAATAAGAACCCAATAATAACTTGAATCAATAAAGGAGATCTCCATGACCAATTACTTTCGATATAACTACATCCGTAATCAATCCAAATACTACTAGCATAACCCAAAATATTACCTGTAAATTCTAAGCATGCAAAAAACCCTCTATCATCAGGAGGACTGATTTCAGATTGGTAACAAGGAATAATTGTGGTTAAAAGTCCCACAGCTACCCCGGCAATTAATCTACCAATCGATAAACTGACTATATTAAAAGAAAATGTTTGCATGGATCCACCAATAACAAAAATTAAAGCCCCCCACCTGATTGTAGCTCTTCTACCTATAGAATCACCAATTTTCCCTGCAGCAAATGATGAAAACAAGGCCCCAATTTCTAAAATTGCAATCATAGTACCAATTTCTACAGGACTAGGATTATTGAAATAAGATTGGAAATATCCATTGGTTAATAATGAACTCATAACCCCTTGATCATATCCAAATAAGAGTACACCTTGAGTAACAAATACACTAGTAAAAGCTACTAAAGTTTTTCCCACCAAAACGGTTTCCTTTAATTGAATATGATGATGATTATCATTTGAAACTTCCATCTTTGTATAAATCAAACTTTTTTGTCTTTAAAACTTCTCTATAAAAATTGTATAATAACTTGTGAGTTTACTCCAGATAATTTCTCAATGAAAATTGCGATAGCCTTGATTAAGTATAACGGGTAAGAATGGATGTATGGTAACTTATGTAAGACCAGGAAAAATGTTACAAAAAATCAAACGTTTAAGGATCAGTAAATGTTTTGAAATCAAATACTATTGTTAGATCAACTACCCCGGAATTATGGAATTTATATACTTCTTGGATGTAATTGTTTGATTACGTCATTGGGACAAAACAAAAAAATAGATCGATCTCAAATCAAAGGTTTTTAACACTTGCAACGAAGATGATAGAAACATGTGGCAACACACACGGAACAAGACGGATTCATCTGTGGTAAGTAAGCATGTGCCACCAACTACAATCGAAGTACTAAGATACCACTATTTAATAGAAATGTGGAAGAGATTATATGTTGCGAGCAAGATTAAGGAAATATAAATTCGTGATTAGGGTTGTGATTTGAAAAAGATTTAACGGATATTACTTAATCTGGTACTGTTCATATGAACGTTAATATCCAATCTATCGGCATCTTCTTCAATTTTTCTCAATCTTTCATTTTGAGCTTCAACTTCAGTATTCATAGTAGTAGCATGACTTCTTAATTTTTTGGCATATAAATCAATTTGATTCAAATTCGATGCTAACTCTTTTTCTATTTCATCATCTTCCAGATCATTTTCAAATTGATATCTTTGAGCGGCTTTTAAATCTTTATCACCTTGATATTTTTGATATAATTCTGAATTGGTGTTATTATTAGTTATACCGGCTTTTATTCTTTGTTCACTTTCGTACATGTTCTTTCTATTAGATTCTCTCATATACTTTTCTTGAGCCTTATCATTTTTGATTTTTTGTTCTTGCATTCTCAATCTTGATTTTTTATTAAATGGGTTACCTGTTGCTGGAATGAAGATTGATCTGTTTAATCTATTAATCTGTTTAACTTTTTCTTCGGCGATTTTAGTTTGTGTATCAGCTAAATTTAAATTCTGTTCAGCATTATATAATCTTTCACTTTGAGATCCTAACATACCCAAAGTATTGGTACCTGAAGCATCAGCTTCTTGAGCCATTCTTAAAGTGTTTCTAGTAGATGCTAATGATTCTTGTTTAACGAATCTAATATCTTGTTTGATAGCTTCAACTTCTTCATCCTCTGAATTGATTTCTTGTTCTTGAGGTAAATCTTCGTCAAGAACGACATTCAAATCATCTTCTTCAGGTAATTCATTCAAATCGAGTGTTTCCTCATCATATGCTGGTTTTTTGATTGGCTTTCTATTTTGATACATAGTATTACTTGGAATGGCATTCAAATCAAGTGATTCTTCATCAAAATCTCTACCTCTTGTTGATTGTCTTGACGTGGTTCTTGAGACATAAGGATCTGATTGAGGTGGATTAGAACGGGAATTTTGGCTCGATCCATATGGATTTTGTCTTGAATCGTATGAGTTTTGTCTTGAAGGTCTTGCATAGGGATCGTTGGTGTTCCCATTGGATGAAGATTGCCCGTAAGGATTAGATGAAGATTGTCCATAAGGATTAGATGACTGATTGTGGCTTGGGTGACCAGAAGGATTTGATCCATTACTTGGTTGATTATCGTTAGAATATGGATTACCCCCTTCATTATTTCCTTGGTTAGCATAAGGATTGTTGTTATTACCTTGATTCAAATTGGCATAAGGATTAACAGGTGCTAAGCCAGGTTTTTGATTAGCTCTATCTTGAGCATAGTTTCTGAAGGCACCGAATTTTTCTTCTCTTCCTCCAGTTTTTGACTTAGTACTTATCCCAGCATGAGTCAAATGAGCCCTTATTTCTTCTTCAGTGGGTTCTTTCCTTCTAAATTTATCTCTTAATCCCATAATATTTCGTTATCTAATTATAGTTGAGTGAGAAATGTGAGATTTTGAGAAATTATAAAACAACCAAATCTGGAAATTGTAAAAAGAAAATCACAATTTGGAGGATACTCCCAAAAAAGCATTTTATGATCCTGAAATCAAACCATTAGTTAGTTTTATTGAATAGTTGAGCATTTTTTCATTTAAAAAGTTTTTTTTCGAAAATTTTCAAGTCCATAATTCACTCAAATCATGTCAAACACTTTAGTTCAAAGAGTCTCAGAAGTTAAGAGAAGGAGAGTGGAGATTATTCCTCACGTTAAGTTAGAAATAGTTGATTCAGTAAAAGAACTTGTCAAAGAAGTACGGAAAGTAGAAAAAGATATCGATGAGATGCAAGTAGATGAGGTAGATGAGGTAGATGAGGTAGATCAAATTGATAAGATGGAAGACATACATAAATCTGAATGTCCTTGTGGATATTTGCATGGACCAGGGCAAGGTCATCACGATGATATAAATGCTGTTGGTTTAAGTAGTCAGCCTTTATTAAGAGGTCCCGATTAGTCAGCTCATTCCGGACACCTAACACCATATACATTCTTATCATCCCATTGTAAATTATCAAAATTTTGTAAATATTATCATAGAAAGTATCAAGTAACGTTATTAAAAACAACGAACAACAATAAATACATGTATTATAATTAAAGTAATGAATATTCCAATGCTGCATATGGGGATTCGAGAAAAGTTGCAACCATTAGTATTTTCAGCTATTTCTCTATCAGTTTGTAACCATTTCATCTCGAATCACAACAGTCTATTATTGTCTGTAATATTAATCTCTAAAACTTTCCCCACCGTCGAAACTCCCACATTAATAAAGTTAACTTTCCATACCCCGGATGCAGTATCAAACTTGACACACCTCAAATTTTTTCTCAATTTGAAACGAAGCAGCATCAAGTAGTCTCAACCGTTCAGTAGATTTATCAGCAGCTGACATGGGGGAAAATAATGGTCAACGTCCACAATCGATGTTCAGTCAAAGACTACCTAAAGCCCCATTAGATGGAGATAATCAATCACCTAAATTCAATAGATTATCGATGAATTTATCCAACAGTCAATTGCGACCTCAGTCACCATCTAGTGAAAGTTCAAGGGCGAGAAGGAAACCACCTCCGGATTTGATTGGGGAGGTACAAATGAAGAATGCCAACAAGATCAACGAAGAAAGATTGAATTCTTCCAAAAGTAGACATGAATTAGACGATATTATAAAAGATTTAGAGACGGAAATTGATAAATACAACATAACATCCGACCCTTTTGATAATACCATGGATAGTTCTATCAACAATATGGATGATTCGAATATTGAATTCGATGATCCATTTATATTCACTGATAATGGTCATGAAGGTAAACAAAATTTAACCGAGTTCGTTCCACCATCGGGTGATATTCAACGATTAGATTCATATAATTCATCATCTTCCAGTGTTTATGATTCGCCAATGAAATCACAATCTAGTTTGACCGATTTCAAACAACCACCACAAAATTATTCAATGTTTGGAAATTCTTCTCCATCATTAGAACCTCCGAAAGAAAATTCCATACCTTATCCTTTGGATTCTCCCATAGCTCCATCACCAACCAGTCTTACATATTCACGATCCGTTGAATCAAATATTAGTGACGGTAACCAATTTAATGCCCCAATATACCCCAATGAAGATGAATCTTTAAAATATAATAATTCTAATGAAACAACACCTAGAAAATTAACAAGAAATAATTCTCTAGGTAAAGTTAATTCCCAAATTACTAATGCATCAAAAAATCAATTAAAACCAACAATACTGACACCAATAACTAATTTAACATTTACAGATTCAATTCGAAATTCAACCAGTTCATCACAAAATAATGCCCCTGCCATGAATCCTGCTATATCACCGAATATAATGAAATCAAGTCATAGAAAGTCTAGTTCTATGAGTTCGATTTGGTCATCAAATTCAAATAGAAATATCAATTTGGCTACTTTAAAGAAAACGTTTAACTTAAGAGTAGGTGAAGGTGAAAGATCGAATTATGTCATAACTTTACGAAAGAATGCAGGAACAGCTTATAATGAAACAGCTCCAGGAAAATGGAAATTACCTATAGGTATATCACCTATCGATAAGCGAGCTACCTATACTTCTATGAGAATGGGTATATCACAAAAGGCCAAAAAAGGAAGTGGAGTTGAATTGAAACATGGTCATTTAGCTCCAAGATTATTAGCTGCTGAAGTAGATGATATGGATGATGCAAGATCATTAAAAGGATTGAGAACCACCAATACATCAACTTCTTTAGGTAATTCCTCATTAACTACCAATAGTTCAGGTAGTAATGGAATCAGAACTTCAAATTCCAGTACATTATTAACCAACGATGCACCATCAATCAAAAGTATTCCTAGTAATAAGAATTCATTATCAAGAACTATAACCGAAAATTCCACTACTAGTTCAATAATTACAACCAATGATAATTCTAAAACCCCTAGTTCCAAGAGATCAAGTTCAATATCGTCATCTTCAGGCAGTATTTCTGATGATGATGTTCAAGTAGGAGGATTCTATCAACATCCAGGATATAAATATGATGAAGAAGATGAAGATAATTTAACTCATAAAGAAGATATTGATGCTGAAACAGAAGTTGAAAATACCGATATTGATGATAACGATAAAGAACCACCTAGATTGTTCCTCGCTAACCCTGATAATGATAGCGATAGTGATTAGGTTTGTAGAATATAATAGATAGTCATTAGGTTTTGGTAGAATATAGAAATCTAAAGTCGTGCGCACTATGAAAATTGAGGAAATCTCAACACGTCGAAAGAAAACATAATCTGAAAATTAACAGGTTAACTTAATGTATGTAAATGAATAATTTGGAAGGGGATTAATCGATTAGAATAACAATTGATAGATTGATTGATGGGATTTTAATTCTACGACCATAAAAGATTGGAATTCCACCGATTTTGGTCGATAATCCACCGACGATAATTCTCAGCCTTTAGATCAAACAATTTTTACTAACATCTTTAGCGTCATGTCTGATCTAGGCTATACATTGATTTATGAGCCTAATACGGCCACAAAGACTTCAGTCAATGAATTCAGAAACTTATTGGAAAAAGGTAAAGATGATGTTAAAATTGATGCCATGAAAAAGATCTTGATCACTATTTTAAATGGTGATCCCATGCCAGATTTATTAATGCATATTATTAGATTCATCATGCCTTCAAGAAACAAAGAATTGAAGAAATTGTTATACTTTTACTGGGAAGTTTGTCCAAAATTAGATGATAAAGGTAAAATGAGACAAGAAATGATTTTAGTTTGTAATGCTATTCAAAGAGATTTACAACATCCAAATGAATATATTAGAGGTAATACTTTAAGATTTTTGAATAAATTGAAAGAACCGGAATTATTAGAAACTTTAGTACCAAATGTTCGTCAATGTCTTGCCCATCGTCATGCTTATGTTAGAAAAAATGCTGTATTTGCCCTTTATTCCATTTATAAAGTTTCAAATCAATTAGTTCCTGATGCTGATGAAGTAATTTATCAATTCTTATTAGAAGAATCAGATTCTGTTTGTAAAAGAAATGGATTTGTTTGTTTAGGAGATTTGAATAGAGAAGCTGCTTTACAATATATTCAAGATAATATTTCATTAATTGGAACTTTAGATTCATTAATTCAATTGGCATTTATTGAATTTATTAGAAAAGATGCTATCAAAAATCCTCATTTAAAACAACAATATACTCAATTAATTACTGAATTAATTGAAAGTTCATCTAATGTAGTTGTTTATGAAGCTGCTACTACTTTAACAGTGATTTCAACTAATTCTCAATCAGTTCATTTAGCTGGTACTAAATTTGTTGAATTAGCAAATAAAGAAACTGATAATAATGTTAAAATCATTTCATTAGATAGAATTGATGAATTAAACAAACAAATTCCTGGTATTTTACAAGATTTATCATTAGAAATTTTAAGAATTTTATCATCTCAAGATATTGATGTACGTAAAAAGGCTTTAGATGTTACTTTACAATTTGTTAGTAGTAGAAATGTTGAAGATGTTGTTAAATTATTGAAAAAAGAATTACAATCATCTGCTTCAAATGATGATGACAAAACTTCTGAATATAGACAATTATTAATTAATGCCATTCATCAATTGGCTATTAAATTTGTTGAAGTGGCTGCTAATGTTGTTGATTTATTATTAGAATCAATGAATGAATTAAATACTACTGCTGCTTATGAAGTAATTATATTTGTTAAAGAAGTTGTTGAAAAATTCCCTGATTTAGGTATTGATATTTTATCAGGATTAATCCGTACTTTACCAAATACTAAAAGTGGTAAAGTTCTTCGTGGAGCTTTATGGGTTATTGGAGAATATTGTATGGATGAGAAATTAGTTCAAGAAGCTTGGAAATATATTAGATCAGGGGTTGGTGAAGTACCAATTTTATCCAGTGAAAAGAAAGCTTTAGAATCTAATGGTGATGAACAATCTGAATCTAATGGTAAATCTCATAAAAAAGGTCCAGTTGTTTTACCTGATGGTACTTATGCTACTGAAAATGCTTTCACTGCCGAAGTAGAAACTGACGAATCTACTGAAAAACCTCCAATTCGTCAATTATTATTATCAGGAGACTTCTATCTTGGAGCTGTTTTGTCATCAACTTTAGTTAAATTGATCTTAAGATTACAAAGATTGAAAACTCCTGGTAAATTATTAAATGGTTTAAGAGCTGAAGCTTTATTAATTATGGTTTCAATCTTAAGAGTTGGTGAATCTAAATTTGCTAGTAAAAAAATTGATGAAGATTCTGCTGATAGAATTTTATCATGTATCAAATATTTAAATGATGACGAAGATTCAGAATTAATAGAAAAATCATTCTTAGATGATACCAAAGATTCATTTAAAGCACAAATTGCTTCAAGTGAATCTAAGAAAGCTGAAGCTGCTGCTAAAGATTTACATGAAAATGCTGAACAAGTCGATGAATCAATTGTTTTCAGACAATTTGATATAAATGGTACCGATGGAGGTAAAAACCCTTCAATTGATGAAGTTGAGATCATCTCAAGTAATAATAATGTTAAGAAAGAATTATTATCATCAAGATTAAACAAAATATTACAATTAACTGGATTTTCCGATCCTGTTTATGTTGAAGCATTTGTTAAAATTCATCAATATGATGTGGTCTTGGATGTCTTATTGGTTAATCAAACCACTACTACTTTACGTAATGTTTCGGTAGAATTTGCTACTTTGGGTGATTTAAAAGTTGTTGATAAACCAGCCACTGTTGATATTGGACCTCATGGTTTCTATAAAGCTCAATGTACTATCAAAGTTACTTCTGCTGATACTGGAGTTATATTTGGTAACATCGTTTATGATGGTGTCCATTCTGATGATTCAACTATTGTCATCTTAAATGATGTTCATGTTGATATTATGGATTATATTAAACCTGCTACTTGTTCAGAAAATGTCTTCAGAAAAATGTGGAATGAATTCGAATGGGAAAATAAAATTACCATTAAATCAGAAAGTTATTCATTAAAAGAATATTTAGATGAATTAATGAAAGGTACTAATATGTCATGTTTAACTCCAGGAGCTATAATTGGAGAAGAATGTCAATTCTTATCAGCCAACTTATATTCAAGATCAACTTTTGGTGAAGATGCATTAGCCAATTTATGTATTGAAAAGACTAATAATGGTCCAATTATTGGTCATGTAAGAATTAGATCAAAAGGTCAAGGTTTAGCATTATCTTTAGGTGATAGAGTTGCCACTATATCTCGTAAAACAAATAAAGTCGTCGTAACAAAAGTTTAAAGTATAGTTTATAGTAAAATATTATACATTTGGTTCATTTATCATTGCACTTTATCTATTTGATCTATGAATGATTTTTCATAGATATGACTTAATGATTGTTTGATACTGTTGGATATCAAATCTTTATTAACATCTTGATTCTTTGTAACCTCTGAATCATTAAATATCACTGGGATACACCAAATTTTAGAATCTTCAATATAATTCAGTTTGTTAGGAGATGATTCTAAAGTGAAGCTTAAGAAATCAAAAATCGTCTCAAACGTTCCTTTTATATCAATGATCAGAATATAAGTTCCTGAAGGGGAGAAATGATTAGGTTTAGTTAATTCGAATTGTTTCAACTTACTGAATTTAGCCTTTTGTTCAATTTGTCGAAGTCTATCACTATCCATAGTATCTTGAAGGTAGAATGTGAGGAAGAATAATGTTTCAAGGTTGATACCTTCATGATTAATGTTATTGACATCAGTTGTTTTGTAAGTCAAATATAATGTAGCTCTGATAACAGATTTCAATTTACCATTCAAAGTTATAAATCTTTCAATAACTCCAGGTATTGAATCAGATATCAATATATCAGGTACATCGAAATATTGCTTTAGATTTTCATTGATCTGTTGATGGAATTCTTCTAAATATTGAGCTTCAGGTTGGGTGATTTGTAACTTTATATAAACATTATCGGTAGTCCTTATCTTAACACTTTCACCTAATTGTTGGAGATGTTTTAAAATACTTTCCTCATCAACAGTTTCCAATTCTTCCAATTTTCCCCAATCTTCCAAGCTCAATTTTATAGCTTTTTGTGGTTGATTATTATTTCGGTCTCTTTTCCTACCTGGTCTGTTCAGCATATCTTTATTAAATATATATCAACTCAACCAAACTGTTGATATCTCAAAGCGTGTTGTAACCGAAATAATCTGGCATCTCAATGAGAAGAGGAAAAAATTTCAAAAAAATTTTCAAGAACTTTGTAAAAGATATAGTGAACAATGGGTAAAAAGGATAAAGTTAAGGTTGATAAAGTCGAAGAAGAAGAAGATAACTACGATAAAAGAATGCCAGCTGTTTTACCATTCGCTAAACCATTGGCCCCAAAGAAAATCAATAAGAAAGTATTGAAAACTGTTAAAAAAGCTTCAAAAGCTAAACATGTTAAAAGAGGTGTCAAAGAAGTTGTTAAATCTTTAAGAAAAGGTGAAAAAGGTTTAGTTATCATTGCCGGTGATATCTCTCCACCAGATGTTATTTCCCATATCCCAGTTTTATGTGAAGATTCATCAGTCCCATATGTATTTATTCCATCAAAAGAAGATTTAGGTTCTGCTGGTTCAACCAAAAGACCAACTTCTTGTGTTATGATTGTCCCAGGTGGTGGTAAAAATAAAAAGAATGCTGATAAAGTAAATGAATATAAAGAAAGTTTCGATGAAGTTGTCAAAGAAATTAGTTCATTAGATTAAAGTATCAATTGAGGGAGATAATCTTTCTTGAAAGAGTTTAAAACCAAGGTTTTGCATAATTCATTGTATATTTAGGTTCAACTTCTGTTAATAGTTGTATATGATAGGTTCATAATAATACGTTAAACGATAGGATATTAAATTTCTCTTGCCGGTAGTTAATTGGAGGTTTTACAGGATCTGATAGATTATGAATTTGTGGGTTTCAAGATTTATGGGGTCTGACAGGCTATTGATTTGTGGGTTCCATAATCCCAACTTGTGTGGACTTTGTAAAATCATAACCCAACTGTTTGTGGTTTTTTTAGCAGCCTTTCGCAACTATGTAAAGCTTTTTGCAACCAAATATTTTACCAGTTCACAAACCCTAATTTCTTGTTCAATGTCGACTGATTCTACTTCTACTGTTCCTGCTACTCTCGAATCAGATGAAAGTAAGTTTATTACTCATATGAAACAATATCCACTTGCAGTTGCTGCTAAACAAGAGTTAACGAAAGTACCTTTTGTTAAGGAAACCACTGAATTTACATGCCCTATGTTAATTAAAGCTGAATCCACTTTACATATGAGTTCAATTTGTAACTCAGCTGATAAATTAGCTGATGGGATCTTAGATCAAGTGGATAGAATAGTTCCTAGTTTGAAAACAACTGAAGTTAAACATTTAACTGATCCAATTGTTCAACCAATTCATAAGGTTGTTGATAAAACTATGCAATTGTCTGCTACAACTGAAAAAGCCTGGGAAACTCATGTTTCAGTTCCAACTCAGAAATTTGTCAAGGAAGTTGATGATTATTATAAACAAACAATTTTTGATGTTAATGGTAAAAATAAAATCTTAAGTCCTGCTGATTCAATTATTAAACCACTTAATGAGAAGATGGTGGAAATAGTTGAACATATTAAACCTGATATCAAAAAAGTATCATCAGAGACTGCAACTAGTGAAATCGCTAGATCAAAACAATTCATATGGAATGTTTTAACTATGAAATCAGAAAAAGTTGAATCAACTGATTAGGTAGTACTATTTAATTACTTATAAATTAGCATGTTACCAAGATAAATAAAACTCTTTGCTCTTTTTAATAAGTAGAGATTCCGATATTATGTTTATTAATATGTTAAACATGCAATAAATTTTTATATATAATTTACATCAAATAAATTTTACATCATACTCTTCCCAATTTAATCCTTTGACTTCTTTTTCTTTTTCTTTGGAGATTCATCAGATTCAGCTTTACGTTTCTTTTCTTTTTTATCTTTCTTATCCTTTTTATCTTTCTTATCTTTCTTATCTTTCTTATCTTTCTTCTTCTTCTTACCTTCACCATCTTCAATAATAGTAGTTTCATCAGCCATTGAAACGTCTTCATCATTATCTAAACCAAGATCACCTTGTAATTCTAAAGCTTGTTTAATAGCATCACTATTTTTCATTGGAGGAGCACCAGTATTATAGAAATTTAATCTTTCTTCAACTTGCTTTTTCAAGATTTCACCAAAAGCATTTGATGGTTCATCAGAATAATTATCAATTCTTGAAGCGATTGAACATTTGTTAGCTAAATATCTTGAAATTCTACCTTTATTTTTAGTAGCAGCTTTACCAATGAATGATGAATGATAAATTAAACCATATTTTGGAGTATTACCTTTAGTTTTTAAAGCTCTGAATAAAGCTTTTTCAGCACCTAAAATTTGAACAGTTGAAGCAGCTTGTTTTGATAAATTGGTTAAAGAACCAGCATGAGAAATTAATCTAGCACCAACAACTTCACCAATTAAAGTAGATAAATTTGGAGCAACAGTATTCATCTTTTCAGTTAAATATTTATATAATGATTGTCTGTATTCAGTTAATGAAACAACTCTTTTAGCAAAAGTTGAAACATTTAACATATCAATTTCACTAATATCTTGACCCATTGAAATTTTAGCATTTGAGATAATTCTTTCAGCTAAACCAGAATCTTCATTAACAATGGCAGCAATGTCATGTAATGAATCATCAGTTAATGAAGATTTATCTTGAATGTTAAGGGCTAATTTAGCAAAAATATAATTATCAGGAACAATTTTTGCTAATTCAGGGAAATGCCATCCATACCATTCTTTAACTCTCATGGAGAAAGTATTTATATCTTTATCTAATTGATCTAATAAAGAAATAGCTTGAATAATATGGTTATCATTTTTTTGAACTGAGAATTTAACTTTAGCTCTTGAAAATGCATGTCCTAAACCTAATTGAGCTCTTTCAATATCACCATCTTGTAAATCTTTAAATAATTTGACTCCATGGTTTCTAATACCTCTTAAGAAATCTTGAGCAATTTCATTAGAGAAACAATCAATGAATGGGAAATTTTCTTTAATTGATGGACCTAAATTTTTATCAGAAACTCCTAAAGAAATTTTCTTCTTTTCTGAACCTTTTGGAATATTTAATTCTAAAACAGATTTTAAATAATCACTAACTAAACCTTCAGAAATATCATTAGCATTTTCTAAAGCTTGAGCTGCACCTTTAAATGGAGCGAATGAAACTAATTCAATCATTTTAGAAAATCTACCTAAATCATTGGCAGCTTCTTGAACTTCCTTCAGTCTGGCAGAAACATCATCTTGTTGGATTAATACTTTGAAAATGGCATAACCAGTAGCTTCTTCGAAAAGAAGGTAATCTAATCCACCCATCTTTAAACTTATTGAGAGATTTGATAAAATTTTTCAATCTAGTCTCATCTCAATTTTTCCTAAAATTTTCGTAGTGTGTTAACCATTAGAGAAGAGATACAATGAGAGTAGAAAATTTGACTGCAAAAATAGGGTGATAGAGGAACCTTCCCACATACATAATCTATAATATTTACTTTAAAGGGGAATTAAGCAAAGTTAATTTCCCAACCCAATTCTTTCAAAATAGCATGCCAATCAATGGCTTTATCACCATCGGGATTTAAATCCCAGATTTTAGTGATGACTTCTTTAACTCTTGTATTACTCCAAGGTCCATAAGTTTTGATATAACCATCGATTCTTCTGGACATTTGATTTCTCTGTAATTTCGTTACGCAATGAATGGCAGCTATAAATACAGGAAGCACCAAAACACTTTCCACAGGTGAACCCAATACAATATCAAGACATTTAATAAGATCATTATTTAAAACTTGACTTTCCAATGTTGAAGGATTACATTTCCCTATTGATTGTCGAAGATATAATTTAGCACTCAATTTGAAAGTTTCAAATAAAGTAATCTGCCATTCGAATTCTTCTTCATTCAATCCATATAAATCTTCCTTATTTGGTTTAGCATTTTCAATTTTATTATCTAAAACTTTGATTTGTTCAATCACTGATATTAATAAACTATTCATCTTAGCATGATTACTCAAATCACTGTCAGTTTCTTTAATGTCTTCCAAACCATCAATTTCATTGATTGGTGAATCACTGATATTCTTTTCATTCAATTCATTAACCAAATTTTTCAAATTTTCATTGGTTTCAAAAGCTAAATGGGAAATTTCACCAATAATTGGATAAATGTTTTTAGCAATTCCAAATAATGGATTAGAAATCCCACTAGTCAAATCATGATTGAACACTTCCTTATATTCGTCGACCTTGAAATAAGCACCTCTTTCTGTTAAATTACTTGATAACACATCATGATAAGCAAAATCTGAAATTAACCAGATTTCCTGTTTGTTTCTATTAAAATTTGATAAACCTCCATTCGATTGAATTAATTTTGACCCCCATTCCATGTATTGAGTCCAATTCACCACATCACCTCTACAAATTTCTGCTCCTAATAATACCATCAAAGTAGCTAGTTTTACTATGACGGTATTCTTATCATTAGATGTCAATGAGTGAAAGTGTTTGATGGCTTTTTCAAGATATCGAGATCCTTCCTCTGTAGATGCATGCCTTCCCATATGAAATGAAGACCATGCTAATACACTATACATTATACCATCATCTTGATGAGCCAAGGGTAGAAACACTTTTTGGTAATGATTTTCATCATTGGCATTACTTTTAGGAGCTACCGAAATATGAGGACTTAAAACCGTAACATAGTAATTATATAATTCCAATGAACGGTCATCAAGTTTCATGGGTAGTGGGGATAAGCTAAAATTTGGTGAAGGTGTGGTTAAATTATTGAACATTTGGTTGAAGTTGGGTGAATCAGGGGACTTGATATTATAATCTTGCATGAAATCAACGCCAAAATCTCTCAAATAATTATAAAAATCTAAAGGACTAAGCGAATTGGGAGATGCTGCTACCAAAGAATTGATTTTGGCTATCTGTTGTTCATTCTTTTCATTGTTGGCATTAACTTCCCCAATAACTTCGGGTGCATCAGTTTCATTGGGTATATTATAGTTAATTGTCTGTCTATGAGGTATAGCTTCCAATCTGGAACACGATTCTATGGGATTATGTACAATTTGGTGGAATGGTGGTGATAACAAAGCATTATTGAAACTGGAATTATCGGGTGATAAAGGGTCAAATATTTCAAATTCATCCTTAACATGATTTAATATCGGGGATAATCCAGGGGAATTGATTCGTTTGGCATTGGGAAGATCTTCAAGATTACCATGGACAATAGTTTTTTTACGTTTCCTTAACTTATTGACACTCTCTGATTTCTCTACAATCTTCTTTATTTCTTTGATTTTACTTTCATCCATCTTATCATGATCAACCCATATACACTCTTTTTTCAATCTTTTACATTCTGAACATAAAGGTTTTATCTCGTCACATTTCTTTTTACGTATTTTGCAAGTAACACAACCATTTCTAGATCGTCTTATAGATTTGAATGCTTTATTTTCATTCTTTAATAATATCGAATCATTAGTTGTGGAACTTAATTCGTTTGATGAACTATTAACATTTGATTTTCCTTTCGCTGATTTTTTTGAATCAAACGTAATAATCATTGATCTACACTATTGGATGAATCGTTTAATGTATGAACTGTATAAATTGTACGGTGGTTTAGTTTCCTAATTCAGTTTATCGGTATCTTTTGTGAGAGTCTCACTTAGTTCTAATCTAAGCGGAAATCTCGATTCGAGTATCCGCCAATCACTAGTAGTCCAAATCAGATCAGAAATTTTATGAGAATAGTGGTCCAAAGTTTATGGATGTGGACTGGCCAGTGTGCTTAGAGTGTCTATGTGTCTACAGAGGTATTTCAAAATTGATTTTTAAAAATTGATGAAATTTGTAAATTTTACAGATATTATCGTTCATTATAGGTAATTCTTGAAGATACAAAATAAATTATCAACCTTGTAATAAAGTTTGGAAGCAATGAAAGGAACAGTTTACAAGATCGTAACATATGCTGTTCTGAAAGCTATACCAGAAACTATGTTGAGGACAACTTCTTTGAAATAATCCGTTTGAACCCTAACTCCGTTGGCGCCCCACTATATCTTGCCAACTTTTGAGTTCAAATTTTTTTTGTCTCTTCATTCTTCAAATCTTCCACTGTGTGTACTCATAACCATCCTACCACTATCAAGTTCCTTCTCTAGTTTTGCAGCCAAACACCCCAGTAAGTGTCTCTACCAACAATTAGAAGTTTCCAGAATTAATTTAATCCTCACACGACAAGTTTCAAAGAAAATCATTCAAATGTTCACTCGGAAAAAATCTCAGAATCTGCCCCCTAAAACCTTTGGAAGTATTCTTTCTTCAGTTATTTTATCGATCAATAATTCATAAACATCTTAGTTCATTAAGATTATAGATAGACTATCAATAAAATAATATTCAAGAGAATCCTTCATAGTTTTTAATAGTAATTTCAACAGTTTTTATCAGAAAGTTTTAAATCACATACAAATCAAATAATGTCTTCGAAACGTATTAATAAAGAATTAGCTGATTTAGGAAGGTATGTTTACCTGGTTTATTATGAAGTTCATGATGTATTGTAAGGTTCAATCCTTATAGTTAACGATCGGTCGTCGATTGATCTCCATCTCAACCGATTTGTGATTTGTTGAGAATTGCTTTTCCGTTTACATACCCTCATTGAATGATGTGTCAAGTCCAATATGTTAAATATGATCAAGTTCAATACGTCAAGTATGGTGATTCCTGTTTGATATATATGATCTAATTATTCATTGAGGTATATGAACCAGAGTAAATTCGTTTGTCACTGATCAATAGGTGGAGAAAGATCGAAATTGGCCGAGGTTTGATACATCATAGATTTCTTTAACATTTTCATTCATTCATATACTAACAAATTTATAGAGACCCCCCTTCATCATGTTCCGCTGGTCCAGTAGGTGATGATTTATATCACTGGCAAGCTTCTATTATGGGACCTGCTGATTCACCATATGCTGGAGGAGTTTTCTTCTTATCAATCCATTTCCCAACTGATTATCCATTCAAACCTCCAAAGATCGCTTTTACCACTAAAATTTATCACCCAAATATTAACGGTAATGGTAATATCTGTTTGGATATATTAAAAGATCAATGGTCTCCAGCTTTAACCATTTCTAAAGTCTTATTATCAATCTGTTCATTATTAACTGATGCTAATCCAGATGATCCTTTAGTTCCAGAAATCGCTCATATTTATAAATCAGATAGAGCTAAATATGAAGCTACTGCCAAAGAATGGACTAAAAAATATGCTGTATAATAATCAAGTATATGTAAATATTTTATTTTATAGTTCATTTTAATCTGGTAAGGAATAGCATAATAATAATAATATGTAGATAATAGATCTTATATTATACTTTCTTTAAACAGTCTCTTTTGAATCTCTTATAATTTTGAGACCTTTAGTTTCGCGATTGTTCATCGAAGGTTACTATGAATAAACTATCAACGTTTAGAGTTAACGATAGTTATAAACTATTCGAATTAACCAAGAGTCTAAACAAAAGTAAATTCTTTAAGAATTTCTTGAATGATAGTCAGCATAAATTATTGAATTTCATTATAAATTTAAATAATTTCAAAATCTGGGATAACTTTTTACAAGGTAACTGTTATATTGAATTATTTAAAGATGATGATTTTTATAAATTGATAGAAGAACAAAAGGCCAAAGAAGAAGAAGAAGAAGAGAAAGAAAAAGAGAAAGAAAAGGAAAAAGTCGATGATAAAGATAAAGAAAAAGAACACCACAAAGATAAAGAGAAAGAGACAACTGAAGAAGATTATGAAATTGATATTGAAGATGGATTGAAAACTATTAAGAGGTTAGCTTTACATGTAAGATATTTACTTTGGGAAAAAGCCATCGATTTTTATTACGATACTAAAGATGTAGATGAAACTACCAATACCATAGAAGAAGTTAATGATGATTATGCATTATTAGAAAGTCTCGATAACCTTCAACAAGAAGATGAAGACAAAATGGAAGTTGACAAAGAACCTACCAAACCATCAGTCAGAGATGAAGAAGATGATTATGACGATGAAGAAGAAGAGGAAGAATCAGTTAAACCCGATGAAAAAATACGAGATTCAACTTCTGAAGATTTAAAATTCAATGACGATAATCAATTGATTTTAGCCTTACCTATGTCGATATTTGTTAAAGATGAAGATCAAGAAAATAGTCTAGAAGACCAAGAAAATTTGATCAAAGAATTCAATAAAGTGTACCATAATTTTGAATATGATAGAGAAACATTAATTAAACGTAGAAAGCTTGAAAAGTCTGATTTGAAACTAGAGAAAAATTCCCAACCTGTCCATACCAACAAACCTGAAGTTAAAAATACAAGTAACGTTGAATTTGCATTTGCAACTGGTTCGTCATTGAAACATTTATTGAATACTATTCAATCACAAAGGGATCAAATTCCATTAAATGATTATGAATTGAGAACTTTATTCATGGATGTGAAGAAAAATAGAGGGAAATGGGCCAGTGATGAAAGAATAGGTCAAGAAGAGTTATACGATGCCTGTGAAAAAGTTGTTTTGGAATTAAGGAGTTATACCGAACACTCTACCCCATTTTTGAATAAGGTGAGTAAAAGAGAAGCTCCTAATTATGGATTAATCATTAAAAAACCGATGGACTTGAATACGGTGATGAAGAAATTGAAGAACTTACAATATAATTCAAAACAAGAATTTGTTGATGATATAATGTTGATTTGGTCAAATTGTTTGACTTATAATGCTGACCCTAAACATTTCTTGAGAGTTCATGCTTTAGCAATGCAGAAGAAGGCATTGAAATTAGTTCCTCATATACCCAATATCACCATAAAAAATCGAAGTGAATTGGAAAAAGAAGAAGAAAAGGATGAAATCGATGAAGCAGGAAAGGGGAAATCTTCAAAGAAAGGTAGAAAACGTACTAGAAATGAAGAAATCAAGTTGGAACATGAAACCCTCGATTCTCCTGATAGTGGAGTTGCAACTCCAGTTGTAATTGAAGAAGAAAAAGAAAAAGTTTCTGAAACTCCAATAGAACCAACTCCTATACCCGATGAAGCAACTGCTACTACTGGGGCTGCCAATGCTAACGGGGAAGAGGAAGAAGAGGAAGACGATAATGATGATGAAAATGATGAAAATAATAATCAAAATGAAGCTGATGAAATAGGACCTGAATTACAAGCTTGGAGGACTTTAACTGCTAAATCTCGTGCTAATTATTGTGCTGCCAGAGCAAAATTGTTTGAAGATTCAGGAGATGTTGAAGATCTTGAGAATCTCATCGTCAATGGTAATGGATTAAATGGGGAGAAGTCAATCAAATTGAATATGAATGCCCCAGCTATAATTCGTGAACCAAGTGAAATGGCTAATTTTAATAATTATATAAGCAATCAGGTTGTTTCGAAAGGATCATTGTTAGATAATGATGAACCTTATTTATTGGAATATGATATATCTGGAGGATTACCTGGAATTAAATATGAAGGTATTGATGATGAAATTCAAGATAAACAAGAAAAGAAAGTCATTGATTCGTATATTAATAACAAGATGGAATTATCAACCTCAGGGTTTTCAATGTCAACAGAAAATGGATTGAATTCCATTTATTTCCAAAATATCAATCAAATGCAAGAAATAAGGAAAATTTGTTTCAAGATTTCCTTGATAAGACAAATGCAAACACAACAATTTGTTCATCATACTCAAATGAGACAGCCTGAAATAGAAACATTGAAGGAAATTGATATCGATCCAATATCTAAATTAGATAACCACGATCCTCATAATAGAGACATACAATTCCATGTTTTAAGGAGAAACGTTGGGAAAATAGCTATGCAAACAGGTTTTGAAATCACCGAATCAAGTGCTATCAATACTTTGACTCAATTAGCTGAAAAGTATATGAGTAATTTGATCAAATCTTTAAAAGTTCATCGAGAATCATCATCCTCAAATAAATTAGGTTCTGATGAGAGTCTATTGGTAACATTAATAGAAAATGGTATTAACAAACCTGATGACTTATATACTTTCATCAATGAGAAATTGATTAACCAATTAACTAAGTTGAAGGATTTAAGATTAAAACTTTCTAATTTCTTAAAAGAATTGTTAAGACCAGGATTGGAAAATTTCAATGAAAAATCTTTCAATGATAATAGTGAACAATTCATGACTGGTGATTTCTCCAATGATTTAGGTGATGATTTCTTTGGTTTCAAGGAATTAGGACTCGATAAAGAGTTCAATATGTTAAGTTCTTCGATTCCTATCTATTTATTACATTCAAGACTTAATAATTCATTTAATTCTAACGGAAGTACCATTAAGGCTCATAAGTTTGATGATTTGAAAGATTTTAAAGTCAATAAATTATATGGGAATGATATTTCAGCACAAGTTGAAATATTAAAACCATTTTATACTAAATTATTAGAGAAGTCTAAAGCTCATTTTGTTAAACAACAGAAAAAGAATGGTTTAAGTACAGAAATACCTGAATTAAGTAAATTGCCTTTAATTGATGATGAAGAATTACCTCAAAAACAACGAAACATACGACCAAGATTACCACCTACAGGTAAAATCACTGCTATCAAAAAGAAACCTTTAATAGGATCTTTCTTTCTTGAAGAAGAAGAAGAACCTTTACCAATGGAATCTCAAGAAATTGATGCTGATAACGAAGATCCTTTTGGAATTAACCAAGATATGGAACTTGATGCCAATGAAATTGAAAACATGATGAACGATATGGAATAATTTTCCATATTTTAGATTTTAATGTAAATATCTTTAAATCTTGACTTTTACTCTGACATTTCTACTTTGGGACCATCTTCGCACTGCGTGTAAAATCTACGATTTAAATTACAAGAATCAGGTTTTGTTAAAACTACTTCACCATATATAAAGGCAAATGTTGGATAATGGCTTCTCAAGCAACTTGTAGTAGTTCTATCACCCTGGTAAATCCAAGACAACCAATACCTGCGATTTTGACTAAAATTACCAAGAATGATCTTTGCAGACGTGATTTATTTGGTAGAACAATACTCCATTTATTGATTTTATGTAATAGACCTGATCTTCTTAAGCATTTATTCAAAAATCCCGAGGTTAAACACATAATTAATAAAACAGATTACGAAAATGGTTGGAATTGTTTGCATTATATGATTTTTTATAAAAGACTTAATTGTTATAGAGTGCTATTGGAATGGTTAAAATCCATAAGTTCTAATGGAGAACTTCTGGTGGTCACAAATTCTGTTTTATATGAACTTGTAAGATGTAAAGACAGAAATCGTTTAACTCCTTTACAATTACTTGATAATGATTTCAAAGATTTAATTTGGATACCTGATTATATTGATGATAAGCAGATAAATTTCACTTATAGATTCGATGACATTGATAAACATAATATGAACATCGTGAAAGAAGCAACAAATTCTAATGGTTTAGGAGGTGTAGGAAATATTGGAGAGAATAAAATCAAAATACGTAACATAACTCAATTTTATAATTGGTGGGATAGTAGGAGAGGTGGAAGTGATATTTATGTATTTGGATCAAACATGAATAACAATCTTGGGGTTGGTGACTCAACTGATCGTCAAATACCGTGTAAATTACCTATTCAGAACTTTAAGCTTGATGATGATTTATTACACAATCCTCGATTTAAATCCATTAAAATATCAAAGAATCATTCTATAATAGTGACACAAGATGGAATAGCTTATTCTTGTGGAATAGGTAGTAGAGGTAGATTAGGTCATGGAGATTTGACCAATATTTATAGATTCAAACAGATTAATGATTTACCTCATGTTAGAGATTTAAGCATTTCACAAGATCATTCCATTGCTAATTGTGATGGTGATATTTATGGTTGGGGATTGAACAATTTTGGCCAATTGGGTTTCCTTTCTACCAACAATACCGTCAAACTAGGTAAGGATTTTAATGATGATTTTGAACTGAAACCTCAATTGATTTATTCTGGTGATTTAAAGAAGAATTCGAATGCTATTAAAGGTATAGAAGTTTCAAAAATTCATTCATTAGCATACACAAAGAATGATATATTCTTCTGGGGTTTAAATATAGGACAAATGGGATTTAACACTGAAGGTAATATTGAATACAAATTTAACGGTATTACCTATAAAGGTGCTATCCAAGGACAATCACGTAAAATCACATTAAGAGATGACATTAAACTCGTAGCGACTTGTGAATCCATTACATGTGTCATCACAACTTCTAATGATATTCACATTTATTCTCAAGGACAGCATATTAAATTACCCAAAATTCCTATTAGGGGTTCATTGGATAGAAATTTCCATAAATTTTCTCCAGTAAAAACGACCAAGCAAGCAAATATTGTTAAAGTTGTTATGAAAAGTGGTGAAAACGTTGGTCTTTTGTTAGATAGTGGAGATGTAATGGGTTTCAATGCTACAGATACGAGAAATATCAAATATTCCAGTATTTGGAAATCTCATGATAGTGATTTAAGAGCTACTGACATCGATATATCATTGGATGGTTCTATTGTGTTGACCACACTGACAGGGTTGGTATTCATGAAAAATCTGCAAAGTACTAAAATCAGGAAGAACTCAATGAGTGAAACCTCTTTACCAATCCCCGTAAAGAACAAATTTAGAAGAGTAGATTTCATCAACAAGATTGGTAAAGTTGCTACTAATGATACTTTCACAACTTTTGGTTTCATAAGAGACGATATTGATCTTATTCCTTTGAAAGTACCACAAAACACTTTTAGAAAAGACATGGAATATTTGAGTTGTGTTATACCTGTTGATTATTATAGGAAACAACATCAACTATTTGATTCTTCTACCAACGGTACGTACACTAGTGATTATATTTACTCAACTCAAGCTGAAGAGGAAGCCGAAGAAAGTGACGAAGAAGAGGAAGAAGATGAAAAAGTACTTCAATTAGATCCTCTTTTCATCCGTCATACAAACAAATATTCCAATAACAACAAAAGAATTAGAACTCGTGATACCTTTGAGCAATTGGATGTTGAGTATTTCAAGACCTTAGTGAGGAAAGATGATTTATGTCTTGCTGACGAAAAATCATATGATGGTAAGATAACTTTCACTGACGACGATACCGAAATACCTTTCCATAGCCTTATTTTTGAGGCAAGGTCTTCAGTGACTAGAGGATTAAAACAAGATGAGTATTTAGAATATGAGGGTGCTTCAGCTAGAATCATTCAGAAAGGATGGCAGTTCTCTAACATAGATGTGAGGTCAGCTATTATCTTTATTCACTTCATTTACACCAATAAAATTATCGCCATATGGGAAAATGAAGAAGCAAAAACCGTCAAGGATGACTTTGAAAAATTGGTCAAGATGTTTAAAATGTCTGATCTTTTCGGTACTGTTACCAAAGATGAAACTTATTTCGACCAATTAAGATCCATACATGACATTCTGGGGAACAAGATTGGTGATGATACGTTCACAGTGAAACTTAGTGATGGGGAATTAGTCTGTGTCAAAAGCATTTTGGTAGCTAGGCTGGCATTCTTCGAAACAACTTTATCACAAAGATGGAACACTTCAGAATTGTCTTTCAACTGGTCGGTCTTGGAATTTTCGGTAGTTCTTCGTCACTTGTACGGATTCAGTGACTTTACCGTCTTCGAACCTTTGGTTGAAAACTCTTCAACCGTTGATGATTTGATCAATAGTTTACTTGATTTGATCTCCATTTCTGACGAGTTGTTATTGTTCTCATTGAAAAATCTATGTGAATTGTTATTAAAAGATTTCATAACAATAGATAACGTAGTGATTCTCCTCATTCATGCTGATAATTTGTTGGCCAATAAGTTATTCTTGAACTGTTGTTGGTACATTTATAATAACTTAGAAGTGTTGTTGTTGGACCAGTCTTTATTAACAATTCCTATGGAAACATGGATGAAGTTAGAAGCAAACATAAGAAGATTAAATGGCTGCAAAAATAAGAACAATGAACAGGGATACGATGAAAGTGAATGGTTGGTCTCCAAGTCAATCATATTGGTGAACGATTTCATTAACAATATGGAACACTATAATCATAATTTTATGATTTCAGGAAGAAACTCTTTTGAACCAGTAATCGATGTCAAGATTGATGGGCCACCAAAAGATAAACGTCGTAAAAGTAGAAAGAGTAGCAGCAGTGAAAAACCCGACATCAAAGAATTAAGGGCTAAAGCCACCATGGCCAACGAAAGTGCCATTGAAGATACTTCTGAAGATAATATTGAAGTTAAAGAAAGCTCAAATAGTTTTGAAGTAGTTACAAGAAGAAGAAGGAAAGTTGAGTTCGAAAAGAAATCTCCCAGTCCACCAGTTTCGGTGCCTCCAGTTATTGTCCAGCCATTCAATAATGGACTTAAATCAAGGAGATCATCATCATCTTCGGCCAACTCGAGCTTCAGTAGTATCAATGATAATTCATTTCCTGTTTTGGGCAAAGCCAAATCCCCAACACCTTCTTCATCTGGAGCAACTTCGGCTACTCCTTTAATTCAGAATGTTCTTGGAAACGGTCTCAGTCCTCATTCAAATTGGGCTTCAAAATCAACAGCTGCTCCGGTGTTTGACATAAGACCAAGCTCATCATCAACTGCTGGTATCACCGTAAAGTTGGAAGATTTAGAGATCAAGAAAAAGAAGATAGGCCCTAATTTCAAATTACCTCAAAGGGAAAGAAAAAAGTTGATTAATAATGAAGATTTCCAATGGGGTGTTCCCAGACCTGCCGTAATCTCACCAAGTACACCAGCAACTGGACCGTCATCATCAACTATCTTACCTGTCAATGGTAGTACCACCAAAAGAGTCGAGGGTAATTTCCCAACTTTAGGTAAGAAGAAATCACCACCTCCACAACCCAGAAAGAAGTCCATTCCTATTGCACCCGAGACCAGAATAAATCCCACACCCAAATCCACCTCCCCAGTGCCTATTACTACAGGTTCCAGTGGCACCAATCCTAATAATTCATCTGGTTTAGGCTTAACTTTAACAGACATTATGATTCAAGAATCCTTGAAAATAGAGGAATCAAGACAAAAGGAAAATGAAAGAAAATCCTTCCAAGAAATACAACAAGAACAAGAATTCGATAGATGGTGGCAAGAAGAAAGTAGAAGGGTCCAAGAACAAGAACTTCGTAGAGCTCAAGAGGATGCAAAAAAAAGAAAACCCCGTAAAAGAAGCAAATAAACTAATGATATACGATAGACTAATCATTCTTATACTCTCAGTCGATATCAACTTCATCAGGAAACCAACCAAATTCATCTAGATCAACTATCGTTCCCTGCTGTAACGTACCCTCTTCTACCAATCTTTGTTGTTGTAGAATCTCACCATTACTATCTGATCGAGGAGAGATCTTACCTGAAGATCCCACCACTCTCCACCAAGGTATATCCATTATATTCTGGAATCCAGCATCATTATCTTCAGCATTACCAGAAGCTAAAAGGGCAGGAAGTATCATAAAATAATTCTTCATAGCAGACCCAACTTGACGGGAATTTTTCGGTTTCCCTACTAAATAAGCAATATGGCCATAACTTGTAGCTGAACCATAAGGGATTTGTGAAACTACTGAATATACAGAATAATAAAAAGACTTCGCTTCATCTGTCAAGTTCATTGAGATTCTCAAAACAGACAGATAAAAACGGTAGTTAGAACCGGGTTCAAGAGTGAAAAGTTTTTTTTCCCAACAGTGAAAACCATGTTAGGGGGAAGAAGTATTCGGTTTTCAAACAAAGCATTGTCTTACTTGTTGTTGTAAACTTCAAACTAATTAAATTCTTTTAATTGATTTTCTTTGAAGAGTGTTAGAAAGTACCATAGTCGATGTAAAAAAATTTAGATTAAATTATATTACTAATTTACACTATATAAAATACCACCGAACCAGAAAATTATTAGTCTATAAAACTTAATAAGCTTATAAAGCTAATAAAGCACCAGCAGCTAAAGCAGCAGCACCAACAGCGTATTGTTTGTTAGCAGCACCTTCCCAGGTAGAAACGTTTGAGGTTTCGTTTTTAGCTGGACAGTCAGTGACTTCTGGACCACATGAGGTGATAGTGACTAAAGTTGATGATAAGTCAGTAACAGTGGTTTCGTTAGCAGCTTTGGTAACGGCAGCGAATAATAAGGCGACGACAGCGAATTGCATTTCTAATAAGTTTTAAGCGATTGAATAAGGATAAAAATATCTAAAGATTAGAAAAGGGAAATGGGTCATAATTTATAGTTTTTGGGGATCTGATGGGAAAGAGGTAATTTGCTTTGATAAGGCTAACCTGCAATCTTGGTTTGGATATTTCTTTTTATTTTTCTGGCGAAAAATTGTCTCATTTGGGCTAACCTGCAATTTGAATTTCTCAAACAATAATAACCTTTGAGGAACAAGTTATTATTCTAAATTTATCGTCAACAGCAATACATTGTTAACAAGTTTAATCAAAACATAAGACAAGCGATCTTTAACGAATCCTCTACCAGCAGACTCAACCTATTGTAATAGATTGATCAACTGTAAACAAAATACTTGATAATCATTTAATATACCTATTCTTTATTATTGTTAGTTAGTGTTTACATAGCTTCAACTTCCCCTAAAGTATAAAAGCTATAGTTTCATTGGGCAATTGACCTACCGTAACGAGCCTAAACTGTAAACGCAATCTCAACGAATGCGGTAAATATCTTGCTTTTTTGGGTTGCTGGACAGACTTGATAGGCCTCGGTGCAGGACCTCCGTCTATCTTTTCAGCGGTTTTTTCTTAATGTCGCACTACAACCAATGCAACGTTTATTAGTAGCTTGATGAAACAGAGTCAAGACTCTGATTCAGATCATACGATGGGTCATTTAGAGAGATCATGATTTGGGCTTTTCTTGGTTAGAACCGTTATTTATAGATTCCAATGGTTAGTCTTCTATTTACATCAACCTCGAAGTAGATCTTTGATGCTCATCTCGCCTTGATATTTTGTGTCATTAGACCGAGTGCGACATTGTTGACGAAGGCTATAACCGATCAGAGACATTCATAACATAAATATTGTTCATTAGTCGAAAGAGGTCTATAAATAAATAAAGCACATTATGTAAAATATGGCCATAACATTGAACTTCGTTAATAACGTAAGATAAGCAGATCGGAACTATGCGTGACAAGACTTACCTTGCGTTCAGCCAATTTGAAGAGTAAAAATTATCATACTCTTACAACCTTCTATTTTTCCGCTTTTATCTATAAACTACTTAGATAACCAGATGTTTCTTTTCATCGACCTAACTTGCACTTTCTGTAGTGCTTGATTCACTATGCTGGACCTGTTATCTTTTATCCAAAAACGTGCCAAAACAGTCCAAATCCATTGTAAAGAAGGATTTCGCAGCTGGTGCTGGTGATTTGATTTGGATCGTTGATACAAAAATCTCCAGCTTTCGAGCTGGTCCACCTTCTATTTTGCGGATCAATAGCCAGTACACAAGGGCTTATTGTGTTCCTGGACCTTAGTCACTGTCACAGCCAGTATTAATTGATTAGGTGGTGATTTCTTTGATCCTATCATTGATTTGGAAATAAGCTTCAAGCAAAAGCTGGTACTTCCTTTCCCTTACTTCTTCCTCATTGATTTCAGGAACGGTCTCGGCAGATGTATCTGGGGAATCATTAGGGGCATCCTCAGAAGTGTCATCAGGAGCGTCATTGGGAGCTTCATTAGGAGCTTCAGCTTGAAGTTGGGGATCTTCTAAAATAGGATCTTGTATTTGAGGAAGTTCCAAGTCAGGATCCTCTACTTCACTGGTCTCCAGAGTTCTATTTTCGGTTGGTCTGGTCAAGTTATCAATTTCTTCAAGGCTTATATCCAAACGAAGCTCTTCATCGGTCAATTGTTCATATCGGTCGATACTTTGTAAGACTTCTTCTCTCAAATCTTCGACCTCACTCAATAACCTTTTAGTTTTTTCTGCTTCGATCTCTTTGACTATCGATGGTAAGAATGTGGACAATAGTAAGAACAAATCTCTACCGAGATTAGCAAGGTTCTCCTGGACGTAAAATCCAGTCGTATCAGCACGATTGTGTTGGATTAACAAATATTCATAATCTCTTCTGGGAAGGACAACATGAACCAATTGTTTAACTAACTTGTTCAAAACAGTTTCTCTTTTAACTTGAATCATTCTTATTCTTTGCACCACAACATCTCTAATACTTCTTCTATGTTGGTCATCGATCGTTAATCTTTCTAACCTTTCTATGACTTTTTCGCTATAGAATACAATTATATACAATAAGGACAAAATCACCAACACTCCTAACAACATCGGCTGGTACAATAACTTATCCAACTTGAACACAAATACTATAACAACTATACGTAGGATGAAATAGAAGAAATTTCTATCCAAACGTCTAATCAGGTTCCACAGCCACCTAAACAACCTGATAATTGCACTTGACCACTTTAACAAGAGCAAGAGGATACGAAGTATCGGGAAGTTATTTCCATTACCACCATTGAGGGTATTCATATTGTTCATGATATTCAAAAGGTCAAGTCCGAGATTGGCGTTATTATTCCTGGGATTATTGTCATTGTTGTCGTTGTTTTCTGGATTGGCATTATTGATGTTATCAGCAACACCAAAAAGATTGCTGAAGATGTTAGCATTGATGTTGGCATTTTCAGCATTGAAGTTAGCATTGACATTAGCATTACCATTGGCATTATTGAGATTTGCATTGAACAAATTGCTGAAAATATTGTCTAAATTTTCGAAACCGTTACGATTAGGACCATCGGCTGGTGTTGTGGGTGTTGCGTTAGGAGGAGGGGGATCATAAAAATTGACCTGGACTTGTTGAAGTTCAAAATGACGATGCAATTTGGCTGCTCCTGAAGCATTTAATATGATATAACCATGAGGTTCAACTACAATACATTGGGAAGAATTAAGTGCAACTGTTACTCCTTGATCATTCGTGAACTCATAAACGACACTGGATAAATCAGACTGATTAACCAATAATTGTCTTGGGCGGTGATCAGAATTTACTGAAAGGGGATTCACTTCTACCATTTCATAAGTTTCACCAGTTAAATTCCATTCGACTCCATTATGGAGAACAATTCTCGTTGGTTCATATCTTCTAAATGAAGGGGATGTTATAGGATCAAGTTCTCCACCATGAGTTACGTCCACTTGATTATTTTGTTCTTGGCTGTTTGAATTCATTAGATCGTTAGCATTAGTTTGGTTGTTTGTCGTAGGTTGACCACCATTTGTCTCAGCTTGTGTTCCAGCATTTCCTGAAAGGTTTGGTGTAGAGTTGACACCATGGTCCTGCCTGTTATTCTGACTCAATGTTTGACGACTGATAAGTAAATCTTCGTCATTGGGTCTGGGATGGAACTCAAAATTATTTGATGTCAAATCATTCAAAAATTGTCTACTTAAGATTCCCCCATCAACTCCACTAAGATGTTCATGTACGTTCAATGCCATGGTGTAAATTTTACCATTTCCAAAATCAGCATCATCGATCAAATCTTTCATCAATTCATTATAGTTCCGGGCAATTGATATCATTTCTTGATTATATGTCAATTTAATCTGTTCAAAGAATGTTCTTCTCACTTGAAATTGATCTATCCGTGAAATAACGGAATTTGTGAAATCTCTTAAAGTGGTTTCTGCATCCAATTCGAAAAGGCTTCTCTCTTGTTGAAGATTATTTATATTTGAGTTAACATTAATAAAGAATCTAATTCTCCTTGGGAGTTCAGGTTCAGGTTCAGGTTCCGGTTCAGGCTCAGCGGGTCTTTCAGAATATGACAATTCAAATATCACAGGATGGAATGGTCGAACATCAAGTCCTATCACATCACTCATTCTAAGATCATTATCACAGAACTGTTGGGTTTCAAAATATTTCAATTGGAAATAACTACCATCAACCAATACTTCAGCAGTTTTATTTCTCTCTTCGGCCACATAATCTTTCAAAACTCCTATAGTACAGCCCAAACTTTCCCTTATTTGGATTTTCTGTTGTGCACCTTGACTAATCCATTGGATAAAGATATCAAAAAGCTCTTCTTCAGGTTCTCTAGATGGTATATTACGATTACCAAACAACGTATAGTCAATTTCCAACGTTATATCATTGACTTCATCCTCCACTTCTTCTAATGAGAGTACTTCCGATAACGGAGACCCTGGTAATGATTGACCTTGATATTTCAATCTGAGAAATAATGGTTTCAATTGATAATCGGGAGAATTGGTCCAAATGCTATTAAATATATCTTGAGCTGTATGACGAAGGGTTAATCTGATGGGATAAACCGATTGACCAATGATTGGTGTTGAATCATTATAATTTTTCTCCACCAATTGAAGGTTTAATGTGAATGGTTTATTCATACTACGGTGTTAAATGCGGGAATCAGATCAGGTCGCACAATTTTTCAATTATAGTTCATCAAAGTGGGTCTAAATGACACATAGAATCATCCACAAAAGTAATTAAAACGATATCTACATTCAATCATATCTACACTATATACATTAAGTTCTGATAGCATGGTATCTTTTACCTCTGAAAGCCAAAATTTCATTATTAGCTTGGAAAGTTTCAGTGGGGTTAAAATCAACTAAATCAATTTTAGTTGAACCAAAAATATTGGTGGTAGGATTCATTAAAATATCCATTTCATCACTTAAATCATGAGTTAATAACCAAGATAATTCTCTTCTGATATCTAAATCATGATAACCTGTGACATAAACGGGACATTTGGATTCTAATAAACCTTTTAATGATTTATCCCAATTAGGTTTATCAGCGGTTTGGAAACCTGGATGGAATAAATAAAATACATCTAAGTAAGGATCAAAGGGGAATAAATCTCCAAAATTATATAATTCATGGAAATATAAAGTATGGTAATGTAAAGTTATTTGCTCATCATATCTTTCAACTATAGCTCTACCATTTTCATTAGAACGGGCAAAACTATTAGTATCTTTATCAAAATAACATTCAGGTCCAATGAAATGGAATTCAAACTTGGTGTCAGGGAATAAATAGCCAAATTGTTTCCAAACGTATCCAGGTAACATACTTTCCATTTTAGCTCCAACAATGAATATTCTCATAGGTCTTTCTTTGAATTCACCTTGTTTCTTTTGATGTGAAGGATATAAAGTATATTGTAAAGCACTAATAGATTTTAAACCTTCGAGGGTTAAAGGACCTTTTGGTTCTATTGAATATGGTGATAATTTATGTATAGTGGAAGCAATGGTAATTGGATAAGTTAAAACTTTAGTAGCAGCAGCTAAATTATATTCAGTATTCATAGGATTGAAATCTCTGGTATAAAAAAATTGATCCCAATTAGATAAACTGGTAGAAAAATCATGTTCTTGTTCACCAGGGAAGATAAATTCATCAAATTCTCTACCTGATCTTAAATCGTGTTCATATAAATTAACTTTTTTTAATAATTCATACTTTTTCTTTTCATGATATTCTTTGTCTTGTTCCCAAGCTTCTTTAGAATGATGAGTTGGAATTCCTGAAATTGGACAGACAAAATTAACTGATTTGGAAGTAACTGGACATAATGCTTGAGTTCTAATTATCGCAGCTCTTGTTCTTAAATCTTCATATGGTGATTCATCCCAAGGATAAACTTCTCTCGCAGTATCAGCAGTGTTATCATCTAAAGCCAAAAGTCTTCTCAAAAGAGAATATTGTCTATTAAAAGGCCTAACGCTAATACTTTTAGGAATTCGAAGTATTGACATTGAGTGGTTAGATTTTTTTCGATGCGAATTTTTTTTTACTCACCTTAGGACGGAATTGAACATGGTGATAATGATAAGAGGTAGAGATGATTAAAGGGTTACAGATGGTGGTATACTCATAATATTTATAATTCATCAACTATCCTATTTACTTCATTTTCAAAAGGCCCATTTAAGTGGCCATCGAATTGAATTTCAACTCCAAGATCTTGTAACTGTTTGATTAACCCTAAGATTTGATTGTTTATATCTTCTTCAGGTTCAGGTGAAGCCAACCGATCTGATGTTTCCGTATCCTCCAATGTTTTAGTGACAGTTACAGTATTAGTGCTTTCATGTAAATGAGCATCCACTTCACCTTTGCTAAATGTTTGATATTCATATAATTTCCTTTCAGGATCAGGAATTGGAGGACTTACTGCATCACCATCTTGATCTATCATTTTAAAAGGATCTACCCATTGAAGATTGGTAGATTTTGTACTTAACTTCCCATCTCTCCCCACTTTAACAACGGCTATGAAAGCTCCTTTATGATCATATACTTCATACCAAACTACAAAAGTATCATCCCATGTTATCACTCTTTTATTATTGAATAACCGCGATTCACTTGATGGTGAAAGGATTTTACCTTCCATTGAATCAATGAACATTTTGGAGAATGAGCTTATCATTTTTTTGGTTTCAACTTCTAATCCATTATAAATAAGTATCGTTCTTCGATCATAGATGCTAGAAGTTTGATCAAATGATTTTGATCTCCCCCAATAGAATCCGTTACCTCCAGCAACAATATCATAATCTTGTAAATCAATTTTCATCGATTTGGGTTGAGGGAATGGAGGTAATTCTTGTGGAACATTATATTCAATCATATCTTGTAAATTACCATTGTTTCCATGTTCAACAACTCTGTTGCAAACAATATCCATGACCTTTTCGTCACTGATAGACGAGAATTCTTCATATCTACATAAACTTCTTACGCTTACAATCATTTGATATTCACAAGTTGTTATTTCATTTACTCCAAAAATAGCCAAATCATAATTAATGCTAGGATCACACCTATAGACAACATTGATTTTCCTTGGTTCATTTGTAACATCACAAATCTCTCCGTCAGTGAGGGTATGGCTCAAAGCTTTCTGTGTTCCTATATTAGATCCAATAGCCAAGGGATCGGGAATCAATTGATAATCAGACTTTTTCATGATTCTCGATTTGGGTGTTGACTGATTACGTATCTTGGGAGGATGAGAATCACTGCCATTGAAGCGTCCTAATACAAACACATGGTTAGGTAATTCAGGGATATGGTTACCTGTCTTTTCATATACTTCAGGATTTTCATGAAATTGAATTATCTTATCTCCATAACAATATCCGTAGGTCCAATAACCTGAGTTCAAACCTGTGGTAAATGAACAATATTGGGCATCAAAAAGCTTGGTGAAGTTATCGAGTACATCATTCAATAGTTCATCATCTGTTCTTTTGGTTTCTTCTTTGGCAGGATCAGGTATACTATTAACATCTGGCAAAAAGCACACTATATTGGTATCTTGATTATTGATTCTTAAAACTTCGTAACTTCCATTGTACTTCACGACACTGGACAATTCAGTAGCTGCAGATTGGGCAACCGGCAACTCATTGACTTTGATTTTGTATTTGGCTTCGAAGGCCGTAACAACTGAAATCAAATACCATAGAAGCATCATGATCAATCGCGAAATTTCTCCATACTAATAATCACTTGATGTCTGAAACTACAGGCTTAACTACCAATAATTTACTGGATGGAGTGGTTAAAGAAGTCCAAGATACCAACAATAAACCAAAGAATGGAACAGTGTTTGAAATAGCTCTGGAGATTGATAATACGATTAAAGAATTGATGCAAACTTTAGATAAGAATGATAAAGATATAGTAACCAGAATGGATAAAATCTCCAAAGAAATAGGAAAGATAAGAAGTAAAAGTTAGACATGAGTATACGAAATTTTTTGACACTTTATTAAACACTCTATTTGACACTCTATTTGACATTTTATATTACATGTATTTTACAGTTATTGGTGGACCATACTTTGAGGTGATCACCATTGGTTGGATTGATTAGAATTATCCTTGAGTCCATTATTGAACATTCCAGAATTTAAATTCATGGGTTCGAGATTGAAATCAGTAGATGCCAATTCGTTAAAGGTAGAATCAAGTTCAATATTGGCCTCTAAAGGATTCAAATAATTCAAAAGATCAGAATCAATGGTTTCAAAGATCTCTTGAATGGAATTGGCATATAAGTTTGATGGGGTTGTGGTGATTTGGGACAAATGTCTCGATGGATATTTCATCTCCACACCATTGGATGGTGTTGGGATAGGAACATTATTACTCCTTACTTCTGGAGGAGCTTTACCTTCACTTTGAGCAGTTGAAGGACCACTTGAGTCAGCAGATTGAATATCCACTTCTTTTGGGGCTCTTAAATTTTCGATTTCTTTAGAAGTATCGATTAAGTTTACAAGATTCGAACTTTCATTATCTTCAGTCTTTTCACTTTTGGAAGGTTTATGTGATTTCTTTCCATTGGATAATTGCATCCATTTTTCAATTCTAGACAAGATAATTGACATTCTTGAACAAACTATTGAACTGAATTTTTGTTGACTATCATGAATTAAAGAAGAAACAGCATCAAAGTAAAATTCAGCATCAATGAACAAATCATCGGGGTTAACTAATTGTGTTCTCTTGGTTAATCCTGAAGAATTTATCAAAATTCTTAATTTGATCAATAAGATCAATGAATGCATTGGTCTATAGAAGAAAAAAGTCGGTAAATTAATTGTTCTTTCTTGACCCAAAGTGATGAACGATATCAAAAGGTTTTCACAAATTTTGATTAACTTGACGATATATTGAATATAAGTAACATTCTCAAGATCATTGACCTGCTGACCCGGTTGGTTTTGAAGTTTGGATTCAAACACAAAGTACTTACTTACGATGTTGTCGTAGATAATCATAAGTAATTGATAATAAATGATAGAAAGAAGGTATTTCTCTTTGGGCTGATTTTTACCATCATGGGGTTCTGAAGACGTCATGAATCCACTTTCGACTAATAATGAGTGCATTCTTTGTTCATAGTTATCCAAAACAAATTTTAGATGTGATAAAGGAGAATTTGAAGGATCTAACATATTATTGAATAAGGCATCTCTCTTTCTTCCATTGGATGAAATCCCGGGATCCAATAAACTAGGACTGAAATATTCAAAGATCTCTTGACCCAATCTTATAACTCTGGCAAAATAACAAAGATAACGATCATTTCTTGAAGGTAATTTTACTCCATCAATTTCTCCTTCTTTCATTAATAAGGTTATAGCACTATGATGATTTTTTGTCCATGAAACTAATTTGAATCTTGGTAATGATAATCCTAAGGATCCACAAGAAACATAAACACTAAGAAAAGCTCTTAAATGATTTCTTGCTTCGGAATCATCAGGCAAAACAGGAACAGTATTCAAGATTTTACTTTGAATTATCTTACTGATATCCCCCAAATCTATACATAAAGATATATTAAATCCGATTAATAAATTCAATTGATTTTTGAAATGTCCCGATGTCGTTGTAGGTAAACACCAAAGTGACAATATGAGACATAAATTAACCAATTGATATGTGAAATTATCAGATTTGATATAAACATGATAGGAGATGAAACTTTCAAGGTAATAATTTAACATTTGATTCAACGATTCATTAGTTATACGATAAAAGTTCTCTTTTATAGTCGAATATAATCCATTATCATTGATCGAAGTAACATAAACGCAGGCTACCAATAATAAAGGATCATTTTCATATAAATAATCGAAATTTTCAAGATTTTTCGATAAGGATATTATAGGATAATATGGTAACATTTCATTCAAGAAGAATTCGTGTCTGATTTTAAATTCTTCATAACTTATTAATTGATGTTTTTCTATGATCTCTTTAGCAATGTTAGAATTAAATGGGATATAAGGATAATTCTCCATGGTTGGAGATTTATGGAAATCTTGGAACTGTTTCAAATTTGTGGTATTGGAAGAATTCAAAATCTTATTCAATTTTTCACTAACTGTCTGAATATTTGTATTTAAAGAACTTAATCTCTTTCCATCCTCACTTTCAATTGAAGTAACTGCTAGATCATGTTCCAAAGAACTTAAAGATGTCAGTACCAATTTGATGAGGTTCTGTAATTGCGATATCTGGTCACCAGTTCTCGACCCTGTCACAGCTTCAGATGTAATACCGGGGGCTACACTTTCAACAAATCGTGTGGTGGCTTTTCGTTGTTTCTTTCTAGCATATTTGGCTGTTGGATCATTATCGAAAGAACATTCCACATTGATGGCAAAACATCTTTTACATGATTTATAGCTCGGATCTTCGAAAGCACATTTCATCTTTAATCTCCTACATCTAGCACATGCTCTATTCTGTCTCCATTTAGCTGCAAAACCATTGTTTTGCATCTCATTTTGTGAATTATTAGGATCCATTGGATTTGAATTCGATTCTGACATTTTCTCCTCTCTATTCTTTCAATTACAATTACAATCTGTCTATTGTCCTTAGAATAAGACTCTGAAATTCGATCAGTTAATCAACTAAATCAACAAATCTATTTTTTTTTTTAAAAAGGGAGTCGCACTGAGTCGCACTCGGTTATCTGCACTTGTCTGATCTCATCCCGTAGGAACAATCTTCAGAGACTAAAACCTATTGAACATTTATATTATTCTATGTAGTACATGAAATTATGCAAATTTAAATAAATTTTTATGGAGTGGGGGATCAATTGAATTAAACGAGATTGATATCAGGATTTTCATCAATGATTTTATCAACTTTTGGACCAAATTTAGTAATACATTTAGCCATAGTTGGAGAAGATCTTGAAATAACATCAGTGAAATAGAAGTTTTCAATTGGATTTTTTAATGGAATACCAACAGATGTTATTGATTTGGTTCTGGAAATTATATCTTTTATACCGATAGTAGCAATTTCTGGAGATGTTGGTTCAATAACATCATGTCTTACTAAATGAGGAGCTATTTGACCTAATCTTGATCTTACACCATATAAATCATCATAAGGTAAGGTTTCACCAACATATTCGGAAATAGCTCTGATAATCTTCCAATCTTCTCTAGCGACTCCTGGAGGATTAACAGCAGCTCTAGTAGTTTGTGATCTACCTTCAGTGTTAACAAAAGTAGCAGCTTTTTCGGTATAAGCTGAACCTGGTAATATAACATCAGCGAATGAAGCACCTAAATCACCATGGTGACCTTGGTAAATAACAAAAGCATCTTTTGGAATATCTTTGTTTTTAATTTCATCAGCTCCTAATAAATAAATGATTTTTGGTTTGGTTTCAGCAACTTCTTTCGATAAAGTTTGGAATCCAATATCCAAAGCAGCAACTCTTGAAGCTTCACGATGTAATAAATTGACTCCATTCCATTCAGGAGTATTAAAATTAGCATTTTTACTAACAAATTCACCAACAGTCTTATAAACAGCTTGTAAATCTTCAGATTCTGAAACTCCTGAACCAATAATAATTAAAGGTTTGGTAGCTTTTGATAATTTTTTACCTAATTCACCATTTAAAGCTTTTGATAAATCATTAACATTTTCACCCAATTGATTTAAACCGAAAGTTGATTCAAATTTTTCACCAATATGACTGACTTCTAATTCGGATCTTAACCAAACTTTTCTAATTCTTGAATTCAATACAGTAGCTTCATGTCTTGGGTTAGTACCAATTAATAAAATTTGATCAGCATCTTCAATACCATCAATGGTTGAAGAAAAGGTATAATTTGATCTAATATCAAATCCAGTAGCATCAGTTGATAATTTAACGTCAGTAGTTAAATGTTCAGAATCTAATTTATTAAGTAAATCTTTTAAAGCTACCATGGATTCAGCATCAGTTAAAGCACCAGCAATAGCTTTAATTTCATTAGCTTTTGGTTTGATTTGTTTAAAAGCATCAGCAATTTTAGTTAAAGCTTGATCCCAAGTACCAACATCGAATTTATTACCAGATCTTATTAAAGGATTAGTTAATCTTTGAGTTTTTAAACCATCATAAGAAAATCTTGATTTATCAGAAATCCATTCTTCATTAATATCATCATTTAATCTTGGTAAAACTCTCATAACTTCAATACCTCTAGCATCAACTCTAACGTTTGAACCTAAAGCATCCATAACATCAATGGTTTCAGTTCTCTTTAATTCCCAAGGTCTTGCTTTAAAAGCATAAGGTTTTGAAGTTAAAGCTCCAACAGGACATAAATCAATAATATTACCTGACATTTCTGAATTAATATTTCTTTCAATATAAGTACCAATTTGCATATCATTACCTCTACCAGCAGTACCTAATTCTGGAGCACCAGCAATATCATTCATAAATCTAACACATCTTGTACAATGAATACATCTATTCATAGAAGTTTTAACTAATGGACCAATAGCTTTATTTTCAACAGCTCTTTTACCAACAACTTCACTAAATCTACCACGATCACTACCATATCTATGAGATTGATCTTGTAAATCACATTCCCCACCTTGATCACAAACTGGACAATCTAAAGGATGGTTTTCTAATAACATTTCAGTTACACCTTCTCTAGCTTTAGTAATTCTTTCACTATCAGTATGAACAACCATACCATTAGATACTGGCATAGCACATGAAGCAATTAATTTAGGCATTCTTTCAACATCAACTAAACACATACGACAATTACCTGCAATAGCTAATTTATCATGGTAACAATATCTTGGAATTGTTACACCAGCTTTATCAGCAGCTTGGATAATTGATGAACCTGCTTCTATACTAACAGTTTTACCATCAACAGTAACTGATACTTCAGCTAATTTTTTGGCTGTTGATGATAATAAACGGGTGTTTCGAAGAATTCTTCTTGATAACATTATTTATGTTGATTATAATACTTTTTGATGATAGTTTTAAAATTTATTATTAGAATGAGATATAATGCAAAAAATTCCCTAGAAATTTATCAATGATGAATATTCTTTATCTATGAAGAATTCTTATGCTCTAGGGGTTTCAAATCCTTTAAAATATTTAAAATTATCAATAAATTTAATTAGAAATTATCAAATCGACTTAAATTTTTTTCAACTTGAGTTTTACTAATGAGAAAATGTTTTCAATTTGATTCGTTAAAAAAATGAACGACATTACCTCTCGCGACATTTTTATAGTATTAAAAGTATTTAAGGTGGGAAGTTGATGATAAAGGCTGCTAGAGTTAAAGAAATATCCGAAATAGGTTGTATCAAATGATCATAAGTCCTGTGTTTTATTTTTTGTCATCTCCCATTAAAACGAAAAGAATAAGTAATGGTGGTACTATATAAGTCCAATTTTTTTGAATCCATGATTTTGGTGGTTCTTCAATCTCTTGAGTTACTTCAATTTTGTTACCATTTTCATCAGTTTTGAAAGTTTTTACGGTCTTCACTTCTACTGGTGCCTTTTTAGGTTTATTTGAAGGATTTAAGTTGGGTTGTGGAGCTTTAGGTGTTTCTTTAACTAATACTTTATGTTTATCATTAGATTCTCTTATCGTTAAATAATCAACTTTACCGTTGTCAATATAAACAACGAATTGTTTGTTTGATAAATCGTTGGTCTTATAGAAGCATTCACTACCAGGAATATCTTTAGCACCAATACAAAATTCACTATCAATGGAATCTATTCTACAAGGTAAATACATACCTTTCAAATTATTCTTATTGATTTCAAGATGACCCAATTCGATATGTTCCTTGTCTGATAATCCTGTACCATACAAACTGATTCTTTGCACTTCAGCCATCACCAAAGTGGTGAACATCAAAATGATGGAAAGCTTCATCTTGGGATATTGGAAAAACGCGAGATTGGATTTAAATGTTACGATTATCTAAGATCTTGATCTCTCCCAAATGGGGTGTCAATGTGATTAAATCTAAAGCCCAACTTCGGTATAATACAGTTATCGCTGGTACGGATCAAAGTTGTAAAGATTACATGGAAAGTTGTAGAATAAACGGGTCAAGTGTTAAATCAACAGTATTTAAAGGTACATTATACGAATTTGCAACAAAGACGTTCCTAGAGAATAATTTGAAATGTTTTGATATTATAAGAAAAGGTGGTGCCTTTGATAATGGTATAGATTTGGTAGGTAAGTGGGACTTATCACATTTCTTCAAGAAAAATGAAAAATCCATCAAAGAAATTGAAAACATTGATGGTTCAACAATAATACCTATAATATCTAACTCCAAAGAATTGCAAACCTTGCTTAAAAATGACAATATGAAAAACACCATTTCTATGAAATCAGATATTAACGTGTTGGTGCAATGTAAAAACCATAAAGCCAAAATTAAAGCTAGTGTAATCAGAGAATTAGTGGGTATTTATACGCATCATATTAAAACAGAGGAACAAAAACAATCTACCATAATGATGTTGGTTTCACCCGCTCCATTAACTAAACAAGCTCAATCATATGTAGAACAAACTAGTTTGCCATTGATCCATGTCATGATGTCACCTTTAACTTTAAGAGACTTAACAGTAAAAGGAGACGAAATATATAATCTTAAATATTGGAGAGGTGGGAGAATAGACTCAATTTACTTAAACAGTTACTCGAAGTTACTATTGAAGTATTTGAATATAGAATTAGAATTTCAAAAGATTAAAAGACTTATATTAGTTTAGGGTATTAGCATAATATACAATTACATATCAGGAGGATCATTATATTTCGTAGCAATAATGGTGGTAGTCCCGACGTATCTGACAGTAGTGATGGTAGTGGGGGTATGGATGTTGGTAATGGTCAAAACATGAGGAGTTCCTTGAACAGTTTTGGTAGTTTCAATGGAATTATGTTGAGTTTCAGTGGTTTTGATTGTGACGGCGTCATCTGTTGGTTCAGTATCTAAACTGGTTGTAACAATTGGAGCGAGACTGGTTGAAGTGGAACTTGAGCTTGAGCTTGAGCTTGAGCTTGAGCTGGAACTTGAGCTTGAGCTGGAACTATTTTTAGTAGGAGTACTTGACGAGGTAGTTACAACAGTAGGAGTAGCTGAGCTTGATGAGGAAGAGCTCTTGGTACTTGAACTTGAACTTGAACTAGTGACCTTGGTACTTGAACTGGTGGTGGAAGCTCTAGAGGAGGTGGTTGAAGTAGACGTGGTTGAAGTTGAAGTGGTCGAAGTTTTGGTGCTTGAAGTTGAAGTAGTTGAAACTTTAGTACTTGAACTACTTGTTGTAGCAACAGCTTTACTATCATCGACTGCACCCAATGCATCCTTGGCTTGCTGAGCATAATTTTCACCGTTAGCAATATTGGCAAAAGCTTGTGAAGCATCCCAGAACAGTAAACCTCCAAAGTTTGCAGAACCTTTGATCTTGTCAATGTAAGTTTTGACGGTGGACATTGAATTATAACCACTACCAGCACCTGTTACACCACCGGGTTGACCCAAGTACAATTTAATGTCTTTGTTTGGTGAAGTGTTGGTAGCATAATCTTGCCAGGTGTCCCAGTTGAAGTTGGTACCCAAATTACAATAATTGTTATAAAATTGGATAAAAGCAAAGTCCAATTCGACATTTTCCATTAATTGGCCAACTGATGCATCAGGATAAGGACATTGAGGAGCAGCTGATAAATAATATTTCTTTGAAGAATCTTTAGCAAATTGGGCTCTTAAACCATTACCTAAAGCTGCGGTACCGGTTTGTACGTTTTGTTCAAAATCAAAATCGAAACCATCAACAACGGCATCACCAAAAGGTCTTTCATCATCAGAACCACCTCCAAATTTGTTCCACAAAGTGGATGCAAAAGTAGTTGCTTCGGCGTCATTGGAAAATCCATATGCTCCAGTAGCACCACCCATAGATAATAACACGACTTTACCCTTATTTTGACAATAAGTGATATCTTCACCGATATTATCACACTTTCTTAAACCTGAAGAGAAAGTGTCTGAACATTGATTAGCAAAATCAATCTGTAAATTAGATGGAAATGAATATAAGAAACTTAATAATATGATATCAACTTCATCGGTACAATAATCTCTCAATCTAGTTTGACCACCGGCAGAATTTTGCCCCCAATAAACAGCAACATTGGTTTTGGAATCGATGTCGAAACCGTAAGTTGTAAGTGCTAACACTAAGGCTAATAAAACTTTTAACATGTTAAGGAAAGACTAAAGTTTTATCGTTGAGTTTCTAACTGGTGGGATGAGAACCTTCATTTATATAGTTGCCTTGAAACATGTTACTTCTTAGGTGTATAAGTTAACATGCGTCATCTGAATACAATTCGTTCATGCGTCATCTGAGACCCCATTATCGCCAATCATTTGCTCCCTCTTGTTTAAAATGCTGGTAAATTGTGTAAAAACGTCAAAGTTTTATCCTATTGTAGATTCTCACCCAGCCATTCTATCTTATTTTTTGCAGCTATTCCTGCACATAAACGATCGTTTCAACTTATTTGACAATTCCGCTTTTACATCACTTTATTGATGGGATGATGAAATAGGGTCTATTGTCATAAGTAGCTACGACCTATTGTTCAGCAGGTAGTTAAAGTTGGGGTATTGGTGATCCTGGTGTTTTCATTATTTCATAGATGAGAAAAAATTTGTGAATTTTGCTTGCCGCATACTTTTATCAGTATTCAAGATAGCAAATTTGTGAGGTTATTTGATTGCAGAATATGGTAGTAGAATATCCAGAAACAGCATTAAAGTATCTGAAGCGCCTTTCGAAAGTTTGTTTATTTTATGGCACCACTAAAAGGAGCCAGAACACGGATATTTCCTCCTTGATTACCATGAGGTGACTAGGCAGTACTTGGTAATTTCGAAATAAGCAATGAAATAGGAAGCTTGTCAAGCATTTCTTCGAAGGATGAAGTTGAAGTACTTAAAACGTGGAGAATTTTCGGATAAAGTACGATTCATTGTGAATTGGATATTTTGAAAATTTACAAATCACGTGAGGAGAATGTGATGAAAATTATATCTATAATAACTTCAATAGAGGGGAAATTGTAAGAGATGATTTTACTGAGCTTGGTGTATAGCAATGGTGTATAGAAATGGTCCCAAGCATCGAACTGTTGATCGTTGCAATCATCCTGAGGTAACTTCTGTTGAAAACAACTTCTGTCGAAATACTTGCTCAATCTCCTGACATATCATCTTCGACGTAATCTTCAAATCAGCAGTAAATATGGAGGAAATGGGGCGAACTAAAGATCTAATCACTGTTTCTTGCTTATAAATTTCTAGCTCTTTCAGTTCTCAAACGCTTTCAACCAGATTGATCTATCACATGGTATTTTTTGATCGACAGAATAAATTCAGAGCCATTGTATTTTTCAGATCTTTCAATTCCCTGCACTCTTTAAAGCTATGAGTTATTGGCTTCATATAAGTGAACAACAATTTGAAGAAAAATTTTATTTTTCACTACCAGATAAAACCAATTTTGTCCTAAGTAATGAATAACAACCTAATCAATCTCCTCGAGCAGTTGGCCAATTAAGCTCCTGCAGTGCCGGCTTAACATGTATAGCCCATTAAGTAAAATCTCTTGGTTCAGCGTATTCCTAAACAAGCTCTGGATTCCGATAGATTGTTGTATTAACAATGTAGTGTATACTACACTAGCAAACCAATCAAATACAAGAACTTCTGAAAAAGGTCGTGAAAATATCGCCGCCGTAACCAACAAACGTGAATTTAGGAGATGTCGTCAAGGTCGATCTGATTTTCAGCGAGTGTATATTTTGTAGTTTTTATCAATTATACCACCATTTTTACACCAATTTAACGTCCAGGTAATACAATCACAAGCCCATTGATGAAGTTGATACAAATATGATGATAGAATTACGAAAAGCACCCAAATTTCTCGTGAATTTCGAGGAAATCTTAAATCAAGAATTTCCCTATTCGGTGAAAATGGGGTTACCCGCATCGCTCGTTCGGCGAAATTTCGTATTGTGTAAATTAACTATACAAATGTGAAAGTTTAGGGGGCACAATTATAAAACTATAAATAGGGGTGGAAATTCTCTTAATTGAAACTTTATTATTTATTAAATAGATTTTATAAACTTTGAAATAACATGGTTAGCTGTACATTCAATACCGCCAAAGCGGTTAAAAAAGACGATGCATTACATACAACTTTTGTCTATGAAAATGCTACTGTTGAAACTGGTGTTGATACTTTCAGTGTTACCCCTACTGCTGTTGAATATGATTTCAAAACTGAATTGAAAGTTCCAAAATTAGGTTTAATGTTAGTTGGTTTAGGTGGTAACAATGGTACTACTTTAATAGGTTCCGTTATTGCCAACAAGAATAACATTAGTTTTGAAACTAAGGAAAGATTTGTCAAACCTAACTATTTTGGTTCAGTAACTCAATCATCAACGGTTAAATTAGGTGTTGATGCTGAAGGTAATGATGTTTATGCCCCATTCAATTCCATCTTACCAATGGTTTCACCAAACGATTTTGTTGTTGGTGGTTGGGATATAAGTAAGATGAAATTAGACAAAGCTATGAAAAGAGCTCAAGTCTTAGATGTCAACTTACAAAAACAATTATATCCATACATCGAAGATATCGAACCATTATCATCAATCTATTATCCAGATTTCATTGCTTTAAATCAAAAGGAAAGAGCTGATAATGTTTCAAACGTTAAAAGTGACGGATCAGTTGATTTAGAAAATAAATGGAAAGACGTTGAAAAAGTCAGAAAAGACATCGCCGATTTCAAAGCCAAAAATGGTTTAGATAAAGTTATTGTTTTATGGACTGCTAATACTGAAAGATATAGTGATATCATTCCAGGAGTCAACGATACTGCCGATAACATGATCAAAAGTATTAAAGAAAATCATGAAGAAGTATCACCATCAACTATTTTCGCTGTTGCTTGTATCTTAGATAAGATTCCTTATATTAATGGATCACCACAGAATACTTTTGTTCCTGGTGTTATTGAATTATCCGAAAAGTATCAATCATTCATTGGAGGAGATGATTTCAAATCTGGTCAAACTAAAGTTAAGTCCGTTTTAGCTCAATTCTTAGTTGATGCAGGTATTAGACCAGTATCAATTGCTTCTTATAACCATTTAGGTAATAATGATGGATACAATTTATCAGCACCTAAACAATTCAGGTCTAAAGAAATCAGTAAGAGTTCAGTGGTTGATGATATCATTGAAAGTAATCAAATTTTGTATAATGATGAATATGGTAAGAAAATCGACCATTGTATTGTTATCAAATACTTACCAGCTGTTGGGGATTCAAAAGTCGCTATGGATGAATATTACAGTGAATTAATGTTAGGTGGACATAATAAAATTTCCATTCATAACGTTTGTGAAGATTCTTTATTAGCTACTCCTTTAATTATCGATTTAGTTGTTATGACTGAATTCTTCTCAAGAGTTAGTTACAAGAAAAAATCAGATAAAGATTACGATAATTTCTACTCAGTATTAACTTTGTTAAGTTATTGGTTAAAAGCACCATTAGCTAAACCAGGATTCAAACCAATCAATGGATTGAATAAGCAAAGATTAGCCGTCGAAAACTTATTGAGATTATTAGTAGGATTACCAGTCAATAATGAATTAAGATTTGAAGAAAGATTAGTTTAAATTTAATATAGAAAAATTCTCGTAAATATCTGAAACCCTCATTTCCGTGGTGTACCGAAGTTCATATTTCCAAGAGCCGAAGAAAATGCATCGTCATTATGTGAGCGCGCACACTACCATCAAAATGTTGGGGAGATTTTAGGTCATATGAAAGATAAGCTTTAGCGATAAGAATAATGATGAAATTTACAGGTGGCAAATGAATAATCGCTTTACATTTTAAGAAAAACTCGCAATTGAATCATTTTCATACTTTTATCCTTCAATTGAGTAATAACAGACTTCACGGAAGTCGTGGTAACAAAATCTCCGTAACCCATTTTCACTATTACGGATTGATAAGAATTTTATGGTGAAAAAAATATTTCCCCTCTGCGAGATCATCCCTCACAGGTATATCCAGATATATGAAGGATTAATGATCCTTAGTCAGGTCAATTCTTCAACTGAAAATTCAACAATCATCAATGAATTCACATTCATTTAGTTGATGCTGGTTTCGCACCCGCTTTTTTGACAGCCACCTTTCCAGTTGGGAAAGAATAAAATCTATGTTGACCCCAAATATCTTAGCATAAAAACATATCACACGATAATTGAACTTACCTTAACCTTAATATTACTCTTTCATTCCCACATCTCCAAAAATGCCTGTAAACTGTAACAGGATAAAGCCAATTTTAGGAAAAGTCCCAAAAAAACCAAAATTTCTATATTCAGAAAACTCACTCCTCAAAAATTTTTTTTCTTATTGTTAATCATCCTTTTTATAAATTATTGATAAATAATTGAATTGGATTAATTTTGAACATTATTATTGTAATAAATTGAAGAATTATCATGGGTTATCAACATACTGTTCCTGTTGGTGAAGCCAAAGCCGGAGAAACTGCTCCAAGAAGAAAAGCAACTCAAAAAGACGGAGCTGTATCTCGTCCTTTAGATTCTAAAGCCAATACAATTTATGAATTCTTTGAAGAATGTGTTAAAAGAAATGGTGAAAGAAATGCCATGGGTTGGAGAGATTTATTAGAAATCCACAAAGAAGTTAAACAAGTTAAAAAAGTTGTCGACGGTAAGGAAACTTTAGTCGATAAAGAATGGTTATTCTTTGAAAATTCTACTTATAATTACATCACTTATCCAAATTTACTCAAATTAATCAACAATTATGGTAAAGGTTTAGTTGAATTAGGTGTTAAACCAAGTCAAGAACATAAAGTCCATATTTTTGCTGCCACTTCTCATAAATGGATGCAAACTTATTTGGCCACTCAAACTCAAAATATTCCAATTGTTACTGCTTATGATACTTTAGGTGAAAGCGGATTAACTCATTCATTAGTTCAAACTGGTTCTAATGCTATTTTCACTGATAACAATTTATTAGGTAATTTGATCAATCCATTGAAAAAAGCCAATGAAGTTCAATTCATCATTCATGGTGAACCAATTGATGAAAATGATAAAAGATTTGGTGGTAAATTATATCAAGATGCCATTGATGCTAAAAAGAAGATTTTGGAAATCAGACCTGATATTAAATTTATTTCATATGATGAAGTTATTGAATTAGGTAAAACTTCAAAAGAACCAACTAAACCTTCAAAACCAGAAGATTTATCATGTATTATGTATACTTCAGGTTCAACTGGTGATCCAAAAGGGGTTGTTTTAACTCAAGAAAATGTTCTTTCAGGTTTAGGGGGTATTTCCACTGTTGCTGGTAGAAATTTAGTTAAAAATAATGATCGTATTGTTGCATTCTTACCATTAGCACATATTTTTGAATTAGCTTTCGAAATGATTTCATTCTGGTGGGGTGGATGTATTGGTTATGCTAATGTTAAAACTTTAACTGATGCTTCATGTAGAAATTGTAATAGTGATTTAGTTGAATTTAAACCAACTATTATGGTTGGGGTTGCTGCAGTTTGGGAAAGTGTTAGAAAAGGAGTTTTAGCTAAAGTTAAACAATTACCTCCGTTATCTCAAAAAATCTTTTGGGCTGCATTTAAAGCTAAAGTTACATTCAAAGATTATAATATTCCAGGTGCATCAGTATTTGATATTATTTTCAAGAAAGTTAAAGCAGCTACTGGTGGATGTCTTAGATTCTGTCTTAATGGTGGATCTCCAATTTCTTTGGATGCTCAAGTGTTTATCAGTAATTTAATTTGTCCAATGTTAATTGGTTACGGTTTAACTGAAACTGTTGCCAATACAACCATTGTTGATATCGATCATTTCGAACATGATGTAGCTGGTTGTTTATTAGGTTCAGTAACTGCCAAATTAATTGATGTTCCAGAAGCTGGATATTTTGCTAAGAACAATCAAGGGGAATTATTATTATCAGGTAAACCAGTTACTAAAGAATATTATAAAAATGAGAAAGAAACTTCCGAAGCATTCACTCCTGATGGATGGTTTAAAACTGGTGATATTTGTGAATGGACCTCTACAGGTTATTTAAAAGTTATTGACCGTAGAAAGAATTTAGTTAAAACTTTAAACGGTGAATATATTGCTTTAGAAAAGTTAGAATCTGTTTACAGATCAAATCCTTCAGTATTGAATTTATGTGTTTATGCTGATCAAACAAAAGTTAAACCAGTTGCTATTATTTTACCAAATGAAGCTCATTTAAAACAATTATTGAAAGATACCAATACTTATTCAGATAACGATTTGAAATCAAAAGAAATGGCTGATTTATGTAATGATTCAAAAGTTGTTAAACAAGTATTGAAATCTTTATTAGCTACAGGTAAAAGTCAAGGATTAAAAGGTATTGAATTATTACAAAATATTGTTCTTTTAGATGAAGAATGGACTCCTCAAAATGGTTTTGTCACTTCTGCTCAAAAATTACAAAGAAGAAAGATTTTAGCTAGTTGTAAAGATAAAGTAGAAGCTGCTTATAAAAATTCTTAATCTTTATCAAATGTGTAATTGTTCTATGAGTATATTGTTTAATATAAATAAATCTATGAACCTCCATAAACTTTTTTAAAATATTTCTTTGTTTGTTCAACATCTAAACCTACCATTAAACAAATTTGTAATAAAATTCTACTCTTTTGTGGACTTATTGATCCACTAGCAATTATATTATTACATTTCAAATCAGCAAATTTTGGTAATGATCCAATTGGTACCATACCATCCATTGATCTTTTAGAATAAATAATTGGTACCCCATGTTTATTACTTAATTCCATGATAGTTCTATTGGTACTTTCTTTTAAGGAACCAGCTCCCATAGTAGCAATAACTAACCCTTTAACTTTTAAATTTTCAATAAATAATTTGAATATATCATTATTTAAACCTTGATGAGCAAAAACAATCCCAACTTCAGGTAATTTGAAATCACTATCAATAACCAAATGAGAAACTCCCATAGGTTTTGAAGGAGGGAAATAATAACAAATTTGGTTATTAACAAAATTTCCTAAATATCCTTGTCCGATAGCATTAAAAGTATCTAAAGAATTGGCATTTGATTTTTTTAAGAAATAACCTGAAATGATTCTATCATTAAAAGCAACAAGAATACCCCTATTCCAACTATTTTTATCTGAAGCAATAACAATAGCTTGATATAAATTCATTGGACCATCAGAAGAGATTGCGGTTGAAGGTCTCATTGATCCACATAAAACAATAGGTTTTGAAACATTCAATGTGAACTGTAAGAAAAACGCAGTTTCTTCCATAGTATCAGTACCATGTGTTATAACTATTCCATCATAAATTTCAATATCCTTTTTAACTTGATTGTAAATAACTTTCAACTCTTCTTCACCAATTTCTTTGGAATCAATATTTAAAATTTGTTCATATAAAAGATTACAAGTGGTTGATAAATCAGGAATTGTCTTGACTAAATCCTCAATTGTTAAATCAACTTTATAACCAGCTGTTTGATGAGAACTTGTACCTTTGGATGCAATAGTACCCCCAGTTCCTAAAATTTTGATTGTGGGGATTTTCTCTGGTACAGTTTCTAATGAACCAGTTGAACTTGATCTATATTTAATTTGGAATTTAGGGTGATCTAAATCTTCTTCTATAACTTCAAAATCTGACATGTTGAAATAATTGCAAAATTAAATTATTGGGTGGTGGCAGATTGCAAAAAACCTTCTCATCGCGCATTTATGCCTGTTCCGCTGTCTCAATTTATTCGCCAGTACTTTCTCCATTAAACTTCTCCATTTGATTTTTTTTCTAAATAATAATGGGACTTTTCAGTAGTAATAAAATTGATACTCCACCTGATAAAAACAAAAGACAAATTTGTTGGGATAGTAGAGATAAATTTTTCCAATGTTTAACTACCAATAATATTGATAATTCATTAGATCCAAAACAAAGGGATAATGTCGAACTTAATTGTGGAGAGTTAAGAAATGATTTTAAAAACAAATGTGTGGCTTCATGGTTTAAATATTTCCAAGAAAAAAGATATAATGATATTCAAAGAGAAAGGTATATCAGGAAATTAGAAGCTGAAGGAGCTCAAGAATTGCCTTTCAAATTAGCTCCACCAAAAAAGAATTAAATTTTGAAATGATTCGATGTAAATAGAATGTATATTATGCTGATGCTACTATGTAAACCGGCTCTCTAGCGGTTATCTTATAACTATTGTCATCTTCCAAAACGTCCAATAATGAACCCCACTCAAATTCTCCATTTTCTAAGATCACGAAACTGAGGTTAATGTCTACGGATTCATTAGGGTGGATGGTTTGAGGTAATTTTGATTGAAGCACTCCATTGATGACTATTTTCTTATCCATGGATTGTTCTTTAAGAATGCTATTATTGATGTTGTTATCTATTATGGGGAAAGGTAAATGTCTTATAACTCCATCCAAAGGTTTACTATCGAAATTAGTAATAATGGTTTTAAAGCTATAGAATTCTCCAGTTTTAAGAAGAAATTGTGATCCTGTTCTTTTAATCATCTCATCTTCTTCGTTCCAAATCTCATGTAAGATTTTGATCTTTGGGTAAATGATATAATTTACCATCTTTGTATTTAATCTGATGTTTCGGAAATCTATAATTCCTTCTCTTTCATGGAATTTCCAATGTCCTTGAACTTTGTCTAAAATAAGATTTCTTAACCAGAAACTTTGTCTCATTTCCATATCTTCGGATTCTGTGATCAGATAATCCTTGATGAATTGTTTGTTTCTGATGGAAGGTATTATTTTGGTGAAGTCATGATCTTTAACACTTACACGTTTCATAGGAATTAAGAATCTCGATACTGTATTAGCTTTGATAGATTCTTTAACTTGGAACTTGTCAAATTCTATATCTACTTGTAACGTTTCTTTCCAACTATTTCTCATATCGAGGAGAATTAAACAATAATCAGAGATGTTCTGATCCAAATTGTCAATGAATTCTTTCAAGTTTGTTAAATTGGCATTGGATTGACTTTTAATCAATCCATTCAAAGATGACAAGAATAATGGCATGATATCTAAATTTACCATTTCAATCGATGGAACTACAGTTACTTTCAAAGGAATCTCAATGTTCTTGACAAAACATTTGGTAAGATCATTTAATTTGTTCCCATACTCCAAGATCATCTTCAGGTCAGTCATGTTCTTCTTACCTGTAATTTCATATTTGATTTCAATCTCTCCGTTAGCTTTAATGGGTTTATATTTCTCATTGATCTCCTGTTTATTCAAGATCTTAAATGTTTTGTATTTGTATAAATACCATTCTAATTCATACATCTCAAAAGCATTGATATTAACTCCTATTGAACTGTTACTCAACTTCTTAGTTAGGTTTTGAATGGTGGAATCCCAGAATGAGAATGACAAGTAATTTATAGGTTGATTAGATTGGTTAATCAAATCGATGGAAAATTCATGTTTTTCCCCTTCTAGTAACATTAACCATCCATTAGTTGCCAGAAGATTGAGTAAAGATAATGTTGGTTGAGGGTCAAGTACATTCAATTCCATAGTAGTACAGTCCACTCGATGTAATACTTTATTGTCTCTGAGATTATCAACAATGGTTTGCAAGGGGTCTTGGATTTCAAACCCATCACCAAGTTTAGGATTCTCAAACTTCTGATAATCTTTCAATTTAATCAATTTTTCATTGTATTCTTCACTTATGATAGGGAAGAACCTTTCCTCACAAGCTCCAATCTTTATTTTGCACCCTTCAATAATCAAATTGCCAGGAACCAATGGTTTAAAAGGAACTATGAAAGTTTCGATGGATTTAGGAGGAATTATCAATTGATTTGATTGGAAATCATTAACTAAAGGTGATGAAGGTTTTTCCAGTCTTAGTTTGGGGTTATTCAAGCTGACTTTGGATTGACTTTTATTGACATTGTGAAACATATTCCTTACGCCTGATCTAATAACCTGGGTTTTGGAATTAGAAACAATATCAATGTCATTGACTTCAATTTCAAAGCTGTAAGGATTTTGTAGGAGAACTCTCAATTGATAAATTTCATTTTTAATGATAAGTTTATCTTTTTCAATAGATTTTGGAGTAGGTTTATTAAAAGGGTCAAACACGAAAGAAGGATTAGCCGGATTTGGGGTTTGTAAAGGTGTTGCTTCACCAATTTCCGTACCTTGGAATTCAGAAAACGGTATCAATTCATCTTGAGCTTTGTTATTGATTAGTTTAAACCCTCTCAATAAATAAGGATCAGGATACGGAATCTTCGTACCGAAGTCTCGAACGGTTCCAATCATTTTCTCTCGTATTTTATATTCATCATCGATAGGAAGGCAATGAAGATATCTTGTTAAAGAAAGACAAAATATACTGGCCAAAGTTTCGTGGTCCTTTAGATTCTCAAATACTTTGATACTTAATTTGATTAAAGATAATTGCATGGAGTTCCAATTGCTTGAAGTGTTTTCATAAGAATCATCACTTTTCAATTCAGGTTGTTTGTTGATTTGATAAATGTTGAATAAATCGATTATAATAGATTTGATTGTTGAAATATCAAAAGTATTGGTGATTTGAGTGACAATAGAATCAGAAGACTCATTTGGTTGGTTTGAAAGTTGAGGTAGTATTGCTACTATTAATGTCCTCAACATGAAAGCCTTCTTTCTAAACATATTCAAATCATTATAGATTAATGATAATCTGGAATAAATTCTACATTGATCAATTAAATTCAAGTCAATCAATTGTAAGGAAAATATTTTATCTAATTCATTCAAAATGTTATTCTTATTATACCATGGGTTGGTGATAGTGTCAGGAGTTGGTGGTGAGTTCTTAACTAAAGTCTCAAAGAAATTGTTGTTGATATTAGAACCATTCTTGAAAACATGAATCATGAAATGCAAATACCTTAAGATCGATTCTATGTACACCAAATCAGGAACAGTGTTTTCGAAATCATTGGCACTTAATTGGAAATAAGTATTACTTTTATCTTGTAACTGTTTAACCAATTCAGGTACTGCAATACCATTTAAATCTGGTGCAGCACCAATAGGAAGGTTGAAACTAACTCCACTACTTGATGATGTTCTAGGTGATAGAATTTTTGACCCATTTCCATTATACAGAAGTCTACCATTAGTGGATAAATTATCATTTGAAAGTCTTTTATTAACAGTATTATCAATACTCATATCACGTATCTTACTCTTCAGTAAATGGAGTACAGACGCAAGAATAGCGTTGGGTAATTGATATGAAATCCCTGTATAGTTCATTAATACTATCGCCACACCCATACCTTCTAAAGCACTACCTAGCCACATATAGTCTTCAGATTTCTTTAAATAAAGTAGAGCATCAGCAAAATTATTCATGGCTTCGACATATTTCCCCGATAAAAGATAAAATGATGCAAGTAATTTGGATTGTCTACCATTATGCCTTACTTGAGTATTACCTTTCAATTCTGCTGGTGACAATTGGTTATTTGAATTGAATGATACTTTCAATGATGATCCAGAAGATAATCTTTTCTGTGCCTTACTAATGGTTTTACTTAATAATTGACTATCTGTTATTGAAACTGGGGATCTCAATGTTATATTGGAATAAGAAGATACGTAATCATCTAAATGGAAAAGAAAATTCCGGGAAACATCACAAATCAAAGATTCCAACAGTATTGATTCATTGAGGAAAAGACATGATTTCATAGAATGGTCAGTTTTGGGATTGAACTCTTCAACCTTCTCAATAGGAGTGTCGAAGAATACGCAGTTCTGGATTATTGTACTAGGAAATTCTTTCTTTAAATCATTATTCATTTGTTGATATTGATCGAGACTTTTATCATTATATTTCCCCAATCCTATGACAATGAAGGTTTTCCTGAATGGTTCGAAATCATGAAGGAAAATTGATTCATTGTCAGGTACTACCATATCATATTCATATATTATTCTACCATTAGGTGATGTTTGGGGATTGAAATGTTTCAACTCTGTCATAGGAGTTATATCTAATAATCTCACTTCATTACAACTACTTACTTGTTTATAGTAACATTGGAATTGTTGTTCATCACATCCGTTTATAGGTACCACTAGGACTTTTACTCTACCTGGAGAGATATAATTATACCGATCCATCAGTATCTATTCTTCATAGATCGATTTCGCGTCGTGTAAAGTATCACCAAACTGCGAAAACTCAAATCTGAAGGCAAAGACAGAATCTCACTTAACTAATGGCAGGATTGAGTTTCGATAATTTCCAAAGGAATAAATTCTTAGTTTCCAAAGGATTTGGCCAACCAATGGCTACTTCTACTGGTACCACCATTGTTGGATGTAAATTTAATGGAGGTGTTATCATTGCAGCTGATACTAGAGCTACTGCTGGTAGTATTGTCGCTGATAAAAATTGTGAAAAGTTACACAGATTATCCCCTAAAATTTGGTGTGCTGGTGCTGGTACTGCAGCAGATACTGAAATGGTAACTCAATTGATTGCATCTAACTTAGAATTACATTCATTATCACAAAGAAGACAACCAAGAGTTATAACTGCTTTAACTTTATTAAAACAACATTTATTCAAATATCAAGGTCATTTAGGTGCCTATTTGATTGTAGCAGGGAACGATCCAACAGGGGCTCATTTAATGTCCGTTCAAGCTCATGGTTCAACTGATATTGGAGAATATCAATCATTAGGTTCAGGTTCTTTAGCAGCTATGGCAGTTTTAGAAACCGGTTGGAAACCAAATATGACTAAAGAAGAAGCAATGAAATTATGTGCTGACGCCATTGAATCAGGTATTTGGAATGATTTAGGTTCAGGTTCCAATGTTGATTTATGTGTTATGGAAGTTGGAAAAGATGCTGAATTACATAGAAATTACTTAACTCCAAATGTCAGAAGTGAAAAATTAAAATCTTATAAATTTGATAGAGGTACCACTGCTGTGTTAAGATCCAGCATACATGATGTTTTAGATGTTGAAGAAACTGTCATTACTTTTGGTAATGATGCTATGGAAGTTGATGCTTAATGAAATGTTTTCTTTGATTTTCCTTTTATTCTATGTCTCTTGGGATCTCTTGAACCAACCTCTTTTTCGAATAAATAGATCTATCCTTGGTGGTAAGTTCCATCACAGGATTCTAGATTATTCTATCGCGGTGATATTGAGACTTTCAATTTGCACCAAATTCATTTTTCAAATTCTTATTCAATATGGTTGTTAATAATCCAAATAATTGGCATTGGGTCGATAAAAACTGTCTTTCATGGTCAAAAGATTATTTTAAAAGTAAAACTGTTGGTTTGAAAGCCGAAAAAGCTGAAAAATCAGTAGCTGTTGAATCAGTCTCTTCAGTAGAAGGTGATTGTGAAGTTAGTCAACGTAAGGGTAAAGTAATTTCTTTATTCGATTTGAAGATAGTCTTGAAGTTTGAAGGTAAAGTTAAAGATGAAGATGTTAGTGGATCCATCACTATACCTGAATTAGCTTATGATACTGAATCAGATGAGATTCAATTTGATATTAGTGTTTATAATGAAAACTCAACAAAAGATGAAATCAGACCTTTGATCAAATCTGAAATCTTACCAAAATTAAGAGACATTTTATCTAAGTTCGGAAGTGATTTGATTGAAACCAATAGTTCAGATATTCAATTGGAAAGTGATAAAGTTAATAGTGTTTTCACCAAAGCTAATCAAGAACAACAAAAGAAAGGATTGAAATCAGATAAACCAACTCCTAAAGCTACCACTAGCACCACTTCATCAACTTCAGCTTCAACTTCCAAATCTACTAAACCTGTTAGTTCCAATAATGTACCTAAATATAACACTTCTACATTACATTTAGAACCAACATTTAATACCACATCTGAGCAATTATATATCACATTACTTGATCCTCAAAGAATTGCTGCTTGGTCAAGATCTCCACCATTGATTGAACCATTACCAGCTAAATCCGGTTCAAATTTCAAATTCTTTGGTGGATCGATCAATGGTAAATTCACCAAGTTGGTAGAGAATGAACAAATAGTTCAAGATTGGAGATTAGAAGACTGGAAAGATGGACATTTTGCTAAATTGGATATCTCATTAAACCAAGGTAGTTCTGAAACTAAAATGGTTGTGAAATTCTCTGGTATTCCAATTGGTGAAGAAGATAGAGTTAGAAATAATTTTGAAGATTATTACATCAAAAGTATCAAAATTACCTTCGGTTTTGGTGCTGTTCTTTAAGTAGACAAATATATATGGTTGTCTCGGATTTGCAGCCATTTTTCCCCAATCATCACTTTTTATCGCAGAACGTGACAACCGCAGTGCCTCACATATAAGGGATTAGAAGTTCAAGAAATTTAAGTTCTTTCAACGAAATTATAGATTTTTTACTGTTATAGATTTTTTTTACTGTTCTACTAAGTTCTAAAGTTCTACTACAATCGATAAAATCAAAGTCAAACAAGAGAAACTCAATTTTTATAGATCATGCAAAGACAAGATGACATACCGAACAACGAATTCGATTTACCAAATCTAAGTTTATGGCAAAGGATGAAGAACAAAGTTGATCTATCAGGAGATGAAATGGTTGGCTACTGTTTATTGGTGTCATGTCAATTGTTCAACTCATTTATGATTACAGCTTGTAAATTGTTGATCACCGATAAGGATTCAGAAACTCCTATTCATCCTATTCAAATTTTATTTGTAAGAATGTTCATTACTTATATTTTATGTGTCATTTATATGTTGGTATTCAGAAAATCAGTGCCTGATGCACCTTTTGGTAAACCAGAAGTTAGGAAATGGTTAATTTTAAGAGGTATCGTAGGATTTATGGGGGTTTTTGGATTATATTTTTCATTATTATATTTAAGTTTAAGTGATGCCGTAGCTATTACCTTCTTAGTACCTTTAGTTACAGCATTCTTAGCTTTTGTGGTTTTGCATGAACGTTATTCCATCGTTGAAGGAATTTGTTCAATAGTTTCATTAGGTGGGGTTATTCTTATCGCTAAACCGCATTTCATATTTGGTCAAGAAGCTGATAAAGAATCTGATGTAGATGATGCAGTTGAGTCTTCTTCTACTGAGAAAAGATTATTGGCATCCGGAGTTGGTTTATTAGGTGTTATAGGTGCATCCTTAGTTTACATTGTTATCCGTAAAATCGGTAAAGATACCCACGCATTGATTTCAGTCAGTTATTATGCTTCAACCGTTACTGTGGTCTCATTCATTTGTATCTTGGTAATTCCATCAATTTCTTTTGCGTTCCCACAAAATGCTTATCAGTGGTTTTTATTCATCACCATTGGAATTTCAGGGTTCCTTTTCCAATTCGCTTTAACTTCAGGTATTCAAAGGGTTAAAGCTGGAAAAGCTTCATTGGTGGTTTATACTCAAGTTATATTTGCCATTTTCTGGGATGTGGTTATTTGGAATCATTTCCCTGGAATTTTAAGTTTTATGGGTATTTTGGTCATTTTAGTATGTACTGGAATTGTTATCAAATATAAACCTGAAGAAAAACCTGAAGATATTGAAATGGGCCAACATCAACCATTATCTCAAAATGGTTATAAACCTGAAGAAATCCAACTACAAGATTTTATTATTGGAGATGACGATGACGATGAGGACAATACCAACAGACATCAAAAACCAAATGAACAGGTTTCGGCTGAATCTAAATAAATGAGTGATAGGTTTTCGAATTTTTTATATAAGTAAAGGTGAATTTCATTTCTTCTCTAATTTATCTAACCAACTCATTTGTTGATGTACATTCTGTAATTTGATCATCTTTTCATTGACCTCATGATTCTTTAACACTTGTTGGTTATTAGTCTCATTCAATTGATTTAGATTCATAATCAATTTTCGAGAATTATTCAAGTTAACATCAATATAATCAATCTTCAAATAATCATTGTCACTAGAATTGGATGCTAAACCCCTAATTTGTTTCACCCATTTACTATCTTTCTTAGACATAAGAGTGTGATGTGTATTGAGAAAATAAATAGTGCGATAAGCTTATCCATAATATAAACGATCGTATTTCCATACCTTATCATTGTCGAGAGGTAATGGAACCCCTGAAGAGTCAACATCGTATTTGGATAATTCCTTCATTAATTTAGCAACAGGTTTTGAATACCATCTATCGTGTTTATAATCGAACCAACCTAAATGACCACCATTAGAAGTAGTGATAGTTGAAGTGAAGGGATTTAAAGGAGATTCAGTTACTGGAATGGATCTGGACCCAACCACAGGATCATCTAAAGCATTCAAAATTAATGTAGGGACTCGGATTTTGTTTAATCTTTGGGATGGTGATGCATGTCTATAATATTCCATTGATGTATTGAATCCAAATAATTTACAAGTGAAGCTATCATCAAAATCCCTTAAATGATCGATTTTGAATTCTGAAGGGTTTTCCATATACCTTTGAGCTAATTCATTGGTATGTAAACCAGATTTACAATGAATGTTCAATAATTTAAGAAGATTTTGACCCATAACCGGCGAATAAACTCTATCCCCTAATAAACTTTCCCTCAAAACATATGAACTATCTGAGAAATCCCAAGGAGATCCCATAATGAAAGCTCCTTTAATGTTTTTATAAATACCGGCTTTTTCTTGTCCAACATAATTAGCAGCTATAGATCCTCCTAATGAGAATCCAATTAAAAAGATTTTCTTATTAGGCCATCTTTTCTTAACATGTTCATTAATGAAATATCTCAAATCATTGGTCCATAAACCACAAAATAATTGAGGTGATGTGATAGTATGATTAGCACAACCACGAGAATTTATAACTAAAGCATCAAAGCCAATTTCAGGACTAGTGACTTCAGTTAATAATGATCTAACATAAGATTCAAAAGAACCTCCACTTAATCCGTGTAAGGCGATCAACAAAGGTTTAGAATCATCAGGAAATATTTCAATATTTGGATTCTTATATTGTGTTCTTCGAGGTAATTCGTTTGATTGATGTGAAGGTTTATAATTGAAATGATTGAAATCTTTGGTATCTTCTGTGGTTACATAATCAACAGCAAAAGTACTTTCACCTTTCCATTGATCATATTTCAAATTGATTTGTTTAACATTACCTTCACTGATCTCTTCTTCAAATGAATAAGTCTTATCTTCAACATCAATGATCTCTCTTTTATACCAGATTTGGTCTATTTTTTCAAATTTATTTAATGCAGTGAAAGCTGTTTGAGTATGACCTGATGCTAATAATGGATGAATCCAATATGAATAACCCTTAAATAATTCAGGTGCTGAATCTTTAATAATTTCACTCATTATCTTAACATCCCCTTGATCATTCTTGAACTTTATAGGATTAACAGGATCATGGTTTTCAACCACTGATCTAAATATGTTCATTTCCTTTTAAATTTAAATCCTACCGATGGATATTTTGCAACAGTGTGAAAATTGCTTCTCAAATTTGAACTTCTCTTAGATATCAGGTGTACTGGAGTCTTATTTAGGTCTCACTAACAAGTCATATGTTTCCTGTACATAACACCTCCAGGAATGCGATTATTACAAAAAGCTGGTATTGCTCACAAATATTATCTCCTATTCATTCTTTTATATTTGACTTATAATTACCTGTTAAGTTTAATTGATTAGTTTAGAATTTATAAAATGCAATTATCATTAACCGTATTAACTTCCATTCTTTCAGTTTTATCATTGACTGAAGGAAAAACCAGTATTAAATTAAACAGGGTTTCAAATGATGAGACCTTAAACCCTTCCATGTTTAAAGAATACACAAAATCATTAGCTAATAAGTATAGTAGATTCAGTGAACATAGAGATTTACCAGGAGGTGTTGGACAAGTCCCATTCTTAGAAGATTCAGTTGAAATTAATAAAGCTGGTCATGAAATCCCATATTTAGAAGATTTAGTTGAAAATAATAAAGCTGGTCATGAAATCCCATTACAAGATTATTCTAATGCCCAATATTTTGCTGAAGTTGAAGTTGGTACCCCAGGTCAACCATTCAAAGTCATTTTAGATACCGGTTCATCCAATTTTTGGATTCCTTCAAAAGATTGTTCATCATTAGCTTGTTTCTTACATGCTAAATATGATCATGATGCTTCATCAACTTATAAAGCCAATGGTACTGAAGTTCAATTGAATTATGGTAGTGGTTCAGTTGAAGGTTATATTTCAACCGACAACTTCAAAATTGGTGATGTTGTTGTTCCAAACCAAGCATTGATTGAAACTACCTCCGAACCCGGTTTAGCTTTTGCCTTTGGTAAATTCGATGGACTTTTCGGTTTAGCTTACGATTCAATTTCTGTTAAAAAAATGGTCCCACCAGTTTATAACGCTATTTCTCAAGGTTTATTAGAAGAACAACAATTTGCTTTCTACTTAGGTGATGTCAATAAAGATGAAAATGCTGGTGGAGAGTTTGTTTTAGGTGGTTATGATGAAGCTCATTTCAATGGTAAAATCACTTGGTTACCTGTTAGAAGAAAGGCTTACTGGGAAGTTTCTTTTGATGGTATTGGATTAGGTGATGAATTCGCTGAATTAAAAAATTACGGTGCTGCCATTGATACTGGTACTTCATTAATTGCTTTACCATCATCATTAGCTGAAATCTTAAATGCTAAGATTGGTGCTACCAAAGGATGGTCAGGTCAATACTCAATCGACTGTGAAGCCAGAAATTCTTTACCTGATTTAACCATTAACTTTGGTGGTTACAATTTTACTTTATCACCATTCGAATATACTTTAGAGATTAGTGGTTCATGTATTTCAGCTTTTACTCCAATGGATTTACCAGCTCCTTTTGAAACCCTTGCCATTATTGGTGATTCATTCTTAAGAAAATACTACTCCATTTATGATATCAAGAAAAATGCTGTCGGTTTAGCAACTGCTGTTTAATCTAGTTGCAACCAGTTTTTCGTTTAACCAATTTTTTTGCTTAATTCCCCCAAAATGTTTTCTAATATATAACTTTTTATACGAAATGTCTTTGTGAAAAAACGTTTTCTTAATTATAGAATAACCATTATTGTTATTGTTTTCCCCTTAAAGTACAATTTAACGTTTAAGGTTAAATTTTTGATAACATTATTCTGCGACATAGATACGACAGTTTTGTTGCATGAAAATCCGCGACATTGCTGGCTAAATCTCTTTATCAGCCAGCCATCTCATCAATTGACCATTAGGATGAGTTTTAAAAGATTATTTTCTACGGCATTTGGTAAAAAAAACCTGATTCAGATCAGAATTAGAGTTATTAGATCAGGAAAGTTTATGTTTTGAAGTGCCTTATATAAAACACCGAATCCAGAAAAATGACCGCAAGATATCAACCTGATAGAAATAATCCGCTTTTCAATCGATTTTCAAGTGAAGAATATATTTCACTACCACCATTTAAAACTCAACAACAGAAAGACACTTCAGTTTATAATACATCAACTAATAATCAGTATCAACATTTAACTAATCAGTTACCCAGTAAAGAATATTTACCACCTAATAGTGAAGATTTTCAAATCATGTCAAGAATTAAATCAAGTGAAAAAGATCCATTACAAAGATTAGAAGTTGAAACAGCTTCTAGTTCTTCGGTACCAATTTCATTTCCTTATTATTATATTGAAAGTGCAGCTAATTCAATTAGTTCCCATAAAGAAGAATCTACTCCAGTGTTTAGTAATATTTCCCATAATTTACCCCCGGTACCAACAAAATCAGTTAATGATGAAATAAAAAGTGAAGGTTTTAATCAAGTACCGAAAAGATTCTCCCAATTTGTTAGGGAACAACATGTACCTTACAATAGACATCAAAGTACATCCACAAGTAATTCATCATCATTAGGTTCAGAATCTGATACTCCAGTAAAGAGAAAATCCCATTCAACCTTAGGAGGTTTAGGGCCAAGAGCTAAAACAGCATCTATGGCATCAAACCCCTTAAGGACTCCACCTTTAGGAAGTGGATTGAATCGTCAAATTTCTGAATCAATGGGTTCTCAGGCTACAATTTTTTCAACCCGTTTGGAAGGTGAAAATAACAATGTTCGTAGAAGAAGAGTACAAAAATCACAAAGTGATAATTCTTTAACCAGAAGAAACGCCATAAGGTTTAAGGAAGGAGGACTTCTTTATAGAATGAAATTAAGATTGAAGAAATGGTTAAACAATCTTCGTAGATTGAGATTCCATAAAACTGCCTCATCTAAGAGAATGTCTAGAAACAATTCTGTTAAGAATAAATCTTTGAAGAGGAAAGGTAAGAAACCAGGTATGAAGAAAATCATGAATATAAGTGCACCAATTGCCAATCCAAATTTAGGTAAAGAGCCAGTCAAAAGAGTAAGAGAATTAGATGATGATTTAAAATATGAAGCTGGAGCACCAATGGAAAATGTTAATTTACTGGATGAAGCTAAGAAAGATTCCAAATTAAGTCATTTGGATGAATACATTGGTCAACAACAAGGATTGTATTTCAGTGACATTGAAAGTAAAACCAATTCCATAAATTATGGTAGAGATCAATCATTGAAAGAAATCAAAGCTAATGCTAAACATAGACCAAGTAAATCCAAAAACAAGATTGATGAAATTGAAGAAGTTCCTTTAAGTGAATATTCAAGTATTGCTCCACCACCTCCAAAACATGGAGATGAAACTGTTATCAGCGATTATCATGATATGGTTGATCTCTGGAGGAAATATTTATTCTTTGTATTATACAAAAGAATCCAGTTAAGACAGGAAATCTCCATGTTTCAAACTATGTTAGCTAGTGAAGATTTGAAATCCAGAAAATTAAGTATTGGATCTCAATTAAACAGTATTTATGAAGTTGAATCTAAATCAGAAGATACCATTTCAGAGTCAGGTACTTTGGCATCATCTTATGAAACGATATCAACTGTTTCACAAGTTCAAGACATTAAAGGTGTTGATGATCTTGTTAATGTTGACGTTGAAGATGAAATAGAAAGTGATTTTGAAACTGAAATCGAAACTGAACTTTCTGAAGGTATTGTCATACATCAATTCATTCCTGATGCAAATGATGAAAGATTCAATAAGCGTTATACCAGTACTAATAGACAATCAGTTTTAGGAGATATGTTAGAATATGAATCTGACGATGAACTGACTATAAGTTCAGTATCTTCCAATAATTATCAATCAGTTACTGAAAGAAGTAATAGTATACTAGGATCAAATATTGCTATTGATAAACAATATAGTGTTAAACACAAAAATTTATCAAGATCAATGAGTACAATGTCAGGTACTAAAAGTCCCATCAAAAGATCTAATGGATATCAACTAGATCTTCATTTAGCATCATAGTAAATAGATTTATCTTTTAAATCGCTATATTTTAATTCTTACTATAAACAATTCCATATATACAAGAATGATTGTTACTATTTATCTAGTAAAAACAAACAATATTTTTAGAAAGTAAACCGAAAAGTATAAAGAGAATCAAGAATTAAACTTAATCTTTCTTTTCTTCATCTTCTTTTGGTTTTGATTCATCTTGTTTGTATAATTTTTCGAAAACCTTTAATGATTCATTTTGTAATTCTTCGGTTTTTGATTTTAATTCGGCACCATCAACTTCTTCACCAGCTTGAGCTTTAACAGCAATTTCTCTTAATGAAGTAATTAATGATCTTAATTTATCAGCATCAGCAGTATCTAATTTATCTTTAAATTCAGTTAATGAAGATTCAGTATCATTACATAATTGATCGGCTCTGTTAGCTGATTCAATAGCTTCTCTTCTAGCTTTATCAGATTCAGCGAATTTTTCAGCATCATTAACCATTTGTTCAATTTCAGCATCACTTAAACCTGATGATCCAGCAACAGTAATAGAAGCATCTTTGTTGGAAGCTTTATCTCTGGCACTAACTTTAATGATACCATCAGTATCAATATCGAAAGTGACTTCAATTTGTGGAACACCTTTTGGAGCTGGTGGAATACCTGACAAAGTAAAGTTACCAATTAATTTGTTATCTCTAGTTAATTCTCTTTCACCTTGGAAAACTCTGATTTCAACAGAAGTTTGACCAGCAGTAGCAGTGGAGAAAATTTGAGATTTTTTAGCTGGGATAGTAGTATTTCTGTTAATTAATCTAGCAAAGACACCACCCATAGTTTCAATACCTAAAGATAATGGAGTAACATCTAATAAGACAACATCAGTAACATCACCGGCTAAAATACCACCTTGAATGGCAGCACCCATAGCAACAGCTTCATCTGGGTTAACAGCTTTTGAAGGTTCTTTACCGAAAATAGATTTAACAGTTTCGATAACTTTTGGCATTCTTGACATACCACCGACTAAGATAACTTCAGAGACATCTGAGGTTGATAATCCGGCATCTTTTAAGGCTTTTTTACATGGTTCAACAGTTCTTTTAACTAAAGGTTCAACTAATGATTCGAATTGAGCTCTAGTAATTTTTTGGTTGATATGTTTTGGACCTGAAGCATCAGCAGTGATGAAAGGTAAGTTAATTTCAGTTGAGACAGTTGATGATAATTCGATTTTAGCTTTTTCAGCAGCTTCTCTGATTCTTTGAATAGCCATTCTATCTTTTTCTAAATCAATACCTGATTCTTTTTTGAAAGTTTCAACAATGTTTCTAACGACAGCAATATCGAAATCTTCACCACCTAAGTGAGTATCACCATTGGTTGATTTAACTTCGAAAACACCAGCACCGATATCTAAGATGGAAACATCAAAAGTACCACCACCTAAATCGAAAACGGCAACAACTTCACCATCATTTTTTTCTAAACCATAAGCTAAAGCAGCAGCAGTTGGTTCATTGACAACTCTTAAAACATTTAAACCAACGATTTTACCAGCATCTTTGGTAGCTTGTCTTTGAGCATCATTGAAATAAGCTGGACAAGTAACAACAGCGTTTTTAACATTTTTACCTAAATTGGCTTCAGCAGTTTCTTTCATTTTGTTTAAAATGAAACCACCAATTTGTTGTGGGGAGTATTTTTCACCTCTAGCTTCAATCCAAGCATCACCATTTTCGTGTTTAACAATTTTGTAAGGAACTTGGTTTAAATCTCTTTGAACTTCTTTATCTTCAAATCTTCTACCAATTAATCTTTTAGTGGCAAATAAAGTGTTTTCTGGGTTAACAACAGCTTGTCTCTTGGCTGGAATACCAACTAATCTTTCACCTTCTTTGGTGAAAGCAACAATAGATGGGGTAGTTCTTCCACCTTCGGAATTTTCAATAATTTTTGGGATTTTACCTTCCATAACAGCAACGGCGGAGTTGGTGGTACCTAAATCAATACCAATAACTGGACCACCAGTAGCAGCTGAGGAATTGTTTCTAATTAATTTTGGTAAATCTTTACCAACTTGCTTAATAGATTTAGCACTTAACATTTTGATTAACTATTGCTGAAAATTTTTCAAACGGTTAAGTGTGAGATATATCATCATTTTTATGATGAAATCCGTTACCCGGAAAGAAATTTCTCGAAATATTTTGTCGCTAATTGTCGTTTTAGTCACCGGCCAAGGGGGGGGAGACAATTTTTCATATCCGCACCATTAGCCATATCCGGGAACCAGGGTTTAGCACCATTACGGTATTATGAGATTTTACTGATAACAAATTTATTAATATACAAACACAATATACAATTTTTTTTTCTGAACAAAAGAATAATCATAATAACACAATAATTGAAGCAAACCGTGTTTCTCACCACTTTAATTTTTCACCTTTCTTACATATCTTTCATAATTATTGGAAACTAACAATTAGTATACTAAACAAAGGATAATTTTAATTAAAAAACAAAAACAAAAATACTTACATTACTAAATCTTCGGGTAAATTGCCATTCATAACCCAAGTTAAAGATTTATCACCTCTAAATTCTTCGATATAACTGATGATTTCATCAGCACTTTTATTATATTTGACCATTCCTTTATTAATTGCATCACATAATCTCTTCCTTCTTTGATATCTTTTTGATTCTTTTGATCTTGAATCACCTCTCCATTGAGCTTTACCATATCTATCATCTAATTCACATAAAGCTGGTTGACCTTTGAATCCTTTGGTAAATTCCTCCCAAATTTCTTTGACAGTCATTGGATTATGAATAAATTCAATTGCAATCGATGGTCTTTTATTTTCTGGAGTACCTTGTTGCTGATTGTTGGCACTTAATTTTCTTTTCACTAATTTGGCTTTATCGAAATCATCTAATCCATTAGTTGAATTTGCAGCTCTTGCAGCACTTGCAACAACAGCATGGGCTTGTGCTTGTGCTTGAGCAACTTGTAAATCAGGATGAATATTACCTTCTAAACTTAAACCTTCATCAGGTTTGAAATGTGAATGATTAGAATGAGGTATTTGATGATGTCCTGGATGTGATTGAGGTACTTGATGATGTCTTACATGATGTTCAACTTCTTGATTAACTTGATTAACTTGATCATTAACATCATTTTCTTGCATTGTGGATAATGCTAATAATCCATCATTATTGGCAACATAAGCTGGATATTTATCAACTTTACTGATATAAAAATCCAATGTTTGTTTTAAATATTCAAATTGTTGTTGTTTTTCCCTTTCAATTTGATCAATTTTATTTTCCAATTTCTTAACTTGACGTTCCAAAGATTGGATCTTTTCAATTTCTAAATTATTCATCTTAATTATTGTTATCAATTGATTAGATAATTAATATTTTTACTCTAAAAAAAAAATTTATTCTCTGATAAGTATTATTGCAAAATGTCTTTTAATGTCACTAATCGATAGACACTTTATTGATGTTTTTTTTTCAGAAAAATGTTCAAGGAGGAAAAATCGAGACAAAAGTCGAGAATTATCATGGACTTGGTATTTACACGACGCTGTTTTTTCCACCTTTTTGATTGGATCTAACGGATTTTAACTCAATAACTGTAATCTAGACTCAAGGTTTGATAACCATGATTGAAATTTCTATGAAATGGCCATTTGATTTGGGAATTTTATCAGTTATAGTGATATGATGTATGTTTCTTAATTGTAGACTTTTTTGTAGACTTAAGACTTAGACTCAGACTTAAGTCTTAGACTTAGACTTAAGACATTCACCACGGCAAATCGAGGTCGCACCCGTACACCTATATATTATTATAGATATGCGATTAGATGTGTTAATTTTTATGCAATAAAGTATATAATGTATATGCTAGTAGTTAGGTTATTCATTCAGACATTTCTGAATTATCATTTGAATTTTCAATGTCTTCTGATTGTGGATTTTTTGCTTTCTCTGCTTCGGCCATTTCTGCTTCATAATCCGAGAGTGTCTCTATTTGATAATCATCATCATTTAAATCATGGTAATCTATGGGTTGTGTTACCTTTTTACCATATAGTAATAATATTCCCACATAATGTCCATCATTATATAATTCTATTATTCTACACTTTCCTTTTTTCCCATATAATTTTCGAGTTATCCTATCAATTTGATCTCTATTCAGTGATTTAGGTAAGAATAAACCAAAGTTTTTAGAATACTTTTTCAAAGAATAACACAATTTTTTTAAACCTAGAGGTTTCAAAGTCTCCAAATCGAACACATCTCGATCATACTGATTTCCACCCCATGGTGGTGAAACAAATATGAAATCAAATGGTATCTTTTTATGTCGTATTCTTTCAGGTACCCAATCTGAAGAATTGCATAGCTCAGTCCAATCGCCAACTACCGACCAGATCTTGGACCTTACTTCATATATTTCGGCATTGTGTAAAGTACAATTGATGTTGATCTGGTTAATATCGATAGCACCTACATGATCGAAATGTTTAGCAAAGCGTATGGTATTACCTCCTCCCCCACAACAAAGATCAACAACGTCTACCGCATCAGGAATAAAATGCTTAATGATCCTAGCTGTAATTTCTGCAACCCTTTCAGGTGTAACACTAAACCATAATTCAGTAGTTAAATGAATTCCCTTATCATACAAAGAATATAACTGATAACGTCTTTTATAAAACTTCTTCACTCTTTTAGGTAATGATTCCTCTGTGTGTAACAAAAGATGTAAATTCCCTTTCTCATCTCTGTCATAATGATCTTCGTTGCCGTGTATTGTATAAGGAATTGGATCTTGTTGTTCTTGATTCTCGATATCTTCATCCTCTGTGATTTGTCTTTCATCTACTTCATCCTTCGGTTGAGCTTCACCTGGTGTGAATACTTCATCTCCTACGAATACTTCGTCTTCAGAATCCCTATTATCATCCACTTCAATCTCAATATCACCCATCAACTACTTTTGCACCAAAATTTCTAAAATCTGTAAGATCTGTTTTGAGATGCGATTTCTACAAAAAATCTTTAAAATACATTTAACTATAAATACAAACCTAAATAGCCCAAATTTTATCATCACTTGTCATAATCAAATTTTCTTCCAGCATTCTCTTGATGGCAATATTCATTTCTTCATTTTCAAATCTTTCTTCTTGAGAAATATCACTGTTGATCAATTCGAGAACTTGTTCTGTTGGTGCAGAATTGGTGGAATTTTGGAAAATTTCTGATCTTATTATTCTAAGCATGATAGATTTAAATAATTCATATCTTGAGTTTGATAATCCATCATCTCTGCCGGTGTTGGCACCAGTTTCAGACAATGGATTTTGAATTTGTTCATCTTCAGATTCATATTCTGGTTCAATTTCTTCATCTAGATCTTCACCTTGTAAATTCAAATTATCAAGATCTTCTTCCATACCTGTACTTCTTGGAGCCCTGGCTCTTGTTGAACGTCTCAATGGAGTGTTAATAACTTCATCATCACTTCCATCAGGAGTCTCAAGTTCTTCTTCCTCTTCATCTTCTTCATCATATAAAGCAGGACTTGATCTTGCTCTTTTAGTGGATTTGGAAGGGACTTCCTTGAATAAGGCATATCTTAACATCATTTCAGCAATTTTAGCATCAGCAACTTCAATGGTTCTGGATAATCTTACTTTAGCATGAGCTGTAGATAAACGAATTAAAGTTTCCAAAGTTCTGGCTGTGATTGGGGCAGTATTCTTTTGATTACTAGCAACTAAATCATTTCTTAAACCTGAATAAATCTTGACAATATAATCACTGGCATCCTTAGTTAAAACAGGTTTAAATCTCTGTTTAGCATATTGAATATATTTCTTAATGAAAGGAATTGATAAAATATCAGTAGCATCTTTATCTTTATTCATTCCAGCATGTAAGAAATGGTTGAATTTTTCAAAAATTGGTTGATCTAATTGTTCTTGTTCATTAGTTTGATCATCACCAATGGCAAAGGAAATATTCAGTTTTTCTCTAATTGGTTCACCTTCCATTAATCCTGGAGGAATAAATCTGTGCATTCTCAAGACATGTTCACTGATAATTCTATCCTTAGTATCATTAATATCATCAGTTACCACGAATAATAAATCGAAACGTGATAATAATGAATCAGGTAATGCTATATTTTTATGAGGATCTTTGTGAATATCATATTGACCGAAAACTGGATTGGCAGCTGCAATGACCGAACAACGAGCATTCAAAGTGGTATGAATACCTGCTTTTGCAATGGTAACGGTTTGTTGTTCCATAACTTCGTGAATGGCAACTCTATCAGCATCATTCATTTTATCGAATTCATCGATACAAACAATACCTCTATCACCTAAAACCATAGCCCCAGCCTCTAATCTTCTTTCTCCGGTTTCTTTATCAGTGGTAACAGCAGCAGTTAAACCTACCCCTGATGAACCTCTACCTGTAGTAGCGATGGCTAATGATGCAGTATTTAAAACAAATCTTAATACTTGAGATTTAGCAGTAGATGGATCACCCACCATTAAAATATTGATATCACCTCTCAAATGTGTTCCGTTATCTAAATTCTTTTCAACACCTCCCATTAACATCAATAAAACAGCTTTCTTGATAAAATCAAACCCATAAATAGAAGGAGCTAATGAATTAGATAAAACTTTAAAGATATCTGGATTCTTTGATAATTTGTTAATGTTTCTGATATCTTGATCAGTTAATTTCTCTAAAGCTGCAACCCCAGTAGATCTAGCATGTAAAGGATAAATGGAATTAGCTAATATAACAGTTCTAAAACTAGTGTTGTTATTGTTACCACCTCCTAAAGCTCTATAAACACCCACCAATTGGACTCTATCACCCGGTTTGACCAAATCAACTAAATCGTCGTCTAAGATTACATCAACAGATCTGGGTAATTGACCAGCAGGTGCCAATTCTGGCATTTCTTGAACGGAAATTTTTTGATGGTCTCTATAAGTTGAAAACCCATATTCAGTAGTTAATTTATTACCATCCAAATCTTCAGTAGGATAAATTGCAGCGGTTGAAATTGGATCAAAGGAAGTGGTTTGATCACGATATTCTCTGGCATAAAATCTACTAGTCTTTTCAGCATAATGAACAGATCTAATGATCTTTGGTCTAATCAAAGAAGCTCTGGTAACAATCCCTTCGATGGATATCATTTTAGATAAATGACTTGAAGTGATAGATCTTGGAGTAACTGAATTATCACCGAATGAACCTTTGAAACTCAAATAAAATTGTTGATTTCTGTCTAATGACATTAATGAATCATCATGAGTGAATAAAATTGTTTCTCTTAACCCTCTTTCACAAGCTGGTAAGAATTCTGAAGGATTATCTAAAAGACCTCTCCATAAATCTCTATCAAACTCTCTAATTTCATCTAATGAGATGGGAATTCTATATTGTCCCTTGTTTAACATGGACTTCAATTCATTAGGTGATGGACTTGTTCCAATATTGTCTAAGAATTCTTGAAACTTCTTAGCTCTATCACCAAAAACAGCATCAATGGGAATATCTGTAGTTTCATCCATCTTGAATTATAGTAGTTTCTCTTTGACGTGATATAAAAAAAGATAAAACTATTTGAGAAATCTTTTCTTCCAAGATACGCGTCTCATTAATATTCCGAAAAAGGTTAAATTATATTTTGGTGAGAGGACGACCACGAGCTTATGTAATATTATATAACTATAAAGTCCAACCTTCTAAATAGCAAGTTTTCTGTTCGTCTTTATCATTAGAATCGAATAAATAATCCCAGTTTTCATACTCTAAAGCAGTCATTGTTCTATACCTTTTGTTTAATTCACTATCTAATAAACTTTTGTAACTCCAATCAAGGAAATCTTCTAAATTATAATTTGGTTTTCTGAATGGTTCCTTGAAGATAGCAGATAAGGTTGATATATTTGGATGATAATGGTTCATTAATGCTTCTAATTCCCATAAAGATGAATGGATGGCTTGAGTTTTCAATGGGTCTTCTTCTTCATCGTTATATGGGTCTTGGTAGTCATTAGAAACTTCTGTATTATGGATCATAATCATACAAGAAGGATGTCTCTTTAATAAATTGTAAATGAAAGGAATCACTATGATAGTTCCTGAAGCACTACTAGCGATCGATAATTTGGCCAACTTTTTAATGAATGAAGCAACCAAATTTGCTGATAAATGAGTAGATGTTAAGAATAAATCACATAATCTGAAAAATCTTGATCTGTAACGGTTTATCAAAAGTTCTGGTGTTAACAAAGAATATAATTTTTTGTAAAAATCAGGATATTCTAAATTATAAGTTTTCATTAATTCGTATAAAGAATTTAATGATAAAATTTGAATTATTAAATTGGAGTTCAAATTATAACAGTCAGTTAAGAAATCCATCAAATTACTTGGTTTTGATAAAAGTGGTAAGATTCTTTTGTTCATAATTGATAAGATGGTTTTGTATTGATTAATGGATAAATCGTATGACAATATTGAGTTTATTGATTGTTGGTAATTGTGCTTGAAAGTGGAGGTTTTAGAAATTGCTGATGGTGGGTTTTTAACATATGTTGACAATTCTGAGGCATCATCGTTCCCAATAAGGAGTAATGGAGATTTAATAATCAAATAAAAATTACTGAAAATCAAATCCTTGGAATCTTTGTTATCATCTAAAAATTTGGACAAGTCTTGGAAGAAGTAAAATTGTAAATCATAGTGTTTTTGGAATGATTCCATGAATTCCAATATTATGAAGTTATCGCTTGTATCATTAACGATTTCACCATTTTGACTGAGTAACAAACCTTCAACCAATTTTCTATACGTTATTAATGGGAAATATTTATCATTAACATTATTTGATGATTCTATCTTAATTAATTTCAATAAAATGTCCAAACAATCTAATTGTAAAGAACTTTTATATGATAATTTGTTAGTGATGAACCAGCATAAATTTTCTTTAAAGTCATCATACTTATTGATAATCCATTTAACCAATATAATTCTCTTTTCATCATCAGCTTTTCTGATAGTGGTTAAACCTTTTTTGATTAATTTTGTGAATACTTGGAATAAACTAATTGATAACTGACGGCCTAAACTTTCAATTTCTGTATTTTCTTCTTTAATTAGTATTTTCTTTATCAATTGATATTGATCTAACAATTTCGTTATGTCATTATAGCTTGATTTCTCAACAATAGTTTCTCCTATTTCTTCAATATTCTCAATAGATAAATGTTCTTCGACTTTAGCTTTCTTATTACTAGCAGTCTTGCTATTAACCTTCCTTTTTGGTGCCATAACTAACTAATGCTTTGAGTCTATTCTATAAATTCTCACTGATGCTCATCTTAAAATCTTTGAGATCATTACCCGGATTTTAGGCTTGAATAAAAATTATTTTTCCCACCATGAAGTTTTTTTTCTTTGTATGACCTTCCAAGTTTTTACACTTCATGATGATATCTCGCGTATTACATTACTAGATCCTTTAGAGTTGAGTCTTCGGATTCCTTTGAAAATGTTATCTCAAACGGGATTTCTGGGTTTAATATGGTGATGACGTTTGGCGCAACAACCTTGTTACTTACACAAACGTTAAGAGAATTTCTGATCCAAAAAGGTCATATCATTCATTTCTTTAATGAATTACCTCTATAACTCTCAATTGTTCCCCAGTCACCGTTAAGGAGTTTGAGTGCTTCAAAAACATGTGGCAGTTTCATATTCCTTCTCGGTTCTCTGAAGAATTAAAGTGTTAGAGTTTAATGGTTACTATCAAAACCTTCTAATTGCGGGCCTGTACTTCGAACTCAGAAAATGCAGAGATAAAGTGAAAGAAAATTAATTACGTAAATGATATTAGTATATGACTAATTATACAATGAATTATTTAAATAAAGGTTTCGTAAGGAACTGGAGCTAAGGTTTGAGGAACGTTACCTTCAGTTGAAATAACTCTGGCTTCTCTTGGTTTAGCTGGTTGTCTCTTTAAGAAAACTTGTTCACCTTTAGCTTTAGCTTCTCTCTTTAAAGCAGCATTGGTTTTAACTCTGTTTAAAAATTCTTGTCTACAAGCTGAGTGTTTGATGTGTTCAACTCTAATGTTAACTCTTTTTTCGATATATCTGTGACCAACGATTTTGTTAACAATAACACCAACAGCTGATTTGGTAACATTGAAAATGATACCAGTTTTACCGTGGTAGAATTTGTGTGGCATACCTTTTTGGACAGCACCATTAACTTTGATATCAACAATATCACCGACTTTGTAGGTCTTTAAGTAGGTTGATAATGGAATAACACCATGTTTTTTGAAATCACGTTGGAAAGCGTATCTAGTACGAGATCTGTAACCATGAGATTTACCCATCTTTAATCAATAAATTTAATTAAGTTTTGAAAAAATGTTTCAAGGTTGAAAATTTTGAGAAATTATCAAAAGTTTTATTATGTAAGAATTTTTTCCCTCTCATGAAAATGTGACGCGCATAGGGCACGAACCCTATTTCTGTAACTTAAGTATATATGTATGGTTGACAGCAGTGTATAATTTTAAAATTATAGATTCCGGAATGTTGGTTGAATTTAGAGGTCTAGGTTATGATATGTGCATGTTTGGTTGCAGCTGAGGTGCTGTAGGCTGCCAGATTGATAAATTTTAACATTCTAGTCAACATTGAATCTCCAGTTGAGCATGTTGATCACAACAGTATCCTAGTATATCAATTATCTCTTCGAGCCTTTGCATATAATTAGTCTGGTTCGAATTTTCGGGTCTTAACTGCTCTCTTACACTCCAGATATAAGCAGCCATTTTTTGCAACAACATCATCGCGAAATGGATAAGGTTAAGATACTAGTACTAAATCCATCTGATAAGATAGATGAAATAGTAACAAAGTCCAATCTTCAACATGCAAAGAACGGACCTTTTGGATCTATCATCCTTCTCAACAAAGTCCCTAAACCTGTAAAGGATTTCCATCAACAGACATATTTCTTTGGTGAACCCCAAGTGGTAAGTGATAATTTAACAAGTGTTAAAGGATTAGTTAAATTGAGCAGCGGGGTTACGATATGCTTCATGGGAGACGGATCTGAGGAAATCGATGTCGGAAAGCATCAAGTTGATATTCTTGTGGCCAACGATTTGCCTATGATTTATAGTACAACTGGAAATTTGAATATTGATAAAATGATCAAGAAGACAACTCCAAGATATGTATTTGTTAGAGGAGAATTCAAAGAATACGAACCTTTTGAATGGGATAGTGGAATTGTGACAAGAATGATCAGCTTGGCTGAAGAAGGTCAAGGAAAATGGTTTTATGCTTTCAACATATCCAGTAAAAGTAGTGAGATTGATAGAAGATCATTAGTTATGAATCCCTTCACCAAGAAAAGACAATTAGACTCGGACTTGGAGTTGGAGAAAGTAGAAAAAAAGAAAGCAAAAGTTGTCACTCCAGATCAGTGTTTCTTTTGTTTATCAAACCCCAATGTGGAGACTCATATGATTGTTGAAATCAACAAGTTAACATATTTAACTATTGCTAAAGGACCTTTAACCAGATATAATAAAATCATACCGTTTGCTGGACATGGGATTCTTATACCGGTAGAACATAAGCCTTTCATTTCTGTTGATGAACCCGTGTATGAAGAATTAACCAATTATGAACTCAAATTGTTTGAAAAATTCAAATCGAAATATCCTGAATTTGTCCCTATATTCTTCGAAATCAACTTGAAATCCAATATTCATTATCATAAACAGTTTTTACCTATTAATGAAAGATTTTTAAGTAGTAACGCATTCGAGAAATGCTTGAATGAACGTAGTACCTTGAACAATGAAAAATACAACAAAAATCATAAGTTGAAATTCAATAAGGTTCTTGATTTAGACACCTTGAAAGACCAACAGTTCATCATGTTCAGAGTGTACGAAAGTAAAGTCCCAACCATATATGTCTGTATAATAGATGATGTTGATAAATCTATAGATTTACAATTTCCTAGAAGAGTTCTTACGGATATTTTACAAACACCTAAAAGATTATACTGGGACAAATGTAAACAGGGAAAACATCAAGAAATGAGGGAATGTGAGGAATTCAAGAAGTTTCTTCTATGAACATGCTAATATATATTTATCTTCAACCTGATTTTAATTCTACTTCACACCTTTTACAACCACAATCAAAGAACCATTCTTTCAATTGTTTTCTTCTTATTTCTACTGACTCGTCAAGATAATTCCCATAGTCTATACACAATTCCTCATGAGGTTCAATTTCTCTTTTAGTTTGGAAATGTAATTCATTCCCTTTTCTGATCTTTTTAATATTTGGATCACAAGAATGATTGAAAAATGAAGCTGAAGGGAAAACACCGAATCCAAAGAACTCTCTATTCTCATTGATGTTATGATCTACCTCAGAATCTCCTGTAATTGACCAAATCCCGAAAGCATTTGTCAAATTCTTACCAATAATTGATCTTATTGTTGAGGTATTAATGAATTTCTGAAATTGTATAGGGCTAGTGAGTCTGACGAATTTAAAGATATTTACATAACTTTCAAGTAATTCTGGGAATTTCAAATACTTTTCTGTTTCACTATTTTGTAAGAAATCAAATAATTTAACCTCAAAGTTTAAACTCTCTCTAATATTCAAGTCTTTCATAAACTCAGTATTAGCCTCAGCATTTTCACTTTGGAACATCTGAAAAAGAATACTGATAATATATTTGATCTCCAGGTACTCTGATTCGTTGATTCTGGGTATAAATTTAGACCATTTGGTGGATTTAATTTTTAGTATATCATTATCCCAAATTTCTGTTTCTTGCCATTTGTTTTCGATATTTGATTCCGTAAGTGGTTTTGAACTATATTCAACTTCAGGCTTCTTCAAACCTTGATTATAGTAGTTATCCAAATCCAACAAACTTTTAGTTAAAAGCTTTTCAGGATCTATCTCATTAAAGGTATTTACGCAGGTTTCACTGCAAAAATATAAGTACTGATTATACTTGGGTAACCCCAACTTATGCTTTAGATTTCTACCGTCGTCATATTTGAAACATAAATTACACACTTCTTTCTTAAAGTCTCTAGAAACAGTCAGACCAACAGGAATTTTAGAAATCAATATGATTTCCCCTTTGGGGATGGTGTTATAACTAAAACACCCATTACCACCGTATTTAGTTTCTGAAACTTGGAAATACGGTGAAATATAGTTTAGTATATTATTATCCGACAAAGTAGTCTGTTCACTCGGTATCTCTTCCATCTGTCAGGTCCTGGAACTCCTTTTAGTGAGGTAATTATTTGATAATGCGTGGGAGATGAGGTTTACATCCCGCGACCTTATCATTGACAGCATCAGGGTTAACAACTATAAGCTTAATTTCTATTTATATAGGATATCTTTACTAAAAAATAACTTAGAAGGAATACCGTATTTGACTTTAAAGCATATTTGGTTTTTTTTGTGGAGAAATTATTATCAAAAAAAAACTTTATAATTTTTTTTAGATTATCTGTGAATTTCACACAAAGAGATAAAAAAATTGAAGCTTTGGCCATTGGACTAAAAATAAAGAACTAGAGAAATAATCTTAAAGGTCGTTTATCATTACTATACAAAATTATAATTGAATTTCGAATCCAATTGATACAAATAATTGATTCTTACTGGGATATCACAACTGTCTAAAATTGTTGTATCATCAATTTTATACACATTTTGATTTCTTCTTGTATTATCCTCCCTTTCGAGTCTGATATCATTTTGAGGATCTTTCTCAAGTAAATTGAAAGTTGTAACATTCTTATGACGAAGTTCTGAATCATTTAATTCGAAATGATTGTAATCTAAATTGAATAATTGATTATAATTTAAGAATTTGAAATCATTTTTCTCTTTAAGACAATATGAATTTAAATATTTTGGGAATTTTATGCTTACAGAATGATAATCAGGTAATTTATTGGTTGAAATTTGATTCATCATTTCAGATACCTTAGCATTTATGAATTTAGTGATTTGTTTTAATTGCCCATTAACTTCATTATAATAAACATGTTTATTATCAGAAGTTGAAATGGTTATGGAAGGAATGTTTTTGAAATTAGCAAATTTACTTACTTCATTCAAAATCTCTTGATCATTATCATGGGATTCAAGGGGTCCAAATAATATCATATCAGGTTGAAAATCAGGATAGTATTTTGGCATTAAATTATCCATAAAAATTGATAACACATTGATTGGATTAGCAGAATTAACAAACCAACAATTTTTATCTAAAGGATCGTTACCAAAGTAGTCATTATCAATTTGTGGTAATAAATCTCTTTTCATATCAACTTTACTAGGAATATTCTTTACTCTTTTGAAGTTTAATTTCTTCATGTTTTTGTAAAACATTTGATTTGAAGGTATCAAATGATCAAAATCTCCTCCATCATTAATATCTTTACTATCAGTCACCACAAAGTCATCATCCTTAACTCCACGCATATGTGGACTTTGACCAATATCCAAATTGAAGATTGGACTGGTTTGATATAATGGACCTACTAATAAAACATGATGATTATCATTAATTAAATCTTGATATAATGATCTAACATTCTTTGTCACCCAGGAATCGGAAGTTGACAATATTATATTTAAACAATTACTCAAAGTTATAAAAAGAAAGATGGCTTTTAACATTTTGTAATTTCAACAATTTATAATTTTAATCAACACAAACAAGGAAAGAATCTATAAGAGCGACTGCAACTGTGTGAATGTTTGTGGATATCTATGCTAGAAAAACTATGGAAACGGGTATTCGACCACACGATCTTATTTATATAAGCTAATTTTTTTACCACATGGTGCAAAATTAGTGTCAATATGCAGGAATAATAACTTATGATAAAAGATTAAATAAACGGTCTCTGTTTTGCGGAACGGATCGGTTCCACCACTACTAATACGAGAAAAACTGGGACTTCACAATAGGGATAGAAGAAATTGACTAATTAAAGGTGAGCTAAGTTTGAGAATGAGTTATAATATAAATTGATCACGGAAAAGTGAGTTTACTCATTTTCATGGTTTACTAACACCAGTAAATTATGCATTAAGGTTAAATGGTGTCGCCAAAATTTATTTTCTACTCTATTGCCATTTTGGGTACTTTCGATGTACGCCTTAACTAAGAGAACATTAGGAACAATTAAATAATCGAAAAGTTTAAATGGTATTGGATAGGAAAATGTATGTTAATGTTTGATTGAACTCAATTGGAATGTTTCTAAAAAGATTAAGCTCGACAAACCCAGTATCTAGTGGATGTTGATGCATGAAAGTGCCATAAATAGTACGAGGTCTTACTCATTAGGGTGGAAAATATCGCATAAAATATTCTAGAAAAATACTACATAAAATAACAAAAAAATAATTTTGACAACTACGAACTATCAATAATGTGATAATTTAAAACTAAACTTATCATGCAAGTAGTCACATGTAAATCGTAATGAACCCTTACTTGAATACGGGGTTGTGTAGAAGAGTTAAAAGTTTAGATTTTTATGTGCATGCGGATGGAGGCGAATGGCTGAATGTAACAGTATGCATCGCGCTTAAATACGAAATGCATTATCTTTTTGGCTCTAGGAAGGAGGATCGTTTCGTACATGTTAGATACCAGAATCAGATCCGAATTTGACATTCCAATTGGCTGCAGGTGATAAACACAAACACCGGATTTTTTTCCAAAACATTGATTATTTTTTAATATCAATACATAGACGACGGCATTAAGAGTAAATAATATGATTTATATTAAGTTAATGCAATTGTTCAATTCGTCAAAGGGTATTTCACCAAAGAGCAAACGGAACTTTTCTAAATTCTTTATCTGTAATAAATTGACAAAGTTATGTAAAATCTCTTTCAAATTAATATTATCTAAAGGAGTTACTTCTAATGGGTCTTCAACTAAATCGTCATCAAAATTTGTTAATTTGAAATTCTCTTCAGTTAAGAATTTCAAATATTCAGTTTGATCATTTTCAAATTCATCATCTTCTTCATCTTCGTCATCATCATCATCTTCGTTTTCAGTGTTATCAAACATTTCATTCTTGGAATTAATCTCAAAAGAATTGAAAAGTTGACGTTTCTTATTTAGTTCGGTTACTGAAGTAGGCAACTTTTTAATCAAAAATAATAAATTATTATTAAGATTGAAATTCTTATTAAAATTTATGATGGTGAAATTGTTTACATTATTGATCAAAGAAATTAAACCTAGAATTGATAATTTTATATCATAAACTCTGGTTAATTTTGGTATGAATTTAATCCAGTTTTCAATAAAGAAGGGGAAGAATTCATACAATGCAATTAAATTGGCGTCATAAATCAAGATACAAACTAAAACATTGATTAAATTAATTTTGTAACTTGAATTATAACTTTCGAAATTCTCAAAAATGGGTAAGATCAAATCATTCAAAATGACTTTAAAATATTCCATGGATTTTAATTTGAAATTAAGAATGAAATATTGAATTAATTCAAAGTCAAAGATCAAATCATTTTGATTCAAATTGAATTCTCCTGTTCCAACATTATTGTTATCAATCACAAGTTTGAATATTTTCAAGAAAATGTTGGAGAAAATATCAAATGAATCAGAAGGTAAATTGTTAGAATAAATCAAAAAGTTCTTCAAAACAGGCAAGAAATCTTCAAAATAATTTATCCCATTATCGATTTCGAAAATATCTAAAATCAATTGTAAGAATCTTAAAAAACTGTTACTTGACTTATTTAAATAAATCAAATTCTCTAAGATTTCACTCATTTCAGTGAAGAAATTGCTATCCTTCTTGACCAAGATATTTTCAATTATAGGATTAAGTATTTCAGTAAGCTTTTTGATCATTGAATCATTATTTTCGAAAGTTAATAATACTGTTATGATAGTATTTAAATTACCAATACCAATGATTATCTTATCATTGATTTCATCATTATTATTGGAAGATGATTCTGTCAACTCAGCGATTTCATTGGAAATTTCCATGAAATTCTCTACTAATTTATAAATCAATTCAATTCCAAATGGTTGTAATTGTTGACCAAAATTTTCAACACATTCTTGCATAACCACTGAAATGGTATCATTATCTATTTTATTATTGATCTCTAATAATTTCGACATCACAGGTAAAATCATCGTACTTAAATGTTGTTTAAATTCGTTTAAATGCAAATAACTTTGAATAGCCAATGAATTTTCAAGTAAAACTACCAAATTAATATCTTGATTACTTTGGAAATTCTTCAATACATTGAAAATGATTACGTTTAAGTGATCTTCATTTTCAAAATTCAAATCACTGAATTTGGAAATAACTTCATATGTTCTGGCAATCAAGAATTCATGCTTACTATTCAAATTAGGTAAAATCTTGTTGATCAAGAAGTCTGTAAGATTTTGTGATAAGTTTTCATCATTAAGTTGAATCAATTGATAAATAATTGAATTTATCATTCTTAAAATTCCTTCCTTTTGTTGAGCTACTATAATATCGTTTGAATCTTGTTCATGTAGTTCATTAAATTTAGTAAATACAAACCCAACTATTATGTCTAAACAGTCGGTTTTACGTTTTTCTATCAAAATCTTCAATAAATTACTTGCTGCAGCATCTGGATTATTACAATCATCATTGAAATAATTGAAATTCAATTGGATATATTCTTGTGGGTCATTTTCGAAAATTTCTAATCTTTCGTCATTTGAAATTAACATAGGATAAATGAAGTTCGATAAAATTTCTGGTAAATAAGGTTTCAAACCATTCCAATATCTTTTAATCGATACAGAATTTTGTAAGATTTCAATCAAATAATACAATGATGAATAATTTAACCATTTCATCTTTAAACAATACATTTCAATGATTTTGATTAAATTTTGTATAACATGAGGTAAGAAATTATCACCAAACATTTTCCTGAAATCATCCCCTTGAGTTAACTTCTTGTAATTTTTGTTAATAATATATCTTTTAAATAATCGATTGATATTATAATATGCCCATTTCAAAACTTTAGATATTTGAAGGAAATTCTTATCCTTTTCACTATTAAAATCACTTATGTAGTTTGGTAATTTCATATTTATTATTTTGTAATGAATCAAACCCCAGTTTTCAATATTTTCACTTTTCTGCAAAAATACCGGTAAATCAAAATAAACTAGGAATTTGAAGATCTTTAAGATCAATTTCAATATCTCTGAAGAGAATTCTGTTAGGTTTTCACTATTATTAATTAAAATTTCACTAATATTGATCAAATAATTGGAAATCATCTCAAACATTGAATTTAAGATTTCTCGTTCTTCATTTTTAAACCATTGATACTTCTTGAAGATCTCTTTTAATATCAACAAACCAGTGTAGATATCATTCAATTCCTTATCACTTATATCCATATTCCCAGGAACTTTTAATAATGCATCGATGTTGGTTAATAATTGTTCCCAATCATTAGGGAATTCATATGTGACTAATGATCTAATAACTGGAACAAATTGTTGTTTTATATGATATTCATTGACATTCATTACTTGGATTATATTTCTCTTGATATATTCTCTTTCTTCATTTTCAATTACATTGTTGTCCTTCTTATTCCAATTACTTACGATTTGATTCTTAAAATAAACTGCACTAGCTATTTTAACGGTATTATGGATATTTGGCTCTTCAATTAAACTCAAACACCCAATTAAGAACCCCGGTACTCCACTCAACTCCTTAAGTTCATATTCTGCCTTCCTCCTTATCTCTAGATCAGGAGATAAGGTATTTTGGAAGCTCTGATGTAAACTATTATTCATATCAGATAAAAATTTTCGCACTAAAGATAAATCCTATATATATATTTGGTGGTTATAAATATCCGAAAAGCCGATTATCTATATATTACCTTGTAATCTGGCCTTTTCAGTATGGGTATCAATGTCTAAAGCTTCCCATGGATATGCAATCCATTTATCTGGAACATTTTGTCCTACAATATAACGGTTTTCTGCGAATAATTCTTTAGGTAATTCTGCTCTTTTTTCCTTTTCTTTATTATGTAAAACGAAGATTGAAAATTCAGTAGTTTCATCTTCTCTTCCCAATTTCTTTTGGATTTCCTTAACATCTTTCTCTAATTCAGTTAATGCATAATGTAAAGTAGTTCTAGTATCATCAACTTCATCGACAATGATAATATTTTTACCAATTAAAGAATCGAAGTGTTGGGATAAATTACCGAAATCAATCCATTGGGTTCTTATGACTTCTTTACCAATTTGTTCTTCTGGTGAATCTGTTAATTGTTCATATAATGATAATCCAATAGCTTGAATAGGGATATTCTTCTTACCCTTTTCTTTGATAAATGATCTTAAAATTCTTGCTGGAATGAAACCTCCACCACCAATGGCAATAATTAAATCAATGGTCTTACCACTAGCTTTGATTTCTTTAGCAGCTTGTTGACATAATTTATGAATTAATTCATAAGAGATATAAAGTTTTTGATCTTCACCTTCCATTTTGAGATGACTTTCGCAGAATTTCTCAATCAGAGAGGTTATAAGAGCACATTAAATTGTCTATTCATCTAATTCGAAATCTTCATCATTTTCTCCATTAGCAATGTAAAGGGAGTCATCGTCATTATTGAAATCTTGATCAATGATTAAATCTTTAGATTTAAGATCATTTTGTAATTTGATTAAATTTAATCTACCTTTGATACTTAACAAGTTATTCATTAATTGAATGGAATTTGATAAATTGTTATTCAAATTCTTGATTGCCTTTGGTTTCAATGAATTGATATCGTTCTTATTTATTATTAAACACCATTTTAACCAAACTGATAAGGTTTTATTGTTTAATGAATTTTTGGAGATTTTTGATATAATGATTTCATATAATTTGATTTGTTGTTTTGATGTTAAACTTTTGATTTCTGACCTGATTTCTTCATCATCAGTAACTTCATTACAATAGTTAATAATTTCATCTTTATCACAATTATTTGTTAATTTTGAACTCAATTTTTCACTTGATATATCTTCAAAATCTTTGGAAATTTCTAAACCATTGTTACTTTTGGTGATAAATTTTAATTCGTTATTTACTTTGATCACATCGGATGCATTTTTATATTCTTGATCATTATAAATAACTTTGTCTTTGAAAATAAATCCAAAAGCTTCGAATTTGATAACTTTTATGACATCTTTATGAGGGTAACTTTCTTCACCTATTATAACTTCATCATCTTTGATAATGACTAATTTGTCATCAATATAACCTATGGATTCACTTTCAGTGGAAGTTATTTCATGGATTTGTCTTTTAATCATATTATAAATCTTATTTTCACCTCTTAAATAGATTTCATTGTTTCCTACATTACCAGTAATAATTTGTTTGATGTCTTTGATTTTGATGGTTTTCAGTTTAGATTTATCTAATTTGATTTCAATTACTCCTAAGTCATAAAGCCCCCATATATGATCCTTGACTACTGTTATATCATAAATTTCATGATTAAGTTCGATTCTATCAATTTCTCCTTCCAATGGATCAACTATAATGAGAAATCCGGGACTTAAAACTAGGAGTTCTTCATTATACCACTTATATGTGATGATATCAGCAATATCAATGGTATTAATCAAGGTGAAATCACTAGTTTCATAGATTTCTAATGGGTTTGTGTTATGAATATAGTATTGAGATGCCATTATTTTTTCACGATGAGATTCGCATCGATTTTAAAATGCTGCGAAAAGTTGCAAAATAGAGTGGTTAGTATGGTATAAGTGTCTATTTACTTTCTTGCATTTCGATCATCTGTTGAACTTGTAATTTACATAAATCTTTCAAATCTTGAACATCTTGAACTAATTCTTCAACTCTTTCTTCTTTTTCTCCAATTAATTGGAGTAAATTATCTTCTCTATTGGACTTTTCTTGTAATTGAGATTTCAAATCTTCTAATTCTTTCATCAATTCGTTGGTTTGATTAGAAGTTTTTGAGATTTCTAATAGTTTATTCTGTAATTTTTCTTTGTCTTTGATCAAATTGGAATTTTCGTCTTTCAAACTATTGATTTCAATCTTTAAATTTTTTATTGAGGACGACATTTTATTTATTAGTTGGAATGAATGGGAATTATGAGCTTGTGAGTTAGAATTCTCGATGTTACTGAAGTTATTGAAACTTCCGGAACTATTGATAATTGAAAAACTACTCGGAGTTCTTATTGGTTCAGTAATATCAGAATGATCTTCTAACGAATGAGAAGATGTATTGAATGATTGTTCATAAATTGAATTGTTGAAACTATTGGAGAATGAAGAATTATGGAATGAAGGATTGAAAGTATCTCCCATCTCATGCTGGGATGCCTCTAAATCTTGTATTTTATCATTCAACTGATCAATCTTATTGGTTAATAATGATTTCTCATTGTTATAGATGGAATTGATTTTATCTAATTTTGATTCAAGTAAATCAATTGATTGATTTTTCTCTTCAATTTCAATATTCAAATTATCTACAGTATTGGTAAGATTTTCATTAGTTTCTTGTAATGAAGAAATTTGATTTTCTTTTAAACCAACCAAATCTTTCAAAGATTTTAATTCATTGACGGTTTGTAATTTATTCTTTTTCATCAAATTAACCATATTGTTTAATTCGTTGATTTTATTATCTTTTGATATTTCGATCAAATTCCAATTTTCCTTAGACTTCAAGAATTCATTCTTCAAATTATTGTAAATGGTTATTTTAATCATTGATTCTGAGGTTTCATTATTCTTTGATTCATTAGAATCCATCATTAAATTCTCTATCTTGTTCTCCAATCTAATGATTTCATCATTATTGTTAGCATTAACAGTTTTAATCTCTTTCTTTAACTCATTGATAATTTCATCTTTATTTTGAATTTCAATTTTGGTATTTTGTTTATACAATTCAAATTGAATCTTTAATTCATTGAAATCTCGAGTCTTTTCTTCCAATTGATTTTTTTGACTTTCAAAGTTTTTATTGAGTGCTTGATATTTACTTTCATAACCTTCAGTCTCTAATGTTTTCCATGTGGATATAGAAGTCTTTAAGGTATCTATACTTTTCAATTTGTTAGATTTGAGAATTGAATCTATTTCGGTGATTTTGATGATATTCTCTTCATTCTTTCCATTGATTTCTTCAACCACTTGTTCTAATTGTTGATTTTGTAACTTGAGTTTCTTGATGGTGTCGTTTAATTTCAATTCCTTGATAGATAATTGTTCACCCTCATGTAATAATTGTTTAATGGTTTCATCTTTTTTCTTTAATTCATCAGACGATTTGGTATTTTTCAATGCTTCATTTTCTTTCTTCAACTTCTCCATTTGCTTTCCGAGATCCTTATTGGCTATGGTAAGAACTTGTAATCTTTGAGATTCATTATCATCTTTTGGGGTTTCAGTTAGTGGTTGATCAACTTTGGAGGTTTCTTCAGCCTTTTCAGGTTCTGGAGTAATAACAGCCTCTTTTACAATTTCCTCAGGTTCTGGAGTTGAAGATTGTGAATTTTGTTTACCCTTAGCAGCCAAAGCTAATCTCTCTTGAAGGGTCAACCTCTTCTTCTTCTTGGGAGCCTCAACTGGTTTCTCTATTGGTTTTTCTTTAAGTTCCTCAAGTGGTTCAGCTGATTTCTCTGGGGTTGAAATTTCTTTACCATCACCATTGTCGATGTCGGTAGTCGATGTTACTAGGGGTTGATTATCTTGGGGTTCTTCATGTTGTGTCGGTACCTCAACAGTCTCTACCACTGGATCAGTGTTTGGTTCATCCATAGTTGATATTCGCGATTATGATCTGCCAAAGATCTTTAAAACCTGGCATCAAGAAAAACTCCAGAATTTTGATCAGCGAAAGAGGTGGAAGATATCTGTTGAATATATATTACATGAATTTACAAGGCTTTATCACTTTTTATAGGTGGTAAAGTAATAGTTACATTTTGAGGTGAAGTATGTAGGGAACTTTGAGCTGAGGTAGTATTAGAATGAACATCTGGATTAATTTGACGGATGTTAGGCAATGAAAAATTGTTCAATCTGTTCTCTGGCTCTTCCCTTTTAACCGTATAGTCTTGATTAGGGAGAGGATAAGCCAATTGACTAGTCTGAATGGGACTTGGTTGGTTTGGTATTCCTGGACTTTGTTGAGATCCTTGAATTGGTGCATGAATTGACATTGTTGGTGGCAAACCAGCGGCTGGAATCCCTGGCTGTTGTATGGAAGGAATTTGCATCGATGGTACCTGATAAATTGCTGGTTGGTTTTGTAGTTGCATAGGAATTTGATTACCCATTGGAATTTGTGTAGGCATTTGAGTTGGTATTTGATTTGGGATTGATGGCGTTATTGGAATTGCTCCTGGTGGAGGTGGTGCATGAGGATGTGGTTGGCCCATGATAATTGGTTGGTTAGGCATAGGTAAAGGTTGTTGCATAAATACTGGAGGAGTCATACCTTGTTGAAATTGATGATGATGAGGAGGTGGGGGAGGTGGAGGTGGTGGATGTGGATGGCCCATAGGCTGATTTCTAACCATCATGTAATAAGGATACCTATTGGAATTATTAGAAGCAAAACCATACCAATAATTACCAGAATTATATTCATGATTATCTTCAGATTGGAAATCAGATTTAGATTTTCTTTGTCCATGCTTTTTAGTTACTATGTGGGTGTTTAAATGATTCAAGCTACCATAAGATTTACTACATCCAGGATAAGAACAACTATAATGTCTAACAATTTGATTGTACCGTCTTCTAAATCTTCTCCCAGGTTTAATATCGTCATAGAATTCATTAAGGTCAGGTTTATAATTACCATAAGTTTGATTTTGTTGATTAGGATCTTGGCTATTGGTCTCTGATTGATGAAGCGGATGCTCAATTGAATTAATGGGGAATCTAAGTCTATCATCGGAGTTTTCATTAGAATCATGGAGTAAACTCAAAGAATTTCTAATAGGTAAATCTTCATAGGTTCTTCTTCGATTTAACATCAGATCAATACTAATATGTTTATCATCCTTGATCGATTCTTGATCAGAATCTTTAGATTCTTTGTAATCTTTATCCTTTTCATCTTCGAAATTTTCATCACTTGAGCTACCACTTCCTTGATCAGAATCAGCTTTTTCTGGGAAATTATATCGGAATTTTTCTGGAAGGTCCATTATAACATGGTTATCAATTAATGCTGCTATTTTGAAAGGTTATTATCTAAGTATTCAGGAAGCTTTAAATAAAAAAAAAAATTGATCTTTTCTTCAGCCAAACGATATGCAAAGAAAAAGAATCAATATGAGTAAATAATATGGATAATTCAATGCAAAATTACCAAATATTGAAAAAATATCCCTAAATTTTTAAATTGATAATGGAAGATTTAATATAAAAAAAAATGAAGATACAAAAATTATACAAAAATCTGAAAATGTACCGAAAGTCTTCCAAAATATAAAAAAATAGAAATAAAATAAAACTTTAAAATGTAAGGTCCAGCCAAATCACAAATGTAGATTGACTTTTCGATAAAAGCTAAAAAAAAAAGTATAATCTGTTCGTAGATTTAAACTATGGAGAAAATCTGACCCTTATATAATAATTACAATATTGTTATTTCAGATAGACATAATTATAAAAATAGAATAATGAAATTGGAGAATTGAACTGTAAAGTGATTAAAAGTGCTTATACATGACGTGGAATTCTTTAATAATTAGAATATGCACCTTTTATAATGAGGAAATATGAAACCAGCGTATTTGAAAGAAAAACATTATTTGAATTTTAAGGTTATTTAATTATGTAATGTAATGGTTTTGAGAAGTTAATATGTTCTCTACTTCAAACAAAACCTAAAGTAATTGGAAATTTCCAATAAAGATGATGGTTTTCAATCAAACAATTGAGTCTACATGAAAAAATTGTTTAGATCGAACGAAATAGCCTTAGGCACTAAATAATTCCATAAACTCGAACGCAAATATTACGATTATCTTGAAGAAACCCGTCCTGCATGAAGAATTTTGGTAGCTACGTGTTAACATTCATGCTCTAAAATGCAGAAGGGGTTAAAAAATGAAGGCAAACGTTACATCTAATCCTTCTTTGAAAATAACCCAAAATTCTTTAATCAAACTATTTAACTAGTTTTAGTTAAATGGTTGTTTTTCTTATAAAGTTAAATTTTCTTTTTTATTAGGCGAAAGCATGTTAGCCCGGGTTATATGCTACAATTGATATTAGGGTTGTTAATAAGTGATAGTTAATTACTTAATTGGGAAAGGAAAAGAAAAGAAATTTTCTCCGAATAATCGAATGATTAATTGTGAAAAATTATCGATTATGCATGATTATTTTCTGCTTCGAATCTTATGCATAACACTTGTGGAACAATAGGTATATTGTTAAGAAAGTGGCACTTCAACATGAAATATTCAAAATACTTTTCAAAACAATAGGCATATTTATAACTTTGTATGTTCGGTCTTAAATGGTTTATTTACTTCATAATTATTTATCACTCTAATGTTTTCAAATTGGATCAATTGGATTGAACGGAATTGAATAATCGCAATGGTGAAACTTAATTTCACTTGGTTTTTCTATAGTGTGGAAACTTTCGATTTCTATGCGTATAACTGCATGAAATGTTTTTTTTTTAATTTCATGAATATTTTTCTCTCCTTCTCAAAATCTCATAAAATTGGATCTCAAGTAACGAAAATTTTGCAGAGAGGGGGGAAAAGTAAATTTGCAATCATAACTATAATGAAATGATCTGTAACTGGAATCGAGAACAATGAGTTACCTTCACATTCCTTATGGTTGTTAATACCATTTTATTCCGGGCTTAGCTTCCGCAAAAGAGTATTTCTTTTGCCTAAAGAAACTTTACCCGTTAAGCGGGAGTACTTGGGTTGTGCCGAGTCCGAATACTTTTTTTCCTCATTTGAATAATCCCGGTGCTCTTACGTGTCAAGAGTTACAGACCCTTTATTTAATTCCATTACATAAAGTAATTATTTCATTTACACAGGTAATAATGTCATTTCGTACATCATAAAAGTCATAGTTATTTATCGGTATAATTGATTGTTCGCTTAAACTATTGATAACACCGATAATCCTGTATTATATTATACCTATTATCAAAAATATGTGAATTTGTTGTGTTGTCATTTAAAGTTTTCTTTTAGGGTTGTTGATCATTCCCTTTAATCTCCAACAAATCTTTAAATCTAAGATGTTCACGAATTAAGTAGTTTACCCACCAAATGTGGAACAGGTAAAAAGTACAATAATCTAATATTGCATTTACGTAAAAATTGAAATTCGGTTACTCCCCTGATATTCGTTTAGCTCATCTGGTGAGAGAGCAAAAAAAAAAAAATACCTTTCATCGGCTTAAACACATTTACTTCATTCAAAATTAAAAATATTCGCTTAACGATAATATTTATGAAATTGAGCGATTGAGCGGAATTTACCATTATTAGGCAATTGATGTGGAATTAATCGATTAATGCCATAAGGTTTTTAACTAAAGAAGAAATTTTACATAGCGTGATGATAACTCGATTTCCCTTTTGAGACATGCATATCTTATATGCAGCCTTAAATAGGAGTAACCAATAAATTAATTATAATTAGAATGACTAGTGGGATTTTTAATAACATTGTTGGGGCGAGTTTTTCGATCCAAATTCAATTGCTTTAATGATGTAACTAATTATGCAATCAATTGCTCCATCTCTTATTAATAAAATTTAGTTTAAATGAAATTTTCTAAAGTTTATTAGTTGTCTTTTGACGTGTTAATAAAAAAAATCTTGCAGTTTCAATGTACCTTTGAGGAATAATATTTGAAAAGAGTCAAATTCTTTGTTCCTATTATTTTCAATGCACTAAATTTAAAGGAGTTCCTCAATTCTGTAGTAAATACTAATCAAACAATAAAATCTCTATTGTTTAAGATTGGTTTGACCACTATTCAGGAAATATTTTAGAGTGAATTTACCCGGAAGGATAATGTTGAATTGACTAAGTAATCTAACTGTTTACAAAATTTCAATTTCAAGCAGGTAGAATTACCTGAAATGTTGGGACCTCGTACATCAACCTTGTTTCTTCCTGTTTGGAAAGTTATCACGTATTATTGATTTTTTTGGGAGAAATTTCTCATAATTTTTCAAATACGAACACCAAGTAAAATTCTACTGCTTCTTTTTCATTTCCTTCTACACCGTATTTCCCATCTGTTCTTCTTATACTTTGAATTAAATGATTGTTTAATTTCTTGAAATATTTAGGTATTTCTTGATTGAAAAATTCAATGAAATTCTTTTTAACTTTTAATACCATTTGATGTTCTTCACAAATTTTTCTTAATGTTTCAAAAGGTACTACATATTCCGGCACATTATCAATAGCATCTTTCAAACTATAATCATAACAATTACCAAATGGTTGATCAGTAAAATCTCCATCCATAGGAGGTTTTTTATGGAATTTTACTTGATATAATTCATTACCAAAAGAATATTCATCAGAGTCAGGATTGATGGATTTTATTTTTGTTTTTATAAAATCTGATGATGGACAAGTACCAAGAAATCTACCTCCTGATTTCAATGATTTGGAAACATTATTTATTAAGCATCTCAATTTGGATTCATTAGCAAATGCATAATGTAAGGAGAATTGACAGCTAGCAACATCAATAGGGAAAACATTTTCCATTATACCAGGGAAACTTGGTTCTAATATTTCAGGAACGAGCTGAGTGAATAAGTCTCCAGTAGCGAAGAAAGCTTCGAAATTGAATTTATTACTATCCCTATGATTAGTTATAAATCTTTTCTTATTTTTATTGTATCTTGAGAAAGCTTCTCTAATAGAACCATCACTGATATCAATCCCCACATATTCATCTAATTTGATGAATTCCATCTTGTTTAAATCTCCCCCTTTACCACAACATAAATCTAATAATCTGAATGGGGCATTATCAACTTTTTTACTGTATTCACCTATCAAAATATATTTGATAATATTATTGAAATTTCTTAATTTGATGATAGGTGAGTTGGCTCTATGACCTTGATGTTTGGATTGATAAGTTCTTTGATTGTAATGTGTACGAATAATACTGTTTAAATCCTTTCCATCTCTCTTTATATTACTTTGAAATGTTTGATAATATGTATTCAGGGGATTGGTGGCATTGATGTTGGAATAAGCAGACACTTCAATGGTTTCTTCTTGTTGTTCTGATTCAACTTCTTCTGTTTCTTCTATATCTTTCTTTTCACGTTCTCTCACTCCCCATGAGCTTTGTGTTCTTTCTCCATATCTATCGTCATTTTCTCTAGGTCTTTTCCTATCTGGTCGTCTTAATCTATCCATTCTATTATCTTGGGCCACTCCATATTTGGCATACTTATCTACAACTGGTTCTGATGTTCTATCACCATTATCTTGATCACTGGTCTCAGCTATCTCACCATCATGGTCTGTTATTTTATCACTGCCTTTTTCATTATTAGATCTTGAACCATATTTGGCATATTTATCTGTTTTCATCCATGCTGGTAATTCCTTCTTACCCTCCGTATATATGGATTCAGTATTTCTACTCATCGTTCAGTTTGTTCAATTAAGTATTTTTTTTCGCATACATTTCTATTTACATAATCTAGGGAAACCCCCATCAATCTGATGATTCTAAAACTTCTTGAATTCTTTCAATCAATGGTCTCAAGAAAGGTTTCTTGTTAGGCATCATATGTCCACCTTCAAATTCGAAATTTTCAACATTGGGGTATATTGAATTAACAAAAGTTGATCTAACTTTAGGAACAACCATATCAGAATCTCCAAAGATATTGAATAATTTGGTGGTAGGTTTATTCTTGTAGTACTGGGTGTATTCTTTATTGATAATGTTTCTTCTGTTGTACTCTTCAGGATCTTCTATTTGATAATTGATATTAATTCTATCATCTTTTTCATCAGCAGGAACAGTGAAACAAAACCCTGAAAATGACATGCAAAGTTTGAAGTTGAAATCTGGATTATTCATAATAGTTAACATGATCCCTGAACCTTGACTAAATCCAATAATCCCATCATATGGACCATTTTCTTTTAAATATTTCACAAGATAATTATAAGATTCGTCGAATTTTACGTATCCGTTAGTATCAGAATGTTGGAACCAACATCTATTAGCATTGCTTTCGACTATCTTTTGCCATTTTGCATTGCACTCTTCTTCTGAATCTCCTAATGAAAAAACCAAATCTTGATACTTTTCAATGATAACCGGGGGATCAATATAGTCTAATTGATGATTTAATTTGGTCATTAACTTACGAAAGGTAGATCCCTTCTCTGCTAAAATCTTCCCGCTTTGTAAATACCCTGGTAATACTAAAAATTTGGCCATTATCTTTGCTGCAAATTTTCTTTTGATCGATGGTCTCGTAAATTCAGCTGATTTTTCAAGATACCTTCGATTTGACAGTTTTATCGCGATAGAGTGTCTTAAGTCCGAGTTTACATCAAGTAACTATTTACACTTTGTAAGGTATTTCTACTGGGGTTGACTGGTTTGATATGATTGATTTCGTTTAGAAATTGTTTAATTAAATCCTTGTTGGGTTTTTGGTTTTCAATTGGTTGCATTTCGATGGTGAAGTTTTGACATAATAAGATAAGAACTATGGCTACGCTCAAATCTTTACCTGTATCACACAAAATCGCTGTCTTGGTATTTAATAGGGGTATTAATTTCGGTATGATCTCTCTTAATTGCTTTGAACCTTTTTTGTTCAGTTCAATTTTGTAATGATGAAGGGAAATTGGTTTGGGAATATCAGAAATGGTTTTAGTACTCAAAAGAACAAGATTATCGATATCAACATCTAAGTTGAATTTCATGTCACTTTCAATCATTCCAAAATAAATTCCTGTATTTTTGATGGGAATTAATTCTATTTTGGAAATCTGAGTTGTCTTGTTGGTTTCATAAAGATTATTCAATTGAGAAATCAATTGTTCATTACTGATGGATATGAATGTATTGTCAATCACTGACGGTAAAAATTTCCAAAACATTTTGGCATCAAGCTTGCCATCACAAATGTCCGGAGTCACCCAAAGTTCATGATCATCTGCAGCTCCTTGAATATATGGCCAACTTACTATCTCATCATCATCTCTCAAAGTGACGGTACTCAACTTCGAACTTGAAGTAGTAAGACATATAATTTGACGATGGTTGGTGTGTTCTGGAATCGTTGTTTTACCAGGATATACCCAGTAAGGTATCAAAGGCTTTGAAAAGCCCAATGATTCTTTTGTAAATAAATTCAATCGTTTTACCTCATCTACAAATCCAGGAATCTTCTTGATAATTTCAAACTTTTCACTCTCAGGAATTATGGAAGGAACCTTTACCCAATGATCTTCCAATAACACTTCCATATCGGAATCAATCACTTCACCTTCAAACTTGATGTAATTAAGGACCGCACACCAAATAGGTATGGTTTTAGTTAAAGCATCTGGCATTATTTTCCCCTTTCTCGTGGAATCCACAATAATGACACCAAAGTTCTCTTCAATTATGGGAAGTAAATGTAAATTCAATCTTCGAAACAGAAATTTCCATTCATTGGTGTGACCATCGGTTGATTTGAAATAACTAGTTGTATTGTACTCTTCTTCAGGTAAATACCATAATCCACATCTTTCATTGGGAATTAAGGGAAGATTATATAAATCCCAGATATTCCGAGTAAAATGATAATCATATATTATTGACTGTAGACGATTCTTCAAAGTATTAGAATCTTTTCGTAGTTCTTTAGTTATGTATTTTATGCTATTTAAGTTATCCATAATGCGAAAATCTCATCTCTGAGATCATCTCCCTTGTTTCATTTTCCTTTGTCTTTTCATTTCTGCTCTTCTTTGTTCTTCTTCAAGTTCTCTACGATCTTCCAATTCTGCTCTTCTCTTAGATCTTAATTCTTCATCAAAAATTTCGGCTCCTGTAGCTTCCATATCATCAGAATCATAATCATCATATCGGAAGTCTGACCGTGATTTCCCTTTATTGAACATCTTCCAGATTTCATCTCTATCGTATCCAACATCTTTTTGGTAATCTTCTTCATCTGATGCAATAAATGAATCCATATCTGATTCAAAATCTTCTTCTTGTTTAGATTCTTGTTTTTGCTTCAATTTAGCTGCCAATTTCTCCGATGGTTTTCTGGTAGGGATTGGAGCTGTCAATTTAGCAGGTATGTCAACTTTTGTCAGGTTGGATTCGGGTCTCATGGGTTTTCTCAATGGAGGTTTTGAGTTTTGGACTTTTGATGATCTATCAGAAGATGATTTTGGCTTGTATTTGTCCCTCGTTGAAGTTGAGGTATTTTCTGGAGATTTTGATTTTGATTTAAATGATATTGTCAATTTAGATTGATCAATTGAGGTTGCCTTTTTCATCAAGTCATTAAAATTCATTTTCGTGACTGGTCTTCTAGGTTGTGCTACACTTTTGACATCTTTGACCGGTGATTTACTCTTGGATTTATCCTTCTTAGGGAGATTACTATTACCAGAAGTCCTCATAGGTATAGTCAGTTTAAGTTTTGGTTTTGGTTTGGATTTTGGTGCCAAACCCTTCTTTTCTCTTAATTCCTTTTCTTTCTTTTCCTTTTCCAATCTTCTAGCTTCCTTCAACTTCGCCACCACCGGGTCTATAATCCTTCTCTCCCCGTTATCATATGCATATGTAGATGAGTTGTTGACGCCCTTCATATTGGATTTGACAGAAGCATTCACTTTTGACATCAACTATTTTTGATGATGATCAGTGCGAACTATCCACAGAAAGTATTCATTGGTTATAGATAAGATATATATATATTTATAAATAAGATTAATCTTTTGGACCAATCATTTTTTCTGGTCTAACCCATTCATCGAATTCTTCTTCATTTAAGACACCTAATTCTAAGGCAGATTCTTTTAAGGTTAAACCTTTTTTGTGGGCATTTTTAGCAGTCTTGGAAGCAGCATCATAACCAATCTTAGGGTTTAAGGCAGTAACCAACATTAAGGATTCATGTAAAGTTTTGGTGATAGCAGCTTCATTGGCAACAATACCATCAACACAGTTTCTTCTGAAAGAATCTGAACCATCAGCAATTAATCTAATTGATGATAATAAGTTAGAGATCATGACAGGTTTGAAAACATTTAATTCGAATTGACCTGAGGCCCCGGCAAAAGTGATAGCAGAATGGTTACCAAAGACTTGAGCAGCAACCATAGTTAAAGCTTCATTTTGAGTTGGGTTAACTTTACCTGGCATAATTGAAGAACCTGGTTCATTTTCTGGTAATGCTAATTCACCATAACCACATCTTGGACCGGAACCTAAGTATCTGATATCGTTAGCAATTTTGAATAATGAAACAGCTACGGTGTTTAAAGCACCTGAAGCTTCAACAATAGCATCATGAGCAGCTAAAGCTTCGAATTTATTTGGAGCAGTTTTGAATGGGAAACCAGTTAATTTTGAAACTTGATCAGCAACTTTAACATCCCAACCTTTTCTGGTGTTTAAACCAGTACCAACAGCAGTACCACCTTGAGCTAAATATAATAAGTTTGGTAAAGTTTTTTCAATTCTTTCAATACCATTGGTAAGTTGTTGAGTGTAACCAGAGAATTCTTGACCTAAAGTTAAAGGAGTAGCATCTTGTAAATGTGTTCTACCAATTTTGATGATATCTTTGAATTCTTCAGCTTTGGCATCTAAAGAATCTCTTAATTTGGTTAATTCAGGAAGTAAATGGTTCTTAATTTCAGTAACAGCAGCAATATGCATGACAGTTGGGAAAGTATCATTTGAAGATTGTGACATATTACAATGATCATTTGGATGAACAGGTTTTTTGGAACCTAATTCACCACCTAAAATTTCAATAGCTCTGTTGGAGATAACTTCATTGGCATTCATATTTGATTGAGTACCTGAACCAGTTTGGAAAACAACTAATGGGAAATGATCATCTAATTTACCTTCAGCAACTTCAGTAGCAGCTTGTTGAATAGCTTTTGATAATTTTGGATCTAAGGCACCAAATTCTTCATTAACAATAGCAGCTGATTTTTTTAAAACACCAAAAGCTCTAACAATTGGAATTGGCATTTTAGCAGCTTCACCACCAATCTTGAAATTCATCTTTGATCTGGCAGTTTGAGCACCATAATATTTTGAAGTATCAACTTCAATTTCACCAAAAGCATCAGATTCAATTCTGGTGTTTAATAATGGTTGGGTACTACTCATAGTTCTAATTAAATTGATGGAATTGTTCTTAGCTAATTTTGGTAATCTTAACATATTAATTTTATATAATCTCCCGTTGAATTCTTGAATAAATTTCTTTCTTCCGGATATCCTTATATATGATAATGTGAAAAATCTCAATAGATCGGATTCCTGAGAAAATTTGATTGGTCCAACTCTCAAACCTGGAGAAATTTATATTTACAAGAATCATCCGTGGATGATTAAATAATTACTCTATTTACTTAATTAATCTATGAAAAAAAATATGATGCTAAATAATGTGGGTTTATTTTAATTCGTTAATTGAGGGCCATGGCCAATTTATAATTGATCGTTGATTGACATTGTCGGTTTTAGAATCGGCTCTAACCTTTTCAGCATGATTGATATATCTATGAGAATATTCAATAGGTAATGATGATAATAATGAGATAAGTGTTTTCAGTTGAGGAACAAATTTGATATTTTGCCAATGCTTGATAATGTCCGCAAGCTCGGAAATATATTCAAACTGTTTCAACATCTCAATGTATGAAATCCAAGCACTGTCAGTAAATGCTACAGGGTTTTCATGGAGTTTATTGATGGAAACATGGTTTTTCACTTCATGAATTGCGATTTGTGGGGCATAAAGATTCTTTGACCATAAATGAGGTTCACCAGTTTTATTCAAACTCATGGATGATTTAATCAATGCTATTAGACAATCTTCATTGGGCTGAAAATTCTTATTGATGACTTCCTTCTGGTATAATTCATACATTTTACTGGGATTGAGTCTACTCTCACCTCTCAACATTTTTCCGATATAGTACATATTCTTGGTTTTTGAAATCTTATAGATCATCCTAGCAATGGCGATACTATTCTTCGGTTCTTTAATTCCAGGGAGAAGGAGAGTCAGAATTTCAGCATCATGGTGGTAGAATTTGGAGTATAAGATCATCATATACTCTAATTTCAAAAATTGCATGTAATGATTTAACATCCCGTTGGTTTTCATGATATCCCAAGCTGACTTGAAATCTTTGTATGATCTGAGGTGCACAAATAAATGGTCCAAAATAGTTTGGGTGACGAGAGATTTCTCACTTAACATCTTGAGGATCTTGATAGATCTATCGGATGTTAAAAGTTCAAACTCTTGTAATTTTTTGATAAACCCCAACCAAAGAAGTGAAGTTTCATGGCATTTATGAAATGAGTCAAGTAATTCATCATAATCATCACAAGTCATAAGCTTGACGAAATTGTATTGATTTTTGAGTTCACTGTTCCCATTTCTGAGCTCTTCAAACTCATTAGTATATTCAATATGTTTGAGCATTTGTCTTGCTTGAGTTTTATGATTCACTGATAATGCTAATATTATACCTAACCTTCCTTGAAATGATATGTTCGGACGTTCACTTTTCAAGTTCAACTTACTGACCAAAAACCTCTGAGTGGATATTATATTGGTAGTTGAATTAAAAGTGACCATCTTTGGTTCTAATTGGGAGAATGCTAATTTCCAGATCAACGTATTCAAATATTCATCATTCTTGTCAATGTCGAAGAAATCAATAGACTTTTTAGATACCATAACCTCATATCCCAATTTTCCCCTGTTCAATAAGTCAAAAGATGTCTTAACGAATTCTAATAAATTGTACAACCTATATCTGCCACAGTTGTCCAACAAGTTTTCGAAGATAATTCTTATTTTACTGGCCTTATGACTTTCGTTGATGACAGAATCTGAGAATTGGTTCCATAATTCTACTTGGAGATCAAGTTCATCTCGAGATCTAGGAGTTCTGAGCAATATATCACCAATTATGACCCCGGGAATATTGGTCAAATAAGCCAATGAGTTACATGCCTCTGTGACTGATGCTGCGGTTATTGATTTTATCCATTGAACTATGCTATGGTTTGGTCGTATATGATTTATACAACTCATCGATATGTTAAATAACTCTTTATGTTCGATATTCAATTCTTTATAAGTTTCAGAATAATCTTCCATATTTGGATCTTCAATCCCCAATTTCTGCTGTATTTCTCGGATCATTGTTGTCTTATTTTGGGTACTTAAACTATTGTCTGAATACCTCAATGAACTTAAGATTCCATAAATCAATGGCTCAAAGAAGATTTCCTTGTGATATTTAGTTGGTAGTCTTAGTTTTACACTGTACTGAGTGGATTTTCTAGACAATTCTAGTTCGGCTATGAAATCTTGTATTGTGGGCTGAAATCTTATTCTTGAACTATTATACACTTCTAGTTTTCTTATTGATTCTCTATAATTTGATCTATGGGGTTTGTCTCCCAATCTCTCGAATATTGTATGATGATGTCGTATGAACATTAGTCGGTATCTTAGGTGATTTGGGGACTGTCGAACCCTCGAGATGGAGGGCCCAACTGGAGATGTGATTAACCTCATATTATGGTTATCTAAAAGATTTTCGCACTACATCTACTTGAATGGTATGTCAAACAGTCATTACAGTCAATTGGTAAAAGACCATGTGCGGCAGTCTAGAAACCAAGAAGGCGTAGATGGCAATAGAAAACGTCGTCGTATCAAAAAGGAAGTTGAAAGCATAGATTTGACCATAGATGATAAAGACAATAATTCAGCAAGTGTTGCAGCTGACAATGATAATGATAATGATGATGACGATGATTCTGATGATTTCGAAGATGTTGATTTGGGACCCAAGGAGACCACTAAGGATAGCAACGACAATTCAGACTCTGATGCACTGGACTTTGAAAGTGAGCAGAGAGATTATTCATTCTTAGATAAGCCTGAAGAACCTGAAGATAATACAATTACTATCTCATTAGCACGCCCAGAAGAACCAAAGTCAACCAAGAAACGAGTACAATTCATAGATAAGGAGGCCAGAAATACCAGACTTCTCCTACATCAATGGTATTTGGTGACCTTGATCTGTCATGGTGTCATAAGAAACTCATGGTGTAATGAGCCGCGTCTTATCGCCTTGCTAAGGAAATCCATTTCTTCTGATGTTCACGAGGAACTTAAGAGTATCAGGTCCCATAAGGGAATAAGTGCAGCCAATTCAGTTCGATTTGTCGGTTTGATACGACAGCTCATGTTTGATTATTCAAAGAAATTTAAGATCTCAAAGCAAGGATTGATCAGAAAAAACTGGAACGAATTGTCAATCCACCAGAGCAATATTGATAGGAATGTCAACATAGATAAATTCAGGCAGCTAGTAACACGATTTCAAGGGTCAAGGGACATCGGAGCTCAAGGGTTTGTTGCTCTTTTACGATCTTTGGGATTGAAAGTGAGATTGATATTCTCTCTTCAACCACCAGATTTCACTATGATAACTGAACTACCCAAAATAGAGATCAAGAACTTGGAGAAGGAGAAACCCAAACCCAAAGATTCAAAACAGGCATTTCTTCAATCAGTGAAAGACAATCAAGCCTCAAAATTTGGTCATAAATTCCCCAATTCAACTTACCCAATTTTCTGGATCGAGATTTGGAACAAGTATAATAAGAAATGGTTATCTGTGGATCCAATAGTATTGAAAATTGTTGAAACACCCCCAATGAGGAGAAAATCTTCTTTTGAACCACCGATGTCAGATGCAACTAACAATTTGCTATACGTGATAGCGTTTGATGGGTCTGGTAAGATCAAAGATGTAACCAGAAGATATGCCAGTGAGTACAATTCGAAAACAGTTAAAAAACGAGTAGGCAGTAAGTCGGAGGCATTGAGTATATGGTATAGTAAGATGATCAATAGTTTCAACTCAGTTATATCTCATGGGAAAATCACTCCTGATTCTTTAACGAGACTCGATATATTAGAACTCAAAGAGTTCAGAGATCGTGATTTATGTGAAGGTATGCCCAACAATGCTGCTGGATTCAAAGATCATCCTATTTACGCTCTTGAATCCCAATTGAGACAAAATGAGATAATACATCCCAAAGATGATACTACCAAGGTTGGTACCTTCCGATTCAAACTATCAGGTAAATCTAAAAAATCAGATTTGGTACCTGTTTACAAGAGATCCGCAGTACATTATTTGAGATCTGCTAAAGCATGGTACTTGAGGGGTAGGGTGTTGAAAGTAGGACAGCAACCACTTCGGATCAAAAAGGCAAAGAAGACAAAAAGGAATTTCGATGAATTCTTCGATGATGACGGGGATGATGATAATGATGATGAAGCTACTCGTTTATATGCGGAGTTTCAAACGAAGTTGTATATACCTCCTCCTGTAACCAACGGTATTATTAACAAAAATGCCTATGGAAATATCGATATATACGTACCCACAATGATACCTGATGGTGGTTTTTTAATTCCCATTGACAAAGCACCAGTATTTTTGATAGAAAAAGCTGCAAAGATGTTGGAAGTTGATTATGCACGAGCTATTGTTGCTTTTGATTTTGGTAAACAAGGTGCAAAAACTTACAAAAAGATTCCCAACGCGAGAGAAGGGGGTGTATTAGTTGCTGAGGAGAATAAGGATGCCATTTTCTTGGTGTTGGATGAATTAATTGAGGAAGAAGAAGCTAAGAAGAGAAAGAAAGTGGAGCTCAATTCATTGACCAACTGGAAGTTCTTCATCACCAAATTGAGAATCATGAAACGTCTTGACAAACAACATGGTAAAGTTGAAAAATCTAAGCCTCATAAATCTGTCCCTCAAAATGGTGAGTCCGATCAAAGTTCTGATTTTAGCGTTTATAGTGAAGATGAAGATCAAGATAGTGACGAAGAATTCGAACAAGGCGGATTCTTTGTTGGGGATACCAATAATGAGATTGGGAGCCAAAGTGACCAAGAAATAGTGATGGACAAGGGTGATGTGAACATTTCCACGAATTCTGGAGATTTTGAGGATTTCGCCGAAAGTGAAAAAAATAATTCATCTGACGAAGAAGGTGGATTTATTCCTTTTGAAACCTTTGATCCTCCCAAAATTTCTCCCAAAGACACCTTCAATCATTTTGATATCGAAGAAACGAAGAGTATTGAGCTGGTCGATGAGTCAACTAACGGAATGCATGCGGATTTGTTAGACAGAAGCGCATACGAAAATAATTACCGCTCGACTGATGACTTCCTTATGGACATACCTGATGATGAATTCATCATGCAAGATGACGGAGAAGTGATTTATAATCCTGAAAGGGAACAACAACATCAAATTCTCAAACAGGAAAATTTAACCCAAAATACTCTGATTAGTGATAAAGATAAGAACATGAATTTTATCAGTGAGAGTGTGAGTAAACCAATAGCGGAAATTCACGATCATTCTAACGCGCAATCTGATAACGGTTTTGATGATGAGTTTGAATTTGAATATAGTGATGATGAATGAATAGACATTGACAAATATTTGGGGAAAGTTTCGGGGTTATTGCTTTCAAACTTTTAATCTCTATCGAATTTGCGCTTACCGTTGGTGGAATCAATTCCATCCTGCAATTAAGCGGCGAGCGCAATTTTGTGCGAAAAAATACTATAAAGATTAGAGCTTGCCCTCATTAGAAAATTTTTATACCATTAGTGGCCGATACCCTGAAGATCTATACTCAGCTGAAAGATTTTGAAGCTATGTATAATGCCGTTGCTGAAAATGTGCTAGCTACAGCGGGAACAGTATGTTGGTGTATTCAATTAATTCCCCAGATTATCAGGAATTATAAGGTTAAAGACTGTACGGGATTTCCACCTATGATGATGTTCTTATGGGCAGCTAGTGGGATCCCCTTCTCGATATATTTTTTAGCTACTGACGGTTCGATACCCTTGAGGATCCAACCACAATTATTCACATTTTTCTGTTTAATTTCATGGGCACAAGCTCTCTACTACCCTCCAGTACAATTACCTAAGAAAAAATTGATTCCCAGAGTAGCATCATTTGTGCTAATATCAGTAGGTCTCGAAGTTGGTTTAATTTTGTGGCTCAGGCCATTATATAGAAGAGGGATCGAATACCCAATGCTAATCGTAGGAATCATTGCATCAATCCTTTTAGCAGTTGGGTTAGTTCCACCATACTTTGAATTATGGAAAAGAAAGGGAAGAGTAGTAGGTATCAATTTTGTCTTCTTGTTTGTGGATTCTCTCGGTGCCTTGTTGTCAATGTGTAGTATATTGGTTGGTACATTTGACGTTTTAAGTATGGTACTTTATGCTATCGTTTTAGCTTTAGAGTTAGGTATATTTGGAAGTCAAATAGTATGGTATATAACAGGGGGAAGAAAAATCATCAAACAAGAGAAATTAGAGGCCAGAAGGTTGAAAGAAGCAGAAGCAGAAAAAGCATCGAATTTTTCCCAAGAAAATGAATCTTCAGATAGTACACAAAGTGCTATATTTGTAGATCAAAATAATGTAATCAATAGCGAGGATAATGAGATTAATGAGAAAGGTAAGTAGTTCATTTATAGAAAAGGTTAATATAAATCTGAGAAATTTTAACCGAAGACATTTACGGTGAGGAATAGCTTGAGAGGACTTCTAAAAACTTTAAATTCAATTTATATTTAGGCTTAAACTTCCGTAATAGTTATTATTATGAAGTTTCTCCTGAGGGATTCCAATTACGGAAATTACAATTTACATTGTGCCCAAAATGTGAATTTTACAAAAAGCGACTTAGAAATATCTGAAACAAAATCTGAAACAAATCCTGAAACAAAATCTGAAACATCTTATTGATGATGATATTTGATTTTTGCTGATCTTTATTTCTTTTTTCCAATACTTTGAAACATCCTCTTAGTATCCTGAAACAAACTTGCATTGACGACCGTTAACATTTTAATATATAAGGGTTGTTGATGAACCCTTATTTATCATCTCAAATTTGATTTACGTTTAGTGGATCCATGAATTTCTTAGCTAAAGAATTAACTGACATAAAACATAAAGACAATATACCTGTCAAATTACCTCCGATAAAGTCTTTCCTTGGAGCCCTCGATCGTCATAAAACCAAAACCCTTCTTCCTGGGCCAAAATTGAATTTAACTTCCTCACCCAAAGACTACAATTCCATAAAGACAAAACGAATCAGAATTTTACAAAGACAAATAAAAAAAAAGGTCAATGATTTGAGAGGTAGTTTTAAAGATTTGGAAGCTACCCAAGCCACTATCTTGGAGCTTGAAACATTATTAAAAATGTTGAATGCTAAGATGAAAATATTGAGGACTCAGTCCATTGAAATAGCAAGCGTAAAGTACCCTTTCTTACTGAAGTCATTTATTTATCATAATGATTATATTTTTGTACCCCTGATCCTAATTGGTATTCAACAGATCATTTCTGAAACTGAGAATCGTGTTTTGGCTATTAGAAGTTCATCATATAGAATTTCAATGAATGTAATCAATAATGAGGAACCCCTTGTTTGAACTCCAGGGGCACCAATTACTGGCCAAATCTGTAAATATTACACCAACTTCAGTCATTTCATCAGCCTCGATCATTAGGGGTGCTCAATTCTTTTAAATTATCAAAATACATATTTAGGACCACTCTTTTCGCGATCTTTATAGTTGAATACTAGGAATGGTAAGTGCATCGATTTGGGGATGACCAGTTCATCTGATAATGATTTGAGACCGTGAAGTACTAACAATATATAGGCTTTTGTTCCCATCAATTTAATTGAGGACCCTAGTGTTTCTCGTAAAGATATAGAGGCTGAACATACAAGAGAGCTTCAAGTCGAACAAGCATTTAAAACATTCGAAAATGCATTGAACTGTCAAAAAGAAGGTAAGCTAGATGATTGCCATCGATCATATGAATCATTGTTTAAGTTGGATATAATATCGAATCATTACTTAGAAGAAGAAGATTACATAAAAGGTATACAGAATGGTAGTTCCAACACGATTGTTGATGAGTTGAATTTCTTAGCACCAAATGTGAAATCTTTGAGGTACTTGATATTCCGTAATAGAGCATTCTTCTATCTAGATTTGTTGAAAGGAGCACCTGAAAAATTGTCAGTATTCAATAAATTCGAAGATGAGACTTGGGATCAAGAAAAGATTGTGGAAAGAACTAAAGAGACATTTTATTCCATGATAGATGATATGGGTATTGCTTTATTATACCAAGAAGCCGACGAAATTCTCCTAGAGACCTTGTATGATATCTTGACATATATGAATGCTTCTAAATTGGCAAGGTATACTTTGGAATACATTTTGAGTAAGAAAGTTGAAAGTGATGATATTCTTGGTCTATTACCATTAAATGGGGTCACCATAAAGTTGCATAAGAACATGATACAGAAACTTCAATGTAAACTATTCGATACAAAGTTGGATCAATCACATAGATCAAGAATTGAAAAAGAATACAATTTTCTTGAGAACATCAGAAATGAGTATATGGATCAAGTTAATGAATTGTTATCCCTGAAAGACTTGGTTGTCAACATACGAAATCAAAAGCAAGATTTAAAATGGGAAGACATCACCAGTTCCATAAATGAGAAGATCAAAGCTATAGAAGATAAATCAAGGACCGAATCTACTTCGGCCCTGAAGATAAAAAATATTGATCCATATTACTTCACTTCATATCACTCCACTAGATTGATTTTTCACGTTTCTGATAAAGGAAACTTGACTACTGACGATATAGATGAATCTGCTGTAGAAGAAGAACCCAAAGAAGAAGATATGGAAGTTGATGATTCATCACCTGAACCAGAAAAAGAAGCTGATGATGAAGTTCTGAAAGAGGAAGAGCCTAAAGAGGAAGCACCCAAAGATGGAGAAGAAATTACCGACTCCAAAGATACACCTGAAGTAGAGACAGTTGAAATAGCGGAAACTGTTGAAGACAATGAACCCACGAAAACTGACAACGAGGTACAAGAAATTATAGATGTTGATAATTTGCCAGATCAAGATGTCATCGAGGTTGAAGATGATGACGAAGGTATGGATGTAGAAGTGATCGAGCCAGAAAAGGACGAGAAATCAGATGCAAAAGATAAAGAGGAGGCAGAAATTGAAGGAGAAACCAAGATTGAAGATCAAGGACCTAAAAACAACAAGAATATTCAAAGGGCCTCCAAGAGATTACAAAAAAATGAATTGGAATCGTTGTCGTGGTTACCTAATATTCCGTTGAACAACGAGATGTTCCATTTTTCCACTGCTTTCTTTCAGCAAATGAATACTCATTTTTCAGTCTTAGAAGGAGCTGGAAGTCTCAAGGATGTATCTGATTTATTTGTTAATCCTCCATCAGATCCTTTGTTTTACCAAGATTTTGTAGAAATACTCAATTCCTACGAAGTTTTCAAAGCGTACAGTGGGTTCGTGAAGGGCCCCAATAAGTTAGCTCAAAAACAAGAAGACGATGAAAGATTGAAATTGTTAGAGGTCTTGAGGTCTTTTGGTACGAAACCCAGATCGATTACAGATCCGTCTCCAGTATCCCTCAATGATCAATTTAATGACGAGCAAATGAAACTTCTCATTAATGAATTAAACTCATCCAACTTACACGTTACAGATGTGAAGATAAGAATTTTGAAATATTTACTTGGGATTCAAACGACGGGATCTTGTCTTGTTTGTGATACCGTTTGGACAGAAAAATTATTGAAGGATGTTAAAACCTGGATCTTACAATTGGATCAACAAATACTTCAAAAATCTAAGGATATCTTAAGGAATGAAAAACCTCAACTTCTTGGAGAGTTGGTCTTTTCTGTCAGTTTATATGAAATGATCACTGACATTTATATCACCAGTAAAAATAAAATTGATAATGTTATTTCCCATAATATGAAAACTGGATTTTCAAGATCTTTGAAAGGTACTTTAAACTTACAAACATCCGAAATAACTAAATTGAGGTACATTTTAGAGAGATGGAAATTACATATTGATAGCATACTTTATTTGGTGGGAGATGAAGCCAACGATATAATCACCAAAACTTTATTGAGATTTCAATGGGCTTTAATTCACAAAGAAAATACCGAAGATGCTGATTTCCAATCCAGCAAATTCATTGCTGACCAATTGTCTAAGATGTTGGGAACCTTGAAGTCTTTAAATGGTGAAAAATGTATCAAGATGAGCAATTATGAAAACTTGTACGATATTGACGAAGAATCTATTACTGACTTAGGGAATACTATTGGGGTGCTAACAATGTTTGCAAAGATTCTTTATGCTAATGATCGTGGAAACAATGAAGAGTCGGTTTATTTACTTGAAAGAACATTAATTGATTCCAAATATTTCCCCAAGAATTCCACTAGAAATGAAGCTGACGAAGTGGCTATTACTACCATCAAAAATTTCTTGGATAATTCCACTATTGATACCAAACTTAACCTTTGGAACATTCTTTTCCTGTACTATAACAAGGAAAATGACTTCGTCAAATATCAATTTGGATTTGAGAAGAACTTGGAAACCCTTTATGACTTCATATGTAGTGACAGTTATAACAAAATACCTAAACCTTCCAGATACAGCACATTATTAGAAGTCCTTTCGTTTTTTGACGAATACTTGATGATGTACTTGGGCCATTTATCTAAAAGGAGCTGGCAATTAGAAGGAAAATTGGAAGACATCAAAACCACTCATACTCGATTGATGGAATTATTTCAACTTTTCTATATTTTCAGTCTTCACGAAGAATCTTGTTTGATAACTGCTCGTAAAACCACAGTAGCTCAAGGTTCGCCTATAATTATCAATAAATTCAAAGCCATGTTAGCTAGACTGGCTACTATTGTGGTTTTATACTTTGATAAATTATGTACATTGAGTGGGTATGAAAACAGTGAAACTAACACCAATCAATTGTTGAGTTTAATTCATTCCCAGTTCGGATTCAGGAAATTATGTGATGGGGGAGATTGTGTCCTCCTTCAAATGTTCCAAGATAGATTGTTATTGACCAATACCGAGGCCTATCAGTCAGAAGTTCTTCAAATCTTATCTTGTAGGTATAGATGTAACATCACATCTAATGGATTTACTCCAGTTGATCATCAAACTGATAGTAAAGCTAAATTTGACAAAGAGTCAATTGGCCACATTTCCAAATTGGTATTACCTCTTTGTATTGATAGAAATCCATTGTATAATCCACCAAGAGGAGACTTTAAAGTTCTTTTGGATGAATTCTATGAAGTGGTTTCTGACCCGGATTATGACAATAATTCCATGGTGATCTACAATGATTCCATATTTAACCAATACCTAGATAATACCACCATAACACCTAGACTCTTGAAAGAGGCATTCCACGGATTACTTACAACTGAATTTATCGCTATGAATGATGAAAGACTGCCGGTGATTCAACAAGGATTATTCTTTCTTCAAGCAGTAATCATTTTCTCTTCATATAAGATAAGGAAGAAATCTATGCAAGGAAGATCCATGGAAATTGAGAAAGTTATCCAATTACTCAAAAGTGATTTGATCTATAATACTAACAGAGTTGAGAGTTGGTTCATATTGGGTCAAGCTTATTCATTTCTCGTTGAAGATGATTTGATTTGGACTTCGGATAAACTTGTCATTGCTGATCGTAAATTTGGTACTGCTAACTTACAGAGAAGGTCATTACTATGTTATTTAATGGCTATAAGTTTATCCAATAGTGATAGCACTGTTCACAAGAATAAGAAATTATCATCGGACCTAATGTCGAGTTTTGCTATTGAGTTATTTAACGCATGTATGTCACCTATGGAAATGTTAGCATTTAAAGTTACTGATTATCCTCGATTCTTAAGAGTCAATTCCAAATGTCATTTCGTGCTTGATGCTCCTGTTTCAAGAGTTAGTAAAGAATTATGTATTCGAGTTATTCAACAATCCTTACACTTAGCTATCAAATTGCAACCTAAAGAATGGTTCAATTATTACATTCTTTCCAAAATTCAAGGTAAAATGAAATTAGAACCTGATTTGGTTTTCGAGACATTATTAGAAGCTATCAAATATTCTAAGAATTCCACTCAATCTTCATCAACCTCATTGGACTTATCACTAGAACCTCATTATAGATTATGTTCAATTGCTTATAAGTATGTGAAATCTGAAACATTACAACCTTCCCAAGTTATACCATTCATTGACCAAGATCCCATATTCAATGGTATTGAAAAATCAATCACCGATGATAAATCCTTCTTCAGATTCATCATAACCTGTTTGAAGAAATTAGAATCCATTGACAAGAAGAGATGGCATCATAAGTATAGATACAGGATGGCTAAGATATACGTTGAAGATTTTGAAGAACTTCAAGAAGCCAAAGAAGAGATGTCTTCCATAATTTCATTGAAGCCAACCAGTAAAACTTTAGTTCTGATTTGGAAACCTGATAATGAAAGACCTGGGAAACACTTCTTTTACACCTACCAATATATCCTTTTATTTATTGATATACTCATTAAGGAACAGAACTTAACAGGATTAATTCAAATGTTACCCCGTTTAAGAAGGTCTAATTCCATCATGTTAAACTTGGGTTCGGCCTGGGCTGTTTTATGTAACTCGATCTGTCATTTAATTCGTGATATTTCCGAAATTGGAACTTATTATACTGAACAATTCTTAGTTACTCCTTATCAAAATTTCATTTTCAAGGCCAATTGGATACTTGAAGAATGTAAGAAAAACTCCTTCCCCAAAGAATTCAAGACCCATAGCTGTTTATTAAATGCCTTGAATGATATGAAGAAACTTAATAATGGGTTTGGTCAAACTGCTTTGATTGATGACACAATTTGTTCTCTTTTCATCAAGATATACAAGTCGTTGAATCAACCAGATCCCGGTCCTCCAGTTCCAACAGATTATCGTAAGATAAAAAAATTGGCTAAGAAGGATATGTACCCATTCATTTTTGAGTTCTTAAAAGCAGCTAAGAAGGATATTGATAATGTGATGAAGGAGAATCCAGATATCTTCAATGATTTCGTTAAACAAGTAGTGGAAGAAAGAAGACAATTCAATGCTTCTTTGATACCTATTGTTATTGAAGATGGTCCAGATGGTCCGGAGGTTGTCAAAAAACCCCCAAAGCCTCCAAAACCAGTAAAACCTGTCAACAAAGTTGTAGATTTGGATTCTCCAACTTTACCTCCTACAATAACCATTGCTGATATTGATAACGATATAATGGAAATTAATAGTCCAACACCAATTCCTTCATCGCCGAATATCAAGTCAGCACTCATCGATATTAGTAGAGAAGATACTGAAGAGTTTGAAGATGCACCTGCTTTTGAATCACCTGTACCGGAAACTGGAAATACAACAATCGATTTAGTTGAAGAAACCCAATGATTCTACCATACAAGAATATTGAATATATTGAATATGTTCTATTTGCCTCTTTATTTCTTAGTCATTTCATAAACGTTACCTTCGAGAATACTTTCCAAACCATTGATTTGTTTGGCCAATTCTAATTGATGATTTACCATATCTTGTTGTGTCCCCAAAGACATCTCATTTATGGAGAATTTATAAAATTCTTCATTATTCTTCATTGAAACTTCATAATTCAATAAGGGTTTGATTTCAAGTATTTCTTGAACTGATGCAGGATTGTCCAAGAAGTCTTTCAATTTGGATAATGAAAATTCGTTCGAACCAACAGATTTAACTAAGAATTTTAGACTTAAAAGTTTCAAATACTTGGAGACTAAATTCACGAGTTTGAAATATTTTACTCTTCCAGGGGAATTTTCAATAGTTTTGTGAAGATGTTTGAAATCGGAATTGAAATCCAGGTCTAATGAAAAGCATTTACCAAACTTGGTAATATCAAGGTTCATCAATTGTTCCATCAATTTGATTACAGCAAATAATCTTTCTTTATATGACCCATTGTGAATAATCGAACCAATTGATCTTGTATTCAGACGTAACAATGAAGGTTCAGCTCTTTCTTGGTCAACCACAGTGCTGATTGAACTAGCACTATCGGGACGTTCAAGCTCCACATTCAAGAACAATGTGATAACTCCAGATAATATCCTATGGCAAGTTTCTAATTCAGAATTCACCATTGAACTAAAGGATATCACGTCGTCTAGGTCTCTAGCCATCAAAATCTTATTTAGTACGAATAAAACTGATACTTCAATTCTTTTGAACGCTTTTCTCTTTTCGTCAGAATCTTCGGGTAAAATCACTTGATATACGACCCTATCTCTTGGTGATTTCCGGAAAGTTACATAAAGGTAATATGAAGAAGGTGGGAAGTTCAAGAATATCTTGAAATACAAATCCGCCTTTTTAGCCATTTCATTATCGATACTGGCGTCATTAAAGGATAATGAAAACAAGTTGAATGATATATAAATGTAATAATCCAACACAAAATTAAGACCAATCTTGGAATCTTTTGATAACCTTAAAGGTAATTCAGGATATAGAATATCATCTATTAATTCTAGAACCAAATGTGATTGATCACATTCGTACATACACTCCAAAAGATTAACAATTGTTGTGAATAATGAGGATAGCATCGTTTTCCGTCCATTGAGGGAAAGATATAATTTTTTGATTAAATTAGTTATCTTCCTTAACATAGAAGCAGAATTATCAAGTAATCCATTATCAACAGGAAGACTATTTTGAGTACATTTGAGTGCAGCATTTATGAAATTGATGAATTGATCAAACAACTTTCCCGACCCATTGAAAAGATCCACGAGATCAAGAATAATGGTATTCAGTTGTTTCAAGAAACCTAGTTGAATCTCCTCTCGTATTAAAAATGTTTGACACAATTGTAATGTAATCGATGAAAGATCTCTTTCCGGATATTTTTCGCCATAATTGGTGATGAATTTCAAGATTTTGTTCGATTCACATGTTATGGTGGATAGAGTGGTGATCCAAACAACTTTATGATGCTCTAATGGTAAAGATCTTAAATGCGTTAAGTAATTAACATGGGATGCGTTGATATTTTCCATCACTCCGTCAATTTGTGATAGTGTTAGATCATCCAGAAGACTACTAATGGCGTCATTTTGATTGACGCCATTCAACAACTGCCCCACGTATTCATTTATCGTTAAACCAATATCCAAATCAGCTTTAAACAAGCAACTCATATCAAAAAATGCGACCTGTAAGAAATCAAGATAACGGAGAGATCAATGAAAAATGTATAATGATGACTTACATGGTAGGGAATGGTAAGAACCTGTGACTCTTAGATTGAATTTGGAGGAAATTTGTGTCATCTGAAGGGGTTAAGATACCGTGTCTAATAAGGAAATCAATAATAACCAATCCACAGTTTGGTTTGAATTCATGGTTATTTAATCGTTTCAATATTTCATCTGTATCCATTAAGGTGAAATCTTCAGCTTCTCCATCTTCAGGGTGTGGAGTGATGGTGGTTTCATCATCGAATTCCAAATCATAGATGTATTCAACTTCTGGTTGCACTCTTTCAATACCTGAAGAAGGAACATACATATACAGTAGAACTCCAACGCTTTTGGACTTACTTTTCACGAAATCTTCAGGAAGCCCAGCTTCTTCAAAACATTCTTTGACCACAGTATCCCATAATCCATAAGGATATCCCAATCCTCCAGCCACAGTATTATCCAACATACCAGGATATGTTGGTTTATTTGGAGATCTTCTGGGTATCCACATTTTCAATTTACCGTTACTTGATTTTTGTGGTGGTACATAACCATTGATATGGGTTCCATAAGTAACCACTCCCAATAACACGGAAAAGGCTCTTTCAAGTAATAAATATGGAGTATTAGTAGGATTATAAACCGTATACAATTCATTTCTCCATCCATGTTTCAATTCCAAATGTTCTATTTCTTTCCATTTCAATCCTACTTGTTCGAAAAGCTGATTTCTCTTCTCAAACGTATCCATTGATTTATCAATTGATACTGTCTTTGCACTATGATCTACAATGAATTCCTTCTCCTTGGTAAATAATTCCACAATAATTGGTGATAAATAACCAATGGCAACCCCATCATGAGAATTCAATGTATAGTAGTTTCCCTTACCACCATAAGGGAATGAGTCCACTTTATTAACCACTTCTAATAATGATGTCATTTAACTAAAGATTGAGGAATTTAAAAAACTGCGCAGAGAAGCGATTACAGTAAGAGATGGTAGGTTCATCAAGATCTTTAATACATGCACTTGATGCAGTATTTGATTATTGGGAAACCACAAATGATTCGTCTAATCTACAAACATCAGAATTGTTCAAAACCATTCGAGCTTTCCACGAAAGACACAATACTTTACAAACTATAGTCCAATCAACCAATATTCATAATGAGTTGTATAACTTTTATAATAATCACATAAAGCCGAATTCTGATTTGCCTCGGGAGATTTTATTCTTAGAGATATTGACAGAACTACTGCCCGTGTTGAATGAAGAGGAAGTCCAGTTGTGGTTGAAAACTTATTTGAGACCAGCAGTTGATAGTGCAAATTTTGATAATACCTTTGTTCTTTGGAGTAGAAAGCTCATTGATAAAGTCACATGTAAAATACCGTCCACAGAGGACGAAGAATTAACTACCAGAAGACTCAACATTGCTAGAAAGGTGATGTCTTACATTCTAGAAGTTTATGTTGGAGAAGAGGAAGTACTTCACGAATTGATCGGTGACATAAAAGAAGAAGACAAAGCCAGTCAAGAATATATGGAAAGAAAGAGATTCATACAAAGTAACAGTTTGAATCTTTTAAAGAACTTTGCAATGGAACATGCTAAATTGTTTGGTGAAGTGGTGAATGAGAAATTCCTTAAGGTTAAATATAGAGGTGAATGCTTAGCGTTGATCAGTCATGTAATTAATACTAAGTCATCAAGAGTTGCACCAATAGCTGACTCGGAGTTATTCACCAACATGTATAAGTGTTTGGTATTCGATTTCAACGAGAAGATCCTTCAATCATGTATTTCAATCATGGTGATGTTGATACCTTTGGTTAGTTCTAAGGTATCACAATTCATATCTGAATTTTTTGTTATATACACCAGAATATGTGTCTGGGACGAATTCTTGCAATTCATTCCAGATAGGATTAAAGTCCTACAAGATCAATTGGGAAGGGATGGAGATGCTTGGGAAATAGCCAAACCTACTGAAGGTTATGACGTCTATGGACCAAATTATAAAAGTGAGTTAAATGCTGGTCATTTAGTCACAATGATTTACGGGCTCTTCCCCCATTCTTTGGTAACTTTCGCCGAAGACCCTTCAAAATTCTTGGAGAAATATCGACCATCAATTGTTGATGTTAAGGACTTATCATTGATCAATTTTTCGAAAGGGTCTATTGGACCCCGAGATAGATCAGCTCTTCATTATGTGGAGCAGACGACTAAAGATTATCTTAAATCTTTCAGATTACATCCTAACTTCTTAAAGCCTGAAAGATTATCAATTGATTATGAAAGAGCCAATCCTGTACAATGGTTAGCAGAAGAATCAAGTGACACTTTAGGAGTAGAAGAGATTGTCATCGGATGTTTGAGTTTGAATCCATCATTGATGTTTTATATCCCTGAAGGATTGCCTTCAGCTATTTTCGATATCAATTCATTACCCACCTCCAATTCTTTCAAAAGTGATGCCAAACCTACACCTCCAACAGCTGGATCCAGAGCTTCTTCAATTGGGTCTCCATTACTATTCAGTGTTGAAAGTCAATTCACTCAAAACAATCATTTCAATAGGAAACTTTCAATTGTTCCAACTAATTTGATAATTGATAATCGTCATGATCTCAGAACCAATGATTTAAGAGGCAGTGAAGTCTCTTTTAAAGAAATCAACTTCAATTCCAAATCAGATGAAGATCTGGAGAGAAAGGGAAGTGACGTAGTTAAAGATTTATTCCAAACTCATGAAAAATTATATAATTCCAAATTGAATGAAGATTTTGATGTTCCCAGTTTACTTAGTGAAAAAGGTTTGAGAACTCAACCCTCTATGGCTTCAGTGGATACCAGTAAAGAGACTGTTTTCAGTCAAGGATCAATATTATCCCCCACATTGGAAACTAAGAAGATTCAAGGATCAGTGATTGATTTTTATCATCGTGAGTTATTACTATTGAAGAATGAAGTTGAATTCAGTAGTTATATGAAACATTTGAATAAGTTTCAATATATTAAATTGAAGTTGAAGATGGACAAATTAATGAAAGACAAAAATCAAGGGAAGTTCAAATATGATCAATTGATTATAGATCATGACCAACTCGTTAAAAGTTTCGAAGATTTGAAGACACAATTTGATGAAGTGTCCAAGAGTTTAGATTTCGAAAAACAACAATTAAGCAGTAAGTTTTTGTTGGCTCAAAGTGAAAGAAATGAACTAGAAGAAAAAGTCAGTGAACTCACCAATCATAATAAACAAATTGATAGTCAACTCAAAAGTTTGGTCAGTGAAATCAAAGGTAAGAACGAAGACACCGTAACTCTTAAGAATGATCATAAGGTTCTTGAAAATGAATATAATCTTGTGTTAAAAGAGATTGAACATTTAAAGATCAATGAGAATAATCAAGTGCAACAACCAGCCAAAGAAGATTTTAAATTGAATGAACAAGAACGTGAAATCTTCGATTTGAAGAAAGAAAATTCCATGAAACTTCAAAAGATTTCTGAATTGGAACAACTTCTTAAGGAAACAAAGTCATCATTAGAATCCACAGTTAAAACCTATGAATCTAAATTGAATAGCAATAAGAATGAGATAGCTTACCAATTGAACACTTTCAGTAACCAGAATGATAAAAAGATACAAGAATTATCATCGACGTTATTAAAATATGAAAATCTTATCGAAGAGAAGAATTTGAAAATAGCCCAATTATCAACATCCAGACCAATTTCCATCCCCGGATCGAGTTTTAGTAGTGAAATCAGTAGACACCCAATTAACCAATCAAGTCAACAGAGAAATCTGAATGACAACCCCATGGATTTCTACGAATTGAGTAACCGACAAAATTCAAATTCTTCAGGTGAATCATTAAATAACCATTTACCTTATAACACCCCACCTTTACAACAACCAGGTATGATGAAGAGTTACCCAATGATCAATGGTCTGTCCAGCCAATTGACTCCTCCAATCATAAAAGGAAGAGGTGGTTACCAAAAACGGTCCAAAAGACACATGTAATAGAATGTATCATAAAATGTATAATAGACCTTTGAATCTCTTACAATGCCACTTTGTTCATGTTTTCGTGTCGCGATCTTTCCTACGTGTTGGTTTAAATTTTTCACTGAGAAATACTCTAACAAGTATGTCAAGTGTCAAGAAAAAGGTTGTTAAAAAGGCTGACACCAAAGAGGCACCTACCAAGGAGGCCGTGGTAGTTCAAAAAAGAGAACCTGAATACAAATATTGGCTCGGTATGTTAATTGCTATCGCATTTGCCATTTATACTAGATTCACATTGATTTCACATCCAAACAAAGTTGTTTTTGATGAAGTTCATTTCGGTAAGTTTGCTTCATATTATTTGGAAAGAACTTACTTTTTTGATTTACATCCACCTTTTGCTAAATTATTAATTGCCTTTATGGGATGGTTAGTTGGATATGATGGAAAATTCAAATTCGAAAACATTAACGATGATTACATCACCAATAATGTTCCTTATGTTGCTTACAGAGTATTATCAGCTATTCAAGGGGTAGTTACTATTCCTGTGATGTTTCAAACCATGAAAACTTTAGGCTATTCCGTCGATGCTTCATTATTTTCCAGTTTAATCGTTTGTTTCGATAATGCTCATATTATCGATTCAAGATTAATTTTATTAGATGCCACCTTGAATTTAAGTGTCGCTTTAACTATGTTCTGTTATGCTAAGTTCTCAACTTACAGATTAAAACCATTTACTTCAAAATGGTGGATTTGGTTGACTTTAACTGGTGTTTCATTATCATGTGTGATCTCAACTAAATATGTGGGGGTTTTAACTTATGTTACTATTGGGATTGCTGTTCTTCATGAATTATGGTTCTGGTTAGATTATAAAAAAGGATTGACTCTTTATGATTTCTCCAAACATTTCATGGCTAGATTCTTTTCATTGATTATTTTCCCATTCATTATCTACTTATTTTGGTTTTATGTCCATTTCAGTGTTTTAAATAAATCCGGTCCGGGTGACACTTTTATGTCAGCTGAATTCCAAGATAGTTTAGTTGAAAGTCCATTAGCTAGAGATTCAAAGATTGTTAATTATTTCGATATTATTACTATCAAACATAAAGAAACTGAAGCATTTTTACATTCCCACCTTGATAAATATCCTTTGAGATATGAAGATGGTAGAATCAGTTCAAATACTCAACAAGTTACTGCTATTAAAGGTAATGAAACTGAAATTTATGATGATGTTAATAGTCAATGGGAAATTATTCCTATCAAATCTGAATACACCAATGAAATGGCTATTTTCACCAATGATATTATTAGATTGAGACATGTTGGTACTAAAGGATATTTATTATCTCATGATGTTGCCAGTCCTTTGAAATCAACCAATGAAGAATTTACTATCACTTATGATGAAGAGTTATACAGTAAAGCTTTTAATGAAAGTTTATTTAGAATCAGATATGCTGCTCCAGGTGCATCCAACCAAAACAAACGTAAAGCTGTCACTACCAAACAAATTCCATTAAGAATCATTCATGTTGATACAGTTGTTTCAATGTGGACTCATGATGATGAATTATTACCAGAATGGGGTCATGGACATCAAGAAGTTAGTGGTAACAAGAAAATTAAAGAAAGTTCTAATGTTTGGTATTTCGATAAAATCATCAATTTATCTGAAACTGATCCAAGAAATAAATATGTTCCTAAACAAGTCAAACCAATGCCATTCTTGAAAAAATGGTGGGAATTACAATTCTTAATGTTCCATCATAACAATAAATTAACTTCATCCCATCCATTTGCTTCCCAACCTGATGCTTGGCCATTAGCTTTAAGTGGAGTATCATTCTGGAATGATAATGTTAACAAAAGACAAATTTATTTCACTGGTAATGTTGTCGGTTTCTGGTTAGAAGTTTGTTTCTTAGCAGTATTCTGTGGTTTAATTTTAGCTGATCAAATAAGTCGTCGTCGTAATGTCTTGTTAATGAATGATAAAGCTAGATCTAGATTATACAATACCTTAGGATTTTTCTTTATTGGTTGGTGTGCTCATTATTTCCCCTTCTTTTTGATGGGTAGACAAAAATTCTTGCACCATTATTTACCTGCTCATTTAATTGCTGCTTTATTCTCTGGTGGTTTATTAGAATTTGTTTGTACAAATAACAGAATTGATGGTGTTCCAGGAATTGATAGAAAGAAATTAACCTTTTTGACCACTGTTTTCACCCTTGGATTAGTGGCTTTCTTCTTTTGGTTTAAACCAATTTCCTATGGTGATGTTCCATTGGCTCCATCAGAAGTCAGACAAAGACAAATTTTAGATATGAAATTACATTACGCTAAATAAGTTTTGAAATATATTTTTCTCGCAAAACAAATCTCTGATCTATAATGAGTTTGAAAGCATTTTTGAATACTTTGAAGAAGGAAAAACCTTTGAAATGGGTGACTGGTAACCAATCAGCGGATATGGATTCAGTTATTTGTTCCATAACTTATTGTTATTTCAATTATAAATATGATTCATCAATTTGTTTCCCTTTGATCAATATCCCCAGACAAGATTTTAGATTGAGAAGAGATATTAATGTAGTGTTGAATCAATTCGGGGTTACTGAAGATTTATTGTATTTTATAGAAGATTTTGAAAAACTTAATACCGAGAAGGTTAATGTTTCATTGGTGGACCATTGTAATTTACAAGGTGATACTTTGATTAATGCTTATAAGAAAGATATGATCTCAGTTGATTCGATCATAGACCATCATGCTGATGAAAATGTTTTCCTTGATGCTAAGCCCAGAATAATCACTCCTTCAGGGTCTTGCTCTTCATTAGTATTCAATTACTGGTATGCCAAAGTTCAAAATATAGAATCAGAAATTATAGATTTATTATTGGCACCTTTATTGATCGATACTTCAAACATGACTTCTAAGGTTGAGACTTCTGATGTAGAAGCTTTTGATAAATACAGAAATTTGACTGGTCATCCAGATATCAATGGATTCTTCAAAACCATCAAAACTGCTAAAAAAGATTTGGCTGGTTTCAAAGTCAATGAAATCTTGAGGAAAGATTATAAGCAATTTACTTTCAGTGATAAAGTTATAGGTTTTAGTTCCATAGGTAAAAGTGCTGATTGGATATTTAAAAACTACACCAATGATGAAATAATTGAAGGAATGGATAATGTGGTTAATTTCTTCAAGTTAGATTTATTGATCATCACCCCATCATACACTGATAAGTCAGGCAATTATCGTAGAGAATTCTTGATGTATCACAAACAAGGATTTGAGGATTTGGTTGCCAAATGTACAGGTTTAGAATTGAATGATGATGTTTACAATATCGATAGTTACAAAGAAAAGTTAGAACAAGTTGGGTTAAGAATTAAAAACCAAGGAAATTTAGCAGCTTCAAGAAAACAAATCGTTCCTGAAGTCCAAAAAGCTTTATTGTAAACCTAAATACGATATTTTATACATCACAGGTCTATCATCCTCCTTTAATAGCATTGAATTAATATTTACAGGTAATTTCTCATGAACTCTATTGATCTCTTTATAAAAGACTTCCAACATTTCATCATTGAGAATGATTTCTTCATCTATGGGTTTGTCTTGGTATTCACTGTAGCAAATTTTTAAACTCTTTGATAGTATTTGTTGTTCAACACTGATATCTATCCCTAAGTTAAATATCCAAACAAGGTATTTTCCAATAACTACTTTTCTTACAGCTGATAAATTTATCTTATCCAAGATTTTGTTATAGATATAGTAATATTGTGGATAATCTTCCACGGTATCATTGTAAACTAATTTAAGGTTCCATTTCATTAATTTGCTATGTGATGCTTCTATCTCTCCTAGAGTAAGACCACACTTGCACACATTTGGAACATTTGCAAGTAAATAATAGCTTCCTATGATAACCTGGTTATCACGAGGAACTAGATTACCGTTATAATTTTTGGAATGCTTGTCATGATTATGTGGTTTATGACAATGCCAAAGATCCATTAATTCCGCCCATAATTCACTAGGCATATCATTAAATCTATTATCGGAATCCACTATCACTTCTTCACATTGCTTACAAATAAACTTGAAACAGTTCTTATTATCAATCTTGGGAGTCTTAAGTAGGTCCTTACATGACCATTGTAGGTCTGTCAACATGAAATTATCAGTTTTAATGGTTGATGATTGATTCTTTAGTGAAAGATTAAGTAACTGAGAAGACTTTCTGATCAGACTTAATTCAAAATCTCCCTCTATGGGTAGTATTATCTCATACTTTTCTTTACCAATGATACTTAGAACACCACCCGTTATGTTTACTTTGGTTATATCACTAACTTCCCCATTGAACTCAACATTAACCGATATTGAATTCAATCGAGGTAAGAATTCACAGATGTACATAGATGCGAAAATATATATTTAGTTTACAGGGTAAGGTAAATCCATAGAACCTCTTCTTGATCTCACTATTGAAGGATTCGATAATCCCATAACAGGCTGTTGAGGATTTGGAGAGTTAAATGAACTGGAACTCTTGGAACTCAAAGCAGGATTTTTCAACACTTGATCAATCGATGGACCCATGAAATTACTTGAACCTGAATTTGATCTCGATCGATTAGGAGTTTCTAATTCTCTTTGTACTTCGTTAACAATTCTTTCTCGTTGACCTAAAGATTTCTCCCGGTCATTTAATTGTTGTTCTTTGACTTCAACAACAGCTCTTTCTCTCAAATGTTGGTCTAATCGAAAATTATCACTTATTGACCGATCGATCTTTGTGGGATTGATTTGAGGACTCAATGAATGGATTGAACTTGGGGAAAGGGTATGAGGGGAATGATGGTGTGGAGGTGTTTGATAACCACGGGAGTTTTGATGAGGTGAATTTTCATCAAAGATGTTAGACCTAGGATTGCTTCTTTTCCTAACTCTATAATTTATCATTTTATCATTTACTTGGAAATATTCCAAGTTAAACCAATTCATGAATCGATTGGTTAGTTTATAATTCTTGAAAACTTGTTGGTTATCGATTTGGCAGAAATAATTCAATGCAAAATTAAGGAAATATGGTGATTTAACCTGATTATGACCAACGCTTTGGTACAATTCATAATTGAACCTTTGAATATCACTCACTATAGTGTTGATTAAATTGTGCTTTCCAGACAAGTTATTCAAAATCATCCATAATTGATTATTTAATGCATTGATGCATAATAAATTGGCCAATGGGTCTACAAATTTCAATTCAAATATTTCTAGTCTTGAAAAATGACCACTAGCATATTCTTTAGGTAAAACATTATTCAAATAATAATAAGATATTATCAAACATCCTTTACCATAAAATAACCAACATTTGAACAAGAATATTATGAGTTGAAAAATATTGAAGAATGAAAGATCTAAAACTTGCATCACTAAAGTAGATTCTACTTTACTCAAAATGATATAATAGATCCAATAATGGAATAAATATCGCTGATAATGGGATTTTTCACTTTTATTTAGCAGCTTTAGGGTTAATAGTAAGGGAAATAAAAATGTGGAGGTGAATGATAACCCTGATAGTATTAATGAAAACATTGTTTGATTGGTATTGTGTTGGTTGTGTTCGAAAAGGAACTAAGGGATGACGGGTGAAAAATTTAGTGGATCTTATGGGTCTTAAATACGATGTATCAGAATTTGTGGATAAGACACAAAAAATCTTGGTTTGGTGAAAAAAAAAAATTGATTATGACAATTAATAACGAAACCCAATTGAATTAAGGAATTAAAAGACCTAGAATAAATATATTTGTTGTGGAAAAGAATGAACCCTGGCTTATAAAAAAATTAATGATGATTGAGGATGCTTTATACAGTATGTTTCAAACTATTTACGACAGGAGATTCAGGAGACTAAAAATACTAAAATGTGATTCAACAAGGAGATATGATATTTCGGTGGAGTAGTATCAAAGTATGGTAATCTAGTAAATAATCTAAGATAAGAGATTAAACGCAATAGTCTAATTTATATAGCTCAATAAAGGATGGGGTTAACTAGTTGCCATATTATGTAAGTGAAATTCACTAATTAAGTAATTAATTATGTAACGGTTCGGAAATTAACTGACGTACCTGTAAATTTACATTAAGGAGACAAATTCGTCATTGGAAATTCTTCCAATTCTCGGTTGATACCATCAACACCATCATTCGTACTTTTAGAATAATTCCGCTTCATGACCCCCTCAAAAGTATTATTTCGATCGGACTATCAAACGTTATCGTACAACTGCCATGAAGAATGTCTTACTACATTCTTTGCTATAGTCTTATTATTATATAATCCTATTCTTTTATTGTTGCTATTATTACTTAAACCAGGCTGCAAATTTCCCTTTTGGTCCGAGATCATGTGACTCAAGACGTCATATCCAAGATTCTCTTATAACACACGACATTGCGACTTTTGTGTTACTTTTGAAGACATTCGCGTTTAGGTTTTTAGAAGTTTATGAGTGAAGATATCTTACAATTAGATCAACAAGTTAAGGTTGTTAACAGGAAAAAAGTAGCCAAACTTGATCAAGATCGTATTCTTGGACCTAAAGGTTTACCATATATTGTCAAAAATCATCAAAAGCTCAACAGAGTGTTGAAAAAGAAACATACAAGTAAATCCAAGATAGATAATGAATTACAAAACTTAGCATCAGTATTACAGTTTTATCAATTATGGTGTCATACATTATTTCCTAAAGCCAAGTTCAAAGATTGTGTATCGTTAATTCGAGGTTTAACCAACAGATCACCCGGTTTAAGAATTTACAGAAAAGAATTGATTGAACAAGAAATAATGAAACTTAAAGTTGAACAAGGATTGGTAGATCCTGAAGAATTACAAAGACAACAAGAGAAGATTGATGAAGTATTAAATGACCAAAATAATGACCCAGCAGAGGAAGTTGTTTCGGATGACGATTTCATGCAACCATTGAGAATGGCTAGAAATAATATATTTGTAGACGACGAGGAGGAGGATTTATACACCAATGCAGCAGTTACCGCACCTAGCGACCCAGTGTCCAATACAACCGCACAAGCCTATGAACCCATTTTCTCCCAAGAACCAGATAGACCTCAATTGCAAGACGTCGAACCTACATTAGAATCTATCACCCCTCCAAATTTGGACATCATACCTCCAGAGTTAGAATCAGTAAATAATACCATGAACGAAACAAATGACGATGTTTATGCAGAAGAAGAGGAACTTATGAGAGAAATGGGCATGTAAAATTAAATATAAATTTTCCTCAAGATGGAAACATTATTGAATATTCTTGAAATTTCTTCATCTTTGAATTCATCCTCCAATTTTTCTCTGAATAATCCGATTAAGTAACCCCCACTCCTCAAACTTACTTCTAGAGAATCGCCTTTACGTTTTTGCTTAACCAACTTGGAATTGTGCCTGTGGAAAGGAATTAAAATTCCGCTATTGAACATGGCGTTTTTATGTTCATTTTTATACTTTATTCCGAATTCTGAAACGAAGGATTTGTAATGAATGGCAGTTTCATAATTCATGTTGGAGTATTTCGGACCAAAATTTCCAATAACCCTTGTCATGAAATCATTGCTTGTTTTTGGATTCTTGATCAATTTGTCAGTGAAATCGAAATTTTCCGAATCAATCTTTGACACATTTTCAGGGAAATACTTACTATCAATATTATAACTTTCAGCTACTCTTATTTCCAAAATATAGGCATAATCAATGTTGTAATTGACTGTTAGTATTCTACACAATAAATTGGAAGACCTTCTTATGTTACCCATTCTAACTAATTTGTCCATTAATACTTTATTGTTTGAAATCTCTTCATTCTCCAGATTGGTAAGCTTTGTTAAAAATTTGAAATTGTTGTTTTGTAAATATGGGCCACCACTACCATCTTTTTCAAACACTGTCATGAGAGAACCACGACCAGTAGCTCTTCCGAGTTTCGATTGTAGTTCATTCAACTCTATCAAATTTTCGTTGAACGTCAAAGGTTTTGTGGAGTTCTTTAGTTCAATTGGTTTATTTAAAAATGTCAATATTTCAGTACTAAATCCTTTCAATCTTTCAATATGTTTTGTTGTGAAGTTAGGTTCGGGTTTGGGAAATTGATCGAAAATGGCTAAGATCCCAATTATTTCTTTTTTCTCTGTCAAAAGAGGTACTCCACAATAAAATTTAATATAAGGTATACCTGTTACCAAGGGGTTGTTGGTTGTCCTCCAATCTTTGGTAGCATCATGTAAAAGGAGATAATCTCTAGATAATATAGCATGACTATCTATGGATAATTCCCTTGGTAATTCATTCATTTCTATAGTTGTTTCATACTTAAACACAACCTTTTCAGTAGTAATCAAGGAAATGCTGACACCACCTACTTCAAATGATCTTTTTATTGACCCTATCAATTTCTTGAAAAACGATTTTTCCTCCCATTGTTTCAAATTCATATACTTATCTACAATCATAACTCTATTCAATTCATGATAACATTCTGGGGGGATCATAAAATTAACACCTTGCAAACAGACAGGTCTAGGTACATCACTCAAATTCCATTTCCCTTTGGAGTAAGCATCCAAGAAATGAGCTTTTGTCATCTCAATAGGGACCACAGAACATTCAGACAAAGGAGCAACGAAATCAATGGGTATGTCCCTCCTAGGTGAAGGTTTCTTCTTGTGTTTACTCATATCTTTTTTCTTTTTTGCAACCTTTGTGGCTTCTCAAAATCATATCCAAAAACGGAAACCAAAAATCCAAAACCAGATAACACTACAAAAAGTCAACGTTGATATATATTTAATTTATTTACTGGCATCTTCCATTGTAACATCTTTATCTTTATCATTTTCATCATTTTCATCTATTTTATCCAATTTTTCAGGTTGTTGATTAGCTTCTCTTTCTTGTCTAGCCTTTTCTTCTTCCAATGATAATCTTAAAGCTAAAGCTAAATCGGGGTCCATATTTGGATCAATCATATCATTACCACCACCGAAATCACTGAATCCGAAATCACCACCGGTTTCAAATCCTTCTTCAACTAATATGGTGGAACTAGCAACAACCTCGTATAATAACCTTGGACCTGGTGGTACAGTTACTAAATGAGAATTATCATGATTATTTATACATGAATGGAATTTCTCTAATTTTGAAGCATTGATACTCTCCTCTCCGAAATTTATAATATCTATGGCAATGTTATTCTTTTTCATCTTCTTAGCCAATTTTTCCAATTCTTTTTCGCTTTCTTCTATTGGTGATCCAACAAAAATAATAATTCTTTGATTTTGTACTTTATTTTGACGATGTTTTAATGCTAATGCTGCCACTTGTATACCACTTGAGAAGTTATTATTCCCTTCAATCTTTACTTCTTTGGCACCACTTAAAACTTTACCAAAATTATTAGTTAAAGTACTTAATACTTGTGGACCATTTCCTCCATAAGATAATAATCCTACAGTACTTTCAGGATTACTGTTGACTTTATTTTGAAAAATATATTCAGTTGCTGTACTTTGTGCATCGAATCTAGAAGGTGCAAAATCTTCATTCCTCATATATTCTGAGTTATCAATTGCAATCATTGTAGCTTCCAACACCATTTTGAACTTATTATCGCCACTAGAAAATTTCGCGAACTTCAATGGTACAACCAAAATATACCAAAGCTCAAAAAGCTTTGATCATTAAGTATCTAAAGGCCAAACGACAAGAAGAAATCAATAATTTGAAGAAACGGAGTGATAAGGCTTGTAATGAAATCGAAAATTCCATCAATAGACGAATAAATAGAGTAAGTGTAACTTTATGGAATGTTAAGATAAGAGATATCCTTGAAGTAGAAAGAAATGTTAATCCCACAGTAAAGACATTATTAAGTGATGTTAAATCAATACAAGAGAAAAGTTTACGAAACAAGAAAGCCAAATATTAGTTAATGAAGTTATGATAAATATATATATATTAAATGTAATAAATAATGTCTAAGCATCTTCAGGAATACCTTCATGGAAGTATTTACCTTCTAAAGTAGGTTTGATAACCCCAGTTCTAATAACGAAATCACCGAAAGGTTCACCTTCATTTCTTTCTAAACTCCATCTTTTGAACAATGGTTTCAAAATACTCAAAATTTCATCTTCTTTGATTGAATAACGGTAAATTTTATTTAATCTTTCACCATGATGACCTCCACCCAACATTAAATTATAAGCTCCGTAAGCTTTACCAACTAAAGCAACTTCAGCAACCCAAGGTCTAGCACAACCATTGGCACAACCAGTCATTCTCATAACAATAGAATCGTGTCTTAAACCATATTCTTCTAAAGCACCTTCTAATTGATCGATTAATTTAGGTAAATATCTTTCACTTTCAGCAAAGGCTAAACCACAAGTTGGGAAAGCAACACAAGCAGCTGATGATAATCTAAGACCTGAAAAATCAGTATTATCTAATTTGTATTTAGCCAATAAGTTTTTAACTTCCATCAAGTCATCATCAGTAATATTTGAAATGACTAAATGTTGATTACCAGTTAATCTAAATTCACCAGATTTACCAGTTAAATAATGAGCAATAGCTTTTAACCCGGATTTTTGTGGTAATTTAGTAGTATCTTCAATTCTACCATTTTCAATAAATGCAGTGAAATGATTTAATCCAGTTTCATCTTTACACCAACCGAAATAATCAATATTTGAAGTAATTTCAAAAGGTTTTGGTTCTTCAAGTTTATAACCTAATAAATCTTCAACTTTACCTTTGAAAACATCAACACCTAAATCATCCATAGTATATTTCAATCTAGCATGTTTTCTATTAGTTCTGTCACCAAAATCTCTTTGAACCAACATAATCTTTTCACAAACAATATGAACTTGAGATTTATCTACATAACCTAACATTGAACCAGTTCTTGGATAAGTCTTTTTGTTATTATGAGTTGAACCCATACCACCACCAGCTAAAACATTGAAACCTAAAACTTCATTATCTTCAACAATAGCAATTAAACCAATATCATGAGCATAAACATCAACATCATTATAAGGAGGAACAGTCATAACAATTTTAAATTTACGGGGTAAATAAGTTGGTCCATATAAAGGTTCATGATCAACTAAAGCAGATCCACTTACTAAAGTTTTCTTCTTTTTTGGACCATCTTTTCTACCAGCAAAAGCTTCAACATAACCTGGTTTATCGGCATCATCAGCACCTTCTAACCAAATTTCATGATAAGCAGTAGTTTCAGGTAATAAATGATCAGAAATTAAAGTACCAATTTTACTCATTTGACCATGAACTTTAGCATTATGAGGTAAAGCACTAATCATAACATTTCTATTAACATCACCACAAGCAGCTAAAGTATCTAATAATACGGAATTCATACCTCTAATAGCAGGTTTTAATTTATGTTTCACAATACCATGTAATTGGAAAGTAGCTCTAGTAGTTAATTTAATAGTACCATTACCTTTATCATCAGCTAATTCATCCATTTTAAGATATTGTTCAGGAGTTGCTTTACCCCCAGGTAATCTTAATCTTACCATAAAAGCATAAGCAGGTTCTAAACCTTGAGCTTTTCTTTCTTCTCTAATATCACGATCATCTTGCATATAAATACCATGGAATTTAGTTAATTGTTGATCAACAGCTGAAATAGCACCAGTTGAATCATCTCTTAAACCTTCAGCAATAGTACCTCTTAAGAAATCAGATCCAATTTTCATATCTTCATTAGTAATAGGTTTTGGTTCTTCAACACCATCAACCCCATCAACACCTAAAGATTTCCAAATTTTTGGTAACCATTCATTTAATCCAGTATTAAAACCATCAGCTCCTTGATCATCACCTAAACCTAAATCAGCTAATTCAACCCCTCCATATAATTTGAATTTACTGTATAAATCTTTACTTGGTTTATTATAATAATGAGCATCTTCCTTTCTTGGCCAATAATCTGAATCACCTAAACCAAACACTGAAAATTTCAATGTTGATAAATCTAAATCATTAGCATCTTTGAAATTTTCCCAGAAAGTTCTACCATTCAAAGGAATTTCACCTTGACCAGTAGTTGATACAACAATGATTAAATTAGTTTCATTTGATAAATCTTCAACTGAAATATCATCTAATTCAACAACAATTGATTTTAAACCTCTACCTAAAGCTTGACGATTGATTTTTTTAGCAACACCTTGAGCAGTACCACCATCAGTAGCAAAAGCAATAGTTAATGGAGGTCCAGATAATCCAGCTAATAATTTTTGATAACTTTCATCAGATTTTTTAATTTGTTGTAAAGTCTTTTCACTATTACCATTATTAGCTAAATTTCTAGTTAATTGAGGATTTTTATAAGTTAATAAACTTAATCTGTTTTCTCTATCTAAGAAATCTTTCAATTGACTTCTGATATTGGCAGAATCTAATTTGAATTTTAATTTTTCATCATCTAATAATGGATTATAACGGTATAATGGCCAATAACCAATATCAACGGCTTTTTTGGTTTCTTTCAAAATTGATAAAGTATCATCAAGTTCGGAATTAAAAGGTAAATAAGCTAAAATAATAGAAGGACCATCGAATTTTTCAGCTTCAATAAAAGCTTGTAAAACTTGAGTATATGAAGAATAAATAGCAACTGATGCAACATAACAATTACCATAATTCATGGCATATAAACCAACATCCTTTTTACGGTATCCATTAATGGTTTTGGATTGTAATTTCTTATTATCATAAGGATCGTTATCAATGATTAACATATTACAATTTTTACCACTTGAAATTAAATTATGAACACCTGAAGATCCTAAATCATAAGACCAAGAATCAGATCCAATTAACCAATTTGATGATAATTTTTGACTTAATAAATGTTTTTGGTCCAATATTTTACTACCAAATTCAGATTTATCTGATTCAAGTAATTCAATTAATTTGGGTACTTCTTCAACGGATAATTTTGAACTTAACCAATTAGATAAATCATTTAATAATTTGTTATTATCAATAGAATTGAATTTATTGGCTTGAATTGATTCATAAATTAAATCAGTTAATTTACTAATGTTGGTTTGAATGGATAAAAATTTCCCAAATCCAAATTCTGGATTATTCAGTTGAATTTTTTCATTATTAAATTCATTCAAAATAATTGATTGATCATTAACTTGATTTAATAATTCCAAATATGGTTGTTCTAAGTTAAGAACTTTAGAAACAAGTTCGGATTTATTATTGATTTTTTCTTGTTCAGATTTAGTTGATAATTCAATACCAACTTTACCAAAAGTTAAATTTTGAACGGGGTTTTCTGATCTGGTATTTATAATCAAATTATCAATGGATTTTGAAATATCTTTACTATAACCAAAATAACATGAAACTATTTTATTGAAATTCTTCATAGATTGATATTGAGAATAATCTTGAAAGAAATCTAATAATAATGGTGAAAATGAAGGTAAATTAGTACTTGTAGTTTGTTGAACTAAAGTTAAAGTTTCAATGGTTGAAGGTAATAAAGCTAATAAATAAGGTAATTTAAAAGGTTTATATAAGTTAATTGAAATCACTAAAACATTTTGTCTGGAGAAATTTTCAACTAAATCATCATTGATTAAACCTAAATAAACCACTAAATCTTTAGCATTTTTAACTTTCTTATTATTTAATGATTTAAATGGTAATAAGTTATATTTATATAAGATTTCTTCAATTTCTAAAGTTAAATCTTCATCTTTTAACCATAAATCATTGGTTTTAACATTTGGAATACTTTTAAAAGTAAATGGTATAATAAAATGATAAACTGAAGTGTTTAATTTCTTAGCTAAATTGTAACAAACTTTAGTATTAGCTATTAAATCTTGAGAATTTTGTGATATTAAGATAGGTTTTGATAAGTCTCTTAATGAAGTTATGATTTGGAAATCAAAATTAGTTAATTCAATATGATTAACAATTTTATTATTGTTAAAATTATCTGATGATAAGATTGGTAAATTTTTGAAAAGATTCTTACCATTGGTGACAATAGTAAAGATTTCATCTTCATTATCTTTAGCAGCTAAATAATCATTTATCAAAGAATATGAATCATTTTCAGTAACTTCAATAGAATCTTTAAAGATAGATGATTCTGATTTGGTCAGTTTGGTAACAAACACTTGACCTTTAATCAGATCAATAATCTTAGAAACAATCTCTAAAGACATGTTGAAATAATAACTTTTCCCATTGAGCTGAGATTTAACTTATCATGTTGATTGTGCACGTGATATATTGCAATGCGATTATCAGTAATTGCATTTTAAGTCGTGATTATTGGTGGAAATGGGGAATTTTCACCAGGTGGTTGGAATGATGAAACTGAAGGAGGTAGTTGGGGGTTTGGTTTAGGGAAGTGATCTAACATAAGAGGAGAATTTTTCGGGATTTTTTTCAAAAGAGGAAATGAATACCCGGGTCAGAGTTGCAGTCTTGATCAGGTAGTAGAAGGACGTATAGTATCAAGGGTGGGTGGTTTTATGTAGTTGGTATTATGGAGTACCTAGAGAGTTAATTTGGAATTCTTAGAAGGGGTTTTGATTGACTTGTAAGATCTAATTGTACGATTATTTGAATCAAATGGTTTTTTTAAAAAATTCAAATGACCTGGAGTATCTGGTTCCATGTTCCTCGAATTTCTAGTGTATCGATTGGCCCTTCATCTCCTTGAACATGACGAACAGCCAAATATATTTCTCATGGGTTTTATATATTTGGCTGCAAAAAATTTGCGGAACGGCTGTACCGTCCGAATTTTTCAACCTCAAAGAAACCTGTATAGGTGATTGATCTGGCTTCAGTTCTGGGGAAGTACACATCGTTTTATCCGGTGGAGGAAAAAAGTGGTGATTTGAGTAATATTTTTGTTTGATTCCATCATCTACTATCTACTATTGGAATTTTCTTGTCTCTTACCCACCCCCAAGTCTCCAATTCATCCCTTTTTACCTCTCCTTCCTCCTTTTTGTCTTCTCCTTGATCTTATATATCAATCAATTATCCCCCTGGCATTGAACCTCCCCTAATCTCCAATCTCCCCATCTCATCTCTTATCTCACCTCTACATGACCCCGATCTGAACTTCGCGTTCTTCATGAAATCAATCAGGAGGTTCCAATCAAATAGTGCATTAACAAACCGTTTCAATGAAATCCTAGAGAACAAACTCTCGTTGGATCCTCGAATTAAAGAGATAGAAGCAAAAGTAACCGAAGAAAAGCAGTTCAATAACAAATATGCTAATCAGTTGGGATATCTAAAGCTGGAAAAGCTTTTGAGACATAATCAACATGGCAAAGAGATTGCCAATGCCACTCCTTGGACAGGTACTGAATCAACCAAAGACGCTAGCTTACGTATGATCCTTGACCTGAAACCCAAACCCAAGAAAACTAAAAATGTAGGCAAGAGATTGGTGATGGCTAAAGAAATTAGTAATGAATATAAAGATACTAAGACTATCGATAAAGATTCAGATGACTTCAAACAACTATATCAGGAAAGATTTGTTGGTCCTAATATGCTTTTGAATACAGCCAATCCCAATGTTACCCTAAATCTTGTAAATACAATAGCATCATCTAAAATTAATAGTAAAATAAATCTTCAAACAGGTTTATTTGATGATGAAAATATGAAAAATGTTCGTGGTAAACCTTTGAATAAGGAACTTTTGAGTAATTCCACCAACTCCGCCTATTTTGTTAATGAAATTTTGAATAAACAACAAGTGTTACCTCCATGGGTTGAAACTCAACAAGAATTGAATAGTGATATAAACCTTTTCAGAAATTCTATGAAAATCTCATTGGTGAAATGGGTGAAGAAAAATGAAATCATTCCCAAAAACCGTTTAACTGATATCTTCATTGGTTTGAACAAACCTTATGCTATTGAAAGGATTAAACAGATAAATGAGAAAGTAAGAGATTATAATCTTCAATCACCATCAAGCAATTTTCATAAATTCAAATTAAACGTTGATGAAGAATTGATTCAAGTGGTTGATCAGTGTTATGATCAGTTACCTGAACTTGTCAAAGATAATGAATATCAAACAGTGATATCCAATACTCAACAAGGATTTTTATCATTATTCGATAATTCAAAAGTAGTAGCTCAGAGACCAGTCACGCCCATAAATTTCTGGTCTTCATTTAAACAAATGTTCAAAGAAGTCAAACAGACTTAGAACGACCAAAGAACGAACAAAGAACGAACAAAGAACGAAATTATGACTAAATGTATATATTATTTGAATTGCCATACTAAAGCGACTAGTATCGTAAAGAATCCCAATACTGTTAACCATGAAACTTTACGTAAAATAGATACTATAATTCCCTTATCGGTATAACTTGCTTGTTGTAAGTTATTCCAAAATTCTTGAGCCATTTGTTGACGGGAAAATTTCTTCAATACTAATTTGAATCCATTCTCTCCTAAAGCAGTCTTTTCATTGTCTGATAAATGATGGAATTGTTTTAAGGTCTCAAACCATTGCTCTTCGGTTGGAGGAACATTGAAACCAGTAGCCATGGATTTATTAGTTGTATAGTTTGAAATAGATTCTAAAGGTCCACCGTTATTTGGAGCAATAACCGGAGTCTTAAACAACATACTTTCGACGGGTACAATCCCAAAATGTTCATTAGATGGAGTGTAAAATAACAAATCACTTTGCTTGATCAAGGCTTTCTTGATCAGGGATTTAATTGAAGGTAAAAATATAATATCTGAAGTTGGTGGCATGACAATCAATCTAGATCTTATGGTATAATGTTTGAGCGAAAGGGATTCTGATAACTTTTCTAATTCTTGTAAGTATTGAACATTCTCTGGAACTCTTGAATCAAACCCTCCAGCTACCACAAGCTTAGGAACAGGTTCATTGTTGGATTCAAGGTAAGCTTTGAATTTCCCATAAGATTTAATAGCCAATTCAATATTTTTCTTTCTTTCAAATCTATTAATGGAGATGAAAAATTTGTTATCTTTCATGAATTCTTTAACTTCTTTATCTGCTTCTTCATCTTCTTTAGTTTCAATTATCCCTTGATCAATATCTACACATGGATAAATAACATTAGGATCTGTCTTGATGGAAGTGAATGTTTTGTGAAAAATTGATTTAGTGAAATTTGAATTAACAATGAGTTTATCACTTAAACTTGTGGTATATTCTTCAACAGCATTGAACGGAATTCTATATAACTTCTTGATTAATCCACTTGGAATAGATAATAATTGATCCGGGAAATGACAATAGAATAAAATCTTACCTTTGGTGAAAATACATAAAATTGGAATACAGAATGATAATTGATCAATAATGAAGTAATCATATTCATAAGCTTCTCCAGTGAAAATTAACATCACTACAAGTACCAATTGTCTTAAAATTGCAAATAAAATATGGAATTTACCCATAATTTGAGTAGGTAAGAAATCTCCATATACTGTTACTTTCAATTGATCTGATGATACTTCTTCAAAACAATGACTCTTATCACAGTGAGATGTATAAATGGTGATATCATGTTTAAGGTCCTGAAGTCCTACGGCAGCATCTACCACGAGTCTTTCAGCACCTCCAATACCCAAATCAGGGTGAATAAATGCTATCTTCATACGCGAGAGTAGAATAAATTTCGCACAAGGTTCAACCAGAGGTAAATACTACAGATCATATGCATAAATATAAGTCATTATTTTTCAACTTCAACGGCACCTTCCTCCTCAGCCAATTTGGCAGCTGCTTCTTCACGTTCTAATTTACGTTTCAATTTTTCAGCTTTTCTATCAAATCTGGTATCAACAGGGTTAAATCCTCCTTCTTTGGCTCCCCAAACGGCCCATTCAGGGGTCTCTTTGACATAATCCAAATCAGTAAATTCCTTCCCACTTCTTATCAATTCAAAGAATTTTGGATAGTCAATATGGGTATGCCATTTACCATTAATTTTGAATTTATCGTGAGCAATCAAAATACAACAACTATGAGCATGTTCAGCAGCTATATTATATTTGAGACCTCTCGATTTCAATTCAGCAGTCAAGCTTTCAACGAAAATTTTACATTCTTCATAAAATGGAATATTTTGCATGGTTAATGGATTACCATTGGCATTAGAAGATCCACAAAATGTGGCACCTTTGACTTCAATTTGTGAAGGTTGGGCTCTTTCTACCATATCGGCGTATCCCTTGACTTCATCCATATTGAATCCTTTAACTAAAGTAAGTCTGAAAACTGTTCTTTGATGGGATTGAACTGTTCTCAAAATATCTAAACATGACATCATTCTTTCCCAGAAATCAGAATTTAATGGTCTATCGATTTTTCTTAAGTCTGTTCTGTTAGGAGCATCGATAGAAACATACAATTGAGTGATCTTAGATAATTTAGCTAAGTTATCAGGATGTTGAGCATTACAAACCAAGAATGAACTGATTTCTTGTTCATGTAACATTTCAACAAATTCATTGATATGAGGGTAAAAGATTGGTTCTCCGACTAATGATAATGCACAATGTCTGACTCTGAAAGCTTCCTCAAATCTATCCATTTGAATACCTGGAACACCTCTCATTTGTTTAATCTTTTTATAATGACCAGCTAAAGCTCCTTCTAAGACTTTTTCGGGTGGATCCAAAACCCATCTCCAATTCAGTTTAGCAACCGGATTAGTACCGTGTCTCCAACAGAACACACATTTATTTGAACATGCTAATGATGGAGTTGTTTCCATACATAAATGTGATTTAATACCATAAAATGCAAATTTATAACATGAACCTCTTCCTCTTAACGCACTCTTGGTCCATCTACATATCTTCACTCCTGAATGAGATCCTACAATGGTGTATCCCTGTTTGGTTAAAGATTTGTAAGTTGGAGAATTTTCAGCTACCATTTCTTTGATATCAGGAGAACTAGCAGTAATGATACCTTCTTTCCTTATGATGTCTCCCATATCTTCAACATCTAACAAAGTTTCATCTGAATCTTCAGAATCAACTTCTTCCTTATCACTATCATCGATTTCATCATCGAGGAAAAATGGTTCATCGTCGTTCAATAATGTAGCAAAATTTTGAATCCATTGTTGAGCTTTTGGTTCACCTTCATATTTCATACAAACTTCACCACGAGGGAAAATCCTTCTACCACCTAATTTACCTAACCATTTATCGATGATCTTGGATTGGTAACAAAATTTATCATTCCAACTTTCACTATCACCAAGACCTAAAACTGCAAAACCAAGTAATTTCCTCAATGGGTATTTATCAACACGGAAATCTTGGTAGGTATCAGTCAAATGTTCGATGAAATAATCAATTGGTGAATCAGTATCATAAGATGGAAGAACCATAAGGTAAATGTTCTTTGATTCTTCACCACCTGGAGTTTTCAAGAAATATTCTTCTAAGTTTGATAAATCGTCATCAAGACTGAGTAGTTTGGGTTCATTCTTGATTGAATCCATGTCATTCAAAGTATCGAACAATGATTTGGCAACTCTTTGAGAAGATCCAGTTAATGTGGTATAGAAGATATAAATTTGAGAATCAGTTAATTTGACGGCATTTTCAGTTAAAGTAGGTTGAGTAACAGGAGTTGGCTTAACGGCTTTAAAAACTTTGGGAACTCTTTTACCTCTTCTTGCTTTCTTAATGGTTTTTGGAGCTTCTGGGATATTGGTGGTGACGCTGGGTGCAAATGAAGTTGAAGTAAAATCTACTGCGTAGATTGGTGATGGTTTGGTTGATTTGGCTTTGGACTGAGAAGTCTTTTCGGCATTTTGTTTGGATAAATAGTCTCTTGTGAGTAAATGGATTGTAAGACCGAATATAACGAACGATAATCTACCTCCTACCAATAAGTAGGTCGCTATTAGTAAGATAGATTCTGTTGATAGCATATTGAAAATTTTCTTTCGCGGGATGAGTTTTGGTGTGGAGGTGATGAATGCTAGTTCTGGGAGTTGGATTATATGAGATGAATCGAACTACTCTGAGTCTCGATGGGCTTTAACCTCTTGGGCCAGTCAGTCATTAGCTGGTGGTCTAGTGACTAAAGGAGGTTTTTGTAATCTCAAATTCACCCCACATTTATCTGCATCGGAATATGATGATCGGGTTTTCTTCGTATAGCTTCATTCCAACTTGATTTCTTGTATTTCCAATGACGTTGAGATGACTCGTTTTTGAAAGCTTACGAATACTTTGCACCATTTCCACTTTTTATTGTTTCCAGTTGGCTGCAAAAATTCTATCTCGTACATAAGTTGTATTCTCTTTGAAACTCATCGAACTCCTTGAAATTCTTGAAATTGTTCCATAATATTGGAACCAAGTTTGATGTTGAGGTCACTAACGATTCTCTGGTCGTTCAATACATTTCACTATTACAAATACTAAAAACCCTTGAAAGATAGTTTTGAAAATCGTAAATTTTGCAACTTTCATACATTTTCCGATCAATGCAAGAGGCTCAATTGAATTTTGATAAGAGACTTCTCAGCTTAGCCATCCACACGTGTAATACTATTACCATACATTCAATCGCCGAGTAACAACCCCCATTGTCCTTACAAAATCTAAATAATAATTCTCATCTATCATGGCCGCTTGACAATTGATATCGAAGGAAGTGTCCGCGAAAAAAACTAACCGATTGAGATTATCACATCAAAACTACCCAAAGGGACTCACAATCAATCGCCCAACAGTCAATAGGATACCACCAACATATGGCCAAAGCAAAAACCATCACTATTGATAACTTGCAATCCCTTAATCAGGATTCTAAAAGTGTAGTTTGGAAAGATTTAGGTACTTTCCTTGATAAAAAGATTATTATCGAACCAAGTGAATCCACAAGCAACTTACCAAAATTAAATAGCATCGTTAAGTATAAGATCTGTAAAACTTGTAATAGACCTATCGGAGTTCAAAGTTTAGAGAATCATATCAAAATCTGTAAAATGAGACCAAAGAAGAATACATCCAACAACAGTTATTTGAACGAAGACGATGTACCCTTAAGGAAAAGAAAGAATAAAGTTGAAGTTGAGCAATCATCAGTTGATAGTTCAAGAAATAATACCCCAGCACCACCAACTCCAAATGCCAAACCTAAGAAAAAATATAAAAAATCACAAACACAAAAGGAGAAAGAAGCAGCCAATGCAGCAGCCGCTGCTGCTGCCGCTGCTAGTGGTAGTGATAGAGGACCCAAGAAGAAAAAATTACCTAGTAAATCTAAACAAGTAGGTAAAACTAAGGGCCCAGTTGATGTTGAGAAACAATGTGGGGTGGCTTTGCCTAATGGAGGTTTCTGTGCGAGATCTTTAACTTGTAAAACCCATTCTATGGGTGCTAAGAGAGCAGTTCCTGGTAGAAGTGCTCCTTACGATGTGTTGTTACAACAATATCAAAAACGTAATCAAGCTAAGATCGCTGCTAATAGTGCGTTAGCTATACAAAAGAAAGAAAACGAACAATTAAATGGAGAGAATGAATTTTCTTCATCAAGAATTTTAGATCCTGATGAAGAAACTTATCTTGTATTAGAAGGATTGAGTAAAAATCAACCAATACCGTTAGAAAGGAAAGTAATATTACCAACTAGAAATCGTCATAGATTTTTATATATGAGAGAATCTTATGCTAATGCATTAATTATTAATGGGTCATCATCATCAAATAATCAGCCTAATAATCAATCTAATGATCAAACATTAGCTAATCAAGCCATCTCGGGTTCAATTGGTGGTTTACAAGGAAGAACAGCATTAGTTAATGTAGATTCCAAGAGAATCGAAAACGATGCTTTAACTCAATCATTAGCTAATATTTCTGGTGAAATGTATCAAGTCAGAGCACCATCGAAAGAGATTTTGGTGACAGCTCAACATAATGCAGCACAACAACAAATGTTCCAACAACAAATTATGAAGATGAGACAACAAGAAATGTTGAAACAAAAGGAATTACAGAAACGAGCTATTCCAGTTAAGGATAAATAAGGAGATCATCATTTGATCTGTGTATATTAATGTATTCGTAAGTCATATCTCTTAAACTGGCCATGATTTTTTATTGTTCACTAACCATGGATGATTCAAAACATCATGCAATGATAACCTTTCATTAGGGTTTTTCTGAAGTAGTTTAGTAACCAAATCTTTGGCATCATCATTGACAAAGCTAGGGAATTTCAAATCAACCGAAGCTATTTTTTTGAAAGTTATATTTTTATCATAATGTTCGAATGGTGGTTTACCTGTTAAAAATTCATAAATAAGAACTCCAATGGCCCAAATATCCACACTAGCGTCATGGTGTTTATTTTCTACCATTTCAGGAGGTAAATAATCTAATGTTCCACACATTGTTTTTCTCTTATCATTATCATTTATAAGTATTGACCATCCAAAATCTGATAATTTGATTGTATGATTCAAATCTAGAAGGATGTTTTCGGGTTTGATATCTCTATGAACAATATGTTTGGAATGCAAATAAACCAAGGCATTGGTTAACTGATATATATAATATGATGCAATGGAATTGTTGAATCTTTTTTGAAGTTTCAAATGACAATATAACTCCCCTTTAATGGAAAATTCTATGATTAAATAGATATTCTTCTTATCGTAGAAATAACCAAATAGTTTGATGATGTTGGGGTGATTTAAATTCATTTGAAGCTCTATTTCCCTTCGGAGATTTCTTTCTAATTTGAATTTGATAAGATCTTGTTTGTTCATGACTTTTAATGCACATATGAAACCAGTTTTGATATGTTTGACACAATAAACTTTCCCAAGTTTACCTTTTCCCAATTTCTTCCCAATTTCAAAGTCCTTCAATGTCATATTTAGCCTTCTACTGACATTTCTAAGAGGATCTTCATGATCTATCTTTACATCATGTTTCATATCAAATTTTGATCTTAAGGACTTACTTTCGTATGTATTGGTAGAATTAGATAACGGTGGCATTGTATGCAACTGTGATTGTTTATCTGAACACCCTTACGGTACTTAATTCCAAGTAATATTAATCTCTAACCAGTAGAGATATTGACTGTTTACAATCGCGAATTGTGGGCGGCATTAACAAACAAGTTTAAAGCCGAACTTCTCATAAATCACGCGCAATTCTAGGGCTGCAACCCGACTAACCTATTAATATCTACATAATTTACTATGTTTTTTTATATTCTAGAATATTCACAGCCTTGACAAACTCATGGCCTCCAAAAGGCTTAGCCAATCTGGAGAGGAAAAAAAAAAATTCAGACACGTATCTCAGATATAGTCAGTTGCAAAGACAATATTTAATATGTTTCAGGAACCACAGCATACTAAAATAGTTTAAATGCTGTATTTGACTGATTCATCCCTTACAACCATAAATTCTCTCTACAGAATCTTACATAAACAATGGACATAGCCAAGTCCCTTCAATTCCGATTATTCCACAATTGTAAAGTGATGTCTAAGGGTGAGGTGATTTTGGATTGACGATTTTCTAAAATGCTTATGTAACAATGCTGCTTATCAAGAATTCTAAATTTATGACACAATTCTTATCAGGGAGCAAAGTATTAAATCCTTTAAACCTGGCAATCTTATAATATCCATAGTACAAGTGACTGTAAGGAATTTGTAGTTGCCTTAAAATAAATGAGGGTAAGAATAGCGTACACTGATGGTTTGGAGCGTAAATTGCACCCGTCAAATTATCATTACTATGAATCTGGAGTTTTCAAACACTGGCTATGAGATAAGGATTTGAACATAAAGCCGGTATTTCAATCCTCTACCATTAAGTTGAAACATCATTAACTCTATTAGACTCTAGTTTACTTTAGTCAATATCCTCATTTACCTTTGCTGCAGGCCATCAGCCGTGTCAGACATAATGTGAGACGAGTATGTTTTTTTTGCAATCGATTCTAATGAACCAATTCAATACAATAAACATACAATTAGTTAAATTATCAAGTGAAGTCATAAGCCTTTATATAGATATGAATGAAAATGAAAAGAGTTAAAAAAAATGGTGTCTTTTGTTTTTGTTTTAATCCCTTATTTCGTCTAGTCACTTTTATTGTTTTTTTCATCCTTAGGAAAAAAAACTATAAATAGTGTGGCTACTTCCCTTTTCTTAAAAAACTATTAATTAATTCAATTAAAAATGGGTATCAAAGACAAAGTTAAAAGAGCTTCTAAAATTTTCTTAAACGATTCTGATAAAGAAGAAACTCCAATTACTGACAAAAAGGAAGAAATTACTGAAACTGCTGAAACTAAAAAAGATGAAATAGTCGATGCTGCTGAAAATAAAGCCGAAGAAGCTGGTGACAAAAAAGATGAAATTGTTGAAGCTGCTGAAGATAAAGCTGAAGAATTAACTACTGCTGCTGAAGAAAAGAAAGATGAAATTGTTGAATCTGCTCCAGAAGGTGAAACTAAAACCGAAGAAGTCGCTGATAAAAAAGACGAATTAGTTGAAGGTGCTGAAGATAAAGTTGAAGAAGCTAAAAAAGAAGTTGAAAAAACTTCAACTAAAGTTGAAAAAGAAGTTAAAAAGAACGATTTCTTTAAAAGATTCATCAACAAATTCAAAAAATCTGATGCTGGTAAAGCTTAAGTTTTAGGGTCAATATGTTTTATATGTTTAATAATTAATAATTAATATCACTTTAATTCTATTGTTATGAAGGGCATTGTCCATTGTTAGATGTTTTCATTTCTTCCTAACCTCGTGTAATTTTCTATTAATGAGTTAAAAAGCCTACACGTACCACGTATGTGTCATTTGATAAAAATAATATCTTGTGGTTCCTTGATTACGTTTCAAAAAAAATGCCCAGTGGTACTGATCAAGTGTCATTTTAGAGGGGTGGCTTTTACATTCACTTTTATCTCTGATTTTTACCTTATTAACAGTCCCACCCTCTTTTTAAACCCCGTGTTTTCACATATATTCTTTCAAGTCTTCGTTAATCGTCAATTCTTACTTGCAACTGAAAAGTGTGTCAAAATCGAGATTATGCTGGTAGATTGCGACTGATCAAATTTTTTTTCTCATTTGTGAAATCAATCAACAAACCGCCCTAACTTAGGACATCATCGATTTGTTTTGAACTTTTAACATAATACTTTGGTGTACTTAATACGCAACATTAGAGTTATTAATATAAGCACACAATAAATAGTTTCTAAAGAATTAGATTTCAGTACTAATCATCATCAAAGTTGATTATAAATCATATTGGTTTCAGGTAATCAGGCAACAGGTAATATTATCATTTTTTTAAAGTAAATATGGATTTAAGAGTTGGAAAGAAATATAGAATCGGTAGGAAAATCGGTAGTGGATCATTTGGGGATATCTACTTAGGTACTAATATCATCAGTGGAGAGGAAGTTGCTATTAAATTAGAAAACGTTAAAGCCAAACATCCTCAATTAGAATATGAAGCTAAAGTTATTAAAGCTTTAAGTGGAGGTGTTGGTATTCCTTTCGTAAGATGGTATGGTACTGAATGTGATTATAATGCCATGGTTATTGATTTATTAGGTCCTTCATTAGAAGATTTATTCAATTATTGCAATAGAAAATTCACTTATAAAACCGTTTTATTATTAGCTGATCAATTAATTTGTAGAATCGAATACGTTCATGCTAGATGTTTTATTCATAGAGATATTAAACCTGATAATTTCTTAATGGGTATTGGTAGAAGAGGTAGTCAAGTTAATGTTATTGATTTTGGGTTAGCCAAAAAATATAGAGATCCAAGAACTCATTTACATATTCCTTATAGAGAAAATAAGAATTTAACTGGTACAGCAAGATATGCGTCTGTTAACACTCATTTGGGTATTGAACAACTGAGAAGAGATGATTTAGAAAGTTTAGGTTATGTTTTAATTTATTTCTGTAGAGGTTCATTACCTTGGCAAGGTTTGAAAGCTGCTACTAAAAGACAAAAGTATGACAGAATTATGGAAAAGAAGATGACTACACCTAACGATATTTTAACAAAAGGTTTACCTAAAGAATTCTTAGATTATATGAATTATATTAAATCTTTAAGATTTGAAGACAAACCGGATTATCCATTTTTAAGAAAATTGTTTAGAGATTTATTCAAAAGAGAAAATTATAGATATGATTATGTTTTCGATTGGACTTTATATAAATTTCAACAAGAAAAGCAAAGGGAACAAAAATTAATTGATAACAATCAAAACCAAAACCAAAACCAAAACCAAAACCAAAATCAAACTCAAACTCAGAATCAAGCTCAAAATCAAAATAACCAACAAGAATCTCCAAATCAAAATTACCAACCAGCACAATCACAATCACAACCACCAAATCAAATATCTAATCAAGTTCCACAACAATCTATGGGTTTAAATTTACCTTTGAATTTATCTAATGAAAAGGATGGGAAAATAGATTTCAACGATAAAATTGACCAATTACAACAACATCAAATGTATGCCAAAAAGACTAAAAAACCTTCACAAAATTGGTTGTAATGATTTCAATTAAAGTTTACAAAGAATTACTAGAAAAAGAGAAAAAATCTTCAAAAAAAAGAATACAATAATTTTATACTATGGTAATAATTTTGTTCTATGCATGGGTAGGTAATATAACGATTATAAAAATTTCTATTTCTATTTTGGTTACTATCATTAACTAATCAACATTATCGAATTTAATTTCACCAGGTTTAATCTTATCAATTTGACCCAAAGAAAAACTAGCATTTAAGAATTTGAAGACATTTTCATTCTCTGAGGTTTTCAAGGTATCAACAAATCCGAAAAATCCATAGAATGAATTATCTTTTAACTCTTCATCATAAATTTTATCATAAATATATTTCATCTTAAACTCATCCATTTCCTTAGAATATTTAGTAAAATCTATTTTATTATAACCGAATTTTTCCAACATTGGATTATAACCTTCATAAACTGGATTTTCCAATAATAAACCTAAAGCAGGAGCTTTTGGAATGTTAATTTTAGTTGATGAAAAAGTTTCCGTAATTCTGGATTCTGGACATCCAGTTCTTACAATATATGCAGCCATTGCAATCATTTTTCTAATTTGATGTAACATGAATGATTGTCCATGGATTTTGATTGATACCCATTCAGTACCATTGATAACAAATGGATCTGAAACTGTAGTGTATTTCATATATCTTCTTGAACTTGAATCTTTGAAACTTTTACCCACAGTATAATTATGGAAGTTATGAGATCCTTCATAAGATTTTAAAGCTGATCTGAAACTTTCAAGTTTTTCTTTTGTTACCTTGTAATTTCTTCTTCTTTCATTTTCCAATTTTCTAACTAGTTTATTGATTTTATCTTCTTTATCTTCGTCACCTTCGAATTCATTAGTTTGTTTAATTTCTTCTTGTAATTTAAAAGTTTCTTCCCACCATTTTTCACCTTCAACATCATCTTTATAAAAATCAGGTTTTAAAGCCTTTTCTTTAGCTAATTGTTCAGCTAAGAATGAGGTTGGTTTTGGGGGTAAGAAACTATAAGTTGGTAACAAATATTCATAAATTCTTGAAGAACACATTTTCCTACAATCGAACGATTTATTAGTTCTTTCAATACCCCAAACTCTAACTTGGTCAGGTAAATGACTATTGATTTTTTCCAAGATATCTTCATCTTCAATGATTAATTTACATGAAAGGACATTACCAGCAGCATGAACTCCTTTATCAGTTCTGGCAGCTCTCATGAACCCATTTTTCTTTAAATCATCGGCATTTTCTGGTGAAACAGCACCAGCTTTAATAAAAGCTTGAAATACATCATTTTCAATGGTTTTAACTCCAGGTAAATTCTGAATTTGTAAACCATTATAGCCTGTTCCACAATAACCAATCATACAAGCGACTTTTTTCTTTGGTCTTCTTTCTGATACAGGAATAGGGTTCCCATTTTCATCTAAACGAGGTACTCTTGGTCTAAATTCTATGTTAGTAATTGATAATAAACAAAAATTCGATTCAAATCGATTAAAACGTACTTACTCGTTCTCTGTCCTACTTCTCTTATTCTTTTTGGTATCATTTTGGGAGTCAGCTTTTCTAACCTTGTTGTTTGTTTCAATGGTTTCAGAGTCATTGGAGACATTATTGTCCACTTTTTCAAGTAATTGAATATCTTTGACATTCTCCATAGTTAGTTGATAATGCGAATAATTTTTCATCTCATCGCATCTTTCAATGAGACCTTTAACAGAAGAAGAGACTAAAGTAGTCTTTGAAAAACTTGCTACTTATATCGGAAGAAACATCTCCTTCTTGATTGATAATGATATCCCTCATGTGTTCAGATTACAAAAAGATAGAGTTTATTATGTATCAGAAACCATAGCAAATTTTGCAACTTCAGTATCAAGAAAACAATTAATGTCATTAGGTACTTGTTTTGGTAAATTTACCAAGACTGGTAAGTTCAGATTACATATTACTGCTTTACCATACTTATCACAATATGCTAAATTCAAAGTTTGGATCAAAGCTAATGGGGAAATGCCATTCCTTTATGGTAATCATATCTTAAAAGCTCATATTGGTAGAATGTCCGAAGATATACCTGAACATGCTGGAGTTATAGTTTATTCAATGAGTGATATTCCTTTAGGTTTTGGGGTTAGTGCCAAATCAACAAATGAAACAAAAAATTTACAACCTACAAGTATTGTAGCTTTTAGACAAGGTGATATTGGTGAATATTTAAGGGAAGAAGATACTTTATTTACATAGCATGATATATACGATAATTCGGAACTGTTAAAAAGTTTATGTACAATAATTCTATTTACATTAGTAATTTAAAGCAACATGTCTAAACAATAAACCTGGATTACCACCTGATTTAACATAGTTTAATTCAATTAATTGTGATAAATCGATACCTTGTTCCACTTGTGTAGGTAATCTTTGATTATAGACATAATCTCTGAGTTGAAGAACACCACATTTATTATAAAATTCAAGTAATTTTGAAGTTTCAGCTTTATTGAAATTTTCAACTTGGAAAACATTGATCTTACCTTTAAGTAAAGTTTCAATAGTGATTGAATCTAAAGCATTCAATTCGTAAGCATTATAATCTGCTCCTAAACCGATATCCAAATTTCTTGATTTACCATAATCGGATGATTCACTTAATAAAATACCTGAGTTTGGTAATACTAAAGTATTATCGATTAAATTATAAATGAATTTACCCATTTCAAACTCAGTTACATGAGTTGGTTCAAAATCGGTGGTTTTATATTCGGTTATTGGTTTGGTAGTAACAGCATTAAAATTATCAATAGTGATTAATTTAGGTACTGAAGTAGCTTTTAATTCTTCAATGAAAAATTGGAAAGATGAAGTTGCTTCTTTCAAATTGAAATCTTTACAGTTTCTCAAGAATTCATATAAGGTATTTTCACCGGCTTTATAATCATAGTGAACTTTATTAGCAGTGAATTTGATATCTTTAGATAACTTGATGGTTTTCAAAACTTCCTTATTGGCGATTCTGAAGTCATTGATGAATCTTTTGGTGAACATTGGTTGTTGATATAATCCTAATCTTTTGTTGAAGATATAATCATTGGAACCATCTCTTATTTTACCTACATCACTGAAATGAAGGTATAAAACTTGAGGAAATTGAGTTTTTGATAAAGCTTGAATTTGTGTAAGTAAAGTTGATTTCCCTACTCTATGTTCACCTTTCAATATGAATTTATTACTATCTTTACCGAAATTCTTGAAGAATTCGGTTTTCAAGTTGATTAAATTGTTAGAAACCAATGATATTGGTTCTTCAAATGCTTCATGATGTTGATATTTTTTGAATGATCCTAATTGTTCCAATTTGGATTTGACTGTCTTGGAATACTTCACAACATCTCCATTAGTCAGTTCACTCTTCAATATAGGTAATTCTACTTTAGATGCAAATTTTTCGAATTTTAATTCTCTTACAGCATCTTTGAATTTTAAATGGGTCATACCTGACTTTTTCACTTTTTCTTTGGCTGAACTATTACCTTTGAAACCTTGTTTGACTTTAGATTTCCCTCCAACATGTTTAGGAGCTGACATTACTCGTGAGGTACTTATTCCTCTACTCCATATCTTCAACATCTTTCTTGAGTTTTTCACTTATAACAATTTTTTTTTTCCACTGCGAAAATTTGAAAATTTTTCAATAGTTAGAATGATATGATTTGTAAAACATTCATTAGAAACTATGCTAAACCTTCCACCACCAAGATTGGTGGGATGAAAAAGATCGTGGATAAGAAAAATCCCACGGCTTTGTTTCAATTTGGTAATTTTTCAAAGTTGGTAGTACCTTCTAAGAAACAAATTGAAAGTAGTAAAGATAAAGCAGTACTTGATTTTGATGCTTTAAGAATATTTCCTAGTGTTCGAATTGCTATGAAGGAAGAGATTAAAGATCTGTACATCTTGAAAAATACGTATCTTAAAAGCAAAGATGAATTGGACATAAAACCCACCCCAGTCCAATCATTGGCTATTAAGAAGATCAATCAAGTCAGGAAACCTAAAAAGATTTCAGAAAGTAAGGAGATTTTTAATGATCTCTTAGATAACCAAAACAAAAGACTCAAAGTGTTTACTATTGCTGCTGAAACAGGGTCAGGAAAAACATGGTCATATTTGAGTTGTGTGTTGAGTAAGTTGAAAGAAGATGATTTGAAAATTTTCAATAAGAGTAAAAGAGAATATGTTAATTCTAGGTCCTTATCCAAAGTTAGATCTGTTATTCTCTTACCTACTAATGAGTTAGTAGATCAAGTCTATTCAACTTTATCGAAGGCTAATAACATACCTTTAAATTTACCTGAAAATTTAGATCCTAAGTTTATCAAAGATAAAAATTTCAGCGAATTCTTATATGAGGAGGCTGCTCACGATAAACTTGGATTTAACATATTAAAATGGGGGGCCGGAGAACCAGCTTCTAAGTTCTTCAATTTCCTTAATAAAGGAACAGTTGACATTCTTGTTACAACTCCAACTAAATTACAATCTTTAGGTAAACAACATAGTCAAGAGGAAAATCCTTATAGGTTTTTATACAATGTTGATTATTGTGTTGTTGACGAAGCGGATACATTATTCGATCCTTCTTGGTTCAAAGACACGACAGCTATCATTGAAAAATTTTCCAAATGTAAAGATGTTATTTTAGTTTCAGCAACTATACCTAAAAATTTTCAAAAATCCATTGGAAATTATTTCAAAGATACTATTGATGTGGTGACATCTTCTTTACATAAGGTACCTTCACAAATCAATGTTAAAATCATTGATTCTATGCAAAATCCTTACAATGGTAGTAAGATAAGAGCATTGGCTCAAGCATTATATGCAATTCAAAGTGATAATACTGAACCTGGTCAAGTGAAAAGGGTTATTGTTTTCGTCAATAATAAGAAAGATGTTCATCCTTTGATTAGTACGTTGTGTACCAAATTTCAACAGAATTTGGATAATTTCGTGGGATTATCTGGTGATGATACTCCTCTAGATAGAGCTGATAAAATTCAACCTTTCATCCAACCACCTGAACCTTTAGAATTCGACAAGGAAAAAAATGAATACCTTGGACAACGTATGAAAGTTTTGGTAACAACTGATCTTTTCGCCCGAGGTGTTAATTTTCAAAGTGTGAAGAATGTCATTATCATGGATTTCCCCAATAATTCAGTTGATCTTGTTCATAGAATTGGAAGAACAGGAAGGATGAAACAAAGTGGTAGAGTATTCATCATTACTGATAAAAAATCCAGTAAATCATGGATTAAAGCTTTACCCAATGCCACCAAACGTGGAGTTAGAATAGGTTAAACCACCCCTTCAAATTTATTAATGATTAATGGTATGTATCAAATGATGAAATAATTTTTTTTTAGACGTTAGACTACTGAATCTTATTGATGAAATTTTTTTCTGAACCATACTAACTTTTAGACTTTTGATAATTGATATCAATTCATGTAAATAGTGTATATATAAGTGTAAAGCTGAACACACGGCAAATAATCAAAAGATCGGCCTTTACATCCCTTTTATTTCAATCACTCCTCTTCTCTAAAAGGTAATGGACCATCATCGAACTCCCTGTTTTGACAGTTAAAATTGGACCTTCCCGATTTGGAAAGTCATTCCCTTGATAACAAAGGTAATAAATAGGTGCGAAATTTTCTGAAATTTTAAGGATTTATATCGATAAAATAGTTACTAAAACGTTGGTAAATATTAAGATTTAAATCCAAGTTATGTTTATTTTATTAAGCTACCAATATAAATTTGTTTTGTCATTTTAAGAAAGTAATAAACCTTTTTTAATTTTCATTTTATTTATATTATAAATTATCGTCTGCACAATGAGTTATAGAGTATTAACTTTAGATGATGTACCAAAAGCAGCAGTTACTTTGGTTGAAGCATTTACCGAAGATGCTTTAGCTAAATTGATCACATGTCATATCCATGATAAGAAAAAGAGAGTTTATTGTGAAACTTTACTTTATGAAGCATACCTCAGACAACATATATTAACCGGTTTAGTTATTGGATGTAATGAATTATCTGATAAATTTGAAACTGTAGCTATGTGGTCATTACCAGATTCCATGGAAAAAGGTTTGGAAACTTTTTCCACTTTGATGAAATCTGGTTATCAGAAAGTTTGGGAAGTCGTTGAAGATGAGGGTAGAGAAAAAGTATTTGAAGGTATGTTACCTTTATTACATGATACTTGTGAAAGGATTATGTCAACAGATGTCCGTTTTAAGCACAAGAATTTATATACATTAGTTTATTTAGGTTCAACCAGAGAAGCAAGAGGTAAAGGTAATGTTCGTAGAATGTTCGATTACATGTTTGACAAGTATATTGATCAAGATCCAAATAGTTTAGCTTATTTGGAAAGTAGTTCACCTTCAAACATTCCTATTTATAACAAATTTGGATTCTTCTTCTATGAGGATATCATGTTAGGTGAAAAGGGTCCAGGAGCCATCGAAGGTACTGATTATGCCATTATGAACGTAATGATCAGAAGTTATAAAGGATTAGATTGGCAAAAAATCGATTCAGCTTCTGAACAACAAACTGTCTCTAAATTATAGTCAATCGGACTTACCGATGATCGGAGGGATGCTTGATTGTGATTTAGGAACAAACTTGTTTTTTAATGAGATATTTCGATGTTATGTTGGATATGTCATTAAGAAATTTGCATCAGTTTATGTTTAATAAATACTATTTACAACTATTCATCCAATGATAATTCACTTCTTTGGGAAGGTAACTTCATTGATTCATATTTCATTCTAACATTCTTTTTCATCTCTTCTTCTTGAGCTTTAGTTAATGGTCTGACAGTTTGATCAGGTGAAACAAATTCAAAATCTCCAAATCCAAATTCCCTGTCAGTCATTTTATTTAATACATATAATTGAGATCTAACATATCCCAATAATGATTCCACATGCCTTATATCAACATTTGGATCCCCATTGAAAACATTTCTCCATAATGCAGATGCTAAAGTTATATCATCAGTCATGAGACCTTCATCATAGGAGAAAACACATCCTATAACTTGGGTATGGTAATCTTTCAAGAATTTTTCAATGACACTATTAGAATTAATACCTAATTCTTCATTCATTCTTAATTCCATATCTTTGAAGATTCTATCGATTAATTTTTGTTGATAATTTCTTCCATGTTTAAAAGGCATGGCTCTCATTCTGACTGATAACATCCAATAATGCAAGGTGGTAATTTGGAACCACTGACTGAAAGACATTGGTAATTTTAATGTTTGATAAAAGAATTTGGCAGTATCTGAAAGTGGTTCATTTGGATAATATAACCCTTGTCTTTTACATTCACCAAAATATTTTGAACCTGCTACTGAACCTGATCTAGCCTTGTCCATATCTAAATGAAAAACATTAATCACCATTTGACCTATCTTGGAACTGAATCCAGATAATTGGTAGTCTTTCTTTTCAAGTTTATTATCTGATAAAAATGCTGCTTTGGCTTTTGCTTGACGAGGACTAACTTTCAAATCTTGTTCGATATGGGGTAAAGTTGATTCCGAAGCTAACGATGAGGGTGATTCCACATCTTTCTGGTTTAATTTACTTAATATTGACCTAGTTTCGAATCTTAACAAGTTCGAACTACTAAGTGTTCTTATCTGTCGAATCATTATATACAATTAGAAGTCTGTGCGAAAAATTTTTTTTGCTTGTTCTGTTAAGGAGGTGATTTCTCTAATCTTACACAACAAGAGATTTGCTTAAATCAGAAGTAAATCCATTCTAGGAATGAGCGGAACAAGTAAGATAACCCCGATCATAATTTATATGACAGCTAAACTCCTTTAAACAATACGTCTACCAATAGCGTGTCAAATAGGATTTACGAATTACCGGATTCAGCAAGTTACAAGTGTCCCTTAGATTTGGCAATCTTTAATCTATGCAAACTTTCATATATAAACTCTGGTAAATCGTTCGTATTTTTATCGGCATCATAGAAACCTTGCTCATAATTACTTTCCTTAATATCCACACATTTAACAAGAATAGATTTACAAACCCAATCGATACCACAATCAAGTAATGTCAGGTAAATACAAATTTTCATTTTGCAATATATTATTAACGATCTTATGTATCATATCATTATGGGTAAACTACGTGATATTTGGATATCTACTTATCAATCATAGAGGAGAAATTCTTGACTTTATGGTGTATTATGGATTTCAAATAAAAGAAGTGAATTCGTTTTTTTGGTACAGTTCGGTAATATTGAGCCAAATCATCTTACATTTGATAGATTTTGATGGACCCGTGGGTAGTCTAATAACAGGGATGATAACCTTATGGAGCTTGAAACAAGGAATTGTAGAAATATGCTATAGTAGTTTGGTGGGAAACTGTGAAGAAGTAGTTTTGAAGAATATATTGAGTATGACTATAGTATGGATAAGCTTATGTATAGGAGCATTTGAAGATGAAACTGATGATGATAAAGAGTGGGTAGATGTATGAGATAATGTAGATAAATATATATGTATTCGTTAGGCATTAAATAATAAAAATGTGGGTTAGAGGATAAAGTTTGGGTTGGCATATCCACACAAGAGATGAAATAATTCCACCTCTTTAGTATCTTTGACGTAATTCCATAATTCCCCATCTGACAGATCGTTCTTGTAGAATAATTCTAACAATGTGTGTACAATTTTCTCGAAATCTTGAGCGTATTTGCAATCAATAAGCATTTCAAAGGCTTTGATCAAAGTTGATTCTTCAATGGTGAATACTTGATTCTTTATTATCGTCTTAATGAGTTTGTGTTTCTTTTTAATGGGTAATTTACTATCGAGGATATTTTCAAGAACAACATTGACATGGGTAAATTTGAAATTCAAGTTTGTCATTAATATCTTGATGGCAGTATATTTCGAAGGGGTTATAATATTAAAAGAATGGGGGAATTTTGGTACGGGAATACCAAATTTATAGACTCCGACTTCGGTTGTTTCGACTGCTTCTTCGGTCCCTGGGGTCTGAATTTGAGGTCCATTGCCATTAACTTCTTGTAATGATTGTGTTTCCAGTATAAGGGCTAATCTACTCATAGAATCATAATCAACTACGTCTGCTTTCAATCCTGCTTCCAAGACTTTTATTTTACTATCAATATATGTGGATCGTCTCTGTCTCTCTTGTTCGATATCGTCTAATCCTATGATGAAGAAATTGGAGAAATAATCCAAAGTTAATTGAAATGCTACTTGATATCGAAACACCTCAACATCTAAAGCTTGATCGTATTTCTTAAATAATGTTAAGATACGGTCGGTTTCTTGAACCTCGAAACTGTTTAATCCTCTTTCCTTGTACTCTTTGAGTAAACTGTCTAATTTGGGATAATGTCTGTTGATTCTTGTGTTCAAATGATGTACAAATTGATGAGATAGTATCTTTTCTATATAATATGCTCCCAAGTTTTCAAAGGAAAACAACTTATTGAGCTTGGAATTAGTCAAGTGTAAATGATTGTCTTTCAAATTTATGTAAGAAAAGATATTAAGAAGGATTTCGTTGGGGAATTCTTCAAGTTTAGTAATTTTTTTTACTTCACTCCTGGGTATCTCATCTTGATTAGTGTCAAATTCCACTTCCTCGGTAAATGTATTCTCTATTATTATCCTTCGCCTTTTCCTATTTTTGGGCGCCTTCTTCGAAGGTACCCTTACACTACGACGTGTACAGTCATAGAGCTTCCCTGGGGTAATAAATCCCATATCTGTTTAAGATGAGATATCAACTTTTTTATTTTGAATCAGGTTCCGCGCATTTCATATCAAAAGAGATACTCAGGGTTATTATAATTTCATTAAAATTTCAACAAAATAGAGAAATTAAGAGGTTTGACGAAAATAAATATCTATTATGACTAGCACAATTAAATTTTTCCAGCAGCTTTATCCTTGAATTGATCTTCGGTAACCCCTTTACCCATAGCAGCAGTAGAAGAAACACCACCAGTAACCATTTTCAACAAACCATCAATATATTCGGCACCAGACCATTTTTGATGTTTGACAACTTCAACACCCTTTTCAATTTCTGGTTGTTGAACTAATGATCCATAAGCTTTCATACCGATTTTACTGTATTGGTGACTGAAGTCATCGACAGCTAATGCAGTAGTATGGAGACCAGCTAAAGTGATAAATTGCCAGACGTAACCCAATTTACCTAATCTCTTGATGTAGGTTTCTTGTTCATCAGCTGGCATAGCACGGTTCCAGTTGAATGATGGAGATAAGTTATAAGCTAACCATTGTTTTGGATATTTTGATTTAATACCTTCAGCGAATTCTTTAGCTTGATTGAAATCTGGTAAGGCACTTTCCATCCAAATTAAATCACAGTATGGTGAATAAGCTCTACCTCTCATAACGGCACATTGGGTACCACCTTGGTATCTGTAATAACCTTCTCTTGATCTTGAAACATCCCAGTTGAAGTAAATATCTTTACCTAAGATTTCTTTAGCTAATTTTCTGGCTTCTTTATGAGAAGTTTCAGTTAATGGGCCAACTTTTGAAGTGAATTTGGCAATAGCTCCTTTCTTATCTGAAATTGATGATTCATTAATAGCATCAATAACGGCTTCGTGGAATAATTTCAAACCAGCTTTCTTGGTCCATTCATCTTCAATAGCTTGTAAAGCATCACCATAAACACCTTGAGATTCGGCTTCAGACATTAAAGAAGCTAAATCTGGAGAATCTGGATTGGTGGCACCTCTAACAAAATAATGATCTCTGTGATCAATAGTTGAAGTCAATAAAGTAGCAGCTTCAGAATCAGTTCTAGCGACACATAATAAATCACTACCTAAAATATCGGCAGAGGCTCTAATAGCGACTAATCTATTGATGTGTTCTTGAACAGGAACTAAGACTTTACCGGCCATATGACCACATTTCTTAGTACCTGGGGCTTGATCTTCAATATGAATACCAGCAGCACCTCTTTCAACAAATAATTTGGTCAATTTGATGATAGCGGTAATACCACCATGACCAGTATCAGCATCAGCAATAATTGGTCTCAAGAAGTCAGTGTATGGAGTTTTAGCTCTTTCAGCTTTACTCATATTTAATCTTTCTTCTCTTTGTTTTCTATCATGGAATAATTGAGCAAACCATAAATGTTCAACTTTATTTGGGACAGTATCGTAAGGATAATCAGCCAAATCTGGTGATGGTTCATTTGAAGTTGAAGCAGTAGAAGAACATTGCCATCCAGAAACATAAATACTATCTAAGTATTTAGCCATTTGTGAAACATGAACAGGATCTAAAGCACCAAAAGTGAAAGAAACAGTCTTATCTTTATCATGTTGTTCCAATAACTTGAATAATTTTTTAGCTTGGTTTGATGATGGATAATCAATTTTTAATGAAGATCTCTTTTTAGCAATATCTTCAGGTTTATAGATTCTTTTAGTTTTATGCCATCTTGCATCTTTCCACCAATTTTCGATATCTTTGATTTGTTGTTGGTAGAAGTTATCTTCTTCGTCAACGTTAATTTTAGTATAAGCCATATTCAGATTTATCAGACAAATAAACTATAGTGAAAAAAATATGGGTGAAATTAAAGGGTATTTATATGATTAATTTACCCCAGATTATTATGTCGGTCGCAGAATCCCTTTTGTCCATTTTTGATGAAATTTGTGTGAGCTCGGTAAAAAGGAACCTGTGAAAATGTCTTCTGATATTTTTACATGATTCATTCTTTGCTAAATTAGTCCAAACTTGAGTCATAGTAGATCAGTTAATACGTATTCCGGGGATCTTAGGAGGTTGATAATAGAGTAACAGAGATCTGATGGTACATGGAGTTCATTTACTTTTCAACAAGATCAAAACTTGGAGTAAAACTGACTTACCGTGGTTAACATACACATATGTTATTTGCAGAGGTTCCGAATCGGAGCCTGGAATGTCTCTCTTATTTTTCAAAATTATGGTTAATCGGTAAATCATTAAAAGTTTAACTCCTGATTTTCTTTAGACCGAGTGTGATGCAATTGAAAAATTGTGTAAGGCGGTGTACGGTTTACATGACTAATCTTGAGATAGTAATTGACAGTCCAAAAATGAACACCATGACACTCACATCGAATGTCAGCTGGTACATTCAACAGCTTTTCATTATTCGATTGCTCTGGAGTGTGAAAAATGATAGTCACATGACTCAAACTAATTTGATGTTTCTATATTGGATAGTAAAACACTTACTTCATATTATAGACCAATGTTTCCCCGATACTAGAAGTGAATAGTCTGTACCCGTATTTACAGAATTCGAAAGATAGCTTAGGTAATCAGTTCGGTTGCAAAATCGAAAACTCCAAAAAGTGGAGAAGTGGTTGCAAAAAAAAAACTAAAGATAGCAAATACCAGATCTGTTGGTTCCTTGACACACCTTCTGTATATCTATAGCACTAAAGGGAATTGACAAAAGGCAAGACAAGGTTCTAACAAGGGTGTCATTGAAAAAACTCTGGTGTTAAAGTCCGAAATTTTGTGGGTGTAGTCCGGGTACCTGACTGATAAGTAACATTACCTATTTATTTCATAAACAACATCTCATTCAATGTAAATTTGACGCAATTGTTCAAGTGTGTGGATAACAAGTCAGAAAACCTTAATCAGTGTCTTGTGATGATTTGAATGTTCAGATATTAAACCTCTGTCATCTCACGCATAAAATCGAAAATGTTAACGTTCCGGAATAGTTTGAAGATATGGGTCAATTCTTTGAAACTGGGGAATCTTCAAAAACTACAGGACGACTTGATAACATTACTGGTACCCAACTTAAAGTCTGGGATCGTAGTGAAGAACGAGAAGATCAAGATAGATAGTGAAAATCATATCAATGAAGTAAATTTTCAAATAACCAACAATGTTAATTCTCCTACCAAACATATAGTGTTCATCCATGGATATGGTGCATCGTTAGGATGTTTCTCACGTAATTTCAGTATGGCCAACTTGTTTACAGATTTAAATCATAACTACCATATTCATTTTCTTGATAACAAATCTTTCGGATTATCGTCAAATCCCAAAATTCCAGGGATAAGTAACTATATACCGAAGTGCCCTACCATCAAACTCAATGATGACCAACCTACGGATCCCAAAAAGTTATATAACAAGTATTACAAATTGGTGGATTCCTATGAAATCAATCCCAAAGAATTTAAAGATTATGAAGAAAAATTCAGTCCCATTTTGAATCAAATAGAGGATTATTACTTAGATGGTATCAAACATTGGAAGACCGCAAGAGGAATAGAAATAGACTACTTAGTGGGTCACTCATATGGTGGGTATTGGAGTGGAAGTTATGCCATTAAGAACGATGTTGGAAAATTAATACTTTTGAGTCCGGTTGGAGTTGAAAGACACGTCCATGCATTACCTGGGGTAAGACACATTGATCAATCTCAAGACACATTAGCTTTGAAACCATCATTGGATCCTTCTCAATACAACTTTTTGAGTAGATTCCCCATTTTGAAACCTGAAACCATTTCCAAATGGTATTTCCAGCCATACCTTCCACGTGTGCTCAGATACTTAGGGCCATTGGGCGTTCAGCTCTATTGGAAGATGTGGTATTCAAAATTAGCGAAAATAAATAAATTGAAGGAAAAACGTAAATCCGATGGAAAAACAGATCCTCAAAACGTGTATGGAACTGACAGGGAATTATCCTCAATAATCGAATACTTGTATAACTCAATCACTAATGGAACGATGTCAGATATTTACATAAAGTATCTATTGACCCCAAGTACAGTTAGTAAGATTCCCTTGTATGACAAATTCATGAACTTCAAAAACACTGACAACCGTTTTGGTAAGTTTAACATCCATTTTATTTATGGACAATATGACTTTATGAATGCTGAAGCAGCTGAGAAACTTGTCAGTGAATTAAATTCAGATGATGAAGTCGTGAAATTTCATAAAATAGACGAAGGGGGACATAATTTGTACATTGATAATCCTTTTGATACCAATAAATTGATTTATGATATCGTCAAAGCAGACGAGAAGTGATTTTTTATTTATTATATAGAACAATAGACCTAATTTATCCTATTAGTCTGCAGTCTAGCTTTATACCATGTTATTTATTCCTAAATAGTTCACCTCCCCACACATTGCGTTGGGTCTCGGTAAATCCGTAAGTGTCAAAAAAATCAACTTCCTATTTAGGAAATACTCAATATTTTATACGATGCATTTTAACCCAACTATTTCTTCATCTTTTTGTTTCTAAAAAGACAATTCGAAATTAACAAAAGATGAAGTTAATACTCATATTGTTGGTAACCGCAGTTCTTGGTTATGCACCTCAAGAAGTGAAATGTCCTTCCACTAATTTAATTAGATCAGGTGAAGATATATCCGAAAATGAAAAGAACTGGATAGACAATAGACGTAAAAAGACAACAGCTGCATTATCTGAATACATCAAAAATGTAGGATTAGATGATGATGCTGTTGATTTGGTTGAAAATTCGTCGATTAATATTGGTATTGCCTTGAGTGGGGGAGGTTATAGATCAATGTTGGTCGGAGTTGGGCAATTGGCAGCTTTGGATAATCGTACAGAAGTAACTGAAGGAAGTAGTTTAGGAGGTATAATGCAAAGTGCTAACTATATCAGTGGATTAAGTGGAGGTTCATACCTTATCGGTTCATTATCCTTGAACAATTGGCCCAGTGTTCATCAATCAGTTTTAGAAAATGATTTATGGAATTTAACTGAAGCAAATCAATTAGTCAACACTAATGGATTATGGACCGTTATATGGCCTGTTTTAACAGATAATCTTTGGGAAGCTTTATCCCATATCAACCATTGGGTCACCGGGAAAGATACTGGTATTAAATATGATTTACAAGCTAAAAAGGATGCTGGATTTCCGGTCACTTTGACTGATGCTTGGGGTAGAGATTTATCCTATCAATTGTTTAGTGAAGAGAATAATGCCGAAGATTTGAACTTTTCTGATATCCGTGATCAACCAGCTTTCAAAAACTACGATATGCCTTTCCCTTTCATCACTGCCATTGGTAGAGAACCAGGTACTATTGTTTACAATACTAACTCCACTGTATTTGAAATGAACCCATTTGAAATGGGATCTTCCGATCCATCTTTAAATTCTTTCACTGATATCAAATATCTCGGTTCAAGATTAAGTAATGGTACCAATAATGGTACTTGTGTAGCAGGATTTGAAAATGCCGGATTCATGGTAGGTACATCATCTTCATTATTCAACGAATATTTAGATACCTTAGTTTGTGATGATTGTAACCTGTTGAATTTTGCTGTTAAATGGGTATTAAAGAAATTCTTGACCTATTTATCAAACACCGGTCAAGATGTTGCTCAATACCCAAACACTTTCAAAAACAATTCATTCGGTACATCCAGAAAATTAGCTACCAATGATACTTTATACTTACTTGACGGTGGTTTAGCTGGGGAAGTAATCCCAATCACACCTATGATGACAACTCAAAGAAAATTGGATGCTGTATTTGCATTGGATAATTCACAAAATTGGCCTGATGGATCATCATTAATCACATCCTATGAAAGACAATTTACTGAACAAGGTAAAAATATGGTTATTCCTTATGTACCTGACCAAAAGACCTTTTTACATCAAAATTTAACCGCTAAACCAACTTTTTTCGGTTGTAGTGCTAAAAACTTGACAGATTTAGTTAAAGATGATGTCGTACCACCTCTTGTGATTTATTTACCAAACAGACCTTATACTTTCTGGACCAACATATCTTTATATCAATTCAGTTTTACTAATGAAGAAAAGAAAGCTATCATTCAAAATGGTTTTGAAACTGTTCTGAGACTCAATGGTACCATCGATGAAGATTGGCCAACTTGTGTTGGATGTGCTGTAATCAGAAGAGAACAAGAAAGACAAGGTATTGAACAATCAGAACAATGTAAAAAATGTTTTGAAGATTATTGCTGGGATGGTACCATTTACGAATCAGATGAACCTTATTATCCACCATTAAATTTTACGGATTCGGGGTTGACCAATGATTCGGTTACTTACGAAGGTTTTTCTAACGTCACAGCTTCTTCAAGTAGTTTGTTCCTGTTTTTCTAAAAGTGGAGTGTATATTTTTTAATCATAAATTTTAATCTTATATGTCTTATTGGTAGATAACGGATAAAACAATTCTCTGAGGCGACATTGATTTCATCGGGACATCCAACGGTCAAAATGCTCACTTTTACCAAAATTGAGAGAGGGCTGAAATTCACTTTTTTTTTGCACCCAAATATCAGAAAAGTGGCTTAGGTATGACTTGATAACATGTAGAATGAAGGTAGCATCATATCATGATCATAATGTGAAGAAAACATTAATATTTGACGAATTTTACTCTCAGGCGTAGTCCACTGGAAGTTCCATTGGAATCTCATCTCGATAAGAAATCAAGACTTCATTAATTCTTGGCTTATAGTTCAAATTTTTTTTGTATATGCCCGACAAATGTAAGATGGAAAATTATAAAAATCAGGATAAATCTTCTTTATTCGATAGACAAAGAATTTAGAAATGGAAATGGATGAAAAAAAAATCGGTTCTGAACAAGAACAATCAATCTCTTCTTATGAAGCCGGACAATCTGATAACGCCAAATTGGGGTTCATCAATACTATAGCTTCAAAATTGAAAGCTGAAACTAAAGGTATCGAATTAGTTACTGACGAAGAAAAAGTCGGTGATTCTTTATGGAATGCTGCTTCAATGTGGTTATCAGCTAATATGGTTATTGCAACTTATTCTTTAGGTGCTTTGGGTGTTACAGTTTTCGGATTATCTTTTTGGACTAGTGTTTTAACCATTATCTTCTTCAATATGTTGGGGGTTATTTCAGTTGGTTTCTTCTCCATTTTTGGTGCTAGATTAGGTTTAAGACAAATCTTATTGTCTAAATTCTTGGTTGGTAACTGGACTATGAGAATCTTTGCTTTAATTAATGCTATTGCTTGTGTTGGTTGGGGAGCTGTTAATATTATGTCATCTGCCCAATTAATCAGTATCGTGAATAATCAAGCTTGTCCTCCTTGGGTAGCTTGTCTTATCTTAGTTATCTTAACTATTTTAGTTACCTTTTTTGGTTACCATGTTATCCATGTGTATGAAAAATGGGCTTGGATTCCAAATGTTGCAATCTTTATTGCCATTATTGCCAGAATGAAAATTGCTGGAACTTTCACTGCTGGTGAATTTGTTAGTGGTACTACTACAGCTGCTGGAGTTTTAAGTTTCGGTGGTACTGTTTTCGGTTATGCTACTGGTTGGACTACTTTAGCTTCTGATTATACTGTTTACCAACCAAGAAACATTAATTCTTTGAAGATTTTCTTCAGTGTGTATGCTGGGTTATTAACTCCATGTATTTTTGCCATGATTTTAGGTGCTGCTTGTGCCACTGGTACTTTAACTAATGAAAGATGGGCCGAATTATACCATGAATATTCCATTGGTGGTTTAGTTTATGCTGTATTGGTTGAAGACTCATTAGGTAAATTTGGTGAATTTTTATGTGTTCTTTTAGCTTTATCAACCGTTTCAAACAACATTCCAAATATGTACTCCATTGGTTTATCAACTCAAGCTATTTGGTCAGGTTTGATCAAAATTCCAAGAGTTGCTTGGACTATCATTGGTAACTTTGTTACTTTAGCTATTTGTATTCCAGCTTACTACCATTTCGTCGAAGTTGTTGATCAATTCATGACTATGATTGGTTATTACTTAGCTATCTACGAAGCTATTGCTTTTTCAGAACATTTCTTCTATAACAAAGGTAAATTTTCTGCTTATGATTATGAAAACCATAAAGATCCAAAATCACATCCAATTGGTTATGCTGGTACTGTTTCTTTCTTTGCCGGTGTTGCTGGTGCCGTTTTAGGTATGTCCAAACAATGGTTTACTGGTCCTCTTGCCAAATTAATTGGACCTTTTGGTGCTGATATTGGTTTTGAATTATCATTTGCCTTCACTTTCGTTGTGTTCAATGCTTTAAGACCTTTAGAAAAGAAATACGTTGGTCGTTAAATTTTATAGAGCTTAAGTTTTATATAGGGATAATAAAGGGAATATTTGTAATTCTTATATCAAGATATCTAATAGTATTTAGATCCTCCTAACTCATTACCATCACCAAATGGATCACTTTCTGTGGTGGCATTTGTATCGGTTCTTTGCAATGTTTTATGAGGGGATGTCAAAGCTGGAGGTTTAGCTGGTCTTGGTGGTGGTGGAGACTTGGATTTTGGAATGGTAGTGCTGCTGGATCCAACTTCATTTATATGTATACGGTTAACATCTTCAGCAACCAGCTGAATTTCATCATCATATACTGACTCTTCTTCTTCAGAAGTATAATAACTTTCGTCACTACTCTCTTCATCGTAATTTGGTGCTGGATTCTCAGCAGTGTACCCAGCCAACATATCGTACTTTTTGAATACTTCTACTAATTGTTCATTAGCCACGATAAGACTTCCCAAGAATTCGTCATCCATTTGGACAATGTCAGCAGATTTTTCAGAAGGATCACCAACTCCCACGAATTGTAAATACTTCAATACCTTACGTCTGATTGATTTACATTTTTCAAATTCTTTACCCACCTTTTCATCATCTAAGGGAGAAACATTCGGAGGTAACGAAATTAAAAGATTACTTAATGTTGTAGTATGAGTATGACAATCAGATATTACTGTTCTAATCTTTGGAGCCTCGACTCTATAATTAATCTGAGGGATCTTGTACCTTTCGTCGGCATAAACGATACCGTTCTTGGATTTCTTTTTCTTTTTCTTATCTTTCTTGTCTTTGCCTTTCCTTCCAAAAGATGATGAGGTAGTAGGTTTGGGAGATAACGGACGCATTGGGGCTCTTCTTTCGTGATTTCTACTCATAGCCGGACTTGAAGGAGAAGGGCTTCTTATAGCACCTTCATCAGCAAACGCATCGACGGGATCTTCTATATCATCAGCCCTTGAGCGAGACCTGGAATGTGAGTGAGTTGCTTTACGTCTGGGAATATTCTTCCACAACGATGCTAAATACTTATAACCATCCAAATCAGCCAATTCACTTTTCCATCCAATTGATAAGTTCTTGACTGTGGTTTGGACATCTTTGTCATAACTTACTCCCAAACCTGTTTTACCTGAACCGGTGATAATTCCTTTCAACACATCCAACAATTTGTCATCTCTGGCAATTACCGGCCCAATTTTAGAGCCAGAATTCAATATTAATAACTCTAAGATATTCAATGCTCTTAATTGTTCTTCTACTGAATCACCATACTTAATCCTTTTCCTGATAGCTCTTGCAGCCTCACTTGGACCACTTCCTGGTTGTAACTTTATTAAATGAAGTAAATCGGAGACATATAACTCTAAAGTATTGTCAATCTCGTCATTTTGATGTGGTTTCGACAATTGGTCAATTTTTATTGTAATTGAAGTGTAAGGATGATCGTTGAATATTGGCATACTGATAACCCCTTTATCTCCAGAGTGAGATCGCGAACAATGTATAACGTGACGATGAATTCAAGATTGAATTTAAGGAGAGACTAAGTGACACAAGTACATCGAATTCTGATGTGGAATCTACACACAAAGCTCAGATGGTCTTGCTAAAGTATGTTCCGAGTGCATTCTCCTCACTATTGTTTAATTTCTGGTGGGATCACCCAATCATGAGGTAGGGCGAACTGCTTCCCAGTAAATGAAATCCTCGTTCAATCCTAACCTCTTGGCCTGTCAATCGTTCTATACAATTACGGGGTCACACGAAAGCTTATACTGATTACCCCAAAAAAAGGGTATTTTTAACATTCGCGATAAATTCTAACGTGACGTTTATGTATTGATGAAGATATGATCTAAGATGGAACCCAAATTCGATAGTAAAAGAGTATTGAAACTCTCAGCATTCCTCTTTGTCATCAGTGTAGTCTTGGTTTACTACATTTTTGAATTTGATGAATGGCTTGATGACAATGAATTAGCACATGGCAACAGCAAACAGAGTAAATTAGATGACGATTTGTATGTGAACAATCAAGACGATGTTAAAAAGTTGAATCATGTTGATAACGATGATAGCGGAGAGGATTCTATTCAGAGAGGTGGTCATAATGAAGAGCAAGATGACGATTTGAACGAAAGTAGTAAAAAGATCAATGACGATGACCACCATGACGACAATGAAAAGACTTCTGAGCATGTTCATGATGAAGGAAATAGCCAAACTCATAAAGTTTCTGGAAAGGGTCCTGAAAAGGGAGATTCTAAGGACAAACTCAATAATAAGTATATCAGAAACCCAACAGGAAGAAGATTAAGGTATTGATGTTCAATTCACAGATGCCTTACAGTCATAGAGTTCCTTCTGCTTTTTCTTAACTTCCGCTCAACTCATCCTAAGAGAACACACCACATTGTCATCTTTGTGGTTATAAATCTTCACCCATTCCATGTCTTTTGAGGATCTTAAAATACTAGTTCCCGGTCAATTTTCCCACAAAAAAAAAAGTCTTAATGCCTTAATACCACAAAGTTCATCTCAAGTTGTTCTTTACCATTTATGTACGAATATTATAATTAATTCATGTTAATCATCTTTATACTGTGTAATTACCGTTCTCTGAAAAATTCTCATCAAAAAAATTTTTCTCTATCAAAGAAGTAATAATGTCAAATAACCAAGATAATTTAGAGGAAAAGTTACAAAATACTTCAATTGGTGGTAACTCCAAGCCTGCCCAAGGATCCTTCAATCCTAATGCGGCTTCTACCTTTGTTCCAGGACAAAGTTACGGTGGCTATAATCAATATCAACCTAATCAATATCAACCAAATCATTATCAACAAGGATATCAACCAGATTCATACCAACAAGGTGGTTATCAACAATCATATGGAAGTTATAACCAATACCAACAAGGTGGTTACCAACAACCAGGTGCTTATCAATATCAACAAGGTGGTTACCAAAGTTATAACCCACAACCTGCTCAAACAGGTATGTCATTAGCAGATTTTCAAAAGCAACAACAAGAAAAACTTAATTCACAACCAGCCAAACCTAAAAAGACCTTAAAATTGGCCGGTAGCAGTACTATCAAATTAGCCAATGCTTCTAAACCAGTCAAAAAAGATGAACCAAAAGCTGAACCAAAAGCTGAACCAAAAGTTGAACCAAAAGTTGAAACCCCAGAACCTAAGGCCGAAACTGAAGCTGAAACTAAACCAGAACCAAAAGCTGAAGTTACAAAACAAGAATCCAAACCGGAACCAAAGAAAGAAGAAAAGAAAGCTCCTAAAGAATCTACTCCAGCTCCAGTTGAAGACATTGTTGATGAAGAAGTTGTCAGAGATTTGTTTGGAGGTAAAGATCATGTATCTATTATGTTTATGGGACATGTTGATGCTGGTAAATCTACTATGGGTGGTAATATATTATTTTTAACTGATGCAGTCGATAAAAGAACTGTTGAAAAATATCAAAAGGAAGCTATCGATGCTGGAAGACAAGGTTGGTACTTATCATGGATTATGGATACCAATAAAGAAGAAAGAAGTGATGGTAAAACTATCGAAGTTGGTAAAGCTTATTTTGAAACTGAAAAGAGAAGATATACTATTTTAGATGCTCCAGGACATAAAATGTATGTTTCAGAAATGATTGGTGGTGCTTCACAAGCTGATGTTGGTATTTTAGTCATCTCTGCCAGAAAAGGTGAATATGAAACTGGTTTCGAAAGAGGTGGTCAAACAAGAGAACATGCTTTATTAGCTAAAACTCAAGGTGTCAACAAAATTGTTGTTGCTGTTAATAAAATGGATGACCCAACTGTTAATTGGTCAGAACAAAGATATAAAGAATGTACTACCAAATTAGGTATGTACTTGAAAGGTATTGGTTACAATAAAGATGATATTGTTTATATGCCAGTTTCAGGTTATACTGGAGCAGGTTTGAAAGATAGAATCAAATCGAGTGAATGTTCATGGTACAAAGGACCTTCTTTATTAGAATGGTTAGATAACATGAAAACTGTTGACAGAAAAATTAACGGACCTTTCATGTTACCAATTTCTGGTAAATTAAAAGATATGGGTTTGGTTATTGAAGGTAAAATCGAATCTGGTCATGTTAAGAGAAATCAACAATTATTGATGATGCCAAATAAAGCTAAAATCGAAGTCACAACTGTTTATAATGAAACTGAAGAAGAATGTGAACAAGCTTTCAGTGGTGAACAAGTAAGATTGAAAATCAAAGGTGTTGAAGAAGAAGATGTTCAACCAGGTTATGTTTTAACTTCTCCAGATAAGCCAGTTAAAACTATCAGTAAGTTTGAAGCTCAAGTTGCTATTGTTGAATTAAAATCTATTTTATCAAATGGTTTCTCTTGTGTTATGCACGTTCATAATGCCATTGAAGAAATAAAATTCGTTGAATTAAAACATAAATTAGAAAAAGGTACCAACAGAAAATCAAAGAAACCTCCAGCATTTGCTAAAAAGGGTATGAAAGTCATTGCTGTTTTGGAAGTTGCTGCTCCTGTTTGTGCTGAAAGATATGCCGATTATCCTCAATTAGGTAGATTCACTTTAAGAGATCAAGGTGTTACTATCGCTATTGGTAAAATCACCAAAATCTTAGAATAGATTCCTCAGTAATATATTTTTTATTTCATTGAACTTCAAGAATATCCTCAAAAATCTTGATTAAATTCTCTACTCCTTGCAAGACGTTATCATCGGGCCCCTGTCCAGGGACGAATGTAGCATGAGCAAAATCAATCATGTTCAAAGAGGATAATTTCTTTATAGTTTTCTTGTGTGGGTTTTCATTATCGTCATCATCATCGTCATCATCTTCTTCTTCGTCATTTTCGTTAATATCGAATTTGTCACTGATTAAAGGATCAAATTCTTCAGGATCTTCAACGCGTCCTAAAATTGTTGGATTGTTCTCTATTATGAAAAGTAATGAACCTGATATGATTCTTACCTCATAGTCTAGGAGACAATTATAAAGTAATTGTAATCGTTTATAAAATTGTTCGAGATAATGATATTGGAATTTTTCGTCAACAGAATTACTTATGAATAATCTTAACGCATCAGGAACAGTTCCGGGAGTCAAAGACCTTCCGAAAATCTTATTGAATTTAAGATAGCCATCATCTGATTGAACCGTCTCATCAATTTTGATAGCATCATTTTTGAATTTCGACAAATCGGGTAATTTTTCATCTTTTTGGAATAGCTTCATTCCACATATCCTAAATCCCAAACTACCACTGGTAGTTGATTGACTTACTTTGTGTAACCTTTCAACTTTCTCTGGTGTAGCTAAATCATCGGTAAGAACGCTTCCCAATTTAATATCCAAAATACTAGGACTGACAAAATCCTCGTATAGATTACTTAATAAAATATATTTCTTATCGGTCGAGACTAAACCTTTAGGTGGAATGAATTTTGATGCCACATTCATCTGATCAAAATCCAAATCCAAAGGTTCATCAAGCTGATTCTCTGTTAAATCACCGAAATATGAAGGTACCCAGTTACTTAAATAATCTCCAACATATCCTGATTGATCATCTTGATCTGTAAACGATTTAGCCTTTTTATTATCGAATTCTATCAATTGACTATAAAAACTTGACTCTCTATCATTGCTGGGTTTAGCAAATAATCCTTTAGCTATTAAACATCCATCATGACCCGCAACTTGATGTTGCGATGGCTTGAAGCTCATTATATCACAACCTCTAGACGAACCGCAAAAAAAATTCGCATCACTGCCTTTGTGAAACACGAAATTTCTCAAAACTGTCGAGTAATTCCTTTCCTTAAAATCTATTTAAATAATTCTTTATTTAATTTTCGAAATTGATTAAAGTCTATCACTCGATAAATACTAAGTCAATTAATTACAACCATCTTATCACAAAAAATCCCTAGAGTTTTTTAAAGAAAAAGAGTTAATTGAATATTTCAAATAATTAAATTGTAAACATCAAAAGGAAGTTAAGGAAATAAAAAATTAATATATCAATATGAGTAACCCTTACGGATATGAAATGAATGATTTGAAAGGATCAGATCAAAATGATTTTGTTGGATTTATGAACGAAATTCAAGATATCAATAATCAATTAGATCAATATGGTAATTTAATTTCATTAATCAGTAATAAACAAAGAAATTTAATACAAGAAATTGAATTAAACACTGAAGATAGTGAATATAATAGTAGACAAGTTGATTCATTAATTGGAGAAGCCAAAACTTTACAAGATAATTTAAAATCAAGAATTAGTTCAATGCAAGTTTCATCAGTTCATAAAAATGAAAAGGCAAGAATTGATCAAATTGAAAATTGTAGACAAAGATTTTTAGAAGAAATTCAAGAATATAGAATCATTGAAAATCAAAATAGAGAACAAACCAAATTACAAGCTGAAAGACAATATAAAATTATCAAACCGGATGCTTCAGAACAAGAAATTAGAGCTGTTGTTGAAGATGGTTCAGATTCTCAACAATATTTCCAACAAGCTTTAATGCAAAGTAATAGAAGAGGTGAAGCCAGAACTGTTTTAAATGAAGTTCAAACTAGACACCGTGAATTATTGAAATTAGAAAGAACTATGGCTGAATTAACTCAATTATTCCATGATATGGAAGAATTAGTTATTGAACAAGATCAAGCTATTCAACAAATCGATGAACAAGTTGCAACTGCTCAACATGATATTGAACAAGGGGTCGGTCACACTAATAAAGCTGTTATCTCTGCTAAAAAAGCCAGAAAGAAGAGATTATGGTGTTTCTTAATTTGTCTTATTATTGTTGCTATTTTAGCCGTTGTTTTAGGTGCTTACTTCGGTACCAGATAATCTTAATACCATGGATTGTATGCCATAGAATTGTTTAATGTAAAAGTAATTTATACCTTTATGATTCCTATCATTTTTTCACTTGTTGGTTTACTTCTGTTTTACCTCTTTTTGAGTTATGTATCTTTTCGTTCTATCCTTTCGACTTACGTTATTTCCTGTTTTGTCCTATAGCCTGGGTTCTTTCTGCTCTTCGGTCACACCTACCTTACCATGATTAAAGTGAATTTTAAGAGAAATTTGCGATTTTTACATTTTTCATCTATTTGACTACTAAAGTTTCACCATTTGAATTGTTCGTGATCACATCAATAACTTTCTCCACAACTTTCTCCATATCCACAGATTCAATATCCAGTTTCACTTTTGCACCCATGTCAGTCCCCCTAATAAGTCCAGGTAAGATCGAATTCACTCGTACTTTACCTTTGAACTCATTTGACAAGGAAGTAGTGAAAGCATCCAAACCAGATTTCAGTGCACTGTAAACTGAAGTTCCCGGAAGTTTGTATTCTGGTAGTGATAATATGGAACTGATATTTATTATCACTGGTATTTTAGTCGACTTATTCTTCATCATTGGTTTGTAAGCTAATTTGGATAGTATTATTGGCACGGTTAAATTCAATCGTATTGTGTCTTCTATTTCTTTGATATCGGTACGGGCCAACAACAGATAGTTGGTCATCCCAGCACAATTGATTAAAACCGAGCATCCTTCAAATTCTGGGCCTAATGTGTTCAAATCATCGTTTATCAAATCGAATGGTATGACTTTATGTAGATTACTATTGGGTAGCTGGGAAATATTTGACTGTAACATCGACCCATCTCTAGATATGAGAGACAATTGATAGCCTTCATGAGCGAGTCTTTGAGAAATGGCTTTACCCAAACCTCTTGAACTTCCTGTTACTATAGCTCTCATCGCGAACTTTTACATAGATAAGATTTCCAATATATTAAATAATTAGCGAAAGAATATACATAAAATCAATTATCAAGACAATTTTGATTGAAACAACCAGTTGCATCATCAACGGAACAATTGAATTTGGAAGTTTCACCATAGGCTTGATCAGAAGCTAAATTGGAATTAGAATTGAAAAATTCTGGTTGAATGGTTGCAGAATGGATGTTAAATTTATGTAAGATTTCTCTTACTTTGGCAACAGTGTTAACAAACTTCAGTTTTTCAAAATTATCATCTTCGAGTCCCTCTGATAATTCAACATGTAATGAAGCGATTAAAATATCTTCGTTCAAATTCCATAAATGGAAATCATGAACAGATTTGATATTACTAATGGTTAAGATAGCTTCAACTACTTCATTAGTATCAATGTATGTTGGTGAAGCTTGTAATAAGATCTTACTACTCTTCTTACATAAAGGTAAAGCAGATGAGAAAATAATGACTGTGATGATAAGGGAAATCAAAGGATCACTATAATATTTCCAAGACCAATTGGTTTTCCAAATAATCAAAGCAGCTACGATAACTCCAATGTTACCTAATGCGTCACCTAAAACATGTAAGAAAACACCTTCCATGTTCATACTTTTCTTCTTTTTACCATGATTTTGGTGATCAAAATTATCTACTACGTTTTCTGGCATATATTGTCTAAGGTCACCAGTGGAAGCATTATTACTATTGCTCAACAATGGGGTGAACTCAGAACTGTTGGCTTTTGGTGTACTGGTACCAATGTCACTGTGGCTATGAGAATGTCCTTCGTGATCATGTTCTTCTTCATTACTATGACTATGAGAATGAGAATGGGAATGTCCATGTTCGTGGAATAAAACTAAACCAATCAAATTACTTGCTAAACCAGCAAAACCAACAGCTAAAACCAAAACTGGGGATGAAATTTCTGGAGGGCTGATCAATCTTTGTATAGCTTCAATAACAATAGTGAAACACAAAGCCAATAAAAAGACAGCATTAACTAAAGCCCCCAAAATTTCAGCTCTTTGCCATCCATAAGTATATTTACCATCAGCAGGTTTGGTATTCTTGACTTTAACAGCCCATAAAGCAATAAATAATGAAATAATATCATTTAACATATGAAAAGAATCAGCCACTAATGCTAAAGAGTGTACTGAGTAACCAACAATTGCTTCAATAAGGAAGAAAATGGTATCCAATACCAACAAGGAAATGATCCTGATTTCTTTACTTTTCATGTTAATCCGATGACTTTGGTTGGAAAAGGGTCAGAATTTATTAATTAGAAATCAATGTTATGAGATGATACTTCAGTGCGAAATCGCTTAACTGAGTCTAACCACCCGAAAGGGCGTTTACTTATTATGTCTCAGGTTCCGACTTTGCTTACCAATCCCTTAACAAAGCCCTTATTGACAGCAAGTCAACTAAAGAAGGTAGAGTCGGAAATTAGGTGAGAGATTTGTGAACGGCTTCTAGATGTGGCTGTCTCTTTCTAAAAATAGTCTCCCGAAAAACTTATTGCATGTGCTTGTTGAAGAAGCATCTGTGACTACCTTAATATCATCTTAAGTTTACGGAAGATCGTGGGTGACTGTCAATTTGATTCCTGTATCTTGGTGACACATCCTGCCTTTTCTGTATATACCTTGGTCGTTATTTAAGCTTTTTCGCAAATACACTCTTAACCCTACGGGCCGTTAATCATGCACAGGTTAGAAGAGATACGAAGAATTAATGTTGATATGCATTAAAAAAGTCATAAATCATTATTTTGAAGATCCCAATAAGTCATTAAATGAAATTTTTTGACCTTCATGATTTGAGGGTGAAGTTGTTCCGGGAGGAACTTGTTGGTGTGGCTGAGGATGAGGTTGATTTGGGTTGGGTGGTGAATTCATAAAGTATGGATAATAATATCCAGGAACCTGCCCTGGAAATTGATTCATCATTGGCATTGGTGGGCCAAGTTGTTCTTTAGATGGTTGTTGAGGTAATTGAGTGTTTGGGGGTTGTTGAGGCTGTTGAGTATTTGGGGGTTGAGGCATATTCGGGTTCATCATCATTGGTTGGGGATAATAGTAATATGGGTAATTGGGCATTGGATGTCCTTGAGCTGGTGGCTGATTTGGATATCCTGGCATTGGCACTTGATTTGGATTTCCTGGCATTGGCATTTGGTTTGGAATTGGTATAGGTTGTTTTTGTAAATTACTTGCACTTGGTTTTGGAGATGACTTAAATGTAGGTTTAGGTAACTTTAAAGCTTCAGGTGATGAATGAAAAGATGAACCAGCATAAGCGTCGACTTTTTTCTTATTATCTTTCTTCTTCTCTTTATCATACTTTCCTTTGCTTTTCTCATCATCATTGAATACAGGTTTTGAACCGTCTGGTAATGACGGTTTATCTTTAACTTTACTATTTTGACGACTGTGATTCTTTTTCTTATTACCGAAATCGACTTTACCTCCACTCGGTAATCGTCTATCATCCCCTGTTATAGGGGGCAGTTGAACCATCATTGTAGAATCAAATAAAACGTTGGGAGTTTTGACTCAGTGCGTGAGATTTTTGGTACACCCACTCAGGATAATTGCTTACGTAATAAGTCAGAGATATGCATTATTATTCTACAAAAATCACATCAATCATTTAGTATTAATGACCCACCAATGACACTCATTCCTACCAAGGTCCATACAACAACAAAATTTGGACCTCTATTGAAGCCTATGGCTGATCCAAACATTGTTAATGCTACCACTGTCAAAAATCCTGAAGTGATTGACATGATTATACCAAATACAAAATTCAAATCTTTGATATTGTAGTGGCTCACTTTGAGGAAGCTCATACCCAAAACACCTCCTAATGGTTGAGAAATACCTCCTAAACCTCCTCCAATCAAAATCGATTTCAATTTTGCATATTTACTATTGGGAGAATTGGAAAATGAATAATATAATGGCAAGCACATTGAAAATCCTTCGATGAAATTATGAACCAAAAGACTCAAAAATATTTCTAATCCTAACCTTGAGTCAGCTTCTGATGTGACGAATGTAATGAAACCTTCAGGTAATTTGTGTAAGGTAATTGCAAGGGTGGTTTGAATACCAATCATCAATAATCTTGAAATTGGCGTTGATATATGATGATGGTGATCCGAATGAGTTGATTTGGCACCTTCGTTTTGGTAATGGCTATGGTTATCTATTTGATGGTGAGAATGACCATGGGAATGATGATGCTCTAAGTGGTTGTCATGATCTGCTTGTTCGTGTTCATGATGTGGCGAATGGACTTCTCTTGAATAAAGTGAATGTACGGAATGGTTATCATTATCATTGTCGCCTTTCAAAGATACTGGCAATTCACAGTAATGTAATTTTTTAACATCGTTAACACAGATCTCTGCTGAAGAATAGCCTTTGCATTCTCCAACATCTTCTTTTCTGAATAAATGAATCAAAGAGAACTTCTTCTTGATTTGTGGCATTAAAGGTGTGTTCTCGTCAACGTGTATAATTTCTTGTTCCTGATGTTCATGATCAGCAACCTTAGAATGATCATTATCGTCATGATTGTGACCATGTTCGTGATCATGATGTCCTCCCTCTAAATCATGACTACAATGAACTACTGATTCACTGGTAATCATATGCAATATACCATTCAACAGTAAGCATAATGCCAATCCGAATACGAATGATCCCACAAGATAAGCATTCAAATGACCTTTCAAACCAGAATCTTCAAAATAAGCATACCCTTTAGGTAATAGCCTATATAAGGAGGTGAATATCAAACACCCACTACTGAAACTTAAAGAAGCTATTAAAAAACTCAAGTTTTCATTCAATTTGAATGGATGGTCCCTTGTAAACCGTGACGGAAATATCCAATTATATAGATCATCAATAAAGATTACAAAACATCCTAATATACATAACAATGACGATAAGATAGTCAAGGACCATGCTTGCCCAAGATTATCCCAAAGATCATTAAACAATTGTAAAATCAGTGTCATGATTAATTTACTGAGGTTGTGATTAATGGATGCAAATGTGCGAAGACCTTGGTGGTTCATGATCTATCACCGATAAAGGAATGCCCGTCGTCAATTGATAAATCTCATTGTTCCAATAGGAGAAGTTAAATAGAGGAAACACAAAATGTATAAATATATTAGTCTCCTTTATAAGTTTGTAAAGGAATATCAGAATTATGCTGTGGTAAGTAACCATTGTTTTTCTTGAATGGAATTCTTCTATGATTATGATTTTTGCCTGCAGCTTTTCTTACTTTTAAATCACTCAAGTCAACCTTGTTATACATAACAAAGCAATACATACAGAAAGCTAAGAAGATTACAACAGTGGGGATACCCATAATAGCAAAATATTTTTCATAGTTTATACCGTCTTCAACTTCAACTTGCAAATGAGGATTCTTTTGTTTCTCTTCCAACAATTTCAAATCTTCGTTATGATGTTTGTAAACATTACCAGGACGAATGATTTCCAATACCAAAGAATTCTTTAAAAGATCAAAATCCTCGTCAGAAATATTATCTGGTTGAATTGATAATAATACTTTTCTTTCCATTTGTGAATCGTCTTTCAAGAAAGATTCAAGAACATCAATAGGAAACATACCTTGATCGTTAGAAACCCAATCTGATTTCCAGAATGATCCCGCAGTGATAGTACCACCATTTTCCATAATGGCTGATCTTTTTTCCTTTGAATCTTCATCTCTTTTCTTCAATCCGTGGTCACGGAGACTTGGTTTGACACCAGATAAGTGAAACCTGACAGTTTTGGTTTCGAAGAACTTCGAATACCAAGTAATGAAGTATGATTCTCCAGCTTTCCAAACGGAATTGTCTTTTGGGAAACAAAATGGTTCTGATAACATGTTCTTAGTTAAACCTTTCTTGAAATAAGAATCTGGAGTACATCTCATGATTGGATTCAATGAATGATAAGTGTCATCGTCTTCGATCCACTCGACCTCAGTATGAGTTTCATCGTCAGCCATATTATGAGCTTTCAATTCTTCTTTGGTATAGACTACAGTTGTGGGAGTAGCAAACCAGGTACCGTATGTTGGCGAAGGATTTTTGGTATGGCCGTTCTTCAATTGAGGTCTGATAGTTTTAGGTTTACCATTTTTTTGTAAAGAAATCCATCCTTCTAAACCGTTGGTCTCTTTGGGTGGTTTGGCACTCAAAGTTACACCGGCAACAACCGTCGGAACAACTCTTTCCACAACACTACCATAAATGGTTCTAATCCATGGAGAAGGATAATCACTTAATGAAGTTCCTGATCCATGAAATTTTGCTTGGGCGTCAGCCAATTTCTGACGTTCTTTTTCAATAGCATCAGCATTAATTCTCTTCTCCAAATGAGGATCTGGTGGCAGAGTGATCAATGGATCACTTATATCCATGACACCATCAGGGATAGTCACACCGTTAATTGAAATAGCTAATGCTAAGGTATTCAATATATGAAATAACTTCATTGATTCGATATGATTTCGCGTTCCTACATAACCGTGAAGATCTTGTAGCCAATATGTTCCGACATACTATGTCTTGCATTATTGAAGTGGATATGATCAAGTAGTCTAAGTAACCACAAGAGATAATTATATAAGTTAGAGAAAATGTCAATTTCAATATGGAATGATAGTAAAGACGAATTTTATGGAAAAAATAACGATATCATACCGTGAAACTTGTTTGATCTTTGGCAAGAAAATTCCATCATTGAATACATCTATTAGCGTAAACATGAAACTATGCTAAGATTGCCATCAAGAGTCAAAAGAGGACTGTGTAAGCAAAATGTACTTATATTTTTATGGATGAGAAATTTTCAAAAATTCAACGAGGCCGAAATTTGAGACAATTTATAGTGAATCTCATTGAGAAGATTTGGTGATTGTGAGGAATTACAAGGCTTGATAGGTTTTAATTGATCATTGAATGATTTTATGTGATCCAGACATTGTTGATAGAACTCCTCATGATTTTGTATGATTGATAATAAAGATTTGTCAGGTAAATCAGAACTTAATGTATGAATATAAGCTAATAAAAGGATATTCGATCTGGTTAACCCTAATTGATTTACCTTATAAATCTCGATGATGTCTCTGAGGATATTGTCCAATAAACTGCAAGCTCTGAATAGATTTTTTGATTCTCTAATGGAAAGTTTCTCCTTGTTTTTGGATAACAATTGTTGTTCATGTAGTTTACTCAAAGGAACAGTCTTATCTAAATCATCATCATTATCACCAGTCCCAAAACCTAGGAAGCCTTTTGGTTTCCCGATCCCTATCAATTTTACTTCTTCTTGAGCTATATTATAAAACTTCAAAGGTTGGTTATACATCATAGGAAAGGGTAAATAATTCTTGAAAAGCTTCCTAGTAACATTTTCATAATTTGTGGTAACTATGTACAAGTTATATTGATTTATTAGACGAAGTTTGTTCTCAATAAGATTGATTACAGTAAGGTCTATTAACAGGTGAGCTGCCGATAACCTCTCAGGTGATGTGAAAGCTGAATGATCAATATCAAAGTTGTCACAGATAAATTGTGATATTTCTATATAACCTTCATATTGATCTTTACCATTCAATAAAACAGGTAATTTCCCTGACTTCGATAAGTTAGTGTTACAGGAATTTATCATATCTATACCTTCTACCATACTGGCCAACCAACAGGTGGCAAGACATTCAGGGGATATTATAGATACGGTATCATCACCCCAAATATGTAGTTCCATCATCACTAGAAATTCGCAATTTTCAACTATGAGTGTCTTCATTGAAAAGAAGAAACGATTGTCCAATGATTCAATCAGTCAACTTGAAGATGAGTTGGAAGATAATCCTTTAGATTACAATAAATGGATAAAGCTCATCAAACAAGTAATGGTGAAGGATAAGGAAGAACAAATAAGAAATGTCTTTACCAAGTATTTAGACATTTTTAAACTCGATGGTGAACAATGGTGTAAATACATAAATTTCGAAATAGGTAAAGGAGATTTCAAGAAAGTAGAAGAGTTATTTGCCAAATGTATAACCACTGTGGACAATGTAGAATTATTCAGGTTATATGTATCATATGTTCGTAGAGTAAATGATGTTATTACTGGAGGTGAGAAAGCCAGAAGTACAGTCATACTGGCTTTTGAATTCAGTGTTAACAGAGTAGGTATTGATGTTAAGAGTGGAGAATTATGGAATGATTACTCAGAGTTCTTGAAAAGCTGGACACCATCCCAATCATGGGAGAAACAACAAAAAATCGATTTAATAAGAAAGCTCTACAAAAAGTTATTGGTAATTCCCACCGAGAAAGTTGAAAGTATGTGGTCAACATATACCAAATGGGAAAACGAAGTCAATTCTTCTACTGCATCTCGTTTCATTGCAGACAAATCTGCTGAATTCATGGAAGCCAGAGCTTGGAATATTGAATGGAATAATATCACTGACAAATCATTATCCAGGAAAGTCTTACCATATGGGTTAGATGATAGTGATAAAGACAATAGGAAGGAAATTGAACAGCAATTACAGTATTGGTACAAATGGATAGAGTTCGAATCCAGAAATAATCTTAATTTGAAAGATGATGACCTATTGAATAAGAGAATTGAGTACGTTTACAAGCAAGCTATAGTATCATTACCATTTGTGCCTGAACTATGGTATAGATATAATCAATTTTTAATGAATGGTCCATCAACAGAAGATAGCAATAGTCTCAACATGAACATCGATATCTTATCCCAAGGTTTGATATTGAATCCTAAAAGTTATTTGTTAAGTTTCCAGTTATCTGAATTATATGAGAAAGAGACAAATTTGGCAAAGGCAAATGAAGTCATTAACAATCTTGTGAATAAACTCATTCAAGACCATAGTCAAATAATAAAACAAATCGAAGAAATCAATGACAAATCCATTGTCAAGACTCAAAATATCAACGGAGATGCTGATAATATGGATGAAGACGATGTAAATAAACCAAAACCAGGATACTTCCTCTCGGAGCATGATATTAAATCATTGAAGGATTTGAAGTTAACAGAAAAGGAGTTAAGTAGAAACATAACTTTAGTATACACCAAACTTATGATGACCAATAAAAGATCAAGTGGAATCAAAGAATCTAGACAAATCTTCAAACAAGCAAAGAAATTTGCCAATATTGGTTTCGAGTTGTATGTGGAAAATGCATTGATGGAATATTATTCCGATAATAAGAAGACTGCTAATAAAGTGTTTGAGTTAGGGTTGAAAACCTATGGTACCAACGGGAAATATTTATTGGCCTATTTGGATTATTTGATTATGGTGAATGAAATTGAAAGCATCAAAGTTTTATTTGAAGTGTCCATCACCAACTTATTAAAAGAAATTGAGGATCCTGAAGGTGTTGATGATATGGATACTCCAGTATGGATTAAGAACGAAAACCTCGAAAAAATCAACAATCATAAATACTTTATCAAAAGGTTGATTAAGAAGTATGGTAAGTTCGCCACCAAGTTCTTAGATTTAGGAATTGTTACCAGTTTAGAAAAGAGGTTTAAGAAATATTTCCCTGAAGATGATGAATTAGAATTATTTAGATCAAGATATTCATATGATTCTATTGACTTGATTAAATATGATTTAGGTAAATCTGTCAAGTATATAGAACAAGACACCAGAGGTGACATTGATCAATTTTTCGATTATGATGACGAGACATTTGACAAGAACAAAAGAAGAAAATTGGATTTACCTTCAAAACCTAAGGAAACTGCAGTTGCAAATCAACCTGTTATTGAAACTCAAAACGGATTCATTGGTGAATCGATCTATAACTTATTAAGAATTTTACCTTCAGCCAGTTACTATGGTAATGTTGAAGATCATGTATTTAATAGTAAAAAGTTGGTGGAATTATTTAATTCCTTGGATGATATTAGAAATCAATAATTAATGTATATTACAATTTGGTATAGTATAAACTGAAATTCCTTTAAAAATGGAATTCAGACTCGTTATCTTCTTTTTCTCTTTCATGAGCATCTTCATATTTAGGTAATCTGGATGAATCGTCGGTGAATTCACTTTCATCATCAAAATATTCGTCTTCGGTATCAATTGAACTTTGATCGACAGATTGTTCAGCGGTGATAATTGATCTCACTTTGGCTGGTAATCTATCAGGTCTATAAAATCTTAAATCAACCCTACCAACAGCATAAATGAAAACCAAGAGTCCTTCAGCCGCACCCCATATAATATACATGGCAATAGGGTTACAGAATGCTGAACTGTCTTTAGCATATCTAGCTTGAAATACTGGTACGGCTCTTAATAATGAACCTATGAATAACACAAATGTGGATATACAAACAATGGTTAATGAAACATTATGGGTCAATGAACCTCTTTGGTTGGTTAACCCTTCAACCATGTTGTAATGATGATGAGTAGCTGCAATGACTCTTACCGCATGTCTATGATTATGATTTCTCTTCATAAAGGTTTCTTCGGCATTTTTGGCAGCATTCTTTGGAACAAAATAAAATGGATGGAATGACTCAATCCACCATGGTTGATATGTGTATAAGTTTTCATCTTTTCTAGTAGGTTTGAAGAAATATGACAACCCCAATAACGAAATAGCTGTTAAAGTATACAAAACAACCAAAACAGAAGAAGTTTGGTTGACTTTTATAAATTGTTTGTAATGAGCTTCCGACAAAAGATGAATGTATGGGAAGAAAGCTGCCATAATGGTCATAGCAACGACCCCCAACACTATAGCATAAAGTGTCAACATAACACCCCAGAATAATTTTCTTGAACCACCAACTGGATGTCTCCAAGTGAAAATTCTTTGAGCTAAAATCAAATTGAATGAAACAAGAATAATAGAAGGAATGATTAACATCACTTCACTTGTTAAACCAATAGCTGTAATACTTAAATCTCTTTGCCATACAATTCTTAAGGAGAAACCAATAATCTTCAAAGCACAATAAATTATGTAAGTTAATGTGATCCAAAAATAATGACCTCTGGACATGTTGATAATGAAGATTATTGTATGTAAAATGAATAAAAATGCAAAAACACCTACAAATATGGCACTGGGTATAACGTCTTTCTTATGTGGATAGTCACCAAAGATATTAATTTGATACATTGCTTGATAATCTACAAATACTTGAGGAATAGGTCCCAAAAGATTTCTTGCTTGATTTCCTAAGACCAATTGTCCAGTCCCTAAGGCAGGATAGTTTTGTTGATACCGAAGTAATTGCATTATACCATGAGTGGCAGTATAATTAAGTTCTCCCATTTTTGAAGAATAAGATCGATCAAGAAACTTTATTGAAGAAACTTTTATTTTGCAAAAACTTAATGATATCTAGTTTTTCTGTCAACCCAAATTCCCCTTTAAGGTAATTAATAGAGTGCATGAAAACTACGCATTTGGGAAATTTCAAAAACACTCATCTGAGAAAAACTTCCTGTTTAGGCAATGGATTAATCTTGAAGTCAATTTACTTGCTTCATTGGGTCCAATCGTTACGGCTCAATAAAGATGTTTCATATTGGCGTAACAAAGAGGAACAACGAAAAGGATTCAAATGGAACCGGACTCCTATCATTGGTATAAGAATGTAGCCACCAACATACCGATGCGCAGGTCTTTAGAAACTTCCACCGAAAGACCCCAATCAACTCAAACCCGAGGTTTCTTAAGGTTTGACAAAGGTTCTTTCCGAAGGGCTTATGACATGTATTTCCTAGGCAAATTTAGAGTATACGATCAGTTGCCATGTCTGCAAAAATCCATAACGATGTGACATGTGAATATTTCCGTTAGTCCCAAACTCATTTCTGATTGATAAGTAGTAGTTACAACAGTCTTCATACAAAGCTATATCATTTGGAAGATATTTTCATCAAAGCTCAAGACTTCTATTACTTCACCTCCGTCTACTTCAAGTTCGCATCAAATTCATACGCGTTATGCCTAGTGTAGATTTAGAATATTCGAAAGTTGTTCCAATATTGGATCAAACGATAAAGAACGATAGTATCATTTCAACACCATACGGGCTTTCAATTCTAGAAATACAGGGGGTTCTCAATCTACCTTCTGAACCTCATGGCGATGCTGAATTTATAAAGGTTGACGAAATCTATGATGCGGTCAAATTTGGTAGATTACAATTTGATGAAAAAAATGAAAAGAAGGTGACATTGTTCGTAAGCAATTCCCAGAGATTGTTGGGAACAATTGAAGATCTCGATGTTCCACTCGGGGTGTTAAAGATTCCTAATGAAGAAAGCACAATCACTATGATCGATATCATAAAGAAAAAGATTATCTTCAAGCAAAGACCTTTGCCTATCATGTAGAGTTTAATGGTGTAAATAAAATGTATATTATTCAGTCTAATCTATCAAATCCATCTATAAATTAGGACCTGTGGAGTTTCTGTGACTCCATTGCAAGAAACTCTCCTCGAGGTAACCGACTTTGTCGTTGATAACAATGTTATTGAATATCTTCAAGATATCATCCTCATTGAATCCCAAGTTTACTGTCATGTACTTCATGATACCTCCATATTTATCATTGAATAATTCAATCGTTGATAACATGGCTTCGTACCTGGAGCTGATCAAATTATTGAAACCATCTTCCTCAATGGTAAAGTTCTTCCTACCTTGACCAAGAGACTTTTCAAAGTCCAGGGGACCTCCCATCTTTTCTTTCATTTTGGAAACGATTTTCATAAAGTTTCCTTTGATTTTGGCATGGTCTGGTTTTAACCCAATTGTAGTCAATTCATACTCTTTGGCTATTACATGATGGTCTAAACCACTCAACAATAAAATCAACATGGAAACCATTCCTGTTCGATCTTTCCCAGCTGTACAATGGAAGACAAATGGTTTATTTTCATCACGAATATACTCAAAGATCCTTCTGTAAGCTTCTGCACCATGATTTAACATGTCGTCGTAAACATTAACATATGTATTCCAACTGGTCATCAAGTTTGCATATCTTACGGCTATCAGTTGAGGTGAATAGTCGTCCTTGGAGAATACTGGAGCATGGATTCTTTTAATCCCATACTTTTCTAAATCTTTTGGATATCCATCTCTGGCACATTCTCCATCAGATCTGAGATCAAACATGGCTGTAATTCCTAGCTTTTGTAACGTAGCTAAACCATTTGGAGTGGCATCTCCCGTATTAGCACATCTGAACATAAGATTGTGAGTCACGTAGTAGGTAGAAGGAGAAGGATCTCTGGTGGGGAATCTGGGATTAGTTAATTTCCAGCCCCCAATATCTCTGAAATTAGAAATACCTTCTACTTGTTTCCATCTAGATAAATGACCGATGTTTTTACTTACATGTAAAAATCTTAATAGCTCATTCTCTGGTCTCAAATAATCAATAATCTTGTCCACGACCACTGAACTGTAGTTCACAAGATTACTCTTGTTCAATGGTAAATTCTCAGGATTGTAATCTTCAGCATCGACTTCGTTTTCAATGGGCACTGTCCCAAAGAAATTATGATCTGCCATGGGGATCAACTCCAATTTATGGGATAAATGGCCCCTGTTCAATACGTTAGCAAAATGAGAACTATCCACAATAGGAATGATATTATCTTCTAATCCATAAATACTCAATACTGAAAAATCTAACGATAAGTCATTCAACTTGCTCAAATCCGCTTCAGCTAAGTCAAGTAATTCACGTTTCATAATATCAATAGGTTGAAACTTTCCATGTCTTAACACCATCTGTGGCACTTGAACAAACTCCTCGTCATGTAAAGGGTACCTATCTAAAACTGTATGAGATTGAAATCTTGAAGAACAATTGATCAAATTGGGGACAATCATGCCTTTGGGAGATCCACTTTTGATCAATTCGTCTTGCTCTAATGCCCAAAGAAACATGGCAACCGAACCCCTGGAATGTGATATTATCGATGATAAAGTAAAATTTATCTTTAGTGGGTTCTTGCTACCATCGATTAAAAACTCTACTGAATCTTGAATATCTTCTACGTCTTGAGTCAAAACTCTACCAACCTTATCATCTGCATTATCTGCACTTGATCCACAACCTCTGAAGTCGATTCTTAAAGAGTATATCCCTTCTTTGGCCAATCGATGGGCTAAAAGCTTCTGATAACAGTAGTTTCTATGTCCTCCTTGACCATGCAAGATCAAAGCCATTTTGTGAGTAGCAGGTTCTATACCATCTTCATACTGGTCAGCATTGGCTCCAAATGGTACAGCTAAAGTTCCTGATACACCTTTACCAAAGTAAACTTCAAGTTCTTTGGGTGTCATTTTGATATTATTTCATGTGAGAACGCGGGACTAGTATGGATTTTGTGGGGATCGTATTCTGTGATTGAGAAGTTTACTTAGGGCTAAACTGACTAAACTTCATAAGCCTCTGACTGTAACAAAGGTTAATCCTGTGGAGTTTACTCCTAAATCATGTGAGGAAGACAGGCTATCAGATATCAAGTAAGTTTAGTGCATAAGAAGGTTTACTGAGAGTACCATGTGGGGCATAAGATATTGGCCAACTTGTGTAAGTATAGTTGTGAGTTTGTTGACCACAACTTTGTATTCAGTGTGAGTTCGCCATAGTTTGTCTACACCATCTCTTCAACTTTTCCTCGTATAAACTTCTTCATCAAGAATTGTGAAATTCGCATTTTGGATACACCGAAGATGAATGGTAGTGATGATAGAGACGCTTATAGTAGATTGGGTAATTACTTAAGTCAGAAACATTCTGACCAATTATCAACACAATTAGCAGTCTTTCAATCAGCTTTGATCAATTTTGCTGAGGAACACGGAGATCAAATCAAATCCAATAATGAGTTTAGGATGAAGTTCACGGAGATGTGTCAACTGGTGGGTTTAGATCCTTTAGAATTGATGATATATACCTCTTCCAAGAACCCAAAACGAACAGAGAATTTCTATATCACATTATCAGTGAAAATAGTGGAGATATGCCAGGAGACCAGAGACTTGAATGGTGGTCTTATATCTATCAAAGACCTTTTAACAAGATTACAAAACAACGGCAATTTCAAATCTTCCATCACAGAACAAGATATTTCTGAATCATTGAAAGTCCTCGAATCATTGGGCCAAGGATATGAAATACTCATGATAAAAGATAAAAAATGGTTAAAATTCTCCTTAGCCTCAACAGTTGAAAGTAATATAAGTAATGATCAAAAGAAGATATACGAGATTTGTACATTCATGGGAGGATATGTTACATATAGACTATTAATGGATAATTATGGATGGGATAGAATACGATGCAAGAGTGTCATTGATGAAATGATCATGAACGGATTCTTGTGGGTTGATTCTCAAGGTGACAATGGACAATCACAATTCTGGGAACCTTCTTGGATAAGTTAGCATAAAATGGGTAAGAATTAAATGAATTAGCATCAGGTGGATTGAGTTTTAGAAAGTTTTTTGATACGATGTCTTTCATTGACAACTTCAAAAGATTCTCCGAAATCTCTCTTTAATATAGGCACATAATTTCTGAAATTTCTTCCCTTACCATCTCCTAAATTGACAAACTTTCCTTCTACTGGGGATTTTTCTTCATCCTGGATGACCATATCCTTCATTATGTTGGAGACTCTTGTCTTCAAATTGTAATCCATGTTTGAACCTTTAAACTTATTGAACTCTTTGAAAGCTTTATTGAAGTTAGGTAACTCACTTGGTTTATACCACTCCATCTCTGGGAAAACACAATCATAAAGAATCAACGGTATATCGTTGGCCATTTCATAATTGGGTTTGGTAGGATATTTTTCAACATTCAACAAGTCATCGACAAGAGTGGGTGCTTCTAATTTTTGACCAACTGTGAAAAGAATAGCTACCATACAACGTACTTGATGCCATAAAAATGCTGAACCTTTTAAATCAAAGATATAGAAATCATCATCATGTTCTATTATTTTGGAACTGTAAACTTCCCTGTTATAATTTGTTATTTGTTTGGATCCATCTAATTTACAGAAGTTACGGAAATCATGAATTCCAACATACTTAGCCGCAGCTTCGTTCATGAGGTCGATATCTAATCCTTCTTTGTTGATCAAATATCTATAATGTCTGTACTTACAACTGAATCTAGCATCAAAATCAACAGGTGGTCTGAGACTCAAAGCAGTTATTCTGATGTCTGACGGTAATAAGGAATTCAAAATTGTTATGTAAGGTAATTCTTTATTATCATTTACTTTATCTTGTTGTTCTTCAAGGGATAAATTGGATCTAACATTGAGTGATATGACTTGATTCATTGCACTGACACCTTTGTCAGTTCTACCACATCTACTAAATTTGCAGCAACTTGGGTCAGCTTCCAGGATTAATCTAGCTTTCTCCAATGCTTTTAAGATTTCTTCTTCGACTGTTGGTAATGGAGTTGGTTCATATTGAAATGCTAAACCATTATAATTCCAACCTAAATATGCAAATTTCAAAGCAATGAATCTGGTTGGATGATTGGAAAATACAAATTTCTTCTTCTTCTTATCAGATACTTTGGTAGTTGTATTTTCAGTAGGTTGGATTAATGTTTGATCTGGAGTAGATATCGAATCTTCTGGTTTGGTGTTATTCAAAGACTCTAACTCTCTTATTTTGTCTATCAACTGCTGCTTCGACCAGTTTTCATATTCTGTCATTTTTTCGGCAGACCAAATTGACCTTATAACTCTTCTCATCATCTTAAAATCGCATCGCATCTCATTATGTCTACAGTTAAAGGTTCATTAGACTGGGACAACTTAAAGTATGAGTTACATCCTTGGTTGAAGGAAGCTATTGTTTCTTTAGGATTCCCAACCATGACACCCGTTCAAGCTTCCACTATACCTTTATTAAGTGGTTCTAAAGATGTGATTGTAGAATCAGTCACTGGATCAGGTAAGACATTAGCCTTTGCAATCCCAATACTACAAAAATTGTCGAAATTCTTATACGAAGAAGGTGAAACATTAAAGAAAGGACATTTCTTTGGTCTTGTACTTTGTCCAACTAGGGAATTAGCCAACCAAATCCAGTCAGTGTTTGAATCAGTAATTCAGTATTTAGATGAAGACAAAATACCTATAAAAACTCAATTATTAGTTGGTTCATTAGGCCAAGTTAGAGAAGATTTAGCTAAATTCAAAGAAAATCAACCACAGATTTTAATAGCCACCCCAGGTAGATTCCTTGATTTCATTTCTTCCCAAACGGTGAAGACAAATTCCCTTGAAATTGTAGTATTAGATGAAGCAGATAAGTTGTTGGATATATCTTTCAACAAAGATGTGATCAACATCCTTTCAAAATTACCCAAACAGAGAAGAACAGGATTATTTTCTGCCACATTATCAGCAGCTGGTGATACCATATTTCGTACAGGAATGACAAATCCTGTTAGAATTACCGTCAAAGGGAAAACCACCGAAAACAATGCTCCAAAAAGTTTAAATATCAGCTATATGATGGTAGAGCCAATAAGGAAAATAACTACTCTCCTTAAATTGGTTGAAGATTATAAGTTCAAGAAAGCCATAGTATATTTCCCCACCTGTACTTCAGTGAAATATTTCTATCTTTTATTCAAACATCTTTTGCCTGAAGATATCAATGTGAAATTTCATTCCTTACATGGCCAATTGACCACCAAATCAAGATTGAAAACCTTGACGAATTTCACAGATGCAGAAACTTATGAACAGAAACAAGTACTTATGACTACAGATGTTGCAGCCAGAGGTATTGATGTTCCTGATGTTGATTTGGTTATACAGTTGGATCCACCAACTGACCCTGATGTTTTCTTACATAGATGTGGAAGAACTGGTAGAGCCAATAAAGTCGGTCAAGCTATCACGTTTTTGAATAAAAATAGTATGGAAGATGAATATGTCGATTTCATGAGAGTGAAGAATGTTATTTTGAAGGAAGTTAAGGAAGTTATTAATGCAGACCACGACAAGTTTTATGATAAAGTTCGTCAATTCATGTTGGCTGATAGAGCTCGTCATGAATTGGCTATTAGGTCATATGTTGGGTTTGTGAAATATTATACCAAACATCTTGCTTCATCTATTTTCAGAATTGGATTGTTGGATTATCTTGGATTAGCTAAGATGTATGGATTATTAAGATTACCTAAAATGCCTGAGACAAAACACATCAGTAACGATCTCATGCCTGAAGATGGTTGGTTAGGCGAAGTAATTGACATGGACAAATACTCATATCTTGATGAAACTAAGGAGTTGGAAAGAGTAGAGAATCTAGAATCAGAAAAACAGAAAAGGATTCAAGATTCTAAAAGGAGGAAAGAGTTGAAAGCCAAAAATGAAGCATGGTCCCAAAAGACAGATAAGAAGGAAGGAAAACAAGAGAGAAAGGAGAAGATGAAAAGAAAAAGAGAAGCCATAGAGAAACAAATAATGGAAGAATCAAGTGACGATGAAGAGACTGAAGTCGACTGGAAGGAAATGGTTAGAGCTAATAAGAAGAAAAAGACTGAAGTAGCGGCTTTCGATGACTTATAGGTATTTCATTATATACATTAAATTTTGTACTTATCACTCTGGGAACGGATTCCATCGAACACATATAAATTATCGAGTGGCACGTATTGGGATGTGGCAATTTTCAATACTTCTTGAGAAGCTATACCACCCATGAGACTACTGATGTTATGATAATGACTCGAACTATGACATACAATCTCTTTGAAGGTTTTGAGGGCAGATAAAGGTAAATCAGGATGACATTCGAATACTTCACTAAACAATTTGATAAAGTTATCATAATCAGATTCTTCTGGAACATGATTATTCTGTTTGATGAAATGGTTGAAAGTCATTATACCGAAGTATATTGCCAAATGATTGTACTCTTCGTTGTCATAATCATTACTCTTATTACTTAACATTTGCTCAAGAAGGGATTTACTAGTCATTTGGGAACTTCCTGAAGTTACATGGATGGAATGACTGTTTTTACAAAAGATATTGATCAATTCTATTTCTAAAGCAGTCAACCCATCGAGTCTACCAATGATCGTCAATACCCTCTTCACCTCTTCTATAAATAATTCCTTATCCTTCGCAGCTTTGTCTCTATATAGGTTTTGTAACGTTATGTAATTATTGGTATCCGAAGCCATATCAGGCAAAGTACCTGGCAAAGGGAGGTTCCCATACAATTCTACGAAACTCTTGAGGGCTCTTATCAAGATCCAGAAAAATGGAGTTTCATTATTCAAGTTCTTATCTGAAATCTTATCATTATTCATTAACAGTTTTACCATAGAGGGTACTTGAGTCTTTTGGTAAGCCCGAAACACTGAACTTACGGCTTCATTGAAATTGGTTTCAAAAGTGAAATTTCTAGATTGGTCTTGAACAAATTTTTTGAACTGTCTCTTTTCAGTCATTGTAGTTGGTGGCCCATTATGAGAATCACTCCACGATCGAAGTGCTTGCATAAGGATAATAACATAAGGTACATGTGCATGATCTGAATCATCAAGAGAGTCTAATTGATAACTATCAGAAAGTTCCGACAATTCTTGCCATGGTTGGTCTATTCTCAAATCGAATAATTGTGAAGTATGGGTCTCAATAACAGTTATCTCGTTTATAATTAAATTGATAGTCCCGTAGAAACCTACAGTGTTCACAATAAATAATGGAATCTCTTTCTTGAACAATTTTGTTTTCAAAGTATCTAAAAATTCCGGATCGATGTAATCACTTACAACAACCACATTGAACCTATCCCAAACTGAATCGTCAATTTCATCTAAAGAATCGGTGATGGCATGACCCTTAGAGTCTTCATTCAATTCCATAAGACTTTCACATAATGCACTGGCCCTCAATTGGCCTATATTATCGTTGGTTAAGAAGAAATTACCGGCCAAATCATTAGTAGTAATTTCTTTATCATCAATAATAGTGAAATTACCGATCCCAGGTAAAATCAAGTTTTTGAGTATCTCGGAACCAGTGGTAGTGCCATTTATGAGACATATATGACTAAGCTCAAGATTGGATTGTCCTGTTGATGCCCATAGTCTCAATTGCCTGTCGTACTTATTAGACTTGTCAATTGTCATCTTGGAGATTTCGCACTTGAATCTTCACATTATACATTAAATTTCTATTAACTAAAGGGTGTATTCAAACACAAATTGATAAGTATTGCAGAGGTTCGGGCCATCCAAATGTATTACGTTATTATACATTTGGAATCGGTGTTGGCGAATTCGTTATAACGTTCCTTTTGTCTCTCTTTTAACTTGGCTTTAGTCTCTTTAGGGAAGAACTTCACCATTTTTAAAGCCAAATCAACATCAATGTTAGAGGAATCGGCTTCCTCAACAGCTTTACTTTTTTTACACAAAGGACATTCATCATGATTGGCTTGCATATGCTTTACCATACATCTAACACAGAATACATGATTACAACTCAATCTAATGGGCTTATATGCAATATCAGCACAAATAGGACAAAGGTAATCGTCCAATTGTGGGATGACAGTTAAGATGTTGGTTTGAATAATGGAGCAGATAGTCTTGGAGATAGATGAACCATTCATGAAAATATGGTCAGGAGTGATTAAGTTTGGAACTTTCATTTTAACATTTAATGAAGTTTGTTTATCAAATTTCTTCAAGATTTTGGTCAAAGCTTTGGAGTTAATGGACTGGAATTTCAAAACTCTTAATAATCTCTCATTTATATAAAGAAATTCTTGGAACGTATTTAAAGACTTTTTATTCTTGAAAGTTGTTAAAATCTTAGTTTTATTGACATTCTCTTTAAATTGTTCAAGTCTTTTCTCCACACTGTCACTAGAATTTTGAAATGTTTTCACTTCAGTGTTGTTTGTCTTGAAATATATCTCACTGTCAATAAACATTCGGAATAATTCCCTCCATTTATACATATCACCTTTTTTGAGACTTTCTTTGGTAGATAACTCATTCATGGTATTACTCACAATTTGAATATCTTTGATTAATCTTTCTTCCTCCTTATTTCTTAATTGATCAAGGACCAATAATTCTTCATTCAACATATGGAAAAATTTTGCATCAGATCTTAATTTAATGGTGATAGTGTATTTTTTGGGAAATCCAGGTATTTGCTCAATTGTAGTTCTAGGAGATAAAGCAGTTTCTCTTTCAGCACGATCTTTTGATTTGTCGGTCTTATCACTTTCAAATGATTTTATGGTAGACGCATCGTCATGATCACCCAAATGAGTTGAGTTTAATTGTTGATCAATCGAAAGGAATTCTTCATTATTTTCACTATCACTGGTAGTACCAACAACAATATTTTCTAATTTCTTCTTCAACATGGTGATACTTTCATTGATATAATCATCGGTCAATTCTTCATTATAATCTACCACAATCTTCAAACTAGGAACAATTTCATTGTGGATTTTGGATTTTTTTAATACATATTTTGCAACAATAGGATTTGATGCAGTGGTATCTTTTTCATTGATTTCGATGTTTTCAAGGAGTAACTTCAAAGTATTCCTTTCCAAACCAACATAATTCAATTCCTTGACAACTCTTCCTATACATTTCTTCAAAGCTTTATATTGAATGGCTGCCTCTACCCATTCTTCAGGTATCTCATCGTCTGCTAATGTTTGCTCTAACTCTTTAGCGAATTTCATTTTCCAGGATCAGTAATGGACTCAGTATAAGACTTCAGGAGTGAATGTATGGGTAAACTAGATAATGATTGTTAGTGCTATATACTTTCCATACTATATGAAAATTTTACACTGTTGTTTGTGGTGACCTATATTTCTTTTTGACCTGTCAATTTTTGTGAGACATCAGCCGTGTCTGGACACGACTCCAACGTTTATGATAAAGGCGGATTTACAAGGGGGTTTTTGCACCCATTCGTGTGCAATGATTGGAAGGAGCGAGGCTACTAGGAGTTGAAGATGAAGTACCATTGTAGGTTTTGGAATCACATGGGGATTTTGTTGGGAAAGAATGGTGGAAAAACAAAGGACTTGATCTTTTGTCTTTAAAAAAATTTGTGTTTTTAGCCTGGAAAAAGATTTTTTGATACCTTCAGACTCGACTTAAATAACTAGATGCTTGAAACTATCAGAATATACGAAATTTACTAGTTTTGGCTGCAAAACCCCATTTTCGCAGTCTTTATTATGAGAATTTTCTAGAAACGAGTATCAACATGAAAGTTGAGAATACAGACAACATGGATTTCGAATTAGAACCAACTTTAGAATCGGTTATCAAGCAAGATACCTTGAAATGGATCTTCGTAGGTGGTAAAGGGGGTGTTGGTAAAACTACCACCTCATCCTCAATAGCTGTGCAATTAGCTTTGAATTATCCTAATGATCAATTTTTATTGATCTCAACTGATCCAGCTCATAATTTATCTGATGCTTTTTGTCAAAAATTCGGTAAAGATGCAAGACCAGTTGAAGGATTAACCAATTTATCATGTATGGAAATTGACCCAGAAGCCGCCATGTCAGATTTACAACAACAAGCTAATCAATTCAATAATGATCCTAACGATCCTTTGAAATCAATGATGAGTGATATGACTGGTTCTATCCCAGGTATCGATGAAGCTTTATCTTTCATGGAAGTTTTGAAACACATCAAGAACCAAAAGGTTGACGGTTCAGAAGCAAATGCCAATCAAGTCCAATATAAGACCATCATTTTTGATACTGCTCCAACTGGTCATACTTTAAGATTTTTACAATTACCTTCAACTTTGGGTAAATTATTAACTAAATTCCAAGCTTTAAGTGGGAAATTGGGTCCTATGATGTCCATGTTAGGTGGGGGACAACAACAAAAACAAGATATGTTCGAAAAATTGAATGAAATACAGAAAAATGTCACTGAAGTCAATGAACAATTCACCAACCCAGATTTAACCACCTTTGTATGTGTTTGTATCTCAGAATTTTTATCATTATATGAAACTGAAAGAATGATTCAAGAATTAATGAGTTATAATATGGATGTTAATTCCATTGTTGTCAATCAATTACTTTTCGCCGATAATGATGAAAATTGTAAGAGATGTACTTCAAGATGGAAAATGCAAAAGAAATATTTGGATCAAATGGGTGAATTATATGAAGATTATCATTTAGTTAAAATGCCATTATTAGGTTGTGAAATTAGAGGTGTTGAGAATTTGAAGAAATTTTCTAGATATTTGTTAACTCCTTATGATCCTAGAGTTAACGGTAATCTTGTTTATGAATTAGAAGAAAAATAATCTCTTCCATAATTGAATAAATATCAATCTCGTAAAAATTTCCTCACGTGATGATGATAATAAAGACGTTCTTTTCGAGAAAAAAAAGATCAAACAATTTGTTATGGCAAGAGGTAACCAAAGAGACTTAGCAAGAGCAAAGAACTTGAAAAAGCAACAGGAAGCTGCCAAACTGAAGAAAGTAGGTGATCCTTCCAAGAGAATGGAAAGTGATGCTGATAAAATGAGAGCCAAACAATTAGCAGGTATGTATTTTGAACGTTGATTTGTGGTTCACAAAAACTGGAAGAAATAGTCAAACTGCCAGGAGCCGAGTCCTGTCAGTCACATCGATCGAATACTAACAGTTTAGCTGATGCCAAAAAGGCTGAAGCAGCAAAAAAATAATGAAATAAATGATAGATCCTATTTATTATTCTCTATATTAATCTCTGATACTTCCTGTCTAATCAATTAGTTACGTGTCTCACTTTATAATAATGTTCAATTCCGTAGAGTTATGTCCGATATATGAATATTATACTCCCGCATTTTTGACCAATACTCAATTGCAAAATGTTGATCACCGAATCATTCCATGATGTTAAAACATCTTATGGAACTACCATGAGATTATATGTGTTCCATCCTAAGATCCCTAATTATCCTAATGTTAAGTTTCCAGGGGTGGTAGTTTGGTCAGAAATCTACCAATGTAGTGCTCCAGTTGCAAGATTCTGTAAAGATATTGCCGGTCAAGGTTTTATTGTTGTCTGCCCTTCAATTTATCACAATTTTATTGATCATGAACCTTTACCTTATGATGTCAAAGGAACTGATATGGGGAATGAATTCAAAATCAAAAAACCTTTGAAATCTTATGATGAAGATTCTACTTTAGCCATTGACTATTTATTATCATTGAAAACTTGTAATGGTAAGATTGGATCTTCAGGTATGTGTCTCGGAGGTCATTTAGCTTTCAGATCAGCTTTGGATCCAAGAGTCAGTGCAGCCGTATGTTTCTTTGCTACTGATATTCATAGCCATGCTTTGGGTGAAGGTATGAATGATGATTCTTTAGAAAGATGTGGAGAAATCAAAGGAGAAATCATTATGATTTTTGGCTGTAAGGATAATCATGTGCCTTTAGAAGGAAGAGATTTAATTAGAAGTGAATTAAGAAAGAAAGATGTTGAGATGACTTTCATCGAAATCAATGATGCCCAACATGCTTTCGTTAGAGACGAAATGAGTAAAGGTAGATATGATCCTGCTACTACTAAAAATTGTTTCGAATGGTTAATGGAATTATTCAATAGAAAATTAAAATTGGAGTATGGTGAACATGATGGAGTTGCTACCAAAATCGATAACGTGTGTTAGTCTTCCTTACCTTCAAACCCACAATATATATCATAATCTTTATCTCTTTATACCATCAAAAGTCGTGCGGGTGTGCGATATCCTAAAATTTTTCAGTCTCAAAAAATTTTCACCATCATAAAGAATCAACCATGAGACCAATTAAATTAATGGGGCATGAACGTTCCCTTACACAAGTTAAGTATAATAAAGAAGGAGATTTGATATTGTCAGTTGCCAAAGATAGTTCAGCATCTATTTGGTATTCATCAAATGGTGAAAGATTAGGAACTTTAGAAGGACATATGGGTACCATCTGGTCAATCGATGTTGATTCTGATTCAATTTTATGTGCTACTGGTAGTGCTGATGTATCAGCAAAATTATGGAAAGTTTCCACTGGGGAATGTGTATTCACTTATCAAATGAAATCCCCTATCAGAAGAGTTGCATTTTCACCAAATAATAAAAACTTATTAGCTGTAACTGATAAAGTTATGGGTCAACCAGGTTCTATATTAGTTTTTGATATAAATTATGAAGGTGATTTCACCAACCAAAATGCTGAACCTTCATTAGTTATTAATACCAGAGAAGATGCCACTAAAGTTACCGTCGCAGGGTGGTCAGCTAATGGTGAATATATAATTGCCGGTCATGATGATGGGTACATTTCCAAATACGATGGTAAAACTGGTGAATTCATACAAACTGTTCAAGCCCATGGTATCCATAATGAAGAAAAAGTTGTCAGTGTTACTGATATTCAATTTGCTCCAGAAGATAAATCATATTTCATCACTTCATCAAAAGATAAATGTTCTACTTTAATTGATGTTGAAACTTTTGATGTAATGAAAGTCTATAAAGCTGATGCTCCAATGAATACTGCTGCTATAACTCCTATCAAGAACTTTGTTATTTTAGGAGGTGGTCAAGAAGCTAGAAATGTTACCACCACTGCTGAAAGTCAAGGTAAATTTGAAGCTAGATTTTATCATAAAATATTCGTTGATGAAATTGGTAGAGTGAAAGGTCATTTCGGTCCTTTAAATACCATTGCTGTCCATCCTGATGGTACCGGTTATGCTAGTGGAGGAGAAGATGGTTTCATTAGAGTTCATAATTTCGATAAATCATATTTCGATTTCGAATATGATGCTGAAAGAACTGAAAGAGCCATCGCTTCTGGTGCTACTTAATTTCATGAATTTATAAATGATGGTTGAATCAATAACAAGAAAAGGAAATGAACTATTTGTACATTACGTCAGTATATAGGCATACATAATAATCATAGATTAAAAAGGATTAATCTCTTTACCACTGTAGGAATTTCTGTAGATAAAAACGAAGATTGCGACATGAGAAAAAATTCTATAGATTTAGGTTGCAATCATCTTTAAAGAGATAAGTGATTTTATTTATAATAGTTGAAAACTTAGATAGAAGGATGCCATCGAGTCAAGAACATGATGAAGAGTTGGACGGCGGGTTTATTGTAGGGGATAAGGAATTTGCTTCAAATAAAAGAAGAAGAAGTAAGAGAAGTAAGAATGACACATCTTATAAAGAAGATAGTGATCTTGAAGAAGCACCAAAAGTTGAAGCTTCTACATCTACAAAGACAAAAAGAGGAACCACCAGTAAACGTGCTAAGACTTCAAAAACAAATAAAGGTGGTAGGAAAAAGGCTAAAGTAGAAGATTCAGACGATGGCGATGATGAAGATTATAGTATTGATAATGATAAAAACACCGAAGAGGATGATGACGATGATTTGGAAGTCATAAGTTCTTCCTTCATAGATAGAAATGGAAGTTCAGCCAATGCAGCTATTGAATTGGACGATGATGACATCCCTTTGAATGAACTTTCACCTGAACCTGAACCGGAAGCAACTAAAAAACCACGAGCCAAAAGAGCTAAAAAGGAAAAGAAACCCAAAGTGAAAGTTCCCTACTTTACTAGAGTTACCAATAGATTATATGAGAACCACCCGTACTTGAAAGACATCTTCCCTTACTTAGAAAGTTTGCCGACGATTAAACCCGAGCGAGCACTCCAACCTCCAGGAATGACCATTAAGCTTTTGCCCTTCCAATTGGAAGGTCTTAATTGGTTGAAAAAGCAAGAAGACGGTGAATTTGGTGGGGGGATTCTTGCAGATGAAATGGGAATGGGTAAAACCATTCAAACCATTGCATTATTCATGGAAGATCGTTCTAAAAAGCCAAATTTGGTAGTTGGTCCAACTGTAGCGTTAATGCAATGGAAGAATGAAATTGAAGCCCACACAAAGGGAGGTATGAAAGTGTTGTTATTCCATGGTGCTAATAGGTCTAGTAATGTTGAAGAATTAAGTGAGTATGATGTTATTTTGACTTCTTATTCAGTCCTTGAGTCAGTTTATCGTAAAGAGAAATATGGATTCAAAAGAAAGGATGGTTTGGTGAAGGAGAAATCTCCACTTCATAGTATCAAATTCTATAGAGTGATTTTAGATGAAGCACATAATATTAAAGATAGAACTAGTGGAACTGCTAAGGCAGCTAATAATTTATTGACCGAAAAGAGATGGTGTCTTACCGGTACTCCATTACAAAATAGAATTGGGGAAATGTATTCCTTAATTAGATTCTTGAAATTGAACCCATTCCACCAATATTTCTGTACTAAATGTGATTGTCAAAGTACTGAATGGATGTTTTCTGATTGGAGACATTGTGACATTTGTGGCCATACTCCTATGCTTCACACAAATTTCTTTAACCATTTTATGTTGAAAAATATCCAGAAGTATGGGATTGAAGGTGATGGATTACAAAGTTTCCAACAAATCCAATTATTGTTAAGAAATGTCATGTTGAGAAGAACGAAATTAGAAAGAGCTGATGATTTGGGATTACCTCCTAGAATTGTGGAAATCAGACATGACACTTTCAATAAAGAAGAGAAAGATTTGTATGTTTCATTGTATAGTGATTCTAAAAGAAAGTTCAATGATTATGTTGCTGAAGGGGTGGTTTTGAATAATTATGCTAATATTTTCACCTTGATTACTCGTATGAGACAATTGGCCGATCATCCCGACCTAGTGTTGAAGAAAGTAGGTAACAATCCATTAGCAGCTACTACCGGGGTTATCATTTGTCAAATATGTGATGATGAAAGTGAAGAACCAATCGAATCTAAATGTCATCATAAATTCTGTCGTATGTGTATACGAGAATATTGTGATTCATTCATGGGTGATGAAAAAGCTCTTGAATGTCCTGTTTGTCATATAGGGTTATCTATTGACTTACAACAACCAGCATTAGAAGTTGATGAACAAGAATTTAGCAAAGCTTCTATCGTCAACAGAATTCAAATGGGTACTCATGGTAATGAATGGAAATCATCAACTAAAATTGAAGCTTTGGTAGAAGAATTATATAAATTGAGATCAGATAAACATACATTGAAGAGTATTGTTTTCTCCCAATTCACATCAATGTTGGATTTAATCGAATGGAGATTGAAAAGAGCAGGTTTCTTAACAGTAAAATTACAGGGTTCGATGTCACCACAACAAAGAGATAATACCATTAAATATTTTATGGAGAATACTCAAGTTGAAGTATTTTTAGTGTCGTTGAAAGCTGGTGGGGTAGCTTTGAATTTATGTGAAGCATCTCAAGTATTCTTAATGGATCCATGGTGGAATCCTAGTGTAGAATGGCAATCAATGGATAGAGTTCATAGAATTGGTCAAAAAAGACCTATCAAAATCACCAGATTTTGTATCAAAGATAGTATAGAATCTAAAATTATTGAGTTGCAAGACAAGAAAGCCAATATGATTCATGCCACCATTAATCATGATGATGCTGCTGTAGCTAGGTTAACCCCTCAAGATTTACAATTTTTGTTCCAGAATTAGACATGTTCCAGAATCAATCTTCTTAATATCCACTTCTTGTATTGTATAGTTTTAATGTTTATGTTCATCACTTAACAGCTTCTCATACCATTCTTATCGCTGGATTTTTTTGCAACCGCAGTGACTCATTGGAACAAATCAGTCTCATTAGACATTTTGAGAAACTGAAAATTTAGATCAAAGATGTCAGATTACTGGTTGGAATATTTGGATAATCCAACATTATCGATCTTCCCCTTCGATTACTTGAGACCACAACAAAACAAATCCGTTGAAAGTACTCATGAAGTTAGTGTATCCGGAGATTATTTAACAAGTTTGACTATATTCATTGCTTTAATCTATAGATTGACAGGTGATGAAGATATAGTTATTGCTACCAATACTAAAGATGATGCCAAAGAATTCATTATCAGATTAACAGTATCACCATCTATGACATTCAAAGAATTGAAATCTAAAGTTGTTGAACAATTCGAAACTAATGTCGAAAAATCCAAATCTTTTGAATCTTTAGATGAAATAGCTGAAATTATCAAAACCAAAAAAGGTACTGAAGAATATCCAAACTTGTTCAGATTATCTTTCGAATATTCTACCAACAATAACCATTTATCCTCATCAGTTAAAGGATCAATCAGAGATTTAGGAGTATTCTTCTCCCAAGATAAATTGAACATTTTCTATAATGGTTTATTATTCAAACAAGAAAGAATCATCATGTTTGGTGATCAATTTGTTCAATTTCAAAAATCCATTGAACAAGATCCTGAAGTAGCCATTACTAAAGTGAACTTGATCACTTCTTCACAAAAAGATTTCTTACCTGATCCAACCATTGATTTAGATTGGTCTGGTTATAGAGGTGCCATTCAAGATATCTTTATGGCCAATGCCGAAAAACATCCTGAAAGAACTTGTGTTGTTGAAACCAAATCTTTCATGGATAAAAATTCTAAAACTAGAACTTTCACCTATAAACAAATCAATCAAGCTTCTAACGTTGTTGGTAACTACTTAGTCAAAACCGGTATCAAAAAGGGTGACATTGTTATGATTTATGCTTATAGAGGTGTAGATTTAATGATTGCAGTTATGGGTGTTTTGAAAGCTGGTGCTACTTTCTCAGTCATTGATCCAGCTTATCCTCCAGCCAGACAAAACATTTATCTTTCTGTTGCCAAACCAAAAGGTTTAATTGGTTTGGAAAAAGCCGGTGTTTTGGATTCTTTAGTTGTTGATTATATCAAAGATGAATTAGATGTCATTACTACTATTCCTCAATTGAAAATCAATGATGATAGTTCATTACAAGGTGGTTTGATTGAACAAGCAACTAGTGATTGTTTAGGTGAATATGAACAATATGCTGACACTCCTACAGGTGTTATTGTTGGACCCGATTCTAACCCTACCTTATCATTTACCTCAGGTTCTGAAGGTATTCCAAAAGGGGTTTTGGGACGTCATTATTCATTAGCTTATTATTTCCCTTGGATGTCTAAAAGATTCAATTTAAGTGAAAACGATAAATTTACTATGTTATCAGGTATTGCCCATGATCCTATTCAAAGAGATATGTTTACACCATTATTCTTGGGTGCTCAATTATTAATTCCAACTGCTGATGATATTGGTACTCCAGGTAAATTGGCTGAATGGATGGCTGAATATGGTGCTACTGTTACACATTTAACCCCAGCTATGGGTCAATTATTAAGTGCTCAAGCCACCACACCATTCCCCAAATTACACCATGCTTTCTTTGTTGGTGATATCTTAACCAAGAGAGATTGTTTAAGATTACAATCATTAGCTGAAAATGTATTCATCGTCAATATGTATGGTACTACTGAAACTCAAAGAGCTGTGTCATATTATGAAATTAAAAGTGCCAAATCAGACCCTACCTATTTGAAAGCTTTGAAAGATGTTATGCCCGCTGGTACTGGTATGTATAACGTTCAATTATTAATTGTCAATAGAAATGATACTTCTCAAACTTGTGGTGTTGGTGAAGTCGGTGAAATTTATGTTAGAGCTGCTGGATTATCTGAAGGTTATAGAGGATTACCTGATTTAAATGCTCAAAAATTCATCAACAATTGGTATGTTGATGGATCGAAATGGGTTAAACAGGATGAAGAAAATGATAAAGGAGAAGAATGGAGATCTCAAGGTTGGTTCAAACCAAGAGATAGATTATACAGAACTGGTGATTTAGGTCGTTACTTACCTGATGGTAATGTTGAATGTTGTGGTAGAGCAGATGATCAAGTTAAAATCAGAGGGTTCAGAATCGAATTAGGAGAAATTGATACTCATTTATCTCAACATTCCTTAGTTAGAGAAAATATCACTTTAGTTAGAAGAGATAAAGATGAAGAACCAACATTGATTTCTTATATTGTACCAAAAGATTGTGAAGAATTGAAAACTTTCAAATCTGATATCGAAGATAAAGACATTGTTGAAGATCCTATTGTTACTGGATTAGTTCAATATAGAGAATTAATCAAAGATATCAAAGGTTACTTAAAGACCAGATTAGCCAGTTATGCTATTCCAACATTGATTGTTCCTTTGGTCAAATTACCTTTGAATCCAAATGGTAAAGTTGATAAACCAAAATTACCTTTCCCTGATACTGCTCAATTAGCTGCTGTAGCTACAATCTCCAGAAGTAATAACTCCGAGGAAGATGAATCATTCAATGAAGTTGAAGAAATCATTCGTGACTTATGGATTGAGGTTTTACCTAACAGACCGGCCACTATTTCTAAATCTGATTCATTCTTTGACTTGGGTGGACATTCCATCTTAGCTACTAGAATGATTTTCGAGTTAAGAAAGAAAGTTAATGTTGATATTCCTTTGGGTATCATTTTCAGCAATCCAACCATCGAATTGTTCTCTCAACAAGTATCTAGCTACATCAAAGGAGATGATTTTGAATTAGCTAATGGTTCAGGTAATAGTGAAGACAAGAGTAGTGAAAAAGTTTCATATAGTGAAGACGCTAAAAATCTTGTCAAATCCATGTTATTACCAAAATATTCCACGTTACAAAGTTTAGACACTTCCAAGACATTGAATGTATTTGTAACTGGTGTCACTGGATTCCTTGGTTCATTCATTTTGAAAGATTTATTCGAAAATGAAAATTTATCAGTCAAAATATATGCTCATGTCAGAGCCAAAGATGAAGCTAGTGGGTTAGATAGAATCAGAAAAGCCGGTAAAACTTATGGTGTTTGGAATGAAAAATGGGCACAAAACATTGAAGTTGTCATTGCTGACTTAGAAAAACCCCAAATCGGTTTAACTGATGATCAATGGACTAAATTAGGTGATACCATTGATGTTATCATCCATAACGGTGCCTTCGTTCATTGGGTTTATCCATATTCTCAATTAAGAGATGCTAATGTTATTAGTTCCATCAACTTATTAAACTTATGTGGTATTGGTAAGAGTAAATTTTATTCCTTCGTTTCTTCCACTTCGACTTTAGATACTGATTATTTCATTAGATTGTCTGATAAATTGATCAGTCAAGGTAAAAACGGTCTTAGTGAAGATGATGATTTACAAGGAGCTAGTACTGGCTTAGGTAATGGATATGGTCAAAGTAAATGGTCAGCTGAATATATCATCAGAGAAGCTGGTAATAGAGGATTAAGAGGATCAATCATTAGAGCTGGTTATGTTACAGGATATAGTAAAACTGGTGCTAGTAACACCGATGATTTCCTTTTAAGAATGTTAAAAGGATGTTGTGAATTAGGAATTTATCCTGAAATCGGTAACAATGTTAATATGGTCCCAGTCGATCATGTTGCTAAGATTGTTTCCGCAGTATCATTATTCCCATCAACTGATAAATTGGGAGTTGCTCAAGTTACAGCCCATCCAAGAATTACATTCAATGAATTCTTAGGTGCTTTAACTGATTACGGTTATACTTTGAAACAAGAAGATTATCCAATTTGGAAATCAGATTTAGAAAATTTTGTTGTTAACAAATCTAAAGAATCTGCTTTATTCCCATTATTACATTTCGTCTTAGATGATTTACCAACTAACACCAAAGCTCCAGAATTAGATGATACCAACACATCTAAATCTTTAGATTTATATAAAACCAATAATGAAACCCCAAGAGGAGTTGAAAGACTGTTAATGGGTACTTACATTAGTTATTTAGTTACCATTGGATTTTTACCAAAACCAACTAAAGAAGGTAAACCTTTACCAAAGATTGAATTATCTCAAGAAACCATGGATTTGATCACTTCAGGTTCTGGAGGTCGTTCCTCAGCTGCCAAATAGTCATAATATATTATCTCATATGTAAGAATCGCGAACTAATCTCTTTCTCACACTAAGCGGCTGTGTGGAGATCTATGAGTTACAGTTCTACAAAGACTCCCACTCGGAGGAAATCAAGCAATGGTAGTGCCAGCTCCTCGCTATCTGAGATTAGTACTAAACCCAAGAATAATAATTTCGAGAAAGATCTTATCAATACATTAAGAAGAGAATTATATGAACGAGGATCACCAGTGGGATTAATGGAATCCCCTATCAAAGATAGGAAACAATCATTGACTAGTACAATATCATCGGATAACTTGTCAAATCATTTTTATAAATCATTCTCCACAACCAATTTATCTACGAAACTACGACCAAATCATGAAAGATCATTATCAAGTAATTCAGTATCTCCTAAATTATTACCCAAAAGACCATATAAGAAAGCTTTATCATCATTGAACCTACCCAATATGACTCCACCTAAAGCTGATGATTACTTTTCTTCGAACATGTCACCCACTATGGATAATAACGAGAGAATGGATATTGATAAGAAAACATTAGTAGATCAATTCTATTCGATTAATGAAACTAAACCTTTGAAAGATGACAGTTTGTATAATCTTGAGTATACTGAACTCGATAAACACATTCAAACTGATCCTGAGCTTACTAATTACTTACTTAACATCGATACCATTATGAAAGATGTTTTTTCTAATAGTCAAGAACCAGAGAATTTGTCACCAATTTTGAATACTTTACAATCGGTAAATCATAATCTTTCCGAGATCAAATTCCAACAAGATGTTTCAAGTTTGGAAGATCTTAATCACTTGATCAAAAATTTGAATAATTTTGAATATTCAATTATTGACCTCCAAAACGTTTTACTCGAAAATTCAACTAAAGTGTCAGAAAAATATAAGCCTGAAATTCGAAATATTGTGGAAAGACTAAACGATTTACTTCTATCGTTAGATAACCTTGAATTCCGTTTAAATAAAACCAAATCATTAGTGAAAGAATGTAAAGATGTCATAGGTGATGATATTTTAAAAACCATTGAAACATTAGAGTATATTGATAGTAGGTTTAAGGAATTTAGTAAACAAACACGGAAAACAAGGTTCAAACAGTTAAATATTGCTTTGGCAATTCTAGTTGTATTGAGTGGCATTTATTTTAGCATTTATAGATAATATTATTTTCCCGTTTCATATCTTGAGCTGTCAAATATGGAATTTATTTTCCAGCTCTACCGTGAAACTCCCATACTTTCTTACTGCAAACCTGGTTTTTTTTTTCACTTTTGATTTCTTCGGCTCCTCGCCATCGTATATTTTAACATCACTTACTTTCAATCTTGATCTTTAAATTGCAAAAACTCTAATTTATCATTTAACTTTTGAAACCGTTTAAGTCGTGCACCATGACTAAAAAAACCGTTTGAAAATTTTTAAAAAGGGTGTGAGAACTTCTCGAAGAGAACATTGAAAAAGGGGGTCTTTCAAGTGTAAAACAAATCAAATTACCAATTAGAAATCCTTTTATATTAATCAATATTTCCAGGAAATTTATCAAGATTATTATAATTTACCTCCAGAACACAGATATACCACCATTATTTGCATAGATTGAGTAGTCGATTACTTATTTGTTGAGTTTTTGTATTTACTTTACCACCACTTTTTTATTTTTGAATAATTAATCAACTTATTATATTACCGATAAGGTTATGGCAGAAATAATAGTATATTCTGACATTGCTATATCTAATATCGATGAAATAAGTACCAATATATTGTATGATGATGATTTTACCCTGATAATCAAGACGTTATTTAAGAAAGGTAACCAGGAATTTGACACCAATCATGTAACTTTAATCATATTATCCGATAAATTAATAGGAAAAAGTCCATTAAACCAACTCCCCAACGAAGATAAACATTTGTTGTTGAAATATTACTTTAATCATTTAAATCTTTTAATAATAAATGAAAAAGATCTTCAACAAACTGAAAACATAGGAAGATTAAAGTTCACTATTCAAGAGATATCCAAATATATCAGTGACAGAATAACCCGAGTTGAAACCTGGACAGGTTGTGGGAAAAGTTGTGTTGATGATCAATTTGGAGATATCAGTAATCAAATTAATGAGATGATTGGTACAATGTCATATACTATTGATTGTGTTATTAATAAATCCAAATCAACAACTGACAAGTTGAAAACAATCAAAGATATGATCATTGCCGAAATTAATTTCAAAGAATTATTATCAAATAATAATACATCACATTTATCGAAATTATGTAATTTAGTGGGACACTGGTCATTTCCAGCACATGAATTAACTAATGATGATTTAAGTTATTGTGTTTATCTTATTATCAAATACGCATTGGATCAAATTAACGACGAAACAATCAATTTATCACCAAATGAATTAATGGGGATGATTTTTATGGTTAGAGATACTTATAAAAATGGTAACCCATTTCATAATTTTAGACATGCAGTTGATGTTTTACAAGCATGTTTCCATTATGTTATAAGATTAGGTTATTTACCAAGTTTCACTCAATTCCAAACAGACCCAAAAGCTGATGAATTAATATGTCTTTACTCGGAAAAATTCGGTAATGCAGTAGAATTAATACCCATGACAAAATTATCCAAAACCAGAGATGAAACCAATTTAAATTTGTATCAAACATTAGCATTATTATTAGCAGCATTAGGTCATGACGTAGGACATCCAGGAGTTACTAATGCTTTTATGATTAAGCATTCAACTCCAACATCATTATTATACAATGAAAGATCAGTTTTAGAACTGTTCCATTCATCAATTTTCATCAATAAAATCTTAATCATTAACTGGCCTCATTTATTGAATTTAATGACTGATTCAAAGACCAAGTTAACTTTCAAAGATTTAATCATCACCAGTATACTAGCTACTGATATGGCAGAACATTTTGAATATGTTGATAAATTAACTCATTTCTCAAACAATTCTTCCAAATTGGTTAATAGAATCAAATTAATCTCATCATTATTGATCAAATGTGCCGATATTTCTAATGTTACACGACCTTTAAGAGTATCAGCCCAATGGACAAGTGTTTTGGGAAGAGAATTTGATGAAGTTAATGAATTAGAGAATAAAATTATCAAATCCACATTCACAAAAGATATCAAATATGACAAAATACCCATTGAATTAAGTGATATCCTTAAATTCAATCCTAACCTTCATAAGGGTCAAATATTCTTTATAAATACATTTGCTGAAAATTTATTTAATAATATAGTTGAATTATTACCACAATTAAAATTCACCGGTGATATAGTTAAAGAGAATAAAGAATTCTGGTTAAAGAGAGATAACATATAATGATTTATGTAGGCATTTTATAGTAGATAATTACTCATTTTCTATTAATTATACCCTCCGACAAAAAAGAAACAGTAATTCCGAATACCCTGAGGCCATCGCATACCAGCAAACACGCATACCAGCACCATCCCTCCTCCGGCACATCGCTTCGGCACGTCGACCGTACCAGCCGCTTGGATTGAAATTTTTCAGGTCGTGCAGGTCGCGAACCGTTGATGAAAAGTGAGAAAAAAACTTCTCTGCAAATTGGACTGGTTTTCCAACTACATTTGAAGTAAAGAATTTTTTAATTAAAAGGCTAGTTGAACTAGTAAAGTAATAGATAATCTTTTCAAAGAATAGTACTTATTGCATCATTTGCTGGTCATTTTGAAAGTTGAAAAAATTCTCAAATAGTTTTATATCTTTTATTTTTTTTGCATTTTAACTGCAACGTAATAACTGACAGTTCAGAGGATTTTTCCCCTTAATTTTTATTTACAACAAGAAATTATCAAAAATGGAACCTAAACAAACATCTCCATTCCTGAGTAAGCCAATTATTTTATCACCTCCACCATTGAATTCATCTGATTATCAAAGAAGGCAACAAAGTGTTGGATATAATTTACAACAAGAATTTGAAACTTTAAGTGCTGATTTAGACTTGGATTTAAAAGATGGTCAAACAAGAACTTTGGGAAATAATGCGGTCAACAATACGGTCAACATTAATTCAATGTCAAATTTACAAAATTTGAATAGTATTAGTGCACCAGTATCGAGTCATCCAAAATTTAATACCATTTCTCCAATTCCTACAAATGTTAATGCTTCACAAGCTGGACTTGGTTCATTATTAAATCAAAATTTTTTCCAATCGAACATTCCTAATAGACCTCAAAGTGTTAATGATTATACATTATTTCAACAATCTAATCAATCAACACAATCTCATCATAATCCTCAACAACAATCCTCACAACCATCAAATCAAGATCAATCCCATTTTTATCTTGAATTGATGAGATTTACTAATTGGATTGAAAACTTGAATCCTCAAGATAATCTTATAATGATTGATTATTTATGTAATAATTTACCATTGGATATTTTGATGAGTTTCCAATCAAAATTGAACAATCAATTGAATGGGAATCAAATGAATTTCTATCAATCACAACAACAACAATTGCAATCTCAAAACTATTCAGGAATTTCATCACCTTATCAATTTCAATCAATTGATTTAAATGATAAATTAGATCATTTGAATTTGAATGATAATGTATTACATCAACCAAAACCAAGAGATAAGAAATTTAATAATTTAACGAATATGAGTAGACCAAGATCAGCTGAACCTTCAATGAATAATTTGAATAAGAATCATCAACAATATTTAGATAGAGCTAAATCTCCAACTAATCATTTATTTGAAAAGACTAATTTCTTACAATTAGCAGCAGCAAGATCACCAGGTTTGAATCCTAGTGAAGATCAAAATTTAGATATGTCTCAAAAATTAGGAGCCTTAGCAACCATCAACTCAAGAGTAGCTTTAGACTCTAATAAGAAACATCATTCTCATTTTTATGATCCATCAGGTAGAAATATCAATTCAAATTCTGTACCTTTAGGTAGCAGTAATTCGACTGTTAACAATGCTAACCAACAAAATTCTAAGAATGTTAAATCACCAAACTTCAAATCAGTTAATAGAAAAAATACTGCATCACCATTAACTGTTAGAGGAGAAAATTCTAATAGTTCAATGCCAATTGAAGTAACAAACTTGGAACTTTTAAACAATATACCTGCTTGGCTTAAATTATTAAGGTTACATAAATATACTGATTGTTTAAAAGATATTAATTGGAAAGATTTAATTGAATTAAATGATGAACAATTAGAAGATAAAGGTGTTAAAGCCTTAGGTGCAAGAAGAAAATTATTGAAAGCTTTTGATGTTATTAAAACATCTTCATAGAATTATATAGATTAAATATAAAATTTACATAATAACACAACATGAATTTGTTTTCTTAGCTTGTTTATAGAACATTCTTGATGATGATGAAAGAGCTTCTGATTTATCAACTAAAGAATCCAATTTCTCACCTCTTTGTAAAACATTTTCAATGGTCTTATGTAAAACAATCTTGGTTTCATCTAATTCTTGTTGAACTTTCATTATAGAATCAGCTTGACTTGGATCTTGATATTTCTTTAAATATTGATTTAAGTTATCATAATTTAATGATTGGTTAGTTTCATTGATGTTTTTCCATTCACTTGATGGATGTAAAGCTAAGTATTCTTCTAAAATTTTGTTAATTAATGTATAAGCTGGTCTTTTTGGATAATCTTTATCAGTGATGATTACACATGCTAAGCCTTCAGATCTTGCATAGCAGTGTCCAATATAATTTCCTTCTTCAACACTTTGTCTAACACCACTATCTGTTCTTTGACTAACAGTTTCTGAAAAGAATGTCATGAATTGTGAAACTCCGGTTCTTTCAAAGAACAGAAATTGTGCTAAATCTTTAGCTGATGTTAATTCAACAGCTTTTTCTCCTCCAGTTTTCAAGATTCCAATATAGTAAAGTTTCATTATAACCTTTTATTAGATGAATTTTCTATTGGTATTGGGTAATAATAATTTATAAATTTCACTAAGGTTTGAAATCGATGATGGTCAATGATCCTTATGTTTTTTTTGGCAACATTCGCATTTGACGAGATAAGAAGTGTAACACTCAACTGTTCACTATAAAGAAGGTCAATGACTGAAATACCTACTTTTAAAGTGGTTTTATTAGGTGACCTGGGTGTAGGGAAAACTTGTATAAGGTCACAATTTGTCCATCATATTTTTACTAATGCCTATAAAGCCACTATTGGTGGTGATTATCTCACTACAACTATAGAAGTAGATAAGGTAAGTTCATCGGAATCAATAAATTCCCATATTGATGATTTGGATCGAAGAAGTTTATCTACCAAAGAGAAAACTAAGGTGAATCTACAAATTTGGGATACTGCAGGTCAAGAAAGATTTAATTCAATTAGTCAAGCATTTTATAGAGGTACTGATATTGTTGTATTAGTGTACGATATAACTAATTATGAAAGTGTTTTAAGTTTACGTAATTGGTTCAAAAGGTTCATGGAAAACTGTGGAGTTTCACATCCTGGAGTCATAATAATTGGTAATAAAATTGATAGAATTAATGATAGATGTGTGGATTTAGAGGAAATAAGAGAAGTCATAACTAACAATACTGATGTTAGTGTAGGTGTTTATGTTTTAGATTGGGAAACTGACTGTATGGAAGTTTGTAGTAAGAATTTAGATCAAGTCAATAAAGCTTTTAAAAGAGTAGCTGAATTAGGTTTAGAATTAATGAATAATGATAGTAAAAGAAAAATCATTGGGTTTGATAGTATAGATTTAAGTGAAGGAATCAATAATAAGAATAATTGTTTCTGTTGAAATTTTAATAATCATATAATATATATACAAGAGTCTATTTTTTTTCTTGAGCTTTAGTAACTTAAGCTTTGGTTTCGACAGTAACGTCATCAACTGGAGATGGAACGGTTTCGGCTGGTTTAGTTGATTCAACTGGTTCAGCAGCGATTTCAACTTTTTCTTTGTTATATTCAGCTTCCATTTGTTCTTCATCTTCTAATTGTTCTTTATAATGTTCAGGGTATCTTCTGAAACAAGTTCTCATATTTTCAAATTTTTTGATACAATCGATACCTTTTGGTTCGGTTTCTGAATAAACGAAACATGCAAATGCTTCTTTGAATTCTTCACCACATGGACCATGAGCCATACCACCTAAACATGGACAGTCCCAATTAATTTCTCCAGTGACTGGGTTATAAGCAGCACCTTCATAATCTTCAGCACTTGGTTCTTTATCGTTTTCACTGGTTTCACTGGTTTCTGATTCCTTTGGTGATTCTTTTTGTTCTTCTTTGGATTCGGAAACGGCTTCTTTAGGTTCTTCTTTTGCTTCGGAAGCAGATTCTTTTTTAGCAGCTTTCTTTTTAGGTTTTTCTTTCACTTCGTTTGAAATGGTTCCGTAGATCAAAGGAACAGTCAATAATGAAAGACCAATACCAGCATATAAGGATTTGGTTGGCTTGTAAGCAGAAGTGGCATAACCTCTTCTTACTTGAGATCTAACTGAATTTTTTATTATAGTTCTAAACATATTGAGATGGAAATTTCAAATTTGTCATCCGTGAGATTTTCTCAGTACTAGAAACTTCCTTCAGGTACCTCTACGATGGTACACGGATTTGATGATAATAATGGAATAAAGAGCTAATAAAGAGTCTGCAATGATTAGACTATTATATATTTTATTTACATGCATGGAAATCATTGAAATTGGCCAAATCATTGAATATTACCAAATCAACAAAAATGACCAAATCATTCAGTTTGGAAGTGACGATGGTAGTTAATTGGTATATTTACCACACAACAAACCATGAATCTAATCTTTTCTAACATCTTTACTCAAATCTGAAGCAAAATCTTTGGTGATTGGGATATCTGAATAGGAACTGGCCCAAAGCAACAGACATAATACTACAATAATTGAAATTCCACCCGTAGCTCTAATAACTTTTAAAGTCTTCTTTGATTCGTTGGAATTCTCATCACCTATTTTATTGAATTTCTTATTTACCTGGTTGACTTTGGAAGACCATGATGAATTCCTAATGCCTATTCTCCCCAAAGTTATAGCTCTCAGTGGTTTCAACATTGATTGTGTGATGCGCACTAAATGTACTGTGAAATGGAGCCAACATTGACTGCAAAATCTGGTTGTGATTTAATCCATAACACATCATCTTTTATATAACATTGTCTTGTTCGGGTGTCAGTGGATAATTTGTAAAGTTGTACTCCGTGTATGGGATGAACCATACTTGTCTTTTGCATAACAATTCCTTCGGATAAACATTCCTCCTCAACCACATTTTTGAAGGTAGTCATGATCTTGTTTGTCGGTACTCCTTCAACATTTGCACCTTTGGCTAAATGCTTGAGTAATTCGTCTGTGGTAGGTATTTCGTGATTGTTTAGTTTAGGTAATGGTCCCCCTTGGAGGGCTCGGTTCATATACCAATTTATTATTTCGATATAAGGAGTATTGTACTTGTTAATGATTCTTTTGACTTCGTTGTATAATGCCTTGTAATTTGCAGCAAACTTGATGGCTGAGAAAGGTTTGCCTTGACTGGCTTTCATCTCGGTAATGACTGGATTAAAGATTCTGAATTGAATGATCAATTCGAATTGTGCTGCAGTAAGTAACCCTTCCAACTTGATGACTGTCTCTAGATCTCTGTTGTCTTCAAAGAATATAATAAGGTTGTGGAATATCTTGTTATTGAATGAGCTGATAGAATTTCCGCCTAGGAATGATTGGAATACCTCAAACCATATGATGTGCAAAGTTTCAATATCCTCAGCATTGGCATGTTTAGGATTCTTAAAATAATCTACGTATTTATCGAACACCATTTCTATAAGGAAATTGAGGTGATCATGATGTCTTAATTTGAGATAATTCAATAAGTACAATGGGGAGCTACTTATAGGAGTCCAATCTTGAATCAATTTTTTGAGCATTGGCAGTATCACATCTATTATTATTTTTGTTATTGTAAAGTCATCTATTATGATACTTGAGTTTGACCAATAACTTAAAAGATCAAAGATTTCCCCGTGTTGGTGGGTTTTGGCCAATTCTCGAATAGTAGGAGCTAAATTCATGTAAATAACGGAATCCCATGGATTGACGACTGGACTGTCATAGCCATCCAACGCCTTATAAGCTTCCAAGTAAACAGACAAATTCAGAAGATCTTTATTAATCAATAGCATCTTGATATTGGGAGCAAAGTAATTGATGAATGAATATTTGGTTTCAGGACTGTTGAATTTCTTAAATTCTTCTGGTGTTACTTCAGATGTGACCAAATGCTTTAATCTCTTCAAATTATCCACATCGTTGTCTATTTTTTCTATTGAAATCTTCAATTCTTTATTCTGGAAGCTTAAAAACCTTTCTTGTTTGGTTATAGTATCCCACTCGCTATTGATGATAGTGAGCTTCTTCAAAATAGTTGATAAATCACCTTGTGGATTTTTGTATTGATCAGGTATTTCTACTCCCTTCAAGTCTAATTCTTCCAAGAGTTCGAATAATTTGGTTCTTTGTATCTTGCTTTTATCATTTTCTTTATAATCTTCTTTATGTACTTTCTCATCAATAGCACCAACCCCTACCCCTTGAGGTCTCAATTTGGTTTCAATTGGGTTTACGATACCTTCATTGTTGTCCCCCAATCCAGTACCTGATTTATACCCCATTTTCATCATCAATTTTGCTCCAATTCCATACCTATTCAAATTATCATTGTCAGTCATAGAAACTTCTGCTCTAGAATCGATCTCCATATCATCTTCGTCGCTATATTCATTATTCATGGATGCTGCAGTCATAGACATGGAGCCTTTCGAGCTACCACCATTTGTCAGGGTTTCTCCTGGTCCTTCTACTCCTGACTTTCTAAACGGTAAGAAGTTCATAGAGTGCGAAGTTGCAAAATTCCAACTTTGACCTCCAGGGTCTCATATATTCAAGATAAATGATTGTAACAAAACATATTTAATCAGTTTGGTTTATCCATAAAGTTCCTTATGACATCCAATAATTGCTTTTCTTGCTGAACGTTATCATCAACACCCTCAGTTATAACTTGCACCACCGATGGTTGATTGTCCCCAGGTAAAATAAATTGCTTTGGGATGAAGTCACCATATTTCTTTAACCAATGATCCCGTCTTTCCTTTTCTTCTTGTTGAAACTCATATAATTCTTCGTTCAAGAATTTATTTAATTTGGCCATGAACTTCCTAGGAAACGTAAATTGCTGATGATGGAGTTCCACTAAATATTTGGTTTTGAATATTGAAAGGAATTGTCTATAGTGGTAAGTTAGTTGAGTGATTACATGGAAATAATTATCCAATGGATGTTCAGTTGATTCTATGGGAGAAGATTTAACAAAATCATCATATTTGGAGAGGAAAACAATCAATTGGAATAAATTGGTTGACTTGAATTTGCCGTGAACTTTATTCAAATCGTCGATATATTCTCCCAATTCGTCAGATTTGTTAAATATGGAAGATATGATTCTTTTACTCCTTATTTCATTATTAACTATTACGTCGCAAACACTTTTCAAATCCTTTAGTACCTCAGGAACTTCGAGACTATCATTCTGTAGAACTTCCAAATCAACTGAAGTTGAATTATTAAAAGAATTCAATCCCAATACACATTGATCATAATGATTCGTTAACATCTCTAATATTGATACCAATTCACCCTCTAAAGAATTGTTTTCTTTGAGAACTTGGGAGAGGAGGCCGCTATTCTGACTATTCTCTATGATCAATTCATTATGCAATTTGGTAATTCTATTGAACTTTTTTGTAATGACGTTGTTAAAAGGTATGACAATTGTCTCAGTAAAGGAATCATTCATAAATTTATGCATTTTCAACATGTTCGAATGGTAAATGTCAATGTTTGCCAATAAAACGTCAATTTCATCGGTGGATGTCAAGTCTTTCAAAGACGCCTCTTCTTTGATATTATAATTACTATCAATCAATATTGATGGAACTTTGGTACCAGCCAATTGGTCCATCACATCGTTCAATTCTGCCAAACATGGTTGTAGCCTCTGATATTTGTGGTCATAAACTTTAATAGTATCTTCAGATATCTTGACTCTTATAAAATTTATGTAGTTAGTTATCAAATCTTGTAAATTCCTTAAATCGTGTAATTTATTATCATTTTCTGTCAATTTTTTCGGTAGATTTTCCGATAATTGACGATTCACGGCAGCCAACAGTTTTTCCGTACTAGAACACAACTCCTGAGCCTGTCGCAAAGTAAATTGAGCTTTATCAGTCCATTGTTCAACTATCTCCCTAGTTATACTCATAGTACAGAAACGCTTAAAAGTTCGCACCAAATATTTCATCAACACTGTTGAACAATTCTTTTTAACATCCAAAGTATTTAATCGATAATGAGTGGTGTAGTTGATGTTACTGTGTTGAGAGATGCAGTTGTCAACAAGAAACCTGTAGATTTAATGAATGATGATATGAAAGTCGAAGATATCAATGAATGTAATAAAGTCAAAATTGGTGAAAAAATTTATGATATATTATCACCAACCAACTTTTACAATGAAAATGAAGCAAGTAACTTGAAATCAATAATATTCTGTTGGATTCATGATAAATCATCAGTTGTTGAGTACAAAAAGAAATGTAACGAGTATAAAATTCCCGATTTCAAGTTTTTAGTTAAAACAGAATTGACTACTTGGTTGAATGGAGATTCAGAAACTTGTAAATTCATCCAAACCGAAGATGGTGAAACTGGTGGTGAAACTAAGAAACACAAACTTGATGATCCACAATTACTCAGAATAAGTGAATTCGAAAAGGAAGCAATTGATCATAATATTATTTTAAGAGGCTCAAAGAATATCGATTTTGGTTATTTAATTAAAGATGCCCAAAAATTCATAGCTCAATTGAAACGTAATAAACCATCAAAAGCTATAAATCAAAAGAATTTGAAATCCCCAATTATAATAATATCACCATCAACATCAGCCTTGTTAACTTTGAATAATATAAAACAATTCTTGGAAGACAGTCAATTTATCAAACCAAATAGTCCTGAATTGCCTCCTAAACCCACAAGTGGTGTGGTAGTAGTTAATCATCCATCAGATAGATTACATCCGGCAGCTCATAAAATCACTATTGTTGATAATGTAGAAGTTTTCACTAAACCTGACTATTGGGATAGAGTAATCGCTATTTTCACTACCGGTCAAAGTTGGCAATTCGCTAAATATAAACAAAATAGACCAGAGTTATTATTCCAAAGGTATCCAGGGTTCTATTTCTGCTATCAAGGAGAACTTGTCCCTCCTCAAATTAAAGATTGGAATGTAAATGAAATCAAGATTGATAGAGATAAAAGATTCAGAGATAAAATGATTGCCAAAGATTTTTGGTTGGATATTGAGAAAATTTTGATCCAAAAGGGTTATGGATCTATCTAATAGTATGTAAATTATATGTATATACAAGTATTTTGTTATCTATTTAAATTGTTTCTCCAAATTTATGAATTTAGAATAAATTTCATCTACAGTCAAATTCTCAACTTTCCTGTTAGATCTTGATCTAATAGCGATAGTTCCGGTCTCTATATCCTTATCTCCAACCATCAAAATATATGAATACCCTTTAGAGATTGCTTCTTTGATTCTGTTACCTACAGTTTCTCCTCTTTTATCAATATCAATATAGAAATTGTACCCAGTGATAGGACTTATATCGTTATTGATGATATCCCCACTTAAAGTTTTCTTTAATCCCTCGCAGTACTCTATGTGAGATGAGTTGACGGGTATAATAATAGCTTGTCTTGGGTTTAACCAGAAGGGCCAATTACCTTTATAGTTATCCAATAAAATAGCGAAGAATCTTTCCAAAGACCCAAAAACTGCCCTATGAATCATGATAGGTTTCTTGTCCCTATTTCCTTCGGAATCGATGTACTTTAAATCGAATCTACTGGGTAATTGGAAATCTAATTGAATGGTTCCAATTTGATGAGTCTTGGAATAATTGTCAGTCACCATGATATCTATTTTCGGACCATAGAAAGCTCCATCTTTATCCTTGATTGACCAATTGTCTCCACAAGTCTCCTGTAAGACTTTCTTCAATTCTTCTTCTGCAACATTCCAACTTTCAATTTCACCAATGAAATTTTCTGGTCTAGTGGATAAAGTGAATTGGATATGTTGATCAATATCAAAGATTTTATATGTGTCTCTGATAAGGTTGATCGTATTTAAGATTTCATCTTTAATTTGGTTCATTTCACAGAAAATATGACCATCATCTTGATGGAATCTTCTGACTCTAGTCAATCCTGAAAGTGCTCCACTAGCTTCATTCCTATGTAACGATGAAAAGTCAGATAATCTGACAGGTAATTCATTATAGGATCTTTCAAACTTGGAAAAGATTATGCAATGTCCAGGACAATTCATTGGTTTTAACCCATATTCGTGTTCATGGCCATGTTCATGGCCCTCTTCTACTTCTTCTCTGGCAAGATCATTACCAACAACTTTGAACATATCATCCTTATAGTTTTCCCAATGTCCGGATTGTTCCCATAATTTGTTTTTGTAGATCAATGGGGTGATTACTTCTTGAAATCCATATTTGATTTGTTGATTTTTCATGAATTGAATTAACTTGTTGAATACTCTCGTTCCATGAGGTAAAAAGAAAATGGAACCTGGAGATAACTCATGAGTGGTATAAAGAAGTTGTTTGTTGGCTATCAACTGATTCAGTTGGGTACTAGACACATGTTGGAATCGTACCAACCTTAGTATTTTAGATCTCATGATGAAAATTTTCGCAACTAGTAGGAGATAAAGATATCCATAATTTTCAAATAATGAATAGCATAACAATGTCATAGAGCCTTTGAATAGATACCGACGGTTTTGTGATAGAGATAGAAACTTAAGTTAAGTTTCCAAATACAAATTTTCATGGTGTATATTCATTAATCATGCAGTAACTTCCGGTTCTTCTTTTATCACGAGATTTTTTACGTCTTCTTTCACCTCCTTGACTTCCTTTTTATCTTCTTTCTTCTCTTTCTTTTCTCTCTCTTTCTTCACTTTCCATGTGACATATTTTACTTTGAATCCACTGAATGTTTTGAATTGTCTCGGTCTTTTCACAAATTTGTTAACAGGTTTACCACTCTTATCTAAAGTATAAGTACCGGAGATACTATTCATGGTCAATCCTGATGTACTTGTTTCTTTTAACCCGGAATTGATTCTATAATTCATTTCTGGTTGAGGTGAAGAAGTCTTGGAGTTACTGTTCGAATCACTACCATTTTTCTTTTCTGCAGCTACTTTTCTAACTCTTGTTTTAGGAGGTGGTAAAGTGAATCTTGGAATCTTCTCCAAGAATTCTTTAGGGACTTTTAACTTTACCCAATGCTTTCTTGGTGGTGGCATCAATTCCTTCTTTGAACCGAAAAAACTGTTGAAGCGTGTTGAGAATTCGCACCTATGAATATTGGATCCAGTAGTGGTGTAAATCCCAGGGGTGATGTGGAACATGATCCATCTGATCCTCCTTTATTAAGAGAAAGGTTACCTTCCAGATTGGATATTTTATCAAATGGATTAAAATTAGATATAAGAGCTCATCAAAGAACTTATGAAGGAGCTTATACTAGAACTTCTGTGGGGTGTTTAGCCTTTAGTTTATTGATTGTTAAGATCTTTTCGTCAGAATTTTTGCCTGTGGGCATGATATATACTATTTATGGCTCAGTTTTGTTTGTTTTTGGACTTTACAAAAGTAGATCGGTTGATTATTACTATAATCCAGAGAAAGATAAGCATTTTTATAGAACGAGTGGTAATTCCGTTATGTTGATTACCATAGTTAGTTTGGCTTGTTACATAAGTTTATTAATTCTCATATTGAAGATGTGAATTGGGCAAAAGGTCATGGGACTTAAGGAGCTTATGGGGCTAATAGGAATTTATAGGGATACGTAACGATATATAATGATTAAGTTAAACCAGCTATACTGAATAACAAAAGTTGAATTAATAATTGAGCCGACCAGAAAGTGACTTTTTTCATTCTTGTCAACCTACTCTCTTCATCGATAACGTAATTGGCGAAATTCTTGTAAACTTCGATAGAAATATCATCCATAAGTAAACAATCGTAAACTGTCCATGAACCTTCGAAATCCTTGAGGTCTTTGATTATAAGATTATCAATCTCAATGAATGTATTGTTTGAGTTGATATATGCAACTATTGGTTTGACTAAAGCGTAATTTATATATGACAATTCACTCGATTGGAACGGAACAATCGATTTGACGTTATGTAACTTAATGTTGAGCTTCAATTCAACTTTAGGGTCAGCTATCCTGGTAGCATTATTGATAAAATTGGACTTTAAAGTGGTCAAGTAATCTTGAGTAGGAATGTTGGGAATCAATAAATCACCTATCATATCAACTTTACCTTGGTCAATCCATCCTAATGGACCTGGTAGCCCAGTATTCAAATGATCGATGTTTAAACCATCTATTCTTAATCTTTGTAATTTGAAATCTTCATCTATCTTAAATTCGTCAAATCTTTGTCTTTTATGAATGGTAAATAATGATCCATCATAAGCCCCGTTCAAAGCCGTTGCATTCAAGAAATCATAGAACAACCAATGCTTCCTCAATTGGTTCAATTCACAATTATATAATTCCACATTGAATGGTCTGAAATTATTTGGTTGCTTCAACTCGACTAATAAATCAGACATCTTGAAATTGTCGATTTCGAAATCTCCTGGTTGTGCTATGTTTTTGTAATTTGTGGGACTATCGTTGACATCCCAAACAACATGGGTTCTGTCTATAACACCTCTGACCCCTTTCATTTCCATAGTATCGATAATCCCCTTACCGTTCACCCACTTCCTGAATGATAAAGTGACATTTATTTCTTGAATCGATATATCATATTGAGTGTAATTACCATCATCATATTCTTCATCTTCATCCTGTTGTTTGAAATCAGTTAAATGTTTGCCATCTATCTTTGAATTTTTAACGAACTTTTTGGAAATCTTGGGTCTCCGACTGACCAACACCCCTTTGAATTGAATTTTTCCATTATTCCAACTAGGAACAATTGCATTTTCGAAAACTACTGATAAACTTGAGTTTTTAGTTATTACTTCACCGAATTTCCTAGCAACAAATTCTTGAGCAAACACAGTATTGACGGAAAAGATAACTAAAGAAAAAAACGTCGTGGTACCAAGGAAGATCAACAATGCATTACTTATCACTAGCCATGAAAAAAACGCTGAATAATCATCAGTATTGAAAGGTCTGTTTGATTTCTTTAATAACCATTTGAACCTGATTTGCAATCTTGATAGCCAATTATTAGCATTTTTGAGTAGTTGCTCTTTGGTTATTTTGGGGGGATTTAACCTTGGAAAGGATGGGTGATATTGTCGTATTAATAGTCGAGGTATTATCAATGACTGTGGTGATAATCTTGACCTTGAAGGTGCCAACCTTAAATTGTTCCTGAAAATAGGTCTCAACTTAAGCATTAGCGATGCGAACTATTTTGTTTCGGATGATGTCTCAGGTACATTTGACCTATCTTTTATTTTTCCAACAAAGTAGTTACGATAACCTGATTTATTCACACTTGGTGATGAGTTACTTCTTGTCCTGTGGATTTATGAATTTCAGGAGTTTTGTATCAGAGAGATATTTGTAGTCCGGGTAATCTTAATTATAATTCGTATTGATTATGCTGGCAGATTGTTCTGCACTACTTTCAACTGGATAGGGAGAATTACGATAGTTACGAAGTTCAGTTTCGTTACTATCACCAAGTATTCGTTAACTAGGATCGTTAAAAATGTCTCTTATCTTATCTCCCCCCAAATCCGAGATCTTTCACTCGGTTGTACTTTACAATTTCACAAATTTGTGATTTTCACATATTTTTCTTGTTTTGTCACAAACTTCCAGTCGATTTTTAATCACAAGTTTGACTGCTCATATAGTTGTCAATAATCAAGAATATTCATAAGAACTTCAGCTATGAGTCAATCAAAAACCCATATTTGAAGGGGTAAATTGATTAGTCAGTAGATAAGGGTTTGACTCATTCGCGGATATATAAAGATAAGGCACCATCCTTTTCTCGAAAGAGAATTTACATAAATTATGAAATTTGGTAAGCAAGTCAGAGAGAAATACTTTTCGTTACTTGATCCTAACTTGAATCCAATCAACCATGGTTCATATGGTTTAACTCCACTTCCAGTTTACAATGAATTCATCAGACTGATAAGGGAAGATTATGCATTTCCCGATAAGTATATGATCGACACTCAAGGGACCGAATACTTAAATGCCGTGAAAACTGTAGGAGAGATCGTCAAATGTGATTATCATAATATTGCCATGACTGATAATGCCACGAGTGGTATTAACACTATATTCCGTAGTAAGGAATGGAAAAAGACGGACAAAGTTTTGATTACCTCCGTAGTTTATGATAGTTGTGAACATGCGTTGAGATATATGCAAAGGACTTTTGGTTTTGAAGTCATAAAGATCGATTTGGATGTTGCAAAAGACGTATTCAAACAATTTAAACAAGCCGTGGAAGAGAATCCTGGTATCAATATGGTTATGTTTGATTTGATTAGTTCCATGCCTGCGGTCTTGTTTCCTTACAAGGAATTAGTTGCATATTTCAAATCCAAAAATATTATCTCTGTTATTGACGGAGCTCATGGAATTGGTTTATTACCATTAAATTTAGGAGAATTAGATCCTGATTATTTTGTTTCAAATTTACATAAATGGTATTACTGTCCAAGACCATTAGCTTTCATGTATGTCAGTAAAAAGCATTTCAAGGAAATTCAGCCAATGCCAATCAGTCATGTATATGATACTGAACATGTTACTGAGAACACCTTGATTGACAAATTCAAATTCTTAGCTTCAAAAAATTATGCCTATTATAACTGTGTAGGTGCTGCTAAAAAATTCAGAGAGAATTGGGGGGATGAAGAGATTTGGTCCTATTGCGATAATTTAAAGAAAGAAGTTGTTGAATGGTTGACTAAAAGATGGGGAACCAAACAATTCGGTAACGAAATTCTTCAAATGGCCAACATCGAAATTCCTAAGAAATTTAACATTCCTCGTGAAACCACTGAACTTTTTAAGAAAGATATGTCTAAGACCGGTGAATATGCCCAAGTTGCTTACTATAAAGACAAATTCTTAATCAGATTATCATTTCAAATTTATAATGAATTTGAAGATTACGTTAAAGCTATTGAAGCTTTGGAACCTTTGTTATTGAATTATCAAGGAAGAAATAAACTCTAGAATCATATATAACTTTTTTCAATTCTATAAACTAAATAGTATTAAATTTTAATAAAATGTCTTGAACTAAATCACTTTCGATATCATACTTTGATAATTTTATCAATAATGGAATGATCTGTTTGATTAAACCATAATTATCGTGTAAATCATAGTTGTTTAAACCTGTTAATAACAACTTTAATTCTATCGATTGAATTGACAGTAATGGAAGTCTATAAGATAATTTGACATCATCTAAGATTCTTCTTAAACAAAACAATAATCTGGCAAAGAAGAATTTGAATTTTTTCAGTGAAAATTTATTAGTGGTAGTATAGTTGATCAACTCTTGTAAACAAACGAACTTCATCTTATTGAATTTATGAAATTCGGATGGTTTGATCAATCCGAAGGATGAGTCGTAATCGTATCTTAATAAGTTCTCGATGATTGAATCAATATCATCGTTAGCACCCAACAATTCAGTCTCAATTTCATTGAGTTTGTAAAGGTAAGAATTATCGTAAATGCTTTTCAAAAATTCATCAATGGCCCATGATTTCTCCAAATGAGGTATTATGATAGGAATGATCTTAAAGTATTGGGAAATATTGATAGATTCTTCCTTAGACGAAAGATTCTTGAAATTGATTATAACAGAAGAGATGATTAGTTTCCAGATTTCATCTTGGTGTGATCCAACATTCAAAATCTTCTCCAATATTACTAACAAGAAATCATTACATCTGACCCATAAATCAGTAGATTTGTTGGTGATGATCTCTAGTAATGATTTGATTAATTTTTCCACGGCTCCATCATCAATGATCACTTTATAGTCTTTGATCTTACACCATAAGACTTCTAAAAGTTCAAAAGACTTATAACTTAAAGCGATGAATGTAGGCAATTTGAACTTCAGTTTAAGATTTGAATTCAATAATTTGCTTTCAATCTTTTCTCTTATTTGGAATTGGTAAATGATCAAGTTACTTAGTTCTTTGATAACCAAAGAATTTATATTGTCATTGAAATCCTTACTGACAATCAAATCGATATTGTTGGTAATAATGTTTTGGATTGGAGTCAAATTTACATCATCAGATTTCTTCAATATAATAGGGTATCTCAAAATCTTAACAAAGATCAATAAGATCTTTGATATCTTCGTTTCATCCACCAACTGATTATCGTATAAGTTGTTGAGAATTATAGGAAATAAAGTGACTATTTTTTCAAGGAATTGTAAATATTGTTCTGGATTCACCAAATTGTATTCAATAGGTAAGTTAATCCAAAAAGAATAGAACAATTCCAAAATATCAATATCCATTTTACCATTATTGATGGGGATTTCGAAAATTGTTTGGAATTTGTCCATGAATATGATACTGAATTCTAAATCTTTAGTTAACAAATTACTGAAAGCCATCAATTTTTCCCAATCTTGGAAGTTCAAGAATTGCAAAAATTTGGAGTAGATTGATACAATCCCATCAATTTTCAAATTAATAGTTTCCTTTAATTCATTAGAAGGAACTTCATTTATGACAAATAATTTCTCAAACACTAAAGAAGTGATAATATTCCATTGTTCCTGATTAAAAGACTCTCCATGAATTTCCAAGATTTCAAAGAAAGTTTGAATTGAACCATCACGAACTTGAGCTCTCTCATCCATCGATAAAATTATTAATTGTAACAATAAATAAATATCTAAAGACTTGATACCTTTACCAATACCATCAATTTCTATCTCATTGTATAACTCAGATTCCTCATCTTTCTCGAATTTACTCTTTATGGTATCACCGATAGTGAAAAAGTAAGATATGGACGAGAATGATATGTTCAAGTCAGATTTTTGATTACCAAATTTGATCAAAGTATCGATCAATATCTTGAATTTTGAAATAGGTAAGATGTCAATAAATTCATTCATAATCAATTTCAATGAAGTGAATGATAAATTAATAATGTTGAAGATTTTATCATTCTGTCTATTTTTAATCAACCCAAATGATAATTCGATAATATCAAAGATCAAGGACCATGATTTTTCATCATTTAATCTCTTATCATAACTTTCTATTACTTTGGATAAAGTATTCAAAATGATCTCTAAGATTTCGAACATATTATTAAGCTTCAATACTTCAGAAGAATTGGTTTCTAATTTGATCAAAAGATTCTTCAACCCGTTCAAGCAAAGTTGATTGAGGGCATTATACTCTTCGATACCTTCAATTTTGTTTGATTCTAACGTCAAGTTCACAATGATATCGTTGTATTTGATGATTATGTAATGCTTCAAATTGAATGGTTTCAACATCAACCCGTCGTTCACAAAGAAATTATTGTACTTATCGAAAATCTTATCATTTGTGAAAAAGTTCAAAGGTGTAATCTTACTGATATCGAATAATTTATCAATAAAGAACACTTTGTTCTGTAAACATAATATGAAATTCTTGTTGTCAGTAAAGTTAAGATATTTATCATCATCGATTTTGAATAATTTGATCTCATTATCATCAACTTGAAGAGTCTTCTTAAACAACTCCATTAATGAGGTGATCAAATTATCATAACTTTCAACGGGATAATCTTTGATACTTGAATAGAGTTTATTCATAGAAGACTCAATACTGGACGTATCCAAATTTGGTTTCGTCCAATTATCATCTCTCAAACTGAACTCATTAGGACCATTGATATAATAATCACACCATTGTAAAGTAATCCAGATAATATCCCAAGATTCATTTAATGTTGAACCCAAGGAAATAGCTAGATTAATTAATGCTCTTAATGAAGTTAAATGACGAACGGTGAAATTATTTGGTACTTTGATGATAATTTTGGATAATAAGATTAATAAATCATCTCTGAGATTGTTTATACCCAATAAACCTGTGGTGTGAGTGAATTTTTGTAAAGATCTGATCAAACTATGGAAATTATCATTATCTAAAGAACAATGAAGCATATAGTTGAATAATTGATATAAATCCTTGTAGTTTATGTTGATTAAATTATTAATCAATTCAATGTTGGATTCTAAGTTAGATGAATTGGGTGATAAATTATTCACAAAGTTGGTTAATCCATCAGTGAATTGAATGAGTACTTGTAAAATCAAGTTAATCGAATAAGTAGTGGAAACCGTTGGAGGTTCAACCTTATCCAATAAATCCAAAAGGGGAATCTTCGGAACTGAGTTTTTAGAAATTATCAAATTTGATGGCAATGATAAAGAATTTTTGATCAATTGATTATTCAAATTGTTGTTGAGTAAATAATTATTCAAAATGGAGAACAATTCCTTAATAACATTTTTCTTATTTGAATTATTATCATATAATCTGAAAATACTCTCTAAATTTTTGAAATCATGGAATAAGCTTTTGAATACTTCTAATACCAATATTTTATTCCATTCATTATTATCGTTCAACAAAATGTGATTCAAAATGGAGATGATGATTTCTCCTTCAATGACCAAGTTGGATAATTGAGTGTTTAAAAGGATCAATAAAATTCTCATGATTCTGATGATGATGGAGAATTCATCATTCAAGATTCTTAATAATGAAGGCACTAATTTAATCCTCAATAAATAATTCAACTCTTTGTGGGTACTGAAAGTTGTGACATGGTTTTGTAAAATGTTTTCAATAATCTCTAACACTGAATTAATCTTGATATTATTCAATTGTTTGAAGAATATTGGTAATTGTTTATCAATGATCTTACACAAATCTTGGAAGATCAAATAACATTCATAAGAATAATCATCAACCATTATGCCTTCACTTTCGTTATCGATTTCAATCTTTTTAGTCCTTGAGTCAGCCTCAATAGTCAATGGGATTTTGTCAAATGCATAATTGAACAATTGTTGTAATGTAGCAAATGCCGTGTTTATCACTACTGTTGAATTGTTATTGGAAGTTAAGTTTATACAAATTGTTAATAAAGATAATAATGAATCATTCACCAAATAGTCTTTATAATTGGACATTAAATTTGGTAAACATTGTAAGATTTTCAATTGAATATCGATAGCCAAATGACTGGCTTCTGACAATCCCGCTAAAAGGTCTTTGAGGTCATCAGGATTCAAATTATTGGATATAATCAATTTGTTTATGGCAGGTATTGATAAATTGGCGAATCTAGCGTTGTTAACATTACATGAAGTAAGAAAAGGTTTCAATAATTTCGACATATCGGCCGAGCTTAAAGTCTCTTGTTTGGCAATTGGTAAAGCTATATCACAAAATTTCTTAATATCATTATTCCTTCTCTTCAGTTCATTTGAAAGGTTGGTTAAATCTGTTGATATTGACTTAATCATTACTGCCCATTTAATCGCGATTTGGTCTTTTCTAACATTGGTGTACCAATGCGGCAATGCTAGAGAGGTGGGATGAAAGAAATATTACAAAGTTTCAAATTCCACCAACGGGTTAACCAAGTGGAATTACGTCCAATCAATGCTTTGTTCAGTGTGAGTTAATTGGCAGTCATAATAAATCGAATCATTAATCTGAGGTGATCTATAGGCGATCATCTCAAAACCATCGAACTGGTTAGAGTAATTCATTCTAAAGATGACTTCATCGAATTGTCTAACAGCATAAATTATATCATTTAATGTGTTACGACATCTTGCCGTTGCTGTGAAACGGTTAAATTTGGAACTTCTGGAAAAACCTTTTCGGATTAATTGAATGACTTTAGTATTGGGTGATTTTTCTGTGCAGCGGACTTCAAAGTCCTAGTTTTTGGAATTATATAGTTTTCCTCTGAATGAAGTTGTGAACTTGTAGCAACAACAAACACCGAATTACTATGGCATAACCTTCATTATCGATAACTCATAATACCATAGTCATTAAAAAAAAGAGTCCAAAATACTTCATAGAACTATTTTAAGGTACAGGGTTTCGAGGCGACTCTGTTTTACATGATTCGGAAAAATAAAAATAAGATCACACCAATTTTAACAACACCATGATAAAATGCAGGACCATTTCGGACTCATGGCCATGTTCGGGAAACTCAAGAGTATATTGAATTTTGAAGAACCGTTAGAGTCAAAACTTAAAGATACTTTTTTTGTCATAATCATTACTCTATCATACTCTATCACATTATTCATTAGTTATTAACTATATTAGTTAATTTGATTACTTGTTTCTTCAAATTGTCGTTTTCTTCCAAAATTCTTGATTCATTAATTTGTAAAAATTGAATATATTCAATAGCCTTGTCTAAGATTAAAGATTTATTCAATTTTTTACAATCTTCATTTTGAATCTTACAATTTGTTGTTCTGAAACCAGTTTCTTCTCCAGTTAACCATGGAATTAATCTTTGTAAACCTTCAATCTTGGTATTGATATTAATTCTATATTTTTTTTCAATTATATTATGGGCAGCCTTTTGACTGGTAGTTAACTTCTTTCTTGGAGCTCTTTTCTTCTTCTTGTGAATTGTAGATCTAGAACCATTCAAATCGATTGAATTCATTGACGAATTCAATGTTGAATTCAAATTAGTACTAACAGCTGAATCCAAATTACTATTTGAATTTATATTGTTGATACTGTTAAAATTCATATTGAATGAACTAAAGTCATAAGAATTCAACTTATTATTTACCATGTTTAAATCGATTGAATAATTTGATTGTGGTGATGAAGATAAACTATCATCATTTGATTCCTTCTTAATAGTAGGTTCATCAATACTTGAATAAGAAGTAATATTACTTAAAGGAACTTTATTTTCAAAATCAAAAGAATTTGATCTTGTTGATTGAAATGAATTATTTTCAATAATGTTAGAATCGATATATTTCATCCAATCGTCGTTATCACTAACGGGACTCAAAGGTTGAAATTCGAAATTCATTATAATTTAAAAAAAAAAATTGTCTTTTGGCAGGAAAGCTGTAAGCAAAATCAATTAAGAAATGCAGTTAGTAAGTTTGTAAACTCAATATGGTCTTAATTAAAAAATCACAAAAGAAAGTTAAGGGAATATTATCCAAATTTATACTCCTGTTCGATTTCGGTGTTAGCTGCAAAAAAGAGATTATTTTCCCACGACACCCTTGCGACATTTTTATCATCTGTTCTTTTTCTTTTTGGGCAGGGCAACAAAGCATTTACGATTTATTAAGTCTTACGTTTTTGAATTAGCTCATGCTAAGTTTAAAGTGGTTTAAGATTTATGGGAACAGCCCACAACTCGATGGTTTACTAATATAAATAATAATCCATTCAAATGAACTATCCCACATTCTTTCATAAGTAACCAATATTCCAATAAGAGAGATCTCTAAATAATTATCTTCATGTAAATTTAGAACACAATAGTTAATTATGCACGTTATCAAAATTTTTTCCACGCCAGACTTTTAGATGGTCCAGGTCAAAACAGCTGAGAATCCCTATTTTATCCATAACATCCATATAAATGCGGTTAAACTTAACTAGGGGTTTTTGATGAAAATGCCTCAGATAGGTATCGAAAACTTACCATTACGGTAATAAGTACGTACCTTTTAAGCCCGTTCTTAATTAATATTTATTACCTTCTTTTCCCGTTGAAATCTGATGTTTTATTGAGTTCATGGTGTGGACGCTCCTGCACATTCACTTAAATTCAATCTGCGTGTGAGACCCATTTATTTAACGGGACGGAACAAGTGTAATATTAGAGATAATTATAGGAAACGTATTCTTAAACTGCAACTGCAACCCCCAACCTTAACCCACCTTGGGGTCGTTGGTAACTTTAACTCAAATTTTCAGTTAAGGTCCAACCCTGTGTAAAATGAAAACATTAAGGTAAAGATTTTGATCTTCTGTAACAAAGGAGCTGTGTCCTTGATAAGACATTTAACAAACCTTTTTGTCAGTTATGGTTTATCTCAATACAGTAATACCACATTTGTTCGAGTATCCGGCGTAAATATGCCTGCGACTATTTTTTAGATTGTTAATCCTTTATCAGTTGACGATTGTTAGGACATGAAGTTGGATGATTCTCTATTAATTATTATAATAGAAACGTTCCTGAACCCATGTCCCTTGAAGATGTCTTTTTGACTTGTATTAAGCAAAATTAGAAAAAAAAATTGTAGATCATGTAAATGCTCCTAATAAAATTTGTATTAAATAATAATTTAAGTTTGTTACACTTTTCATCAGCCACCAAAACATGAGGGGGTATTTGAAGAACCGATGTTGTTAGCTAGAATCTTCAAAAGCTCTTCAATATCCATAACGCCGATTTTTTTTTTTCTGAAAAACCGGTGTTGTATTTCTCTATTATCCACATTTTAGTAGATAGGGGTACATATTAAGGGTGCCCTTGACATTAATTAGACAGCCATGTAGATCTACTGGCCAAGTTCTTGAGTAGTGACAGTTTTTTCTGATTTTAAGATGAAGATTTATTTTAAGTCTACTTACATATGTACTTAATGATGTGTTCGTAATACAATTTTTGATTCCAAAAAGTATCAAGATATCTAATAAAAGCTCTTTGTTTAGATTCTGATTGTCATCACTAATAACTTGTTATAGTATAGAACTAGGTCCAGCACATTCGAATCAAGTGTCTTACTCTGAAGGAAGTGGGACAAACCCCTTAAAAAATAATATTCGTTGCATTCAATCTCTTTAAAAGCATTTCTGACGTTTTCACTAAATTTTTGAACTTCTGAATTATACGAACATGGGGTGATCTCCAAGTACTTGAAGCAGGAAACACTCTTAGGTAGTAATTTTCCAGTTAGCTAATGTTTGGAATCACTTAAGATTTGTTCTTTGCATGGATATATGAACATTAAAGGAATTCTGGAAAAAAGTGTTGATACTGAAAGGTTGGAAGCTCTTGATACTTATCTTGGTAGTTTTATAATTCTTGGCTTACTTTCTTTTTGTAATTGTAAATATGTTAGTACCTAAAAATCCACCAGTTGAGCCAGTGGGGTTCAATAGTTGGGAACTACTGAATGAACTTCAAAGTTGTGAATGTCCTTTTTGGTGATTTTGGGAATTTCGATTGGGAATTTCGCCTTTGATGATTGGCAGTCTAAAAATGTTATTAAAATCTCCAACAGAGTCAAACTATGCTCTTATACTGGTGGGAAGTTTTACTATTTGTTTTGTAGAGACTGGCAAGAGATTGTCGAATTTTGTATGGGTTGTGTGTATTTTGGGTTAAAAAAACTGTTGAAACCTGACCGAGCCGTAAACCAATGATGCTGAATTTGGTGCCTAAAAGTGTATTCTTTGGAAAGTTCCGGCCCTTTACCTGTTGGGGAGAGTTCAAATCGCCCAAAGTTTTTGGATGGCATATCAACTTGTTTTGAACTATCTCCTCCTTCACTGCTCAACTCCAAAATCCACTATGGCCTGCTAACAACTTCTGCTGGATTCTTTTTCAATTATGTGGGCCAGTAGTCTTTTCACCTAGTGATTGAAATTTCAAGGTTTCCTCGTTTCTTGATTAGCCTTCAACTTATTCAAGTCCTGCTTGTCAAAGTTTGAATGGATGTTTCTGCCGAGGGAACCCCTTTTCACTCTTCCTGTGAAACACAACTCATTTTCAACTGATGAGTGTTGGTCTGACTATTGAAGAACTGTGATCGGACTCAGATTTTTGGAACCTAAATGATGTACATGTTGGCCATTTTTGTCAGCTTATCATATTCTTTTCCTGAACAAATCAATTTTCACGCTTGTCCTACAAATTTGGCCATTGAATCTGGTTTTCTGACTTAATGAAACTTCGTGTTCGGTTCAGATAAGATGTGGTAACCTTTCCAAGATTTGGCAAAGATCCAATCAGGTTCAAATTCTCCAATGATGAATTTTCGACCCTAAGCTTTTCTTCATCACAAAGAACGACCAAGGGCACCATATCATGAAAATTCGCCTAGCTAACTCACCTGGAAGAGTTCAAGACCTAAGGCATTGGGAATTTCTTGAAAACTCGAAGTTTCGAATATTGGTATGAATTTTCCACTTCAGATCAAAACTTCAGGTTCAAATTTTTAACAACGCCATTCTAGGTTCAAACTTTCCAGATTTAGCCAACAGAACATCTTTCCATTGTCCCGAACAAGTTTACAAACATTAAATAAACTCTCCCACTCTTATTTGAAAAGTACTGTGAAAAGAATCAAATCCAGAAGTGTCCGGAGTCCTAATATTTATAATTCCACCCGAACCACCAACCTTCGTCATTGCCATCCATTGTAGTCATGCAGCTACTTGACTAGTCCCACGGAAAAGAGTTAATATTTTTTTGTATTTTGACAAATCACTGGCATTGTTGCAGAAATCAGGACGTTTCAATTAACGCTTTACACTTTATTTTAATTCATTATGCTTAAAGTGTAAAAATTAGTGAAGATCTTTTATTGCCTTTTAACGGGATTTGTCAAAATAATTTACAGGTTATACTAATTTGTAAAATAGTCATTGTCAAATTCGTGGACTGGATCCATTAGCCGAGTGATATACAGTCCCTAGAACATTTGACATCCACTATGGGGGCACTGTGAAGTCACTAGGATGATTTTTGGAGTCATCCATGAGTCTAAAGAATTTCTAAGAATTTATGCATTTTGTGATCGTGATGTTACTTAGAAAGGTGACCATGATCGTGATTTTTTTGAAACTTGCCGTGGTTGATTTCAAGCCTAGGGATGTCACTCAAGGCGTTGGTTAAACAGTAATAATTATTATTTTCTCTGGTCGTTGCCGGTTAACAGGTGGAAACTGGAATCTTATAATTATGTAATCGTATACAGAACCTATTTGGATTCCTTCCCCTTTTACTCGGGGATTAGAGAGTGCCATCAAACTAAAATACCTCGGCTGTATCCCACATCGCCTCTGTAAGCATAGTCTATCAACTAATTATATGACTCGTCAATAAATTCAAACATTTCATATTTTACTTCTATGAGAGTATACCATGTTACACAAAATCAAAATTATCTTTTTTCAACTTTCAAGTCACGTGCGCATTTTTCTGCCAATATTATTTTTTTTCAATGCTCGTTTTGATGATAAGATCTAATAATGAATTTCAAACTTGATGGAATAAATAGGATTAGACTATTGGTGGCATGTGGGATAATATTCACCATAACATTGTTGAAAATTTTATTCACGCCATCTGGTTTATATTCTCCATCATTTGATGATGAATCAGTCAAATTTTTTGATTTAGATAATTATAAAGGACGTGCAGACGGTTGGCAATATGAAGAACGAGTTTTATTTTGTGTTCCTTTAAGAGATGCATCAGCTCATTTACCTATGTTCTTCGGACACATGAAAAACTTAACATACCCACATAATTTAATTGATTTAGCATTTTTGGTTTCTGATTCCAGTGATAACACCTTAGGTAATTTGAAAAAACATTTGAATGAAATTCAAAATGATCCAAACTTAGCCATGAGATTTGGTGAAATTGAAATCTTTGAAAAGGATTTTGGTCAAATTATAGGTCAAAGTTTCAGTGATAGACACGGTTTTGCAGCTCAAGGTCCAAGAAGAAAATTAATGGCTAGAGCAAGAAATTGGTTATGGACAGTAGCCATTAAACCTTATCATTCTCATGTTTATTGGAGAGATGCTGATGTTGAAACTGTTCCTCCAACTATTTTAGAAGATTTAATGCATCATGATAAAGATGTTATTGTTCCAAATGTTTGGAGACCTTTACCTGATTGGTTAGGTAATCAACAACCATATGATTTGAATTCATGGCAAGAAAGTGATGGAGGTTTACAATTAGCTGAAGCTTTAGAAGAAGATGCTTGTATTGTCGAAGGTTATGTTGAATATCAAACATGGAGACCACATTTAGCTTATCTTAGAGATCCATATGGAGATCCAGAAATTGAAATGGAATTAGATGGTATTGGAGGTGTTTCAATCTTAACCAAAGCTAAAGTTTTCCGTACAGGTCTGCATTTCCCAGCATTTTCTTTTGAGAAACATGCTGAAACTGAAGCTTTTGGTAAATTAAGTAAAAGAATGGGATATAACGTATATGGATTACCTCATTATGTTATTTGGCATATTTATGAACCATCTTCTGATGATTTGAAACACATGGAATGGATGGCTTTAGAAGAAATTAGACAAAAAGAAGAAGCTAAAATAAAAGCTGTCTATGATAAAGTTTGGGATAAAGCTTTTGAAGGTGTACAAAATGATTGGAGTAAAGAAAGAAATGATTTTATGAAAAACACTGATTTAACCAATTTCAGAAAAATTTATGTTGATTGGAGTGGTGCCGAAAGTGAAAACTTGGTAGAAAATAATGAAGAAGATAAACATTTAGCTGATTTCGATCCTGCTTAATTTTTATTTCAATACACATTTGTCATGTTCTTTCTTGACTTTCTTTTTAGTGAACTTAATAGAGTAAATAAAACAATACATAAAATTTTTGTATATTCGCTTACTTAAGCATGTTCATTCTCTTCATGTTCAATAGCATGATCGTTATCTTTATAGACGTAAAATTGTAAGAAAATAATAGAATCTTCAAAAATTGTACCTAAAGATCCTAATAACCAACTCAAATTGAGAACGATATAATTCCAATCAGATCTATAAAATAAAATTTGAGCAGCATAAGTTAAGTTACCGAATGTTGAAAAAAGGAAGAAAAGGAGACTTAAACCTTGAACAGATTTACGTTGATGATTTTGAATAATTTGAGGAATTCTTGCTCCTAAATAAAGAAAAGCTGATAAATAACCAATCAATTGTGGTCCCAAAGCAATTTGATCATTTGGAGGGTTTGGAGGGTTTTCTGGAATTTCAGGATCTTTTGAATTTGGCATGGAAATAAAGAATCCTAATAACCCACAAGCAAATACAAATAAAATTGGTAAAACATATTTAATTATAATGCCATGATAAGAAGGTTCTACAGCAATATCAGTCAAAGTACTTGAAGTTCTTCTTCTTCTATCCATTAAAGGTCTTTCTTCTTCTTTCTTTACATAAATGTATTTATAATAAACGAAGGAGAAAATCATTAAGAAATCAGCAATACAAAACCAAACAGCTAATGATACAACTTGGATTAATAAACCGGCCCAAATACTTCCAATTAAGTTGAAGACATCACCTAAAAACCAAATTGAGATAAACCCAATAGCAATTCCATCACTGGATTTTAATCTCCATTGTTCGATGAGTTGTGGGACTAAAAGAACTATCCAACATGCTAAGGATGTTGATCCCATAATACCTGAAATAGCATTGGTAATATCAGTCATTTTCGTTGCAAAGGCCCTAAAAATAAAATTCTTCAACCGCGATACTCCTTTGGGAAGTTCTCGTTTCAGTCCTGAAGTACGGAAATAATGGTGTACGGGTGTGAACACTCAAACAAAGTGATGAGATGATGAAACTTCTCTTAAAACATTGAATACCTTCCTAAATTCCAAAACCACTCATGAATTCATAAGATAATTTGATTGGCGTTAATTTGAGGGGTCAAAGGAGGCTGAGGTAGCTAAATAATTATTGATGATTACGAGAATTATTACTAAAGGGAGATAAAGTGATGAGAAATCATGTAAGCTCGTTATCTCCATGCGCCTTATTTAAGGTCGTGAGCGACCCTTTTTTGATTTATTCACATTTGGAATATCAAGTTTAACATGACAAAAGTTATTATAGTTGGAGGAAATTATGCTGGTTGTATTGCAGCAAAGAAGTTAGCTAAAAAAGGTCATGAAATTGTCATAGTTTCACCTTTTGATAGTTCTTTTGCTTCACCACTTCTTCCAAGACTTCTTACAGAACCTGAGCTCATTGAGGGTAATTATAACAACAAATATACTTCAATCTTTGCAGGTTTGAATGTTAAACATGTCAAAGCACTTGTTACTGAGTTAGATCCTGATGCTAAAGTTTTAACCTTGAGTACTGGTGAAACCTTAGATTATGAACATTTAGTTATCGCTACTGGTACTAGTCATGGTGAATTATTTAAACCTTCAAGTTCAGGGGCCATGGATTCTAACGTCAGCTTAATCAAATCTACTGCCGAGAAAATCAAGTCAAATAAGAACATTGCTGTTATTGGAGGTGGTCCAACTGGTGTTGAAGTTTCTGGTGATATTGCACACCATTATCCAGATAAATCTGTTGACTTATATACTGGTTCAGGAAATCCTTTACCAACTTTACCATTGAAGAAACAGTTACAAGCTGTTTCAATGTTAGAAAAGAAAGGTGTCAAAGTCATTAAAAAGAATGCTGAAATCAGTGGTAATACTGTTGACGGTAAATCCTATGATTTAGTTTTAACCACTTTCGGTGTCAAACCAAACAGTGGCTTCATTCCAAAAAAATTATTGAATTCAGAAGGCTACTTAAAAGTTTCTGAAGATTTGACTGTTCCAGGATATACAAACATTCTTGGGTTTGGTGATATTACTGATACCAGTAATAACACTTTAGTTGCCATCATCTTGGGCCAAACTAAAACTCTTGAAAAATCTGCTGAAAAGTACTTCGAAGGTAAATCTGTTAATCCTCCACCATATAAGAACCCTAAAGGTGCCTCTATGTTTGTTCCAGTTGGTAAAGACGGTGGTGTTGGTATTGTCTTTGGTTGGAGTATACCATCATTCTTGGTAAAGATAGTAAAGGCTAAAGATTACATGATCTCCCATATGGCAAATTATTATGATCAATTCTAGATTTCATACAGTGGAATGTTTAATATACTTTAATTCAAAATTTCTCTCTTTGTTTGTGAGTTCTATAATTTTAAGTGATACTTGCGAAAAATATCAAAAAACAGGAAACGTATATTTTAATGAACAAAATAAAGTTTCTTTGTTTCGATTCCCAAACTCTAAGCCCAACGCTAGGTAACGACGGTTGTTTGAGGAAATCATATTCAATGGGAACTCTTGGGGTGACTTATCTTGGACTATGAGAATGTGTCTATAACGAAATTATTTTCAGTACTGGAACCTTTATACAAACATAACTCTGAATAGCAAGATTTCTGCTCTGATATCCATCGAATAGAAGAGTATGATTGTAAACCCAATAATCAATAACTAGTATAATTGAAGTATCACCAGATTTTGCAGCCAGCCCCAAATAAACTCTGCGAACTGGTCCCTTCGTTACCTCACAGGGTAAATTTCAGTCCAGATCATTAGAAAGCTTTTTGAGTGAGTGAAAAATTTTTCATACTTATATTACTTAAAAATGGTATGTTAAAGTAGATAGGCATTGGACCCTCCTAGCATTCTACAAGTCCGATTGGATTTTAGTTGCTCAGGTGTGGTAACCATGTCATCTTACAAGTCTTCTTGTTGTACAACTTGAGATTTGTTTGATAGGTGAACCTATCCAGAGAATGTCTTTTGATATCTTTGAATAGGGCTACTTATTAAGATTCTAGTATGATCTGATTCAGAATTTACTATGAAGCTTATAAGTAGGCCACTCTGAGCAGGCTGAGTACAATCTTGTACTGTAGAGTTATAGGGTTTGTTGACCAATATATTCATAATTGAATTGATGAGAACCTTACTAACTCAATGACACAGCCTTCAAAGAAAGTCGCTCCAGCGCCATTATCTACCAAATCAGTTAAAACTTCTAAAAACGTTAACCCATTGATTGAATCAACTCCAAAAAATTTTGGAATTGGTCAAGCTATCCAACCAAAAAGAAATTTATCCAGATTTGTTAAATGGCCTGAATACGTCAGATTACAAAGACAAAAGAAAATCTTGTCTTTAAGATTAAAAGTCCCTCCAGCTATTGCTCAATTCACCAACACTTTAGACAAAAACACCGCTACTCAAGTTTTCAAATTATTTAACAAATATAGACCAGAAACTTCAGCTGAAAAGAAAGAAAGATTGACCAAAGAAGCTGCTGCCATCGCTGAAGGCAAAGATGCTAAATCAGTCTCTCCAAAACCAGTTGTTGTTAAATACGGTTTAAATCATGTTGTTTCATTAATTGAAAATAAGAAAGCCAAGTTAGTTTTAATTGCTAATGATGTTGATCCAATTGAATTAGTTATCTTCTTGCCAGCTTTATGTAGAAAAATGGGTGTCCCATACGCTATTGTAAAAGGTAAAGCTAGATTAGGAACTTTAGTCCACCAAAAAACCTCAGCTGTTGCTGCTTTAACTGAAGTGTCAGCCGCTGATGAAGCTGAATTATCAAAATTAGTTTCAACCATTGATGAAAACTTCCTTTCTAAATACGAAGAAAACAGAAAACACTGGGGTGGTGGTATCATGGGTGCTAAAGCTCAAGCTAAAAAAGTCAAAGCTATTAAAGCTGCTGGTGTCCCAACTAATTAGTTAATTGTATATTATATGTGAATTCTAAATTCTTTCATTCTCTTGACATTCAGAGTTCAGCAGTAGACACACATCTACTAGTGTACTAGATATGATGCCTACCTGATGTAAATAACCTACTATCTGTAGTGATATGATTTAGGGCTTTTGCCCTGTGACCGTTCTCAAAATTTTGAAAAATATTGTTACATGCCGGACCTCATTTGTGAGGAATCTTTTACTGGGAAAATAGTGAGAATTTTTCAAATAGTATTACTAGACAAAGGTATGTTTGAACAAGTAATGAAATCGATTATTCTTAGAAACCATGTGTGAATGTTGAACTATGAAGCTGAACCAAAGACGTTATGTTGTAAGACCAAAGAAAACCTGTTTTGATTGTTGTGACCCAGATAAATACTTGAAAAAAATTCCATCATATTAATTGTTGTAAACGTAGATTCCCAAGTCCGTTTTGTGTAATTCAACTAAGTAACAAGTTCCAAAGTATCCCACCATGATTTCAGATTAATCAAGAAATTTTCCAACGCAAATACTAACAATTATAGATGGCTAAATCAAAGAATCATACTGCTCATAATCAAACCAAAAAAGCTCACAGAAACGGTATTAAAAAACCAAAAACTGACAGATATCCATCATTAAAAGGTGTTGATGCCAAATTCAAAAGAAACCACAGATACGCTTTACACGGTACTGCTAAAGCTTTAGCTAAAGCTAGAGCTGAAAAAGCTGCTAATTAATTCTAATGGTTTTTCCTTTACGTAAGTAGTGTCCCATCTAGATGGATTAATGAAGCATATAATCAATATACTTTTGTACATTTAGTTGTAATAGATAATTACTCTATACTTCTCATTGAACCCCCAATAATCTCTATGTTCGTCCCTTATGCAGTGAGTATCACTTATCTCTTATTCATCATGAGGACTACAGTAGAACTTCTAGCCTAGCCCTCATACTTTCCTTAATCCACTTCAACCGAGTCCTTTTCAACCTCTTGGTGGAAACTGTGAGATTCAAAACATCTCGAATTCTCAATCTCACACAGTGGATGCGATATCAATGTCATCATTTGGTAATATAGAACCATTTGGATTTGATAAGCGATCCAGTCAAATACCCAAAACAAAACCTCCCAATTCACAGCATGATATAAATTCTGGTAATTTTAATAGTAATGGGAATAAGAATAATAATATAAACCGTAAACGAAACTTTAAGTCCAATACAGCACCTAAGAGGAAAGACGGTTCAGAATTCAAAGGAAAGAAAGATGACAATAGAAACAAACCAAATTCTCGTCAAAGCAGTGGCAGATTTACAAAGGGTAATAACTTCAATCAAAATCACAAACCTAGAAATTTAAGTTCTAATCAACCGAAGAATAAGGTAATGATAACGGATAATTCTCGTGATTCTAATAATTTGTTTGTTAACCCAGAGGCATTAGGGTTCTATAAGAAACCTGCTGTTAGGGTCAAGAAGCCTGACGCATATAAAGGGCAACCCAGGATTATCGAACCAATACCGTTTGTTCAAGACCCTTGGGACAAAGAAAACCAGCAGAAGATGTTAATCATGGAACAAGGAAGTACCGATAACCAAGGTCTTTATGAAGACTTCCAGAAGATGAGAGAAGTAGAAAGGAAGAAGATGGAAGACTTAGGATTGGTGGATGCTGAGAATACCCGTAAAGATTTAAACGATGCCATATCATTCAGGGGAACTTGTTTGGATATGTGTCCCACCTTTGAAAGAATCAGAAGAGCTCTTGAAAATAATGTTAAAAATTTGGAAAAAGATCCCAAAACAAATCGAATTTCAAGAGAAAAGGCTGTCAAAGCATTTTCAAGACCCGCTGCTGGTCAACCACCTCCTTTACCTTCTGATGTAAGACCTCCTCATATACTTACTGATACTTTAGATTATCTTATTGACAAAGTTCTTCCCAAATTGCCCGAATCTCATTCATTTTTATGGGACAGGACGAGATCCATCAGACAAGATTTTACTTACCAGAACTATTTCGGTCCTGAAACAATCGATTGTAACGAGAAAATTGTAAGAATTCATTTAGTATCGCTTCATATAATGGCAGGAACTGACCATGAATATTCCCAACAACAAGAATTGGAACAGTTCAACAAAGCATTACAAACATTGCTTGAAATTTATGAAGATGTAAGGAAAAGAGGAGGAGAATGTCCTAATGAGGCGGAATTCAGAAGTTATTACCTTATAAGTCATTTGAGAGATAGTGAGGTGGAAAGACAATTAAAGAATTTACCACAACATATTCTTAAAGATCCATTGATTGAGTTAGCATTGAAGTTCAGAGAATTGGCTTCTCAAAATAATATTATTGAAAGAGGTTATCAAAATACCGTTGCATGTGCCAATTTCTTTGTCAGATTCTTTGAATTGGTATATTCACCTGAAACTCCGTTCTTGTTATCATGTATATTAGAAACCAAGTTCAACGAAATAAGATTTTATGCTTTGAAATCCATGACAAGAGCTTACCATACTAAGGACAAACCATACGATGGTGAAAGGTTGACCAAAATGTTGGGATTTGATTCCAAGGATAAGTTGTTCAAGTTTGTTGAATACTACGAGGTGGATGTCATAAACGGTGCTGTTGATTTGGTAAATAAGGAGAAATTGGAAACGAAGTATAAATTATCGTCCTTGACCGATAAACCGAAGTTGTCACAAAGCTATTCACCACAATTGAATAGTAAAATCAATAAACCATTAGCGGAATTTATCAATTCTGGAAACCCCAATGTTATAAGATTGAACAAAGTTAAAGAAACAAAGCCCGAAGTTGCAACCGAGGCCGTCAAGATTATACCACCAAAACCACAAACAGATGATGTGAAGGCAGGATCATTTGCAGATTTCTTGTCGAGTTCAAATGTAAATTCTCAAGGGGGGTTTGGTTTCAAAGCGACCGATCAACCAAAAACCATACCTTCAGCCCAAGGAAAAGGGTTTTCTATCGAATCCATGGTTAACAAGAGTGCAACTGATGCATCGAGTGGTGGTTCTACAGGTTTCAACTTTGGATCCAAACCCGCTACTGATCTCGCTGATCAACCTGTTTTCAGCTTTAATTCACAACCCCAACCCAAAAGTGAAAGTCCAGCTATTTCAGCTTTGGTTGAAACCAAGAAACCCGAGATTAAACTCCCACAAAGTCAGGGATTCAACTTCACTCCTCAAACTGGTATCAAGGAATCAACGCCAAAATTCAAATTTGAAGCTAAACCTAAAGAAAAACCGCTGGTAGAAGATAAACAAGTCGTGATTCCCAAACCTGTAGAGCCTCCAAAGATTGTTGAACCACCAAAACCTACCATCAAGAGGTTCGTTGACCATTCTAAGTTTGAGGCTGCTAATAAGTTATTCACATCTGAACTTATATCATCTTTAATTGAAAGTGAACTCAATAGAGAATTACCTAAATTAGTTAAGCATGAGAACGCTCAAAGGGAAAGAAGAAGAATCATCACCTCCCTAACAGGAGAATTGTACCAAGCATTTTTGAATGAAATAACTCACGAGGCTTCAATGGAAATTTATAGTGAGAGCATCTATGCTAAAAACCTAAAACGCAAAGCTATTGGAAAGATTAAGCTGAAAGCTCAAAATCTTGTCAGGAATGCAGAATTAAAATCCAAAAAGCGTAAGGAGTTGAATGAAATCAATTTTGGACTCAAAAGAGTTTCTTCTAATACTTCCAACACTTCCAACACATCGATTTCCATGACCAAAAGGAGAAAATATGATGATAGTATTGATGACATTGTAAACAAAAGATCAGAAATTGAAAAATTATGGAAACCTTTGGATCTTGATAAGTTTATCAAAACCTGTTGGCTCTCATTGAACAAACTTCAACAAGATAAGAAGTATTTGGATATAAAATTCTTGGTGGTGGTGGAAAACTGGAAGTTGAATTATTCAAAATGGTTAAACAATAAGTTGGGATTGAAAGTGAACCAAACAAAGAGCCTTTACGAGAATATTATAACCACCGATAAGATTAATATGAAAATAACAAGTTTACCTGGTAAAGAACAATTGAATAAAGAATTTTTCCAGAACACAGGATTAGTGATGTTCGAGTGTGGTTTACTCGAGGTTGGTGAGTTTAAAGATATAAAAGCTAAGTTGAAAAGGGATGGGTTGATATTGAATAAAATTCTTTCAATGGTAAGAAAGTATGGATATTACAAAATTCAAGTTATGATAGTATTTTGGAATATAACTGAAGAAAAGATTTCACAGACTGAAATGGTACAATTGTTGGATTTCGACAAGAAAGATGTGTTGACACATTCGATAATATGTGACATGTCTCAGGACAATATTAATGATACACTCATTGAAGGGTTCAATGAGATTGCTCACCACTTCAAACATGAATTGAGTTTAAGAGGTAAACGGAAGTTCGAAAAGTCCAAATCACAGGAAAAGAAGAAAATCAATGATGATCTTATGCAGAAAGCCGAAACAAAAATATTGAATAAAGCAAGGTTGGATAAAAAATATGCATATTTGAATAATCATTCATTCAACAGGAGTATGAGCAATTCAATGACCACTATGAATAGTAGTTTTAACTCAACTATCCTAGACACGAACATGTCTATTCTTGGAAACTTCGGAAATGGAATCATGGAAGAAAGTACGCCATTTAATTCGCCGAAAAAGGTCATCACTACCAGCACCCCACAAATAGGAGATTCAACCTTGACCAATAATTTCACCAAACCGAAGTTACCTATTAAAAAACCAGACAAACTCAAATCTTTAATTGAACTTACTTCCAGAATCAAAGATAAATATAAAAATTAGATTTAGCATAGTAAATAGAGACTGTACAATATAAGCATTATCATTATTCATTTCTATCTATTTAAGTGGTGGAGATAAATTTATTAACCATTTTTTATAATTGGATTGAATATAATTTTCTCTTTCATTTGAACAATCCTGTAGGGTCTCTAAAATTGAACCAACAGAATTTGAAAATTCGATTTTATCTTTAACATCAGTCTTGAAAAAAATCGGACTTTCTTTATTATGCATATGAGAATGGGTTGAACAGTATTGATTGGAATTACAGAATGAACATTCATATAATAACTCGGTCTCTACCGGTTCAATTATTGTTTCATGATTTAAATCTTCCATATTAAAATTTGAATCATCGTTATATTGTAGAAACGGACTAAAGTCTCCGTCATTTCTATTAGTAGTATAATTCATATCTTTTGAAGTTTTTGTTGATGGGGTATAATGAAAATTTGATGCCTCGACTTTTTCCTTACTTATATAATTATCAATTTCAATCAGTGATGAGTAATTATCATAATTGTAAAAATCCATTTTTAAACCCAAAAAATTTTCAATTGCTGTGGTTGCAAACCTTATTGCTAATTTCAGTATATAAAGAAAATAAATGCTAAATAAAAAAACCTTTGAATGATTTAAAGCTATAGTAGATTAAATCACAACTCTGAAACTTACCTTTAAAAGTTTTAACTAGAAATAATTCTTTGAAGATTTTTTAAAATATAAATAGTTCCCACTTTTTATGGAGAAAATGGAGTAGCTGCAAAAATTTTCCCTCTCTCCACTTATAGATAATTTCGCGATTTCGTTGAGGAGACAAGCGGGTTTGGCACTATTTTGTTAGGGTTTATTCACTATCTAAAAAATATCAATAGGGACTAAATAATCTTAACATTGGGATTACTAGGGTCTTATATATATTAAACAGTTAAGGTTGTTATTACTCATCGGGTTCTTTTTTCAAAAAAAAAAAATCTTTAGTGGTTATAACTATTAAAGTTGACACCACACTAAATTTACTATACTCAGATTAATAGGAGTTACCTGTCAAATCGAACAAATGATCTATTCGTTTTATATTTATGACAGACATTGTCAATGTATCTATCACAGACAATACAACCCTCACGAGGATCTTAACAAAGCTAACGATTCAGATATTTCAAAATTGTTATTTGGTGTTTTATATAGTTTGAAAAATTTATCAGGTAAATTAGGTGACAATGAAGCATTCAATAGCCTCAGATCATTTTCAACCACCAATTTCAGGATTCATTATCTAGAGACTTTATCAAATTTTAAATTCATATTAATATCTGATAATTCAATTGATAACTTACAAAATATCTTATGGGAATTATATTCAGTTCATTTCAGAAATAATATAGTTTTGAATCCCTTGAGTCCCATAGATTTTAATGAAGAGATCATTGACAATGTGAAATTTGTTCATCAAACTGATGAATATATAAAATCATTGTCAGTATTTAATTAGCCCATTTGCATATATAACCATTTTTATAGAATACACATCACATGACGAGACTACATCACACGAGGGGGCTGAAAATTCAATGGCCTAGAAATTTCTAGATCGGGAAAACGACTCTTGAGCAATTGTGAGTGTCTGAGATTTGACTCGGGAAACCGAATGTCAAATTGCTGCAAAAAAAAAAATACGCACTTACTTTTATAGACTCATCGCTGACGTACAGAAAACCGTTATACCGGGTTTTGCAACCAACTTGCTAACTAAAGATCATTCATTCATAACTTTCAGTGGCATATAAATACATCTCTAAATTCAGCCAGTTCATATTAAACAAATATGACACAAATCAAACAACAATTTGAATTTAAATCAATATACCATGAGATTTTACTCGTGTTTACAGTTTTCATGGCTCAAATCTTATGTCAAGGTAGTATTACCATGGCTTTGAGTACTATGGATGTTGTATTACAAAGTTTCGAACTTACTGTTCCAATATCCTCAGTTAAAGTTTGGTACATGGGATCATTTGCCTTAACTGTGGGTACTTTCATTTTAGTATCAGGAAAACTTGGTGACTTATTTGGATTAAAGTTAGTATTTATAATAGGTTGGATCTGGGTAGCTTTCAGTTCCATGTTATGTGGATTAACTATCTATTCCCATAATATTATATTTTTAATTATTTCCAGAGCTTTACAAGGTATTGGATTTTCTTTATTATTACCTTGTGGTATGGGAATTTTAGGTAATATTTATCCTAATGGATTCAGGAAAAATTTGGCTTTTTCATCAGTAGGTGCTGCTGGACCTATTGGAGCTACTCTAGGTGCTATCATGGCCGCTGTTATTGCAGAAAAAAGTTGGTGGCCATGGTGCTTTTTCATTATTACTTTCATATCAATATCCTTAGCTATATTATCATATATTTATATTCCTAAGAATGTTGCTGAATTGCCTGAAGATAAATTAGCTAAATTAGATATCTTGGGTGCTTTTACTGGTATTACCGGGTTAGTGTTATTAAATTTTGTTCTCAATCAAGGTCCTTTAATTGGTTGGGGGACTGTTTATATCATTGTTCTTTTGATTCTTTCAGTCTTCCTTATTGTAGGATTTTTCATCATTGAATTATACTTTGCAACATTCCCATTACTTCCAAAATCAATCTTTAATTTGAAAATTGGATTAGTTTTAGCTGCTATTTCATTAGGTTGGGGGTCATTTGGAATCTGGCAATTCTATTATTGGGTAATTCTTTTAGAATTGAGACACTATTCCGCTATTTTGACAGCCGTTAGTTACATTCCTGTAATGGTATTAGGTGCCATAGCTTCATTCTTAGTGGCGGTAGTTATCCATAAAATTAGACCAAGTTATATTATGGTTGTTTCAAGTGTTGGGTTTTTCGTTGGTTCTGTTATGTTAGCAGTAATGCCTGTTGAACAAACCTTCTGGAAAATCTCCTTTATTCAATTATTCATCATTACTTGGGGGATGGATTTAAGTTTCGCTGCTGGTTCAATTATCTTATCAGATTATTTACCTAAAACTGATCAAGGTATTGCAGGATCATTAGTAAGTACTGTGGTCAATTATTCTGTTTCATTCTTCTTAGGAATGTCAAGTTCAGTTGAAGCAGGTGTTAAACATTCTACCCATGATACTTTGAAAAGTTACAGAGCTTCTTTATATTTCGGAATTGGTCTTTCAGGTTTAGGTTTGGTGATCTCGGTGATTTTCCTCATTTGGCAATTATATGTCAATGATTCAGTTTTCACTCAAGAAGATCCAGAAAAAGTCGATGACCAATAATCAATAACAATCTTGCATAGTTCAGCATTAATAACGATGATATCATCATCACTAGCATAGTTCAGCATATAATTTTAATAGGTTAAATAAATATAATCCGCACAGAATTTCACGCAACAATCTATCAACATGAGTTACGAAGATAAAACATTTTTATCAAAGTTGAAAGAGAATTATAATCAGAAATTCGGAAATTTTGCCTTAACTTCTACTATACAGAAAGTATCGAACTATGTTGATAAAGATGGGAATTCAGAAACTGATACATTAATACATAATTCGTTTGTTAAATATTTCGAATCAAAAGGTCAACCATATCCAGAATGGTTAGGTATACCTAATAGAAACCCCGCTAGAATGAATAATACTACTCAAAATACAAACACTTTCAAAAATTCCCAATACCAACCAGTATATTCCAGTTATAACAGTCCTCAGCCTCAACAACAGCCTCAGCAGCCTCAATCTCAACCACCTCAACAAGGACAAATGTTTGATCCAAGAGATTCCCAAGGTACCTACAAACCAAGATCCAGTAGATTACAAGATATGCATAATAAATCAAGACAACAACATATACCCGCAGCAGGTTACAATACTGTTAATACTGCACAACGATCAAATAGTAGAACATCTGGAAGTAGATTAAGAGAACGAATGATGAACAGTAATAGTATGACAGGTATGAGTAATCTCATTAATGACCAAAATGGTGGTAGACGTTAATATATATGTAAATCTATGAATTCTTAAATTTCAGGTAATTTTCCTCCCAGAAATCTCTTCCTCTGATAAACCAATCCGGTAGTTTACTGTTCGGAGGTAATTTCAATTTGATAATTCCAACATTGGCAAAACTTGTGGAATATTTGTTTAAATTCTTATAATATTTGTAGTCGAACTTCTCTCGTATTCTCTTCTCTTCAAATTCATTGAGATCTTCAATTTTAAGAGAAGATTTCCGTTCACTTCGAGAATATCTTCTGGCAGTATCAAAAGATGAACGATTTGAATTTATTGATCCGGGCAGGAAAGTTGAAAATGATGTTCTAAACATATTATTATGAATTGGACGAATGATTTTTGAGTCTGATGGTCTTCTTCTATCATTATATCTCCCATTACCCACTATGTATCTGGGGGAAGAGCCAGGAGTTATCAATTTATCATCGTCTGAATCTAATGAATTATTACGTTTCTTTTCAACCATCTTCAAAAGATTTTCGGGTATTTGAGGTGAAGCTGATAATAAATCATCATCATAATCATCATCATCAACCATCTCTTTTTCCCATAAACTTTCATCGTCAATGGAATGTTTATTCCATGAAGAAGCCTTGAATATTTCTGGAGAATTTGGGAGATCATCATTTTGTGAAGATTGTGAGATAGTTGGTTGTAATGCATTAGGTAGTAAAACATTCCCATTGGTTGATGGTTGTGATTGGGTTTGAGTTAACGGTATCGATTGAATTTTCTTATTCTTTAATTGGTTTATTTGATCTATTTCATAAGGTATTAATTCTATTTCAATTAATTCAAGGAAATTTTCAGCAAAATAATTACTTTTAGCACTATGACCGGTGTAGATTCTAAATTCATTGACTATGGAATTGAAATTCCATTTCTGTATTCTTCTCAAAATACTTATCAAGGTTGAAGTACTATCAATGATGAGAATATTATACTTAGATTTATTCAATAAAATCTCAAAAGCCTTCTTGATCAAGTTTTTTTCTATCAACATCCATTGGTCATTTTTTTTGGTGGTATTGTTCAAATTTATTAATTGTAGATTCAATTCTTTAAAAGGTTCATCGATGGTTGAATTGGAGTTTTTCGATTGATACGATTGTGATAATAAAGGAGAAGCAGTCTCACTTCCACTGGAGTTGACATCATTGATTGATTTAGTATCATCGTCGTATTTATTGGGTACATTATCAGCTCCAGTATGATTATGATTAGATACTTTTAAACTTCCCAAATTGATTAAATTAATATTATTATCACTGATGAAATTTTTTAAAGGACGTGGAGGATTTTCTGCATCAAGTAACAAAATTGTTTTCAAGTCCAATGTTTGTAGATGGGGGAAATTATCCGATGATAATTTGGAGCATCGATAGAGTCCTGGTTCCACTACTCCAAAGTTCTCTGGTGGTACTAACATAAATGATTTAAGTAATTCGCGAAAAGTTGTTAGTTATGTCACAAGATAATGAGACAGATCATCTTTTACAAGATGCTGAAGAGTACAAAACTACCATTGAAGATTCTGCTGGACAGAGCATTGATGAAGTAGTTGATGAGAAAATAGAACAGAAGTTTAATGAATCTCAACAATATCAAATTGATCAATTACAGCAAAGGCTACTGATTCTAGAGCAACAACATCTCTTATTATTACAACAACATCATGACGTTCAACAACAACTCAAACGAGAAGAGAAATCTGAAAAGTTAGAGAAGGTAAATACTTATGGAGAAATCATCTTGACTTTCATCAAATCATTAAATCGTAATAATATGATTCTAACATTCTTTGTCAATACTATTGTCATAATGATGATAAAATCATTTAGTTTTTTTTATCGAAATAAGGTCGTCATAATCAAATTATTCAGGAAATACGTTTGTATGGCATACAGGATACTTATAGGTAAGAAGTAATGAAATTTTTATATTTTCTAACCTCTAATAACTACATCAGTTGGAATACCATCATATTCACCATAACCCAAAGCTAAGTTAATGTTTTGTAAACATTGGGTAGCAGCACCTTTTAATAAGTTATCAATGGTAGCAACAATAACCAATCTATCTTCATTAGAATTAACAGCAAAGGCTCCAACAACAACACCATGTTTACCACTTATATCTCTAACAACTGGAGCTTCACCAGAAATAGTAATTAATTTTTCACCTTGATATCTTTCTTGATAAATATTTCTAATTTCTCTTGAAGATAATGAACCTTTTTCAATAGGAATTGAAATAGTATGAGAAATACCTTGGAACCATTGAGCAACATGAGGCATAAAAGCAACTTGATGACCTAAATGTTTACTCATTTCCTTTTCATGAATATGATCAGTTAATGAATAAGGAATTAAATTATTTGATAAATATTTAATATCATTCTTTGGTGAAGGTTTTGTACCAGCACCTGAATAACCAGAAATACCAAAAATTGAAGGAGTTGAAGTAATATATGGAATCATTGGAGCAATGGCAACTTGACCAGCAGTAGCATAACAACCTGGATTAGAAATTTTCTTAGCTTGTTGAATTTGTGATCTTGATTGTAATTCTGGTAATCCATAAACCCATTCTCCAGTAGTATCAAATCTATAATCAGCTGATAAATCAATGATTTTAGATTTAGAGTTTTTAACTGATTCAATAGCTTCAACAAATGGTTTACAAACCCCATTTGGTAATGCCATAACCCACATTTCAATTTCATTACTTTCTTCAATTTTCTTAATATCTTCAACTTGTAAATTTGAATAAACAATATTATCTTTATTATAACCTTGTAATTTTTGACCATTTAATTCTCTTGATGAAACATACTTTAAATCTAATTTTGGATGATTATCAATCAATTTGATTAAATTTTGTCCAGTATAACCTCTAGCTCCAATTAAAGCAACTTTAGATCTTTTATCATTAGTAGCTTCAATAACTGGAGGATTAGGATTTTTGGTAGTATGTAAACTTCTAGTATGTAAACCTCTTCTTTGAACAGGTGATGAAAAGACTCCTGATTCTTTGGTGTTTGATAAAGATGATGAAGATCCTTGATCAAAAGATTTAATTAATTGACTGATGGTTTCAGTATCTTCAATTCCATACCAGAATAGTATTTCACCATTTTTACTGAATGAACCATCAGATTTGGAGAAATACCATGGTAAGTTAGAATCATTTTCATTAACAATCCAATATAATTGATTGAAATCTTTCTTAATAGAATTAAAAATGTTATCAGTAACATTATTTAACCAACCATTCTTAGAAGATAAGAATTTATCTAACTTTGGAATATCAATAGATTGATTTTCATTCTTATCAATAACGATAGCTAAAACTTCTAAAGGTTCATCACCATAAGATTTGAAAGAACTATTTTCTAAGATTTTTAAATATGAAGCAACTGATAATTTACCGGATTTAATTTCTGGATCTCTTAATAAAGCTGATCTTAATAAATCTGGGTTACCAAATTCAGTTAATGAATTTCTATTGATTAATTTATAACCTCTTCTAATTAAAGTACCAGCACCTGAATCAGTGAATAATTCTTTTTGTAAATCATCAACATTAATGATAGCAACAGAAGAAGATCTTGGTAAATGTTGTAATAAATCGTGAATTTCTTTAATTTTCAACTTAGTACCATATTTAACCCAACTTTGTTTTAATAAATCTTCGTATTCTTCATCTAAATTAATAGCACTAATTTTTTCACCAGATTCTCCATTTATTATACCACCTTTTTCATTTAAGTAAACAATTTTCAAAGGTTCGAATTCTCTAGCTAATTCACCAGCAGCAACATCAGCATTAACATTTAATAATTGACCTGAAGGAGTTTCAGCTAATGAAGTTAAAATTGGTAAATAACCAGCTTCAATTGATGCTTCAACAGGTGATTTATTAACACTATTAATTTTACCAACTAATTGATATTTATCTTTATCTAAATAATCAGCATTAAAAACTCCAGCAGTGATTGGTCTAGCATGAACACCCATTTTTTCTAAAGCAGTAACTAATTTTAAATTTTGTTCCAAGAAACATGATCTAACAACTTCCATAGTTTTACCATCAGTAACTCTGATCCCATCGATATATTCTGGTTCAACTCCTTCATTTTCTAATAATTCATTGATTTGAGGTCCAGTTCCATGTAAAACAATTGGATATAAACCAACATGATATAAAAATGCTAAACATGAAGCTAATTCAGGTAATTGTTGTGTAATAATAGCACCTCCAACTTTAATAACAGCAAATTGTTGTTGACTAACTGAAGTGAAATATTTCAAATATTGTTCAACTTCTCTTTTAGATCCAATATTATTCAATAATTGAACTACAGTTGATCTAGTTGAATAGTTTCTTGATGGGAATTGAACATAATTAATTTTATATCCATTGGACACAACTACTTTGGAGAAAGAAGAACTTAAATTTTTAACGTTTAAATTCCTTTTCAAACCACCAACATAATTCTTAATCATCTTTTATATATGAAAAGTTTCTATATATTAAGAATAAAAGGTATTTAAAACAAAAAGTTGTATTCTGAAAATTTTTTTTTGACTCACTGGGACGTTTATCAACCAATTCAAGTAATTTTTGGGGTTTACCGCGATGAAGAATCAGTGGGAGGGTTGGTCACGTGAAAACATGAATGCAAAAAAAAAGTACGACATACGACATGGTAGACATTTTTAGAGGTAACGCCATAACTAAGGTCATCGATGAGATAATTAGCAAAATATTTAACCTGATCCAGAATCAACAGGTAAATCATCATCGAATGATTAGTTGTTAGCTGGTTACACACCCATCATTATGAATGTAGTGCTAGAATCATTCGCAGATGAAACCAGCACATCATCTAAGGACACTCTGTAAATTAGTTCAGTAGAAATTATAACCGGATGCTATGAAAATATGAGCCCCTGCTGAAGCTTCTCGTACGAGTTACTTAAGCGTAATGTCAATAATAAAAGAGATTTACAGGTCCCAAGATCAAAGGTTAACCTTGTAATAATAACCCAATATTTTATTGTGGCAAATGGTTCGATTTTTTAGTGAACCCTTTGTGGAGAAACAATAGTTTTAGACTCCGGGATTATTTAAACTCAAATTATAATAGAAGTTATTCATTGGCGAAATTCTTTCGAGGGCCATCGAAAATTGCTTTTATGCGTTGCAGGTAATTTAAGGAAAAGTATAATTACACCTCTTTTAAACTCAGCTCTAGATCAAAACCCGGAATCTAAGGATATATCACCGTTGAAAGTTTAAACATCAATGACAAAGGTTCAATGGTTCTAAGACGCCTCCAATTACATAAATGACCGTAATTTAGAGATAAGTGTTTGACAACGGAATATCGTCTGATATTATTTGTGCACATCCAAGCCCCAACAACCATTCTATCCCTTTTCTAACAGTAAAGAATTAGAGTTTCAAAATTTTAAAGTTGCTCAGGAAATATGATCAGGTGGTTGAGAAATATGATCAGGGTTCACATACTATGGATAGGAAAGGTTTCAGAAATTGAAGTTTTTGCTAAGTTATCAAGAGAGGAAGAGATGAAGGATACCCAAATGCTCTATAATGCCTATGAACACGCCTCTATATAATACAATGCTATTTTTTCTTCCACAATTTGAATTTGGATTTATCATCATCAGGAGTGGAACTTAATGATGAACCTGAATTTGACATGCTATTGTTTAATCTTAAGTGATTCCAAAAATTGGCTTTCTTCTTCTTTAAACTGGAGTTGGTTGAAGAAACTGATGGTGACAATATTGGGGATGTAAAGTCTCTTAATTTTGGTGATAATGATTTTGGTGAAATTGATTCATCTAAACAATGACAGTTTGTACAAATTTCAACCTTAGTAGTATCTTTACAACTCTTGATCTTTTTAATGAATGGATGGTATGCATTTTCGTTTAATAATTGTAAGATTTCTTCTTTTGCTTTAAGTAAAACTGAAGGATCAGGAAAACTGTTTTTTTGATGAAGTAATTCGTTTAAACAATTTCCTGATAAATTAATTTGATACTTTGAATCATGATGAATGAAGTTGTTAAGAATAGTATTCCATTTCTTAGTTAATAAGATTTGATCATCAATATTGATGATTGAATTTATTGAGTTGATATCACTATCAGAAATATCATCGACTGATTCAATATCATCATCTGAAACATTATTCATTTTGAAAGATTCCCAATATTCTTCATTTTCAACTTTTAAATCATCGATAGTTGAAGCAAAATAATTGGAAGTATCATTGTAATCGGAATTTTTGGAACTTAATAATGTTGAGACTGATGTCTTTCTCATGCTACTTGTAGTATTTAACTTATTGATAGATTTGAAAATCTTATTATAATAATGTTCGTAATTATAAATGGATATTAAAAACTTCAAATTCTCTTGGGAATGTAATGATACAATGTATTTCTCGAAATCTTTAATTAGTTGTATACGATTTAAATTATTTAATTCATTCATAGAATGAAGAAAACAATCATTTAAGAACTCTTCTATTGATGGGAACTTGGATGAATTTTCTGGAACATTGAACCTTAAACTGTCAGAACTTGAACCTTCTGAACTAATAGTTGATTCAAAATTTAAATTATGGAAGTTTGATTTTGAACTTGACCCTATACTTTCAAGATAATCTCTTTTGCTCATATGATTGCTAGCCACACAATTTTTTGTAGGTATTGGTGAAACGCTCATTTGTCATATGATGATTAATTTTTAAAAAAACTAATATGCCAACTAACTTATATTTTTGATATTTAATTAAAGGGCTGGATAATTAAAGTTTATATAAAAAATTCTATTTAAAAAGGGTGTTTGGATTAGTGTATCATCTTAAAAAAATTTTCGCATCCTAACGGTTTTAAATTTCTTTTTTTTTTGCAGTTAACTAATTTGGGATAAACGAAAATCCGTGCGCTTAACCGAATCACCCTTTTTCTCAGAACTCGAAAATTTAAGGAGATCATCTCTTAAAATTTCGCTGGTTGAAGATACCGAAAAGTCAGGTTATTTCAAGAATTTACATTAGTTTAAGATTAAAGTATAGTAAGAACTAAGGTTTTAAAATCTGAGCGACGTTAAAAGTTTAAAACAAACTAATTTTATCAGTTGATAAAATTTGACTCTTGTCGAGGCAGCTAGTTTTTTTTGGTCAAGTACGAATCACAATTATGCAGATCGAAACGGTTTTATTCCCATTCTTGAATGGTTTGTTGAGTTACAAATAGAATTTTCGTAAAGCGTAATTAAATCAATGAGTTACATTTACTAAAACAACAATACAATAATGAATTGAAGGTACTATTTTTATGTAGTTTGATGTTACATTGGAAAAACTGACATTAAAAATATCTTCATGTACGAGAAATCTATTGGAACGCAATTTTTGACATCTCCAAAATTTGCAAAGCAGTTTTTTCCGAGATGAGAAAGATAGCGTTGCTGTTTGGCATTGAGGCGTGCCTGTCGTGGGGGATAAAGGTTTTGAGGTTCTTCGTTTCGAATTATTCGGTTAAGGGCGTAACTGAAGAATGTTGGTTTTATCTAGAATTTTTCTTCAAGAACACCCGAGGCGTGGCACATTGTAAATCTTTGGTAAAGGATCATTGGGTAAATCATCTATTTTTACTGATGACTTAGATAATCGTCAAAACAAAAGATCTTCAAAATAAAAGATCTAAATAAAAACTTTGATTGTGTTCTCTAATGTACCCTGACGTCAGTTTCTGTTATTGGTGGAAATGTTTGAATTTTAGAGTAAAAATACAATTACGCTGAATCTAGAAGTCCGGCTTATATTAAAATTGTTCGGTGCGTTATTTTAGCGCTGCAATGAAAAGTCACACTACGTAATATTTCTCACGTGATTGATTTTCATGCGATTCCCCAGATTATAATAATAGGAATTAAATATGCCTGTTTATGATAAGTTTTTAGGGATGAAATTCAAAAAATGATTGTTTATACCTCTCCTGACCTCTGACATACCTCCTAGTTGTATATGAGTGGAATTCCTTTAATCACCGATTAGATAAGAATTACGTAATCAAGGGATAAGAAGACGCACCCAAATTAAGGAGATTTAAATCTATCAGTGATCTAACAAGTTTATCGAAAGATTGATTTAAACTAAAAGAATTTTCATTGTCTGGTACAATTGACTCACTATTAGATTATATTTTTTTTCAGGTGGAATAGGTATTATTGGATTTTAGTGATTGAGATTTGGTTTGAAGAATAAGGGATACGGATAAGGGATAAGGATAAGGATCATGTTGAGATTAGCTAGTAAGAGATATACCACCAGAATTTCTCTGGAATTTGTGAAGGTTTTGGGTCGGCCCAGTTACTTAAAGACCAAACTGTTTGCCACGACTGGAAAAGAATTGGAATATGATATCGATATAATTTCTTTAACTAAAACTCCCAAAGCACGGATCTCATTTACTAAAGACTTTAAAAGCAGATTAATTGATTTCCAAAGTAATCATGATTTGATTGATAGGGCAATTATTGAATCTACTATTGAAAAAGTTCATAATAATTCAAATAAGGAATTGAATATGTTTATCAATGACTATAAGAATGAGTTAATGGTGTTCTTAAGATTCATTAAAAGATCTTATAGTAATAAGATTAGAAGTTATGATGAATTGACATCAGTAGAATTATTGAATTGTTTATATATCTTCAGAGATTTATACAGAAAGAATAAAATTGCTGATGTTAAGGTTGAAGACCAAGTTAGATTTAATGAGATGTTCAAAAGAATGTTGGAATTCATAGAAATGTCTCCCCGTTTACCTGTTTTATTAAACAATAAGCTTTTCATTGATGAACATGGAGTAGAATTATTAAGTAACAATTTAGGTAATTATATTGAAGAAATTAGATCTTTGAGTAAAGAGTTTAATTTCAAAAATTTAAATGATATGAAACAAATATCCACAGCAATTCAATACATTGTAGATGATTTCAATAAGTTTTTAATCAATAACAATAACTTACAATACAATAAAGAATTTTTCAAAATATTTATTCAAATTCAAAAATATAAAAATTTAGAATCTATTTTATCAAAATCAATGTATAAGAATTTGAAACCCATTGATTTGAAGAAATTGATTGAAATTGAAGAATTTAGACAAATCAACAGATTGTTACAAAAGTCCAAAAATAAGGATTTGATGAAGGAGATATCAAGTAATGAGATTTTGGGTTTTTTGATTCCTGAAGATAAAGCTGTTTTGTCAGTGATTGAACAATTACATAATTTGAAATATTCCCAACAATATTCATGGATTGAACCTCAACTCACTTCGATTGTGAATCATTTAATCAATAATTGTTGTAATGGGAACTTGAATGTTTATAGTTCAATCGAGATCCCCCATTTTACCAAATTCATTGTTTCCACTAATGATATTGAAAATTTCGAATTTTCAATGATCTATAAGTACGGAATTTATCATTATGTTAACGAGTTGAAAATCTTGAAAGCCATGAAGAATGATTTATCGAGTAAAGAGATTCTAAATGCTATTAAGGAATTGAATTTTGAAAATAAAGTCTTGAAAGAAAATTTCCTTCAATTACATGAACAATTGGGATCGTTCTTCAGACAAGTTAGCTGGTCAACTGATGGTTTGAATAATTTGGTCACCCACAAAAACTGGTATGATTGGTGTGAAGAAAATAGAGAAAGTAAGATTTTCAGGCATATGATTGATTATTCTAATTTATCTAATTATTCTTATTCTGAAATCGAAATTCTGAATAAAATAGCACCAATTTTGAATGATTTAAGTGAATTATCCATTAAAAATGAGTACTTTGACTTATCATCAACCTCTATTGATTATTTGATTTCATTATATAAGTATGATGAACATTTCGATTTGACTGTTTTGAAACAATTACAATTACAATTCGGTGATGTTTATTTTTCAAACCTTGGCATGCTTGTTAATGGTTACAATACATTATTTGAACATTTGATTTTCTATGATTTATCGAACATCAAATGTAAAGAGGGAGTTTCTTCATTTAACGAATTTTCCACTCAAAGTTTAGAGAAATATTTTGGTTATTATCTGAATTTGATTGAAAATCCGGGATTATTGGATATCATGGAACCATTAGTATTAGAAGCTCGTTTCAAGCATTTTGAGGATGCAGTTTCTCATTATTGTGAAGAACTCGGTGTTCTCATTAGAGATGAAGGTTTAGATTTTGATCATATTACTAAACCTCAATTACTTTCATTCCTTCGTCGTAGAATCAATGAAATCTCTGCCGTAGATAGAAATGGTAATTCAAATCCTCATTCGAGGATGGCTGATCACTTAGAAGAATTTTGCGAATTGACTGATATAATTGATAAATTTGCAACCAATGATTTGAATTCTTGTGATATGAAATATTTGAAGACAATTGCCTGGTTACTGCCCACCGATGATATTCCTGGAGAATACAAACAAGTTCCGGAATATTTCAAATTACATGAATATGTCAATGAAATCAAAGTTCTCAAAGATTACATTGGCTGCGAATTTAAGGATTTGACCTCTTCTGAGTTAATGGATGAAATCGAATTTTTACAAAGTTTTGTTCATAACGAAGCTGAAGATGGCGAATTCCCTGATAATTTCAACACCAACTTACAAAAATTGGCCAGAAATGTCGAAAAACTCTTAAGTTATAATGGTAATCATACTGAAGTTTTGGATTTGATTGTTAAAAATGATTCAGAGTTTGAAAAATTTGAGCAGTCAAAAGTCAGAAATGTGGAAGCTTTACCCGACGAAGTCAGTGGGCCTGAAAATCTTATCAATTCTTTGCCAAAATCCATTAATAAAATCGATTTCTTGGACAAATTATCATTATTTGAATCGTTCTACGCTGAAAAGTATCCAGAAGACCCTCATCCTTATGAGCCTGAATTCTACGTTCCCAATTTGATTGGGATGGTTTTGAATGAAACTGATTATTCTTTTGAAGAACGTAGAAATTTCAGAGACTTGATGAATTCATTCATCGTAACCTTTGAAACCAATGGAAGTTTCAACAATGTAAGTGAAATTATGACGCAAATTGAAGATATCAGAAAATTTGCATATTCCAAAACAGAATACATCCAAATTCCCGATAATATTCCAATTCATAAATTCTCTGCACAATTGTCAGACATCAAAAGCCAACTCAAAAGGAATGATTTTGAATCCAGTTCCAGCTATGAGATTTTGAGCACATTACTAAGATACCGTGATAGTCAATCCAATGAAGAATCAGTTCTGAAACTCAATACGTTATATTCGTTATTAAATGACCTTTTTAGAGTAAATGGGAATCAAACTAGTGTTTTAGATAGAATCAACCACAGTGAATCCCATTTCAAAGAATTTGAAACGAAACTTAACCTGAAGACTGATAAGGATGTGGTGTACAAACAAGTACCAGATAGTTTCAACTTAGAGGAGTATCATGCTGAATTGAATCAACTCCGTAATATTATTGGTAGAAATTTCAAAGATGAACAAGCTGGTGTTATATTGGAAGTTTTACTCACCTTGAGTAGTGATGAAAGACGATTCAATTTAACTAAAAGAATTAATTTCTCTAAATTGTATTCCAACCTTGTTAGATTATTTCAACATAACGGTAATCAAACGTTCATCTTAGATAATGTATTGTTGAGTAATGAAGTATTCGAACAATTTGAAAGTAATAAATCATTGAAGATCATAAAAGAATCTGATAAGTACAGAGAATTGTTTAAAGAACATGGAGAAAACTTGGAATATCTTTTCAATAAAACAAAATTGATCAATTATGACTTAATTGACTTTTATGACTTGCGTAAAGATGAATTTGATGATAAATGTGATAATTTGTTAGCTAAAGTGAAGATTGAAAATAATTATCAATATGTTAATTTTTATTACTTGGTGAAAAAATTGGAACTGATGGTTGAAGATGATCAATTAACATTGCCTATTATAGCCAGATTATTGGAATTGAACCGCAAGGGAGTTGAATGGAATGGACAAAGCATTGAAGATATTAAAACTGAAATTCATGGTTTCATTGACACTATCACCAAAAACAGAGATTTGTTCAGTCCAGTTGAAGATGTTAGAGAAAGCATTGAAGTTCCAGTTGAAAAATTTGACATCAATGATTTCAAGGATTCTGAATCAACATTCGAATCTCCTGCGGAAATCAAAGGTAAGTATAATGATCCTAAAGCCTTCAAAGTTACTGAATCATCAGTGTCTGATGAAGAAAACGAATTGTTTGAAAGAAATGAAATTTTCCATGGCAAAGAACCAGACTCGGAGGTCAAAAAACTTAGATCCACTTATGAAACCAAACCTTTCAATGAATTGACTATTCAAGACTATTTGGAAAATGTTAATGAACAAAAGAAATTGAAACAAGAAGAATTGTTCAGACAAAAAAATGCTTTTGAGTGGAGTAAGAATAATGGTAGATTAGAGGAGAAAGATTTCTTCAATCCCTTACAAGTTGAAAAGTTCAGTAATTTACCAAAGAAGAACGTCAATTATTTATTATTAACTATTGATGGTAAAAAGATCATTAGTAATGAAAATCCTTTGGAAAACCGTGAATTCGATGATGTTATTACAATCTTTAATAAATTTCCAAAAAGCGAAATGAATCATTTCATTAAAAATATCAATAAGTTGAATCGTAATGATTGGAAACTAATTGGTGGAATAAACGAACTGGAAAAATATTTGGTGTTCATCAAAACAAAATCTAAAGGATTTTTAAGTAAATTGATAACAAAATTAAAATCATTATTTGCTATTGCAGGTGCAACATTTACTTCATTAATTTTAATAAATTGGTGGTTGGACGATGTTGATCAAAGGACGGTAGTATTACCATCAAATGATATTAGTCCTTACCCCGATGCTAATGCTAATAATACAATGAAAGTTGATGAAACTGTACCTATGGTAGAACCAACTGAAGTTTCACAACCAACAGTGGAAAAAACTGGATGGTTTTGGAAATAAAACATGCTAACATTTAAGTATGAAAATATATGGATTGTTTTATGACATCTCTAATTCTTTAGTAGGTAATTGTTGCATATCTTTTGAAATATGAATGTACTTTAAGATACTAGCACCACCAATAGTACCATTCCAACTTCTGAGAATTCTTACAGTTTCAGCATCGCTTACATCAGGAATTTTGATACCAGTTTCGTAAATGTTCTCATCATATTTAACTTTCTCTTCCAATAACAATTGTCTGGTGGTTGGAGGTCTACCTTTTCTTCTTTCAGCCTTCAATTGATCTAACTCTTCGTCATATCTCTTGAGGAAATTCTCTATGTAAGCTTTCATTTCAATTAATCCAAATACTTCCTTTTCAGTAGCTAAGTTAACTTCTTCTTGAAAGTATTTGACAATCTGTAATTCATTTTGTTTTTGTTCAAGATGTTGAGCTTTTCTATCTTCCAATTTTTTTTGTCTTAAACTTGCTCTATTAAGACGTTTAAAGTTTCTACCTTTGACATGAATGGCAGCATTAGACTTATTCACTTTCTTGTTAACTTTATTTAAATTATGAGCTAAAGGCATGTTAAATTTAATCTGATCTCATCTCTTCGCACATTTTTGAGAATTAGTAGTCGTGTGCGACTAATTGAGAAAAACTATGGGAGTGTGGAAACCATCAAATTTTTCTTTGACCTCAAGACGAAACTTGAAAGTAAAAGTGTTTTAAAGATGGCTAAATATACTGAAGAACAATTATTTGAAATTCAAGAGGAAGCACATATTCCTCAACCAGAAGTTTTAGATGCTTTCAATAAATTAGTTGAAACCGTTTCCATTGAATTGGCCAAATCTGAAAAGAAGAAGAATCATGGACCTCATAATGGTGATACTTATTTTGATGAATTCGGTAATGAAAGATCATATACATCATTCAATAGAAGAAGAGGTTCTCACTCATCAAAGAAACCATTGAAAAAGAAAGCCACTGAAGTAGCAGTTGATGATGATGGATGGGCCACTTTAACAACTAAACATAAAAAATCTTTTGGTGAAGATGCCAGTGATGAAAAAGACAAGTTTAGAGATTCTTTAAAATCTGAACCAGCTAAGGTTAGACCAAATAATAAGAAATTAGGTTCATCAAAAGCTGCTGATCCAAGAGAAACTATTGCTGATAAACAAACTGTTAAATTTAATGCTTTTGAAGCTTTAGGAGGTGATGATGATGAAGGAATTGAAGATGATAGTTCTGATGAGTAGATGTATTATAACCAATTCCATCTTTTACGATTATGTATAAAATAAATTCATTTGTGAATTACGACAAACTTTCACTGAAGATATTAGATAATCTAGGTGATTCCATAATTAATGTATATTACGTTAGATTCACTCTCATTATAGTAATGTCCAGAAGACTATAAGAGGTTTTAGAAACTTAATTAACCAATAACTTTTATTTCTTTCAACCAATGTCTAAACTATTATAGATTCATCATCTCCACTATCTAAGTCATCGAGAATCGAACCCATATCATGAGTAACCATTTGTTTAGAAAGAACTGAACCCGGAGTTACTTGATTGTCTCCTATCGTTGGGGGTTTCAAATTATGATCGCTAAGCATCTCTTTCAATTCACTTACTTTCAAATGTTTACTTTTGTTGTCAGTATATACTGAACCATTATATTCTGTCCAACTATTGGTGGTATTATAACTACTATTAGGACCAACACCCAAATTATTATTTATGGAATTGATGGTATTACTATGATGTATACCATTGGAAGTATTTCTTAAACCGGAATGAATTGATATGATATCTGCGGTATTACCTAAACCTAAAGTTGGTTTATAATCTTCAATTCCTTTTGAGGAATTTTCTGTTAGATGATCTCCATTAATTGAGCCATTACTTTCATGATGGCCATTTGAAATCCCATTACTATAACCATTGGATGTACCATTACCGTTGACATGGGGTAATTCGGATGCTAATTCTTTACTTAAATCATCTGGTACTACACTCAATACCAAAGGTTTATCAACATTTACCCATGTAGATAATAATTTATGACCAGAAACAAATTCTTGGAAATCTTTCTTTTCAATAATGTTGATATTTGAATCTCTGTTCAATTTTTCAATTGGTGATAATTCCGTTGACCAAATTCCATTAGATATCTTATAATCGATATTATAACTTAATTTATCAACCAATGGACACTTAGACATATGTTCTGATAATTCGGGATATTGAGAATCTAAAGAATCTAAAATGTTCTTCAAACAAGTATCATTAAAAGTATCTCTTAAAACTGTGTCTTTTGATGGACCATCAATATTTTGTAATTGCCAATGGAAATAGAATGGGGTGAAATTACTTAAAAAGTTAATACCGAACTTATCAATCAATAATCTTGATATGATCAATAATTTTTCAGTTATTTGGAAATTTATACTTTCATTATTAGTTAAGTATTTATCCAAAAACACCAAATAATTGGAAATGAAGTTGTTTTGATTAGTTATTAAATTATCATAATTAGCGTTCAACAAATTATCTTTGTCGATAGGATCACCTTTCAAGCTGGAAGCACTAGCATTAATACTACTGTTTGATTTTATATTCTCACTACCTTTGATTTCATTGATATCTTCGTTGTCATCTTCTAATTCATAATCAAGGAAAAATTCAAATAATTCCAAATATTTAGATTGAATGGAATCAACTTCTTCTTGTGATAATTTTTTATATAAGTTGGTTAATTTCTTTTGGGCAATTAACGGTAAACTGATTTCCCAATGATGTAAACCAACATGATTTCTGTTGATAGAACTTGGTTTATTTCTTAAATCTTGGAATATTCCTGAAACATCGTTCAATAAGGTGGAAATAAATTTGAATAAATTTGCTGAAGGTGAAGAATCTTCAGACTGTAAAGTTGAATCGATCTTGATGAAAATTTCATTTATTGAATCAGGAACTTGATCAAAATAATAGATATGTGTTGATAACTTAACAATGGCATTGGAATAAATGTTTGATAATTCATTTAAATTGTCTGATGATAAAGAATCAAATTGTTTAGTATACAAATAATGTTGTAAGTCCAAAATGTTTTGAATAAAATCTGAAATAGATAACCCGATCATATTAACATTTGACGATACAAGGCCTAGAACAAATTTAGCTACATGTTTTTGATAATCGATCTGAGATTTATCCGAAGATAAATTCTTTAAATTTCCTACTAAAGTGGTCAAAACTACGAACCTTAATTGAACTGGTATCCATGAAGTACATAATTGTAAGAATTTATTTGACCAATCGATACCACTTTTTGGGTGATTATAATTATATTTAACCACTTGCATTGTAGCTTCTGAAATTTGACTGATCAAACTGGTATTGAAGTAAGCTTTCAAACATGATACTGTTTCTTCATGAACATCTTGCTTATCAACAATATCGTTTTCAAAATCTTCATCAGCTTTTTGATGAGCAATGGCAGTTTTGGCCAGGGATACTTTTGTAAGTTTAATGGCTTCTTCATCGCCATTAACAGCACTATTAGTTCTGATATGACTGATTTCTTTATCATTGGGTTGATATTCATGATAAGTTTCAATCAATAATGGAATAGCTCGGGATAAGAATCTTCTGCATAATTCACTATCATAAGATATACAATGGGAAATGTACCTACAACTTATTAAAGAAATCATTTTCCATTCTAATTGATTTGGACTTGGAGTTTTCAGATTATTAGTACCAAAGTCAAATAACTTATTTGAAAAATTCGAAAAATTCTTAACAAATTCTTTATCTCCAACAAACAAATCACTATTCAAATTCTTACACAAAGTTCCATAAGTATTTAAAACTGTCTTTGCTAAACTTAAATCGTTATTTTTCAAACATAAATTCATAATTGATAATGCTTCATCAGCGAACACGTTCAAGTTATCAGTACATTTTTCGATCAATGACGAAACAATGATTAATGTCACTTCAAGGTTTCCGAATTTATTCCTATTAGCATCACCAACAGTCTTTTTATATAAAAATTTAATAACTTTCTCCAATTTAACTCTACGAGTGGAAGCATAATATAGTAAATAAGATAATTCCGAAGAATTGGGTTTCTTTTCAATACCTTTACCCGGAGGATAACATTGTAAGATCAATTTCTGATGTTTGGAAAGGAACATTGCAACCATAACGAATTAAATAAACCTCCAAAGGATTGCAAATTAAATCGATGAAAATGATTTAACTGTGATTTTTGTTGAAGTGGAGGTGAGTGGTCGCGCTTATGAAATCCATCTCATTAAGTGTTAATCTTTAGATAGAGTTTGTCAATAATATCTTTAAAACCTCACTGAATAGTTCAGGAAACCTTCAAAAATTACACCATGTCATCTGTGTATGTGAAAGGAGGAACATGGACTAATGTAGAAGATGAAATATTGAAAGCTGCAGTTTCTAAATATGGTTTGAATCAATGGTCAAGAGTATCTTCATTGCTAACTAAGAAGACAGCAAAACAAGCAAAGGCAAGATGGAATGAATGGTTGAATCCTTTAATCAATAAAAGTGATTGGACTCGAGAAGAAGATGAAAAACTCTTGAATTTGGTGAAATTATTACCTAATCAATGGAGAAGTATCGGTCCTATAATGGGACGTACGGCTACTAATTGTATTGAACGATATCAAAAGTTACTTGAAGATGAATTATCTGATGACAATGAAGACTTGAAGTTTAGTGGTCCAGGAATAGAATCAATGGAAGCTTCTGGATCCAAAGGGGGTTTAGATTTAAACCCTGAAGGTGCACCTGCCGAATCTGATGATGATGAAATATCCGATGATGATAGAGAAATGTTATATGAAGCTAAAGCAAGGTTGGTGAACACCAAAGGTAAAAGAGCCAAAAGGAAAGAAAGGGAAAAAATGCTTCAGGAAACTAAACGTATTTCTTTATTACAGAAAAGAAGAGAATTGAAAGCTGCTGGGATCAAAGTAAGTTTGACTAGTCGGAACAAGAAAAGTTCCAAAGAAATGGATTATAATGCAGATATTCCTTTTGAACAGACTCCTTCTGTTGGTTTATACGATATTGAAGATGAAGAACAAGAAAATCTCCAAGATACAAAGGATTTCGAAAAGAATGTTACAAAACAGGGTCTTGAATTAGAAAAGAAGAAAGATGAAGAAAGGAAAACTAACAAGAAGCCAGAAAAACGTAAAGCTTCGTCAATTGAAGGGAATGAAGAAATTTATGATCAAAGGAAAAAGGTTCAATTATCAATGCCTATAGTACAAGAAGTGAATAATTACGAGCAAAATGACCTTACAGGTGTATTTTCCCAACCTGAGAAGAGAGAAGAAGATATTGAAGATAGGATATCCAATGTAATGAAGGATATAATCCAACAACAGAATCGTAAATCTACTTTATTGGGAGATTCCACAACTAAGGTGGCCAAAGAAACAATGAATCCCAAACAATTAACAAAATATATCCGAAATTTACTCAAATCATCGTTTGAAACCATTCCTAAACCAAGAAATGAGTATCAAGTTATGCCCAAATTTGATGAAGGGGAAGAAGAAATAAAGCTTGTCAAAGAATCAGAAGTGAAACAAGAACAAGAAAGATTAAATGCTTTAGAGTTACTCAGACAAGTTGAAGAAGAGAAGGCATTGTTAAGAAGGTCACAAGTAGTTCAGAGAGGTTTAAGCATCCCGCATCCTCTCAAGTTGAAAAACATCGACCCTTCTGGTTTGAGTTCCTTGGATAAGCTTATCGTTGAGGAATTCCAAAAATTGATCAAGTCAGATTATAAAAAGTATGTTGATAATCAACTTTCCGTAGATGAAGTAGATGATTTGGATGAAGAATCATATGACCAAGTTCAACAAGAAATCAAAGCCATACTCAGCACTTCCAGTAAGAAAGAAGTATCAATAGATGTAAAAATAGATTACTCCAAGAAACAAATCCAACAAGCCTTGAAAGAAGAGAACACCAAAATTACCCCACTTGTCAATGAATATAATGAAAGGTATCCGGAAATTTCACCACTGCAAATTGAAACCATTAAACAATTAGTAGATCAACTGATGGACCAACAGTCCCAAATAAAGTTATATCAACAAATAGCCAAAATGGAAGAAATTGCCATCAAAAACCGTACGGAAAGTTTGAATTCTTTTGTTGATTTTGTTACTACAAAAGAAGGACAACTCACCGATTATATCAGATCAAAACGAGATTAATCTCAGTGTATAATAAATTGTATAGTAAGATTAAAAATCATGCATTCTTAAACACTCAAATTTCAGAAGTCCGCGCAGTTAACATTGGTAAGTGCTATGAATAATTTGGTATATATTCCCTTTAGAATAACCAAAGATATAGCGATAGGTGAAGAATTAAGAAGAGTTATCAAAAGAGATTATTACCAAAGTCCCAATATTTTTGAAAATGATTTAACTCAGTTGACTAAAATTCGTAAGAAGATAGTGAGTTTAAAGGATGAACAAGTTGATAAGTCATTAGAGATCTTTTTGAGACAATATTATGTCCAAGTAGTCAATTTGACTAAGAAATTCAATAATGAAATCATTATGTTCGAATGGTATGGTACTTTGGGCTATGAGCCTTCAGGGCCCTACAAATTAAGATCACTCAAATTTGAACAGTACAATGTCATTTATCAATTGGGGAGTTTCTTTGCACAATTAGCAATCAAAGAGAATCGATTCACTGAAGAAGGATTGAAGAGAAGCTGTAATTACTTTCAAATGTCAGCTGGCTGTTTTGAAATCTTGAATGAAATCATTAACGAAGATAATTTTGTAATGGATGAATTCTCTAATGACTGTTTACAATTTTTGAAGTATCTAATGTTAGCACAAGCTCAAGAAACAATATGGCAAAAATCCATAAATTCTGAAATGAAAAACAGTATAATTGTCAAGTTATCAATAGAAACCAGTAACTTATATTCAAAATGTATTGAATATGGAAATAAATCCGATTTCATAAAATTAGAATACATTAATCATTGTACTATAAAACATTATCATTTCCACAGTGCTTCCAATTACAGATTATCCCTTATGTCTTTAGAATCTCAACAATATGGTCAACAAGTCGCTTATCTTAGAAAGAGTTTGGAATTGAGTGTCAAGGGATTAAAGTATCAAAGGTACGTTAAGAATTATGTTGTTGAAGATTTAAAAGGATTGAATGAAATGATTGAAGACAGTTTGAAGACTGCTGAAAGAGATAATGATTTAATCTATCATAAGCCAATTCCAAATGAATTGCCTGTTACTCAAGGAGCTTTTGTTGTGAATACCATCAAAATTGAAGAATTAAGAATACCTTTGGAAAGTGATCGATTGTTTTTGACAAACTTATTACCATATAAGATCATTCAAATCTCTTTGGCTTATAAAGAACGTCAAGATAGTTTCATTCTTCAAAAGATCTTAGAACCTTTACAATCATTAAATAAAATGATGAACCATTTTTTAACTGAACGAGAATTACCAGCATCTATTGATGCTTTACAGAAACCGGAAAATATCCCTGAACTGATAATCCAACATAGTCAAGACATCATCAGTTATGGTGGTGCTAAAGCTATTGAAAATTTATACGATACTATCTTAAATCTTTCGTCTGATTGTCGAGACATTCACGAAGGATGCAGTTCTAGATTGACTATTGAAGAAGACGAAGATGAATTCTTCCGTCAAAAGTACAATGAATTATGGGATAGGCAAACAAGTAAGGCTGCGGGTGAATTACTTTGGAATAAGATTAATAGTATGGATGATTATCTCAATCAAGCCGATAAGGCTGATGATATCATCTTGAGTAATTATCATCAAATCAAAGGTTATTTACAATTATATCAAGGAGGTTACGAATCTTTGAGTAAATTTATACCCAATTCCACATTAATCTCCTTGAAACCAGACACAAGAACAATTCTAATTGATATCAGAGAAGCTTTAAATGAAACACAAGAATTAGAACTTTCACGTAAACATTTCTTGAAAAAATTGGAGAATAAGAGTAAAGACAACAACATTTTACCCAAGTTAGTGGATCATTTCAAGAAAAATCAAATTATTGAAATATCCGATGATACTTTCGAACCCTTATATTCTCATCACATTAAGGTATTCAATGAAGACTTAGAATTCGTAGAATGGCTGAAGAATAAACAAATAGTGTTGGAAAACAAAATCGATGAGTTGAACAATTTGTTCATTGCTAATTTTAATGCACAAGAAGGTAATGAAGAAGCCAATAATGATAGACGTAGTGTTCTACAAGTGTTAGAAAATGCTTATTCTCGCTATTTACAATTGATCACCAACTTGAACGAAGCAGCCAAGTTTTATAATGATTTCAAGACCAAAGGATTGAAAGTTGTTCATGAATGTGATGAATTTGTTAATAATAGAAGAAAAGTTGCCAGAGATCTAGAATTGAAATTATCACCAAATTCAGAACCGATATCACAACCAAGAAATCAGTTACCCAAGTACGATAATGACTATGACGATTCAGATTCTGACGAAGAAGGTCGATTTGAAGGCCCCAGAATAGTAACACCTATCCCCATAGTTGCCTCCCCCGTTCCTATGGATAGAAACGACACCTCCACACCACTGACCAAGGAATTGAATGAATTGCAAAACCATTTCAATCAAACAAGGATCCGTAAGTAGAAAGACAATAAGACATGACATTAACATAGATATCTCATCTCATCTCAAATCGCACTCTTATATGAGATTAGGGTATCTACGATATCTTAAAAACTTAGTCATGAATAAACAAAAACCACCAATTATAGCCATTGTGGGTACTACAGGTGTAGGTAAATCACAATTCAGTATAGACCTTGCCAAACATATTAATGGAGAAATCGTCAACGCTGATTCGATGCAAGTTTATAAGAAGCTCGATCTTATTACCAATAAACACCCAATGGATGAAAGAAATGGGATCCCACATCATGTAATGGATTATGTGAATTGGGATGAAGAATACTATATTCATCGTTTTGATGAAGAGGCTACCAAAGCAATAGAAGATATATACAGTCGTGGTAAAATACCCATCATAATTGGAGGTACTCACTATTATTTATCAAAACTTTTATTCAAGAATAAGACAATCGATGATTCTGAGAGACGAGAATTAACCAACAATGAAAAAGATATTTTAGATGGTCCCGTCGAAATTATCTTCGAAGAATTGAAAAAATATGATCCGACTATATCTGAAAAGTTTCATCCTCAAGATAAACGTAAATTAAGAAGGGCGTTGGAGATTTGTTATACCATGGGGCAGAAACCTAGTGATTTATATCGTGATCAAAAATTGGCTGAATTGGAAGAATCATCTTTAGTTTACCGTACATTAGTGTTCTGGGTGTACAGTGACAATGAAATCTTGAGTGATCGATTGGATAAAAGGGTTGATTTGATGATAGATAATGGGGCAATGACAGAAATCAATGAACTTTATCAGTTTTATACGCTGCAAAATGAGGTTGATTTGACTAAGGGTGTATGGCAAGTTATAGGTTTCAAGGAATTTTTACCTTATCTTCATGCTGCAAAGGAAAATAATAAGACCGACAAAGAATTACGAAAATTACTAGACGAGGGAATCGAAAGAATGAAAATTAGGACTAGGCAGTATGCCAAATACCAAGTCAAGTTCATCAAAAAACTTTTATCGATAGAACTTCGAAAAGAAGCAAGATTTAATTATAAGCATGGAGGTAAGATGTATTTATTGAATGCTAGTGATTTAACCAAATGGGACACCAACGTTAAAAAAAGAGGTTTTAGCATAACCTCCAAGTTTCTTGAAAATCTAGATAAAGTGGATGATGTTGAAATACCACCAGAATTAGAAGGTTTGTTTGATAATGCTCCAGAATTCAAGAGTAATAAATTACTTGAAAATCAATCGTGGAAACACTATAAATGTGAGATCTGCAAAGATCAAAATGATAAGAATTTAGTATTTATAGGAGAGCAAAAGTGGACTGACCATCTCAATTCAAAACGTCATAAAAGGGGACTCGTAAAGCGTCAAAAGTTGAATAACAGAATGGAATATGAACGTAAACATACGATTACCAGAGATAAGAAAGAAGATCTACAACAAGACAAAGAAAAACAATAACAAGTTATGGGTATATAGGTGGTATGAGTATAAATTAAGCATTATTTTTTCCGGCCTATAGTAGTAATGATAATTATGTCTCTTTTAAAGGATCAGCGATAAGCATCTAAAGATAACAATAATTCCGATTACGTAAAGAACTATCGTATCAGTTTGGTGCCACCTCACCAACTGGTATAGTCTGTCAAGTAACTATTGTGACATTGTTGGACTTACATGCTTATCATAGCATTCTGAAGATTAGTTGAAAATCGAAGGCGATAAGACAAAGTAATTCAAAATCATGGAAGCTATAGGGTCGAAGACAAAGCGTTTTAAAGAGTTATGTCTATTTACGAAGAATCTACGTATAAGGTTAATCTACTTCCCTTTCGAAGATGAAAGTTGATAAAGATTAGCCATCAAATTCTCATCGATATTTCCACCATTCCTATTTGATTACTGTTTCTACCTTTTAGGGAATGTCTCCTAGTCAACCACCATGTGATACTTTGCCACCAGTAGGTTTAGACAAAAAATAATCCGTAGCTGTAGGTTCTGAAGACACAAATCTAGTGGAAATTTACCCCTAACTTGGCAAGTTTCCGCACCACGATTCCGTACTATTGTTAGTGAGGATGGTAGTAGATTTGTTGGGGATTTGCAAGTACGTATAACTGAGATGCATCTGATGGATTATGGCACTTTGAATTAGAATTGCTTATAACCCACGGTATAAGAGTTAGAATGTCGTGACTACGTAATTTGTGGTTTGGACGCAAGCAATCTGTTAGTTGAAGTTTAACAATAAACCTTTAGCCAACTCTATGTTCAAAATAGGAGTTGAAGAGACATTGATCGATCATATCAACTGGAATATAAATAAACGGTTATCTATTGTACTATTCCATCCTATTGTTAATCTTTATCTAATGAGGCAATCCAATTAGCCATTGGTCTCGGGCATTCGAATCATTTCTTCCAAACAATAGGATCAATCCCACCGTTGTTAATTGATCTCTATATCGTTAAGTAAAGAGGCCAATGTCTCGCCAAAAAAATTTATGCAGAAAATCCGTTGTCGCGGGCGTGGCACTCCAAGGATTGTCGTGGACAAATTGGTAGAGGTAGGGCCAAAAAGTCGTCTTCCGATGAGGAAATTTATACTGTGAACGGTAAATAGGAATACCGATAATTCTAGAATTGAATCTTGGGTTTTAGTTATGAGAATATGTAAATCTATTGAATTGAGAAGTTTAACAGCCTAAATAATCACTTCACAATCTTATGCTTGAACTCAAATTTCGTATCTGTCTGCCTCATCAATTGTGGAGGTTAATTAGAAAGTTCAAAGTTTAAGTATATAATTCTATAATCTATGGTACATTTTTCGTTAATCATGAACAATTCTTAGATTAGGAGGATCCCTTTCTAAGAATTTTTGTTAATATTTCCATTAAAAATATTAATCTTTTGAAATCTTATCGTTGATTTCAATCAATCTTAAATCGATTTGATTTAATTGGAAGTTTTTTTGTAATGTTAAATTATTTAAATCTTCATTTGAACACCAACCTGATTTTACTAATCTTGATTTAGTAATCTTATAGCTATCATTAATATGATTCTTTTCATTGACCAAATAATTGTAATAATTGATCAAGTTTTCACTCTTACTTTCTAATTCTTCCAATTTGATGTTGCAATTAGCTAAGTAATCTTTTTCAATCTTTTCAATATTAGAATTGTTATTAACATTATCTGAAATGGTGAACACTGGAGATGAAAAAATTGTTAATGGAGGAGTTGAAGGGGTTGAACATTTCAATTTTGAATCTAATGAATTCTTGGAATTATTAGAATCTTGAGAAAGGGTTTTGATATGTGAGTTTTGTAAAGGACTTAATTGAGGTCTAACTTTATCACTATTGTGAGAAGTTATAACAGAATTAATTGTGGTTGAGTTGGTTGAAAAAGGATTCGAACTGTTTGAGCTATGTAACTCAAAACCCAAAACTGGAGTTGAAGTATTAGTTGAATTCCCTGTAGTAGAATTTGAAAAAGTTGAAGTCAAATTGTTAGTTTGGGAATTTTTACTCAAACTCAACTTTCTAATGGTCTTTTTCAATCTTTTCAAAGGACTAGATTTTTCTCTTTCGGAATTATTTGAATGGTTTGATAAAGTTTTGGAAATTGTTGGGAATAATTGGTTAGAATCTAAATTAATACTTGGACTATCTAATTCATAGGTTGAGAATGAATTATTAGCATTAATAAAGATCTTTTCTTCAACTGTTGGACTCATCATACCATCACTTGTAATTTCTTCTAAGGTTGAATTTATCACTGAATTTGATCTTTCGTTGATAGTATGGTTATCTATTTGGTCAACAAAAGAATTTGACTTCAGTAAATTTGATTTAGGTGAATTAGTATTCGAGTTAGGATTGGATGAATTGATGTTGGATATCATTTCATTATTAATCAATGAGTTTAATGATTGAAGACTACTTTCTGTCGGTAATGGAGGCAATAGTATATCATCTTTTACAGGTTGTCTTTCCTCTATTTGAATGCCTAGCCCGTTGAAATCGTTGGCCATCATTATCTATACGGTTTTCTACTTGTAGTATCAAATATATGTGTAATGAGATCTATCTCAATGGAATTTATGTTGCTTTTTTTTCTGTGAAAGGAATTCTTTTTGGTCCGATTATTTGAATTTTTGTTAATTACTAATAATATTTAACATGCAAATTCAAAAGTTATATCGAAAGGTTCTACAATGATTCAATGATACTTCTATATTAGTTAAAAAATAAAAGTACTTCTTTGAAAATTTTTAGTGTATCTCGTGAGACTTATCAGTTAATGAGAATCTAAGGCAAAATTTATTGTATGGGGTGAATTTGAATAGTCAGTTAATTTAACCGTTGGGTTGACTAATTAAAGGGTTTGAATGGAAACTTTAAAAGAATATTAAATTTCAAAAGAATTTAAATATAATTCAAAAAGTTTTTGAAAATTTATTATTCTGGAAATTTGCAAATTATTATAAGTTTTTCACCTTTGTCTAGATAGACTTTCTACAAAAATGTCTCGGGTTTTTGTTGTGTCTCGAAGGCATTTGAAATTGTTTTTTAGTAACGCAACATCGATTTTCTAGACTTTGATCCCAATACAAGTTACACTGCATATCCAGGAGTGTAGATATTCGACAGTAAATATATGGGATCATTGTATAGCTAAAATTTTCAAACCTAAAAATGAATTGAAACAATTTACCATAAACTCATATATTGAAGCTATTCAAAGTGTAGGTAGAATTTAGAAAAGCTAAGAGTTGGTTGGTTCAAAATCTATTAGGTGTATGTCAGAAAGTAGAGAATCTAACGTCATAGCAACAAATTAGGGGGTGATCGATCAAGCGGGTTGTCTTCCTACCTTTTTCCCAGACCTTACCAAATGTCGCTCACCACATAATAGGACCAGTGACAAACGGTACTACGGCGACACCGAACGACACCGAACGACAAATAACGACAGCCTCGGCGACAATATCCTAACCTATACTGTATATTGTTCGAAAATTAACCGACAGGGGATTTTCAATCTTAATTTGCAGAATCTTAGTTCATCGTTCCCTAACCCATCAATTTTGAGTAACATTTGTCTTACTGGCGGATTTATTGAGAAAGTCTAGAAAACTATAGATGACATTCTGAATGGAATGTTGGAATAAATTCCATTCAAATTATTCTGGTAGGCTTAACTGAAAATATTTTTTGTCAGGAAATTCTTGACATATCCGTTTCCTTCAAACTGCTTGCATTTCTCCTATTTTCCTAAACATTCTCCTATTCTCATATGAAGTCGATTATTTTTTACAAAAGTGCGTTGATTGAATGGCTCTCTATCTAAACTAAGCCGCTAAATTCCATTTATTAGGGTTATCTACAATTTTTCTCCATGTACCCTCAAACCTTATCAATATAGAATTTGTAACCTTAATTTTGGTTATGATTTATTTATGACACCTGGTATGGTATTGTTGAATCGTATGGAACGAAATTTCAAAGTCTTAGAAGTTGTTTCGTCGCCTGGGGAGATAAGATCTATTCCTTTAATTGAATATGTAGCTTCGTTTGTTATTCCATAATACTCGTTTACCTTAGGGCACTTTTTTTTAATCTCTTATCTTATCTAAATTGTGCCAAATGTCTTCATTCCTTCGATTATACCTATTCCGTTATGTTCCTCCGTTACTTCATATCCCAATACCTCAAATCTGATGTCGTCTGCATCCACATGCCATCTCATGTAATCCCAGATCTTGAGTTTTTGATTCTCATCTTTTTAAGATTCTACTTTTTTCTGATACCTGGCGATGCCATCAATGTAATGAGAGGCTACAGTGATTCAACAAGAGCTTAGAAGAGAACTTCAATTTGAAGTCGAGATTTGTTGCAGAAATTGTGAATTTCACTGTTTCATCAAGTTTCATGAGAATAATCAATACGACCTCTTAACAATAGGAATGACAACTTCATTTTTCTTCATGCTAGTTGATGCAAGAGAGTTAGTTACACCGAACATCCATACGATACAAGTGTCGAATTGGCTAATGGAGATTCATTTCCCTTTGGCTTAAACCGTTGAGATTAAGTCAAGAGATAAGCTAAGTTTAATCATCATGTAAATGGCCCGTGAAATCCAGACTAGACCAAAGAGATTTGACCTGTAAGCTCTTGGATCATAAATGCAAGAGGGATAAAATCTCCTGAGTCATGTATAAGTCTTAATATTTTGGACAAGCTTCACCAATAGTCTGGAATTACCCTGTAACAACTTTACTTTATTGTTTAATCACAAAACGTTTCAGAACCATTATTGTTAGATTAGACGTGCATAATAGTTTTTTAATGAATCTTATGCAATCTCAAATTTCAAGGGTTTTGGTTTCGAATTGTTGGTAATTGTGGTTAAGAAAACTTCCAGTAGATCTCAAAAGCTTACTATACAGATATTGGATTTACATTACTGAAGAAGGAAATGGGAGTTACAGAATATTCGACATAAAGGATCGACCTCAAAAAATAAGTTCATGGGCTCTGTTTTAAGTCGGAATTGATACAAAATAATTTATTGAATTACTATTCACTCATCAACATGTTCTAAATAATAGATGTGAACATTCCTTGTTTAAACCCTCATCCGTCTGTACCTTTTTGACCCTGAAATAAAAATTTCAGTTTGTACAGATAAACATTCTGGAAAAAGTTAAAGTGAATGGGGTTTAATGATTACCCCTATTACTGAAATCTTTTAACAGAACCAGTTTTCCGGTTGTAGAAGAAGTCTTGCCTGGTCGATCATGAGGCATGTTCCGCATGTTGTGGTGTAGGCTAATTACCGTATAGTCGAACTAATGGACTAAAGAAACCAAGAACACAAATTCCTTTATTAAACTAATAAGGAAATAAGCGGGTTTGCATAGAAAATTTCAATCTATTGACAATCGCAGGGATAAGAGCTTAAGATTTACGTTTTAGGAAATATAAGTACTTTAATAGGAAGTTATACACTAACACTTATCTACCCCTAATTCATCATTTTGTTCATTGTTTTGATTGAGTTTAAATTTCAATTGGAGGTTAATTTTGATTTCAAATATTTCCAATAATTCTCTCTAATAGGGTCGTATTTGGCAATCAAAAGATCGTAAATTATCAATGACTTTTCATTATTATATGTTTTAGCTAACAATTCCAAAGCAAATGATGATTTTATTAATTCGAGATCTTCACTATCGGTATTATCAATTATATCAGGATTTACAAATTCGTTCAAGAACGGTTGAAGTTTGATCAAAGGAATTTGAAATTTTTCATAAATTCCCATTAAATAATTCCAACTGCTTTCATTTTGTGGACTGATTCTTATTTTATGTTCAACATAATTCAATTCTTCATCCACATCGACTTTTTCGTTATTAAATTTGATGAAAAATCTATGACTCCATGCACTATTATTATAAACATCATCATCCAACAAGTCATCAATGAATTTTAATTCTTTTTCGTTTTCGAATAAATTGAACTTTTCTACTAACCAGTGTCTGTAAGTCCAAACATGATGATTCTTACTATCTTCCAAAATCATAGTGTTTAAGATAGGAAATTCTCTTGTGGCATCGAACCCTTCGATTTGACCTATGATCAATTGTCTATAATTCCAGATTTGATAGTTCTTTTCATTATCTATGGCAATTGACTCCAACCAGTCTAGTTCATCATATAAATCCTTTTTCAAACATTTTATGATATCAAATCTATAACACCATATACTATAATGTGAAGCCAATGTGGAAATTCCCAACTCTGTCATAGCCAAAGCTCTTTCACTTAATTCGTTTTTAGCCATGAGAGCTAACAAGATCCCCATGGTAGTTTTATATTCATCATCATAAAGAATTTGACATAATTGAGGTTGTGCTTCATTAAGTTTTAATGGAGTTATATCATCATACTTGAAATCCATTTTAATTATGGATTTGTAATTTATTGGCTTGTACTATTCAAAGTTAACGCTACTTCGTGCTTGTGGGGAATATCGAACTTAAGTACTTAAATACCCTTCAATCTTTCGGATCGCGAAATTGCCTAAAGTAGATGCATTAATGGATTTTTTGATTAAACTAATAGTTAACGTAATCATATATTTCTTATTACATCAATTGTTACCCAATTCGAAAATACCTATAATAATCATCGCTTATTCTACCATGAAATTGATTGGTGAAAATTTGCAACGGTTTAGGTTCAGTAATAGATTATTTTCAACTGATTCTTTCCTAAAATTCAATACTACCATACGGAACGACGGTACCAACACCAATGAAATAATCCATGATGTTGTGAATGGCGATGATACAAAGGTACCCGGTGAAACTATTCCTATAGGTAGCTTGCCATTATCTACTCGTACTGAATTATTGTCTTCTATCAAATCATTACAATTATATTCCACCAACAATAAGAAATTCATTGACAAAAAACGGAAATTATTCAAAATGATGAGTTGGAGACAACAGCAGGTTTGTATGGAAGTGGGGTATATGGACAAGCTTAATATGGTGGATGATTTGATCAATAAAAATCAGAAGGTTTTAAATTCAGTGATTGATTATTCTATGAAGACATATCAAGTCAAATTCAGTGATTTCGATATAATAAAGAATTTCATTGACGGAAGTTCCTTCAAAGTTATTGAAAGCTTGAGTCATTTAAATCGTGATTGGGATATTGAGTATCCTGAGTTACAACCTATTTTGAATTATATCAAAGGTGGATTGACAAAAATTGATTGTGATGTCAATGACACTGATATAATAGTTCCTGGTTCGGGATTAGGTAGAATTAGTCACGAGTTGAGCAAGTCAGGATATAATGTAGATGCTATTGAATTGAATGGTTTGATGTATTTACTCAATAACTTCATTTATAATAATCCATCCAAAAACTTGGAAATTTATCCTTATATACATAACATGTCAAACTTTACCACATTAAAATCACAATTCAGGTCAGTTATGATACCAACTATGGTGAAGCCCAAGAACTTAAATATCCATTTGGAAGATTTCAAGTTCTTTGAACCTAAAAAAGAGAATAAGACTATTGTTTTAGTTACAGCTTTTTTCATGGATACCGCAGAGAATATCATTGATTACATCGACACCATAAATGAATTGGTGAAAGGGTATGAAAACAAATATTGGATAAATATTGGACCTTTAAAGTATGGATCAGCTCCTCAAGTTGAGCTCAATGTTGAAGAACTAAGAGACGTTAGAATGAAAATGGGCTGGGAAGACATCGACTCATATGATAGTTTATCTGAAAACGTAATTGTAGGTTATGCCACTGATAAAGAAAGTTTATGGCAAGGATATTATGGATTATCTGGATGGGTTTCTAAGAGATCTTGACCTGCGATATGAAAAGAAAAAAATCTTGTAAATATAAAGAAGTATGAAAAATGATTATGATACTATTATTCTATTTACTTTACTCATTAGATATTCTTATTTATTTGTAATTTTTTATCGGAACCACCACTGATTATACCAATTTCTTTATCCCAGGCAACATCGAAGATTTTGACATTCTTGGTATTTTCTTCTCTAGTGATAGTGTACAAAGGATTCAAGGATCTGATATCCCAAACTTTAACGTAACCATCGTGAGAACCAGATATGAACATATTATCGTTATATGTACAATCTGATAAACTTACAACCATATTGGAATGACCAACCAATTTACTATTAATTAATTCTTCACTGTTGACTCTTGGATCATGTAAGTTGATGTGACGGGCTGATGAACCTGTTATAATTAAGTTTTTAGTTGGTTTTTGTAAAATAGATAACAATGAGAATCCAGTACTTCTGGTATCAACAACTTTACCAGTGACTAAATCCCAAGTTTTGATGGAGTGATCTTGAGATACCGAATAACTTACAGTGTTATCCATTTTGTCGAATATAATATCTTCAACTGGTTGTTTATGACCAGTTAAAATAGATAATGGAGATTTTCTTCTTAAAGTAGCATCTTTAACAGCCATCTTCTTTCTCTTCTTTGATGAGGTGGATATCACATTATCATCATATGCCATAACTTCAATATTATTCATTTCTTTATAGTTGGTTGACCATAAACCAATGTCATTATCAGATGAGGCAGATAAAATTCTGTTAGATTGAACATTAACATCTAAGGAAACGACTGGGGCTTTATGACCTTCTAACAAAGCAATGGTTTTACCTTCTTCAGGATCTTCGTCTTCATCATCTTCAGCAATGCTATCAGTGGTTTGATTTTTCCATAATCTAATTTGTCTATCATTACCACTACTTACTAATCTTGAAGGGGTAATCCATTTGACACTTTTGATTGAACTTGAATGACCCGAAAATTGTTTTTCAATTTTTCCTGACATATCATATATTCTGACAATACCATCGTAAGATCCACTTAAGATTTTGGAATCACCACCTACTTTGATAGTATCAAGCGATGAGATCCAATCATTATTATTAAAAGAAGCTAAAAATGATGGAGGTAAAACGGCTTTGGTATATTCCAAACTGATAAAAGCTTCACTACTTAAACCGTTCTTAGTTAAGTAATCTGACAAAGATGTTCTAAGTAATTTACCATCGATCAAAAAATCAAAAGGTGTGATTTTATGTTCAGGATTTTCTTTGGTGATTAAATGATTCACAACCTCAGATAAACCATATCTTTTCAATGATGTTGGAACGTATAACGGAGTATCGTTCACTTGTATGGAAGTATCTTCTTCCTTGGTGAAGAATTTGATTTTAACTTGGGTATCCATAGTGAAAAAAAATTATCTCATCGAGAAATTTGTGCGAAGGGTTTTGGATGCAAAAAATGGAGAGAGAATAAAGATGATTTTCTACTATCAAGAGTACAAGATGTTAGGAGGATGACATGGAAGCTTATACATTGAGAATTGTTTCAAGGGATAGTGTTAAAATCTTACTTGTACGTTAAGCGAATTGGATGAGGAGAATGGTTTGAGTACTGGCATCGATCTTGTTACTAGTTTACCCACAAATGAAGCAGTCTTCATCCCTGCATTGGTAGAAGACCTTAAGAATTGATCAGATTTAGTGAAATTACTTCTTCTTAAGCGGGATGTAATCCTACTTTGTTTGATTTTTGAAATGCTTTGAGATTTAAACCTATAATTGGGACTTGAAGGATCAGTCAATTTTCCAGTTTTAAAAAAATATTTGATAGCTCTCTTGAACCTTCTCCATCTTCGTTTCCTTGTAATTCTAGGAGGTGGTAGGGATCTCATTGGAATGGAATCCTGCAAATTTGTGTAAATTATTCGATAATTTGCAACCTTCGCAGCCAAAAGCACATCACCACAAATAGATGCCATATTGGCTAGATTAGGAAAACTCAAACAGGAATCTCTTGTAAACCTTTATTCATGCACAGATTTACCCAAAAATAAACAAACCAATGTAAATTTCTTATCAATTTCGAAAACCAAAATCATTAAAGCATATCACGTGACCGAGGAAGGATGTTCCGATGGACTATCCTCGACGATAGCGATTGAACAAGTTAAAAACCTTAGGTATTTCCCGTTGGAAATTTCAAAACACACTCAACGATTTGAAATATTTAAACAACCACCGATCTCACCTTTTGTGAAGTAAAAAATTTTTCCTATCTTTGAAAACTAACATTTTATTAGAGAGAAGTCAAAATCTACTCATCTCGCACTGAAAAAAATTTGGAATTAATACAATCAATAAATAAATTTATCATGAGTAATATCGATGATGTCCCAGTTGAAGTTTCCAAAGTCTTTGATACCATCTTGGTCTTAGATTTTGGATCTCAATATTCTCATTTAATCACTAGACGTTTGAGAGAATTCAACGTTTATGCTGAAATGTTACCATGTACCCAAAAAATTTCTGAATTATCATGGACTCCAAAAGGTATTATTTTAAGTGGAGGTCCTTATTCTGTTTACGAAGAAGGTTCTCCTCATGTTGATCATGACATTTTCAAATTAGGAGTTCCAATCTTAGGTATTTGTTACGGTATGCAAGAATTAGCTTGGATCAATGGTAAAGGTGTTGCTAGAGGTGATAAAAGAGAATATGGTCCAGCTACTTTAAATGTTGAAGATCCTTCATGTGAATTATTTAAAGATGTTGATCATTCTCAAGTTTGGATGTCTCATGGTGATAAATTACATGCTTTACCAACTGGTTACAAAATTGTTGCAACTTCAGATAACTCTCCATTTGCTGGTATTGCTCATGAAACTGAAAAAATTTTCGGTATTCAATTCCACCCTGAAGTTACTCACTCAGTTAAAGGTAAAACTATCTTAAAAAACTTTGCTATCAGCATTTGTCAAGTTAATGCCAACTGGTCAATGGAAAATTTCGTTGATACTGAAATTGCTAGAATTAAAAAATTAGTTGGTCCAACTGCTGAAGTTATTGGTGCCGTTTCCGGTGGTGTTGATTCTACCGTTGGTGCTAAAATCTTACACGAAGCCATTGGTGATAGATTCCATGCCATTTATGTTGATAATGGTTTAATGAGAAAAAACGAAACTGAAAGTGTTTATCAAACTTTAACTGAAGGTTTAGGTATCAATTTAACTGTTGTTGATGCTACTGATAAATTCTTAGGTAGATTAAAGGGAATCACTGATCCAGAAAAGAAAAGAAAGATCATTGGTAACACTTTCATTCATGTTTTTGAAGAAGAAGCTGCTAAAATCACTCCTAAAGATGGTCAAGAAATTGAATATTTATTACAAGGTACTTTATATCCTGATGTTATTGAATCTATCTCATTCAAAGGTCCTTCTCAAACCATTAAAACTCATCACAATGTTGGTGGTTTATTAGAAGATATGAAATTGAAATTAATTGAACCTTTAAGAGAATTATTCAAAGATGAAGTCAGACATTTAGGTGAATTATTAGGAGTTCCTCATGATTTAGTCTGGAGACATCCTTTCCCAGGTCCAGGTTTAGCTATTAGAGTTTTAGGTGAAATTACTCCTGAACAATTAAAAATTGCTAGAGAAGCTGATTTCATCTTTATTGAAGAAATTAAAAAAGCTGGTATCTATAAGGAAATCAGTCAAGCTTTCGCTGCTTTATTACCTGTCAAATCTGTTGGGGTTATGGGTGATCAAAGAACTTATGAACAAGTTATTGCTTTAAGAGCTATTGAAACTGTTGATTTCATGACTGCTGATTGGTATGTCTTTGAAGCTAGTTTCTTAAAGAGAGTCGCTTCTAGAATCGTTAATGAAGTTGATGGGGTTGCTAGAGTCACTTATGATATTACTTCTAAACCTCCAGCAACTGTTGAATGGGAATAGTTTATATATAATAGATATTGTAACAATGTTTTATTACTATTTAAGTCGTGTCATCGTATAATCGTATCGTCATATTCTGGTTCTGTTAGATATTTGATTATCATGTTATCATATAATTAATCATTACTTTTCCTTGCCATAATAGTTCACTTCTTGTCTAAGAACTGTGGCCACAAGTACATCTTCATCATGACTTATACTAAGTAAGAATTCTTCTGGTTTATGATAATCATCATTAGAAATATCTGGTTTACCACGTTCATTGTAAAGTTTAAACCATTGATTGAACTGGAAAAATTTCTGATCACTTTCATCTAATGTTTTGTATATAGCTTCTTTCATTGCCCAATTACCTGCAAGGTACTTTGTAACTTTTGAAGAATCCTGAGTTTTCAATAGAGATTTAAATACGGGCAATTCATGAATTGGATGTAAAATTCTTGATCCTAACTTTTCCACAAATAATGAATCCAATCCTCTTCCAGGTTTATTGATCATCTTGTCAAATCTAGATATCTTCAAGATATCTACCCCAATACCTAAAGTAGTAGTAATCTTCTTCATGTTAATGTGCTGCGAAAAATCTTTGCGAAAGCGGAGCGATTTAAATTTTTCATTAGTTTTCCAAGCGTATACAGATAAGATGGCATCAGCAATAACAGGACCAGTTCCTTTACCAGATTCAAGATATGACTTGTCTACTTATTGGGGTAGAGTTCAACACTGTGCAGAAATTTCAGATCCAACCATGTTACTCAATACTTCAAAAGATATTTCCAACGCAAAGCAAATGATTTGGGACTATAGAAATGGAGTCATTCCCTCCATGACACCAGAATTATGGAGAGCTAAGAAGATCTTAGATTCAGCCATTCATCCTGATACTGGGGAAACTGTTATGTTACCTTTTAGAATGAGTTCATGTGTTTTATCAAATTTAGTGGTTACAGCTGGTATGTTAACACCAAATTTAGGTACTTTTGGTACTTTATTTTGGCAAATAGCTAATCAATCATTAAATGTAGCTATTAATACTGCTAATGCCAATAAGTCTCATCCTTTAACCACTAAACAAGTGGTTACCAATTATTCATTAGCTGTTACAGCTTCTTGTTCTGTTGCTTTGGGTTTAAATGCTATAGTACCAAGATTAAAATCTTTAAAACCAAACACAAGAATGATTTTAGGTAGATTAGTACCTTTCGCTGCTGTTGTATCTGCTGGTATTGTTAATGTCTTTTTAATGAGAAGTGAAGAAATTAAAAAAGGGATTACCGTATTCGATGAAGAAGGTAAACCTCAAGGAACTTCTCAAACTGCTGCTGTTTATGCTGTTGGAGAAACCGCAGCCTCAAGAGTTATCAATGCTACTCCAGTTATGGTCATTCCTCCATTGATTTTAGCTAGATTAGAAAAGAACTTCTTGAAGAATAAACCTCAATTTGTTAACATTGGGGTTAATATTGGTTTAATTTTTGCAACTTCCTTAGTTGCCTTACCTTTTGCATTAGCAGTATTCCCACAAAGAAGAACCTTACCAGTATCAAGTTTAGAATCCAAATTCCATGACTTAAAAGATGAAAAGGGTAATACTATTAAGAATTTAGAATTTAATAGAGGTATTTAGTCTATTAATACATGTATATATATAAAAAATTTATAAGTTTATCACCAGAATTTCCATTCTTTGATTTCATTAATATGTAATAAACTTTCTATCTCTTCACGAGTTTTTAAATTTGCAAAAGTTTCAATATCGAAAACTGATTCTTCACTATGAGAGAATAATGCTCCCACACCTTTTCCACCTAAAGAAGTTTCATAAGATGCAAAACCTTTAGATTCATATGTTTTGAGGGTTGATTTGATGATTTCTTCATCAACATCTTCATAAACTAATGTTATAGCACAACCACCACCTCCAGCACCTGTTAATTTAGTTACACCTATTTTATTTAAATCACCAATGGATTTGATTTCTTCTAACACCGGATGAGAAACTCCTAAAGATACTAATAATCCATGATTCAAAGTAACTAAATCATACAATTGTTTCCTGGATTCATCATCTAATGCTGGTTTAATCATATGTTGATAGGCATTTTTAGAAATGTTCCCCATGGCATCTAAAATTGGACCTACAATATTTGGATATTCATTGTTTAATTTTGAAACATTACCAACCAAAGTAGCAGTACTTCTGGGGATTTTAGAATTGGTCAATAATAATTTCAAAGGAGGGAAATTTCTCATAGTAGTTCTGACTGAAGGATTTGAAGGTTGTGTCATTCTTTGATACATAACAGCTCCACCATGAGTAGAAACCGCGTTATCGATTCCTGAAGGATTCCCATGGAAAGTTTTTTCACCCATGAAAGACCAAGCATCAACGAAATTCAATTCTTTAACATCGGAATTATTAACTTTATCATCCAATTCAAAAGTTGGTTTTGAAATATGTCCACCTAAGTAACCTAAGGCTGCAGCTAAACAAACTGAAGTACTGGCAGATGAACCTAATCCTGCACCAATTGGGACAGTTGACCTTACACAGAAGACATTCCCTGGAGTATCTTTGTTACAAAGTTGTGTATACAAATATAAGAATGAAAGACATGCACTATGATGGAAGGTAGTATTGAGATTAGCCAAACTATCAGTCAATAATTCAATTATTTCAGGGACTAATTCTTCTGTTGTTTGTAAATTACCTTCAGTATCATAATTACAATGTTTCTTTATTTCATCGAAGGGTATATCTGATTTATTCCATGAAACTGATAACTTGATATCTGGAAAATCTAATCGTATAACATTAGGATCTTTACTTGGAGAAACCAATAAATAAGCTCTCAAACTTATGGCAGCAGCTATGGCTGGTTTACCAAACACTGCAGAATGTTCCCCAAACAAAATGACCTTTCCTGGAGCACTTACAAAGAATGTTTCTGCCATTTCAAATAGATACTCGTCGCACAGAATTTTTCACTCGTTTAGAATAACGAGTAGTAGTCGAAAATATAACCTATGTAATATTTCTATACATTATACAAATTCCTTTAATGATGAGATCTCTTCAATCACACTATTTACAAAAGAATCAAATGGGGCACCTCCAGCATCAATTATTCTTTGTTCATCATTTGAACTAGGTAAGATTCTTGAAGTTAAGAATTTTGGATGCTTAAGTAAATTATTAATATGGTCCATGAAATCTTCTCTTTTTACTTCTGATTCAAGTCCCGGTAAGATAGGAATATCCACTATATTATTAAGTTCTTCGCCATCAATTTTGATCCCGAAAAAACCAGTAACATCAAAAGATTTAAGTAATTGTAATAAGATTAAGATTTGATTGGTTTCGTTGATAGTTGCAGTTGATATTCTAATAGTTGAAGAATCTTTTGACCAACTATCAATACAATATTCAATTTGTTTCATGAAATTTCCTAAAGCAAGACAAATATCTGGTAAAATACTTGGGCCCAAATTTGATAATGTAAATACAAATATTGGTAAGATTCCATTAGTCCAAATCTTATGATAACGAGGAGATGTAGTGATATTAATATCTCCATTTTTTATGGTGGAAGATATGTTACTTCCAGTCAATACCATGAATAAACCATTATCTATCAATTTTCTAGCAATTATTTCGAATTTCATTAATTCTTGGATGAACATTAAACTTAATTGGGCAAAGATGAATTCTCCATCTATTTCAATCAAATGAGCAAAGGAAAAAAGATTTAATAATGATCTGATGAGTTCAGTCTCTTCAATCTTTTCACAAAGTTCGTATTGATTGTTGATAGTGATTTTGAATTCGGTGAATATTTTTAAAATTGATAAGATCAAATGAATATCATCAATCTTTTCACTCATTTTACTGGATTCAACTCTGGTGGTTTTAGAAAGATAAACCTCATTTTGGATTTCAATTATCAATACCTTAGTTCCTTTACTGACAATCAATTCAAATAAACCTCTGAAGATACTGAAATATTCCACCAATAAGATTTTGTCATCTTTAACAGCTACCAAAGTACAATAAATGATTCTCAACAATGACATATAATAACCAGTACTATGAGTTAAGTTATTTATGAAGTCCATTGAATCAGATTTTAACAATTCAGAACAGGTTTTCAATAATTCAAAGGATTTTTTGGTATCCTTACGTAAAGTTGATAAGTTATACATATTATAAATGATGAAAAAGGCCAATTGGATTCTTGTATTATAAATTTCTTGGAAGAATTCAGCAGGTAATCCTTCAATGATATTGGTTCTTAACAAATGATTAGCAAAATCAATGAAGTCTACATTTAAAACTTTAGAATCTTTTCTTACTGAAGCTGTTATCAAAGCACTTAAAGATTTAGCTACATCAACTTGAGCACTTAAATATTGTAATTCAATTGATGAAGCTATGATCTTCTCCTTCAATTGTTGCCAATGAGGACTGAACTTGAACATCCCTTCCATCACAGTTAAATTATATATAGTAGAAACACCATAACGGTTCCTCTTAACTAAAGAACATTTGAAATCCGAAACTTCAAAAGGTTTGAAATGACTGGAGAACTGTTCTTCGATATCATCATGAAGTTTACTATGATATGATTTTATGGTGAAAAATCCTTCCATATGCTTCTTAAACTCTGTCAAGAATTTCCCAATCTTTTCAATATATTTATTGTTCTTACTTGAAAACAAATAAAGGGCTAAAACTTCAGCTATCTTCGAGACTAACTTCAAATTATAACAATTTTCAATATATTCATCCACAAGTTTTGGTTGTTCATTTACTGGGATTTTAATTCTATTGATTAATTCATCAATGAATTCATCATCCTCAGTTAAAGTATGTAAGGAACTCCATGAATTGATAACAAGGCCCATAGCATCAACCAAATGAAGAGCCACAGAATCAGGTAAATATTTGATGTTCTTGATATTTTTCTTCAATACTTTAATCAATGATTGATCATGTTTGGATGATCCTTCTTTGGTTAAATTATCAACTATATCTCTGACACCCAATAACAGAACACTCAAACCTTCTTGATCACCTGTCATTACTGCTGAAACAAAATCATAAATTGAAACTTTAATGTTATAGTCATCAAAATCATTATCTAAATCAGTAATTAATGATTGTAATAAGATTTGAGTGCCATTAGTACCTAAATGAGATAATAATGATGGTCTGGTATCTTTTGGCCAGGAACTAGAAGTAAGAACTGTCATAAGATCCAAGATGTTTTTTCTGAGTTCAGCATGATTGGCATATGTTTTAACCAAGATTGGTAATTTACTGAAAATACTGGTTTCAAAAGTTGATGGTGGATAATTGATGGAAGTTCTGATGGAAACTATTAATTCAGTGAATTCCAATGCACCTTTTATCCATGAAGAATATAAATATGTTGTGGAATCTTTCAATTCATAAAGATTGATATCAAATTCTAATGAATCTATCAATACTGTTAAGGGATAACAAGTTCTTGAAAAATCAGATTTACTGATTAAGAAGGAATCAATGATATTTTTAGCTGATTCAATGAAAACTTCACTCACTTTACCACCGCCTGACTTGTCGTTTTTCTGTAATCCATAAACCATAGTTAACATATTGGAAAAAGTATCAAGTATCAAAACACCTAATTCCATCTTTTGACAAGAATCATTGAATTTACAATGAACAAAAGTTTCAAAGACTAAGATTAAATGATTAATACATTGACTTAAAACTTTGGATTTGGTTTGAATCTTGGTGGTGGGTTTTAAATTGAGACAATCATGAGCTAAGATTTCGGTTAATTTAATGAAGGAGATAGTAAAACTATAATCTCCTTGTACTACTTCAATGGCACTAAATAATATTGATACGAAACCTTCTTTACCACCATCACTCAATAAAATGGAATCAGATAAATAATTCCAAATTCTATCGGAAATATGTGGACTTAAATAGTATAATAAATCAATGATGGTCTTGGATACTTTAATACTTCTAGAATGTAATCCTTGATCCAATAATCTAAGAATGACTTCTACAATATCAGAATTATCGGTATATGCTGATAATGAGTCTAGGATTTGACCATCACTATCTCTTAAGATCGATGTCAATAATTCACAAATACTGACGATTAAAGTGGTTTTCTCATTATCATTGGCATCAAATGTATTGGATAAATTCTGTAAAACCCTTCCAAAGAATGCAAACCCATTATATCTGTATAAGAATGTAGCCAAGATGAAGTTTTCCCTCACACTAGGTAAGATCTTTGCTTTGGTATCATAATTCATTAATAATGATAATTTCTTATTGATTTCGAAAGGAGGATAAATATCGATCAATTTGGTGGTTTTAACTAATTCTGTATTGGTATCATCAATTATTGACAGTTGATTGAACTCGAATTCTGGCAATTCATACATGTAGGATTTCAATTCTTTGAATTCGTTGAAGGCAAATTCTCCATTGATGGAAGCTAATTTCAAAAATGGAATGATTAAATGGGGAAATTTAGCTCTAGCAACTATGATAGCATTGATGGTAGCTTGATTATTGAAGAATTTTTCAATGATAACATTAGGACAATTCTTCATTACATTATAAATCGTTGATGCTATTTCATCTGTTAATGTAGTTAAAGGCATTGAAGCAATAATTATGCTTGATAATATAGCAGGATACAAATTATCAAATTTCAAGGTATTATTGACCACATCGATTTCATGGAAAACATTCAATTCTTTACATTTAACACTTAAGAAAGTTATGGAATACTCTAAATCTTTCAAGGAAACATATTTAGTGAAAGTTTCATCATCAGTTTCGGATATTATATAACTTTTCCTCAAAATTATAATTAACCATCCATACATTGTGATAGCATTCAAGTTTGAAGGATTAGTGATGATTGAATTTATATCTTTAAAAAGACTACCATTATTCATAATCTTACAGTCAATATTTTCAACATCCAACAAAGCAATCGAAATTATATTGCATAATGCATCGATTAGTGCCAAAGATTCTCTTTCTGAGATCACAGGACTTAATTTATTGGTGAAATTGTTAGAATGCATGAATTGGAACCAATTCAAAATGGTGGTATGGGAGATATTCGTATTCTGGAAGGTTGCTTCTACTAAAACTCTCAAACATGTAGATATGAACAATAAGTTTTCTCTTTCCATTAAAGATTGGAAATCGGAGTGTTCAGAATTCAAGTTGGTAATGCAATGTTTTAAAGTTTCGATGATACTGTTGATGTACTTGTCTGACAAAAATAACTCTTTACCCAAGTTTTGGATCGATGAAGAAGTTGAATCTAATTTTTTATTCATTAATTCCAAAACACATTCTAAGATCAATCTACGTTCATGAAGGATCTTGGATGCATATAAAACTAATCGTTCTTGTTCCATCACCACAGCACGATCGTCAGGTAATTTAGTGTTATGGTTTTCGAAATCACTATGTTTTCTTACAGGGTTTCTTTTACATGTTTGACAAATTATTCTTAAACATTCCAATTGATCAAGATTCAACTTTTCACTTATTAGCTTGGAATCTTCATAATTCGTAGGAGTAATTCCATTATATAACACTCCGTGTAATGTAAACTCTTTAGTGTCTTTGGTAATCTTTATTTTATCATTTTTTTGATGGAATGGATTGGAATTGAACATTAACGACCTATGTAATAAAAAGAACTCATCCAATGATTGTAAAGAATTCCGATCATTGGATTTGAGTAATAGTAATGCATTATTGAAGGTCCACAGTTGTGTTGGTTGACCGGGTTTCAATTTCCCTTGAACACTAACTTCAGGCATCACCATAGTTAAGTGTTTGTTTTTCAATTTTTTTTGCGACTGCGATTTCAAGAGTTATTTACATTAGTCTATTTAGCGTAATACCAATTACTGAGGTCTGGAGGTAAAGATGCTGGTGGTTCGGGTAATGCTGGCGTTATTTGGAACTGTTCAATATATCCAGGTGATGTCTTATGTGCAGTATTGGTGATAATTGGTAATTTATCAGATTTTTCAATCTTTTCATGAATCAAATTATTCCAAGCATGATGATTTTCTTCAATTAATTTCAAAGTAAAAGCCCTGTCTTTATATTGACCATCAAATGCAAATTGGTTTGGGGGTTTGCCATCGGGGATCTTATAGTTTCTAATCCATTCTCTGGTCGAATCAAGTAATCCAGGATAATGTTTCTTGATATCCGGAATATCATTTACATTTTTGGATAGAGGATCCTGAGTATTTATGGCAAGTACCTTCCAATCCAATTCTCCATCATCAATTAATGCCAAAGAACCTATAATTTTCACTTTAACAATATCTCCTACTTCGTGAACTTTAGAACCTATTTCAATTACATCCAATGGATCGTTATCACCAAAAATTTGTAATTCTCCGTTATCATTGGTTATATCTTCCCATGTTTGTGGGAAAGCTCCATAATTATGACAGTATCCGTGAAAAGGGAATAAATTCTTTATAAATCTTACTTGACCTTTCTTAACATCTTGCATTATTGGATTTCCTGGTACCTTGGTACTGATTTCAAATTTTGCATTGGACCATCTTGGAATTTCTACCACCATATTGGCTGTACCCTTCTCTACATCCAATTCCAAAGGTAAATCATGGAAGTATGATTTGACATTTCCGTCTTTTACTAAGTATTTCTTGAAAGTTGATGAATATTTCGATCCTTCACTTACACTATGAAAGCCACTCTGTGAACTGCCACTCCTTTGTGCATTTAAATGATTAGATGTCAATAATAACCTACTTACGGCTCTATTTGGCATTTTAGCAAAGTATAGTTTTTGAAACATTTCACAAGACCAGAAAAGTTTGAGTGAGGCTTTAGTCCCCGAGATAATGAGGCCGAGATGTTCTTGCCGAGTGGAGTGAGATGTAGCCGACATGATAAAGTAAATTATAATGGTATTAAACTATAAACTATGGGGATGGACCTAAAAAGATTATACCTCCTTTCTCGTTGAAGGAAGAATTTTCATCTGACATATCTACTGAACCTTTAGCATTTTCAATTTCAATTTTTGATAATCCCATAGGATCTTTAGGAATCCAAACCGTCATAGGTTTAGATGAAGCGACTGGGGCACTATATGCGTGAGGGTCATCGGTTTGTTCCGGACTGATGTTATATGAAGCTGGTAATAATTTCTTAGCGTGTCTAAAATTATGGAAAACGTCAGGTCTGAAAAATTGGATGAATAAATTATTGGACTCTAATTTTTTATTATCTCTATCAGCTAATAAAGGAGTGATGGTGGAAACATTCTGTTGCATTTCAATATCGTCATCTAACATGTCTTGTTTGACTTTATCGTTTATTTGATTTTCTTCGTTGATAGCTTGATTTAATTGTTCTTCACTATCATATTTATGATGGGTATGTTGTTTCTTTCTATCCAAGACTTTAACTTTATAGTCAGTTTGTCCTTGGAATGAAGGTGTTTCACTAACCCCATCCAAAGGTCTCATAACATCGATAGGAATGACTTTGATCAATTTATCGAAGGACTGATTAAGATTCATGTGACAGAAAACAGTGAATCCTAAACCGATTGCTTGTAAGACAATTGGACCCCAACCTTTACCAACAACGAACATTCCTAATAAACAAACTTGGCCTAAATAGATACCTGTGAAGGTATGGAATAAAGCCCTTGGATAATGTAATCCTCTGACATCAGGTCCTTCATTATAAACATAGGATAAATTGTATGAAAATGCAATAAACACAAACATAAACGCAAAAGCTGAAAATACCAAAATCATAGGGGAAATAATCGAGTAAGCCAATGTAATAACAGCTAAATTAGTATAAACAGGGAATAAAGTACCCCAAACCATACCATCTAATGAGCTATATCTTAACCATTTCTTTCTAAGTGTACTGTCTAAGAAGAATCCTAAAATGTAATACAAAAATAATCCAACTACTTGGAACAAGGTTGATCCAGTGATCAATAAACCTTGTAAAATAATATATGATATGAAAAAATTCGATGCTTTTGGTAAATTTTGGGCCAACAAATTTAAAGAACTAGTTGGATCTTCAATGATTTGAGTTACAACCGAAGTTGCTGATGAAGCTAAAGTAATAACAATGAATGAATTGACTATCAAGAATGCAAAGTATGCATTTTGGGAAAATAATTCGACTTTTTGAACGCTTGAAGCTCCTGCCACTGATGCCATACCTCTTATAAAGATTGGTAACATTGCTAATAAAATAGACAACATGATAGTTGGTAACAAACCTGTAATTAATCCTAATAATACCTTAGGTAACTTATAAATGAACTTCAACCATGGTAATTTATTGGTAATGTAGGTAAGATTAGAAATAACCCCTACGAATGCAACTGGAATAGCCCATAAAATTACTACTGCTGCTATAGCACAACAAGCAATAGTGGATCTAACAGATTTTTCCCACCAAAACATTCTTAAATTATGCCAAATAACATCCCCTGGTTCCATTCCGGTACTTACAGGAGTCATTCTCAAAGGATTATGATGGATAGCAGTTTGATAAGCTATTTGAGCGGTGTATTGATTTTCAAATTCAACAAAAAGGGAATTTTTGGGTCTAGCTGATCTGTATTGTTTTTGTAAAGATCTAATTTCTTTATTGAGCTTGGGAATCAAATCTAAACAGTAATTAATAGTATCAACTTTCTTACCAAACATTCCATCAGGTTTAAATTTTGGACGCTTGGATTCTGGAACATAATCATTGATATCAGTACCTTCAATAGGGGTACCCTTTTTATCAGCTTTCAACTTATTCTTCACAGCCATTCTTAATAACTTGTTTTCAGCAGCCTCTAATTTAGAAAGTAATCCATCTCTAGTTCTAACCTTACCTCCTAACTTCCTAGCATTTCTTACAATATAAATTCTTTTAACCCCATTGAACATCTTGAAAAATTGCTTTTCATCTAATAAAGTATCAGGAACTGATTGAAACAAAACTACTCTGGAACTTAATTTTTGAGCATACTTTGGTGATGATAAAGCTGCTAATCTAAGAGAATTGTATAAGAATAATTCTCTATAAATGACAAAAATAACCAATCCATAAAATAACCACCCTATGAATACATGGGCATAATATCTGTCGGGGTTCTGAACATTAGATATCGATAACTTATCAAATCCTGTATTTCCTCTACCATTGGTAGCATTTATTGGTAACAACACCGTGTAAGTCAATAATCCCATGAAGAATAAGGCACTGATATTGAAAAGGTACCTTAAGAAAAAATATCCATCCAACCCTACGTATTCAATGATTTGACTATGAGATCTACCAAGTAAAATGAATATCCAAGAAATAGGATCTTTTGGTAATTCTGGTGGACGTTTACTCTCATCGACTATATCTAATGAGGCTCTTGGAGAATAAATTCTTTTAAATTTGATTCTTAAAAGGATGAAAGCTCCAACAAATCCTCCACATAAGGCTAAATTAGCTAATAATGTAGTGATAACAGCTTGAGTAGACGTTGGTCTAGTATCAGTTGCCATTTTCAATGTTTTTGCTATGGATCACAAATTTAGATTTTTTTTTTGCGATCTCGTCTTGTTATTGTTTTAAGATTCATGGAAATAGAGGTGCAGTTCGAGTCCGTGGTTGACTACAGACACTGTGAATGCTTCTCTGAGGGTTCAGAGAATGAAAGGGTTTATGGGAGTTATTGAAGGAAAGCTAATGGACGTGTGGTGTAATATAATAAGGTTATAGGTAGAATTAGGAAAGGCTGAAATCTTACAATAAACGTCCTTTGGTTGTGATGGTCAGATCTAACAGGGGTCGACTTGATAGATTCGGTGCAAACCTTGTACCACTTGGTGGCCCAAATTTCACCTTTCTTTGTCGTCAAATCGAATTCTGTAACAAAGCAAATAAGCGATGGCAATCGAGTGTCGTGGTTACAAGCAATGGTAAAGAAATTGGTATTTGCAGTTATTTGCTAAAATATTCTAAAATTAGTAATATTAAGAAAATTCTCTTTTTTCAATAGAAGGCTTAGTAGCTTATTCAATGCTCATGTAGACCAACAGACCTATTACACTAATTATGGTTGATCTTTCCTGTTAGATGTGAAGTATTGAGTAGATTTGCAGCCATTCATGTCGCATTAAGGTACCGAAATTGTCGCACAAATTATTATTCAAAACATACTATTTTTTCACTAAATATTCTATATTTCTATGTACACGATTTTATTCAATTCTTCGAGGAAATCAATGCCTCTAGTTGAATAGATGACAGAGGTACTAAACTAAGCTCCTTTGGAAGTTTTAAGTTTCTTGAAACGGAGTATTGTTAAGTAACCCTCTATGAAATGGAGACCAAACCAACAAATACTTTGTGGCAATGGGACTCTAAATTTGATCATATTGGGAATGGTATAGAACATGGCCTCTCCAAGATGAATTGCATACACGCCAGTCACAAAAGTCCTGAAGTTCCTTCCAACGAGTTCCAACAAGCTCCAAAATTTGACAGGGAAATAAGGAGAAATGAAAGAAGTTATGGGATCGTTCTTCAACAATTGTTTCAAAAGTGTGATATCGTAAAAACCCAACATGAAAATGGCCAAAATCGAAGTCATGACTATGGTTCCTTTGGATAATTCGGGATATTCAGTAAGTTGAACATGTGAATAACCTTGTTTGGAAGCAGCATACTTAGCCATTGATACCAATTTGGCCTTCAAGTCAGACATATCTTTAACAATGACATTTTCACCTTCTGGGATGTCTTTCCATTCAAAAGTTTTCGTTTGCTTTGTATTGGATTTTGTCAAATAAGTGATATCCATGGAAGTTTCATTAATGGCCGAAATTTGAGCTGAAGATTCAACCAATTCTGATAATTTGACATTACCATAAACTACCAAATAATCAATAATTGATATTTGATGGCCTTTGTTCATATGACTGATGATTCTCTTACTTGGATCCATTATTATTTCATGAAATCATTCAAACTTGAAAGAACCTTTGATTCTCTGATATAATTCGAGGAACAATTTTTCTCGAACACCACCTTAACCAAGGGAGAGGTTCTTAAGGTATTCGTGTTCAACCATTCAACCAACCAGATCAATTTACTCTCGTGTCAATCGGATTATTAGGACCTATCTTACTTTCTACATCATGGACTCCTACGTAATGCCAATAACTTGGCGTTTCATGTTTTATTTTCGAAAACATGCTTTTTTCCATTCATGGATTACATTTCTGGAATTAGGTCGTGTTAGATGGCATCGTGGCTGAGAGGTTAAAGCGTTGCACTCGAATTAAATTTTGAGTTATGCAATGGGTTCACCCGCGCAGGTTCGAATCCTGCCGATGTCGTAATTTTTTAATCAAGTCTCAATCTCATCTATTTGCAGTTGTTTTTTTTTTTGGAATGCCTAAAGTTAAATCTAGTAAAAGAGGAGGTAAAGCTCCTGAAGGATATGACAAGATAGAGCCAACCTTGACCAAACTACTCACCAGATTGAAAGATACGCAACTGTTAAGTGATGATAAAGTACAATTATGGAAGATAATACAATTAAATCATCAAATATCAAGATACATATATTCCATGTATTATGAAAGGAAACTAATAACCAAAGAACTTTATGAGTGGCTCCTCAAACAAAAATACTGTAACAAAGAATTGATAGCTAAATGGAAGAAACAAGGGTATGAGAAGTTGTGTTGTTTGAATTGTATAGTCAAACAGAACAATAATTTCAATACAGCTTGTATATGTAGAGTTTCCAAAGATGTATTAGAAGCCAAAGGAGATAACAAAGAAGTTGAGTGTGTTACTTGTGGATGTAAAGGATGTTCCAGTAAAGATTAATATTGATTATATTACACACTAAAAATACACTAATTTACAATTCATCAATTGTCGTTTATCATCAAATCTTCATTAAATATTCATTAAATGTTCATGGTTTTGAAAACCTTTCAAGAGATTTCTTGTTATTGGCAGGACTTTCAAAAGCTCTTAAAATCATATCGTCATCATCATAAGAATGTAAAGCTGAATTACTTGTTATTAAAGGAGAATAATAAAAATCATCCAAGTAATTAGGAGAATTCCAAAATTTCTTTGTTGAGTTATTAGGTGTCTTTAAAATTCTAATTGGAGTTTTGATATTATTCTTAGGAGTTCTTAAATGATTCAATGATTGGTTAGCAGAATTAGTTCTTTGATGGCCATGAGGTACATTATAATTATGAATATGGTTTGTCATAGTAGCTGACGCAATAGTATTTAAATTAATATTGGTCTTTTCAACTTTTTGTGACGAATAAAGATTTTGATAATTTATGGATAAATGATGATTAACAGCTCCTGATTTATAAATTTTTCCTGGAGTTAAAGGTTCTAATAATGGACCGGTTTCATTGGGTCTAATTGGACTTAATTCTAAATTGGAATTACAACTGAATGAAGAAGTAAAAGTCAAATTTTTACCAGCAACAAATGGCTTATTTGGAGATTCACTTATAATTAATTTTGGTGTACTATTTATCATATCAAAAGGTACGGATTTCATAGTTTCAAAATTACCTTGGGATTGTTTTGGAGTTGAATTAACAAATGGTGCACCTAAACCTTCTAATTTTTGACGTTTATTAGAATATTCTTCTTCATTACCTTCATTTGATTCATAATATTTTTGGTCAGATGGTTCTTGATCAGCATCAGTAATTTGACTATTCATTGATTCATCATTTCTACTCATTGATTCATCATAATAATTTGGTGATGAAGGAATTGAATTTATTGATCTTTTTCTAGAATTTTGATTAATTTGTTCCATAATTTCATGATAACTACCATTTTTACTATTTCTTGATTTCAAAAATTGATCTTCAAATCCTGTTTGAATACACCAAAAATGTCCTTTACCATCCTTAGATTTTTCTCCTTTGATGAAAGCTTTATTTAATGATAAATTATGACGAATTGAATTTTGCCAACCAACATCTTCACGTTTATAATATTTAAAAGTATCAGAAATCCATGAATAAATCGATGATAAAGTTAATCTTTTATCAGGATGAGATAAAATAGATAATCCAATTAATGTAGCATAACTATAAGGAGGTTTATCACTTGATTGAAAATCAAAAGCTTTCTTTTGTTTGGATTTCTTACGCTTCTTTTCAATTTCTGAAACTCCAATACCATAATTACTCTGATAGTTCACTTGGTTAGAAGCATGTTGTTGAAGACTAATATGATTTTGTTTTGGTGGTAAAGGAACTTGTGAATTTACTTGAGCTTGATTACCATCATAATAAGGATGATTATTTGAATTATTCATGAATGAAGAATTTTGTGGTGATGAAAACGCTGGTGATAAAAGTAAGTTTCTATTGATATCATAATGTTTTATAGGTGTTTCAATACTTAAACTAGTATCAATATTATCATTTTCATCCATTAAATTGTTTTGATAACCCATATTAGAATAGTTCTTGGTCATAAATGATGATTCAGGTGGTGTTGTTATCTTTGGATTAACATTTCTATGAAAAGGTGTATTAATTTCCAACTTTTGTTCTTGTAATGGAATTCTAAATCCATCAAGAGACATGATTATAATTTTAAATTTATCTTTGTGTTATATGTATTTGTATCACTTCTTTATCTATTTCTCCTTCAAATGTTCCTATTCTTTCTTTCTTTCAATATCTTAAAAATTTCTTCTACCCTAGATCTGTCTAGATTTTCTTTAAAAAAAATTAATCCCCTGATCCCTATATTTAAAAGTTTTTTGATGAGGATATCCCTCTATTTCAAACTTTCGCGTTTTCGTGTTTTCGCGTTTCTGATAATGATTCCAAATTCGGATCCTTTCATTGACACACCTTTTGTACACCGTGGAAGAATGATAGCAATCAAGAACGTTCCGTATTAGGAACATAGTGTTGACATTATTGTTGAAAAGGGTTAGGAGATGACGCTCTCAGGGAAGAGTCTCAGACTTTGTATTTTTCGAGATCACACTATGAATTCCATATTGAGAGGTTCACATTCAAAGAGCCATTCACTCTTCGTTCCCTCTACCATAATTTTTTTTAATCACTAATCTATCCATCACTATTTCCTTATCTAGCTGTTGTCAGTTACTTTCTCTATCAATAATGGCCATTATTTCAACTCCTAAATAATTAAATAAAAAATCGTGTCCAAGTGAAACTGATATTATTCCCACAATAGGAACTGCCGCCATTTTAATGAATAAAATTTTACTGATAAAAACCTATCCCCGAAAAAAATTTTCCCTTTTAGAACAATAATTTAGGGTCCTTTCTGTTTTGGATGTTCGATTCCGATAGATTGCATTTATTCCATTTTCGATCCTATTGTAAAGATAGATATGGGGATGTTTGGGAATTTAGGTTCATGCGGAAGATTACTCGTAGAAAGTAGAGATCAATGAAATGTTAAGAGATGACCTAGGGGTACGAAATGATAGGGAAAAAATAAGATCTTTGGCAAGGCGTTTACAATTAAGGTGAGGTGGTCAATTTGGGCAGGTATAAATTATAAGAGTACGTACATAGTACATGGCATGAACCCGAAGGAGTGTATAAGCCAGGGTTTGACTAATTGAGATTCTACTATTACCCCATATGAGGTTGAAGGCTCATTATTCAGAGAAGATCTGATTAGGCTAATTGAAAGAATTAGACAATCTTCTCGCTTATTGTGGAAATCATTCTCTTACCTTCTGGTGATCCTACATAAACTTTCCATTCACCAGCAGTTGACTTGTTATCTTTGCCTGCTTTATATCCCTGTCCTTGTATTCATAGACACTTCTCATTTGTGCTGTTCGTACTTGCTCATCCATTCTGCTCCATTCTCCTCGATTCTGTTCACCACCTTAATCTTCTATCCTCGCACTGAAAAATTTATCATGGCTGTTAATAATACAATTGAAGCATTATTACGTTTTGTTGTCAGAGGATTCTATCCTAAACCATGTATATTGGTTATGGAAGCGGTATTGATACATTCTGTGTTATCAGAAGATGATTTGATGTATCTTCTAGGTATTCAAAGAAAAGAACTCAGAATGTTCTGTAATAAGTTGGTTGAAGATAAATTATTATCAACTCATATTCAAAAAGAAGATAATCCTCAACAAAGGAATATGCAAAGAACATATTATTACATTCATATCACCATGGCCATCGATTCCATCAAATGGAAAGTCCATTCATTAGTAAACAAAATCAAATTAGAAATGTCACTGTATGGAAATCCTCAAGGTTACTTATGTAAAAGATGTGGTAAGAAATTTAGTCAATTAGATGCAATTTCTTTGATCAATGATGATAAATCACAGTTTTTATGTGATAATTGTGAATTTCCTTTGATAGAAGATGATTCAAGTCAACAAGCTTCTATAAGACAAGAATCCTTGGAAAAATTAATGATACAAATTGATCCTATTATTGCTTTCTTGAAGAAAATCGATGATTCAGTCATAGAAGACAATTCATTCGAGAGCTCATTAATGAATGCTATACCAGCTCAATCATCGGGTTCATCAAATTTCGCTTTACCTTCAAGATTATCCAAATCTAAGAATAGTACAAGCTCATTAACTAATAAAGCTCAAGCCACCTTACATGTTTCCATTACTGCTAATGATGAAAATGAAGATAGAGAAGAAAAAGAACGAGAAGAAAGAAGATTGAAGTTGGAACAAAATGCTTTACCATCGTGGCATTCTAAATCAACCGTTGGTAAAGAAATCGATTCATCATCTAATTCTAATTCTAATAATAATTCCGTCCAACCAACCCCAGAACCTACAGATGCTGAAATTGTCAAGAATGAACCATCAGAAAATTCAACTCCTGAAGCTCAAGAACCAACAGCCGAAGGTAAATCAGATTTGAAAGATAAAGTGGCTCAAGATGCTTTAGCAGCATATTATGCTAATTTGGCTGAAGCTCAAGCTAACGAAAATGAAGATGATGATGACGATGATGATGACGATGATCTTGATGATTTTGATGATTTCGAAGATTTATAAAATCCTTATTTTTGCATATTCCCTTGACTTAAACATCTAAAACCTTTTGGTGTTTCATCTCCAGATTTCGCATAACCTCGCAATGAGTCAAGGTGAAAAATTTAAAAATGAGTACTGATAAAAAAGTATGTAACTATCATAGACAAAACAATTACTCTTATACTAACATCTTAAGAAAGTCGATCCTTTAAAATCTTTCGTCGCTGGAGGTACTGCTGGTGCCATTGAAGGTATCATAACATATCCTTTTGAATTTGCTAAAACAAGACTTCAATTGATTGATAAATCTTCCAAATCATCAAGAAATCCTTTAACTTTAATATATAATGTCGGGAAAACTCAAGGTGTAGGAGCTTTATATGTTGGATGTCCAGCATTTGTTGTAGGTAATACTGTTAAAGCATCAGTTAGATTCCTTGGTTTTGATTATATTAAATCTTTATTAGCTGATAAGAATGGTAAATTATCAGGTCCAAGAGGTGTAATAGCTGGTTTAGGTGCTGGTTTATTAGAAAGTGTAATTGCAGTTACTCCTTTCGAAGCCATTAAAACTGCTTTAATCGATGATAAACAATCCAAAGCACCAAAATATCAAAATGGTTTGATTTCTGGTAGTTTCAAATTATGTAAAGATATGGGATTCAAAGGTATTTACGCTGGTTTAGTACCCGTTTCTTTAAGACAAGCATCTAATCAAGCAGTCAGATTAGGTTCATATAATGCTATCAAAACCATGATCCAACAAACTACTAATACTCCTGCAAATCAACCATTAAGTTCAATTGCAACTTTTGCTGTAGGATCATTTGCTGGGATTATCACTGTATATACTACCATGCCTATTGATACTGTTAAAACTAGAATGCAAGCTTTAGGTGCCGACAAATTATATTCTTCAACCTTGAACTGTTTCGTTAAAATTTTCAAAGAAGAAGGATTATCAACATTCTGGAAAGGTGCTACACCAAGATTAGGAAGATTAGTATTAAGTGGAGGTATCGTTTTCACGATTTATGAAAAGATGTTGGTCGTTTTAGGTTGAGAGTGGATTAAATAGGAAAGTCTATAGACAATATATCATAACTTTTTTTTGCATTAAAACCTTTTTCACCTATTTATCCTATACACTTTGTTCATTTTCCGGTTGTTCCCAGTTGTTGGATTCTTCTGTTATACTGTTAGTCACTGGGGTAGTATTGGGAGGGTTTAAAATTTCATTTTCCATTTTCTTGACTCTATAATAGTCCATTAAAGCTTTTAAGATCATGAATAACCCAAATGCTATTAACCCATAAGCGAAATATGGGATTTGATTAGTTTTATCTTCCGCATTTGGATGATATAAATTAGAACTGAAATCATCAATACCTCCATCGCCAATATTGGTGGATTTATCAATATCGAAATTATCAGGATTCTTAGGTTCATATTTTTCAGGTAATTTATCAGCACTTCCAAAATTAGAAGGAACTAAATTCCAACCAAAAAATATAAATGTAATCCCTAAACCAGCACGAGATCCATGTTTGGCAGCATGAGAAGTATGTAACAAATAACATAATAAGAATCCTACGAATTGAAATGCTACGGTAACCAATGCATTCCAAACAAAATTGGCAATATTACCAACAGGTAAACCTTCCACGAAGACTTCATCATCATAAATTGGTGCAATTACCGAAGATTCCCAATATTCTGGTGTGGCATCTGCAGCTGCTTCTTCATATGTAGGAGGATTAGTTTCATTCTTAACGTTATTAGAATTGACATCAGGTTTGGCCATTAAATTTCTGAAGACCCCATCAGTACCTTGACCTATAAATCTACCTGGAACATTGGCTTGCATTCTACCTGTGACTAAACCATTACTGATTCTTTCATAAGTTTGTTTGATAGGTATTAAATGATTCAAAACGTTCATTACTCTTTGGGTTTTCGTTAATCTGGGCATAGTAATTTGACTTTCAAGTTCTGAAGGTTCTCTATTCAATGCACTACTACTTCCTTCAGCTGGATTTTGTGTGTATTCTTCTGGTTGAGTTGATTCATCGTCAATGGATATGTTGGAATCGTCGTCTGTTATAACTACATCTGCATTATTCAATAAACCGCCTGTTTCCAGCGTTATATCGTTTAATTCGACACCTTCCTCGCCAATCTATTTTTGTTAGTAATTTGGAAAAAAATCATTGCAAGCGATCCCACAAAATCATTCACAAACGAATCATTCCGTGTATATCAACCTTTCCGATCGAGCCATAATATAATGAACATACCCTACTATACTTATGTGACATCTCTACCTTCAATGGCAAAACAGGCGTAGTGATTATTCTCCTTACAAATGCGTGAGAAAAAAAATATCCGCCGTCGTGTGGATTACCAAATAATTGCAGCCAAAAGATAGAGTGTTAGGAGAACATTATATTAAACCAGTAGTGGAAGTTCAAACTATTTAGATTTCTTGGATTCTTTAGCTTTCAAAGCTTTTCTCATGTTATACCAAACTTTCAATTGTTTGAAATGGAAGGCAATTCCGTGTTGAATTACAAATAATGGTAATAAAAGGGATACGAGGTAAACACTATAAGCTTTAGCACCTTTATAGATATTAAAACCCGGATCTTTATTGGTAATCTTTTTAACAATTCCTTCAGCATAAACGTCAGGATCTTCTGTTGTACGTCTATTTCTCGACATGTTGGCTGAAGAATTCAAACTTTCAAATATTCCATCAACATTATAATAATCAGAATCAAGAGTGGTGGCCCGATTATTATCACAAATAGCAGTATCAACACCTCCAGTAATAACTGAATGAACTTTAACTCCTAAAGGTTGTAATTCTGCACGTAAGGTTTTAGCATACATATTAATTGCAGCTTTAGTAGCATTATAAGCCGAAACCCAAGCCAATGGGATAAGACCTGCTATCGAACTTGTAAATACAATTGTCCCCTTAGCATTAATAACCAAAGGTGCTAAGTGTTTAGTCATATTGATATGTCCAATCACATTGACTTGGAAAAGTTTATCCAATTGACCTTCATCAATTTCAATTGCTGGTCCCCCTATAGAGATCCCTGCATTGTTATATAAGATATCTAATTTACCACCGGTAGTAGTTTTGATCAATTCAGCACTATGCTTGATATCTTCTAAGTTAGTTATATCACATTCAAATGTAATAGCACCATATTCTTCGGCTAAAGGTTTCATTAAAAATGATACTGATTTAGGGGAACATGCAAATACTTTATACCCCTTTTTCGATAAAGCTTTAACTAAAGCATAACCAATCCCACTAGATGCTCCAGTAACTAGAGCATATTTCTGATTGTCAACTCTAGGAGTAATCAACATATTTCACTTAATTGTAATGGATAATTCAGATTATTATCTGTTCATATGCCCGAATTTTGTTGGTTACGCGGAGAGGCTGCAAAAAAAAGTTTTGGGATTACCCCGTGAAATCGAACTTTATATTTAACTAACTTGATCCCGACTACTTGAGGAGATTTATTTCAATTTTCTGCTATCATTAGCAAGGACTTTTTTACGAGTTGCAGATAAAACTTTGTTTTGTTTGAAATGGAATCCAAGGAAGAATTGAATTATTGATAACGGTATAAGTAAGGTAACAAGATATATGGTATAAGATTTACCTCCTTTATAAAGATTAAATTTGCTATTCTTCTTTGTAACCATATTGGCAATACCTTCGGCATATACATCAGGTTGTTCAGTTTGCAGAGGATCTTTTGTCATATTCTTACAAGCTTTAATGGTGTCTTCCATACCCTCAGAAGAGAACCATTTGGATTCATAATGTGATGGAGCATCATCAGTAATATGAGTATCTACACCCCCAGTAATAACTGAATGAACAGAAACTCCAAAAGGTTTCATTTCATAGTGCAAATTTTTAGCATACATATTAATAGCGGCTTTGGTTGCATTATAAGCCGCAGACCATGGTAATGGAATTATCGAAGCTACTGAACTGGTGAAAACAATAGTACCTTTATAAGGAATAACATAATCGATAAAATGTTTGGTAACATTGATATGTCCTAAAACATTGACTTGGAATATCTTATCTAATAGACGTTCATCAATATCTGCTGATGGTCCTCCAGTTGCCATACCTGCATTATTATATAAAATATCAACTCTACCACCGTTGGTTTGTTGGACTAATTTCTTGGCTTTGATTATATCTTCCAAACTGGTTATATCACAATCGAAAATAATAGCTCCATACTTATCTTTTAAAGGTTTCAAAGCAGGTAATTCTGATTTAGGTGCTGATGCAAAAACTTTATATCCTCTCTTAGAAAATGATTCAGTCAAAGCATATCCAATACCTGAAGAAGCTCCAGTAACAAAAGCGTATTTTTGGTCAGACATTATTATAGTCGTAATAATTTATGGAAACATTGATCTTATCAGTTGTTAAATAGTATTTCGGAGTTTAATCATGTGATTCTAAAATGTTCTCGGTATTCGGTATCGAACTGCGGAGTTTCTAAAGATATGATTTTTATATTATGATTTTTATATAATGATTTTTATATTAATACATCTAATTTACATGTGATACTTAATTCTAACTAAAAACCTACCATTATATTGATCATGATTGAAGATAACTCTATCAGTTTTTGGTCTTGGAGGTTTGAATTCATTATTAGCAACTTGAGTTCTATGAACAATCACTTCATTATATGAGTAGATATCTGGAACACCCAAATCCACCCCTCCTGGCAATACGGAAGAAGGTTGGGGGGTTCTGAATGTCTTGGGGAAATCACTCAAATCCGGTAAAACGGGTCCTCCCCTTGCTACATGTAATTGACCTCTTCTAGAAGTTCCTCTAGATGATAATGACAATGAAGGTTCATCGTTATTAACATGTCTTCTTTTACGTCTACTATCTCTTTCCATTTCTTTATCTAACTTATCAATTTCTACTTGGGTTAACTTAGTCAACGTTGGTGAATAATCATTAACACTTGTAGGATTTCTTAAAATAGAAAAATAATCATCGACCAAAGATCCATATTGAGATTTATCTTGAGACATTAATCTTAATGGTGGTAACAAATGTGATCTAATTTCATCTTCATTAACTGCCAGTCCATCAAAAGCATATCCTACCAAGAATAATGCTTTATGGAATATTTGGGTTTGCTCTCTAATAGTATGAGCAATCGCAGTAGCGAATTCTCCTGGTAAACTCATTTCATCACAAAGTATTTGTGAGAATTCTTCAGGGTCGTTTTCTTCAAAATTCAAGATATCCCATTCAAATTGATCGGAAAATTGGGTATTATTTATAGTGATATTGATTCTAATAGGTATTCTGATTTCTCCCATAGTTTTCTCGGGTTTTTGATGGTAATCTTTAATTTGTTCTTTAACTGATATTAAAATGGTATTCAAATGTTGTTTGTGAATAAACTTATAGTCTTCCAAGAGTATCTCAACAAATTGTTCGATGGTTATATTCTTTTCATTCAAATCCCATAAAAATGTATCTCTTAATTTGAATTTATCACGTTCTTGTTCAAACTCCAATCTTATAGGTACGAGATGTCTCTTTGGGTTGTTTGATAAATCATCAAGAATAATTTTGTTCAATTCTCTTTCACTATATGCTGATTCTCCAACTTTGGAATATCTTTTTCTATTCATGGGTAAGATATTTTGTGAAGTTGTGTTGGAAATACCATTCCCATATCCTTGATATCCTTCACCCCAAATACTATTATTGAATTGGTTTTGACTTGATGTATGTATAGCTTTCATTCTCAATTGTTTGATTTCATTATAAGTTCTTAAATCTTTAATCAATTGTTCATTGAGATGTCTATTACTATCATGTTGTCTTGAAGATGATGACTTAAATTTGAATTCTTTGGCATTAATATCTTCATAAAGTTTCAATTCTGCGGTTATTTCATCTTCTTTACCTTCATCTTTTAATTTTTTCGACCATTCATCAGGTGTGGATAAAGTCTTTAAAGATATTTTCTGTTGAACATCAGTGGGAACTGGGGGATAATTGGTATATCCTTGATTAGTAGCAACTTTACTTGGTGGTTGAGAATTACTTGAATGAGGCATTGGTCTTCCAAGGGTTTGTCCAGGTATTTGAGGTCCACTTCCTGGTAAATTACCTGAAGGAAATTGTCCTGGTTGGCCACCCATTGCTGCACCCATTCCTGACACTGCTCCAGGAGCTCCTGGTACACCACCAAAAGTATTACCCATAGGTTGACCTGGAGGACCACTTGGTACTCTTTGAGATAATTGTCTGGCCCCAGCTGCTGCTAAAGCAGTAGAATTAGTATTTCTCATATTCATTTGTGCTTGTAAGTTCTGTTGAGACATCTGAGGTCTCGGTTGCCTACTCATCATTTGTTGTTTCTGAAGAGCTGCTGCTAATGCAGGATTGTTTCCTGCCATTGATTGATTATTCATATACATATTATTTTGATCATTACCCATTCGCTGTTGCATCATTTGTTGTTGAGCCAACTGTTGCTTTTGAATGAAACTAGTGACTATAGGTTCAAGATTAGGTTTTTGTCTTAATTGTTGAAGTTGTTGAGGAGTTAATTTAGCTAATTGATGCTCTATATCAATTTGTTGTTGTTGTTGAGGATTGGAAGGATTTCCAGAACCCATCCCTCCATATTGTGGAGGAATCCCATTACCATTTAGCCCTTGTTGGTTGAAATTCATCCTTTACCTAGTTTAACAATTGAAGTTTATCGTTAACTTTGTAGTAACTAAGATAGTTGTTTGTTAAAAGTCTCGAGCTGGATGAAAGTTCGCACCTCGCACAATTTGGTACGGGAACGCTTTTTGACAGAATCTCACTTCACCAATTACTTATACATTAACCTATTTAGATACCATAAAATCAAAGATCGAAGCCATGTTAACATAACGACGTCCACAATTATTTAAATATTTCTCAACTACTTCTTTAGAAGATTGGAAAGCTTCTCTATTTTGTTCAGCTAAAGCTTCCAATTTACCCAGAGGTAAATCTGGTGGTAAAGTAGAAGCTTTATCTAAAGAATCATATAATGGTCTTAATTTTAATTTTTTTGCTTTATCAACATCAAACAAAGCATCAAAATATAATAATTGATTATATAATGCTTTATCACTATATTTGTATCTCATTATACCTTTACATCCATAAGCTTTACCTGAACTACCAATACATCTTTTACCATAAACTGATATTTGTCTGGTAGTTATACCACATGCCAGATCATCACATGATAACCAACCAGCATAATATGTAGCAATATGGAGTCTGATGGCTTGTTCCAATTGACTGTTCAATTTAATAGTTGAGAATAATTGATTACAATGGTTACAAACGATTCCTTTGAATGAAACTTTATAATCATTAGATGCTTGAATACCTCCATATCTAAAAGTTTTTCCACATTTACAATTAAGAATCAAATGACTTGCTTGTCTAAACCTTTCACTATCACTGATATTTGATTCTAAAGGCGTAAATGAATTAGACATTTCACTATTCTTAACTCTTAAGATATACTTCTTAGTATCAATAGATAAACTACCGGCAACTCTCATCATATCAACACCATCAATCCTTTCCAATAATCTTTCAACTGGAGCGAAGATTTGTTTTTCTAAATAATAATTGGCATCGGGTTTTAAAGTTGAACCTTTAGCAATCACTTCTTGAAATGCTCTTGATCTTTCAGCAGGTGTAGATGAAGAATCTTGATCATCTTTAGGTGAAGTAATTACAAATGTTATAACACTTCCGGCCTTAATGACTTTACCTTGTTCTCTCAATCTTAAAGCAGCTTGAACTTGTGGCATACTTTTACCATTAGGATAATTAGCAGGATCTTTAGATAATTTGTTATTTATCTTATACTTAGCTATTGGGATTTCATTACTTTTGATCTTATTGGCCATTGATTCTAAATATTCATAGATTTCAATCAATGATTGTTCAGTATCTGAATCTTTCAAAATTTTATTTAAAATGAAGGTAGAAATTTCTTTGGATAATTGACAATATTCTCTACGTCTCATATCTAAACCTTTAACTTCTAATTTCAATACTTCTTCGCCAGTTTTTGGATCAATAGATGAATCCATAGCTGCATATTTCTTCTTAGCATGTAATAAGATTCTTTTAAAAGCATTATCAATGTCAAGTTCTAATAATTTATATCTTTCATTAACTTGAACTTTAAATTCATTACCAATTTTGATGGCTTCTTTCAAATCAGTGACACCAGTATCAATCATAACTGAATCGGTATCACCATAAACAACTCTCAAACCAACAGATTCAGCTACTTGTCTAGTATCCATTAAAATTTCTCTACCTTTATTGGTAACTAACATAGCTAAAGGTTTAGCATAAAATCTTGAATTAACATAACCTAAACAACCATACATAGAGTTAGCTGTTAATTTCAACGCTTGTTGCTTGATATCGTATTGAGCCTTTTCAACTGGTGTACTTTTAGGATCTTTTAATAACTTTTTGACTTCACGACGTCTTGTAACTAAAGTATTCAATAATTTGGGTAAAACCCCGGCATTAGATTCTTTTTCAGGTAATGAAGGTAAATCTTTTTCTTCATCTTGAGTTAAGTTATAAGCATCTCTATCAACAGTAGTGAAACAAATATTAAATTCTTGAATAATACTTGGATATAAAGAGTTGAAATCCATAACTAAAACATAATTCTTATGAAGACCCTTTTCTGGTTCGAAAACTAAACCCCCTTGATATTTAGGTTTTTTATTAGAAGTTGCATTAGTTTGATCATCATCAGCATTTTCTAATTTAGCTTGTTGAACGAAATTAGTACTTTTATGGAACTTATCTTCTTTATCGGGACAGATATAGTTATTTCTATGGAATTCATGTAATAAAATGAATTCATTTCTACCAGCTCTAGTACCAAATAAAGTATGACTCCAAGCATTACCAGCTAAATTGGTCAATTGTTTAGACAATGATAAAATTTGAATAGCAAAGGCGATTTCAGCTGAAATCTTACAATTATTAGCATTGTCCTTCAACGCCATCAAAAGAATATTAGCATCTTCATTGAATTGAGGATTATTATAATTTACTTCCAAGAATGGATGAGTTTTATGACAAACAATATCATACATTTCCACTAAATCCCAAGATTGACATTTTGGGGTTAATGATTGACCCAATTCATTGGCAATATCACATAATAATCTTCCATGGAAGATTTCTCTGATTTGTAAATTATTATTGAATCCACTTGATGTTTTACCAAATCTATCGGGCCAAACTTTTCTATTACGACGCCCTAAATTGGACCAAGTAGTAACTTTCAAGTCATACATTCTATGAACCAAGACATCCAAAGAAATGTTCTCCAATCTATGACCAATGAACACATCAGGATCTTGACTTTTGATCATAGCTGCAAAACAATTCAATAATGCTTTTTCGTTAGGGAATGTTCTTAAATTCAAATCTTGTTTCTTTGCCAAAGCAGCCAATCCCGGAGGTAACGATGGTGTATCTACAGGTCTTACAAGAGTAACTGTTTCACTAGCTTGAGTCTTTTCATCAATAGGAGCATCTTGTGGTAAATTTCTAAAAGTAGAAAGGGTTACTGATACAACTTCTTGTTTATTTTGTTTCAAATTCATAACTGTTTGTACAGCTATTGATGTGATGGTTAAATTTGGTGGTGGTGTTTTATCTTGAACTGGTTTGATGAAATTTGGTGAGTTGACGGCGACTTCAACTTGACAATGACAACTATTTTGGAATGAGTTGAAATCAGGATTAGAGATTTCTAACCAACATGGACCCATGATGTTTCTTTGTACCACAAAGGCTTCAAAGATGTTAGTATTGGTACCAAAAACATGACTAAAAGTTTCTCCTGTTAATTCTGCTGGTAAAGTTGTACGTCTATTCTTGTTCGTTTTGAAAGGCAATAAAACTTTTAAATATTCTGATTCTTTAGGTACACCTGATAATTCAAAAGCATATTTCATGGTCTCAGGTTTAGCTCTGACATTATCTAATTTGTAATGGTCCATTAATAAAGGAACAATCTCTTTATGAACATCCATTGGTGTGATAGGATCAGAAGCATCTTCTTCACCTTCAACTGTTCTGAATTTCCTTGGAAGAAAGAATAATTCTCTAGCCATACCATTGATTTGTAAAGCTCCTGAAACAACTTTTCCTTCCTTTGTTGGTACCTTACCAAAAAGAATTAATGAACCATCAACTTCACAATAATCAAACCAGAAAAATTTGAAAGAACTGTCACCAGTACAAATTTCTTCCTTTTCTAATTTTTCAGTATAATTCATAGTTTTATTTGGTGATGATAATACAGCATTTCTAACTGGAGAAGAACTTTGTGGAGTCTGAGCTTTCATTGAGGAAATAGTGGCATTGTGAGCTCTATTAACAGCTGAAGCTCTTGGACGTTTACTTACAATGATATCATCTTCTTCTGAATCATCATCAATCTCGATTCTATCAGTTGATGGTTGAGCTGGCTCCGAGGTTGGGGGTTCTGATGGAATATCAATTTGTTCCTTTTTAATTGGAGATGATGGTTGGTCATCCAAATCCATGGAGTCATTAGTATTATCAAATTCTACGGTCTCTTTAGGTTCTTGTTTCACATATCTGGAAGCAAATGGATTCTTAGAAGTTGTAGTTGAAGTTACACTTTTCATAGGTTTACTAAATGCACCTAATCTAGATGACGAATTTCCTTGGAAGTCGTTAAGAATGTCATCCACATCAGCATCAACTGTTTTAACTTGAGAATTACTATTGGCTGATATATCAAAACCTTTAGGTTTGAAGAAATTATTGATTTTTGATGTCTTACTAACTTTGACAGGTTTTCTTTCCTTCTTTCTTCTCTTTTTCCCGTCCACCATTTCATCTTCTTCATCACTATAATAATTAGGTCTTGTTCTGTCATCCCAATCGTCAACCCCGTTATCGACATATCCTTCTCCGTCATCATCCACAATGAAATCATCATTAATCATTTGGTTTCTTTTATGTTGTCTATAAGTATCTTCATCGACTTCATCATAGATCCCTTCACCGTCACTTTCAGAAAGTGCTAAGTTCTGTCCACTAGCTCTGGCTTGCTTAAGTTGCTTCAACTTCTCAGCCCTTGAAACCTTAGACAGCATTGACTATTGAAAGATAAAGAATGAAATAGCTTTTAACGCGATATTTTTTTTTTTACGCGTAGAGTTTCGTGTCAGAGAATATTCATTTGTGAGGATTTACTTGGGTGTACCGGTTTGAGCAGAATTTTGGTTGATATAGTTAAGGAGAAATTCTATGGACGTTGAAGGGATAAGACCATTGTTAATTCTTCCAATGACAATGTCACCAAATTTTGTTAAGATTTGTTGGTCACTTAAAGCGTCTTCAACGACCTTTTTCAAAATACCAGTATCTTCTAAAATATGAACCCAATCACAAATTGGCACAGCTCCTGATTGGAGGACATTGATTAATAATTGTGCTGAAGGCTCAGTCAATTCGGGATCGGTGATCAAGTGCTGGAGTATAGAAGCTACCAACCCTGATCTTTTCAACGATTGTGCCAACTGATCATAAAGCACATTATCTCTAGTGGCCAAGTTGATGGGGGTAGCGTCACGATTAGATATTTTCATAAACTCTGACTCCAAATCCCTGGTTTTCGTATTATTTGTAATGGCACCAAACATTCCTGGTGGAGGTGGGTTAACTTGTAAATAAATTCCCACGAGGTTCTTCTTCAATAACAGTAATGTTAATCTCAACACCCCTTGGATCAGTTTTGGGTTATCCAAGGAACCCAAAAGAATCTGATTGATAATTCCTGACTGTTGTATTGCGTTGAATAAATCAGCATGGTTGATAATATCCATCTTAAGTATAAATATGACAGCATCAGAAGTCAACTCTAAAAGTGTAGGACTCAACAAAACACTGTCAATAAGGATATTTGCAAGTCCTGAAGTTTTAATCAAGCCGAGAAAACTATCTAAGAAAGCATTAGAAGTATAGTTTGATCTCCGGATTAAACTGTCAGAATTTGTATTCTCTGAGATGAACAGTTGCAAGTTATCAGTCAATTCCGTTAATTGGTGACCATTTCCAGAAGGGTGCAACTCTGTTGGGATAGCTGTTACCATGGTAATTATAACCAAGATAAACGTAATTTTCATTTTTGGGTTTTATAAAATTAATCTGATGGTTGCAAAAAAATGTGAATTTTGCAAATATGGAAGTTTATAAATGGAACAAAAATAAGTTGCAACGTTGCCGGTATTCTAGAATCACCAATGTTCCAGAATTAACAGGTCTAGTTCTATAGACATTCAATGCTTAAAAAATCTATCTTTATGGCTATGAAACGAACGATTATCTCTGATTCCCAAAAAGGAAACGATAAGAAATACATAATTTCCCTCTCAGGTAAAGAAAAGGCTAGTTTCGAAGAAGAGTGTTAACTCTTCAACACTACAATGACTACAAAAGGAAATCGGTTCTAGGAGCCAAATTTCCAAACCTCTACCTCCTGTTACTTCATGTAATGTTTGGGGGAGTTAATTGTCAGATTAGGAAATTTGATAAACTTCGCGCTGCTGGTTAAGTTAAACGAAATATGTCATTTGCAAATATAGACCTTGAAGCACAGAAGTCCATTAAGAATGGAAAGATAACAGATGGCCCACAAACAGACAGTCAGAATGAATTAGATAAAATCATTAATAATACTTCTGAACAATTGAGAAAGTTTGGGAACTTGATCACACAATTCGATAACCAACTTAAAACTATCGGTACCAAAAGAGACAGTTCCAAGACCAGAGAAAACTTGGACTCATTAACTAATAATCTTAATAATCTTGAAGATGGAATAAAGTTGTTGGTTGAAAATTTAGATAATTTGATAAATAAAAATCTGGATGAAAAAGGTAAGAATAAGATTGAAATCACCAATAGACAAGTTATAATCAAGGAAAGATTATTGAACGAGTATAATGACTTACACAGAGCCTTTAATAAATCACATAAACAATATTCAGACAGGAAAAGAGCCCATCCCATAAAATCAACGGAGAAAACTCCGTTACTTGAGAGTTCGAGCGGTGGGTATGATTCCCAACAAGTTCAACAACAAACTCAAGTACAAGTACAGGATCAAGATATAATAAATGAAACAGAACTTCAGTATCATAGAATGTTAACGGAAGAACGCAATAGAGAAATAGAGCAAGCTCATGAAGGTATAATGGAAGTGAATTCAATATTCAAGGATTTAGGAGAATTGATTCATCAACAGGGTGAACAATTGGATTTGGTGGAGAACAATGTAGGACAATTGCAATCTAATGCTCAACAGGCTGCAAGTGAGTTGAATAAAGCTCATGAATATCAAAAAAGAAAAGGTAAGTGGAGTTGTATCCTTTTGGTGGCATTATGTGTTTTTGTGTTAGTGGTAGTGTTGGCTGTAATTAGTTAGAGGTACAAAATCCAAAATGTGTTATTTATTTACTTAAATCCAATTGAATTGAATATGAAACTGAATAAATTTGACATGAAACCCCCACCAAACTCAATGAGATTGAAACCCTATCATTGAGCTAATGCTTTTTAATGCTTGAACTAATCCACGGTATCAACATCCAAATCATGCCTCCATCCATGTCTATAGTTCAACTCATTTCCTGATTCATATTCACTATCAGTTGCTTCAGGAGTAGTGAAATCATAATCAGTAGAGTCAGTAGTTCCATTATATTCCATATCACTCTCTTCATCATTGAATTTCTTTTCGTCTCCATCGAATAATGTATCTATATCCGTAGCATACATAACAGACTCTTTATGTTGTTCTAATTTCTCTCTACAGAAATCTGCCCCTTGTTGGAATAAAGATTCTCCAAATTCAAGAATTTTCTCTTTATTTTGAATAACTGCTACTGACCCACCAACAAAGGCACCTGCAGTTATAGCTAATTTGATAGAAAGTGGAACTAAATGGGTTAGTAGTGGATTAAAATAGGTTATCCGATTTACATACTAACAAATGGCATGACACCGCGATAAGGGTTGTGAGTGGAATTTTATGATTCACTTGGTCCCCCCTTATTGCAGTCACACTCGAGGGATTTATTAAGAAATAGAACGTTACACTCAGAGATAAGAATCGGGATTCGGGTAATTTAACAGAAAAGCCCTGATTCAGTGAGTTGTTAATGATCGGACTTATCAGGTCGATAAGAAAAATATCACTCAAGCAACACTATTTACCACGATAGAACTTTATGAACAAATTCCCTCCACTTCTTGCGGAACTTAAACTACTTCAATCTCTAGCATCAAACCCAAACCATCATATTCTCAGTCAATCATCTCTTATCTCTTAACTATAGAGACCATTATCTGGGGTGAGAAATTTTCATCGCACAACAAACGGTATGAAAGTTGGACAATTACTTTGTGGGGGGTTTGAAGGTACAGGAGTTACTTCTCAAGCTTACCATTTGATTGTAGAGCATCATATTCTGACGTTCATTTTATCAAAGAAGAATGCCGTGTCGGTGAAACAAATGACCAAACTAATAAGGGATCTTCAATATATTGCATTCTCCGAAGGTAAATATAAGTATCCTTTAATGTTTGCCATTGATGAAGAAGGTGGAATGTTGAATTCATTATATGATTCAGATTACTTGACACAATTCCCCAGTGCCATGGCATTAGCTGCCGTCAATGATACAGAATTAGTTTATGAGGTACTGAAGGCTTTAGCTATTGAATTAAAGAAGATTGGATTCCTGATAATTTTTGGCCCTGTGTTGGATGTAGTGACCAAACTTTCACATCAATTGGTCGGTGTTCGTAGTTTCGGAACAACAGTAGAAGAAGTAGTCAAGAATGGTAGAGCTTGTGCTCGTGGGTTCAGAGATGGAGGATTGTTCCCTTTTGGTAAACATTTTCCTGGAATTGGGAATGCTTCAGTTGATTCATTGTTGGAATTACCCATGTTAGCTGATTCTTTGGATCAGATCAAGAATTTCAATGCAGTCCCGTTTGCTGAATTATCCCGAAGTAATGAACTTGATGGGATTTGTGCTGCTGGTTGTGGAGTACCCACCATTAGTCCCGATGAGATCCATGCTTGTTTATCTCCAGTAGTAATCAACCAATTATTGAGACAAGATCTCGGTTTTGATGGAGTGGTAATTAGTGAATGTTTGGAAATGGATGCTTTGCATCACTCAATTGGGTTAGGTCAGGGTGTAATTTTAGCCCTTTATGCAGGGTGTGATTTGATTTTAGTTTGTCATGAAACCAAGTTACAAGATGAAGCAGTAGAAGCCATGGAAAAAGCTTTGGGTAATGGTAATCTCGATGAAGATTTGGTTTTGAAATCGTTGTCAAGAATTGAAACCTTGCAAAAAAGATTACCTTCATGGAGTGAACTATTTCCTCATGGTGAAGAGAGTGCCAAAGAAGAATTGATCCTTTTCAGAGATGATGAACCTGATAAGTGGTTAGAACATAAAAAATTATCACAGTTGGCTTATAGGAAATCAATGACATTGGTCAGAGATTATCCTGATGCATTACCCATAACCAAATTCTTAACCACCAAAAATAAAAAGGTAGATACTAACAATATTCTTATATTATCACCATTATTGAATCCTATTTATAAGCTGAACAATGTGCCAAAGCTTTACACCGGGGAGGAAGTGTTTCAAAAGTTTGGTAATCTTCTATCTGATCATCCTATAAATAAAACTTTAAAACATCCTTATAAAGTGTTGCACACCACATATACAGCCAATGGTTTAACATCATTGCATGAATCATTGATCGAACAATCCAAAGTGGTAATTGTTCTAACATCTGAAGCTTCAAGGAATATGTATCAAATTGGGATAGTCAAATATGTGTCGATGTTATGTGGTGCAAGTCCATCATCCTTCAATAGTTCGACCTACACACAATTATCCAAGCCGTTAATTTTGGTGGCTACTTCATCACCTTATGACTTCTTTTACAATAAAAGTATAGGTAGTGCTTATTTATGTTGTTATGATTACACCGATAATGCCTTGAAAGAATTAGTGGGTGTTATAATGGGAGATCATAGTCCTGAAGGTTGTATACCTGGGGAGAAGAAATATGTCAATAGAGCCGGTAAAAAAAGGAGATTAACTGATTCCAATGACGGGAGTCCTCAAAAGAAGTCAGAAGCTCCTTTGAAAAGAAGGTGGTTGGTTGAAGGTTTTGATTTGAATAGAGATTGGGATAGTTTGGTGACATTGATCAAAAATAGTAACGAAGATGATTTAATGAGTGTAGCAAGTGATGATACTTTCAGTATTGATAAATATGGATCAATCAATTATCATAGTGACGATTACTATCAAAGATTGAAAATATTATTGAGTGATCCTTCCCAAAAGCATTTCGTTGTTAGGAATTCGTCCCTCAATATTTTGTATGGTATAATATTAACATGGTGTAATGAAACCAATCTACTAAACAACAATGGCCAATTAGTTAAGACAGGGTCAATAATGTACTTGTTGGTTGATAGAACCAAAAGGTTACAAAGCATTGGTAAGAATTTGCATAACACTGCTATAAGATATCTTACGAAAGATCAAAGATGTAATGTGTTGACTTTGGGATTATCAGTTCCTTTGATGGCGTTACCTAATGATTTCAGTCTTTTGACATCACTGAAATCTTCAACATTTATGGGTAATTTTTGGGACATTCAAATCAAGTCTAAGAAATTTATAATGAGACTAACCGGATTAGATAAATGGCTGGTGCCCAAGAAGATCTTTAGAGAATTGATGATTGTGGGGGTCAGATTCGATATTTGCCTGGATCCAGAAAAATTGATGGAATTAATTAATAAGAGAACCGGAACGGTTAATGAAGATAGCACCAGAAGTGATGCAAATGGCTCCGATTCTAAGGACACTATCATGAATAGTGATAATGAAGATGATAATGACAACGATTTGGGTAATAGTAAGAAATTCCCCGAGATGGACATAGATGAAAAGATCAGAATTAAATCACTTTATGGAGAGGCTATCAAACATTTGAATTCTGCTGGAGTTAAGATTATTATCGCTTTAGAACCTACGACTCAAAAAATTATTGGAAGTATTATCTTATTTACCAATGATTCAAAATTGAGTAAATTCTATCCATTCATGAGTGAAGCAAATAATCAAGTGAATAACCTATCCCCAGGAGAAGACGCAAAAATTGGTGCTATTGTAGGACCTGTAATCGATAAGTCCTACTCCAATTTGACCGAAATCTTCAAGTACGGGTTGATTTGTAGTGGTATAACATTGTTAAAGAATTCCAATGAAATTATCAATGAAGTGTTGATGATTGGTGTTGATGAAGGTACTAGTATTAAGGAAATCGGGTTCCAAGATTGGAAATTCTATTATGATCATTATGCAAAAAATGAATTGAGTGACAGTTGAATGATAAGTGTATAGTATGTAATATAGAGTTTCTTATTGTAATTTTTGCTATTGCTATTTCAGCCTTTCGTCTCACATGAACATATATTTTCAAACACTCCGCGATGCACCGGGTTACCCCAGATTTCGAAAATTTAAGGCAAAATAGAAATATAAACAAACCGTTTTGAAGTAAATAAGTACACGAACTATTCCATGACTAAATATAGGGTATACCAGCGAAATTGTCTCCGTTTATATGAATCATACAACAAGTGAATGACTGGCCTGGATGAATGGAAGTTGTTTTCAGAGTGGTCATTCCCTTCAGCCGAAACGTCGCGTGCGCTAACCATCAAGTCAGACATATCTTCTGATTCATGGAGAAAGTCAACTTCCCGGGGAAATACAGCCTGATTCAAAGAAACACGAACGTAAACACTTATTAAAGCCTATTCCCAATCTCTATAGGGAGTCCCCGGATTTTATCCATCCTGGAAACTTGATGGTTTAATCGGTGTACGTTGGTCTAAATTCGTAATGATAATCCCCCGTAATGTCTTACAGTTAATCTCTCAAAGGCTGGATCTCTCTGATTCCCCGTCTTTCATTGAACACTCTAGGCACCTTCTAGGCACCTTCTAGACATCTATGCCAACACTTGTAATTGCTAGTAGTACCTATTAACTCCTATCACACATAGAATTTACGTCACATCGGTGCCGATAGTTGTAAGTACTACATTATAGGAGCTTAGGAGAAGTTAGGAATGATTTCTTCCGAGATTGTCCCTCTATAGTAAAAATTAAAGTCGCAATGAAAAATGTTCGGGATCCGACACTGCTGCCAAAATGTCACAAGCAGTTTCTGCCCCAGGATTCAATTTGCTCCATATTCCCGGGAAATCATCAAATAATTTTTAAATTCCCAAAAACTATATAAGTAATGAAATTCCCAGGCAATAATTGTAAGAAATTAACAGTTTAATTAAAACTATTTCAATAATCATAAAATAAAAATGGCTCCTCCTGTTGCTTCAAGTATAAATTTCAATGATCATCCAACGATCAAAACAACTGAAGATCCATTGATCAGTAAATTATCTTTAAGAGAAGATATAACTATTCGTCACAATGCTCCACCACCAACTTTATATGAAGATGGTTTATTAGAAAAAGGTACCACTATTTCATCTACTGGGGCTTTAATGGCTTACTCAGGTAAAAAAACTGGTAGATCACCAAAAGATAAAAGAATTGTTGACGAAGAAACCTCATCTAATCACATTTGGTGGGGACCTGTTAATAAACAAGTTGATGAATTAACTTGGAAAATCTCCAGATCTAGAGCTTTAGATTACTTAAGAACTAGAGAAAAATTATTCGTCGTTGATGCTTTCGCTGGTTGGGATCCAAGATACAGAATTAAAGTCAGAATTATTTGTGCTAGAGCTTACCATGCTTTATTCATGACTAATATGTTAATCAGACCAACTGAAGAAGAATTAAAGAATTTCGGTGAACCAGATTTCACTGTTTATAACGCTGGTCAATTCCCAGCTAATGTTCACACTAAAGGTATGACTTCATCCACCTCAGTTGAAATTAATTTCAAAGATATGGAAATGGTTATCTTAGGTACTGAATATGCTGGTGAAATGAAGAAAGGTATTTTCACTGTTATGTTTTACCTTATGCCAATTAAACATCAAGTTTTAACTTTACATTCATCTGCTAATCAAGGTAATGAAAAAGGTGATGTTACCTTATTCTTTGGTTTATCAGGTACTGGTAAAACCACTTTATCAGCCGACCCAAATAGAAAATTAATTGGTGATGATGAACATTGTTGGTCAGACAATGGTGTTTTCAACATTGAAGGTGGTTGTTACGCTAAATGTTTGGATTTATCAGCTGAAAAAGAACCAGAAATTTTCAATTCAATCAAATTCGGTTCAATTTTAGAAAATGTTGTTTATGATCCACTCACCAAATTAGTTGATTACAACGATTCATCAATTACTGAAAACACTAGATGTGCTTACCCAATTGATTTCATTCCTTCAGCTAAAATTCCATGTTTGGCTGATACTCACCCAACTAACATTATCTTATTAACTTGTGATGCTAGTGGTGTTTTACCTCCAGTTTCCAAATTAACTAACGAACAAGTTATGTATCATTTCATCAGTGGTTACACTTCTAAAATGGCTGGTACTGAAGAAGGTGTTACTGAACCTCAAGCTACTTTCTCTGCTTGTTTCGGTCAACCATTCTTGGTTTTACATCCAATGAAATATGCTCAACAATTATCTGACAAAATCAGTAAACATAATGCCAATGCTTGGTTATTAAACACTGGTTGGGTTGGTGCTAGTGCTGCCAGAGGTGGTAAGAGATGTTCATTAAAATACACCAGAGCCATCTTAGATGCTATCCATTCAGGTGAATTAAACAAAGTTGAATATGAACAATTCCCAACATTCAACTTAAACGTTCCAAAATCATGTCCAAATGTTCCTTCAGAAATCTTAAATCCTACTAAAGCTTGGACTGAAGGTGAAGCCTCATTTGCTAAGGAAATAACTTCATTAGCTGGTAAATTCGTTGAAAATTTCAAAAAATATGCTGATCAAGCTACCACTGAAGTTAAAGCTGCTGGACCAACTGTTTAATTTCTATTTATTTGTTAATAATATATATTCATGAGTTTTATATTTGATCTCTTCACATTCTCAATTAGGAAGCTGTAGATGCGGAGTTGTGGGCGAGAAAAGTTTGTGCTCTCGATTACCTAAGCGAACTAAATGTCAAGATCCCTTTGCTCTATTTCAGTCACCGAAGGTTTTCTCCACTACCTGTGAAAATCTAAGGGAACCGATATAAAAATACAAGAGTTTAAGAGAAAATGATATACACATTTTTTTTAAATCACAGGATATGATTTATAATATTTATTTATTGATACCACTTTTATTGGTGGCATACAAGGTATTGAAGATAGTTCAATTACGAATTCGTAGTAATAGTAATGGTAATAAACCAATCGCTTCATTCATTAGTGATGGTAGATTTGGATTCAAGACTGTTAGAGAGATGGTACAAAGGAGGGAAGCTGGGACATTAATTGATTATTTCCACAAAAGATTTGAAGACAATCGTTCTAATACTTTAAGTGCTAGAATTGCTGGTATGATAACAATAAATACCAGGGATCCGGAAAATATCAAAGCCATCTTAGGAACTCAATTCAATGATTTTGATTTAGGTGTGAGACATAGTCAATTTTATGCTCTTTTGGGAGATGGTATTTTCACCTTAGATGGTGATGGTTGGAAACATAGTAGAGCTATGTTAAGACCACAATTTTCTAGAGAGCAAGTAGCTCATGTTAAATCTTTAGAACCTCATATAAAAATATTGATTGAAAGTATTAAGAATTATCAAGGTGAAATGTTTGATATTCAAGATTATTTCTTCAAATTTACCATTGATACTGCTACTGAGTTTTTATTTGGAGAAAGTTGTTCAAGTTTATCAGAAGGGATGTCAGAAAAAGGTGGGATTTCTATTGAAATGAAACAAAAATTCCCTAAAGCTTTTAATGATTCTCAAAGTACTCTTGCTGATAGAACAATGCTTCAAAGATTCTATTTCCTTAATAATCCTCAAAGTTTCAAAGATAATTGTAAAATTGTTCATGAATTTACAGATTTCTTTGTTAATAAAGCTTTAAATGCTCCTTCTAAAGAATTAGATGAGAAATCAGAATATGGTTATACTTTCTTGTATGAGTTAGTGAAACAAACAAGAGATCCTAAAGTTTTAAGAGATCAAGCATTAAATATTCTTTTAGCTGGTAGAGATACAACAGCGGGATTATTAAGTTTTACATTCTTTGAATTAGCACGTAATCCTGGAGTTTTCAAAAAATTGAAGGAAGAAGTATATTCCAGATTTGGATCAGGAAAAGATGTTAAAATTGATGAAATTACCTTTGAAAGTTTGAAAAGATGTGAATATTTGAAAGCTGTTATTAATGAAATTCTTAGATTATATCCATCAGTTCCAGTTAACTTCAGAGTTTCTAATAAAAACACTTCTTTACCAAGAGGTGGAGGCCCTGACGAACAAAGTTCAGTTTATATCGAAAAAGGAACAGTTGTTTCGTACTGTATTTCGAGTTGTCAAAGAAACAAAGCTATTTATGGACAAGACGCAGATATTTTCAGACCTGAAAGATGGTTTGAAGAATCTACTAAGAAATTGGGTTGGGCTTATTTACCATTTAATGGAGGTCCAAGAATTTGTTTAGGTCAACAATTTGCTTTAATTGAGGCCAGTTATGTTATTACCAGATTGGTACAAGAATTTGAACATTTATCAGGAATTGGAGAATTCCCACCAAAGAAACTGTCTCAATTAACTATGTGTTTAAAAGATGGTGCTTATGTCAGTATGTATTAAAATACAAAATATTTATTTATTTTACCTCCAACTCTCACGTGACCGTCTAAAGTAAAAAACCTGAGATCTCAAAAAAATCCAACAATCCATCTCAAAGTAAACATGGTTAATTGGAGTAATGATCTCTTAATTGATTGTTATGACTCCATATATTTTGATCAGAGAGTCGATGAATCTCTATTGAGATCAATCAAAGAAGAGTTGACATCGATGTTCAAATATCCAAAGAAAGACCCCAATACAAAAAACCAAATGATTGAAAATAAACTGCCAGTGGAATTTTCAAATGGTGATAAATTTAAATTAAATCAACAATTTATAGAGTCAAGCATCTTGTTATCCAATGAATTGGATTTGAATGAACTTCATACCGCAGAAATTTTATATCATGGTAATAAATCAAATATAGATGGAGTTGATTTTGTAGATACTGGGAAACAATATTACTTCAAAAGATTCGAATATGCATTGAATATTTTGGGATATTTAATAACCAATAAGAAATTGAATTTGATTGTAACGGATTATAATGAATTATTAACCAATTTAATTGAATCTTTCAATAACATTTATAGGATATTGAATAATCTTGAAGATTTAGTCAATAAGATGAATGTCACTAATAGTTGGAATGAAAGTTCACTTAATTCAATATTATACACAAAACAAGAATTATTTCAATTGCATGAATTATTAGGTCAAATATATTATAATTTGATTGAAAATTATTTCGATAAATTCAATTTAGCTTCATTTAATACCATGATAACTCATATAAAGTCCAATATAAGTGATGATGATTTATTGATAGTCCATTATTTACCAGGGATCTTGAATTTCGTTAATAAATTTGAAAAATTACCTGAATCAGATATAATATCATTACATAAACAGATCACTACTTCATTGAATGAAGATTTCAAATTAGTTTCCATAAATGATGATATCATAGATTTAACCAATTCTAAGTTGAAAAGTTTTGAAGTTTTAATTGACTTTATCATTTTAACCAATTTGGTTAATTGGTGTAAGAATACTAAGAATTATGAAAAATTTGATTTTGATAATGATTTCTTGAAATATTTCCAAATTTGTTTGAATTATGGAGTTTTTGAAAACTTATTGAGATTCACTAGTGAAACATCCAATGATGAAACCATCAAGTACTTCGAAATCAACAATTTGTGTGATTTTAAATTCAATTTACAGAAGAATTTCCCTAATTTGAAATTGATCAAATTTCATAGTGAAAAATTACAATTGAAAATTTCCAAAGTGTTCAAAGATGATTTGTTACCAATTTATTGGCATTATTTCTTCAAGAATTTCATTGATAATGTTGCTATAATATTAACTCAATTGAGAGATAATGAAGAAGATTTCTTATTATCATCAATCAATAAACAGAAAAAGAGTAAGGAAATCCAAGATAATAATGATAAATCTTTGATTGGGATCAATTCTATCGAAGTATCTGAAGATAACTTTGAAATTGATTTTGAAGAAATTTATTTAAGAAGTGATTTAGAAAGATTCTATTTATCGTTTGTTTACACATATAATTTCAGACCAGTAATTGGAGATTTAATTTGGGGTAATGATGAAATCAATAATGATTTGATTGGATTTATAATGTGGGGTGTTAATAATAATTCATCACCTTTAATAACAGCAACTTTTTGTTTACTTTTAAGTTCATTAACTACCAATGGTGATAATTCAAGTAACAAAATATTCGAAATCTTGATCAATAATAATTCTATTAAGAAAATTGATTATTCCAAGATATCCATTGATTCTATTTATGAATCATTGAATTATTATCTTGATTCGTTGAATGATAATCTCGAAACTGATTCAACCATGTCGAAATCTTTATTGAATGACCAATTGAAGAAATTTAATGAGATTTTGATTGAATTATCCAATGATTCCATGATCTTTATAAATGGGTTTTTGAATTTGATTACATCGATTATTTCAAATTTAAATGATAATTTCGAACGGTCAAAAGAGATCAAAATCAACCTTTTCAATAGATTTAAACCTATAATTATTGGGTTTTTGAAATTCGATAATCTTATCATCAACTCCAAATTGAAATCCAATTCAAATACTATCATTCTTATCAATGAAACCAATAGAATTCAGTTGATCAACTTAATCTTCAACTTCTTGAAATCATTCAATGAACCAACTTTAAATTTAGAAATTTGGAAAATTTTAGATAATTGGATGTTTCATAATTACATTGACGATGAAAAGATATCAACATCATCAAAGATTAAATTCACAAAGAACAACATCACTATAAAAAATGCATTTAAAATCAATTTAATTGATTTAACTAATATTTTAAATTTCACTGATTTGATCCAAAGTTTATTACTTAAAAAATCAGTGGACTTCACCAGAATTCAATATGAATTATTATATCCTAAAGATTTGGGTTTCAATTATCGATTAAATAATGAAATTGGTATTTGGCCCTATTTAGAATTCATCATTGTTGAAGTATTCCAAAACTCAAACAAGGTGGTCGATAATGATATTAAGCATCATTTACAAGGAACTTTGATTGAAATCTTCCAACATTCAATTGATCAAATTGATTGGGAATTCTTAATTGACACTTTACCAACCATAACTGAATTTGATAATAATTCCCTTATCAAAGAAGAAACTTTCAACACTTTCATTAAACTTCATCAATCTATAAGTATTCTCAATTACTTATACGACGAGAAATCATTAAAGGTAATTTTCCAAATCATTGAAGATGAAAAGCCAAATTTGAGTAATTCCCTTAATTTATTAGAAACCTTAATCAATTTACAAGAGATTTTCAGGAAACTTTTACCTATAGTTAAATCTTCATCACCATTGAATGTTTATTATCCCAAAAATTTCAATAGTCCTAATGTTTTTGAATTAATCAACTTCAACAACGAAATTATCACTAAATTGGGATTACTCATAAATCATAATGACGACGAAGTTGTTGAAAAATCCATGGATTTATTGAATACGATTAATAATGATAGCAATTTGAATGAAAATAAATTATTCACCATTTATATTAATTCACCCGATTCATTAAATTTGAAATATTCCATGATAAATCAATTCTTGAATGGGGACATTAAGATCAAATTCAAAATCTTGAACTTTATCATCAAAGATTTGGCTAAAAATGGTAAACAACCTTGTATAAGTCATTTTATTTTGGGTTATAAGATTCAAGGTAATTATTTGATACTTGAAGATAAGAATCTTTTAAAGAATTTATTAGATTTATTGATCTCAACTTTGGATTCTATTTCAACTATTGACTATAACAATGGTATCAATATCATTGATTATAATTCAGTTAAAGTATCATCATTAATATTGAATATTATCATCAAATTAAGTGAGAATCCAGTTTCTTCAACCATTTTATCATTCATCAGGAATAATGAAATCAATTTATTTGAAAAGTTAATGACTACCCAATCAAAGATCAATCTACAAACTATTTGGAATGAAGAAAACTTCAATGGGAACTTATTAACTACTAATTCATTCACTGATTCTAAAATATCAACTAAAACATTTTTCCAATTTTTCAACTATAGGATTTTAGTATTGAAATTCTTAACTATAGAATTCCATAATTTATCACAAAATAAAGCTATTTATTTGAAGAACCAATATTTGGATTTCTTATTGAATGAAAACAATTTCTTAAACAATAATTACAAGATATTGAATTTCCTTGATTTGTTAAATTTCAAATTTACTCATTTTGAAAGATTCAATTATCAAAAATTCCCCAAATTCAATATTAATTCTGTATTGAACGAAATCATATCCGATGGTGAAAGATCTGATGACTTTTTCAATAATACTATTATAGTCAAATTAAATAATTTCGGTATTGAAACCAATGAATTATCCAAATTCATGGAAGATTTTATCAATTTTGAAAATTTAAAGAAATTCCAATTGAGCTATTTACATAATTGGGTTCAATTGATTGAAGTTATCATTAATGATGGTAATTTATCACCAAAAAATTATCAAAACTTCATCCTAGAAATCTTATCAAATATTTTACCTAAGATTAATGAATTCTTTGAAACTGATGACATTATATTCAGTGAAGAATTGATTTCATTATGTGTATTGTTATTTAATAATTATTTCGAAACCAATAATGAAGAAATCTTTATCGAAAGGTTGTTAATCTTATTATCGACCACTGTTAAAGGTATTAAGAGTTTGAATAGTACTATCAAATTAAGAAATGATTTATATATCTTGTTAAACAACTTTTTAATCAAGATTTTGAAAATTGATAATAAGAATTTACTCATGAAAGTTATTGATATCTTCAAAAAAATCGATTTGAACTTCTTGGATATTCTTATAAATGATTTAATTGTAAATGAGAATTCTATAAAAGTAATTTCCATCATTTTATTAGAAAACCTTATCCATTTATTTAACAAATTCGATGATAATTATCTTATCAATAAATTGATCAATAACAATTCCTTATTATTAATCGTTAGATTAATTAAAAGAATTGATGAGATATTAGAATTTGATGATAATATCAATAATTTATCATCTATATTATATGAATTAACTATATTCAAATCCATTTTGAATTTGTTAATCAGAATAAGTACCATCAGACAAGGTTCATCATATTTAATTCAAAGTGAATTATTCTCCATTATAAAAAACTGTAAAATATTTCAAATCGATTTTGATTTGAATATAAATTTCAAATTTAATAATATCAATAAATTTAATAACGAAGATATCATTGATTATTATGAAATCTTGATCCCAATATTCAAATTATTTTCAATCTTATTGATATCTATGGGTCCAAATTATAAACCAAGTAAGATTCAAGGTAATGATTTATTGAATCATTTCAGTAAATTGAAAAATAATATTGTTAAGAAAGATATATTGGTTAATGAAAATAAGTTAGTAGTTAATGATTCAGAGATGAAGAATTTAGATAAATTGATCAATCAATTCATTTTATTGGAATCTTTAGTCAATTAGGTAATAAATATTTAACGATTAACTATCAATTTGAAGAATCCTCATAACTCTCATTACACTTTAAGATGAATTATCGCCATTGAATTTACACTTTATAACTTTTGGATACCCTTAACTGATGCATGTCCAAAATATTTTTCATCTGTACTACCATTGTATGGATAAAATTGGTTTAATCAGTTGAAAATGCTTAAATTCCAAATTATTCAAATTTTGACTTCCTCAACTACTTTCACCCCATCTCCTTCAACAAATCCGTGATAGTTTAGTGGCTAGAATTACCGTTTGTCGCATGGTAGACCGGGGTTCAATTCCCCGTCGCGGAGCGCGCCGTTGGTTTAGTGGTAAAATTCAACGTTGCCATCGTTGAGCCCCTGGTTCGATTCCTGGACGGCGCATATTTTTTTGCTTCTACTTTCTTAAACATGGTATTACAAGTCTTTTCTTGTTAGGGCTATTTAAGGAGAGTTTCTGCTGTTCGATTTGAGTAAATTCGGACCTTTTTTGAATGGCTGCGAAGGTGTAGAATTGAATTGCATGAAAGGAGGTTAAAATCCCACTTTTTGATTGCAGACTACTTATTGTACTCTAGCTATAGAGGGCAATCTGTCTCTACTGTACTTTTCACCCGTCCTCTCTTAAAATTTCAATTCATCACTCTTACTGAATAAGTTGCGTAAATTGATTGTGAGAAAAATCTTAATGCAAACTATAAGATACTACACAACTAAAAGTATCAATGACTTATTCAAAGATTCGATGTCCCGAATTGCAAGTCAAGCAATGATATTGACAGCCGGAGTTCCTAAACTAGATACTTCACCAATATTACATGGGCTGACATTAAGTTCAGTGTGTTCATTATCAGTATACCCCAATCCATTATTACAATTTAATCTACATTTACCAAGTTATACATCATCTACATTACATGACAATGGGCTTGTTGCTATACATGTGATGAAACCAACAGCTAAAGGTAGTAACATAGGGAGAATATTCGCTAAAGGAGTTAAAAGAAACGATGGGAAGATTATATCCAAAGGTGAGAATAAAGATGGAGAGATATTTCATGAAATGACTACACCTTTCCAAAGTATTGATAAAAAAGATTGGGAATTCCATGAAGTAGGTAATTTTAGACTACCAATTTTAAATGATAGCGAGAGAATATTCATTTGTGAAAAGAATAAAGTTTTCAATGTTGAAAATCATGAAATATGGATAGTTAAAGTTGTTGATATAATAAGTAAATCAACCATTAAAACTGGAGGTTTATTATATTTTAATCGTAGATTTCATCATATAGGACATTCAATTAATGAATAATGTACATAGTAAAAAGATTTCGTATATTCTATTTCATTAACTTTTCAATTTCGTTCAATAATCGTTCATTTTCATTCTTCACTTTTAATAATATAGTATCAAATTTATCATTGATAGAATTAGATTTCTTCTTCAATTGAATGATGATAGAATCCTTCAAATTATTAATGTTGTCGTTTAAATTCTCAATGTCATTCTCTGATTCTTTGATCTTGGATAAAGTTTTATCAAATTTGTTAAGGAAACTTGCTTTATCATCTTGAATTGATTTGAGATTGATTTTAAATTCCACAATCGATTCGTTATAAGCATCAATGAATCTTCTTATGTCATTAATTTCATTGATTAGATTCTTTTCTGATAACTCTTGATCTTTGATTTGAACTTTAAATTCTTCAATTTCAGTTTTTAAAGTTTTAATGTCATTTTCATATTGATGAATTGATTGACTTAAACCTTTCAATTTCTTCAAATTCAATTCATTGGTGGCTTTATTCTTATTTATTCTATCTTTCAAATTATCGTTATTCTTCTTAATTTCTCCTTGTCTTTTACTTTCATCTTTCTTGAATTCTTTCAAGTTTTGCTTAGTTTGTTCAAGACTTTCAAGAGTTGAAATCAAACTCAATTTCAATGTGCTTAATGATGATATTTTTGGTGATTCTCTTAAAATAATATTTTCTGTAGTAGAAACTGTATTGATCAATAAATTGTTTAAAATTTGATTCTTATTGTTCAAAATTTCAATCTCATATTGGAAATTTGGTGATAATGCAAATATTAATATTTGGTTATCAACAATCTTAAAGTATTCCCAATCAATTCCATTTAATCTAATTTTCAAATTTGAGAAGTTCTTGTTGGTTTCATTGATTTTCAACAAAATCCTTGTGTCATCAATAAACTTAACAGAAATTAATAATTTGTTAACAATGGATAAATTTATCAAGAATTTATCATTATTATTCTTAACTTTGGTAAGTTTTCCTTGAAATAAGTATGAATTTTTAACACTGACTTTCATAACTGCTAATAATGACCAGAATGGTTGTAAGATGGAATCATTTTTATCAATAATAACTGTGGAGTTTTTGTTCAATTTGATAGGTGAAGTGGTTTCGTTGGTATTCTTGGAAAATAATTTGTATACAAAATTTTCGAAATTTTTCGATGATATTGAATTGGAAGATTTGAAATTACATTTGGATTTAGCAATTGATTCAGGGACTGAAATATTTATAAATTTTAATTTATTCGAATTTAAAGTGGCAGTTTTGTTCAAATTTATAGTGGAAGTGCTATTGTTGGTTTGCTTTAATGAAATCACAGGTATTGATAATTCATGATCGATTTCTTCCTTCAATTTAGGTCTTTTGAAATCTATAGGAATATTAGGATTCAAATTATTCAATTGATCGAGATTATTCGATAAGTTCTTGAAACCTATGATGGAAAATAATGAGTTAAACTTTATAGTTACAACATTTATACATAATTCATAATAGATAAATTTCAAAATTGATTTGTTAAAGTATGATGTGGGTGTTTTTTGTTTATCCAAACATTGAGCCAAAAGAATTTTTGATGAAAAAATCGTTTTAAAATCATGAACTTTGATAAGATTCAAAAAAAGGTTGAAGTTGAAGTTATTCTTGAAGGATGTTATGAATAAAATTATCAAATAACAATAGATTATTCTCAAGAAATTATTATTCAAGATTTCGTTATTGATCTTTGGAGTATTGTTGTTATTAGATGTTATTATTGAAGTTATATTAGTGGAGGAGCCAATCAATTCTGTTGCTAAGATCGTTTTAGCTAAAATATCAATATTCTTTAAAAAATCTTCATTGAAAATACCAATAAACAAGAATAAAATTATCGATCCAATTACTGATAATTGAATAAATGAATGAATGACTTTCCCATAATTGATCTTGGAATTCAAATACCATGAATCTTCAAATTGTTTGTTCTTCAATGAAACGTATTTCAAAAATAATTTCCCACTGATTAATTTGGTGGACCCCGATAAGGTATACAATATTAAAATCAATGCATTTATATAAGATGGTAAAGAATTAATAATCAAGATTAATGATATAACGTCTCTTAAAGACGTTGGAGGTAGAATATTAGACGCTGAATATGTCATACCTTCATAATCTATTTTTAAAAATTTTTCACTGTCAAATTTCCATCAACTTCCGCGTTAATCCCAACGCTAACTTTCGGTGAGTGTTCGGTCAATGCGCGACATAATCAACCCCAGATTTTTATCAATTTCAATAGTAAAAGTTCCAACTTTTGAAGATATCTTCACTATAATTCAAAAGTTTGATAAAATCATGTTGCTTTTCATCAATGGTATCATCCAATAATTTGAATTCTCCATTAGAAATCTTGAAATTGACGGAATTTTTACCACTAATTGACACCATTATATCATGATCTTTATACGAGATATCATTGATTTTTATAACAAGATCCTCTTCTTCTTCATTGACGATGAAATTAGAATCATTCATAAAATCATCTAATAAAATATCATCATCAACATTCAAGGACTTCAAGTTCAATTCATCAGAATTGGCTAATTCTAGTGTCTTGGTTAAATTACTCTTGATCTCATTATTGGCATTTACTTCACGTTGTTTACATTGTAAAATAACGTGATGTAAGATGTTGGTAAGGACCAATTGATTTCTGAATATCTTCAAGAATGAAGGTATATCGACTAGTTTTTTGATGCTTATCCTCGAAATTGGAATGAATTTTGAATGAATTTCACTCTTTATAGATATCTTTTCATCTTTATCATTGACTAAGTATAATTCTTTTTCTGTGTTTAACTTTTCAAAGAACTCATATTCTGGTAACTTGGCTTCTTCAAAATGATTTATACCAATGAATTCTAAAACATTGATAGGTAAATATATAGGATAATTCAAATTGAGATATAAATTCCATCTTGGTTGAAATTTGATATTTTCGGTTTCTTCTTTACTTGAACTTATTTTATTAGGAACCAAATATGATTCATCAGTGAAGTTGAATTGATATTTTCCATCATTTAATTGCCAAATTTCATCTCTAGTTTCTCCAATATAATCGATCGACTGGGTAAAATGATCAACATTCACATCTAATAACACATTATATTTCTTCCCTAACAATAATTGATCTTGATTCAATTTTACTGGATCTTCATTCAAGTATTCATGATTGATATACTTAAAGTCTTGCCAATATTCAATAAAAATCCCGATTTCATCATTATTATTGAATAATACTTTACCCACAGTATTCAATAATCCTTGTTTGAATAACCAATTATTATTGTTTTCTACTTCAATTTGATATAAACTATTCAAAATCAATCCAATGTGATCATTATAACTGAATAAATCCGTAGCAGTAGTTGATAATCTATCTAAATTAGCTAAATACCTTAAGTTCTTTGGGAAATTATTTAATCTTGATTGACCGAGATTTTTCAATAATATGCTTTCAAGTTTAGCACTATTTAACAATGAGTTGATGGATTTGGAGTTGAAATCTATATTTATGAATTTTGTATCTTCAATCATTTCAATTTTGGGTAGTACTTCCAAGGTATCTTTAATAGGTTCACTAGAATCTAATTGACTTGCCAGGGAGAATGATACTCTATAAATAGTGGATTCAAGAAAATCTATATCTATCAAAATAATTGATCCTGCTATTGATAATCTTTGGAATTTGATAATGTTATCATTTTCGTCTTTTAATGGTTGATCAAGAATATGAGAATATGCATCAGTATCTATAAAAGTATCGAGTTTTAATTGTTGAGATAATTTTTGTATTAATTCAATGGATTTCTTGAACTTAGGAGAATATTGGTACAACAAATCTAAAGCTCTATCAATATCATTGTTGAATTCCAGCATTATTTATTAAATCCTTAGTTGTAAGTGAAAAATTGAGATTATTGACACTAAAGTGAGGATCGCATCGAAAAATATTAACGCTATCATGGTAAAAGAGTTAACAATAGAGATTCTAGCTTTGGTAGATCCTGTTGTTGATAAGTTGAAACGTCACCAATTATCAGGAGATAAGACCATAGCTTTAGAAATCTCCCAATTATTGATGAGAGTCATCTCGGCTGCAAGATGGAATAGTCCTTTTGAATTAATTCAAATCATCAGACAAGTTGGTAAAACTTTGAATACTGCACAACCAAAAGAAATAATTACTGGTAATATAGTAAGGAGAGTTTTGGCTATAATAAGAGATGAAGTTGAAGAAGAAGATCAAGATAAAGATCAAACCATGATGAATTCGATATTTAGTTTATTATCAACTCAAAAACCTGATAAAAAAATTTACCAACAACTGAAAAAGCAAAGTAGTGATTTCAGAAGTATCATCATTCAAGGTATAAGAGATTTGGTTGATGAAATTACTAATGTTAACGAAGGTTTGGAAAATATGGCTGTTGATTTAATTCATGATAATGAAATTTTATTAACTCCTACACCAAATTCTGATACTGTGTTAAAGTTTTTATTAAAAGCCAGATCTAAGAGAAAGTTCACTGTTTTAGTTACTGAAAATTATCCCAACGGTATTGAACAAGCTCACAAATTCGTTAAAACTTTAGCTGATCATAAAATTGAAACAGTTTTAATTCCTGATACTACTGTTTTCGCTGTTATGTCAAGAGTGGGGAAAGTCATTATTGGATCAAATGCTGTTTTTGCCAATGGTGGATGTTTATCCAACTCTGGTGTATCAAGTGTAGTGGAATGTGCCAAAGAAAATAAAACTCCTGTTTTCGCTGTAGCAGGATTATTCAAATTATCACCATTATATCCATTCAATAGAGATGATTTAATTGAAGTGGGTGATTCCGGTAAAATTCTTAATTATTCTGATTTCAAATTAGTTGATAATGTTGATCTTGTATCAAATCCTTTAAATGATTATATACCTCCAGAACATATCGATATTTATATAACCAATATCGGAGGTTTTGCTCCATCATTCATCTATAGAATTGTATTAGACAATTACAAACCTGAAGATACTCATTTAGATTAATATACATTCCGTCAAATATTTCTCTCCATAACTTTAATCTCGAAGTAATTTAAGAAGGCTGCAAAATTAAGGGTAGAAGTCGCAAAATTTATTAAAAAAAAAATATATATTAAGCGAAGAAAAGTCTATACTATAGGACACAAAAAGACATATTAATATCTCTTAAACGCATCAATTGAAGTGTTCTTCAATGACATACTGAGAAGATTATCTGAATCCTTATGAACTTTTGGAATACAGATTTCAACTTTACCGTTTTGAATATCAGGGACTATTTCATCAAATTTGACTGCTTTGTCGAATTTGATATTACTTTCATAATTACAGATGTAAACATCTTCACCTACTTCATTAATTTTCTTTTCAGTGATTTTTAAACTCAATTCATTTTGTTCTTTATTGAAATCAACCTTTAATTCCTTCTTAGATATTTCATTATCTTTAAAATGTATGATATATTTATCAGTTTCTTCTTTCAATTTGACGTCATCGAATTCATTATATAAGTTATCTTTGAAGACCAAAGTTTTATCATTAATATCTTTGTAAGCTTGAGCTTTTGGTAATAAATCATCAGAGCTGAAATTATTTGGAGCTAAAGTTGATCTGGCGTTTGGTTTGGCCCATTCACTCTTATCAAAAATGGATTGACCATTAACGTCTTTTTGTAAACTTTCCATTATCGATTGACTATGTTATTGACTATAAAGGTGAAAAATTCCCAATTGAAAAATCAGTTGTAATGCACTGATTAATTTTAGGCCGCACTCTCCTATTTATATGCGTCCAGGTTAATTATTGCGAAAGCTTAATATAATGACCAAAATGTCGGCAAATGACGATTGTTCTGGAAACCTCAAGACATTCAAACAACCTTACTGGGTACAATTGTATACATTGAAAGGCGTGACGAGAGATATTAATAATCATAGATGAGACAGTAATGTGGTTTTGACATTTATTTTTCATATTTGGAAGTTTTCATATTTCAAAAGGGTAATGAACTTACCCAAAGACTGACATTCAATTAGTGGGTACTTTTCCACTATTTAAATCCGATGATTACAAGAAGTCGTCATTCATTAGTTCTATTTACTTTTAATTATGTACATAAGTTGCATCGATTTTAGCTAAAGAAGGACCTAAATTTAATTTAATTTTTCTTCTATAAGCTGTTGGATTAGTCAATTGAACAGGATTACCTTCGAAATAAACAGTATCTAATTCTGGCAACTTTCCTAATTGTTCATTGATTTCGTTAAAATCAGAAATCTTATTGTAAGAACACCAGAAATCAGTTAATTTCTTCAAATGGGTCATTCCACTTAAATGTTCTAATCCGTTTGATGAAATATCAATTACCTGTAAATTAACATTCTTATCTAAATTTTCAATCTTAGTTATACGATTATTAGCAACGTATAATTCTTCCAAATTGACCAAATTCTCCAATCCTTCTAATTTTTCAATTCTATTGGCTTGAATAGATAAGATTTTCAAATTTTTAAGATTATGTAAGTTTTCAAATTTTGAGATACGATTCTTACCCAACCATAATTTCTCCATATTAAGCATTTTATTCATAGTTTCACTGATAACTTCAATTTTATTACCACCTAATTCTAAATTAGTTATCTTGGTATTATTTTCCAAATTTTTGATCTCTCTTATGTTATTTTGAACAAAGTAAAGATCTTTCAATTCAGTTAAATTTTCTAAATTCTTAATATTTTTGATTTTATTGAAAGATAAATCTAAATTGGTCAATTTCTTGAATCTACCAATATTACTTGAAATATGGTTGATTCTATTATCATATAAATCCAATTCTTCCAAGTTTTCATTGATATCAATCACATCAACTATAGATGTGATTAAATTTTGTCTAAGACATAGAGATTCTAATTTTTGGAATCTTGATAACTTTAAATCTTTAATAGACCCGATTTTTAAATGAATTAATTCCAAATAATCAACATCTAAATCGTAACCTGCGGTCAATTCACTATCAGCATCGATTTTTTGAACATCAGGATCAGGGATAATAGTTCCTCTATATTGAACAGGTAAAGGTTCATTTTCTTCATCGATTTCTCCAACTTCTTCAATTTCTTCTTCATCCTCAGTATGGGATAAGATTTCTTCTTCAGCATCCTGATCTTTATTTTCAGCCATATGGGCTGAATCAATTATATCATCGTTGATTGTCATTGTTGAGAATTTTGAAAATCTCATTCTCATTACTAACGTTGTGATTTGACTGGAATCGATTCCCAAGAGGGATTTGTTACCGAGAGACATAAGGACAAAGATTTGGGATGTTTAGATAACAGAAGTATAACAGAAAAGTAATAATATGGAGAATTGATCAAAACTCCTCTCTAGAAATTGATAAATATTCTTTATTCATATATTTACAAGAACCATAAGATTCATTCATACTCACATTTAAAGATTTTTTTCTTCTTCGTAAATGTAATCAATAGCTTCACCAACGGTTTTAATGTTATCGGAGATTTTATCTGGGATTTCTAAATCGAATTCTTCTTCCAATGCAACTAAAGCTTCGACGGTATCTAATGAATCTAAACCTAAATCATTTTGGAATGAAGCTTCAGCTGATAATTTAGATTCTTGTAAAGCAGCAACGGTTTTTAAAGCTTCAAAAGCTCTTTTGGTAACTTCTTCTTTGGAAATTGGAGCAACAGCGTAGAAACGAATTGGTTGAATCATTTTGCTGGTGAATGAAGCTTTTGGTAAAGCATTAATTCTGGCGGAACGGATAGCTGATCTGAACATTGTATTATAGTTGAATTAAATGGAAACTAATTAACCTTGAATCGTCTTTAATTACCAATGGAATTTAAAAATTTTTTACTGGTGAATTCGCACTTTGTTCCTGGACAATGTCGTGAGTGATAATGCGACACTTATATTTTAATCTATATAAAACCGATTATGATTTATTAACCATACTTCTCCAATTTAAAGCAGTTCTCTTATAATTGGATGATGTTCCACTCATGCTTGAGTTATTAGTGGTTGAATTTTTATCAGAAGAAAGATTTGAAAGTCCTGAATTACTTGAAGCTGATGAAGTTCTGGAGCTGGTCTTGGATAATTTTGATCCAAATGCTGATGAAGGTGCAGTATTTGAAATACCTGAAGCTGAAGTTCCAGAAACTGATCTCTTATCGTTAACACTTGGTGGTTGGTGTTGTTGAAAATGACTTACATTATGATTATAAGTAATATTTTCATAATCAGTGGAAATCTTCAAATTTTCAATTTCATCTTGGAAGTTCTTTTTATATAAAGAAACCAAAGCATTATGAGAAGATTTCATACTAGAAGAAATCAATTTACCATGCAAATGTAAACAACGACTTAAAATCATAGTTAAATCATTGAAAGCGTTTCTCAACAATCTAAGATTATCAGCATATTCATCTTTACCTTCATATTTGATATCAGTAAAGAAAGTTCTATACTGGCCAACACCTCCATTAACTGGGGAATCGACAGTACCAGCTAATTGTCTTGATAAATCATTGAATAATGCATTGAAATCAGCCTTTTCTTTGAAAGCCATGTTGATCATACTTTCCAATTGAACTAAATCATTATTCTTATAAATAATGGTTCTGATAGCATTTTCTAATGGTGATAATTTGATTGTTTTAGTAGATTTAATGTCACTTCTATTCATTAAAGTTGGGAATGAAAGATAAGTTTCATAAGTAGTTTCTTCAGTCCATAAATCGAAAACTGATGTTGAACCTGGAATTTTCTTCATGGTGGTGAAGAATCTTAAATCCTTATTTCTAGCATATTGTCTTACCCCAATAGAAACATTGAATAACTTATCAGATATTTCATTGATTGGTTCAATGGTACTGACATGTAAATATCTACCAGTTTGAATTTTTTCTTTCAATTTCTGAGCTTCACTATCATCACTAACAATCCTGGCACCAGGATATAATCTTAATAACCTTTCATGAATGGAAGTGATATGTTCAAAAGGTAAACCTTCATAAATTTGTTCTTTGCCTCTAATATTACTTGGGAACCCAGCACCAATGAAAGCAACTCTAAAGAATGATGGAGTTAATTTATCACTGGATTCTAAATCTAAGTATAATTTAGCTAATTTATTATGAACATAGGCAAAACTCTTTAAATCATAAGTATGCTGACTGTAAGAATCTAATAATTCATTGAAAGTGTCAGTAGCTCTTTCCAAACTATTACCTTTGATATAATTTTGAGCTATCATTTTGAATAATGATTCCTTTCTTTCGAAAGAGCTTTGTTCTGGAAATTTAGGTCTGAAACTAGCCGGAACAATAACATGATGATCCCAGGAATAAGTCGAGGCTAACAATTCCAAACTCAATGCTGCTTGAATGTGGTCATTTTTACTGATATTTTCCTCATACATTTGATTGATGAAAGAATGGAATAATTCTGGTTTGTTAGCATTTTTAAGATAAGCATTGATGTTTAATTTATGGAAAGTTCTATCATCATCGAATTCTGGTCCAACAGGAACACTAATCAAATCATTCAATACTAACAAGAATCCTTGAAGAGTTTCAATAAAGTTATAAATCAAACCAAAAGCTTCATCTTCACGATCCAATCTAATAGTAACTTTCAATCTTTCAATGAAACTTTCTTGTTCCAAGGTCGAAGGTTTATAACCATGACGATTGTAAATGTCATGTAACCCAACCAAACATTCTTTTTCAATATCAATGATGGAATCACTTAAGATATATTCAGATACAATAATTGACCATAATATCTTGACTGCAACGGACTGACAATCAGAATTCTTTTGCAAAGCGAAAACCATCAATTCTTGTAAAATAGAATAATCGTTACTTATAAATTCAACTTGATAACCACCGAATTTATTCAAATTGAATCTGATGATATCTTCATCAACTGCATCCCAAGCTAAAGAATCCCAAGCTTCATTGATCAAGAAAGCAATTCTATCTCTCATATCTCCAGTAATTTGCATACATGCTTTCTTTGGCACATCTGATAAATGTTCAATGGAAACAGGTGGAATGGTAGCTAATCTTAACAAAGATTTCAAATAATTACCCCAAATAACTCTATCGAATAATTCTGATTTATCAATTGGTGGTATATGATGACTTAATAATAAAGGTCTAATTAATTCTAATGATGTTAAACAACCTTCAGCCAAAGTACCATATAAAGTGATCCATTTATCTTCTGGGAAGAATTTACCTTGTCTGATCAATTTGACTCCAGAAATCAAAGTGATGATATCTTCATTTTGGAAATTATTGGCCAAATACTTTTTAGGATCAAAGAAATCATTTTCAATTTCTGTAGATAAGATCTCAGTGAATCCTTGATTACCGGCAACTTCTTTACCAATCTTAGCTATGAAACAAAAGACTAAACTGACTTCTAATAAGATTTCAACAAGAACTTCATCACTAACGATAGGATCAATTGATGATTCCTTAAATGGATATTCATTGGGAAATAATGAAGTGTATGTTCTTTTTGGTTTGAAATATTCGTTACCTCTAGTATATTTATTATACTTGATTAAGGTTCTTGACATAGCAGGTAATAACTTAGTTAATGAATAACATAAGTTGAAATTATCAGTCCAATCTCCTTTAACATAGTTAGTCCAAATACTGATACAGACTTGATTTAAGATACTTAAAGCAATTCTGGTGGCTTCAATATCAGTTGGACCTAATAAGATTTCCATTGACCAAGTAACGGCTCTTGAAACTAAAACAGGTAAAGTTGAAGGATTCTTAGCTAAATCAGTTCCAAATAATCTATGGATTAAAAGTAATTTACTAATGATAATTTTATGGTCTTTTGGTACGACAATTGGTTTCTTGTTCACCATAGTATCCTCATTAGCTCCTAAACCTCTAGTTCCAATAGAATCAATGAAATTGATGATATATCTTAAAGTCTTTGATTGTTCTAATCTAACATTGAAAGTCAAAATATAATCAATAACTTCCAATACTAAGATCTGATCATTAATCAAAGTTGGTGATTTAATAGAAAGGAAGAATGATACCGATTTGAATAATGAATTCAATGCTTGTAAGTAATCATTAATGTTATCGGAATCAGTCATTGAAAACACTGCTAACTTAACCATGATGGAAACCACTCTACATAAAGATCTTGAAATTGAGTTCCAATTTGATTCAGCTCTGGTGAAAATTTCAGCAATTCTTTCCAAAAGGAAAATTCCAATAGTTGGTCTGTTAGGGTTTTCATTAGCAAAAATATCCAACATATAGGAGTACTGGTCTTGTTTTCCGAATAAAGTATCTAATAAATGAATAATAGCTTTGAATGAATTTTCTTGTAATATTTCCAAACTTGAGCTATTAATCATAGATTGTTGATCAATAGAACTTTCAACAATATCATATAAGTAAGTCAATAACTTAGGGAAATGTTTAACTAATTGTTTAACATCTAATTTAGTAAATGATACTAAAGATGAAGCTAATTCATCAATACCTTTTGGACCAGCTTTGAAGAATCTTTCATATTGGAAGATACAATCAATTGAATTATCAGCATTATAAAGTTTACCAATATATTCGGTACTAACTTCAACTTGAGCCATTGGTAATCTGTGATTAGTGGATAAGATTTCAATGGTGATACCTTTCTTACTATTGTATTCAACTAATCTTTTATCACTTCTATATAACAATTTACCTTCACCTGCTAAGTTACCGTTAATAAATAATGATAATACAATATGATCATCTTTAGGTAATTTTTTAGCACTTCTTAATGAAGCAAGGTTAATCTTAATGATTTCTCCAACAACTTCATCAGGGAATACTGAGACAAACTGCCATCTACGTTTTTCTGCTTGATTGGAAGCTTTAGCAAATGTAATTGATTCATTATTAGGAGCACTAACTTCAAAAGTTAATAAATCGTCCTTGGTGATTGAGTTCAATAATGAAATCTTACCCATTTTCAAGTAAATTCTTTCATAATTTTCAGCCAAAGGATCAAAGAAAATCGGTTTGATTTTGGAAATTGATGCAGTTGATTGAATCATATTACCTTGGTTGACAGTACCATCATCATAAGATGAACTATCAGCAGAAAATTGATGTCTGAATTCTTTAATGGAAACAGTCAATTTTTCAGCTCTAGGATTAATAGCAATTCCATGAGATGAACCGGCAATAATTCTATCCACAGTTTCACCCCAACCTCCATTAACAATTCCATCAGCATCTTTCAAACTCTTTTTTTGATTAACATAAGATCCAAATAATTTGATAGAAAATTGATGAGATTCTCCAGCAGTCAAAGAACCTTGGTTTTTACTAAAAATTCTAGTGATATCAGTAACCCCAGCAGCTACACCTTTCTTGACCCTTGGAACTTGAGGAGTATTAATATCATCTTTCAATGTTAAATTGATTTCTTCAGTTAAAACAGCCACTAAGTAAACTCTGGTATTTTCAGTTTCACTTGAAGGAATGTTTCTAAATAATGCTGAACTGAATTTTTCAACATGAACTAAATCATCAACAGAATTGGTATGGACTGAAAAAGCTTCAGTCAATCTCTTACGATTATTACGGATATATAAATAAGCAATCATACCAGCAAACCCTGGAGGTTGATAAGCTGATGAACCACTAACTGATTTGAAATCAACTAAAATATGTGAAGGAGCTTCACCTAAAAATTTTACATTTTGTTGGGGGTCAAAGTTAAAATACTTTTCATTATTATGGTAATTAATAGGATAATTTGGTTGTAATGAACAATAAACTTGATTTGCTCCCACATACGATGGGAATGAATTATCATTATTCAATAAATCTCCTGTCTTACAATCTCTGGCTAAGATAGTTTTATAACCTGAAATATCAGTATCCTTATTATCTAAATCATAAGAGTTTTCATTCAATCTAGCAGATTTGGAAGCTAACTTTTTAGGAATTTTGTTCAATAAGAATACAGCTTTCTCTTTAGTTGAAATAACCTCATCATGAGTTAACAAATTATACTTCAACTTGATTCTAGCTTCTTCTAAATCAAAATAAATTCCTGATAACTTATTGAATAATCTAAATTCCCCAATCGAATAAAGGGCAAATATATGAGATGTTAATAAGTTCAAATCATATTTGATTTCATCAACTAAATCATGTTTATCGTCTTTGATTTCCTTTACTGGTAAAAGAGGAACGAGTCTTTTGGTCTTGACGGTTCCATTGCCATTATATCCATTAACGGCAGTTCCTTCAATAGCGAGTTGATGCGCTCTTTCACTATCTTGAATGGTAGGAATCATTTCCATATCAACGATATTATTGAATTCTTTATCAATTTTAATCTCTTGAATAGGGACTTCTTCTAAGATTTGAACATATTTCAAAGGGAAAATTACAATCTTAATCTTTTTGGTAGGTAAATCATCTAAATTAACCGAAGTAATGGTGAAATCATTGGGAAATGGTCTAGTAACGGCATAACCTCTAGCCCATTTGTCGTTCTTGGTTTCAAAAATATAAACTTCATCTCCAGGATATAAATTTTGGAAATTATCATTAATAAGATTAGGATGTTTTTCAAATGGTAAAAATGGTTTACTGAGCTTACCACGTAAAAAGTCTTTAGTTGGTACCCAAGACATGATTTTTTTTCAATTTTTTTTTGAATTTAATTAATTTTATGGTTTGTAAAAGCAATGTCTACTGGATCAATGTACTATGTGAATAACTGACTGACAAATGATCAATTTAAAGGTGAATTGATCTGATAATTGGAAAGTTCAGTTGAAAAATTCACAATTTAACTCGATTGGAAAATCTCATTCTCGCCTCATACTTTAATCTCGTTTAGGAAATGTAATTAAGGTACAAGTTGAGGAACGACCAAAGTGAGAGACTGCCCAGAGCCATCGATTGTTTAATAGATACACTCAACAAGAGAGTTAACAAGACAGTTTCCAACGCCACCAACACCTAAAGAGCTCAAATACTTATATAATACCTCTATAAAATTTAACTAAAGAACTGAATTTACGCTAAGAATGATATCCATTTATGGAATAATTCTTTAATGTTTTTTTGGTTGTAATCTTTATTACCATCCCAAATATATCTATCGATTTCTCTTCTACCACTGTCGAAATCTAACGTTTCTAAACTATGAATTCTGGTACCGTTGATGAATTTGTATACAAAATAAAACACTGCAAAAAGTATCAATGTACCATAACTGGTGAAAAATGCCATTGTATCCCAATAATTCTTTAAAAATACAGTGAAACCCATGGATAATATGATGAACCCCGAACCAATTAACCCGATTATGGCAGTATATGGTTGCCAGAATGATTTATAAGGATATGATGGATCGTTTCTATCAATAATATCAGGTCTTTTCTTCAAACCATAATAAAATCTTATATAACTCAAACACATAGCGAACCAAATAATAATACCCGAACTAGCTATAATATTGGATAAATTTTGAAAGACTACGGTAGCTTCTTTGGAAACACAAATGTATGCAAAGATTCCAAACACAGCTGAAAATGCTACTGAATTATATGGAATACCATATTTGTTACATTTGCTCAAAAATTTAGGAGCCTTACCTTGTAATGATAATGAATACATGGTTCTTGAACTAACATAAAGTTGAGCATTACCACAACTAACAGCGAAAAACACTAAAAATCCATTAACTACTGAACTTAGTTCACATAAATTTGCGGATTGTAAAGCCACAATCCAAGGACTTTGGGATCCTGAAGAAAATCCTGCAAATGCTGCCGATTCACTATTACAGTGAGCACCTCCCACATAATCAATAGCATAATTGGAATGGAATTGATCAGAGTCAACACCTGTTGCACCACTGAAATACCTTAATAATCTTGGGTCTCCAGCATATAAGTTTAAAGAAACAACAAATGCCGATAAACAGTAGAAAATGACAATTCTCCAGAAAACCCTTTTGGTAGCTGATGGTAAAGCTTTTCTTGGTTCTTTGGCTTCACAAGCAGCGATACAAACAATCTCTGTACCACTATAAGCAAACGACACCACTAATATGGCAACCAATAAGGATAAAAATCTTCCCAAATCACCTCCGATACCTTCATGCAACCCACTAGTACCATTATCTTCCAAATTGAAAGTGGGTCTGAAAACTCCAAAGATTAAATTGTTTTCAAAATCTGATTTGGAATAGTCCCAATATTTGAATCCAATATATTTACCTGTGAAACCTCCAGTATTCATTACAATCATTAAAATTATCATCACCAAAATAAAAATCAACTTGATGAAACTTGAAATATATTCAATTTCTCCAAAAACTTGAACACTGATTGAATTACTCAATATAACACTCAATAAAAAGAACGTTACAAACCCTGCAACACTACCTTTACTCTCCAAAATTCTTAAATTAGGATAATAAGAAAGCATAATAACACTGGCAACAATCTCACCAGCTAAACCAAATGAAAAACTTAAGAAGTACAACCAACCAGTGGCAAACCCAAAAGCATCATCAACAAATCTGGAAGACAACCCTGAAACTCCATCAACAATTGAAACGAAAGTTACCATTTCACAAAAGGATACAATTGTTGCTAATACTATTATTCCACAAATAATGAATGCCAATAAAGTACCTAAACCACCAGCAATGGTCAATGCTTTACCACTATTTAAGAATAACCCAACACCTAAAGTACCACCGAAACTAATCATTTGTAAATGTCTAATTTTCAAACTTCTGGATAAGTAACGATTAGGTACTTCAGCATTGGAAGAATTTGATGATAAATCAGGACTGTTCAAATATAAATCATCACTTCGTACGAAATCTGATTTATCTTTGGGTTCAGTTTTCTTGTGGTTCCATTTCAACCAGTTCTTTTGATTACTAGCAGCTCCAAATCGAGAATTCATATCATTGTTACTTTGGAAGTTTGTTCTTTCATCATCACCATTTGGATCAACATAAAAATTTTGTTCTAAATCTTTGGACTTTATCACATTCAACAAATTATCTTTATCAGGATTCTTTTTTTCGAATTTATTGTAGATTTTATTATTCAATTCACTCATTTTAACGAATTTATTGAAATCATCTAATTTGGATAAACCAAAAACAGAATTATTGGAATCCAAAGTTTGTAAAGGAATGCCATTTTCAGTTTCTTGAACTTGACTTGATTTCCCTTGTGACTTATTGGACTTGAAGATTTGTGTATAATTGGTTAAAAACTTGAACCTATCACTGGGATCGAGATTATTTATTGCATTATCATTCATTTTCTCCACTACTGAAGAATGAATAGAATACTGATGATCCGAAAGTTCATTTTCTGAATCAGTATCGAAATTTGATTTGAAATGATTTCTTTGTCTCGAGATATCTTGACTTAAATGATCGTTGGAGATCCTTTCGAAATCGTCTACAGTTTCAATATCATCCTCATTGAACTCTTCGTTATATGTGTTATCTTGAAGTAAGGACTTTCTCTTGAAAATATTCGAAACATCATCATTATCATCATTTTCGTCAACATCGTTCATGGATGACAAATCTATACTTTTATCATCATCTTTGTCTTTGGAAAATAAATTTGGGAACAAATCATTATTGGCAATATCTGAATCTATGGTATAACCCAGTAAATACTTACTAGCCCTGTGGGCCATCTTCTATCAAAAATCAATGATGTAAAGTTACCACCCAGAATGTACACTTTAATACTGGGACTTTTTGATTTTGGGGTCTGGAGTCTGCTTATGAAAACCCTATTTGTAATATGACCTATTTTACAAAGTTGAAACACTGATTTGAATGAAAAATTCTTCAAGACTTTATGAGTTGATTCGTCTCAACGATTTACCTTTTTGAGAATGAGAACAATAGAAACAATGGTCCCCAATAAAAACTTTTAAGGGAATATTTGATAATTAAGCGAATAATGGAAATAGAGAAGAGAATTTCAACAACCAAACACAAATCACAGAGACGTTAGATGAGTTCAAATCTAATTTCAAGTGTTATCTCTGGAGAATCTTAGCGGATAACTCGCACTTTTTTTAAAATATGATGATGGTCATCACTATCATATCTTAAAAAATGTGGTTCCTTCAATAACCCAAAAGGGTAAATTGAAGGAAAGTATAGGTGCGTCAGGAGCCTACTTAAGAAATGAATCCTAATGTGCAATGGCAACGACACTATAATCTCCATTTATTCTAATTTCTAAAAGAACTTAGAATGAATAAAAGACCTAAATTCTCCAAAAATCAAAGTTTGGTAATTCAAACGTAAAATTTAAGTTGATCTCAAAGAGAAACAACAATAAATTTCAGTTGTTACACTGAAAAGAACAGATACTACACTTGATCTAAGCCAAAAGGCAAAGAGATTTAAAGAACCAAAAAAGTGCGATACCCTCTTCTTTTATAGTTACTTGAGGTCGTGTGCCACTCGAGTGATGAGGTACTTACATCTCATCGCGTTATAAGGTCTAAAATTTTCAAAGACTATAGATTTTTGCCATCGAGTTTTATAAATAGAATTTAAGAATGGCGGGTTCAAGAAGATATAATAGAAAAAACCAAAGTAGTAGAAGCTATAGGAAGCATTCTAGACCAAGTTTCTCCCAACCAAAGTATTATAACAATGGTAGAAAATATAGAAGTTACTATGAAAGATATCCAACCTCAGAAGTGTTAGTTGAAGAACCAACTAGTGACAGTGAAATAAGTGAAGATTCAGAATCAGAAATTAGTTCAAGTGAATCAGACTCTTCAGACTCCAGTGACTCAAGTGATTCCAGTGACTCAAGCAGATCTGAAAGTGAAGAAGAAGTCTATGAATTTAACTTAGATTCAAACTCAGATGATGATATCATCGATTTAAACGACGAATTAGAAAACGATACTATCGAAATATTAGATGCTGATGGAAGAGTTACTGATTTAAATGACGAAATGATAAGATATTACGATTCTGATAGTTCAGATGAAGATTGTAATTGTGATAATTGTGTTTCATCAGATGAAGAATGTGATTGTGAAAATTGTGTCCCATCAGATTCTGAATTAGACTCAAGCTCAGACTCAGAATCAAGCTCAGACTCAGACTCAAGTTCAGACTCAGAATCAAGCTCAGACTCAGACTCAAGTTCAGACTCAGACTCAAGTTCATCCAGTTCAGATTCAGAATTATCAGTTTCAGATTCTTCAGAATCCTCTGACTCAGAATCTTCATCCTCATCCTCATCTTCAGATTCAGAATCAGAAAGTGATAGTGATGATGAATATGCTGCTGTTATCTACGAACCAACTGATATTTTGGATGTCATCGATATGAATGATCAATTACAAGCTCAAGCTTTAAATGACATTGACAGCGATGAAAGTTCTATCACCGATTTAGATATCGTTTACAGTTCCGATGAAGATGAATTAAATGACCAATTACAATTAGAAAATGTCAGACAATATTTCGAAGAAGATTTACACAGTGAAGATGAATTAGAAATCGATAGTGAAAGCGAAGAATTTATCAATGTTGATGGAGAAAGCGATTTCAGTTTAGAATCAGATATGGAAATTGATTCAGATTATGACTCAGAAACTTCTGATGATGAAGGTATCACCATCTATAGACATAGATTTGATTTACCAAATGGTGAAAGCGAAGAAGATTCCACCGATGAAGAATTAATGAATTACATTGAAGATGAAAACAATGAATTATTAGCATACGATTCCGAAGATGAATATGAATTCAATGACGGAACCATTGATTTATCAGCAGATTTAGAAAACAGTAAAGATTGTGAATTAATCCAAATTAATGACAATTTACATAAGATCGTTTTAAGAATTCCAGCTTTAATCAACAATGAATTAAAAATCAAATTCAACAAATTAGAAAACAAATTAATCTTAAATGGTAAAGTTATAATTGATGATGAAGAGGATGACGAAGCTTATGAATCAGATAATGAAAGTGATAATGACCACAATGATTGTGAAAACTGTGGTGGTTGTGATGACTGCAAAACTGGTGATGTTTGTACTTGTGATGAAGATCATGAAGATTGTTCTAAATGTGGTGGATGTGATGATTGTGATAATTGTGATGATTGTAAATGTGAAAAAGAAGAATCATCAAGTTCCGAATCATCAGACTCATCAGAATCTTCTAGTTCCGAATCATCAGCATCATCAAGTGATTCAAGTGATTCAAGCTCATCAGAATCAAGTTCTGAAGATTCAAGTTCCGAATCAGAAGCTGAAGCTGAAACTGAAGAACCTAAAATTCAAGAAGTTGAAGTTGAAGTTGAAGAAAAAGATTCAGATAACGAATCGGTTGCTTCAGAAGAAGTCGATGAAGAAATCTTGGAAGACACCAAATCATTCATTCAAGATTACTTAAGCAATGAATTACAATTTGAAAAAGTTTTCACCTTCAACAAATTAATCAACTTTAACGAAATCAAAGCCAAAATTACCAAAGATGAAGTTGAAATATTAATTCCTAACTTCGATGAAGAAGTTTCAACTGGTGATATTGAAATTGATATCGAACATGTTGAATCAGAAGCAGAAAAACAAGAGGAAGAAAAGGAACAAAATGAGGACGCTATGGACCAAGATAATGATAATTAGTAAATAGGGTATGTACATTAAATAAAATTATCTCCATTCAATTTGCCAATCCAATTCATCACCAGCTTTAAATGGAACAACGGTGATTTCTTTATTACCAATAATCTCTGGAACATTAAATTTACGTTTAACTAACCAACATTTATCGGAATTTTTCAATTTGGAGGTATCTACATCATAGAATTCTAAACCAAAATCAGAAACAAATTTTTTCAATTGATCTAATTTATCTTTCTTTTCAAAAACTTCAGCTAAATAACTAATAGCGTATTTTTGAGTATAAATACCAGCACAAACTCCAGTATGTCTGGCTTTACCTTCAATTGGATGAGGAGCTGAATCAGAACCAAAGAAGAAATATGGTTTTCCTGAAGTAACAGCTTCAATTAAATATTTCTTATCTTGAGGGAATTTAGCAACTGGTTTACAATAATTGATTGGATTACCGGCCCAATTATCAATGGTTAAAGATAAATGATGAGCAGTAATGGTACCAGCAACATTGACTTTATCACCAGGCTTATAACCACTATTCAATTTTTCAATCATTTCAACTGCTTGTTTAGAAGTACAATGTTCTAAGATAATTTTTAAATTTGGGAAATCACTATGTAATTTTTCCAAGATTGGTAAGAATAATGGTTCAGCATTTAAGATATTAATCTCTTCATCATCTTTCTTAGCAGGTTTTTCACCATGTAAATTCAAAACCAAGTTATTCTTTTCCATAGCTTCGAATACAGGATAAAATTTAGTGAAATCATTTGGATCAACTCCATGAGCAGAATTGGTAGTAACACCAGCTGGATAACATTTGACACCTTGGATAGCACCTTTAGAAGCGGCTTCGTTAATTAATTCGGGGGTTAATTCTGGACTTAAATAGAATGACATCAAAAAGGTGGTTTTAGGGGATAAGTTTTCTAATTGTTGTTTGTATTCAACTACTCTATCAATGGTAGTGATAGGTGGAACCAAATTAGGCATGATATAAGCGACAGATATACCACCTTCTCTGACAGTTGGTGCTATTAACTCCATCATTTTACCATCACGAAGGTGGACATGCATATCAGCAGTAATACCTAATTCAATTTCTGACATTTTCTGGGGATTCGACTAGATGAAAAAATTTCTCTGAGATTGTTATCGCAGCTGCAAAAAAAAAAAACGATAAGATGTGAGGAACTGGTTTTTTAATATAAGGATGTTATAGATTGAGTTTCATTTTCAACTATAACAGCTGTGGAAAGCACATGATGAATGTGATCGGGCAAGGATCTTTTCATGCATTCGATGAAATCCATGATAGACTTGGGATTGAATATATTTTCTTCATCAAATCTCGTTAGTGGTGGATAAAGCCAGATCGATATGATTGAATAAAGATATTTTTTCTTGAAAACCAACCCTATAGGTGAAATTTGAATTTCTGGTTTGAAGAACGTATCATCGATAATCAAACGGACAAGAGTTTTGAATGTTTCGAATTCAATCAACTTATCAGTAATCTTCATATCAATACTACAGCTATGAATGTTGAATTCATCTTTACGTTTGGGAACTATACCGCTCCTAAAAATCCGGATTTTGTCTTTGGAATCTTTTCTTTTCAACCTTTTGAAGGTGATTTGGAAATCTATGAATGTTTGTAGAACAGTATCATAATCCAATGATTTCTCCTTTTCATAGACCGCCCAAGGATAGTACAAAGGAAAATCATTAAAAGTCCTTTTCATGTATTCCTTTTCAAATATTAAAGCTATATTTTGTTCATTGTTCATAATAGCTAATCTTGAACTAGGCTTAGTGAATCCTAGTTTCTGGTCAGATATATTTTCAAGATAGTTTTTGGTCACAGCTTTAGTTAGTTTGTCGTCCCAACCTATCTCCTCAGTTTCTTGGTCCCATCCCATAAAGTGACTTATATTTTCTCTGATCTTGAAAGGTGTAATAGATCTACTTCTGGTTAATTCCTTTACCTGTAATTTTCTACCCCTCTCATCAATAATAGAACCAATACTCACAACTTCTCCATCATTATCCGAATCTGAGTCCATCTCAGCTGGGTTGTGCACTTCAGCATTCCTTAATATCGAATCTTCTAAGTCCTCATTTATAGATTGAGTATCTAAATCATCAAGTAAGTATATATTTCTTGGACTGCTTTCAGCTATTGGGTTTCCAGAACTAAGAATTTCTATATCTTGGTCATGGTTCCACCAATACTTCTTCATATTGCCAATTGACTGTTGTAGTACAAGCACACAATTTGTGGATGCAAAAAATCTCAATCTCAAATCTCACATCTCAGTAAACACATTATGGGTTCAATATTTTTACCACATTTACACACCGGCTGGCATGTTGACCAAGCTATTTTATCAGAGGATGATAGGTTAGTGGTTATAAGGTTTGGAAGAGATCATGAGAAAGATTGTATGATCGTTGATGAATTGTTATTTGGTATTGCAGAAAAAGTCAAAAACTTTGCTACTATTTATTTATGTGATATCGATGAAGTACCAGATTTTAATAAAATGTATGAATTATATGACCCGTGTACGCTAATGTTCTTTTGGAGGAATAAACATATGTTGTGTGATTTTGGTACGGGGAATAATAATAAGTTAAATTTCCTAATAACTGATAAACAAGAACTAATTGATATCTTGGAAGTCATTTATAGAGGAGCTAAAAAAGGTAAAGGTTTAGTTATGAGTCCCAAAGACTATAATTCAGTTAGAAGGAGATGAGCATATGTAAAGAAATATATTTTTAAAAATGGTAAAAAGAATCTATTGAACTTCATTTTGAGCGTAAAAGAAATTGACTGTAAGTAATTTTGCTGAACCTCCACATTTTTTAATCCAATCTCTTACTCCTGAACCAGCAACTCCCGTACCCCAATTTGGTCTATCTGGAGGAGTTATGAGTTTGGTATTTGGATCTTGTTTATATAATAAGAAAACATAACGATGCTTACCAGTCTTTTCAGGAGGTCCTGGTCCAACATAAGGTAAAATTTCATTACCCTTTGAAAAATCTATTATGGTACTTAAACTTTCAGGATTTTCTGATTTGGTGGGATTAAGGGATAAATCGGAAATAATCCAATGACAATATTCTGACCATTTATTATCATTATTAGAAGGAGCATCAGGATCAGTTAAGATTAAAGTGAATTTATCATCATTCAGAATTTCAAATTCTTCATCGTTATTGTTTGGGGAATTGATAGTAAATTGAATTGTTGGTTTATGTTGAGTATTAGCAACTTTTAAAGTATTTCCCAATGCTACTTTATCATTTTCATTATATTCAATGGTCAATAAACCTTGAGTTTCAAATTTATCAACTATGTCAGGTACAATCTTATGCTTAACATAACTTTCATCTAATGATTGAGAAATTGTCATCAAATTCATTTTGGGATATTTATAATAATTCTTTGGAATTAATTTATAAGATTTTTTCAATTGAAATCTTATCATTAATTTATAAGTGATTTAGTGGAGTTTAAATATTGCTCAATTGCAAATTGCTTTAATTTAGGGGTGTCGCACCTTTACAAATCGGGTTTATATAGAATGAAGAATTATGTAACGCAATAATTTTCATAACGTCGCTGGGGTAAGAGAAAATAAGCCCTTAAATAACCGGAAGGAAAATCTATGATTTTAAACTACACATATTATACACTGTTATTGAAAGTTTTCATAATTTTGATAATTTTGATAATTTTGATATTCAACATTTTTTGGCTTACTCTTTTTAGGTTTTTCTTCATCCCTTGGAACAATATCGATCAAGAAATCAAACATATCACTTTTAGTTAAAGCAGCAGCGATGTCGGATTTTTGTAAAGTTCTTCTTTTATTTTCTTCAGCATGGATCCAAGCTCTCATGGTTAATTCGGTGATGAAAATATCACAACCTTTGGCAAATAAAATTGGTGCTTCAGCACTTATCATCTTAACATCTTCATCAGTTTTCATTACTTTCTTAATTCTAGCTAATGGTAATTGATGGTTTTTGAAATCATGTTCTTCATTTTCAATAGCATCAATAGTTTCTTGCCAATATCGGATCATGTTGTCTCTATGGGTCGAAACTAAACCTTGTCCGACGTTATTAAAAGCATTTCCTGGTTGATTTTGTTGTTCTGCCAATGCTGCTTCTGCAACTGCCTGAGCGGTAGCTAAATCATCTTCGGTCACTTGATGTCCGGGTCCACGTATGCTAGGTTGACTAACCAACTCATTATCTATCTCTTCATTATTATTTGGTACTTGATCCAAATATTCATTATTGTAATTTTCCATAGTGAATATTGTCTCAAGTTGACTCAACTGATGAGGTTTCTAATTCCTGAACGGAATATCGCACTCGGGCCAGTCATGTGATAGTCATGTCATGTGCGTGAGTCATGTGATCAGAGATCATGTGATCAGAGATCATGTGAGAATGATCATGTGATATTATTGCAACATCAAATTACTACACGGTCAAGATGATAAATATGAACGGATAAATATATTGATTAAACCGCAAGACTCCCAATCGGACATGTAAGGTTCCACTGAATATTTCATGTTCAATAACCCTATCAAGTCTGGAATTAATGTTATTGTTAAAAATCATAATATCCAACCCTTTGGGACGCGAATTGTTTGCAGCATCACGAATCACGGCCAATTACCAAACCTATTCAAGTAACCTAAGACACCTTTTTACGAATCCTTCCAATGTTTATGTACCACCCAATAATACGTGGAACACCAATACTCCTGTACACACGACAAAAGAAGGAATAAACAATAATCTTTCCTTAATTTGCTTGTTGTTATGATATTTTCTCAGTGACATAAATACTTCAATATCCCCCAAAAATTTTAATTTAACCATCTAATTGACAACCAATTCCCATAACGTTTCCCAAAGCATCTTTAAACATTTAAATGATATGATAATAATATTATTTTTGTTACCAGTGATATTATGTCAAGTAGTCCCTAGGGAATTACCCACGTTATCATTACCCAACATAGAAGCCACATACACCTATGATATACAAGTGAATGATGACAGCAAAAATCCATATGTGTATAAAACAGATTTACCGGAAAACTTGGTGTTTATAATACTTGGTGGTGTTGCTTTGTTGATATTCTTAATTGTTGCAATGGTAATGTTTATAACATGGTTGATTTCATTATATAAGGCTAAGACTCAAAGTGAAAAATATGTTTATAACCAACCACTTGTATATGAACATCAATCATCTGCATCATCCAATTCATCGATTTTTGAAAGAAAATCTATTCAATCCACTTCAAATTTGAGTCAATTAACTATGAATCAAGTTTTGAAAAGTAAAAATAGGGGTTCAATGTTTTTCAGTCCCACAAATGATTTCGTTCTAGATGCCAATAAATCATCTTCTAAAGTAAGTCTATTCGATTATAATCCATCAGTGTTTGAATGGAACAATATCGATAATAATAGTTTGGATCGTCTTGATAAAAAACCTTCCAAACGTCCACCAAGTCAATATCTTGAAGATTTATTAGGAGACTCTTCAGATTGAGACTAATTCGTCTTTCTTACATGTTCATAGATTGTAATATATGTAAAATTATTTCATGGCTGCAAAACTTATCTACCGCGATAAAAACCTATTTTTCCCACCAAGCCACCAGCCCGTCAATTGCGCTAGGGGACCCCATCGTGCGAAAACCAGCAATGACCCCAGATTAATGTCCAATAAATTACTCCCTTCATTGAAAAAAGTCACATTAACTTTATTTATTCAAACATGAACAGAATTATTACAAGAAATATTATCAGATCATTTGGTCAATCAACTAGACAATTGGCTAAGAATGATACTTCCACCATCGATTCCTTTAGATTACCATCACAAACATCCATTAATGAATGGGAATTTAAATATGATTTTATACCAAAAGTTACAGAACCAAAAGTTCCACCAATTAGTGAACAAGCCATAAAGCAAGACATTGCTCAAGAAAGAAAGAAAAAGGTTGAACAAGAAATGTTCAATCAAGAAAATGCCAGTAGTTTGAAAGTTGAAGCTAATGATGCAACTGTTGTTCATGGGGGTGAACAAGTTGGAGCTGAGCCTGAATTCTTACATGACAGAGGAAGTGATCCTATTAAAGTTCAAGGGTTCAAAAATGCTAGTAAAGAAGGAGGATTCAAACCTGCTAACAGGGACCAATATGTCCAAAGTTCAACTAATCCCAATTTAAACCAAGGAGAGATCCATAGTTTGAGTGAATCAAAAGTAGTTGATAACGCTCAACAAGATGTCAAACCAGGACAAGTTGTTGATGATTTAGATCATGATAATTTACATCATCAAGGACAAGATATTAAAGGTAATGGATCCAAGAATCAATTCTTTATTACTTTAGGTATCTTTGGTTTAGGTGCTGGATCTTATTATTATTATGATAAATCCAAAACCGCTAAGAAATAGATAAATAAAGAAATAGAGAGAATAGATTAGTTTAGCATACTTTTATTAAATATATATACAGGCAATAAATAGTGGAAATTCTAAATAATAGATTACTCTATATTTAATAATGACGAGCAGCTTCTTGACAAGCTTTTAATTGTTGTAAATAGTAATCACAAATTTGCATGTTACCATCGTTATCACTTAAACATCTGGTGAAGTTTCTGGCATCAACATCACATTGAACTGATTGTTGTTGTTGTTGTTGACTGGTAACTTGTTGTTGTTCAACAGGAGCTGAAGATGAACCACCAAACATACTAGTGATACCAGCACCTAAAGTATGACCAATAGTTGAACCAACTGCAACCCCAGCAGCAGTTGAAGCCATTTGACCAAATAAACCTGGTCCTTGTTGGGTTTGAGTTTGAGGTCTGGAATAACTGGATTGTTGAGGATGAGCTTGAGATGATGGGTAAGCAGCAGTGTGAGCTGATCTACTTTGTGATCTTGAAGCTGGAGCTGTTCTTCTTTGTCTTGCCATTGGAAATTATTGTTGAATTAATTAGTGAGAAATTTTTATTTATACTATCCATGATGTCGGTGAAGACACGTCCCGTAGATAATTCCAGAGAGATTCTACTAGAGTCATGGAAACGGAAGTAAAATAAGTTCCGTTGATGACTACATATAGTATTAATGATTAAACTCCAATATTCCGAATGTTATCCGATAATGTCTCCTAGTAATAATTGTGTTATAGTAGACAATCTGTTAAGATAATTTATTTACATCTGTGTTGAGTCATGTGACCTCATTGGTATATACTACAGTTTGAATCGCGATAAAAATCTCCATATGAGGTTTCTACGATTCTTACATTCTACCAGTACATTTTATGAAATCCTCGAGTTACCAAGGTCCTGTACTATCGATGATGTCAAGAAGCAGTTCAAGGTTTTGAGTAAGAAATATCATCCTGATCTAAATAATCATTTACCTGAAGATGAGAAACAAGACAATGCTGATAAGTTCATCAGAATAGTTAATGCATATGAGATTTTGAAAGATAAAAAGAAAAGACAAGAGTATGATATGACTTTAAATCCTGGTCTCGGGTCATCCCCATATTCAAGAGGTCCGGAAACCTTCAATTACTCGTATAATAATAGTCAAAAGGAATATTATGGAGAAGCAAGGTACCAAAATTCTTCACGATTAAATCGAACTAGACATAAAGTCAGAAATTTTAATGAATTCGGGGATAATGACACAACATTCTCTGGTAGACATGTTAATTATGGTGATAGAAATAATGTCCCCCATTTCAATTATGAAGAACATTTATCTAAACATTTAAAATTTGAGCAACGGATCATCAACCGTCAATTTTCGAAAGAAGAAAGAGAAGCAATTCTTAAACAATTAACCAAAACTTATGACATTTCCGAATTGAGTGAAGAATTAGTAACTAAACATTTGAAACGTCAAATTAATAGGAAAAGTAAACCAATCATTCAGGAATCCATTAGTGTGCATAAATCCGATCCTTTCATTTATCGAAGACCTGAATATACACAAGAAGAAGAAATGTCGGGATTACGAGTTATCGCTATATTGGGAGGTGCCAGTGGAGGTTTATTTATGATGTATAAGGCAATTTTCGGATAATTTATAGGTATTAAATATAAAGATAGAGACAAAATAGAGGCTAAAAAAATCGTATCTAATGTATATGCATGCTAAGCTTATCTATCAACTTCACCAAAGACTAAATCCATGGTACCAATGATAGCAACGGCATCAGCTAATAAATTACCTCTTGCGATATGATCGAAAGCTCCTAAATGAGCAAACCCTGGTGCTCTAATTTTACATCTATATGGTCTTTCACTACCATCACTAACAACGTAACAAGCCATTTCACCTTTTGGAGCTTCAATGGCAGTATAAGTTTCACCTTGAGGAACAGCATAACCTTTAGTGAATAATAAGAAATGATGAATTAAAGCTTCCATATCTTCTTTCATTAAAGATCTTGGAGGTGGATTTATCTTATAATCTTCAACTTTAACTGGACCTTCAGGCATATCATTAATACATTGTTCCATGATTCTTAAAGATTGTCTGAATTCGACCATTCTAATTAAGTAACGATCATAACAATCACCATTAACACCAACAGCAACATCGAAATCAACTAAGTCATAAGCATCATAAGGTTGAGATTTTCTAATATCGAAGGGTATACCTGAACCTCTTAACATAACACCACTTAAACTATAATTTAATGCATCTTCAGCTGAAACAATACCAACATCAATAGTTCTAGCTTTCCAAATTCTATTATCAGTGACTAATTCTTCAACTTCATCAACTCTATCACCGAATTGAGTAGCCCACATATATATGTCATCTAATAAACCAACAGGTAAATCTTGACTAACACCCCCTGGTCTGAAATAAGCTGAATGTAATCTGGCTCCACTTACTCTTTCATAAAATTCCATTAATTTTTCTCTTTCTTCGAAACCCCATAAGAAAGGTGTTAAACCACCAACATCCATAATATGGGTTAAAACTGACATACAATGATTTAAAATTCTTGTCATTTCTCCGAATAAAGTTCTAATATATTTAGCTCTTAATGGTACTTCAATATTTAATAATTTTTCAACAGCTAAAGCGAAACTTAATTCATTTGTCATCATAGAAACATAATCCAATCTATCAAAATATGGTAATGCTTGCATATATGTTTTTGATTCAATTAATTTTTCTGTACCTCTATGTAATAAACCAACATGAGCATCGGCTCTAACAACTTCTTCACCATGTAATTCTAAAATTAAACGTAAAACCCCATGGGCAGCTGGATGTTGAGGTCCAAAATTAACAGTAAAATGTTTAACTACTGGAGCTTTAACTTCACCAGATTTAGCATTTTCATGTTGATGTAATAAATTTGGATAAGTTTGTTCACCTTTATGATCATCTTTACTCCAGGTCATATCGACTTCATCCAAAACTTCAGTGAAAGTGGTTTTACCTAACATTGATCCTTCTGGTGTAACTTTATCAAATCCTGTTCCCATAGAATTTTTGAATTTATAGTCTTCTGATGGACTACTCACAAATCTTTTGAAACTACCATTGATATTATTTAATATTGATTTTTGATATCTAGTAGTACTAGATTGAAATGTCTTTCTTAACATTCTAACCAATATCTACCTCGTTATTAATTTGTATTTGAAAATGATAACAAAGATCTAAACCAAATGAAAATTTGAGAAGTCGAAGTTTGAATTAAAAAAATGGTTATTGGTTGTTGAAGTTCGCACAGTTAAGAATTAGTCGTGTGTGGACAAATGCTTATATAAGCGAGATGGGGATTTCAAAGAGTATGGGATAAGGCTTGAATGTTTGATAAGGTGGGGATAGAAAGACTAAGGATATTTGGGATGAAATAGGAGCAGTCCGGGATTATAGATCTTGAGTTAAAAATAGGTTCCGAGAGTGAGCAGTTGAATTAGTGATGGGTTTCGGTGAAGACTTTTTCATTTGTATAGTTGATTGAAGTGGCTAGGATGACCCTAATAGTTTCCTCCATGACAGTTTAACCAAGAAGGTGAGACAATAAGAGACAGAACTTTCGAATATTACAAACAAGTATTCACTCTGTTAACTATCACAACCACTGATGAGCCATGTCGACCCTCTTCCTTAATGAATCCCTGTTCATTCTTGTTCACCTAACAAATCAGCGTAGTCACAGACTAAAATACAACACGACTGTGCTAATTACAGCTCTCCTTAAAGTTATGCCATTTTTTGTCTTATCCTCCGACCCTTCAATTCTGAACACTCGTAACTTTATTTCAAAGTTCACCAAAATTAAGGTTTGAGCGCTTATCTAATGTTTGACAGCTGATGTCCTAATCTGAAGATTCTCCTTAACATCCTAGTCTTTCCGTGGTACCCCTCAAACCCGGTGAACAAACCATAGCCATTGAGCAAATTTCGAGATTCTTTCCTGGATGTCCGATTAAATTGTCTAGATACTAACTAACAAGCTAGCTAACTGCTTCTTGAATATCACTCAGAGTGTCTTCCCCGTTTTATCACAACCATTTGACAGTGCAAATTCCGTGCTTTTCAAACTCTCACTCCAACGGGGTTACATTGTTCCAATTTTCGGATAAACCAGAAGCATAACAAACCTTCAATTTTTTCACGAAACTTTTTTTCTAAATGAAAATGTTCATTTAAACACACTACAAGTACTCTCATATTCATCAAACAATCTGAACTGTCGATTTCCTCTCATCCTTGAACAAAAAATTATTCACCGGAAATCACACCAGTAACCGAAGAGAGACATTTTTAAAAATCTGTGGAGAAGCAAAACTCCGAAAATAATATAAAGTCCCATCGATCCTAGTAAATTTTTTTCTCTACTTTATTTATTTATTCATAATACACAGAAGTAATATTATGACTTCTATTCATTCTACTATAGCAGAAATTGAAGAACATAACAAGCATGTTATAAAACCACCAGTGTTAAATTCCCGTAATATATCAAAATATTTTTCCACCAGATTTTCTTCTTTATTCGTACCAAGTGAAGAATTACAACAATATTCAAAATCAGAGATCTTCAATCCTTTCCGTTCTTTGCACGAATTAAACAGAAGGCAATGGGCATTTTTCTGTGTTGGTTTCTTAGGGTGGACTTGGGATGCTTTTGATTTCTTTGCTGTCTCATTAAATGTTTCTAATATAGCAGAAGATTTGAATAAATCCGTCAAAGAGGTTACTTGGGGTATTACTTTAGTTTTAATGTTAAGATCAGTGGGTGCTGTTTTATTTGGTGTTTTATCGGACAGGTATGTTTTATCACTATCATCTTACTTTTTATTGGCCAATCAATATTTGAGTCACTAGGATGATTAATTAATCCCATGTCGCGAGGAAAAATGTCACCCCTCCCTGTCAAATTTTTTTTTATTGTTTGACAGGTTGAGGGGTAGTATATTTCCTCCACCGGCAAGGCTTGAGATGTCTTTTTACTAACAAACTTATAGATTCGGAAGAAAGTATACTTATATATCAAATCTTGTTATCTTAACCATCCTTCAAATCGGATGTGGATTTGTTAAAACTTACAAGCAATTTCTCGGAGTTCGTGCTCTTTTTGGTATTGGTATGGGTGGTCTTTTCGGTTTAGCAGCTGCCACTGCTTTAGACGATTGTCCTAAGGCTGCCAGAGGTGCCATTTCAGGTTTGTTCCAAGAAGGTTATGCTTTCGGATATTTATTGGTAGTTTGTTTCCAAAGAGCTATCGTTCATAACTCACCTTATGGATGGAGATCTCTTTTCTGGTTCAGTGCCGGACCCCCAGTATTATTTGTTCTTTGGAGATTATGGTTACCAGAAACTGATGGTTACATTCAACAACAACAAAGATTAAAATTAGAAGAACAATTTAGAGCTGAACAAGACTTACCTCCAAAAAAGTTCTTCGAATTCAGTGATTCAGCTAAAAAAGCTATGAAAACTTATTGGTTGATGTTCAGTTACAGTGTAATTTTAATGGCTGGTTTCAATTTCATGTCTCACGGATCACAAGATTTATACCCAACTTTACTTACAGTTCAATTAAATTTTGGTGAAGATAGATCCACAGTCACCAACTCAGTCGCTAATTTGGGTGCCATCTTGGGTGGTTTCCTTGTGGGTCACTTTTCCACATTTGCTGGTCGTAGATTATCTATCATGGTATGTTGTGTTGTTGGTGGAGCTTTAATTTATCCATGGGCTTTTGTCAGAAATTCAGGTATAAACGCAGGTGCTTTCTTCTTACAAATGGCTGTTCAAGGTGCTTGGGGGGTCATTCCAATTCATTTATCAGAATTGGCTCCTCCTCAATATAGAGCTTTGATTACTGGTTTATCATATCAATTGGGTAATCTTGCAAGTTCTGCCTCTTCTACTATTGAGGCTACTATTGGTGAAAGATTCCCATTAGGTGGTGGTCATTACGATTATGCCAAGACCATGTCTATCTTCATGGGAGCAGTATTTGCATTTGTATTGGTTGTGACCTTCTTGGGTCCTGAAAATAGAGGAGCAGAATTCGATATCGATAGAGATGAAAAAGTTGAAGTTGTGAACAAAGAGGACGAAATTGATAGCTTAGACGAAGCTAAGCAATATGATGAAAGAAGAGAAATTGTTTGATGACATTATGTATACTTATATTCATATCATTTTGGAAAGATCTTATATGGCTCTGTTTCTCTCATCCTCCGGTTAAACACTGGAAGTTATTCCGGTGGAGTTGCGACATTGAGGTGTGGGGCATGGAGGGCGGATAAAAACTCCGGACAAACTTAGACATTACCAGTTGACCTGTTAACCGTTTTGTGACCGGACCGATCAATTTGTGATGGGAGAAATCAATGAAGTGAGACTCTAAGAACCCCAGATAGTATATTGTACGAAATAATAATGAGTAAATTGAAACAAGAATTTCAATAATTGACACACAAGTAGTTCGATGGGGTCTTTTTACGGAAACCATTGGAGTCACCACTTCATGTCACTCTCAGTGCCTTGCTCAAGTACAGATAGTCAAAAAAAACGTAATGAAACCAAGAAACAGATCTTTACATGCTCGTAACCAAAATTTTCAAATTATATTCGATCGTATAGAATACGACCAATCGGGTTTATTACAGATTGATGCACAAGAAAATGCATATCGATCAGAAACGAAAGTAAGGATATGACCCTGAAACTTTATTATCGAATTTTGGCAGTTAAATGATGAATTGGAATAGGGCATGTTAGAGTGTCGAATCAATTCAACAATTCTAGATGTCTCTAAGCTCTTTGAAATTTGCAATAGACAAGGTTCCTTGGGCGCTGAGTTCAAGCAACCATTGTTCAGAATCAGTTCCTGAATACGTATCTCTTCTCCCATAGTCCTTAAGCACATGAATTAATATGCACGACTAAATATTTCTAAACGAGCCCGTATAGGGTTTCATTTCGAAGAATGAGTATGTATATTGGTCGTTTAACGCATAGTACATGCAATATAGGTCGTTTGCATCGTTTATAGAGGACCCCAGATTCTATAAATACTCCAACTATAAGTCATGATTCAGTAAGAATGGTTAATTATTTGATTACCGGTGTGAGTCAAGGTATTGGCTTAAGTTTAGTAAAAGAATTATGCAAGAATAATTTCGTTTATGGAACTGTTAGAAAAGCCGACGACAGAACAGCTTTAAACCAGTTGGACCCTAAAAATTTGAAGTTGATTGAGTTAGATATGGGAGATAGTGAGACCACTTTCGAAGAAGCTTTCAAGGTTATAGATGAAGTTGATGTTGTCATTCATAATGCTGGGATTATGACAGAAAAACTCTTACATCCTTTAGTCTCCAGTACCACTGAAGATTTCGAAGACTTGTTCAGGATCAATACTATGGGATGTTTCAAGGTTTATAAGTATATTCACCCTTACTTATATAAAGGTAAAGGAAGGAAGAAATTTGTTGCTATATCTTCAATGGCAGCAGATCCTGGTATCATTGATTCAACTAAACAAGGATCCAGTGCTTATGGAGTTTCAAAAATCGCTATCAATTACTTAATCAAACAGATCGCAGCGGAAAACTCCAAGAGTGAAAATTCCGTGGAATCAACATCTTTAACCATTGCTTTACATCCAGGTGCTTTAAGAACCCCAATGACTGAAGAGATTGCTGAAATATATCCTCAAATGTTCAAAAATGCTGAAGAAGGAGTCAAGAATATCTTGAAATTGATAGATAACAAGAACTTAATCTCTGGTGGGTTCTATAACGCTGGTGATGGATCAAAATACGTATTTTGATTATCTTTTACATATTCAGTTGCAATCCATACATCAATATTACAAATTACTCCTGCAAAACTCGTCAATTGATAAGTCTCTGTGAATGCACATCGAAGCGCGTTAACCAGCCATAATTTCTTTTGCGAACCTAGATTATAAGAATGCGAAATTTTCAAATTTTTTACAACTCATTATCATTCACTTAATCTGAGTTTCATTCTGGAATATTGTTCACATTAACTTGTATAACATACCTTCATTAAGAAGATTTCCTTTCAACTAGAGTTCTAACATAAAACTTGTCAAAAAAAACCAAAAAAATCATGAGTAAAAGAAATTTAGACGCTACTGAAGAGCTTAAAAAGAAGAATATTGATGAATTAACTCAAAAGTTATCTTTAGAAAACAACGATTGGCCAATATATAATCATCCGAATGGAGGAATTATCAAAATCACTCCTTGGGGTTCAATCAGACAATATGAATCTAATGGTGAGACTATTACAAAATTTGAAGATATGAATTTCAGTGATTATGACTTCATTAATTTACCTTTACCATATAAGAACCAAGTGCCTCAACCTCAACAAAATCCGTTTGGAAGAAATTTGAATACTATGAGTTCTATGAATTCTTTGAGTAACAATAGTGATAATTATGATATGGATTATGATGGTTATCAAAATGATTACGAATTACCACAAACTCCACAATCCATTAGATTGAGTCCTAGTGATGAAGCTGAAAATTATGTTCTCAAAGGATATTCTGATCCCAATTTTCAACAAGAATATAGTAAAGAACAAGAAAATTACTTTGGAATGATGGATGACATAGATGATTCCAATAATGATTGATTAAAGGGAATGGTTATTTAGGATATGGGAATGACATTGAAAATTGTATTTCGAATGTAAATTAGAGGTTTCAAGTTAACTGGTTACTTGAGGACTAAGTGTTGTATTTTTTTGGAAAAGAAAGAAAAATTTTGTAAATATAAAAATTTGTACAGTTAAGAGATTATATAAGAATGTACTATAAAAATAAATGTATTTAAAAATTCTCTCAATGTTTTATGGAAATGGTTCCATAAGTTCGTATGGTATATCAGTGCAAGTGATGCTCATATATTGTGCTGACTGACTGACACTAAACCCTCTTGTTGTATAGCAAAATATCGACAATTCCCACCAGTGGTATTGAGTATGTAGCTTAACTTACTAAAATTCACAAAAAGGTTATCGTCGATATCGTTCAATGGTAAGTTTTTATAATTGGAAACGGTTGTATTACTCCATTTGTCATAAGAGTTCAATTCAGGTAAACAACCATCAATGAAAGGCTTATCATTTTTCACCTTTATGTAGTATTGTAATTCGCCTATCATCAATTGACTATCGATAGTTTTTCCATCACCATCATAATCTAAGACATGATGAAGATTTCTGGGGATGCTTTTGAGTTTGGGCATTTCATCAAATTCTCCACAAAGATCTCTTCCAACGTTCAAACACCAGAACCATTCCACCATAGCATTAAATGACCAGAACTGTAAACATAATTGATTCAACTCTAATCTAAGTCTTAAAATATTCTCATACTTAACATTAGTGAATGTGTTGGAACCTCCAGTCATCACTGGGGCTTTCCCAACTTTCATTCTATTCAATGTGTATAATTGATGGACCTCTCCTTTATACTTGGTTAACAACTTATTGAAGCAATCTCTACTGGTTATAGGTTCAAAAAGTAATTTGTTATCTTGAAGTTCATGGTGATACTTCTTCAAGTTATTTAAATCTTTAGAGATCTTCATATTCTCTATTTTGTCTTTCAATCCATTTTCTAAATCAATTTTATTGCAATATTTAAATAAACTCGTTATGGTACTTTTGAACGCGGTAGTTAAATTGATCTTGTAAAGAATCAACTGATTAGAATTTTGCTCCAAGAGCATCGGTTGCCATGATCTTTTGGAATTTAACTTGTATGGAGTTACAAATTCTGTCTTTACTAAAGCTAAACCAAAAAGCTCTGTTGATGGTGCATAATCTGGTAATGACTCCTGAGATTCTGAATAGTGGGGTAAATCATCTTTTGAGTAATGAGGTAATTTACTTATTGATGACGATGATGCTAATGAAGTGGAGTTTGATGATATGGATCCATTGGTAACTTGTGAAAATATAGAATCTTCGTCCATGGTTGATTTGGAAGATTTTTTGCTACAACTTCTTGACATAGGGTCGATCATAGTCTTGGCCTTGGCAATGCTAATTCTAAAACTGAAAGTACGAGAATTCTTGTCGTGCTAGGCTGTAATGTTGCTGGAATAGGTTATTTTTTAGGTCCGGAGTAGTTAGATCTTTTCCTGTGAAGATCTTGACAAAAAATATAGTTTATACCTTGCAGTGGTTAAATAATGCAGATAATCCGAAAAGTTCTGATGTTTATCTTCAGAACAGTTTTGTGGGTTAAATATATGAAGGGAATGATCGGAATATTAATATCTCGGATGGTTTCCAGTAACTAGATGAAAATATTTGAAAAAAACGGGGTGGTTGGGAAAAATCTCCATATAAATGATGCTTCGGATCTGCTGCCGAATTCTCAATTTGTAACCGTTTACGATTTTTTGTTCACTTGTTTGTTTGAGCAAATTGTTTGTTCGCAATCAATTACGTAGGAAGATATTTCATAAGCAAAGGAAATGGTAATGAATTTCCAGTTGCTTGAATGACTAACTTCGGTGGCTTTATTATATGAAGTTTTTTGATTTAGAGGTATGGAGATAGGTAGTCTTCGGCACTCTTTGATTACTTTATCTTCAAAATGATTGGCCGGAGTTATCGCTCTCCCAAGAACACTTAATCAATATTTAACCAATCGGCATAACAATTAATTTTCCAAAGAGATATCGTACTTTTAAGCGAAGTGCTTCAGGAATTTCTTGGTAAGAGATTTGAAACTAAACCTTCACTTATATTAACTCATAGATTATACTTAATTATTCAGAGCTCATGCCCTTTTCCATTTCCTTGTGTACGTATTGTTGTTCAGCACTGGAACTACTGTTGATTTGATTAGTAACAATAACTTCATCGATTTCTTCAACTTCATCTTCGATCATTGGTAAAATCAAGTTGACAATTAAACCAACGAAACCACCAATGGCAAAACCACTATTGGCAACTAAAGTTAAAGCTTGGAAGAATGATTTTAATCCAGTGTTGTCACCGTCGTAAGTGAAAACATTACTAAACCAAGATTCCATTAAAATTGGTGGTAAACCAATAACGAAAATACAAGTTAAGATGAATCTATTTCTTCTGGATAAATCAGATTCACTGATAATTTTCATACCAGAGGCAGCAACTGATGCAAATAAGAATGAAGTCATACCACCAAGAACTGATTTATGAATGGATAAGATAACACCTGAAAGTTTGGCGAAAACACCCATAATAATTAAAATAGCACTGTTGTAGTAACCAACTCTTCTGGAAGCACATTTGGTAATACTGATAACCCCATTATTTTGAGCGAATGTTGAGTATGGAGTCATAGTCATTAAACCAGCAAAGACACCGAATAACCCATCAGCTAAAACACCCCCTTGAACTCTTGATTCGAATTCTTCACTTTCTAAGTCAACCTTGGATAAATCAGCAGTGGCAGTGATATCACCAATAGCTTCCATCATCAAGACGACATAAACCATGATAAAAGGTAAAACAACTGGAGCATAAAATCCCAATTTGAAAGTTTTGACCCAAACGAAAGAGACAGCTTTAGCATTTTCGATTTGAGTTGGGGTGAAATAGCCAGTTGCGGCACCAACGATACAACCCATTAATAAACCTAAGATAACAGCACATGATTTCATAATTGGAGATCCAAATCTTTCAAAAAATACAATACTTACGAAAACAGTGAATCCTAAACCAATGAACTGGGCAGATCCCCATGGAGCTGTTGTCCCATGATTTGATGCACAAGTACCGTGAGCACAATAACTTCCACCTAACCAATCGTTAGCACCTGAATGAACTAAATGAGCACCAATAAGTAAAACGACTGAACCGGTAATGATACTTGGGAAAACTTTTTGTAAGATTTTAGCAGGAGTGAATGACAATAAAACTTCAATCAAACAACATACCATGGCAGTACCTAAAATCTTTCCATAACCATCAGGACAAGGTTGTTTGACACCATCAATGATTTCACAAACACCATTTTCATACATCAAAGGGAACCCTTGAGAAACAATATTAATGGTTGCAAAAGATGTACCTACAACTGATAATAAACCAGTACCAATATGATATTTAGTACCATATATGTGGAATCTGGTGATTTGAACAGATGATAAGATACCTGTGACAATCAAAGAAGTAGAAACAAGATAATTTTGAGTATCAGCATCTAAATTTGCAGCTGCTGAGATCATAATTGGAGGAGTAACTACACCTGCCAACATGGCCAAAGCATGTTGGAAACCTAATAATAAACCTAAAATAACTGGCATTTTATCATTTAAACCGAAAAATGGTTGTGTCTTTGGGGTCTTTTTGGTGAATGGTAATTGAGGGATGAATAAGTAACCATAATCATAATCACCTAACAAACCTTCTCTGGTGGTCCATTTCTTACCCCATCTTTTTAAAGTTCCTTGGACGTTAACGTTAACCATTATTGATTACTATTGTTGTTGTTAATCTGTTGGATCAATTGATAGAGATTATTGGAGATAATCATTTTCTTTTATACCATTTAGGATTTCTCGTTTTGACAAGAAATTTCTTTGCCTTATCAAATTTCCATGCTTCAGGACATCTCCTTAGATTTTAGATTTTATTTTTTTTCAATACCCTGCCCTAGTTGGGTCTGGGAAATTTATAGATAAGAAGATAAATGATATTGTATGATAGCATTGATAATAGTACCCTAAGTAAATATCTGATAGCGTGGGTAAGTGTTAGAGATTAATTTGACTGCAAAATAAAAGGTATCTGGTCGAGTGATCAATCATCCAGAATTCTAAACCAATAATTTCCTCTGATTTGTCGGTACGATAAGAATTTCAACCTCTAGTTCGCTGTTTAGACAATCTATGTCGATCTGTTAGATAACTGGTATTCTCCCAATGAAAATGGATCAAACCGAAGAAATTTCTTGGTTTTTCTTATTTTTTGCAGGTGAACATTTTATCGGGGAATTCCATAAAAATGTTAAAATGTGGAGGTTTCCAAATATTGTTTACCACAAATTGACCCCATGTTTCTAAGATGAACGGAATGATTATTGAAAAACCATCATTCATGCAATAGAAGCTTCCAATATTAAAGCCTGGATTAGGTAATTTTTGGGGTAGAGATAATTTCGATAATAAATTTTTGGATCAGGGGTACTACCCTGGAATGGGCCGAAATTTTCTCTGATATGTTAACGGAGATATCCAGAACTAATGGTTGCATCACATGATGTGAGATCGCGGAAAAAATACCAAAGCGGTAAAATACTACAAGAGAACATAATGAAACAATTCTTAACCAAATCGGGTAAACCCATCACAATTGGAACAGGTACAGGGACCAAATGGCAATGGGCTAAGAAGGCTACTGATGATAAATACTTTCAACCTGTTATTGATCAACTTAAATTGAGTATTAAATGTGGATACAACCATATTGACACTGCTGATACTTATACTACTTGCCCTGAAGTCGGTAAAGCTATTAAAGAAAGTGGTGTGGCTAGAGAGGATATCTGGATTACCACCAAGTATGCTGCTTTCACCATTCAAGGCAGAAGAGCCCCTGAAACAATCACTTTAGCTTTCAATCAAATGTTAGAGGAATTGGAAACTGACTATGTTGATGCCTTTTTGATTCATTCCCCCTTCATCGATGAAGATTACGATTATACTTTAACTACATTGTGGCAAGAATTACTTGAATTATATAACACTGGTAAAATTAGATATATTGGGGGTTCTAACTTCAGCGCTAACCATTTAAAATTAGTTAGTAGTTTACATGAGACAGTTAAACCAGTCATGAATCAAATTGAATTCCATCCAAACTTACAAAATCAATCGAAAAACATTGTCCAATTTTGTAAAGATAATGACATTCTTGTCGAAGGTTATAACCCTCTTTGTTCATTATTCAAATTCAAAGATGAAAATTTATCCAACTATATTGGTGAATTAGTTAAGAAGTATGGTAAAACTGATAGTCAAATCATTTTGAAATGGGTTTTACAAATGGGTGTTTTACCTGTAACAACATCAAGTAATGAAGATAGAATCAAACAATCTTTGACTTTAGACTTTGACTTAACAGAAGAAGAAATGAAAGAAATCTGTGATATTGGGGCTAAAAACAAGCAAAGATTCTTCTTCCTGGATTTTGATGAACAAGATTTATAGTGGAAACCCCCTTCTTAAAGGAGAATTTCCAGTGTTAGAAACTTTGACAATGGTTTTATAGAGAAAATAGATGCCTAAAGACACGGCACGTTCAATTCACTTTCAACCTCTTTTCGAATCCCAGGAATCTTTTGGAGCCCACAATGCCGATTATGCAAAACATCAAGTTCGCTCGAGCATATGACATCACTCCACGTTCCATCGAGTGTCATGAAGCGTTTTAGAAACCTTGAAAGCGCTTGATGAGTGTCATATGCAGTCCAACGTAAATAAGCCGCCTTAAATTACGCTGATGAGAAGCTATTCTTAGGTCAAAAGCTTAATGAGGAAAAGTGAATAGTTGCACAATCTGCGTTTTACCCTTAATGAGATTGTTTTCAATTAAACTTCAAAACATAAACTCTGGGGTTTTGAGTTTTGACGTTGAAAGGTCCAAATTGAGAAATTTGTTTTTATATTCAATTGCTTTATTTAAATCCTTCCCCGGACTAATTAACTTCAACTGGTGGCTTTAATTGGTTGAAAAAGCCTCTGGTAATTAGCTTTCAATTAATTTCGGGCAAGTTTCCCTGTTGCGTGCTCAATATCCAAAATGAGGTCCAAATATCATATTTACCCCAGCTTACATAATTTAGACTGACCTAAACTAGTAAATTTCTATTAATATCTCAGGTACTGACTTATTCGCCGCTTGGAAAGCAGGATGTATTCTGGAAAATAACAGGAATTCCCCTTTTCATCATACCTGAATCCCGTTAGCCACATAACCTTAAACACTTGTTTCTTTTTTCTAATTTCCCTTCTCCATTACGACATCGAATGTTTGGCATGCCGTAGTTGGAAATTATTAGGAACATTAAAAACAGATCTTCTTCAACAATAAAAATAATGAGGGTTAAGTCTTTACTATTGGTAGTTAAATTTGGTTACTTTTTGTCTCAAAATAGGATTGTTGTTAGGAACTCTTTGAGAACCATAAAAATATCCTAAACATTGAAAATCTATTTACAGCAAGTTTCCCTTGAAAACAAACATGATTTCACCTCGTGCACATAATCAGTACTTGTTAACCTTATTACGGTAGTCGTTTTTTAGCTAAAACTGTTAAGGTTAATGTAACATGAAAAAAATTGAGAGATTTTGCAACAAAAAATGACGTGAGGAACTGACTGCAAAAAAAAGAAGTGCTAAAAATAGGAAACGTAATTATTAGCTTCGTAAAAATAAAATATTGTGAATGGCTAAAGTTAGCCAAAATTTACTATAAAAGCAGGAGGTAATTCCTATTGAATGGTCATTAATTAACAGTTTTACTACAGTTTATCAATTAACAAATTTAAGAAATGAGATCTTTCGCTTACTTACCATTATTATCCATCGCTTCAGCTTTAACTTTAGTTACTGAATCAAGTAACGCTGAATTATCAGGTAAAGGTATTTCTTCAATCCATGAAGGTGCTGGTATCAACTATTTCCTTGTTGGTACTACTGCCAATGGTGAAGACTTAACTTATGCTGATAACGGATTATCCACTGAACTCGGTTCATTAACTTACAGAGTTTCCAAATCTGGTTATTTCTTAGCTAACAGTGTTTTAGAACCATCAACCGTTGATATTTCTTCAGGGTATGCTGTTATTGACGGTCAAGAAGATTTCTTCGCCTGTAAGAACGTCAATGATCCATACAACTATTCTGAACAACAATATGCTGTTGTTTTCGATAAACAAAACGATGATTGTGTTGATATCAAATTGAAAGTTGCTGGTGAAGATACTTCATCCTCAGCTGCTCCAAGTTCATCAGCTGCTCCAACTGCTCCATACGCTAACTCAACTGTTACTACTCAATACACCGTTACTGATTACACCACTTACTGTCCAGAACACACCACCGTTACCATTACCACTTGTTCTGACCACAAATGTGCTCCACATGTTGTCACTGTTGAAAGTGCTACCACTTTAACCATTACTGGTGAATGTTTAGTCACCTCATCTCCAGCTCCAACTACTGCTGCTCCAACCACTACCGTTGAAACCGCTGCTAGTTCTGCTAAACCATCAACCATTGCCCCAGTTTCAACTTTCGATAACAGTGGTTCAAAAGTTGGTGCTTTAGGTGGTTTAGCTGCTTTAGGTTTATTATTATTATAGGTTACGTTTTTATTTTCTTTCCATTTTTCTAGTTTTTTTGCATAGGAGTCTTGTTATTTCGAAAAGTTGAATATATTTCATAGTTATTACTGATGTTTCTGAAATCTCTTGCTTATTTAATCAATCTCTTAACCCTATTTTGAATTTGCCTGTATTGAAATTTGCCTGTATTCAAATTTGCCTGTATGGTATTTCCCCTACCTCAGTTGATGTCTGCAAATCATGGGGTCCTCAGCAATTTTCCCCATATTTTTAAACCAGCATCTTTTGGTACTATTTCTGACTAAAAATCACCACTTGTAAACATCTTTACCTCTTTAGTAACTATTGCAAGAATGTTTCATGTCACACCATTGCAAAGCCTATTATAGAACTAATTGAAATTCGAACTTTTCGTGTAGTTTTGTTTTCGGTAGAAACACTCTCCGTTTGTTGAGGATTTGAATCCCACACCGCAAAATTTCGAAATTAGTCCATTATGTCAAACTTAACTCCAAAGAAACATACCAAATCTCAATCAGCTTATGTATGTATTAACAGTTCATGTAATGTATTGTGTAATTGTATAGTCCCAAGGATTTTGGAGAATTCTTTTCAAGTTTTTCCCGTTAATATTTCGTGACTTTTGATATTTGTGATTCATTGATACAGATCAAAGAGTGGAATGTATCAGAGAATTTCGACCAATGGACCAATTTTTCACGACCTGAAGTCCTGGATACTGTCAATTATACTACAATGAACCCCTTGAACCACATACTAACACCATATAGGCCTTTGATAACACTGCAACTAATGTTGCTGCATCACAAATGAGAAATGCATTGAACAATTTAGTCGATAGTGTTTCAGATGCTGAAGCCCAAAGAAAATTTGAAAATGAAATGGATTCATTCTTTGCTTTATTCAGAAGATACTTAACTGATAAAGTAAGTGGAACTCAATTGGATTGGGATAAAATTAAATCACCCAATAAAGACGAAGTTGTTAACTTTCAAAGTTTAGTTAATGATGATGCTTCTAACTTGGATAAATTAGCTGTTTTGAAATTGAATGGTGGTTTAGGTACTTCAATGGGTTGTGTTGGTCCTAAATCAGTCATTGAAGTTAGAGATGGTAACACTTTCTTGGATTTAACTGTCAGACAAATTGAACATTTAAATAGAAATTATGATACTGATGTTCCATTATTATTGATGAATTCTTTCAACACTGATGCTGACACTGCCAAAATCATTAAGAAATATCAAGGTCATAGAATCAGAGTTAGAACTTTCAATCAATCAAGATTCCCAAGAATCTTAAAAGATAGTTTATTACCTGTCCCATCAGATTTTGAAGATAAGAGTGAAAGTTGGTACCCACCAGGTCATGGTGATTTATTCGAAAGTTTAGTCAGCTCAGGTGAATTAGATTATTTACTTAATCAAGGTAAAGAAATCTTATTCGTTTCAAATGGTGATAACTTGGGTGCTACTGTTGATCCAAAAATCTTAAATCATATGATCGAAACCAATGCTGAATTTATTATGGAATTAACTGATAAAACCAGAGCTGATGTTAAAGGTGGTACTTTAATTAATTATGATGGTCAAGTTAGATTATTAGAAATTGCACAAGTTCCAAAAGAACATGTTGAAGATTTCAAATCTATCAAGAAATTCAAAAATTTCAACACTAACAATTTATGGATTAACTTAAAAGCCATCAAAAGATTAGTTGAAAACAATGGTATTCAATCAGAAATCATTCCAAATCAAAAATCTATCTCATCAGGCTCAAGTGATATTAACGTTTTACAATTAGAAACTGCTGTTGGTGCTTCAATTAGATATTTCAATAATGCTCACGGTATTGTTGTTCCAAGATCAAGATTCTTGCCTGTTAAGACTTGTAGTGATTTATTATTGGTCAAATCTGATTTATTCTTCTTGGAACATGGTGCATTAAAATTAGATCCTGGTAGAGATGGTTTTGCTAATCCATTAATCAAATTAGGTTCTCACTTCAAGAAAGTTTCAAATTTCCAATCAAGAATTCCTCATATGCCAAAAATTTTGGAATTAGATCATTTAACTATTACCGGTAATGTTAATTTAGGTAAGAATGTTCAATTAAAAGGTACTGTCATTATCGTTTGTAATGAAGGTGATAAAATTGATATTCCAAATGGTTCAATTTTGGAAAATGTCGTCGTTACTGGAAGTTTATCAATTTTAGAACATTAAAATTGGTTTGTAGTTCAAGTGAATACCCCCCTACGTCTCATTTCCTTCCTCTTAAAGTTTTCACCAGGCTCATCAGTTGGTGTAAACGATCGCACCATAATTATCTATATAATCTCCCCATCCCGCATTAGTCAGTGAAAAACTCAAAAATGTTACCTGAACCACTTGATCTCCAAAATTGGATCAAAAATAATGAACATTTACTTCAACCACCTGTAAATAATTACCTTGTTCATCGTGGAGGGTTTTCAATTATGATCGTTGGAGGTCCTAATGCTAGAACTGATTATCATATAAATCAAACACCAGAATATTTCTATCAATTTAAAGGAACTATGTGTTTGAAAGTTGTAGACGATGGACAATTTAGAGACATTTTCATCAAAGAAGGTGAATCATTTTTGTTACCTCCAAACACTCCTCATAATCCAACGAGATTCGAGAATACTATTGGTTTAGTAGTTGAACAAGATAGACCTAAAGAAATGAATGATAAATTAAGATGGTATTGTATGAATTGTAGGGAACAAATTCATGAAGTTGAATTCTATTGTTACGATTTAGGAACTCAAGTCAAAGAAGCTATAGTTGCATTTGATGGAGATATGAAAGCAAGAACATGTGAAAAGTGTGGGACTTTGAATTATTCAAGACCTCAATAGACATTCTATCTATGTATATTTATGATAATGATTTCTTATAAAATTCTTCACCCTTTTCGAAAACGTAATCAACTGCATGTTCAACGGGCTCATCAAAAACGTAGGGTAATAATGGTACAATACTCAAACCTATACCAACTGGTCCATAAGTCTTGAAACTTTTAGGAGCATTTGTGAATAATAATGATGAATATCTTACAGCACTATGAATGGTAAAAGCTGGTAACCCCATTGAGGCAATACTTTGGAAAATACCTCTCTTGATGGCTGATAACCTCCAATCTTTATCTACGACACTATTACTTGATGCGTCAAAAGCTTGTTTAGCAATTGGGTTGGCTTCAGGAATGGTATCCCAGGGTTTTAATCCTTCAGTATATCTACCTTCTGATCTCAATTTGACTTTCCAACTAGCGTATCCAACATCTCCTAAAATATACATCCAAGATACAGCATAACCAAAAGATACTAAAAATGGGTGAGCAACAGGTCTGAAACTTTCACCAATATCAGAAGTATAAGCTACATATCTATGAGAAGCTAATAAAATGGTTCTAAATCTATTAGCATATGCAGCATATCTCAAATTGGTTTGTTCTAAGTCGTCGTTCTTGATTGACTCGTTGATTTTATCTAATTCTTTGGACATTATTCACTGAGGTGGAATTCTCAGGGATCGCGAATGACATCTCACTCCCAAACGGATCTATCAGGAACCGGGTCCCGTCGCAGTATTATTAGAGTTCCAAGTCCATAAAGAGGATTGGGGATTAATGACTTCATTGTCATTTTTTTCGAATATTAACCCATTACCTGGTCCTTGGGAATAACAGCAAAAAATAATGTTTTCGAAACTAGGATTTTGTTCAACTGCTCTGAACTGGTCTTCGATGGTAATATTCACGATTTTATATTCTTGGTTTTGTTCAGCTTCTAATTGAGCCACAATATCTTTCAACAATATTCTATTCGAACTGATTCTGTAGCTATCGAGAACATGTTTGGGATCGGTGGTGGCAATTGCAGCCACACTATTGGCAATATCCTCAAGAGTGCAATAATCCACAACTTTGGTTTCGTAATCTCCAACAACTTTAACCTCACGATTCTTTTGCACAACCCCAATTATATCTGTATATGCATACAAGAATATTGGTGGAAATCTGAAGAATCCGGTATATATTCTCACGACTTTGATGGCTTGGCCTTCGAGTCTTTTGTTATGATCAAATTTATATACAAAAGGAGGAAGTAACAACTTTTCATCTAAAACATCGAGATCATTACCAAACTCACTTGGAATGTAGAACTTCGGTTTTATAGAAACAATGATGGGCTCTAAAGTTTTCAAAAGATCCTCTTTACCGGGTAATAAGGAGATCAATACATCGATACCTTTCAATTTATCAACGAGAGTCTCGTCAATCGATGCTTTGACAAACTCAATTTTTTCGTTACTGGGCATATCCTTAGAAGTTACAACTTTGATTGGAAATGATACATTGAAATTCTCATTACTGAATGCCTCTAATACTGCCTTTCCCAATACACCAGAATAACCTAAAACTGCTACAGTCGTCATCACAAAATTAATCTCAGCTTGAAATTGGGTCTCAATAAAATTTTGCAGCAATTGGCTGCGAGGTTAGATAGTCACGTGATATATTATAACACCCTTTATTGATACAAGACTTAACTTGAAGGTCTCTTAACTTACTTTCTCATCAAGTTCGAGTGTTTCAGGTACGTTTTTGATATATGTTATGGGAAAAAGACGAAAATAGTGAATTTTACGATTTAGAGAATGTTAAAGAAATTTATTTATTTAACTACCAAGTATTGTATTTCCATAATGATTGACCAGGATTGATCAATTCATTTTCATCACCAGAGAAAACAATACCCTTGTCTTCACCGAGACTGAAATATACAAATAAAGCTTGAGGGAAGTTGAAAAGATTTTTTTGTAATTCAGCTTTTTCATCTTCGAGTTCAACTTGTTTGATTTCATATTTCTTACCTTGTTCAGCTTCAATTTTGGCAACAACTTCTTTCAAAGAAATTCTTCCTGATCTGATTCTGTAGGTATCTAAAACCTTAGAAGGTTCGGTAGATGCAATAGAGGCAACGGCATTACCAATATCATCAGCAGTTGAAAAATCAACGTATTTTGAATCATAATCTCCAACAACTTTAACAACAGCGTCTTTTTGTGAAATTCCAATAGTATCGGTGAAAGCATATAAGAAAACAGGAGGAATTCTGAAGAATGAAGTACTAATTTTAACAACTTTAATTCCTTTAGCTTCTACACGAGCATTATGATCAACTTTGGCTGTCAATATAGGTGACAAGACGTCAGATGGAATTTTTGGAATTTCACAACCAAACTCACTTGGAATGTAAAATTTTGGTTTGATGGCTTCTATGATTGGTTCCAATTTAGATAAGACTTCTTCTTTGGCTGGAAGAACAGATACTATAACATCAGTACTTTTTAATTCGTCAGCTAATGAAATGTCGAGATCAGATTTGATATATGTAACTTTGTCAGTTGAGTCAGCAGATCTGTCTTGGGAAGTGATTACTTTGATTGATGAAAATTTGGAACTAAAGATTGGACCAGAGACTGCTTTAATGATTGATGGACCAACTTGACCACCTGAACCGAAAATTGCAATTGAAACCATTTTATTTATTGTTATCTGTTATTATTTATTTAATTCTAATTATGCTTCTGAATTGATATCTAGAAACTTAGAGAAATGATTCAATTTATATTTTTTCGTCAACCTTCTATTACAAATTGTGGAAAAGTCACATTTGTAATGCGGAGCGGAAAACTGACATGATCACCGGTTTATTTCTAATCATTAGTATTTTCGCAGCCACGCCATTGCAGGGGAGGCCCAGTTTGGTACCACAGGTCAAACTGGGGGCGGTACAATGCGAATTTCCATCGCAGTTAAGGAAACCTGGGGCGGGGTGCAAGATTTCCCTACAAATAGTCGTATTTCTTTCACATACTCCGAAATCTTGGGAGGGAGATTACAAATCTTAGTCAAATATGAGAAAGCCATTGTTCAAGTAATTAGCACAACAGTGAAACAGCGAAACTCTCAATCTTAGACCAGTCGACTCACAGTCGAAATAGCAACCAATTCGACTATGCAAGTTAATATTGCACCATGTACCCCAGCCACACTCGGCAAAGTCTATGTATATTGGCACATATATCAAGACTGTGGCCTCAGAACACTTTTACTTCCTCATCAACAAAACTTCATCACGTGGAAAAAATGAGATTGAGGAACTCTCACTGTTTGTTTACACAATGAATCAAACTAAATTTAAGAAAGACATTCAGAAGAAAACAAAGTTGACGATAAAGAATGATTCGAGTAACTTGTTGATTTATTTGATATACGTCAACTATTTGAATAATTTAATAGAGAATTCCACTTCGAACAATGAAATTACTATGACCAACTTGATCAAAGAGAACGAGACTTTATTGAAAAAATTCCGAGGTTAGAAGGATACCATATAACATTGCCACAGTGGACAGTTCTCCTATGAATTGTGTGTCAATGAAAGACATAAAGGGTGGGGCATGAGTTGGTGCTTTACATAATTAATTTGAGTGGTTTCATAGATGATTTTTCCCACTCTGAAGTAACCCATAAGAATTTCTCATTCAAGCAACGTTCAACAATCCGTGATAAACCTCAAGGACCGTGCTGGCATGGTACATAAACGAATATATGTAGATAAATAAATATCCCCGAAATCTCACTCACATTTTCTCACCATCATTCATGAATACTATAATCGTCAGATTCATTGACTCCAACAAAGGGGAACAAATCACAGACCTTGAAATATCTGACACAGTATTTCACTTAGGGAACATAAAGAAAACCATTAGAGAGAAAATCGATTTTGCCTCCAACAAAAGATTGAAATTAATTTACAATGGACGAGTTATCAATGATAAGTTCAAATTCACTGATTTAAAGTTCACTGATCATAAATGTTACATTCACTGTGTCATCGGCGAAACACTAACAATCAAACAATTGAATGAAGAAAATGAATTAGATAATGAAGAGATTAAACAAACAACACAACCACAAGTGATTGGATTCGACAGGTTATTACAACAGGGATTTAGTCAACAAGACATTGATCAATTAAGATCACAGTTTGAAAACATTCACAATATCGATAGAAGTTCAGACCAGCCGATTAATGATTTAGAAGAAGAAGAACAAAGACAAAATTATATCAGACAACTTGAAGAAAGATGGATAGAACTGACAGTTAACCCATCAGGAGGAACCACCACAAGAGCAACAGCAGAAGATGAACAAAATGGTGAGACTGTAACGCATAATGTCCCTTCAGCAGAATTGGAGGAAAATCACAACAAAGACTTATTGATTGGTTTAATGATAGGGGTATTTTTGGGTATAGTTGCCGGACTATTTGTGATCTGTGACGATTCCATTTTCAACAAACGTCAAAAGATGGCCATAACAGCAGGGATATTCGTTAATTTTTCTATGGCTATTGTCAGAGGTCAATGGATTTAAAAATTCTCAGTGGATTTGAGATGAGATGAGTTTATAGAATATAATCTGAAGAAATGAATTCAAGATTTAATTAAGATCTAATGACTTTCCAAAATCAAATGGATATACATCCACCAGAAGATCTTGTAGTAAAGAATTTTATAGCTTATAATGAATATGTATGACCTACCAGCCCTTAATAATCCTCATATACTCCTAACCAAGGGGCTAGAAAGCATGGGTAAGAAATATTAATCAGGGCATTAAGATGGACAAATTAATCTCGCCGTTAACTTGACGCTTGCCGATTCGTAGGGATTGAAAAAAGACAAGCAACACGGTAATAGTTAAGGCTGCCGCACAATTTCTTCTCACTGAAAATTTTTCAATTTAAATGATGATTTTGTCCGGGTAACCCAACACTCTAACAGTTTCCTCAAAGGAATTTAGATTTCACGATTGTTTAATTGAAGTATATTTCCTATTAGAGATACCATAATCATCAGCCATTTAACTGGTTGATGTAGAGTTTTTATTTCCTCGTGATTTTTGTGCGGTTAAATGGACTAGATAAGTACCGGCGTTTGAGGATACCGGTCCTGAATTCTCAAAATCCTTTGACTCATTGTGGAGAAATTTTCCATTATATTTTTTTGCTTCTTTATCGATTTGTCTCAATTGACTGTTATAAAAAATCAGGAATTGATTCATTGGAACTTCTTATAGATTAAGATATTTTTACTATTGGGTAATTGTGGGTGTTTTTTTCAATTGATTTTAGTTCATAGTTTAAGGATATAGGATGTCAGAACAACCATTACCATTTATTTATCAGTTCTTAGCTGGTGCCATTGCTGGTGTTTCAGAAATTTTATTAATGTATCCATTGGATGTTGTTAAAACTAGACAACAATTGGACACTACAGGTTCATATACTGGAACCGTTCAAACTTTTAAAAAAATCATTAAAGATGAAGGGTTCTCAAGATTATATAAGGGTATAACATCACCAATTTTAATGGAAGCTCCAAAAAGAGCTACTAAATTTGCAGCTAATGATGAATGGGGGAAATTTTATAGAAGTTTATTTGATGTTCCAAAAATGACTCAACCTTTAGCTGTTTTAACCGGTGCTACTGCTGGTGCAACTGAATCATTTGTAGTTGTTCCATTTGAATTGATCAAAATCAGATTACAAGATAAATCATCCAAATTCAATGGTATGTTGGACGTTTCAAAACATATCATCAAAACCAATGGGATTTTTGGTTTATACAAAGGTTTAGAATCAACTTTATGGAGACATGTTGCATGGAATGCTGGATATTTTGGATTGATTTTCCAAGTTAAAGAATTAATGCCACAACCAAAAAATTCAACTGAAAAGACTTTGATTGATTTAACTTCTGGTGCTATTGGTGGTACTTTTGGTACTATGTTAAATACTCCATTCGATGTTGTTAAATCAAGAATTCAAGCTGGTGATATCAAATATAAATGGACTGTTCCTTCATTATTCGTAATCGGTAAAGAAGAAGGTTTCAGTGCTTTATATAAAGGTTTCTTACCAAAAGTTTTGAGATTAGGTCCAGGTGGGGGTGTTTTATTAGTTGTATTTACTACTTGTATGGATTTCTTCAGAAGTATTCAATAGATCATATCTTATATATATATATATACTTTCTTTAAATGTTTTTCACTATATCTTTAATATCTAATTGTACTTTAGGGATGTCTAATAATGTCAAATCTCCATCGAATAATTCAATCGTATCAATGAACTCTACAGAATCATAATCTAAATCTGCAGGCCGTATTTTATTCTCATCATTAGAACCTTCAAGATCGAATTTCTCTGATAAGAATACTTTCAAGATCATCAAGTTAGGGAAGTTCTCAACTTCTTTGATTTGATAGAATTTGTTGAAGTTCAAAAGGATCTCATAAATAAGCTCGAATCTTATGTTCAATGTGAGTAAGTTGTTGCTCAACTGCAATATTTCAAATGTCAAGTCGTCGTTATGCAAAAATTGTTCATTGAAGTTGAGTAAATTGATAATGATCTTGAATAGTTCAATGTATTCAAATTCTTCATCCACTTGTTTACTAATAATTATATGAACCAACTTGATACTATTGATGAAGTTGATAGTGTTCAACTTTTTGTTCAAATTAAATCTTAACAAAATAGAAAACATATCCAAAATATATGAAGAAACCAATTTATTGGGGTTTTCACTTAAACTTACTATTGGATTTTTTTGATGACAAAGTTTCCATTTACATTCATCTATTCTTATGTTGCAAATGTCTTCTGATGTCATTAATTTGTTAATCATCAATATTGACAATCTCGTCATCAAGATTGATGATTTGATCTTGTATTGGTATTGGAAACTATATGATAATAAGCATAACCAATTGAAAAAGTTGTCATTTACGATAAAGGTTTTCAAGAAATCTTCATTATCCAAAAAAGCATTGACATAAAGACTAATGGGTAATAATTCTCTGATTTCGAAATTCTCTAAGTTTTTCAACTTACATTCTTTCAATCTGTTATCGAGAACCAAACATAGTTCCTCATTATTGACATATTTAGGCTGCTTAACATCAATACGGTTAATGAACTTATCATTGATATATTGATCCTGGAAATTAAGGATGTTTCCTGTCATCCAATGGAAGAATGAACCATTCATGATTTGGTAATGGACTAAGTCTGAAGAATACTCAAAACTCAATTTCAAATTATAGAGTAACATGCTTTCAAATTGAAGGAATAATTGATTAACATTGGAAATTTTCAACTTATCACCTAAAATTCCAATTACCATGAATAATTTGATTTTGGACTCTACTGAAAGCTTTACAACAGGTAATTCCATTACATCTTCATGAAGCTTAGCATTGGTTTTGACCAAAACATCATTGAATAACTCACTAAACTCGTATTTCTTCAAAAACTTCAAATCGGTATTCTTATTCTTCATCACAACATCATACACGAAATATATGATCTCTTTAACGATAACAATTATTGATTGGTGGATTTGAGGCATGTCAAAATTAGGTAACAATTTGATCAAAAACCATTGGTTGAATGATAAGAACTCATCAATTTGAATGTTATCTATCAGTAATATCAATATTCTTAATATCTTCAAAACATTAACAATATATTCTAACCTTAAATTCTCATCTATTTGATTGAAATTTATACTATTGACACTTTTAACACTGTCTTTTCTTTTCCCGATATTTGTAATGTCTTCTTCCTCCAAATCTTCGGAGATTGTGGAGGGTGAATCTTTAATTTGGGGTATCTCAATAGCTTCTCCATATAATTTGATACCTTCTTTGATCAACTTCTTGATGATTTCAATCTTTTCTAGTTTCCCATGATCGCTATCATTACCATTGATACCATTAGTTCCGTCAATACTTGGGTTCAGGGTGTCATCAACGATCTGAATCGAATTACCTTTAACAATGTCAGATTTTCCATTTTGCAATTGATCTTGCAAATTAGATTTAATGATAGATTTTAAACCATTCACTGATACCGTTACACTATAGAAGCTGTGATAGTATTCATCGTCCTTGACTTGGTCATCGAATATCGTACGATAAAATTGAATAGTCTCCAGCTCCATATTCACATTGGTTTACCTACTGCGCACAAATTGTTTCAAAGTGTCCCTTTTAAGCCTCTTTTGGGAAATTTCGATCTTAGAATACCACCTAAATTATTTTTTTAATTGGGAACTACCACCTTTCAATTGAACTATAAATAACCCATATCCATGAATCATGAGTTCAGAGGAATATGAAATGGTTGAAAATCCAGGAGACTCCACCAAAAATTGGGTTGAAGAAGACGATCAAAGTCTGATCAAAGACTTAGAATCTGATGATACTTCGATTATTTTTCAACATTTAGATATTGGGAACCAAACTCCTGAGGATTTTAATGACAATCCAACTTTTCAAGATGTTCTCTTGAATTACAAAGGAAGGAAATCGTCTTCGAGGCATCTATGTTATATAATATCTGGTTTAATGTTTGGTATGTGGCTACTTCTACTTTTAATCTACGCTAATGTCAAAGTGACTGATATTTCGTCTTCATGGAAATGGAAGACTGATCTTGTCCAATTCGGCAATGAAAATTTGACTTTGAATCATTATGACCCGGAGAATAAGAATATATCTATGGATGATATTTGGCAAGGTAGATTTTCACCTGGATTCAGATGGATCAAATGGTTAAATAGACCTCAGTACCCTAAATCTCATGATAACTATAACAATGCTGGGTTTTATATGACCAGAGGTTCAAAAGGAGAATTTGTAATAGTTAATGCTGTTGATAACACCATGAAAGTCTTGTTTGAATCACCTCAATTTCCTTATGAGAACAACTTCTTTTACATCAAAGATGTGATACTAAACCCTAAAATTTCTGTTGATGATTCCAGTGCTTATCATTTAGTCGTCACTGATACTTTACGTCAATGGAGACATTCGAAATTTTCGATTTATTGGTTATTTAAGCCTATAACCAATGAATTCATACCGTTGATGCCTGAAAAGAAAGATATGGACAAATCCAAACCCTCCGCTTTGAAGCTACTCCATTTCGCTGAATTCACGGACGATGGTGATAAAATTGTCTTTGGTATTGATCATGATTTATATTGGCAGAATTTGAAAGATTTGAAAGTTGAACGAATCACTTCAAGTGGCTCAAAGTCGATTTTCAATGGTAAACCTGATTGGGTTTATGAAGAGGAAGTGTTGTCAAGGGATAAATTTTTCTGGACTTCTCCAGACTCTAAACAATTGATTTTTGGTACGTTAAATGATACTGAAGTGATGGACTACGAAGTGGATTACTTTGTTAAAGAATCTGAGAATGTTGGTTTAACCTATGATATACCTCCAACTGTTTTGATTGATTCAGTGAATCAATACCCCATAAAACAATCACTCAAATACCCTAAACCAGGGACCCCCAATCCCAAAGTCAGTTTATTCAAGTATTCATTCGATGAAAGGAAGATAGAAGAATTACAGTTTAACCATAAATCTGATTCGATCGTATATGATGGTGACTGGGTAGATGATAATCATTTTTTGGTCAAAGTTTCTGATAGACGTAGTAAGACCTTATCCAAGCAGATGGTCAAAGTGAATGAGAATTCGGTCACAGAGATTGAAGCTTTAGATGCTGGTAGTTTTAATGGTTGGATTAATAAAGTATCGCCGATAGTGCGAGTGAAGAATGGTTATATTGATAAAACATGGACCGAAGATAGAACAAGATTGGTTTATTACGACACCCCATTGTCCAAAGAACCTTTGATACTCTCGAAAGGTGAATTTGACGTTTTAGACACAGAAAAGGTGGTCTATAACGATAACGAAGAGATTATTTATACATTGACCAATATCAAAGGTTCCATGTCCGCTCATTTAACAGGAATTACTCTCAAGGGAGAAATCAAAGTGGTTTTAGGTGGTGATAAATCAGGAAAGTACGAGTTTTCCAGTGATGATAACGGTCAATTCATGTCTTTAGAATATTTGGGTCCAGAATTTGCCAGTCAGAAAATCTTCAGTACAGTAGAATTACATTTATTGGAAGATGATGATGCTAAGCTTGGGAAGTTTTTGGATTCTCTTGAAATGACAAGTGATTTTTCCCGGATGAAATCAGAATTGGTGAAGTACAATTTCCCCACAAGAATTCCCAGAAAGGTAAAGATAGGAGATAAGGACCCCGTTGAGATTAATGTGATTGAAATATTGCCACCTAACTTTGATCCCAACAGAAAGAAGAAATATCCCATCTTGGTGCATGCATATGGTGGACCAGGATCTCAAACTGTAGATGATTCGTACATATTAGGCTTCAATGATGTCGTCAGTGCAACTTTAGATGCCATTGTGTTGATTATAGACCCCAGAGGTACCGATGGTAAAGGATGGAAATTTAAGTCTTTCTCCACTAATAAAATAGGATTTTGGGAAGGTAGAGATCTTAAGACTATCACCTCAGATTATATCAAGAAGAATAGTAAGATCATAGATAAAAATAAAATAGCGTTATGGGGTTGGTCATATGGTGGGTTTACTACTTTGAAAACTTTGGAATTGGATCAAGGTGATACTTTTAAGTTTGGTATGGCAGTAGCCCCAGTAACTAATTGGTTATTCTACAACTCAATCTATACTGAAAGGTATATGAACTTACCCACTGAGAACACAAATTATCATGATACTGCAAGGATTCTGGATGTTGAAGCTGTAGCAAAATCCACAAGGTTTCTTATAATGCATGGGACTGCCGATGATAATGTTCATTTACAAAATCTGTTGTGGTTATTGGACAAACTAAACATCAAGGAGATAGAAAATTATGATGTTCATTTCTTTCCCGATAATGATCATGGAATTCAATATCATAATGCAGACATTGTGGTTTATGATAAGCTCTTGAATTGGTTAAAAGATGCTTTTATGGGAAAATTTAATGATTTTTAGGAATTATGTACTTTGATTTTGTGTAACATTAAAAATATAGACATCGCGACTTTCCAATCTCATCGCAAAATTTTTTTAGACATCTCATATAATAAATCTAGTTTATAATGGGAAAGACAGGTAAAGCTACCAAGAAGTTTCAAAAGAACCATTTGAAACACACTCTTGATCATAGGAAACAAGTTCAAAAACATTCCAAATTAGTCCAATGCCGTAAGAAGAAACCAACTGGAGATAATGATAATGAACCTAAAGGTAAATCTAAAGAGATATTCGAAGATATGTCAGTAGATGATTTCTTTGAAGGTGGATTTGAAGTTCCAAAACCAAAAAAGAACGCCAAACCAATTGAAAGTGAAGATGATGAATCTTCAGAAGAAGAAGATATCGAAGATATCGAACAAAATATGAAAGACTTACAAAGTAAAGATCCTGAATTTTTCAAGTATTTACAAAATAATGATAAGGATTTATTGGATTTTGAAGGTTCAAACCCATTAGATGCCATAAGTGATGATGAAGAAGAAGAACAAGAAGAAGATGACGTTATCAGTGAAGATGAAATCGAACCTGTTGAAGAAGAAATTAAAAATAAGGTCAAGAAGACTGAAATTACTTTACCATTAGTTAAATCTTGGGAAAAAGAATTGGTCAATAAACCTAGTCCAAAGATCATCAAACAAGTCTGTATGGCTTTCAAAGCAGCCATCAATATCAACAATGATAGTGAAGAATATAAATATGTTATTACCAATCCAAAAGCATTCAATCAATTAATGTTATTAACTTTGAAACAATTACCTGAATCAATTCAAACTTTAGTTAAGTATAAGAACACCAATAATGTCAGAGTCATTCCTCAAAAGAATCAAAATGTTTCTCAAATATCAGCTATCTTGAAATCTCATGCCAGTTCATTCATCACTTTATTAAATGATATCAATAATGTTGAAACTGCTACTTTGGTTTTATTCTCATTGCAAGAAGTTTTCCCATACTATTTATCATTCAGAAAGTTATTAAAAGAAATCTTGTCATCAGTTATAAATATTTGGTCTTCAACTAAAGAAGTTGAAATTCAAATTGCAACTTTTGCTTTCTTAAATAATGTTTCAAAAGAATTCCCAAAATCTATCATGGAAAATGTATTGAAATTATCATACACAATCTTCTTAAAGAACTGTAGAAAAACCAATCATTTCACTATGCCATTATTAAATTTCTGTAAAAATTCAGCAGCTGAATTATATGGAATTGATGAAACTTTATCATATCAAATTGGGTTTGAGTATGTTAGACAATTAGCTATACACTTAAGAAATAGTATCAATGCTACTTCAAACGCCAAAGAAGGTTATAAAACCATCTATAATTGGCAATATTGTCATTCATTAGATTTCTGGTCAAGAGTGTTATCTCAACAATGTAACCCTGAAAAGGAATTACAAAATCACAAGAATAAAGAAAGTCCATTAAGGCAATTAATTTATCCTTTAGTTCAAGTAACTTTAGGTGCTATTAGATTGATTCCAACTGCTCAATTCTTTCCTTTAAGATTCTATCTTATTAGATCATTAATCAGATTATCTCAATCCACCGGAGTTTTCATTCCAATCTTCCCATTGATTTCTGAAATTTTGAACTCAAATGCTTTCACTAAAAATGCTAAAAGAGTTCATTTACCAGTTTTCGATTTTGAAAATAATATCAAAGTCAACCAACAATATCTTGGTACTAAAGTTTATCAAGAAGGTTTATCTGAACAATTCATTGAATTATCCTATGAATTCTTCGTCTTATACTGTAAAAATATTGCATTCCCAGAATTGGTTACACCAGCTGTCATTTCATTAAGAAGATTCATCAAGAAATCCAAGAATATTAAATTTAATAAACAATTGAGCCAATTGATTGAAAAATTAAATGAAAATGCTCAATTAATAACTCAAAAAAGATCAAAGGTCGAATATGGTCCTTCAAATAAAACTGAAGTTCAAAATTTCCTTAACGATTTTAAATGGGAAAAGACTCCCTTGGGTCAATATGTTATTGTTCAAAGAAAAGCTAAAGAAGCTAGATTGAAATTATTACAAGAAGCCATCGAACAAGAAGAAGAAGCTAGAAATCAAAGAAAAAAAGCTGATGATGATTCAGATATAGAAATTGATGAAGCTGAAGATGATGACGATGAAGATGATGACGATATGGAAGAGGAAGAATAAATTATCTTTCATTTAGAATAAATAAATATAATACATAACTAAGACGGTATAATCTCTTATGGATCTATAGGAATAAAGTTTCCAACTATACAACTTGGAATATTATATCGATCTCTACGGATAGTAAAACTGAAACAACAACTTTTACGTTTAATTCCATCTTTTGTCCTTAAATTACAACTAGTTAATACTGCTTTTTGACCTTTATCGAAAGCAATAGCTCCATATTTTTCCCAAAAGTTTACAGCACTTTCTTCACTCATTAATTCGTAGATAGCTAATTTCCCATCTTTTAAATCATCTGTGGTTACACCAACTAAAGATGCAAACTCTTTGTTTCCTCTATAAATTTCCCCGGTACGTCTCCATAAACAAGCTGGTATAGCCATTGATGTGAAAACTCTATCATAATCCAATAACATTCTTTCAAAACTTTCCTCCACAAGAACCAAATCCACATCTTTCAAAGTTCTTGCTATAGCTCTAAAAGCTGGTCTAAACACTGACAATGGCTTCAAAATTCTTTGTCTACTGGTTATGTTCATATAATTATCCATATAATTTTGTAATCTAGCATAACCTTTTGCATAATTATAAGGTTGTAATAAACCAGCTTCCAATTTCGCTTTAATGACTTGTTTTAATCTTTCTTCTGGAGATATTTCTGTAGTTGGATCTGCTGCCGTAAGGAAGAACTTATCCCTAGCGGAATCTGAAATTACCGGTTGATGTGGTTCATCGAAACTTTTATCACCATCTTGAGGAGGTTGAGATTCTTGCTCTACAGCGGGAGGTTGAATTTGAACTGGAGTTTGTTGCACAGGTTGTGATATGTAAGGTCTCTCAGTGTTGGTCATTTGTTCTTTAGTGTTAGGAGCTTTGAATTGACCAAACTGTGATATGCTTGGTGAAAATGACAATATATTATTGAGATTTTGGTCTTTTGAATTTTGTGTTATGTTATCCGTAGGAATACCAAAATTCAACAAAGGATCATTAGTAGGAGTGTCATCATTCAATGCACCGTTAACCAAATCTGGATCATCAATCATAGATAAGAAATCATTCAACGAACTGAATTCACTGCCAGCATGCTCTGAGTAAAAGAATGGTTCTGGGTTGAATGGCATGGTTTGTGATAAAACTGATTTATTCACCAATTTGTTTGATGTCTGAATAGGTGACCCTTGGGTCATTTGTTGTGTGGGTTGCAAAACATTAGATTGTGGAGGTGATGATTGACTAGGAGACATGTTTTGTAAACCTAAATTGGAAGACACCATATTGTTATCAAACTGATTCGATTGAAATGATGATGAATGTTGAGGTTGTAATGGTGGAGATTCGGCTGACCCAACTGGAGAAGAAGAACTTTTAGCCAAAGACTGAGCTTTCTTTCTTTGTCTTGAATTGGTTGGCTCATCGTAACATAAATGTCCGATACCTCTTTTTATACATCTTTGACAAGGCCTTGAATCATCACAAATCATATGAGACCTTCTACAATAAACACAAGCCATTTCTACTTTCTTCTTCTTCCTTTTTTGTGGTTTTGGTTTACCATTAGAATCTTCAACAGATTCAGAAATTTTCAAATCTTCAGCCTTTACTGACATATTTAAGTAAATACTAATAACTCTTTATCGAGTGGAAAAAGAAACCTTTGAGTTACTGTATATTGTTTCCGATGTTACCCTATAAACTTAATAATAAATAGGTTTCATGTATTGTTTGATTATACTCAAAAAATTCTCTCGAACGACAATCACCCCGTCGAAACTCGCATCAGGAGCTAAAATTTTGTGGAGTTTTGTCTCCGTGATCCTATAATTACCGGGTTTGCGGGTATTGCTATTGAACAAAGTGATATGTAGATTTAGGGGCGTACAGAGAGTATGTGGCTATGGAGTGGGTGAGTGCATATTTATGAATTAGCTAAATTGATGGTAGAATTGCTGTCGCCTGATTCGTTAGATGTGACATCATCATCGAATTCAATGTTCTCACCTCTTAAATTTCGTCTGGAAGTATACTCATCGATTAATTGACGGGTGGAATCCATCTGTTCTTGAGAAGTCATTCTCAGAAGGGTGGGGTTGGCCGTTCCAGTCGGTGGATGTGAAACATAGAATGATGAACGATTGGATGTCGTATCCGAATCTGCAAATGTGGTTGGTGGGGTTTTGAAAGATAGAGTTGATTCCGACTCCGACTCTGATACTGGGCCCGATGCAGAACTTTGGATTCCGATAGGTATAGAATCTTGAGGAATTGAACTTCCCTCTTCCGATAATAAGGGATTTGCTTGTAATACTTGTGTGGTCATTTCAGAACTCAATGAAGTATTCTCGTTATCGTCCATTTGTGAGCTTGAATCATGGTTATATTCACTTTCAATTTGAGCTTCCAAATCCAAACTTCCATAATCATTAACTTGACCAGCAAGTAAATTATGGGGGATATTAGCAATTGAATGATTACATAATGGACAACTTCGTTTGAAATTGATCAACCAATTACTAAGACAATTTTCATGGAAAAAATGTTTGCAATCTAAAATAAGAACTCTTGATCTTAAAGGTTTAAATCTATCCAAACAAATGGAACATTTAAAAGCTGGATAGAAATCATCATGCATGAAAAGAACATTGATTCTATTGGTCAAGGCTTTAATGTCTACACCATTGATCACAAACGAATTTAATGCTGGATTTGAAGATGATGGTGTAGGTTTAGCATTAGTGATATCGATATTATCAAACTTGGGCGAGTCTGATATTAAGGGATAGGAATCTATTGAGGATTGTGAATCATTGAGGTTTTCTATAGCAGCGTCGGTTTGACCTGTTATATTGAGATATTTATAAAAATCCTTACAATGAATTAAATGGTTCTTATTGTAAATATAAACTGGTAAATTTTTCACAATTTTTTCACTGAACCTATTTTTCTGTAATTTTCGACAATTATGGATCACTTGGATCAAACAGTAAAATATTATTATCAATAAGGGAGGTGATAAAATCAATGAAAGTAGAATATTAATCCAATTACCCAAAGAAGCAGTTGAAATCCTTATAGTAAGATCTTCCTTATTTAACTTTTTCAAGAATTGGTACGACTCGTAGGTAATGAACATTATAGGGATCTTAATTGACCTATCCTCATTGAATGTACTGGAATACATAGTTATTAATCCTTTAAATGGTTCATCATTAGCAATTATTATTGTCTTGGGTTTCAACTCAGACTTGAGAATGTTTTCTACCTTTTCTACGAAGGTACAGTCACCTCTCAATACTACTAACACCTTGTTCTCATATTTTGAAATATCAGGTATTATAGAACATGCGTTATGGTCCAATACTTGAAATTGAGAATATAGATCACTACTCAAGATAGGACTGAAAGAAGCGTATCTACCCACAACCTCTGTACTGACATTCCTATTATCTTTATGGTCGGTATAATTAACTTGAATCAAAGAATCTATGGGAAATACCGAATTTACCATACTGTTTAAAGGATAATCAATTTCATTCAACCCCGAAGCAGCTACATGATCATTTTTACCCAATAACTGATTCCTGAACTCTTTAAAGGAGTTCTTGGTCAAGTACAAAGCATCAAGTAATCCTAATGATTCTGTATCTGTTGAATCGTTATAAATAACAATCGCAAACATTATTAATGCAAGCATCACAATAATTCTTGCTTTGAAATTCGGTCTACTCATCTTTATGTCATAAATATGCTTCTGATTTACTGTGATTTATGTTTATAGCACTGAATGGGTGTCGTGGATGAGAATAATCAAATGAAATAAAATTACAGGGAGTGGAGTTATTTTAGTCTGGGGGTAAATCCTTGGATCATTTATCGCGATCATCTTAAGTAACCCATCTCATCGGTTGCCATTTAAAGCAGGAGCAATTGTCAACCAGTAAAATGAGCTACCGGTCTATTCGGAGAGTCCCTAGTAAACCACTGGTTCGATTTAAGAGATAACAGAGTAAAAAGTAAGATAAAAAAACATCATATTCACTATTTAACTCGTAGCTTATTGCTTATTGTTTAAGGATAGCAACAACTTTTTCAGCAGCACTAGTAGCAGAAGCTGGATTGACCCCAGTAACAACTCTACCATCAACAACTGATAAATCATCCCATGGACCTTCAGGAGCAACATAAGTGGCACCAATTCTTTTAGCCATGGCTTCGATAGATTCAAGATTATCTTTGTCCATCTTTTCTTGAACACCTAATTGGACTTCACCAATGTCAGTGAAACCAGTGATTTTTTTACCTTTCAAAACTAATTCGTTAGTTTTAGAATCTTTGACAGGACCTAATAAAACGATACCGTGACAAACGGCAGAAATAACACCACCATTGGCATAAATGGCTTCAGTGATTTTAATCAAATCAGTGGCTTTTGGGTAATCGTATAATGCACCATGACCAGCTGAACCATAAATGGCAACATAGTCACTGGCATTGATATCACTAGCTTTTTTGATTTGTTTCAATTGTTTTTGAAATTCGGAGTTTTCATCTTCAACATCGGCTTTATCAGCACCTTGTAAGAACATTTCACCTAATGAATGGGTATCGAATCCAAAGGTACCAGTTTCTGAAACAAATTCAACTTCATATCCAGCTTTTTTAAAGACATGGAATGGGTGTAAAGCTTCAGTAACGAATAAACCAGTTTTAGCTCCATCATCATAGAAAACTTCATTATAAGAAGTGATAGCAATAATAACTTTAGACATTTTAATTAATTGAGGTTTTATGGATTTTTATTCAATTGAATTGAAGAATTGATTGAATTCTGTTAATTGATACTTGGAGTACTTTGGGTATTTATACTCTCGGCTTGATGAATTGAAGCTTAACCACCCCACGCATTATTGCTAAATCGGATTACTAACTTGAGTTGGTTTGCATATTAAAAGCCTTGACTCCGAGCTCTGTAAAGGAAACTCAGTTACATTTCCAGAGTCAATCGAGGCTAAGGGGGTTATACACTAAGTTAAAAAAAGCAACTGGGAGACCAAAAGAAGTCATTACAAATGCAAAGAACGGATAATTCAGAGTCAATTTCCTAATTAAGTAACACCGTCGGACACTATGGAGAGCATCCCCGAAATGTATACTTTTGCCCGTGCTGACTTATTACCGATGCCGTTGACAACGTTCCAAACCCAACATGAGAATTCTTAGCAGATTAGAGTCAAATACATTACAAAGCATTTTAGAGTTAAATTCGTAATCATTATGCATTTTTTTGTGTGTATGTACAAATTGACGAAGGAGTGGAATTTCTTAGAAAACATCTCCTAACTTCAATCTTGGTGCAATATTCATAGATATCAATTCTTGGAATAATAATTTGGCTGCATATGGAATAGTCATTTTAATGACATTTTCAGAACTATTACAAGTGGTACACCAAGTATTATATCCCATTAATCCACATTTGTTACAAATATCGACTTCAAAAGCATCAGAACTAATCATTAATCTTTCTAATAATAATTGTGAAGCACCATAAGCGATAACACAATCTCTTTCCATTTCTCCCAATCTTAAACCACCATCTCTTGATCTACCTTCAGTTGGTTGACGAGTTAATACTGCTCTTGGACCTCTAGCTCTTGCATGCATTTTATCTAAAACCATATGTTTCAATTTTTGATAATAAATTGGTCCAAAGAAAATATAAGCTTGTAAACATTCACCTGTAATACCAGAGTATAACATGTCTTTTCCACTATAGTTGAACCCATTTTTAACTAAGACTTCACTCATTTCTTCTAAATCAGAACCTCCGAAACAAGTACCGTATTCAAGAGATCCATTCAAAACACCTGCTTTACCACTAATTAACTCAATCATCTTACCAACCGTCATTCTGGATGGGAACCCATGTGGATTCATGATAATATCTGGAGAAATACCATCATCATTGAAAGGTAAATCTTCTTGTTGAACAATGATACCACAAACCCCTTTTTGTCCATGTCTAGAAGAGAATTTATCCCCTAATTCTGGTCTTCTTGTTTGTCTTAATAATACTTTGATTAGAGCTTGATCATTATCACTAACTGACATCATAACTTGATCAACATATGCGGGTTCTGCTCCTTTATAATAGGCGGGGGTTTCTCTCATTGATTCTGTTGATTGATTTGGTTCAGTTTTGTTTAAAACTGATTCTCCAGCATTTACAGGTACACTTTTGTTAACATAAACTTGACCATTGACAAGTTTAGTACCAACTTCACCTAATCCATCAATACCTAATGATGCATGAGGTGGAATAGGGTGATCGTTGTCATCAACTCTTATACCACTCAAAACATCTTTGGAGTGGTTTGGATATCTTTTCAAGGTCACAGTATTCTTTCTTAAAACTTGACATCTACCGAAACCTCTGTCGATGGAAGCTTTGTTTAAAACCAAAGCATCTTCAATATCATATCCTGAATATGACATGACGGCCACAGTGGCATTTTGACCAGCAGGCAATTTATCATAATCAATAAGTTCGATAGTTTTGGTTTTGACCATTGGCTGTTGAGGATAAACCATCAAATATAATAAAGTATCAATTCTTCTGAATTGATTATAAGCAATTGCACCAATTGCTTGCTTACCCATCGCACATTGATAAGTATTTCTTGGTGATTGGTTATGGTGTGGGTATGGAATCAAACCTGCAACAGCTCCTAAAACTGTGAAAGGTTCAATCTCCAAATGGGTAATATTAGTCTTTGAAGGATCAATTAGATCCTTTTCATAAATAGCGATCAAGGAATCATTCTCTTCATTAACATCCAAATATTCAACTAATCCATGTTGTAAGAAGTCATCAAAAGCCCAATTACCTTGCATTAATTTGGCTAAATGTTTAGCTTTTACCTTTGATTTATTGTCTTTGTCAACTATGATCAAAGGTCTACAAATTCTACCTCCATCAGTGGCAATATGAACAGCAGCTTGATGGGTATTGGTATAAATTGAAATGAAAGCTGAAACTTTACCTGTTCTTCTTAAGTTACGGAAATCACTGACAAATTTAGCTGGGAATCTGGTGGTACCAATCAAAGTACCATTAAGATAAATACCGAAATTTCCTTTTGAATGTAAAGTTGCTGAGTCGACTTCCAAAATATCTTCACAACCCAATACGAAACATAATTTTCTGATAGGATCTTCTTCATCATCGGTAGTGATATGGGTCATTAAAGCTAAATTCTTGACTAAACCACAAGCTTCCCCTTCAGGGGTATCCGAAGTACAAAGCATACCAAATTGTGAAGGTTGTAAGGCTCTAGGACCGGACACCTTTCTTGATTTTTCGAATTGAGATGAAATTCTGGTCATCATACCTAATGCTGATATATAAGATAATCTGGATAAAACATGAGTAACACCAGCTCTTTCCATCTTGAAACGTTTCAAAGACCAATTACCCGTTGAGATAGCCCTGTTCATACCCATGGTAATGTTATTAGAATGAATGTTTATAGACAATAAAGCATCGAATTCAGAAACTCTACTAGGCTTCTTTAAAATCTTATCGATATTAGCTTTGAAATCGGAATTAAACTTCTTAAACAAATCTTCAAAAAGCAAAGACATTAATTGACCTGCCAATTCCAATCTTTTATTACCAACGTAATCTCTATCATCAACCATTTTTGGATTGTGCATAGTCATTAAAACTCTTCTGGTCATCATGGCTATGTATAAAGCTTTTTCTCTGAATTGAAGGTCAGCTACTGTAATATGAGCAATTATAGTGGTAGCAATAGCTTCTATACCTTCTTGTAATTGAGACAATTTAGGAGCTCCAGCTCTTCTTATAGTTTTAACTCTTTTACCAACATAATGTAAAGCTTGTTGTTGAGTGAAAATTTCTAATTTAGCAGCTTCTTCGAAATTGATAGCAAATAAATCTTGATAATTTGAATCATCTCCACAGACTAATTGTAAGATTTCTAAATCAGAAATAATACCAGCAGCTTTCAAGATGATAACAATAGGAATATCTTCACTAATAGAATTATGTTTCAAATAAATCTTTTCATTCTTGGTGATAACATAAGTTTTGGATTTACGTTCATGAGTTGATGAAGTAACTGAAGCTTGAACGATATTTTTCTTCTCGTCAGCTTCCACAATAATTCTATTTTTTGATAATTGTTCTTGGACTAAGATAACCTTTTCAGTACCATTGACAATAAAATATCCACCGGGATCTAAAGGACATTCATCATAACTTGCCATTTGTTTATCATCAATCCCATCCAATAAACATTTGTTAGATCTTAACATGATTGGCATTCTACCAATCTCTAAATCTCTATGAACAATGATTTTACGACCTCTGGTATATTCTACATCAACATAAATGGGAGCTGAGTAAGTTAAATCTCTTAATCTACAATGATGAGGAACCAAATTAACTTCTTTAGGAACTGGCTTATTACTTTGAACATTTGATGATTTATGACCTACTCTAATATCTAAATATTTCAAGTAAAATTCTGGATCGACATCTGATAATACCAATTCATTGGCTTTGATGATTTTCTTCAAATCTGTATCCACGAAATAATTAAATGAGTCGAGATGCTGCTTAACCAAACCTTTAACTTTCAAAAACGCAGGCAATAAATTCCATTTATCTTCAGCAGTATTGATTTGATCGGTAAGTTTTTTACCTTTATAAGTTTCTTGTAATAATGGTTGAAAGGCTTCATCAGTAACCATTCCCTCTCGAGTGATTTGAGAAGCTTTTCTTTTGTTAACCATTATAAAGTTTCAAGTCTGCTTACTAAAATTTTTACCTCTTCTCAAAATTTTTCAGATCTATAGATTTTGTGAGGGTTTGAGGTTTTGAGACATATAGACCTGTTGAAGATGTCTTCCAGCAATTCATTTAAATTCACTGTCATTGAACATTTGGAAGGTCTTCCTAACACCATTCAATCGAGATTGTATGAAGCTCCTGCAACATGTTTATCTATATTCAGATTATTACCTCCTATAGCGAAGTTCTATATCATGACAATGTTATTTTATGAAAAGCCAGTAGCTTTAAGAGATCTAGACAAATGGTGTAAACCTAATGCTAGAGTATACCAGTTTGAAGCTTTAAAAAGAATGAAAGCTTTACATTTAATAGAGGATGATAATAGTGGTCAATTCATACGATTGCATCCAATATTTAGAAAGAATTTCCGTGATTGTTTAACTGGTAGTCAAACATCAGATGCTTTTGGTATATTAACATCATCTGGTGAAAATCAAAAGATAGATTTGAAGTTTTTGCATAGTTTTGCATCCACAAAATGGGAAACTATATTACATTTCATGGTTGGTACTGAATTATCAACTACTCCATCAAGATCTGTTTTATCATTGTTGAAACTGGGTGGTTTGATGGAAGGATCAGGAAGAGATCTTAAAATTACAAATGAAGGATTCCAGTTCTTACTTCAAGACATTAATGCCCAAATATGGACCCTTTTGTTACAATATTTAAATTTGACTCAAGAGTTGAATATGGATCCTGTTGATGTTCTAAATTTCATATTCATGTTAGGTTCACTAGAACTTGGTAAAAGTTATTCCGTGGCGGCTTTGAGTGATACCCAAATAAAGATGTTGACTGATTTGAAAGACTATGGATTAGTTTATCAAAGATCAGAAAGTTCCAAAAGATTCTACCCTACAAGGTTGGCCACGACGTTGACGTCAGATTCAAATTCCTTACAAAATACACCTTCCATGGCCATCGATAAAGCTAATAATGTTCAAGATGAACCTTCAGAGACTTCCAAACAAGCAGGTTCCATTATTCTTGAAACCAATTTCAAACTTTATTCATATACCAATAGTCCTTTGGAAATAGCTATTTTGAATTTATTCGTTCAAATGAAGACCAGATTTTCCAATATGGTTTTAGGTCAAATAACTAGAGAATCCATAAGAAACGCTCTTTATAATGGTATCACAGCTGAACAAATCATTAAATTTCTTGAAACTCATGCTCATCCTCAGATGAGAATGTTGGCTCAGGAAAAGTTGGATAAGAAGATAGAGTTTGACGCAAGTAATAATATCAATACCGCCATCTCAGGAGAATCTGCTGCAGCTGCTGCTTCACAGCATAAACTTGAAATCTTACCTCCAAACGTTGTGGATCAAATTAAATTATGGCAATTGGAATTGGATAGAATTCAAACATTTGAGGGATTCTTGTTCAAGGAATTTTCAAATCAAAAGGAATTTGAAATCTTACGAAATTACGCTTCGGAAATTGGAGTTTTAATTTGGTCCGATAATACCCAAAAGAAGTTCTTTGTTACTCCTGAAGGTGTAAGGCAAGTATCAGATTTCGCAAACAGAAAGATTCAAAGAAGGTGAAAAACATCTATTCTATGTACATTTAACGAGTAATCAACCTTGACAAGATTCACAACTCTCTCTATCTTCTATATTACAAGCTCTTATGGTATCATCATGAATATTGACCCCTTCATGTGAGGGTGTACCGGGTTTTGATTCAGGTGTAAGGTTGTTGCGTCTGAATCTCTTATTGGGAAGACTTCCTTCCATTTTATGGTATTTCTTTCTGACTAAATCAGGAGTCTTTGGGTGTTCAACCTTGATGGTTTCCTTGGTATTATCAATGGTGAATTGGATAGCCTTTGAAGCTGCTTGAGTTCTCAAATAGTACATCCCTGTTTTGAGACCTTTTTCCCAAGCATAAAAATGACAACTTGTTAATTTACCGAAAGTTGGGTTCTTCATATAAATATTCATACTTTGCAGCTGATCGATGAATTTTCCTCTGTCAGCCGACATGTCAATGATAACTTTTTGAGATATTTCCCATACTGTTTTGTATAATTCTCTGATTTCTTTTGGTATCTCTTCTATGTGTTGGATAGAACCATCGCCTAACAAAATTCTATCTTTCATGGACTTATTCCAAAGATTAAGATCAATCAAATCCCTTATCAAATACTTATTCACAACTTGGAATTCTCCAGAAATCACTCTTCTGTTATAGATATTGGATGTGAAAGGTTCAAAACATTCGTTAAACCCAAGGATTTGAGATGTGGATGCAGTAGGCATTGGTGCTACCAATAGGGAATTCCTTAATCCGAAATTTACCATCTCTTCACGTAAAACATCCCAATCATCATATAATTCAGAAGGTTTATGTTGCCACAAATCGAATTGAAATAATCCTTGGGAAGCTGGAGATCCTTTGAATGTTGAATAATGACCCTTCTCTTTGGCTAGTTCTATAGAAGCCTCAATAGCTCCGTGATAGATGGTTTCGAATATTTGTATGTTCAAATCTTTGGCCTCCTTGGAATCGAAGGGTAATCTCAAGATCGCAAAAACATCAGCCAACCCTTGAACCCCAATAGCTACAGGTCTGTGCTTCGAATTGGAAGTCCGAGACCCTTCTATTGGATACCTTGTGACATCAATTATCTTATCCAAATTTCTCGTAAGTACTTTTGTTACTTTGTGAAGATAAAGGAAGTCAAAAGTCATCTCATTATCATTCTCCTTCACATAGGAAGGTAAAGCCAATGATGCTAGGTTACATACTGCTGTCTCTTCGGGGGAAGAATACTCTACAATCTCACAGCATAAGTTTGATGACTTAATCACACCCAAATTCTTCTGATTGGATTTCCTGTTACACGCATCTTTATACAAAATATATGGACCCCCAGTTTCTGTCTGAGACTCAAGAATACTAATCCATAATTCTTGTGCTTTAATCTTTCTTTTAAATTTCCCTTGGGCTTCGTACTTTTCATATTTCTTTCTGAATTCATCTCCATAACAATCTGATAATCCAGGACAAGTATCAGGACTGAAAAGACACCAATCTTCGTTTGATTTAACCTTTTCCATGAACAAATCTGGTACCCAAAGTCCATAAAAGAGATCCCTGGCCCTCATCTCTTCTTTACCATAATTCTTTCTCAAATCAAGCACATCGAAAATATCTGCATGCCAAGGTTCAATATAAATGGCAAAAGCACCTGGTCTTTTGTTCCCACCTTGATCAACATATCTTGCTGTATTGTTGAAAACTCTCAACATAGGAACCAATCCGCTTGATTTTCCGGATGAACTTGAAATATTAGATCCATGAGATCTGATATTATGAACATGTAAACCAATACCTCCCGAAGATTTGGAGATCATAGCTGTCCTATGTAAAGTTTTATAGATCCCATCGATAGAATCGTCTTCCATTGCTAATAAAAAGCATGAACTGAGGAAATTATAGTTGGTACCACTATTAAATAATGTAGGAGATGCATGAATGAAATACTTTCTAGACATCAAATCATAGGTTTCCAACACCTTTTCCATATCGGCCCCATGGATTCCCAAAGAAACCCTCAAAAACATGAACTGAGGAGTTTCAGCTATTATATCGTTGATGGTTAAAAAATAAGATCTCTCTAAAGTCTTGATAGCAAAGTATGACAAACTGAAATCTCTTTTGATCTTTATACAATCGTTCAAAAGTTCCTTGTTAGTCATAGTGAGATCGTAAACTTCTTTAGTAACTGCAGGGGTATGCTTTTTAGTATCTGGATCTACTCTGTCATACAATCTTTTTATATTGTCAGAAAATGTGAAATCTACTAATTTTTGCAATTTACGTGCTTCAACTCTACCAGCTAAAAGTGAATGATCAGGGTGATTCACAATTCTGGAAGCAATAACTTCTGCTACATATTCGTAAAGTTGTTCGATGCTTATCTCCTTAGGTATAGAAGAACAAATGGTATCTACAAGACCTTCTATCTTAATATAATCTTTGTCAAGATCAGCCACTAGCGCTTGCAAAAACTTCAAAAGTCTCAGTTTATCAAAAGACTCTTTGGTACCATCCCGGCGAGTTATCGCAGTTTGGTGTACTTGCTCCATCACAAGACAAATTTATAAATGTGATTATTAAACTGATTGCTTTGTAATAGAATAAGAAGTTGCAGTCAAAGTTGCAGAATGCGAAGATCAGAAAAATGCGAAAACATGATACTGACTATGTTTAATAGTTTAAGTAAGCCAAGCCTACAATGTCTACATCCGATAAGGTACAGAAGTTTGAGTAGTACTAATAAACTCCTCAAACGACCTGTTCAATCAGAATGGAAGAAGGACAAGCCAGCAAGATTGCACAAGCAAAAAACTTTCAACTTACAGAAATTTTCAATGAAAGGTAAAGAAGTCTTGACCCACAATATCAACAAGGTCAGGGAATTGGAGAGTGGATTCAAGGTACAGTTCATAGTCAATGGAAAACTTGAAACCAAGCATTTGGCTGACATTATTGAAGATTTGAATCCCTCAAGTGATGGTATTAAAATAGTACCTAATAAAGATTCTGTGATGATAAGAACAGTTCCTTATAAACAAATGCTCGAAGAATTCAATGAAGATAAGTCAAAGATGATTGAGCAAGAGTTAATCGGACAAGGAAGTCAAAAAGCTCTCAGAGCCTTACAATCAAGTAAAAGAGCTGATAAAAAGAAAAGTGGAGCTAAGATGATAACTTTATCATGGAACATCAGTTTGGGAGATCTTAATGCCCAAAAGAAATCCGAGATATTGAAGAGAGCTAGTAAAGGGGAAAAGTTTTCCATATTCATAGATACTCATAAAGCCAATCAAGCTACCATCACCAAAATTTTAGCAGGAGAAGTTACACCTCAAGGTGAGGATTGGAATATCAAACCTATGGAACTCAAGAGAAGAGAATTAATCATTGAAGGCTTGCAAGCAATTCTCGAAGAGGGTGAGGTCAAATTCGAAGAAAAAGGATCGATAAATAAGTTGTTGATTTTAAATTGTGTACCACCAGCACCAGTTGAAAAAGAGGTTAAGAAACAAAAGAGAGAAAAGATCAAAAAGGAACCAAAAGCTAAACCTGTACAAAGGATCGAAGAGAATGAGTTAGACTCTTTATATCTGTTCAAAATAGAAGATTAAAATAGACCTGTAAATAATTATGTACATAGTTTCATTAAGGGTATTACACACTACCATAATCGTAATTTGATCTAGTTAAACTTCTACCTCTTTCAACCAGAGACTTTCTAGATTCTCGTAACTTTCTAACTTTATAGCCATATAAATGACTGTCAACTATATTCTCCACTACGGGATAATTAATTATCTCTTTGACTTCTGTTTGGTCTAATCTATAGTTATTAATGGTATTATAAGCTGAATGGTAAAAATTTTCATCTTCTTCTAACATTTCATTATCGTAATTAAATTCTTCATTGTTAAGGGACTCGGTTATGGGGAAACCTCCGAGAACTTCTGATCCTGAAAATATTGATGATCCAATAACAGGGGATGTGGGAGGAGATTGACTCTTTGGAGAAGTGGTATGGATTCCACGAGTTGAGGTGTTAATTGATGGTGCATATAATGAATCTGAACCTATGGTGGCATTCTCTATGATAGATTTACTATCGTTGTGATTGAAAGCTACCCAATGTTTATGCTTACCATCAAAATGATATCTCAACCCTTGGTTGATTTTTTTCATTCTTGATTTTGAGGAAGGATGTTGAACTAATGCATTGACTGAGTCAAAAGCCTTATAGTCCTTGTAATGGTCACCATAAAAGGTCAATTTGAAATCTTGTATTAAATCCTTAATACCAAACATATCTCTCAATGCGTAGTAGAATTTTAATCTTGCATTCGGGATTTGTGATAAGGTGAAAGGTTTATAAGTAAAAGAAACCCAATGACCAGCAGCAAAGAAGATCAATTCAAAACAAAGTAAAGCATTCTGTATGGATAAGCCAATATTAGAATTTGCTTTAGAAGCATCAGTATTCTCAGATCCAGGAATAAGGCCAAAGTAATTTAGTATGGCCAATAAGATCCCTTGCCAATAAGAAGCAAAAATTATCAACTTAACACATAAAAACTTCCCTACAGGGTTGAAAGGTTTTAAATCATCCCATAGAATTTTCCAAAACATTGCCAAACAATAAAGTGATATACTGACACTTGTGTTGTATATAATCATTAACCAAAGATACATAGACTCTGCACTAATAGCATTGATATTATAAACTCCTAAGAACTCTGTGAATAAAATACCAAAACAAAGGAAAGGTTTGATCCACACATATTGTAAGATTCCTCTTTTAAAGATGAGAAATGTAGTTGAATCTGAAATATCTACATCGTGGAACACGTATTTCAAGAGTCCAGGATGACTAACAGGTTTTCTTCCACTTGTTCGAATTATAATTGCCCTTTCACCACCTAACATATCTGACAACAATGAAAAAAATGTATAGATCACAAATGCTTCATAGATTTCTCTCACAGGTTCTAGTATAAACTTATTGAAATAAGATTCTGAATTTATAAGCATACAGTAGCATGATAAGGCAAATAATGGTATTATCAATTGGATTCTTATCATTAATCTCTGTTGGAAAGGTCGTCTATAATTCATTAAATGTAAGAATATAGATAACACAACTATTAACGAAGATATGATTGATGAGTAAAACGACAACGTATATACCCAGTGAGGTAACCTTACTTCATCATCAATCATTGTTAAATTTGTTTTTAGGATAAGGGGGTAAATTTTTACTGAAACATTCACTATTTTTTAATAGTTGTGAAATTATTGCTATTGTGATTTTATTAAGATTTTGAATGACAGTTGATCAGATTGAATATTTGGTCACCAATTGAATCACCCGAATTATATTATGTGACAAAAATGTGGTTGTTCGTTTGTAGTCTTGAACCTAACGATAGGATATGTTCTAGTTATGAGCTGTACTTATTTAGATGATATCAAGTCGCATTCCAAATGCAAGTCGCAATCTATAAACTTTCGGCAACGATAAGCAGCTTAAGGTTGTGGATAGAGGAATGTTGGAGTTTTGAAGAATCCAAGAATTCATAAAGAGAAATAGGAACATTAAATAAAACGTAAAGTCATTAAATCTATAAATTACCATTTTGCACCCAACATGATTTCATTGGGGTCAGTAGGTTTTTGAACTTCTTTAAACCAAGTTCTGAATAATCTATTTTCACTGACTTGAAACTTATTAGAAAAACTTTCACTCCAAATAATCAAATCATTAATAGTTGATGAATTAGTCAATTCAAATATTGGAATGTTCTGATAGTTTTCTACAACTCTCATTAACCAGTCTTTTTCAGTCACATCAGTAGGGTGACTGATTTGTCCTCCTCCGTTGATACACCCATTTGGGCAAGCCATAATTTCCACATAATCACAGGTGAAAGGGTCTGCTAATTCTTCTTCGCTTTTTGAGGCAACCCCTTTTCTTGCTCTTCTTCTTGCAACCAAAGGATTGAACTTACCCTTTGGTTTATTGTCAGGTTTAAATTTTCTGACTAAATTTTGAATATTTCTAAATCCATTGATTATAGCAGCACTTCCAACTTTTTCATTATTATACATCAATCTCATTTCATAGACGTCGGAGTTTTTACCATAGATCGTTTTCAACTCGAAATTCTCTTCCAAAAGGTTGTTCTTCAAAATCAAATGTTTTTTCAAGATCTTTAAGTAATTGTATGAATAACCTCCAGAAGTTGACCCTTCATCACTTGTCCAGGAATCTTCAATCATGGGCCAATTTACAGGAGCCACTTTCTTATACAATTCATTAATTGCAATTGGAGAATTCAAAATCTTGTTGGCATTTGAAGGTATTAATTGGAAAAGATCCTTCTGTTGATCTAACAATGTAACTAATTCTTTGGCAGTCAATACACAATCCACATCTTTGAAACTTTCTTCAACTCCATCCTCAGGTCTGGCGCTTTCTAACTTTTTATCGAAGCAAGGCATTATAGATAAATGATAAATATTAGATTTATCAGTCTCTAATTGCTCAGACATTAAATTCTTCATTAAGCAACCAGTTATTTGTTGTGGCGATTTGACATCGGATAGCTTTGATAATATGAAAGGATGAGTTTTTTCTGCATAAAGTACCCACCCTGGACAAATAGATGATAATATAGGTTCTTGTGAATTCTGTTGCTCTTTCTTATTTATGATGTTAAATGATTCGTTAACTAAAGATAATTTTCTTCCTAAGGATGTACCTACCACAGCCTTGAATCCCATTTGGTTTATGAATAAATTTATAAGTAATCTATCTATGTCCTCGACTTTCAAGTTAAAAGCAGTTGCTAATGATGCTCTGGCTTGATGAGACACACTTGCAACAAACAGTTTATCAGTATTATTCTTCAAAGCTTTGACCAACTCATCGTGTGAATGTTGTGCTACTAATATTTCTTCAGCTGATGTTATACACCCTGAACATGCCAAACAATCAGCAAGTGATATTTGAGCTGCTGACAAATTTGTGGTAGTACCATCTTTAGAAACTTCTAATCCATTTCCATCGTTATCTATTTGAACTTCGACTTCAAGATTTTCATTAGAATCATCTGCTGGTTTACTTACGGTTGGTGGCTTTATACAAGCAGCACCAAGGGTAATGAAATCATTCAAATCATCTGCTGACAATATTGCACTCATTAGTAGGGTCAGATGCGATTAGATTTTTTGCGATCTTCTGACTAATTTAGGTTGATTACATTTGGTCCTGCACATAAAAATTCCTGTTCAGGTGAAAATTTCCATTTAGAAGGTTGGGATTGAAGGGTGAAGGAGAGTAAAAAGAGTAAAGGGGACAAGTGGTGAGCAAATTCTTCAATCATAACTTCTTTTTACAAAATATCTAATTCGGAGATTTCAATCTCTGGATTGGGGGGTCTCTCCATCGGATAAATCCGATAATTCAAATTGTTCAACCTCATTAGGACCCACTGATTGATAGCCTTTATCTAATTCACCATCTTCATCGTAACCAACCAATCTCAAATAAAAGTTGATCAATAGTAATATCCATAAAAATATCATACAACCTGCACCCACAAGAGTTAAAACATAAGCAGGATAAGGTGCAGCTAATTCATGAACTAATATCAACTGCTCTTCGTTGGCACCCATGAACATTAAGCCTGATAAAACAAGACAAAATGGTGGGAAGTATTGGAATGAAATAATCTTACCACTATCACTAGAATAATTGTCCTTCAACACAAAAGATATTTCAATAATTCTACTGAACCCACTTCCCATCAATACCAATCCAAACATAGCATGAACTTTGGTTGACAATTCCAAATGCTGAACATGTTGAGACATTGACCAACCAGTATAAATCAAGAGTATGGCTGGAATGAAAGATCGCTTATCTTTTCTTGATAACCACATTCCTAATAAACCACCACACCACCAAACAATTCCCATACTTGTATGATCATAATCACCCATATTCCATGGCTCTTTTCCCCATCTATGTTCAGTGAAAGTATTAACAATCCCCCATACACACATGACTAAAGAATCATAAAATTCTTGAGGCTTACCATTTGATCTATTACGGAACCAAGGTACCACTAAAATCAAAGATAATGCAAACCCGTAGACAATAAAAGCTGTCCCCATGATCCCATGTGCAAGACATTGGCCGGTATGTTTGCCATAACAAAAGCCGAATAATGCAATAGGTGCCATGCAGATTCTTACCCAACCAGTTAACACAGCAACAAAAGTCAAACATTTGTACAATCTCATCAACACTACACTCCTGCTCTTGGAAGGATCTGAAGCTAAATGAGGATAATACTTATTTATAATGATATTAGATCCATTGATGACCGAACCAACGAAGATTGTAAGACCCAATAAAATACTCAAGAACCATGAAGTTCCTTTACTTGTTCTATTTTCATGGTCATCCTTGTTATCAGGGAAATCAAGGAACAAAGTTTCAAAAATAGAATATCCCGTCAGTATGATACTCAATATCAAGGATAAATGTAACCTATTAGCAAAAGCTAAAACTGACGCAATAGATGGTAAGATCAAAAGAACTGCTAATGAAAGTATCCAATGAAATGTCTTGGATTCAGGATTAATAGGATGAAATTCTTTAGGTCCATCCATATCATCCATATCCATTGCTTTGATTCCAAGAATAAATCCAATTAAGATTATTACTCTCGACCAATTCATTTTCACAACCATGGATCTTAACTATGGAGTAAAAACTATACGCGAAATTTCCTTAATTGTTGGTGAAAATATTTGCAAATATTGATCTCTGGAAGAGTTTAACAGGTTAAACGATGAAGATGATGTTAAGGACTTTAGTGTCCTTCATGACTTTCATGTCATTGATTATGGGATTTGAAATCCCGAAAAGAGATTATGAAAATAAAAATTATTTCATTGTGGAATTGAATACCACTCAAACTAATACACCTTTAACACAATTTATAAATGATAATAAGCATTATAAATTTGAACATCAAGTACGTGGATTAGAAAACCATTTTGTATTCAGTATTCCTAAAGACCATGAACATAATGAATTTTTGGGAAATTACAATTCTAATAATAGAAACTTCATCAAAAGACATGAAAACTTCATAGAAGAATATGACAATTTATTAAACAACAGAGATTTGAAATCTATTCACATGTTAACTCCAAAAAAATTGGAGAAGAGAGCCCCAGTATTGATTAAGGATGAGTTCAATGCTGTAGATTCTTCCCAGTTACCATTAAAAGACGCTATTGACAAGTTAGGTATAAATGATCCTATTTTCCAAGAACAGTGGCATTTAGTCAATACTGTCAACCCTGGGAATGATGTCAATGTGACTGGATTATGGTATGAAGGTATCACTGGTAAAGGTATTGTTACCTCAGTGGTTGATGATGGGTTGGATTATGAAAGTGAAGATTTGAAACAAAACTTCAATGCTAAAGGGTCATGGGATTTCAACGATAACACTGCCTTACCAAAGCCAAGATTGTTCAACGATTATCATGGTACAAGATGTGCAGGTGAAATAGCAGCCGTTAAAAATGATGTTTGTGGTGTTGGTGTTGCATATGACTCCCAAGTTAGTGGAGTAAGAATCTTATCTGGAACTATCACAGCTGAAGATGAAGCTGCTGCTTTAATTTTTGGATTGGATGTGAATGATATTTATTCTTGTTCCTGGGGACCAACTGATGACGGTAAAACTGTTTCTGAACCAGAACTCATAGTCAAAAAGGCTATGATTAAAGGTATTCAAGAAGGGAGAGATAACAAAGGTGCTATATACGTTTTCGCTTCGGGAAACGGAGGTAGATCTGAAGATTCTTGTAATTTTGATGGGTATACTAATTCAATTTATTCGATTACTGTGGGTGCTATTGATTTCAAAGGATTTCACCCTACCTATGCCGAAGCTTGTTCTGCGGTAATGGTTGTTACTTATTCTTCTGGTTCAGGTGAACATATTCATACCACTGATATTCATGGGAAATGTGCTGGACAACATGGAGGTACTTCTGCTGCTGCTCCATTAGCTGCAGGTATTTTCTCGTTAGTTTTACAAAGTAATCCTGAATTGACATGGAGAGATTTACAATATGTGGCCGCTTTGAGTAGTGTTCCTGTTAATGAAGAAGATGGTCATTACCAAGTCACAGCTTTAAATAGAAAATATTCTCATAAATATGGTTATGGAAAAATTGATGCCTATCAAATTGCCAAATTTGCCAAAGACTGGAAGAATGTTAAACCTCAAACTTGGTATTATAGTGATGTTATAAAAGTCAATGAAAACATCGAAATACAAGGGGCCGACTCCCCTGATAAAGGTAAGGTGTTATCATCTTCAATTATCGTTAATTCAAGAGACCTTGATGTGATGAATTTAGAAAGAATTGAACATGTTACAGTTACTGTAAACATAAAATCTAGCTTCAGAGGTCAAGTCGGAGTCAGATTAATTTCACCATTTGGTATTGTTAGTGATTTAGCTACTTTTAGAGCCCGTGATTTAAGTGGAAGAGGATTCGAAAATTGGACTTTCCTGTCCGTAGCTCACTGGGGAGAAAGAGGAATCGGTGAATGGAAAATTGAAGTCTTTAATGACCCTCGTACTAATGGTAACAAAATTGAATTCTTAGATTGGCAATTAAGATTTTTCGGTGAAAGTAAAGAAGCTGACAAAGCCGAAAAGTTTGATATTGATGTTGATTATGCTAAAATTAGAAGAGATAGATTAAGTGATGATAATCAACCTGAACCTGAAATAACAGTATCAACTGAAACCCCTGCTCCAACGACTGAAGCCACAGAAAACTCAACCACGACACCTGCTACAAGTACTGTACAAGAAGAAAAACCTGAGGAAACCAAGAAACCGGAAGAAACCAAAACCCCTGAAGATTCTTCACCAACATCAGACACTGACAAAGAAAATCCAGATGTAGACGAAGGTAACAATGTAGAAGATGGAAAAAACAAAGTTGTGAAAGACCACAAAGGGTTTTACTTCATGGCATTAGTAGTGGTTGGATTCATCATTATAATGGTGATTATGAAATACCATAAAACACCTGGTAGTTCCAGAAGAAGAAGGAGAGATGAATATGAATTCGATATCATTCCTGGTGAAGATTATAGTGATAGTGAGATGGATTCTCACGATTCTTTAGATTTAGGTCATAGGAATGATGCTGATTATAATTTAGATGAAGAAAGAAATAGACTTTATGACGAACTCAATGCAGAGGCCTTGCCAAATTATGAAGAAGAAGAAGAAATGTTCAAAATTGGTGATGAAGATGATAGTAAAGTTGATACCAACAACCAAAAAGAAGATAGTGAAAATCCACAAGATAACAAAGATAAGAAAAAAGTAAATTTTGCAGATTAGAAACATTTATACAAGACATCTTAACGTTACTCTACCTCATGGTTCTCATATCCGACGAATTTGACATCCTAAGACATGGTCTTCAGTAATCCGCGACATTCCCAATAAGTAAGTCCGATTTGACTTTTGTCCATGTAAAAGTGACTTCAGTCACCAAGACACTTGTGAAGTATTTGACAATGGAGGACATTCGGATCTTTAGAGATGGTTGCGGAGTCATCAATTGATATAGAGTGCCACTTCTTCTTCTTTTCAGAGTTCGCTTATGTTTTTCCATGATAGAACTATCTTCGGGTTAATCATAAATCCCAACAAAAAAATGTCGCAGATGCACCGATATTGCATAATTAATAATCTGAACGGCCTACCAGTCTATTATTCACATTAATAATCAGAGTTTAGTTCAGAAATTAATAAAAATAATTCCTTTACCCGGTAAGACTGCTTAAAGATTTAAACTTCCCTTAAATTCCAACTTTTCCCCCATTAATTTGAAAAGTTCAATATTTTAGTGATAATCACATTTTATTAAGCAATTAAATCGAATCCCGAAATTTTTCTCATTTTTCAAATCTTGGAGTTTTAAATTACCAATTTTTATTTGATAGGAATTAACTGAATTGAAAAAAGTTAATTAATACATTGAAATATCAATTACAATTTCATTGAATCAAAGATTATTATAAGAATTTCAAATAATCGAATTCCCTCAATTTAGAATATTAAAATAAGCTTGAAAACTAGATAAGATAAGATTAAAATATGTCAGATACTCTTGGTGATTATACTTCAATCGTTGTTTTTGGGGCTTCAGGAGATTTAGCAAAGAAAAAGACTTTCCCTGCGTTATTCGGATTATTCAGAGAAGGTGAATTACCTTCCACTGTCAAAATTATAGGTTATGCTAGATCAAAATTGTCAGATGAAGATTTCAAAACCAGAATTTCCGAACATTTCAAAATCAAAAAAGATGAACAAAAATCAAAAATTGATGAATTTTTGAAATTGTGTAGTTACGTTCAAGGTCCTTATGATACTGCTGAAGGTTACCATGCTTTAAATAAAGAAATTGAAGATTATGAAAAATCTAATGCTAGTGCTAAAGCTGAAAGATTATTTTATTTAGCTTTACCACCATCAGTTTTTTCAACCGTTGGTAAAAATTTGAAAGAGCATGTTTATCCATCAAATGGTAGAGTTAGATTAATTGTTGAAAAACCATTTGGTCATGATTTAGAAAGTTCAAATCAATTACAAAAAGAATTAGCCCCATTATTCACTGAAGAAGAATTATATAGAATTGATCATTATTTAGGTAAAGAAATGGTTAAGAATTTATTAGTTTTAAGATTTGGTAATGAATTATTGAATGCTGCTTGGAATGCTAAACACATTAGATCAATTCAAATCAGTTTTAAAGAAGCTTTTGGTACTGAAGGTAGAGGTGGTTATTTTGATTCAATTGGTATTATCAGAGATGTTATGCAAAATCATATTTTACAAGTTTTAACTTTATTAACTATGGAAAGACCAACTTCTTTCGATCCTGAAGCTATCAGAGATGAAAAAGTCAAAGTTTTAAAAGCTATTGAAAAATTCGATCATGAAGACATTCTAATTGGTCAATATGGTAAGAGTGAAGATGGTTCAAAACCTGGTTATTTGGATGATGATACTGTTGATCCAAAATCTAAATGTATCACTTATGCTGCTCTTGGTTTGAAAATCTCAAATGAAAGATGGGATGGTGTTCCAATTGTTATAAGGGCTGGTAAAGCTTTAGATGAATCTAAAGTTGAAATCAGAGTTCAATATAAACCTGTTGCAAAAGGTGTATTCAAAGAAATCCAAAACAATGAATTAGTTATCAGAATTCAACCAAATGAAGCTGTTTATATGAAAATCAATTCTAAGATTCCTGGTATTTCAACTGAAACTTCATTGACTGAATTAGATTTAAGTTATGCTACTAGATTCTCAAAAGATTTCTGGATTCCAGAAGCTTATGAAGCTTTGATTAGAGATTGTTTCTTAGGTAATCACTCAAATTTCGTCAGAGATGATGAATTATCAATCAGTTGGGGATTATTCACTCCATTATTGAATTACTTAGAATCAAAAGATGGTCCTCAACCAGAAATCTATCCTTATGGTTCAAAAGGTCCAAAAGATTTGAGAAAATTCTTAAACAAGCATGGTTATGTCTTCAATGAAGAAGGAACTTATCAATGGCCATTAACTGCTCCTAATGTTAAAGGTAAAATTTAGATACGATCAATAATTTCATGATTCTGCAATGTTAACTCTAATTTCCAGCTCTCTGCACCTTAAATTATATGTGAACAAAACGGCCATGAAGAGATGTAGAGAAGATTACGAAGATAAAAATCACTAATCAATAAATTATTTATCAGACATCCATGGAAGGTCTATAAGCGGTCACCGGCATACTAAGATGGGTTCTTTATGTATGCTACCGAGGAAACTGCGAATGTTAATGGTAAATTTCATCACTTAAATAATTTATTGATTACACTCTTTACCTTGTGCTTAGTATGTAACATATCGTTAATAAATTCTTGAAAGGATCAGAATTGTAGATTACTGGCAAGTAAAAGATAATTGGGTTCCTACAAGAGGTAATCCCAATTACCATATTTTCAACCCTGTCGTCAAAGTCGAATCAGACTGAGCAAGAAGAAACTTCATTTCATCATTAAACCTTTCGAAAATTTATTAGATATTTTTAATACAAAACCCATGGATTCTTTGTGATTTATCGTAAGACCAATCGCTTGAATCAAATAGTGTTGTATTATATGAAAAATACCAACGATTATGTTAATAATTAAGCCCAATCTAAAAAGAATGATTTTATATCTTGGGAAAATTTTTTATTCATCCTCACCTTTTAAATATTGAGATGAGGCGTTACCCGGATTTTCTATAGTTTTCTACGAAGGTCTCCAATTTCTATCCATCCTAGAGTAACAACGAGAATCTGGATCAAAAATGATAAAACAGAATGAAAGAGAATGGACTGTTTTGCTCGTGTCTTATATTTCATAGCAATTGGTCAGTATTTTCATTTTTCCAATGGTTCTGTAGCACAAACCTCCTCTTTATGTGGTACCTGGGCTATTACAATAAACTTTCAAATATTATCAAACAATTGATAAGCAGTAGGCTTTTGGAAGGGTCCAGTTCGATTACTGGTCAAAATTCTAGGGTATAAATTATTCCATATCAAATCAAAATTTAGTAGCCATACAATGTTCTCCGGGTAATCTCGCGTTAGAAGTTGCAAAATGTTGTACCTGTCAATAAGAGAATTGCCACACAGTTCCTCTGATAATAAAAGGAACCATCACAAAGAGACCTCCCTCCGACTTTTCAAACACAGTAGCATCAAAAAATAATGAAAAAGAATTCAGTACTCATAATGTATAGGCATCCAGTCTTTAGAATAGTGAATTCAGGTATGGATTCCAGTTAAAATCATTGGTTCGAATCAAGCTCCGATCAGAGGCCAGATACTCTAAGAGTCTTCCAGAAGTGGCAGAATTATGTTGCAGGTGCTCTCCACAGAAATACGTGTCTACGATAACAATTCCTAGTCTCTTGACCAAAAACCCATCTTATGAAATAAAAACTCATAATCCACTTCACTTGGAACCTCTCCATTATTTCCAGATGTGTCCCAGCTCATAAAAGGGTGTATTTACGGCCCCAAAGACATTCTTTACCTAGCATTAGTATCATAGGTTTATATTCTATTACAACGAAGGGCGTGTGGTCTAGTGGCATGATTCTCGCTTTGGGTGTTTCACACAAATTTGCGAGAGGCCCTGGGTTCAATTCCCAGCTCGCCCCTTTATTTTTTAATTTTTTTACCTTACTGATGGATAATGAATCGGTTTATACCACAAAACAATATTTCACTGGCGTCCTCACTACATAGGTTTATTAGAAATCATCACAGTGTCAAAAAATCGAAGTGGTAATCTTCACCGCTTGAAACCACAGAAATATTCTCACATGATGTATAATAAAACTCTTGGAAGTTTCAGTATTCTTGTACTGATGACCCAGTTTTCTTTCTTATCTCTTCCAAAGTATGTTAATATTTTTTGGCGGTTTTTTCACGTAATTTTTGTAGGAATTGTAAAGTTATATTGAGAATATTTAGTGGTTTCGTGAATTTTGCAATTATATTGGAAAATTTTGAAAGTTGTAAAAATTCATTGAAAAAATTTAAATAGCCACTTTAACACCCGGGTCTGATTTTGGTTGTTACTTTTAGATATTGGTATTTACAAAGAGGAATAATTCACTGATCTTTGCAGCCAGATAAGACGCGATTATTTTTCAAATCTCACGAACCTGGAAATGACTGTCGATAGAGTTTGGAGATCTTTGCCAGTGAAAAGTTCCGAAGTTTCACTTGCCAAGGTATTAAGATGCGGTCAAACATTTAGATGGAAAAATATCGACCATGTTTGGTCATTTAGTGTTGATGACAGGATTATTCTTTTGAAGCAGGAAGACGATGATTTGCAGTTCAGTTGGATCATGCCAGAGGACAAGATGGAAAACACCAACAGACAGGAGAAAGAGACATTAGATTTTATAAATGACTACTTTTCACTTTCAACCAGCCTCGAGAGTTTATATTCAGACTGGTTGAAAGTTGATGAAAAGTATCGTAAAAAGATAGGAAGTTCTCCATTCATAAAATTCCCAGGGATTAGAATTCTCAGACAAGATCCTTGGGAAACCACTGTCTCATTTATATGCTCATCTAACAATAATGTGAAAAGAATCTCGAAAATGGTGGACAGTATTTGTACCAATTTTGGTACCTATATAAATGATTTCGAAGGAATTCCTTTTTATTCATTCCCCAAACCAAAAGATTTAGCTAAACCAGAAACAGAAGGTCTCTTAAGAGATTTGGGTTTCGGATATCGTGCTAAGTACATTTATAAGACAGCTTGTAAGTTTGTCGATAACGAAGAATTCCCCGAAATCACTATCGAACAATTAAATGCGATGAGAAGTAAAAGCTATGATGAAGCACATCAATTTTTGTTGCAGTTGGACGGTGTTGGTCCCAAAGTTGCTGACTGCATTTGTTTGATGGCTCTCGATAAACACGATATTGTGCCTGTTGATACCCATGTATATCAGATTGCAATGAGGGATTTCAAATTCAAAGGTAAGAAGGATCTCAAGACGATGAATCAACAAGTGTATCATGAGATCAGATTATTTTTCAAAGAGTTATTTGGAGATTATTCTGGCTGGGCCCAGTCAGTACTTTTTGCTTCTGACTTGAGCGATTTGAATAATGGGGTAAATCAAATCTCGACTAAAGAAGTCAAGGTAGAAAATGATTCAATCGAAATCAAAAAAAGGAAAGTGATTACAACTGCCGATGAGAAAATCACGAAAGAAACCAAAACTGTGATTAAAAAGAGGAGGAATCTTCAAGTATAGTTGAAAGTTAATAGTGTAATGCATAGTCTGGGAAAAACTGCCTCATAACCTCATCGAGGATGAGTATCTTTTTGTCCCCTGGCACTTACATGTTTCTTTGAAAGACATCAGCCAACTTACGTATACAACCTGCTATAATTTACTAGTACAGAAGCTCAACTATTTGATTATATCTTGTCATTCCAGCTGATAAATTGATATTTGGTCGGATTTAACAGTTCAACAACTCTAATTTTCAAAATCCGATTCATTAGTATCCAACGGACGGTTGGTGTAGTGGTTAACATTGCTGCCTTCCAAGCAGCCGTCACGGGTTCGATTCCCGTACCGTTCATTTTTTAATTTTTTCTTTTCTTGATAGGCTTTTCAATAGTGCTAAGTCCCTTTCAAAACATAAGCATGGACATGGTGTGTCATACTTTTTCAATGTGCACAATTTCTGGATGATATACTCTACTTCTGCGATGTTCTTTATAAATCCTAAAGGGAATCGCGAATTGATCTCACTCCATCAATGGAATCCAAATGTCCCATTTGTTCCAAATTATTTCTGGACGAGGAGCTAGAGCTACATGTAAATTCATGCTTGGACAAAGAGGAAAAACGACGGACCAAAAGATTGAAGACAGATAAACGGGACAAGAAGGTGGATAAGAAGTCTGATGCTTTTAAGGTGTTAGGTTTGAGAATGAAATCTACAGATGAGAAGAAAAGTCAAGAGGGGAAGAAATCAGGACCAAGTTTGACATCACTTCTTATTGCTGAGAGAAGACTCAAAGAGAAGAATCGAAAAGAAGCAGAACAATTGGCAAGAGAGAAAGGAATTATCATAGAAGAACCCGCGTCTCAAACCAAAACCAAAGTGCCTGAAAGGATAGAAATAGCTACCCAGGTAATTTCACAACCTCCTTCCAAACTACAAGAAACACTACAGCTACATAGAGAATCAAGACTCCCGTTGGCACAAAGGCTTCGTCCTAAATCTCTAGACGATTTTTTTGGACAAGAGAAATTAGTGGGACCAAATGGATTATTGAGAAATATTATCGAATCCCAAGAGATCCCTTCATTCATTCTATGGGGGGTCCCTGGAGTTGGGAAGACTTCTTTGGCTAGGATAATTGCCAATTCAACCAACTATAGATTTGTTGAACTATCTGGACCTTCCGCCAATGCTTCCAAGATGAGGGAGGTATTCTCCAGTGCCGAAAATGATCGAGGTTTATCTGGTTCAAGGACTTTGGTGTTTCTTGATGAAATTCATAGATTTAATAAAGCTCAACAGGACTTGCTACTCCCTGTTATAGAAAAAGGGATTATAACAGTTATTGGAGCTACCACGGAGAATCCATCTTTTACTTTGAATAATGCTTTACTTTCAAGAATGCACACATTCATAATGGAATCATTGAGCCACGAAGCTTTAGTGAAGATATTGAACAGAGGTCTATTTCTCCTCAATCAAACAAGAAGACAAGTTCACAAATTACATTTAATATCGCTAAATAAAGAATGTGTTGATTATATTGCTGACTTGAGTGCTGGGGACGCCAGAGTTTCTTTGAATATTTTGGAAACCATCAATGCATATTTGTCGGGAACAAAGTTTCAAGTTTTGGAGAAATTTGAGCAGGATCAAATTGAATCCCAAAAATCATTGGGAGTTGTCAAACTTACAAGGGAAATAATTGAGCCTTTGTTAGCTTCAAGAAACTACCAAAAAATGTATGATCACCACGGAGAATCGCATTACGATACCATAAGTGCCTTTCATAAGTCTATCAGAGGGTCTGACCCGGACGCAGCGATATTCTATCTTACAAAGATGTTGGTAGGTGGTGAAGATCCATTATTCATCCTTCGGCGAATGATTGTGATAGCAAGCGAGGACATCGGAGTGAGAGATAGTTCTGTATTACCATTTGTGGTAGCAGCAAAAGAAGCATTTGAATTCATTGGAATGCCTGAAGGAGAGATTATTTTGGCTCATGTGGCTGTACGTTTGGCAAAATCTCCCAAATCAACCAAATCATACAGAGCATTGAGATCAGCACAAGCCTTGTTTAAGGATCAGCCTGCTGCTACCTCTTTCAAAATACCCATGCATTTGAGAAATGCACCCACGAAACTCATGAAAGAAATGGGCTATGGTGATACTTATAGGTATAATCCCGATTTCGAAAGGGGGGTTGTTTTACAAAAATATTTACCGGAAGAGATTAAGGAAGTGAAATTCTTGGATGAGACTCATCTAGGAAGAACTAGAGATCCGTTAGTCAAACCAGAAGATTATAAAAGGGCCAAAGAAGATGAACAAATATACTTGAAGTTCAAAAATGAAAGGAAAACCCTTAAAGAGAAATCAATAAAAGATAGACTACAAAAAGATGTTGAAGGAGAAGAATCACCCGAAGATCTCGAAGGTGAAACATCCTTATACCCTTACGACGAGTTTTTAAGTAAGGAAGATCAACCTGATTATTTCGATGGTGAAGAGATTGATCTATACTCACAAATAGCTTCTCAAAAACCTGACGAGAGCTACGATGAACTCCTAGCAGAGGAAGAACATGCTTATGAGGAGTATGACTCTAATGTATAACTAAGACGTAGACATTTTGTGCATGATGTAATATAGATATTTATTCAGTTGCCGCACCAAGAAGTTCGCAACCTCTAACTATGTGTGGCAGGTATGCATTGAACGTGGTATGTAAGATCGAGCTTTTGACATTCGGGTATATTACTAACCTTTCAGGATATCAACCAGCTACCATCAGAATTTGTTGGGACTGCAATAATCAATGGTGATTCGAATGCTGTTCGGCCTGTTGATGATAATCACAACCAAGATGATCACGATAATGATGACAATAAAGATGACAATAAAGATAGAGTTTACTCAATTGGGGGTAAGCATGGAACTGAAGAAGAGGAGAGCACATTGATTTTACGGAATAATTTAGGAGGAAGGTATCAATCATATAATATTGCACCCACCCAGAATTCGGTTATTATTTATAAGGAACTGGCCCAAAGTTTTATTTTCGAAACGCTGAGTTTCGGATTGATACCGTTCTGGATGAAACCTAAGACTGAAGGTGTAACCAATCAGCTGAAGGAATTAAAGGGGAACCAGAGCAAATATTTTAATTGCAGAAAAGAGACGTTGGAAAAAGGATCACCCATATGGAATTCTGCCAAAAATAAACGATGTGTCGTACCTATTGAAGGATATTTCGAATGGAAAAAGGATGGCAGTGAAAAGACCCCTTACTATGTACATTCATCCCTGTCTTCATTAATGTATTTGGTGGGGTTTTATTCTCACAATACATTATTTGAGCACAATTTTCAACCAAATAGTTCATACTTTTCAAGCTTCACTATCATCACAGGCCCGGCACAAAGTACAGATCAAAAAGATATATCATGGTTGCATCCTCGGAAACCACTTATGATTGCGCCAGGTACTAAACAATGGGAAGATTGGTTGAACCCTGATTTAGACACAAGTGAAAAATTAATAGACTTTTGTTTGGAAACTGAAAAGAATATAGCCTTCAATTCTATTGCTACTCATAGAGTTAGTAAAGATGTCGGGAAAACATCAACCAATGGGGAATATTTGATAAAAGAAGTAAAACCCACCAAGTCACCTCAAAAATCAATTGACTCATTTTTCAAAAAGAGATCAGGTGACGCGTCAAACACTTCTAGTCCCAAGAAGGTCAAAACTGAACCCAAGTACTAAACCGAATCAAGAGTTGGAAATATACCAACTCAGTGTCTATAGTAAATGTAATATAGCGTGTACCAACCACTTAAAAAAAATTCTCACTCGATTTGACCATTGGAAAATTTAAAACTATCAAGTATGAGTAGAATATCGGTTAAAGCAGTTAGACAAATACGTTTTAACTCAAATACCCCATTATATTTGAATCCCCATACATGGGAAAATTTACCAGCTGATAGAATCTTCGAATTACATAATCTTCGTAAAGATGCATTGAAAGAAAATTATAATCCCAATGACGAAGAAAGAAGAGCTATTTTATCTACCTTTCAAGATTTATCCAAAGTTAAACCAACTTTAGATTATGTTTATGAAATCGACAATTTCAAGGAAAGATTCATGAACAACACTCCTGCCAGATTAAGAGGTTTACCACCAAAAAGAAGTAATGTCAATGTAGTTCCAAGTACTAAAACTTTACATGATGAAAGAAGAAAAGATCATTTGAATAAGGTAATGGCTTTTGAAATGCCATTATTGGCCAAATATCGTCAACCATATACTCCTAAAACTAACAAAGAAACTCCAATTAAATTGACTTATCACAGTGATTTCAGTAATGATTCAAATAACTCAAATCGTAAGGTTACTTTGACTGTTGCATTGAAGGATTTAGCATTAAATGAAAAACAACAGAAGAAATTCATCATTTTATCAGGAAACAAAATCAACCACGAAACTAATATCTTGAAATTTTCAGTAGATGAAAGCGAACAACCAACTCAAAATGCTCGTATAATAGTGGAAAGATTCAACAAATTGGTGGAAGCTGCCAAAGATTTGACTGACGATTTTGCTGATATACCAATAGATATTCGTTCCACCAAGATGAAAAAGAAATTACCAGTGTTCCCAAAAGAATGGAAAAAACCTCAAGATGCTCCAATAGTTTCTCACAACATAACTAGAAAACTTGTTGACCTCGTTAAATCAAAGAAAGATGATTCTTATGTATCAACTTTCAAGCCATAGATTTACATAGATTTTCAAATCCCTTGTATATATAAATATTAATCATAAACTGTCACAAAATCTAAATATTTAACTATCTCGAATTTTCGCATCTTTTCTGTTGAGGTTATTTTACTAAGTAAAGTTTGATATTTTTGATTGTTAGTTAGTCAATAATTCCAATCAATCGATCATCGGTGACACATCAGTACATACATACATCTGATTCCATATAAGTGACAGAAAGTTACCGAGTTGAACATTAATAGATCGAAGTTTTAAACTGTACAAAATTTATAATGGCTGTTAATACTTCACGTTCAGCAGCCACCACTTTGGATGATATCATCAACGAGTTGAAGCTCAGTTATGATTCTTCAGTAGGATTGTTGGATGGAGATAACGTCAGGCAAATTCCAAGTGTCAATAATTTACTTAATCTCAGTAAATTATTGAATAATTTATCAAAAGATTTGAAAGCAGTAGAAGAAGTCGATACCAAAGTTTTATCAATACTAGGGGAAAAGCTTCTAGCATCGACATCCGACACGAAATCCACAAAAGAGGATGGTTTAGATATCGAAGAAACGAAGAAAGATAAATCAAAGAACGGAAAGAGAGAATTAGAAGATATCAAAGAAGAATCGAAAAAGAAGCAGAAAATCAAAAGTGAGGTTGACGATAAAGACATTGAAATGGTAGATCCAGAAAATGTTCAAGACATAGAAGAATTGGAAGCCGAACAGGCCATTGAAGAGGACAATGTTCCGGACAACGAACACTCTAAAGTCAAAGAAGAAGACGAGGATGAGGACGATGACGAAGAGGAAGAAAAAGAAGAAGGAGCAAAAGAGGAAGACCAAACAGAGGCAGTCACTTCAAGAGAAAGATTGAACTCCAGCGATGATCCTATACCGCCAATACAGACCGGACATTACACACAAGATAATGATACTAGACTCAAAAATCCTAAATCAGAATTTGTTAAACCTCAAACGGTGTCTGCTTCTGCTATTGCAGAGTTAGGATTATTTTCTGAAGATAATAATGGTCTTGAAACCCAAGGAAAAGAATATTTGAAGAAGAAATACGGGGTAGCATCATACCCTGAAAACGATTTGAAAGATTTATTACCTGGAGAAATCCCAAACATTGATTTTTCGAAAAATAAACCTCCTAGTAATCAAGTCCAATTTACAACTTTCCAATCATACATAGAATCGTTCTATAGACTTTTTTCCAATGAAGATTTGAAATTCTTAAATGAAAAGAACATAATACCTCCAGGATTCGAGAAAATGAATTATGATCCTGATGTCAGTCCATACATCATCCCCAAATTAGGACAATTCTATGCAGATGCTTGGACTGAAGAAGATGCAAGTTTGGCGAGTAAATTAAACTCTCCTGCATTTCAACAAATTTCACCTGATACTTATAAACCAAAAGGTACGATTAATGATTTGGAAGAAGACAAATTGGCCACAGAAGATATATCATGTGGTCCGCTTTCCAGTAGATTATTGTCAGCTGTATTGAGTATCCATGAAGGAGTAGAAGAATCTGAAGAAAATGGGGAAATAAAAACCGAGAGGAATATTGAAGACAATTTAGGCATCGACATGGATGAAAACATTGCAACTAACATCAAAGTAGATCCTGATTTTGATGGTGCTGCAGATTCAAACGATTTCCATTCAATTGAAGAAAGATTAAAAAGAGAGTTGAAATATATTGGAATCTTTATGAATTTACCCAATGATGAAGATGAAAGTAAGAGCAAGTTGAGTCTTAATGGTAGACCAATTAAATCTGAAACTCGTTCTGGAAGCATCATAGATACCGACGATTGGGTCAAGAACAAGGAGGACGACGAAGTGTCGGCAGAGATTAGAATGTTACAAAAGCAGCTCAAATCTGCTGTAGCTAGGAATAGACTGAACAAGAAAAAATTAATTCCTGTGGTCGAGGAACAAATTGCCTATCAAGAATACTGCACCATATTGGAAGATTTAGATAAACAAGTAGATCAAGCTTATATGAAGAGGTTGAAATCTAAAGGCAAGAAAAAGAAAGCTAACGAAAAGGTGGAATTGACACCAGCTCAACAACAAGCAATGAATGCAAGCGTTCGTTCCACATTAGATAAACGGAAGAGATGGATGGAAAATATCGGTCAACTTTTCGCTTCAGCTGAAATCATGAAAAGGGTTCCATCAGAATCATTATTGGATGGTGATTTGGAAGAAGAAGTTGATGAAGAGGCTAATGATGTAGCACAAGATGTTATTCAAGATAATTCTTAGACTTCTAGAGAAGGTTGATATGTGTATAGTAAGTTGTATTTGCATTAGAATGTATATTTACAAGTCATTTCCACTTCATAATTCGAGGTTCGCTTACGAAGACATACCTCTTTGAATTTCACTATGAGAAGGTAAGGTTTGGACATTACCCAAAGCTGCTAAGGCAATTGGTTTGTCTTTTAATCTATAATTGGCCCAATCAACAATGTCTTTTCTGGTAATCGATTCAACTCTTTCAAAAGCTTCTTCAGGACTCAATCTGAACCCGGTGTTGACCAATTGTCTTCCTATATCCTCAGCGATGGCTGTGGAATCATCAAGAGCCAATAATAATGAAGCTTTCAATTGTGATTTTGCTCTTTCTACTTCTTCTTCTGTGATGTTACCGGATTTAAATCTTTGCCATTCATTCAAGAATTCATTGATGAACAATCTCAAATCACAATCTTTGTCGGCAGTGAAGTAAACTCCCATCAAACCAGTATCGGCATAAGAAGTTGTGTAAGACATATAAGAATTGGCAATAGGGTTTTGATTAGGACCTCCAAAAGCTGCAGCTACAGCTAAAGGAGAAGGGGAGTTTGATCCGATACCAAGAGATCTATCCCAGTGTCCGATGATTCCACTTACTACTGAAGCAGTGAAGAAATCAGGTGCTGACCAACTTGCACTTTCCACACCTAAAGCTATATGTGTAACAGGCATCGAGCTATCTTGGATCCTTACTTCATCACCATGAAATATAGGTAAATCGTCCCCATTTTGTTTGAATGGGATGTCTGATTTTTTGATCGCTTGACCAAAGTATTTATTAGCCTTCTCAACTAATTCATCATGATCAACAGCACCAACTCCTATCAATGCCATTCTATCACCTTTATAATTAGTTTCGATGTAAGTTTTCAAGTCAGTTCTGTTAATAGTTTTGATTAACTCTCTTGGTCCTAAGATAGTCCTACCTAAATCTTGATTTTTGAAAGCAATGGAATGTAAATGATCGAAAACAACTTCATCATACATTTTGTCGACTTCATCACTTTCCTGTAAAATTACATGTCTTTCATTTTCAATAGCTCTAGGGTCTAATTTCGATTTGGTTAACAAATCACTCAAAATGTCGATGTTCTCGTCAATCTTACTATCAAGACATTTAGAATAATAGACGGTATTTTCTCTTGAAGTATAAGCATTGATTTGGGATCCCATATTTTCGATTTCTAACTCTAATCCCAACTGTGTTCTTCTGTTCGTACCTTTAAAAGCCAAATGTTCCAAGAAATGGGCGGTTCCACTTGATTTTGGATTATCAGCTCTAGATCCAGCATTAATCCACACTCCTACAGTAGCAGTTTTGGTACCCGGCATAAACTCACTAGCAACAGTCAAACCATTAGGTAAGATAGTGGTTTTATACAAGGAAGTACCATCAACAGCTGTACTGATTCTTCTAATATTATTCACTTTAAATCTTCTTAACATCCTGCTGAGAAATTTTTGAAAGTTCCAGAAATGCGGATTCAATAGTTGCAAAATTTACTATTCGCAGCCATAAACAGAGAGAAGCAATTACTTTAAGAACTCTATTAACTATTAAATAACTCAATATTACAAAATATCATACAAAGATTTAAGTTTCCTTATGATGCAATGGTTGATCAACAACTTCAAATTGAAACAAAGATTTCCTCAAAGGTTTGGTCATCTTCATATTTGCATGGATGAATCTATTATATTTATCGAATTCTTCCCCTTCAAGTTGTTTATCGGCAACCATCAATTTTTTATAAGAAGGATCATTTGGATCACCGTCTGTCTTTTCTGTGATCTCAAACAAATATTCCTTTTCTTTAGAATGAATGTCGGTGATTGATTTAGTTTTATAATATTCACATAAAACTTCGTCATCATTACTTAATAATTTCAAAATTTGACTTTCATCCATATCAAGAATTAATTGGGATAATTTCTCATCATCAACACTACCATGTTCCTTTTGTTTTTGTGACATTTTTCTGAAATCATTTGAATCAAAAACTTCTATTAAACTTTCTTTATTAACCCACAAATTAATTTTAGGGATGAAAAACCAATTATGAAATTCTGGTTTGGTAATTCCTCCTGGATATTCGAAAATCAATCTCTTGGAGATATCATTAGGCATGAACATTGGAACTCCACCCATAGAGGTATATTTCAAAGGTGATAATTGTTCGTGTTTATACCAATGTTTTCTTCTATCATTATAAATTTCATCATTCCTGGTTTCTTCATGAATGTCAACAAATTCGTGATCATTTTCGAATTCCGATGGGATTTTGGCATCACTGGTACTTAAACCAGTGATATCAATATAAAGACCAGAATCAACATCAATGAATCTTGCATCGATATGATTTTCTCTTTTACTGATATCTCTATTATGGACGAAAGTACCAACGTCAATCAAAAATTTTCCGAAACCTTCTTCTAAATCTTCAATAACCAAGGTTTGATTATATAATTCACCCAATCTAGCTAAATCTCTAGCTGGCATTTGGATATCTAAATCATCATCGAATGGGAACATCAAACCATTCCAATACCAAGATAATAAAGGTCCATGCATAATCCAACTTATTAAACCTTTTTCATGGGCAAATCTGAACCATGATCTACTTAATCTATCTAAAATAACTTCTTGTCTCAAAACCAACTCTTTGTCAGTCCAACCTTTTCTTTTACCTGTTAAAGTTCCAGTAAAAAATCTCCAATCGTAATGATATCCCTTATCTTGATCAATATTATCTTCATCGTGATCATGCCATAAAGTGGCTTGTCTGAAATAAACATCTTCAGTGTTTGTATTTCTTTCTTTAGATAATTTCAACGATCTAACATATGATTCTTGAATGAAATCCAAATGTTGAATTCTTGAAAGTTCATCAAATACTTGTAATTGGACATCAAGATAATCTGGATTATATTGGAAAGCATCTTTTGGAATAGGCAAATTTCTAGTCTTTGAAACATCCACATTATGTAAAGTTTCATAAAGTCCATAAACATCAGAAAGTTTAGTTAAATAATGGGGTTCAATATTTTGTTTCAAAATTTGAAATTCTTTGACTGGATCCAAAGTCAATTTCTTTGGTAACTTACCATCTTTAATCAAGTTGTTATTTTCAAGATATTTGTATAACAAGTTAGACTTCAAGATTCTAGTCTTTGAAGTTTGATCAACGTTGACTTCGTAAGTACCGTTGTTTTTATTCAAAAAAACCAATTTGAAGGGATTGGGTAAGTTTGTCATGATATAAGATTTAGCTTGTGCTAATCTGACATCAATGGTACCCCTTCTTAAAGTGAATGCATGCATAATGTAACCAGGTAATTGGTCATGATTATCAAATCCATAATCCCTTAACATATTGGGGGTAATATCGGCATTATTTATACATTTCAACTCAGGAAATTTGAAACGATGTTTATCAATGAAGTTTTCCATCCAATGACAATCTCTTCTATCCTTTAATGGCAATAATAAATCATCATTATTCAAATAATCCAAGTTGATCCAATCAACCCAGTGAAAGGGAATAGAAATATCATTTTTATTATCTCTTCTAGTAAGTTCATGATGGTAATAATTCAAATACAATGATAAAGTCAATCTTATATCATAAAATAAGGTATTTTTATTGATCCAACTTTCAGGATTCTCTGAATCAATGATGAAATGTTCAGGATTAATGGTAATTTCAGTATTGGTTAATTCCGTATCCTTTAACCAAAATCTATCATCTTCATTAGATTCGACTTTTTCGAATAATTTCGTTATTTCACTATTGAAATTAACGCTTGGTTCTTCATTATCATTTTCTATATAAATATATTTTAAATCAACGGTTTTGTTATAAACGGTCTTGTCAAGAGAAAAATCTTCTCTATAATACAATATGCATCCTGAAAGATAAATTATATTGATACCGAAAATTATCACTATGGCCTTCCTTATAAGGGAAGTTAAGGATTTCATCGCTACTTCACAAGGTTAGTGGATGGGATTTTTCTTACTTAAAATTTTTATGTACTTCCCTCGCCTCTTTTATGGTTTAGCAATTAACTTGTGATTTATGTATAAGTTGTATTACCCTTTTGATATTTGAGTAATGGAACTGTCTAAAAAACTCCAGTTGTAAATGCAAAAATTTCTTAGATATTAAATCAAGTTATCAAAACAAATTCTTGATGTCTTGCCAATAAAATGGGTTTATTTGCTTTATATAACATATACATAAAATTCAAGATTCAGCACAAGGCTCAGAACGTTGTCGTCCCGTTTCAGACAATTTGGTAAGTCACACGAGAATTTACTTCTTTTAGGGGGACACTCCGCACGACATCCCTTGTAATTTAAGGAGAATTTTCGGGGTCGTAGTGACATTGGGCTGAAGATAATAGGAAAATGTCGTACGGAGATGACATCAGGTAAACTTTTTAGTCAAGAATAAGGTACAAGATGTTCTATTTTAAAAGAACTTTTTAATTTTTATAAAAAAATTCAACGTCTATTCATATATCTTATACTATAATCCTATGATATTAAGGCAAGGATATATTGAATGATAAGTTTGAAAAATTTATCAAACTAAAGTATCTGAAATTTTTACCCGAATAATGTAGCAATCCGGCATGTCGTGGGATGCAGAGTCAAGGCTAGTGAAATCAATTGTTTAATTACAAAATAGTTCGTTTATGTCCATTTACAGTTACCACTTTCAACAGATCAAAGTCACAACACGCTCTTTTATTTACTTTACTCGTGTGACACTTAATTGTTATCTGTTTTTGCTGGGTGCATGCAGATCTTATGTCTTGATGAAAAAATTTTTTATACAGGAGGGACAAAATGCTATCCCGAAATCTTTTGATGTTTTGCTCCTATTCGATATGAAATAAAGATTGTTCTTAGGCTTCTAACCAATAATTAGTTTCGTGAGATATAATAATAGCTTATCAAACTAAAAAGGCTATAGTATTTTTTTAAACAAACAATCATCGAGGCTTTTAACGGAATTGAATTTTGGACATTAAAAAATAAACAGGTTATGAAGTTACATATTACGTGATTGACCTATCAAAATAAGAGATGGTTGAAGGAGGGTTTAGATGGCGCCGAGGATCAAACCATCTATGCCTTGGGAATTATTTTTCAGGAAAAGTAGCCCATTTTGCATTTGGTAACTTTTAGTGAAGTTTTGTTCTCTTCAAGAAAACTTTTCGAGATTTGCCTGGTGTACTGTACTAACCTTTCAATTTTTGTGTAACCTATTTTTTTCGAAACTCTCACGATCATGTGACCGCGATCCTAATTTTTGAAATCGCATCAAGTTGAAAAATTATCATGGGTAAGAGAATAAGTGCTTCTGATAGGGAAGAAATCATCAAATACCACAGAGAACAGGTAAAAAATGATCCCCAGCACAAGCAATCAGAAACCATAAGGCATTTCTCCGATAGATTCAAAATTGCCAAGTCATCGTTAGTTAGGTGGCTAAACCATGATCAAGAAACTGATAATAACAAAGTCAAAGAAGAACCAACAACTTCAATCCCTTCAACACCGAGGAGGTCTTCTCAAACATTAAGTTCTCCAAGAAGAATACCGAGAAAAAGAAAACTTTCCTCTTCATCTTCCCAAAGACCACGTACTTCAGAATCAACAACCCATCAAGTTTCAAACCCTCAATCTAATGGTTCTCACCATAATTCACAATCCACTGACGTGAATAGCGTAATATTCATACAGATACTATCCTCAATTATCCAATTCTATACTGAATTGAGAATCATAGACGAATTGACCTGTATCAACGAAGGGTTTGTACGTGAAGTTACAGATAAGATTCATCAATTGTATCCAGATATTGAAATTCCAGATGTTGGATTTATACTATCACAATTGAATGACATCAAAGCCATTGACGAACTAATTAAGAGCCAGTCTAAAGTGGAAAATAGTTGTGATAAATTGTCCAAGGAAACTTATAGATTGTGGAAACTTTTTAAACCTTATAATGATGCAAATATTTATCAATTCAGAGATTTCACTCTCGATATAACTGACATGATTGAATTGATAAATCCTGATATTAATTTTAAAAGATTGTTTGTTACCATTGGAATTGGTTTCAATCTTACTGGTGATAATTTCTTGAAACCTTTAATCATCAACAATTTTATCCAATCCACTGATGAGAATGATTTAGTTTTCAATACAACAGGTTTGAACTCATATTACATAATGAATCAGTATTTGACCAAATTGAATTCCATATTGAATACTAAGATCCTCTTAATCCTTGATAAGAATTGTAGCAATATTTTAGTCAACAAGTTCACCAATATCGAAATAATGTATAGTAATCTTCCAATGACACCCATGGACTTTGGATTAGAAAATCTATTCGTCAAGAACTTCCAAGTGAACATTGTTCAACAATTGATCAAAAACTTCAATCTTGCCATTATCCCCTCAATATTTCATGTCACTTATAATGATTTAGTGTTTAAATTCTTGAACCATTCCAATTACCGTGATTTCTTAATGCATTCAATCAATTTATGTATGAATAAAGAAATGAGGACCAATTTCAAGAAATATGTCAGAGTAAATTTAGTCAAGGGTTTAAAATTACGTGATAGAATATTTCTATTAAAGATCAATGAAGATTTAATCAAATCAAAACTAGATAAATTGGGTAGACCTAAAATCTATGAAGAATTGGAAACAGTTTTAATCCCCCAATATTCCCTTGACACTATTATCAAATCGAATTTTATTGTTAAAAATGATTCAAGATTGTCACAGAATTTCAAGAGCCAATATAGTACAGATTTGAATTCGAAGATAAATCAAATTTTGGATTTTAGGAATTTTTTGGTTTACAATTCAAATTCTGAAGATACTTTAAGGTTTTTCGATTTGTTTTATAGTTCTTTGTCCAGTAATCTTTTGAATGTGAAAGATGAATTTGAATATTATGAAGAAGAAAGTGATGGTGAGGATATTAAAGAAGAAGATTCCAGTAACATTGGGAGAAATGGTACCGATACAGAGAGTGGAGACCATGATGACCAAAGCGAGTTCGAACGTTTTGATGAAACTGATCATGAGCAAGCACAAATGAGTGTGATGGAAATTCAGAAAAATGGCGCTGAAGAGGAAGATGAAGAAGATGAAGTATTCGAAGATGCTAATTCTGATAATGAAATGCATCAATCCATATCTTCACAACAAGCACAAGATCAAATATCACAATTGAGTAGAACATTGAACACTTCGAAACCTGAATTCTCTGATATGTCAGACTCCGAAGAAGAGTCTGAAATTTTCGAATTAAAGAGACAAAAGGTCCAATCACCTGAAATGAAGCTGCTCAAAAATTCATTCAAGATCAATGTGACTAGTAGTTTGGTTGACAAGAGCAGTAGCAATAGCTCTGTAAACAACACCCCAAGCCAGGTTTTGGCAGGTATTAATGACACAGTTGACTTGGATAGGGCAATACAGGTCCAATCATCCCCTGATACTGGTATGAGGGTCGAGTTGGAGCAAGAGAATGAAGTGCAGCTGGATGGCGAAGAAGCGCTCGAGGGGGATAAACCAGAACAAGAACGAGAACAAGAGGAGGAGCAGAAATCAGGCCAAGATGACCTCGGTGCTCCAGAAGAAGGTGCTACAGGACAAAAAGTCCCAGAAGATGAAGCTCCAGAACAAAGGTCTTTAGAACAGGGACCTCCAGACCATGAATTTCCAGAACAAGAAGCTCCAGAACAAGAAGCTCCAGAACAAGAAGCTCCAGAACAACAAGTTCCAGAACAAACTTCAGAACAAGAAGAGATTACCGATGCTCAGATAGTGGTCGAAAATGAGTCCTTACAAGATACCATGTCCATAGATAAAAAGTCACAAATCACAGAATCACAGGATGTTGAAGTAATTGCCACAGAGCAAATTGTTCTCGAAACATCTGAGATGGAATTTCAATTACAAAAGAAATTGTTGAAAGAACAGCACAAAAGAGAGAAAAGAGAACGTAGGCTCATGAGGGAACAAAAAAGGAAAGAAAAACGTGAAAGGAGAGAAAGAAGAGAAATGAAAAAACGATTGAAGGAAGATTCACCATTTACGAATTCTCAGCAGATCGAGTTTAGTCAATCCCAATATTTTGACTCATCACAATCTTTGCCTACCCAGACCAAGAGTTCATCTCAGTCTCAGCTAGGTGTAACTCAAGAAAGTGCTATCGAAAGAGAATTAGAAAGATTAGAGAATAGAGATGAAAGATCAAGTTACTCTGAAATGGATTATGATGATAATGAAGATATGTAAAAGAACATGTAAATCAGAAAGTTAGTGTAAATCAAAAGTTAGTGTAAAATCATATGAATTGTATTATTATCCACTTCAATGTATAGAATTTTGTAGAATTGTATAATAGTTATCAGTCATCCATCGGTAGTTAACGGTTGCAAATTAAAAAGAAAGTTTAGTGCGAAAATTTTTTTGTGTATTAGACCAATTATAAAATCCCCGATAGGAAAGTCAAGCATTGATTAATTTATAGATTTATAGACAAAAAAACAAAAAATGAAGTTGTTTGAAAGTAAACATGACTTTTTATACCCTTGGGATCAAGTCACAGCAGCTAATTGGCAGAAATATCCTAATGAATTAAGTACTCATGTTGTTTCAGTAGATATCTTGAGTAGATCAATTGATAAAGAAAATAAAGTGTTAAGAACAGAAAGATTAATTGGTTGCAAGCAACCAGTGCCCAGATGGATGACGGCTTTAGTAGGAGGTCAAGAATATTCATATGTCAGAGAGATTAGTGAAGTTGATTTAGTTAATAAAACGTTAATTATGAAAAGTCATAATTTAACCATGAATCATTTATTACAAGTTAATGAAACTGTAATATACAAACCTGACATGGATTTACCAGGTCAAAGAACTTTGTTCATTCAACAAGCTGAAATCACTGCATTCGCTAGTTTTTCAAGAATATGTGATAAAATTGAAGACTGGTCAGTCGAAAGATTCGGTCAAAATGCTAAAACTGGTAAGATGGCATTCGAAGGTGTTTTAAAAACTTTAGGAGATAAATGGGAAGAGTCTGGAGTCTTTGTTAAAGACGTCAGTAATTCCTTAATTAACGATATTCATGAAGTAACTGAAAAGACTTCTGAAGTTTTATCAGAAGTCTCGAAATTGGGAAACGTTTTTAGAGATGATTAATGGGAGTTTAAATAATTGCATAGATTGTACATAGGTATTATAATTTATAAGGTCGATGAAATCTCTTCTCAATTGCTCTATAACTGTCACAAGAGTATTATCCAATTCTGTACTGTGGAAAAGTAATGAAATGAGCATGAAAAAAATTGAGACTACTGACCTTGAATCACGCTATGGATGATAAATCTAAACAAGATAGAATCATATTGGAGTTACAATTGATCTTAAAGACCTCCAAACAAATCGAAGATAATCTTTTGAAATCAATTGAATTAATAGATGGAGAGGAAAACTTCCCAACCAGCCGATCCACCTTTGATGAAAGTATAATTCAAAGTACGATGTTCATACAGAAAGTTATTTCATTGCTACAAAATATCGATAACGACGAAGAAGTAGAGGCATCAAGGTTGTTCATAGAGGAAGAAAATGGAAGTAAAGACAATTTATCACCTAATGAATCGGATTATAGTTGATATCAGTACGTGTAGAAATCACGCGTCTTTGAAAAACCTGTCTTTGAAAAACCTTGATGGATTCTAAACAATCAGAACTTATTGAAAGGTATCAAGATTCCATACTAAAGAATCAAGATCACAAGGATGACGATTTAAATGATGAAATTGACGACGATGAATTGTTAGATTTACTTGATGAAGATGATGCAATTTTATCTCAATATAGAGAATCAAGAATTCAACAATTAACTAAAGAATTCAAAAAAATTGATGAATTGTCACCAGACAATTTAGGTGCCATTGAAGATTACACCGATGAAAAGGCTTTGATGGAAGTGGTAACCAAATCTGAAATAGTTTTTATTCATTTTTATCAACCAAATTTCGCTAAATGTAATAAAATGAATGAAAAGTTGAAAATCTTAGCTGAAAAACATTTAACTTTGAAAGTTTTATCCATCAAGGCCGAAACAGCTACATTTTTGGTTGAAAAATTGAAAATCAAAGTATTACCATTTGTGGTAATATATAAAAATGGTAAAGAATTCGATAGATTAGTAGGGTTTGAAAAACTTGGGAATGATCCAAATGATTTCTCATATGATTCTTTAGAAACCTATTTGATTCGAACCGGGGTTATAAATAGAAGATCCATTAAGTTCACATCTACAAAACCTAGTTCATTTAATGATAATAATGATAATGATGAAGGATCAGATTTAGATATTTGATTTACAAGTTAATAGCCTCCAAAATTTGACATAAAAATTCAATTCCTCTGGTTCAATGAACTCTTCAAACATACTTTCACTTTCATGAATATATCCAAAAACTCTTAATCTGTTATCTAAAACTAAATCCCCTATCATCTTGTTATCTATTACATCACGCGACAATCTACATGATCTTCACGTTATCTTAGGGCACATGCCCTGTGACGGCCAAGTCAAATGTGAGAAACCGAGGACTTTGATTTTCAGACGACTTTTCGATGAACCATTTAGTGAGAGTTCTGAAAATTTTTAAATTCAACCCGGTAAGAAAGAAGCATCTATTGCAGACAAACCAATTATGCAAATTTTCGTCAAAACTTTAACAGGTAAAACCATTACCTTAGAAGTCGAATCATCCGACACTATTGATAATGTTAAATCAAAAATCCAAGATAAAGAAGGTATTCCACCAGATCAACAAAGATTAATCTTTGCTGGTAAACAATTAGAAGATGGTAGAACTTTAGCTGATTACAACATTCAAAAAGAATCCACCTTACATTTAGTCTTAAGATTAAGAGGTGGTGGTAAAAAGAAAAAAAAGAAGGTCTATACCACTCCTAAAAAAATCAAACATAAACACAGAAAACACAAATTAGCTGTCTTAACTTACTACAAAGTCGATAACGATGGTAAAGTTGAAAGATTAAGAAGAGAATGTCCATCATCAACCTGTGGTGCTGGTATTTTCATGGCTAAAATGGGTGACAGACAATACTGTGGTAAATGTCACACTACCTTCAAATCTAACTAAATGGATTAATATTTAATTAAATTACAATATATGTCTATTTAATTTCAACTCTTAGAACTCTTTGAGTTCCATGTTTCATATAAATTTCTGAAAACATTTCTCTAACTATGGGTGTACTGAAGTACTGCTGATAATCATTTCAATCCGCGACAAAATCAAACATTACAATTATGAGTTTCTCCATTTATGATCTAGATGAAGAGATAAGAGATCTCTTGCAACTTGATAACTTTCTTGGAGGGTTGACGGTGAATGAATTTGTGGAAGAATTGAGTAAAGATCATTTTTTGAAAGGAGCAGAGGTGAACAAATTGGAATATTTAGATCCTAAACCATATATTAGAACATTCGAATCAGCATTGAGAGAATTGAAACAATTATCTAATGAAGCCCAAAATCAAAAAGCTCATATGGAAAGACAAGTCGAAGATTATGAAATCAGACATAGTAGAAACGTTTTAGAGTTATCCGATCAAATAGAGACCATCACTCAACAGTTTAGTAAATTAGACGTTAGGATCAGTGACGTTACCAATCAAATTGATCCTTTAAATACAGCATTGAACAAGATTTCAAACTCCAGAGATGTTTCAATTGAAACAATTTTCTTGATTAGAGCATACCATGGTTTCTTTACTAAAGAAAAATACGAACCGTTAGAGACTTTAAGAACAAGTAAGAGATATGAAGATAAATCAAAATGTGCTAAAACAGTGAATAATTTATTGACATTAGCTAGGAAGATTGAAAGTCCAGATATTGCTAAAACAGCTCATTGCATCAAAATAATCGAGCAGTTCAGTGGATTGATGGAAACAGAATTGTTAAATGAATTCGAAATTGCTTTAGAGAATGATGAATTTGAAACAATGAAGGAAATATCAAACATTTTGATTGACTACAACGGAGGAGAGAATGTTATACAGACATTCGTAAGTAAGAATGAGTTTTTTGAAGAAGAGGAATTACAAGATTTGGGTAAATCACTTCTTGATGACGAAAGTGCATGGCCAGTTTTAAGTGACGTTAATTCTTCAGAACACATCAAAGATGAGGAAATTTACAATTTATTAAATCAATTAAAAGTTACAATCAAAGGACAAGCTAGAATTGTCAGCCAAGTATTCCAAAATCCAACTCCAGTATTAAGGATCTTCATTCAAAGAGTTTATGCTCAATTGATACAGAATAAAGTCAGTAACTTATTGACATATTCTTTATCATTTGGAGCATTGGCTCATGTCAGAGTGTTACATATGTTATTCCAAATGGTCAATGAATTCACTAAAGATCTAAAAGACTTCTTCATAACTAATGAATTTGATAATGATAATGAACTATCAGGAATATTAGATCAATGTTTCTATGATTTGTTTATCGAATTTACTTCAGAAAATTATTATTTCATTAGAGAAAAGAAAAATCTAGAAGAAACTATTTATAATATAGTGTCCAAATTCAATTCATACAATGAAAAATCATTAACTAACAAGTCATTATCAGAAGCAATTTCTAATTTGAATAACATGGATTATAACATCACTCCTACTGAAAAGGACAGTTTCGTTGATAAATTCGGTTTCAAGTTCATTGAAAAGAAAAGATATGATCAATTCAAAGAATTCATGAAGACCAGATTAGATGTTAGAAGAAGTTCCACATCATTAGATGGAGAAGATTTAAAAGAGCGTCAAGAATATACTGGCTTAAACTTACGACTTGTAGAAACTATCATCAAGACAGTAGTGGAATCCATAGCAAGAGTATTAGAAATTGAACCTAATAGATCTCCAGAATATGCTCTAGAGATTTTAGAAATCTTATTATTTGATTTTGGTAAGATGTACATTGAAGGAGGTTTGGAAGTAATTTATGATAATGCTAAGCTAGAATCGAATTACTCTAAAATAAACTCGGTTCAAGAAGTTAATTTCAATTACTTAAATTCATTCCATCTTTTAGGTCAAATCCTTTTCATAATATCAAGTTGTATCAAAAAAATCATAATCCCATGTGCTGTTAATAATCCCACTATAAGAAACAGAATGATAAATTTAACTAACGGATATATAAAGAGATGTGAATTGTCTATAAATATCATCTTATCCGAAACTATTGATTTATCATATAATAAACTCAACTATTACTTGTCGAAACAAAAGAAGAAGGATTTCGTTGGTGATAACATAACAGAAGATGATACTGAAGCTTGTGAATTAGTTTCAGAATTCATGTATGATGTTTTTGAAAGTTTGAGTAGAAATCTTGATAACGACAATTTATTGAATGTTTTGAATAAAATTGGTGATAAATTCTTGAATGCTTTATTAGAACATTTCAAGAAATTCCCTGTAAACTCTACTGGAGGTATTATTTTAACAAGAGATGTCATAAGATATCAATCAGTCATTGATAAATGGGAAATTCCAGAATTATCCGAGAATTTCCAAATTTTGAAAGAAATTGGAAATTTATTCACTGTTCATCCAAATTTAATCAATTCTTTGGTTACAGAAGGGCAATTAGCCACGTTAAAACCTTTAACTATCAGACAATATATTTCTAAAAGAACAGATTTCAATCCAAGTTATATTGAAAGATTTTTCAGTTTTAAATAGCATAGCATAATCATTTTATACATTTATATAATAAAAACCTATAATAATATATGCGATCATAACAGTCATCACAGAAGAAACTATAAAACCTTTAATGTTCCTTCTATTGGTTAATGGGGTTTGTGAGGTGAACACCGGTAATACTGAATTAGGTTTCAATTTCAGTAATATTTTGGCTTCTACCTGAGGTATTATGAAATGCAATGCTAATAATAGTATACAGAAAATCAACCAAGCAACATAAATTCCAATACCAAAATAAGGATCAGGTAAATAACACATCTCCGTTTTGTAGGTTGGATCTAAAGATAAACTTAAACCTTTAGAGTCTACAGGGTTATGTAAGGAAAGTAATTGAATGGCTGGATATTTAATACCTGCGGTCATAGCAGCAGATTTCACAGTGATCTCTGTGGCGGAAGAACCACTTTCAATGTCATGTGTTATCTTACAATAATCATGGTCGTCACCACTGAAAATCAATGTTGGTTTGATTGTGTTTAAGACTTTAGTTGTGAGATCTGATGAAATAACCGTTTGATATTGTTTCCCCTTTTGGACAGGGAATAATTTAGTCGATTCTCTTTGAGGTCCACATAATTGTTGACTATTGATTCTATAAAGGGGGACGTGTGTTAATAAGATATGAGGATACCCTGGAGTTAGATAATTGTTAACTGACTCCAAAAATTCTTCAGCAGGCTTCCTAATATTTTCATCTTCTGATGACAATGAAATCGAATCCAATAATACTATTGAATGATTACCAATTTCAAGGAAATCATTATTGGGACCAAAGAAAGCAGCAAACTTCTTTAACTTATCAGGATTGATATCTTCAAATCCTATATCATGATTTCCTGGTAATGATTGAATAGTTCTCCTGTCAGGATGTTTAGGAAAGATCCTATTGAATCTATCATACTCTTCCAACCAAGCTTTGTCTTCCCAATATCTACCACCATCAAACAAGTCCCCTAAAAACATAGTGGTATCAGGATCAAGTAAATGTTGTACAAATCTATAATTTCTATGAAGATAATTATCACTTATCTTCTTTATAATGTTATTGAGTATATTGGGTCTATCAGGATAAGAATAGTCATCAACCAATTGTGGGTCTGCAACTAAAGCAACTCTGTGTATATCTGAATTTTTACTCCAAGGTTCCCATTTCTTCCATCCACATCGATTCAAAACCAATCTCACATGTAACCTTTCGATAAAATGTACTACTAAGACCCACGAAATCGCTATTGAGACTAAAATCGGTAAATCTTCCAGGGAAAACCTTAATTTCAAAAACTTAAGATTAATTTGAGTTGAAGATTTAACTTTCTTCTCTACAGTTCCACCATCATTATATATAGGTAACAGATCAACTTTTTTATCTTTACCTCTGTATGACATTAAGGTGAAAAAAGTTGAAAATCGCGTCCACGATTTGGTTATGATCTAAAAATAATGTCAAATAAGAGGACTTTAAGATCAAGGAACCTGAAACTGCAAGATCTTAGTAATTTATTTAACTTTGATTATATTAATCCCTATGTTCAAAAATCCAAAGCTATCAAAGTTTCATCGAAGACTTCATCAGTGAATCTTTATCATTATAGTGAAGATTCAAAATTACCACCAAAATCAAGCACTCAAAAACCTATGAATGTCAAGTTGGTTGATGACATTGAACTGCCCAGGAAGTCAAAACTAAGAGATGATCCTTTAGAAGACTCAATCTATGAGACTTTCCATAAACAAATGTGGAGACAAGAATCAAGAATGGTAAACAGTGATCGTTTAAGATTAATGTCAGATTTTGATACTTTGAATAACCAGAAGAAGCAATTGGATCAGTACAGTTGGGATAAGTTTTTACCTTCTATCACCAAGATTAATAATGTCAACGATCATGAAGAATTGGAGAGAAAACGTCTTTTAACATTGAATGAGATTGATAGAAGAATGTCCCAATATCAGAATTGGAAGAAGAGACTTGAAAACTTTAAAAATCAAAAAAAGTTACTGGAAAATTCGTACAAACTTGATGAATACAGTACACCAATTGATGTTCTAAGACAAAGTCGATTATCTGAAAGAGAATTACCAATTCGTCCTATTAAGTTGATTTTGAATAATGGGTACTCTCTTTACATCGATGCTAATTCAACTCCGAAAATTGTTAAAGATTCTAATCTGCTTACATCAGATGAGGTAGTTACAAAGAGTCTTCATAGTAATGATTCCAGACGACTGAAAGTCACAACGAAAGCAACTCGTAATCTTAGGTTAAATACAAGATCGGTGATTAAGAAAAGACTTATCAAAAGATCATTACCTTCAAAGAAGTCTAAGCGAATAACAAGGTCTGTTCAACCTAAAATTCTGGATATCCTTCCTGTAAATAAATCATCCTGGCGATGAACTTGCATTATGTATATTTCATTATATATTTTTCGTTATTCGTTATATCTACAGCTTTAATTCTTGCATTTGTACAAGGGAGTTGGCAAGAATTCTATTGATAATGGGTAAATCATCTTGGTCTTTCAACAAATCGTTGAAGTTGAATTGCATTCTGACATCGTTATTTATCTTAGGACTTACTCTATATTCAATGGTTGAACTTGTAGGTTTGAAGTTTACTATTGAGTCTTCAGATATGTTGTATCGCAGTATTAGGAATCTCTTACAGTTCATCATTGCTATGATAATGTTACAATTCAAACACAAAGCCTGTTTCTTGTTTCCTTTTAAAGATTCGTATTCTTCATCGATTTGTTCATAAACATCTAATGCTTTTCTTTGAAGTAATTTATCTATGTGAAATATCAAAATGAGTATTTCTTCAATACTTTGGAATGGAATACCTTGGATATTAAATATGGCAAAAAGAACACCATCTCTTTCAGAGAATGCTTGATCGGGTTTGAAATTTTTAGTGGTATTGAGTACAAACATTTTTGTCAAGGCATTGATGAATTTCTTCCTAGACGTTAATGTTTTTTCCACAATGGAGTAAGCAAATTGAAGGTAATACGTTTCATGTAGCATGTCTTTTGATAATGATTTTCTATAAATAACAGCCAATTTAAAAGCTTCGAGGTAACTGGTATCAACAATACTTTGGTATCTACTGAAAAGGAAGTTCGATAATTTGAGAGCTATCTTTCTTATTTTAGGATTATGGCTCGAGATTAAGGCGAAAACTTCACCCACACATGTTTTAGGATGAACTATTCCTAGTTCTAAAGCCAATTCGATGAACTGAACGAGTTGGACCCCAAACTGTCCTTCGTCAGTTTTTGTAAGTGAAAATATTTCTGAAAGGTACTTCTGAACTACTGCTGTGATAAAATTATCATCTGAAGAACCTTGAGAATGTTCATTGAATCCGGCTGAATGTTCTTTTGGTTTATTTTTATCAACATTTTTCAAGATCTTGTATAACCCTTGAACAATGGAAAATTTAATCTCTTTTTCGCCTTTAATAAAAGCATCATCTAACCAAGGTGTACTGTTGGGGCTAAGGAATCGAGGATTCTTAGTACAAATAATCAACATCGAATTGATAGCTGCTAGTCTCACATGAAGACTATTTCCAGGTTTCAAAAACAGCAATACCAATCTGGCTATGAAACTAGTGATTGACTCTTCATTACGTAATCCATAAGGTACAAAAGAATCTCTGACAGGCTCGAAATCAACATGACATATCAAATATGAGATCAAATATAATAATTTGATGGTCTTACCAATCTCGTTAGCCGAAGTAGTCACAATTTTGGACAGTATATTGATACCAATGATTTGTAGTTTGGTGAAATCTCCATTTGATTGACAGAGTGCTACGGCACATTCGATCACATCTTCAACTGTTGATACTTTCGATTTCCCTATAGCATCAACGACTATCTGTAAGGCCTTATTATAAAATTCATCACTGATTCCAGACTTAACATGAGGTAAAGAATATTTCATTATACTGAAAATTTGTTGGCGATAATCAGAATTGCCATTCTTCAAAAGGGGCAATAAGGACTTGAGATGATAAGAAGGGAAGGAATCCCCTTTAATCTTAACAAATATTGATATGATATCAAAACCTCTTCCGATCATCTCAGGTTCATCATCCTCGTTCAATGATAGGACTTTTTTCACCAATATATCCATGGAAGATTGAATGTTTTGAGAAAGGGTGGGATTTTTGGTCAAGAAAAGTTCAAGGTATTCTGAAGATCTAGGAATTTGTTTGTTTTCAGCAAGATCTGACATCATCCTAATCCATTCATCATCATTAGAAGTTTGTAGAGGGAAAAAGTATCTCTTCAATGATGCAGTGATGAGATTAACCACACTATCTTCTTCTTCCTCTTCTAACCTTCTCAATAGTTTTGCTAACATGAAAGCTTTCGAATCCCATTCGATGTTGACGTACAACCTATTGACAATATCAATGGTCTTTTTTCTCACCTGAATACTTGGATCATCGATACAATCAGCGATTGGTTGGAAAAGCTTCTCTGATTTCTCGGGGTTGATATTGATGTAGTTACCCAAAAGCTCAAGAATGGAATCCCTCACCATTGGAGATTCGTCATTCAATAACTTTGGAAGAATCGATTGAGTTGAGGTTAAAGATAGGAATTGAGGGAATACCTTGGAAATGCTCGAAATTAATTTAACCGCTTTACTTTTGGTTTTCACTCTCTTGCTGTCTAAGGATTGCATTATAACATGCATTAAAAGGTTTGTCTTATCGCCTACTCGAGATACAAGAAGCTCGTAATAGCTTTTCTGGGCTATTGTCTCATTAACAGATTCACTCATCTTAGGTTGAAGCAAATCTGTAAGTATGCCATGAACTGCCGTATTTAAAGCTTTTGCATTGGTTTTCTCGTTTGATTCTGACAATAAAGCATCCAAGGATTGTTCATCTTTTCCAGACAAATTTGAGAATATATCCATATACTGTAATAACAAATGGGTAGTAGAATGACTAAGAATCCTGGTACCACCATTTTGAGAACTGAACATCTGGATAATTTTCAAATGATTCAACAATCTGTTCAAATCATCAACAGGCATCATTGGTTCGATTATGATGTTAGAATCAAATTTACCCTTTAACTGGAAAATTGTGGAACAAAGAATCCCACAAATCCCCACAAGCCCAGTTTCAGCTGGTTGAGGTGGTAAAGGATCTTTAGCCAATTGAGAAACCAAAAAGGGAACCAAAATTTCAATGATGGTAATTATAGAACAGTAGTCCAAACTCAATATTGAAGTGTTCAAATCCTCCATCAAAATATCAAAACCAATTCTATCACCTTCCAAATAAAATTGATGGAGGGTGTTTAATACAAAAGTTATCGATTCTCTTGTCTTTTCGAATTCTGTTAGTAACTTTTGGGTGAAAACTTGTTCATCAGGGGTGATTTTAGAAGCAACTAGTTGAACGTAGTTCGATTTTGAATCTTTCAATTGAACGAACTCAAGTAAACTGAATATAATATGACTAAAAACATGAATCTGTTTACCGTTTCTGGTAGTTATCAATTTTTCTTTAGGATTCCGGACGAATTTCATACGGGTTGTCACTTCATTCAAAATAAACTTTCTTTCAACGGGATAGTTCTCATACACTGAGACTAAGAAACTGGAACAATTCACTATCAATGACTTTATAGGGATTTTGTACTTTCCTTCTGATTTAAAGGAAAGGCCAAACAACAATGCAGGGATGATTGATGAAATGTTGGATTCTGATAAAACCACACATTCTGAAATCTCCATACACTGACCTAGAAGTTCATTCGTCCAAGTGATTATATCAAGAAGATCCTCATTTTCAACCTTGTCATTGACTGCTAATTTCTCTACCAAACTTTTCAATAATTTGGTTGCAAAGGTAATCATGCTTGAAACCACTTCCTCTCTTGTGATCTCTAAGGTGAATTTCTTACTACTCATGATAGAGTAGCACATTTTACATAGGAGAACACCTTTCTCAATGTTTTTCTTGAATGCTATTTCATTACCGTCAGATTTACCATGTGCCAAAGTATCCATGGCTGTATAGAATAAACTGATCCATTCCTTACATTCGATGGTGATATTTTTCAAAGTTTGATTATCAACTGATGTCAATGAACCATCCCCTTTAGTTTTAAGGAAGTACAACTCTGCATGTGCCAAATATTGTACCAGTATCACGTCCTTACCAAGATGTTTGTCGTAAACTAACATGTGAGATGAAGGCTTTTCGACCAAAAAGCTCACCTCATCGAGGGAAAACGACGGTTTTGGTCTTTTTGGAACCGACTCCGTCTGTAACTCCATGGACCTTTTGTTTTGAATATCGGATGGTTCACTTATCTCTGATTGTGTTATACTGATATTCATATCTTGATCTGTTAACATTGTATCATTTTGTGCATTCGAAGCATCCAATTGATTTTCTTGATATACTTCAGACACGTATTTTGAAGATCTATCCTCCTTGAAACTCAATTCTGTCCTCTGATATAATTCACCTTCTAAACCTGACAATTTTATTTCTTCTATAGGAATATCTTTTAACGAGGAAATTGTCAATTTCTTGAAATCAAGTTCATTCTCTAGCTCCTCATCGTCAAAGTCTTCAAAGTCTCGTAATATTTTTTCACGTATATCATCCAGATCAGCTCTACTTAACATATGATCATATACTTCTTTAGATAGATGGTCTTCAACTTCTTTTTCAAGACTTATATTGACATCATAATCTGAGGCTTCAACAAAATAGCCTAGATCTTGAACAGGCATTAGACCTTCCAATGGTCGCTTTAGCACATCTTTCACTATAGACAACTTCGTAGCTTGGTCCAATACCATCTTAAAATCGGTCTACACCAGATCTATCGCAAAAAAAAAGAGGTTTCAGATTTATCGCATTTATTCTAAAGGTGGTAAATTTTCAAGTCTGATATCTCCTGCCATTGACTGGTCTCTCAACCTAAAAGAGGAAACCCCTCGACTCCTACCGATCCAAGTTATGTAGAAGTTTTTTAACATGCTATGGGTATCGAATACATGAACGAAATTCTTATTAGGTCTGACATTATTTAGGTACTCTCTAGTAGTAAGATTTTGTGATGTGAGACATATATGGATGATTAATATTGACAACGGATAAATTAATGTCAATATACTCAAAATTAACGTGACAAATGTCCCTGGGTATGTTTCAATGGAATGTTTGAATGACTTTAGGTTACTATCAGTAGAAAGATAGTGGAAAATATGAACAAAAGTTGTTACAGTAACATAAATATTACTTATAACAGTGAATAAAACAAACCAAAGAAAGTACTTGTAATTTCTCAATCCCACACAATTGTTGATATAGATGCAATGGTGATCATGGTTGACCACACAGACATTACAAACCCCACAATGACTCGATCTAGGAGGTCTCCAGATGTGACAAGTTGTACAATATTTCACATTTACCCCATTATATTTATCATCATAATAAGGTAGGGTGATGGTATTAAAATACTCATCAGGATTGGCCACGATAGGATCCAGACTAGAGCCTTCAATTGTCTTATCATCTTCATCTTTTATTCTGGTGGGATAATTAGGTAAATGCATATTTCTGGGTAAAATTCCAGGGTCAGATGTAGCTGCTTTTATGAACATTGTGAATGATATAAACCAACAATATGAGAAAACGATGGGTATAGCTGGACTCAATTTGTGCCAGAACCAGCTGGCCTCAAAAATCCAGAACAAGATCCCCAATAAAATCATCAAACCACCAACTATTAGGTTTAATGGGAGTTGTTTAACGGTTCTTAACCTTCCTCCGAATAAATACAAATGCTTCATATTACTGTATTTTTGAACCTGATAATTCCTACTTGGTCCACCGTTGACTTCCAACATGTAATTAGGGTCTGCAATGATCCAATTAGTGATGAGGATGTGCCACCATTTAGGGTTTGCATTTTTACTATCGCTCATATCATCACAAACACTCTTGTAAGTGCGAAATTCTATAGATGATTAGGACTACTCTAAGGACTAACTTAGTGGGCTTTGCAAGGAGGTCAGTCTTGAACTACAAGAAACCCACTTTCCAGCCACTTGTTCAGCAAAGAACCTTGAGACTTTCACCAAGCCAGTTCCAAGCTGTGAAAGGATGGGGTTTCATAATAAATATATTAGGTGGAGCTTATATTGGAGGATTCATAGTATGTATGGGGCTGTTATATTTACTTTATCATGATGCTGATGAAAGACAAAATATCCCTTTTGAATTATCTTTTCAAAATCAATTAACAGCCGTCAAAGCCATCAACAAAGACGATGTCTTGAAGAGCCCCAGACATGCAGTCAAACATTACCGGAGATTATTGATTGAATTAGCTAAACAGGAGAATCCAAACCTCGATTTTGACGAAACTACTCCTGAGAATAAGTATAGGGCACCTTTGTTGGAGTCTGAAACCTTGCTTTACAAGAAATCCCAAAAGTTTTCCGATTTCTACATTGATATTGTTTCCAGATACGCCAAAGCATTATTAGCTAAAGGACAATTAGACATCTCCATAGAAACATTGGAAAAATTGGTATATGATGACGAAGTATTCTATAAATTAGGTGATTCAGAAAGATTATCGAATTGTGCTAGGTTATTATGTAAAATATCTGATGACTTCCAGACCAGGCAAAAGTTGTTGGATAGATCAATTGACATGATCACAAAATCTTTTCCTTCTGTAAGAATTAATGATTATATGGTGGAATCCAGCTCCAATATGACAGACGAGTTATTCTCATGTTTGAATGAGACAGCTTTTAATTTTGCCAAAGAATCCTCCCACAAGAAGGAGTTATTGAACAAATCATTGAACATTTATTTGAACAATTTAAAGTTTCTTAATACCATAAAATCAGAGATGGAAGCCAATACCATTAATCAAAACAATTACCCTTTCTTCAACATAAGTAGTGAGAATGTATCAATCCTTATCAATGAAGTTAGAGGCCATTTAAGTGAAATCATGTGGACAAAAGGATACAAGAAGAATGCAGTGTCTTGGGGCGAAGAAGTCGTAGATGACATATACCATTCCAATGCTTCATCTCAAAAGACTACGGATATTCTTATTGGCGTGTTAGATAATTTGATCTTTATGCACCATAAAATGGGAAACTTAAAGGGGGAGAAAAGATGTAAAGAATTACGTGGAGATTTAAAGCCTTTTGATGAATATGAAAAATCTTACTATAATAACGTTATCAACAAATTTTCAAAAATCATTTATCAGAAAGGACCTCTCGGGATTATTGAAAAAGTTTTGACCGAAAGATTTGGTCCCACCAAGAGACTTTTAGATATCGAAGAATTCGAAGAAGAAGATGTGGAATAATCAACTTTCCATTTACCTGTAAATATATTCTAACTTACCATGTCCTTATCCTCTCTAATGGGACCTAACTCAAAATGGGGACGTGTCCCGGCGAAAATATCTAAACCAATAAAAATGAATTCAACTGTAATAACCGCACTTTTCTCCATAAATAATGTTTAAATCAATGGGATTGAATATGATAAGATCAAGTTTACCTAAACCATCATTGGTAAGAGGTATTAAGACCATTCCACAGCCACCAGGTTTTATTGTTGGTGATGTCAATGATGCTTATGTCCCACCAAAACCATCAAAATCACATGGTTCAATCCATTGGACCTCAGAAAGAGCTATCTCAATGGCTATGGTTCCTTTAGCTTTATCACCATTCATTACTGGTGCTTCAACCGTTATTGATTCTACTTTATGTGCTGTTACTTTAGCCCATTGTTACACTGGATTCCAAAGTTGTATCATTGATTATATTCCTGTAAGAGTATATGGTGCTTACCACAATTATGCTATGTACTTATTAACTTTCGGTACCGGTGTTGCTGCTTACGGTGTTTATGATATTGAAAAAAGAGAAGGTGGGGTTACTAATATTATTTCCAAATTATGGAAAGCTTAGTTAGCATTATATTTATTCATATACGTTTCATTTCATTCTTTATTGATTCATGCCATGTTATCTGAGGTTTTCCTCTTTCTTGTTCGTTCTGGTTCGGAATAATCCTTGACTGTGCTTTTAATCTTTTCATGCCAATCGATTAACTCCTTTTTATAATCTTCAATGGATTTCTTATGTAAGATTTTCATCTTATATAATCTCTCATCGTAAACATCTCGTAAAAACAACACTTTGTTCACTATTAGTTTATTATTCTCCTGATCTATCCTGAAATCAATTGCATTCCTCATATCTAATAATGTTAATTCTATGAAAAATTCATCCTCATTGATTTCTTCTAATGCTCGATGAATGCTGACATCAAATAACTCATTATAATTGAATTCCTTGCCATCATTCTCACTTAATCGATCCCAAAGAGAAAGTTTCAATAAATGTGTCAATTGTGATTTATTCAATGAAATGAATTGATCCTTATATTGATAATAATCATGCAAATTACCAAAAGTAAACAATTCTACTGTATTTGTAATCTCTTGGTTACTCTCAGATTCATTGAGTTTTATTAGATGGCTCAAATAACTGTAACCTCCATCATTAATTATATCATCAATCATACCAATTCTGGATATAATTTCGCGACAAGCAAATCGACTATTTGTATCATAAAAAGCTCATTGAGTTCACAGGATTCCTTCAATGATTTGATGATTGGAGATGCCCTCAAACGTATGGGAGAATCTGTATCTGATTGGTCAGCCAAATGGTCAACCGCATTCTTTGGATCGTAATTGAATACTAAGAGTGTGGACTTGATTGATTTGAGGGTATCTTCTTTAGTCTCGCCTTTGAATTTAAGGTACTTCATCAATGATAAAGGTAATCTTTCGTGGTTAATGAGGTTATAAATATCATTGGCCAAAGAATCCATGGTTATGGGTGAGTTCACATCTTCTTTAATGGGTTTGTTAAATATACTCATCCTCAAATCGCTAATGATCTTCGATAACGTATCATCATTTAACAAGTTAGATTGCACTAACCCTCTGAATAAATACTTTTTCAAAATCCGATTTATCTTGCCTGATAAAATATTATTACTACCCATTATTTCCTTGACAGAATGGATAATAGAGAAAAGTAAGGGTTTCCTGTTTGAGAACCCAGTGATGGTGTCAAGTAATTGGAAAACCTTGTTATCTAGAATGTTGTAATTTGTATCGATACCTCCTTCATTCCAAATCATGAGGTAACTCAAATCTTTATAACTCATGGAGAAAATTCCCTTCATTCTCTGTTGAAGTGATTTAGGTTTGGGTTGAGGTTTGTCCAAACGTCTTGATATGGTATCTACGACTCTTTTGATATTGGAGAAGATGAATTCAGGAGTACTCAATTTACTAATGATGTTATTAAAAACCAAGTCCGATAAAATACTGACGACAAAATTTGTACCTATTTCAGAATTTAAGACTCCAGGATTATCATCGTTGAAAGTACTGGAAAGTATCTTTCTTACCAACACTCTAAGGTAAACGCCTCTGGTATCTGAGCCCTCGAAACTGACATGTTTAGTCTTCAAATACTGTTTCATTATCTCCTCGTCAGTTAACTCGTGGTTAATAATGTTCAGATTTGCAGTTGAATGATGATAATCCCTAATAATTTTCACCTGATCTTCTTTATCTATCAACTCGATAAGATGTGTGTTCAATAAACTGCTCAATTCGTCTATCCTAAATAATAAATTATCTCCATTCAAAATCTTACTCATTCTGAAAGCCAAATCCTTGATGAAATCACACAAAATGTTGTAAATTGTGACTATAAAATCAAAATTATCAGTATTTAACTTTGTCAAATACCATGAATTGACGAATTCACACATTATAGAAGCCAAAAACAAATGCAATTCGAAATTTAATTTGGGATAAGACACCAATGTAGTATCATTTGAATGAGGTAACAATAACGGTAGATTGGTTTTCAATTGTTTCAAACTATTGGCATCATTGGATGATTTCTTTCGGGGTAAGTAAAGTTTGAATAGTAATTTGATTTTTTCAGTTTCAAACAAAGGATCTGGCGTTAATAAATCTTTCAATTTCTTGGGTTTACCTGTGAATTGTAATTTTTTCTTATCTTTATCAATCAGGTTGTAGAAATTTGTGGATGTGGAGGTGGTAGGTGAAGCTTTGGGCGTCTGTGAGCCTCTATATTGCAAGTCCGTGGCAGAAAAACTATGCAACTCTAACCTCTTTTTATCCATAGGTCTATATCAATAAATGCGATAACGAGAAGATTGAGAGTGAGATAACCAGATAATGTGTCAATGGAACACGTCTAGAAGCTTTGAAGCTTTGAAGCTACGGATTGAAAGGTCCACTGCTAGTTATAAAGTCGGGTACACCTGAAAACACATTGCTGGTTGAACTGTATTTTATTTGCAATATTTAAATTTTCTTCTGCAATTAATAAGAGCTGAGTTAAATGTAAATTTTGCAAAATCTGTCAATTACCTAGAAACTCATCCCGTCTCAACGGTCTTCCCTAAGCACTACATCACGTCCGACCTTACGCTCTGTCTCTCCCAATTCTTGATCTTAAAATTGGATGCAAAACGGATCTTATCTTGGTTGAAAAATTTCGCAGATGAGGTTAGTAAGATTCAATAGTAGTTGTACCAAGTTTCAACCATTGATAGAAAATTACAAGACCTTAAGACATGTCCATTTTGATGGAATAACACCTTTTAAAGAAGGCCAAGAACTTCAAGATCAAATACTAAAGGCCAATTTATCATTCAAAGAGATCGAATCTAAGATTAAGAAGAATCAAGTAGATTTAGCTAAGCAAGGATTCGAAGTTTCGGAATATGAACAAGGGTTGCTTGACAAAATTCTCGACATGAAGCCTTTCCCCACACTTCTTACATTTGAATTCAACAATGTTTATACTGGGGGTAAGAAATTAAAGAAAGATCCGACTTTGCCACAACAAATAGAGAATTATAGAAAGTTAGGATGTGATTATTATCAATTGGAAAGAGGTGGAGATGTGACTTGGCATGGTAATGGTCAGCTAGTAGCCTATTTGATTTTGGATTTAAAGAAATTCAGTAACTTGTCAGTTCGTTGTTTCGTGGATAGCGTGTTATTAAGATCCATTCAAGATTTACTTAGAAAAAACTATAAACTTGAAAGTCAGTTGGATGCTAACCCTGGAGTTTGGGTTGAAAACGGAAGTCAATTAGACAAGATAGCTTCCATAGGAACAAATATTCAAAGGGGGATCACTACCTATGGGATTGGATTGAATGTCAAACCTGAGTTGAAATTCTTGAATAGTTTCGTTATGTGTGGCTTACCTAGTGTCAAAGCGACTTCAATTCAAGAGTTAAGACCAACGGAAAATTTGACCATCAAAGAGGTTTCCATGTTATATTCCAAGGAGATAGCGAAAAACTTGGGCATCGAAAGAGTTGAACATTTGAATGGAGAAGATGTCAAACAACAACAGCAACAAATGGAACAGGAGAAACAACAGTAAATAGTACATTGTATATTACATTACATAAATCATTATCATCAAAATCCAGAATTACGAATCAGGATGTAAAGATGGTTGAATACCCAAACTTAACCTTTTCTTTCTTTCTTGTGACTTGAGTCTTGTCAAGGAATAAATCAATCTTTTCTTCTTATGCCTTAAGAATCTAAATCTATCCAATTTATCTTTATCAAGATTATTATTCATCCTTTCAAATTTTTGTAGCTTATCTCTCTTAATTTGAACTCTTTGATATAATATGGACTTTCTTTTCTCCAACTTTTTCAATTCATTATTAAACTGCAATTTAAGCATGTCGATTTGTGGTTGTAATTCATTTGTAACTGCTTCTTTAGCATTTTCATAATCAACTTCTGGAACTAAATCAAAGTGTTTACGCGTTTCAAGTATTCTTTTCAACTTGGGAACAGTTCTTGTAGATTCTTGTAATAGTTTCAAAGAGTTGTCTATCAACTCTACTGACGTCTTCAAATTTTTAACACAATTACTTAAGATCTCGTTAGTATCAGCCATGGTATAGATTTCTCAATGTTTTGATTTCTGTGAGATCTTAGACCGTACCAATTTTTGGAAGAATTTTTCAATATGATTTACCCTTCTTCTCTCAATCAAGCTGACAGCAGTTAAAATCACCACTCTGTCCCCAATATGATGTCCAGGCGAAACAGCTTGTATGATGAATTGGAAACAAATCGTCGTGCACTGCTCATATTTAACATCATAACCTCATACTTCAACTTGTGAGATTGAAAAATTGAGATCCTTAAAAAGGTGGTAATGAGTAAATCTGATATCCAATTCCAATTAGACTTGTCCGAAGGTCTAGATATGAAAGGGTCGGGTCAAATGAATCCCAAATCAATGAACGGTTCCAAGAATGGTCATATATCAAATGGATCCAATGGAAATAACAATGCATTGACTAGCGAGTCTACCACGAATAATGGGGAGAAGATCAATAGAAGAAGATCTAATTCACAAAGTCAAGTGATTATAACACCTAATATCACAAGAGAAAAAGAAGAGCCTAAGAAGAAACAGTTCCAATATTTCGTCACTTTAACTTCATTGAATGAAACATTTATTCAGAAGAACTTCTCGGTTCCTTATTATCCTGATACTAGGAAATTGGGAAGACCTACAGGGACTAAAATAAAACCTGATGTAACTAATGGATTCTTCGATTCAAGGGTATTAAGTAGAAACCATGCAGCCATGTATATTGATCAAACAGGTAAATTAATGTTGAAAGATTTAGGATCTTCTAATGGGACATATCTTAATGATGAAAAATTGGACAATGAACCAGTTGAAGTTAAAGTTGGAGATTCTATAAGTTTCGGTTTCAATATCCAAGCTGGAATGAATCATAAACAAATCAACGCCAAAGTTGAAAGTATTGATATAATGAATAATTTAGTTAAGACAGAAGAAGAGATTTTGAATTCTAAAGGTAAACCTTTGGATTCCACCGAATTCAAACATTATAAATTCATTCAAGAATTATACAATAAGATTTCTAATCAGAATAGTATATCACCCAAGAATTCAAATCAAGATAATGTAAGTTTTGAATCAGCGATGTTTAGTGATATCAATCCTGAGATAGAAGATAACTTATTAGGATTATATACCAAAGCCAATAATGGGATTTTCAAGAATTCAGGTACTTCAACAAGTTCAAAATTAGAACAATCTATTAATCTTTTGATCAATATTTTCACTAAAGTTAAACAGCAACATAATTCATTGATTTCAGTAGAGGAATTTTTAGAATTCTACAAATCCAAATCTGACGAATTGAATCAATCGGTGATTCAAAATGAGATAAACTCCCGATTGAACGAATTTAATGGCCAAATAAATAATGAAAAACTACTTAACGAAAAATTAACTAATGATTTTGAATTTTTCAAAGAGAAAAGTTACAAGAAAAGTAAACTATTAGAAGAAAAACTTTATAAGTTAAAAGATGAAAAGCTGACTTTAAACAAAAGAATTGCTGAGTTAGAACAAGCTTTAATCCTAAAAGATGAAGAAATGACATTATTATACAATCAAAAAGAAGAGGCTTTGGAAAGCATTAAAATACTCAAAGAAGAGCAATCAGCAAAAGAATTGAACGGGATTCAACTTTTAGAAAACGAATCAGATAAACAAGAATTACAACAAAAGAACGAACAAGATAAAATATCGGAAATAATTGAAGAATTAGCTTCCCCAAATTTTGTTCCACATATGACCAACAAAAGTTTGATCGATGAAAATTTGAGACAGATGGAGCAACATAAGCAAGAATCGGGAATTCTTTATAAAGAGAAAGGTGAAGTTAAAGAAGAAGATCAAAATGATAGGGAAGTTGAAGTTAAAGATACTTCCATTGAATCTATAACATTAAGAGAGATTCATGAAATATCTAATGAATCAGGATCAGATTTAGAACCATCGATTTCTCCTGACGAAATCAATGAAACTGAAATGAATAATTTGAAACAACTAGATGAAGATAATGATTTAAGATATAGTAATAATGGAGTGTTTTTGGGGTTATTTGCCGTTTTAATAGGTATAATTATTCATAAGTATGTAGCATAAATATCATATCGTACCACTGCGAAAAAAGTCTATTCAATGTTAGTTAAAACTTTAAGAACACAGAAGCGTAACTTCATAGTTACTCCATTATTGGCTGTGTTAGGAAGCATATTCAATAGTGAGAGTAACCAATTAGCCAATAAAATGGCATCTGGGAAATTACATTATAAAGACCCTAATGCCAAATTCAACAATTCGAAATCATTCTTACAAAGAGCAGAACCCAAATATCCTGGTCATATTCCATTATATAACTTTGAAAAGTTGTTGATGTTTCTTGGATCATCTGTAGGTTCTTATTTCCACCCCGAAAGAAATGAATTTATCGTAGGTTTAGGAGAATCGACTGCTTTACCTGTTGTATTGCGATCATTACAAAGAAAGATGTTAAGTGATAAAGTGGGTAGAGAAATTTTAAAGGATAAACCAAGAATTACTTCAACATCTTTAGATTTAGAATATTTAAGGTCTTTACCTGAAAACACCATTGGTAATAATTATATCAAATGGTTAGATAGAGAAGGTGTTAGTCCAGATACTAGAGTACCTGTAAGATATATTGATGATCCAGAATTAGCATACATTTTCCAAAGATATAGAGAATGTCATGATTTCTATCATTCAGTAACAGGGTTACCCATTATTATCGAAGGAGAAATTGCTGTTAAAGTGTTTGAATTCATGAATATCGGTATTCCAATGAGTGGATTAGGAGCATTATTCGCTCCTTTAAGATTAAAACCAAGCCAAAAGGAAAGATTATATAACATATATTATCCTTGGGCCTTCAGTAGTGGTTTAAATTCGAAACCATTGATTAATGTTTATTGGGAGAAGATTTTAACCAAAGATGTTAATGAATTTAGAGAAGAAATGAATATTGAACAACCTCCAGACTTAAGAAATTTAAGAAGAGATTATCATGAGAAATTGAAGAAGAGGAAGCAATTGGCTCCTTAAGTATTGAAATTGCATTATGGACTCATCTATATAGCTTAACATTATCATGTAAATATACGACATACGACATTTCCGTCATCTTATCTCGACTAAAAAGTGAGAAGGAAATTCACCAGCCTAATCGATTCAAACTTAGGGGATAGGAGATTTTTAGATTTTTCGAATTTATTGACCATTAGTAAGAATCATAGGGTCATTTAAGGAAAAAATCATCATAAAAGGCTTTCGAAATAATCAAAATCATTTCATCATAACGTAAGAACCATTTCAAGGAGGCAAAGAGCAATACATCATGTCAGATAATAATCGTTTTGCACAATTCAAATTAGTACTTTTAGGGGAAAGTGCTGTGGGTAAATCATCTATAGTTCACCGTTTTGTCAAGAACACTTTCGACAATATGAGAGAATCAACAATTGGTGCAGCATTTTTAACCCAAACTATCACATTACCTGAATCCAATACCACCATCAAATTCGAAATATGGGATACTGCAGGTCAAGAAAGATATAAATCATTGGCTCCAATGTATTATAGAAATGCAAATGCCGCCTTATGTGTTTATGATATAACAAGCAGATCCTCATTTAATAAAGCTCAAGATTGGATCAAAGAATTGAAGAAACAAGCTCCAGAAGGTATTGTGATTTGTTTGGTGGGTAATAAATTGGATTTGGAGAATGAAAGAGAAGTTGATCAACAAGAAGTGATAGAATATGTTCAAGAATTGAATCAAGAAAATGATAATGTTATTTTATCTGAATGTTCAGCCAAAAATGGTGAAGGGGTTTTGGATATTTTCAATAAAATTGGTAGAGCTTTACCTGTTGAAGAAGTAATCAATGGAGCAAATAATAGATCAAGACAAGTTGGATCTAGAAAACCTGGAGTAAATTTATCAAGACAACAAAATCAACCTCAATCAAGTAATTGTTGTTAACGCATCTTTCATTTAATTCAAGAGACAATAGACTGTTTTCTCATCTCTAATCTTTATTGAAATTCTATCTCCTTTGGTTATCTACGTTTTATGATAGATACCTACCAAGCTTCATACCAATTAAGCAACGTCCGGGTAACTACCTCACTAAATCCTGGAAGATTTTGATAAAGTAGTGCATAAATCAAAGTGAAAATTTTTATAATCTCAGTGAGAAGAGTGAAAAATTTTTCTTTATTCAACTTTTATAGTTATTTATTACAATGTCAACTAGACCACAAGTTTCAGTTATCTCAACTTCAGGTGAAAAAACCTCATCACAATTACCATTACCAGCTGTTTTCTCAGCTCCAGTTAGACCAGATTTAGTTCACTCTGTTTTCACCAGAGTTAACAAAAACAAAAGACAAGCTTACGCTGTCGCTGCCAAAGCTGGTGCTGAAACCTCAGCTGAATCATGGGGTACTGGTAGAGCTTTAGCCAGAATTCCAAGAGTTGGTGGTTCAGGTACTCACAGATCTGGTCAAGCTGCTTTCGGTAACATGTGTAGAGGTGGTAGAATGTTCGCTCCAACCAAAGTTTGGAGAAGATGGAACATCAAAGTTAACCACAACGAAAAAAGATATGCTACCGCTTCAGCTATTGCTGCTTCAGCTGTTACTTCTTTAGTTTTAGCTAGAGGTCACAGAGTTGAACAAGTTGCTGAATTACCATTAGTTGTTTCAAACGAATTCGAATCAGTTAAAAAGACTAAAGAAGCTGTTGCTGTCTTAAAAGCTGTTGGTGCTCACAAAGATGTTGTTAAAGTCATCAAATCTAAAAAATTAAGAGCCGGTAAAGGTAAATTGAGAGGTAGAAGATTCACTCAAAGAAGAGGTCCATTAGTTGTCTACTCAGAAGATAACGGTTTAGTTAAAGCTTTAAGAAATGTTCCAGGTGTTGAAACTGCTTCAGTTAAACACTTAGGTTTATTACAATTAGCTCCAGGTGCTCACTTAGGTAGATTCGTTATCTGGACCCAAGGTGCTATTGAATCATTAGATTCAATCTACGGTTCTGATTCAACCAAATCAATCAAATCTAACTACTCATTACCATCAAACATCATCTCAAACACTGATGTTAACGGTATCATCAACTCCGCTGAAGTCCAATCAGTTGTTAGAGCTGCTGGTTCTGCCACCCAAAAGAGAACTCACGTTTTAAAGAAGAACCCATTAAAGAACAAACAAGTTTTATTAAGATTAAACCCTTACGCCAAAACTTTCTCCTCAGAAAAATTAGGTTCTGCTAAAGCTGAAGCCTCAAAAGCTAAACCATCAAAAGGTGCTTTTGCTAAAGTTTTAAAAGATTAAATTATTTAATCTCTTAAATTGGTGAATAAAATTTATAGGTTTAAAAATTGAATTCGATTTAAACAATAAATATTAATATAATGATACTCTAAATTTTGTTCTCACCCTATAGCTCGATCACAAAAGTAGGAAGGAGCTCGGTCAGAGAAGAAGAAAAGACTCATCATTTTTTATATTAACCAGAGAGAAAAAAACCTTTTCGAAAATAAAATACAGTTAAAGAACATTAAAATTAACCAGAAAGTGGTCTCACAACATTATCCACGAAGAAACTGTTACCAGTTGCTGGGTTAGTACCAACAATATTACCTCTTGAATCAGAATATTCACAAATGGTGTATTGTCTCCAAGCATTATTACAAGTAACATAAGCACAACCTAATTTGGTAGTATCTTTCCAGATGACTTGAGTGAAGTGTCCGGTAGCTTCACTAAATCCTGGGTTATTGTAATCATATTGGGAAATTTCATCATACCAAGCATCAACTGGTGAACTACCACCGGTATAACCTGCAGCCAAATTTTCACCATAAGGACCATGGGAATGAATTAATTGAACATTATCACAAGAGAATGAACTAGCAGCATAATTAGCGGCATATTCAGCTAATTCATCACTCCAACTTAAGTGTTGAACTCCATGTAAATCTCTTTTATTATTGTGTTCGTTTAAAATTTGAGTTTGGAACTCATTAAGGGAGCTAGCTGTAGCAGCAGCTGTTGAACTTGTACTTGTAGTTGAAGTTGATGAGGTGGTAGTTTGAGGAGTTGGAGTTGGAGCTTCAGTAGTTGAAGTTGAACTTGAAGTAATAGTTGATAAAGTTGAAGGAGTCCAAGCAGTAGTAGTTGGAACAGTTGAAGTGGTTGGGACTTCAGTAGTAGTTGGAACAGTCTCCACAGGTGTAGCAGTTGAAGTAACGCTAGTTTCTGCTGGAGGTTGTTCTGAGGTAGTTGGGACCTCGACTGGAGTTGAGGAAGTAGTTGGAACGACTGGAGTTTCAGTAGTAGCTGGAGTAGTCTCAGTAGTAGCTGGAGTAGTCTCAGTAGTAGTTGGTGTAGTCTCAGTAGTAGTTGGAGTAGTCTCAGTAGTTGCTGGAGTAGTAGCCGGAGTAGTAGCTGGAGTATTTGAAGTTACTTCTTTACCTTGATCAGGAGGAGGACCATTTACTGTTTGAATGACAGTTTCAATTGCTGTGACAGTATTAGTAGTATAAGTTTTCCATTCGGTAACAGCTGGTGCAGTGTGCATTCTTGTTATAATGAGTGGAGCTGCTTCAGATAAAGCAATTAATGATAATAATATGGAAGCTTTCATTTTAATTTCCTTTTAAGTGAATGTAAGTTAAACTAGTAATGAATGAATGTAATATCTGTAATAACGAATGAACAGATTTGGTTAAAGAAAGACTAATTTACTAGTAATTGATCTAAAGAATGAACAGGAAAAATTAATTTAAGATCTTGAATTCAGGCACTGGAAGATTTATAAATGATTAAAAATCAACCAGCATCCGGAGGGTGCAATAGGATGATCCATGTAATTAGACAATATCCGCCAATGCAAATGCATCGCACGACTTTGTTTGATGCACTTAGTGCATTTCCCATAGTAATATGCCTTGTAATTCAATGCTTATGATCGTTTTTAGTAAAAAATAATATACTTACCAGCATCACATTATGATTTTTTTTTTTGCAGCAATTTTTCAGCCAGCCCCTCTAGAGGGTTCAGAATCTTATTTTTTCTGCTCGTTTCGTGCCCCACCCAAAAGATTTTCTCAAGACAGATCCTGCCAAAATGAGGTCGTGCTCGCTCATAAATAGACTGACTAAATTTAAAAAAGGTTAAAATGGATCTTTAAATACAGTCTCAATGTTTTGTTGAAAATTGAGGGATAAACTAAATTAGGTGGAAGGATTTCAACGATTAGGGGTAAACTAAATTTAGTTCTGAAAATCTACAAATTTGTTTATAATTTCCAATCAGATTTAATTATTGGGGATCTTATTAAGTTGGTAAGGGGAATAGTTAAAAGATTAATCAAGGCTAAATTGAAATTTTTCACTTAATTTTAATAATCGTATAGATAATCGAGATAGAATGTTGAGAGGATTAAGAAAGAAAGCTTCAATACTCTCATTGACTTCTACTACATCAGATGAAGGAGATTCTCCTAAGTATGATAAGATCTTGAAACAAGTTCATGATTTCGAAGTAGCTTTAAAAGCAATGGATTATTTATTAGATGATAGAACACCCGAGGGAACTGATTTGTTGAAGAGAAAATTGAAAGAACATCAAAATTCTAAATCTGATCAACCCGTGGGGATCTTCCATTTGGCTTTGGGAGTTATGGAATTCTTGGAAGCAACTTTAGGGTTTGAACCTGAAATAATGGCAAAAGCTCACAAGACCTTATCAGAAGCTGAAAATTCATCATTAGAGAATTCAAAATATAATACTAAACATCATTTAGTGACATCTCATATATATCCTCCTGGGACTGAATTCCAAGTGACAAATGCTGAGTCCACTTTATTGAATGCTTTAGTGATGTTATTACAAGAAAATAATGGTGTGATGGAAAGTGCCAAAGCTTTATATAAATTAAGAAAAGCTTATCATACTTTAGATTCTGTTCATAAAAAGATTAAAGAACTGGAGCCAGTATTCAATAAGAATATAGCTAAGTTGAAGAAAACATCATTGAAATCGAACTTGAGTGTTAGTTCAGTTGATTTACCAGGTTATACTGGTTTAGATAATTCTTCAATTAGTTCAAGCACATCATCATTACCTCAGGATTTGAAACTCATCAAAGATTTAGAAAATGTGTTCCAAATGAGAAAATCAAGAATCGAAGGTACAAATATTGGTAATTCTATTGATCCTCAAAAGGTTAACTTATTTGCTGATAGTACTTCATCCTTTACAATTTCTAGAAAAGGTAGTGCATTATTTGATAAAGGAAGATCAAATTCTCCTTTACCTCCTAAAATCTCAATTCCTAAAGAGAAGACCCCACCAACGAAACCAGAGAGAGATATCGATGAAGATGATGAAGATGAATTCTCTGATGCTTTTGAAACTTTGAATGAATCAGAATTAACAGGTTCAATTGCTGATACTTCAAATGTTTCCATCCTTACTGGATCTTCAGTCGATGATTCATCTAATTATTTACATGTCTCAACTGTTGATGAATTCATTCATAGTGGTGTACAACTTTGTTTTGGTATTTTACAAGTTGTCCTTTCATTGATACCTCCAGCAATTGGTAGAGTATTATCAATCGTTGGATTCAAAGGTGATAGAGATGTTGGTTTGAAGTTACTTTGGAAAAATGCTATAACTTGCCGTAATATTCATGGAGACTTAGCTTTGTTATGTCTTTTAATATTTTATGATGGTCCTGTTCAATTTGTTGATTCAGGTTTTCAATTACCTGAAAATGCTAGTGAAAACATTTCTTCGATAATGGATCTTAGTTCAAGAACTACAATTTCTGATTCAGAATTGGATAAAATTTTACAAAACCCCGATATCTATATTCCTCAAGTATTATCCAAAGTTAGAGCCATATTTCCCCATAATGCATTATGGGTTTTGCAAGAAGGAAGAGTTTTAGCATCTCACGGTCAATCAGATAAAGCTGTTCAAATGATGCAAGAATTCACCGATGATCCAGACACTAAGATTCAAATGCAACAATCTGAAGCTTTATTAATATTCGATAGAGCTACTTTGTATTCATTCAATCATAGATTTGATGAAGCAGCTGAAGATTTCATCAAATTAATTGATTTGAATTCTTGGTGTAGATCAGCTTATTTATATATGGCAGGTGGATGTTATGTTGCCAAATATAGAATGATAAAGTTAGGTATGATCAAATATGATACCGAAGAATTAAAGGAGCAAGCATTGAAAGAATATGCTGAAAAAGCCGAGAAATATATTAAATTAGCACCAACTTATGTTCCAAATCATGGTGTCAATGCTACTAATAGAAAAGGAGGTATTGGTGGTGGTAATAAACAATTACCTTTTGATAAATTTGTATTAAGAAAGACCAAACAACTTGAAGAACGTCAAGCTAAATATCCTAATTTACCATTTATTGACACCATTGCTACATCACCAATTCATGAGTTGATATATTTCTGGAATGGTTATAATAGATTAACCAAAGAACAATTAGAAATGTCATTAGAAATCTTAAGTTATAGTGGAGCTGCAAATTCTGAACATTCTGCTAACACCGATGATTTCAATTATATGCATATTACTGAAACAAAAGATGAAGCTATGATTAGATATTTTTATCAATCAATTATTCTTAGATCTTTAGGGAAAGTAAAAGAAGGGTTGAACCTTTTAGATACCAAAGTATGTTGTCAATTTGTTACTTCAGATAATCCTTTTAAATTTACAAGATTAAATTATAGTCCTTATTTATGTCCAACAGTTTTATATGAGAAAGCCATGTTCGTTTGGTTATTGAAAACTTCCCAACCAGGATTTGATGTCAAATCAGTAGTTGAAGAAACGAAAAATTGGTTAAAGAAAGCCAATATGGTTAGTGATGTAGGAGATTATGAATTAAGTAATAGAACAAATATGAGAATTAAGGCTGCTACTGAAAAAGTTGATCAAATTGGTAATTTTTAATTTTAACAATATACATTGAAGGTTTTTATATGCAAGGTAACTCTAACTAGTTGAAATAAGTATCGATCATAAAATATGCCACATTAACTCTAGCTATTAACGTTATTATCCAGATTAATGCTAATATTGGTAAAATACCGGCGATTATTATCACTTGTAATAATCTACTTGGATTATCCCATACTTTAGTAGTTGTAGGTTGATTTACTATGGTTAATGAATTAAATCCATAAAATGTTATGACGAAGTAATAACCAATGGAAACGAAATAAAGGGTGTTCCCTAATAATAATGAAAAGAATGAATTCTTTATCGTTATTAATGGTAATAAGAAAAATTGAACCAAATATAAAAGACACCAAATAATTAAGAATGAATTACAATGAATGTCAAAACAAAATCCCCATTCAATATAATTGACATTATATCTGTTAGCACCCCAAGTTTTATTGAAAATTCTATTGGTAACTAACCAACTTATAGTTGAGATTATAACTCCGGTGATATAAAAATCCACAAATACCATATAAATTATAAGTTTGAAAATATCTAGGATATGAGGAGAATAAGCTAAACCCCAAGCAATTGCACTCATTGATAAGAAGGTTGTTAATAATATGATAAATGAAGGATCATCTCTAGCAAAACTAGTTTTACCATTTTGATACTGTTTATAATAATATTGTGATCTATACATTTTCTTGGGATTTATGATCAAATTGAATATTTCCCACATAGCTGTTTCAAAATCTAAAGTTGTTGGTTTGAAAACTCTCTTTAACATCTTTTGAAGTGAACGTAAGGTTGACGTATTAGAATTGGCGAAACTTGGGGCTTCATAATGTCCATTGGAAGCATTTGATCCAATGGATCCCGAAATAGATCCAGGTCTTGTTCTTGAAGATCCTGGAGTCGGTGGGGGTTGGGCAAATAAATCTTGTGTGGTATAAGGTAAGTTTGATCTTTTATTCATATTGTTGATTTCGAGTGCGAATTGTCTATATATATTATAAGAGAATACTTAATTCCTCAATTTTACTTTACCTGCTAATTCTGAGAAACTATTGGTGTGGGTAACGTCAAATGATGATTTATTGGATAAGGGGGTATTAATTTGACTCATCAAATGATGGGAATGATTGTTATGAATGGAAGGATTATAAAATCCGTAATCAGCTTTAGGTGGGAATTGTAATGGCAGTTGAGTTTGGGATGTATTGGCACTTGACTGATTAGATTCCGTTAAGGATTCCATTTCTTCATTCCAAATATTCATAAGATATTCATCAACATTCAAAATACTGGACTTATGGGGTGGTTTATTGAGTAAAGTTTCAGCAACTTGGTGTTCTTTTTGTTGCAAGGTTTTAACACGATTCAAGAACCCCAACACTCCCACATTGGATTTTAAATGTTCATTTGTATTGGTCTGATTGACTTTTTCTCCTTTCAATGTATAGTTATTGTAAGTGGAGATATTGTTGAATCTCAATCTTATAAGATTATATTCTTGAATTATCTTTTCATACTGAATTTTGAAATTATAATCATTGAAAATATTAGCAGTTTGATTTTGCAGGTTTTGCAGCTTTAAGCTGAAGTAACTGGAATTTTTTGATAAGGTTTCCTCTTGATATAGATCTTTATAATCAAGAATCTTTCTTTGAATTCTACTCGAAGTTTCAGGTTCAAATTCAGATTGTGGAGTGGTGGCATTAAATTTCTGAACAAAATTATTTTGGAAATCATTAATTTCCGTCATTATGGTATCAAGGTTTAAATCTATATTTTCTTCAACATTAGGAGAAGCCCAACCGTCCTCTTGAGTTTCATCATTGAATTCCTCATCTTCATCATCATCGTCGTCCAGTTCACTTTGATATTTCAGAAGCGATGCATTGGTACTATCATTTTTGTACTTAAAATCTGACTTCTTAGAATCTTTGTCACTACCTAATAATTTCAACATCTTGTTATAGATCTTGTTGGTCAAAGATTCCATAGGTGTGGTATTGGTTGTTTTCAAATCATCATTAATTTCGTCTGAAGATCTTTCGTTAATTCTATGATCTAAATCCTTATAATAATTGTCAGCTATAGGTGTAGAATAATTATTAACAGGTCTTTTAGTATCATATTGATCTTTTATTACTGTCAAAGGTGATATACTATTACCATCGACCTCTTTCTTGGACTCGTCATTGGACAAATATTGAATTGAATTCCATCTCTTCATCGTAGGCCTGACTTCTTTCATAGGAATGTGTTTCTTTGCTTCAGTTAAAGATCTAATAGAATTCTTCTTACTTAGGTTTCTCTGTATTTCTGGAGCAGGTGATGAATGTCTCAAATTTTGATTCACTAATGCCGTTTGTAATAATTGATCCGAATCTCTCTTGATAAGACTTATCCGGGATAATGACCTATGTCCTCGAGGTATCGTTTCTGTAGTCTTAATATTCTTACTTGTACCTATACTCTCATCAACTATTCGATAATCCTTCGAACATCTCGTTCTACTTCTACTTCTTCTCAATTCAGTTTGGTTCATTGTATTATATATATTCTCATATGCTAACAAAGACTCCTTGTTATTATGATACTACTCTGGGAGGGTTGATTACACTAACAACTTACTTTATCTGTTGGCTTTGATTCTGATAAGAGTCGCAAGAAAAATAGATAAGGGATTCACCAATCAATTGTTCGAGATATTTAACATTGATTTCTCCACCATCTTACCCTCGAATCCTTATCAGCAGTAACGAGACAGTCAAGTAGTTGGAATATTCAATTTCGTATATAATTAAGTTGGAGTTCATAACTTTTATCGAAGTGAAAAGATATTTTAATATGTCTTATCTTCACGTGACCAATGAGCTAGAAATATCAAATCAGTAAATCAAATTTTAATCTTTCTTCTTTCAAACCAGATTCAGCACATTGAATTAATGATTGTTGCCCTTTAGTGACAGCATTAGTCAAACTTATCAAAGCTTTTTTATTCTTCATAATCAATTCAGTGCTTCTATCATTATTCTTTTTATCGTTAATTTCTTCAACAATCTTAGATAAATCTTCCACAACTCTATTCAAATGTTCTTGAGTTTGTTCGAAAACTTCAGCAAATATCAATTCTTTCATGTAAAATCCAAAACAATAACTCCATTTCAAAGTTTTCCTTCCATTAGTCAAAGCTTTAAAAGCGTCCTTCAAAAATTGAACATCTGTCCATGACAAATTTGACAAGTTTTGTTTCAGTTGTTCACTCATAAAACTTTCCATACGTTGGTTGATCTTATCAAGAGCTTTCATATCTCCTTTCATAGATGATTCATGAACTGCAAATCTTTTGTAGTAATGTAAATATCTTTGCAATGAGACTCTTTTTTGTTTCTGATTTAATTCTATAGCATCTTTTTCACTCTTATCAAAATTATTACATTTAAAAAATTGACTTCCATGTATACTCCATTCTTTGAAACATATCCAACAGAATTCATAATTACATGTTCTACATGTCATATGATTACATCCACCGTTTTTCTCAATCGAATTCAAACATTTAGGACAATTATGGGTATTGGCTTCAATCCAATTGGCAGTTTCTGAATCATCTTTACATTTCTTGATCCAAGATCTTACAATATTACATGGACATGGTAAATGGTTTTCGTATTGACAATTATAACAGAATTGATGATCAGTCCCACATGAAACTATCGGAGTCAAGGAAATATCAATTGGTCTATCAACACTGGGACTTTTGGATTTATCTTTGACATTGTTAGTCAGGGGATCTAAAAGGGTTGACTCTTCATCAGATAAATATTCATCAAAATCATCATCATCATTATCTAAATGTAATGCATAATTATCCACCAATTCTACCAAATTCTCACAGTCGGGAGCTGGACACCATTTATATTTCAGTTTCTTTGAATTTATATAAGATCTTGCTGCCGAGCTAAGTAGCATATTATGAGCATATTTGGAATTTGCAGTGGGAACTTCAAAAAAATCCTGAGCTGGGTCTCTTACATCTTGTGAAAACAAATCGAATATCTCTTGGGTCAATAGATGTGGAATAGTCAAATTACATGAAGTGTCTATACATCGAATCAATTGTCCATTTGTCAATTGAGTTTTCAAATATGAATGGTAACAGTTTATACAATATTCATGACCACAAGAAAGTTGGAAAGTTTTGATGTTATCATATTCTTCACAACAAATTGGGCATGAATACTCGAGTTTTTCTTTAATGACATTGTTTTTAACCTTGGGAATCCCACAATCATTCATCAATTTGTCATAATTATCATAGTAATTGTTAATTACCTCTTCCGATTGCCACTTTAATTGATGCAACATTATCAAAAGATCTTCTAAATTACATTGCGGTAGCTGGAGATTCTGCAATTTAACAGCTGCATTGATAAAATTTTCATTTATGAACTCTTTAGTAGTCCATTTCTTAAATTTAGCCAATTTTGATATATCGGTTTTATCTTTAGGTGACTCAATTGGAGTATCTATCATATTATCATTCTGATCATCATAATCACTCTCAAATGAAAAGTCTGATGCTTCGTCTTCGTCAAAATCATAATCAATCGATCCTTCTTCTGACATTCCCAACTTTCTGAAAAGTTAATGACTAATTTTATATATATAGGGATTAGTGATCTATAGCGCGCATATACTTATACCTACTTACTTGGGTGCACTGAACTTCTCCAAGATGGAAATTTCTTGCTTGATGATAGAATTGATGATTGATTGCCTATGACTAGCTGGTTGAGATAACTTTGGGTAAGCTTTAAGTCTTTTACTAACAAACGACTGGTTTATTTGTCTAATTTCTTTATCATCCTTGGATTCTGAAAGTAGGTATTTGATAATTCTATCTGGTGTTTTTGATGGCTTACATTCGATTATCTTTGTTTTGAAGATAATGAATGGTAAGAATATCAATTTCATTATAAGGTATCCATGTAAGGAAATACTTCCATCGAAAAGAACTTTGAATGAGACTTTCCAGCTTTCAGGGAATTCTTCCTCTTCCTGTTCATCCTCTTCATTTTCGTCTTCATCATCACCTTCCTCATTTTCATCGTCTTCTTCTGACTCTTGTTTAGTTATTTCATTGACAAGTTCACAGATGAAGTCAAAATTCATATCTAACCAATTCAATTTGGCATTGATTTGTTTAACTTTACCAGGAGTTAATTTAGCTTTATGATTCTTCAACCATGATTTGAATTGTAATGATAATTGAACACTATCATTTACATTGGTTTCACTTACAAACCCGTATCTTTGTAATAGATAAGGATTGGAAAGCTCATTTCCATAGGTATTGAATACCTCATAATCATATTCTTTTTGAGGGAGTGATGTTAATATTATATCGACACATGAAAAACTATCTTGAAGTTCTTTTTCCAACCCGACTAGTTCTTCAACATCTATTTCTTCAGTGTCACTTTCTTCTCCACCTTCTTCGTCTTCTTCCTCACTTTCATCTTCCTCCTCTTGTTGTAATTGTTGAATGAGTTCCATTGTGATCTCACCGACATCAGTCAAAATACTTCCGTCATCTTCTTCGCCTTCACTTTGTTCTTCTGGATGTTCCTCTTCTTCTTCTTCGTCTTCTTCTTCTTCGTCTTCTTCATTGTCGTCACTATATCCTGTAATGTCTTCGTCACTAACTTCGATTTCGTCAATATCAATTTCGTCTTCGAAATCTTGAGTATCTTCGAGCATGGTATCTTCTAAGAATGATTCTTCATCCTCCTCATGGTCACAGTCGATTTCTCCACATAAACTACATATATCTCCGTCACATACAAAATGAACGTTCTCTCTATTTACTTTCTTACCATTCACAATTGTTGGAGATAAATGGTTGAAAAGATCAGCTCCAGGAACTAAAGAAGGTACATGATAATCATCAATTTGGAATGCTCTAGAAACAACTGCTTGAATACATTTTCCAAATAAATTAAGTTTCTTCTTATATTCTTCATAAACATCCGGTTTATCCTTTTCGTGCAAATTGATATTCAAAACCAGGGGAATTGCAATCAAATGTGATTGCTGATTTGCAAAATTAACACATTCTTCAAAGAAATTGATCAATTCCACAATTTCAAGCATTCCCAAGTTACCACATTCAGTATTTTTCAATAATTTCCGTTCATTCTCATCCCAAAGACACATAGGTGTATCAATGTCATTGGTAAAGGGATCTATCGATAACAAATAGTCACTCCATGGTGATACATCACCAAAACTCAATTCATAAACAAAACAGATGATCAAACTATGTATACCTCTAGTCAAATCTATTTCACTGTCAGAAACTTCATTATAATCAACCAATAAATTATATATGGAAGAATTCTTTGAGGACAAGATGTTTGATTTTGGAATTCTTAATAAAATGGTTTCAATTAAAGAATCATCAAGAGTTTTGGGATCTTTCCAATAGACACCTACACCACCAATTGGTGATTGTTTCACCTCAAGATATTCATCGTTCCAGAACGAATTCAGTTTAAGGAACCGTATATAACTTTCCAAATTCTGTGTCATTTCTAAATGCTTCACCTCTAAACTTTCGTTACTCATTATGCAAAATATCAAAAGATCAACCCAAATTCAAACCTGTATTTTGCAACCTTGATTCTCGTCTCACTCACATCGATGAGCGTTACCCGGCACAAATCTTTGGAGTATAAAAAACCACTTCTCACATAAAATTTTTTCTTTAATCATCAGTAGAGGTTATTCTATCACTTGATATTATAATCCATAGTACTACGGTACTATAATGTAAAAACCTTAGGGTTATCTTAAGTTCACCACATAAGTGACGTGAGAATTAGGTAATTACGATCAGCTAAGTGTTTTTTGACCTTTTTAACAGATTGGCCACAATTAACACTTCGTTTCCGGTTTTTTAGAATCATTGGCACTAATGAGTTATAAGTTCTATTAATTTGTGTATAACATTGGTTATTCACCTATATTACTAGATATTATCGTTGTGCTACATATATATTTCCCTCTCTTCTGACCTGTTGTGACCTGAATGATCCAGAGCATCCCTTGTTCTTCTTGTGTGTGCTTTGTGGTTTTACTTTTTTCACTTTTTTATATTTCTTTGATAGGAGTTTGTTAAATGGTCTTTTAATAGGTATCTTTCGTCAGTATGTCATTACCTATAGAAGTTCATGTTCGTACAGAACTCTCCTCGATTTCCTTCCTTCTTCCAAGTCGTGTCATCACTACTTCTCACAAAATCATGAAAAATTTTAAATTCAATCAACTCCATAATGGCCCATAGATTAATCGCTAACGTTATATTAACAGGGGCTTCGGTATTTGGCCGTGCCTTCACTGAAGCTTATAGACAAGCAGCTAAAGCTAGTGCCTCCTCAGCTGCTGCTAGTGTCAACAAATCACAATCTGTTGGTGGTATACCAGTTGATGAAGCTTTGAAAATTTTAGGTATAGAGAAGAAAGATATTTCTTTAGAAAAGGTCGACCAAAAGTACAATTACTTGTTTGACGTAAATTCTAAAGAGAAAGGGAATTCCTTCTATTTACAATCCAAAGTTTATTATGCTATGGATACTTTAAGAAAAGAACTAGAGTATTTAGAACAATTAAAGGAACAAAAAGAGAAGGGTAGTGAAGAAAAGTAGTGTAAATAGGTCTGAAATATTCAGTAGAAAAAATTATGCATCAGTCATTGTAAATATTAATGAACAAAATAATGAGTCAACTCTTAGCATATCAATAACTTTTGATAATTCATGATGAATTTTCACAACAATCCTGTCCTTATATCATACCTATGATCTTTCATACTCTTTATTCTCCCATCTTTTTCAACCTGTTGGCTCAAAATACCACATCTTGTTCTACCTATTGTTTCACTACCCTGAATTGATGCTCGTAAAAGTAGTCAGCCTCTCAATTGACTATCCTCACCTCCTACCACTGGTACTTATTCATAATCTACGCAGATAACACTAAAATCATTACTGGAACTCCAATATCAACCTTTAGTTGTCTACACTACTAAACAAATCACCCAATCCTCAATCAACAAACACCAAAAATAATTTCATATACCGTAAACGATCGTTTCGCACATTTTTTATAAAACATTAATATCGTCAATTTCATCCAGTCAACAACATGACTGAAGGCAAATCAGATAATCAAGATCAGTTATTACAGGATGCATCAACGTTATTAATGTTTGCTAATGTTGCTGCCAAGCAACAACAAGAGAAGAAATCTCCTTCACCTGTAGGGGACAACATATCATCACCTAATTTTCAGCCTACTAACAATATATCATCTTCAACTAACTTAAAGTCGCCACCTTTGGTTAATAGTGGCCCACCATCTATCCATCAACAACATGCGGTTCCTCCTAATTTATCGAATCCATCACAATCACCAAATCCAATCATGTTACAGCCACCAAGACCTCAATTTCCCCTTACAAATACATATCCCAGACCGATATTACCCACTACTGCTTTACCTCAAGGGGGGCAACAGTTTCAACAAGGTTTACAACCAGCACTACAACCTGGAGTTGTCGGTATTGGTTATCAATACATTCAACCTGATATGCAACATAATGTTCCTCATATGCAAATTCAACCTGGGGTACAGCCAGTTCAAAATTTATATTATCCTCCGGTACAGTATCCACGTTATGGCCCTAATGAACATGAATCAAGGTCTAATCGATCATCAATATCTGAAACATATCCTAAACCAAACCTTACTCATAGAAGAACAAGTTCAACAGGGACAGGAATTTCACAAAGTCCTAAACAACCCATGTCACCAGGAGCTTTTGAAAGAGGCATAGATAATGAAACTGGCAGAAGAAATGATAACAATGCCAAATTTGCAGCTGCAGCTTTAGCCCAAGCTGCTGACAATCCTTTACCTTTATTGAAGAAAGAAGAAGCAACTATCATCAAAACCGAGGATGACAAAATTGATAAAAAGGATGATAAAAAGGATAAAAAGAAAAGAAAGAAAGAGCCTGTTGTAGAGAAAGAAAAATCAGTCAAACGTCAAACTATTGATGTTTCTTTTAAAGCACCCAATTTGGATGATTATAAGGTTGATCCTGACGCAGGGATTATAGGATGTATATGTGGTATTGAAGATGATGATGGTTTGACTGTTCAATGTGATGTCTGCTTTAGGTGGCAACATTGTAAATGTATGGGTTTTGATACTGACGATGATGTTCCTGAAGAATACAAATGTTATTTCTGTGATAAAGATAAGTGGGGGGTCTTCGATGCAGAGATTTGTAAGACGAATACCCTTTTGAGATTAGAGGTTGAAGAAGAGAAGGAGGAAAAGAAGAAACAACAAAAGAAAAGAAGAGTTGATGATAACCAACAAGATAAAAAGCGTAAACAGTTGATTGATGATTTTGATAAAACCCCAACTGACTATTCCCAATTCAAACCTAATAAAGAGAACGAATTGTTGGAAGAAGGAATGTCTGCTGAGAATTACCAAAGTACTTACTATAAATTACGAGCTAATGATTATAGAAATCACTTCATGCAAAGTAAATTCCATCAAATAGGAAAAGAATTTTATGAATATTATGAAACATTGAATGATAAGACGCAAGTTGATGTCCAAGTGATGAGCTTGAAAGAATTCAAAAAGATTAAGTCGTTACCTATAATCTTACCAAATCATAATCTTGTTACTGAAAAGGACCCTAAGCCTGAAATCTCCATCCAAGTCAAACCATATTCTGATATTCAAAAACAAAAGTTCAATGGGATTTCCAAATCAGCACTTTTCATCCAAACTCTTGGTGATAATGAGATTACGGTTCCGAAAGGAACGGTTGTGATTGAGTATTTCGGAGTACTTGATTTGTTTTCTTATTACAGAGATAATAAACTCAATCAGTACAATGTCTGGGGAACCACCAAACCCAAAGTACTCAAGACGAAATTATCATTGAAAGAACCATTGGAATTGATTTTGGATTCGAGATTCGTAGGTAATGAAAGTAGATTCATCAGAAAGTCATGCTCAGTAGCTGCCAATACCGAAATCAAGAAGTATTATATTCCTGAAACTCAAAGTTTTAGATTCTTGGTGGTAACATCTAAGGATATAGTGTTGAATGAAGATGACAAAGATGAAGAATTGAGATTATTATGGGAATGGGATGAAGCTCACCCAATTCTTAAATTCGATGATGAAAATTTCAAATTCGATCAATTGAATGAGAAGGAGAAAGCTATAGTGGTTAATTCTATTGATAATTTACTTTACTTCACTGAATGTGGATGCACCACCACTACCAATACTCCACAGAATTTGAAAACTTGTAATATATTCAAGATCAAGAAAGCTATCACTTATCTTTTAAGATCAACTAGAAAAATCTCAGGTATTACTAATGTCAACTTGTTCAAACCTAAAGAAATAGTTCCAAGAGAACCTAAAAGATTTGAACCATGGACTGAAATTATGGAAAATCGTGAAAAACAATTATCAGAAAAGCTTTTTGCTAAGGATGTAGTTGAAAACGAAGAATTACCAGATAACATTGAGTTGAAAATCGTTTCCTTGAGAAAGAACATGTTAAATCAAAAATTAGACGTTATAAACTCCTCTACGGAACAAGAAGAAGTTGAAGATGATATGGAAGATTCTGAGGGTCCAGAGACAGTTAAAGATGAATTCGACTCTGCTATTCCAATCACCAATGAGTTAAAAGAGAAAATCCAAAAATCAATAGAATCTGAAATCAAAGTTACTCCAGAAATCAAAAAATCGATCTCAGAAATCAAACTCAAACTTTCTGAAACTAATGAAGAAGTTAAGAATTTAGACAGTTTGGAGAAGTCGTTAAACTTCGAAATTAAACCTAAAGAAATTATTAATAAGAAAATAGAAATCACCAAATCTGAAGATAAACCTATCGTTAAGAAGAAATTATCCTTCGCTGATTATAAGAAGAAGAGCTTACTGAAAGATTAATGTAAATTAGATATATAAATGTAATTAATGGAAATATATAAAAAAGGGATTAAAAATCTTGACTGGTGATTTTAGCTCTTTCACACAATTGGCGGAAGATTGAAGATTTGTTTCTGAATAAGTTGATTGGAGTATCGAACTCTGCAACATTACCATCATCCATAACCAAAATTTTATCATACTTCAAAATGGTAGTCAATCTATGGGCTATACATAAGACAGTTACATCATTGAACTCAGTTTTCAAAGTGTCTTGGATGAATTTGTCTGTTTTGTAATCGACAGAAGAAGTAGCTTCATCAAGAACTAAAATCTTAGATTGTCTAATCAAAGCTCTACAGAAAGCAATTAATTGTTTCTCTCCTAAGGAGAAATTACTACCATTGTCCTCCACTGATGCATCAAGATGGAATTTGTGATCAGTTCCTACTCTTTGGTCTACTAAACCTGATGTAATCAAAGCCTTCCATAATTCGTCGTCTGTCTTTTCATCGAAAGGATCCAAGTTTCTCCTTATGGTACCTCTGAATAAGATACTTTCTTGGGGGATGATTGAAAGTTTTGATCTTAAATCATTTAATCCCAAATCGGAGATTCTTACATCATCTATCATGATATCACCTTCAAATTCAACCAATCTGTATAAAACAGCTGTTAATGAAGTTTTACCTGCACCTGTTCTACCAACAATTCCAATTTTTTCACCTCCCTTTACACTGAAACTAATATCTTTCAAAGTTAGAGGCAAGTTCGATCTATATCTCATCTTAACATTGTGGAACTCAATATTACCTCTTGAAGGCCAATTATTGGGTCTTGTCTCGTTAATTCTGTAAGCAGCTTCTTGGGGGATTTCGAATGCAAATTCACACATTCTTTCTACTGAATTCATTTCATTTTCCAATTGGGTATAACTTTTTACAATTAAAACCAACATATTGGGTAATCCAAAAGTATAAGTGATTAACAAACCAACACTGGCAGCAGAAATATTGAAAACTCTGAATACACAAAGTAAACTTATAATTAAAACAATTCCAAACGATATTAGATTTAATTGAGTACCTAACCATCTTTGAATGGCATTGACTAAGAAGTTGGCTTCATTCATTCTATCAATTAAGAAGTCATTCTTTTGAATGAATCTATCAACATCATTATAGGCCTTGATGGTATCCATACCAGTCAAGGATTCGTTGAAATTGTTATGAACTAATGATCTTTGGACAGCTTCTAACCTCTTGATTTCTCTACTGGATGCTTGATAATAACTACCGACAAATAAGAAGATAAGTGTCATGATGGGTATAGCAATGGCAAACCATGGGATATAAATCACACACAAGATAAGTGTACCTACGATGTTGGCTAAAGAGAAGGCAAATAATCTTACTTGTTCAACAATTTCATTGTCCAAGGCATCAGTATCTTTGGTGAATCTATTCAAAATTCTTCCAATTGGTGTAACATCAAGATAACTCATAGGAGCCCCAAGTAACATATTGATGGCTTTCAAATTCAAATTTCTAGAAGCTAAATTAGTCAAATGAATGTAACATAAGAATTGTAAGATTAACAATACCAATGACATTACGGTGACAACCACATAAATAGCGATATAAAAATTATCGGATTTATCAAATTTTGATTCTGTCCAGAAAGATAACCAAACATTGGTAAACAACTGAGTGAAAGTAGAAAGACTGATGGTAAGGAGGATAAGTAATAGGAATATAGGAACAGGAAAAGGTTTGGATCCCAACATCAAATACTTATGGTAAATGTCCCAAGTGATGGAATTGATAGCTCTATTTTCTTCCTCTACCAATTTTCCATCCACAAGATCTTTGGCTTCGGATTTTGTGGTTTGTTCAACTTCAATTTCTTCAATTTCATCAGAATCTAACTCTTCTGCTTCTTCATTAGAGATGGCTTTGGAATTATGGGACATTAAATTGACAAATTGTTCGTTATTCTGTAATTCGTCAACTGTACCTACTTGAATAGTTCCATCTTCATTCAAAAACACAATTCTATCTGCATAATCCAAGAACGACAATTGATGAGTGGCTAATATTCTGGTCTTGTCCTTCAATAATCCTGTAATACAATGATCCATTATATGTTTACCAACTCTTGCATCAACAGCACTCAAAACATCGTCCAACAAGATAATGTCAGGATTGTTATACACAGCACGACATAAATTGACTCTAGCTTTTTGACCTCCAGATAATGTAATACCTCTTTCACCCACTTCAGTGTTGTCGCCTGCAGGTAAAGTATCGAAATCGTTGTTCAACTCACAAGCAAAGATAGCTTTTTTGTAAAGGTCTTCATCAAAAGAATTGCCGAAAATAATATTATTCCTAAGTGTTTCATTCTGTACCCATGGTTGACCACATAATAATAGCGAGCCATTCAGGTCGATGGACCCTTCAGTTTTGGTCATAAACCCTGCGATGGATTGAAGTAATGAAGATTTACCTGACCCAATCATTCCAGTGACAATGATGAATTCACCTTTTCTGATGGTTAAATTGATGTCTTTCAATTTGAATAATTTAGATCCCCTGTTATCATTGGTTGGTTCAGGCTTTTCAGATTCTACAGCATTCCCTGATTCTTTTTTTCCTTCTTCTTTAGGTGATTCGTTGTTTTCGTTAGCAAAAGACCTCCATATGAATTCTCCATTCACAACTTGAATAGCAAGTTTTTCATCTAATCCATAAGATTCAGTATCTGAATCTTTTTCTGGGTCTTCTGCTTCACCAGATTTCAAAAATCCACTGACTCTCTTCAAAGAAATGATACCGTCAGCAACACAACTAACTGCCATGGGAACGTTGATAATGAAGAATCCCAATAAACCGAATAAACTGACAGATGCAAAGATTCTTGCTGGATCGTTATCTCCATCAATTGCGTGAAGAACCAAGAAACTGGCCATAGATGCAAATAACGATAATGAAATAGCAATAGCTATCAAATTGTTCCTATAGAATTGAAGTTTATACAACCTCCTTGTTTCTTGGGTTCTAGCCTTCTTGATGTTTTCGGAATAAGGTTCTTCCCAAGAATACAATTTGATGATTTTCAAATTATCCACAACTTCTTTGATGTAACTTACTCTTCTGTCAGTGAAGACCAATGAAGCAATTCTTAATTTGATCATCAAAGTTGTCAATATGGCACTGGCAATACAAAACAAAATTATAACCCCAAGACCAACAGCCATTGGAGCTCCGATATTGACGGCCAATATGGCAACAGCAATAGCGAATGCAGGAACGAATGAAAACAAAAATGGTGCTAAGTTGAAAGCCAAATCAATTTTTGATAAATCAGTAGCCATGAAAGTGGTCAATTTTGATACAGGATACTCATGCTTGGATAAGTCATCGGCTACAAAAGCTTTCTTGATCAAGAATTTAGTTAAAATAGATTTGGCTTGAGAACCTGTCATTCCAGCATAGTACATGTACAAATTTCCAAGTATATAACAAACAGTAACTGAAGCAGTACACCCAATGGCGTAACCTACACCTTTTCCTATTCCAGTTTCGACTCCAGATGCTTTTAAACCTACATATTCAATCAATTTTCTGGTTGCCAATGGTATACAAGAATTACCTGCATCACATAAAACAATGCAAATAATCGATAAGGCGTATTGATATCTGAAAGTCTCTAATAAAGCAAATAACAATGAATATGACGAATGATTTCCTTTTTGTCTTTTAATCAAATTCCTCTCGAATGTCTTATACATTTCTTCTACTTTGAGGTCATTAGTTATCTCGAATAGATCTTCTTTGGTGATAGTCCTTTGATATCCAATTCTTAAAATTGGGAAAACCCAGGTGAAGAAAATTTTACTAAATAAATTTCCTTCTTCATAATATGTGGTAGTAGGTGGAGGAACTTCTTTTGGAATTAAGAAGGAAAATAACCTTTTTTGATATAGATGTTGACCTTCCAAATCCATTATGTTATCTTACGAAAAAAAAAAAAGCAGGATTGTCAATGGAAAAATTGCCACCCTTCCAACTTTATTTATAGTTCTGTAAGAGCCGTTTAATTTTTTAAACTGATGGAATCGATAAAAATTTCCGATGGGGCTTCGCAGAAAAATTCCCAATTAGAAGTCATTTACGGTCGCGGGTTTAACTTCTTTGTCTCTTCATTGGTTAAGTAGTACCAAGAAATATATAACTGAGGGTGGTAAAATATTATTGGCTGAATTCTTTCGAAGGTTTTGATACTTTGTGGAACAAAGTGAAGTACGAGAAATTATAATTAGTCAACAGAAGATGTATTTTACTTATGTATTACTATTGATTGCAAAGATTAATCAGTTTGGAGAAAAAAACCCTAGCACATTATAAAATAAAAGACTTCTCTACTACCTCAAAAAGTCACCTCCGGTGGATTTCAATAAATAATCATAATATGGTTGGAAAGAGCCGAACATGGTTTCAGGATCTTGAGTCATGAAAGCTGTGTATTCAGCTTCCTTATCGGGAATGATGTTCTTAGGTAAGTTAGTACTTTCTACCAATAATTGGCATTCACAAGTTCTTTCCAAAAGAGAAAATAAGTACGCGGCTTGATCCACAGTTTCTCCCACAGTCAATAATCCATGATTTTGTAAGATTGCAGCATTACTATCTTCACCTAAAGCTTCAGCAATTCTTTCACCTTCCTCACCATCGATTGCAACTCCTCCAAATTGATTATATACTACATGTTTCTTGTAAAAAATACAAGCATCTTGGTTTAACATTTCAATTGGTTTACCAAAAGTACTCCAAGCTTTACCATAAACTGAATGAGCATGACATGCAGCGTTGATATCTGGTCTCGATTCGTGTAAAGCTCTGTGGATCAGAAAACCAGCTGAATTGACAGGATGTTGATTCCCGTCAGGTAAGATTTCTCCCTTATTATTAATATGTACTAAATCACTAACTTGAATTAAATTGAAATGTTTACCTAAAGGGTTGATCCAAAAAGTATCAGGATCAATTGGATCCCTTACAGAAATATGACCTGCTTCACCTTCATCAAATTGTTTTAATCCAAAAAACCTGAAAGCACCTGCAGTATGTTCCAAAACCCATTTCCTATGATCGACAGGATTTTCGAATTTTGGGATTTGATGAGGGTGCTTTCCTCCCAATGATATATTATGAGATCCTCTTGTTGCTTCACCGATCATTGAAATTCGAAGTAACTTCTTAACACTATTTTATCCAAAATTCCCCAACTTCAAACTGATAAGATCTCGCATTGGAAATCGCATATTACTTTATTTGGTAAAACTAGTAGATGAAAAGAATCACTCTCAAAATTTAGAATTTTTCGAAACCATCTTTGAATTTGACTATTAAACGGATAAACGGCTGGATAGACATAAATTACGATTTTAATGTTGAGTCGGATATGCTACGGGAGAATGCAACAAAACGCTTATCTATTTACATTACCTCTCCCAATCGCTAGTTTCCCAAAATAAATTTATTTTCCTTAAAAGCACATATCCATAATTTGAGGGCTTTTAACCATTGGAAGGCATTTTGAATTCATCAACCCCAGTCCTTAATCACGACTTGACTAAAAAATATACTGTCAATGGAGGCGTGTCAGGTTTCTGGAAATCATCAATTGAATCGGGTTATGAACGACCAGTTTTTAACCCAAGTAACTCCAGCCATACTTGCAGAAGTCCAAAAAGAGATACATTTCCTTGTCACCCGAGTGAGAAATCGTGAAAGATCTTCATGACAAGGCAATAAATTGAATAAACATAGTTCAAAAATAGATAAAAGAAAAGAAAATCATCAACAAGAGAATTAAAGATCTTCGCTAAACAATAAGATTGTCTATTGTAAATGATTGAATGAGCTTAACAAATAACTCATTATAGAAAGAACATACAAGGGTGAAAAAATAAATTTCCATAAATTAAACGATCAAATGACGAATGTGAGATAATGCCACTAACAGAATAGGAGGCGCGACATTTACCAGATGATACTATAAAAAATATTTCAAACCAACCATTTCTTTTCTTAACGACTATGGGCAAGGAGTTAAGGTCATTTGAAATGATCTTATGCCATGGTGTTAAGATCTAAGAGAATCAATTTGAACTTAAAACTTTATTTTTTTTTCTTCGTGACAAATTTGTTGACCACAGGGACAAGATATTTTGGGAATATGTCGTTTTTCCTAAATTGTACATTGTTTCTCAAGATTTTGCAAGTTAAGTAAAATTGTTATTGACCAATTGCCTCGTATTAAATTTTAAGACGCCGACATTAGCTATTGACGCTCGTAACTTTCAAGTAGTTGGAAAAAATATTATTGTTGATGTCGTAAATGAATTCCACAATTCAAGGGTTTTTTTCGCCGTAACATACCCATTTGGGAAATGTTGTTTTTTGGAAATATTGATGATAACAATAATGGCTCCCAATTATATCGCAGTTTAGTAGATTTTCTGCATTGTGAAATTGTCTCTTATTTTACAGTTTTTCAATTTAAGCCTTTATGCATGAAGTGGAAACCCGTGAACTAGATACTTCTAGAACTTAACTCCACTTTGGAAAATAAAGTGAAACCGTGAAAAAAAATATTTGAAGTTAATCGTAATTAGAGGTTCTTTAGAGATGTAATTAACTAGAGATTGGAACTCACTCATAATCATCTATTCATTAAACATAACTCGTTTTCTCTTTCTTTAAGTAAAATCTAGTGGAAATCATAATTTAAGAAATCATCATAATCATTATTCTTAACTGTTTCGAAAGCTTTTTCAGTAATTTTCTTTTCCTTGATTAATTCATTTATTAATTCATCATTAACATTGAAGTTGAATGGATTACTGTTAAATAAATGTTTCACCAAGTTTTTGATATCTTCTACTGTAAAATTCTTACCTGTTACTTTATTTAATTCAATAGTAATAAATTTCCATTTTTCGTTTTCATATTTATCCAATAAACTCTTTAATAAATTATTATAATCTTGATTCCAACTTGATGAGTTATTATTACCTTGTTGACCAATAATTACTTGGTATCTATTTCTGGCAGCTAAATAACTACCAACTTTAGTAAACTCAGCAATTTCAACCCAGTTTTTACCATCATTCTTTAATTTGACAATCAAGTCATCTTGAAGTTTGGTAAATTTGGACTTCCTCTTGGATCTTTTAGCATTTAAATGTTGGTAAATATTTGGTCTATTAGGTAATTTCCTCAATGGAGTCAATGGTAAAATTTGATGTAATTTCTCCATGAATTGTGAAGGGGAATATGATATTAATGGAGTTGCTTGTTGACTCATGGTTTGGTAAGGTTGGCTGTAAACGCCTTGACTTTGAGCAATACTTTGTGATTGTATGTTTTGGTTGCCAATAGTTTGAAGTATTGATTGATTAGGGATTTGACTTTGCATTGGTTGTGATGGAGGTTGAGGAACAGATTGAGTAGGAATGTTACTTTGAGCCTGTCCTTGACCATGGTTAATAGGATACAAATATGGGTAATCCATTTGATAAATCGATTGATTTATTGAAGGTAAAAACGGTAACATCATAGGTGGATCCATGTTCATTATATCCAGATTCTACTTCTTTGTTATAGTATCTCAAGTTTAATTGAAGAAGAAATCTTTAAAGTGTGTTAAGAATTGACAATCTACTTTTAACGTTTTTATATAAGCGTATTCAATGCAGATGATAAGGGTAGAAAATAATGGAAATTATTAAATTTAAATATTCGATAAATTCGTAAATTTAAAATAATTTTTAATGTCGCCCGTGTCGCATGAAAACTTTGCCTAAAAGAAATCCTTGCAGGAATTCTTCAAAAAAAAAAAAAAAAAAAACATTACAACACAATACTGCGACATGAAGACATTTGACCAACCCCAACCCTCATAATTCAAACACGTATTGCATCACAGGTCAATGAGAATAGTTGCGATAAATACAAAACTTTGACAGAGTAGAACATAAAAAGTTGTATTGGCTCATTGATGCATTGACAAGATAATTCCAAAAAGTGAGGGCAGAAAAATCCCGAACGGCATTCACCGAAAGCAGAAAATCTAATAAGTCTAAAATTGATTATAATCAAAGGCGGAATGTCTCGAGAATGAGCTGATTTTAAACTCCTAAAAGCTGATTCTGTCAACTTATCATGAAACTCATTATTTTAACAACCCCTACATTCACTTCTTCCCCAAATGGTTATGTTTCACAGGCGATATGAATTACAATTGGTCTCATGAATTATCATGGGATGATTTTTTTTTTATAGGAGTCATGAAATGAGTTTTTTTAAAGATATTGATTTGATTGTCTCGATCGTATTTTCTTTATGCGATTTTACATAAATACGAAATTATAATCTAGATTTTTTAGGTCACATTTAAACTTTGTTATTTTTCTTTTGTTGAGGATGTTGGATTATTCAGCCTACATGAGTAGCACATGAAGAATAATCTTGAAATAAAATATTATACACAGTAGAATATTTGACGAGATGAGATATTTGATGTGAGATGAGATGAGGTCCATAAGTGAAAGGCTATTAAAGTTTTTGAAAGCAAAATTGATTTGTTGACATCATTGATCCCATAGATGTAGATTTACCTATATCATCGAGTTTTTGAAACCTTCCATCGTGTTTCATAATGCATTTACTGGTTAACTGTTATGTCACTCGTAGTTAACAATAGTTTGCGATGTCTCATGTGATTGCGAAAATCTAGACTCTCAAGATCTTATGGAAATACACTTCTCCACTAATTCCATTTGTCCTTATTTTCTTGAATTTTAAAGTACATTGAATTAATTCTTCAACGTTGATCCTTACTGAAACTTACTGACCATATTAATTTCCAATTCCAATTGTAAAAAAACCTTAGTTGTATCTACTTGATCTATTTTTATCACCCCTTCGCATTTTGAGGCGGTTTTGAATATTTAGAATTATAATCACAATTAGTTTTTTTTCATTTGGTAAGGTAAGACTAAAGACCTTGATGATGATCAAGAAGAAGGTTGTTATACCAATAATAATTGTGTTATTATTTTGGTATTTGACCATAACTACTTCCCCGGTTATTAATAATAATGATCTATTTATCCTAAGAAACAGTCAATATTTAGTCAACTTGAGGTTTAAATGGTTACCTTTTATGATTCCTTCCAATGGCATGATAATATCTCAGTTTATTGGGTTCAACTTATATTTGATACCATCTTATAGCCATTGTGATTTCACAAAAGATACTTGTGAAGATGATTTTGTAATTGATATAATTGATTCCAAGGCTTATACCGAAGAATTTAAACTCGACAATGAATCCAAAGATCAAAGAGCTCATTCTTTCAGATACATTGGATACGATTTATATTTGAAATATTCAAGTAGCCCTGATGATGATATCATAAGATCAATTGATGTTTTCGATAACGTTAAGGAAGTAAGACCTTACTATAAAAAGATCCAACCAAGATCTATGTTATTCAAAAAGTCAATTCATTTCTTAGCGGTGAATCAACAATCTAGTTCAAACTATCTTGGCTTCTTATCAGACTTTAATAGTTTGAAGCTCAATCAACAGTTAATGAGTTCAACTCCGAATTTCAAGATTTTTCAGATAAGCGATTTACATTATCTTAATGGTAGAATTGATTATAAAACAGAAATTTTTTTAATCAATTCCATAAAAGCAGAGAAACCAAATTTAATCATTATAAATGGAGATTTGTTCAATTTCCAAAAATTCAAGTTCAATAATTTTTCAATGATTTTGAATGCTTTGAATTTATTTATTTCCTTCAAAATTCCTTATATCATAAATTTTGGTGATTCAGATTATATCTCAATTTCTAAAAATATTCAAATGTTGAAATTCATTTCAAACTTACCATATTGTCTTAATTCATTACCGGAAACTGAAAGTAATGGATTAACAAATTATAACTTCGTTTTGAAGAACAATCAAAAGAACAATATCATTGGATTGATTTCAGTGTTGGACACTTTTGAAAATAGATTGGTAAGTTCACAAATCCATCAATTATATCGCTTCAATAATGATCTCCCTTCAAAGGGATCGGTCGATTCTGATATTTTCAAATTATCGTTTATTCATTTCCCCTTACCAAATTTTAGACCTTCAGGTAAATTCAAAATTGTTGGCACATATAACGAAAAGTCTCCACTACAAACTTCAACCGACAAATCATTCATTAATGATTTCTTAACTATGGGTTATAATGTTATACTGGCATCTCATGAACACAAAAATGATGGTTGTATACTACATGAAGCTAAAAATCAACCCGAAAGTAAAACATTACAACTCGAAAAAGATATATGGTTGTGTTATTCTTCAATTAGTGGATTTCAAGGTTTGGCAAATGATTTTGACAGAAAATTAAGAGTTTTCGAAATAATAGACAATAGATTGTTGAGTTGGAAAATAAGTGAAAAAGATGGTAAAGGGTTTGATTATCAGTTAATAGCTGGTAATTAAGTATGCATGTTTGTTTTGGTGTTTAATATATTAGTATTTGTATCTTTCTCTATCACGTGACTGATTGGTTGGATCTCTTCGCATTAAAAAAATGAGATGAGCCAAATCTTTATACACAATGGGTAAAGCAAGAAAGACTAGAAAATTCGCTTCAGTTAAAAGAATAATCAACAGTAAGAACATCAAGAAAGATGATAAAGCTATAATTAAGAAAGATGATCCAGAATTAACCAAATCTATTCCTCAAGTTTCATCATCCTTATTCTTCCAATATAATCAAAGTATTAAACCACCATATCAAATTTTGATCGATACCAATTTCTTCAATTTTTCAATCCAAAAGAAAATCGATATCGTCCAAGGTTTGATGGATGTTACTATGGCCAAATGTATACCTTTAGTTACTGATTGTGTCATGGCTGAATTGGAAAAATTAGGAAGTAAATATAGAATTGCATTGAAATTAGCCAAAGATCCTAGAATTAAAAGGTTGACATGTAGTCATAAAGGTACATATGCTGATGACTGTATTGTTAATAGAGTCATCCAACATAAATGTTATATTGTTGCTACTAATGATGCCGATTTAAAAAGAAGAATAAGAAAAGTTCCAGGTATTCCTATTATGGGAGTTGGTGCCAGGGCATATGTCATCGAAAGATTACCAAACGTCTTTTAGTCTTACCTTTTATTGCATTTTCATTGATATCGCATTGGAATTATGGGAGGCCAGTTCTTTCCCACTCGTTAAATTCCACAAAAACCAAATTTACAATCACTTTGGAAAGGATGAATCAAAATTCAGGTAAATCACCATTCAGCATGTTCCCGTTATCGACATCTTCTTTAATGAAGGAGAGTAGTCTACCCGGAAGTACAGAACTTCAGTTGGAAAAAGACGAAATGGATTTTGAAGAATTATCCAAATTCTCTGAACGATCCACTTCAAGTAGTATTGCCAATTTAAGAATCGGATCTGAATTAGATATAGATTTCGCTAAAGAAAATTATAACAATTCATCGCCTATCCGTAGATCAACTTTAGGGGTTGGGAATCTCAATGCTGAAGCTTTCAAGAACTCAGCTTCTCCATTGAATTTAGGAAGAAACCATATATTCGAAGCCATCAAGGATGATGTTCCAACCAATAACCCTACCAGTGAGCTATTGGAAAGTTTCAGAAATTCACGGTTCGTTGAATCGGATAAAAATTTTATCCCTAAGTTGTCTGCAAATTTACGATATCTTTTATCCATTTCACAAGAGAACAAAAATCTTTTGATGGATTCCTTAGTTGACTTTGAACATGTGGATCCTTCTGACGTTGACCAAGTTCATTTATTAATAAATTATTTCAAGTTAATAAATAAAATGAATAAGGTCAGTCAACAGATGGGTTTGAATCAGTTTAAATTGGAATTGATCATCAACAATTGTATGGATGTGTTAACCAAGATAAATGAGGAAAATTCTAATTACGATTCTAGTTTCTAATAAGTTGTAATCTAAAGTGATAGATCACTTCCTGCAGAGAATTTTTAAATATACATCCTTTTGAAACCATTTTGTCTTGAAAGCCTATTTAAATCCTCTCCACTTTCCAGTATCTTATCTGTTTGGTCTTTACCTTTGTTCAGATTGATAGCTTTTCAGATTGATAGCGTTTTGAGAGAATCTGATTCAAACCTTGTAATTGTTACGATGAATGGAAATCAGGTCGATTTTGTTAGTTTGAAAAGGTCATTCTCCTCATTAAGTTTGAGTTCCAATAAGAGAGCAAAAACGGTGACAAACCTAGAAGTATTAAAGGATCCTTTAAACAACAAACTTAGAGATTTGACAAATATTTCGACCCCCTTCAATGCTGAAACATCCACTTTTTCTCAGACAATCAGAAGGGCTCCCCCACCTCCCAAGAATGAAGACTTCAGAGTAAGACCAAATCTTAAAAGGTTCAGTCAATCAATAAATGGCTTAAAAAAGCTTGCAAGAGTTCAACCCACCATCGAGAATTCCAATACTTCAAATATCCCGCTAAAGCCCATCAGAATTATCGAACAAGATAAAAATATAAAGCCGAAGATCAAGACAACGAGTAATAAATTCTTCAATTTCCTTAACAAATTGACACCCAAAACTCCCATTAGTCCCAAGTTTGTAATTGCCAGTTCCAGCAAAAATCCTCCATTACATTCAGCTGGAACTAACTTGAATTATCTGGATCAATGTCAATCCATTATACACTTGAGTCCTTGGACCACAACCAATTATACTGATGACCTTCCCACAATCAATTCCAATGATGATATATCCCCCACATTACGATTCATACTTGGAGAAGCCGATATCGATATAAATGATGATGAGTTGGACTGTGTCATTGACAAGTTCAACAATGAATTATAAAACAAGCTCTTTCCGCTGAACCTTTTGCTAGTCATCGAAAATCACCAAGTAAAAAGCCGAGTAAAGTTAAATCATTGTGTGGATGCGAAATTTTACTCCCAAGGATTATGTCTGAACAATATTATTCTACCGGAAGAGGTGGAGCAGGAAACATCGCTAAAGGATCGGGGTCCACATCTCCTAAATTAGTACCTCAAGGATCTAATACTCCTCATATAAGTTCTGAGAAACTCACCACAGGTAGAGGAGGTTTTGGTAATATCATTAAAAATGATGATCCTGAATTAACCCGAAAATTACAAGATGTTGATAATGGCTTAAGACCTGTTACATCAAGTAAATCATACGTCGGTAGAGGTGGCTATGGTAATATCATTGATGAAAATTTAGCCCCAAGGCATAGTAACAAGAGTAATAAAGCAAAAAGTGATAGTAAGGCTGAAAAACATGGCTTTTTCAGTAAAATAGGAAAATTGTTCAAATGATTTTTCCTACTTACAGTTGTTACCTATTTTAGAGAAATACATGATTAAATGATTATATATCTATTTCTATTAATTTTCGGCTAAATAATCCTTAAGTTTACTTAAAGCTTTAAATCTGTGACTAATTGTGTTTTTAACCGACTTGTCCATTTCAGCATAAGTTTCTTTAAAACCATCTGGTTGGAAGATTGAATCCCATCCAAAGTTGGTTGGGCCCCTACTATCAACAATAGTACCATGGGTGATACCTTGGAATAATATTGGTTCCTTTCCTGGTTCACAGTATCCAAAGGTACAAATTGCCTTAGCTCCCTTGTCTTCGAATTTATATAACATATCAACTAATCCAGTTAAACCAATACTATTAACGAACCATTTGATGTAAGGACCTGGTAAGTCATTCATGGCATCGAATCCAAGACAAGTATCTTCTACCAAAACAGGTCCATCGATGATTGAGGAAGCAGTTTTAGCTTTTTGAATAGTAACTTCTTCAATGGTACCTTGAAGTTCATCTAAATCAAGACTTTGATTGATGATATTATAATCACCAACCTTGTCTGACAAGATGGCAACAACTTCTTTTAATTTATTGGCATTCCCAGTAACAAATGTGATAGTCTTCATATCTATTCGCATTTTTACCTACTGGCAAAGCACGCCTTTATATCATGAAATTTTGCATTCATGTAGAAAGATAGGGCTTTAGGTGAGGATTTAAAGAGCATGTTTTCAAAATGTTACAGTCGTCTGATCTATCAAAAACATTATGTACCTTTCACATTGTAAAGATAACAAGTGCCTCAATGCAATACTCACACGACTGAAACTATTACTCATAAATTCAAATGAATTCTACTATGTACATTGACTATCTATTTACCTAATCTCTTCTTTAAAGATCTTTGAGCTCTTCTTCTCTTTCTCAACTTATGCTTTTTCATTTTCAATCTTCTTTTCCTTAAAACTGAATCTAATTTCATTTCTTTATCATCTGATTCATTCATTTCTTCTAATTCATGTTCAAACAGTGTTATTTGATCAACAGGGAATCTTAAATTTAATGAGTTCAATGAAGTAGTCAATGATTCTATTGGTTGTGAAGGTTTACTTATGATGGAATTGGTATTAACAGTTTGGTTGAAAGGTATGATGAAACTCTTGTTGGATGCTAAGTGTTGGAATGGTGAAACCTTGGGAACATTTCCCCAAGACTTTATAGTCAACAATCTTCGTGATAATTTCAACATATAGGTAAAAATTTTCAGATACAGATTTTTTTCAGTGCGAAAGTTTCAGAGTTGAGATCTATCATCTTTCAATATTAACTACTAAATCCTCATCACATTCTATTATAACCCCATTGGTTGATACTATACCGTTACTCGAACTAACCTTACCATTCATACTACTTTTCCAATTCCTCACGTCCCATTTCAACCCCCATGAGCTGATAATACAAGGACTAAAAGGTAACAACCCTATTACTGGAAATTTATTTCCCTTATAAAAATCTGATATTGAATTGTAACCTATTAAATTTCGACCTTTGGGGATCATGAATACAATATCTTGTTCATTGATGAAGACATTTTTTAAGGTGGGATATTGCTGATTCAAGATATGGATTTGATTTATAGAATGAATCGATTGATCGAATCTTCCTCCTAATCCATTCAAAATATAAGAATTTATATTGACAAGATGTTTGTCATTCAACTGATTCATTAATTTCGATAATCCGTCATATTCATCGACATCCACAATCTCAACCCCGTTGAAATATAATAGGATCAAACTCATAGATTTCATGAAATCACTTGCATACTGGCTCAATTGTGGTATTATTTTAGTTCCTTGTTTTTTGTAATAATCTTTCACTTCGTCTGTTATCAGATCCAAGTCTCCAACTATGAAATCTGGAATGAATTCTGATCTCTTATCTCCTCCATATTCATATAATCTGTTAGCCCCTCCATCAGCACATATATGTAAAGTGGTGTTATTCCAAATTTCGTGAATGTCTATGTTTTCAATTGATTGATTTAATATGGTAAGACTTGATTTAGACGTATCCTTAGTAAACTTGAAGGGTTTTATTACATTAGTAACATCAGTAACCTCGATTTCTATTCTATCAGGATTCTCGATAACCTCCTCCATAGTTAAAGATTTGGGTGCGACTGAGATTTTTTTCTATCGATGGAAAGGCCAGAATCTAATCAATCAACTACTGTTCCAAGGGACGTAAGATTGCTTCATCTTATCTTCGCTACCCAAGGTATCCAGAGTCATGAAGATCATGTACCTTTACAGTTGATGGATTTCGCTCATAGTATGTAAAAATTTAAGGTTTATAACTTATGGACCTTGGACAACATTACCCAAAATCTAGTACGAACAACCAACTAACACGTCTAGGATATACCAAATCTGTGTTGAAAGATGCTCTTAGTTATAATGATCATGCAAGAAATAGTACCAATTCAAGTGTTAGTAACAATACTATTAACACCGACGATATAAGATTATCCATTGCATCAAGAACAAATTATCAATTCAAATCAATTGCTCCCAAAGAGTTGTTATTAGAATTAGCACAAGAACGTAATTCCAAACCTTTACCACCTGTCATACCAAAATGGGGTTTAAACTTACCACCGGAAAAGTATTGTTTAACTGGTACTAATGTCGATGAAGAGGGGGATTCAAAGAGGCAAAAAACCAATTAGAAATGAAATGAAGATCTGTTACTTCGGGAACACTGGTTTAACTGGGCCTGTTTGTAAGATAATGTATATTATGTGATAATTCTGTGAACAAACTGTAGTTTCTCAAAACTTTAAAGATACCTTGATAACTCTAACGAATAGTCTGATTCGTAGAGTCATAAATAGTTGACTGTACTTTCTCTAATGCCCGTCACGGTATCTCAATCTCACATCCCACTGCCACTTGGTATCATCAAATAGATCAATACTTCGCGATTTCTCGACAAAGTTGGCAGTGATAAACATGCTTCCTACAACGTTAGCTTCGATTCCAGAGTATGTAAGAATTCAATTCCTACACCATTGATATCCGTTGGAGTTTCCAGCAAATACTAACTTCAATATAGAGCCAAGGAAGAATATATTGGATCATCTTTAATTGAAAGAACCAGTAGGTTACATAGTTTTTATGATTTAGGACCTGCTGATTTATGTAATATTCATAAACAATCTGCCAGTTCAAAAAGTGAAATGGGTACCTTTTTGTATTTCACAGGGGTAGATACCTCCAATAGTGCCTCAATTGCAGCTCACTTGCAAAAATTGGCCAATTTAATCACTTCAAAATCTCAATATTGGTTTGGGGAAAAGAAACATTGGAAAGTCCCTGATTTAACTTATTGTAGTTACAATGCATTTTCTAAAGTTGATATGAGAGTAACTGTTCATATTCCAGGTAAATTTGAAAATCAAATCATAAATAATGATGGTAAAATCTTAAACGATAAAACCAGTCAAGATGAAATAAATAGATTTTGGTTAGAAACTTTCATAAGTTCAATAACAAGATGTTTGATTGACAGCGATGATGATGAAAGTAACAAAATGGGAGGATTGGTAGAAGTCAGAAAAGAAAATCCGTTTGTTGATAACAAGACATTATTGGATAGTTATTTAAGTGGATTTGAACAACTTTTCTTTGATGGACATAAATTGGGATGTGATTTAGAAATTCCTCAACCAACAACAATTTCTAATTACTTAGTCGATGGGTTCATGAAATGTATTGAAATCACTCAATCGTTCGATAAAGGTTTGGAGATATTGAAAAGAATTGAAAAAGTTGAACCTTCAGTTGTAACATTAATCGCCAAAATTTATTTATTGAAAGATGAAGAAATCAAAGCTGTTCAAATTATGAATGAAGGAGTTTTGCAAAATGAAAGAAACTCGGATTTATTATTATTACAAGCAGACTTTTGTATTTCAAAGAAAAGATATGATATTGCTTTACATTTGGCTAAACAAGCTGTTAAATCATCACCTGCTGATTTCAAAACCTGGTCAATGTTGGTCAAAGTTTACACCAAATTGAATGATTTCGAAATTGCCTTGTTAACATTGAATTCATGTCCCATGAACTCTCATAAGGAGAAATTCACATTGAAGAGAATTGTACCTTTAAGAAGTGGTAATGACGATTTACATTTACCTTCACCAACCGATGTAGTTTTAGACGAAGTTTCCAATTTACAAAGTAATGAAATATCATTTGAGCAAAGAAATTTAGATCCTCAGTTATCAAATTTACCTGCTTCCAACTTAAAATCAACATTTTCAAAAGCTTATGATTTATTGACAGAAATTGTGGTTAAAACTGGTTGGGAAAGTTTATTAAAATATAGAGCAAAAGTTTTCGTTATGGAAGAAGAATATAGAAAAGATAAAGCAACTAGTAGTTCAACTGTTGATGACAAAGATGATGCTAATAATGATAATAATGATCCAACTACCCCTACCACTGATAATGCTTCAACCATAGCTGTGAAATCACCTAAGAAAGAAGATGACAAAGAATTCAGAAAGAAAAGATTATGTGAAAGATGGTTGGATAATCTTTTCATGTTATTATATGAAGATTTAAGAGCATATACTATGTGGCAAGCTGAATTTGTTCATTTCCAAGCTCAACAAATGGAATATAAAAAGACTACTTTAGAATGGGAGATCTTAGGTTTGATAGCCATGAGATTGAAACATTTCAAAGAAGCTTCAATTGCTTTCCAAAATGCTTTAAGTGGTAGATTCTCTGCTCGATCAACAAGAGAAATGTTGAAGTATTATCAAATGGAAAGGTCAAAACTTATATTAAAGAATTCTACTTCAAGTACTACTAATAATAATTATCTGAAAATGATAAATCAATTGAATGAAAAGATCTTAGAATGCTGTATCAAATTATTAGTTTGGAACCATAGATGGTATTGTGATTTTAGTTATTCATTAATTACTATTGTTGAAGATTTAGTTCTGAAAGATGGTATGATAAAAGTTCAATCATTGATCCAAGCTGTTTATTCGAACAGTTTGGATAATAATGAAAATCTGAACCATGGTATAATTGATTTGATGAATGGTATTTACAAATTCCTCAAACTTTATAATGTCAATGGTGTTGATAATTAATATAAATTCGATTCCCCCTTAATCATTTCTCTTGAAGAAATAAAATTTTCTACTAGTTTTCTCCGGCTCTAATTCTTCAGAATCATAATCAATATCTTTTCTTCTACCTTCATCTAAGTCTACTTCTCTTAAATTCACCCATTTGGTTTTATGAACGATCTTGAAAAAGAAGAAGAGCACAAAAAAGAATGGGATCAATATATAAGCATCAACCCAATTACCAGCTTGAAATGGTTTGAAATAAGACCATCCTTGAATCAAAGCTAGGAATAAATTCAAAATAATACTAAGTATTGGGAAATAAGGGTAAAATAAACCTTTAAACGGTATATCTTCAAGACTACGGCCTTGAAGAACCCAACTTCTTCTGAATCTCAAATGAACAAATGACACTGAAGCCCAAACTATGAATACTGATATACCTGAAAGATTAACAATATAATTATAAGCTTCTGAAGCTCCCGTACTAATGTTCATTAATGACAATAACCCAAAACAATTCATAAGAATCACAGAATACACCGGTACACCTCTACTATTAATATAACCAAAAAACTTGAATAATCCTCCTTCTCTGGCTAAATTAACTAAAGTTCTACTTCCAATATAAATTGATCCATTTAACGCTGATAAACAAGTAATTAAAATGAAAGCGTTAATCAAATTAGCACCTCCTGCCCATCCAGCGTTAGCAATTGCAATAGTCATTGGTGATTGTAAAGTTTTAGTACCATTATTCAACTTTGGATCATCATAAGGTACTGTCATACCATAAGAAATTGCCAAACCAATATAAATGAAGAAAATACGGAAAATGGTTTGGTAGATGGCCCTCGGTAAAGCTTTACCAGGATTTTTGACTTCACTTGCCATAGTGGCGATGGCTTCAACACCAGCAAAAAAAGTAGAGGCAAATACGAAAGTACTGGCCACACCTTTGAAACCATCGTTGAACGCTCCAGGGTCGTTCCAATAATGAAATCCAAATGCTGGTTTATTGATACCTCCAGCAACATAAACGATACTGAAAATGTAAAATGCAACAAGACCACTTATTTTAACCAACCCAATCCAGAATTCAACTTCACCAAACCATCCAACTCCCAAGAATTGGAATGCCAATGATGCTGACCAGAATATAAGCACGTAGCCATAGATAGGAACTTGAGGTCCCCAAAATACCATAATGTTAGAAATAACATTATATTCGTTGGCCAATACTGCAATCCAGATAATAGCGTAGTACCATCCAATGGTTAACCCCCAACTCTTGTCAACAAATTTTATGGAAATAGATGAAAATGACCCTTGTCCTGGGTACATGACAGTTACTTCACCTAGTGATTGCATCATTATCAAAGCAATTATCCCAATTAATCCAAATGATAACAATAAACTACCAGGTCCATTTTTCAATGCATTAGCTGTACCTATTAAACATCCAGGTCCTATTATACTTGTCAAAGCTAGCATAGTAGTCATCCTATCATTAAGCTTACGTTTCAATACCTTTCCATCTTCTCTGATACTTAAAGATTCAGTATCAATAAGCTCATCACTCTTCATTGTTGGCATTGAGTTTTCAATTTCTCATTCCACAGTTTTCTTTTTATAGATTTTATGTTCCTCACCAAAAAACTGTGGATCTATGACTACAAGCTCGAATTAAGATTCGAATTTAGAGTGTAGAGAAGATTAAGTGTAGATGCTTATTATATGGTCAATGGCTGCAATTTAGGTGCGAAAAAGGGTTGCTATTGAAGTATCACCAATCCTGGTTACGGCATAACTTCCCTTTCAGGACCCTGACCCTTATCTTTCGTCAGTTTGATAAGATTTAGTTTACGGGGGAAATTTATATGGTAATTCCCCAGAATTTCTTGTCTTGCGACATCAGTTCGTAATTAAATAATTTCCCAAAAAAATATCGGAATTTTCCACTCTTTGCAGGTGAAAAGTTTAATGAGGGAATGGTGATGTTTCAGCCGTCTTGTGCATTTATGAAATAATAAAGTTTGTTCAGGGCGATTGCTCCGTCAAAACACGGGTGGACACTGAAATTGTCGCATACCAGTTGTGGAGGCTTATCACAACAACTGGTATGTCAATCCTGGCGAAGAAATAAGAGAGAGTATTCTAAATTCGTTGTTAATCCAAGTATTATCTATTCTCTCGATATCTATGTAAAACTAGAAAAGAAAGCAGCTTGATCTAACATTGTCTTTTCTTTAGCATATTTGACTAAAGGCTCTGACATATCACCTTTGATTTCATATCCATGAGGAGCATTGTGAAACAAATTCAATTCAAATCTAGTCTTATTGGCAAGAAGCTTTGCAACCGCAGCATCTCTGAGCTCTGAAGTGAATCTAACATCATCAGCACCTGCAGAAATCAAAATTGGTTTTCTAATTTTATCGAAAGCATCAGCTCCGAATAATGTTGGGTGAGCCATTGCACCAGCAGTTAAAGGACCATCTTCGGCTAACAATCCTGGAATGAATAAGGCACCAAAACAGAATCCAATAGCAAATACGTTCTTCGGTTTGTGTTCTTCTCCAAAACCTTTGAAAAATTTCTGCACAATAGGTCCGGTGATTGGAGGACCATGCTTCCCAAACCATTCTTGTAATTTACTAAGATCAGTCAAAGGATCATTATCGATGATATCAGGAACCACAACTTTCATCCCAGTCATTTGAGAAATCCCGTCGGCAACTAATTGTGTATTCTTAAATTTGTGTCCATAAATATCTGTCAAAAATACGATAACCTTATCATAGGATTTATCATCCCCTGCAACATAGGAATCCAAACCCCCTAAGGTCTTGAAAACACCGGTTGTAGAGCCTTCATGATCAAATTTTTTTAAGCAACAGATATCAATCATTCTTACCCAGGTAGAAATATCGAATTGTGTAATATTTGCAATAAACGGATCAATTGATTTATATAGTCGCTCTCCGGAACAAAACGTACTATTTTGGGGAAATAGGAGATTATGTAAGCGGATAAGAAACGAATTCAAATTATTTGGCCGTCCCCTTTAATTAGACAAGTATGACTCCAAAGCCGTTTTAACTCATTACCATCCGGGTGAGTTAACTCTCAATGGTACACATGGTAGAAATATCCATCAATTCCACGCTGTCTTCTTCCCCATCCAAAATGAAGAATGTGGTTGAAATTCGCGATAACGATGTCATCAGGATGGAATACAATTGATTCAGATGCCGTATGTATGGGAGCCTACAATGCCTGGATTGCAAATACTAACAACTTTAGGGATTATTTACAAGATTGATTGAAAAATTGGGAGTAAAGAATATTCAATTCGAAGATCTTTACTCTATTGACAGTGAATCAATTGCTCAATTGTCCCCAGTTTATGGAGTAATATTTTTATTTAAGTATAGTAAAATTGATAGACAGATAGCCAAGAATGGAAATGCTCCTATTACTGGAGAATATGATTTAAGTTATCAGGAAAATGACATTTTTTTTGGTAACCAAACCATTCAAAACGCTTGTGGGACTCAAGCAGTGATTAATATACTACTTAATCAAGAAATTGACCTTGGTGAAGAATTATCTAACTTCAAGAGTTTTGTTGGTGGATTTGATGGTGAAATGATAGGAGAAACCATCTCCAATAGTGATTTGATAAGATCAGTACATAATTCATTCTCAACGCCAAATTTGATAGTTGATGAGGATCCCAATCCGCCACCTGAAGATAGTGATGATAAAAATGATGGTTTATTTCATTTCATTGGATATATACATAAGAATGGGTTCATTTACGAACTAGATGGATTGAAAAACTATCCCATCAAACACGACGAATGTAAAGATATGGATGATTTCATAACGAAAATTCCTCAAGTTTTAATGAAAAGAATTGCTAAATATGGTAATGAATTAAGGTTTTCTTGTTTGGTGATCACCAATGATAAGCTCAATCAAGCTAAAGACTTGGGTGATGAAGAAATGAAGTATCAAGAACTCAATAAACGTAAGATTTGGGATAAGGAAATCGAATTAAGACAACATGATTATACTAACTTGTTTGTCAATATGATCAAAGGTATAAGTTCCAAGTTAGATGATCAACAATGGGAAGCATTATTAGATAAAGCAAGAGAAAGAACAAAAGCTAAATTCAAATAGATTTTCTATATACATACGATTCTCTATTCATAATTTCCAAAACTGAATAATCCACCCCCACCTCTTGAATGTCTCGAGAAGTAATCGAAATCGATACTGACAGCATTACCCAACAAAATAGCTCTTTGGTCTAAAGTTAAAGGACCAGCGACTGATGGATACATATCACCCATTCCATCAAAACTGGCAGGATCCATTCTAATGATATAAACACCAGTATCGGTGAATAATTCTCTACCCAAACCAACCCAATTTCTATCAACAGACGCTATAACTTCCTCGTTTTCATTTTTAACAGGAAAATCGAATGATAATAGAGGAGCATCAATTGCTCCGAATTGGTTATATTCGTTAGAAACATCATCGTCTAATTTGAATAAATTATACCTACGTCTCCATAAATGCCAACTTTGTACTGATTCTCCAACACATTCTAATTCCAATTCTCCATGATCATTAATTCCCGGGATATAACTCTTGATATGACTGTTAATAAAAGAGAATGGTCTTCTAATGACCATTAGTAAATCCCCATAATTATTGAAAACTTCAATTTCAAACGGTCTATGTAACTTGAAAAATTGCCTACCAATCATCTTGAATATTCCATAATCCTTTTCTTCCATATAACCTAATTGTTCACCCATGGCATTCATGATCTTATACTTATTAGCTTGTTCAAAACCTACAATAACATTCATCATTTCAATTTGTCTTTCAATAACCAACGTAGGTTCCCTTAAGATATCATAAATACCATCACTGGAGGTAATTATCCCATTGTCATTAGGTGGGCTATTGAAAACACTATACCTATCGGTTGGTGAAGTCTTTGGTTGGTCATGATAATAAAACTGATTAGGATCACCAGTATTAAACGTTGAAGGATTCACATTTTTACGTTTTTCGTAAAATCTTTTCACCTCTTCTTCGCTTATCTCCTTAACTCGTCTAGGGAATAAATTGAAGGAGTTATTCGTTATTGAACGACTCAATCGTGGTACGAACTGTTTACTTAATCTTGTAATCATTGATGCGAAATCTAGAAATTGTGAGACATAAGTGCCACCAAAAGCCTCAATCTCCACACACTGAAGCAGATGAATGGCCAGTATTCAGCAGTTCGTATATAGCTCAGATCTCTTTAATAATCTCCATGATACATTCATAAAAGAGTTTTCTTGTTTAGCGAACAGCCCCGGGAACCTACCTTGTCTAAACTCCTAAATATTACCGATATTTAGCCGGAGGGGCTAGTCGATGGAAAGAGCTGAGTTGAAGAATGAATTGAAGAATGAATGTGAATAAATATATTTCTATGATTGTTTTACTTTTACAATGAATTTTTGTCAAGAACCTGTAATGACTAGATTTAATCTAATTTTTTCTTTGGTTGAGTTAAACTTGGAACTGGGGTATCACCATTCAAAACACCTTTCATGAATTCATATACTGTGAATGTGACGGCTTGACCAGGAGCAACTCTCATAATTCTTGGGGTAATACCCTTATATAAAGCAGCAGTACCTTCTTCCCTGATTAATTGTTTACCGATTTTAACGATTCTTACTAAACCACTTTCATTGGAAGCATAACTGGTTTTTTGTAATCTGGTTTTGATGGTATCCAAAGGAGCATTGGATAAAGGACCTAAAGCACCAGAAATTAAACCAATACAACTTGTTTCCCAACTTGGTAAAACTTCAGTACCATGATATTGTTGTAAATATTCTTTTATTTTTGAATAAACAGTGAAATTAACCCCTTGATTGGTGGCTTGTCTAGCAGCTGTTAATGAAACACCTCTATACAAGGTTTTGAAACCTTCTTCCTTTACAATAACATAAGCAGCATGAGGAGCGTTTCTATACTTTGGAATATCTAAAGGATCAGCCATAGAATGATGTTGAGCTTGTAATCTGATCTTAACGACTTCCATAGGATTAACAACGGCAACAGCTTCAGTAATACCAGCACCTACACCAGCAAGGAAGGTATTAGCAGTGGAAATTGAACCATCTTTTTCATATAACAATGATCTATAGAATTCATATGAAGAGAATCTTAAAGCCATTTTTGGCACAATTCCAATAACAACAGCTCCTAAACCTTTATACAAACTTAAGAAAGTTTCCTTTTGTACAATGTTGATACCAGTCTTAATAAAACCTGGTGGCTTTTTACCACTTTTCCTATACAATTGCATACGAACTTTGACAGTGTCTAATGGATGACAACATAATGCTTCGAATAAACCAGCAGTACCACCAGCTATTAAATCGGTGATACCTTTACCCTTTTTTTGATTGGTTTTTGTACTCATAATAATAATTTATAAATTTCAATAAAAACTATATAAAAATCTTGAAAAAATGATATTTTTCATTATTTATAGTCATTTGATCATCCCCCACAAAAACTCACTTCCATTCTCCCGGGTGATTTAATTTTCAGGTGAAATGGAAATATTTTTCGTTGACAATGATTGTCCGAAATTCCGGGGTTTGTCTAAGAGTTTATTATGATCATTAAGTCCTAGACAAATAGGAGTTTAGAATTGCTATATAATAGTTATGTACTAATATTTTAAGTAAAATTAATCATCAAGGGTTCTATCAGAAAATCAATTAAATAAGTCGTGTCGTGCCACAAGAGACTCATAGTCAATTTGAGTTCTGAGAATTCCTCGGAGACAAGGTTATTCATGAAAAATGATATTCGGATTATCAATTCCATCAAGGTTAAACTTTTCAATTGGTTGATTAGATATTCTTATGAAATTCTGTTATTCGTTTGATATTAAACTAAAAAATCTGTTCTGTTGTCTGTTTCCCAATCCAAGAATAATAATAAGCTTTTGGATAATTGGAATAAACTATCAATAACATTATCGGAATAATGTCTAGTGTCTAAGTTGCTGATATATATCAATGTCTCTCGAGTTGATCTTAGAATTGACTTTAAATCATCAACACTTTTATAGTCAAATTTTTGAATTGAGATTGAACTCCCTTCATTCTGACGTGTGAAGTGAAGTAGTTTTGTTAAACTTTCATCCATCGTTTGATTGTCTTTGAAATCAAGCTCATTATTAACTTGCATCAAGTCATGAAATATCGCTTTGAATGTATCTGGATGAGGTCTTATCTTATAGTGTCTTTGAAATCGTAAAAGATCCATTGTACTGTTAAATTGTCTTTGGTGGTATCTCTTGCGTCTTAGGTTGGTGTTAAGCTTTGGGAAAGTTCGAGTAAAGTCTTACAAGTTTTTATTGAAATTTGTTTTTTTCTTATTTTTGCAGCCATTTGTGAATCTCACAAAAAAAGTATAACTCATGAAGAGAGAGAATAAATAGAGAAAAAATATTATACATAAACACATTATTTAGGATCGATTGTATCTTTAACATCATGAACTTGACCTTCTAATTCTTCTTCCTTGTGAATTTCTTTCAATCTTAAAGCTTCTTCATGAACGGCCCTAACATCACCTACCAAATTTTTGTAGAATGCATGAATTTTCACACCGTAAGGGTTTTTGGAAAAATCTTTTGATGCTTTGTCCAAGTCTTGGGAAACTTTATCGAAGTATTTGGAGAATTTACTATAATATTTGGATTTTTTAAATTGTTCAACATTTGTGTTGAATTGTTTAACAGCAACATCACTGAATTTAGTTGGTTCGGTTTCTTTCTCAGAAATTGCAGATTCCACTGCTTTGTTATCGTCTTCAGTCATAGCTCCTAACTTGATATCAATGTCATTCAAAAATTTCTTGAATTTATCACTATAACCATGTTTCTTGTCGAAAGTGATGGATTTTTCAATGATATCATCATTGATTTTATAACCTTTTGATAACAATTGAGCCATTATAACATATTTTGGTTTGGATTCTTGATCGATATCATCATATTTTGGATCTCCAGTTTTAACATCTCCTTGTAATTTGTGATCTTTAACATCATCTGCTGATGCAATTGTGGAACCAGTAGCATCTGGACCTTGTGAAGATTCATAGGTTGGTAAATCACTGGATACCTTCAATTTTTCACCACCTAATTCTGCTTGATCTAACAACAAGGCAGTATCTGAGGCACTTGAATTAAAGAAATTCACTTGATACTTACCTTCCGAAAGTTCATTTATAGATTTGATCTCTCCACAGAATTGGAAAAAGGTATTGATTTCATCAATTGTTACTTTTTTAACTTCTACAACTACACTACTCATATTTAGCTATTGTCAATAATGGGGAGTGATTGGAATTTATACTACTTTAATGTGAGGCTTAAATTGCTGCTAAAAAAACTGACTGGTTAGGACACGAGATTGTTTAATGAAATTCCTTTGAAAAAGTCAACCTTTGGTAGAGAATAAAGTGATCATGCACGTTTTTATTAAGCCACTAAGTTATAAATAGTTTAGTGATCGAGGATAAGTTATTGTTTGTAAACAAATTGAGTTCATGACTTGCAAAACATACTTCTAAGAATCTTCCATGAGCTATGCGGCTGAATTTGCAGTAAGAGGGGGTTGGATATAGATATTCGAAATATGTTTACGAGTTTCTAGATTAGGAAGAGAGATACATATGTTTGAAGAAATATAATACATCTATTTTATTTCATTAGTATTTACATGAAACAATTTTGAACTCATAATAAAGTTTGACCTAAGGCACATCTTCCAATAGCACAAGCAGCACTGACAGTATCCAAAATGTGACCATCATGTTCAGCTAAAGAGGGATTAGTTTCAACAATATCCAAAGAGTTTAATAAACCGGTTTGGGCAATTTCTTCAACGATGAATAAACCTTCTCTCAAAGTTAAACCACCTTCGACTCTAGTACCAGTAGCAGGAACGAACGAAGGATCTATAGCATCAACGTCATAACTTACATGAATAGGTAAGTTTCTATCAGGATTGATTTTATCTAAAGCCATGTCTACGACTTTTCCAATACCGTACTTATCAATATGATACATAGAAAATGCTGGAATATTGTTTTCTCTTAATATTTTCTTTTCACCATCATCAACATCTCTTAAACCGATGTATGCGATTCTGTTTGATTTTAAAATGCCTGATGGAATCCAATCGAATTCTGGTGGATAACTTTCTTTATCAATTCCCATCAAGAATGATACTGGACATCCATGTAAATTACCAGAATCAGAAGTTTTTGGACTATTGATATCAGCATGTGCATCAATCCATAATATACAAGTATCAGGATTGTGTTGTAAAGCAGCTAACAAAGTACCAGTACCAATTGAATGATCTCCACCGACAGTAACAGGTAACCTTCCATCTTTCAAACTGTTTAAAACAGCTGATGAGATTCTTTTATTACAATCATTAACAATAGCAGTATTTTTAACACCAAATGAATCTTTATCATCAGTCTTAGCATTTTCAAAATCAGTACCATCTAATGGGAAGTCTAATTTGGTCTCCCAACCTAAATCGTTAATTTGTTTTTCAAATCCTGACTTTAAGATGAATTCAGGTCCTAATTCAACACCTCCCTTTGGTTGACCACCAGAAAATGGAGCTGATATTATAGTTGCTTTCTTAGTTGGATAATATTTATATTGGACTTAAACTGTTAGTATATTCTCAAACACGTTAACTCATCTCCTCAAGTAAACCACCTCGATACCGAGAGAAACGACAAAAACAACAAGTCGCCTAATAAGAATCCTCTTATTATTCAACATATTTACATACCACTCATTTGAATAATTATTTAAACAATAAATTCGAGTCATTTCGTTGAATTTATATATCTTTATCTCATATCTGCAAATTCCATTGTGGAAATTGAGAACGAGACAGGAGCGTGATTAAATATAATTTTTGAGGAAACTTATAGAGAATGGAAATTGTTATGAGGAAAGGAATTGAATGGAATTTAGATATCTAAATTCCATTCAGATTGGTCTATGATAAAGAAATCAAGGAATTACTCGAATGCGGAACTAATGGTAGATTAAATCCTTTTCCGTTCTCTCCTACCTTAAATTTTAATAAAACATCTCATATTGGGTGCAAAAAAAGTTTAATAGTTATATGGAAATTATGGGAAAGGTTAAGAAATTGATGGGTTATTAACCATGACCTCAAAACTGTTAATGGAAGGTTTAAACTGAAATTGGGATTATTGTATTATATATACTAGGTACAACCAGCGGGGATTTAACTTGACTGACCTCATTTACCAGTCATTCCAATGGCAGATTGAGAAATTTCGGACAAAAAGATAACACCCATTAAGATTTCTGATTTTGGTGTGTGTTTACTATTAATGTATAATCGGAACATAACGCATAAGAATGACAATTACCAATGCTCCGAAATCTTTACCGTTTTGGTTTTATAAAAAGTCAATAACTTCTACTTAAGCCTTCTAAATCGTCTTAAAACCATAAACACTCACACGTGTAGAAACATTTTATATATTCTATCTTGGTTTCGGAATAATTTCTAGTGTTATTCAACTATTCAAAGTTACTGGATCATTGAACTGTAACAAAAAAAAAGATTTATTGGTCCCGAAAGCGAGGAACAAGACCTAATCTGGTAGTGACGTATTTCTGTCTCAGTAAAATCTCAGGACAGAGATAAAGAAATTAACTTCCATCAATATATCAAAAGATTTCAAGTGATTTAATATAAGATTTAAGATTCAATCCAATTGATTCAAAACACCTCAAACCTTGCCAGGAATTCCCATTCAAAGATCAAAAAGTAGTGAAAGATGAAATTTGGTAAAACATTCTTATCACATCAGATTCCAGAATGGTCAATATTCTATATGAATTATAAGAATTTGAAGAAAGTCATAAAGAACATCGATTATGATTTTAACCCATCAGAAATGGAAATCAGTGATTTAATTCAAAATATCTTATCACAATTCTATTATCAATTAGATAGAAATATTGAAAAAGTTGACACTTTCTATAATAACAAGTTCAATGAATACGATAGAAGATTAACCAATATTAAGAATTTGTTAGGTTTCAAAGATAACAGAGTCACTCATGAAATCAATTCTAATGATGAGTTAGATGAAATTATTTCTATTCTTTTAGAATTAAAGAATTTCTTCCGTAATTTGAAATGGTTTGGTGAATTAAATCATAAAGGGTTCATTAAAATTTTAAAGAAATTAGATAAGAAATTAGACAGTTTGACCAACTTATCTAATAACCATATTGAATCTCAATTGATTAGTTTACCCACTAATAATAAAGAGAATTATTTGTTAACAAGAGTTGATGCTTTACCATTTGCCAATGAAATTGATTTGATCAATAATCTTGAAATGATCAATACAATTTTGAATCAATTGAGTTATAAGGAGTTCCCTCAACAATCAGACCAAGTCAAACAAGTCAATAGAAACGATAATTTATTGAATAATTTCGATAACTTATATTTATCGAATTTCTCCGAATTGATAGAAAACGATAATGATGTGAATTTGATCGAAGAATTGAATAAGATTCCTAAAATTAAACAAAATTTGAAATTCTTGATCAGTTTATTGATCAAATCAACCATCAAAAACAGTTTGAAATGTATTGATTCAATCTTCAACTTATTATTGATCTATTTAAAGGAGAATAATTTGTCTACTGATAATTTATTGTATGATAAATTTGATATTAATGGTAGAAACTTCTTCCATAATTTGATTTTGAATTTCGGTAAGTTATTAGATAGTAACAACAACCAAAATCTGTTGAAAACTGTTGTACCTGGTGAACAAACTTCATTGAAGAAATTATACGATAATAATAGTGGAGTTGATGGAGCAAAATTGATAACTTTTGAATTGTCTGGTTTTGCTTATATCTTAGATAAAATCAATGACAATGTTCAATATCATAACTTGAAATTCTTATTGAATGCTAAAGATAATTATTTAAGAACTCCCTTACATTACAGTTCCCAATTTGGAATCAAAAACATCATCAAATTGATTTTACAATATTTAAATTCATGGAATTTAATCAATAATATCTCAATTGATGATGTTAAATTCTGGGGTGATCAAGAAAATTTAACTCCCATTCATTTATCAATCATTGGTAAACATCCAAAGACTACTGAATATTTATTGGTCTATTCCAACACTAAGAAATTGACTTGTTTGAACTTGATATTATTGGCTGTTAGATTGGATTCTTCAGAGATTTTAAAGACTTTGATCACTTTAGGTAAGATTGACATCAATTATACTGATTTTGAACACAATAATGAAACTTGTTTGTTCATCGCTTCCAAACTCAATTATCCTGGCGTTGTTGAATTCTTATTGAATAATCATGCTAACCCTGAAATCGGTGAAATGGTTTTTGGATGGACACCAATTTTCGTAGCAGCTTCTGAAGGATATGAAGAAATTGTTAGATTATTAGTTAATGCTGGTTGTAAATTTGATATGGTAGATGATTCTGGTTGGTTACCAATGGAACATGCTGTTTTAAGAGGTCACTTACATGTTGCTGATTATATTAAGCCTTCTGATGATAAACTTTTATTATATGATATAAATAATCCTGATAATAACTTACAAAGAATTCCAGTTTCTTCCCAATTGAAAATGGAAATTGATAATTCCTTAGTTTTAACTCCAACCAATTCTTCGTCCATAGATATTTTACCTGAGTCAACTAAGAATAACGTCAATGAGGTATATAAACAATTGAAACAATTTGATTCAACTTCAAGTGTTGAAAAAAGATCAAGATCAAAATCTCCTATGAACGTGAAAAAAATCAAACCTATTAAATCTTTCGGTCATAGTTTCTTAAGTAATGATGAATCAGTCCTTTTGATCACCTTAGGAACTACTGACTTGAGAGATAACACTAAACCTATTGAATTAAATAATGTGTCATTATCTAAGAATTTGATTACTGAATTAGATACAGCTTTGAGTTTGGTTGTCACCTGTAGAAACAAATTAGACAATGAAAGTGTTGAATCTCCAGTTATTATTGATTTACCATTAGAAGATCATCATGGTTCAGCCACCGATCCTATTACTTTCAAATTGACTAACAATTTAACTACTGACGATATTGTTATTACTTTTGATATTGTTCCTACTTATCAATACAACAATCAAACAGAAGAGTTATTAGTTAAAGAAAATAAGATTTTAGGTAGAGCGGTTGCTTTCCCTAACGACGCATACACCAAAGTTGGACCAAATTTAAGATCATTGAATTCAGTCATTAAATCTCCAATTATAGAATCCAAAACTTTGAATGTTTTAGGTTCCGTTAAATTCGAATTCTTATGTGTTAAATCTTTTAACCATCCTAATTTGAAAATCGGTAGATCAGATACTTATTGGAAACAATTGGTATCAACTCGAGTTATTGGTCATAGAGGTTTAGGAAAGAATGTTAACGATAAGAAATCATTACAATTAGGTGAAAACACCGTTGAATCATTTATTGCAGCAGCTTCATTAGGTGCTTCATATGTTGAATTTGATGTTCAAATTACTAAGGACGGGACACCAGTTATTTACCATGATTTCACTGTGGCCGAATCTGGAGTTGATATTCCAATGCATGCTTTAACCACCGAACAATTTTTACATTTGAGTGACAACGATTACAATCCTTTACATAACATCACCAATGGTGACAAGTCTCCTTATTTACACAGTTCAAATAATACCAGTGAAGATCTTTCATCATCATCAACTTATGCATTTGATGATGAAATCTTGAGCAAAGTTAATAGACCAAGATCAATGGCTGGTTATAAATCTACACCTAATATGAATCACCACCATGCTGTGAATGAATATGAACCAGAAGATGAAATCGATAAGGAAGTTCAAGATCAAATCAACAGAAGAATGAAATTGACTAAAACTTGGAAGGATAAAGGTTATAAAGGTAATGCCAGAGGTTTATCTATTGCTTCTAATTTCGTAACTTTGAAAGACTTATTCAAAAGAATCCCAAAACATGTTGGGTTCAATATTGAAATTAAATATCCTATGTTAGATGAAGCTCAATTAGAAAGTATGGGAGAAATTGCTTACGATATCAATTACTACGTTGATACCATCTTGAAATCAGTTTATGATGAAAACGTTACTGGTAGAGATATTATCTTTTCATCATTCCATCCTGATGTTTGTGTGTTATTATCATTAAAACAACCAACTATTCCAATTTTATATTTAACTGAATCAGGTACTACCCCAATGGCAGATATCAGAGCCAGTTCTTTACAAAATGCCATTAGATTTTCCAAGAAATGGAATTTATTAGGTATTGTTTCAGCAGCTGAAACTTTCATAAAGACCCCAAGATTAGCTCAAGTAGTCAAATCATCAGGTTTAGTTTGTGTTACTTATGGTACATTGAATAATATTCCAGAGAATTGTAAGATTCAAATGAAAGCTGGTGTTGACGCTGTTATTGCTGATAAAGTCTTAGCTGTTAGGGAAGGTCTTAGAAAAGATGAAACTCCTGCTTTATAGATATCTGTTTGTAGATTTGTTAGAATTATATAAAACCCGTTTTCGCGAACTGACTTTAAATCGGAGAAGTTTGTGAAATGTCTGATTTACCATCACAAGAACCTGAAAAAGCAGGATCAAGGCAGAAAAGTTCAGTAAACAAGACAAACGAAGCATTTGTATCAACTGTAAGAAATGCTCCCAACAAGACTACCGGTATCGATGCAGTCCATATAAATGCTGCAAGAGAAATGGTGAAATTACACACCAGAGATAGATTACCTACAAATTCAGTAAATAATCGTATAAATACTATCCCCAAACCATTACCCAGGCCGTCAAACAATCCCCACAGTACTCAATTACCTCAATCATCTTTTGCTACTCCTAGACCTTCAGCATCATTGAAAAATATTAAAATGTCAATACCAGCCAAAGGACACGAAGGTCCATGTACTAACCCTCAATGTGCCCATTGTGGTACGGTAATAATCCCAGCACCTAAGTCAAGTTTTCCTATCATGGATAAACCGTCAATTACTATAAATGACTGGAGCATTTATACTATCAAAAGACCAATATTATCGTCACAGGAATTGGATGATTTAGAACTGAGATACGATTTCCCATTACCCGAAATGATCTTTGGTAACAATAAAGTTAGACTTGTTAGTGACCAATTTGGGACTATAGAATTCAATGGGTTGGATGCATTGGATTCTTTGAATAAAGAGAGTGATTTCAAAGTAAGTTACCATAGGGAATGGCTTGAAGCTCGTAAAAACAAAATGCTTTCTGAATCATTCGATACATCAGAGAAAAAGTCCAAGGAAATCTCTAATCTTGACTTATCGAAAATTACCGATATCGAAACTATAAAGAATTTCGATTGGACATATTCGGTCAATTATAAAGGATCGATAACAGGTATTGAATTCAAACCAACCAATGATCCGTTCCCAATAGACAGATTATTAAAACCGGATCCAATATTGTTCTTTGACGAATCAGTTTTATTTGAAGATGAATTAGGTGATAATGGAATATCAGTTTTGTCCACCAAAATAAGAGTGATGCCCACATGCTTATTATTACTTTGTAGATTTTTCCTCAAGATAGACAATGTCAGTTTGAGAATCAGAGATACTAGAATTTTCATTGATTTGGAAACCAATAAGATATTCAGAGAATATAAATGTCAAGATTGTGAATATGATGAGGTATTGAGTAAAATTAATTCCAAAAATTTGACTGATCCTAAAAGCTTATTACGTGATAGCAATTGGGTTGCCAATAATATTCCAGTTAATTCAGTAACAACGGAAACGAATATGTAGAAATACATCTTTATGATCTCAAACCTCTTAGTTCGCGAAGGAAAATTTTTCAGTCGACTCAGTATGTTTAAGAGAACTGGTTTGAGGATAACCAAAAGGTTAATACATGATGTACCTAAGTTGAAGGGACAGTATAAGTACGAAACATCAGGTATTGAAGGGTTATACTCTCCTGAAGGTTTCAAAGGTGCCTGGACTGATTATCAAAAGTTTTTAACCATGAATTTAACTCTTTTAACTAATGGTACAGAGAATGAATTCAAAAGTCCATACCAAATCTTATTAAATACTGCCAAACAAACCACAGAACAACACATTTTCCATTATGCTTCACAAGCTCACAACAATCATTTCGTTTTCCAACAATTAACCAATAAATCAGAAGCTAGTAAAACTCAACCATCAAGAAACTTAATGGGAAGAATTAATGATATGGGATTTAAAAATTTACAAGAACTTTATGATCAAATAGTGAAATTATCAGAAACCATGAATGGTCAAGGATGGATCTTTTTAGTTGAAAACCCCGATAAATCATTAAAACTCATTCAATGTAATAATGATGGTACACCTTATTTCTATGGAAAAAATCAATCCCTCGATTTGAATGGAGGAATTTCTGAACAAACTTATGAAAAATACCTTGAATTAAAGAATCAAGTAGAAGAAAATTCCAGAGATTTCACTTTACCAATATTAGGTATAAATTTATGGGATCATGCATATATAAATGATTATGGTATCAATGGTAGAGAAGAATACTTGAAAAATTTGTGGAGTAGCCTTAATTGGGATGTTATTAATGGTAGATTATTCGAATTATAATCCTTGTAAATAGTAGTAGAATCATCTAGTATACATTAAATATTACATCACTATTTTAGATCGATCATTAATAATTGATCCAACGTCATATCTTTGATATTATCTTTATTTAACAAAGTTTGGAAATGTCCATACTTTTCATTCAATTCAGCACATTTTTCCATTATTTGATTACATATATTATCATCAAACCAATCCAAGGGTAAGCATAATATGAAATTGGGTAGAAAATCACATAATATTGATATATGACACCATTTTTGAACCAATTTCTTGAATAGTTTCTTGATGGCCTGTTCATCATACTGATGATTTTTAATAAATGTTAGCCTTTTATCATTATTTTCAGATTCTAAAGATTGAAGGGTTTCATCAATTTCATTCAAATTCTTCAATTTGGGTTTAATTAGTTTCAAAATTCTCTTAATGTCTGATTGAAGATCATTGTATTGTTCTGTCAATTCATTATTTTTATTGTAAAGATCTAGAATCTTATTTATGTTAACATCTTGTTGGCCATTAGTTTGTGAATACAAATTTTCAAGATTATTATGAATCACCGTTTCTGTTGAAGTTAAATAGTCATTATAATGATGAATAGATCGAAGTACAGGTAAAGTTATTTGTAAGTATGTGTTCAATAATGTATCAGTTTTGAAATTATTGAGTGATTGTAAATATTCTATAGGTTTATCTTGGAAATTTCCTGGAATTTCTTTCATTATAGAATCATACTGATCATTTAGATTATTATTAGACGTGTTTTGAAGATTTTTCAATTCATTCAAGTAGATTAATTCATTTATATTTGAAATCAATGTTTTATAGCTTTGATAATATTTTAATTCTGCTGCAAATAATGCATTAGATTTTGATGTCGAATGATAATTAACTTTAGGAATACCAAAATGGTGGTTCTGAATATTCGTAAACGAAAGAAATTGGTCTATAGTCTTGGATAATTCATCCATAATAAGAACTTTTGATCAGAAACTCGCACACCTTTTGAATTCGTTGGTAACCTCAACTATTAAAGAAGAAATGGATCTCGAATTAATAAAGAAGAAATTACTAACCATTCATTCTTCAGGGATATTTGCAACGTTTGACTCCCAACAAGTACATACATGTTATAACGAATTGAAACAATTACTTATTAGTGATGATACCATTCCTATTGGAGAATTATATAACTTATTTGAACTTCACGTTTATTTGTCTTTGATAACAGGTCATGATGTGGAAGCTAAGAGTTATATAGATAGAATAGTGGATCAATTTGGTAGTGATAATTCCGAACGTATAAATTTATTGAAAGCCATATATTTTGAAGCCATTGGATCTAAAAAGGAAGCTGCTGGTATCTTATCAGGTAAATCAAGTGAATTGAATTTAACAAGAAGGTTAGCAACTTTAAGTAGATCAGCTAAAGAAAACACTGACTATATAAAGAATTTGGTTTTATACTTGGATCTACAACCAAGTGATTTAATTGCATGGGCTGAATTATCAGGACAATATGAATCAATTGGACATTATGACAAAGCTATTTTTTGTTTAAAAGAAGTATTGATACAAGAACCATTTGATTTCCATACTTTCTATAAAGTAGGTTTGTTGAATTATTATCTTTTCATACAAAAATATGAATTGGTTAAAAGTGACAATACTTTAAAGAAAGAAAAAATGATTGAATTAGTTAAAATCCTTATAGATGCTAGAAATAATTATTTAAGAACCATTGAAATTTGTAAAGATCATCCACAAAGTTGGTTAGGGATATACATATTATGCAATTTGAAATTCATAGGGAAATTAAAACATTCCAGCAGTGTGATTGATGATTTTATTAAAAGTATTGAAAAATTAAAACATTTGAGTGAAATCAAGGTAAGGGAATTAACTGATATCATCATTGATGATATTAAAATATCAGTATAGTAATAAAGAAATTCTATGATCGTATACTATTACATGCTATAAAAAAAGATTAAAATTCACCTTTATAATTTAAATCTTCACTTTCTAAAATTTTATCTAAAATACCTGCAGAAGCAGCAACTAAACCTAAGAAAGGTCTTGAAGGATCTAAAACTTTTGATAAATATTCAGGATGATATTGAGTACCAACAAAGAATTTATGATCTTTTAATTCTAATAATTCCATTCTCTTTTCAGTTTCATCTCTACCAATAAATTTTAAACCTTTTGATTCAATATCATTGATTAATTTTGGATTTACTTCATATCTATGTCTATGTCTTTCATAAACTGAATCAGCACCTCCATATAATTTTCTTAAAGTTGACCATTCTGAATCTTGAGTAAATTTAGTTGAATGAATACCTAATCTCATAGTACCACCTAATTTAACTTGATCAACATCTGGCATATAAACAACTGAAGCAGTATCTTCATTAGTTTCTGGATCAAATTCCATTGAAGTAGAATTTTCATGACCTAAAATGTTTCTAACGAATTCAATAACAGCAATTTGTAAACCAAGACAAACCCCTAAGTAAGGAATATTATTTTCTCTAGCATATTTAGCAGCAGCTACCATACCTTCAATACCTCTACTACCGAAACCTCCTGGTACTAAGATACCATCAGCTTGACAAACATAATGCCAAGCTTTGTGGTAATCTGATAAAGCAGTATTTTTAGTAGTTTCTTCTAAATCAGTTGATTCAACCCATTCAATTTTCAATTTTCTATGACATCTCATTGATGAATGTTCTAAAGCTTTAATAACTGATAAATAACTATCTTTTAAATGAGTATATTTACCAACTAAAGCAATAGTAACAGTTTCAAAAGATTGATCATGGTTTGAAGTTAATTTTTGCCATTTACCTAATAAATTTTCACCTTTAATTAAAGCATCTTCTGATAATTTGATGTCTTCTAAATCTAATTTTTTAGATAAATATTTCATCATTTTTTGTTCTTTTAATAATAAAGGAACATGATAAGTTGAATTAACATCATGAACAGCAATAACTTGATTTGGTCCAACATGACAGAACATACCAATTTTTTCAATAGTGGCAGCTTCTAATTTTTCTTGACATCTACAAGCAATCATATCTGGAGATAAACCTAAAGATCTTAAATCTTTAATAGCAGCTTGAGTTGGTTTAGTTTTTTGTTCACCATGAATAACAGGAACTAAAGAAACATGAATTAATGCAAAATTATCAGAACCAACTTTGAATTGAAATTGTCTTAAAGCTTCAACGAATGGAGCACTTTCAATATCTCCAACAGTACCACCTAATTCAATAATACAAATTTCTGGTTCTAAGCCAGAATCATCAACAGGAATTTTACTAACTCTTTCAATCCAATCTTGAATGGCTGTAGTAATATGAGGAACAACTTGAACAGTTTTACCTAAATAATCACCATTTCTTTCTCTTTCAATAACTGATGAATAAATTTTACCAGTAGTGATATTATGATCTCTTGTTAAAGTAATATTTAAGTATCTTTCATAATTACCTAAATCTAAATCAACTTCACCACCATCATTCAAAACGAAACATTCTCCATGTTCTAAAGGTGACATAGTACCAGCATCGATATTCATATAAGGATCAATCTTAATGGAAGTAACTCTAAAACCTAAAGTTTTAAATAATAATCCGGTAGATGAAGCCAAAACCCCTTTACCAATACCTGAGATAACACCTCCAGAAACAACTACGTATTTCATTTTCTATAATTTAATAATTTGAATTTAAAAGTTTCGGACGAAATACACGTAAAATAATTTTTAAGAGACCGAATAGAAGAAGCCCTCTTAAAATAATTTAAGCGGGAAGAAAGAGAAGTAAAAACAAGATCGCAGGATTTCACTTGTTTAAATACTTTTTTTTTGCCCTGAGATGAGATGAGTTTTTCCTCGACTTCCTCATTGGGTAATGTTATATCCACACCTCAGTGCATAGGATAATTTAAGGGTTTAAAAGAAATTGTTAGCTAATTTATACACTTTATAATTGTAGGATAATAAAATTGTTCATCGCAAGGATGAATTATAAAGTACCTAGATTAGCAATTAATATCTGCCTGGGATATATCAACAGTATCAATAATATCATGGCATTTTACGGGCCTATTGGAGGTCTTCTTTAGATCATTAATCATATATTAGACTATTTTAACACCACCAATTTGGTCCGTTCCTTCTTGCATTAAAATTTGAGCTTTTCCTTGTTTTATCAATATATTTTTTAATACTTTGACCAATAAGTTATAATCTAAATTCTTTAGACTTTCAGGAAGTCCTGAATCTTCCAGTTTAGTTAATTCATAAATTGTCAACACGGTGCCCAATTGACCTGAATTTTCAACAAAATCATATAAAATTGTAGCCCAATCAGCCAATGACTTCCAATAAACTAGAATACCTTGATCAGGTATTTTAGTATTTATGTATTCAGCTTTATTCAATTTATGTATCAAGTGTTTGATGATATCCAGTTTAAATTCATCATCCACAGCTCTATTAATCTGTTTATTCTCAAATATTGGTGGTAATGTATCTATCTTTAATTCTTCAAATTGTGAATACACTATAGTACCAGTGGTGGATATGGTTGATACTTTATAATATTCACAATAAGAAAGAATTATACTACACCACGAATCTAGTTGTTGCTGAAGTACGGTAGCATTTGGTTGTTTAGTGTATAACGGAGGGAATGAATGAATCTTAGGGAATTCAAAGGTTTCCATCGTTATCGCGAGAAATCAATGATTGAAAGTGTCCAGATATAAATCTTTAGAATTCTTACATTTAGACTTTTGCGATTAGAGTTGATTAGAGATGATAGATATAACTTCTTTATGTGCATGTATTAACATAACCGGAACTTAAATATACAAAAGATTAAAATTTCATAAAAAACATTTAAGCTTCAGCCATATCTCTTAAACGACGGATGGTTGATCTGACGGTGGCAGCGGCAGCAGTTGAGACAGTGTAAGCACCACCAGCAACAGTTTTTCTACAAGCTGAACATTTCCAGATACCAGTGGCACCTCTTTTAACGGTTTTTTTACCACAGAATGAACAATCATATTTAGCATGTTGTTGGACTTCCATCTTTTTGGTTTGTTTTCTTAATGATGAACCATATCTGACACCAAATTTACCGGTGATTCCTACTTTTCTAGTTCTTTTAGTCCTAAAAATTGTTAGTATTTATTTTTTTTGGGCAAGGTATTGAATTATTACTCGTCACTGTGAATTCCAAATTCTTTTGTTTCGTTTCACTAAGCTATTCCATTTGATATTCATCAGTCAAATTCCATCATAGGTTCTTTGATTCTTTCTATATTTTCGACTGTTTTTCATCTTACTTCAACTTCACATTATTTCACCTTTCAACTGATCAAAGGATCCAAATTAACTCAGTATCATCTTTGTTTTATTCTTCTTTATTGTTGTTCAATCACATTTTGTGCTTATAATAATTCATTTAATCATTTAGTTACATACATTTTAACCTAAATTAATTGATTGAAATTTTTCAGTAATTTTTTTTCTCAATACAATTCCTTTAGAATTTGCAGGTCGTGGAAAAATAGTGAAAAGTCGCAATGACTTGTTAACTATGGTGTCGTATGGGATTGATTGCGACAGAGCGTGACTGTAGAAAAATAATTAGGTCAAAAGCCCTATCGCACTTCTGTTGCACGTGATGAGTTATTTGTGATTTGTTTGGGTGCAAAATAACAATTTGATCAAAGGGTCTTACAGTACTTGGAATATTTTCAATTCATTGATGATATTTCGGTCATAAGGCTATCATAAGAATACCAATAAATTCATTCTTGACCTTTGGTAGCGTTTGAACAGAGACTTTCCTTAATTTAGGAGATAGCGGTTAATGATCGATAGTAGTGAATTAAAATTGATCAAAGAGTTCCTTGATTTGGATGATTTAAGTTCACATTCAAGTAGTTTTTCGAGTAAGTTCAACTGGAAGGCCGAGTGAAGGTTCAATCCACTAACATTTAGGAAATAAGTTTAGCCCCGGAGGTACACAACCTTTAAGCAAACGACCAGTCTCTGAGCAATTAGATATCAGGAATTCTAATTTCAAAGACGAAATATTATTCATAGACCCCATTACTTCAAGACCTCATTCGGAATCACCTGGGACATCTTTCTTTCGATCCAAAACGGTTCCTCAATCGAATTCAAGTGTTGAAAATGCCAGGATATCTGTAACAGAAAAGAGCACCATTAGTTCACCATTGAACAAGATACTTAAAAAGAATATCTTTCCTGAATCAAGCAGCAGTTCTTTATCTAATTTATCGCAAGACCTGTTGATCGAAATCAACGATAGTAACATTTTTGTGATTAAGAATGATTTCATTTGTGGGGTGGTGGGAAAGAATGGTCAACAATGTCTTAGAACACTCTCCTGTAAATTTCATAGTTTACAAGATAAATACAAAGTGCAAAGAACAGAGCATTTACTGGATCTTCTACTCAAAGAAGCAAAGTTTTCCCGATTCTTCTTTAAGCAAAGAAAATTCATTTTACATTACTTCAGAACGTGCATCAATGAAGACCCTAACCACGGAGCTAGGTCTGGTAAAGTGTTGCTTATGTATGATTTGTTGGAAGAGGGATACTATCAACAACCTCAAGAAAACATAGTGTTGGGAACTAATATACCACTCTCAGATATAGTGGAACCTATAAGAAAAAGAAGAAGAATCACTAGATCCCAAGTAAGTAAGCAAATACTTCGAAGAACTCCGGATTCTTATACTGAATCAAACTCTTCTTCGTTAAGTGAAAAACCCAATAATTCACCTTTAACTGATCTTGGAACGAACCCAGAGTCCACTGATTCACCAAGTTCGCCCACGGATTCGACTAATTCCAAGAACAGGTCTTTCACATCTGCAACTAAAACCGAGTCTTATGAAACTACATCCAAGACCGGGTCTTATTCAACTTCATGCAAAACCGAATCCAAAACTGGATCCAATTGGACCAACTCTACTAACAGAAAATCATCAACATCAACAACGTCCAAATCCACTGATTCATTTACCTCCAAGTCTTCATACAGTGAACAGAATAAGAGAAAAAATTATCTAAGAAAGTTAAGTAAACAAACATCGTCTAGAATCAAAGAAACGGTAGCTTACTTACACTATAAATTCCAAAACTTCAATAGGGAAGAGTTTTTACATCAATATTCACAAACAAGTAAGGATGTAGAAAAGTAAAAGCAGAAAAAGATATAAATATTTATTAAAACTATGCAATCATGAATCGTGTACACTTAACCTCTATTATTTCTTGGGAATAAGTCAGCAGATTCCATTTCGATATCTTCGTCTTCCCCTTCATTTATTAAAGGAATAGTGGTTTCACTATTTGGGAAGACAGCCGGTTGAACTATATGTGGAGCATTTGAAACACCTGTTCCTGCAGTGTTATTATCTTGATTATTATCAAATCTCAATTGATTAGGGAAATTATTGAAATCTACACCATCAGCCCCTTGATTTGCAGCTTGTAAACTTTGTTCAATTAACCTTTGTTGATGATGACTTCTCACTAATCTTTGGAAATTATCTCTCATTTCATTAGCTGTTATATCACCTTCGTTTAATTCTCTGAAGATTTGTCTATTTATATCTGCCATATCAGGATAATTTAAATTATTACCATTATTACCTTGTAGAATTCCCAACCCTCTTTGTCTTGCCCAAAGATTCATTTCTTCTTCATTGTCATTATTTTGGTTTTGTCCTTGTCTTTCATCATTAATATCATCATTAATTATGTTATCACTTAAATCATTGTTATTCAAATTACCAACACCTATACCTAATGTTTGATTGATGTTTATATTTCGATTCATACCCCCTCTTCTTTCAGGTATAAATCCAGGCATAGTCATATTTTCATTTTGTTCAATCCAGTATGATCTATCTTCCATAATTCTATTTAAATGATTTCTTAATTGATTAACACCATTTCCTGAGAACACACAAAACAAAGACTTTTGATATTCATTAAAATCAGGAGGAGGATCTCTACAAAATTGAGTAATTTCCCTTCTCAAAAATGCTGCAATACCTGTTAATGATAAATGAGTTAATTTTGGACAATTCTTTAATAATAAATAAATCGGAGTTACAGTTAAGTTAGTACAATAAGATAAATGAACTCTTTCTAAACAATCTTGTTCACCTCTTCTTCTAACTAATTCTAAAATTCCATTATCAGTAATCAAACCACATTTAACTAAACCAATTCTTCTTAATTTTGGTAAATTTGATAATTCAATTAATGTCCAATCAGTTAATTGTGAACAACAAGCTAAATCAATGTATTGAATTCTATGACATGATCTTACTAAAGATGCAACACCAAAATCAGTGATTAATGCACAATGACCCAAATGAATATAATGTAAACTTCTACCTAATTGCGATAAAGCTCTTAATGATGCATCAGTAATTTGCATACATTTTGATAATACAACATTTCTTAATCTAGGAGCACATAATACTAATTTCTCTACTAATTTATCAGTAATTGCATTACATCCTGTTATATCGATGATTCTTAATTTCTCTAAGAAGAATTCATTGGGTAATAATTCTAATAACTTATCAGTTATACCCGCAGCATTACTAATTCTGAATTCTCTCAATTGTGATAAATCTAAAAAGATTTCTCTTAAATATAAATCAGTAACATTAGGACAATTATGTAAATCAATTTCCACCAAAGATTTACAATTCTTATACATAGTAAGAATTGATTCATCGGTAATTTTTTCACTGTTATTAAATTTGACCCTTTTTAACATTGGACATGATTTCAATAAATTAATAATTGATGATTCACTAACCAGTCCACAACCTGGGGCATAAAGACCTTGTAATCGTTTACAATTTAATGCTAAAGAATTGATTATATCATCATGAATATCAATAACTCCGGTCAAATCAATACTTTGTAATCTTTCACAATTAGTTAATACTTTAGTTATTGGTATATGGGATAATTTTGTACAATTAACTAAAGTTAATCTTTCAAGTTTTGGACATCCAATGAATAATGTTAATAAATCATCATCAACCAATTTAGTCATAAATGATAAATTCAATCTTTTTATAAATAATCTATAATTCCAATGAGTTGTTGAAGGATCAGCTTTCATGATATTCTTAATTAATTTGAATGAAGTATCACTTTGCATGTTTGGTCTAAACCAAAGTATTTCAACAATTAATTCACTAAATTCTCTACATACTGTTAATAAAGAAAACAAATCTTTCCTCTCTAAATGATGAAATATTTGTAATAAAACTTCTGTAGGTAAATTTAATAATGGAGAATTATTATCTTGTTCAATTAAACTATGAGAATTACGTCTCTTATCGATCAAAGATTCTTTTAATTCAGGGAAATCATTATTATCTTCCATTTCAAAATCAAATTCAAAATCTCTTGACCTCACCTTCTCCAGTTGATGTCTTATTCTTCCATTATAAACTACTCCGGAGTTATGAAGATGAACATTAGTAGGATTTGAATCTAATACTTCTCCTTCACTACTAGGAGAACTCATGGTTTTTGAAAAATGATAAGAATAATGTAAGCTATGTTTTTGGTAAGTTCAATGTTTGATTTTGGGATTCTTTGCTTTGATCTCCTTATTTTTAAGTCTTCGGGATCTTCACTATCACCAGAACTTTTTGGGAAGGTAATTTTGTTGAGTCTCTATTCTAAAAACAAACCTATTACTCAATTGTGTTTGTCAAAGTCTCCTTAAACTATTCGTTAAAGGAATCAATAGTTATCAGATTTAAAGCCAATGAACAAAAAAATCGATTTGTAAAAGTTGAGAAAATGCGTACAGGAAGATTGTTTTGATATTTGATGATGTGACGGTATGACGGAGTCAGTATTCCAACGATGAGATAATTAAGAGAGTAAGAGTTGTTCAAGGTTGAAAATTCCAATTACAAAGGATTATGAATATCTATTAAACTCTACAATTTCCTATTTCGAAAACCAATATATCACTTGCACCAGCTTTCTTTAATTCATCCATAATATTACCAATTTTAGCTTTTTCAATCATGGAAGAAACTGCAACCCATTCTTCTTCACCAGGTTTTGATTCTAAAGCAGAAACAGTGGCAGCTCTTCTACCAGGGGTAATTTTCAATACTTCAGGTAACATTTTTCTGGCAGCATTATAATTACATAAGACATATTTTTGAGCAGCTAAAACCCCTTCGAATCTTTGAACAATAGTTTGAACTAATTCTGGGAATTTTGGTTGTTTAGAACTAATTAAATGAGCACTAGTTTCTAATAAAGTACAAATAGCTTTTAATCCAGCAGCTCTCATAGTTTCACCACTTTCAACTAAATCAACAATACCATCAGCAACTCCTAAAGCACATGAAGCTTCAACTGACCCTCCAACATATCTGACATTGGTAGAAACACTGTCATTTCCTTCTAATGATTTAAAATAATCAGTTGAAAGTTTAGTGAATGATGAAACGATTTTTTTACCAATTAATTGTTCTGGTTTATCATAAGGACCATTTTCTGGAACTTGGATTTGTAATTTACATTTACCGAAATTTAAGTCTAATAAATCATTAATTGAATCATACATATCGGCTTCCTTGATTTGATCTAATCCTGTTATACCTAAATCACAATTACCTTCACCAACGAAAACTGGAATATCAGCTGCTGGTAAGAAGATTAATGCAACATTTAAACTGGTAGATAATGCAATATCTAATCTGTTTGATCTTCTGAATTGGATATCACATCCTTTTAATAATTCACAACATTTTTCATATAATCTACCCTCTAGATAATGAGTTAGTATCGGAGTTATTCCCACATTTAAACTTTTCAATTTCGATATCGATGGAAAGCTGAAAATTAATTTGAATAATTTTATTCAAAGGTGTAAGGTTTACATACTTTTAGGGACAGCAAATAATAAACGATCTGGTAAGTGGTTAACTAAATCCATTTTGTTCACAATTTCCAAAATGACTCAATGAAAAATTCTAGTGCGATGAACTCCACGAGTTGACATCATATTTGAATTATCTTTGATCACACGATATGATTGGAGAGATATGAAGAAATTGATCCCAAATATATACATTAACTTAGAAATTATGCTGTTTTGATATTAATAGATGACTCTTCTGAAGGAACGGTGTCGTTTTCATTATCAATAACTCTATCACTATCACTATCACGATCGAAGCTATCTTCATCTTCAACTATAGGATTTCGATTATATGAGGTAGTAAAGGCATTGGGTTCATCGTCTTCTAAATCTTCGTCATTGCTTAATCTTAAATTATCAGGATTACCTCTCACGGTGTATCCGTTGGAATTTCCGTACCAATACTTATTGAAACTCCAATTGATTAAAATCTTTGACATTTCATAAGGATTGAATTGTGGCCATAATGTTTCTATAACTACAATTGAACATTGTGACGAAACACTTTGCCATAAAAGAAAATCTGATAATCTATAAGTACCAGAAGTTCTAATCAATAAATCTAATGGTGGGGCATCTTTGGTATATAAGAATTTATCGATAGTAGATTCATCGATTATGAAATCATCAACTTCGGTTGATTTTTTAACTATCCCTTTGATAGCTGTTGTCATTTCATCTCTTGAGGTATAAGGGAAGCAAACATTTAAAATTGCTCTTTTATTGTTCTTTGTTATATCTTCAGCTTGTCTTAACAATTTCAAAACATCCGGTTGTAATAATGAAGTATTACCCAAAATCCTGATTTGAACTCCATACTGTTCACATAATTCTCCATGTTGAGTAATTTGTTGAAACTTCTGTTTAGCTAAATCCATTAACCATTTAACTTCATAACTCGATCTTTTGAAATTTTCAATCAGGAATGCATAAACTGTTGCTTGTTCAACGCCACATTCATATAGTATTTCCAAAATACTTGCCATACTTTCAAATCCCATATTGTGACCTTCTTTCAATTCAATATTATGTGCTCTTGCATATCTTCTGTTACCATCCATAATTAATCCTATATGTCTAGGAACCGGCCCAGTCTTGATTATATTACCGAATATCTTCTTAACAGTACTCAAGAGCCAAGCATACCCTGGAAATGTTGTCATCCATTGTGACATTATTTGAGATTATGTGTTAATTACGGCTGGAATGCGATGATTTTTTTTTTGTAGGTTGGATCCTGATTTAATGAAACTATTATGATAAAAAAACTATTGTCTTGAATCCGATGACGTAGTTATATGTTTTTATCACTTTGTAATTTGTTGATGGTGTGGAATATGTTGAAAACAACAAGTATGTTACTGAGGCTAAATATGTGTTACTGTGACTTTTCTCGATTCGCACCTCATCATAGAAAAAATTTAAATTGCAAAATTTGTAAGCATTATTGAATAATACAAAAATGTCTGAATATATGGAAGATAATGAACAATTAAGAGAGGAAGTTCCAGAAGAAGAATTCATTAATGCTAATGAAGTTGGTGAAGAAATCTTGGATGACGGAAGAATTCCTGAAGATGAAGGGGATGAAGATATGGATTTAGATGATGATGAGCAAATAATCATTGATTTAGCTAATAATTCATGGACTTACTTCGACCAACATAAAGATTCAGTTTTCGTTATTTTCAAACATCCTACCTTACCAATGGTAGTAACTGGAGGAGGTGATAACACTGCATACTTATGGACTACTCATTCTCAACCTCCAAGATTTGTAGGGGAACTTTCAGGTCATCAAGAATCAGTTATTGCTGGAAGTTTTACTGCCGATGGTAACTTCGTTATTACTGCTGATATGAATGGATTCATTCAAGTTCATAAATCAAGTAAAGGAGGTCAAAGATGGATCAAATTCGGAGAATTAAATGAAGTTGAAGAAGTATTATGGGTTAAAGCTCATCCAAGATTACCAATTTTTGCCTTCGGTGCTAATGATGGATCAGTTTGGTGTTATCAAATTGATAACGATAGTAAAAGTTTAGTTCAATTAATGTCAGGATTCTCCCATTCTTTAGAATGTAATAATGGTTTATTTATTGATATTGATAATGATGATACTTTACCTTTAGTCACTATTTCTGAAGATGGTACTATTGTTAATTGGAATGCTTATAGTGGAGAAGTAAATTATAAATTACAACCTCATGATGATTTCAAAGGAACTGAAAGTCCTTGGGTTACTATAAGTATTTCAAAAAATAGAATTGCTGTTGGTGCTAGAGATGGTCAATTGGCTATTATTAATAATGATTCAGGTAAATTAGTCCATTCTGTTAAAACTTTGGATAATGTTGATGATATCGCTGATTTATCAATTGAAGCTCTTTCATGGTGTGAAAATCCTGCTATAAATTTATTAGCTGTTGGATTGGTCGCTGGTGATTTACTTTTATTCGATACTAATCAATGGAGATTAAGAAATAAAATCAAATTAGAAGATACCATAACAAAATTAGAATTCATTGATGATACACCACTTTTAGTTGGTTCAAATATGAATGGTAAAATTTATAAATGGGATGCTAGAACTATGAATGAAGTATTTGTGGGGGTTGGTCATAATATGGGTGTTTTAGATTTCACAATTTTAGATAATGGTAAAAAATTAGTTACCGCTGGTGATGAAGGTGTTTCATTAATCTTCAATACCGAATAATCTATTCATTTGCATTTTTAAAAATTTCATTCTGTATACTATCTAACGTTAAAAGACTTTTCATTATATCCCACCAATTTTTCAAGCGGCTCGTAGTTTTTGGACCGTACACGTCGGTGTAACTTCCCTCGCGCGGTACGCGACTATTTTTTATTTTATAGAAATAGATATTATGGAATCTACTATGACTGTTGAAGTTTCTACTGCCTCTGATGATGGAGTGAATGTTGCTTCACTGAAACCATCTTCAGCTGATATGGCTTTTTATTATGAAAGATTATTACCTTTCCGTTATGTTTTCCAATGGTTGAATCATTCACCTAAACCTACTAAAGATTTCACAATGAGAGAATTCGCCTATGAACATAGATCAGGAGCTTATCAACGTTATAATTCATTTGCCACATTAGATGAATTCAAAAAATCAGTAGTATCGGCTAATCCTATGAGATTTGAAATTGGTCCAGTTTATTCAGTCAACCCTAAAGAACGTAAAAATTTATCAAAGAATGCTATGAGACCTTTAGCTAAAGAATTGGTTTTCGATATTGATTTAACTGATTATGATGGTATAAGAACATGTTGTTCAGGTACTAAGATTTGTGAAAAATGTTGGAAATTCATACAGGTAGCTGCTAAAATTATTGATAGATCATTAAAAGAAGATTTTGGTTTCAAACATTTGATCTGGGTTTTCTCTGGTAGAAGAGGGGCCCATTGTTGGATAAGTGATGCCAGAGCAAGAAATTTAGATGAACTTACAAGAAGATCGATTGTGGAATATTTAGATGTTCTTGGATCTAAACAAGCTAAAATGGGTAAACAATCATTAAATTTAAAGAGACCTTTCCATCCTCATATTGAAAGATCGTTTGAAATATTGAAAACTTCTTTTGTAGAAATAGTCCTTAATGATCAAGATCCTTGGAATGATGACAATGAACAAATTGATGAAATGTTAGCTTTCCTTCCTGATAAAGATTTACAACAAGAATTACAGAAAAAATGGAAAAATTCATCATCAAACTCTAAACAAAAATGGGAAGATATTGGTATAGTAGCAGAAAAGATCATTAAAAATCAAGCTCGTTTAAATGCAGTTAATGAAGCTAAAAAAGATATAATTTTCTATTATTTGTATCCAAGATTAGATGTGGAAGTTTCTCGTCAATTGATCCATTTGTTAAAATCTCCATTTTGTATACATCCTAGTACAGGTAACATTTGTGTCCCATTTGACCTTGATTATAATTTATCAGATAATAGAGATGATGATGGTTATGGGTTCAACCCAATGCATGCTCCTAATTTAATAACGATTCAAAATGAATTGGAATTATATGATTCTCGCAACGTTGATAGAGCTTCAAGCCAACCATCAACTGATGATGAAAATGAAGCTCCAACCACAAAAGTTTTAGATTTTGAAAAGACAAGTTTAAAACCTTACGTGAATTATTTTGCAAAATTCGTTAATGATTTGGTGAAAGATGAATTAAAGAGTCAAAAAAGAGACAGAGATGATCTTGAATTTTGACCACTGTATAGTAGAATTTTATTTATAATGTTTATTTATGGTACAAGAATAAATATGTATTTGCCCAAATATTCTCTTTCATGCAAAAATATGATGCAAACTAGGAAATAATACAGCCAGCGGTAGTTTTGGTTTTTGAATCATTAATGGTATCCAACGTACCGGTATTGTTTTTTATGATGATTGTTTCATCTCTATTCAAAGGTTCGTTGACCAAAGTAGAACTTTCAGATTCAACAGACCCTGATCTCTCATCAATATCATAATGATACCATTCCAAATATTCGGCCTTTTCATTGTATTTGACAAATCCGGAAGTTAAATAGATATCATGATAACTTAAATTTGGATAATGCCAACTAGGGACGTAAATTATAGTAGGGTTCCTGCTGGTCTCTCCTTTACTTAAAGAAACTGTCAAGGAAAATTTGACTGTTCTCAAATCAAATTCTGTGGCCACAATTTCCCCTTCAGTAGCTACAGCATATGGTCTCATAATAGCTCCTGGTGCACGAACTCCGTCAGGAGAAGGAAAACACCTTTTAGTATGTCTATATCTGACATTATCAGCTGTCCAACAAATCAATGACGAATCTTGTAATGACCTTGCATCATCAAGATCATTATCCAGCGAATCATCGGAAAGATCAAGTTCCTCCACTGCTTGTTCAACTTCTTCAATATCAACAGCATTACCTTCCTTTTTCAACTTTGATTTTATGCCTTTTACTTTATTATTGATTCTTCTGGAATGGGCAGTTTTGATAAGTCCAGCAGTAGTTGATATAGTTGAATTCAAGAAATCTCCCATCAAATTATCATCATTGAAGGTTAAGTTTCTGTCATCGGGGGACCAGAATGAGAAATCTTCATTATTCCATCTATCTCCCCATTTATGACAATTGACAGAAGTATAGCACCAATAAGTATGAGACATGTTAGCTCCTTCCAACGCATAACTCAAAGCATCTAAAGCATACGTTTGTGAAGAATAACGACCATCTTTATAGGCTCTTTTACCATCCATATCGAATGGCATCCCAGTTTCAGACATCAAGACTGGTATAGGGCCCAAATAGTCTTCACACTCTTTTCTGATCTCAATAAACTGTTTACGAAGACAATTTCTGATGGCTCTTTCTCCAAACACTATACCTAATATTGGATTCAAATATCTGTTTCTCATGATTCCTAAGGTATCGACATTATACTTATTGTTCCAAGATTTGAACATCAATGACATACCATCATAATAATGAGGACAATAAACCGTTTTATTGTCTATGATATTTCTTGGGTCAGTCTTAAGATTTGGTGGAATTTCAAGTACTGGAGGCTGAAGTAAGAAAAATACATCAGGTGCATGTTTTCTTATGATATGTTTGTATCTGATTATATAATCGACAAAATTATTATTAGTGAAGAATTCCATGTCTATAACTTTTGGTTTCATCCCACTATACATTTTGAAGTTATGGGATGGCAGGAATTTACTGAAAAAATGGGGGTTGATCAATTCACATGATTTGTTGGCCTCTTCAAGTTTCTGTTCAATAGGTAATTCATGGAAGGTCTTGAAATGTATTTTATCATATGACCAAATACCAACTTGCTTGAAAATACAATCACCAATAATCCATTTATCACTTCTTTTCCATCCATAGTGGCTATCAATAATTTTAGCTTCCTCTATAGTCATCCATGCTTTAGCACCTTTAGGGTCAACGATTTCACTTCCTGACTTTTGAGGTCCACTTATAGTAATTTTGTAATCCTCCACCTCACATGCAATTCCCATACCCAATTTGAATGATTGGTATATCGTAGGAGTAGTTCCTACTCTCAATTGTTGGCTTGCGGGTATATATCCCAAATGAGGATGTCCCATAAGACCACAATTGGGTTCATTCATGGTTTCAAATCCCAAGATTGTCCCGTCGTCTATCATAATTTGATTTTTCTTTATAATAGATTCCCAGAAGTACTCAACACAGTTGAAGAACTTATCTTGTAAGTAATCCTGAATATTCACACCGTTTAATTCTAGGTGAGGGAAGTAGTTTTTACCTGAAAAGAACATAGTAAACATTACCAAAGAAGCCAAACGTTTATAATTTGTGGGCCAAATCATTTTTGGGAAATCATCAGGATTCAATGGATCCTCTTTTGATGATTGATATCTTCTTTCGTTATGTAATAAGGCTGCTTCTGTAGCAGAGAACCTTTTTGGTTGTAAACCAGCAGCATATAAAGTCCATAACGGAGCCCCAGAACCACCAGAAAACCTTGACCAAACATCTTGATGAACGTCGAAAAACACATAAAGTCCTCCAATCTCATGAACTATTTTGATAATTTGTGAAGTATATTCTATAAAATCATCATCATATATTCCAGGACCTTTATGTTCAATAGCTTCCCATGTTATAATATATCTTATAGTATTGTAACCCCAAGATTTTATCCTTGTAAAATGCAGAGCAGCTTCTTCCAAAGGGAATGGACGTCCCACAAAACTCACATTATCACCATCAAAGAAAATATCATTTCCATCATCAGCATTTCCTTTATATGTTGGTAAGTAAGGTTCAACTGGCAATTTTGCAGCCCCATCAACATTGATACCTTTTAATATAATCTTTCTCCCTTGACTATCGATGAAATTCCCTTTCCCGTCGGTATCCAATACTTGACAATCAAAAACATTAACATCTTTGACATCCTGATCAATATTATCAGTACTTAAAATCGGTTCATTGACATCATATATTCTTCTTAATGCTTTGATACCGGATAATGACACCTTTGATGAAGTGCTGTACAAACTGATTCTATCGTTGATTACTTCTCTGGCATCCCTAACATACTTATAGCCTTTCATAATCCAATATCAAGTTATAAAAAAAATTCCTATATACAATTTCAGGTATTCATTTAAATAGGTGGAGAATAAAACGAATGTGATTTTACAGATGCCTTTGTCGCGCTAAAATTATATGCTCCACTGATGAATGGCTGGATGTATAAGGTTATAGTTTCATTGTAGTGTGAAAGCATAAATGAAGTTGAGCGATGGGTTTATTAATATAAGGGGTATATAAGATATTCAAGATGGTTGAAAACGTGTATTAGTACAAAATCAATGTAGACTTTCCAAAGCTTTTTTTCTGGCTGCAACTTGAGCAGATAATCTCCAAGATTGTTCCTTGTCAAATTTGTCGTACAAGGGCACGATTTTTTGACGTTTAACTTTCGAAGGGTCGGCTTTTTGGAAATATTGAGGCGCCGCTTCAATAATAAAATTAGGATCTATAGTAGTTACACAATGCATGTACTCTTTGGTGGTTAATAATAATGTATGATAAATAACATAATCAGGACTTTTGGTTGATAAAGAACTTGAAGGATGTAAATATACATTTGTACCTTCCACCAAGGTTTTGAATCCTTCTTGATGATCCCTTTTAGCTGCGTGACGGAAAAATCCTGAACATAACGATTTCAAAATCTTATCATAATCTAATCCACAAGATTGTGTGACCTTCATTATTTTTGTTAATTGATTCTTCACATCTCGGGCTCTTTTTAAACTTCTTTCTTGAATGTAATTATCTTGACACCATTGTCTGCTAAAGCCATGTTGAACCCATGATTTATAGACATTTAATAAAGTGATGTGATCTCCACTTGAATGATTGAATCGAGCTTTTCTTTGATCAGCTAAATTAGCTTTATCTTTAGGTCTATAAAAAATGCTTTGTGCTGATAACATGGCAATGATAGTGACTATCTCTTCTGAACATTCATAATCCATGGAGGAAATCAATGTTTTGGATAATTGGGGTTCCATAGGAAAATTAGACATTTTCTTACCTAATCTTGTCAAATATCCTGCATCATCCAAAGCTCCCAAAATATATAATTCTTGTAAAGCATTCAATAAAGTATGGGTTTTAGGAGGATCCATAAACTCGAAATTAAGTAGATCATTAATACCCATGGCTTTTAAAAGTAAAATAGTATTGGAAAGATTACTTCTTTGAATTTCAGGAATACTATTAGGCATCATTTCTTCATTATAAGCTTTTTCTGTGTATAATCGATAACATTTTCCTGGTCCCGTTCTTCCAGCTCTACCACTCCTTTGATTAGCTTGTGCTTGTGAGCATGGCACTACTTTCAAACTATCCATCCCCGTGGTAGGATCATATGCATTTATTTTCACAAATCCCGGATCGATGACATAATAAATCCCATCGATAGTAATGGAAGTTTCAGCAATATTGGTGGCAAGTATAACTTTCCTGGACTCGGTTTTCTCAAAGATTTTACTTTGCATTTCACTGGGTAATGATGAATAGACTGGTAATACTATCAATTCGGAATCTAGATTTTTAACTTTTTCAAAAAGTACTTCACAACTTGTATCTATTTCTTCTTGACCTGTCAAAAATACCAAAATATCACCTGGAGCTTCAGAAACATGAATTTGAATCACTGCATTGATGGCTGCCGTTAAATAGTCCAATTCTGGTTCTCTGGTGTATAATACTTCTACAGGGAATGTTCTACCTGGAATTGTTACTATGGGACAGTTGTTAAAATATTTACTGAATTTCTTGGAATCCAAAGTTGCAGACGTTACGATTACTTTGAGATTGGGATTCTTTAAGGCTGCCTTTTTCAATAATGCAAACAAAACATCAGTTGCTATGGTTCTTTCATGAGCTTCATCTAACATGATGACAGAGTATTTAGACATTTCAGGGTCAGTAACTGCTTCCTTTTGAAGCATCCCATCTGTCATGTACTTGATATTGGTATCAGGACTAGAAGTGTCATCAAATCTAACATGATAACCTACATCGCCTCCCAATTTGGTACCTCTTTCTTCGGCAACTCTCTTAGCCACTGAAGTAGCAGCTACTCTTCTAGGCTGAGTACATCCAATAATTTTGTGTTCGCCATTCATTTCATTGAATCCTTCTTCTGCTAAATACTGGACTATCTGTGTGGTTTTACCTGAACCAGTTTCCCCAACAATTACTAGAAATTGATTTTCCTTGATCTTGTCTACCAATTCTTGTCTCATGGAGTACACAGGTAATGATTCCCTTTGTTGTTTCATAGACAAATTTGTTCTTTTACCGTATGTCACTTTCTTTTGAGAATCTTTCCATTTCATTTCAACTTTCTCTTTCTTCAACGGATCTGAACCTCCAACCTTTCTATTATTGTCCCTTATCTCCTTGATCTTCTTTTCTTTGTACTCTCTAACTAAATTAGACCCTTGGTTGGCTGCTCTTTCCATAGAACCTTCGGGATTTTTGACTAATTTTGGAGGTTCGAGGTTCAATTCTGCTGTTTGGCCCTTCAAGAAGCTTGGTTCATTGAACTTTAATTCTATATCTATCTCCACCTCCTCTGGGGTTTCTTGTATTTCATTGTCTATACCATTTAATTCAGGGTAATCTTCAGCTTTAGCAACTCCCGAAGCTATTAATTGTCTGATCTCCCATTTTTCTGGAGAAGTTAGCCTCCTTTTCTTGTTTTCTATGATTTTGGTTTGTCTACCTCTTGGTTGTTCTTCAATCCCAATAAGTTGATCGATATTTCTCATACTCAAGCTAATTTGTTGTCTGTTGAATTTATCCTTACCCATCTTCACGACTTTGACATAAACTTCTTGATGTACCTTGATAATGTCATGGGGCAGTCGTATCCTTGAACCGTCACTAGATATTTGGGAAATATGACACAATCCAGTTGTGGTTCCTAGCCTTATGAATGCACCATAAGACGTTATATTTATTACCAGTCCTTGGTAAATGCCTCCAATTTTTATATCTATGGGCTCCTGTTTGACATATGTTCTGTCCTTTGAGTATTCCTGTTTAATTGAGGTATTCTCTATAACTTCACTCTTGATGAATTCTTTCTTTACAGGTTCCTGTCTATGTGTATCATTTTCTTGCTTGATAGTTTCTTCAGGTTCGAATTCAACTACTTTATCAGGAATAGACAATGCACTCAACTCTTCTTTCACCTCTGGTTCTATCTTCACCTTCGTTGATAAGGTTTGGAGGACTGAATCAATGAATTCTGTAGGAAACTCTCCTCCATTGTCTATAAGTTGCTTCTTGAACTCTGCTGATAAGTCGACTCCATTGGAATCAGACGACTCCTTGGATTCCTCATACAAGCTAACGACAAACTTAGATAATGTAAAGTCTTCGTCAGTCACTCCCAAGTGTTTGGAAATGAGTTCAGAGATCTTCTGTATATTACTCATGATAAACCGCGATGAGAATTTTAGAGATGAGGATGGACTACTCAGGTATACCAAGGTATTAATTGCCAAAACACTGAACGTACCAAAAGCCTGAACGTATCACGGTCTTGAATGTATTACATTCCTGAACTTATAACGGTATCTAAGTACGTATAGAGTTGTAGTAGCATCAGCGTTGTTGACAACTATTCTTCTGAGGTGCCGTTTCTAACCATCCTGGGTGCTTCTGGTCATTTGATCAATATACATGAACCACCCACTGATAATTGGTCAAGCGAAAGTTAAATAACTTTTCGAAATCAAATTCTATATGTTAGTATGTGATATTCAGATAAAATTTCTACTATCAATGACAACTTATCTTCATCAGCGTCAGTTGTCCCTATCAAATAATCATCATAAATCTATACATACACTTTCTTAGAGTTCTTTCTAGATAATTCCACACCTTAACCCTTTAATCTCCAATCTTACTGGCATCTCTTCAAATTCTCGAAATACTTAGAAGGAAAATTCTAAGATCTGAAAATTTTTCTTTTATAGTCAGAAATGCGATTTTCCTAATCGATCAAAACAAATTAGTGCCCAAAAGCCCATAAATGTTTCATTTGGTATCATCACTTTATACACAATATACCAAAAGAGAACAATATAATGTGTTAATTCTAGGGTTAGACAATGCAGGGAAGACCACATTTCTCGAACATATTAAGTTATTATATTCAACACCTGATTCTAATAATAAACAATCTACCCAGGATACCACGTCAATTATTAAAAGTAAAAGGATTTTACCCACAGTTGGACAGAACACCACAACAATTAAGTATCACTCAGATGAAAACATTGTTTACAATAATATAAATTTGAAATTTTGGGATTTAGGAGGACAAAAGTCTTTAAGAAATATGTGGTCAAGATATTATTCATCATGTCATGGGATTATATTTATAATTGACTCTACTGACACTGATAGATTCCAAGAATGTTACGAAACATTGATGACATTAAGTCATGATGAAAATTGGGGAGACGAAAATAATAATTATGAAAGTACTGTTAATGTCCCCATACTTATGATGGCCAATAAGCAAGATTTACCTCAAGCAATTGATCTAGTCACTTTAAAAACAGGAGTTTTCATTCAAGTAGTAAGTGAATTAGAAGCCACAGATCTGAAGTTACTTCCGGTATCAGTTCTAGAGAATCAAGGTATTAAAGAAAGTTTGGAATGGTTGATTTCAAGATTGGTGTACAATAAAGCTAACAAGCAACCCGAATATAGGTAATGAGTGATGAATGCATATTTTATGATTGAATCCTTAGTCGACCGGTCTTTAAACAAGTCTCTAACAAACGAATCTCAAGGAAACAAACCTCGAGAAAGATCTCCTGTAGAATGATATAATTTTAGAATTCAGGTCATATGACTGAGAACCTCGTTTCATCATCACTATGAAATTGGGTGATAATGAAATTATGAATTTCAGTTTGATCCTTGATCATGTAACTCTATAGCAGTCATAACAAATAGCAGCCATAATCAATATCCATTCAAAAGAGCCACATATTAAACTAACTTTGTTCACCTCATCAAAGAGTGGGAATAAATTCCACGTTCCAATATACAACCCCGTAGACAATAGATTAACACCGCATTACACTTGACTGTTCTTTAAGCCAATTATAATTCGATTGCATATGATATAACCTGGTGGAACGTTGCTTCTCTTAATTGCTAACTCTCTATTGCTAACATTACATTGCTCGGGGTTTCTTTTTGCAGTCTAATTTTTGTGCCTGAAGTTTAATCTTTGAACCCTGCGAAATTTCTTACACCCAGTGAAATTTGCTGTCATCAATCATTTATATAGAAGTGATATTGGTGAAATTTTTCCTTCTAGTAAAACTTACAAGGTCAATTGATAACTTTTTAACAAAATGTCATCGTCACCAAGTATTTTGAAAAGATTCAGAAATTCAATTAAACACAAATCTTCAAGTACATCAAATTCCAACCCCGAATTTGAAGATAACCAAGTATTAAATTTATTGGAATCGATTTACATTGAAGGTCAAAAGCATGCTGAACAAGAATTTGGTAAGAAAGTTAAGGTTTATGGATGGTCAGATCCTAAACAATCACAATATTATCAAGATTTAATTCACCAAGCTTATCAAGAAGGACAAATGTCATATCAAAAACAACATTCCACCAACAAAGACAATGTGATTTTATCTACTGCTAAAGGTAATTTATTATCTACTCCTCCTAAAATCAATCGTCAACCTGTCGATAAACTTGCTCCTGGAGATTTTGCTAATGATAAGAAACCAATTGATGATTCTTTAGTTGATGAAAAGAATTTGTATGAAAATAATGTCGGTTCTTATGGTAACGAAGCCGCAACCAAAGAAGGAACAGGTTATTATTTCGATCCAAAAGATACTCAAGGTGGGTATTATGGAACAGGCCCTGGAGCTTCAGAAGATCCTGCTTTTGAAGAAGCTACAAGAGCTAAATTAGAAAGACAACGTAATTTGAAGACCGTTCCAACAGCCTATCAAAATGTCGATGAATCGGAAGATGTCGCGGACACCAAAAATTCTTCAAATGCTGCAAAAGATGAAAATGATAAGGCTCAACAAAAGGATGCTAGAAATGATGATGATTATGATAATGACGCTAATGATAATGAAAAAGAGGAATTGGATCCTGCCGAACAACATAGATTGAACAAGTCAATTTACAATAAAGAAGGGGTAAGTTCCGCTTTGAATGAAGGTTCTGGTTCAGATTTGGGTAAAAACGCTGCTGCTGGTGCTGCTGGCGTAGCTGCTGGGGCAGGTGGTTATGCTGCTTATAAATCTAAGGACAGTGAAGATTCAAAGAAACAAACCAATTCCGAAACTAATAAGCCTTTGAATCATAAAACTAGTAGCAACAGTTATGATGATATTCAACCAAATTTGTCATATGATGAAAAGACTCCTAAACAAAGAGATGTTAACTTAGCTGAAGGTAGTGCTGGTATCCCTCCCTCCAGTGACAAATTCGACTATGATACTGAAATGAAGAGAGTTAACAATAACATCAATGACACTAAGTCAAGAATAGACTCATTGCAAGCTGAAGATAATGCTTCAACCAAAGCTTTGAAATCACCAAATTCAGAATATGCTCCAAAATCAGATTCTGACGGACATTCTACAGCCACCAATGTTGGTCTTATGGGCGGTGTGGCTGCAGGAACTGCAGCTGCAATTGGAGCTGCTAAGAAGCTCGCAGGTCTTGACAAGGTGGATGCTACCAAGTCTGACATTCCAGAAGTCAAAGGTGCTTATGAACAAGGTGTAAAATCAGGTGCTTATGACGCTGGTAAAGAAGCTTACAATAACGAACAATCTAAACCATCCTCCAAAGATGAAGGTTACTTCGGAAGTACTACTAATTCCGTCCCATCATCTAAGAATACCACTGATTCTACTCAATCTAAATCAATGACTGGTGCTGCTACAGGTGCTCTTGCTACGGGCACTGCTGCTTTAGGATTATCTGGATCGAATAAGAAAGATTCTGATGTTTCGAAAAACTCAAGCAATAATTCTAAAACTTTAGATCCTAAAGCTACCACTCAAGAAGAAGATATCAAGACAGAATCTTACGAAGCTGGAAGACTGAGTGGAGTTCAGGGAATGACAAACGTTTCCAAAGACACTTCAAAAGATGTCACAACCGAATCTACTCCAACTCAACATTCCGAAAGTTCTCCTGGTTTATTTACTGGTGCTGCTGGTGTTTTAGGTGCTGCTGGTGCTGTAGCTGTTGGTGCCTTGGGTTTTGGTGGTAAACCAGACACTGCCTCAACAGTGAACGACCAAATGGTAGTCAACGAGCTGTACGAAGCTGGTAAGAACAAAGCAACCAAAGAGAATGTTGTAGGGTCCAAATCAACTGAATCTTCTACTCCAAAGAATATTGCAGGAAGTCACAGAGATTCACCAACTGCTCCAAACTTGAAAGAGATTGATTCTGATTATGAAGAAGTAAACGCCAGTGGCGAGGAAAACAATGCTGCCACCGCTGCTGCTATTAGTTCTGCCTCTGCTACTGGTGCTGCTGTAGGTTCCGGGGTTGCTTCTTCTAAAAAGGAAAAACCAGCTAACGACTACTCTAAAAACGTTACTGGAACTACCCACGATCCAAAATCTTTAGTGAATAATGTTGCCAATTATCCTGACGTGTCAGATAAACCACAACACAAAACTTCAAAGAAGGTTGAAGACTTTGATACAAATAATCAAGATACCACAGTTCCACAAGTTCAAAAGGTTCCAGGTTTAGAATCTGACAGTGAGACCGGCGAAGCTAATGTTACCAGGGACGATGAGAAGTTATCTAAAGAAACCGATTCTGAGCACTCTTCTTCATCACCCAAGAAAGGCTTGTTTGCTGGGGCAATTGGTGCTGCTGCAGGGGCTTTAGGATACCTGGCTTACTCCAATTCCAAGCAAGATTCTTCTCCTACCACCTCCACCGGAGGAAAAACAGTCAATCATGAAAGAAACTTGGTAGAGGAAGCTGCATATAATCACGAAGATGTGGCCAAAGCTCCAAAGCACGGAAATTCATCTTCAGGTGTAACCCATGATGAAATTAAGGACGAATTGGATAACGATGATTCTGAGTTAAAGGCTTCAAAGGCTAGTGCTTCTTTAGAAAGACAAAGAGCTAAAGAAGAAGCAATTGGTAAGTACAACAAGGATCACGGGTTTTTAGCTTCAAGCGCAAAACCATTGATTGAGGTTGCTGATGTCGATTCAAATTCTAAATCCGAAACCTTAAATTCAGAAGAAAAAAAAAAAGCAACCCAGTCTGATTTAACCGACGGACCAGCTCAAGAAAAATCTAAAGATAATTCAAACTTGATTAAAGGAAGTGCTATAGGTGGTGGAAGCGTTGCTGCTGCCACTGCTGCTGTCGCAGGTTTATCAAAAAAACCTTTCAGCAAAGAAGCCAATTTTTCTGATGACGATTTACATTTAGGAAAAGACATGAAGCCATATTACAATGCTGGGTATGAAAGAGGTGCCTATGATGCTGGTAAGACTAAAGCTGATGATGAGCACAAGTCTTCCAAGTCATTTCCAAGTGGTGCGGCTGGAGGTGTTGCAGGTGTGGGATCTTCTCACAGTAGTGCGAGCTCCAAACCGTTAGATTCCAGTAAAAGTAAAGATAATAATGAATCAGGATTGATTGTCGAAGTTATTGGAGTTGATGATAAGAAAGTTGCTGCCAGATTGGCCAAAAAAGCTTCCAAAGAATTAAAAGCACAAGGTATCGACTTATCATCTGGAAAATTAGTCATCAATGCAGAAACTAAAGAAGTCTATAAGATTGATGCTGATGATAAAGTCCATGATGCAATTGACTTGAATTCACCACTTGTCTCATCGTCGTCTACATTTGATAATGACGAAAAAGCTAAGGAAAGATTGAGTGCTGCTGCTCAATCAAATACTCAAAGTAAAAGCTCCACTGGTAAGAATGCTGCCATTGGTACTGGTGTTGGTGCTGCTACTGCAGGTACAGCTTATGCTGCTTTACATCATTCTAAAAAGTCAGATGTCCCCTCATCATATGAGTCTAATCCCCCAACAAGTAAATCCCAAGGTGAAAAATCCTTGGATTCTTCATCAGGTGAAAAGCCTACTTATACTACATCATCGGAAATCAAATCACACTCTAGGGCACCCGTAACTGGTGATGCTGCTACCAGGGATTTAGATCAAGATTCACAAACTGTTAACACTCACGCAAAGAGCCACGCACCTGAGGTTGTTGCTAGTGCTTTAGGTGCTGGTGCGGCAATGGGAGCTGGTGTCGCTGCAGTCAACCATTCAGAAAAGAGCAAACTTGAAGATAATAAAGGCGTCAAATCCAGTACTGCTGTTGAAGAAAAGGCAAAACCTCTAGATTCAGGATCAGGTCCTGCTGAATCCGACATCATTGTCACAGTCCACGGAGGTAATGATAAGGAAGCCAGTAAAATCGCCGAGAAAGTTGTCAAATCGTTGAAAACTAAACCTGAGATTTTATCCACCATCAAGGAAATTAAGATTAATGCATCTACTGGAGTTGTTACTGATGAAAAAGGTAATGTCATTGCTAGAGAAGATGTTTCAAACTTAGATTCAAAGGTCGATGTCAATAGTCAGACATCTGGACACCATGGTTTGGGTAATACTGCGGGAGCTGGAATTCTTGCTTCAGGATCGACTGGAGTTGTCGTCTCTGGAGCTGAAAAATTGAAAACTTTGGAGAAAGATCAAAATACTGCTTCCACACATATAGGAGCTCCCAGTGGAGCCTCAGCCAATGTTACTCAGCCATTGGACCCTGAGTTTGATGAAGGTGTCGGTGCATATGCATCACACAACCAACTGCAAGCTTACAATCAAAAAGTAAATTCTGGATTGCACAGTCAACCAGAAGTTGCTAAAGACGGTAGCAATGATGTCAATGATAACCACTACCGTCAATCAGTAGGGCCAAATTTGACTCATGATGATTCTGTTGATAATAAAACCCAAAGTAGAGGTTTCGAAAGTCAAGAAAATGCTGCCACATCTTTGAGCAAGGCAGCTGAAGGCTCAAATAAGGGTTCCCATCCTAAGGAAGTCAATCCTAAAATCAATTCAGCCCTTGCTGGTAAGCCTGAAATGAAGAAAGGCACTACTGAAGAACATTTCCGCCACGATATTGGTTCATATGAAAGTAAAGATACCGATGATGGTTTAAGCAAATCTGCTATCGGTGCTGGACTTGCAGGTATTGGTGGATTATCAGCTGCAGGATATGCAGCTACACACTCAAAGCAACCTAAGAATTCAGGTGAGATCACTAAAACCAGCACTGACACATCTTTAATGAATCCTACTCCTGCAAACACAACTGTAGATGATACTGCCCCTGTGGATGAATTTGATTCTGAGGCGGCCATAAATGGCGGATCAAAATCAAAAGTGATTGGCTATGATGCTTCAGCTGATAAAGACTTGACAAAGGCTGAACGTCAACCAGTTTCTGGATATGACGCTAATAATAATAGCTCAATAGGTGCTCCTTCTGCCGCTTCACTCAACAGTGAAGATACCAAACTGACATCTTCATCCAAGAAGAAAAAATCTTTATTCGGCTTCTTGTCAAGAAGCAAATCTGCTAAAGAGAGGGAACAATTAGAAGCCAGCAGTAAATTACCTGTCGAAGAGAGTGAAGATTTGAGTAAATCAAGTAAAAGCGAAAAGCCAACTGAAAAGTCAAGTATTCCAATTCCAACTGCAATGAAAAGTAGCACTTCTGGAGGAAGTATTTCTCCTATCGCTGGATCCTCGTATTCATCTAATTCAACTACTCAAGTGGACACTTCCCATGCCCAAGGCTCAAACGCCCCATTTTCTTATGGAACTAAGGGTGATTTCACCGATTCAACCATTCCACCTAAGGACACTCAAACAAGTGAAACCCAAAATACCAACTGGGGTGTTATTGGAGGTGGTGGTGCTGCTGCCGCTGCTGCTGCTGCAGGTATTGCATACGGCTCTGGAAAAGAGGGTCACAAGACTGAAGTCCCTCAAACCAAGAACGATAATGTCAACAACTTGGAGAGTTTGGAAAAAACTGCTAAAAGCAAGATTGAGCATCAATCAGAACCATCTAATGAATTATACGGTAACTCAACTAATTTGGGTGGAAACAAATCTGCACCCGATTCCTCCAAATTAGATGATGCTTACTACGGATATGCTTCTAAGAATGCTAAAGATCAAGACATAGCAGGCATTGAAAGTAATGAGCATTCCAGTGCTCACTCATCAAAATTCCCACAATCTTCAGGGTCTCCCAATGATGTAGTTATTGACATAGTTGGGTGTCCTAAAGATGTTCAGGAAAGACTTCAAGCTGAGAAATTGAAATTAGTCCAGGAACATCCCGAATTGATTCCTTCTTTGACCAAGAGAATTGTTTTCGATGCTAAAACTGGAATTGCATATGATGGTACTGGAAAGCAAATTTCAGCATTATCAACATTAAGGTCATACTCACTTGACGAAAATTTCCAAAGCAATAAAGTAGAAATGCCAGGATCATTTTTCAATTAGAAGACTCTGACCAGTCTTTTTCATTTCTATTGTTAAGTTACTGTTTTATATTTGTTTGTATTTTTTAAATGAAATTTCACACTATAATATCTCGAAATCTCTTATCAGTTACATGCCAGTGACTTTTTTTCGCAGCCACTTTTCATTTTGGGGTTTAAACCCTAATCAGGTGATCACTTTTATACTGTCACATAATGTCGTGTTGGACCCACTTTTCAAATTTCTCAAAAAATTTTCTTACAGTGAAGATTGAAATTTTCTATCTTAAACCAATCACTTAGAAATGGGTATGTTAAAATAGAGGAAATTTGTATGAGGATTCATGAATTATATTAGTTGAAGTACATAGAATGAATATTTCAAGAGTATATTAGTGTCTAGTAGTTGGATTCCGGAGATTTCATTGGAATTTGGTTGAAAATTTTGTCAGTAAAGAAGTTAATGAAAAGTCGTCATATTATCAATAAGATCACGAAGATATCACCGTCAATAAAGATTTCAAGTTATACCATTTAGAAGGAGAAGAAAATCGATTTTTTGGATACCAGAATACATTTAAATTTCATTTGAAGAAATTGTAATACTAACATCTAATAGGTAGAGTTATTCGTAACCAAAGAAAGGGTGCTGGTTCTATCTTTACCTCTCACACTAAAGGTAGAAAAGGTGCTGCCAAATTAAGAACCTTAGATTATGCTGAAAGACACGGTTACATCAGAGGTGTCGTTAAGTCAATCATCCATGATCCAGGTCGTGGTGCTCCATTAGCTAAAGTTGTCTTCAG